CCTAGAAGGAGTTTCATATCAGCGCAAGTAAGGCCTGCATGGGAGGCATTTTGCAATTCATGGATTTGCCCCCACGCCAGTGCGTGAGAATCGGCGTTTAGGGTGTGCATAAGTACGAATACTAGCTTCAACCTAAGCAGGAAAAACGCTTTCGTTCTCGCTCTCGCCTTAGCCCGATACAGCAATTTGTTGTCTATATTGACCAGGGCCAGGGACTGGAGAGGAAAAAGACGTTGTGATTCGAGTATCGAGATCATGGGGCATGGGATGACCCGTATTTTGGCGCGAACTAAGCTACGAGTGGATCAAATAAGGCGTTAGAACAAGATCTTCAGCGAACTCTGCCGGTGCGAAGAGCCCGTAAAGAATAAAGGGATGCGATGTGGCTTGTTCGTATGACATTAGTCCTCTCCATAGCCCACCAATACTCTGTCGATTTATCCGCTCTTATCAGTCACTGAGACAATGCCGAAGAGTTGAGTAAATGAGTTACTTGCGGGGGGCAACCTGGATCAACAACCATGGTCGGTCACTCACGTCAAGAATGCCGCGTGTATTTCTTTTTTTTTTTCAGCCTGTCGGTGAGAGGATTACCTCCCCTCCCCTTGACACCCTTTTCAAACTATCTCATACCCAGATAATGCAGGCAGAAGGGGTTGTTTCAGGGGAGAATTTTCATCTTCATTTCCCCAGGAGCACGGATTCTGGATAGTGGCCTCGTGGCGGGCATGAGGATAGATGTAAGTAAGAACAGAGCTGTGGGTTCAACGGGCTTTGAAACAGCTTCAACCCTATAACAGGCCGGCGTAATCTGTAAGAACGTCCATACACACGTCAAATTGTACCCCACGCTGCAAATCTTCTTGCAAATACGAAACAGGTAGTGCTCCATACTAGAAATGGTATCGTGGGATGCAACTCGTTCAAGCTGCGATCACTGCTTGTGAAAATAATGATATTCCGCGTTATAAGTGACCATCCCACGCTTAAACGGGAAGTGCGGAAGTAGGATCTAGCACGAGGAAGAGCTCCCTTGTCGAGTATTTTGAGGAGCTGAAATAATTCTAGACTAAGCTAGGGTTGGCGGCCCTCGACAGGGCTGTATCCCATGCCATACCGCGTTATATAGGCCAGGGGATACCATGTTAAATATGAACGCACCGCCGGATGTACGGCGGAGCTTTATCTCGATTTATCCATCTATCCGAGCCCGAGAGATTCAAGTGCGCTGCAGGCCATGTGGTAGGCAGATGTTGCGGCTGTTCCTTGCCCCTGTCGCATTGCTGGAACGACAGTGGTTAAGCTGCCAGCCACAGACCGAATCAGGAAGGTCTTTTCTTACCGTTTGGCTGATTCATTTAGCACTAAACAATCGTTGTTAATCCTACGTAATTAGGGCTGGTTAATATTTGCCATCCTTGTCCTTACAGCGATAAAAACTGTTCCCAGCTTCACACTTGTACCAGCGATACGCTGACAGTGGCAGTACAGGCCATGGACTAATGTTGACAGACACATTTTCCGTCCGGACTCCGGGGGAGATCACGAGCCTTGTTTGCTTTTTGTTCTAGAAGCCCAAGAAGGTCGAGGTTAAATTTAGTTCGAATCCTTTTTGCTTCTTGCGTTTCATAACTGGTCATCTGCCCTATGAATCTGAGGAACAACTCGAAGTAGTGGCGATTATCGAAGGAGGCGCATTCTCTCCTGTGTACGGGCAGGCCTTGCGATAAACTTCATACTATATCTTCAATAATGGGCGACATATGTTTGTGGCGGCGTTCGACGGCTCTAGATTCGCTATTCCACGCATTATCGCGAGCTCTGGCTTGTGCGGGTAGGATGATTGACCATGGTCTCTCCATGCTCATCCTCTGGTTTAAGGAATAGTAGGCGCAGCGTCTCTCTTTCTGGGATCTAGCCCCATAGTATAGTATCGAGGGTAGCATGGGATTGACGTGCCCCAGTTTTTATCACCTAGACTCTTGTCTGATTTCTCTATGTCGGTCTCGCTGATTACCTGGGGAGTGGCATGGGTAGACGTATCGACCTCGCTCATCAGTGGCTCAACCACTGGCAGTGCATGGCGAGAGCATGATACTTAAGTATACCCCCGTCGCCTTGTGATAGCTGGTGCAGTGACCGCTGTCCTGAACTATTTCATGCACGTAGTGGTGTGATTAACTCCTCCCGCATCATACTAATATCGCCGAAACTCCATTGGTCTGCTAAAATTTGGCCGTTATTAACAATTTTAACCGATTTAAAGGATTGCTATTGGCAGACTGCCCTTGTCGCGCTGTGATAAAAGGTGCATTTACCTTCTCATTCCGCTATACGATCTGCCTCTAGTGCTGCATCGTGTAGCCAGTAAAGCGCGCGGGCAGCGTAAGGAACTCCACGGGAGCCTCATATTTCGTGTCATCTGTCTCTGTATGCCTATAATCTGTCACAGAGCACTTTCACCAGTTAAAATAGGGCAATAAGCGACATCAAGAGGTATTTCAATGTCGCCCGCCAGGCCTGGGGTGACAGTGCATCTTGATATAACTCGTAAGGTGCCCGGCACCACATACTTTCCACGTGGAATATTCAGCCGGTCGTAGGTATTTCAAGGATATCATCTATCCCGCTATATTCGTGTGGCAACAAGAACCGAACGGCGAGTCAGCGAATGCTGATAATCATATGGCTTGACTTGGTTATCGGCTTGAATACATGCCAGCAGCCACCCCTGTATACACACCTTAAGTCAGCCCGCCCGTATCCCGGAACGTTGGCTCAACTGTGCTGCTATGGTCGTACTGGTACGCGGACTGTGTCGTCTGGGGTACCAGTGTAGCTGCCATGGTCATCTCCCTAGTCGCTTCTTGCTCTCCCTGCCCTCTTTGCCTTTCTTTTTCCTCGTAGAGGCTTATGGGGTTGCAAAATAGGTTCTGATTATCGCCTACCGCGCAGAAAGGCTTGAACATATGCAGCAGGTACTCCATATACTCCGGACTCCGCACTCCCTTGTTTAATATTCACTCTTTTTTTAAACACGAATCTGTAACATGCGAGTGAGGATGGCCGAGTCTTGTGCGATGTAGAATAATTCTGGTAGCGTATTGGGACGTTTCTGTACAAAACGTTACTGGTATACAGAGTATGGAAGAAATTATTAATCACGCCCTAACCTTCTTCTTAGTAGCCATTCGATGATATTGCATCATAACAACATGAACATATTTAATATACATGAGTGGAAATAGATATGTCATTAACATGCGAAGGTCTCTACAAAAGGTCCTTAAGGGATCCTCTCTTCATTATCACCCTAATGGTAATGTTTAGGGATAAGTTTCAGGATAAGGAGATGCGAAGTTAACAAGAGAGTCACTTTACCGTAACTCCTCAATAAGACTCCGCGGCTCTTATGATCCCCGTAAATTGGCCGATCTATTGGACCTGCCTTCAGATCTTTCGAAGCAGCTTAAGCATTTGAGATGAGCCGGAAATGGTAAACGCAGGAATGGTACCATTGTTTCCTGATTCTATAAGCTGATTAGTGAAATTTCGATGACGTAGATATTGCGTACATCCGGCGTTGATCTATTCCCCAAACACACAAAAGGGTGCAAGATATCGTAAAAAAACTTGAAATTCATGGTTTCCTGTAGAGGGATCATGGCGTTCGCTTTGGCTATAGATTTTATTGGGACTCCCCACTCCCACCCTAGATTCTGATATGGTCAGCTAAGGCTGAAGCTTCACTGCAGGGGTCAGGGGTTGAATTCCTCCGGCCGTCATGCAAGTAAGCGTGTTAGCATGAAGTCATATGCTATGACTCCTGTGTATCAGCCTTGGTGTCCTGCCTTAGACCTACTCCTCGGAACCCTCCAGACTGCGTTTATCCTCGTGGATGGGGATCCAAGGGAAGGAATATATCTTGGGCCTTATTTTCAGACCCGAAGGATTAGGTATCACAGTCACGCAGCTGATCAATGCGATACGAGAGTATAACCCAACGAAGGAAACCTGCTGTTCATTCCTATTTTCAAAGGCTGAATTCAACCGAACGTTGCGCAGGAGTTATACTCCGTATAGACCTGAGGGAATCATAAACCCCCCTGGAGCGCATCAAATTACCCGTATCGGTGTCATGGTCGTGTTTAAGTCTTGGGCCAGGACATCACCTCGCAATGCTGCCTCTGGAGGGAATGGGGCATCCCTGGAACATGGCGAGCCGCTGGTCCAGACCATATAGCGACGGAGGAACCGGAATGCTTAAAATTCGGTGCCAAAGAGAACACTGAACTCCTCTCGTATAGTCGACATCGAGTGGCTTGGGCAATCATCGCTCTGTGGTTCTTGAGTTTGGCACCCGCTGTTACACCGAACATATTCTTTGCACCGGAAAGTTTAGCCCTGCGTTTTCTTTATTTAGACGCTCCACGTCATCCGAACGTCGGTTATTCATAGACTGGCGAAGTATCGCGAGACATTACCCTCTTTCGGGCGTGGTTTGGAATTGTCCTGATGGTTTGGGTGGGTAACATCAGCCAGACTGCTGCAAGGCTGGTTGGGGGGTGAACTCTGAGGAGCAGATTGGCTTCCGCAGGTATTCCGATATAGATATTAATCAATCACATATATCGAAAGAAAGTATCGTCAACTGCTGCCTGGGGTTTGTTGAAAGGGGCTGAGTGCGTTATTGGCCTTTGCCCCCAGCGCATCCCCGGTTAGAGACCCATATTCGGGTATAGAGGAGTAATATTGGAGCGTTAACTTCATCAAGTAAGTGGCTTGACAGCATTAACAGTCGCTGTTATGGCAATATCATCTCAACAGGCTGGGAGTTTTATCGCTGAGGTTCTTTTTAGGTGTCTGAAGGATGCAGGACGCTCTTTAGTTAGCCTCCTTTCGGCCTAGGCTTCGCTAACTAAACGACCGCTTACTCTTTCAATTCCACCTTCATCAGCTAAAAGAGGAGAGAAACCAAGCTATTTCTCCTAACCACACCGATGCTGTCCCTAATAGGCTGTGTTGCCGTTGCTTCTATTATAATAGGCCCCCTCTATATCCTCTACAAGCCTCCCAAGTTCGTTATCTCCTACGCTCAGCGTCAATGGGAGGACGTATTATGGCACGTTCCGACTTCTAAAAAGATAGTTGCTCTCACGATTGATGATGGGCCGTCGAGATATACGCCAGAGATATTGGAAATACTCAAATCTAATGACGCAACGGCGACTTTCTTCGTTATCGGGTCCCATGTTACTCCTGGCCGAGAGGAGGCCCTGCATGACCTTATCCGCAATGGAAACGAGTTAGCTAACCATGCTATGCGTGATGAGCCGTCATGTCTACTGAGCGAGTCTGATCTCGTCAATAATATCAGCTGCGTTCAAAAAATCATATCTGATGCCGAGACTACTGTTGCGTCGGGCGACATCAATAACCCAGGCCCAAACGTTGATATTACCCCAAAGAATCTTTACTTTCGTCCGGGCGGTGGTTTTTTTACCGCTAAGATGCGTCGAGTCCTTTCAGGCTTGGGATATCGTCTTGTTCTCGGTGATATCTACCCCCATGATCCGTTCGTACCATTCTGGCAAGTCAACCACTGGCATATTCTGAGCCCGGTGCGCCCTGGTGGAATAATAATCTGCCATGACGGTCGGCCTTGGACCCTTCCGTTGCTGCGGAAACTACTTCCAGAATTGAAACGAAAAGGATACCGAGTCGTTACCCTTACTGAACTATTGAAGGAAGAAGAGCGTGGTTGAAGATATGGGTTTTGCTTACGGGGTCTTGGTCCAAGGATGGGATGATTGACATTGCTCATCAAAGTAGAACAATTGAAGGAGTATTTCGCAAAAACGAACTTATCTACCTATCATTTTCGATTTGTTATCGCTAATGTCCATCCTGAGACCGATGTCAATGTAAAGATTACTACACATATTGTAGGCCGTTATAATTTACGATACTATCGGCATACTCTACCTCGTATAGGGATAGGCTACGGTGCATGCAATGTCCTGAGAGACTCTCTAGGAAGATACATGGATTCACCAGGAATCGGAAGTAGGGTATATTGATATATCAAAGCCGTTTAGAGGCGAGGTTTTGGCTCCAGGTAACACCGGCCCTCAATAAAAGCATACTGTGTACCATATTACTTCCAGCTTCTTCAAAATACGAGCTGGTAGAAAGACCCTGGGTATAACTAGCCGATGGATATAAGATATTGGTAACCGAGCGCTCCGCCACTTGAGGCCGTAACCGAGTAGCTTTGAGGGCTGACAAGAGTTACCACTCCCGAGAAGTAAAGATATTTATAAATGTACCCCGTGTGTCCTCAAAAGTAGATAAATAAATAAACCTATTGAAACGCTGGTGACTTTTGTGTCAACCATTTGGGCCGAGTTCGGGTGTCTGTTTCGCAAAACCAGCCCTTGTGGACTGTAGAGCTGACTTGATAAGATCTATCAAATCGCGCCAACCCCTGTGCCCCATTGTCAACTGACGAAACGAAGGTCCTACCCCCTTTCCCATGTATCATGTATATAGAGAGAGCGGCGTTCGGTCCCAACAGTGCTGATTTCGCCCCTAGCTCACGTGCTGGCGGCGAACTATCTCGATCCAAAAGTTGACTCTGCTCGTCTCGTCTCCCTTCTCGTCTGCATTGAAAGTCGAAAGGACGCGTTCACATTCACAAGTTGCCTCGGGGCGTCATCCTACACGCTGCTCTGTTGACATTCACCTGTTCCTCTTCGTTGTCCTTCTGAGCTGTCGCTCTCCGTTCGCCCGTTCCTCAAGGTCACCAGATGACCTGCATGGTGAAGGACAACGCACCTAGCTAGGGGTTAACATCGATACTTGCACCGAGTACTGGTACAAAGTTACACTGAAAGTATGTGATTCTATGCTTTGCTTTAGCGAAATCGATTAAGTTCCACATAACTATTTCAATGTTGCGAAGCCTTGTTTCAACGGTGTTCATTGGGCTGACGACGGATGCAGGTCACGGACTTTGCGGCCGCGTGTTTGAACTGGAGTTCTTCTACGACTCAACCTTGAAGTACTGTGACAAGAGAATTCAGAGCTCTTTGGGTACTTTGTTGTTGAGCAGCAAAAAAACGCATCCTGTTGACATCAACCCTTGCAACCTGGGGCACGAGAATCGTACGAAGTAACAATACTTCTCGTCATCAGTGCCTGAAGGCGTCCGTTTTGGAATAGTAATTTATAACTACTATTCAATCCCGCTATGGCCGGTATACATGGTAAGTCAGTTGACGTCCGTCCATATACCCTTTTGAGCAATACAACTGGACGCCAAAGCGACTCTGGGTCGATGGCACAAGAGCAACGATGTCGTGTAAATAGGGTGAATCCGCACCCCCTGTTGTCCGGCATACACTCGATCCACGGCTTTTTGCATTGCACTTGGTTATACGGCCCTGATCGAATTTTTCCCCCAATTTCATGCCCTGACATATGTGCCGCTTCACCAAGTCATCATGCATATACTTTTGCATTTGAGCCTAGAATGCCCACAATGTACACAGAATCGATGATACTGGGGACCCGATCAGCTGGATGGGCGCCTATCTGCATGCCGGCGGGCGTCAGATCAGCACAACCCCGACGTTGCTTCGAAGAAACATACTCATAGCTCACTATTTTAGGAGAAGAGCTTCCGGTGCCTCTCCGAGCACCTGCCACGCAGACTCAACCCCGGATTTGTGGGGAAATACCTGCCGGGCACCTCCGATCTGAAGGTAGGCTATCTGACCGTCTCTCTTTGTTTATTTTCTTTTACGTTTCAATGCCCTCGAGAAAAACCAACCCAGTTTGTTTCTGGGCTGTTTGGTATTTGGTATTCACTTGACACCGTTTTGCAATTACCCCGTTATGCCTTTCTATCATTGCAGTTTCGCTATATAAATTTTTTTAAAAAACACTTCTCTGGCCCGGATGTGTGCTACAGAGCAGTTGTATCACGGCATTACATGTCGCGCATTTGTGGGGCCTCTACCCATAAGGAAAAGCATTTACGAGATACACATTTGCATATATGCATATTTTCAGATCGATATCGATCTCCCTCCCACGCTTTGAGGATCCAAACTGAATCCTGCCAACCCTGATACTGAGTATATTCGAGTAACTGACAGCTACCTCAGGATCCTCCGGTGGAGCTTATTGCCCCTTTGCATATGATTCACGATCTAAGACTCTTCAGCAAGAGGCGGAAATGCCCGATCAGCAGAGAGATGGCCGCTGTGAAACGACTCTCCTCTCAAGCGAGGGTGGTTTGCCCGAATCCGAAGAAGCAGGGGGGTTCACAAGGCAACTATTTGGGCTACCGCTAAGCAATGCAAGGCCTACGCCTGCTCCCGCAAATCCTCAGGTCGTTCAGAAGCCTGTATCACGTGTGGAAAGGGATAACCCGAGGGAGTTTCAAATCAATCAGATCCGCCGTAGGTTCGACCCGGCGGAGCGCCATGACGCCTGTGGCACTCATCTGACGTTCAGTATGAAACCATCAGACCCGGACTTTTTTTATGATATTATGGGGCTAGACTTCATTCTAGGCGTTCCCGCAACATATCCAGCCTATGGAGAACCTACTTTGGAAGTAATAAACGGGGATCTGGACACGAGTAGAAGAAGGCTTGTGGAACAAAAATTCAAGCAATTGTCTATGGACTTCAAGTCTGGTAACCTATTAAGTTGGATGAACGCCCTAGACAGGCATCTTGCAAATCTTCTTTCTGATACTTCTGCTCCGGGGACATCTGATCCCCCAAGCCAAAAGGGGTTGAAAGTCTCCTCTTCCACTTGCGATCATAGTATCCCCTCTGGCAAGAGTACCCGGAAACAGAAAGCGGTGGCTATAGTCTCAACGGTAGGAGACCCTCAAAGAAGGACAAAAGAAATTGGACAGCTGAAGTCTCGTCTGGGTAAACATCCCTCATTTTTGGCTCATTCAGATGGAGCCAAATTTACAATTGGTATTAAACCATTTCAACAAAGACTATTGCCGACCGCTCTTCAGAGTCTAAAAGCAATAACCTTGATTGTGCCATCAAATTACCCAGGTGAGCCGTGCCAAATCGCGATCCCTGAAATTGTGGATAATTCTGCCCGGTTTACAGAACAGGCATTCTATCAGCATTCTATGGATAACCCAGGGGTCAGCCTGATAGCCCATATTAACTACCTCGCTGCAATGATGCACAAAATGGCATATCGACAATCAGATGTGCCAGACGCAGATCTCCATACGGACTTGGAGACAATATCCCGAGAAGAAGTGTCCCCTGTCAGGCGTGCATCACCTCCACCGCCACCCGAAGAGCCTCGATTAACAGCCGTTCATACAGAGGCCGACGATCTGGAAGATCGATCTCATATTCAAGTTATCCCCAGACCTCCTGAGTGGGAGACCCCTGATGATGGCGACAGCGCAGCAAGCGATGAAGAACCCATTACAGACCCACCTGCCCATGATGTGGGTGGCCGTAAGGTGCTAATATTATGTCCAGCACTCGAGCTGCAAGGGATAGAGCTTCTCGAGCTAAAAAACTTGTCCCTGACCCTTAGATGCGCTCGATGCAAGGAGTTGCAAGACATGAAAAATATCAACGTCGGGGATGAAGGCTATAGCATACCTCGTAACGTGGTTAAAAGCTGCCAGAAGTGTTCAAATCGTCTCAGTGCAGGTAAGCAAAAGCTAAACAAATTACGTTGATGCGGCCGGGAGTGGCGTATTGTGACTTTTCATCATTTCCTAGCCCCATCCTCACAGTTTTAAGTTCATCTTGAATAACAACTGTATATTTTGTAGGGTTTTACCGTGAGGTTATGCATCCTGGCTCAAACCGGGCGGGCACTTTAACCCTCGAAGGTTGCACTCCCGCAGACTTGCTTCCTAGGTGAGAAAATGAAATCCCACGTCTTAAGTGGAGGGTCGTTGAAGACTACGATCAGCTATCCCCTCCCTCTCCCCCCCATACTGTTATACAAACTGCCATCGGTTTGTGAGACTTCAAAAGAATCTAGGCTAACATATCTACCCAGCAATTTTAATCCGACATGTTCAAGGTGTTCCACCACATATCCAGCACCAGGCGTCACAGCCTTCCAAGGAGACGCCTCTATGGCATTTTGCCGCGTCTGTCACCAGAAAATGAGTACGTTTTGTCTTACACTGGAACGCATATTGCATCCAATCTAGTCCTTGCCCGCCACAACCGGGATCTCCTATTGATCAAATATATTGGTCTCTTGACAACTTACGAATCGGGATCTTGTCGGATAGGCTTTAAACTTCCTGATATTAAATTCTTACTCGTCGGTGATATCCAAGGTAAGTCATATGGTATCCGTTATAAATTCTGTTTTCTTTTCTCTCCAAGTGTGCAGAACCTATTATTTCTCGAGATTTGAGCCCCTGTTTGTGTCCCATTTCACACATCCCGCTCTAAACACCCTCATTCCAAATATCCGGGAGGCAAATTTTCTGGGGACTTGAATAAAATTTCCTCAACTGCATGTCATCCTCGTAGATCGTCACTCCCGGTACTACCTTGAGCTTTTTGTGCGCTAGTTTTTACCTATCGGTGTTAAATCTGTCGCAGCTCTGTCATGATTTGATTTGCTATTGGACTGAAATCGGCTACATATGTCTTGTTTTTTTGGCCAACGCCTAGATATTCGGAAGGCTTACCAATATTATTGATTCTAGATATTTTACGCCCAGGTCGGCAGCACAAAAAGGTTCGTGACCGGCCCGCGAGCCAAATTTTTATTCTCACCTCCTCATGACATTTGGCCCATACTCGGTTTTCTTACACGAGAAGGAGGCAAAAGTTGAACCGCTGACATGCTTATGTTTTGGCATTTTTTGTTTTAGCGAAATGAATTGTTGGGAATTACTGCCGGCCACGAACTACCTCGCCGAGGCGGATGTATTCACTATAGCAAGAGCCATAGATGGTTTAGGTAAGCCTTGAATTATCCCCATAGTCTTTACTTGCCTATGGATGCTTTACAGGCTTCGGAAAATTTGGAATGATTTGTCTGACACAGTGACATAGGTTTAGTTGCTGTTCAAGAGTCTTTCCCTGCGACAGGTGAGTGGTTTCAATCTGGGAAAGACCATGTTATTCTTCTCACTGCCAATATACTAGCCATGATCTGATGTTATGTACGCATCTAGGTGCCACGACAATTCGTCTGACCACCCCTACGAACATGCCAACCGAATGATCTGGTATGCTCATATTTCATATGAACACTCTCTGATTCTACTTACTGTGTGCCTTCGTTTTTTAAGAACACCTGCTAAATCTCTCTTTGGGACAAATGATTATAGCGGTTTCTGCTCTCGCGAACAGATATATCGACCAGAAATCTGCGGGTTATGCCGATCCTTGCTTGTCGATAAAGCCACAACTGGCTTCTGGGAAGGAGGAAAAGGGACCAGGAATAAACAGTTAATGAATCGGAAAGGTAAGTGGTTGCGCAGAGACGCATTCTTCTGCTGCCAATTAAGGAAATGGGAAAATACTGAATATAATCTATTAATTAGACCCAAGGAAATATAAGCGCCCCGAGACAGCTGCACCGGGGCCGTCGAACACAAGGTAGCAGTTTCGTTGAAAAGGGAAACTATAATTCTAAACGCACTAGATCAGTTACCTACCGTATGGCCAACGCAGATATCAGGCAAGATGCCTTTATGCAATTTGATCCATCCATATAAGAAGATTGGGATAAACACCCGTCACACCCGCGTCCATACAGACCTCATTGAACGCTTTTAGTGTCATCAAACACTGGGTATGCTGCCCTAAGGTGATACTAGTTGGGCCAAATAGAAAGGAATCCAGCGGATATCGGATAGGGGATATTGTACATAGCAAGGATAGCAACCGAAGTCATGGGGGTCGTTATTAGGCAGAGCCTGAAACAGATTACTCGCGGCGTTTATATAGGTTGTTGCCAGCTAGATTCATGATAACCATAATTCAACCCAGGATCTAGATTGAGCATTCAAGATCTTTGATTATATTTATGAGATATTGTTCTACGAAATATTTAACGAAGACCTAAGGAATCAGTTTGAGATCGCACAACCCGAAGAGTCTACAAACGTATACCCACTCAGCAACAGTTAGTGCATTCTTGTCGTTCTAGACCTCTAGAGCTCTCTTCATTAACTCGATATCTGCCCAGTCGGCCTTTTGAATACGTAATATTCGTATATTGCCTGGGCTTCCCGGGAACGCAGGACTTAGAGATTTTGGAGATTTGGTATCACTTCCTGCCCTGAAGCTACTGTCCCGCGAGACAATTCCAACAACTCGACACATCCTTGGCTGAGTTTGACTATGATTTGATATTATTCCACCTCCGTTTATATTTGGTCCATAGGTATGGCTGCTCTCAGCCTCATCTTGACTCAAGAAATATCTACCTACTTGGTTGAGGTAGCTATTATGTGACCATCCGCGCCACTCGCCTACTAGATAGGGAGGGCGAGCTGGAAAGAAAATATCAGAGAAGGTGAAAATCTGGCATGGCCCACTGCGATATGAGTTGGACACAATGGCATAGAGCTCTGTTATAATAGCCTTGGGTGCGCAATCTTCCATCACAGAAATTGACGTGCTGCAGGAGCTTAAAGCTTCACCGATACGGAAGCACGTGCGAAGGAGGATTTGGTCTGAGCTTAATCCTTGAACTGCTGACGGATTAGGTGCACATCGGGGGAAATTTGGTCGGATAAAGGGCCCCAGGGGAGAAACCTGAGGGAAAACCAATTTGTTAATTTAGGCTCAGAAATATGGAGACAGTGCATCGCGCTATTTAACAAGAGGTAAAGAAAACGTTATAGTTTCTACCTACCACAACTTGGGAATTGTTGTTTCTGGAGCTGGAAATAGGACTGTTGTTGGGGTTTGAGATTTTGATATCCGGCTCGAGTTTGTGAGAAAATTTAGCCATACCAGTGGTTGGACTTGTGGCAGAGCAGTTGGAGGTGAATAAATTTTGCGGCCCTTTGTTCTGACTAGACAGATCCACATAGCGTTTCTTGAGGTGCCCATTAGAGCTGCAGGGTATATCGCTATTCTGTTCCTGAGTGGTATAAATAGCTGGAGTAGGGTCAAATGTCATATATATACTTCTGGCCTCCGTAGTTGTGTTGACACTAGCTGTGGGACATAAGTGAGTATTCACCTCTAAGTCCTCTAATTCGGGCCATAGGTCGTCATCGAGACCCTAGAGTCTGATGGTGAGCTAAAAATAACGGAAAGGCAATCAAATAAAGCGCCTGAATTTGGAAATATAGCAAATATAGTAACTAGGCTGAGATTGTTTACCTCAACTTCATCTTCATGGACATTCTGGGTAAAGTCCCTGTCCTGTCCACTGGAGACAAGCTCGGAAGTTATAGGCTGGCTGGGTGATGTACCATATCCTAAGGTTGAGCTGGAATATTCACTGGAGATAGTGGTAGGGGAGGCATGGGTAGTCTCTCTGGGCCGGGGATTATCGCATGCTAATGTATATTCCACTGGGTATGAAAGATCCTCATCGTCAGAGGGAAAATAGTCTATGTCATCAATAGACACTGTCTTATTGAGAATACACTTTTTTGGAGTTAAATAGGGGTTTGGATAGGTATATGTAGAGCTTTCATGTGAAACGGTGCGGCCATCCTCCATGGCTGATGGCATTAGAGACTTAGAATCCTTGGGAAGAAGAAATAGCAGTAACCAGCAAGGTTAAAGCTAGCTCCAGGAAGATAGTAGATGGACAGTTTGTTTCTTAAGTCGATGGCGACGATAAATGTAAAACTGTTCATGCTGTATGGACCAAGGATGAGTTTTATATAGATCGAAGGAGAAGACGTCGAAGGTTTGAGGTTTAAATAAAGCTCATTACCTAATCATGATTATATAATCCCGACCTCCTCGTAGCGCTCCAAGAGCTTAAAAGAAGCGCGAATGTCAACACAAGGTGAAGACTTGCCCGACGTTGGGAGGAGAACAGAAATACGAACATGTCATACGCTTTGGCTTCTAAGAAGCGAAAGTTCCACCGCGTACTTGACTCAATCTCGCTCGGCTCTTCCCAAAAGCCAGCATCGCCCCAACTGTCAGTAGCAGGAGGAGACAATTTAATGCTCTCCGGAACGACGCAACCGAACCCTTCAATAAAACGTGTTCGACTATCACGAGACGATAGCCCTGACAGTACGTCAGCTACTCCTTCGAACAGACTTATTTCCCGGCATTCAACACCCTCAACTACGTCCCTACGACCTAGCTTTGTGCCCTGGGATCGCGAACGGTTCCTGGAACGGTTGGAGACCTTCCGCAACGTTGAACGATGGAAGCCGCAGCCAGATGCTATAAATGAAGTACAGTGGGCGAAGAGGGGGTGGTCGTGCACCGATAAGGTTCGAGTGGAGTGTGTTGGCGGGTGTGGCCACTCCGTTGTTGTCAAGCTGCCTGACGATATAGATGACTTGGAAGAATATGATAGTGAAAAGATAGCGGACCGGAAGGAAGTTCGTACGTACTCTCAAGGAGCGCTGGATAGACATAAGGGCCTTCTTTACTGACGGACGCTTAACCTAGGAGCTCAATTGGTCGTCAAATATCAAAGTTTAATTGTCGAAGGGCATGCAGAGAAATGTCCCTGGCGGAAATCTGGGTGCGATGGTACGATCCTATGCGGTGGGGGTATAATATATTGGAGTGACATACACTAACTCTATGATAGATTCCATCCAGCGTCTATCCCTAGCGAAAGCAGAGCCAGCATTGCATAATCTCCGAGCACGATATTTAAATCTCTTGTCCGTTGGCGGTAGGCTGCCACCGATGGAAACTCTCAAACTGCCAGAGAAATTCGACATAGGTCTTACATTGTCGTCCTTGCCTCCTGGGGCTTTAAGTGACGACGTGAAGCCGAGTGATAACACCACCGAAACAAATACACCAAAAGATGTCACTCCGAGCAAGGACATGGAGAACTCCAACGAACATCCGTCAATTGTTACCAATAAGACTGCGTTTACCCTTGCATTCTTTGGATGGGACGTCTCTGGAGAAGCAAGCGCGGGTCTAGCTGGTTGCAAAGCTTGTTTCAGGCGACTGGGTCTATGGATGTATATACCCAAGGAAGACGGAAGTGCTGCTCTTTACTCAGAACTGGATATTGTTAGCGAACACTTGGACTATTGCCCTTGGATAAACTCGGAGTCCCAGAGCGGAAGAAAGTCAGGACTATGTGGCTGGGAAGCACTGGGGCGTGTTATGGAAAGTGAGCATCGTCGGCAAACGTGGTCTAAAAATGAGACATCGAAAGCTGAACAGGTGTCCACAAGCTCGACGGAACCTGCCCCTGAGCAAGCAGACGAGGAAACTAGAAAGACCAAAGACCGAGAATGGTGGGCGAAACTTCGACGTGTTCGCCAGGCACTCCAGCCTAAGGGAGCCAAAAAGGCAAAACCCACTTGAATATTATAAATTATGATACCCTAACTCAGCTAATTAACCTATTGCTTCTACTTTAAGAACCATGTCCGTTCTCTTAACCTGACAGTCTCTAAAGTACTCCGTAGACACTATCATATAGATAGACAATCGGATAAATTATCCGCCGTGTAGACGCGAAGCGCGAAGCTGAGACTCCGCGGCTATTCTCCAGGATGCGATCCCGGTTTTCACCATCTTACAGCTTGTTATTGGTTAACGAACAAAACCACAAAGTTCTGACGGCTACTCTTTGGTACCGCGTTGGATTGATTGCTGCATCAAAGCAGAGAAGCAGATTTAATTGACCTCACACCGGTCTCGCCTGCACGTCAACAATACACCGAGATGGAGGCTTCGAATGATGAAGTTAACGGGAGGTCCTCTCCTCCGGCTAATTCGGAGCCATCGCAAGGGCATGGCAGGGCGAGGGATTCACTACCTGTGGAAGAAAAGTCAATGCCTTCAACAAACCAACCTCCCGGGACTTCTGCAGACAGCGCTCGGGATACCCAGGCCACAAATGAGAAAAAGAGAAAGTCCCCTGAAAATGACCAGCAACAGGATAAACTGAAGCAGCAGGAACCTCAACCGCGTTCCAAACGACGAAGACAGGAGGAACGGTCACAAAAGAACAGGAAGCGCGGGAAGACGCCGCCATCTGCTTACTCCCGTCGCGACGCTCCCGTGGTCGAAACGAGACGATCCCCGTCGCCAATTAGACGCACCCCTTCCCCAGACGCCCCGGTGCGACAGCGAAAAAGACCAGGCGGAGGAGCGAGGATAAATACTTCCAACATCGAAGCTCTTAGGCGGAGGCAGGAGGAGCGAGACCGTCAACTGCAGGCGGACGCTCAGCAAGCAGGACATGCCCGCGGAGTCCACGATGTGGTCAGGCAGCATTACAATGCGGTACCTGAGCGTGGACGGGAATGGCGCAAGACCGAAAGCAAGATAAAAGGTCTCCGCAGCTTTAACAACTGGGTCAAAAGCACGCTTATCCAGAAATTCTCTCCGAGCGAAGACTTCTTGGCTAGACACAACGATAGAGACCTTGCAGGTTCAGCCTCCGTGGCGCCAGAGGAAGAGAAACCACTTCTCATCGTCGACCTTGGCTGCGGTAAGGGTGGTGATCTGGGTAAATGGCAACAAGCTCCCCAACCTGTTGAGCTATACGTTGGTCTCGACCCGGCGGAAGTCTCCCTTGACCAGGCCCGTGAACGGTATATGCAGATGAAAAACCAGCGAGGACGAGGACGTCGAGGAAACCCCATTTTCCATGCCCAGTTCACTCCAAAGGATTGCTTTGGCGAATCTCTTGCAGACGTCCCTATAATCCAGCGAGTGGGCATCGATGAGTCCGTTGGCCCTGGTGGCTCGATGATGAGTTCTCGTTGGGGCGGAGGAGGCTTTGACGTCGTGGTTTCAATGTTCACTATGCATTACGCATTTGAAAACGAGGCCAAAACCCGACAGATGCTACAGAATGTTGCCGGGCTACTTAAAAAGGGCGGTCGATTCATTGGCGTCGGTCCAAATTCCGATGTCATCAGCGCAAAGGTTGCGGAGGCGCATAAGCTACGGAAAGAGAAAGCGGAGGAGGCCGCTAAGAAGGCTACAACCGAGGAGCCGGAAGACGGAGAGGTAGAAGATAGCACTGAAGCAACCGAATGGGGAAATAGCATATACCGCGTACGTTTTCCGGGCAAGACGCCAGAGGATGGAATATTCCGTCCTGCATTCGGGTGGAAGTATTTCTACTTTATGGAGGAGGCTGTTGAAGAGATCCCCGAATATGTTGTTCCATGGGAGGCATTTCGAGCGTATGTCAACCCCTTTCTCTTGGTTGTTTCTTCTCGCGTATGCTGATTCACTGTTGCAGATTGACCGAAGACTATAACCTGGAGTTACAATATCGCAAACCCTTCCTAGACATATGGCGAGAAGAAAAAGACGACCCCGTTCTTGGGCCTCTTAGTGAACGCATGGGCGTCCGGTCGAGGAATGACGGCTCCATGCTGGTGAATGACGATGAGCTTGAAGCAGCAGGTATGTTCTTGTACTCGTTCTTTTCTATTTGGAATCTCGCACTGATGATAATATCTGCAGGGCTGTATCATGCTTTCTGCTTCTACAAGGTGTAAACAGCGGTCCCCAGGCGTTGTTATGTCGTAAATTACCTATATAGGAAATAAACAGGCCTCTATTGATGCTCAAAGTAGATATGAAGGCACTCTGCTATATCAGAACTCCCACATCTATATTATCTATATTCCATCATTTATTTCAGGACAAATTTAACGTACCCTACAAAGCTGCGGTGCACGCCGTCATGTATCTTTGTCGAAAATGCCAATGGACAAATAGGCAAGGCAATGAAGCTTCTGGTGAACGATATAGGATTTTCCATAGGCGCGAACTAAAAGGACAACGCGTTTAGCAAGGCTATTATTTACCTATAGTCCAGGAAGATCAAACACGTCTTTGCTCTGTATTAGCATATTAATCGACCAGTGTCGCGTACCTTTGCTATCAGCTAAAAATATAGATCTACTATTAGTTATTTGTCTCCGCGTCCTTTGCTATCGAATGGAAAGTTCTGGTTGGTCAGTGTAGTCTTGAATCTTGAATACTAATTATCAACCCCAAAAGAAACCGCGACATCTTCCATTATAAACAGCAGAGACATACACTTCTCACTATATATGATATTGACAACCGAACCACTACGATGTCTTCTCGCGTTGCCTCCCGTGCCAGCGCGACGCAGGCAATGGGCGCGCCTCTCGAGCTCCCACCCTACGAGCCCCAGATAGGACCCCTCCACGATAATGCGAAGCGCAAGGTGGAAGCAGTGATCAACTCCACGCACACGCGTCATATAAAGGTTCACCTAAGCCATGCGGCGGGCGCACTATCAGAGACAGTGGGAGAAGCCAACGACCGGCTTTCAGAGGCAAAGTCGCGTTTTGAGAAAGTAAAGAGGCGGAGACGCGAGAGGGAGGAGAAACGATTGAGAGATGCCGAAGGAGAAGGGAGTGAACAGGATAAAGAAGATGGAGAGGAAGGGAACGGCGCTGAAGCTGAGGCGGAGAAGGATGCAGAACGAGAGGAGAAACTTGCACGGTTCGAGGAGTTGGTCAAGGAGACTACGCGGAAGATGGAACGGAGTATGCGGAGCGTTGTCGATACGGAGGTGCGAGTAGACAAGATGCAGGATCTTTTGGCGCAATTATTGGAGGATAATTCGACGCAGACACAGACGCAGAACCAGCAGAGGGCTCGGCGGTCGAGACGCAATCAGGATGAGGATGGAGATGCGGATATGAATGACGATGAGCAGGAGGAAGAAGACGAACTACAAGCGCCGGTAGAAGTTATACCAGCGTCTCGCGTGTTTGCTGACGGACTGGCTGAGAACAAGAGAGCGTGGGAGGCATTGTCTCTTGCGGAAAGGTATTACTCTTCCCTGCTACCATCTTCGCTGTCACGGTTACTGACGATTCCCTAGATATGGTTCCAACAATAGCTACAAGCAGTTCTACCGCGTCATTCACGAATCTAAACACTCTGGCACCGACGTTCCCCCGCTGCCTCCTGTGTCTACCTGGTTTCAAACCCTCGACTCTTCACGAGAGCCAGGCAGCCACTCTAGAAAACGCAAGAAGAAACGCACCCGTTCTGCCCTTGGTGCCGATGGGACTTTCGAAGAGGACGCCAACGAGGACGACCAGGAAGCCTCATCTCAGGACGATAACGGAGATGAGGAAGGGGATGACGACGATGATGATGAAGGAGACGAAGGAGACGAAGAAGAGGAAGAAGAAGATGAAGCACCTACCCAAGAAGCCACGCAGGCACCGCCCTCAGACGACGAAATAGTGGTCAAGTCCGAGAAATTCTCCCTCACCTGCCCGCTAACTTTGCAAACGTTCGAAGACCCGGCGACCAGCACCAAATGTCCACACAGCTTCGAACGGTCCGCTATCGAAAACATGATCAGCCGCAGCCGTCAGACCACATTTGTACCTGGCGCCGGGAGAAATATGCGTTGCGTTGAATGTCCTGTTTGCAGCGTGATGATCACAGTCCGAGATCTAAAGAGTGACCCTGTACTCGTACAAAGAGTGAAGAGGGCTAGACGCATGGCTGCATTGGAGGAAGAAGAAGATGATGGCGACGATGGCGATGGCGATGAGGACCTGCAAGAACGGGATGCGAGCGTGTTGATGAGCAGGAGTAAGACAGCGAGGGGGGAAAGGGTGGTGGTGAAGAGCGAGAGAACGAGATCACCGTCTCGGATCCCTGATACACAGATGGACGGATGAAGGGACAATGATCATGCTATTATAGATATATACTGTTGCTAATAGAATAAGTGACGCAAAGAACGAAATGGTAACGATGATGTATACCCGAACCTGGGGTAATAAATCCACGACAGTCAACACGAAAGAAGAGAGGGGGAAATAATAAATCATGCATCAAAGAAATAACAAGCCTCAGCTCCTTCGATCTCTCCATTGAAGAATATCGACGCCAAGGGCTCTTTCTTCGGTCTTCGTGGTGAAAGGTACGTATATAATTGGTCTTCGGACCAGACTAATGCATGTCCGCATATTTCTTTTCCGGGTTTCTTTCTGCATATTTCTTCCCCTCTCTCCCAGGACGATATTTCTGCAAGTCATTCCTCATAACGATGTTGCTCAAGTTGACGTTTGTTTTTTGTTGCTTCTTCGGCGCACGAACTGGTGGAGAGTGATCTTACATAAGTACCGGTCCGCAGTGGATACCTTTTCCACCAACAAATCCACATCAACTCTTTTCACGACCTCAAGTGATCAAATTGAGATAATCGACCACGATGAGAGTTATCATACTAAGTCAGGGGTTAGCAGGGGAAGTCAGAGACCGATCATGAAAGAGGGCAGACTCACGCATGAGGCGCAATGCGAACATAATACGTGCCGAAGCCGCGATAGAACCTCAGCCAACCCTCCTCGCGAACCACCTTTTTGGCACAGTCCAACATACCCTTGTACGGCAGCTCACCGGTCTTGGGGTCTTTTGTCTGCTTCTGCAGTCTGGTCTTGACGAAGTCGAAGGGAAGGGACATGAAACTCGCGAAGAACCCGGCAATGGCAGAGGCCGCGAACGTCCTGTTCTGCGCCGACAGGCTTGTATGGGTCTGCAGCTGTGACTTGGCCTCGGAGAAGAAGGTGAGCTGGCCGAAGTTGAGGGCCATGGCTCGCACGACGGTGGGGAAGGCACCGGCCCACAATGCTGTGACACCTTCGGCTTTTGAGATACGCACCAACGCATCGATGACGGAGGTATAGTTTGCTCGGGTGGCGGCTGGCTTGAGCCCGTCTGACTGCATACGGATGAGAGCCAGGTCGGCCGGGTTTCCGATCATGGCAGCGAGACCGCCGGCGGAGAGACCGGCCGCCGCACGCTGGACGAATGTCACCTTCTCGCCCCTGGAGGCTGCACGGCTGTTCAGTATGCCTATGAAGGTGTCGAAGAAGCCTAGACGAGCTGTGGTATAGACTGCCTGGCGCAGCAGTCCGGCGGAGAGACCGGTGTACAGATCGAGTACGCGTCCCGAGGCGATGATCTGGCGGGCAATGCCTATAGCGGTAGGCTTTGGGCCGGTCTTGACGCCCTCTCCGGCGAGCTGGAGACGGACCTTGACCATATCGATGGGCTGGATGCAGGCGGTGGCCGTCATTCCCGCCAGACCACCGTTGAAGAAGGGGAGGGCAGCCCGGACGAAAGGAGAGTTCCGGATGGAGGAGCTGGAGGGAGCAGAGGGAGACGACATGGCTGCCTTTGTCTCTGTTGCTGCTTTGGCTGCTGCGGAGGTCGCGGTGCCTTTAAGGGGAGAGGCCATGGCTATACGACTGAGCGTATGTATATAGAGCTGACGTTGAGTGTTGGGGTATGTAGTAGAAACGTGAGCTAGGATGTCCGTCACAGAGCTCTGCCCATTGACGCAGCAGAACAACAGCAGCCAAACAGAGCTACACGGCTAAGAGGAGGATGAAGACGAAGATGAAGCTGAAGATGAAGCTCAAAAGATGTAAAAAAGTCCAAAAGTCGATGTTTTTTCAGGCCAAAAAGTCGCAGTCACATGGCGGCACGTGTTGTGCTCTTCTTACCCCGCTCGCAGAGAGGAGAAACAGGCAGTAGATGAACTATGGGAGATGATGGCAGGAGAAGTACCTGGTACCGCGAGATAGACGCGCTTCTTATACTGGGCGTTGTAGAGGATACCTGGTCGGGCATCGCTGTGCATGGCCAAGTTACCCGCCCAACGTCATACTCCCCACCCACTCAACTTCAACTTCAACTTCAACATATAGATTATACTATATTATGATACTATACGATATTATATATGATACTACACGATACATGTTATGTTACTGCAGGATCCTATGCTAGTACTAGGCTATACTATGATATTGAGGATGCTAACGTCTCAACATTTCCACGCCATGGCCGTTGAACGACTAGCAGATAGCTCCTCGCCAGCCCGGATACTTCGGCCAGCAGATGGATTCAACAGCTCCTCCGAATATCTCGAGCTCGCCGTATCGACACTCCGCTAGTATATCCCCGGACACTTACCTTTCCCGCTCCACGGAAAACTCGCAGCCATCGCCATGTCCAGGTCGACACCGGACGACGAGCGACGGGCGATAGGATGAGTTACGTAAAAAAACAAAGCATGGCCGGGAAGCATTAAGCTATCTATCGCTGCACTGGCGAGCGAGGGAGATCTCCGTTCTTCACGTCCTGCCCAACGGTGCCCGTCCCCTGAAGCCCTGGAAGCACTGGTCGGCCCTGGTCGATGCATGGATAACCTTCATATCGCGATTGGGACGCTAGCTAGCTAGTCAACTAGCCGGCATCATCTTTCGCTGCTTTTTTTCAGGGACCGGGAGAGTACCGGCTCTCAACTAAAATACTAGAGGTATGTGCGCTATGCATGCCGACAGGTGCTCGGCAGGCGTCCGTCCAGGTGTATCCTCCCGTTTTACATAATATATGGGCATAACGTGCTACCGTGAGCGGCGCGGACTGGACTAGAAACAGGTCAGACAGACAATTTAGAAGGTGGATATAGATATAGAGGAGATATAAAGATAGATACAGGCTCGTCGGGGTGGATCAGCGGCTGGACGGGAAGTTAGTCGTCCTGACTTCCTATCCTTTCTACCTCGCTGTCCTTCTATTTCTCAGCAGTAGATTTCGTCATTATATTCGGCTACCCACGGTGATATTGACATGCTTCCCTCACTGCCTCGATCGCTGCTTGGATCAGAGTCCAAACGCAACTCGCTTCCAGACTCCCTCCATGTCCTGGCAAAGCGTGATGAACGAGTCGCTCTGCAGCTGCTGACATACCCACGACTCGATCAGGTCGGATCGTTCGGCACTAGGGAGCGAGGCGTAGCTTGCCAAATCTTCGCGGGTGAAAGGGGGCGACTTTTCGTTCCTGCGGTTGGAATTGATATTCTCGCTGGCAGACGCTTCTGTGTCTGTAATGGTGATCGTGTTGTTCTCTATGGTGTATTGGCCTCCTCCTTTCTTCTGCGGAGAGATACTCGGCGACGGGAGAAGGGTTCTTGGGATTCCACCGCCCAATTCTCGCCCATTCTCGCTTACTTTCTCCCTCACCTTCTCATGGATCGCCTGTTGTAGGCTTGATTCCACAAGTGGTGTAACTATGTTTGGCGTCCTGGTTACAATATCTGCACCTACCGGACGAGCATGCTGCTGATTATCCCTCCCTTGGCCAAGGTTGTCTACCTTCTTGGGGCTGGGGCTACCCTGTGGAGATTGTTGAGCGGGCCTCTTCTTTGCTTTAGCGAATGGCAGTTCTCTCCTTGGAGGGAGGAACTGGCTGAGGGAATCGGTGGTGAGGAACGTTGGGGCGGTCGATGGCCTAGTCGTGTCTTGCGCCTGTATCCGTGCCTGTGCCTGCTGTGGCTGCTGGAAAGATGGCCGAGACGATACCAGGCTCGAACTTGGACGAGCATTAGGCAAGTTCGGAAGAGTAATTGATGATTCCTATTTGGGTATCGTTAGGTTAGTACGCTCACGTACGCTCTTATAGCACCAGATATAGATACTCACCATAGACGACGGGCGCGTTTCCGCAAAGGCAGATGACACAGGTCGAGTACCCGGCCCATCAGCGTAATAGCATGTAGATGTTATTACTGACTCTGGGGTCGGTGGGACATTCTGACAATCCGTACCTCCATAGCCAGAGCCCGGTGCGGTTGTTGTATAGGACGATGGCGGTATAGTTACTGGGGGTTCGGTAATTTGACATCTTGCTTCTTTCAACACAGCTATGACCTGGTAATAGTCTGCTGCTGACGCGAATTTGACTTGGAACCGACGTATCTATATACCATCAGAGTTAGCATGTCAGCCACAGCTAAAGCGATATCTCTCTATATACGCCATACCTGATTAACAGCCGATGGATAGCGAATTGCTAAACACGGACATTTCACAATAATAGCCACTGGAGCTTTCGCATCTCCCCCAGCGTTCGAAGACCCTTTCTGTGCGAGTAATCCTAGATCTACTTCTTCCTACACCTCATAACATCAGCTTTCAAACGCCGTCATTTCAAGCACTAAGAGGTATAGACTCACCAACACTTCACGTCCTTTCATCACATTCAAAAGTCTGCTCTCCCTCGTCCATTTTGAAGACTCATCCCGCACGCGAACAGTGGGGAAAGAAGCCAGCAAGTCCGAGCCACCTGAGAGGTATGTCCATGCTAATGGAGTAGCGCGGTCTGCTGAGGTGGTAGTATATGAGAACTTGAGGATCTGGAGAGTAAGTGTTCCCTGGGCGCTGTGTGGTTGTGGTGGTGCTGCTGATGCGATGTTGGCGTATGCCATCTTGTCTATATAGTGCCCACGGATGGCCGTAGACAGGTAAAGTCAAGCAAGAAGAAGAGAAATATCTCTAATTGAACTGGATTTCTCGTTTAGTCTATTGAACAGACTCAACGCTGTTGGTATATGTGCTGCTACGAGCGTCATGAAGTATGAAGTGGTTTCTATGAAGAGTTGTTTCTCCCCGCTTTCGTCCCAAAAGGGCCAAAGACCGAAACCTCATGGATATTCACATCACGAAGCAATTACTGATATTCCCAATACATACAAGGAGAAGGATGTCTCTACGAAGAGCCTTGGGTATGGATAGTACTCAAATGAAGATTTATCCGTATGCTTGTCGTTTCATGGCTTTGATCTGATGGGTATACTATGATATTACTACAGCTCAAGCTATAGTAACGAGAAAGATCTCATCGCTGGGACACAAATATCAGACAATACCTGATACATGAAACCAAATGCATCATAGGATATCTGCCCTCCTTGAAAGTGTTGGGCCCAGTCGCCCTCCCAAGCAGCAAAAGCTGCCTCGTATACTATGTCCGCGGATATTCAGCTTCATCGGCAACAAGTACCCACAAACTCTGACCGTCATACCTGAGACATGAGGTTGCCTTGCGACCGGAATATCCAGATAAAGGAAATCAAGTGAGAATTTCGGCAATTGCCACGATATGCGTGGTACGGTGTTCTATCCATGAAACACAACGCAAGCATAATGACGACGGCAGGGTTAAAATTGCTGGTTATCCTTAGACATGCCTTTCCTCGCTATTTCTATGTGTCATGTTCATCATGACGTGCTCTCGAGATAGCGAATTTAGCCAATGCAGATGTCATAGGCTTGACTACGCGTCGGCGAATGAGTTTAGAATCTTCGATGCGGGAATACTGAATGAACCTTGACAGGGGTATACTGGGCTCTCAACCTTAGCAAGGGAGTCTTCTTCCATCCCAAAGCCATGGGAGGGAAATAAGGTCATTCAGGGGCAAATCTGCACCGTCAGATCATGCACAGAACTTCATGAACCGAGTATGGAGGCGGAGAACGCCGACCATTTGCTCAAACCCCTAGAAGGCGAATTATGGATAAGCATAGCTCAAAATTTCTAGGCTAAGTGGAGAAGAACTCCCAGATATTTGTCTCTCTCCGTGTCTGTTTGCCTTATACACTCTTGCGTGTGGGTGGGTCATACAACTTCTGCCTTATGATAAGATATTTTCGGTCTTGAATTGATCATGCTCGATATGAGGCATTTAGGATGTTAGTCGTTGATGGGAATCACTTCTAGTTAGCAACATACATTGGCATCTGGAACACGAAGCACCTTGCTGTGCCGCACTATACAGACCGTGGGCTTTTGTGGGTAATCCAAAAGGTGCATCAGCCTTCTAATTGCTGGAGTTAGTCGCTTATATTCAACCAAGGCAGACTTGGATGCACCACACCGCCAGGGCTACCTGAGTATTAACATGGCGAGTAAGCCCTAGTTAATCATCTCACGGCCTAAGCCTAGAAAGCATGCACAATCGAGTCATTGTGCATGATATGATACAGAAGAATCCCCCCACCCCTTGCTGCGGCTCTGTGCATTGCACTACCTATGCATTCACATGGAAATTTATCCCTTGCAGGAGGAATGCAAGAGTCAAGTATGGCAATTAGAGCGGGAACCATTTTCAGCATAAGTTGCATTATACCAGATGCGGCCTGTGTATTTTATATCCTACCGCGCGTTTGGGGAGGAAATAAAGGGCCATCCACAGTGTAAACAAAAAAGGCCATCGCGAGGAGATCAACTCCGTCCCAGCGGTATGGTAGACTAACCATAATCCGGCAGTAATAGGGGGCGAAATCCAGTAGTGAATCATAACCAGAGCATTTTGAAGAATAAGCCCAAGTGGGCCGTTCTAAAGACGAGAGCAAGAAAGCTAAAGCCTGTCGTGTGATAGGTGTAGAGAGGTATGGACTGCTATCCGGTATCGGGCAATATCCAGTAATCTGGACGAATGTATGCAGCAATGCCTAGCTCGTAGGGCCAGAATCCTCTTAACCGGTGACCATAACTTAGATTAGTTCTTCCGGATTAGGAGCAGCCGCCCCAAGGCTTGTCCTCAACAAAGTGTGGCATTGGCGTCTCAAATCCTGCGGAAGATGAACCTAGATGACGACTGAGATGGAGAGATTGGGTCAGCCTTATCCGGGGTAGATTAACAGAGTCCCATGGTATTAATATCCTTAAAGTTAGGCTCTCGACACCGGTGTTTATTAAAAGAGGAATCCTAATAGGCCGAAGCTATCTAATGGGTGTGTGGGTAACTAACAGAAGCGATGTTGCTATTGTTGATGTGGTGAATCCTGATGGCATGGCGTTGGGGGTGTAGTTTGTTCATCTAAGCCGCCGTTTGGTGGAGTTTTTGGCTGCCCCGTGGATATTATTTTTCACATACGCAGTGAAACATGATATGTAATGCAGGCAGTTGAACGTGTACGTAAACACGCGTGCCGTACCGGAAGCCGCAACGCGCCATAGGCCATTGTCAGTGAACGCAGGACTCGAAGTGGAAACTTGATCAAGGTCGATAACAATGGCTAGCGGAATAAAAGGTTTTGGAGAAAAGGTGCCATGCCTATTCCGTTGCCAGTGGAGGAAGTTTGTTCCTCCTAGTGAAGTTCCTCATTGGGTCGCTTATCCGGGATCTTTTCACCTAGATGATGGCTTTGTTCCGTTTTTAGTATAGAGGCAGAAGGCCGGCGGAATGTTCTATAGCTTGGCTGTGTATAGGTTCATGCCTGATGAATGACTTGATATCAGACTAATAACAGGCTGCATTATTGAAGAGACGTCGTTCTTAGAACGTGCCAAGATATTGATCCAGGGTTCACTGCGGTCCCAACATCAACGGAAATGTAGTTAATGAGTTTGGCTCGGGTCAAAGTTGATATCTCGATAGAGACTAGGCGGCAGATCTTTGACGGGCCTCGTCAGCCGGCTTGCATTGATTGACATACCGGAATTTTTCTGTGCTCCTAACAACAGCCGCTGCTGTGCACCCGGTGGCGGAGTGTACAACAGTTCAAACGTGGAACATGAACGTGCACAGTGCGGTAGAGTGCGGTGTTAAAGAGTCGAATATGTTGATCGTAGCCTCTGAGTGAATCTTGGAGTGTATCCTAGTCATTCCTTGCATGGACTGTGCAACACTCGGAAGCTAGTAAGATCAGTCAGCCTTCAGTCGGCTCCATGCGACGTATTTGAAAGTGAACATTTCTAAATGATGTCGGCAGAGAGTTTGAGTCCTGGTGAACTATGTGCTTAGGCCTGCAAGGATTCGATCATTCGTCCCCTCAGTGGTGCCAAGGAACATATTCCGAACAGCCTGGTTATAATCTGCGCAAGGATTAAACCAAACATGTTGATCAAATAAATACGAGTGGGCTGTGAATATTCAATGTATGCGGTTGCTCTGCAATCCCACTGACTGGTTAGGTAAAAACGGTTTCATCGAACGAGGAGATGGGACCCATAACGTCTAAGGAGCGGTCACAAGAATAGAGTCAGATGCCACGGGTGAGAGCGCTAGAAGGGAGATTGGGCTAGGAAACGGGGCTCAGGCAGGATGAAACTTTCATTCCCTGTCCGGCTTTAGAACTTGGAGAGAAGGCTCAGTGCGCGAGGTGTCGTGATTAAGATTTTAGCGCAAATCACCCTTCCGTCGCCCAGGAACTATATGCTCTCGACAGCGTATCGGTTAATGTGTAGGCCGTATAAGCATAAGTATGGAGTAATGGTTAGCGCCAGCCTGGAGGCTGAGCTGGAGAGCAGCGAACATTCCTATTCGTTTGTCCTGGGAAAAGCAATATGCTCGTCACTTTGTTTGGAAGACTGAGGTTGAAGACACTGCTGATCTGAACAATGCCCCCCAAAGCGGCTATCGATTTGCATAACTCCTTGCGACCCTCAACCAGATGATGCAAAGCCTCCAACCTTTTTTAATAGCTCAAGGTTCTTGGAAGGTTCGAAAAGCCTCCACTCGAGGACCAGCAGACGAGTTGCGTATCGTAGTATCCATCGTCGGAACTAGGCGGGGGTAGCATGGGTTAGGAATGGTGGCTTGGAAAAATCCCCGATGACGTTCAGTAAGCAACGTATCGTCTGTGTATATACTTTTGTTCCGCATCAGTCTTGGACCAAGAACTGGACCAGCTACGGCCAAATGCGGAAATGCCATGGAAGCATTCTGGAAACCACGGCGTACAAAGACGTGCGTCTATCCAATGAGGACAGGACAACATCGCAAGGATGGGCTGGCAGGGGTAACCTTTTTTTCCGCTGGAGAACGAGTTCTGTGTGTTTTTTTTGAGGGGAAACCCAATGAAAGCGAAGGGAGATCCCTGGCCTTCGCCAAGAGATCCAGATTTGCTGTTGATTTCGCGGTTGATGTGGAGAGTGTTTTTTATTTTTTTGATAACGCGGACGGCCGAAGGATAGAGCAGCAACTGGGACGTAGGCCCCCATGTCCCATGCTGTCCCATGTTGCGGATGTACGTCGACCCAGGTCAGGACCTGGGAGAGGCCATTGGAAGAGCCATGTAATGCTGTTGCTGACTTGTCCAATTATCCATGAATGTCATCCTGCCGGGCTTTCGATTTGGGCGAGCGATTGCCTGTAGAACTAGGCCGTAGCATCCAGAGTCGCATCAGACGGCATCCAGGCAGCGGCAGCAGCAGCGGAGAAGGGGGGTGCTGCTTCTCATCCTCGCCCTCATCCTCGTCCTCGTCCTCGCCCTCGCCCTCCGCCGTCCGCTGGGTTCTGTTGGAGGCCCCATACCTAGAACAAACCTAATAGCGGTCCAGGATAGAGCGTTCTGCACGCAGAAACGGAAAACTTAGCACGGTAACAGACTTCAGACCAGATTCTTTGTCCGCGCCCGCAAGACCAGAGCGCCAGACGGTGGCCCGCGCTAGGAATAAGGTGTGTACCTGGCTCGTGGAATCGTCACAAAGATATCTCGAGGTGCGGGTGGAGGTTGGAGGTTTTGTTTTGCTGGGCTTTGGCCCCTCTACGGTTGCTGGGATCGACCAACCCGGCAAACAGCAAACTGACCGCCGACCTCACCCCAAACGAACGACGCACCACGACCGCCACGACCGCGCCGGCGACAGCTATATACACCTCTCTGCAGCCCCGACGTCTCTGGTACTTTCGATGTTTCTGTCTATCTCCCCGGCCGCCTCCATTCTTCTGTACCGACGGTCCTCCCGGCCTCCTCTCTAGCCTCGACCCGGAGTCATCTGTCCTGCCTCCCGTCCCTTATACTGCCTCTCCTGCTGCCCACGAACCCCCCAGAGATATGACCTACTACTGTCGGATATCGTGATCATTGTCGTCGTCGTCGCCGTCGTCGTCATCATTGCCGTTGCCGCTGCCGTCGTTGACATCAACGTCGTTGCCGTGTCGTCGTCGTCGTCGTCGGATCAGCCGCTCCATATATCATCACCGTACACCGTCTACTTCAGCCCAGCTCTCAGCTCCTTCAGCATCCTCAATATCTCCATTCTGCAAACCTGCGGGTAATCTGGTGGCTATGTTGATTGACGGCGAGAAATGGGCGTGCGATGCATGTATCCGAGGACATCGTGTCAGCACTTGTAACCACTCGGGTAAGTCAAGCGCATCGGCACCAGACTGAAAAGCAGCAGATATTGACATTTTCTCCCTTCCTTCTCCCACGCAGATCGCCCCCTAAGCCATATTAACAAGAAGGGGCGGCCTGTGTCTCAATGTCCACACTGTCGTGGGTTACGAAAGGCCCGGACGACTCACGCCAAGTGCGAGTGCGGCGAGAAACCACATAGCAAGTCTGAGTGTCCCCTGAATGGGGCTCCTGATGGCCAGAGTAAGTGACCAATAATTCCCCGTCTGCTTTCTATCAAGTCTGATTTGATTTATAGAAACAGCTGGGGCCCGAAAGCACTGCTGCTGCGGGCACGGAGGTCGCTGTACCTGTGCAACGAAGCGGGATTCGAGTCTCGAAACCGTTCCAGAAACTGGACCTGTTGCGACCAGAAGGTCCACGGTGTCTGGTAGCATGAAACGACCACACATCTCAACTGCCAAGAAGCAGAAAGATGCCAGCAAACGAGCTCATCCATACCCCCTCCCTCGCTCCCGAACGATACATGGAACCTCCGACCTGGCCCATCTCTCGATGGAGCATCTCGGTGAAGGGTACTCCTCGCAGGGTGTCCCATCATACCAGGACCTCGTCACCAGTGCTCCCCGCCCCGTGCGGAGGGTGAAATCTGAACACGGCTCCCCGGTCACAGAGATAGCCGACATGAAGTCGCAGCTCTCTCTGGACATCCCCTATCAGCATTTTCCTGATCAAGCCGGCATCGTCATGCCCATCGTGGATTACTCGCAACAATCACCTGGTCTATACTATCCCTCCGATATCGAATTTGGCTTCGAGGCGGCGATCTCAAACGGACCATCCATCGACTGGTCCACTTTTGATCTACCCTACGGATCGGACGCATACACTGCTACATACAGCCAACCAGCATCCTATGCAAGCTATGACTACAACACCTTTGGCCATTCTGGTCTGGCTCGCTCATCGTCTGGGGATACCTCTGACGCCGATGATCTGCTGCCCATTGTCGGCACCGGCTCTGAGGCTGGCATGTACCATCTAGGGAGCACCCCACCTTCCCACCTAGATCTGCCCGCGCAATTCCCCATATCGCAAACATACGAACCTGCGGTGGAATCTGTCCTTCACGCAAGCGAAAACGTCAATGCCGCCCAGCCTGCTGCTCCTGCACCTGACGCCCCGCTTCCAGCCGAGCTAGGTCACTATCACCAGACTCCGGGCTATCCTGCAAGCGCAAATCACAACTTCGTCGACGCCAACAACGCCACCATAATGATGTCGCCTAGCACCTATACCTCGGCCGGGACGAACGAGCCCCTTTGGGTCTCGACCTCGTTCCCTACCATGATGTCTCCCATACCTATCTCCGAACGACAGGCGCTGACCCCCGATATGTGGACCCACTGAACACTCTATCTCCAACCTGCCCTTTGACGCATCATGCTATACATGAACTACCCCTATGACTACCGAAGCGATAGAACGATATAATGAACATAGATGTTTTCATTCCGGATTCCTGCCCCCCCGCCCCCAGCCCCCTTCCCCGTCGTATACAACTGGCACACTCCAGCAATATACACATACACAGCACACAATACACACACTGCCTTGCCATCTATCTACCCAGCGGTACCTGCCATACTTTCCTGTTTTTGGTTTACGTGATGGCCTTTTACTTATATAGAACCGGTGGTGCTCTGTAGCGTTATAGAGTGTTAGAATATAGAGCAATCGTAAATATTCCTTCCTCTTCCTCTTCTTCTCGTCTTCTTTTTCTTCTTCTCTTTCTTTTCTTCCCTCCCTCTTCTTCTCTTCTTTCCTCTTGCCTTCGCTTAGTCAGAATGATTAATCACATATTAGTCAGGCTATATATTAGTCACATCTTAGTAATCTAGCTTAGTAACATCAGGTGACGTCCCAAAAAGGCAACTTCCACGGCGTCTTAATTTTTCCGCCAGAGAAAAAAGGTCGCTCGCTTTTTCGCCCTTGAACACGCCGCATAAAACAATACCCGTCCTCCGCGTCGAGCAGCTATCTAGATAATGCGATCGGTCTGAGCAGACAGAAGACGTCGGCAGCTTTTGAATCAGCGCCGTTGCTAAGGGTTGGTTACTTTTTCCCTGTACTTCTGCTTTTCTCCGCTGTTTTTCTTCGCGTCTGGCGACCGCATCGTCGTTCAATTGCACGCCTTCATAGAATGCGACTTCTGGAGCTGTCCTGGTAGACGCGCCGGAGGTCTGCAGTGCCTTAACCCGTCTATATCTACATACCCTGTGCTGTTTGCCTGGGACCCTGTTGACAAGAGCGATGGCTGACCGTGTTCCAGGCGAGATTTATCATAACAAACCCGCCACCTTTGAGGAAGACGCAGGTTTCGCGCATCGCATTATACAAAACAAACACAAAAAATAAATAAATACCTCGACCTCGATCTTGAACGAAATTTAATGTTGAACCTGCCATAATGAATTCTCGAGAACATTCAGAAATCCCGCCTGCCCCGTCGTATCCGTCTCCCAACGCCGCGCAAATCGCACAAGGTACCGTGTCTTACTACGCCAACCAGCGTCATCTGACTGCCGATGAGCTTCACCTGTCCGCCGAGCTGTCTCGTGAGGTAGCCGGTGCGAATGTGAACGATGGCAGTGCTGCTTCAGTCGCCGCTGCAGCTACTGCTGCGGCCGCTGCGGCCAATGGACTACCCCATACTCAGGGAATGGTGCTGGGATCTTCGGGTCCAAACGCAGACGTGAACCGTACGGTACCCGTGGATCAACAGCAGGTTCAACAGCAGCAACGACAGCAGCAGCAGGATCACCAAGTGCAGCAGACGTCGCAGGGACAGCAGCATATGCTTCAGTTCTCATCTACTCAACAAACCGGGGTTGATCCGAATCATGATTTGAGCTATGGAGACCAGAGCGCGCGTCGGAAGCGCTCGAAAGTGTCTCGCGCATGTGATGAATGTCGGCGAAAGAAGGTAGGTGTTATGGATGCTTGTCCCTACGCGACTTTCTGTTTGTTAATCATTGATAATAGGTTCGATGTGATGCCACATCCGAAGCCGGAGTCGAGACATGTTCGAACTGTCGTCGTACCGGTGCAACTTGCGAGTTTAGTCGCGTTCCCATGAAGCGAGGCCCGAGTAAAGGGTAAGTGGTCCTAGACCTTCGACCAAAATGGCTTTGTTGTCTAATTCGTGAGTATAGATATATCAAGGAGTTGGCGGACCGTATCAACAGTCTTGAAACTCAAATGCAACCACCACTGCAGCCAGGCGAGATGCACTACCAGCAGATAAATGAGGATGGCTCAGCAGCCCGGGGCTATCAAGATTTCTCTCCATCTATGGATAACCAGGGTCTCACTCGAAAGAGGACCTTGTCAATGTCCGAAGGCCTCCCTAACGCATTCATGCAACAGCCCTTCATCCAAGGCGCTCGTCCAACCTCAGTAGGAGGGTGGCCTGTGCAAGCACCAACGAAGGATGCTACCCATGCTGCCGACCTTGCTGCTTTAGAAGAATATCCTAGTCCCTCAGTCCAAAATGGAGGTACCAAGGTGATGCAGCCATTTTGGACCCAGGAAGTGCCGGACGCTGCACGGCAACCGGCGATCAATCTAGAAACTTTGGAGACACTTCCACCTTCCGTGGAAGTAGACGAGCAAGTTCTCAACGCGTACGTATTATATTTCCCCCCCTTGAAAGTAATTAATCCAACGATTTAACATTTTATATTAGCTACTACCAACATATCCACCCTGTCTTCCCGATTCTACCAGGCTCTCGAGATCTTCTTGCCCAGTATCTCAAATCAGCTAGTCGCCAAATTCAAGAATCATTCGTACACTCACTATTTGCAGTCACCGGCGCCAACCTATCAAGAGCCGAAAACGTGCTGCAAGAAATTCCCACCTTCCAGCGAGCGCAGGATTATCTAACGGAAACGCTCCGTGAGGATCCACGCACACGATCCCAGGCAGTCAACTTTGTGCTTCTTTTCACCTTCACCTTATTGATTATTGATGCTGATTCTAAAGGACCAGAGAACCTACAGGGTCAGAATGGTATTGGCAAGACAGTTCTTACTGATGCCGCGTTTACTATTGCACACCACCTTGCAAGGTCATATGAACAGATTGACAGCTGTAACATGAATGATAAAGATGTTGATTCTGATGGTAACCTAGCAAGAAAGAATTGGACTGTCTTGATGGTTTTGTCGCGCTGGCATACCCTGAGTGTGGCTGGTCGGGATGTCTTTGGTGTTAGTGAGGCTGCCATGCCTGAGGATCGTGGTATCCTCAGCTTTGCGTCTCTACAGCTTGCGCGTATGTGCCCATTCTCTTTAAGATTACTTTCTTTGATAACTAACTGTCATTTCACAGGCTACTCCACATCTGTCTCAGAGATTAATGAGGTGTTTTTTGACAGCTCTGTTCACCCTTCATTTGGACGGATGAATAGCCATTCTATCCGCCGCCTCTTCTATGGCCAACTCAAACGCCTTAAGGATCTTGAGTCATGGCACGAATCTACCGAAGATGATGAAATGAGCACACTCTACACTGAATCCATTTGCCCACTCCTCTTCTGGTCCCTCACTCTCCTCCTGAAGAGACAACTCTACACCTCCGTTCCTGCCGAGGTGCTGTACCCGGCCGAAGTCATCCTAGAACTCCTCCAGCAACACTCTGACTCCTCGAAATTCATTGCATCCCCATTCCACCACCACGCCCTAGCACTTGCCATCATGACACTGTTAGAGATAACCGATCTCCCTGAACTAGCAACAGACGCATGGATCTCCTTGGACAAAGCGCTGCAAATTCTCACTCAGCGCGAGAAACATGCCTCGGCAGCAGGCGAATTTGGGAACATTTTTGCAAATAGGTCGTGGGGAGATTGTTTCCGTGCAATGATTGAAGTGAAGGTTGCCACCTTCCGGTCAACACAACAGGGTAGTGGCCCATCCGGCCTAGTTGGGCCAAATGAGCAGCGTTCTTTAGAACATCTAGCTGACCTAGCTGTCGGAGCTGGAGGTGCAGCTGCTGCTGCGGGAGAAACCCAGGCAGCGCGTACTGGAGCTGCAGCCGCCGAGGATGCAGCAAGCAGCAGTCAGGCAAATGCCGGTGCTGATGCAGGTGCTGGCCAGAAAGATAGGTCAGATATACGTGTCTACGTGGATTTTACGCAGTTGACTAAGAGGGGGTACCTCAATGTCTTTGCTGGGTTGTAATCGACCTTCCTCCAGTTTCCATACTTTGTGTCACTACGAAGTACGAAGGACCAAGCAGTTCCATACTTATTTCTTCTATATATCCTTCGTCCTACCATCTCTCTCTCTCTTTCTGTTTTGTTTTGTTCTGTGCTAATGCCTCGTCTGGATGGGAGTCGGGCTAGGTTGAATTGCAATATCTGACTGAGGCGTAAAATGGGTTCTTGGTATATCGTTATCCATTGTCACTGCTGTATCTTCCGTTATTTCATCTTTTCTCCCCTTAATACGTCCCTCATGCTCTTGTTCAGTATCAGTGTGTAAATTATAAGCCAATTCATTGATTTTATCATGGTGGATGTTTGTGGGAGAGATGTCTGCGCCATTAGTGAATAGGGAACTGAGGGATCGAAAGTAAAAAAGTATTATTATTCTGGTTACTGTCATTATGAGCTAATATATAGATTGGTAAATGCCCTCACACCTGGATCAGGCGATTTTACCAGCTCGTTTGAAATAAATAACAAAGACATCCCCGATCTACCTCCGAATCCGACTTCCATTGGCGAGCATCTAAAGGTGGTCATACGCCCATTAGTAAAAAAAAGGACTGCTACCCTGAATCATCACTTGACGACGCGACGGCCACAGGTTGTACCCGTTTAACCCACAGCCCTTGTCCGTCGTCCTGCCAGTTCGCTTTTAGTACTGCACGCAGAGTTCTGAACATATTATTCCTGAGCGGTGACAGGTTATAATCTAGGGTCCGGAATTCGACAAGGCGCCCCTGCACACCGAGGTACCGCACCGAATGTGGAATCAGTGAATAGCTCGTATGTAGTTCCATCCAAGGGTCGTTGGGGTCCATGGTAGTTGTCTTCTGTTCGTTTTCAAATATATCGTTACCAGGCGGGGGAGCAAGTTGGAAGCTCAGGTGGCGGAGGTTAGTCATGTTGCGGATTACTTTTAGCACGAGGTTGGTATGGTTGTAGAAAGGAAAGACGGCAGCGTAGTGGAATGAGGTTAGGCGGGAGATTGCAGATACCGGATATGGAAGTTCGACGGCCTGTAAAGGGTCAACGGAACCCCAGTGGTTCATGATCGAGGGGACACGGAGGAGGTAGTATTCATAGTTGCTATATGCCCGGAGGGATGAGCCTTCGTTGAATAGCAGCTCAGTCCATGGCTTTGAGCTGAGAAACGTGTCATCTCCTTCTGGTCTCTCAAAAGCTGATTCCAGAGACAGCTGTTGGCGAAACTGCATCGTCTGCAGCGGCATATCAAAAGCCCATGTGTGAGTATCTTCCAGGCCACACTGGGCCATATCCGCAATCATAAATGGCGGCGCAACAACCGTGACAACCTCCGGGTTCAAATGCTCAAATAGGGTATTCCACCATAGCTTCTTCTCACTCCCGGGGAATATCGTTCTCACGGACACTGTGACGCTCTTGACATGCTCCGCGAGGCCATGGCGTTTGATAAAGTCCAGGAACCGGTCCTGGTCGCGCAGTTCGTACCGACAGAAACTGAACAGATATTCACGAGAAAACTCTTGAAACCGACGGCATACCCGAGACACATTCTTGAGATCGGTCGTTTTGGAGGAAGTTATGGCGTGGCTGGGTATGTTCCGCAGAGTGCGCTCGTCTGATGTCGGCGGCGGAGTTGCGCCTATAAAGGAGAGAATGAGGTCCAGGAGCTCGTTAGGGAGGCAGTGGATGTCCGCCATTGTACTGGTAATGCGATCGCAAGTGTTCTGGTCAGAGATAAATGGGCGTTGAGAGCTATCAAGCTGCTATTTATGCCCAATGTCGCCCGTCTCTTGACCTCGACATGACCCTATCCCAGCGCCATCGCAGATAGAAGTGAAACAGCGAGCCTCGGGGCTCCAGGCAGAATGGTTTCTCGAGATATCCTTTGTCGCCCTCTCTTGCGATCTTTTCTCTCTGCGCTTCTCGTGCTGTATTCCAAAAATAGGATGTCTCTGCTGTAAACACGCTAGAATGCAGAGATGAAGCTCTTTCTCTTGGCTGACGTGAGGCTGAAATATTTACTTCAGGCACAAACATGGACAGCATGGACAACATGAACAACAAGAGAAAAGAAAAGAACGGCCCGATATCTACATCTATGTCTGGGTTACTAGTGCTTATTCTTCGCTTTCCACTCGTCTACCAAGCCCTGATAATCCCTGGCCTTATACACCGTGAAATGTTCGGCGAAGCGGCCCTTCTTGCGGAACACCTTCACGCCCAGGTCTCGCAGCATCATGTCTATGTACGGGATGGACTCGAAGACGAAATCGGGATTCCTCATACGCATACCGTCGCGGTATCGCCATATGCTGAACTGCGTGTGAAGCGCTACCTCCCAGTCTGTCTCGTCTTCGCCGTCTGTCGGTTTGGGATCGACTGGCCGCTGGACGATGGGACGTATCTCGAGCTCGCCTGAGAAGTACGCCGTGGCCCAGAGAGCTTGAACTGCAGCCGTGGGCGTGGTGTCGATGTTGCCAACCATGCCCAGGAAGACGATCGATCGATCTTTCAGTTTAGGAGGGGCTATGAATCGAACCAGTCGGAAGGGATGCGGGCTGAGTGTCTCAGAGTCGGAAGCGAAGTGCTTGAATCCCTTGTCGACGTCAGAAGCGCCCTTCAACTGCGGGAACTGTCTCAGAATATGCTCGTCGGCTGCCTCGAGCAGTGACTTGTCCAGCGGCTCGCGGCCCCAGGGAACTCCAAGCTGCTCGTCGATCCCCTTAGGCAGAAACGATATGCCAGATCGAACTTGCCAGCCCGTTCCGCAGACCAGGGCATCAGCCTCTATGGAAATGCCATTAGAGAGGTGTACCGTCCGTTCGGACAGGGAGGTGATATCCGCAATGTGTACTCTAATCTGCCCGTTCTTGACCAGGTCAAAAAAGTTACTGGGATAATTTAAGATGCTGATTGTCGTGTTAACCCAGAACGGGTCAATCCACGGCCTCAGTTTCTTCATTTCCTGATGTTTGGAATACCCAATAGCTGTCTGCACGTCGCGCTTTACAATGCCCCAGAAGCCCTTGACGAACTGCCGGCCAAGCCAGGTCTCATGCAGGAATTTGAGAGGCCCTGACGTAGCCCAAATACACGGGCTCATCCACGTCGCACATCTCGTCAGAAGTATATGCTCTAAATAAATTTTGAGCGGCGTGATGGTGGGGAATGTCATCCAGGCAGGGCCCCGGCCACATTTTCGGATGACAAGGTTGACGGTGGCCCCGGACGTTGCGCAGGAGTAAGCCATGTCCCAAGCGGCCTTTCCTCCCCCATAAACAACCACCGACTTGTCAGGGTGCAGAACAGCATCTTCGTATTTCACCATGTTTCGGGAATGGAACACGGGGGCTCCGAATGAGTCTTGACCCTTGAACCTGGGTAAATGTGCCTGTGAAGTGAGTCCGGTTGCAATCATAAGCTTCCGTGTGAGGATGACCGATAGGGCTCCAACCGTTGCCTCCATTCCGTCACTGTTCGAGTCAACGGTAAGTAGCCATGAAGAAGGGTCTTCCTTATGCTCGGCACAAACAACCCTCGATCTAAGGCGTATCTTGTCTGTCAAAGAGAAATGCTTCGCATATGCGTTCAGATACGCATGCACAGTCTCGCCAGGAATATTTTTTCCGTACTCTGCTCCGAATGCCTTTGCGTCCATGGGGAAGTCGTAAAACTCATACGAGCCGAAGACATTGTTGGTGTTCAAGTTCTTGTAGAGGCGATGCTTTGCCCAGACTCCTCCAATAGACGATTCTGCATCCAGAATCACAACGTTGGCTGAAGGGTTGATTTCTAGGTATGTCTTCGCAGCACATAGACCATACGATCCTATAACCAACGGTCAGTTCTATTTGGCGTTATTTGATACTATCAACTTCCATCGACTTACCGGCGCCAACAACAACTAGATCGACTTCTTCCATTATGGCAATGCGTATTCCTGAGGTAAGTTTGATATTGAATATACAACTAGCGGATACATAACCACAAAACTTTCAATTCTCCTCTAGGAAATCAATTAAGTAAATATACGGAGTACTAGGATATCAATTATACCCCTCAATGCAACCTTTGCCGCTTTCATTTGGTTTCTTTTTCCATGTATGAACTGTTGATCCCTGCGCGAGTGCATACGGCCCGCCGATTCCCGCCAAATCTCACCAATGGGACAGCGAAGAAGGTATACGAGAGATCATGCTGATCGACTTCAATTTCCGACCTTGAATAGCGGGGGCCTAGGTGCATGATAATAGGTTTTACATTGTGTAGCATTCCAGCTCTGTGGCTCACAAACTCCTATGAGGATGAAAAATAGAGAAAGGCGGCTATATCTATTGTCTCTCTGAATGGAACATCGCTCGTTTCATCGGGATATTCATTGTCGAACAATAGTGTTGTGGGCTGGCTGGGGTATCGCACCAGGGGTAAATATCCGATGGCGAGGGCCAGCATCGTTGAAACGAGGCGTCGAGACTGGCCGCCCGGAATTCGGCATCTTTCCTAATCTCAGCTACACATTTCAAACAGATCTAGCGTTGCATATAAAATTGCTGGTTCGACCAGGTAGTACCTGGTTGCAAGGGGAGATTCTGTTCTCTTTTCTTTTTTATCAAGTCGCGCGAAAATGTTTCTGAATTCACTTTAAGACTTGGGACAACGAGGAAGCTGGTCTTCCTGAGTGGCCTTTGGAGCACCACTGATACCTATAAGCGATTTGAATGGTAGATATAAGTCAAGGTGTATTTTGATTGAAGGCGATCAGTTCTTTGGTTTAGAACAAAGAGCTCCAAGGCGCTGCGTACACCGCTCCCTTGCCGAGATCCCTACCAAAACCCCTTGAGCTTTCTAATGCGCTCTACTTTCCGGGCCTTGGTCTATCTTGACCTTGTCCCTAGGAAACGGCATAAAACCCAGGGCCTTGAGGACTTTTGTAGGGAGCCTTGAATACCATGGATTTAAGGATAATTGCCGACACCAAAGTGTTGGGTTTTTACCCCTACCAACATGATCCGAATTGGGATGGACAGAGTACAGCAGTACGGAATGTACTTGCTCATATTATTGTTCTACCCCCTGCGATGCTACGGAGCATAGCATCGAGCGAGAGAAATAATATTGAATTGTTCGTCACGGCCCTGGAAACGAACAACTCAGATGTCTGATAGTCGGTGATTATGAAGATAGGTTGGCCCAAATCTCTTGTTAATCTTGGGTATGGCTGCTGAAACTAGCATCATGTCGATAGGTCACTATCGCGACACTGGCTCGCTCAATGCATCCTTCAATCCGTCATAGACTTGGGTTGGCCAAGCATTCGTGCGCTGTTTGGCAAGGGGCAAGTAGCAGCACTGCATAAATAGGCTATGTCGCCCTTCTCGAGAAGTACAGTTGATGCCAGCTTGTTCGAGACAGGGGCCAGTGTCAGGAGCAACTGATCCACCAACAGTAACAATAATAAACTGAGGTTGATCCATACCCAGACTCCCGGGTATTTATTTGGTTTCACTAAAATGTTATGCTTAGTTTTAGAGTCGGATGAATCGTCCTTGTCCGATCTTGGAGTAACAGAGAGGTTCGAGGTTGAAAAGTAGTAGACTTTGAAGTGAGCCCGAGCTTTCTGGTGGATCCTTATCAAGATTTTATTTCTCGGGATTTATATTTACCTAGGTATGTATATAACTCGCTGGCCTTGTAAGTGACCCTGGAAGAAGCGACACCTACAAAGGCCTTTATAGCTGTAATTAGTATTCTACCCTTAAGGTCAATAGGCTATACAGGTTTATTGTTAAAGCAAAGACTATCTGGTATAAAATAAACTTTCTAGATAGAGTTAGAATTCTATATTTATAAATCCTCTAAATTATCTGGACTTCAATTCGTATGTTATCGACAAAAATATAGGCAGAGTCATATAGATCCCTTGCGCGCTGGAGGACGAGCGTCTACCAGTTCGGAACTGTTTCGATTTTGCATCTGACCAAATGGAGAGTCATCATCGAGTGATGCTCAATGACCTACTTCATAGTCCTGAAAGCCAAGTTAATCCTAAATAGTCTTCAGTTTAAGTGAGGTCGCTATGGGCACATTTCCGATCAAGAAGGAGGAGACAGAGAAGGCAAGGACCGCGTGGGACATTTGGCGATGTCGTTTATTCCTGGGGATATGCCCACCATGCTGAATATGGCGGCCTTTCAAGACTGAGGCCGAGCTCAATGAATGGATGGACAGCCAGGTGAGAAACGGGCAAAGGGTTATCAAGCGTCCTCGGTATACTCGACAGACTTACTAGCTGATAAAGAAATACAGTACCTGTAAAGTTGAAGTCTGAGCTGGTATAGATTCCTTTGGCAGGGACTCTGTATTGTTGGTGCTGTCGCGCATCTGAAACCGGCAGGCCTCCGTCTGGCGCATGCAAGGCATCCCTGCCGTTCCTGTCCCTTGCATCTCGACCCTGCCATCCTGTCCCTTATCCCTTACCATCCTATCCCTTGCTGTGTCTTCTGTGTGTCTGCAAGGTTGACTTATGTTTTGCCTGTTTTTCCCCTTGAACCAACGAAAAGCGACGTCTCTGCTTAGTCATCCGCTTAGTCATATATCTCGGGGAGGTCGCTTCCCTTTCTGGCCTAGCGTGTTATCAAACTAACCACGTGACCCCCCTTTGGAAACGCGAAACTTCGAACGGCGCAAAACGATTCAGGGGCAAAAGGGAGGATGCAAGGACGAGATAGAGAGCGAACAGCGCAGCGAGCAGTGCTGGAATTTCTTTTTCAACGACGCCGTGACACGTCCGATAGTTCCTCTCGCCAGCCTTGCGGGGTGCCGTTGGGACTCGCACGTCCACGCACCAGGCCCTGAGCAGAGGAGGCTCGCTCGCAACCCCCGTCGCCGTGCCCGCTCGGAAACAGAGCCCAGCGCCTGTCGCCTGCGCCTATCGTGCTGATATACTTTCCATCCACCTCCTTTAGCCTCTACAGAAACACTCCCTGTGCGCGGCAATTGACTCCTTATTTCCTGCCGTTTCAGGTTGTTTCTTCAGATCGTCTTCCTCCTCAGTCGACGTAACCGGTTTCAGGACGAGGACCAGAGATAGACGACCTACACGTCCGCGGCTGATTGATAAATAGCATCGGATACCTGCATCGCTGCCTGCCTACCGCATACCAATACAATACATACCGTCGTTGCGCCAGCACCATCATCACACGCTCACGCTCACGCTCACGCTCACGCTCACCATGGGAGGCCAAGTCTCAAAGCTCATGGGGAAGATCTTCGGATCAAAGGAGATGCGGCTGCTCATGCTCGGGCTAGACGCTGCTGGGAAGACCAGTACGCTTTGCCTAACCCCCCACATCGACTCGTTGACCGTTGCTGACGATACCTAGCCATCCTCTATAAGCTCAAGCTCAACCAGGACGTCACTACCATTCCAACGGTCGGATTCAACGTCGAGACGGTGACGTACAAGAACGTCAAGTTCAACGTATGGGATGTCGGTGGCCAGGACAAGATCAGGCCATTGTGGAGGCATTATTTCTCAGGTACAGCATATAGCAGATTTTTCTTTCTTTTTTTTTCCAGTGTGGACAGTTCGCTGACCGATCCTTGCTCTACAGGCACCCAAGGACTTATTTTTGTCATTGACTCAAACGACCGCGCCCGTATCGACGAAGCTAGACAGGAACTCCACAGAATCATCCTCGACCGCGAAATGAAAGAGGCTCTCCTATTAGTGTTTGCCAATAAACAGGATATCCCCGGAGGTAAGGCACACGAGCTTTCCCCTGGCCTTTCGTCTTTTCCGTTACGTGATATAGAATGCTAACCTCTCATCCAATATAGCCATGAGCCCACAAGAAGTCACCGAGAAACTGCAGCTCTCCCAGCTCAAGGACAGGATATGGTACGTCGTACCGACCTGTGCCACTACAGGAGAAGGCTTATTTGAAGGATTGGTGAGTTCTTCCACATCTTTCCCTTGTATCGAGAGCTCGCAAGTCTAACCAACACCCGCAGGACCACCTAAAATTACTAAATAAATAAAGTAACGAGACATAATGCCACGCCCGGAGGGAGAGGATCGACGCTTAACCACATAATCAGCTCCGTTCTTCTCAACTGGTTTTTTTTTTTTTGCTTCTCTCATTTTCTTACGCGTACTTGTACCAACAGTACCCAATAATATACCTTTTTGTTTGTTTAATAATTGGACAATATATTTCTTTGAATTCTTCAGTTTATACCGTCGTAGAAGAAACCGACGCGCATTGCCAAGATAGTAAATGGGAAGTAGGTAAATATCAACAGATCGCCCAAGGTATCGTTATCAAAACAGAAGAATAGATAGTACATATGCGACCAACTAGCAACTGGCAGCTGGGTCAGGGTATAGATGGCGCAAATGGTCATATAAAATACACAAAATTGTAGTATATGTCCAACGAATGAGATTATGTCTAGGAAATTGATTGATTAGTTTGCCTTACGAGTCGTGTGTCCCATCCATTGACCGAGGTAGGGAGCCAACGGCCACCGATGAACCAGCTGCTGAAGCATTTGGCTCACTGGATGGCTCACTGGGTCGATCCCAGGTCCGAATATGTCCTGAATCCCAGATACATTAGCATAAAGTTCTCGTCTTAATATAAGCCTCTCCTTCACGCGTGGGAGATGAACTTACCCTCGAGAGACGACGTCATGATCGAATCTTCCAAAAAGCCAAGCCAACAGATAGGATCAGACCCAATTTCTTTAGACATGATCGGGGGCAGTTGTGCAGTTCTCGCCCGCTGCTCGACCGGGTGAATGATAGATGTCTGATCTTTCTCATCACCCGTCTTCTCTGGCCGAAGGGAATCAGAGCGTATATGTCGTGTGGTCAGGCTGTCTGCATGCGGCCGGGTGGGAGAGTGTAGACTGTTACGATGGCGTGCTGTCACTTGGATCTGTGATTTAATAGTTAGTTTATCCGTGAAATAGTCATTTCAATAAGCCAGGGTATATTCCTACCACTTTAGGTCGATGTAGCATAGCTACGCTGAAATCCCATAGAAGCAGTCGGCAATCATCACCTACACTACCAAACCGGTACGTTCGATCGTCGCATCGCCATGGATCGAATTCGACACACGACACCCAGGAGTTGTGACCTGGACATCGTGCAACAATCTTACGTTCGGGAAAGGACCAGATCGATACCAGATCGTCCTGGCCGCCTGTTAAGATATATTTTCCGTCTGGTGACCAGCACACACATATCATGCCACCATAGTAGCTTGTGTATAAGTCGAGCAACCTAAATGGACCGGTAAACATCTGCCTTCAAGAGATAGATAGAAAGGATCCCTACTTTTCTTGGAGATAATCAATTATCCGTAAAGTGCCGTCTTCCAAAACGACAGCCAAATGTCGACAATCAGGGGAAAATGCAAAATTGTTGATCTTCAGGTTGGATAGCTTCCAAACCGCCACAGGGTTGGTTCGTTGGTTTCTCGAGTTGACTGACTTCAAAATCTTGAATAGGGATGAATAACCGCTTTCATTGCCCTGTTCGTTGAGTGAGGGTATATTATTCTCTGGGTCTTCTGGTGTAAACGGTGCATCATCCTTCTCCTTGTCATATACCACCAAACATCCATCGGAATGTGCGGCAAGGAATAAGTTCTCCGATCCTGGAATCCATTTAATGTGATTTACGGGGGAATTCCTTATCGCTCCATTCTTGTTTATCCTAGAGTATTTCTGCGAGAGCGGCTCGTACCATAGGATGTCACCCGCTGAAGAGCCCATAATCAGGTCGATATGACTTATGCTTTTAGTTACCGGGTTCACATCGTGACTGAGAATATGCGCCTTGGTGAAAAGGATCTTTGCCAGAAAGTCCTGTTTTGACGGAAGAGAATAGTCCAACCACTGGAAAGAGCGGTTAAGGTTGGCGAACACAAAGGGACTTTCATGGCTCCGTTCGGATACCTTCTTTAGCATAGAATCTTGAAGGATAACTCGAGAGATGAAGGAAGAACCGCTTTTTAGAATGTTGTTTTTCGGTTTTCGGCGCTTCGATCCCGATGTGTCCCTTCCGCCATTACTGGCTAATGGGAGGCTGCCTTCACCAAACGGCGGCGCTTGTGAAGCGATTCCGTTCGCATGCGGTTCAGTAGATGGGCGGCCACCACTATCACTCTCATCAACGCTCCGTAGGTCTGATGTCACGCTCGATCGAGTGTTTGTTTTATATAGCTGAGCTCCACTCCGGCGCGACTTTAACGTTACAAGGGAAAGCTTCATGCCCACGGTTGGAGGAGTCGGCCCAGTTGCTAGAGGGTTTGGGTTTATCACCGGTGGTTCCGAAGGGTGTGGAGGCGGTGTAGCAAGGTGAACATCGTCTCTGAGCTCGTACGTCCCTAGCATCACTTGGTATTAGCCCGGTTCAATTCTGCATATAGCAAGTCCGGAGTCGCAGTAAAGCGTACCTTCACCGACTTGCAAAGGACAGCCCCCTTCCGGATGTTTTATAACATTGATCACCTCAATTATCGGGACCGGGAGGCCATTCGAGGTACCGGCAGCGTACGCAACGGGATTTACATAGCGAGGCGCAGGAGGAGGGAGGAAGCTATGAGCGGTCAGCTCGACTGTTTGGTAACTATAAACCTGTAGCTACTGCATCGCTGTAGCCCACAACAAACAAGTTCAGTAAGGCGTCAACCAATAGCTGGCAGGAGATATGCCAAAGCGATGGCAGAGTGCGGAATGGTGGACTAGGATATGCTTACAACATAATATTGGAAATCTAAGACCTTGGTGTGTTTCCCTTAATGATAACATATGATAGGAACCCTCGCTCACAACCGCGAACCTATTGATAGCGAGTCGGCCCTGCTAGTGCGGAGTATGTAATGGTGGGGAAAGTCCAGTGCGGCGACAGCAGATGCAGTAGGATAAGGGATAGAAAAAAGAGAGCAATTACCTGTAATCCATTGGGAAGGCTATACACGTATCGAGAGAAAAATCAGCTAGACTCCACGCCGGGAGCCTTCGTATATCCAAGATGCAAGACGCTGAAGGTCGAACTTCTCCGTCCTCAAGCCGGCGGAGTTCCACCAGGAGTTTGGGCGGAGATATATACACGTGACGGTCACGTGTAATTCCACTTCAATATTAGTCAGCATTGGGTTATATTACGTAATATCACGGTGCATATAAAAATATAAAAAAGGGGTCAAGGGGTAACACCTACCGTGATATCAATATATGGCTGCTTCAAGCCTCTTCCTCTCCCTTCACACTCTCGTCCGTCTCGTCTGTATTGCGTCTCTCTTCTTGCAGCTAACGCCGATGCTCACGAACGTATACATCGAAGTTGAGCTCTCCAACAAGCTGTTTAACATCGCTTGCACAGCGGAGTTTCCGTTAGTAAAGCGTACCTAATGCTTGTGGTAGTTGATCGGCCAATACCTACGTCATCAATGTTTTTAAATTTGAACTCATCATAGAGCTCAAAACCTCAATCGCGATTATAGCGGCAAAGGAGGGATTTTCAACATTCTTGAATCTCAACAAGTCTTCGTTCATCCTGCGTAATCTGCGCGCCAATGGGAAAGGATGCGGAGGGGCCAGATATGGTGGAAGGCAGAGGCTGTTCGTCACGGCCGCTGATAGATGGTAAAGCACAGAGGTGATAACTCCGGAGCTGAATTCGGGCGAATTGGCTGCCTGGGCTAGATTCCGAATCCATTTTTGTCCTTCAGCCGTTTCATGGCTATTCGCTGTACTTCCACCGCGGATCTTTCTCTCGCCGGGTAGCTCCTCATCAGCCATGGATGATGAGCTTGTAATTGAACCCTGCCCTGCCATTCTTTCTAGATTTCGGGTTGCAAGCGCCATCAGGTCCATGCTTGTCAAGATGGTTTGGATTGCTGAAATGATATTATCATACGTTTCTTTCGGAAAACGACCTCCAATTGGGGGTTCATATCGCGTGAAGTCACTGAATACCCTCAAGCTCTTCAAAAGGGCCATTTCTTCGGCTAGCAGCTTCGTCCTAGCGCGATCGAGCAGTCGGCCAGGTGACTGGCTGTCACTGGTATCACCTTGTTCCTGATTTATCCATACCTCGATAGAAGTGTGCATGCAGCTGTAGAAGTTTGCAAGGACAAAGAGGCTCCTACCCAAGGTTTTCCTAACCCGGGATCCGGCCGATGTTGGGCTTGGGAATACCACCCAGAAATAGGAAATGGCACAAGCGGCTAATACAGCAACGCACCGATATGGCCCAAAGAGATAGACTGGATAATATGGTAACCCTGAGGATTCCACCTTCTCCACACCGAGTTTGCGAGACTTGGTACCTTCTTGTTAGTTTATCATTATTCGTGGCATAGACGGGTCAGCCGAAACATACCAGAAGCTCGAAGGCGATTATGAGATTGAATGTAATCATCCCAATGATAGTGGCAGGGACAAAGCGGGGATTCTTGAGATACGGATAATTCTTTAAACCACGGGTTAGTACGAGCGTTACTATAACGCGCCGGAAGAGGAAGTTCACGAACCAGGAGACAGTTGGCAATGTAGGCCAACACAATAACACCCGCTGTTTTCCCGTTGACTATATACCAGACGACAAGAGCAAGGATCGTCGCCAATATAGTCGCCACGAATCGACCCATCAAGCCAAAAAGAGAATTCCCGCTTGTGGGATTCATCCCAATAAGGATGACGATCACAACCCAGATAACCCGAGCTTGGAAAAAGAATCTCTGGGTCTGTTGCAAATATGCAAGAATCACAGCGCAGAATGCAGCAATTGCAACTCGAACTCCAAAGGAGCTTTGTTCGGAGCTAAGGAAATGAGATATCGTGCGGAGCCCACTGCCGATTCGCTGCCAGGCATTTGTGGGTGGCATATGCTCCGGGTCAGGATATCGAGATTTTAACGGATCGTGAGCTTCGAAGGGACGGTTGCCCCTTGTCTCTCTCTCTTCGCTAGCCGGGCCATCTTTGTTGTCGTTTTCTTTTTCTTCTGGATCACTAGAAAAAAACCACTGCTTTATGTGTTCCCGTTTGGGGAACAGAAGTTTCTTTGATTTCATCGTCCCATCGGCAACTTTGCTGTTTGCAAAATATACCAGCTCCAGGACTGCTTGGAGGAGGACATCTTGGAGATGGCTAATGAAGAGGAGGACAAAAAACTCTTTTTGTATGGTACGGGGCTCCTGTGCCATACTTCCCCGTTCGTGGAATGGGGCGAATGCTGTGAGAGAAGCCCATTTTTCGGGTAGATGTTTTCGAAGAGCAAAGTAGTCATCTAGCCTCCGTTCAAATTCAGCAGCAAAATGAGAATTACCAGGCATAGTTTTATCGTCAGGAGCTTCCTCGTCCTGGGAGTTAGACGTTTCGCGACGTTTGGGTATCTTGTTTATCCGTAAAGTCGCAAAAGCATGTTGAAACCCGGTCTGTACAAGGTCTGCAGCGGTTTCCAGTCTGCTGCAAAGGGGTTGCACAAAGTGCTCAGTAATTTCTGGCATTTCATACTGTGACGTACTAGGCATTAGAGGCGGACGTCCTCCAACCACTGGCTGGTAGCCGCAATCATGCGTGGGCAATTCCGCTGCATCTGCCGCCTCGACAGTCTTCGTCAATTTTCGAAACACATCCGGAAGCATAGCGATACCAGAAAGAGGTAGTAAGATAGACCGTAGCAAGGCAAAAAAGCTATCAAAGTCCTCAGCCGTAAGCCTTCCCCAAGCTATTTCTTGTTTTGCAAAGTATAACTCAGCACGAGCCGTGGATTGAAGCGAAGAGAGTTTGTGAATGGCATCTTTTAACTGTGTAGCCTTCAACTCGCTCTCGGACAGCTTTTTTTCCCTCTTCTCTTTCTTCAACGTACCATGTTGTTGTGATTGGGGAAATGGGTTGCTCCTCATCCGGGCTATGGTTGCTCGGCGTGTGACTTGCCATGGCCCTTCATCCTCGCTGCATTTAACGAACGCAATCTGGGCATCAAGTATCTCCTTCACGATTGCAGGGTAACCTTGGATTTCGTGGAAGAAAGTGCTTCGGCTTGTAGTGGGTAAAATAAATAAGGAAACCCCCGTCGAAATCGCAAATCCAATTAAAAATGCTAAGAGTAAGCGTCTGATTCCTTCCAGGCCGGATGAGAGAGAGGCTATCACACCGGCCCTGGTCATGGTAATCGCAATAAACATGGAGAAGGTTGAGGCCGGTGCTTGAAGTTCTATTGGTCTATATGCACGAATGGAGTTTACTAGCCTAAAACAATCTTATTAGCAAATGGTACAAATAGTAATAACAAGAACTAGAGCTGATATTGCCTTACCAGATGGCAAAAAGGGACCAAATAGCCGCCACTGCACAAGCGCTACTATTGTATGTTCCAGGCGGTTCTCCAGGAGCTGCTGTATGCTCCCTTGCCTTTACTGCACAGTATACACCTAGACAGCATATGGAGGCAGAAACGCACAGAGCAGCAAGCGAATATATCATAATCTTGGTGAACCTTGCCCGGGGCAGGAGGCATTGGGCTACCACGGCGATGATCGCGGATAGAAAACCATAGTTTTGAGAAACACCTGTGACAAGATCTGATTGATACCTGTTCCACAAACGTTAGCTTATCTGTGTATTGGCGGGCTAGACGACAAGAGCATACATTGCAATGACAATCGTCGGGGGTAAGCCGCCCTTCAACATCTGAAGAAAGATTTGTTTATCAATCCCCAAGGCCTTCCATATTGCCCTTGGAGTCCACTTCCTCCAGTTTCTTTCCCCCATCTCTTCCGCCACCTCTTAGCCAGTAGTTGTATACAGGTTCGTAACAGGGCACTCAATCGCCATTGAGCGCGAACGTGATGTATGTCCGCTGCTCTGAATATAGGGCCAAAGAGGCCATCGTTCACACTCCTCGTAACTATCGCTTGAACTAGAAATAATCTAGATGCGAGTGCCTGTATACCGCGTGTTGTCAGAAGATGGAGTGTGATGAAACATAAAGGATAACCTTATTTGGAGCAGTAACTAAATATTACGTCATACATATTAACACCAACAAATCTATATAATGTTTTGGGGATATTCTCAATAAATAGAGAGCTCTCAATAAATATCGAACAAATTGTTGGGTTGATAGGGATATAATAAAGGCGCTACCACATTATATACGGTAGCCTAGGAGTACATCTTGAACGTATGAAGCTATGCTTGTCGACACAATCATAGGAGCCCATACTATCCCTCTAGCTAGTTTTGCAACGTCTATAGAACGCTCTCCTGCTCCTGCTCCTTAGGCGTGATGGGTATAAGTAGAAAGTGGTCAGGATGTTCTTCTTTCTATCAAAAATAAAAGGAAGGAAGCTTGGGCCACAATGAAGGTTTATTAGTCATGCGCACAGACCTTGGCAGTACTCTTACATAAGCCATCCTTCATTGGCGCTAGTCTAAAAAGGGTAAACAGCCACGTGAGATAAATCCGAACTTCGCAGGCAAGAAGAAGGCGGCTTTCTGATGGAGGTATATACATGTAAACGCTGCGGAAGGGAGGGGAATTACCTCAGGGTACGAAGGGGAAAAATGTAAGGTGAACAGGTAAGAAGGATCAAGGGCCAAATATGTGGTAGAAATCTCAAAAAAGGAAGAGGAGAGAACCTGTGAATTTTGCGGTGAGGACAGCGGGAAGTAAGGACTGGATTTAAGGAGACGGAAAGAGTACAAGGAGAAGCCATATAACATGCGTCAATGCGATTGCAAAAAAGCAGACAATAAGCCAAAGTAGAAAGAAGAAGGAGGGTCCCGCTATGCCACCGGTAAAAGAAACAAAGGTAGAACAAAAGACAAAATATCTAACGTGTATGGTTTGTCCCTGGTCTCAGGCTTGCATGAGAACAGTATAAAGGAATAATCCACGGAGAGAGAGAGGGAGGGGTAGAAAAGCCCAAAGTTACAGGCTGCGCGTACGGAATGAGGTGCATAGCCAACCCGTATATCGGGCTACCACATACTATCGTGCTCCTCCGCCCGCCCGTCAGCGTGGTAATCGTATCCTTGCCCTCGGCCCGAACCAGTGGAATGCTGCGACTGCTCGTATCCGTCGTCAAGGTCATAATCGTACATCTGCGAGTCGCCCGCTTCTGCGTATGAGTCTTGATCATGACCCTAAAGTGATATTAGATAATAGTCCATCCAGTTTACAGGTTTACGGGTAAGCTTACCTGCTGATATTGAGAATAATCATCTACCTTTTGTTGGCTCTGATTTTGGCTCTGCTGCATTTCCTTCTTCTTCGCCTGGTTTTGGGCCGGCGAGGTCGGTAGGGCCATGTGTGGATGCATCTGCTGCACTTTGGCGAGGTATGAGTACATGAAATTGCTGAGGAGGACTTGAGAATACAGGGCTCTCCGTGGGTTGGCGAGTTTGAGGTGTGCCATACGGTAGATGGCACGTTCCTCGAGGATGGAGAAGCGGGTCCAGTTGTAGTCTACGTCTGCTTTGAGGCTGTAATATTTGGGGTCGGGAGAGGGAGAACGGGCGCGTGAGCGGGAGTGTTTGCGGGAATGGGAATCATGAGAACTGGACTTCTTTTTACCGCCGCCGAATATGGAGGAGAAGATAGACGGCTCTTTCTCCTTTTTAGGAGGAGGCGACGACGATTTGCGTAGGTTTTCTTTTCGGGCTGGGCGAGTTTCTTCATCTACCGGATCTGGGCGGTCCAGGATGAGGCTTTCTCTCTCCTTAGGCTTGGTGGTTGGCTGTCCGTCGATGGAGGTTTGGAGAAGGTCGAGACGAGCGCTGTCATGGGGTTTTTCTGCCTTGGTGTATGATTTTGATGACTTGCGCTTTTCATCTTCTTTCTTCTTCTCCTTTTCTTTCTCTTTGTCTTCAGATCCGCCACGACGCCAATGCCAACCTGATTTTTTCGTGCCATCTGAATCCTTCTTGATCTTATTCTTTTTGTCTTTCTCCCTTTCGTCAAATTTCCGCCTCTCTTGAACAACGTCACGGTGTGGAGCATTGGATGTGTTTTGGACGACGATTTTGGGCGTAGTATCACTAACTGGAGTAGTTTCTTTGGTTGGTATGATTAGACCTGCTCTCTTTGACGCCCGCGTTGTAGGTTCAGGAGGTAAGGGTGTCTGTGGCGGTAGCGACGGTGGCGGGTGATGTGATGAATTCCGTTCCGGTATATATGGTTGTGTTTGCGGTGCACTGCTACTGCTCGTTGACCGAAGGGGTTCTGCCCGGGGCGGTTCGACAGGCGGTGGTTGCGGTTGCGGTTGCGGCTGTGGTTGATGGTGCGATATAGATGGCTGGTCGTTTGTTGGAGGTGTCCATGGCTGTGTATGTGATGGCGCGCTGGCTCGAGCGGACGAGGAATCTGGTACATCCCCCGTGAGAGTTGAAGCTGACGGTACCGATGCGGGCTTTGTTCGGGCAGGTCTAGAATAGTTGGTTGCATTGTCGTATCCCGTCGGATCAGTGGATACCCTAGTCAGTCCTAGTATAGGCGGTTCCTCAGTGGGTGTGGACGATCGTTTCGTGCTTACGTTATCGCCCGTATCCTCCGACTGGCTGATATCAGACTGTCTTGCAGCCCTTCTTGAATGAGGTACTCGCTCGCCTGCCTTCAGGCTGCCCTTTCTGTATGTCGTCCTCCTGGAACGGCGCAAACTATAGCCGGGTGGTGCGGGTGGGAGGATCGGCGCATCTTCGTCTCCGAATCCCTTGAACTGGCTTTGCGGTTCTTCGGATAAGGCTTCTAGGTTCGGGCGTTTCGACGATCTAGAATCCTCCCTACCGATGCTCGAGCTATCTACCTGCCGCGAAAGTAATGACTTTTTGCGCATCAGACTGCTCCCTGATCCCTGGCGCTGTATTATCGCTGGCCCCTCCGTAGGCGGTGTCAGCTCGCCAGATCTCCGCTTGATCTGGTCTGCCTTGCTGTCCAAAAATGACTTGAATTCCTTAGGAGCGAGACCAGGGTGAAGATGCGCAGGTACCCAAAAGAGCCGTGATGCATCATCCTCATCTGCGGACGGAGAAGGAGCTATAGACGACATTAGGCCGCCAAATGAAGGCAGATCCGGGTCCATGGAGCCCACGTCCATGGACATACGGCGGAGGGCCGCGAGGTTGCTGAGCTCCTGGGCAACCGTTGCAGGATCGGACTGACAGTCAATGTCTGTAAGAGGAAAGGAAACAGAACCGTCGGATGAGGCGTGGTTGAGACCCGGGGAAAGTTGGTTCGGACTATCGTGGGGGGAGAGGTTATGACGTGACGTGCTGCCATGGCCGTTGACACCGTTTATCGAGCTGGTTCGGATCGGGAGATGGAGACGGTCTTTATTAGAGCTGGACTGCGAGGACGAGGATGACGGGCCGGTTCGGTTTATCGGATTTGTAGATATGTTTTCCTCCTGTGATAGATAGCTTAAGCGTCTTGAATCTCTTGGACTCGCACTTCCATTTCCGTTCCCACTCCCACTCCCGCTCGGACTCCCGTCGTAGGCATCATTGTACATGTATCCAATAGCCTCCGTAACATGATGGTTTTCGTCACTGATGGATAGATGGGCCAGGCGCCTGGAAGCACCGCTTCGGCTGTCCGGCTGGCGGTAAGTATCTGTTGAGGCCTGCAACACCTGTCAGCGAGGAAGCAGAACAAATAAAGGGGATATGTAGAAATAGCCGGGATAGCAATTCCAGGGCTTCCCGCCAAAGTAGCAAAGCTGTCTGTAGAAGACCGATTGCAAGCCCAGGGAAAAAAAAGGTGTATGGTATGCCCACCCGGCCTGGAACTGGATGCGCGGGACCTACCTGCATGCTAACGAGCGATCAAGCACGGCACTCCAGGTGCAGAGAAAAGCAGAACGGGCGAGCAAGGCCGACTGGGGATATTCCGCCGGGGGATGGAGCTGCTGTCGTATAGTGTCATCGAAGCATGTAGAGCGAGCGGGCTTGGGAAGCGGCGGCGTTGACGACAGCGAACAGTGACGGCCAGCGGCGAACGAAGCAGCACTTCTCTGCCGTACCGAAGCCGCGAGAGAACCACGAAACTTCAGAGGAAGGTCGAGACCAGGAGCGCACGGCGTTATATCAGGTCCATTAAGCAGAACAGGGGGGGTGGAGGGAGGGAGAATCGAGATGGAGATATACAGGCGAAGGTGAACTAGGGCGGCAGATGGGGCTTGCTGCAGCGGGAGGCTAGAAGCTAGCAACGGTGAACACGATATGCGACGGGCAGATCATGTACCGTGCTGTCGTACTTCTCGTGGTATCTGCTATCGTGGAATGCTGGCGGTCGTCGTGAATGAGTGTGTGAATCGCGAGTTACGGAGTCGTTGGGTTTTAACTACTGGACTCGCGGGCGGTTTGCTGCAAGGAGGAACATCCCAGCGCTAACAGGATAATAGGAACGAGAACAGGAGAACGAGCGCAGAACAAGAGAAATACGTCTGGTCCTGGGAGATACTCCGTCGACTTGGGATATTCAGCTACGCCTGTCGTCTACTCCGTACACTATCAACCATGCAACCACACAGTCCCAAGGTCAAGGGGTTATTTATAGCCACTCTTCACCATCCTGGAGATACTATACCTACCGGAATGATGATGCTATTGGACTGGGCTCCTCGATTACTGGAACACTGGAATATTTGACGGCATGCCAGTCCAGCGTGATGCTGCTGGTGATCGTGATCCTCGCCTGCACGCGAGAAGGTCATTGGGCGCCACGCAGCTTATACAATGCCCAAGAGTCCTTCGAGGACCCTGTATTTACCCAAGGACGAGTCTAGGACGAGTCTAGGACAAGTCTAGGACAGGTCTAAGGATGCTTGCAGGGAAGAGTCCAGGGACAAGCCGAAGACGAGCCGGACGGTAAAGGGAGAGCTAGAGATCCCAGGCTGCAGGGTGAGTTGAAGGCCATCAGACCGTTGATAGGACATCTATACAGTAAACAGGCCGGAGAAGACGATAGATAGCTACCATGCCGAAGTCTGATACACAGATCGACAAAACTTGTTTATTTTGTTGGTATTCCCGCTAGACATGCCCCTTAATTTAGCCGTTCAACCAGGGTAGGCTCTAAGCAGCAGCATTCGTCGAACTATATATATGAAGAAATGTTTCAAGATACGGTTTAAAGACAATGAAAGACAATAAGGGAAAGCTAAGGAGATGACGCCTGCAAAGGAAATGAAGAAAAAGAAAAAGAGGAAAGCAAGATAAAAGGAGCAGACGGCCATAATTCCATAATTCATGAGAAGACAGGGGAAGGTGGCTCGCGAGAGGAGATCTATCGTGAAGGAAATGATACTCTGTAGAAGGAGAGAAATGGGTTACTTTCCAGCTTCGACATAGTTACTCGGGAAAATGCCGACTCGGTTTCCAATCTTTCCCGTCCACCAGTCGTCCTGCTTCTCCGTCCGCTTCACAATCGTGATGATCTCGCCCTTTTTGAAGCCTAGGTCACCATCCTGGTCTGCATCGAAAGTAAACAGGGCCACAGCCTGGTCTTTGCTTAACTGAGGCTTCTGGCCAAATACCGGCTTAGGTGCTGTTGGGCGGGCAGGCCGACTGTCGAAACCTCCCCTCTGGCCGTACGATTGCATGCTGTCGAACGTCTCCTGTGGATTGGCACGGGCGGCAGTCGTGTTGGATCGATTTAGCCCGGTATGTTGCTGATCGTGTACGTCGCCTTGCCATGTGGTATTGCGCCCCAGCCTATCGCTATACTGATAGTCGTTGACCGAGGAGGATCTATTTCTCCCTTCGAACCCCATACCAGCATGCCTGTCATCATAGACAGGGACATCGTTGTACATTCCCTCTGCATGGGCAGTGCCATACCGGCCCGAGAAGGCTCTTGACCTAAGCACTGCCATCAGCGGCTCCGCGCCCGGCGGTGGTGGTACCGCACCGCTCAGAAGCTGACTGGCCGATATTTTCGCATTGTACATTCGTGCATTCGCTTCCTTGCGCTCAATAAGCACGCTGCCTTCCAGACTCACGCCGGCAAACAGACCCTTGGTCTTGGAGTATGAGAACACCCCGGCCACTCCCTTCAAACTCGCCGCACCTGCGGCTTCGGCATTCCGTCCCACGGGTCCAGCAGCGACAGAGACATTCCCGCCAAGTGTTATGGAGCCGACCTGGCTGAATGAGCGGACCGCTGCCGCATCGTTGAGTATAAAGACGAAATCTGTGAATTCGAAGCCGAGTTGACCGCCAAAGCCGGCTCCAGCGGTCGTGATGGCGGAGGGAGCAGACCACTGCCCATCCGCAAGTCGAGCAACGACGACACCGGATCCGAAACGAGCCGAGCCTACAAACCCGGCTTTTACGACGGTGAGAATTGCGAGACCCTGTGGAGTGTGTTAGATGCTGGTTCGGAGGAGGGTAGATGGACATCGAGAACGACCGACCTTTGCATTTGCGAGTATCTCAGGCGGAATAACCTTCTCTGGGCCAAAAGCTTCTGCGGGATCAATAAAGGACAGGAGAATCTTGCTCGCCTTCCGACATTCGCCTATCAGTACGGAGTATGTCAGTTGGCTGTAGTGTCGGCAGCATACGTAATGGTAAATGGCAACTTACTGCTCAGCGAAGAAGGCAATGGATTGTTAAATCCCAACGGCATCTTCCCCGTCCGTCAATCTCAAGCCCCCTAGCTATATCGTCGTGCCGGTTCGGTCTCCTGTACCGCCGTATTTCGTGTATATAAAAATGTTCGCTGTCCGGCTCGTCTCCGAGGTACAGCGTATACAGCCTCCTCTGCTGGAGTTTTAGTCGAAGGTACGATATCGAATATATGCAAGAAGGCGCAGGCAAGTGGCTTGAGGTTGTTCTCCCTTGCTAGTCGAGGCGTCAGGTATTAATAATAAGTAGAGTACGAGGTTGATCCGTGGAACAGCCGGATGCCAGCCACGGCTTGGACTTTGCGAGTTCGACCTCAAGATGAGGCTGGGGGAACGTTCCTCCGCGCCGTTACGGGTTCATATTGGGTGCACGCCTTAAAGTCCGCCTGTTCACAGGGTTATCTAGATCTATATGTCGTTTCACTGTTATAAGTACGGAGTAGGCAATGTTTATATGCTCCCTGCAGAAGTAAACACGACAAGAGCTTCGTTTCTTCTGTCTCGTCGCTTTGCACGAAGAATAATCGCGATTACGTCATGTTAAACGGGCTTATATAATCAGGACAAGGGGAGCGCGATGTTTAGGGAACAAGCAGTGATAAAACGGGAGTAGCGAGCTGATATTCGTCGACAGAGCACCAAGACTACGAGGTATTGCTTTTTTATACACGATCATGGCCTTGTGATGACCCCGTAAGTGGTGCTCGCACGAAATGGGAACCGGTAAGCTGACCATTATACCCATTCTCCTATGATCCTAACATGTATATAGTGCGAATTTGCGTCTGCGGAGACGAAGGGACAGGGAAATCAAGCTTGATAACCTCCCTCGTCAAGGGAGTCTTTGTCACGAACAAGATCCAAGCCGTCTTGCCGCAAGTGACTATCCCTCCTACCATCGGAACCCCCGAGAATGTAACTACAACCACAATCGTCGACACCTCAGCGCTGCCGCAGGAACGGAACAATCTCGCAAGGGAGCTCCGCAAGTCGAATGTGATCCTCCTCGTCTACTCCGACCATTACAGCTATGAACGAGTTGCGCTATTCTGGCTTCCCTATTTCCGCTCGCTGGGCGTCAACGTCCCCGTGGTGCTGTGCGCCAATAAATCCGACCTCTTGCACGAACATGGCGAGTCACAACCAATCGAGGAGGAGATGCTACCGATCATGACGGAATTCAAAGAAATTGATTCGTGCATTCGGAGTAGCGCCAGGACTCACAGGAATGTGAACGAGTCGTTTTTCCTTTGCCAAAAGGCCGTTACGTACCCAATCGCCCCGTTATACGATTCGAAGGAGTCGGTGCTCAAGCCAGCTGCGATCCATGTGCTTCATAGAATATTTTATTTATGCGACAAGGACCGAGATGGATACTTGAATGATAGCGAAATCGAAAATTTCCAGAAAAAGTGCTTTGGTAAACACCTAAGTGAGGAGGACTTGGTTAATATCAAAGAGACGATCCGGAGGGCGTACCCAGACTCTGTCACGCCATCGGGGATAGATGCCAAAGGGTTCCTCCATCTGAACAAGCTATACGTTGAAAAGGGTCGGCATGAGACTGTGTGGATCATTATGCGGGCTTTCCAATATACGGACAATTTATCTCTCCAGGAGGAGTTTCTGCATCCACGTTTGGAGGTGCCGCCATTCTCTTCGGCGGAGCTATCGCCTGCTGGATACCGTTTCCTTGTTGATCTCTTCCTGCTGTGTGATAAAGATAATGATGGAGGGCTGAACGAGGAAGAACTGGCGTCGATATTTGCTCCCACGCCTGGCCTCCCAGCCTCATGGTCGGACGATTCATTCCCATCATCCACCGTCCGCAATGAAGCCGGCCATGTAACACTACAAGGATGGCTGGCGCAATGGAGTATGACCACATTTACATCTCCCAAAACGACTCTGGAGTACCTCGCCTATCTCGGATTCGAGTCCTTTGACCGCAACAACCCCACGACTACTGCTGCATTACAAGTAACCAAACCACGCAAGCGCCGCAGACGCCCTGGACGAGTAGGCCGAAACGTCGTTCTCTGTCATGTCGTCGGCGCACCCGGCTCAGGCAAATCTTCCCTCCTGGATGCCTTCCTATCCCGCGGCTTCTACCCATCATACCACCCTACCATTCAACCACGCACGGCCGTCAACACAGTTGAGCTGCCAGGCGGTAAGCAATGCTACATGATTCTCGATGAGCTAGGCGAACTGGAGCCCGCCATTCTCGACAACGAGACAAAGCTACTTGACCAATGCGACGTGATCGCATATACATACGACTCCTCTGATCCAGACTCATTCGCATACATACCTAAACTGCGAGCCAAATACCCGCATCTAGAAGAGCTTCCGAGCGTCTTCATTGCGCTAAAGGCTGATCTAGACCGTACCACTCAACGCGCCGAGTTACAGCCCGATGAATACACCAGCAGACTCAACATGTCTGGGCCGCCGCTACATGTCAGCGTGACTTGGAGCTCTATCCAGGAGCTGTTCGTGCATATAGCTGAGGCAGCCATGGAGCCCAGCACTGCCTTTCCCCGTGTCGAGGAAGATGTGGAAGGGAAATGGATGGCATGGGGTATCGCCATTGGAGCTGTTGTTTGTGCCACCGCCGCAGCAGTCGTGATATGGCGACGGGTCAGTTGGAGTGGGAAGTAGCTGGCCTCTATTTTGGTAGACATCATTTACTGGTGTCAACATACAGACTAGTGTATGATGAGCGATGCATTTAGATACCCATATCAATATTTAGAAATACAATACGTATCAGTTACTCTCTATTATAATCCCTTCGCCTTGAACTATACATTCTCCTTGTTCTACGGCTTTTGTCACCTTCTGGGGTACGAAGTCTTGGCGCCCTCCAGCCACAGGATCACATGATTATCAACGTAATGGATGAAGCCGAAGTGCATACTCGGCCACCCCCATACAACAATCCCATCTAGCAGCTTGTCATATCCTAAAACCTATAATAACCCCGTCAATAAACGTCCTAACACCTGAGACTTGCGATATCTGAATAGAACCCAATTACCCGTCAGCCAAAGACAGAACGAAGCATCGAACTTCCAACCCGAGTCTTCCACACGATCAGCCAGGCATCTCCTCACCCTATCATCCGATCAAGATGAGCGATGCATACGAGCGAGAGAGGTATGTCATTGCCGCCCATTCGATCCCCTTATTCTAGCTCTTCCTCCGGCGCCGACGCTAATAACTTACCCTCCGTGGAAACCAGACAAAACAACGCTCTCCTTGAATCCCTATCACAGAAGACCAGTGCCCTTAAGTCGGTCACAATAAACATATACGATAATGCGCGAGACCAAGAAATCATCGATAATACTGTTCGTCACCCCTTATATACCCTCACATCCAAAATCGCATACTAATTATTTATCTTTGCGACCGTTAGAGCGATGTCTTCTCATCCTTATCTACAAACATCAAGGGCAGCGCCAGTCGGTTGACGCGCATGGCTAGACAAGGCGATAAGATTGCCGTGTTGAAACTTGCGGCCATAGTGGTTGGATCAGGGCTCGTACTGTGGGTTATCCTAGGATGGATATTTTGAATGCTCAGTGGCTGGCTTTTCTTTGGGATCCCCCGGAACCACATATACCACTTTCACTATATCACGCTATCATACTGGTTTCACTTATACCGACATCACCAGAGCATTGCTACGCGCTACTACCAGCGCCACGAGCATCAAGATGGCGGCCACGGTCCTTTGACGGTCTATCCGTTGGTCATGGGCTATTTCCGCGAGTAAACACCCAACTACATGACGTTTGGAGTTTGGCACATGTTTTGTCTTTGGAGGCGCAGGAGTTTTAGGCATATTGAGGGCCATGGTTTCTATTCTGTCTACCCAACGCTCTGTATCCATAACCAGTTTATTTTCTTCTGTGCTCCATACCTATATAAATCTTAGTGCATGACGCTTCAGTGTTCTCCTTGCTCGTCTTCGAAGTGTGTAAAAAAAGAGACAAAAAAAGTCCAAAAAAAGGAGTGCCCACACTCGGATTCGAACCGAGGACCTCATCATATCATGAGTACGAGTGATGCGCTACTACCACTGAGCTACACGGGCGACCTGCAACTTAGCTTTTTCCTTTAGAGATACATGTTAGCAGGAAGATGCCCAGATCGGCTTTATACTATTCATTTTTATGTTTAGTAGTACTTAACGGTGTAATAAGAAACAGTTACGAAGATGTCGGAGGCTTTACAGCCTCAAAGTCAGTGTGTACAGAAGATGTAAGCTTGGAGCGTGGTGGTGTAGTCGAAGCACGTGACATACGACTGACTCCATCATCCATGACTGCATCAATGAAGGAAGTTTCCGCCATAAAAGTCGTGGAGTCGTCGCGTTCAGTGTCGCCAATTCTCCCTATAAATGGCCCCCCGGTTCTCTTCCGTCTTTTATTCTTATCGAAAACAAAGAGATGCAACTACCTATCAAGCGCAGCACCCGATCGAAACAAGTAACCACCGCCGAACATGGATGACGCGACCGCCCTCTTGAACGTAAGCGAGTCAGGTTCCTTCTCGAGCTATAAAAACTGCCTGAAGTAGCAGTCTAGAGTCGTCGCATGGCCTATATGTTTTGTTCTTTGGCTAATTCTGTCTCTCACAGGAACTCGAAAATGAGTACTGCCCGCCTTTGGACCCCGCACTTTTCGTTGCGATTGTGGGCGATTATGACCTTAATGACCAGTCTGCCGTTAAGCAGCTACGCGATACTCTGGATGCGCTGAAGATATCTGCAAATGAACAAGAGGATGCCCTCTTTGACCCTTCTGGGACCAGTGGGTTCGACTTTGAGGATGCAGAAGGCATTGCGTCGGGCCAGAGTGAATCATTGACATTAGGGTCGCATGAAACGAATACAACAAGCCTAGGATCGAATTTCTCGTCACTGGGCGCAGAAGCTTCCAATAACTCCAGAGGAAAGGCTGGTCGAAATGGCGACTCAAAGCAGACAGGCGATTCCACAACGGCCGTAAGAGGCTTGAGCAACTCGAATTCAGAGGACCAGACTACCTACCTCAGTGAGATGTTTCCTTCCATCGACCGGTTCACAGTTGTTCATACGCTTGAAAAATATGGTGGAGATGTTGATCGATCCATGGACGTCTTATTGAACTTGTCATTCTTCGAAAACGGCCAAGCATCCGATACTGAAGACGGCCAGATCTCCATTCCAAAGGGTATCGAAGGGTTCGGGCGTACGTCCAATAACAGCAAGGGACGCAGGAAAGGCAAGAAGAACAAGAACAAACAACCGTTGCAGCAACTATCGCAATCTGATCACTCTCAAGCTTCCTCCTTAAGTGACAGCAGTGGACCAAAACCTGAGAATAGGTGGGATAATGGAAAGAAAGATATGGATTTTATTTGTTCGAGAACAACTTTGACTATACAGACCATCAGTTCAGCGTACCATCTGAACGGCGCGTCTCTACCAGCAACTATCCGAACTCTCGCCAGAGATGAGGCCCAAAAATGTTCAGAGAAGGATATGGAGGATCCGGTAACGTGCACGCAGATTGCCGAACTACAAGAGGAGTTTTCCACCTTTCCAGCTAAAGATCTCGCTGGTCTCCTAAGATTAACGAGGAACTGCATCTCCGCTGCGAACGAACTAGCAAGAGTAATGATACTTGAGCCCATACCCAATCTCCTACAACCAGTTTACAGAGCAACCCCAGAATCATCCACCTCACTCCAGAACACTGCAAACCGCAATAGTACGAGAACGCCATCCGTTCCATCAACCATCACCAAACGACACTATAACCACGCGGCCAGCCGCGCCATTGCAGAGAGACACCTCATGGCCAGCCAACAAGCCTTTGAGAAAGCCAACACAGCGTACCGCCGCGGGAAATCAGACCATCTCATGGGCGGTGCGGCAGGATACTACTCCTCCGTGGGCCGTGAGCATTTCGAAAAGGCCAAGAAAGAGTCTGCCATCGCCGCAGACGCACTAGTCTACAGCCAGTCAACCAGCAGCGTCCTAGATCTACATGGTGTCAGTGTCCAGGATGCAGTGCGAATCGCAAAGGAGGGCGTAGAGTCCTGGTGGGAGTCTCTGGGCGAAGAGAAGTATTCCAATCGCATGCGCGGACAGGGGGGGAAACGTATCTACCGTATTATCACAGGGCTTGGACGACATAGTAAGAATGGCACTGCGAAACTGGGGCCTGCTGTCGGGCGATGCCTGGCTAGAGAAGGATGGAAGGTAGAGATTGAGAGGGGCGCGTTGATAGTGACTGGGTTGGCATATCGGTGAACCAAGTCTCCTATTTTCAAGCTATTTATTCCCGATGTACGGGTTTATGTCCCGATCCCTGACCGTATATCATTTGCCATCTACGAGCATTCAGCGTTTGGAATCTTGATACCCACCCCCACGGACTTGTTAGCGTTGGTTTTATGATAATGGCTTCATGTAGAAACGGAAAATAGACAACATGCTAGAAATAGATAGCTGATACTATGAATAGCGTATGACCTCGACACACTAAATGATTTCAAATAGCAGACGTAAAGCTGATGCTGCTGCTTCGCCATCTTCAATTACTTGATTCCACATGCGGCCTTGGCATAAGACTTAACAATGTAAACTTCACTGATTCCAAAACGTCATCTCCAAGCTTAATTATTTAGAATATCCTAGATATATATATTCCACCTTTATCCCCGGTATTTCGATTATATTATTTTGATCATGTCGTTCTCGAGAATACTGTCCAGGTCAATCACATCTAGGTTCATCCACAGCAGCCGTGCATTGAAAGCGCATCCCATCAACCTACAGAGCGGATCGAAGAACGCCACACCCGTCTGGCCAGTTCTGCTAGGGGCCATTCCAATGATCCCATTCCTATCTTCCTTCTTCAGTTCCACTTCAAGCGCAAGTTCAGACGACATGACGGATTACCCTGAGAAAAAGTCTGAGGCAGAATGGCGTGCAGTCCTATCGCCAGGTATGTATAGCATGCCCATCCACATCAAACCCAAGACAGACAGCTAAAGCCTACCTTCTCTTAGAGCAATTTCGGGTCCTCCGTGAGAAAGGAACGGAGGCTCGCTTTACCGGGAAATACGATAAACACAAGCCCGACTCCGGCATATACCAGTGCGCCGGGTGTTCTGTGCCGCTCTATAAAGCATCTCATAAATTCTCTTCTGGCTGCGGCTGGCCAGCATACTTCGATTCGATTCCCGGCGCTGTTAAACGTGTGGAAGATCGATCATCTCTCATCGTTCGAACTGAAATCGTCTGCGGGAACTGCGGGGGCCATCTCGGCCATGTCTTCAAGGGCGAGGGGTATGATGTGCCGACTGACGAGAGACACTGTGTTAACAGCGTTAGTCTGAGGTTTAGCGACGACAAGGAAGCGGCAAATGGCTCCAAGGAGAACATCTAGCGTTGTAAAAGTAGGATGCATTGTATATATAAACTGTTTGGAATACAAAGGGAGGAACAAACCTCGGAGATAACTATGACCACGTGACTTGGATATGTGATTACATAATATAACGTATATGGCGGGATCAAGAACGTTGACACTGTGACTTTTGAGGCGATGTCGCGCATCAAGCCAGCTGAAGGCAGCAAGATATCTCTGATATCCCTTCGCTAACGGACACGATAGCGTCCCGGCATCTGCATTGACGTATATAAGCAGCTTGCTCGCCTGCCTCTCTTTTTGAAGTCTTTCTACTCCTTCTAGCGGTCATTTAAATACTATCTCCCGAAGATGTCTCGCCGCCCAACCAACGATCGTGCTGCGCAGAACCAGCTGATGATAAAGAACCTGCTGAAGCTGACGTGCAATAAAACATGTGCTGACTGTAAACGGAATAAGCGTGAGCCTTTTTCCATGTCTTGAGCTCCTTTTGCCTTCTCCTTCCTGCGTCTATCATTACGTGGACATACCCCCCTACCATTTTGTATATGTTACTCCATTTAACGACCTATTTTACTAACTGTTGGCCACGATAGATCCAAGATGGGCCAGCTGGAACATCGGCGTGTTCGTTTGCATCCGATGCTCGGGTATTCACCGAGGAATGGGGACACATATCAGTCGTGTTAAATCAGTGGACCTAGACTCCTGGACCGATGAGCAGCTACAAAGCATCATGAAGTGGGGGAATGCGAGAGCAAACAAGTGCGTTGCCTCCCAGATAACTACGATTCGAAATGGCCGAACGAAGTTTCGTATGTGGACTGACCGTTATAATCTAGATATTGGGAAGATAAATTGAACCCTGGGCACGTTCCCTCCGAAGCGTATGTGTGCAACCTACATTCACTATTGTGATACTGCCTACGATACAGGTACTAATTGATTGGATAGGAAGATAGAGAATTTCATTCGAACAAAGTACGAGTCGAAACGATGGGTGATGGACGGCCCGATGCCCGATCCATCCACCTTGGAGGTAGAAGGCGATGAGGACGTGGTATGTACAGTGGAGAATGATATATACCCCTTCATACCGCACCGCTACTGACACACTTTCAGCCTCTAGCAGTTATCCAGGAGAAGGCGAAGCTAGAACGATCTGCCTCTCAACAGCAAAGTTCTAGTCGTCCCCGGCCCGCGCAAGCCCAGCAGCCAGCCGTGAATTTCTTCGACGATGAGCCTCCAAACCCACCATCCAGGCCCAGGACTACCGATCTACCGGGTTCCCGACCTACTCCTCCTCCCCAGTCCACAACTGCTCAAAAGCCTAACAAACCAGCAGATTCCTTGCTTGGGTTAGATTTCTTTGGCCCTAGCCAACCTAGTGGGGGGCCTAACAGGCCGGCAAGCACACCGGGTGGAAATTCTCCCAGTACAGGCCCATCAAGACCTGATCTGAAGCAGTCAATCTTATCTCTCTATGCGTCAGGCCCTCCAAAGCCCCAAGAACCTCAGCAGCACGAACGGAATACGTCGTTCAGCGGATTCTCGTCCCCACAACCTCAGCAGGCCCCCAAACCTGACGCCTTCGGTGGACTTAGCGATGCTTTTAGTGGCTTAAGCTTCCCTTCAACTACATCTCCCCCCGTCCCTAGGCAACAACAGTCGTCGTTCTCCGCATTTGACAGCCTTACCAGCTCTAAGTCTCCGCCTGCTGCTCCGAAGGTCTCTTCACCCTCCATTTCTAGCAACAGCAGTTTCTTTAACGACACTCCAGCCCAGGTGAATGCAAAGCCACGCCAGGTCACCTCGCCGCCCCTTGCAAACAATTTCGACTTAATGGGTGCAACAGTTGGATCAACGAAGGCACCGGCTGCACCGCCCAGCGCGTCTAACGATATGTTTGATCTTTTCTCCTCCCCAACACCACAGGCAACCACCACTACCACCACCACCACTGCATCACCCCCACTTGCATCCCCTAGCCAAAACTCTGTCTTCAATCTTACCTCACCGCCACAACAACCAGCCGTAAGGTCGCCCCCTGCCAACGTCGTTAGCCCTTCAAACGCATTCTCTGCCAGTACCATGGACCCTTGGGGAGGGAATGCATGGGGCGCAGCCGAGCCATCACCTCCAGCTGCCTCAAAAGCAGCATCGGCGATGAAGGTCCCCGATACCTTGACCGCCAACGATATAGGTAGCGGCTGGGGAGCTCCATCGCCAGCTACATCTAAACCAACGCCAGCAGTCGCTGCTGATGAGGACTTCGGCGGATGGGCCGACCCAACTCCAGCACCAAGCAAGAATGGTAATAACCCTCCTAGTAAAGGTAAATCTGGTGGATTTGGTGGTGGTGACGACCTATTTGCAAACGTTTGGGAGTGATGACATCTTGGCAAGATATTGGTAGTGCACTGCTCAATTTACGATCTTCCTCTCCTCCAGAACTAAAGGGTTTTAGGAGAAGTGCATCCAAGTCATGGAAGAGGCTATATTTACCGCCATCTAACAGGACGTGAAAAGGCCTTTAGAAGCATGCTTTCTCGTGTCAGTTTCTGTTGTCCTTTATTAGCATAAAATGAGTTATGGGCATGAGAATACGAAATATATCCCTTAATTTGCACCTTTTTGGTTGGTTTCGTCACCTGGCCGTTTCTATGTTTTGTCTACCCCGAAGCATCTCCATGGAATCAACGCCACTTATAATCAGGATATTGATACCATAATTGTTTTCCTGCCCGTCCTTACCTGGGCCTCTATCCTTCGCACCTAACTTTCGCCGTTGTGCCTAGAAGTTGCTCCTTCCATGGCCAATCCCTGAATCCTTTGGTTGGGCAAGAACTTCTATAAAATTAGCTTCGTCTTTCTTCCATCTCACCCATGCTTGTTTGACTCCATATACTGGTTATATGGATATCGATCTTCTCGTTACTGCGTCTCTATATTATGAAAAAAGCTGTAACCGACCAAAATGATGTTCAAGTGCATCACTACCATTTTAGCGCTCGCTGCATCTGCACACGGTACGTACACGCATAGTGCTCAATATCCTGGCTGATAGCATACTTTTAACTCATCCGGCCTGGGCTAACATATCATTTCAATAGCTCTTCGTATATCATATCCAGGAAAAGGTTTAGATATAGATCTTTCCCTTTATAATGATGTCAAATGGACCTCTGTTCAGTATGGTTTCACGCTTCAGCCCATATATCTATTATTATTTTGCGGAAACTTATACGCCAATTATAGGACCGATCCTGAGCGCTTCTCTATCGAACTGGTGAACATGGCAGTTAACCCCCCAGTCATCATTGAAGTCGCCGACAATGTCGAAGTATCAAAGGGGTCAATACTCATACCTCCTGTGGTTAAAATCACCCCTGGGTACGTGATAACCTAATTATGGGTGCACGATGACATGGACCTTAACAGGTTAAGACATAACTAACCACCACTTTCAAACTTACAGACCATCATATCAATATCACTTTATCTCCAAAGACCCGAAGAACCATGATATTCTTGCCCAGTCTCCCCCTTTCACCGTCAAGAAACCTGAAGTTGTGAAACCAAACAACCCACCAATTGTATCTAAGTCCACATCTAAGCCCACAGAAACGACGACTAAAACAGCAGATGGGCAAACCTCGAAGTTACCCGTCAGCGTCACAGGTACATGGCCCTTGTTTTCTATGCTCCCTGATCCCTCAACTACGGTTATTGAATGCTGACGAGTCATAAGCCTCTCCCACTATGACTTCTGGCCCTTCCACACAGATGACAACGACTACGAGTCTACCGGCTTCCACCAGCGCGACGTCATCGAAATATATCCTGTCAATCCCCGCTGCCACTCCTGTGTATAATGCCGGATTACCACTTCGGGGGGTTACCTCAATCGGTGGTTTACTATTAGTTCTCTTTAGTTTGATTTGGAGTGTAGTTTAGAGAAACTTGGTCTGGGGCTGATTTCGTAAGAGCCGGATTTGGTTCGTTTTTTTTTTTGGAAGTGGCACTCGTGTATACAGTGTTGTCTGTTTGCGTTTAGATTGTTAGTATTATTGTCCACAAATTATATTTTTTTACCTCCTTTTCAAGCCATGGTACTCACCTTATTCGGCGATTATTACCAAATGGTGCAGACATCTATTTATTCCTTCGCTGAATATCTCTACCCTTTTTTGGCTCTCTTTCCACATTTAATATATGGGCAGTAAAAGAATAAAATTAAGTCCATGAGCATAAATGTCAATACACCACTTATAGATGCATTTGTAAAGACACTGGTTTGATTGTCTCCATTTAGTATGTCTAGCAATAACTATACCGTCTACAACGTTGGTGAACGGTATCAATCGGTTCCATATTCAAGCTTCCTGTCACCTACATCAGCCATAGCTAGAATCGTATTCACCAGAGGCAGCGGGAAATTCTCTCGAAGGTAGGCAGCCACGAGATCGTTGCCATTCGTAACTCCGCCTTTCATGAGCTATTAGCAGGTGTATCATAACGGATGATGTGAGAAACATACCGCTGGTCCAAATATTCCCGTCCTTGACAACTCTCACCGAATTATCCCATTGCTTCACCTTAGGAAACTTCGTTTCCAGATCTGAAATTAAACCTTTGGGGCCTGTGACATGTCTTCCGTCCAAAATACCAGCATGCCCAGCAACATAAGATCCGGTACATATCGCCAAGATAACATTCCCAGCGTCGTTTTGCGTTCTGATATACGCCGAAACAGAGTCGTCAGGGAGATACTTGGGGTCCGGACCAGGTATCATCAAGATATCCAAATTGTCTGCCGAGACGGACGCATCGTGGATAGAAGCTGTGAGCCGAATGCCGATGTTGGCAGTGCATTCAGCGTATGTACCGGCACAATCGGGCTTTAATCCAATGTAATGGATACTGACGGGGAGTCCAAGGTCAGATATGGCTTTGGGTAGAAGGCCTAAGCTCTCAATGTATTCCTTTGACATCATTCCGAGAAGATCAACGGTTGCTAAGTCTAGTAGTTGGACCGACTGTGTCAAAAGGACTCCGACCCGGAGCTGTTCTAGCTTTTTTGATGCCATGATGATAGGGTAAATCGGTGTTGTGGTGTGAGATGTTTGATGGAGATATTCAGATATACAAGCTAGAAAGTAGTCCTGGTCTGCCAGCTGGTGTCGTGCTTTTATATATCATGGCTGCGAGCTGAATTGAGTCCATTCTGATAAGCCTTGGAATATCCGGCATCGTGCCCGAGGGGGATCAATAACAAGGATAATAACCTTCTGATTACTAGGTTATCAGAGGATCGTGCAGAACGTACTACAGGCAGCAGTATTTGTTGGTCCTATCGGTGCAATTGTCTATCCGGCGGCTATACTTGGCGCTGGTAAACATGTCAGAGTGCACCCGAGAGCCGATGTCTAGAAAGTGATATTCGATTCTATTCGCTCATCTCCCAAGCTTACATTATGGCTTTAGCGCAGGAGCCGACTGCATGATTAATGATTATGAGCTTACAAAAATGGTAGTGCAACTCCAATACTTTAATCTAAAGCCTCCTTCATTCAATCTTAACTGTCATTAAAACTTAGCATCCATGACTGGTCCACGAAGGCGCCTTTACTTGGGAACGCCAGATCCTCCCATGCTAACTGTCATTTTTGCCCTACTCCGCCCTGGCATTGAGCATGCGGCTATTTCTGAGGGTATCTGAAAACAAAAGAAATAAGAAACGACACCGAAACCCACCCGCCTGTCTATCAAGCAATGTAGAAGTAGAAGTGGATATTTATTGGGACGTCGAGGCGAGCGGGTCTAAGAAGAGGAATCGAGTTCGTTCAAAAATCCAAATATCTCCCTCGTGAGGCTTGGATTTTCCGTTGCCGTTTCGATCAATCGTGATCTTTGCGAACCAAACACCACTTTTGACCACGGTAAGTTGTCATGTTGTGGTCCGGATGGTGTTGATGGGAGCCCCAAGAGGATATACCTCATCACTAATAGCGCCTTGTATGCAATTCCGTAAGGCTCACCATGCTCATCGACAGGAGTGGGATAAAGTTTGAAAAGTCTGGCACATTTAGGCTGGAGGATCGGCCGGGAAGGAATGGGTGGTGGCTTGCTCATGTCTCGTAGCGGTGGCAGGTGGGAAGAAACATGGCCTGCTATTTGTGCAATGTTCGGGGTCGGAGTGAGGTATTCCGAGCAGTAATCCCAATGGCACACCCGAGGGTTTGTAGGTTGCGCCTGGAGATCCCATCTACCTGATGCCAAGGGGCTGAGTTGGAGATGTTCCTGGAATACATGGTTTCGTAGTATGGCAGGGTCTAGGAAGACGTGGTCGCAGCGAACATCTCCCTGTTTTCCCCATAGGCAGTGAAGGCTTGGGTAGCCATCAAGGTTGTAGGTGGTTTCAAGAGGACGGATGCCGCGGATGATAAATCGAGCAGATGGACCTTCGACGACTTTGGCCTGCGCAGAGGAGAAAGTGTTACTTACTGTGCTAATAAATTCGGTGGCTTGAAGTGTATCGGCTGCCTGAACGCCAGGAATGCGATTTTGAGTGAAGCAGGCTTGGTAGGCCTGCCAGATTGCAAGTTGGGTGATTTCGCAGTCTGGGTCTTCAACGAAGCAGCATTTAAGCCACAGGGCGCACCGTTCGGGTTCTGGATGCTTGACAAGTTCACGGTAGAGATCCTGATGTGGAGTTGGGACTTGGTTTGGAGGAGGCGCTTTGCGTTCGACCTGGTCGATGATTTCCTTGTTACGGACCACACTACCATAGTCTAAAAGGTGGACGAGATGGGGTATAAGGTCCACTGGAAGGTTGAAATCTGTAACAAGCTGTTGGACGTTGAGACGGTACCGTGAAAATTGGTACAAGAAGTCGAGCGCGACGGAAAGGAGTTCTGGGTCTTGTTTGAGAAGAGTGAGACGGATGACCTGCTCGATAATCCGGCTGGGAATTCTATCGATAATCTTCGATTCGATACGTTCAATGGCGAATAGACAAAGACATTTCATCGAGGTCATAAGTTGAAAGCGGTCTTCACTATCCATTAATCTGATAAGTGATTGGTAAAGAGGGTCCTCGTCCCATAGGTCCCAGAAGGGGCAAGTTTGCTCCACGATTTCTAAAAAGTAGTTCTTCAGCTCTATGAATCGATCCTGGCGAGGAAGGTTGAGAATGATGGTAGCGCAGTCTCTCAGAATAGGCTCTTCGGTGAACCAGCGAGCGTTTTCCTCAAGTAAACACATGTTTCGGATGATCAGGGCAGCCTGGTTGACGCGTTGAAGTTTGACGCGAAACGATTCATCTTCAACGTCTGTGTCGTCCAGGATAACTGGCATGGCTACAATACGCTGTAGAAGATTGGGAGTGCCTGTCAAGGCGAAGATAACATTGGCTTTTGAGACTGGGAGATCATTTGGGTGATCAAGCTCGATGACCCATTCCTTTCCGTAGACGAGTAGAGAAACCTTTAAAACTTGCTTAATGAGAGATTCGGCTAGCATATTAAAATCACTGAATTTGAGCTTGTCTCCTCGTTCATCTGATATGACAATGAGATGGTGAAGGGCAAAATCGACTTCTTTATCAATGTCGGATCGAACGCCCATCCAGCAAAATCTGTAGATATTCGGTACTAAATGGTAAACAGTAAGAATTTATGTAACGTATACTTACAGCCGAGCTGTCTGTGGAGTTATGGGTGGAATGACATACCTTGGTCTGGGAGGGCGAGTGTCATTATAGGGTCGATGTTTGGAGGGAGGGGTAAACGTTGAGAGCTTTGCGCGAAGACACCGCGCCGATTGCTCGGTGTGTCATGTTCGATGACGTCCATAATGAAGTGAGTAAAGTTGTGTTACTGTTTTTATAAGGGGAGATGGAGAGTTTATGCGTGTTGTTTGTGGGTTGATTTTGAGTGAGTGTAGAAGAAGGGTACTTGACGGGGCTGGAAGTGAGGGCTATTGAGGCTGCTCTTCGCGTTTGCGCTTCTGAGGGCGAGGCGGTTTTGGTAATGCAGAATTGACTAGATATCTCGCTTTAGCATCCTGCAAACAAAGAAGAATACTCGACTTTGCGACAGGACAAGCCGGGACATACCTTGCTGTGCCTCACTTAAGCTAGGGACTGCAGACCCGGGCATCGCCAGCAATGCGAGCTCGAATGAACTATTCCAGGGAGGAAAAAAAGCGAGCATCTGTCAGCTTCTAGGTTTCCACTTTGCAAGCTATATCCCGGCATAGATAACTCACAGCAGCCGCTCAGCGTAGAGTTGCTTCACCTGGTACGAGAGGGTTCCAGCCAGTCCAGGAGGCACGCCCACGATCTTCGCTACCTCCCACCAGTTCCTCTTATCCGCCGATGCGTGGAAGAAGCCTCCTCGTCCACTGATCTCCACATACAGAGCGTGCGGGTTGACCTTCTTGCTTCCAGCTGGCCAACGTACTCCAGGACGAGATTCCCACGTAGTGGTGATGCTGTTGCAACCGAGGTTAGCGGAGGCATCGCATAGAAGGCCTGGCTAAGGAAACTCACCCGTACGCGCTGTAATGCTCCCTCAAACACGCCCAAAACCGCTGCTGGTCGCTGCATACAATTTCGGCTGCCGTCTCCGTCTCTGTCTCTGTCTCTGGAGCTTCCATCGTGAGTTTTCACGTGACTTGAACGAGCAGCAACCTGAAATGTGCACGTGATCTCAGGACAGGAAGTGGGTGGTTTGATCGCAAGATGGTCAGAGCGTGTGCACGTGATGAGAAAAATAAAGCAGAGACTAGGGAGGACTAGCCGCTTTTGTACTAGCCCAGCCCTAAGTACTGCTGACTCATCAGGACATGTCAGGTGATATCCGTCCCTCCTCGAAGACCAGAACAGGAAACTTCTTCTTCTCTTTCTCTTCCTCTTCCTCTCTTCTTCTCTGCCCCCGACTTTCCACTTCCCCCAACTTCTTCTAACCTCACCTCGAGCATGCGTGGTTTATATAGACCATGAGGATGGAAGGAACTGGATACCACAACTAGTGACATGCCATCTTTGTCAGGATACAAGGAGAGTACATTCACATTTGGCCCCGTATATATGAAGGACAATGGGTTCAGTTCCGGAAACAACAGAGTCAATGGTTACTACAGATGATCTTTCACCTTGACCTGACTTTTTTGATGGGACTCCCCAGCTGGATAATTTGAGATGATGCGAGACAAGCCTCCAGTGGCCTTTATCCGGGACACTGAAACTATAGACGTACAAAGAATCAAAGAGTCCTTTGCAGCTCTCGTTCCTCTTACCATTATTACGACAATGGAATACCCCAATTAATCGGATATTCCTGCTGAGGGTGGATTGAAGAAGTCGTCTCAAGATACAAAAAGGATCATAACTCATATACCAAAACAAACATATACTAGAACTACGGCCATTCTAGATTATATGCTTGATCTCCTTCTTTGGCTGAATAAACCTCTTTAGCTTGGGCCTAGCTTGCGTCTTTTGCTCAAATGCATATGCCATCCCAACCAACTGCTCTTCGGTCCACAAGTCTCCCATGAAACTAATACCGATGGGTATTCCAGGTCCGGTAGTAACAAGTTCCCTATCATGGTTCACTTTGGTTCCATTTGGGAACGCTCCAAGTGGAACGGTGACGATAGGTGATCCAATAAGGGCGGGAACATATAATGAGACCTCTGAAGGTAACACGGCAGCGTCGAGTTTATGGCGTCTCAAAGTACCGAGGATCCCACCCTCATTGCCAAATTTGACATTCTTCTGGTACAGTGGCCAGAATTTAGGATCCGTGTTTTTCAAGCCCTTTCCGATCGCATCGTCCCATATCTTGGTGTCGCGGTCGGGATACTGTTCCAGAGGTGAGTGCTGAGTGAATCGTCGGACCGATTCAAGGTCAGTGACATTGTGGGGGTTGACCGTTAGCTTCCCAAGGAATGTGGGAATGTTGCTAAGGAAATCGGCAAGGAGCACGTCGTACGGGACAGTGCTGTTAAAGAATTCTGCATAGTCGGTGAAATCTGTGTTCTCGACGATAATAGCTCCAGCCTGCTTCATGACAGTCAGTGCGCGGTTAAACTGATCCACGACCGTCTTCTCTGAGCCAAAGATCTTGATGACGTTGCGTGGAACACCGATACGCTTTCCCTTGAGGGCATCAAGCTTGCAGGCGTTGACATAGTTGGGAATCGTTTTGAAGGGGATGGACGAGGTGTAGTTGTCGTTCTTGTCCTTTCCGGCAATGATTTGGAGTATGTGTGCAGCGTCCTTGACTGATCTGGCCATTGGACCAATGGTATCCTGGCGCTCACTGATCGGGACGACGAAGTGGCGTGAAGTTAAACCGACAGTGGGCTTGATACCGATAATGTTGCTCTTCTCACTAGGACCGATGATGCTACCACTTGTCTAGGGACGACACATTAGACCAATGCAACAACTACCTAGGTATTCCTGCATACGGATCTACTCACCTCGGTACCAATTGTTGCAAAAGCCAACCCAAGATCGGAAATGACACCGCTTCCACTGGAACTTCCGCTTGGGTCTTGGTTCTTAATATACGCCGCCGTTACTTGGCCACCGTATGCGCTCCAGCCGTTGGTAGAGTTGTTTGATCGGAAGTTGGCCCACTGCGAGGCACCTGCCTTACCCAGGATGATCAGGCCTGCCGCTCTCAACTTTGTAACGATTGTGGCATCGCTAGGTGTTCGGGCGCCGAATAGAGCATAAGATCCAGCTATAGGACCGTTGTTAACCTAAGGCCTGCGCAATTGGGGTTTAGAGGTCGCGTACCTGTGGAGCTCATCTTATCGTCGGTGAAGATGTTATTTTTGATGATCATCGGCAAGCCATGGAGGGGGCTACAAAGGTTAGTCTGGAAGACAGCCGGGTTGGTGTGAAACGGACGCACCCTCGAAGTTTGCCTTTCTTTCTTTCCTCATCCAGCTGCTTGGCCATGGCCATTGCATCTGGATTGATCTCTGTGACGGCTCTAACAGTGGAATTGACCTCTGCAATTCTCGCAACATATGTCTGAACAATGATATTAGCCTCTGAACAGTTCTTTTTAAGAAAAGGGATGCATTGGGAGGAAGGACGAACATTGACAAGGTCAACACTGGTGAAGCATCCCTTGGTCAACCCATCCTGAAGCTGTTCGGCAGAAGCATCGATAAGACGCGGGATTTCACAAGCGCTGGGATCTATTAACCGGTCAATAAGTGTATGTCCATTCCCGTCCTCGATACACTGTTCGAATTTATATCTCGCATCACCCGTCCAAGGGAGAAGAGCATTTAGCTTACAGGCAAATGCAACAGAGCTATAGATAGCACCAAGCTGCAAGAGAGCAATAATTGGGGTCTTCATGATGACTATGCCGCCTGAAGCCGGAAAACAGAATCCAATCTTTAAAAGAGCAGACTGCAAACTATTTCAACCTGATGCCAGGCACTACTTATTTAAATCCAATGGAAGAGGAATATATGTAAATTAACAGCTGGGTACCCTTAACGCCCCCCCATATTTCCCTCCACGCTGACCCTGTAGATGTGGAGATATCACTGCTCTATACGATATACATAAGTCGGCAGGGAATACAGCAGCGCCAGCCAGACAGAATCCGAACTTCGGCATGGGACCATGGAGGAAACGATGCCTGGCCGCCCACGTCCATACTTAGCACGGGGGTAATGGGTATATCGTGGCATCGCTGTGCGGGCCAAGGGCGCGGTGCTTTAACTAGCTTCCTATTCAAGATATGCCCGGCAAGTCCTCCAAGCCTGTGGGGCAGGCTAAAGTCGCTCCCGAGCATCCGCGCTGGAGAAGGAAGAATGAGAGCTTCGTCTGACCGGCTGAGCGCAACCATCCTGAGGGCCGGGCTGGTTAAAAGTCCGATGCAAGGTACGGCGTACACGCCAGCCCGCAGTAGCGCATATGAATTGGGTAGGTAGTATTGGAAGTCGAGGCGAGCGTGGATCGCCGATTCTTAATTATCCAACCCTGGCTAGCGGCACGGAGTATTATCTCAGGGATCGGGGAAGCTGTGGTCTGCATAGCAATGGGGTTCACTCTTCCAATCATCACCTGTACGCCCAGCGTGCTGGGAGAATGGAGCGTGGAGGGTCCAGAGTCGACGCCATTTTACGCGAAGCAGCTCGATAGAATTTACTGGCGTTTTACTAGAGACCGCGGAGAAGCGACTTTTCAGAGGATGATCCAGTTAGTTAAGATGACAGTGGCGACTCCCTATAATTTATAATTATTATGAAATCAAGGGCTAGTTAACGGGGTAAAAGAAATTTAAGTGGCCTAAGCATGGAGTATAGAGTACTAAGATTGGAAGTAACAAATAATATGTACATGGCAGCCGAATTTAAATTAAATAGTGCAACTATCAAATTTCAATCGTAACCGTCTCTGCCGCTCTAGACACAAGAAACTGGGGTTATGGATAAGATACCGAGTGGACTGTCCCCAGCTGCCAAGGTTGTCAATGGCTCCAGCCAAGCGCTACCAGCCATACAAATACATGTATTTGTGCATGCATGAGGCAAGGGGACGACTTTCATTTGAGGAATCGCCATCGGATAGCGGTGTGGAGAAGCGACACCAAAGAGACAAGAGGACGGAGTAAAGAATCACGTCAACTAAAAAAAAAGAAGAAAAAAAAGAGGGCGATAATCGTGTATGCAATGTGCTGGAGCAAGATATATGCGCCATATGATCGGAATAATGCAGCTAGAACGGATCGAGAAGGATGTCGGCAAGTAGTGCTTGGCCGATTGGGGGTATCCGAAAGGAGGAAAGGAAACAAGGATGGGGGTAAGCGAGCTGAACTATGCAGTCTTCTTCCACGCGGTGTTCAATCCTATCAAACTGCTCACTGTACCGGCGATACCAAGGACGCCATCGTCAAGGTTGACATATCCCAAGCTCGACAGCGGAAGCGTCAGGTCGCAAAGATCGGAAATAAGTTGCGTCGAAACAGTTGCTCGTTCCCTATAATCATCATTAGAGCCCTACTCTGCATCTTGGGGGGAGGTAGCGAGTACGGCAAAACGCACCTTTGAATCTTCTTTCCTTCCACAGCTCCTTCGCCATCCTTCTTGTTGATCTTCTTCTCCATCTCACTCAGCCTCCACATGGAGTAAATTCCGGCAATGGCACTGCACATGAGCCCTGTCAACCACGCTCTCTGTGCATGCGTCTGCAGCTTCTTGACCGCCGCTAACTTGCGAATACCAGCCGCATCGAGATACGTCACCATATCGAACGTGAGGTAGAAGCCATAACCCAGCTGTCTTCCCACGGCTAGATATTTGAGCACCGGGTCTGAGCCGGGAGCGCCAGCAACGCCTGGCTTGGAGTCAAGGGCAATAGCAGCAGCTTTGAAGTGCTCGATGTTCTTGCCGATCCGGAGCAGTTTGCGGGTTAAACCGAACTGTTTCTTGACGGCTTCGAAGGGGCTTATGGCTGATTGGGTTCGGTTCGTACGGAGGAGGTACCAGGCCAGGAAGCGGGAGAAGTATTGCAGTGTTCGCAGGACCTTATCGCGGCCGACTGGATGTCAGATGTCAGGCGGTTAGCTGGCTGCTCCGTTTCAAGGCTCACTCGACTTCTGTAGTTATAGGACTATATATACCCGTAGTTGCGATAAATCTCGAATAATGGGCCACCGTGGGGTGATAAGCAAGGGCGTCTGCAACCATCTTTACGGCTTCGTGTCTCCCCTCTATCTCTCCTTTAATGTCGGGGTGAAGAAGAATATGAACTTGGCTCGGGTACAACCACGGTAAACCAGCGAGATATTTAGATGGCGCTTCCGATAGCGGGCAACGGATCCTCTTTGTATCTTGTAAGGTCTATCGGATAGCTTTAAATATGGGGTTTTGGCATCGCGAGAAGGAACAAAGTAATTGCACGATCAAAAGCGAAAAAAGGCCGAGGAAGTTGGCGTCTGGTTACACGTGATATTTACCTCGGCATTTCGGGAGTACAAACAACGACTCGGCGGAGCGGGAGATCTATACAGCTTTGATATATCGAAGATATTGATATGAATATTCTTTTGAGCGTCTATAGACTGCATTACTACTGGCAATTGAAGGAACAACGCGATACAACTGCGAAAAGTAGGACGCAATCAGTTCTTCTCTGCCTCATTGCTCACAGGAGCTGTCTCCCGGTTCCCCATGGTGCTCGTGTCATATCCGTTCTCCTGTAGGTACTGTCTGAATCTTGTGTCCTCGAACGTAATGGTATCCTATATCTGTCGTGTTAGCTTATCTAGGGCCACACGCATCAGGATTACCGCCTTAGAATGGAGCAACATACCTGTCCGATATGCGGCAATAGGAACATGGCCAGTGCCGCACTAAACAAACACAGGGCACTTGACACAAAGAACGGATCCTGTCCTGCGCGAATGGGGTTTGGTGCATTGTCTTTGATGATCGGGAAGACATAGGTTCCTACAAACGCGCCGATTTTACCCATAGCTGCTGCAATACCATAGTATTGGCCACGGATGGCAGTAGCACTGGTCTTGGAGGCTACAAGGCCAATATTATCGCCCGGCCCAAGTTCGCCCAAGGATAGGAAGATGCTAATCTGGTATTAGTACAAATGCTAGGTTTTAAGGTTGACAGTGACATCTCGACGTACCCATATACAACAACGAAGCCAGCAACGTTCTCCGGCGTGGCAAGATATTTATAGCAACCAGCCATAATAAAGCCCAACACGCCCTGCAGTCCAACTCCTAGTGCTAGGGCATGCCTTGGTCCGATCCAGTCACTCACCCAGGCACCTGCGAATGAACCGGGAATGTAGAACAGGTTGAGCACTGTATTCCAGCCAAAGGTCTTCCACAGGGGAGCGGACGGACCCAGGACGATTTTCAGCCAAACGGAGGAGTAAATACCAAAGGAATAGGCGGAGAAATCATATATGAACCAGATGAGGGAGACGACCGACTGCATGCATGTAAGTAATGGGTAATAATAGGGTGAGGGTAAGTATCGCTTACGAGGCGTTTCCAGTAGAACCTAACACATGTTAGTATGTATAGGACGGTGGGTGAAGCAATAAACGTACTTAATGATCAGCCAAACGGGATATTTGTGCATACGCTCCCTGTTGAACTCCTCCGGCTCATTCAACTTCAACCGTAGCCATAGAAGCGACAGAGGAGGAATCACTCCCAGCCCCAACATCACTCTCCACGCAGCGCGCAGATGGTTTTCCGTAAAGATCAAGACGAGAATCATCGGCACCAGCGCGGACACGACAAAGCCAAAATCAATTTGGAAATTGGTAAACATGATAAACCACCGATTGCGATGACCGTGTTTCAATTCGCCTGTACTTTCAGCCGCTGCAACGCTACCAGCGGGATACTCGCCGCCTATACCTATCCCGAGGAAGAAACGATATGCGGTCAGGGCAGCAAAGAGGCCTGCCTCACTACCTCCAGCACCATAGGAACCAGCTGACAATGCGGCGAAGATGATCAGGATAACAGTTGAGGCCATCAGAGACCACTTGCGCGAGTAGTGGTCGCTTATGTAGCCGAAGAGAAGCTGTCCGACAACGGTACCTGCAAACGCAATGGAAGGAACATTTTTGACTGCCGACGAATTGCTATAGGTATCTGGGTATATCGTGGAGAGAATCGTGTTGACCGAACCAATAACCTTAGTGGCATTAATGAACATTCGGTGACGGTAGATAGCAGTGGACTTACATTGTTCAGGTAACCATCCGAGAAGAGACCAGCACCACAGGCGATGGTAGGCCAACTACGTTCCCATCTCGATTTTTCAAGATTCTCCAAGTGTCGTTCGCGAGCATCGCCGCTCCTGACCTCGTTCGACACCGTATCGACCGACGGGTCGGCCTTTGAAATGGCCGGATCTGACATCATAAACCACCAAAAGGTATAAGTAAGAGCCGTATATAGTAACTACTCAATAACTTGTCTGGTATACCTTCCCAGATATATAAATGAGTCCTAAGGCTGTGTAAAAGGCGTGCTGAAAAAAAAAATACGAGAGAAAAGAAGAATCCGAAGGTGGAAATCTGGCAGACGATGAAGCTTCTAAAATATCCCGGGGACAGCGATAGATTGTAACGTCAACGAAGTCGGTCTCGGGTCACCATGAGCTCCCACCAGACACTGTTATTGGCTCCCCAGTCTTTAATCAGCATTGGCTTTCTCTAGTCCCCAGGTCCATACCAGACTTTTGATCCTCTCGGCGTAAGCGCGAAGATAGAGGTAGGTGAAACCGTTTTTTGCTGCCCCTCTATGGACGGGTGAGTTGACCCCGAATCCTAGTCCTCTGACAGTACTGTGAGTGGATCGTCGGTGTGCCCCGAGGGCTAAAAAAAACGCCACGAGACGCACTCAAAGGAATCGCATTGCAGCGTCCATCATTCGCTACCTGCAACCATTCATACCGACGATTTGCAGCACGGAGGCCTGTGTGTATGCATAAGTTGCGTAGGATGATCATGTTCCCGATGATGCGAAGGGAGGGAAGGCCGGCAGCCCATGTTTTGGCGGGCCAGGAAGCAACCTGACGTTCCCCGCTCGCCCTCATTTCCGTGCCATGGAACAGGCATCATGACGGAGGGAAGAAGCGCTGCGCCTTTGAAGAATAGCTGTATATACCCACAGCAGCTCCTCCACGGCTGCAACCTGATAGACTGCACCAGCGCATCCTAGACGTGGTCAAGCTATCTCGACATCTCCGTCGCACGTCGTTGTTTTCTCTCCACGCCACGTGAGCCCGCCAAGGACGTTTAAGGCTTAAGCTCGTCAAGCATTCCTGGCGCCAAGACCCGTCTCCTGCTTGCGGTAACAGGGCACATGTCGCTGTATACCATGTTGATATCAGGGCTGTATGAGTATATTCGATAGAGATATGATCAAGCAACGGCTTTAACAATCCCCATTCAACGCACAGAGCACAAAGGTGCACATTTACCATATTTACAAAGTTATCTTCAACTCAATAAGGCCGGTCTACTTGTTCCTGAAGAAAATGCTTAGATGCTTCATGTCATATATTCATGGAAGTACTATGATCTAGAATACAGAGCTTACTCCAATGTCCTAGTTAATATTCTTGGCTGTTTGTATTACCCATATTGTTAGAGGCTCAGAAAATATCCTGGTCTCTTTCTACGTTGCACCCGCACCGGGCATTCTATCCGGACTCTCCAGGAAAACGCAAATCTTTCTACGAGAAAGGAACAAGCATAGCGGACGATATCTCCCCGGTAGCCTCAGGAACGTGTTAAATCATGGCTACTCGATCTTAGTGTTGATGTCAAAGTTACTACAAGTGGAACTACGAATAGCTTGGAATTAGGAAGTCAACTTTGTTTTGAAAATTTTTATTTCTTTTTTTTTTTTTTCTAATTTAGGGTATATTCTATAGTTCAGTTCAGTCTTTCCATCACCTGCGCTCATTACCTCTCACTCACTCGCAAACAGCAAACAGGAAAAAGCAAACAAGATAAGCAGGGTAAGCAAATGAGGCGCAAATTATAGGGATGGGACATTCTCTCAGTTAAGAGAGATAGCAGAATCGTTTCAAGATTCGCCAAAAAGGAAATGGATAAAGGAAATGGATAACAAGAAAAAAAAAAAAAAAAACGCTGAGAATCATATGCGGCTCTGACATAAAGAAACGATTATCGGGTCCAAGAGGTATTTTTGATGAGGGTGGGATCATGGTACATTTTGTATGTGGGCGGAAAAAATGTAGTGTGTAAGGGATCGTTTAGCTGGGGGCATCACCGTTGAGAACCTTCTCTGGCTCAGCAACGGCGGCCTTGACCTGGTCAACGACGGACTCGACAGCGTTGACGGCTGGCTTGACAACAGCGTCTTGAACAGGCTTGACAGCGTCTTCAACGGGCTTGACAGCCTCCTCAACTGGCTTGACGGCCTCCTGGACAGACTTGACGGTCTCTTCGACCTTGGCGGCGGCGACAGAGGGTCCAGCGGCGATGACCTCTGGGGTGGCCTCGTCGGCGTACTTCTTGAAGTTGTCGTTGAAGAGGACACCGAGCTTGGTTACCTCCTCCTTAAAGTCGGCGGAGCCAGTCCAGGATGTCTTGGGGTTAAGAAGCTCAGAAGGAACGCCAGGGCAGGAAGTTGGGACGTGGAGGTTGAAGGTGTCGTAGACCTCGTACTCGGCGTTGGCGAGCTCACCGGAGTGGATGGCGTCGAGGATGGCACGGGTGTACTTGAGTGGGCAACGCTTGCCGCCGGTGGTGGCACCAGCACCGACCCAGCCGGTGTTGAGGAGCCAGGCGTTGGCAGAGTGCTCGCGGATCTTGTCAGCAAGCATCTTGGCGTAGCGCATTGGGTGGAGGGCAAGGAAGGGCTGGGCGAAGCAAGAGGAGAAGGTGGCTTGTGGCTCGGTGACACCATCTTCGGTACCGGCCATCTTGGAGGTGTAGCCGGAGATGAAGTGGAACATGGTCTGCTCGGTGGTGAGCTTGGAGATTGGTGGGAGGACACCGCGAGCGTCACAGGTGAGGAGGATGATGTTCTTGGGGTGGCCATCGGAGACACATGGGATCTTAGCGTTCTCGATGAACTCAATTGGGTAGGCACAGCGGGTGTTCTCGGTGAGGGTGGAGTCATCGTAGTCGACGGTACGGGTCTCTGGGTTGAAGACGACGTTCTCGAGGACGGAGCCGAAGCGGATGGCACCGAAAATATCTGGTTCCTTCTCAGCGGAGAGGCCGATACACTTGGCGTAGCAACCACCCTCGATGTTGAAGACACCGGTGTCGGTCCAGCAGTGCTCGTCGTCACCGATGAGGGCACGCTTGGGGTCAGCGGAGAGTGTGGTCTTTCCGGTTCCAGACAGGCCGAAGAAAACGGTAACGTCACCGTCCTTGCCCTGGTTGGCAGAAGAGTGGAGGGTGAGGACGTTGTGCTTGACTGGCATCTCGTAGAAGAGAACGGTGAAGACACCCTTCTTCATCTCACCGGCGTATTCGGTTCCGAGGATGACCATCTCCTTCTCGGCGAAGTTGATGGCGACGGAGGTGGCACTGGTCATACCCTCGGTCCATCTGTTGGCAGGGAAAGAGCCGGCATTGTAGATAACGTAGTCGGGGTGGAAGTGTTCAAGCTCGGCGCGAGATGGACGGATAAGCATGTTGCGCATGAAGAGAGCATGGTAGGCACGGGCGCAGACAACGCGGACATTGATGCGGTAGCGCTCGTCCCATCCGGCGAAACCATCGACGACATAGATGCGGTTGCGGGTGTTGAGGTAGTCGACGGCACGCTCGCGGTTAATTCTCCAGACCTATTTTTAGCAGTTTCTTCAGTCAGCCTCATTATGCCAAGGAAATTAGACGCCAAGATATCCGCCAGCGCGCTTGCCAAGAATGCGGCGTCACGTTACCCCAGAGTGCGGGGCGAGTGATATCGTGCCTAAAGGGGCAATCAAAGGGAGCAAGAACGTACCTCGGGGCTCATGGGCTTGTTAACAGGTCCCCACCAGATGTCTTTCGACGAGGACTCCTCCTTGACAATTCGCTTATCGAGGGGGGATCGGCCGGTCTTAGCACCGGAGTAGGCTGTGAGGGCACCGCTGCAGGTGATGGCGGTTCCAGTCTCGTAGACGAGGGCATCTTCGTAGAGAGAGGCGACGGAGGGGTTGGCAATCTGTAGACAGTCAGTAATGGAAGCATTGGGCGTTCTAGGGTGAAACCTTACAATTGCAACACGGTCATAGTCGATGTGGGCGGTCTCGTGGAGTTCTTCCTCGATCTCGGTGTGTCCCACGGCGGGCCTGGGAGAGAGGTCACGGTCAGCCATGTCAAGTTGTATGAAGTATGCTAATGATAAAAGTGACGGCCAATGGTGACAGGATAGTGACAAAGAAGACAGGCATGATGACTCTTATAGACATCGTACAATCACCGCCAAGAGAGATGAATTACATTGGCAAACAAGGGAGGGATATGATGAGAAGGGGACAACAGGGGATGGCACATACTGGACACCGGTGGGGTGCAAACTCGTCCGGTTGACTGATGGCATAACCATTTTGAGGGATGTAGAGTGGTAGTTGGAGCGTTCTTGCTTCGAGATTTGCTGTCTGAAGAAGTCCGACTGTTGAGCTTGGGAGGAAGAGGAAGAGGAAGCAGGAATGCGGGAGGGACGAGAGGGTATATGTATCTGATCACGACGAGCGGAAGAGAGAGCGGGCAGCATGGTTGCTTATTATATCTAACGGCACAGGAGCAGTTTAATTTTCGTTTTCGTGGAGCGCAAGCGTCACAGGGGTTGCAGGATGGATCGTGGTGCTGCCCGGCGGGTTTGCTGCCTCGCTGCTTGGGTGGAGCGCAAAAAGTCAGCCAGGGCACGGGGTTTTCGCAGGGCCTGGGCCACCACGCTCCCGGCTTCTCCCGGCCGGTGGCGCTGCGGCAACGTGACCTCCGACTTTCCCCGGCCACTTCCCTATGACTACAACTACTCTCCTACTACTACTACGACGACGACGACGACGACGACGACGACGACGGTGATACTAGATGGTGATGATGGTGATGATGGTGACACTACGATACTGAGATGATGATGGTGATGATGTACAAGAGCCCAACTTGCTCTCCTAGTCGCCTTGGCCAGCCACTGGAGCCGCAGCCACACTCCGTACAGCATCTCCGTCCGTACAGGCTCCGTACCTACAGGCATTGGCTATTTTTGTTTTCACTTTCCCTCCGGTTTCACTTACTAACAATAACTTTACTCAATTGAACGACCAGGAAAATCTCTGCAGGCCATGTTGGATGTGGAAGGTCAGCGTGTGAAAACAAGGCTCAAACACAGCAAATAACAGGCCCTGCTTGCATGGATCGAGTTTGTGCTCCGTACGGGGCCATCATGGGTTACCGCCATGCTACGCCACAATGCTTACACCCAGCATCGTCCTACGGAGTCTCCTTGACCTCTTACATCATCGCTGGCGCCGTGGCTTGGAGACTACCTCGGTGGCGATTCTCGTGGGCTTGCTGGCCAGACTACCAATTATTCAGGTACACTCGTCTGGCCAGGCCGCCTTGCCGAGTTGCCATTGCTAAGAGCTTCGTATGTGTCTCATTCCGCGTCACGTTGCGCTTGAGGTTTTCTAGCTCCCGCCGCTCAGCTTGCTAGCTCCATCGCAAGGTGTACCTTCTGATGCATGTTCGGCACCTGTCCGAAGGATCGTTGTCCATACAATCCATCCACCTTCCCCGCCGGACCCAGCCCATGCACGAACAGGGATAGAAATTTTTCCCTCTCTCCCCCCTGTCTGCAGGCTTTCCCGCAAATGACATATCGTGGCTTTCCAACAGGCGGCATCAGGTAGGGCTCGGGAAACAGGAGAATGGAAAATGGTCAATTGGGCCTCCAGAGATGAAACAGAAATGGGACCCTGGTACCTTCTTTCCCGTCTTCCTCCACAGCTCCGTTGCTTCGGGCAGTCATCCTCCGTCCTCTAGAACCTGCCATCCCTTTCTTTTTCTTTCCCCCTTATTTTTCTTTTTCTGGGGTTTTCGTTGTCGTTTTCTTCATGGAAGAACAGCGCAGAAGCAGGAACTAGCCGGGGATCCTGTGCACTGACAGCTCCAGAGCTCCCAAGTCTCATTTTCGCGCCAGAAGCTGGAGACGTACGGAGGAGTCGCACAGCTCGTCAGAAGTAGCCCTCTCGCTTGAAACCTCGTCATTCCTGGCTGAATCCATCGATCGCCGTTGGGCCATGTTACACCGCGACTGACTCTGTTCCGACTTTTTCTCTTGCTTCCTAGTCAGGTCCAGTTTCGGCAGCGGTTCATGCCGTGCGAGGATGCAACGGGGATAGGTCGATCGTTCGATGGTCGGTCGACGGTCACCCCGATGCGGGAAACGCGCTTGCGACGAATTCCCTAAAATAATTATAATTGAGACACCATCGATCGCACCAGCGACTAGTGCATCGTGCTACTGCGTCTTACGTCTCCTGTGCTCCGTACGACGTGCGGGAACTTCACGCTGAAGCAATGATCGGGGGAAGAACTATCTCCGGGGTTATCTAGAATCCCCCTACGGAGTGCTCCGTATACTATCTACTATCTACTTATCTTATCGACATGAGGGATGGGATATGCTGCAAGGGTTCCCCTCATGATGCCTTACCCTACTAGTCCTAGCCCTGCTGCTGGGTGATGTGCAGCGGATAGCTATCAGTACTCTTAATATAAACTTCTGACCACACTGTATTATCATATACTTCATGGAGCAGAGATAACGACGTCGATGAGACGACATGACGACCGGACTAGTGGGATGAACAAGCTATTGCCTAGACGCTTAGAAGAGCTTCGCGTGCTTGTCTGGTATATCAGTTCCTGGAATAGAATTGAAATGAAGGGATCAGTCCAGGGATCTCCTGAATGCCGACCCTTCCTGCCTGGCCTGCTTCCTGATACTTGATACTCGACAGAATAATGCCTCAGTTTGAGGACCCTGACTTGACCGTCCATCCATGCATCTGACTCCGGCTCCTTCGTCCTTCGTCCTTCCCGGTTCTCTATCCCATTGATTCAATTATCCCTCATACATCGGACATGCTTTCGTCATCTCCAATCGATAACCAGGACTATCAGCCACTGGCTGTCCTATCCAGGATCTAGGCCGGATTCTATACAATAGATCATCCAGCCTACGTAGACTCCGTACACCTTGCCCGTCTCGAGCTTCCCCTCGCTATCTACGGAGTAGCTGCGTAACTCTCTACCAGCCACTTCTTCATCCATAATCTGTTCACCACCGCCATCGTTTCACATGCGCCCTGCAGCGAGGAGAGCCCGATGATCGACGATCGACGAGCTGCGTAACGCGCTTACTGAGCTCACATCCTCATATCCGCCCTTATCTGCATCTCCCTCCTCCGTACTCCGTATGTACCATGATTATAGCATTATTATATTATATATCTAGCTTGTTCGTCACGGCTAATTCCGGCAAGACTCCGGGTATTTACCTTGGCTTACGCACTTTCCGGTTTCCCGGGACGCCCCGAGGGGAAGGTGGGAGCTTGCCGGGGAAATCGGCCGGTTTGTTCCGATGCGGGAACTTGCGTTCTTGGGAACCAGGAGAATGAGGAACCAGGAGAAAGGGGCAGTAGTGGGATATTTAGAGACGCGGTTTATGTGATGGTGGTGGTTGGCGTGGTAACAGGAACAGGGATGGTGTGCATATAATCTAGATCGGACCTTTTTATTCATGCAAAATGCAATTCTATATAACCAAGATCGTCATGGATCAATTGGATATGCGGCTAGATATTTATATGTAACCGATGTATGCATCATCTATCCCTCCTTTCTCCGCGTCACTTGTCTCGTCTATAGTCGTTATTCAGTCTCTGAACTCGTTCATGAATTCGCCATGGAATTTAACAATGCGATCCACCCAGTCGGTTCCTGGAGCTAGGAAGGTCGTGCGGAAGTGCAGAGTGCCCTCTTTCTGACCGAAGCCTGAGCCGGGAACGATACACACGCCTGTAGCATCGAGGAGGCGGAGGGCGTAGAATACGTCTGGTTTACGACCTGCCTTCTCGGCAGCAGCGATCGCTTTGGCGGAGAGGTTGATGGTAGGGAAGAGGTACATGGCGCCCTATACGGTCGTTAGGATGCAAGTATTCAACAATTGAAGAAGTAAAAGAAGTAAAAGAAGTAACAGAATAAGATAGACATACCTGAGGCTCCTGACACTCGACGCCTTCCATCTTCTTGAAGGCCTCGTAGAGCGCAAACGCACGCTGTTTCAGGCCTTCGGAAATACCATTGTATTCCTTCTCGTACAACTCGTAGCTCTCCTCGCCCTTCACGGGTGGGTGAACCATGCACTCGAGCAGACACTGGCCAATTACCGGTGGGCAGAGCATGATGCTCACAAACTTGTAGATCTGTTCGACGACCTCGGGCTTGAAGCCGATAATCTCAAAGTAGCCACCACGATGTCCACATTCGCCTACCATGCCCTTGGAGACGGAGTGGAGTGAAACCAGCTCGACGGCATCGTATGTATTTGGGAATTCGGCCTGGAGCTCGCGCAGGCGTTTCTTGAAGGATGTGAATTCGCCCTTGAAGACGTTGGTCTGGTATACCTCATCGGCAATGATGACTAGCTGCTTCTGGGCAGCAATGTCGATGACATCCTTGATGGCCGCGGGGCTGAGACTGGCGCCAGTGGGGTTACCGGGGTTGATGATCACGATGGCACGAATATCAGTTCCGGCAGCCTGGCCGTTGGATAGTGCGGTTTTGATCTCTTCGACATCTGTGGCCCAAGCTTGTGCTTCGTTGAGGTAGTATGGTACGCAGGTAGCGTCGATGAGGGCGAGAGTTGCGGTGTAGAGTGGATATTGGGGGATAGGGACGAGCACACCAGTCTTCTTGCCAGCACAGATGACGTTGAGGAGCGTGTTGACGCCAGATGAGGCGCCGGCGGTCAAGTATATATCGGCCGGGTTGGAAGGGAAGCCGTCACGGCGGGCAATGAAGTCTGCAACGCTCTGGCGGATCCCGGGAGCGCCTACACTCTGGCTGTATGCGCCGACACTCTGGACGTCTGCCAGCAGCGTCTTGGCCCGCGAGATGACGTCCGACTTGTATCCAAAGGAGGACTTGAGGGCTTCTTCATTGTCGAGCAGGCCCGGGTACTCCAAGATACTCAGCACCTGTCTGGAGAAGGTTATGGGTTTCTGCTCGAGCTGCTGAGGGTTTCCGATATTGGCGAAGATGACCTTGTCGAAGGGAAGCTTTTGGCCTTTCTCAAGAGCCACTCGGTACTCTTCCGCCTTGACGGCCAGCTCTCCACGGACGGCATACTGGGCGTTGATAACGTTTGGGTTGATGTTGCCCCTGTTCATGCGGGGAGTTGGAACGGAGCCCATGGTGGAAGAATATCGACGAAGGGTAGCTGCGAATGAATTAGTACGGCCTGCGTATATAAAGGTAGTGATGGCAGCAACAACGCAGAGAGGATGTATTGTAGAGGCAAAGAGCGGACAGCCCACCACTCTTATACGTTTCCCATGACTCTTGCTCTCTTCCTGATTGACTTTGCTATAAAGGTGGGGGTACGATGCGGGATGGCGGACCAGTGATGCATGATATGGCCTCTTGTCTATCCAAACGACGGACGCCGACTGGACTTACCTGCACTCTGTGACCGAGGCGACGACGGCTTTGCTGCCAGACGGGCACCGGGGAAGCGAGGGGAACGTCCGTAGTATTGAGCGAAAAAGCAAGTATAGCAAGTTGATGACGCCGTGGTGATGGCCGGTAGAGAGAGGCGGGGAGCCATGGTTAAGACGGTTAGATCCAGCGGCGAGAAGTGAGAGTCTATGACGGTGAGACGGAGGTGAGCCAGACGTCTAGCTGGCAGGCCCGTTCATGTTCCATCTGCTCATCGCGTTTCAATGGCTTCAATTGACCGACTTTTGCACTGGGAGTGTACTTTATGCGACAAGTTGCGTGTCAGTGTTGGTGGTTAACAGGGGCTTGGCGTGTCAAGGAGTGAAGGAGAGCCAGGATATGACCATCGACAAACCTGAGGCGATGATATACGAGTGCCAGGGGGAGATAGTCTCACGGTATAGCATGGGGAGGCAGCTATGGTCGGGTGTTGATACGAGATGGGAAGAGGGCCTACGTATGACGGTAGACGGTCAGGGGAGAATGAAGAAGATCAATGCTGTACATTTCTATCTATCACTGCCGAGGGAGTAAGAACATGAACAGAACAGCTAGAAGTCATTGCATCGACTGGTACAGGGGGGCTAGCCACGCTCACTCCCTCTCAACCGCACGGCCTGTCCGTACTTTTGTAGCTTCGTGATCAGTGCATCTCCCTGCTTGACCGCATCGGCGTACTGTTTGTTCTTGTCGTCAGGCCTGTTGGTCTCGATGATCCCGTTGACTCGATCGATGGTGCATGATATCCTGTCTCCTGCAATGAATTTCGCAAGGTCCCTATACATAAATGGTTAGCATTTTGGGTAAACGGAAGAAAAAGGCAGTGAACACATACCGGTCAAGGAAGTCGACAGTGACGCCGAAATCACCGGCCATGCTTTCCAGACCTACGACACGGTAACTCTGCAGTAGCTGCTGGTATCCGCGTAGTCTCATCTCACGCACAAACCATGCACGGTGCTCGAACAGATACCTATCCTGGCTGAGGAAGTTATCTTCTACAGCCGCTAACGCTGTGAAGAACGTGCGGTACTGCCCCATGTACAGACTGCGAACCAAGCTGGTCAACGGGGTAAAGTCGACGGGAGTTTCAGTCTCAGACTCTACGCCGGTCTCGGTGCCCAGGGTCGTAAGGTTAACGACTTTGGATGCGGTGGCAGGAGTAGGAGTTGCGCTGGTTTCGGCATCTTTCATCTCTTCATCACCTGCTCCAGGGCCAGAGGATAGAGCACCTGACAAAGCGGATAGCCTGTCCTCTCCTTCTCCTAGCAGGGCCTTGATCTCAGGCGCATCAACGACCTTGGCCTTGAAATCCACACGTTTAAGTGACAACGATCCAGCAAGGACGGAATAAATAACGAGGTTAGAGTAGCTGCAGAGCTCGTAGCTAGTGAATGTTGACAAACTATCAAGTAATAGAGGAGCGGCAAGGTTGTAGTTGCGGATGGTGAGCATGTGTAGGCCCTTGTAGGCCTTTAGACGATTTCGGCGGTCCCAGTCACCCCCGGATTCGACAAGGGTGTTTGCGCGGTCAACGTTTTTCTTAACGAAGACCTTGTCACCAAAGAACAGGCCAACGCGAATCATGGCAAGCACGATATCAATTTTGGTTCCTAGGACGCCGGTATTCTCGAACACGGCCTCATACGCTGCAATAGCTTTATCCTAAACCCAACCCACGGATTAGGAAAAGAAAATTGAGATCCAGAGGCTGTAGTTAGGATGTAATACATACCTTATCACCTACTCTCGCCCAAAGCTCCGCCCTCTTCCCTCTCGCAGCCTGCACCTCCGTCTCGCCAGCCGCCTCGGCCGCCTCCTCCTCCTCCTTCGCCAACCCGTCCAGCTCCCGTTTATTGTCAGCTACCAGCCGATCATACAGCTTCTCATCCCATACCAGCTCCGACCGAGTGCTCGACGGCCTCCGCGCCAACATATCAGAAGTCACCACCACACCGGTGCCGCCGGGGCTCGAACCGCCTGCTGCTGGGGTCTGTGACGTACCCTCCCCAGAGCTATTAAGCACTCCTTCGGTCGGATGGGCAAGGTGCCTATACAACGGGGCCATGCTGTGCTCTTGTATGGCAGATTGGAGCTTCTTGAGCGAGCTCTGGCGCGAGGACGGGAGACATGCTGGGTTCGAGAGGTTGAAGATGTCCTGGCTGAGAGAGAGGTCGGGGTATTTGGCAAACTGCGGGTCAGAACCCATGGCGACAGAGAATGAGAAAAGAGTGTATCTGCGTGTTTATGTGTGTTCGTAAGTGCGGGAGGCTGGAGACGAGGGGAAGGTTGATTTGCTGGTTGAATGTTGATGTTGATGCGAAGCTTGAAGCTCGGTCGAGCTAGGCCACGATTTGTATGGTCACGTGAGAAACCTGCCCCGGCCAGGTAAAGAAGACGCTTTTAACAGTTTTAACAGTTGTCCAGCATGATTATGGACATACATCTACTGGAACGTCTTATACTAGTTCATGGCTACGTACGGAGTAGATATTTGATATTTGGAATGTTCTTATTATCCACCCAACTATCAGAGGATATCAATGATACGGGTTGTCTCTCAAAAATATACTCTTTTATACCAAATGCTAGTCTCAGTATAATAATACATGAAGTTATTCTTTGATATACCGTCTTTTGATCAGTTGTAAGAGTGAGCTTTTATATAGATTTAGATGGCAGGAAGAAGTTAGGATGACTAATGATCTACGGATAATAGTTGCTCCTTAGATATCTTATATAAGCATTACATAATATTGACTAACCCGAAATGGTACTGATGCCAAGACCAAAACAACCTCCCCAAAGCGGCTAGTCTTCCTGTCCTTGTTCCGCCCGCGATTTCATCTTTAAAGACGAAGAAAACGCCCGCGATTTCGGCTTGCGTAGCGACGACGACGACAGCAGCGGAGGATTCGACCTGGTTGGACTGATTTACGGATATCGAATATACACACCGCACCGCTAGCCGGCAGGACGGACAGCCTGAAGAGCCGGAGTCAAGCCAACTACGCGCAAACACCTCTGGATCATTACTCGAGCTCGATACAAAAGGACTTGCTGGATTAGCATTGAGGGAAGGGCAAAGGGACCAGCTGAGTTACGCGAGTAACCAGAAGAGAAAGGAATGGGATAGAGCGCGATTGCTTCGGATTCATCGTTAGCGGGACTCGACTTGCGCACGGGGGTTGGTTACGCGCCACGGTCGAAGATAAGAGAGTGCTGCGTGGGTTGAATCAAATCACCAAGGAAGGACAGACGACGTCTATCTATTGCGACCGACAGAACCATTACCTCCGCCGTTTGGCGCAGCGTCATTTCACCGGCATCCCACAACCCCTGGACATGACTGCCGTCCTAGTGGCCACCAGCACGACTACGAGAAGTACGGGACTGCTTGAACATCATATTGGAAATATTAGCTGCGGGCCAGGCGGCGCATCGACTCGAAACAGCGGTGTCATAGACGAAGAAAAGTTGTTGCTGAGAATACGTCCAACTACACGACAGGCTCATCAGGAATTGTTGACTGGATCGCCAAGGTTGGCTATGTCACAGGCGCGCGGGAGGGGAAAGGCACCTTCGACCGCTAAACTTCTCTCCTCTGCGGCTAAAGAGCATGCGGTTGGGAGAAATGGAGTAAATGGGTCGGCGGTGAAGCGGAAAGCGAGTGAGAAATACTCTTATCCCTACCACTTGTGACGAGGTGGTCAACAAAGACCGGTGATTTGTTTACTGACATTGAATGATATGCAAGTAGTTGACTACGACGAGGATGTCGAAGGCTTCCAGTTCACTCGAGCGGGTAACACCAAGAAATCGAAACAGACGAATGGAACGGTATCAAACGGTGTTTCAGAAGGAAGCTCGACATCAGAGCTTAAGACCACTACTTCCATTCCGCGGCAGAAGAAGAAGTTGGTCACGACGCGAAAGCAAGCGACGAATGGTGTTATAGAACCGTCTTCAGAACCTGTAGATAATAAATCTGCGCGAACCAAAACAAAGCGGTTGGCTCAGGAGGCTGTTGACCCTATACCTCAAAAGCAATCAAAATCTCGGAACAAGATACCTGAATTTGAGCCTCCTCCCATTATTGTGGCTAAGAAACGGAAACCTGTAAAGGCGAAGGATCCAGAGCTGCATGAACCCCAACAACAGCAAAGACAAGAAAACGGGGAAGCCATACAAAGTTCGCCGGAAGACTTACGCGATGCTGGTACAAAAATTGCACTACCGTTTGCGGACACACCCGTCATTCAAAGAAATAAGGATATGAGGAAGGAGAAGAGTCGCAAAGGTCAAAGAAGAAGTAGCTTGAGTCTTCGAGGACGCAGAGCAAGCTCGTTGATTGATAGCGGTACTTCAAATGGTGCGGTTGTCCCTGGAACATATTTTGCCCTTCTAGGGAATTGCTGACATGGATTCTCAAATAGCTCTACCACATAAGAAAGTCGACACAGCACATTTCTATAAACATATAGCGAGTGACGGCTTACCAGAGCCACGGCGGATGAGGCAATTACTCACATGGTGCGCTACCAGAGCTCTTGGGGAGAAACCAACTGGCTCACGATCGGAAGATGAGAGTGCGAGATTAGCTGGTATGTCGCTCTCATTGGCAATATCGAAAAGCTGTTTGATTTACTAATAAATCGTCTATATATATATAGCCCGTGTCATACAAGAGGAGTTGCTTAAAGACTTTGGCGATCGATCAGATCTATCAGATTGGTTCAGTCGCCCAGAATCATCATCTCCAGCAGTTGTGGTAAAAAGGCCGAATCCAAAGAACGTGCAAAATACAGACAAGATAAAAGAGCTAGAAGAACATATTCGACGGTATGCAATTCTTTTAATCCTGAAGTCCAAGGATATACTAAATAGATTGACTACAGACTTCAAGCAGAGCGGCAATCTCTCGCCGCACTGCTACGGCCTCCATCAATACCCCCTATAAGATCCCCTCCTAAGGCTCCTGAACAATCTACAACTGCCCTAGAAGTTTCAGCGAAGCCATTATCCCATAAACTGCCAGCCATTGACCCATCACTCCTCGATCCATCTCAACAGCCCCTCTTAGATATAATACGTCAACCAAAACCAAACCCAAAACCTAAAGAAACACATCCCGATCCAGCCGACCCGAGTCCAGACATTGACACTTCCATATCGTCAATATCAGAACGCCTAACGCGGCTATCAGCCTCTCTAACGCCAACGTTAGATTCCTTTGCGGCCGGTATACACAATATAGAAGTCTTCCGACAATCTGCCGATAACCTTAGCAGCCACATATTACGAGTCTGTGCGCAAAGGCTAGAGGAGAGAGACTTAACACAAGGCCAACAAGCTTCAGGGCCATCGCTTGAAGGAGAAGAGGAGGGAAATAGTAATATACGCAGAGCGGTAAATACAGAGAGGGAAGATTTAAGTGATGTTCTAAGAGCTTTAAGTAGGCTTGAAAGGAGATGAATATAAACCTTTTTTTTTCGTCTTGATTGCGTGTGTATCGGATTTTTGGTTAAGCGCTGGGGTTTCTTATTGGGACGGGAAGGAATAAATTGATCGTTCAATTGAGTTAGATACCTCTTGCTTTTGCGTTTACCTTCGTTGCCTGTTTGCTTGTATATATTATGATCTCAACATGACGTGAAGAATGGACTCTCTCAGGGACCAATTATGCATATATTGCGACTGAACTCCTCTTGCTAGCCGAAGAACCAAAACACCGCCCAAAACCATTATGTATCGAAATCCGAGAACATTATAAATAAGAACTGAGTAAGATCCAACGTCAGATCAATCATCTGCTCCGACAGTACGCTGCCAAACTTCATCCATGTTGCTCTTCCCTTTTGTCTCAGGAACCCACCAACCAATGAACGATCCGAGTATCACTGCCATAGCCGTGAAAAGCCAGTAAATCTCCCCCTTAGCCCCCATATAATCATTAAGAGCCGGGAAGAATTGGGCTATGATAAACGTAGCTATCCAGCTTGTCGCCAATGCCCAGCTTTGTGTTGCTCCAACTGCTTCAGGTCCAACCAACTCTGAGGCTAGTATGAAGGGAACTGGGCCAAGGCCAAACGCAAAACTCCCTACAAACAAGAGAGTGGCCACTGCGGAAAGGATCTTGAGGCTAGATGCCATTCCGATAGCAAGGAGCATGGACATACTACCCATTCCGGCTATGCTGAGCAAAATACATGTTTTGCGCCCAAGTTTATCGGATAGTGGTGCGCAGACGATGGTCATTATAAGGTTGAGACACGACACCAACACCGTTAGAAGAGCCGCAGTTGTGGGTAAAATGGTGGAGAGAATCGAAACGCTGTACATGATTATACTGTTGATGCCAGTGAATTGTTGTGTGAGCATGACCGCAATGACAGATATTATTGCAGGCCTGTACGTTGGGTTTGATATCGCGCCAAACATGGTCACTGGTACTTTGGCGGCGGGCATGGTGCTCTGTGAAGTTGCAAGGAGGGACTCCTCTTCTTCTGCTTCAGAAACCATGGCATCACTTCGACTAGAAGGCGTGCTGGCGGCCCAGGTCTTGGTTTCTTGGCTGATATCTGCAGTTGGACCGCGTATTCTCTGGAGAGCTTTTTTAGCTTGACCTAGTTGCTGGTTATCTGCAAGCCAGATAGGGCTTTCAACAACGAATACAAGGCCGACGAGCTGAAATACACCTATGACGCCTGATACTGCAAGAATAATACGCCACATGCTGCCTTTGCTGAGAAAGTATCCCAGTCCCTGTGTCATTAATATTCCAACATTGGCCATTACCTGAGTGAAGGCTCCGAACAATCCTCTGCTATTTGATGGAGAGATTTCGGAAATATAGATCGGCACAACCACGAGGGAAGCACCAGCGCCAATACCGGATATCAGTCTCCCGGCCACAAATAATGGAATGTTAGAAGCAAGAGTTTCAGCAACGGGTCCAGAGATGAAAAACACTGTCAACACGCGAAGAACAAGTAACCTTCCATACTTGGTGGAAAGAGGTCCAGCCGCGAGAGCACCCATGAGTCCGCCTAGAGTGTAGCTCGAGGACACTAGGCCAAATTGTGCGTCTGTCATAGGAATACATTGCGGGAGCTTAGTAGAAGAAAAAATGTGGTCTTTCTTGCAAGTTATCACCGCTAGAGGTGCATTTAGCTCAGCCTAATGACGGGAAGAGAGTCCGTAAAGCTCATGTCAGCTAATGTAACCTAATCCCCACGGGGGAATCCAGGGGGATAAGCTGCCTCTGTAAAGATGCAAGTTTCATAGAAAATAATGAGATGAAGATAGATTTACCAGATGATATCCGAACTGTAGGGGGCCGAGTGTAACTATACAAACGAGGAAGATGAGGTAGGGAGTAATCGTGGCTGAAGTGGAGGTTGGAGCCATTTGTACATTCATTTAGGACCTCGAATATAGGATATATAATGTTTAAAAAGGGCTTTTGACCCAGTCCGCGGTATCCGCGAAGTCAGCCCTAACTTGGTTGCTAGAAAAGCGATACTCTAGCATTTGGTACCTGGAGGATCAAGACGTGTAGTTGGATATTCACAAAGTGACGTCGAGATGTTTAGCGCAGGTGAACAATTGCTTAGTCAGCAGGATATTGGAGTCGGATATAGCATATCGAATGCTTGAATAACTATCTAAGTGCATGGCGAATTGTAGTTGGCTAATACTTTTAGATACTTGTTGCATAAGGATACCCATGCTCGTCACTATTTTATTCTTTTACGGTCATTGACAACTTTTTTTGGCCATGGAAAGCAAGAGTTATAATGAAGTATCTAATCGTAAAAAACTATCTATTTGATAACCAAATTGAGTATAGATACACAAGAGAGAACTAGAAAGAATATCTAGAATGATTTAAAACACTAGAAACATCAAACAAAGGAGAAAGCTATAAGACATAAAGAAATATACATATGTTGATGATTTACCAAAAGGTGGTAATGTTGCCTCTTTGGCTATCGGGTGGATATAATTTCGTCTTCGGAGTTGTTCATGAAAATTTCATGGCCAACCATGAACTGGCTCCAGCCCATCTTCTTGGCCACGCCCATCCACTTAAGAGCCGGCATTCCTTCTAGTGCGGCAACATCCTTATCTTGCAATACTTTGTCTGCAAAGTCCTTGATATTAACATTGAGAGCACTGGAGTGAGTGACGATTTGCGGCTGGCTGGAATTCATTATCTGTGAGTCGAAGATAGACCCCATGATGTCTCCAGTAATGCGTTCAAGAGGAACAATGCCTAGACTTCCGCTGAGACCATCGAGGTCTGGTTTCTTCTGGGACTGCTTGGCGAGTGACAGAAGCTCGTCTAGAATCTCATTTGGAGCAGTAGAGATGTTGCCGTGAGCCTTGGTGGGGCGATGTACAACAGTCTTCAACCCTAACTCATTCGCTGCGTTGACAAGTACCTTCTCTGCAGCCCACTTAGACGCGACGTATCCGTCGCTACCACTGGCAGGGGGAGTGTTGAGCGAATAAGCGGAGACTCCTCCCGATGAAATGAAATGGATAGGAACCTTGCGAGGATATGCGATCTTGACGATTTCTTTGACGCTAGAGACATTGGTAGAGCGGAGGTGGTGGTACGAGTCCCAGAATGAACGGTTGGCGCCAAAGTGAAGGATTGTGTCAACTTCGCCGGCTAGGACAGTCGCCTCCTTTTCGGATAGACCTAGACGTTCCTTATCGAGATCACCAAGTTTGATAGTAATCTTTTCTCCGTGGTTAGGGATACGCGTGATGGCCGAAACTCCATTTTGTGGGCGGACAGCGACAACGTATACTTTCGAGATGCGATTATCTGAGGCCAAACGGGCAAGCATATTCCTACCGAGGACTCCAGTGGCACCGGTCATCATAACTACCATATCCTTCTGTTTTGGAGGTGAGACTTCGGAGATCACACTTTTGTTGTACGCGGGTAGTGTTGGGAGAGCAGTTTCGGCATCCCAATCCAACTGTTTGACTCCAAGGGCATCGTCGATTAAACGGGCCATGCTCCGCAGTGTACCGGCATTCATTATGTCGAAGAGCTGAATGCTTACGCGGAAGTTTTGTCGTATCATTGCTTGCAATTTGACAAGCATGAGGGAATTGCCCCCAGCATGGAAGAAGTCGGAATTAGGCACTAAAACGCGTGTAGCGGGAATTATCTGGTTCCAGAGAGTTGCAAGATGAGCTTCGGTTTCCGTATGATCGGCAAACTCCATTGCAGACGCATTTTCCGCCTCTGGGATTGGAAGAGCTAACACAGCCTTTCTGTCAATTTTGAAATGCGTGGTAAAAGGGAGATCATCCATCGCAATGAAAATGGTAGGGATCATGTACTGAGGCAGTGCTAGAAGCATCGGAAGACGTGCAAGGAGGTCATCACGATCCTCGGTGTAAGTTGCAGAGAACACAACATGGGCAACGAGGAAAGCAGAGTCTTGCTCTCCGCGTAGAGTAACGACCGTGTGTGTAAGGGCACCAGTAGACGCTTGAAGTATGCTGCTTTCGACATCTTCCAGTTCTATACGCACACCACGTAGCTTGATCTGGGTATCACCATCCATTCTGCCTTCGAAAAAGAGAGCACCATCTTCAGTAAGGCGCCCCTTATCGCCAGTACGGTATACAATCCCGTCTCCGCCGAAGCTGTTGGGAAGGAATTTCTCTTGTGTGAGCTTATCATTGTTCAGGTACCCACCAGCAACACCTACCCCTCCGACAACAATCTCGCCAGCGAAACCAAGAGGAAGAGGGTTCATCTTCGGGTCCACAATAGCAACAGAGTAATTAGGTAGCATAAAGCCCACTGGAGCTGGGTGCCCTGTTATCATAGAGCGGTATGGCAGCTCAACTTTAGCACATGACATCGTGATTTCAGCAGGCCCGTAGCTGTCAAACACTCTGATAGGCATGCCCAGTTTGCGGAACTCTTCAAGCACGGCATCCGAAGCAACTTCTCCTCCAAGGAAGGCGCACTTCCAAGACTTACACTGCATAAGATTGTCTCGAGCATACCGGAACCACATGAGATATTCGGATGGGGTTGTTGCAGTGTGTGTTATCCCTTCAGAAGCCATAATGTTGGCAATAGAAATGGGATCGCCACGCTGCTCTGCTGGGACCACATAGAGTGCTCCACCATGAACAAGTGCAGTGAATATTTGTTCAAGTGATTTGTCAAAGGAGTATGCAGTTTGGTGCAAAACATAAGAAGCAGAGTCCTTTAATGCAAATTGTTTCGAACAGCCTTCAAGCTGCCTAATAATGTTGCGGTGGTTGATGTGAATACCCTTGGGGACTCCTGTGGAGCCACTAGTAAATAAGATGACTGCGACTTCATCGGGTTTTGCAAGATTTGGCATGGCTTGGCTAGTGGTTGGCAACCCGGAGATATCAACGACAACGGAATTTGGAGCCTTGAGATATTCAACGTCACTTCGGGTTTGGCTATGGGCAAGGATGGCGTGAGGTTTGACTTGATCGACAATAGCGGCGAGGCGAGGGAAGGGGGTGCGGAGATCGAGGGGAACATAAATCGCTCCAGCACGGAAAATCGCCAGTAGTGAGCAAACCCAGTCAGCGGTGGGCTGTTGGAAAACAGCAACTTTATCTCCTCTCGCAACATCTGCTGCGACTAAGGCAAAGCAAATGGAGTTGACCCGGTTCGCCATTTGTGAGTAAGTCATTGTCCTTCCCGTACCATCTTTGAGGCACATGTTGGTGCCGTACTGATCTACTATATTGTCGATATGATGCATCACGGTAGGAGCCCATTCGTACTGAAGTGAAGGGCCTGTTTTACATCAGTCATTGTTTCTGCATGTATTTGGGTTAGAAGACTTACCACGGCCGACTTCGATTGCCTTGCTGATTGTTTCCCCACCCCATAGATCAGGTGCATTCCAGTCTATGGTTGGGTTATTGGCAAAGGCTGTTAGGAGGTTCACGTAACCTTCCAACAACAGCCTCGTATGTTCTGCTGTGTATAGTCGCTGTTGAAGGCGAAGCTCAAGTCGGGTATCCCCAGTTGGATTCTCAACGATGTCGAGAGTCATGTCATAGCCTGTTCTCGCAAGATGCCATTTTTCGCCTACAGCATCAAGGCCCATGTATTTTTGTCTTTCTTGGACGCCTTGTCTGTAGTCAACAAAAACTTGGAAAATGGGAGTGGAAGTGGCTGAGCGGGGGATCTTTAGCTCATCTAGCAGGACATCAAATGGCAACCTGGAATGAGCAAGCCCAGTGTACACCTTGTTACGAACTTGTTGTACTGCATCCCCGAATTTTTCTGCAGCATGACGCTCGAAACGAACAGGCAGGAGATTAAGGAAGAATCCTAAGGTGTTGATAAATTTGTCGTCGGTCCTGTTTGCGTCTGCAACACCAACGAAGAATTCCTCACAATCATCAAGTTGGCGGAAAACAAGGGCCTGCAGAACCGCAAGGAAGAAGTGGAATGTGGTTGATTTGAGGGACCGGGAGGCCGCTTTAATTTTTGCTGTCAGAGCAGGCTCAATGCGGATGTCAGCGCTATATGTGCCATACGAGTCTAGCGGTAGACGAGTGCTGATCTTTGAAAACGGGAATAATGGAAGGGGGCTGAGGCCATCCGGGATAATTTCACGATAATATGCGAGATCCGCATCCATATTGCCGTTCTCCCAATCTTCGCGCTGCGTTCTTGCGAATGCGCTGTATTGAGAAGATTTAGGAATATCAGGGAGTTTTCGGCCTTTATACGCCTTCTCGAGGTCGCTATAGAAAACGTTGAAGCTGAATCCATCCATACCAATGTGGTGACAGCCAATGACTAGATAGTGCATCGTTTCTGAGGACGAGAGTAACGATACTTTCATAGTTTCCCAGTTTTCTAGATCCCACACGTGAGATCTAATCTCATCAAGCTCTCTGTAGGCACCCGATTCGTCTTTGCAGTGTTTAACCACTAGCTTGACTGCAGAGGTTGGAATCACTCCCTGCATTGGGCTCTCCATGTATTCGCCAGTAGAAAAGTATCGTGTTCGTAGAGCCTCGTGCCTCAAAACAACAGCATCCAAGGCTCTTTCTAGGTCTTTGACACGAATACGGCCATTAAGTCTGACCAAGATTGCCATGTTGAACGTTGTCTTATCACTCAGTGCCTGGTTAAGGAACCAGAAACGTGACTGTCCAAAGGACATCCTTTCGACGAATTCGGATCTCACCAAGCGATCGAAATTCTGTGTACCCTGGTTAATTTCGTGGGCTCGCTTTGAATCATCACCCAACGATTTAACTGTGGCATCCGTGGTTGCGGCAACTGGGGGCGTCAAACTGGCAACTGGCACCTTGCCCTGGGGGTTGGTGGCCTGCGTGGACTGAGCAGAGTCAACTACCACCGATGCTGGCTTGATAACAGGCTTATGAGCCTCTTTTGGCGGAGTAGGGATTTGACCGCCGGTTTCAGGTTTAGCTCCTTCAGAGCCAAGCTCGGGGACCAGATCAGGAGATATTCTTTGCATGGCATCATTTATAAGGTCAGACACGGAAGAGCCGCCTAGTACCTTGAGCACAGGCATATCAACATCGACTTCCCTAATAAACCATGTCCGGATTTCAACGGCAACGAGGGAATCTACACCTTGCTCAACTAGAGAGGCAGTGTTGTTAAAGTCGTCCTCCTCTGGGATGCGTAACATCTTTTTAATCCGTCGCGTAAAACCGGCTATGGATGGATTTAGTAATTAATGCTTCGAAAAATTGGATGGGAAACTTACATTGCATGATCTCACAAATTTCCTCCTCCGTAGTTGCAGTCAGAAGTTGGATTCTAACAGGAACTTGAGCGGACGAAGAACCATCTTGCTTTGCCGATGTACGTTCTAGAATAAGGTGCGAGAATTTCGTATCTTTCAGGTATGATGCCCTGATATCTCCATCCGCATAGGTAGGGACAACGCCCGAAACAACTTCATGACTCTCAATGGATCCTGGTCGGCCTCTTACAATTGCCTCTGCAAACAGAGTATGGATATCTTGTTCAGAAACATTCCTGTAGCCGGATCGTGAGAACTGGTCGATGTCCAAATCTTCAGCGCGCTCGAAGTAACCAAGACCAATGAGGGATGAAATAGCTATGACGGAAGCAGCAAGGCCTTTTCGGCGACGCTGCAAGCCAAGGGATTCCATAAAACTGTTGGCACCGATATAGTTGCTTTGACCCGCGTTTCCGATAAGAGCCGTGATGGAAGAAAACAGGATGAAAAAGTCAAGTGTATTCTCCGAAAAGAGATTATCCAAGTTAATTGCACCAAGGACCTTCGGTCTTAGAGCAACCATTAGATCGTCGTAGCTCATGTTTTGGAAGAGGCTATCAACGAGAACCATTGCTCCATGGGCAACACCACCAACTGGTGGCATAGTCCGACAGATTTTGTTATAGCAGGCGTGGAGCGCGTCCGCATCCGTAATGTCCCTAAAAAGAATTAGAAATAGTTGGGAATTATAGAATGGACATAAACGTACAGTGGCATTGGTTTGATGGTTGCCCCATACTCGTCTTCCATGCTCTCAATCCACTCGCTATTAACCTTCGGCTTCCTACTAGTGAGGACAACGTATCTCGCGCCACGGCTCACCATCCATTCGGTGATGGATTGGCCTAGCTCACCGGATAAGCCAACCATGAGGTATGTCTTTTCGGCGCTGAACAGGTTAGCGTATGGATCAATCGGCTCAACAGTGAGTGAAACTTTGGTATCTGCCACCCAGTCGATAACCGTAAGGTGTTTGGTTTTATCGGCATAACCTGAGACATCACTCAACGGCAATGTCGGCCTATCATAAGGTAGAGTGAAGTTAGCTGCTTTTGCAATGTCAAAGCCTGTAGTTAGAAAGTTGGAGATCAGTTCGGCGCTGATGCCTGGGCTCATTGCAACGTCATTTCCAAAGAACGTTGAGCGATCGGATTTTTTACAGCACAGGGGTAGGCTCTCTATAAAGTTAGCCATGGTATTCTCGTCTAAGACATTGGAGAAGTTGATGAACGTGGATACTCCTTTTGGTAGTTGCTTCTTTAGCAAGCGGCGAGGAGTCTTAGAATGAATATATGTCCATTGTGGTCCTTTCTTCGAAAATTGTGTGGTTGTGAAGAATACCCGAATCCGCTTTTGCGCAGCTTGTTTGCTAAGGGCAGAAGCAACAATCTGATCAGGGTCGTGCGCGAGGATAGTGCTGTTGGGAGAGGCTTCCGTGATAATTATATAGGCGACGAGATTCGCCGCAATAGAAAGAATCATTTGTGCTGGATTGACATTCCCACTATACGGTATAGTCCAGGACTTCGGTACGTGAATCACTGACTCGCTTCGATTGGAGAGAGCAATAACGTTTTCACCACAATCATTTATGCCATAGCACAAGAAGAAGTGACCTGCCAGAGGTACTTCCACAGATTGAAGCAACGACTTTGACACGGTAACTTCGCTGTCTCCCTCAGCTCCAGTCGTCGGTTTAAGTGGGGATGGCTCACGGAGATCATAAGTGTCCTTGTTGCGGGTCAACTCAATATTGGATCCGTTGCTAGGAGCCTCATGGGTGATGCGACGTTTGTATGAATTATACCGATCATTCATTTTATCAGCAGACATTAGCCTTGGTGTATAGATCTTGTTATCCTCGAGATGATATTCTGATTCATCACTCCATAGAATAGAGCCTGGCACAAGTCGGTTGTTTGCCGCGTTGAGATTGAGATGTCGTAGCAATGTTTCCGCTAGAAGTTCGGCAGAGTTTGAGTCAAGGATATCGATATCAAGAGCTTGAAAGTTGATACCAGAATACTCCCTGCGAAGCGTTCGTGCCATACCAACTAGCATACGGGAGTATGGACTCTCAGATCTGTTACCCTTGGTCACCCATAGAATGTCTCTGGGCCTTGAAAATACCTCCTTGACGCCCTGGAGTTTCTCTGGCTGGTTGTCCATAAGCTCTTTCATGATCGGAACGTCAAGCTCAGCCAAATTGAGGACAGTGGCCACGGCTTCCGTGTCACTATTGGCAAATTCATCAATTGAGGTAACATTGGTAATCGAGCTGAAGTGTGGACGTAGAACGCTGGTACATTCCGTAACGAGCTTTGCAATCTCTTCAGTCTTGCCTCCAATAATTACGAGATTCTCCCGCTGTGGGTGGGCATGCTCGGGTGCAAGAGGAGATCGGAGTTGGTGAATTTGAGGGTCAACGGCTTGAGTCGCCATAACAACCAAATGGTCTATCGAATCGATATTGGGGGTGAAGGTGTCGACACCGGACCATCCAGTGCGTCTATAGACCTTATCCCACTCCTCTACAGAAATTGTCGGACCCCATGGGCGACCTGTTTCGGCACCACACCACCAGCCAGGGAAACCTGACATCGAAAATCCCTCCCGCAAGCTAGGGAAATAAGTGGCAACTTCCATGTTAATCAACCAACCTCCAGGCTTGACGAGCTTGCGAACATTTGACATGGTTAAATCCATATCAGGTCCTACGTGGAGCACGTTGGATGCAAGAACCATATCATAGTGGCCTTCAGTAAATCCTTGTTCACTTAGATCTTTTTCCATGTCGAGGGTCTTGAAGATCATGCGGTCTGAATACTCGCTAAACCTTTTTTCGGCAGCTTCAAAGAAACCAGCAGAGATATCAGTGAAGGTATAGGTGGAAAAGGCTTTGCCAAGGGTGGGTAGAATCATTCGCGTGGAGCCACCAGTACCAGCACCAATTTCAATGATATTCATTCGTGGGTATCTGTATGCAACTTGGGCAGCAAAATTCGCCTCCCATTGATTGGTGATGTCTAGACCGATAGCTTCTTCATAGAAGCGATCGAGGATGTTGTCCTTCACGGCATACTCATGAATATTCCCACGCGTGCGAATAACATGAGCAATATTTTGGCCAACAGCCCTGAGAATACCAATATCAGCACGTTTCCCACCATCACCAATAAGTGACTCCACGAATTCCAGAGTATCATTGACAGCCTCAGGCCCAACGTAAGGATGCTCTCCGTTGATAACCTGCTCATGGACAAATCTACACCATCTGAGCATGTGTTTATAGTGGGGAAGCGTTTCCTCCTCTTCTTTAGGAGTGATAGTGCTGAGGAGCTTGTTGATCCAGTAAAAGGAGAATCGCTCTGAGTCCTTCGCTAACTGAGCATCAGCTTCAGGTAAGCGATTTGGAGCGGCAACAGCTCCATCCGGTTGAGCCAGGTCATAAATGAGATTGGAGAATAGTTTAACGTCGTTTTCCTCGGATGCCTTGGCTAATGGAACAAGAACAATGCCCTCGATTTCCATGAGGACCCCATTTCGATTTGGAGCAAAGACTTCAATGTCGGCTACTGGGGTATCGTGTGTTCCACTAGTAACAGCAGCTTGCCAAGGCCACACAATTTCTTCCCCAGGCGGAAATACCGCCAATTTTGGATTGATAGACAAGCGGTGGATCTTAGTGGGCACATGAATGGACCAGAGCCTATCATCACCAGGGGAACTGAAGGCAGCGAAAACAGCCTGGAAGCTGGTATCAACGAATCCGGGATGCATAAGGAAATCATCCTCCCAAGCTCCCCCACGGGCGTCGATAATTTCTCCGACGGCAGCGTCCTTTCTGCGAAGGATGGAGCTAATTGCCTTGAAGGGTGGCGAATAGTTGTAGCCCATATCTGATAGATATTTATAGAATCGATCAATGCCGACACTTGTCATGTTAAATTGCGGAATCGGGGAAGTAGAAAGGGCATCCACAGTTGGCTCGCCAAAGCGGATGGATATTTTCCCCCTGCCGTTCAAGGCGAGTACAGTATCACCCTTAGGACATGACGATATTTGGAAATTTGCGCTGATAAAGTCGGACTCGGAAAATAGAACATTAAGGGTAAAGATGACTTCAATGCCCGTGGTGTCGTCAAGGAAGGATATGGCGCGAGCAATCTCAACCTCTTCTAATTCGATGAGTTGTACTTCCTGGTTGGTAGAAAGTGTCATTATGGCCTCAATAGCCATGCAAACATAGCCAGATGCTGGGAAAACATTCTGGCCCTGGAGTCTGTGGCCAGGAATCCAAGTAATTTCCTTGGGAAATAGGATATTTCTCCATTGGACTTGTGTCCCGGTGGTCCCTTCAACAATATTTACACCCAACATAGGATGGGGAGCCTCGCGGGTGGTGTAGGAAGTGGCCACGCGAGAATCAAGCCAGTAACTCCTTGCATGGTCCCAAGAGTATTCAGGGAGCTCCGCAGACAGATTCTTCCGCTGGGTATTCGCAGACATGAGCTTATCATAGCCTCCGAAGTCGACGGCTGAAGGCCCAAAGCATTCCCATATATAACCAAGAGCAGCGGAGAATGCTTTGACATCATCTACACCACGCTCTAGAAGGCCAGTATAGGGTGTTCCTCCGACACCGGAGGCCTGTTCAAGGTTTTCTAGACATGGCCCCTTCAAAGCCGGATGAGGCCCAATTTCGATGACCAAATCAAAAGGACCTGCCTCTTTCACAGCTGTAATCCCGGCTTGAGAGAATAAGACGGTGTTATTCATGTTGTCTGCCCAATACTGGCCGCTAAGTGTGCCTTTGGTCATTTTCGTATCAGGTACAACAGAAGAGTACCAGGAGGTTGATGAAGACCCTTCTCTGAACTCGATACCACAGGTATCCATTGCTTTCAAATACATTTCGGAGCACGCGTTCATGTGGAAGGAGTGGTACGCGGTGTGTACCCTGAGTTTTCGAACAAATTTGGATTCGTCCTTGAACACCACTTGAGCTGCGTCGATTGCATCCTCATCGCCAGAGAGAGTGACGCTAGTAGCAGCATTGCTTGCGGCAACAGTGATACGACCCTCGAACGCCTCAAGTTGGCAAAATTCCTCTGCATCTTCTAAAGTGGTACCCACTGCCATCATTGCGCCCTTCTTTCCAGAAGCAGACCCAGCGAACTTGGCATACAGGCCTCGGTAGTATGCCACGCGTATCGCGTCCCAGGAAGATATGAATCCAGCAGCGTAGGCGGCAGCAATCTCTCCAGATGAGTGACCGATAACTGCCTTGAACTCCAGGTTAGTTCCAGCAGCCTTGAGTAGGTCTATTAGAACGATTTGAATGGCAGTACAGAGAGGCTGGGAAAGGGCAGCTTCAGCAAGGCGAGATGACTTCTTATCAGCCTCAAGCTCCCCTTGGATCGACCAGCTTGGTCTGTCAGATTCTGGTAGCTCCTGAAGCGACTTGTCCATCTGTGCGACTATACTCCGCACGTGGGAAGAAGCTTTAATCAGTTCGCTACCCATCGTTGGCCACTGGGCACCTTGGCCGGTAAAGACACCCAAGACCGCTAACTTCTCTAGTCCTGAAGAACGAACGCCAAGGTTGTCTTTCTGGCTGCGAACGGCGTCAATTCCAGCGACAAGGTCAGTTGTGGTTCGACCCGAGATGGCGACTTTGTATGCTAGAGTCGAACGGCGGTTCTGCAATGTCCAAGCAACATCGTTTATGTTAGGCGCATTGCTTGCACTCAAATATTGAGAGTACGTGTCTAGCATCCCCCGAAGGCTTCGCTCCGAGTGGGCGGAGAAAGTTAGGGGGGTGAATAAGGGTGTTTCCTTGCGAGCAACATATCCTTCAACGGGGTCATAGCTTTCGAGAATTGCGTGTGCGTTGGCACCACCAAAGCCAAAGCTATTGACGGAGGCACGCATTGGTTGGCCAACAGGGGTAGAAGGCCATTCTTGACTAGTAGTTGGGATTTGCAAATTCGTGTAGAAAGGCGCGACCTTCTCAGCTACCTTGTTGAGGTGCAAGTTCGGCGGTATCGTCTTGTTTTGCAAAGCTATAGAAGTGCCAATAAGACTGGCGAGGCCGGCGGTGCCTTCGGTGTGACCGATGATGGTCTTGATAGAGCCAACCCAGAGCTTCTTTTCGGCCACTTGCCCTTCCTTGAAGAAAGCTCGACTGATTGCTTCAGCCTCTTGGGGGTCTCCAGCTGGCGTCCCTGTTCCGTGGGCATGGAAGAACTGGGGCTGGTCGTTAGGATTCAAGGGGTCGAGGCCCGCCTTCTTGTAAGTATCGCGGATTAAGGCCGTTTGGGCAAGGTTACTTGGCATAGTGATACCAGTCGTGCGGCCATCCTGATTAAACGCGGTCTCCCTGATCACACATTCGATATTGTCGCCGTCTTTGATGGCCTGGCTCAGCGTTTTCAGAACTACTGCGGCAAGTCCTTCACCTCTTGCGTAGCCGTTGGCACCTTCGTCCCACATTCGTGACTTTCCGTCAGGAGAAAGCATTTTCAGCTTACTTTCCGCAATGTACATGCCTAAATCATAATTAGTCAATGCTACTCGGTCAGCGGTAAGGTATAGATCACGCACCAGGGGTCAGAATCAAATTAGCCCCACAGGCAACAGCAACATTACAGTCTCCGCTTCTGAGAACCTGTACAGCTTCATGTACAGCCACCAATGAAGAGGAGCAGGCCGTATCAATCGTCATGGATGGCCCATGCCAATCGAAGAAGTAGGAGATACGGTTAGCCATAATGGCACGAGAGATTCCAGTAGCGGCATACTGCGGGAGGCAGTCCCAGTCCTTTGCCAGCATGCCGGCCCAGTCGTCACACATGAGCCCAACATAGCAAGCAGTAGGCGACCCGCGAAGGCTCTCCATGGTGACGCCAGCGGCACACAGGGATTCGTAGACGGTCTCAAGCAACATACGCTGCTGTGGATCGATAGCCTCACACTCATTTGGTGGGATATTAAAGAAAGTTGCATCAAAGGTTGCGGGATCCGCCTCGAGGAAATAGGATTTGGTGACATTGCTGGTGCCGTGATGCGCATTGTCTTTGTGGTGCCAGACGTCTGCGTTGAATCGATTCTCGGGGATAGATTTCGAAATGTCGGTGGGCTCTTTCAATAGCTCCCATAGCTTCGAGGGGGTGGTACTATTCCCAGGAAAGTTGCACGCACTGCCAATAATGGCGATAGGCTCCTTGCGTTGAGGCATGGTGGTGTAGTATGTAGTTGATTGGGGCTTTACAACGAAGGAATGAGGTGTGTATGCTTGGGATAATTCGATAGAGAGGCCTGGGGGACTGGGTATTGATATTCATCTTGTCCCATACCGATTTTACCTACACATAGCTACGAGCGTTTTGTAGTTTGCCGACGGCGATGCGTGTTCGGTGTGTTAATGCAACCGAATCGGTTCATTCTAGGTTGCCTCATTGGGGGCACTGTGGTTTAGTTGACTTTGCGGCTGCGATGCTGACCATGGTCCAAATGCTTCCATAGCTAGGCAACCTTGTGCTCTATTCTTAGACAGTATGCAGGTTGGTTGACCTCAATATACTTCGTATGCAATAGTATGGTACCCTGAAACGCATGTTTGTTACCTAGAGTAGTCAGCATGCTCTACAAATCCTTAAAATATTGAGCAGCAATATGTTTTTTTTTTTTTTCATTAGCAAAAACGGATAACTGGTACGGCAAGGGTCACCACGTTTATCGTGTTGTTCAGGGTTGCAATATTCCCCAATAGGCATTTTTCAACACCACAGCGCAATAGCCTATCGATAAAAATGTCGACGAGCCCTGGCTGCACCATGTGTGCACCTGTAGATCTCCAGTTTTTCTTTTTCCTCCCCTGAAAGGTTGATACGAGGTATCATCCCGTGGCCACATGGTCCAGATAGGTCTGGTGTTCACGCGGGTATCCAGCCACATTGCTTTCCTACTCAAAAGTCACCGCTATCGGAGGATTTCTCGATGGTAGAATTCTTGCCAGGGATGCTGAAATCATGCCGAAGACGCCGTATCATCTAACCGGGGTTAACAAGGGGAATACGAGGAGTAAGAGCAAGGAGCAAGTCCCTGGAATGCGCGTGGCTATGTCGAGCCCATCTATGAGCAGAACAGACAGCCATTCTAGCCTCCTTTCACTAGGAGCGACGTGCTGGGGCTGATTCTGCCAGAGAGTCGATGGGGTGTAGTTGGATGTTTGATGTTGGAGTTGAAGTCGTTGATGTTTTGGGGCCCTGCCAAGCCATTCGCCCAAAAGGGACCAAAGTGTTGAACGGAGATTCGGTGTAATACTGCCTGATCGTACGAAACACGTTAGTCAACTACGCCGTTTCATTAAATATCAGTGTCAGCTCTCCATCATCGAACAAATGCTACGCCCGGCGTTTTAACGCCTGTTTCAGCTGTAGCTGGCATCTCCGCGATGGCAAGATACATGGCCGTATGAGGAACATAAATAGAAGCTCAATATCGTGTATTTAGATGATCAGTGCTTGATAGATTGAAATCTCATAGATTGCTCCAGACCCACCTGACCAATCAAATCAATCAAATATCTCGTATCTCAGACAAAGAGACCAGTGATGTCATCGACCTTGTCCAACATTTTACTTGATATCAACTGCAAGCCACAGCTCTACGCCCATTTCACACGACATGAGCTCATTATTCGCAAGATTAGATGCTTGCTGGTCCTATTAACCGCCCAATTGCGGTATCTGTTGCTTTCAAAGGGGCTAGACAGCTCATTTCATGCCCTTTAGCACCTCCGAATTTTACCTGTGATCTCTCTGCAAGAGTTCAGACGCAACGGCGGCGAGATATGAGCACCAGTATAGACGCTTTCGACCCCGAGTCGAGCGTCGAAGTGGCAGTGGATGAACAGGCAGTGGAACAAGCAGTATCACTACCGCCGCCAGTGAATAGTGGCTACCTGCCTCTGCCCTGGAAGGGTCGGTTAGGATATGTAAGCTTCGAAGCTGCATCGATACATCGCAGCTGCTGACCTTCCCAGGCGTGTCTCAATACGTACCTCCGCAATGCAAACCCTCCGGTATTCTGCTCTCGGACATGTCGCATTGCATCCATCCTCGAGAACCGACATCCCCTCCAAGACCCATCTCAAGCCCGCCATGCGACCAAAAATCGACCAGACCGTAGCCAACTTCCAGACATTGCGAGGGGCCAAGAATTTGTCCAGAATTTGGGGTTGGCAAATGCCCGGGACTTGATGACGCTGATTCGTTGGAACGTGCGATTTGGAATTCGCTTCATGAGAATCAGCAGTGAGATGTTCCCTTTTGCGAGCCATGCACAGTACGGTTATAAACTTGCGCCATTCGCGTCCGAGGCGTTAGCTGAGGTGGGACGTATTGCCGCAGAACATGGTCATCGGCTTACCGTTCATCCTGGCCAGGTAAGACTGTTTGTTCGAAGCTGGCTCCAATCCATTGGATAATAGCTAAACGTTTTAGTTCACGCAACTTGGCTCCCCACGCAAGGAGGTTATCAAGAACGCCATCAGAGATCTGGAATATCATGCAGAAATGCTTAGCCTCCTAAAACTACCAGCCCAGATGGATCGCGACGCAGTCATGATTTTACACATGGGCGGCACGTTTGGTGATAAGGAGAGCACCCTTGATCGATTTAGAGAGGTATATTCGACATTGTCGCAAGATGTTAAAAACAGACTGGTATTGGAGAATGACGATATGAGCTGGACAGTCCATGACCTCCTACCCATATGCGAAGAATTGAACATCCCTTTCGTGTTGGACTATCACCACCACAACATTCTTTTCGACGCAGATAAGATTCGGGAGGGAACACTCGATATCATGTCTCTCTACGACCGGATAAGATCGACTTGGACGAGAAAGTCAATCACACAAAAAATGCATTATTCAGAACCTACTCCTGGAGCGATCACCAAAATGCAACGTCGGAAACATAATCCTAGAGTATACATATTACCACCCTGTGATCCAACGATGGATCTAATGATTGAAGCCAAAGATAAAGAGCAAGCTGTCTTCGAACTTATGAGAATCTATAAGCTCCCAGGGTTTGAGAAGATCAACAATATCATTCCATACTGCCGTGACGATGAGAATAAACCCCCCAGTAAAAGGTCGAATTCTGCCAGTACTAGCGATACTCCCAAGCTTGCCTCAAGCGAGATCAATATGGGTGGCCCACATGGCCGAGTCTATTGGCCTCCAGGAATGGAAGAATGGCTTCGGCCTCAGAAACGCGGACCAAAGACAGCAATGCTCCAGGCCAAAGAAACCGACAAGTTAGATAAACCTCGGAAACGAACAAGACAGAAAAAACCAGAATCTACCTCAGACGAGAATGACGATATATCACTCACAGATGACCTATCTGACGCGAAGCAACCCGTGAAACGACAGAGGCCAAAAGCCAAAGAAGAGAGCAAACCCCAGGAAAACCAGAGTATTCTACCTACTCGCGCCTCTAGAAGGACAAGAAGTAAAAGGGGGGATTAATCTAGTGGATTTTATACAATGGGCTCCTACCAGCGCTTGCCTTATAGAGCGCATACAATTTTAAATGAGAATTGAAATTTAAAAGCTGCGGAAACGTTCCTATGGCAGCTACCAATTAACACACCAGTATAGAATACATCAGTATTTTCTGAGGCTGCTGCATTATGTCCCTCCACTTGTTGGCTCCTAGGTTAAATATTCGTATGGTGCTATTAAACTTTCCTTAACGAATATCATATTTGGGCCTTTGACGTTGAAGGGAAGTTTCTTCCTATATTCCAAAGGAAGAATTGGCCACAAAAAAAAAGACACCGGGATGATTCGGCCGCTCCAGAAGGAATCTAATGTCTATCCAAACGAAAAATTTCTTGGAGCTTTTAGAGAAGGTCCGGGATTTTGACGAAACGCGTTAACCACTCCACCACAATGCCTTTTCATCATATGGACGGGCTCGCGTGATATATGCTGTCAAAACCTATACCCCCATACCCATAACCACTATATCATATACCACTACCGGATGAATATACCAGCAACATGGTCTGGACCTTCGTAACGAGCCGCTGAGCAGCTGGACCATGTTTAATTCCAAACCGAAGGCCAATTTAACATTATAATAGGCTATTACTATTATTACTGGGGTTCAGATAACCATCCCCACAGCACATGGGAAGTGCAGAACCGGGCCTCAGTTCGGCGACTTCAGCTTCGTATTTAGTCGGCGAGAGCTTCGAGGCGGCAAGCCCTGACACACAACAACCACGGCTTCTCTAATACGAGGAGCCGGCAACATGCCCTTCGGTGCATTGCTCGAGGATCAGGCACAGTGTCCCCGCGGCATACTCTCGATCCTTCCCGCCGGTTCATTGTCTACCATGCTTAAACCCGCTATGGTTTCGAGCGATAGTATATCGAGGACATGCTAGCTATATTTCGGCAGCTCTTCTCACGCCGCTCGAAATACTAGTGATTGCAGCGACTACAACTCAAACATTGCCTAGTTGATATACCCACCCCCTAAAACCATCGAGATGCATGATTCACATCGCATTGTCTCTCAGGTCAAGGACCATGACCCTGTGATAGACGGTCCTGCGCCTCATTGCACGGAGTACGAGCACATATTCTTTCCTCGACTCAGCTGCCTAAGCAAAACCCATTTGGAGGCATGGATTTTTGACGCGGTCGACCCGACGGTGGACAATGTTGCCGCTACCATGACATTCTTCCGCGACGGGACGCAAGCGGTTTTAGGGAAATGTCCAATTCGCGTCACCTTTCGAGCCAGCTTGCATGATGGAAGCAAAGTAGCTGGTGAACTTTTCGCCAAAGAAAGCATTGTCGAAGTCAATACAGAGACTGGGAAAGTTGTAGGCAAATGGATAGGAGAGAAGAAAGAGGGCCAAAACGATGCTCCGTCGGCCCAGTACGAAGTCCTGCTAGACACTTCAGAAGCAGTTGTTACGCTCAACCTACCCACTGTCCAAGGCACTTTGAAGCTTCGACAAAAGGGCAAGAAAGATATCGACACCTCCGCCGAGAGTCAGCTCATGGGGCCGGGGTTATCATGGGTCCATGCAATTCCTCGTGCCAAAGCAGAAGTGGACTTTACATTCTGTCAGGAAGACGGGCAGAAACGACTGCAGTTCAATGGCTATGGAGGCAACGACTATTGTCGATCTACCGAGTCAATGCCTGACATGATGGAAGGGACCACGTATGTCCGCGGCCACGCAGGCCCCTATACATTCGCCCTGTTCCGCCTCTTCAGTCGCCTCAATCCGGGCAAGACATATACTAGGGCCACTTTGGTGAAGGACGATGCAGTGCTCTGTGAAATGGTCTCAGATGATAGTGTCTCTCTGACGGAAGATTATCTAGCCTTTCGCTCCACGTACAGCGGCAAAGTGAAGGGAAATTATTCTGACCATACTTCTGGATACAGAGTGGACTTTGTTTCCCCTGCTCGCAGCAAGCATTGGTCCTTCGAACTCAATCACCAGACCTTGTGGTGGAGCATGCCGACAGCAGCACCTCCGGCGAAGACGGGAAACAATGGTTTTATTTCGGCAGTAGTTGGAGGTGAATCCGGGGAGCCAGAGCACCAAGGGATGGCTACCATAGTATATATTCAGATGACAGCTCTTAAGTCTGACTATAAAGGGATCAGTAACCGGCAGTTGTAATACTAAGAGGATGAGCTAGAATAGTCATTGAAATTTGAGAGTTCCCACTATTGACTTTACCTACCTCATTTTTTATTTAAGGACGGCCATAGACCGGTGTAAACCTACTTACAAGCTGGTCACCAAGGCTACTAGAGACAAATTACTTTTGCTGTCGAGATTCAACCAAAGGCCAAGTATTCCCTATCTCAAAACGACGAAGAGGCGCGCCACGATCCTTGTGTAAGACGGGTAGCCTCCAATTCGGCGAGAATCATATAACGGTCCCATCCCGGCGCTGATGGTGCCGATTCGGAGGCTTTCGGACGGCGCATTGCAAATGTTTCTCATGGAATAACACCTACAAAACTTAACAATGCCACACGGAGAGAATATAATGCCTTTGGCCTAGCCAACAACTTTTCTATAACAGAAAACCCATCCAAGGTACGCAACAGATTCAACAGACAAGCAAAGACGTGCGCGAGTCAACAGCAATGACCCAGCTTCCAGAAAAACAAACAGCCCTCACCTTTGGCGAAGATGGCAACTTGCATGTCTCTCACGAAGCCCAAGTGGCCCAACTAAAACCCGATATGATCATTGTGAAGACGGCAGTGGTGTCGGTGAATCCTGTCGACACCAAGATGGAAGCCGGATTCTCCAAGCCCGGGCTAATTGGAGGGTGCGACTTTGCGGGGGTTGTTGTGGCGGTGGGCTCAGGGGTTAGGAGGAACGTCAAGGTTGGAGATCGAGTTAGCGGAGCCGTGATGGGATCAGATCCTCTTGACCCTTCTTCAGGGGCCTTTGCGACCTATGTTAGCGCCCCGGCGGATATTACACTCACCCTTCCCGAAAGCGTGCCCTGGTCCATTGGCGGGGCTATGTCCACCATCTGGTTCACTGCTGGTCAAGCTTTGTTCCAAAATCTCTTGTTAGAGCTTGATGTCTGGCCGGTACTCCGGCCCGCTAAGGAGCCAAAGACCGTTCTTGTGTATGGAGGGAGCACTTCAGTGGGCACAACAGCAATCCAGTTGCTCAAGCTTGCAGGACTCCGGCCGATTGCGACATGCTCACCCAAAAATTACGAACTAGTCAAAAGCTACGGTGCTGAGGAGGTGTTCGATTACCGCTCGCCGACGTGTGCGGAAGAAATCAGAAAGGCGACAGGGAACAACCTAAGATATGCTCTTGATTGTATCTCGACGAAAGGCTCGATTGACATATGCTATGGTGCCATTGGCCGCGCTGGTGGGCACTACACCTCCCTAGACCCCTTCTGGGAGTCAACAGCTAGCACAAGGAAGGCCATCAAGGCTACCTGGATTGTGGGAATCTCCATGCTGGGCAAAGATATTGCATGGCCGCCACCGTACGAGAGGCCCGGAAGCGCGGAGACAAGGGCATTCGGAGGGAGGTTGGCTCAGGTTCTCCAGAAAATCCTCGACGAGAAGAAGATGCGGCCTCATCCTCTGAGGGTTAAAGAAAAGGCAGCATGGGAGGACGTGCTTGCCGGTCTAGACGAGGTGAAATCAGGGGCGGTATCAGGCGAAAAACTTGTCTTCGTGTTTTAAACCGTTACTTCACAATGTAGTAGTTTATCCTGCAAGTCACTGCTAACTTGTATTATCTGGCACCGGGACCTAATAAATATGTAGCGATAGCCAATCTTAGACGATCTATCATGCCCATGGCTTTTCATCGTAAGTAAGGACCTCCCTTATGGCGTAGTGGCAGGGATATCCATGCCTACATAGCTCGAGGTGATCAACCCATGAGCCACAAATTTATGCAATCCCTATCGAGTCGATCAGCACTAGCATTGGCCACTGTTCAGTCGTGTCCTATATGGAGTACTTCGAATTTATGCAAGATGGTGCGAGCAAATGATTCGACGTCGATGCACTAAATTTTAAGCTTTAAGCATTTTAAGCTTATTAGTTATTTGCAACCGAGCCACTGGCCATTCCTAATTCGATGACAACCCACAGCTTCGTGTTTTTCCGCATAGTACACAGACAGACGATAGTTAACTATCTTGCACCGTCGCCCTATTTATCTAACTACGGAGTGTTCCGTACACCCTTCCTTATTTCATGTGTAGCTTCACTAGGCACCTTCACCACGTCCTACGGGGAAGAAGCCATCGTGGAGTCAACTTGTGTCTTAATATAGCAACACTGCAAGGTTATACCGAGAACTGGACCCTAGGCAGCCCGTATAACCATGAAGGCATGTTACTGCGCGCACTTTCGCCAAGTCTCACCTACATCTAGGTCCTGCAGCCTCTCCATCTCGACATTTCGGGACACGGCGCGTTTCAGCTCTCACGGTAGAGCACCCCTCTCCTGGCCCTATCTTGGGGCCGGAGGTATTATATCTGCCCTCTTATACACGTGGAGACAGCTAAGGGAATATAACTTGTGGCATGGCATCTCCCCACTCCCTCCTCTCCACCCACTACGGCCGCAGGGGATCCAAGTGGCCAAAACCGGCACTCGAGCCCCTCAATTGAGACTCGCTCGTGAGGACGGACAGTTTGCGCATTCGTATATCTCCACTATTGCATAGCGGGAACAGCTCGTTAATAGCTTTCTGAGGTGGCGCCCACTGTTCGCTTCGGGCTAGATACACTCACATCACACTCGTGTAAGTAAGCTGACTAGGATTGTGACCAGCATTATTACTGCAGGGGCAGGGCTTTTCCTTCCTATCCAATATCTTGCTATCTTTGGTATCTCCAACGATCGTTGGGTGATTCTCTAGCATGTACGGACTACGGCGTGCGCCTTTTGATAGCACCGCCATCGTTCGTGCCCATTGTGTCCATCCTACCTGATGCATTGATAGGCGGACTGGGGTCAACATTGGTATACGGTTGGTGCAATGAAACCCTGGCAGTTTGGTCCTCACCTTGGCGTGTTATATCCAGCACTTTTATATTGGTTTTCGTGAGGTAAAACAAGCTCTCCAGGCTTTCTTGTCTGTGGCTAACTAATATCCACTCCTAGTAATTGCGGGAATATCCATATCAAGACTCAATGATACTGTTGCCATCTTCAAGAATGCATTCAATACGAGGAAGACCATGTAGGTATAAAAGTTGAAGGACCCTGGTATTTCTCGCAAGGAGATATATTATGACCTTGAACCGCGGAATGCCTATCCTTTTTGTTTTCTTGGGATAGCTCTTAGTTCCACCCTCTCCCTTAAATGCCCAAAGCTTTTCTCTACTTTGTTACCCTACCGTACGTTGGTTGTCAGACCAGTACCTCATATCCGGGAGACCCTCGATTGCTCGCCGTCCCAAAAGCTGCTTTATTTTTGCCCCTCCTCCCCAAAATAAGTCGAACTTCTTGACAGCCCTTCCCTAACGATGATAGGGGACGCAACATTCGCGGTTAGACCGGTCAGTGACGGATCCCAGGGCCAAAAGCGGAAGACAACGCAGAAATACTCGACAGAAGCACGGCTACGGTTAGCCTGTAATCGTTGTCATGCCCAAAAGTTGAGATGTTTACGATCTGAAGGCGCTGAGGCTGGAAGTAAATGCGATCGCTGTCGTCGTGCGTCTGTTCCATGTGTTTATAGCCCTCCGAACCGTATAGGCCGGCCCACACGGTCAGGGACAACCGCCTCTACGTCGTCTACCGCCTCTTCAAAAAAGGATAGTAGGGGTAGCCCTCCAAACTTGCTTCAACGGTCTTCCCCAAGATCTCCACAGCCTCCAAGCCCCCGGCAATATTGCCCTTCCATGCATGGGTCTACCAAGGGCCCGACGGAAGATTCGGGAATGTTTGAAGATCTTCACTGGGATGAGGCTAATACTAAAGTCGATCTGATATCTTTTTACAACGATAATACATCCTCCTTTGGGAGTTCCCGTCCTCCGTTTACCGAACACGCTTCTACGCCAGTGGATATACCCCGAAACAGAACAATAGAATTTCCTAATGGGCCCAGCTTTGGCCTCGGGTCAGAATTTACGACTGTAGAGAAGTCTCTGGATAGTTATGTTCGAGAGCTTACAGCCCTGAGCCTGGCCCAATATGACCAGCTCCGCCATCTTGAACGAATGAGGAACTGCACAGGTCAAGATAAACAAGCTTTGTTCTCTCGGCTGCATAACTATCCAATACATAATATGCTGGAAAACGTTCGGAAACTCACGGACCTAATAACGCAGTTAATACCAACTTCAGAATCTGGAGATGACTTACTAAATATCTCCCCGGACCTTATCAGTGAACTCATGCCAGATCTCGACTCCCCAGTACCGAACGAACCTGCGATGATGAACGACTTTTCGGACTTATTAGCCCAACAATTTTCAGATATACCAAATTCGTCGACAGCCTATTCAAGCTCTAGTGGTAGCAGCAGCCAATTATCACCTATAGTGTCAGGCAAGACACCTCATATGGATACTTCAACGACTCTACTTGTCGTGTCATGCTACCTTCGATTGGCCCAGTCGTTTGCCTTATTCTTCACAGACCTTCATACTTTTCTCCTTTTCCCGAATGCTGTCGACCCCATGCCCTCGGATATATCTCGGTTATTCCCTGGATTAAAACTGGGCTCATTCCAGTCATATGTGGGGGTAGGTCTTGAGATATCTATTGTCGTTCAGGTCAGCGAACGCATGTTGCATCGCCTACACAACTCACTGGGCTTGTCTCGGAGCCAGTATGCCCCTGATGGTCAGCTTAACAACCACCTTCCAACAAGTTTATGGGGCAATGCGGAGACAATTACCCCAGCTATGGTTAGAGCGGTGCAGGCGCAAGAGCGTTTAGATGCCCAGGATGAAAGGGGAGACACTTTCACACGGCTGTCATTAATAATAGATGGTGTTAAAAAGTTGGTAAAGGCGCAGCCATTTCTATAGACTTTTTAGGGGATTGTTATAATTTACTTTGCTCTCTCGGTTCCTTGATCGATATATGAATACTGTGGGTGTAATAAATGCGGAAATCGCATAACCCGGAGCCTATAAATAATGCTATGCATAACTTCCCATATACCTGCATTATTGCTTCCCGGAAGTTCTGGCAACAGAAGGTTGCAAATCCACTACCTCTGGGCCCGCCAGATCCCGCACAAGCAGCAAGGCCATTCATATCAGCAGCCATAGAATGGGTTTTGTCTGCCATGTAAAAATCGAGACTGCACCCATGACGATTTCGTATTGTAATGCAACCAGTCACGCACATGATCCCTACAAAAAATATTACTATCTAGAATAAATACAAGAATATCTTCTAATTTGAACAAGCTCTATCAAGAGCTGTCAATGTTAGGATCAGGTATCAATATAGAATCGGAGTCCACACTGTCATATATACGCATACATAGTAGCACTCAGCTCCAATATCTTCGAGACGTAGGTTCACATCATCATCGACACCACTACAGACAAGGGAGCCCTGTTATATTCAGCAGATATATAGCAAGGTTAGAGGATATAGCATGACTCGAGGCGAGGAGATCTCCCGAACTAACTAGTCAGCGTCGTCCGTAAAACCCACATGGCGTAGCAAGTCTACCCACTAACTACTCCAACTTGATATACGTGCCCCCTTCCTTGAATGAGGCGCCTAGTTTTCGTATACTAATTATATAAGTTGATCATCAGGGAAAAAACAAAACAAAAATAAAAACAAAGGTGTCTTCGGTTGCGGCTGGTTCCTACGGCATCGTCTATCGCTACAGAAGAGTTGCATCTCTGGCGCTCAGATACGAGAGCCGAGATGTAACGCCAGCCCGAGTCCACAGGGGCCAGACAGCTTGATCAAATTCGGATGATCTACGCCCTAAAACAAGGCACTTCTACTGCATTGGATCTATTAAGCTCTGCACTCGGCCGAACAGTTCAACATGAGCTTCTCGATCAATACTCCAACCTACATATGACAAGGCTTTCATTTTCCGCGGACAAGGAAACCCGGAGAGCGCAGCCCCGAGGAGATTGACCCCTACGTCTGGTCTAAAGAAGAGCTCTGGGGCGGGAAATCAGTCATCGGTTCCGCGTATGGTTAATGGGGGACGTCGTGCGTCGGCTATTCCACTCAATTCTATGGGTTAGAGTTATCTGTCAAGTTCCTATATTCACTGCCCTCAAGTCTACTCCGTACATATGGATAGATGAAGGTTCCGCAGAGAGGCGGAGATAAGATACAAGGCCGTTGCCGATCAAAAACAAGCTTAGGATTGTGCGAGGAAAGAGAGAAGAAGCTTCCGCCAAAATGCTTCGATCGCCTTGTCCATCTTGTCCATGAGCTGGGCAGAAGGAACTTCGAAGGCGTCATGATACGAGCAGCAATACGACCTCACTGGGTAACCCCGTTTTTTGAAACGCTAACGGCGGTTTTGCAAAAATAAGATAAGAAGCAGAGTTGCTTTTGGCGGGGATGTAGCATTTATCGTGGCCCGAGAACGTATATAACGTTAGGATCTCATCATACTTACCCCTGATCCATCGCATGGTTCGCCCAGATAGAGTTATTGGGTATAACCACTGGTTATACCCCAGATATTGTGGGTTTCTTCATGAGAGAAATCCGGGACTTGAAGGTGGGAAATCAGGACGCCCCTGAGCTGGTCCTCGAGACTCGATAGCAAGTTTAGGCCAATAAATTTTACAATTCGCCTTGCCAACTAATGTAACTACTAATGTTAGTCGCTGTCTTCCTCTTTCATTACATTTCCAGGGATTATCATTATAACAACGAGGAGTTTATAGAGTGGGTTAAATGGCATAAACACCGCCACTAGGATTTTACAGTAGCAGCTTGGTGTTTAACCCGCGGCTCTCCTAAAGATAACTATTAATACTTAAACTATTTTCATGCCCTAGATTACTCTCTTCCATATGATAGACGACCAACCTTCCCATAATACTATCCTTAGCTGATACGTAAATCGATTTTATTGGGGGTCAATATATAGGTCTTCTTAATCTTTTCGTGGACTGTTTACCCTTCTAGTGTCAGGCACTTATCTCAGTAGAAGCATGCCATTTGATACTGCTACTTAAACTAGGGAAGTCGGGATGGAATGTTTAAAAAGGGGTTATAATGCAATTAAGGTGAAAGTATTATAGGCCGCTCCTAGAGCTCGGAAGACAGAACGATAACAGCCGAGATTCTGATAAAGGTCACAAGGTAGAAAGGCTTAGATAGCAAGCTTAGAAAATTCGGTGAGGATTAAGTCAAAACTAAAGTGAAAGTTTTCCCCTGATAAATTGACAGTATGACCTTTTTATCGATGGGGTTGAGAGTGACATACTATCAGATCCACGCAAGCCCATACGCCATCAATCCCATCTCAACCTAGGCTAGGTCGTGCATGATATATTTCTAGCCATGAGTGCTCCCGCATAGGATTTCCAGTTGTATACAACTTTAAAACTCCGTCCGACTGCAAGAATATGCACTAATAACCCTCCAATTGTCTTTGAAGTATGCGGCGGTCCTGACGAGTAAGCTATGCAAGGTAAGTCATACCTGCAAAGGAATCCAGGGCAAAATCTGACAGATAATGTACCACAGAGTTTGATGTAGGGCCGATCGGTAGAACCGGGACAAGGGGAGGCTTGAGACTTTGAAAAAAAAGTCCAATTATCTTCCATCCGGGGGCCGTAGCTACGTGGTGGTTTAATGGGTTCATCTGTTAGACATACCCAGGGAGCCACTGTCAACTAAAGGTAGCCGATTTTAAAGGGATAGGTCCTTGTATGAAGTTATGTTAGCATGGAAGCCTCAGAACATTAGGGTTGCCTGGATGATATATGTTTCTATCAAGAATTTATACTGACCCCTTGTGCCAGTCTATGGCTGAAGGCATAATCGCCTTAGGACTGCATTTTAAAACCGTCTCAAAGGACAAAAAAAGCAACGGTTGAAAGTAGCATCATCTCCAATAGCATAGTTTGGAATATATCGAGGGACACGAAAGTAGACGGTAACAAAGTAATAGTCACATCCTGGATAGATCTGGCGTCGTTAGGCTTCACACTCGCCATGTACATTCGAAGATCGGTGTTATGTATTCCTGGAAAAAGGAACAGATCAAGCGGAGAGAACATCGCAACCATCGTGAGAAAATTGCCCACGGCAGCATGCAATGCAGTTGCCAAAGCCATAACAGCTGCTATCGCGTATCAATATAAGTCTGGGTAATGGTGCAAATCTTTCGATCTCCTGGTACTAGCTGGTAATATTATGGCCTAACAGTACTAATATGCATGTAGTTTTAATATTTTTAACCATCATCACCTAAAGCGATATTGATTGAGACTTACTATGTCATGAACTCTGCATGGTGTAGGTACAAATCCGCGAAAATGACATAAAGGGAGTGCAAAATCCAGGCGTTTGATACTGGAATGTCGAAGACAGAGCCCTTTATATGCCTGGGAGCCGTGTCAGGCCCGAGTACATAAGCGCATAAAGAGGCCCTTTTCGATGGTGGCTGATTCATGACTGTCTGTTAAAACTGATATAAGCGATGTACTCCGGAGTTGTGGTTAAGTTGAGACAAGAGGGTAAGGGGACTGGCGTCTTCAACTCCGCTCAATGCAATTGTGTAACAAAAGCAGAAATAACAGTTCTGGGGGCCAAAATGACTAAGGTATGCTTGGATGCACTGAGTAATTCGAGCTAAACTTCAGCTACCTGCAGTGTTATGGGCTTAGTCAGTACTGTCCAGATGTAGGCTTCAAACTCAAGTCAGCTCAATCAGCTTTCTGCGATCCAGAATTTGCACCACAAGGTTAGAACTCCTAGGTGTTATCTGGGGTACCTGGCTGCTTAGAATGACAGCTCACGTTTATAACAAGGATGTTGACGTCGTTGGGTCGTTAATTAGTAAGCTACTTACACCTTGGCCCCCTGATCTGGGATTTTCAGCGAACAAAAATCGATCCTGAGATATCATATCAAACTGTATGTATATTGTGTAGTAGCTAAGTTATGTGACCATATAAAAGGCAGGGTGAGTCGCCTCAAGGTGAAGAAACTGGAATTTCTTCTGGGCCAGTGTGTCACGGAATCGCCGAACCCCTGTGTTAAGTACATGTATGAGTTAAGCCACACGGTGTTAGGATAATCCTGCTGTGAGGCTAGGAGAAACCCACAGGGCTAGAGCTTATAGATTGGGGGAGAGTATCCGGCGGGGTATGTAAAAGTATGGCTGCCTGCAGGTATCTCTACTGCGATGGTCGGCTATGTTATGTTTCTCTGGACATTTACCGGCGTATCGAAATCGTTAGAATTGGGAATAACTGGAGCTAGCTGACGACAGACATTCGATTCGCTAGTATTGAAACTCGGCCTTTGGAGGGTGTTAATTGAGATAAGTTAATCCTTTGGCCCCTCAATATTGAATGCAACACAAAGTATAGGTATTCGCGTTTGGCGACTTTGCAAATTCAATAATGTAGATGAGGTCGTTCTCATTCCCTGTCAAGTCTTCTATATGGTTATAGCTTTGGCATAAACTCGACATCTCTTTGGCTGTTTCAGTGTGTAGGATAGCCATGTAACCAATCATAGCCTTGAATTACATCTCACGGACACGTTTTGCGGCCCTTGATGTCAACGTATCGTCTGGAAGTCCACTCCTCTTTGTTCCTGGCAAACTACTCGTACGGATATCGTTGTCGTCCTGGCTTACCCTCCGATTGGGGTACTTCCCTTCAAACCCCTCAAAGCAGTTCGCCGTAATCGGGCTACCGGTAGAAAAATAGGGGTGTTCCAAGGCCATCTTCGCTGTAATCCGTTTTGTTGGGTTGTACTCCAAAAGCTGAGAAAGGAGGTCGAATCCCTCCCTCCCCGGAGTTCCTGCTACTGACGAAGAAGAGTATGAACCACTTTTGAGGCATGAATTATACCATGGTTCTAAGCTGGAGGGCTTGTGGATATGGCTTGTCCCGGGGCCTAGAGCGAAGGCTTGGAGTTGACCATATTCGGGCATCGAAGCTAACCCAGGCCAATTCTGTTTTAGAGGCATTCCCAGAATTTCCATTATTTTGAGCATTTGATTTCTTTGGAAAGGGACATTCTTCTTGCTATCCATCTTTGCTTCCTCGCCTTTGAATATTGGCCGAAGAGAAAGGAGCTCGGCGAATATACACCCTACAGCCCATAGATCGACGGCCGGGGTATAATGGCGGCTTCCAAGTAGTAGCTCTGGAGCGCGATACCATATTGTCACAACGACCTTATCACCGGAGAATAGCGAGTTGAGCGGCTTATAAAATAATCGAGCAAGTCCGAGGTCACCGATTCTAACTGCGCCGCTGGAAGTCACCAGTATGTTCGCTGGTTTCAGGTCACGATGTAACACCCAATTCGAATGGAGATAGAGAAGTCCATTAAGTAACTGGAAAAGAATCGATTTTACCATTGGTGCCGGAATAGCATGGCGTTGAGGTTGTGTATGATGGTGAATAATTTGCAAGAGATCATGTTCAGTATATTCAAATACCATAAAAATGCATCGATCCTCAAGAATAATTTCCACTAGCCGTACGACATTAGGGTGATTTAGTTCAGTACAGAGGGCAATTTCTCGAACAGCAGATTGCGAAAGTCCTGTGTACTGGATAGTTTCTCCCTCTTTGTCTGGCTTAAATCTAAAATTAGTTATCTCGTTAGCACTCGCCTTACGAGATTAGTCGGAAAGGCACGTTAAACTCTTACTTTTTGATGGCAAATTCCCCTTTCTGCCCATTTTTGCCAACTGCCTTGTACACCCGTCCATAAGTACCACTACTGATAAATCCAACGATATGGTATTTCTCTCGTATCCGAACTTTGCTCGTGTACCCAAAACCTGGGGATTTTATTTGATTGGCGGAATCTAAAATAGTATTCTGTCAGCAAATACGTGTATCAGGGATGGATGGAATTCCGAGGCTCAAGCCAAGGAGAAGGGAAAAGAGCTTCTGCTCAGAGGGGATGCGGCATGAAAGTCGAATATGATATCATGTCCAATCGGGATAAACACGAGTATCGAGTACTACATTGATCTATGTTTTTCAACTTAGACTATGCTCCGTGAGGTTGATGAAATAGGAACGGGATGAAGGAAGGCTCAAATAGTGATCCGATGCGTGTTCTCTATTGACCCAATCGGGAGAGAGAGCCTCTCGGAATGAAACGCAATTGAAATCAAAAGTGATAGGCTGATATTGAGGTGAATAGGAAATCAGAAAATGACGGGTATCAATCAGCTCCAACCAGGGGCAGAAGGCGAAAGTAAACCAAACGCGTGCAAAAGAGTATAAAGCTACAACAAGCGGCAAGGTTCCTGTGAAAAGGCCGTCTTACCATCGAAAGCCACCTGTACGGTCCGATGCATGCCTTTGGCAGTTGATCGCGATGCCATTTGAGCGAGGCAGCATTAAACAGGGCTTAAAAAAAAAGAAAAACAGTGGAAAGAGCACCCTGGTTAAGTAGGTTTTTTAGGGTTAGAATAAACTCCTGGTCGTCTAAAAAACAGGAGTATCATCATTGTCCCATTTATTTATGCTGCTTGATATGGTCGTGATGGACTTCCATCTCCAGCTGTTTTTATGTCGTTAAATCTCGGACCAACGGAAATTGAGAAGCCGAGTCACGTGATCCATTCAACGTCCGCTGAAACTTTACCCTGACTTCTACTCTTAAAGCCATGAAAAGGACTGAAGGCCTTGTAGCGTTCTTCTTTTTATTCGATCGAGATTCTTACTCGAGTCGAGATACCATAATATTAAACGCAAAGGCAGGAGGTATTCCACGGGATATTATACATGTAAGAAACCTGTACATTTATTGGCGATTCATACCATATCATTAGCTCTAACCCCCTTGCTTCTAGGGCGCAGCTACGAAATGATGGCTGCTGGGACTGAATCTTTTCTCCCCTATCATGAGCCAAATATCCAGACCATCCTTATTCAATCATCATTGATTCTTTCTCTCAACGTTATCAATACATTCCTCGACAAGTTGATCTTCTGCGGTCTTCTTGGGCAGGTATTTATAGGTGTCACTTACGGGGCTCCTAGCACAAAATGGCTAGATAGGGCCTCTCAAGATACCATCGTTCAACTTGGATATCTAGGCTTGCTGCTTTTAGTCTTCGAGGGTAAGTTCAGGCTACTATCGTCAAAAACACGATATTAACTCATATTTTACACAGGCGGACTGGGTACAAACTTCCGGTCTTTGAAGGCAAACATCTCGCTATCCGTGGCAGTGGCGGTAACTGGGATATGCTTCCCCATAGGTATCGCTTTCGTGCTGAAGTCACTTGCAAAAGCGACTTCTCTGCAAGCATTTGCTGCAGGAGCAGCACTGTGTTCTACCAGCCTAGGAACCACTTTTACCATTTTAAATACAAGTGGGCTATTAGCCACCCGTCTTGGAACAGTATTAAGCAGTGCTGCAATGATGGATGATGTGGTTGGACTTGTTATGGTTCAAGTGATCTCTAATCTAGGAAAGGCGGAAAATTCGTTTAACCCTGTTACCGTTATTAGGCCTTTGGCTGTATCATTTGGCTTTGCCATCGTTGTTCCATTAGTCTGTTGGTTAATTGTGAAGCCACTGACCCTGACACTGAATCGAATGCGGGGGTCAAATCCAGGCGGTTATGTGAACAAGGTATCACAAATGGTGCACGCTGCGTTCATCGTTCATACGCTCATACTAATTGGACTTGTTACCGGTGCTACTTTTGCCGGTACATCCAACCTTTTTGCTGCTTACCTGGCTGGAGCTTCGATCAGTTGGTGGGACAGCGAAGTTCCCCACCCAGAGGTAGTTACAAAACAGATAACATTTACGTTATCTCAGCCACAATCTGAACATAACACTTCGGCCGCACGGCCGCTTACCGAAACAGAGGTAGTAGGCGCAAGCCCTGATGCCGATAGCGCCACAGGTGGCCATTGCACTCTCCTCGAAAATAACGGCTCAGCTGTATATCACCAATACTATTCGGTAGCTGTGCATCGTATTTTGAAGCCATTCTTTTTCGTAGGTCAAAAATCATTTACATCCCCCCGGCCGCAAAGCTGCTAACTAAACGGAAGGCATCGATTGGTTTTGCAATCCCAATAACTGATATGTTCCGTGGTGAAATCGTGTGGAAAGGCATTGTCTTTTCAATTCTTATGCTTTTTGGTAAAGCCGTCACCGGTGGATGGCTCATACGCTTGGATATTAGCTGGCCAGATGCCAACATACCGAAGAATATACATTCCACCGTCATGGGGCATGCCTCGTGTCTAGGATGGTCAACAAGAGGTCGCAAAATTGAAGGGGAGGATACTGTCAGCAGCGCAAATTCCATCCAATTACGCGCTCGAGGACAAAATCATGGGAGAAAACAGGATGGAAGGACAGTACCTCGGCCCCTTGTACCGGAAAGCTCCAACCCCAGTGCTTCACCCTCAGCCAGCTCTCCATCCACGCTTCCTAGAACCAACAAGCCACTATCCCTCTATCCAGCAGCAATACTAGGTACAGCTATGACTTCGCGTGGCGAAATTGGTTTTTTAATAGCATCTTTAGCTGAAACAACAGGCCTCTTCGCATCTCGTGGTGAGTCGCGCGCCGGAAGCTCTGAAATATATCTGATTGTCACTTGGGCCATTGTTTTATGTACCATCATTGGGCCATTAGGTACAGGGCTGTTAACTAAGAGGGTTAGAAGGCTTCAGAGCGAAAAAGAGAGGAACCCAGGAGTGAATGACCCTCTAGGTTCTTGGGGTATTAAATAAGTAAGTCGTTAAAATTTCGTAGTACCATTATGAGCTCCAAGGTGTACTAGACATAGGAATACATGAGCCGAATGGCAAGGAGCCAGAGAACTAAAGCGTCGAAAATTTAATGTTACATATACCAACAGAAGGCATAAATGAAATTCAATAACCTATGAGAGCCGTTAGACACTACCACTTAGAAGATAAAGTTAATCCACGGGGCGACGAAGGGGTTACTACATACCATTCTGTTCTCTTCGGCTGTCACCATCGTTGTTGTCAGCACCGCCGTCGTCTTCGTTTCGAGAAGCGGAAGCTTTCCCACCAGCCTCCTGGATTGCCTGGTCATCGCCTCTCAACTTCTCAAAGTAAGATTTAATATCTTCTGCGCCCACGGCTTTACCGCTCTCCGCAAAAGGTTTCAAAAACTCTTTCACTTTGTCTCGCAGGTGATTATAAACCATCACTCCTTCGATTGCCTTGACACGGTCTACATTGCTGAGTGCAGCTTCCCCTCTGTCAAGGAGACTGCCTGTATGGATGCTACCAGCGCTGTTGTTACCATTTTGTCCATCACCATCCTCGGATAGTGGGGGTTCGTAAACCTCTTCTTCCTCACGCAGTTGAGGGTTAGATTTAAGATTGAGAAAGCATTCGGCACATCGACACAGGTGGTCTCGGAAGTCTTCTTTGACAAAAAGAGAAAACTTCCCCTTAGGGCCGTTAGGGGGAAGTAATTCGTGCATTTCCTTGGGTTTAACTGGTGAATTGCTGGGCTCGTCAGTGTTATCTAGTTTCTCTGAAGGGTCTTTCTTTGCCCGTTTAGACTCTGGTTCATTGTGTTCATCGTCCTCAAGTCCTCGCTTTTTCGCCAGTGTTGAAGGTGATTCGCTTGTGAGCTCTTCTTTTTCTGTGGTTATATTCTCTGAGGGGTTTGACTGTTTCTCTTCGAGGTAGACTGGCGGCAAGAACCCGGGGGTTCCTGCATACCGCTTAATCCAGGGATTGGCATCCAAACATTTATAGCAAATAAAAGTTTCGAAATCATCCTCATCGGGGAATCCAGGGGGAAAAGGCGGATCTTCATCGTCTTCTTGATTAGCGACCACGCGAGGCAGTCCCCTTAAGCATTCCGGGTGCCACCAGTCTTCGCCGCAGCCACCAGTTTCAACTGAGCCGATACCAAGACACTGAAACATTGTCCCCTTCTCTTTGTGCGGGTCGTATGTGTCGCCGCAGCCGCAGAACCTATTTCGAAAGTTCTGGTTGTACTTATTGCTCCCGCAGGGCTCCTCCGAGTGTATACCCTTCTCCCCAGTGGCTGGGTCCGCCCTCAAGACACAGGGCGACGTGGACGGTAGCCTTGTAGTTCCACAGTCACAGACAAAGTCGCGCTTGGTGAATAGTTCAACCAGTTCGTGCTCGCCATGGCAAGAGATCGAGCATGAATAGCAAACTCCTGCGGGGATATAGGGCGCCGTTGTATCGTTGGGAGGGGGATTGCATGTTATGCAAGAGAATAGGCTTTGTCGAAGTGCTCCAAGAGGTCGTGTGCAGTTGTCGAATGACTTTATCAGCGTCAAGTTAGTCCTCACTTTGCAGTAATCGTGAAGGTCAGGTAACATACATAAGGCAAGGCTTCCCGCGCATCGGCCTCCAGTCTCAGCTGCTCATTAATAAAACTGCATAAGTATCAGTAAACGAGCGTCCAATGCAGGCAAAATTTGGCTACAGCAGCTGGTTTCCCACTTACTCCGAGGCTGTTTGCGAGTCCTGCGAGACGAAGCTCTCGCGTCGCTTGATAGTGGTCTCCCCATTGGCAGCTGCTACCTGAAGCGGCGGGTTGGTAGGCACGTCTTCCATCGCGCAGGGAACTATAGAGTAAATTAGACAGTGAAAAACAGCAGCAGATCAGTTCTCGTCGACATTAGAGGAGAAGATGCTGTTCATGTCATTTCTTGCTGCTCCGGCGCATCTCAAACCTCGAATCGTCGCGACAAAGGTTGTTTGCGGTGTTTGCACCTCACTTCCCAAAAGGGTTAAATTGGAAACGCGGGTTTAAGCGCGACGCGACGCGTTCGTTTATCTCCTTATCATTTTCTGCTTTTCGCACGACCGCTTTAAACCTGCATCAAACAACGAACACCTCGAAGCGCCGGTGACATCAACAGAATTCTACCAAAATACCGAGTAACTGCAGAGTCTAGGGATACTAGTATCGATTCCTCTCCTTACCCAATTTACTTAACCCCTGAGCAGGTCTGATAGCGACTTCGGCGGGGACATAATTGATTCACGATGAGGTTAGCTTCATCCCACCAAACTATCGAATCGTTTGGATAACACGTCAGAGTACTAACTGTCTTGGTTTCGTTATAGTTCACCTTTGCGACCCAGCACTTCTGCTGGTAACCGTGGGCGCGCAAACCTCGCTAGTAGAAAGCGTGGACATGACGGCCTTGACGATAACTCTTCCGCTCCACCTCCTTCGAGTCGTAAGTCTAGCAACGCAATACAAAAAAATCAAATGGGCTAACTTGGATACGCTTGCTAACTTCAATTCAGCCCCTCCATCCTCCCCACCAATGTTACCATTGGATGAAGCTGACGACGATGATGATATCGCCGCAGAGGAGGGGTTTGTCCAGGATATCGACGACCTTGAAGAGATGGCCGAGGACGATGACGGCATTGATTTGTTTGCAGACAATTTCGAAAGAGATTATAGGGACCGTGCAGACGATCAGTATGGGGGAATCGATATCGATGATGCAGATCACGACGAGCTAGATCTCGCAACGAGACGACAGCTCGAAGCAAGACTTAATAAACGAGACCGTGAACTTGCCCGCAGACGGAAGATGCCCGCGGCGTTTCTTCAGGAGGACGACTTCGATGGTGTTCCTGACCTCTCGCTTCAGACTCGCAGACATCGACGTAATTACGACGAGGAGAGCCAGGACGCTGATATGGATGATCCCGAAGCGGACCTTACCTTGGAAGATATGGCAGATATCAAGGCAGATAACGTTACAGAATGGGTTGCAACCCCGGCAATTCACAGAGCAATCTATCGGGAGTTCAAGTCCTTCATAACCGAGTTCACCGATAAAGACGGAATATCGGTTTACGGCACACTCGTTAAAAACCTTGGAGAGGAGAATTCTGAATCGCTGGAGGTTGCATACCCACATCTCAGTGAGACAAAATCAATTATTGCATATTTCCTGGCGAACGCCCCAGCAGAGGTCCTCAAAATCTTTGATCAGGTTGCCATGGAAGCGACTCTATTGCATTATAGGGACTACCATCGCATTCATAGCGAAATTCATGTACGAATCACCAATTTGCCCGTCAAGTACACACTGCGTCAACTTCGTCAGAGCCACCTTAACTGCCTTATCTGTGTCAGCGGTGTGGTCACAAGGCGGACAGGCGTCTTTCCACAGTTAAAATATATCATGTTCAACTGCAACAAATGCGGTGTCACGCTCGGTCCATTCGAGCAGGACTCCAGTAGTGAGCTTAAAATCTCATTCTGCCAAAACTGCCAAAGCCGTGGCCCATTCACTTTGAATTCTGAGAGAACCGAGTATCGCAATTTCCAGAAACTTACCCTTCAAGAATCCCCCGGAACTGTTCCCGCCGGCCGTCTCCCGCGTCACCGTGATGTAATTCTCCTTGCAGATCTAATCGACTCTGCAAAACCAGGTGATGAGGTGGAAATTACTGGTATTTACCGCAATCAATATGGTCTTCCAATGAGTCAAAGGAGCGGCCTACCGGTATTCAGCACAATCATCGAAGCTAACCACATTGTCAAATCCCACGATCAACTCGCTGGATTCCAGTTGACCGAGGATGACGAACATCAGATCCAAGCCCTTTCCAAAGATCCTGCTATCGTTGAGCGAATAATAGGCTCAATCTGCCCTAGTATATACGGACATGAGGATGTCAAGACTGCAGTTGCCTTGTCCCTCTTTGGCGGTGTTAGTAAGGTTGCTCAAGGGAAAATGAACATTCGTGGAGATATCAACGTACTGTTACTGGGTGACCCTGGTACCGCCAAGTCTCAGGCACTGAAATATATTGAGAAGACTGCCCATCGTGCAGTTTTCGCTACGGGACAGGGAGCCAGCGCCGTCGGTTTGACTGCAAACGTTCGTCGTGATCCAATGACTAGCGAATGGACCCTAGAAGGCGGTGCATTAGTGCTCGCTGATCGAGGTACCTGTCTAATCGATGAATTCGATAAAATGAACGACCAGGACCGTACGTCGATTCACGAAGCCATGGAACAGCAAACGATATCTATATCGAAAGGTGGTATAGTCACCACGCTTCAGGCACGATGCTCCATCGTTGCAGCAGCCAACCCTATTGGTGGCCGCTACAGGGGGACTATCCCTTTTTCTCAAAATGTTGAGCTCACTGAGCCCATCCTCTCACGTTTCGATATCCTCTGTGTTGTAAGAGATATGGTGAATCCAGAGATAGATGAAGGACTGGCTTCGTTTGTGATGAATTCACACTACCGATCAAATCCAATGCGAGATGCGGACGGAAACCCAGAAGAAGATGATACAGAGGATTCACCTGAATCTCGATTTAGGGTGCAAAGAGCAGACGCTATTCCACAAGAACTACTGCGGAAGTACATAGTCTACGCGCGTGAAAAATGTCATCCAAAACTCTACCAAATAGACGAGGGCAAGGTCTCTGAAGTCTTTGCTGATTTGAGACGAGAGAGTTTAGCCACTGGAGCATACCCTATCACAGTATGTGTTGACCCTTTATGCCATATCCCTCCAAACTTGCTGTTCTACGTCGTCTCTCCACCCCTATAGATTTCTAGATGCTAATTATGATAGGTCCGACATCTTGAGTCCATCATGCGAATTGCGGAATCGTTCTGCAAAATGCGTCTATCCGAGTATTGTTCCTCTCGCGATATTGACCGTGCGATTGCCGTAACGGTTGATTCGTTCATTGGCAGCCAGAAGATAAGCTGCAAAAAGGCCCTTTCGAGAGCCTTTGCCAAGTACGTTTAACCCCTTCCTCTACTATTATTGTGCAATCGCCTAATCAAACGAACAGGTATACCCTAAACAAACCCCGCGTAAAAAAGGATAGAGGTCCAAGTCATAATTCTGCGTCGAATCGTAGTTGAAACAGGAGCGCCCAAATAGCGGATGCATCCGCATATGGAATTACTTAGCACTTGGGGTTCTGGGGTATAAATGGGTGGGTCTAATGATTGGTTCTGTTTTTCCTCGTTATGACAGAATATGGCCAGATATCATGGAGTAGATATAGCAGTAATGAATGTTTTTCCTTGTCTTTACAACCAGACCCCCATTTATTTGAAGCGAGATATTTCCTTTACATGGATCCTTTGAGAGCTCACCCCTGTTGACACTTCGATTTATGTACTACGTATATAAACTTGGCCTAACTCCTATCCTTATCGCTAGGCTCTCCCCTCGGTTCCCCCTTACCCCAAAATTTATCACCATAATAGTCTCGGAGTGCTATAAAATATATTGGTATCTATCAACTAAATATATAAAACTGATATAATAGAGCCTGGTCAGACGTAGCGCATGGCAGTGCAGGTGTCTAAAGAGAGGGACTAGACTATATATTCTCTGGCTGGAGGATAGCGAGATGGACTGATAAAGAAGGCGTTGGCTATATGTATGTGGAAGTCTTAGAGTACGTTGCACTATATATCATATGCTTCTGGTAATGGATTGCTGGTATGACCAGTACACCAACCCTGGCACCATCTATCCCCACAATCTGGCAATAGGAACAAACCAAAAAAGCAAAAGGTTAAAATAAAAGTAAAAATACAAACAGAATAAGCATACAAATAAAAATAGAGATAGAAATAAAAATAGGGGTAGAAACAGAAACGGAATCAGAAACAAAAACACAAATATATAAACAGAAATACAAAAATACAAAGGGCTTCATAGTACATATACTCCCTAGCAGTCCCAGCGCCTTTAGCTTCCCAAACTCCCGAGACCTAGCCCGGTCAATTTTCCAAATGGGCCGTCAAACCCGCAGGATCAACCACTCCCGCCACGCCAGAGTAGATATCCCCCCGAAGTTCAATGTCAAAGATGTTAACCCCGGCCTGACCGTGTGAGAATTCAGGGTCTAATGAATTGAGCCAATCCTGGAAAGAGGTTGGCATGGGACAGCCGAAAAGCTGATCTTCGGTGTCCAGGCCCATACCCACAGACATGCCCATAGGATCCTCGGCTGGCTGACCCAAAGAGGAAGAAGGGGGCCAAGCCGCGAACGGGCTGTCTACCCCGGGGAGGTAAAGGTTGGCAGGCAGCCCTGCGTTGGTTGCCTGGGGCAAGGCGACTGGTTCTGGGAAACCCCCAGCAGCAAACGACGGCCCAGAAGGATTAGGTTGGTTGGGCACGTACTGATGCTGGGGGGAGCCAGCAGGGAGAGCGGGAGGCGGAGACTGAGAGGAGCCGGCAGAGACAGAGGGGGGCGGAGACTGGGAGGTGCCAGCAGGGTGAGAGGCAGGCTGGGGGGTAGCAGCGGGGGGGCTTTCACTGCGGTGACGGGGGCGGCGGCGGCGGGGAGGGGAGGAGGGAGGGAGCTTGTCGTCCGCGTACGGGGGACGAAAATTGGTCTCGGCGAAGCCGCCGTTTCCCTCCCTTAAACCCTTCATGATGGCATCCGTGGAGACGTCATACCACCACACGCCCGTCATCTCATAGTGGCAGAGCGAAGCGTACTTGGCTGACTTCAGGCGAGCCTCCATGCCCCCCTTTCTGTCTGCCCTAAAGGTCGAGACAAGGAAGGCTCTAAAGATAAAAGTCAGTATGTTGTTGCGTTACAAGGTTAAAGCACTTGATAAGCTAAAGCTGGTAATGAAGGACAATAGCCTTACCGTTCCCTTGTCCACCACTCGTCCCGAGGGTCAAGAACCCCTCCTGAGGAATCACCTGCCTCCTCCGAAGAGACGAAGGAGCGGAAACTGAAGTCCGGCATTTTATAGGCGTTTGGGGTACGAACGCCTGGGTAGCTAGGTCAGCCGGGGGGGGTGGGGCACTCGCAAAGCATGAGCAAGTATAACACGGAGGGAGCTTGGCTAACCGGCTGTTGGGGAGGTATGAGAGATAGGTGGTATCCAAGTGAGTCTTGGGTGAGAGAGGGTGTGAGTAACTATGGTATACCACGGGTAGGGGTAATGCTTTGAGTGTAATCTTCAGATCTGGGATAAAATGTGAAGAGTGAATGAGGGGAGAGGAAAGGGAAAGGAGGAGGACTGAGCAGCAGCTCTGCCTTATATAGAATATCTGCAGTTGTCATCGTGACATCAGGATGCCATAAACGGCGGGACATCATCGTGACATAACGGTGCCATAAGCGGTGAGACGCCATCGTGACATAACGGTGCCAGAAAGTGGCATAGGCTTAGAATACCGTACGAGTCCATGGAACACGCTTGCAATCAGACGGTAAGAGCATCCATGGTTGGGGCAAGAAAGCATACTGTTTCTTCGTAGGGGGGAGGCCAGGCGAGACCCTTTGTATTAGATGCAAGTTATCCCCCAGGCCCCAAGCCAGCAACTAGGGGAAAGCAAGCCTCCATATAGTATGAGCAGTAGAACCCCTTCGCATTATGTATGAGAGCACTCGCTAACAGTAAGGGAAGGCAATGTCCCTGGCACCAGGAGCAAGCAAGCCCCTTAATGCTAAGATCAAGTAATTCCGCCAACACTAAGGATAGGTGACCCCCCTGGTCGTACGGACATGACATCCTCGAGGTCGTAAGACCAGTGAACAGGGATACCAAGAGCAAAACCACTGGAACAAAAGGAGTTTCGTAAGGGCTATCCAAAGAAAATTGTTTTTATTATTGTTGCCCCATTGCCACCTGAAGTGCAAGCTAAGCCTGCCAAGTTTGCATGATATACAGAAACTTGAACGGGAAACTGCTTCCTCCATGAAGACAGTGAATGACCATGGGCAATCATAGCATCTTCAGCAGCCAACGCTAGCTGGACAGCTGATATACCGTAGAATTATACCGACCAGGCTATGGAGCATCGAGATATAGCCCCTGTATTCCTGTTACAGGCGCAAAGCTTTGCCACCCCAAGTAGAGATACAGTACAGGCTTCCAAATCACATAAGCAGAGGGTACATAGCAAGACGGTGTCGCGTAATAGGAGTGTATCGCTGGCTCTGGTAAGTGACGATACCGCCATGGTCGAAAGTCGCCGGCGCGCATTCTCGTCACAGGAGGCTCCAGAGAGAGCCTGGAACTGGTGTCGTATCAGACACTGCTTAGTGATCCCAATAGAAGCTTTTCTTTGCATAGCCAGAACAGGTATCTGGGTATCTCTTAAACTCCCGAAGATGTCACTGTACACTAGGCGAGGCCACGTATCCAGGAAGCTCTGCAGGCCCAACAAACATCCCCATGACGGCAGAAAGACAGACCCATGGATATGCGTTCCCGCAGCAACCACGATGTTTTGGTAGTTTTCATCATTTTTGAACCATTTTCCAGGATGAGTTTGGCCAAAAAGGGAAGGCATGTCGTTAAGTTTGCCTTTTGTCCGCGGCTAGTTACGCGCGTTTAAAACGGCATGGCAACGCGCTTAACCAGAGTTATATAAGCAAGACCTTCTCTGCGATGCACACGGAGACTGTAGTTATCGTCTCAGATAGGATAATAGCCCGTTGGGGTTCTCGTGCAGCTCCGCGCGTTATATATATCCATTTCACAGTCCATGATAATATGTAGAGGTCTATGACGATGTGCGACGTTTTATTTGGCTGCATTTTCACGGGTCGTTCCGTTAATCACGACCCAGACTTGAATAGCTTGGCCAACGCAATGCTTAATACCTTATTAAAATTCCGATCGGTATATACAGTCGGTATTCTCGATCTAACAGTGGCATGTTTGTCTCGATATACAACTTATATCTTATAGGTCGCTGGTGAGTTATTGCATGTCCTCGAAAAAGTGCAGTAGATACTAAACCCCAACTCATAAGAGTAATAACTGTATATGTAGTATTATGTATAGTATACCTTTCACGAAGATAACTCAGTTAGGAGTAACGAACACGAGCTAAATGACAGATACGTAAGTTATAGTATATAGATTTTTGCAAAAAGAATCATACTGTCCCCCGAGTAATGATCTATAGTTGAAAATTTCCACTGCCTGTAAGCCAAGCGTGCTAAATGAGATGATGCATTTTTGTTTTGGTATAGCCTACCTAGCTACTAGGATATGCCTAACGATGGCACAAGTCCGTCACTCTCATTTAGTTCCTGTCCAATCTTGTAAGATACCTTATAACGAAGCCTGACCGTGTTGCCCTTGCCGGGTTCTATTCCGTCCATTTGCAGTTGCTGTTGGACCCCGATCTTCTGATACGGTGCAATATCTCGGCCAGATTGGGGTCGAAGTTGTAGAGAATAAGCCTGTAAATGAGCAAAAGAGGCACCGTGTTAGTTATTATTTTGACATAAAGCAAATGTAAGGCCACCAAAATGTAATGTACGGGGATCTATCATTTTGTAGATAGGAAGGAAAGGAATCACAGGTATCCGTACCTTCTCAATAGCAATTTGGAAATGGAGCTCGGATATAGGTTGAGGCGTGTTGTTCGAGAACGAGACGAGGCCATGTATCCTATTTTCGCCAGGAAGACGTTTTACCTGGATCTTTATCCCGATAGAAGTATTAAGAATTTCTACCGTGTTCTGAGAAGGAAGTGTTTCTTCTGGAAGAGCAGAAGAAAACGTCCACTCGTCATCTGTCTCGGACACTTGATTGTTTCCACCTTTTTTCGCCAAGGTTGGCTTCTGCGGCTGTCGGGGTAGTGTGTTTGCAGTAGCTGATGGTCCTGACGCTAGCTGGCCAAGGTCCAAAAGTGAGGAGGAAGTAGTGGATGCAGCTGAACTTTGGAGTTTGTTGAACGGTGATGATGTTCTGGAGCCCCCAGACCCTATCGATGCGAATGGGTCGGCCTGAGGAGCTAGGGCTGAAGGTGTAGAGGCCGAAGGTAATGATGGGGATTTTGAATATGGGACAGAAGACGGGCCTATCGAGCGGTAAGTAATTGCGTATAGCAGGGTATGCAGCAGTAGAATCGCGATAGCTTACCATCGTTTGGCCCTAGAGGGAGCGCAACGCCCCCTTGAGGTTCATCCTGGAATGACAGGCCCAGGAGATCGCCCTCAAGAGTAGATGTAGAGGGTTTGGCACTCGTCCCGCCGTTAGAAGTAGACGGCTGCTCTTCTTCACCCCCAAAGTCGATCAAGGAGAGCTCATTAGCGGCATTCTTGGTCACCCCAGTACTCGTCCCCAGAGTTCCCTTGGGAATATTAGATGCACCCGCTACGTCTCCAGCCTTGATCAGCTTGTATCTCTGCACAGTTCGATGTATGCTATCGTTAATTTCTAGAAGCTTGGATACAGCTTCATTGTCATCGGACTCGTCCTCACACATCTTTTGTATTTTGGGATGCGCGTTCTGGAGAGCGCTGGCTAATTCCTGTATTCGGCTCGTTAGCTTCCACACATGGTATTATCGCAAATGATGTCGACACATCTCGTACCTCGTAAACATCTCCCTCAGTCAGCTTATCTCCGGGTTTGCAGTTTTCCAGCATCTCCTCGAGCAATTTAGCCTTCTCCTGTACCCTTGAAACCTCCTCTGCGGCCTTTGCCCTGTAGTCTGTCCGATGTCGTGTATCATATCCAGCCATTATTTTCATTAGTCTATTTGCCTCTCGTAGGTCATCCGGATTCCCTCTCCGTATTAGTTCCTGTAACTTGGCCGACTGAGCAATTTTCTCTTCCTCTTCCATCTCCTCGGCGGATTGAAGGTTCTATATCACAGTCAGCTGCCGTGTATTTCCCAGGTCAAACCCAAAAATTTATAAATATAGGCCAACGTACGTCGCTAGGGTTCAAAACAGCTGCATCTTCACGGCGAACCTCCGGGAACATGTATCCCTTATATAACAGAAGTCGGTGCATGTCCCTAATGAACCCCAGATCATCTTTGTATCGGGAAGTCTGACATATTGTTTGTCTCCATTCTTCGATCGACTCGAGGATTCTCTGCTGCGCTCTCGATGGCCGGATAGGTGGCCGTTCCGGGAATCTTCGAACTAATTCATTCAGGAACTCTTTTGTGCTGATCTGGAGATGAAAAGGGTATCCGCAATTTTTAACACATATATCGAGAAGCTAGATAGTAGAGAACGGGGTAAGTTATCCGCTTGACTTCTTCTATATCGACCGAGGGGGATATAACTTACAGCAAGAGCCAACATTGCAACATTCGCATTCCGGGAATTAATTAATTGTACTATCGTCATTGCAGCTTCACGCGGACTTTTCATTGGCATCATATTAGGTCTCCGTTGCGATAGATGATAGTTATTCGAGCCAGGAGGCGCAATCGCGGGACTGCTGCACTCACGCATTTCCCCTCTTTGTATTTACCAAGTCCACCACCTCCAGATTGAGGGCCAGGTTCGGCTCGTAATTCTGCGGATCGCACGCATTGTCTGGGAGCGCATTCTGTCAGTCACCATTTCTATGCCTGATATCATCCGCGGGTGGTTCCAAGGGGAGACGTACGTATATAGCGTTGCAGCGTGGACTGCACAGGTGGCTCGAGATAAGCGCTAAAGCGGTCCCTGGCCGCCATCCGTGCTGATGTCGCCTCCAGGTTGTCGGTAGGTAAGAAGATAAAAGAAACCAGGTTAGGTATAGGGGGGTAGAAGTCACATTAAAATCGAGTTTGAGGCCCGGCGGGATAAGGCTATGTTTGGGCTATCTGTATAGTCGGCTGAAGCTATGGACGGTGAGATGGGGCTTGGCCGAGTTCACGTTTCTTAGGCTGCGAACACCAGGCACTCTGGACAAGCAACCTCGACTCGGCCACTCCGGGGGTTATATCATGGAAGGAGGAATCAGAAAGACAGAATATATTAAATCAATATTATTATCATCTTATTTTACCTTGACACTTTCTTACATTCAAGTCGACCAAATGCCCCAAATATGAATATCACGTGACTGATAAGCTCTAACTGAACTTTGTGGCGTCAAATTATGCGTATAACAACATTTCAACGGTGGGATTGCAGATTTCAGACGACGTTTCCCAAGGACAGGCTGTTGACAGGCAGTGGGAGACACTATACGGAGAGAGCCACACCAGGATTTCTTCAGGATGGTTCGACACAAGAAAGACAACATGGGCCGGAAGGGCAAGCGGGGTGAGTACCGGCGCCCAGTGGTCAGAGACGGGGCAGACGAGCAGGGAAATCGACCGAGAGCACCCTTTCAAGCGGCCTGCTGGGATCTAGGGCACTGTGACCCGAAGAAATGCTCTGGCAAAAGGCTGATGCAGCTTGGATACATGCGGGACTTGGGCATCGGGCACAAGTTTCCTGGCGTTGTCATCTCGTACGTATAAATCTACGCAGTTAGAAGAGAGTATAGCTGATGAGAGATAAGACCGAATGCGAAGCAGACTATTTCTCCTGCAGACAGGCCGTTGCTAGAGCAGTATGGCGCTGCAGTGGTGGAATGCTCTTGGGTGCGAGTGAGCGAGGTGCCATGGTCAAAGATAGGAGGGAAAACGGAAAGACTACGTGCGTCACTCCGGGTTGATAGCTTGATTACTTGCTAACGATCATAGTACCCTACCTTGTTGCCGCAAACACGGTCAACTACGGCAAGCCATGGCGGCTAAACTGTGTGGAGGCACTGGCAGCCACTTTTATGATATGTGGCCACGAAGACTGGGCCGAGGAGGTACTGCAGCATTTCCGATACGGCAAGTCGTTCCTAGAAATCAATTCGCAGATATTCAAGCGGTACGCTGCTTGTGAGACGGAGGCGGATATCAAGCTTGCAGAGGAGAAGTGGCTGGCGAAGATCGAGAAGGAGTACGCGGAGAGCCGAGAGGAGAAGGGAGCAGATGACATGTGGACTACGGGGAACACGAATCGGAATGCCTATGTCTCGGACTCTGAGGACGAGGACGAGGATGAGGGCGAGGGCGAGGGTGAGGACGAGGATGAAGACGTTCCGCAAAATGCACTTCAGAGGGATAACCCGTTCCCAGAGTCCGAGGAAGAAGACGACGACGAAGAGGAGATGGCCGAGATCCGCCGGAAGATCCTGATGTCGAAGCCGTTTGCTCCAGAGAACGATGCTGAGAGACCAGCACCCGTCCTCAAGCCTGTCCCTGTCCCCGTCCCGTCCAATGACAACAACGGCAACGAAGACGAGGACGAGGACAGCGGCAACGAGAGCGACGCTGCCTTTGACCGCATCCTCAACGCGACCACCTCGACAGACCGTACGGGCATCAAGGCCATCCAGCGTGAGAAGCAGCGACAGGCAGGCAGGGCTTAAGCATACACCTGGGCATACATCTAAGCCTTAGTCAGCGGGCCGACGATGCGCCGGGCAAAAGTTGCGCAGTGCAAAGAAAACGTTTTTCCTTCCCTTAACAAACCCCCCGCGTTCTGCAAAGTACGAAGCGTTCCAAAGAGTGCGTACCCCCAGCTCAGGTAAAGACCGCCCCTTGCTCGCAGTTCCACAGTTAAAGGTCTGGCGGCTCAGGCACGCGACCAGAGACGCTACGTTAAAGCTGCTTTCTGGCGCGCGGCCTCGCTGCTCTGCGCTCCTGCTGCCTGCTGCCTGCGATCTGTGGAAGCCTGGAAGAGTTTTTCTCCCTCCTGTTTTTTTTTTTCTATTTTTAAGCTGGGCCACAGGGCTAATTATGGCTGTTGGTCTCGTGACCTGTACAGAGAGTGTTCGGGTCAGGGGCGAAGCAAGCAAGCAGGGCAAGGATTAGATATATCAAAACCGAGACGGTGACGTGACATGCCTGCTATCAACGTTGCGGCAGTCGGCGACGATCCGGCAGGGAGCCCGATATACCGCACCACGCCGGGGACGCCCGCAGGGGGCTACCATGACCCTGTCGCCGTTGCTGGCACAGGCACCGGGACCAACACCGGCAGCCCGCAGCTACCTCCCGCGATCTTCCCGAGACAGGTTACCCTGCGAGACCGCGTTACGGTGGCCACGCTGATCCCCTTCTCGTCGGCGCAGGAGGTACCCCATTCGCTGCTGGCGTATCTGTGCGACCAGCTCAACAAGGAGATCGAGAAGGGCGATACCTACCCGTTCCTCAATCCGCTAACCCTCGAGGCCTTTGGCACGGACTGGTTCTCGAACTTCGCGGCCGTGATGCTGCTCGGAGATATACCTACCATCAGCCATGTGCAGTCTCTGGAGACCATAGGCGCTGACTGGGGGAAGATATGTCTGGGCAGCTTCAATATAAAGCCCAATTACCCGGGCAGGAGTAGTCATATATGTAACGGCGCCTTCTTGGTGACGGATGCCTCGAGGAACCGCGGTGTCGGCAGGCTGATGGGCGAATGCTACCTGGAGTGGGCTCCACAGATGGTGAGCACTAGAACATACGTAATGACCATAATCTACAATATGATAAGGTTGCTAACCTTTGTGTTTTCCTTTCATCCAGGGGTATACATATGCTGTTTTTAATCTGGTCTATGAAACCAACGTAGCTTCGTGTCGAATCTGGGATGCGTTAGGCTTCAAGAGGATCGGCAGAATACCGGGCTGTGGCAATTTACGATCATACCCGGGGCAGCTCATCGATGCAATAATATATGGGCGTGACCTGGGCCCGGAAGGAGAGGATTTTGTTTCCGAGGAACGCTTCGACAAGATCAGATACTATCTCAAACACTCCAAGTATCCCAGCGGTGCAGACCGAGCGGAGAAGAGCCGCCTGCGCAGTGCGGCAACTCACTATAAACTTGTGGGAGGTGATAAGGGGGAGCCAGAGAAACTTATGCTCAAGGATAAAGAGGTTGTCTCCGACCCTCAACAGCAGTACGAGATTGCCCGCAAGATACACCAGCAGCAACATGGCGGAATCAATAAGACCACGGCCACTATTGCGTTGAAATACCACTGGGTACGCATCAAGGAGACCGTGAGCATGGTCATCAAGAACTGCCCACAGTGCAAAGAAGGCCCCAAGGCCCCTGCCAACGGAGTCTGCGCCAACATTGTTTCTCACAACGGCAGCCCGGACGCCAATTCGTCGTTCAAACGAGAAAAGCCAGCTACTCCCCGGGACCATACCTTCGACATACAACAACCCGATACATTTGATCCCTCCCATCCGGACCAGCAACTCGCCAATGTATCTGTGCACCAGTACTCCAAGGAAGAGCCCTTCAGTCCTGCCGCCCACACGCACGCCCATACACACTCTCATAGCAACCCACTCATCCACGCCGCTGAACAAATGACCGATTACACCGACATACCGCTCGATCCACAGATAATGGACGACATACACCACCATCTCCCTCCCTTCCAACACCACAACGGCGTCAATGTCGGCGTCGGCGTCAGCCCATACGAACCCGACGGGACCCAGGACCCTCATGCCCTGACGCATGGCTTTGACCATACGCCCATGCAGCATGACCACGACCATCACCACGGCCACCACCACGACCACACCGGCAGCTATCAGGTTGTCGAAGACGACGATCTTATGGCCTCGCATACCGGCGTGGGTGCCGGCGTGGGTGTAGACGTCGATGTCGGCGTTGACGTTGGCGTGGGCATGAGGGATCAATCGATGAGACTCGTGGAGGCGACACGGTTACAGAACGACGCGCAGTTCCAGGCCGATCTACTGACCGTTGCATTCGGCGGACGAGAGGACCAGAGCCACTTTGACAGCTAGACTGCCTGGTGCTGAGGATGGATGATTTTGTAGTTCTGTCTATTTGCCTTTGTGCCCGGAGTATGGAGGATCACCTTTTCATGTTTAATGCTATTTACGAGATAGGACCTTAGACGATAGATGATATCAGTTATATTCAGCAATACATCTTTTTTTGAATATTCTTGTATATCCGTATGCTGAGAGTAAAAGGGGCTTTATCGTGGGGGATCTTGCTGACACACCAAAAGGTACACAGCTACCAAAAACTAAAGTTTCGATGAGGGCACCTTCGATGCTCACCAACACAAGCACAACATCGCTTTTCTTGTAATAAATTAACAAAAAGAACAATTTACAATTTATTTCAAGGGATACAGCTCATTTATACCGCCAGCCTTCTACTCGCCGTATAGCCCTTCCGTCTCCCTGCCGCAATAATGGCATTCAGCGGCCAAACACCCACAATCATCGTGCTGAAGGAGGGTCAGTTTTTTCCTAACCCCCATCCCTCCATTCCCCTATCTCGGGCCTCCGTTTCGTCCAAGGAACAAGTTCTAAGCTTGAATGGGTGTTCTATAAACAGGCACGGATGCATCGCAAGGCAAGGGACAGATTCTATCGAATATCAACGCCTGCGTCGCTGTACAGGCCACTATCAAGAGCACCCTAGGCCCCTATGGCGGGGACCTATTACTGGTAGACAGCAGCGGGAAGCAAACAATCACAAACGATGGCGCAACAGTAATGAAGGTGAACACATTCCTCGGTCTCTCTCATGTTCAAGAAAGTTGCCTATTTACTTACTTTTCTACCATCTAGCTTCTCGAGATCGTTCACCCCGCCGCCCGCATCTTGACAGATATTGCACGATCACAGGACGCAGAGGTCGGCGATGGAACTACTTCCGTCGTTGTTTTAGCTGGTGAGATCCTGCGCGAAGTCCGCGACCTCGTCGACCAGGATGTCAGTGCTCAGACGATCATAAAGGGCTTGCGGAAGGCGAGCGCCATGTCCGTCAACAGGATTAAGGAGATTGCGATCGATATGAAGGATGCTGCTGGTGGGGAGGCGAAGAAGATCGAAACACTCAGACGGTTGGCGGGAACTGCGATGAACAGCAAGCTGATTAAACGCAATTCGGAGTTTTTCACAAAGAGTGGGTTTATTCCTTGTGTGTTTTTTTACACTGTCTGATCTGGTAACTAACGCATGGCAGTGGTTGTCGATGCTGTCCTCTCGCTGGACCAGGATGATTTGAACGAGAAGCTCATTGGCATCAAGAAGATCACCGGTGGTGCCTTGCAAGATTCCCAATTCATCAACGGTGTTGCGTTCAAGAAGACCTTCGCATACGCCGGTTTCGAGCAGCAGCCCAAGTCGTTTAAGAACCCCAAGATTGTCTGTCTCAATGTCGAGTTGGAGCTGAAGAGCGAAAAGGACAATGCAGAGGTCAGAGTCGAGCAGGTGTCGGAATACCAGGCCATCGTCGACGCTGAATGGCAGATTATCTTCAACAAGCTAGAGGCCCTATACAACACCGGCGCAAAGGTCGTGCTTAGCAAGCTTCCTATTGGCGATTTGGCGACACAGTACGTCTACTCCGTACATTCTAGTTTGCCCGTCATCTTTTACTAAAGCTATCCTTCTAGGTACTTTGCGGACCGTGATATATTCTGTGCCGGCCGTGTTGCCTCCGACGACATGGAGCGTGTGAACCAAGCCACCGGCTCCTCTACGCAGTCCACCTGCACCGACATCCAAGAACACCACCTCGGAACCTGTGGTTCCTTCGAAGAGCGTCAAATCGGTGGTGAGCGATTCAACATCTTCGCCGAATGCCCCGGCGCCAAAACATGCACTCTTATCCTTCGCGGTGGAGCAGAGCAATTCATCGCCGAAGCCGAGCGCAGTCTGCACGATGCCATTATGATCGTTAAGCGAGCACTACGAAACACCAACGTCGTTGCTGGCGGTGGTGCCACCGAGATGGACTTGTCCGGCTACATCCATCGGTATGCCGATATCAATGTTCCACACAAGCAGCAGGCCGTCGTCAAGGCGTTTGCAAAGGCGCTGGAGGTCATTCCTCGCCAGCTCTGTGACAACGCCGGCTTCGATGCCACGGATATCCTTAACCAGCTGAGAGTGGAGCATAGGAAGGGGAGCATCTGGGCTGGTGTCGATTTCGACAACGAGGGCGTCCGGGATAACATGGAAGCGTTCGTGTGGGAGCCCAGTCTTGTCAAGGTCAATGCCATCCAGTCTGCCGTTGAGGCTGCATGCTTGATTCTAAGTGTTGACGAGACCATCAGTATGTCATTCCCTTCCCATCACCTATTCAACATTACCAATACTAACATACCACGACAGAGAATGAAGAGTCCGCTCAACCACAGGGAGGTCCCCCGCGAGCACTACCACCAGGCGCCGCTCAGCGTGTGCTCCGAGGTGGCAGAGGCCGCGGCATGCCCAGACGATAAACGATTCACATCCCCGCATGCACAATATGGAATGGTAAAATAAAAAAAAGTCAGTTGAAAGAAATTACTACCATAGAAAAATAAGTAATGTCCATATAACGTTCCTCCATGTCCGTGCTTGTATATGAAGAAAATGCGCCACATCTCACGCTGTAGGGCTCAACGAGGTGGTACAACCCGAGCCGACAACGCATGAACTAATGCATGAAAAATGAAAATTAAGAATAGATCAAATCGTCATATGGCCGTGGCGAGTGCGACTACGGGGGTAGCACTGCGTGAGAACAAGCTGCGGTTGTGGCTGCAGGCCGGAGCAATCCCAGGATAGGGCTGTAAAGAGCATCCCAGGATATTATTCTGATATGTAATCGCAGCCTTTTTTTCCTCCACAGGGCTGATACTAGACTATCCGACGGCATCTTGCGTATCCCGTCCATGCAATGCACGGCATCCTCGAAGGCCGTTGTACCTAGCAGCGAGTCAAGGGATATATATACTCCATATCGAATGGTAGAAGAACGGTCTTCGCGCCGCTGTTCAACCTGGCTGACGGGGTAGCAGATCCGTGTGACCTCACAATTGAATCCCTAGCCCTCCGATAGTCAATTGTGACGGCGATGATGGCTTGTCCAGTGCAAGGGTGAGAGGTTCTGCGCTTCAGCCGGGCTCGTATCGTGGCCCTATTATTCAGCTGTAGTCGCAGTTCGCCGTGGATGCGAGAAATTTTCGCCCTCTTTGCTTTTTCAACTCTCCGGCCGTTCTTCCGTCAGAAGCTTCAGGTTTATTTCGCGTCTCTCGCTGTTTAGATCTGGAGTCTTTCCTTTCTCTGCGGGAGTCAATCCGGGGGCTGAACCTCACGATAGCCTCACGACAGCCTCGCAGCCATCTCTCCGCCGCCAGCATTCATCGTCCCATATCTCGTCATCGTCAGTGGTATCGACGCTCGCTAGCATCGTCGTCATCCTTCGGCTGTTTAGTTGCTAAAGTGAAGTAGCTTGTTCGTGTTTTGACGTTTCTCGGGGGTGGTTGATTTGCTAAGCCTTTTTTCCCCTGCTCCACCCCTCTTTGGGCTTCATCGCACTTTTTCCTCCCTTTGCTTCAGGCCTCGACATCCTCCTCCTCACCTTCTCGTCCTCGCTCTGCCTATACCCATCTGCGGCCTCAGTCATGTCGTACTATCAGCAAGGAGGATACCCAGGCGCCTCTCAGCAGGGCTACGGCCAGCCGCCGCCCCAGCAGCACGGCTACGACCAGGGAGGATACGGAGCACCACCGCCACAACAGTACCCGTAAGCCCCCCTACTCTTGTCTATAGCAGTGTTGAATACTGACAGAGGCCTGCACAGTCCTCATGGCTACGGCCAGCAGCAGCCTTCCTACCAGCAGCCTCCGTACGGACAGCCATCTCACTCGCCGCAACCTCCACATGGCCCCCCGCATGGCTCGTACGGTCAAGCGCCACCATCCCCGCAGCCTCAGTATAGATATCAAGTAGGTCTACGGAGCATTGCCCTGTCAAAGGCAGTCCACTGACTGGTGCACCGCAGGAACATGGACAGCAGCAGCACGCACCGGCACCGCACGGGGGATACGGTCAGGGACCGCCACCTAACAGCGGGCAGATGAACAACGGACGCCCGAGTGAGTGTCTCCGGACAGCTTTATATATATACATATTTATATATTCATCGCTAACTGGTGTTGATAGACTACCAAAACACCTACAACCAGCAGGGCCACAGTGGACCCCCGCCACCACCCAACGGTGCCGTCTCCTTCGGCCATGGTGCTCCCCAGGGGTACAATTTCCAGTACTCCAACTGTACCGGCAAACGGAAAGCTCTCCTGATCGGTATCAACTATTTCAACCAGCGAGGTCAGCTGCGCGGCTGTATCAACGATGTGAAGAACATGTCCAACTACCTGAACCAGAACTATGGCTATGCCAGACAGGACATGGTTCTGCTCACTGATGACCAACAAAACCCCATGAGCCAACCTACAAAAGCGAATATCCTGCGTGCCATGCACTGGCTGGTCAAGGATGCCAGAGCCAACGACTCGCTGTTCTTCCACTATTCCGGTACGATATACAGGACGTATATTTTAAACATTGATAATAGACTAACCACTCGATAGGTCACGGTGGTCAAACCGCAGATGTTGATGGCGATGAAGAAGACGGCAACGACGAAGTCATTTACCCTGTCGACTTCAGGACGGCCGGTCACATTGTCGACGACGAAATGCACCGCATCATGGTGCAAACTCTAGTCCCGGGCGTCCGTCTCACCGCCATCTTCGATTCCTGCCACTCTGGTTCCGCGCTCGACCTACCATTTATCTACTCTACTCAAGGTGTCCTCAAAGAACCAAATCTCGCCAAGGAAGCCGGTCAGGGTCTTTTGGGCGTTGTCTCCGCCTACGCTCGTGGCGATATGGGTGGCATGATGAGCGGTGCCGTCGACCTTTTCAAGAAAGCTACACGTGGCGACGAAAGCTTCAAGAAGGCCCGACAAACTCGTACCAGTCCCGCGGACGTCATTATGTGGTCTGGCAGCAAGGACGTGCAGACCAGTGCGGACGCCAGTATCGGCGGTCAGGCTACAGGAGCCATGTCGTGGGCCTTCATTACTGCTCTCAAGAAGAACCCACAACAGAGCTACGTGCAGCTGTTGAACAGTATTCGTGATGAGCTCGCATCCAAGTATTCGCAGAAACCGCAGTTGAGCTGCAGTCACCCACTCGGTCAGTAGATAACCCTGTGATTTTTTTTCCCAGCTTTTATATACCCCGTCGTGCCTCCCACGGCCTAACACTTACCTGTCCACCTTAGATACCAACCTCCTGTATGTCATGTAAGAGGCCCACCACTACACTTCAAATGTGAAACGTATACCATGACTATTCCGACACCCAATGAAATACCAAGAACTCCGATGATCGCTAGGGCGTATATCCCCAATTTTATCACCTAAACGAATCCGTTCATTCGTCTTCGTTCGTCACCGCTTTCTTCGTTAGCGTGGGTAGTTGAGCGTTATAGCTTTATTTTACGATCACCTGTTCCCTTGCGGTTCTCGATTGGCCGCTTTCCTTGTCCCCTTATTATTTTATTTTTTTGTCTATTTTTGTGCGCTGAAATATGGGTTAATAACATGAGGTGGTTTGTGATCTGGGACTTCTATTGGCATCTTTTTCTCACTGTTTTGGTTCTGCTCTCGTTTTCTGATTGCTTTTTTTGCGGGTTATTCATATTAGTCGGTATTTGGGCATTGGTATCTTAAAATACTTCTTCATATTTTAACTTAGGATATTATTCATGACTTTCATCACTCCCGTTGACCTTTCTAATCTAGTATTTTGCTACTTTATTCATATAGAGTCTGCTATAAATTTAACAGTGTATAGATACATATTTGATAGTTTCATTCTTGACGCTTGGCTAAGCAACTGGTGTTCATTAACAAAGACTCAAAAGCTTAGACATGTTAGCAATCCCCCTATACTTATAACTTTCTACTCTTTAAATATTCATAGTCTGGCATAGCGCTCTTGACCTTTGTATAAAGTACGTCTGCCGCAACAATTCCAAACTCCTCTTTCCATTGGTCGTATTTGGCAGCCACATCTAACCCCTGCGAGGATTTCGATTTATCAATAGTTGTTGAATCCCATATCCCGCTCAAATAGCTTACTTCGCGGGGATTGGCTCCTCTAGTATTCGAAGGTCGTGACTCTTCCCACTCATACCTGATATGCTCTGGATCCATGCCACACACTTCGCATAACTTTGACATAGCCTTGCCATCGATCACATCGTCTGCGTCAATGACTACCGGCCGAGGTTTCCCCATGGTCACCGAGTCGTTTTCCTTTTCGCAATCTTCATTAGAGCAATTTGACATGAACCAGTCATAAAGCTGCCGAGAGTACTGGAAAGTCGTCAGGTAATTCCATGACTTGAGGTTGATATCGATAGGTTCGACACGGAGCTCAGCCCTATACCATGACTCAAAGGTAAGAGCTGGGTGGCGGATAAGGAAAACAGGCTGCCACGAAGTAATAAAGTCATCCGGGAAGAAAGTCGGATTGGTCCTTGTTGTTGATGCAGACCCGCCTATGCCCTGGCCAGGGAGCACAGCGAAAGGGCGTGCCATTTCCCCTCCCCACATACTCTGGGAGAGGCTGGCTGGTTCCCAGACGTAGAACGTGTGGTTTTTTACGAAAAGGTGCTTGTCCTACTCACCGTTAACATATAATCTCTGTTAATTGGATATTGGTGCTTATTGATATGTTGTCTGAAACCTGTTTAACGGGGTAGAACCATCTTACCTCGGCAACAGCGGCATCTCGAGCTCGCTGGAGATCATCCATACCCTGTTGGAGCGACTCATCAAATTGCCGACGTTGCTCATCAGTTATATCAGTAAGCGGGTTCAATTTAAAGGAATTTCGTGCGGCTAATAAGGCAGGTCGGAAATGATATTCCGATTGAACCCATCCCGGCTGCTTTGAGAGGAGACGACAGAGAACATTGGAGACTGTCCTCGCGTGGCTGAAGAGAAAGACATCCCGATGACGTGAGCGTTGCCCTTTCTCTCCGTTCTCAGTTTTTGCTTGCTCAAGTTTATCCATGATATGAAATTTTGAGGTACAAAGTCCGAGAGAACCTAGAATGCGTGTGATGTCTAAATCATGCTCTCATATGAATTCGGACAGGGTTATATACTCCCTACAGCGCAGACAGGCTACCCCTACCCCGCCATATAACTAGCCGTTAGTTATATGCAGCTCAGCCTTCGAGTTGTCGCCCGACTAGTTGTACAAAGGGGCTCCCTTCGCGAGAGCATAGCTTGAGTCATTATTCCAGAGTAATATCATCGTAAACAATCAATAAAAGTGAGCCGAGGTGGGTATATATCCCGTATAACCTGTAACCAGCCATGTATAGAGCACTCGCTATTCTTAATGGCAAGGTGATATTTAAAACATAGTGAGAAGAAAAGTGGTCGTCAAAATAAAGCCCAGGGCCACCTGACTAGCGAAATATTTATTTAACCACCAACTACGCAGCACAAAGTCAACTAAATAGAATCCATCAACAATACTACAGTTCTTTATACATTTACGTGTCATCATAATAGAGCAGAGACTCGAGAATCCACGGCGGATGCTATGGACGCGCAGTCCTTCCCATCTCAATATGCCAGATGTCTTCCCGCCCTCATACGAATCCGCCACGACGCGAGATGCATGGGCGATAATTTCACCGTATATTCTATCTACAGACCTATGCTCTACATCACTCGTCTGTCAAGGATGGCACAAGATTTTTGCCCCGCGCTTATGGGGTGCTCCGGCATCACACTTTGGAACTAGAGATGATGCTGTTTACGGTGGGCATACCATCTCCCCCCTACCATCATGAGGTAGTAACATTTATGTTCATCCGAAAAGTCGCCTTGACACGGTTTAGGAGAGTATTAAACATATCTCGACTATGCGTTCGGCAACTTACGCATACCTTGCATTTACCGTCTGCTTTGTCAGAGATATATGGTGAGCCGCCATCGACATGGCTGCATGAATTACTAGAATATCTCCCCAATCTACAGTCCCTACTTGCTTCGAGGCTCCCGTTCTTCGATCATAGGTCTCTTGTCGAATTGGGGAAAGGCGGGAGGTATAATCTCCGGCTCCTCCTAGCTGGACGCGAGCTGAATGCGACATCTGTTGGACTAGCCGAAGGGTTGAAATGCCTCCCAAAGCTGGTGTTCCTTGACCTATCTTATACCACTGCCGCAAGAGACTCTGGAGTTCTGTTTACCCTGAACCGTTTGCGGGATTTACAGATATTGAAACTACGAGGTATTGGGCTACGGGATAATGACATGGAGGTTCTGGTTAGAGCTATCCAAACCCGTGTCCGCCTGCTTGATGTTCGAAACAATCTATTAACCGATCGAGCGCTTAGTCTGCTAGTTCAAATGTGCTTCCTGCCATATGACGAGAGCCAAAGTGCTCATCGTGCAAACGAACACTTTGGCCCCCTGACAGGTGCCTTACTGGCAAATTCTATTGAGAGTGACCAACTTGACGATCATCTTTTGCGGCTCTTTACAAAACCACTCACCGGCCGGTCTGCACTGGAGGAGCTCCCACATGTTGGTGTAACGCATCTATATATCGCAGGTAACAACTTCTCTTCTGACGGACTGATAAGTTTGCTGCAAACAAGGAGGTTAAATGTTTTCGACGCTGGAGCAACGCCTCTTGAACGGGATAAACTTATACCAATATTCAGGAGTCCAGCTGTGCAAGGTCTTAGGTACCTCAAAGTACATCATTCTGTGGTCACGGAGGGCGTGACGTCCAAGAATACCCTAGAAAGTCTGCTCGCCGAGGAAAATGAATCATCGGAAGAAATGATTCAAGCGCTCCTTGACAAACGACCAACATTCTGCAAGGCAAACAGCAATAATATGGATGACCACCCAGATCTTCACCCTTCCAACGTCGCCTATCTTCAAACACTAGTTCTCACAGACATACCAGCATCAGTTCCCCCGTCTTCTCCCATCATATCTTCGCTCACTCGCTTCATCTCTGCTTGCGCTGACGAGTCGCTTCTTGCCTCATTGCAAGCCCAGTCCAATTATTCCCTCCCCCCAGGCCAATACCGCGCCAAAGCAGTACAACAACATGCGAAGGAACTCTTCGCCCTCAGTAGAATCGTTTTAGAAATAACGCCTACTGGGAACCCTAACCGGCCAGAATCGTTACCAACTTGGGCTCCAGCGAGCTATTACCAACGAGACGTGTTTAAATCAAGCACCGGGGATCTAGACACTGAGAATCTATGGGCAGCCGCCGCAAATGACTTTAGTTTCTTTGGCGAGGAAGAAGAAAGTAAGAATGGGCTTCGTCCCCAGGGGCCACGGTCACCCCTGAACTCAGATGAATTACCACCAGCACGGATGGTGGATTTAGTAGCAGCGCTGGCAGCATTCCGAAGAGAGAAACGAGATGGACATAATAAAAGGGCCCAGGATGGAAGAAGCAGGCTACTGACTGCTGATGGCCACTGGGAAGGGGAGGTAAAGATTCTCAGGAACCCTCTCTAAGCTTGACTTTGCACATGTCAACAACTCAAACACACCTTTCTGTATATACTCTCCCTTTAACGGGGCTTTAGAGCGGTTTTTGGCATGTCCAACATGGATATAAAAAGGTAATGTTTGGACAAAAACAGTTTTACCTGTATTGGCCAATTTAATATCTTATCAACATCGGGGAGTTTGTGTTGGGTACAAACGTTATCCGGCCAATTGTTTAAAAAAAATTTAATAATTAAAACAAAGTCATTTCATGCCGGGATATTTCACACATTCGCCGCAGCTCAATCGTAATTTTTGGACTTCCCACCGCCATGAACATGCTGATTGTTTGAAAAAAAGAGGGAGGATAGCTGCTAGATCCTCCGTTCCCCATTTTGCACTCCTCCGACGTTAAAAGGTATTAAAAAGATCTCACATCCTCTATCTATACCTTAGCGGTAGCAGCTTGAGCGGTCTTGGCGGTAGCAGCGGCCTGCTGGGGGTTCAACTTCTTGTTGGAGTCCTTGTTGAATCGCAGTCTTGGTGGTGGGGCACGGTTGCGGCGGCCTTCTCGGGATCGGACACTGTATAGTTGAAAAGATATCATCAGCCATTTTCCTCCACAATCATATTCGGTTCGCAGGATCCATCGTGGATGTGTGATATGCATACCGGACAATCTTTCCGTGGATGGCGCAAGAAACACAGTATTGGAGCTTCAGGTACATCTTTGGGACGGCGTATTTGGTGAAGACGGAGGCGTCAGAGATATCGCCTATAGTTATTCCAGCACATTAGCATTGTATATTTCGATATTTCCATTTCGACATCACTCGGGGTTCGGTTGGAGCGCTCGGGGAGCCACCGGGGGATTCGGAGACGATTGTAACGTACTGACGGCGGCGGACTCAACCATGTTGCGGATGGTGAATCTCTTGATGGCCTTGTCCTTGGGGGTACATCTCGAGCAGTTGGAGCAACGAATTGGCTTAACGTGGCCACGGCCCTTCTTGTTACGTCCGCTACAAGAACAGAAACACGTCAGTTTTTCATCGCGCAGCTAAGACAGGCTGTTTCCACGCTGAAGCCGAAGCCAGAGGGAAAGTTCGATATCTGGATAGCCGGATGCTCTAGATTCGGGGAGTTTCAACGCACTTGGACGCTCGCTTCTTAACCATTTTGAATAACGGTGTGGTTGGCTTTCGCGATTGCGCAAGCCAAGGGACAGGCAGTTAACCGGAGCGAGGGAGGATGGTGAGGTGGTGCTGAGGTGTTCGTCGTTGTCGAGATCTCGCTCTCTTCTTTCGCCCTCTTTCAAGCTATCCCAGACTTCTTCTTGTGGGCTGAGGGCTAAGCGAGTCACGTTTTTGATGAATAAGATATGAGTAAGACATGACTAAGATATGACCAAGCAGTACTCATGTGACTTTGGTCCCGTGACTGAGTCCGTGCTCCTACCCTTTTGAAAACAAAAAAAACGGGAACTTCAAGCGTCGATTTTGGCCTCAGGGAAACCTCCTTGTAGTCCGTTTGTCGCAGCCGGGATCATTGCTCTCGTACCACGGTCAAGCGGCGGGCGAAGTCTACTTTTTGCCTCTTCTCCTTCATAGATCTTCCCTTTTACTTTTCCAAGATGTCGACAACTGGTGGTACCATCCGTAGCCGGACCATGGGTCGGGGCCAGCTCCCCTTTGACCCTAACTCATCGGCCATCCCTCGAAAGGTCGAATTGCCAATTCCTCCAAATGTCTCTTCCGACGTGGGAGCAAGCTCTACATTAAGCTCGAGCAGACAGAAGCAATCTAAACGTGATGAGGTATACTACCATCTGCCGTCTTCCGTGTCCCTCCTGGGGGGGATGATAGAGGGACAAGGGGAATGATTATGTGTGTATATTCTGGTGCAATCTACTAAATGATGTACGAACAGGCCATTAGGAAGAAGATGGAGGCGGACCTCAGCAAGAAGAAGTTTAACCCTTCAAAGGCACGGCACACCCGGAAGGCTCCTCCAGGCACCGTTCTCGCCCTGAAGCCTAGCCAAGCTTTACAGATCAAGCCAAACACCACCGTTTCCGAGGCTGCGCGATTGATGGCCGCGAAGAGGGAGGACTGCGTTCTTGTGACGGACGATGACGACCGTATTGCCGGTATTTTCACCGCAAAGGATTTGGCATACCGAGTTGTCGGTGCTGGCATTCGCGCCAGGGATGTGACAATTGCCGAAATCATGACGAAGAACCCGCTCTGTGCCCGAACTGATACGAGCGCCACCGATGCTCTCGACCTCATGGTTCGCAAAGGATTCCGACATCTCCCTGTCATGGATGAGAACCAAGACATTTCCGGTATTCTAGATATCACCAAATGTTTTTATGATGCGATGGAGAAGCTTGAACGTGCATACAGCTCCTCCCGCAAATTATATGACGCTCTCGAGGGTGTCCAGTCTGAGCTAGGCTCTTCTCAACCCCAGCAAATTATACAGTACGTGGAGGCATTAAGATCGAAAATGTCCGGGCCAACGCTCGAGTCTGTGCTTAATGGATTGCCCCCTACTACTGTGTCCGTGCGCACATCCGTCAAGGAGGCTGCTGCGTTGATGAAGGAGAACCATACGACTGCGCTCTTGGTCCAAGACCAAGGATCGATCACCGGTATCTTTACTAGCAAGGACGTCGTCCTCAGAGTTATCGCCCCCGGCCTTGACCCAACCACCTGTAGCGTTGTCCGGGTCATGACTCCCCACCCGGACTTTGCTCCTACGGACATGAGCATCCAGGCTGCTCTCAGAAAGATGCACGGTAAGTCATATACTTCCTCTTAACCTGTGCATGAGTGATAAAATCTAACGACCGTGCATAGATGGACACTACCTCAACCTTCCAGTTATGAACGAAGCTGGTGAGATTGTGGGAATGGTTGACGTCCTCAAGTTGACCTATGCTACGCTGGAACAGGTTAGTTTTATTCATATCTTTACCTAGGGAGTTCAGGCTAGTTAACGCGTGTTAGATCAACACGATCCAAACCAACGAAAGCGAGGGCCCTGCCTGGAACAAGTTCTGGCTTTCGATGGACAACGAGTCAGATTCGATGGTATCTGGCAGTCAGCCATCGCACCCTCACCGATCCCTGTTGAGCCCAGACCACAGAGGCCACACCGTTGATAGCGTTCTTCCCAACGACTCCGCCTCTCATCACGGAGGGGAAGATGCGCCTGTCTCTGAAATACAGGAACGTCAACCGGTAGAAGAGAAAGTTGATCCTTCTTTCCCATTCAAATTCAAGGCCCCAAGCGGTCGTGTTCACCGCCTCCACGTTGACCCATCCGCTGGCATTGCGGAACTGGTCCAGAACGTGGCGTCCAAACTTGGAGCCGAGGTCGAGAGCATCGGCGGCCTAGCTGTCGTTGAGGATGGAAAGCTAAGCAACACCGGATTCGCCATGAGTTACTTGGACAGTGAGGGAGACACCGTTTCCATCACCGCTGACCAAGATCTTGTCGATGCTATTACAATTGCACGCAAGGCAAACCGAGACAAGGTTGACCTATTTGTCCACAGCCCGGACTCTACGCCAGTGCTTACCAAGGAGCCCGAGCCAGTAGCCGCAGCCAAGGCCGTCTCCCCGCCTGAGTCTGTCACCGTTGCGGCCGAGGAAGAGAACGCCCATAGGGAAGAATTCGCCAGTAGACCCAGGACCCTGACTCAGTCTCAAGTCCAGCCGTCGACTGACCAACAGCTCATCAACGGTATTCCGAACGAGCTCATCCTACCCGGTGCTATTGTCACTCTTGCTGCCGTCATTGTCGGTGTCTTTGTGTTGAGCCGCGCAGGTAGACGATAGAACCTCCCCACCATTGCCGATGCTATAGGATTTTTCTTTTACCCCCCCCTGTCACAGCTACCAGTACATTTCCTTTGACCAAAGATTTCCTGCCTCTTGGATACTACGCTGGTAGTATATCGCTTGACCTCTTCTTTCCTTGGCCGTTTACCACCTGTTACTCTAGCACCTGGACTTTTAGCACGCACAATATTTAAGATATCCCCCTTGTAATTCCACGAACCTCTAGCTAGATGAAAATAGATTCTCCTTCCTATATTCCTTTAATATATAGCAGTTTGTTGACAGCAAACCAATCAAACGGCGCATATCGACTATTTAGGACTAGCCCCGAAGATAACAAAAAAAAACACCAAAAGAAAAAATAAAAACGAATTTTGGCTTCAACGCAGAAAATCATTAGTTAAACCACCCACCAACATCCCACCTCGCACCCCTTCGCCCTCACTCCTCCACGTCCGCTGCCGAACGCAAACATCGCTCGGTTCGTGCTGTCGCTGCACTTGAGCTCCCGTTAGCACTCAAAAACGCCCGACCAGGACGTGTGGTGGCTGCTTGAAAGGACAATAGGGCGTTGCCCGTCACCCCTCTCACCTAAACGCCCACCAAGACTGGCCACAACGTCAGGGATCGCGACCACCCCGATTTCGACACAACAGCAATACGCTCGCCTCTCCTCGACCAGCGCGATTAGCCAGCCTTTCCTTTGACAATCAGGAGAGGGAGACAGAAGCTAGACTTGTTTATTCTGGTGGCCTGGCGACCTGTGCGAGCACGGTTGATTGGATAGTCGTATCAGTCTCTTATCGGGCGTGATAAACAGAAGCAGGATGTCGGTTCTACCACAGGAAGTTCACACGGCGCTGTCGCAGCTGTTACTGGCCCTTTCGTCTGCCGATAATAATGTTCGGACCCAGGCAGAGGAGCAGTTGAACAATGAGTGGGTTCAGGGCCGTCCAGACGTGTTGTTGATGGGCCTGGCAGAACAGATACAGGCGTCCGAGGATACAAATGTGAGTACACTTTAACCACGACGACGACGATTACATCGAGCCTGCGACGACATGGCTGGACCGTTCTCCACGCGATCTATCTCGAACGAGGTTGAAGGTGCTGATTCTCTGCAATATTCCTAGACACGGTCATTTGCCGCCGTGCTTTTCCGACGTATGTCAGCCAAATCGATAAAAAACCCGACCACTGGCGACCCCAGAGAGCTCTTCTTCAGTCTTCTCCACGACCAACGAGTGGCTGTTCGACAGAAGTTGCTCGAGGCTTTGAGCGTTGAGAGTTTCGCCCCTGTCCGGAATAAGATTGGAGACGCAGTAGCAGAAATCGCGTCTCAATACTCAGACCAAGGTAAGCTCTCCGCACTTCGGCTATTGCCTTTGCAATTGCGGGATACACAGGGTTGGACTACGTTATTTAAGGTCGATATTTGGTGTTAATTACCGGGAATTCAGGAGAACCATGGCCAGAACTTCTAGGCCTCCTCTTCCAGGCTAGCCAATCTCCAGTTAGTGGTCTCCGCGAGACTGCATTCCGTATATTTGCCGCTACCCCAACGATTATAGAGAAGCAGCATGAGGACATGGTCCAGGAAGTCTTCTCAAAGGGATTCCAGGACGATCACGTTTCCGTATGTACAAATGGCCGTATTCCCATGAAGTTAACCCATCTGACTCGAGTTACAGGTCCGCATCTCTGCAATGGAAGCATTTGCATCGTTCTTCCGATCAATCAGCAAGAAGACGCAAGCCAAGTTCTTCGGAGTCGTCCCTGAACTACTGAACACGATCCCACCATTGAGGGAGGGAGATCAGAGTGAGGAGCTGTCCAAGGCATTTGTTGCCCTGATGGAACTTGCGGAAGTCAACCCCAAAATGTTCAAGGGTCTCTTCAACAAGCTCGTGAAATTTAGTGCCAGCGTTATCGGAGATGCGGACCTGTCTGAACAAGTCAGGCAGAACGCTCTTGAACTCATGGCTACTTTTGCCGACTATGCGCCATCCATGTGCAAGAAGGATCCCACCTATGCACAAGAAATGGTTACCCAGTGCCTTAACTTGATGACCGACGTCGGCCAGGACGACGACGATGCGTCTGAATGGGGAGCATCCGAGGATGTAAGTGGTTTATGTTACTGCTTTACTCATACCACCGCACTAACATCTTAACTCAGCTTGACCTGGAGGAAAGTGATAAGAACCACGTTGCTGGTGAACAGTGCATGGACCGACTCGCCAATAAGTTGGGAGGACAGATTATCCTTCCCATTACCTTTAACTGGATCCCGAGAATGATGTCGTCCACATCATGGCGCCACAGACACGCTGCTCTCATGGCCATTTCAGCAATCTCCGAAGGATGCCGTGATCTGATGATCGGTGAGCTCGACCAAGTTCTCGCCCTGGTCATTCCAGCCCTCCAGGACCCTCATCCTAGAGTTCGCTTCGCCGGATGCAATGCCTTAGGCCAGATGAGTACCGATTTTGCTGGCACTATGCAAGAGAAATACCACTCTATTGTTCTCGGCAGCATTATCCCAGTTCTCGTCTCAGAACACCCTCGCGTTCAGGCACATGCTGCCGCTGCTTTGGTGAACTTCTGTGAAGAGGCAGAGCGCGCTGTCCTCGAGCCATATCTTCCAGACCTCCTGCAAAACCTCCTCCAGCTTCTCCGCAACCCCAAGAGATATGTGCAGGAGCAGGCTCTCTCCACCATTGCCACCATTGCAGACTCAGCAGAGGCCGCTTTTGGCCAGTTCTATGACACGTTGATGCCCCTTTTGTTCAACGTCCTCAAGGAAGAACAATCCAAGGAGTACCTTGTTGTGCGTGCGAAAGCCATGGAATGCGCGACTCTCATTGGTTTGTTTTGACTTTCCTAACACTACTTGAATAATTGAGACTAATATCCCTTTAGCATTGGCTGTTGGCAAGGAGAAGATGGGTTCGGATGCCATTGATTTGGTTCAGTTGCTTGGCCACATTCAGCGTAAGTCCCTGATAACTCTGTCTGTCCACCAACCGCCGCCTACTAAACTATCTGGATAGAAAACATTACCGAGCCAGATGACCCTCAATCCTCCTATCTCCTTCACTGCTGGGGTCGCATGTGCCGAGTGTTAGGGCTCGCATTTATTCCATATCTTCCTGCTGTTATGCCTCCATTGCTTCAGGTTGCTGCTTCCAACGCAGATGTCCAAATTTTGGAGAATGATGAGAGCCTTCGAGACGTTGAGCAAGACCACAACTGGGAGCTGCTCCCATTCAAGGATAAGATCATCGGCATCCGAACCAGCACGCTCGAGGACAAGAACACTGCCATCGAGTTGATCACAATCTACGCCCAAGTCCTCGAGGGTGCCTTTGAGCCATATGTGGTTAAAACTTTGGAGGAGATTGCCATCCCCGGCCTGGCTTTCTTCTTCCACGACCCCGTTCGGGTGTCCTCCGCTAAACTTATCCCCCGTCTTTTGAACTCCTACAAGAAATCTCATAACGAACAGTCCGCAGAATTCCAACAAATGTGGTCTACTACCTTGGTTAAGATCATCGAGATCCTTACTGCGGAGCCTTCCATTGACACCCTTGCAGAAATGTTCCAATGCTTCTATGAATCTGTGGAGGTTGCGGGCAGAAACTGTCTTACTCCTCAGCACATGCAGGCATTCATCGAAGCTTCTAAGAGCGCTCTTGAAGATTACCAGAAGAGAGTACAGAAACGCCTCGAAGACAAGGCCGAGCTTGATGATCCCGAAGAGGATGCCTTCTCATTTGACTATGAGATGGAAGAGGACCAGAACCTCCTAAGCGACATGAACAAGGCTTTCCACACTATCTTCAAAAACCATGGTCCAGCATTCCTGCCCGCCTGGGAACAGTTGCTCCCATTCTATAACTCCTTTGTCACCAGCGAAGACCCCACACAGCGACAGTGGGTCCTCTGCATCATGGATGATGTTCTTGAATTCTGCGGCGACCAGTCGTGGAACTACAAGGACCACATCCTCAAGCCATTGATCGACGGCATGCAAGATGAGAACCCATCCAACCGCCAGGCCGCCGCTTATGGTGTTGGAGTTGCTGCCCAGAAGGGTGGAGAAGCGTGGAGCGAGTTCGCCGCCGCTAGTGTTCCAATGTTATTCGCCGTAACCCGCTTTGCTGATGCTAGGTCGGAGGACCAAGTTTTTGCTACTGAAAACGGTTCTGCCAGTATAGCTAAGATTTTACACTTCAACTCCAGCAAAGTTCCCAACCCTCAGGAAGTAGTGGACAATTGGATTGATACTCTGCCAATCGAAAATGACGAGGAAGCCGCTCCTTACGCATATGCTTTCCTTGCCCAACTTATTGACCAGTGAGTTCCCTAGTCCTCGGATTATCTTTTCGCTGTGAGCAATGAATCTAACTACTATGTTCTTAGGCGAAATCCTTCTGTTCTCGCAAAGGCTGAGAAGGTATTCACATCTATTGTCCAAGCGCTGGAGGCCGAGACCCTCCAAGGCAACATATGCAGCAAGGTTGTGGAGGCAGCGAAACAGTTAGTGGCTGCGACTGGCGTGAATGCTGACCAGATCCTCAACATTGTCCGCCCAGAGAATCAGCTCGCGGTTCGCAGACACTTCCAATGAAGATACGGCTTTTGATACCTTTCAACTTTACCCCCATTCATGTTATTCCCCATTTTGCACCATCATTGTCCCCTTTTACCCCACCGATTACCGGATATCATCAACACTAAAGCCTTTAAAAATGTGTCATTGTGCACTCTTGATTTCATAATCTTAGATAGAAAGCAAAGTGTCTTTACCTTTCTATGTCCTGTTCTGTTTCCTTTGTTTCTTCATTGACTCCTTCAACGGCATTATATGATCATTTCCTTCCTCTACGAACACCTCATATGGCCACACGTTTAACTAGGAAATTAAAGAAATGCGATGAATGACATAATCACCTCCCCCCCCCTTATTCACTCCACGAGTTTTATTGTAGTGAACATCACTCTATATGCGAGGATGGTGTATTTACCACTATCTGAAATTCTCTTGCCTCAAGGGGGAGTGGTGGTAGATATTGGAGCCCTGACTGAACAAAATCGCAGTGGTAGTTGCCTCCGTCTGCTCCTATGGACTATCCACTCGTGTGACAAGACGGACAGTTTTCACTCTCAAGGTTATCATATTTGGGAAGCCTGGGGTAGAAATAGTTGATATTTTTAAGGAAAACTTAGGTATATCCTTCCACGGGAGCTTAAAATCCCTTCTATAACCAACAAGCAACGAGATATAACAAAAATGCCGAAACTGGTATACCTTTGCCAATACAAGCGCAAAAATCAATACAATTTGGAATGAAATAAATAATCCAATATCTCTATCGGGATTTGGCTGCAAGAAGGTTCAACGCGCTTCCAGCGAGGATGAAGCCACATTGGTCCTTGCTCAATGTATGCTTAACAGGAATGTCGATAGTCTGTCCGTTAGATTTCTTGGTCGCTTTCAGGGTGACCTCACCTTGACCACCGTTGTTCAGTAGATCCCAAAGGCCGACAGTAGCGACCTCATCACAAGCATCGATCTTATCGTAATCAGCCTTGTCCTTGAATGTCAACGGCACAACACCTTGTTTCTTCAGGTTTGTTTCGTGGATTCTGGCAAAGGATTTCGCAACGATTATTCTTCCGCCTAGGTATCGAGGCTGCAATGCGGCGTGTTCTCGTGCACTTCCTTCTCCGTAGTTATCTTCAGCCACAACGAGCCACTGGCTGCCTTCATTCTTCCATTTCTCAGCCAGTTCTGGAATGGAATAGGTCTTGCCGTCAAGATCGTAGGCAACGTTGGTTTCGCCTGTAGCAGCATTGATGGCCCCAATCAGGGTGTTGGCTGAGATATTAGGGAGATGACCTTTATACTTAAGCCATGGTCCAGCTGCAGAGATGGTATCGGTAGTACACTGGCCCTTGACTTTATAGAGGACACGAAGAGAGGAAAGGTCCTTAGTTGGGAATGGCTCAAATGGTTCAAGGAGAGCGAGACGATCGGATGTAGGAGATACTACAACCTCAGCGGATGGGTCTGGGGTAGCAGTGGAGGGTTGGAAGTCTGGGTTTCCAGCGGCAAACCCGGCCGAAGGAAGGTCAGAGCCTACGGGAGCACGGAATTTGAATGACTCGCCGCCAGGGGTGGTTAAGGAGTCAGTCATCGGGTTAAAGGTAGTCGATCCAGCATAGGACATGGCCGTAACGATCTCTGGAGAGGCGAGAAAGTTCATCGTTGCAGTGTTACCATCATTTCGACCTCGGAAGTTCCGGTTGTAGGATGTAAGGATAGCGTTCGATTCACCCTTCTTCACTCCATCTGTACGTTTCCATTGCCCGATACATGGGCCACAGGCATTTGCAAGTACGGTACCGCCAGCAGAAGAAAATGTGGATAGAGTTTGATCTCGCTCTAGAGTTGCTCGAATTTGCTCGCTTCCAGGAGTGATGAAGAAATCAGCCTTTGGACGGAGCCCGGCTGCGGTAGCTTGCTTGACAAGGTCCTCCGAACGGGTCATGTCCTCGTAAGAGCTGTTGGTACAACTGCCAATCAAGCCAGCACCAAAAGTCTCCGGCCATTTCTTTTCACGAACCGTATCAGCAAAAGCTGAAAGTGGCACGGAAAGGTCCGGGGTGAAGGGCCCATTAATATGTGGCTCCAGAGAGGACAGGTCAATGGTTATAAGCTGGTCGTATTCGGCACCTGGGTCCGCTCGAAGCAGGTTCTGGGGCCCAGAGGATGCGATTTCCGATGCAGATTTGGCTATTTCGGCACGGTCCGTAGCTTGTAGATATGGTATCATGCTGGGCGAGAATGGGAAGAGTGATGTAGTAGCACCAACTTCTGCGCCCATGTTACAAATAGTAGCTAATCCAGTGCAGCTGAGCGTTTCCACGCCTGGGCCGTGATATTCAATAATGAATCCAGTTCCACCACGGACGGTAAGCTTGCCCGCAAGGTGAAGAATGATGTCCTTTGGAGATGCCCAGCCGCTGAGAGCGCCTTCAAGGCGTACACCTAGAATCTTAGGAGCCTTGAGCTCCCAAGGAGCATCTACGAGAGCATCAACTGCATCAGCACCGCCAACGCCAATGGCAATGGCACCCAAACCACCGCCGTTGGGTGTATGGCTGTCGGTTCCCAGCATCAACAGCCCAGGTGCAGCATAGTTTTCTAACACAGTCTGGTGGATGATTCCAGCACCCGGAGGCCAGAATTCGATTCCATACTTCTTTGCAGCGGACTCTAGAAAGTCAAAGACCTCTTTGTTCCCCTTAATGGACGCTGGAAGGTCGACATCAGCACCTTTCTCTCCCACGATCATATGGTCACAGTGGATGCTAGCCGGTACTGCTGTCGACGGGAGACCACAGGACATGAATTGTAGAAGGGCCATCTGTGCAGAAGCATCTTGCATAGCAACTCTGTCTGGCTTGAGCTTCAAGTTGGCCTGGCCTCGTATTTGCTTGCCATTCTGCGTATCCGTGAGGAGTGACTCTTCAACATTGTCGAGATGGGAGTATAGGTTCTTCTCGGCGAGAGTCAACGGTCTCGACGCGCCCAGCACCCTCCTAACCTCGTTTAATTTGCTGAGGATCTTGGGATATGGCGGAGAGCGAGAGGAAGCTGTAGATGAGGATGTGACTGTAGCTAGGCCGCGAGACCATAGCCCAGAGCGCCTGAGAGGCGATCGCGTGAGCTGTAACTGCAGGGTTAGCGATAGCTCTTCAAGGAGAGGCAATTGGACGATGGACGTACCGTAGACCCAGCTGCGCAACGCTGACGGAGAATCTGCGTCGCCATGATGGCCTCCTCGGACAGATTATACGGTTTACTTATGGCGATTGTCGAGGGGTGCAAGATCGCAATTTATCCTCCTTGCCCGAATACTTTTCTTTATCTCGCACACTATTGGCTGGATGTAGCTAAAAGTCTAAAACATAGTCCATCCCGACATCGGGCGCTTTTTTTTTTAAGTCGAAGAGCTTCATTTATTATTATTTTGTTCGACGAGAAAAGATCAAGCACTCGTCTACGGAGTATGTATGTGAAGTATGTGGATATATTAGGGATGTCCAGGTGAAGTCGGGCCCTGGGATAGCTTGAGTTTTGCAAACATGTTCCAACTGCTTTTCAAAGGGGGAGAAATTGATCATCATACACGGCATAGACGAAGACAAAAAAAAAAGGTCATATCAACTCGTAACCCAACACCTAAAGACTAACATGGGATGATCTGGTGGTATCATGTTATGATTCTAACCTGTCCAATGCGAATCAAATGGTTTCCCTCTTTCGCTTCATCACGGCTGCGGCGGGGTTGCCTCCTCAGCATCCGCTCGTAGGTCATAGCAGAGGTCATAACATTCTGCGAGAAGCTCATTGACGCCCCCTTGGCCCTCGGGGAGATCGGTACCAATATAAAACTTGCCTTCGACTCGCATGTTGTCGATAGAGTTGAGCTGTTCAGGTAGTTAGTACCCTTGCCACCGCTTACAACCAGAGGTAGCTAACTCACCTTCATGCTATATGGATAGAGCTCCCTGGCATTCGAGACGCCTCCTGATTCCTTAACCTCTATTAAACATTTCCTCAACGTCTGCAGTTGATTATATATTGGTAATAGAGCTTCAGACACTGGCTCGGAAGAAACAAGGAGACCATATATTAATGCATAACTCCGTCGAATGAGATATAGTAGAGTCTATAGCTGCATTAGTATAATTCCTCGGTCAAAAGAAGGCTTCACTGGAATGAAATCCCTACCCGTTGCGCATGAAGATCTGCTGGCTTCCCAGATGAATCCAAAAAATTCCCATCAACTCGGCACTCATCGATCTTGTTTAATTTCCTTTGATACATATAGAGGTCTGATTCACGTAGTGACCATGCATGTGTCATGGACAAACGATCAAGTTGATTCCTAATCTCAATAAGTTGATTATAGTAGTTCAAGAAATCTTCGTTGACTTTTCCTTGTCTATGTGAGCGTTAGCAAGACACCTTGGTTGGCAATAAACACGCATCTTACCGTTCAAGTACGATATCGGACCATCTAAAGCATTTTTCTAGAAGGCCTTTCACTAGTTCTTGACCAGCCGGGATGGATCCATCAGCAGCAACAAAATTGCCGTCCACCATTTTTGACTTGATCCCATTTAGCTGGTCTTTGAAACCAAGTACCTCCGAAGCCGAGAACTAGATATGATGTTAGAAGTATAAAACAAAAACATATAGAGAATCACCGTCACAGAGGTATAATTTCAATCCCATACCTTGGATCGTGTATTCGCCGCAGAGGTAGATCTTAATATGGAGACGAGGGTTTCATGTGTTGGGGTGAGTTCGGGAGAGAGTAAGGAAAGCTCATGCTGCAACTCTGCTAACTGAGAACGACAGGTCTCCAGCCGGGTCTCTAAAAGCTTCAGTAGATGCGGCGAGTATGTATCTTGTCCGCGTTTGATGTTGCTTTCCACGCCATCGAGTGTTCCGCTTATTGAATCGAGATCCTTCTGGCTGAAAAATGCTGCCTCTTTAAGGTGGTCCAGTAGACGCTGAATAACCTGTTAACGACTGTCTCGGTAGGAGGGTATGTATCTTATCATTACCTTAATTGTAGAAACCATGGAATACCTAGTAAATAAGTGGGTTAGCCGTTGTTTACATTAGGATGGATCTCGAATATACATACACTGCCGGCGCCTCGTTGTTCTTCCCAACTGTAAGAAATAATAACGAAATTAATTGAAAGCAATCATCCAAAACATTATCAACTAGTGTCATCAAAAATATTAGTTCCAAAAGTGGCTCTCTTGACGGCAATATCAGACTGGCAACGCAGAGCCGGATACTGACCTCTGTTTTGAGCTATCTTTCGGCCAGAGCGGAGCTGATTCAATAACTGTACCTGCTCAATGGCCTGGTCATAGAAGGGAATAACATCATGAGACTTGACGTATGTAGATTTATCCTGTTTAATGAGCACTAGACCATCCCGTATAGTCACCAGCCGCTCGAGTATGGGCTGCTCGTTCGGGTCAACCGGAGCGAAGACGGCGGGGGAATCAGCCATGCTTGCAACTGCGTCCTCGGGTCTCCGGGCGTATCAGGTATGGCAGAGGTGGTTCTAGATGCTGGCTCCGCTGCTGCTGCTGTTCGACTATGTATACTGCATGCATCAAGTAAAACGCCCTCCGCCGGCTTTTTTTCCTTCTGGCATCCCAAAGTCGCTCCTGTATCTCCAATTGGCGGGGCCAACACGGGCATGTTTGCACCCCATCCAACTTGTTTGTCTTGTTTGTATGTTGTTACCTGTTGTTTGTTTTGTTTGTCTTGTTTGCATTTGGAGGGATTACCACGTGACTTGAGTTCAGAAGATGGACGCACGGGCCAGTCCCGTGACCCGGTAAGCGAGCTAAGTTTGCACACAGAAAACAACTTTGAAGGAAGTTCGCTGGCTTCAACATCGCATCGACGACCTTCAATCCTCAACAGAGATAGTTTCGCATCCGTCGGATATCCCTTGCACAATGTCTTCCGCCGAGCTTGCCGTCTCCTACGCGGCCCTTATCCTCGCCGATGAGGATATCGAGATCACTGTGAGCGCAGACCCGGATATTCCACCTCTTCTTGATTGCGCCGCGTTTGGCAGTCAAATATTATATACATAACCAGGCACGAACGTTTTGGCTGACGGTGTAATCTCCTAGTCCGACAAACTCCAGTCCATCCTCAAGGCTGCTGGCATGACCGATGTCGAGCCCATCTGGACCTCCCTCTTCTCCAAGGTATATTAGATGCAACCATATCGAAAACCACACGAGTGTGCGTGGATGATGGGATAGGATGCTAATTGGAACTTTCTATGCGGAATAAAGGCTCTTGATGGCAAGAACTTGAAGGACCTCCTAGTCAACGTTGGCTCCGGTGGTGGTGCTGCCCCAGCCGGTGGCGCTGCTGCTGCTACCGGCGGTGCTGCCGCTGCCGACGCTGCCCCAGCTGAAGAAGAGAAGGCCGAGGGTACGTGATAATATCATCCTGGCTTCAAGCTGCTTCCTCCGGAGTCATCCTGGTATTCAGTTTCACTAACGTATATTTTCCCATGATATAGAGGCCGAAGAGTCCGACGAGGACATGGGCTTCGGTCTTTTCGATTAAGCGGCTTCTTACGACTCTTTTTTTCCCTTGTACCCATATTCACAAAAGATGGATGCACAACACGAGGCGCTTGCGGGAACGGTCGTGCTACCTACTGCCGGGTCGGAATCTTTTAATAGAAACCAGTCATTGGGTGGCGCAAATACCTTCTGAATGAGAGATATTGTCTTTTTCATCGATTTTACCATGTGTCATGTCGTGATGAAAAAAAAATTCCCAGCTGCCAGATTAATTCAAAAATAAATGTGAAATGTGCGCCATCGCCTTGGATATGTCAATGCATCTCCCAAACACGGCTTTTTTTGGGGCCTGGAGTAGACCTGAGAAAGGAAACGGATAAATATATACATTGACGCTAAACTATTGCCGACGAAGATGACTCTTCTGGCACTGCGTATATTCGGAACTGCACAAATATCAACACATCTTCGGCCATGGTACCTAGTGATCCGATAAGCCAGGGCAGGCTTTTCAGAAAATACTCCCTTTCTGTCGAGTGGAATAGAATCTAGAGTTGTCAGCGCTTGATAAAACTGAAAAAGACCAGGGAGACTACTCACCCCTGCGCCGTAAGTAGCGTTGCCAAGTAAGGAAAATACGAAGAATAAAAGTGATAGCCCTGTCCTTCAACGTCAGTTTTCAACCTCTCAAGTTGACCTGCATATTTGTTGTTACTCACCTTCGCATGACTTCTCACGATAATTTTTGATGATCTGCGGAATCCGCGCACTAGACGATTGTTAGCAAATATATGCCGTGGTATTTCCAAAAAATCGCAGACTCACCCTAGATAGCATAATGCGCTGAAATATCCGACGACTTGAGCTCCAACGGCCACCTCAACAGGGTTGCCAGGGAGGATGGTTGGAGTTGGCTTCCACACTCCTGTTTTCCAGGCCATCACCCAACCAGCAATACCAGCGGTACAAATACCCAAGAGACTCAGCGTATTCTTAGCCCATGTGCTTCTTGGCTCATCCTCCTCCAACATCTTTACCAAAGGGTCGTGGTTGGAGTGGCAGCTGTCCAGCCTTCTTCGGCCAGATATTCCTAGATTCTCGCTCATCCGTCGATTCAGCAGGGGTGTTGTCGGCTGAGGAGCCATATCTCCCTCATCGTGGTCAGAATGACCCGAAATACGTCTTGCTGTCTGTTGTGAGGCTTTCTCATTGTAGTATATGCACTGACATATGAGAACTCCGTCTGCAATGCAGAACCATATGGCTATAGCGACAACCACGGGAACCAGTCCAGCCCATAGTGATCCTATCAGGTTGGCGATGTCCCCAATAAACCAAACGAGGATAAAAGCGAAGGATATGGCTTGGGCGTTTCCATTCTTGTAGTTTTCGATCAATTGAGGGACCTATACACACGTTAGATCGTTGGTATTTTGGTGTAGCAACACTTGAAAAAGCAAGCATGTATAAACAGACAGGGGATAGAGAAAACGAACCAGAAGGAATATCCAACAAGCAATAGAAACCGAGCCCAGGATCCCTGACGCTGCCTCTCGATAGGTCAGTGGTACAGAATCGAACCCCGCGAGCATCTTTTCTTATTCGTTGGGCGTCAGATGCTCGATGAGACTGGACGACGCTATTGATCCTCCGCCTGCAGCAGACTCGATGCTACACAACCTGTCGAATTTATATATAATCCAGCCCTAGCATACCGCGAGAAACAGCGAGCCTCAATGAATCACACAGGCTTTCCGTCTTCTCGTCTCCAGGAAAAACATAGCGCCACCACAGTGATTAGGGCTGAGATAGAAAAAAGTTTCTGTCTTTGATGCGTCATCAGCGAGACATTCAAAAAGGCTGATCCTGGCGCTAGTATACCACTGGCAAGACATGACGCAGTATCAAACACAGCACTTAAATGTGGCCATCGAGATGCTCTACTCTATAATTGTTATTCGTACAACCAAGTCTTCAGTAATACGTGCTACCTAGAGACATCAGCTTGACCTCGTGCTCTGTCGGTCTAGTTCATCATTGAGTACCATCTCTACCATTTCGGCAGATGAACCCTGTCCCGCGGCTACATTGGTAATGGCTTGACGCCAATCTCGTCTGCCCAAACGTTGTACCCTTGTTACCCAGCGCTGAATGGGCGTCATGTCTACCTCGTCCTCCCAGTTTCCTGGATCCACGCCATTTACACCGAAGAACTCCATGAGTTCATCGGCTCCTTCGCCGTAGAGCCACTCTGCTACTTGCGACTCGGGCAGATAAACACCAGCCATGTCTAATTCCTCGGCCGAATCCGTATCATCATCTTCAGCAATGTGTCCTTGGTGCTGATCGCCAGTTGGGCCACGGGCTTGTTCGTGCGCACCAAATAGCTGGAGTACTTCGTCTAGCATGGATGCACTGCGAACATTGGAGAAGCCAGCCTCGTTTGGCGGTAGAGGATCCGAGGAAGACATCTGTCTAATTGTGAAGTGACGGGGAAGATGAGACGTCACTGCTGATATATCTGATAGTATAACGTGCCGTGCCACATTCTGCGATATCTCCGGTGCCTTTGGGGGTGTCTCCGGTGCTGGGATAGAATCTGCAACCTCAACCAACAGAGCGGTTGCCTCAGGTGTATTCCATATATCCTTGGCACGCGCTATATACAGTTCACAGAGTAATTCATGGGCTTGACTGGGTGGTTGTGAACCCCAGATTGCTTTCGGTACCGGGGAAATGTTCAATTCCTGTGTAAGCCGGCAGAAAATCCATGGGTATCGAGCAACGGCCGAACGAAGAACCTCTCTGCACTCCTTGGGTTTCTTTAAATGCATGTATGCCAGACCGAGAGAGCACTGGATATTAGGAAAGGAGTGCCACCGGTCTTTGAAGCTGGGGTGTAAACATAAGTCCGCAAAGTGCTCTAGCTCTCTCGCCCGTACTGCCACATGATCAATAATCAGGCTTAGGCAGTAAGGATCATCCGGATCAAGGCTCAAAAGTAATTTTGTCCATTCATAAGCTGTTTTCCAGGTGCCCTTCATTCCCAGATTAATAATATATCTCCACCCTGCAAGCCATAACTCACGGTTTTCCTTTATAGTGAAGTCTAGCCTGGCTTTTCCTTCCTTCAAGCTATTCCCAAAGGACGATTGGGCAGAACGGCCAATGTTGAATAACGCTCTTTCTAAAAGGTCGGCTGATACAGCGTGGTCTCCCTGATGTTTTGCAATCTCAGAAACCTGTAATAGTGTTGATATATGATAGGCTGTGCGTCATGTAAGCAGTTGGCCTTAAGGTCGAAGGTTGGGGCAGTCTCAGGCTACTCACGATTATATTGAAGCAGCTCAATCATTCTCTCTGGCTGCATAGACTCAACACACATGTCAAACTGTCGCTGCACATCCTTATAAGCTGTGTTATGAACTATTTCATATTCAACCACACCAGCAGGAAATTTCTGGACAATCTCCATCCCTAACCCACCACTTGTCGCCTTTGGCCACTCCACCTTTCCTTGCATAAGCACGTTTTTACGTAGCGCTACTCCAGAAAGGTCCTGTCCTCGGCTTGCAGGGCTATATCGGCCAGTCAGAGCAGCTCCCAGGTCTAGGGCACGTCTGTTCCGGTCTCGTCTCCTGTTCCCGGACGGGCTTTCAGATGGGGAAGCTCGGGTTTCCACAGCGGCGTTTCCAAAGAGTCTTTTCATTTCATTCATGGCGACAAGTTTCTTAGGGTCTATCTCTAAGAGAGTGCATAAATCCTGTTCGATAGAGTCATGTAGGTCCGCTCCTGGTTTGACCTTCTGGTCCTCAGACTGCAAGGGATGTTTAAGAGCTAAAGCTTCAAGAGCCAGGTCTATCTCATCAGCCTCAGGAGCCTCAGAGTCAGGCGTCTTTGTCTCAGCCAGATCCGCGCCTTTCTTTGCTCGCTTCTTGCTCTTCTTCTTTTTCCTTTTGCTGGTAGTGGGTTTTGAAACTTCCACTGGCGAGGCTGGCCGCTGGCTCTCTTCGGCAGCAGAAGCTTCCACGTCGGACTCATCCCCGTTTTCCTCGTCCTGGTCACCTAGTAAATCAAAAGCATTTATTTTCGGCCTTGATATCGGGACAGCCGGTTCGCTATCATCAGACTCATCTTGAAGCTCATCTAAATTTTGTTGAACTTCTTTCTGTTTCTGTAGTTTTCGCAGGGCCCTAGACGACATCTTCACCACAACTTTTTATGGACTCTCTGATTATTATTTTTAAGTAGTAGAAGGGAGGAAGGAATATATGTAAAATAATTGATAGTTCAACCACTTTATCAGTTTATCGGCGGACGGAGCACTAATCGGGTTAGTCAGCTGGATTATATAATATCCTATCACGGGACTACGTTCATCCTTTTCCGGCAACTCTAACTTCCCTGATATCAAACAGTGAGAGCATCTCGAGATAGAAGAGAGCTCCAAGCAACACGACCTGCAGTTGCTATCATCGCCCTGCAGACCTGTATTCCATGCTCAGATGCGTCGAGTAGTCGCCCTCGCTTTCCGAACCGCGCGTCGGTATCCGCTACGAAGGCCATGTTTTAAAGTCAGCCTCCCTCACGTCTCCCGCGGCCATGACTTAGGTCTCCAGGGTCTTGCAACATCCAGAACCACAGTACCGCGTCCTACCGTCCTCCTTCAGTCCTCCATGATCTTCAGAAACCTCTCTCTAGCCTTTGCTTCCAGTCTTGTGGCTACGGGAGCGTGGTATGCCTACACCGGAAGTTCTGCTGAATCCAGCGCCGTTTCCGGGGTCAGCTCACCTTTGTCGAGCTCCATCCATACAGCATCGGGGGTACTTCCTACTGCATCGAATGCACAAATAACTTCGGGACCAGCACAAGGGGTTCAGGTGGAGAGTGACCAGTTTTATACCACTGCGAGTGTTGATCAGCCAGTCTCCAAACGGACAGATAACTCAGGGGAGAGGGTTGTGGGGATGCTATCGCCCGAGCAAGCCACAGAAAAGCTTCGTCGAAATGAGGAGTCGTACTTTGTTGGTCGAGGGTCTGGTGTTGTTCGCTACGATGTAGTTCAGCTTCCCAGCAACGATCCCATCGAAGACGACCATGCTGAAAAGGTAGTGGAGGTACCAAGCTCTGTAGCTGCAACAGAGAACGGTGCCCCGACAAGCGACTGGAATTTCTGGGGCGTGTTTGATGGCCATTCGTAAGAAAACATCCCTATCTCACTTTGAAGCATGCCTGGTATAGAACTAATGGGGTTATAGCGGGTGGACAACTTCTGCAAAACTGAGACAGACCCTAATCTCATATGTTGCCCGCGAACTTAATGCTACTTATAAATCAGCAGCTACGAACCCAACTTTCCCATTCCCTAGCCCCGAAGCGATTGATGCAGCTATCAAGACGGGATTCCTACGCCTTGACCACGAAATAGTGATTGAAAGCGTAGAAAAGGTTGTTAAGGCCAATTCGAAGACCGTTGCCGCAGAGCTCCTTGCTCCAGCTCTCTCAGGTTCTTGTGCTCTTCTTGCTTTTTATGATAGCAGGTCAAAGCTGGTGCGTGTTGCCTGTACTGGTGACTCGCGAGCAGTCCTCGGACGCAAATCACCAAATGGCAAATGGTCTGCTATCCCGCTCTCAGAAGACCAAACTGGAGGCACGGAGTCTGAAGCCAAACGATTACGCGCTGAACACCCCGGAGAAGATAACGTTGTCCGTAACGGAAGAATCCTTGGTGGCCTTGAACCAAGTCGTGCCTTTGGCGATGCTGCGTATAAGTGGCAGCGAAAAACACAGGACAAGATTAAACGCCACTTTTTTGGACGCACGCCTAGCCAGCTCTTGAAATCCCCCCCTTATGTCACCGCAGAGCCCATCATCACCACCACTAAAGTCGACCCCACCAAAGGCGACTTCCTCGTACTTGCCACGGATGGCTTGTGGGAAATGCTTAGTAACGAAGAGGTTGTTGGACTCGTTGGCCAGTGGATTGAGCATCAAAAGTCTGGCGGGAAGGAGGGTATGGGCGGCTGGATGAAGAGCTGGTTCAGCACTAATGGAACCTTGCCCGTCGAGATGGAGCCTAAGGAAAAACAGTCTGGCCAACGGTTGCCCATCCGCCAGCTACAATACGATATTCCTCAGGACACCAACCGATTTGTTGTAGAAGACAAGAATGCTGCAACCCATCTGATCCGAAATGCGTTAGGGGGCAAGAACCAAGAACTGGTTTGCGCTCTTCTAACACTTCCCAGCCCATACGCAAGGAGATACCGGTATGTTCCAACCTTTCTTTATATAACCCGATTAATGCTAATATGATTTAATTACAGTGACGACCTAACGGTCGAGGTTATCTTTTTCGGTGAAGGCGAAAATAACGGCGCAATCAGCGTAAACAAGGACGCCAGCGCTTCGATACAGGATATTCAACCCAAACTATAATATTTTTTTTTCGACACGCTGACAATCCGTCCGCCATCTTTCTGTTATGCTATGCCTTGGCTTTGTATAAATGGTGTTAAGACCCGGTTAGGTTGTCGTATTTATGTTCAATACCTAGGCGCCAATTCTTTTCATTCAAACTGTTTGCTACATGCTTGCACTATTTGCTCTTCACTTAAATCATATCTTCTGCGGGCTGCTTGCGCTGATTTGGATGCACTTTACGTTTCTTGTTTATTCTCATCATCGCACCACATCTTATACCCCAACTCAATCGAGTTGATGGCATGATAGAATTATATACTCAACGCATGTTGAACTAACATATATTCTATACAAGTCTTATACAAACATCTTATATATTAACAATAAGGTGGGTAGAGGGGTATGCATTCCCGTATTCAGAATAGTCGGAGGGCGTCGTATAATGTATAGCTGCATATAAGCGAGCGATTCTGATTCCCTAGCACCCATATTCCAATCACTGGTTCAGTTGCAAACAAGTCCCGCTGATTTGCACTGATAAAGCCGCAAGTCCTGCTAGATAGCAGTTGTGCTTAATCTCCCATGCGGACTAGGTATACTTGCAAGGGCAAGCTCGCGACTTATGTTGCGTAAATCCCGCGACGGTGACTCCTCTGTAAAGGTTATATCCTCGGTCTTTGCAGCCATCCTAGTCCCTCCATAACCCATCAGTGCCAACGTTCCCCATGTTTCCTGGTAAGCTCCCTCTATTCTGAAAAGGTGGCGCATAAAGTGGGAATGTTGGGGGGCGTGACTAGTGTGTCAAGGGTTTGGTTCAGCATTCCTTGATAGATTGCTGTCCGAAGCGTTATTGTAATTACGTCGGCCAGTTTAATTTCATTTCAATGTCGAGGGCCCTTTGCTGTGAATGCTCCCGACGCTCCTTTCACGGCACGGTTCTGGTGGTCCCTTGGTCTTCATGACTCGGCGAACTACTTGTGACTGCAGCGTTGCAAAGGTAGAGCTTGAGATCCAATAAATTAACAAGCCAGCTGGTGCCCCCGCGGCTATCATAGTCGGTGCCAGCCATATCGATAGGACCTGCAAGAATCGCTTTAGCATCTTAAACCCACGCGCCTGAAGTGCTTCACCTCGGCGCAACCTCGAGATTTCCGCTGCAGACTTGACCTTCCAGCCCCAGGTGACGTTGGTGAACATCGTAGCCGCCAGGATGACTGGAAGAGCATGGGTTGGGTCGGCCGCGAGAAGATCTGGAAACCACAGGGCGCCTTCTAGAGCCATCGATGGTTCTACCGGAACAATTGGCACACCGTCTCCTCTCTTCTCGATATATGACTGGATGATGGATAGAAGACCTCCAGACATTCCAACCATTCTTCGCAGACTCTCCATCATGGCGAGCCATATGGGGAACTGTAGTAAACCGGCATACGTTGCCCATGGGGAAATCTTCCACCTCTTGTATAGCTCCTTCTTCTTCTTCCGTAGATCTCGGTGCCATATGCTGTCTGCAGCCGCCGGGGAGAGAGGCTTCCCTTCCATAAGTGCCTTGTCCATGGCTTGCTTTTGATATACTCTGCTCCAAGTGATGACGAGCGGATTCAGCTTTTGCATTTGCTGGCCCTTCCGTACCGACCAGACTTGGAGTGGTAAAGCAACACACATCCGAACCGTGATTGCTGTGAGCGGAATTGACAACACCCATGGTAGGCCGGTGGCGGAATGGAATGCCTGCATAACATCATGGGCAGCAAAGATAGCGGTATCAATTATTCGATGCGGATTCGACGCGTGGAAGCTTCGTTTGGAGGGCAGCGCGAGGGAAGCGTGTCTAGACAGCAGAGATCCCCTAAGCGTTCTGTATCCGTGGACACCCAGGTTAGGGCGAAGAAGAGACATCTTGCAGAGGTAATGACAGTAGAAAACAAACGAATGCGCCGGTCTTCGAATTGACACTCAGCAACCAACGTCAACGGCGACCTTATCCTCCTTTTCTCTCTCTTCTCTTTCTTTTTCTTCTCTTCTTTCGTTCTTGAAGCTTTGGAAGTGAAGATCAAACAGTGCAAACACCGGGTATCGGGATCACTGTTTACCCGACAGGAACTCGCTTACTCATCTGGAACATCTGATAAGCATTATCTGGCCAGGCAAAGAAAGTAAACGCTCTTGTATCTATGGGAGCTATCCCGGTATAGCAATTCATTCGTTTTGGTTATGGGTTGGTAGGCCGAAGTTGATCTGTTTCCTGGCATCAGCAGCGCCTGCAGCTTGCGTTACCATGATTTCCCTTGTGTCGTCGTCCGTTGCAAGCCTAGTGGCACTGGTTGCCCTCGTTGCCTTGACTCCCGCCCTGGCAGGCTACATCGTGCGGTCAGTCCTCAAGGGGTTCGGATATCTCAATCAGAAAAAGTCAGAGGCGAGGAGAGCGTTGATCCGAGCTCGAGTGCGAGTGGAAGAGGAAGACTATCGATCACGACGAGCTAGACAGACCGCTAGCTCGAAGCCGTCAAGGTTGGAGGAGGAAGACTGGGAGACCGTTGACAAGGATGGCGGCAGCTCCTCGACATCGAGTGGCGATGCGAAGAATTATAATGACTGGGCCGGTATTGTAGGGTTCTTCCACCCGTTCTGGTGAGACACCCCTATATCTTTCCCCCGCACCCGGTACGTACCCTTTCAGCTGCGGAGTAGTATGGCTGACGCAATAATACAGCAACGCCGGCGGAGGAGGTGAACGAGTACTATGGGCGGCTGTAGATGCCGTTCAGAAGAGGTGGCCCAAAGCGATATGTGCTGTATATACAGGCGATCATGACGTGGATAAGGCAACAATGCTGAAGAATATAGAGGTGGGGGTTATCCGAGACCCTTTCCCTACGGCAATCAGCTAACGTCAAGTAGAGACGATTTAACATCCAGCTACACCCTCCTACAGTTGTGTTTCTGTATCTATCTACGCGGAGATACGTATTAAGTAGCACATGGCCGCATTTTACGCTCCTCGGACAATCGATAGGGTCGCTGATAGTCGCATACGATGCATTCACCCTTCTCGTTCCCGATATATTTATCGATACAATGGGCTACGCCTTTGCCTCGGCATTGTCACATTATCTCTTTCCAGAGGTACCCACCGGGTCGTACGTGCATTACCCTACCATTTCGACCGACATGCTGGAGTCGCTAGACGACGCATCCGGCTCAAAGGGTCTGAATTCAGGGGCAGGAAAGGGATGGAAAGGTGTGGCGAAGAAACGCTATTGGCATGCGTTTGCACAACTATACGGCTGGGTAGGGTCCACAATCGACGTCGTTATGTGCAATTCGTCGTGGACGTCCGCACATATCCAGAGCCTCTGGCTACCGGCGAGACGTAAGCGAGGGATTCAATATCAAGCCGCTAGCGTAGTCTTCCCTCCCGTTGCGGTATCCGAGCTGGAGACGATAAAGATCGATCTCAAGAGCGAGCGAGAGGTTCGACAGCCAGCCATCCTTTACATAGCTCAGTTCCGTCCGGAGAAGAATCACCAACTTATTCTTCACGCCTTTGCACGGTTCCTAAAACAATATAATGCCACAGCAGAGAGCAGAGGGAGCAAGGACCCCAAGGCTGACAGCGAGAGTGACGGCAACTCCTCCCGTTCGCCCCAGCTCATCCTGATAGGTTCGGTCCGCCACCAAACCTCCGATGAAACTCACATCTACAACCTCCGTCTGCTAGCCCACGAATTAAGGATCCGCGACAACACCACTTTTCTATGCGATGCCAACTGGCCCACCGTCATAGAAAATCTCAGAAAGTCATCCATTGGCGTAAATGCCATGTGGAACGAGCATTTTGGTATTGGAGTGGTGGAATACCAGGCCGCTGGTCTGATCAGTGTAGTGCATGACTCCGGCGGCCCAAAGCAAGATATCGTTGTAGACTTGGATGACGAAGGAGCCACTGGGTTCCACGCCACGACAGAGGTCGAGTTTGCAGCCGCCTTTGAGGCTGCGTTGGCTCTGCCTGAGGAAGAGAAGCTTGCTATGAGACTACGGGCAAGGAAGTCCGCGCAGAGGTTCTCCGGGCAGCAGTTTGAGAAGAAATGGCTCTGTGAGATGGAGAAGCTGGTTGAGCTCCAGGTAAAGCGCACCAGTGCATAGGGCTCAGTCCACTGTCTCTGTATCTCTGCATCTCTGTACCTCTCTGCACCTCTCTGCATCTCCCTTTGACCGAGGAGGCCAATTAGGCACATATGGCATGAAGGACAGAGGGTCCAAAGAAAGAACCAAGATGAATGCACCCCCACGGTATGGACGGGCCTCCCCCCCCGGCCGTCAAGGGAGCCAGTAACGTTTTGATGTTAGCATAAATATTGTTCAGCCCGGCCATGTCTGAGTAGTTTCCATTGGCTAACTCGCTGATAGATCGCATTAATAAGACTTCACTCATCTATGACATAGGATTACTACATACATCAGTACGTCAACTAAAGCTGGTTCTGTCCCACCAGCAGCACACTCGCAATACGACCTCTTCCCACAGGTAGAAAAGGGACCAGTAGCAGCGGCCACAGTAGCATCCGCGTTGTCAACTCGTCCGAGGATGCCTGAAAACTGCACCTCTCGTTCGCCTCCCTTCTTGCTCGCCCATCGCTGCGCCGCATGGTATCAAGGCGGTTAAAGCTTGGTCGACAGCGATCAAAAGAAAGAAATAAATAAATAAAAAAGAGAGTGAAAAGTAAAAAAGCGGAATTAAAAATAGAAATGCAAGTGAAAATAAAATAAAAATGGTGCCTGAATTTCTTTCCGGGCTGATCTATCGCTCGCCCTACATGCTGATACCGCGTTAGGATAAAGGGCAAGGCGCGATTGAAGGGGAGAATGGAGAAGAGAATGCGAATTGAACTGATCTGACGGGGATCAAGGGGCCTGCTGGACATATTTTGAAAAGACCTGATCTGGCACCATGCATTTATCCGCATCATGTATAGACTAATGCACTTCGTATGGAGCAGAGCAACAAGAAAACATCGATGAAGTCACTCGAACAGGGAGGTGGACTCTCTTTTTTTTTGGCTATTTAGCGCCCTGCTGGCCGTCTGCTTGATCTGCTTGACGCCATCTCTCTCTCGTCTTCAGGGGAGATCGAGGGTGAAACTGAACGGCTTAGGGAGACAGCTGCAGCGAAGTCGTAACGTTCTCTCTCTGCCTTTCTGTTCATCATGCTAACGTTCGACTAGCTTGACACGGGCTGGGGCATCCTTGCTGATCTCCTGGACCCCTATACTTATATTATATTCATGCTCGTTGCTACCTACACCGTACACCGTACACAACTAACTAGCGTATGTCGGCGACTCAGGGAGCAGCATCGCCCATCTCCACCGTCCAAGCCGACCTGACAAAGGAAGACCTGGTGCTTGGGCATTTGCGGAATATTCTATGGCTATAAGATCAAAGTCTAGACGCCAGGTCCGCTCCTCCTGCCAACCGGGAGGCTCCCTTGGATATGCCAAAGCGTTGGTTCAATATTCAATGCTTACCCCCGCGACCCTCGACTCCGTGCGCAGTCGATATTCGGCCAGTCGTCTTTTGTCCCCTTTCTTCTTCTTCCTTTTCTTTTTCCTGTTTAAAAGAAAGTTATTATTGATTGTTATAAGGGCCTACAACTCATCAATGCAGCCAGACTCCACCTGCCTGCCCGCATGGAACCGTGATATGCACATACACATCAATCAGCAAGTGGTGCATACACCTAAGGCCAGGGGTGAATCCCTATGGATGCATGTTCTGCAAGCCCCCTCCAGGGAACATCGACATACATCTGTATCCGCCCCTCCCCTCCATCCCCTCGTCTCCATCGTCCATCCCCAAATCGCCGCTGCGCCAAGGGTTCTAGCATGGGTGGAGAGACTGCTTCCTGCTTCCTTTTTCCACGGTCTCTGCGGTACAGGTACAGGGAGAGGAGCCGAGTCCAACCCCATCCGGTCGACGATGGCTAAACTGTTAAACTGGCTAATTAACCCGCTTTTAGCAGCTAATTGTCTCCTGAGATATTTGTTTTAGACTTCCGGCAAGGCTCCACTGGGCGGCTTGTGGTGAACCATGGTATCATTCCGCCAAACCGAACCTTGCCATGGGCCAGCTGACTCCATATATCTAGAAGATGGGAGGATAGGGGATAGGGGAATCCTTTGTCCAGGAGACCGGCAGGGAGGGCTCCGTCGGACACAGCTTACAAGTGCAGAGTGCAGCAAGCTGTCGTACTATGCTGCTCTGCTCCGTACTATGCTGCGTGCTATGCTGCCAGCCAAACGAATGGCATCCTCACCGCCGATTGCAGCTAGACAGAGGGCTAGTGTTACAGGCAGAGCGGCTGCTCCCAGCAAATCGTTTGGTTGTAACCCTGATCCATGTTCTACCCATGCACCCACCACGTATATGATGTATATGCGGTATGAGGTATGATTCTACCAGGCACGACTTCGACGGTCCAAAACAAAAGGGAAGAAACTCGGGCAGACCCTGCGGACAGCACTCCCTGCGGCGTGGGGAAGCTGAGGGGGTCAGAGAATGAAAAACCCCCGAAAAAACAAAATAAAAGCAGATACTATTTCATTCTCGGCGGCTGGCCGTTATTCCATGTGAGATGGAAAAGCGGCGCAGTGCACGCAGGACAACTGCACGATTGTGTTTTATTTCCTTTTCCCCAGTCTCAGTCTCCTCAGTCTTCTCCAGTCTCGTCGACGACCTGCTGCTGGCCTGTTCACCAGTCAAACATCGACGGCAGCCCTATTGCCTATGGACTGCCCTATCGCGGACCGCTAGACTGCCGTTTTGCCCGCTGATTAGCAACTGCGCATGAAACTCTGATCGCCTCCCATTTCTGCAGGTAATCGCCCGTATCGAAGGCTCCAGCGGTACTGTCGTACCCCTGCGCGCTGCCTGTATTACACATACTCAGCTAACTCGACTGGCGTACGGAACAGTCACTAGTTAACTCTCGTTGGCTTGGGATATCGGCTCAGCGTGCGACTCCGCCCAAAGGCTTCCCGCCAACAACCATTCCTCTGGGATCGTTTAAAAACGCTCCTCCTTGCTGGAGCCCTGGGAGAATGTCGGCATGTGAAAGGCTAGAATGTCCCGGGTTTTGCGTTTGCATTTTACATTTTACATTTTGCATTTACGGAGTACATTTACATTTACGAGCAAACCTCATGGCAGGACTGTCATCCCGGATCCTTGAGGACACGAATCACTTTGTCAGGCACAAAGCAGAAACTGACTTCCGGTTGTTTTGCCTGACTAGCATGATTCATGCAAGGTCCCCGTCGCCTCGACAAGCGCCGTATACACGATCACCGATGTTTTTCTTTTGACGGCGTTATCTCCGCCACGATCGTCTATTGTCTCCTAGCCTCTCTCCCCTAGCCTCTTCCTGCTCCGTACACGTCAGAAAAACAGGAACGGGGTCCCAGCTTCAGCTTCGCCTCAAAGCCCCCGTTCCCTCCGTCGCCACGTCGTCCCGAGGTTTGTGCCTCGTTCCACGGGACTGGGAAAAGGATAACAGGATAGTCCGTCCTTAGCACCGGTTATTATACGGAGCACAGATATGCACATACTTTGGGGCGTCTGGAGAAAGACCCGCTCTTGGAAGCCGATATCATATCACAACGCTCTGCTCCGTGCATCTGCGCGCGCCGTGGGAGTGCATTGATCGATGGGCAGTCACTCTTGTAGAACCGATCAACTGCTGTACGGCCTCTGCAGCGCCCGATCGATTGGCCTTGCGTCGTCTAACCATGTGGTGGGGACTGCTGCGCCGTACGCCGTCCTATATCGATGCTAAACACCGCAACCCCCATGTGCTAGCTCGTGAAGAGTAGCCTCTTCGGGATGCATATATCTTGCTATACGCAGTGCTCCGTACGCACAGCAGGATGCGCAGGATGCGCAGGAAAGCCGCACAGCAGTTAAGATTCAACCGCCTGGAAGATCAATCTGTGCTTCCAACATCCCTGCCAACATCTGCCTGTCCATTCCATCTGCTTTCCAAGTGTAGGGAAAAAAAAGAAAGAGGATGCCCCTTTTTCGATCCATGTCTGAGGCTAATACCTGGCCTGATAAGGTTGAAACTCTCGCTCGTTGCTTTTTCTGCTCTTCTTAACTCTGTTGACGTTACCCTTTTACCAGGTCCCCCGTTGATGGGTTACCGTACCCGGTATTAAAATATGTAACTATCTTTCGCGCTCGTCGGTTCTTTTTTAAACATCAACCCCAAACACACCTCGGACTCTATCTTCACTCATCTTCACTCTTCTCCAATCTTCTTCACTACTCTTCTCCAATCTTCTCCTCCGCCGGTCTGCCATCCAGCCTCGCTACGAGGTCCGGCCCCTTACGGTCTACCTGCTAAATTACTTGCATCTGGCTTTCCCGGTTTCTCCTTTTTCCTTTTTCCACTCTCCACAAATAGTAGTGCCATTTCAAGCCCACTTTTCGGATCGAAGGTTTCGGTTTCTGCATGTTAACTGTGACATTGCTGCCCGTCAACCTTAGCCCTCTTAAGGAGAGAAAAGAAACGAAACGAAAAATAAAATAGCAAAGAGAGAAAAAAACAAAACAAGGAAAAAAAAAAACTAATCGGCATAATTTTCAAACAAACCCAGCAGAGAGAGACAAGAGAGAGAAGTGAAAAATTGTCTAAAAAGCTCCCGCTTTTACTCCCAGCTGCCCAATCAATGCACACTTACTCCAATATACAACTCTATATAAATCATTATATTATGTCTTCTGCGTCTACATAGTATATATATGTATGTATATACTTCCGATCCTTCGCATTATCGCCTGCTGCCTGCCATATCGCCTGCCACCTCAGCGAACCGAACCTCAACATCCATCAACCTCGACATCAACGTCGACCTCAATCCCATCCGCCCGTCCGTCCTCGTCAGCCTCCATCCACGCCAGCTCTTCCATCCCAGCCGCCCAGCAGCAAAAAAGAAAAGAAGAGGGAAAAGAAAACTTATCCCTCCCTCCACCCCAGAGCTGGAGTTAAACACTGCGAGTGTATTGATTGTCAGCTGACCTGTATTGTGGGCTTTTAATTTTTTTGTGTTTTGGGGCTTACTTGTTTATTATTTTGTTGATTCTTCAGGAATTCTTCAAATCTTCAAATCTTCAACCTCATAAAAACGCGACCTCCGCCAACGCTTCAACCCCCCCGGGCAGCCCTGAATTCCGGCCCAACCGTCCGTCCTCTGCCTCGTTCTGCGTTTCGTGTTCGTCTCTTCCATCTCTCGCGTGCTGTGGCTTCTTCCGTTTTTCTTGTTAGTAGGCGCTCTGTGCAACCGTCCTCCATCGTGGATTGTACGGGTGTCTCTTTCGTGGTTGTCTCTGGATCGAGGGTCGGTTCTTCAACGACCGACCCCACCCAGCAAGATAGCTCGCCAGCGCGCAAAAGAGACTCGCTCACTGCCCGTCCGTATAAATGGACATTTCAGTCGTGACTGGCAGATCCCCCCGGTCTTCAGGTCAAGGGAGACAGCAGCAGGATGACGATGTTGATATGGACGGCGGGGCACTAGGCAATCACGTGTGAGTATCAATCGCTTCTTCTTACTGTCGAACGAGATGATATCTTCTCCTGTGGCCTCTTATTTGCGTTGTCCGGCCTGCTCGCGCTGTTGGTGCTGGCCATTTCGGCGTGGTTGGGCGGCTTCGTGGCCTATATCTGCAACCCTCTTTGGCTTCATCCCTCTCTTGTCTCTGTTCACGCTAACCCGCACGCAGCCAGGCCGACACATTCCCGAGCTACGAGGAGAACGGGAGATTGTATCATGGTTTCCGGAGAGGGATGTATATGTATCCCTGCGACGAGAACGAGCAGGACCGGCTGGATCTCTTCCATAGAGTCCTCTGCGTGGCCCGGAAGGAGATACTGCACAGCCCCAATATAAAAATCCCACCAAGTCTACTGCGCAACCCAACCTTCCTCCATGATCAGGGACCCCGAATACTCGACCTCGGCTGCGGAACAGGTACTGAATTTCCACTTTGTCTCGGTTCCTTTTGCCTTTCTTTTCTTTTTCTTTCTTTTCTTTTCTTTTCTTCTTCCTTTCCTTGGGGGAAGCTGGTCATCCTACTATGCGGAAAGTACACGGCCGACGCGCAATCTCGGGACCGGTTTCTCTCATTGCACAACCCAAAAAAAATTTTTGAAGGCAGAATTTGGTCTGACTTGCTTTGTTCTGTGTTCTGCTTGGCAAATATAATAGGTATCTGGGCAATCGACATAGCAAAGAAATATCCTCACGCATATGTGCTTGGAATCGACCTGGCTCCGATGCAGCCGACCAACCGACCGCCCAACTGTGAATTCCAATCCCCGCGGGATTACGAAAGCCCCTGGCTACTAGGCGAGAACTCGTGGGATTTCATCCATCTCCAGATGGGATGTGGAAGCGTCTCCAACTAGCCCAACCTATACAGCAAGGTCTTTGCGCATCTCAAACCGGGGACTGGCTTTTTTGAACAAGTCGAAATCGACTTTGAACCCTTCACCGTCAATGGCGTACCGAACGAGCATCTCTCGGAATGGTACCGGCAATTGAAAGCTGCCACTGACAAGGCCATGAGGCCAATCGCATTCAATCGCAGTATGAAACACACCCTGAAAGAGGCCGGGTTTGTCGACGTCAAACAACACGTCGAAGGGCTACCGCTCAACGAGTGGCCGGAAGATCCAGCCGAAAAATTGGTGGGGAAGTGGTACAATCTCGCATATTCAGAGAGCGCCTTGACTCTCTTGCAAGGGCCCCTTACCCGAATAAGTGGCCTGCCGCCGGAACGGATCCAGGATCTTGCTGACCAGGCAATAACCCAGGCCTATGACAAGAATGTCCAGGCGTTCAATCACCTCCAGGTCTACACAGCGCGGAAACCAAGGTGAGACAACACGAAAATTGGGTTTCTTTGTCGGATGCTCCCAGCATCTGCTAATTGAGTACTCCTTTCCCGCCCCAAGTGTAACTGGCTCGTAACCTATCGAACTACCTCTCGCTGCTACCTGATTAGCGAAAACCGTTTACCCCGTGAATAGGTGGACATAACCAAAATTCTTATTGACCTTTTGGTTCTCGGCATCTATTGCCAGAAACAAAAAACAGAAAAAGAAACGGAATAGGACAACAACAGTATGGATTGAGGAAGAAAGAACAAAAGCAAGAATGAAAGAAAAGTGAGGGAGGGGAGGGAAACGACAAACATGGAATTATGGACGGCAGAGGCAAGGGGTCGAAGGACGAATCGCGAGAGAGACTTGGAGATCAGAAGGGAGGGGTATACTTCGGCATGCTTAAATCACACGATCCAGCGGGAAATGGACGGCAGTGAACCCACGCTATTCTTCCTCCATACGGCGTCATAACCTGGGTTGACACCGCCGAGTTGGGCTTTCCGTCGTGACATTTACTGTAGAGCAGCATGAATCACCCTCAGCATCATCACACCGGGAAACGGCCATATTGCCAAACGCCGAATCGAATGCCGATACATGCACTACTTCAAGGATATCATGTATATCTTCCGTAACCCATGAAATGCACTCTCCGCAGATATATTATCATGTCTCAGAGCTCTGGACGCCTCGCTCTCATACACTTTTTCCTTCTGGGCCTCAGACCGCCTTCAGGGAAGCGGAGCACACGGTCATTTGTGATAAATAGACCGGTCCCATGGATTGCTGAAGGATCATCGGAGAGAAGATGGAATGTAAATGATAGGGAAGCCAGGATTTTGGTTCGGTCCGGAGGGGGATAGTCTAGGGGAGGAATGAAAGCTTACAAGGAGAGGAGAGAGAGAAAAAAGCAAGAGGAATTGTTCAAGATGAGGGGCTGGGGTCACTTCGTGGAATGTATTCCGACGCTTTCGTCACCGGCTGTTGGGACAAGGGTAGATATACCCATTTATATATATGCACGAACACGTTGCATCTTGGCCCGTCGTTTCTCTTTTCAGAGTATTTTCACCCTCATCCCCCAGCTCATTTTACCCACTCAGGGTCGAAAGATGCGAGATGCGAGATGCGAGAAGCAGACGGGAGCAGGGGGATCACTATATTCCCAGTTTCAATGCAGCCGTCTCTCTCCACCAGTTCATCTCTATCAGGATTTCTATTTGTTCCCTTTCCCTTGGGCCTGCGTCCCCTCACCTTCCTCCAACTTTTATGCCTCTGATATTGTTGTATTCTCTATCATTGGATGGCCGGAAAAGTCTTTTTCTTTTTCTTTCGCTTTACCCTTGCCTTGGCTTGTTTCTGGTTTCATATGTCTGTCTGTCCCAGTGCAATGGTAAAACGGAGACGGAACCACGAATGGTTGGGAAAAGTTTATGCAGACGTCCTACCCTGACTTGGTTTTTTTCTTCCCTTTCTTTCTTCCTCTCTTTTCTTTGTTCTCCTCCAGTGGGCTGGCTGGCTGGCTGGAGTTACATACGGAGTGCGTTGTTGTGGTCGTTCCTCATGGTCATGATTCATGGTAATGATCCGTTGTTACGATAATGATTTTGTTTTGTACCCTTTTTTTGTCTTTTCCTTGATATCCTCCTCTGATTCTATGCCTCCGTCCCGTAGAGGCTCATCCACGCTTTCTACATATACCCCATCTACAGTCTAATAGCATCATCCTCCGCGGTTCCCCTTCTGTTGGTTATAATGCCTCATTTGAGCTTTTAATTCTGTTCGATAAGGACATAGACTTGATTTTGTGGTTATTTTGGGCCCATTGGCCCGCATTTCTACCTTCCCCGTTTACCTCCGTCTATCTTGAGGGAATCCATCGTGTTTAATTTATGTACATACAGGTTATCTTACATATACCCCATTAGTAGAGACTGGTTATCTATTCTATATCGAGGGATTCGCTTCATTTCCTTTCTATTCCAAGTCCTGTATTTGATTCTTCACATATTCTACATCTTACATCAGTCCTGCATCTTCCAGCAGCCTTGTGGCTATATAATGCGTCTGCTATGCTTTGCTTGGAAAATTTGTAGATAACGACATACCACGTTAATGCACATAATTAGCCTCCATTTAAACAGTTAGCAATCATTTTAAGATTTAGTCAGATGCGGGTGAGCCTCAAGCCCTACCAGAGGATCGCGGGAGCCTTGTCTTTTCTTCAAAATACGGCCGAAATACATTTTTGACAGATAACCGTGTATTAAACACATCTCCACCCAAATGAACACTTTACGCTCAAACTCTTGGTAAAACATATAATTCCCGCGGCATGGTCTTGTTACCGAACAGTCTTTTGACTTCAATAGTTCAAGCAAGGGGGTTTCTACTGCATGGTGTATAAAGGTCGGGTTCTCCTATATTTCCCTTACTCTCCTTCCCATTGCAGAACCAGCAAGCAAGAAAAAAAAGGGGGCGGTTTGATTCATCTTTGTCATGATTATGAAAACCTGCAGAGTCCCTGCAACATGTTTTTGGGGTTGGATGCTAGGGTCTGGTAACCATGTACATGCATGGTACTGACTTTGCCTGCGAAAAGCGTCCATTTGTCAAACCGGAAAGTTATTCCATCATCCTCGTTTCACTCATCTCGTATATACTAGGCTGTTTTATCCCTAATCGTGCCGTTCTCGTGAAGAAACGGAAGACCAGATCCGAATCGCAGAGCATCACCCTTGATAAATGTGGTGATTCGTGGGCTGCGAGAGTTTCTTCGACCTGTTTCACACCAGATGCTTGCATCTTACATACCTGGGCACATATCATCGCACCTTTAGCGTAGAGTATGCATGAACCCGTCCAAACTATATACTTGAAGAGCACGAGTGGCGTCGGGTATTGGGCAGTTATCGACGGACTTGAGCTTGCTGTGGTACTCATGCAGGCGGACTAGCATACACGATTGGTTATACTCGAGATGCTACGGAGCATTACCTTTCACCTTGTTGACAGGAAAATCCCATGAAGGGAAAAAGTAGCGAGGTTGGAGGGAGGGATTGTCATACCCCCATATATGCATCCTTATTACAAGGCACACTGCCACCAAATGTTACGTCGCCAAAGGGCCGTAAACAAACGGTATATGGACCATGATTGGTGTCATTATCATTTAGAAGGGCTGCGTACGGAGTGTATGTATGATGATTGAGAGTTGATGAGGAAGTGATCGTCTGTGTTTCTTTTTTTTAAACGTTCGATTTAGGTTACCTCCGGCGGCCTTTATTTTGCGCTCTTCCGACTCCGTTCGACACCATGCCTTGCTTGCGGCCATCAGAGTCGTAAACGTTGTCGCCACCAGCGGCGGAAGAAGCGGTAGCGTTGTTACTGCTGTTATTCATCCATTCGCGTCCTGAGGCCGGGCTGCGTCTCCTCATCGTTCCTGGCCCAACGGCTATAATATCCTCTTCGCTTTCGCTATCTGATATATCCAGGAGAACTGGCATACAGAACGCCTCGAGCCCATCTTCGCCGGTTTCCCCCTTCACTGGCTCGATAGTGAGCACGTCCGGCGTCTCGTCCTCCAGGTCCAGTCGACGTTGATGGACCTGCTCGGCAGGATGAATATCGTACTCATCCTCCCTCTCGACATACTCCACGTTCTCTTCGACTTCCTGGAAGTCAGGTGCCAGCGCAGACCATTTCTGCGGCGTGACAATTGACCACATATATATGCATCCGGACTCTAATCCACAGGCGGCTACCATTGCTTTGTTCGAGTGCCACTCAACCACCCCCAGCTCTTCCTTAGGGCCCTCGAGAATCTTGACGAGGGAGCCGTGGCTGCGTTCCCAGACATAGATGTCATGATTCATGAATGTAGACGCGGTTACAAACTCGCCTGTTGCGGAGAAGGCAACATGATTCCAGCTCAGTCTGTTCACAACGTCTTGGAATTTGTGTTCTATATCGAGCTTGATATTGGATGGTTCGAGGTTGATGCCGAGTTGTGAGAGGTCTGGCATCAGAATGGTTCGTATAACTCGGTCTGAGCTGTTTGCGAGTAAATCCCGTCCGTTGCTTGCAAGCCGCAGGAGTATTATAACTCCGTTGCATAGACGAGTGGAATGAATTGTTTTGCAGGTCTGCGTTTCGATTATGTTGATCCAGCCTTTGGATGTCCCGGCTAGGATATGATTGCCTAATGCGGTGAAAATGGTGACACAGGTCGAGTGTTTCGCATCCTGTGCGGCCTGCTTAGCCGCAACCGCAGGGTCGATTTCTTCTCCATTCTCCGGTTGTGGTCGAAGCGGGGCCGAGGGTAGGATGCGTTTTATGGGACGGGGAGAGGATACGTCGACAAGAACAGGTTGATCTTCGAATAATGAGGCAACGAATAGCCAGCTAAGACGCTACTTAGCACATTTTCATTATGAAGAACACAAGGTAACCAATGGGTAGACATACTGGTTGAAAGGATGCAGCTCTGCAATGTAGACAGGCGCCTCAAATCGTACTGTTCGTATCCGCGAACCATCTTTCATATCCCACAGCACACATTTCCAGTCCTGAGACGAGCTCAAGAGATATCGTCCATCCCGTGACCAACTACACGTTAAAGTCAGTACCTGTATTCTGCTGCCCTGTATGGCAGGAGTCCGTATATATACCTTAACGACTGAATTTGTTTGCTATGTCCACGCAACTTCCGTGCAACCCCGTTCGTTTCGACATCGAATATCACGATCGTACCGTCGACCTAGGATAAAATATTAACCACGTAGTCATCTTCTGAGGAACAATATGCGCCATACCCTTCCAGAGGCAAGAAAGTCTCCCTTGCGATTGAAGCGCAGACAGGCTGCATGGCCACTCCCTTGAATCGGTTAGACTGACTCTGGCATGCTTGTAACAAGGTAAAATCAACAACATACTGAGAGTTCCCGTCAGGATGTCGGGATAGTCCTGCGCAAGTGCAAACGGGTCAATGAGGGCTAGATTCATATTGTGTGGGATGCAGTGAATCCCGGGGACTGGAGGGTAAGCGGCGCGTGTAACCAGTCATCCTCAGCCTCAGACCATGGTCCTCTGCCACTTGACAGCGCAACGGCTGTCCTGTTGTCCTGTTGTCCTGCTGCCCTTCGGTGTTGCTGTCGGATATGTAACTGAAGGCGAAGTGAACCTGCGTCTGACTGCCCGATCGGGCCTGCGCCTCACCGACCAATCAGCAGGGGGCATCGGCTGACTCAGCAACTATGCCGCATTAGGAACCGCTTGAGGCGAAAAACTTCGAGCTAACTTCATCTTCAAGCGCAACTGAGGCGAGACTCAGACACAACTCCTGTCAACCACCAGCCCTGAACGCCAGTAACGCCTGCAACCATCTAAGAATATCGCGTTTTTACATCGCGGTATCTCTTCTGGCCTTCTCGTCACCCATTTCACCTGTGGCCACGCTTTTGCGCGCTCGAAAGCTACGTTCTAGAGGCGTCCGGTAGGGTCCAAGGCGCCCTCGGGCAGGGTCTGCCAGCGGCCGACAGAGGCCATCCACGGCCATCAGCTTCATCAAATACACAGTCATTTCTGGCTCAGCATATCGCCGCTGTTTGGTATCTAACGTGATACGGGTTCTTGCGCGTCGTTGGTGCTGAGGCAGCACCGTCACTCTCACTCTCGCAACCGATCCTTTTTCACCAACCTTCCCCAACCTCACGGCCAGTCCTTCGCGATATCACCGCAGTCATGTCTTCCGTCAGGTTCCCATACTCAAAAGCGCAGTTGCGCACGATTAAAGAGATACAGTTTGGTCTTCTCTCGCCAGAGGAGATCAAGCGGATGAGCGTGTGCCATGTCGAGTATCCTGAGACTATGGTTCGTCAGCACCACACCCTATTACAGGGGAGAAAAAATTTTTCTGCCCGCATGCTAATGCATTTTCTATTACAGGATGACCAACGGCAACGACCACGCGAAAAAGGTCTTAATGACCCTCGTCTCGGAACTATCGACCGTAACTGGCGATGTGCAACCTGCGAAGAAGGCATCAATGACTGCCCAGGTCACTTCGGCCATATCGAACTATCTACCCCGGTGTTTCATATTGGTATGAAATTAGACCTATAGAATTATCTATGGTCATCCAGAAGCTAACATCTGAGATAGGTTTTTTGACTAAAATTAAGAAGCTGTTGGAAACTGTCTGCCATAATTGTGGCAAGATAAAAGCCAATGCGGTTAGTCATCCCTTGTGGGATGGCAAATCATGAGTATGGCCAGTATGCTGACGTGTTTTTTTTTTGAATATATTCAGTCAGATCAGAAGTATCTGGACGCCCTTCGTTTTCGCGATCCGAAGAAACGTTTTGACGCTATTTGGCGATTATCGAAGGACAGCCTAATTTGTGAAGCTGACCCACCCGAAGACGATGACCCCTTTGCGAAGGAGAGCTCGAAACCCGTCCAGGGACACGGTGGATGCGGAAACGTTCAACCCCAGGTCCGAAAGGAAGGGATCACGTTGATGGGCACATGGAAACCAAGCAAGATGCGCGACATGATGGATGATAACGATATTCAACAGCCCGAGAAAAAGCAGATCACTCCCCAGATGGCCTTGACTATTTTTAGGAATATTTCGGAAGAAGATGTTCGCTTGATGGGATTGAGTAATGATTACGCCCGGCCCGAGTGGATGATTATCACCGTCTTACCTGTCCCGCCTCCACCTGTTAGACCTAGTGTTCTTGTTGGTGGCAGCGGTACCGGCCAGCGTGGTGAGGATGATTTAACGTACAAACTGGCAGAAATTATCCGTGCCAATCAGAATGTTACCAGATGCGAGCAGGAAGGTTCCCCAGAGCATGTGGTTCGCGAATTCGAGTCTTTGCTACAATATCACGTGGCAACATACATGGATAACGACATTGCTGGAATCCCTCAAGCGATGCAGAAGTCCAACCGTCCTGTGAAGGCTATTCGTGGTCGACTAAAGGGTAAAGAAGGCCGTCTCCGACAGAACTTGATGGGAAAGCGTGTCGACTTTTCGGCCCGTACCGTCATCACCGGTGACCCAAATCTTTCACTTGATGAGGTCGGTGTCCCTATCAGCATCGCCCAGACGTTGACATACCCCGAGGTTGTCACGCCTTACAACATTCATCGGTTGGGCCAGCTTGTGGATAACGGACCAGATGTCCACCCCGGCGCACGTTATGTCATCCGTAGCTCCGGAGAACGCATCGATCTTCGACATCATAAGGGTGGCGGTGGCCGAAACTTCCTACAATGGGGTTGGAAGGTCGAGCGTCATCTTATCGATGGTGACTTTATTCTCTTTAACCGTCAGCCCTCCCTTCACAAAGAGTCTATGATGAGCCATCGTGTCCGTGTTATGCCCTATTCAACGTTCCGACTGAATTTGTCTGTCACGACCCCATATAACGCCGATTTCGACGGTGACGAGATGAACTTGCACGTTCCACAAAGTGAGGAGGCTCGGGCGGAACTAAACCAGCTGTGCCTAGTTCCCCTGAACATTGTGTCCCCACAGAGAAACGGTCCGCTTATGGGTATCGTCCAGGATACTCTTTGTGGAATCTATAAGATATGCCGACGAGACGTATTCTTAACTAAGGAGCAGGTCATGAACGTCCTCCTATGGGTACCTGATTGGGATGGAGTCCTTCCACAGCCAGCAATTCTCAAGCCTCGCCCAAGGTGGAGTGGAAAGCAGGTGATCAGTATGGTTCTTCCTTCTGGTTTAAATCTTCTCCGTGTCGATCGTGACAAGTCGCCCATTTCTGAGAAGTTCTCTCCCCTCAATGATGGAGGAGTTTTGGTCCACGGTGGTGAATTGATGTACGGGATGTTCTCTAAGAAGACTGTCGGTGCTACCGGCGGCGGTGTTATCCACACCATCTTCAACGAATATGGTCCAGATGTTGCCATGAGTTTCTTCAATGGTGCCCAAACTGTTGTGAACTACTGGCTACTTCACTATGGTTTCAGTATCGGAATTGGTGATACAATCCCCGATCTGGCAACTATTCAAAAGATCGAGAATGCAGTCCGTGTGAGGAAGGATGAGGTCGACTCCATTACTGCTAGTGCCACGGAGAACACTCTCGAGGCACTTCCCGGTATGAATGTTCGAGAGACCTTCGAGAGTAAGGTATCCCGTGCCTTGAACAATGCCCGTGATGAAGCTGGTACAGCGACAGAAAAGAGTTTGAAAGATTCAAACAACGCCGTTCAAATGGCTCGATCCGGTTCCAAGGGTTCTACCATTAACATTTCCCAAATGACAGCTGTTGTAGGACAGCAGTCTGTGGAAGGAAAGCGTATCCCCTTCGGATTTAAATACCGAACATTACCTCATTTCACCAAGGATGATTACTCTCCAGAATCCCGTGGGTTTGTTGAAAACTCGTATCTCCGTGGTTTGACTCCTACCGAATTCTTCTTCCACGCAATGGCTGGTCGTGAGGGTTTGATCGATACTGCAGTCAAAACTGCCGAAACTGGTTATATCCAGAGAAAGCTTGTTAAGGCGTTGGAGGAAGTCATGGTCAAATATGATGGAACAGTTCGAAACTCTCTGGGTGATATTGTCCAGTTCCTTTATGGTGAAGATGGTCTCGATGGCCAATGCATTGAAAACCAACGCGTCGACATCATCAAATGTTCTGATGAGCAATTCCGTAACCGATTCCGCGTTGACCTTATGGACCCAGAGCGCCTACTTTCACCTGATATCTTGGAGCAAGCCACTGAGATCGCTGGTGATATCGAGGTGCAGAAACATCTTGACGAGGAGTGGGAGCAGCTACTGAAGGACCGCGCATTCTTGAGGACCGTTGTAAAGGAAGATGACGAGATGATGCAATTGCCAATCAATATCCAGCGAATTTTGGAGTCAGCGAAAACTACTTTCAGAATCCGTGATGGCACAATTAGCGATCTCCACCCTGCAGAGGTTGTTCCACAGGTCAGACAATTGCTAGATCGCCTACTTGTTGTCCGTGGAGACGACCCAATCTCCTGTGAAGCACAGGAAAGTGCAACGCTTTTGTTCAAGGCGCAGCTCCGTTCCCGTCTTGCTTTCAGACGCTTGGTCGTGGAATACTCGCTGAACAAACTTGCCTTCCAACACGTTCTGGGTGCAATTGAAAGTCGATTTGGGAAAGCCGCTGCAAACCCTGGTGAGATGGTCGGTGTGTTGGCTGCCCAGTCTATTGGAGAGCCAGCTACTCAAATGACACTGAACACTTTCCATTTCGCTGGTGTTTCTTCCAAGAACGTTACCCTTGGTGTTCCTCGTCTTAAGGAAATTCTAAACGTGGCCACTAACATCAAGACACCTTCTATGACTGTCTACCAGCCCGCAGAGCGCCGTATGGACAAAGAATCGGCCAAGCAACTTCGAAGTATTGTCGAGCACACTAGTCTGCGATCAGTGACGGAATCGACTGAGATTTACTATGATCCTGATATCCAATCTACGGTTATCGAAAATGATGTTGACATGGTGGAATCGTATTTCATTATTCCCGAGGACGTTGCGGATGATTCTTCAAGACAATCCAAGTGGTTGCTTCGTATTATCCTCAGCCGACCGAAACTGCTCGACAAAGGTCTCACCGTGCAGGACGTTGCCACAAAGATTAAGGAAGCATATCCCCAGGATATTGCTGTAATCTTCAGTGATAACAACGCCGATGAACAGGTTGTTCGTATTCGTCAAATTCAAGATCCAAAGCAGGATGACGACGATGATGACACTGAGTATGATGTTACCCTCAAGAAGTTGGAGAGCCACTTGCTCGACACTCTTACATTGCGTGGTGTGTCAGGCATTGAGCGTGCGTTCATCAACGAGAAATCCCGAACTCGAGTTCTGGAAGATGGTTCGCTTCATCAAAGCAGCAGTGACCCTGAATGCAAGGAGTGGGTGCTCGAAACCAGTGGTTCTGCTCTTGCAGATGTCTTAGCTATCCCCGGTATTGATGCCAGCCGCACATACTCGAATCAATTCGTTGAGATTCTCGAGGTCTTTGGTATTGAAGCTACGCGAACTGCACTCCTGCGAGAATTAACCCAGGTGCTTGCCTTCGATGGTTCTTATGTCAACCATCGTCATTTGGCTCTCCTTGTGGATGTCATGACTGCTCGAGGCTTCCTCATGGCCGTAACTCGACATGGTATTAATCGTGCGGACACTGGTGCTTTGATGAGATGTTCCTTCGAAGAGACTGTGGAAATTCTTCTTGATGCCGCTGCTTTTGCAGAGTTGGATGACTGCCGTGGCGTGTCTGAGAACTTGATTCTCGGTCAAATGGCGCCCGCAGGAACGGGCGAGTTTGACGTTTATCTTGACCAGTCAATGCTTATGGGCGTTGTCTCCAACAATGCAGGCCTTGGCGCGATGGGCAATGAGCCCAAGGGAATGTTGTCCGACGGTGCTGCCACCCAGTACGACAGCGGCTCGCCAATGCAAGAGAACATGTATATCAGCTCTCCTGACCCTGATTCGCAGTTCTCGCCCGTCAGGCAAGCTGGATCGGAGAATTCTGTTGGTTTCGCTGACTACCAGCCACCAAGCTATGGTGGGTTCAGTCCACATGAACCGAGAAGCCCAGGTGGTGGCTACTCGCCCAGCAGTCCTTTCAATACCAGCCCAACTTCTCCTGCCTACTCTCCATCGTCGGGTTATTCTCCTACTTCCCCTGGTATGAGCATCACGAGTCCGCGTTTCATCTCATCTCCGGCGTTCTCCCCAGCCAGTCCATCCTTCGCCCCAACTTCACCGGCCTATTCACCAACATCTCCTGGATATGGCCAAGCCCAGTCTCCTACATCACCTTCCTATTCGCCTACCTCCCCAGGCTTCTCTCCAACATCGCCCAGCTACAGCCCAACATCGCCCAGCTTTAGTCCGGCATCGCCTGTGTTTAGCCCTACCTCCCCTAGCTACAGCCCAACCAGCCCCGCACTGGGTGGAGGTACTGGCAGACACCTTTCGCCAACTTCACCTACCTCCCCGAAGTATACCCCAACTTCCCCTGGATGGTCCCCTACGAGTCCGGAAGCGTATTCTCCTACGTCTCCAAATTTCTCTGGATCCCCAACTTCCCCAGGTGGGCCGACGTCTCCTGGCTATAGCCCGACGTCTCCTACCTTCAACCCAACGTAAGTTATCTTTTCTAATATCACTGCCGTATATACCATACTAACTATCTTCCAGATCCCCACGTCAGTAGAGCAAGCCTCGCTCGCCATACTTTCTATATTCCTTGTTTCACACCACTTTTCCGCTGTACTAATATATCAAATTTCACTTCGATTCACCTACAATTCTGAAAAACACTCACGTTGCCTCGTCCAACACTCAGTTGGTTAATTTTTCCTCTTCCCCATCGGATCTGGCGCCTTGTACCAAATGTTTTTATCTTCCAAAGTTACTTTGTCAGAATGACTCCAAAAATTTCACTTTTAACCGCTTGTTATTTTTGAAATTGTATCTCCCTTTTTCTTTGTGTTTCTCTTACTTCTTCGTCTTTCTGGACATCTTTTTTATTATCACAGAGGACCCCATCGTTTACCCTCTCGAACAACGAAAACAAACCCTTCCCTGGCAAAAGAGAATAAAAAAAGGAGAAAGACTTGAGGACCTTAGATCGTTATTGGGCACCCTCATAATATAGCATGGCGTTGGTGTTGCTTTGCTTGCGGCTTGTTTGGTTTCCTGCGTTTTGTGCTTGATGTATCCAGACAAACTTACTACACTAGCTAAAAAATACCAATAAAAATAAGATTTGATACTCTCATTGCATATAACACTTTGTTCTCTTGGAATGTAATTGATAAAAGTGACGATCTTCGATATTGCTTCCAACGATGATATCAAGCGATGATTTTAACTATGAACACGTGACCGCCGATATCAACTCAAATCTCTCCACTCGAAAAAAAAAAAAGCTGTCAATGCAAGACGGTCATCGCATCTACATACTCTTATAATCCCACCACCATCTGCGCTTCCTCCATGTTACCGTTTTCATGATATAACTTTTGAAGCGACTTCCCCGGCTTGAGACCGGAAACATACCTCTTGCGCTTGCCGTCGTCATCTCTATAATATTTCCACCCTACCTCTATACACAAAATGGATCCGCAAGCCTACCTAATGAGCCAGGGCTGGTCAGGCCCAGGAAACCCATTGAATCCCTCCAGGCGACCTGGCCCACACGGCGGACTCGGACTAACAAAACCAATCCTAGTTGCGCGGAAAAAAAATACACACGGTGTTGGAAAGAAAACAACCCACGATCATACAAATCAATGGTGGCTACGCGGGTTTGAGGCAGCGTTACGCGGTATTGGAACGGATGGAAATGCGACGCCAACTAGCGAGGAATCTACGGCAGCCACTCCGATGAGTGAGCTTTACAAATTTTTTGTGCGAGGACCAGGCCTTGAGGGTACTATCAAACCAAGAGAATCGAGTGAAAATCAACAGTCTTCAATTTCGGGCTGTATGACTCCTACAAGCTCGGCTGAAAATAGTGTATCGAACCAAAAGAAAAAGAGAAAACGGGAGGAGACTGAGGGTCCTACAATGGACTCGAAGAAAAAGATGAAAAAGAAAAAGAATAAGAAGGTGAAGGTCAGCGTTGACGAACATGTCGACATGTCTTCCAACCAGATCTCTTCCGGTATCGCGACCCCGCCGGAGGAAGAAACCACCATGGACGGTATAATCCCCAGCACCAAATCTGCCAAATCTCCCAAACCCACTCAACCCGACGAAGAGCTCTCAGAGAAGAAGAGGAAGAGAAAAGAAGCAAAAAGGGGAAGGAAAAGACGAAAAGAGGGAAGCTTAGAAACCGAAACTAGTACGCCAAGTGATCAGGAAACGAAAGACGGAAGTCCTGATGATATGTCTTCGGATGAAGCTTCTCGGAAGAGGAAGAAAGAAATAAAAAGAGCCGCTAAGAAGGCACAAAGAGAAGAGAGTGGAGAGAGAAAGAAGTCGAAGAAGAGCAAGAAAAACAAAGTGAAATCTGACGAGTAATGATCTCAGCGGCCACAAGACGATGATGAAATATAAGCTTGATTTACGGAGTAGAATTATTGTTTGATTCTGCACAACGTCATTTTTGCCTGGCATAACATTATCCTGCCATACACTAAGCTTACTAGCCACTTAGGCTGGCGTGATACCCCTTCGCTTGCATGTACATAAAAATATTTGATGAGATAGATACCCATTTGTTTAGCAGAGCATACGCTAGGACATTATGAGATCAACTGCTGCTCGGAAGCCTTCCTGGTGTGTTCGATAATAACCATGGTCGCTGTCCCCAAAATTCATCCTTGATAATATCAACGTGGGCTATTGCAACATTAGCCTTTCTTCGCAGTTTCTGCTGTTTCTCAAGCTGAGTTTTGGATAACTTCGCGTCACCCTCTCCTTCCTCATATTCGTTGGCATTAGTCCCTGAGGACGATGTACCACATTGTGTGCCTTTGATTTGTTCCAATTCGTACTATATATTGGATACGTTAGAGACGGTATCCCAATAATAATAGCAACAAATACAGCCCTCTGGTACTCACATCACGGAATAAAACACTCCCTTTTTTATATATTTCAAGTTCATTGTTGTAGTTGATCCCATACCTCGAGAAGAGGATCTCATTCTTATCCGACGAGACAGTCCCCTATTAGTGTAAAGGGTTAGTATAAATCATCGAGAATCATGAGAGGTAAGATCGGACGGTTTATACCTTTAACTCCTGCTCTGCATCCTGGTTGCTCATACCTCCCTTCTGCACCATGTTCCAAAACGTTGTATTATATAGGTTATTAATGTGACCTGCTAAATTGTTAGAATATTTGATTTCTTCTCGTTGAAGTTGGACAATGGAGATGATCCGTACAGTCAACTTGTCTCCAGCTCAAGTAGTCTCTAAGGTTCTTTATGCTGGGATATTGTACCGCCCTCCCGTCGAATGTAGGAAGAAAGTTAGGTTCTAACGGCGTATCCGGAAAGAATGAAGTCCATTTAAAGGTATAATGTGCCGTGAAAGTTGATACAATAGTCGAAACAAGCTTGCTATAAATGAACCAAATCAACAATCCTGAATTCAGTTGGGATTGGAGAGTGATGGATTAAAGAGATAGAAAGAATAGCGTACCTGCTCCTCCGCTCAAATAGCTGGCAACTTCGGTGAAAAACAAAGCTTTTTTTTTTAAAAAAAAAAAGATGATCAGTAAATTAGCGTAACAAGCATATATTGCAATATCACTATACCTAAATTCATCGCTAACACCATAAGCAATGATTAAATCTGGGATGTCCTTCATTACTGCCTGCGCAGCTGCATTCATCAAGTCGAGAGCTCTTCGATCATTAGGTTTCTGAAAACGATATTTATCAGATAGTCTATGAAGCTGTTAGCCGTGACACTCATACTAAACATCGGCATACCACAGATGGCACTGCGGCCATAATCGTCAGATATCCATTCAACAGTAGTTAAGGGATGCGAGTTCTCGGAAGAGAGAGAGAACCAGGCATTGAGATTATGGGGTTCAAAACAACTGTATGCAAAAAGAGCGGGTATCTATATATGCATCATGAAACGACTAACTTGTGGAATCCACGTCCATCGATGCGTACAACGATCCAAGTATTTGGCAAGAGGACGTCGCTTTGCTCGAAATTTCGAACATATTCATATCTACCATATCTTTGTCAGTCCCATAGAATTACTAGAGGAAAGTAGTACTATACTTTGAATTGGCCATCTTAAAAACGCAGATCTCTGGTGTTCTATATCGCTGTCTACTGCTCTAGGCCCAACCGTGGATGTCGAGTTTGGTAGGAACCTGAAGTCCTGGTACGATGACTTTGATAATAGTTTGAGCTGTTGAAGGGGAGATTCAGATTTTCCTGCTCCGGATTTTCTCACCTCATCCCTATTGCCCCCCTTTACCTCATTTTCCTGCCTGTCCCCTCCTTTTCTATATTTCTACCTTCCATATCTTATCACTTGTCTATGTCTAGAAACTGGTTACGATTCTAGATATCTTGACCAATGCTGGAATGCGCCTGGACAGCCACGACGCACAATTATTCAAGTCCAAATTCACCAGTGAATATTATCCCACCATGTATTCCAGGGGTTGGTTAGCACACATTTGATCAATCATGTTATATTTACCATGGGTATGTAGCAAATGGAGTCCTGATGGTTAAAAACTAGGTATCCGGTTTAAGAGAATTCCCAACACAGACAAAGAGATCTAGTACAGAGTGTAGTATGGCATTATATGTTGGAGAATATGTATTCATATACAAAATCTATGTATCATATATCCTCTGACATTGACTCATCCCCAGCCTCGCTCGCTATCCCACTCGATTCACTTGGTGCTTTATCTACCTTCTTCGATTTCCGGATAAACCCAAAGCCAAGGCTACTCTTACTAGATCTATCTCCAGATTTATCACCGAGGGTAAGTGAAATTGCGCTCTCGTTGCTTTTGCCTAGTTGGATCTCGCTATTTCCCTCGCCGTCAGGATCACCCTGGCCGGTTGAATCTCCTTTTTTAGAGAACAGGCTGGCTCGATCCTTCCAGGGCATATTGAACTTGCTTGAGCTTCCTTTGCGTGTAAGTTTCTGAATGAATGTTTCCTTAGTACTCACTGCCTCCGATGGAGTAGACGATGGCACCTGTTCGAGTGACTCGTGTGACTCCGTGGCAGCTGTTTGGATCGAGCGGGAGTCTTTCGACCGGCGAGACGCAGGGGGCGACATCTCTTCATGGGTGGATTCGTTTCCGCGTGATCGAGGGCGTTCCGAATCCTTCGATTTGGGCCGATCAAGCTTCTTACCGAAGATGGTTGTAAATGATGGTGCGGTGGGGTTTAGTTTTGGGGTGATAGGGCGATGAGAAGACGGGGGTCGAGTCCCAATGGGTGCCTGTATTGGCCTCTGTGGCTCGTATGGGGCTTCATGGAATTCTAATTCAGTAGGTAAACCAAGAGGTAAGTGGCCAGTCGAACCTACTTGAACTGAAGGGCGACGAGACTGGTTACGTGACCAAGCAGTGGGAGAGATCCAGTCAAGGCCAGAACTCGCTGCCTTATCGGTGGAAGGCCATCCGAATGGCTGGTTTTCCATTGTAGGCCGTGGGAGGGCGTTTTCGAATGAATATGTTGACGAGGGCCGGGGTGATAGGGAATTCCGACGAACAGTCCCAAGTATAGAGGGATCAATCGGGTCATGACGAGGGCTAAATTGATTATACCCTTTGCTTGCATCTGGAGAATTAAGTGATGATTGGTTGGGGTTGGTGAAAACTCCTGACCCGTGTCTTCCTGATGTGAAGAAACTCGGAAACATTGCCCGTCTCCCCGCAGGTATACGGTCAGACGAACTATCGCCTGTAACATGGGAAGTATTGCTACGGGGAAAGAGCGTAGTCATTGGGTTCGCCCAGTTGGTGGTATAGCTCAAACGACGACGTCTCGTACCAATCGGGTCAAAGTCGTCTTCTAAATTCCCGGGGAACGATTGACTCTGTCCTGACTTAAGGCTCCCAAGTAGAGGAGGCCCATCGGCCATGGTCTTTCCTCTCTGGCGGTTAAAACCAAATAACCCCGAGAGCCGTCGAGATGCACTCTGCGCGCCGTCGGGAGGAGGCTGGCTTCCAGGTAGTGTGGCTTTTCCAGAGTTACGGTCGGTATCATGGAGATTGTTCAGGCTTCCATGAGGGCTGGCGAAGATGCTTGTGGGATCGCTGCCAGAAGAGAGTGGCGATGGTGAGTTGGGTAGGAGACCCTCAAAGGGAGCGGTGGGCACTCCGGGAAATGGTGTAATTTCTGGCGCCTCGCCGACACTCTGCTCCTCGTCCCCGAGGAGGTCAGATGGTAGTAACGCGTCGGCACGGGGGCTCATGGGCGGGTTTTCGATATCAGCTCGGACGGGGCTGATATTATCAGCTGGATCGGAGATTGTCATTCCATTGTTGATGTTGAAAAACGTTGGACCGGAGGTGAACGTTGGCGAGTTATTGCCGACTTGGCCGTAGTTTGAATTTGGGAACGCAGTATCGACCAAGGGGAAGCTCACGGGTGATGACATGTTGCTGTTAAGAGAGCTTCGATGGCGGTTACGTCGATGGCTGCTCGTTCTTCTGTTGAGGCCTAGCTCAGGAGTGGCAATAGGGCCAAACGGCGCTGAAGGGCTGGCCCATTGAGCGTTTGTCCACTGGAGTCGGTCTTGAGCCTCGTAATACTGCTGCTGGGCCTGAGAGTGCACATTCATGAGAGAGGCGTACTGGGTGCGAAGGCCTGCGATTTTCCCATCCCAGAAGCGTTCACGTTCTCTCTCCATCCGTTCCAACTCTCTAGCCTCGTCGTTGTCATCTCCTTCAGGCCGTCGTCTTTCCTCTTCTAGGGCTTTAATACGACTGCCCTTGATCTTGATATCTTCGTCGATTTGTTTCATTTCACCTTGCTCCTCTGTAACCTTGCGCCGATACTCTTCGATTTGCTTGGTAGACTCCTCATCGATGCGGGACTTCTCTTCCTGAAGATTGGCCAGCTCAGCCTTTATCTCGATCGATTTCTCATCCCACCTAATGATATCTTCACTCCGCTTTTTCCGTTCAGCTTCCTTTTGCTGCAGGAGCTTCTCCCGTTTGCTTTTCTCGCTTTGGGCCGTTCGATTGACGCTTTCCAGCTTATTGATATGCTTCCGCAGGTCGCCACTTGCATCGTCCTTTTCTTTTACTCGTTGCTTTAAATCATTCCTTTGGTCTTCTAAGTCTCGCAGTTGTTGTTCGTACTCCTTGTCTTCCTGAAACAGGTGTCTATCGAGCGTCTCGTTCTCTTGTTGAAGGTATTTCAGACGTTCTGCCAGTTGCTTGAGAGAACCTTCTGATTCGTTGCCTATGGACTCTCCATCATCCGGCGCCTGCGGAATGGTATGTTCCTGAGTGGATGTTGATCCGATCGACTTTCTTCCTCCGCCAGATCGTTTTGCTTGTGTTACTCCACCGCTGTGTTCTCTGGACATGACCGGCGCCGACGGTGACACGATCGTGGCCGCCTTGGGAACATACGCCTGAATGAGAGGGGGTCCGCCATTCTCGTCGTTTTGTTCAGGTGGAAAGGGCCCTTGACCTGTGCGGATATGGAGAACAGCGCTGCAAGTTTGGAAATTGGCTGAACTGATTGCGATCACGCATACATGGTAGATCCGGTTGGGCTGAAGGTTGAAAATGGAAACGGCAGTCTCGGAACGCTTCGTCTCGCCGACTGAAATAATGTGTTAGCCTTTAGTTAACACTGATAGTAATCTAAACCAGAGATAGACAGCTGAAGAGATAGATAGATGAACTCACCTCGAAGGCCATTTACTTGCACCGCATGTTTATGGACCGAATTCTGCAACTCCGGGTATTTCCAAGCTATGCGAACATCTCGGCCTCCTATCTCTTCCAAAATCACTTCCGGAGTGGGAGGGATGTCCAAGCCGAGCTTTTCGACCAGCAGCTCGTTCGGAGTCAAGCAAACTTGATATGCACGGTAGGTAAGCCTAGACAGCTCGTTAGACATACGGACAAGCACGGAGATGGACCCTTTGAGCTCGCCACCTACCAGATCAACGCCCAGAGGATCGAGGTCGCAATGAACAGCGCCATTGCACCCTGGACTCTAACCTGTGGGACGCCCGGATAGGCGTCTGACACAAGGCGCAACGACTCGTATTTCCCCATGATAAAGCCCCATTAAAAAAGGAGCGAGAGCACCGAGGAACGCAGACTCAACCCAGCATGTCTGCCCAAAGCCTTGACGTCGTGAGGTCCTGCTGGCGCGAGTGTGCAGGTTGTCCATCTCGTCGTTGCTTCGATCTTGATATTTCGCGGATTATGATTTACCCGTATGACTAATCAGAATTACCAGAGTAGAAGTACCTAGGTAGAAGTAGAAGTACTCCGTAGATATAGAAGTAGAAGTAGATATAGATAGATATAGAAGATATAATATAGATACAGAAGTGGATATAGACAGAAGAGAATATAGATATAGGTGGATATAGGTAGAGATATAGAAGTAGAAGTAGAAGATATAGATATAGGCAGACGTAGAGATAGGAGATAGAATAGACAGAGTATCAGTGTTGCATGAGCCGGTGTCTATGGAGTATGATAGCTATCTACGGAGTACAGTCTGATGCTAGTAGACCTCCCGTAGACTCGTCCTGCTCTCGAGACAGTCTCGGCTGAGCCTCATCTGAGAATGTTCTTCATGGAGATCACCGACGGCCTGAGACATCCTATAGCTCTGTGGCGTTCTCACATGGGAGCCACTGGAGTCAACTATCTCTAGCCTCGCCAACAGTATCCAGGCCGTCGACTGATACGAGTGTCGTAGAGGTCTGTAGATGTAGATGTAGCTGACCAACGACCGTATGTTGGGAGATCTCCAGGCATCCCGTAGCGTCTCAACAATGATGCAAGTTGTGTTTGGCGCCCTGTAACCGCCTATAGAACTGCCCGTCTGCCTGCTAAAAGGTTTCGCCCTGTCTCGCCCTTGCTAGCGCCCTTAGCACCAAGGAAGATCTCAAACTGGCGCAAGGAGAGGGCGTCTTGTATATTACGTCGTTCTTTTGCATAGCGCAGGCCGAATCCACCCGCCGGCTCGTCACATGTTCACCTCTTCCTCTTCTTCTTCTTCTACATCTTCATCCTTCATCTACATCCTTTTCTCTCTTCACTTCTACTTACTCTTCACACTCTAGTTATCCTACATTCTATCCAACAGCAGATGCCGAATTAACGGGATGCAGTACGTCAGAAGTATAAGCGGTTCGGTATCTAAGACATGGAACTCCATCAACCCGGCAACCCTGAGCGGTGCCATCGACGTGATAGTTATTGAGCAGGCAGATGGTCAGTAGTCGCCAGCTCCAAGATGAAGGATATCATTCTAACACGATTGCAGGGACGCTGGCATGCTCGCCGTTCCATGTCCGATTCGGCAAATTCTCCCTCCTTCGGCCGTACGAGAAGAAGGTAGGCCCCCGCGCCGCCCCAACAGGAATCAGACGGGAGTCCCGGCTAATCAATGCGCTCACAGGTCGAGTTCAGCGTTAATGGGGTGAAGCAAGACTATGCCATGAAACTAGGGGAAGGCGGGGAAGCCTTTTTCGTCTTTGAAACGACCGCCGATATCCCAGAGGACCTTCAGACTTCGCCAGTCATATCGCCCGCCGCAAGCCCACAGCAGTCGCCGGACGAGATAAATACTACCTTCACCTTGCAAGAGCCCGAGTACCTGGATCTGACGTCAAAGTCGTTAACCCCTCCCAAGGCACAGCGCGCAATAACGGAACCCTTGCTGGAAGGCGAGGTGGCCGCAACGAAGAATGTACTCGACCCAAGCCCTAAGCTGGACAGGCCTCGATCGGAGGATGGGCTGGAAGCTCCCCGCGCCAATGTCTCAAGTGTGCATAGCTCGCCGCAGACGATGCGGTCTCAGAGCCCTCCCCCGATATCACGCCAGGAGGCGTACTCCCGAGCGATCTCGCTGTCCAAGAAGCTATCCGGCTCGAATATTCCTTCAAAGGTAACCGAGAGTGGAGATCTCATGTTGGATATGACAGGGTATAAAAGTAGCGACGACGACGCTCTGCGCGCAGAGGTAGTAGCCCGTAAGATCCTCGCAGAAGAGCTCGAGGGTAACTACGATATCGGTGCTCTAATCGGCGCCGATGAGCATGGCAATCTATGGATCTACAGCAGTGAAGAGGCCAAGGAGGCTGCTGGCCGAAAGGCTGCCTATAGCTCCTTGCAACACCATAACGGTATGGCGGACGACGCTGTCTTCGATCCAGGATACCAGAGCGATAACGATCAGATGGACTACGAGGACCGCCCTCAGAAGCACGTCCGTTCCCAGTCGGATGCGCAGTTGGAATATCCGACCCCGCCGCAGACCCCTACCGATGACCGGCCCGACAGAGGTCGCAGCTATGCGAAGACGCTTCGGTTGACCAGCGATCAGCTAAAGGCACTCAACCTCCAGCCTGATGCCAATCCGATATCCTTCAGTGTCAACAAAGCAGTGTGTCCTGCCACCATGTATCTGTGGAGCTACAAGGTTCCTATCGTGATATCTGATATCGACGGAACGATTACAAAGTACGCCTCTCTTATCCCAACTATTAATGCATTCGTGGTACCATGCTAAAGCCTTACTCTCTTAGATCTGATGCTCTCGGACATGTTTTGAACATGATTGGGCGAGATTGGACTCATCTGGGTGTTGCAAAGCTCTACACTGACATCGCCAGCAACGGATACAACATCATGTACCTAACGAGTAGATCCACCGGCCAAGCCGACACTACACGAGCATATCTCAAAGGGATTTTGCAGGACGGCTATAAGCTGCCCCAGGGCCCAGTGATCATGAGCCCCGATCGAACGATCGCCGCATTACGGCGCGAGCTATATATCAGAAAGCCAGAAGTGTTCAAAATGGCCTGTCTGCGTGATATCCTGAGTCTGTTCGAGGGCAGGCAGAATCCATTTTATGCCGGCTTTGGTAACCGTCTCACAGACGCGTTGAGTTATCGGACCGTGAACATCCCTTCAACCAGGATTTTCACCATCAATTCAAACGCAGAAGTCTCGCTTGATCTTCTCAGCTTGACCAAATATAAGAGCAGTTATGTGACCATGAGAGAGCTGGTAGATCACTTTTTCCCGCCAGTGAGCACGCTCGTACAAGATGGCGGCGAAGATTTTACAGACTTTACATACTGGAGAGACCAACCTAGAGAGTTGGACGAGTTTTCACTCACCGAATCTGATATCGGGTCCGATCGAGCCGACGATGATGAATCAGACGTTGGCCACCACGCAGATATAGGAGAGACATATATATCCCGTGACTCGATAGAAATGTCAGGCGATATGAACGATTCTATCCTTGATTCTATATCCGAGGACATGGAGGATATTTCCGAATATGAGTACGAAGAAGATGACCGCCGAATGTCTGATGAGGTTCCCATGCGGTCGAGCGGGACAGATGACGGCTCAAGGATACCCAAAACGCCAGACGGGGCTTCGAGGAGCCTTCCCATCCGCTAGACATGTTGCGCTGCTATATTAGCTATCGAAAAGATGGCTATGTATATTTGACTACGACTGGCGTTCAGTCTTGGAGTTTTTATTGGGCCAGATATAGATGGGATTGTATAAACCCTTCCGGGGGAGTTGCTCGGGGCTCAACTCCCTGGCTTCATTGTTTGAGCATCTGGTGCATTCATTAGCGGGTTTTGTTTCTTTTCTTTCTTTTTCTCTTGTTTCTTTCGTGTCTTGCTATTGCTGTTGTTAATACATTTATTCCCTTGTAAGAAGGAGAAGAGTTTGAACTTGGACCAACAGGCCCTCATGCGCTGTTACTTCGGTATAGACTTTTAAACTAATAGAATGATCTAATAATTGTTATCTCAAGAAGAAGATATCTTGTTTCTACTACATACTGTTGAATAGTAACACCTTTGTGAATGCACTTTCTGGTACAACACGTGACTCGGACCTTGAACTTCCTGCAACACTTCAACAATCGCGATGATAAAAGAATAACCAGCTTCACATTTCACCTTTGAGACGATATAGCAGGACGCTCACACTTGCTGGAGCTAGATTTATCTAGGCCTGTTATATCCTGCAGCTTTATCCCTTCTCTTCATATAGCGAAAGGAGGATACAACCCCCGCTTGCAGGCCAGGCGAGGCATGCGCTGCTGAGCAGTCCCAGCTAGTTGAGCATCATCGATTCTATTCTAGCTATCTACGAGGCCTCTATACACGATCACCGAGCCTTCAAACTTCATCATATCCAAGATGGCTTCCCCTAGACCCAATGCGACACCTACCGCGGGAGCATCTGCTCCATCAACGCAACCGATCACACCTCCAGCAGAGCCTCTACCGCCGTCAAACCCAGCAGCTCCAGCACTCCCTACTCCCGCGCAGACACCTTCTACCTCACTCCAAGATAGCGGCAAAAGCAGACGACCTCGAGATGCGCGCCTAATCCACATGCTTCTGGCATCACTTGGTGTCACATCTTACCAAGAGCGTGTCCCGCTCCAGCTCCTTGATTTCGCATACCGATACACATCCAGCACACTGCAAGATGCAGTATATCTCGCGACAGAAGGCTATCCAGGAGAGACGCAGAAAGAAGGTGGTGGTCGATCCCACGCGCATCAAGATGGAAGCAGCGGCGTGAGTTTAGGTGCATTGCGAATGAGCATAGCTTCACGTCTTCATTACCAGTTTCAACCGGGCCTGCCTAAAGAATTCTTAATGGATCTCGCTGCCGAACGGAATAGGATTATGTTACCGGGTGTTTCGAGAGGTCAGGAAGGAGGGGCAGGTAGCACAGCTGCTCTGGGCCAGGAGACTATGATGGGTGGATTACGGTTGCCGCCAGAACGGTTTTGCCTAACAGGAGTAGGGTGGGATATGAAGGGGGAGTGGGAGAGTGAAGGGGAAGAAGATATGGATATTGATGCGCAGGCTGCCGGTGCTGGTGCTGGCGGGCCGGGTGCAGCTGGGGAGAAAGACGCGGTGGAGGAAGGAGATGATGACGACGACGTTGATGGAAGGATGGAAGATGTGTTCGGGCATACCGCTACGGTAGACGGTGAAAAGGACGAGGATAAGACTATGACAGACGTCTGACCTCTATCTTTCATCTGTCAGCAATCCCATTCTTATACCGTATGGGTACCGTCAACATACCAAGAGCTTGGAGTCAATTGATACTCAGCTCAGGCTTTACCTCTAGCCAGCTAATGAGAGGCACGGAGTGAATGATGACATTTCGAAAACACAACTAATTAATCGGCGTCTTCGGGAGGGGGCAGGCAAAAGGCTTAGCGGAGATCTATGGCTTTATTTTGTACAATATCGAATCATTATGTTTCCAAATGGCACATGGATTATGAGCCACATATTGACCCTCCCTAACTCCGACCAAAAAGGCAAAAATCAAAGCGTCCGAATAGCGTGCCAACTCGACAGGAAATAAGTATATGGGCTTGCAAGAGGGATTGCTCTTGCAAGCGGCCACATCCGAGTATATAATACATAAAAACGGGAATTCCATTCCAACCCCAAACGCCTAGTACTTGCAAAATAGAAAATTCGATCCAGAAACACATCCATCTCTTTGCTGTAGCGCGCAATAACGGACCGAAATAGTGTCTTGGAAACGCTTCGGTGTCAAATGTTCATGAACTCTTCGCTTTGGCTGCTGCTGCTGCTGCTCGTCTCTCGTCGTCCCACTTCATCATAGCAAGGACCTCTTGTCTCCGTTCTTCTGTCTCCCTGGCCTCCTTTTCGCGGGCCTTTATTCGCGCTTCTCGGCCTGCAAACCATTCTTCTCGGGCCTGGTCTTCTACTTCCGGTTTCGCATGAAGGACCATGCAGGCATTCATTGCAAGCCGCTGCTTTCGACAAACCCACGTTGCGGTCACCGTACGATTAACAGCACATGCTGCGAATTCTTTAGAAAGGATGAGAGAAAGAGTTAGCTGACTGGAACCAATCTCGTATGGCTGAAGTTCGTCGTCTGTCGTCCGCCGTCCGCGGGATTTGGCGGAGAATTGTATGATCAGACTCACCTTTTATTACCGGGTCACAGAGGCCTCTGACCTTTTTATAATATGCCTGCCTCACCTCGCCCTCTTGAGTCGCAGAGAGCGGCGTCGGGTTCCGGAGGTCTACTCTTCGGGGGGTGGATGTTGGGGGGGTTGGTGTCGACGGTGTGGTAGTGGTAGCCATCGCGGTCGTATGGGAGCGGAAAGTGGACGAATGCCGGTATATAGCTAGTCCATTCGCTGTAGTATTTGATTGAAGACACCAGAGGAGAAACGGTAGTCCTGGCCTTGGTGAAATGGTTCTCGCGAAGGAGATATCAAAAAACGCTTGGGGGATTGAGCTTCGGACATCTGAACCTTATTATTTTTCGTTTTTCAAGAACTTCTTATTTTTGCTCTTTGAACATAGATATCACAACTCCAACTCTCCAGCATTCTCGTTGCTTGAATTTCTCGTCTTCTAGCCCAGAGCAGGCAGATCCCAGGCTGTACTCTCTATAAGGAATTTAATATTTACCTTTCAACTGTCGCATCATCATGTCTTCTATGCGAAATGCCGTCCAGCGACGTGTGCATCGCGAGCGAGCGCAACCAGCTGCACGCGAGAAATGGGGTATTCTGGAAAAACACAAGGTAGCTACATGCTCATTATATCTTACTTGCTGAATATAAGCTAGAATGGACCGAAGTAACTAACAAATGTGGATGGGAATATAGGACTACTCGCTCCGAGCCAAGGATTATAATATCAAAAAGGCGCAGCTGCAGCGTCTAAGAGAAAAGGCTCGCGACCGTAATCCTGACGAATTCGCCTACGGGATGATGTCAGAGCGCTCCAAGACGCATGGGAAACACGGGGCGAGAGAATCAAAGTCACTTAACCATGCAACAGTGAGCCTATTAAAGACTCAGGATGCTGGATATCTGCGAGTAGTCGGAGAACGAGTTCGCAGACAACTTGTCCAAACCGAGCAGGAGGTTAACCTTCAAAAAGGGATCGAAGAAGCAGAGAGTTTGGGAGGAAAGAAGACGATATTTGTGGACTCTGTGGAGGAGCAGCAAGAGAAGGCATATAGAGATGAAGAGGACGACAGTGAGGACGACAGCGTCAACGGAGAGTTGGATTCTGGAAGCGCTGGCAAACAAAAACAAGCCACCGGGACAATATCGAAAAAGCAGCTTGAAGCAGAGAAACAAGCAAGAAAGGAGATTTTCAAAGCCCGACGGCTAAAAGAAAAAGCTGCTGAATCTCGGCTAAAGAAACTTGAGACCTTGAAGCAGCAACATGCAGACATTTCTGCTGCTGAAGAAGAACTAGCACTGCAGAGGGCCAAGATGGCTAGGTCTGTGGGAGGCTCGAATAAACAGGGCATCAAATGGAAGGTTAGAGAGAGGAAAAAGTGATTTTATTGCATATTGCTATAATGAGACCATGACTTTCCTACTGGCGTTTGGAATTGAGGCTACATAGGATACTTATCTCAAAAATTAGAGACGTTATTCCAGTATTTTCGACAGTGACCCTAGATTGCAAGTAAGTAAACTAACCCGGAACAATGTATAAAGAGCAATGATTAAAATAATATCAGAAATATATGAAAAGTATACAGGATGAAACATTGTCAGATGACCAGTTCCGTCTATCTTACGGTCAGGTTGATTGAAGCCATAGAAACCGTTCATGTGTCTATCTCAGGGGCTCAGCTTCACTGACGGTCCATCGCCGCCATGCGGATGGAGACTGCGCGACGATGAGCATCCAAACCCTCTACCGAAGCTAACTGCATCACAGCGCTGGATACATTACGTAGACCCTCGGCAGTTAGGTTTGAGCTGGTGATGTGCTTCACAAAGGAGGCTAGGTTCACTCCGGAATACTGCTTTGCGTATCCATAGGTTGCTAGAAAGGATATTGTTAGAATCAAGATAGCAGAGAAATCAGTGAAAAGTAAACTTACGAAGAGAGTGGTTGACACCGGCGGAATAGTCGCCAACACTTTCTGGGGTCCATTCGCCGATAAAGACACTGCCTGCATTCTGTACAAGGGGCACAACTTCCGCCGCGTTTCGGATCTGGAGAATTAAATGCTCGGGAGCATAGTCGTTGCTCAGCGTCATGGCTTCCTCTACGTCCTTGACAACAAACGTCACAGAGTGTGCGATTGCACCTCTCACGATGTCAACTCGTGGTAGCGCCATAGCTTGCTCGTGGAGCTCATCCTCGATAGCTTTGAGCTCTGCTTCATTCAAGTCAATGGCGATAAGGATGACCTGGGAATCAACGCCGTGTTCAGCTTGACTGAGCAAGTCAGAAGCGACAAACGCAGGGTTTGCATGCTTGTCAGCAATGACGAGAACTTCACTAGGTCCGGCAGGCATGTCAATACCGACGCCAGCAGATGTATCGTTTGACACAAACATCTTAGCAGCAGTCACAAACTGGTTTCCTGGACCAAGGATCTTGTCGACTTTGGTGATGCTCTGGGTGCCATATGCCATAGCTGCCACAGCCTGCGCTCCACCAGCCAGCACAATGCTGTCGGCTCCAACCTTGTGTGCAATATATACAATCTCGGGGGAGATACTACCATCTGATCGTGGAGGGGATGCGAGAACGATATTCTTGCATCCGGCAACCATGGCAGGGACTCCTAGCATGAGCGCAGTCGAGGGCAATACGGCTGTACCTCCAGGTATGTAAAGACCGACTTTCTCGATAGGCCGTACAAAGCGTGAGCAAACCACTCCCGGCATAGTCTCGACAGACAATGGTTTTTCATCCTGTTGAGCAGCGTGGAAGCGACGAATGTTTTCATAGCTGACGTCAATTGCATTTTTAGTTTCAGGGGACAACTTCATCAGATCTTCAGGGAAAGGCGCAACGAGCACAGGGGACGTTAGGGAGGTCGCCTTTTCAAATTTGTGGGTGTACTTCAGCACTGCTGCATCTCCATTTTGCTGTACGTCTTGTATTATCGGGCGAATGAGATTGACAACGGCATCATTCGACTTTTGTGACGGCCGCTGTAGCGCCTCTTTGACAACCTTCGCTGGGGTTGATGCAGTGACATAACATTGCATTGTGATCCTGTCGTCCGCAATTTTGGGCTTGGGCTTGGGCTCCTCCTTAACCGGCTCTTTTGAGCTACCCTTCATAGAAGCAAGGCCAACCTTCTCAGCCCATCCTGGTTTGGCGTCCCCCTGTCTCCTCGTTACCTTCAAGCTCTTTAGGTCAAGATTTCTTTCGAGATCTTCAAGAGACACTCCCGAAGCAATGCATTTGGTAAGGGCAAAATAGATCAGGTCCGCAGCTTCGGACGCAACATCTTCCTTCTTCGACGCTTGACATAGTTCCTCAGCCTCTTCCATTATCTTGGCTTCCAAAAGTTTTGAGTCGTTGAAAAGGCGCGAGGTGTACGATCCTGGAGGAGCACTCTCTTTGCGTGTCTGTAGCGTGTGCTGCAGGCGAGATAGGCCGCTATATGCTCCAAAGCAGCTAGCTGTTCCAAGGTGACAGAAGCCTGATTCATAAGGGTATAAGTTAGCCACGATCTATATATCTTCCTGTAGCTAAGCTGGGATCCACAAACCTCTTCCTTTCTGCTTAACCACGAAGATGAGACAGTCATTGTCACAATCAAGGCCAACTCTGACAAGCTCTTGAGTATCACCGCTGGAAGCTCCCTTGTACCATAACCCACGCTTTCGGCTTTGGTACACCCCGGTTCCGGTTCGAACGGCTTCAGAAATGCTCTTGTCACTACTCCAGACGAGCCCTAGTGAGATTCCGCGCTCATCAGTGACGGTCGTAGCATACAATCCGGTGTTGCTATCCGGGACAGCGCCCGCAATTAGAAGCTTCGCAGGTGATAGTTCCTCTTTATCCACCGATAGAGATCCGGCAGGGATAATGCTGACAACACCCTCTTGCTCGTTGGTTAGTAGTGTCGTCTGGGTAGTTGATGCGTCGTAGGATCTATAAACGGTAATGATAGCGCACTCGTCCTCCAGCTCGGAGATAACGGAGTCTAGTGCCTCGGACGAGGTACAGCTAGCGCCAATGTCTTTCCGTTCGGCGTCTTCAGCCACCCATTTCTTGAATTCGAGCACCACAGATGCCGACGGCAGAAGAACGACCAGCCGGGACGAAGGGACGCCCTGTTCACTTGATAATCGTTTCAGCTGGTCAAAGGTCACAAACACAAGGATTGCTCCGGCGTTGAGGACATCGACGATATCTCCAGCCTCGGCAATGGCAGTAGCATCGATGCAGATGTCGAGCTGGGCGAAATTGTCGCGGACGAAGGAGAGAGCATGCTCGACGCTCGATGGTTTAACCAGGACACGGCCGAAGTAAGATATCTGCTTCAGGCTGAGGCCGTCCGTCGACTCCGGCGTGTAGGAGAGCAGGAATGGTAGAGCCATCTTCGATCACTGTAGCTTTGTCTATCTCTCCAACAGCGTAAATGCAGTCCGACTGACGCTGTTTTTGTATCCTGTTTCTGAAGCTGAATGACTCCCACCGGCCTTTTTTCGCGGGGCAAACTAAAAGATAAGATAAATAAGCTTTGCTGCCCAGCTTAGTAAATATTTTAATCTAATTAGCTGCCAAGCCGGTAAACGAAGATGTATAGAAGGCCATATATGAGAGTCAGATATATGAGCAGAGTCAGATATCCGGCGTTGCGCGTCCGTGAGGCTTGTATATGCTTGAGCATGTCTGGTGGAGTTTGCATAGGAGAATGCTGAAACGGTGAAGCATAACCTGTATTAACCGTGGAGCAGGGCGAAGTTATTGGCTAACGGTAGACGACACGAGCAGCCAGTTATTATTTCAAGATGCTAGATATTGACCTCGTTAACGGGGTTGGACGGGGTTTCACAGCGGTAGCCCTTAACTGACTCGTCATGTCTGCTACCGTTGCCCCCTTTTTGCATGGTTGCTGTGCAACTCCAGGCAGAGGAGTCGGCGCATATTCAAATGTCCTACCTGGAAGCGTTGTCATCAACTTGCTTATTGTTTCTCTCGTCGGCTTGTTGGATGTTTATGAAACAATACAAGTCCGTTATGAACTGGCATATGGGAGAAACGCGTGCGTGGCGCAGAGTTCTCTGTTCATAGATCTATATATTAGGGTAGCATCAACTAGCAGGAAGAAGCATGCATCGACTAATGAACCCGGCACGGTGTAGTCATTTGATAGGCCCGCCTATCTCCTTGCCCAGGGCCTAAGGTAAGGGCCGGGAACGACTTACTGGGGGTTCAAGGGACTAGACCGTGTTATAGAGCAACGTACTTATACTACGCTCCCCTCGGTCGCTGAAGTTCCGTGTGGTCCACGATGCCTTTGCTCAAATGTCGGTAAGGGTTTATCGTAGTCAGCCGTATACATTATCCTCGATCCTGAGCGGGGTCGAAACATTCCTTCAGCGAAGAATCACAAGCACGAGAGAGAAGCGGTGGAGATATATGTAAGTAAAAGCGCATATTCCAGCCGTGTGATCACTGGCCGGGCGCAAATACCGGCATGCCAGCGCAGTAACGGGAGGGTTAGGTGAAATGCATAGCACCATGTGCACCCAACCGAGGCGGAGACGGGCCACTGGTTTATGCTTGGACGTTCTCCCGCCTCTGCTTGGCCAGCTTGGTGCGTTCGGAGGTTTGCACATACACGACATTAACGATATATCGACTGGCTCCCCACGGATGGAGGACGTATCTCCGCCTGACACAGGTGTCAGGCGGTTAGGTGTTAGGTTGATGTAATGCACTTGCATGCAGCAGTTGAAATGCCTAAAACACATGTCGGTTGACCCTATTGCTGTGAGTAAAAAATCCCTGTTGGGCAGTCAGCCATCTGCTTCCGTCCCTAGTTGATATATGTATGCCAGTAAATGCTTTCGGGAGACGTGATTACTTCGCGGACCCTCGGCACCACGGCATTGATCTGCACGATCTCCAGATATCTTCAAGCAGCTAATCTCCATCACGCGACATGGTTATATGCTTGCTCGACGGAGAGATGAAGCCGCAGCGTTACTTCGCGCGGACTCTGATGTAGATGTGATGTGGTCTCAAACTCCCTCCAACCCCGGCCAGGACGTGAGCAGCATGAAATATGGATCAGGAACAACCCAATCCAGCGCATGTTATACATGATGTACTCCCTTACAGGCCAAAGGGCGAAGGTGGGAGAAGAGAAAAGAAATATACCCGGATTAGCTAAGCATCCCCTAGTTGCTGATCCTGTTCAGGGGTAGAAGCATCACCAGCGAGAATCACAGCGACTGGACTTTGAAAAGTATGAGCCGCTCGTTCGGCCAGCAGAGAGGGTGGGTGACGATACGACCGTATCTCTGAGCTCATGGTCTTCTGATACCCGTTTCCGTGCGACGGCCTGCCCGAGCACGAAGTATCTGTCTGCAATGCGGCGTCTCTCACCTCGACGACGACCGTGTTGGAGACCAGGTTGATCTGGTCCCTGGCAGATGTAGCTGTGGAATGAAAGGCGATGCAGGCAACCCCCTGCCCTGGTCGGAGCACCGAGGACCACCGGTCTACCTTCTGTTCTATACACATCACGCCGTGGTGGAACAGCAACGGGCAAAAATGCGTTGTTTGTGAAGGTCGCATGGAAAAAGGAAACATGGCCTCCAAGCTGGCTGAAATGGAGATCATCGTCGTTGGAGCGCCTCCTGACGGCATAGCACTCGATCTAGGGCCCACCGCGGACAAGCTAGTTACCCAGAATTCCTTTTCCTTGCATGGGCAGGTGAGGTGCGAACTGGGATGAGCTGCTCTGTTCCTGCCGGCGTGGAGCATGGAAGTGCGACCCCCAGTTATTGGGAAAATGCAAAAAAAAATAATGACGAGCTCTGGAGTCGATCGCTGCTTGTGCAAAAAAAATATAAATTAATATCTGCTCGCTGTCCCATCTCCGGGATGGTCGATGCTGATGCGGATGGGAACTGACTTGCGTCTGATATCCCGCATGCTCAGTAGACAGCCGGCATTTTTTTATCTATTTATCACTCCACTGTCCTTCCTTTGATTCCCTTTTCTTCTTCTTCTTCTTTTATATTATTTCTCTTGGATAAAGACGAACGCTATCCACAGCCACCTCAAGTGACTTCGAGATGAAGTCATCAACCCTCCTTTTGGGCGTGTCCTCCCTTGCCCTCACCTCCTTTGCATTTCCTACCGTGAACCAGAATCAAAACCGATTCGAGATCCGCGACAGCCTTGCTGACGAGAATAAACCACAGGCTATCAAAGATGCTTTCACCCATGCCTGGAAGGGGTATTTGAAATATGCCTATCCACTGGATGAGCTCAAGCCTGTGTCGAACAAGGGAACCAATCCACTGTAGGAGATAACAATACCCCTTTTTTTCCATTTCTCTAGATGGATAATCGTCGTCGCCTGTGCTTATAATCTACGTAGAAATGGCTGGGGTGCTACGCCGGTTGATGCGCTTTCCACCGCAATTATCATGGGTCTACCAGACGTTGTCAATGCTATTTTAGACCATGTCGCGAAGATCAACTTCAGTAAGACAGACGATATGTGCAGCCTCTTCGAGACCACGATCCGCTACCTGGGAGGAATGCTGTCGGGTTATGACCTGCTGAAGGACTCTGCTATGGGTGTTGATGTATGTTTCAGTCGCCCCCTTCTGATGCTGGAAATGCGCTATGGTAGTACTGAGAATACTGACATCTCTGTTAGCCCAAGAAGGTCGACGTGTTGCTTAAGAAGGCTACGGAGCTGGCAGATGTTTTGAAGTTCGCTTTCGACACCGAGTCTGGTGTGCCATACAATAACTTGAACATCACTGCTCAAGAAGGTGTAAGTTTAGCTTCGTTTATCAGACTCTTCGCCGAATTTACTCGGGCTGATATACCTCATCGTAGGACGGCTCTACCAACAACGGCCTTGCAACCACCGGCACATTGGTTCTTGAATGTAAGAGTGACTTGTATGACGGCTTACTGGAGCATTGGGCTAATTCACAGTATAGGGACGCGCCTTTCTGATCTGACCAAGAAGGACGAGTACGCAAAACTTGCTCAGAGGGCCGAAGCGCACCTGTTAGATCCACAGCCCAAGTCCAACGAGGTTTTCCCGGGTCTTATCGGGGGAAGTATTAATATCAAGACTGGCAAGTTCGAGGGCGCGAGTGCTAGCTGGGAGGGCGGCGATGATTCGTTCTATGAATACCTGATCAAGATGTACATCTATGATCGCAGTGCATTTGGCAAGTATAAGGACAGGTGAGAGCTTAAACCCAGAAATAAATTTACTCGTGTATATTTCTCATACATATGAGGTATGCTGACAAAGTTATGCAGGTGGGTACTCGCTGCTAAGTCGACTATGGAGAAGTTGAAGAGCTCCCCGATAGGGCATCCTGATACCACTTTCATCGGATCCTGGTCAAACGGTGCATTGGCCAAGAGCTCTCAGCACCTTGCCTGTTTTGCCGGCGGCAACTTCATCCTTGGTGGACGAGAGTTGAACCGACCTGAATTCACACAATTTGGACTTAAGCTGGTCGACGGCTGCCACAAGACGTATTCGAACACCGTAACCAAGATTGGTCCCGAATCATTCGGCTGGGATGTGAAGAAGGTTCCTGAATCGCAGGCCGAATTCTTTGCCAAATCCGGCTTTTATCTTAACAGTGCTGGCTACGTGTTGAGACCAGAAGTTATTGAGAGCATCTACTACGCTTACAGGGTCACTGGAAACAAGAAGGTATGCAGATCCATCACGCGGTTAATAGAGAGTTGCTAGGCTAACCCAACTGCGTTATAGTATCAACGATGGATCTGGGACGCCTTTGTGGCCATCAACGAAGTCACCAAGACCGATAGCGGCTTCTCGTCGATAAGCAATGTAAACGCTGCCAACGGCGGATCCAAGACTGACAGCCAGCCAAGCTTCTTCTTCGCTGAGACAATGAAATATGTCTATCTAGCTCACTCAGAAGGTACGTTTTGCAATCTTGAAGAGCGCATAGTATCGAGCTCTGGGCTAAATGCTAACTTCACCTGCAGAGGCCGACTGGCAGATCAGCCGTGGTGGAAAGGACAAGTTCGTCTTCAACACGGAGGCCCATCCCTTCCGCGTCCGTAAATAAGCTGTGTGTGACTCGGGCGGACTGTTCCCGTTGCCTTCTTTTCGTTGTATATATTTTTCTTGCATGGAGGGATGTCCCTGTCGCTCTTCTCACTCCTAGACTCCTAGTAATATGCAGTCTTTCCATTCTTCCGGCGTGTCCCATGCTCTCTCCTTCCTACTTCCTTGATGAGTAAGCGATGAATAGTGCTGAGTAAGCGATGAGTAAGAAACGGTTATTACCTAAGCTGCTTATTAACTGACTAAGCACAGTGGTGCGGCTATCGCCGGCTGATCCCGCCGAGACCGCGGCTAGGGGCCTCCCCCACAGCCCGATCGAGCAAGGAAAGCGGCCTGGAAAGTCGCAAGAGCGAGGTTTTAGGCCCGTAGCGCGCGTCAGCTTTTCCACCGTCAACATCACCACCCTCAGCATCACCATGTCTGTCGTTATCTGGGGAGTGGCACGGCGGAATCACATCACGTAACGGCTAACAGACACGCCGACCCGAAAGCGGAAACGAAGCAGTGAAGGGAAGACGGAGCGACGAACGACGAGAAGAAAGGGCGTGGAACGGGCTATAAGCAAGGAATGGAGGGCGCAGACGTCGACAGACCAACGTGGAGCCGGGCGTCGAGCCGGAGAGAATTCCTGCGCACATATAAAGCATGCATGTCATGTCGTCAGCGCAAAGCGAAGTGTGAACTGGGCGGAAACAACGATCGCGGGATTCCGCCGGGCCCGCCGTGTCTGCGATGCCGCAGAGAGCAGCGGAACTGCTTGTTTAGTGAGGACCGGGCCTGGGCGCGGAAGAAGAAGAAGGGTATGCTGCCACTCCTCCCCGCTTTCCTCCCCGCATTCCGCCTTTCCGCTCCCCGGCTGTGGTTTTTTTTTATTCTGCCGGGTTGGCGGATAAATCGCGGGAATCAGCGTACCAGGCAGGAGGATCATATTACACATCTTAACGTCTCTTGTCTTGGTTGTCTTGGATATGGAGTACGGCTGACACATACATCTCTTTATCTATATATAGAATCAGGAAACACCTCTGTGCCAGAGCCCTCGACCCCATTTGCTACGTCAGGCCAAATACCCGGCGGTGATGGTGATGCGGAGGAAGGGAATCAAGTGTCCATGAACCAATCGTCTCACGATGGATTCTACTCCGTCTCCAACGCCGGAGACATGGATACGCCATCCTCGAGCGGCCACCATGCTCATAACATACCTGGCGCTGCCGCCGGTGCCTCCAATTCGAATACCAGTACTGCTAGCGGACATACAAGCATGCACTTTGACCCCGTTGGCCGCGCGGCGCCTGCCACACCAGCCAATATGAGCAGCACCGGCAGTCTGTCGCCCGTATTAACCTCCTCTACGAATAATAACATGAACAGACGCGAGTATCGAGGCAGCTCGTCCGATCGACATCATCATGCCGGTGCACAGTCGAATAATTCCCACGGCCTCCACAACTCTGTCATGCGAACCGTTGTATCGAGTGGCAACGATGCGCTGAACATCCTATTCCAAGCTGCTGCCCAGGAGCAGGATAATAACATGGTAGATGATGAGCCTAACGACCATCGACAATCGATATCGAAGGAGGGTGGTGCCGATGCTGGAGATGATAGTAATAGTGGTCCTGGTGCCGGTGCTGGTACCGCACAAGATCGATCTTACTCGCAGCAACATCAGAAGGCTCAATCGCATGCTGGAGTGCGCGCCTATGATACTCCAGCATCGACTACCTCGTATGGTGTGTCGCCTGTGTCCGACCCAGCTACATTATCACACGTCGAGCCAGATGTTTTAGCCGTCTGGGATCAATGTCGTTTTGTCAAGATGGGCTGGTTTTCGTCCCGAGAGGCCGTGACTTATGTTGATATGTATGTACACATTTGCCCATCTCCCCATAGCCATGTCACTAATGTATCTCAGGTTCTTCAAAAATATGGCTCCGCTATCTCCTATCCTCACGGATTTCTACTCTCACCATAGAAACCACTTTTGGCTCATCACTCAAGAGCCTGTACTATGCTGTACTATTCTTATGATTTCATCTCGATACCATACGCTACCAGGAGTGGGCGGGGCTTCCCGAGGCTTCTTTATCCACCAAAGACTGTGGCAACACTGTCAACACTTAATCATGCGCGTGATGCTAGGTCAGGAGAAAGGATCCAAAGCCAAAACCCGCACCGTCGGTACCATAGAAGCCCTGTTGGTGATGTCAGAATGGCATCCGCGGTCCCTCCATTTCCCCCCAGAAAGTGACGGGTGGGATTCGGATTTAATGATGGACAACACAACAGAACGTCATGATTCTACAAGCCCTGATTCGTCTGTCTCTGCATCTAGCAGATGGCTGGAGGACGTCATCGAGCCCGCACGCCGCTCTGATCGCATGTCATGGATGCTCCTTGGTTCAGGCCTAACGCTGGCCCATGAACTTGGGATATTCGACACCGACGATTCGCGCGCCAGAAGCTTGATATCTAGCCCTGAAATGGAAAATCAAGGCTTCCCACTTGATGAAACGATCAGCTTCCCCCGCCATCGTATCCGTCAGCTGCTATATGTGTTTATCAACCAGTTAGCCTCCCGGTTAGGTTGCATGTCGCTAATGCCGCAGAGCCTGAACCATTCTGTCGTTGCACCGTTAATGCAGAATAACAGCATTGATGAGTGGCAGACCTTTATGAACTCGTGGATCGAGTTAACGAAACTAGCGAAATCTGTAACGGATATGTTTTTCCCGTCTGCGACGTTTACACGGCAGCAATTGCATAGCGGTCGATATATCGGGCTTTTAGATCACTTCCGCCCGCTGCTCTCACAGTGGCGACAGAAACATCTGGACACGAAACGTAAGCAGAGCATGTTCATTTATATTCACCTAATTCGGCTGACACCTATTTCCTAGATCTATCACGCCCATTCTGTGACATGATATTCATCGAATACCAATTTGTCAGGGTTTACACCAACTCCATCGGCATGCAAGCCGTTGTAGAACGTGTTCTCAACGAATCCGACCCTGACGTAGTCATGGAAGACGTCCGCCAGGCAAACATGGACGAAATCGACTATGAATTCATCCAAGAAGTTATCGACGGGTCATGCAGCCTACTGCAGAAAGTCATCTCGCTCGCAGAAAGTGGCGCTCTCCGATTTTCTCCCGTCAGAATATTTCTGCGCATCACGAGCTCATCGATATTCCTTCTCAAGGCGCTAAGCTTGGGCGTCCGTAATGCCAAACTTCAAGAATCGTTGGACATATTGACTAGGAGTATCCAGGCACTACGATCTAGTTCGCTGGACGATATACATCTGGCATCTAGATATGCGACGCTACTAGACTCTCTCCTCTCTCGGCTACGGCGAAGCTTTGTGTTATCGAATAAGAATCCAAAGGTTAGCCGAACAACAACCCGTCCATCCTCCGTTACTCCTTTGCCAAAGGCACAAAACGCTTCTCCAGCAAACCAACCACCTCAGCCATCACCACAACAACCTCAACAGCAACAACAACAGCAGCAGCAGCAATTACCCCATCCGCTACAGCAGGCACAAATGCAACAGTATTCTCCCAGTGGCATCCCCGGCCCTGTCCCTATGAATGCGTCGATGGATGTTACAAATAACCCAGTCTTCGATGATCCAATCTCATCACTAAACGACATTAGTGCCGACGATTGGCTTTCGTTGCCCTTTGATCCATCAATGGCGCCGTTCGGGGATGGCGGTAACCAGGCTTGGTCTGGCTTCGAAGGGGCAAATTTGAACTTCATCTGGAACCTGCCCTCGTGAAATATTCCATTTTGCATAGCACCCAATCGCCGCCAACGGTCAGGCTTTTACGCAGGGGAATCGCGAACTTACTTCGGAACTAGCAATTATTCAACCTTCTACAGTGTTACTCTTGTGGAGTATCGACGTCTATCTCCCTCTCTCGAGGGGAGACCACCCAACGAAAATGTCACCATGATCCAAGATAGCGCGCATGATACGCACTTGTAAAGTGACCGACTAAGACATCGGCACATACGTTTATACTCTCACTCGCACATCAGGCGTGTACATATCTCCTACGCCTTGCAGTTTTTTAAGCTCCATTATATACACCCTCTGAAACGTCTAGTCTATTTCAGGGGTATTAACTCAATTTCGCACATTTTCAAGGTAAATCCTCAAATGTCAATATATATTCCAGCGCCGTCGCTGACATATACGATGTCAGACATCTTTTTATATATATATACCCTTCTTCTCAGATATTTCTTTCACGACATGTATCTCAACTCTGCTTTTAGATTTCCCGCCGTAACGAGCCCCAAGTGAAACCAGACAATCACCTAAATTAAATCATAATAGATTTCTACCTGTATGTATGATAAACACTAACAATAACCCGCATAACGTTCAAGATCTTTCCCACCTAAAGGTCTCCAATGATACTATCCCGCCCCCCTTTGATTCTGCTATGGTTACTGCATCTTTAATCGTTGTTTCATAGACGAATCCGTTCTTCTCATACACCCTACGGCTGGCGATGTTTCCCTCGAATACACCGATCCGGACATCCTGCATGTTCAGATACTCTTTTCCCCATTCAAGCATGACCGCGGCTGCAGCCGTCGTGATGCCACGCCCTTGGTGAGATGGGCTGAGGAAGTCTATCCATTTTATCAGCCACAGCCGTAAATACTTAATCTGAAATGTTAATCTGAAAGGGCGGTTTAAAGGAAAAACTTACTCCCTATAGTCCATGCAATGCTTTTATCACCAGCCTCTTTGGCTTCGTTGGCCTTATTCGCTTCTTCTCTCTCTGCTTCGTCCTCGATTTCCAGAAACGTATGTTTGCTCACGGTTATACACCCTATCAATAACTCCTCGCCAGTGTCCGGCTGTATCTCGCGAATTGAATTCACAGGGCAAGCCTTAAAGAATTTATTTTTGCGTTTTCCATCTTCCCCTAGCAGCATATCCTCCTTCATGACCTGTGAATTCTCATCGATGCACATTTGGATGTATTCTTTTGCGTGTTCTAACGTGTAAGGATAGGGAGGGCTGCTGAGCCATTTCGCCACAGTTATATCGTTCAGTATTCGTGCTTTTGCGCTTGCATCCTCGAGTCTCTCGGGTGTGATGATGATGTCTGGATGGCTGGAAAGCGTAAGGTATGGCTCTCCACCGGGTCTATCGTATCGTAAAGCCATTTTTTCTAGCCCTAGTCATCTCAGATTTCGCAACCGCCTCGAAAATTATCTATGATAAGACACTTTTTTTCATCTAACCAGGCTTTGGGGGTTGGTTTTATAGATCTGGAGGATTGATGTATGAGTCAACGCCAATTAGTAAGGCTCCTTTACGTAGTTAGACATGCAATACCCCGGTCTAGTATATGCCGATAATCTGTTGGATTTCTTTGTCGCCGTGTCTGCCTACTCCTGGTATCCTACTCAGTACATAATGGATTGCACCTTTGTAGTGTTTTTAAGAAAATCTATCAGGCTAAGTTGTTGCTGCTGCTGTGTATAAATTCCTACTATATACAAAATAACTATCATCATTAATTCTATTTACAATAAACCATTGTCCCCAAGAGTTAGCGCCAGGATGAAGACTCAGCCCCCTACTGGAGTCTCAGGCTGAGACATGTAACCAAGAACCCGGATGCGCCGGTTCAGAGGCAACAACTTGAGGGGATATTTGAAACGGGCCTCCATATTTTAGTCGATGCGAGCTGCCTCTGCCCACGGCCTTATACGTGTGACAGGTCCTTTGTACACGGCGTGGGCGTGGGCAAAATAATAGATCAACGAGGATATCACCACTCCGCCGTAAATAGCACAGCTCCAGTTCATGGTCTTTGTATCAACTTTGCTAGTAAGCGGGAAGAATGAAAAGCTAAATGCGATTAAAAGGAATAGAATGGCAATGGTTTCAACTGTGCTGGACCATGCACCCATACTCCATCTAGCAGGTGGGAGTGGTTCACCACGCCAGCGCCTGAGGCGGACACAGGAGATAGAAATGATATATGAGGATAGAAGAGAGGCAATACCGAGCGATAGGATGGCCTGGAATGCTACTGTGGATCCAATGTTGATGAGAGATAGGAGACAGACGATGAAGAAGCTGACGTAGAGCGAGTTGAGGGGCACAACGAATCGTTTATCAATCTAAGCATAGGTTGAAGGGTAAGTATATGATCACGGAGTTGCAATGGTGTTCAAGGAAGTGTTTGCCATACCTTGGCAAAGAATGAGGGAAAGGGGATTCCACCGTCACGGGCAAATGCATAGAGCTGGCGTGAAGTGGTTGCAACGTTGCTGATGGCCGAACAGGCCTGGAGGACCAACATAAGGGATGTCATCGCAGTTGTCGCCCTCACCGAACGGGTGGCATGCAAGAAAACGGAAATGAATGGAAAGCCTGTCTGATCTGCAAGGACCGTATCAACGTTGTACACGCAGAAGGCGTATGTGATTAACATAATTAGGCCAGTGCTGCCGTTCAATATAAGCGTCCAGAGCATGCTTAGGGGTAAGACTCGAGATGCATCCTTGATTTCTTCAGCTATTTGCGACAGAAGGTCAGAAGTTGATACTTGAATAGTGCAGGCGGGCGTAAAGGAGGTACATACACATGTGTACAGCAGAATCAGGTCCTATATAGATAGCAAGGTCAGCAATCTTAGAGTCTCAATTTTGGTGATACAGGTCTGTACCTATCAAAGCGTATATTGGAGCTCCTAATCCAACCAGGCACGCCAGGCCATTATTCCCCCAGCCTCCTCTATCAACGACGTTTAAAAAGACGTCCTCTGCTGAATTTAATGGGGCTAGCACCCACAGCGGAATCAGAACTGCGAAGAACCCGAATACGTGGACGAGTAGGATGACTCCTTCAATGAACGGTAGCTTTTGTGCAAAGAAAGTGTTGAAAATAATGGCAATAAATGCGATTGCAATGATAAGCAGAGTGCCATGCCATCGCTCCGGAGTATAGCTGTGAGGATAATTAATTGCAATTAAGCCAATAAGCATATTCGCAACAGTATAGGAACAGCCTGCGATGCCAGTATGCCAACCAAGCACGCAAACCCAGCCGGTAACATAGCTCAAGAACTTTTGGGAGCTAGCTGGCGCGAATTCGGATACCCAGTGGTACTGGCCTCCTGAAGTGGGCGCCCTGTAGAGAAATGATATATGAGAATATTCTTCTTCTTTAATTTTGGGGGGAGCAAGTACTCACATCGACGCCATCTCCGCCATTGCTAGTATCACGAATGAAAAGCCGAATAGCCCACCGATGTAGGTATAGATCATTCCACTCAAACCACCGTTTATCAACCCAGTTGTACTTGCGCTGTATAGACGGCATGTCAGAGCCTTATTCGATAACTATTTGAACGTGAAATCGTTGGACGCACATCATGACCACCTCCCAAGTGCACATAAGGACGGCAGCAAAGCCCAGGACCGATACAAAACGGAAATTCCGCTGTGAGAAAGAGAGAAGATAAGCATGACGGTTCAGCATTCGAGTTTTTGACCAGAAATGAGAGGATTGGAAATTTCAATCAAAAACACCTACGTTTAATTCTTGGTTGTTTCCGACTCGATACATGTCGCGTTTGTCCTGAAGTGTTCCTCCATTCATGGAAGCCACATTTTCACCGGCCTCCTCACTCGAATGGCAGTTGACCCCAGGCGACGCCTCATACTTGGTCTCTGATTTAACTCCCATGGCGACGGCCTAATCGACACGGATTCTGGAGATATGAGCTGGTTCCTTATCGCAAAGGAGACGTGGGAGACAATGGGTTTAAAAGAAGCGGCAGCATGCACGATCGCAATGTCGATGGAGCCCGCGGAACCTCATCCAATGTCCGATCCCAGATGCTGGACGAAACTAACGCGGGATAGGGTATCATTCTCCTAGAGGGGTTCGAAGATAGACGGACATTCCCTCCATTCTGGGATAGGCAGGGAAATTTGTCGGTATCCGAGTCGACGGTCACTGCTAGACACCCGCTCGCAGGGGATATACATGTACACGGTTACGGCATTCCCGGACGATCAAATATAACAAGGATAAACGGATGCAATCAAGCTGGCCAGAAAGCCAGCTATGCAAGGGATGTGTCCTGCCCAGCAAACGTCTTTTCGCCTCTACAGCAGGAACGGCGCCAGAATACGCCAATGAACTGGAAAGCCGGAGCCAGAAGCTTGATGGAGTAAAAGCTTACCCAGCTACGAAAGTTCTCGGTCAGACAGGGCTGCGGTGTATAATTATGGAGTATTATATTAAGGATGCTGGGATATCAACATCCGTACTGTCAATTTATTATCTTCGGGATCGCCCGCCAATGAGCACTGGCGAAGACATGCGGCTTGCTCTAGCATCCTCAAGACCCGGACGCACCAAAGGAATATCTCCATTACCGTGCATACATATAGGTATGTGCATGCCTATATATGTCTAGGAAGTCAAGCTTCCATGCTCACGAAGAACAAGAGGGAACCTTTCCATGAAAATGCACATTTACACTGGCCACCAGAGTGGAGAAAGCGCCAGTGGTTATGGCCATTCTGTTTTCTGGCTTTTGCTCTGAGATCTCCTCGATTTTAAAATAGTACTGCTTCCTCCCGCTCTCCATCTGCCTATAAATATATTAAGCTTAAGGCTTTAGCTTTCGGCTTAAAGTTCCTGACTTTAGTAGCCGTTTTCGTTTAAATACTTCGCCTGTCCGTCGCTTTCTTTGTGGCGAGGAAAACGCTAATCAAAGCCGAGCATTTCCCAGGCCAAAATATCGGATATACAAATTCAACTCTTTCATTGGCGCGCCCTTGGTGCGATTGACCGATGAATTTTACGTGACTGGAATACCTTTCCTACTACGGAGTACACGGAGCATACGGAGCACATCCGCATCAAACGGGAGACGTTACCCTCTGTTCTTAACCATGTGCTATAATGCTTTATTCCTGTCAGGCCCTTGTATACTCCATACTCCCTAGGTATTATGTGCGACGTTATTTCTCTGGTCATACGGAGTATACATACATGGATTACATGCATATTAACTACTATGTGATACTCTGTGCTAATGTATACTGGGTCCGGAATCCCTGGTACTATGTGGCACTGACAGGAATACTGCTCTCCAATGAATGACTCGCCAACATCATTGTGACGACCCCGCTGGGGTGCTTCCAGGTCTTCTTGATTGATGTGGGTGTGTTGGTTTCGACCATTTCCGATGTGATCATTCACTTTTTGGTGGTAGTGGAGCGCGAATTTGCAACGCCTCCAGTATCTTCGGTTCGAACATATCGCTCTGGCGGCCATCCCTTGTTGCGAGATTTTATTCTGTACGGAGTACTCCGTACAAGGGGAGAAATTGGGACCCTACCCAGACCAAAGACCTGGGCCCAAATTTATTTCCTAGCTTAGGATAAATCAAAATAGTGCAGGATAAATCAAAATAGTGCAGGATAAATCAAAATAGTGCGGGATCAATCCTGCTTGGAAGGTCCACGCTATATCCGATTGTCTTGCCGCGGAGCCCCTGCATCCCCGAATGAGAGGATTGCAGACGGAACTTTTGAAGCCCTCCTATTCGACCGCAGACCCACTAGACACTTGATCTACAGATCATATCTACGGATTACACGTTTACCAATGCGCAGTCTCTTATATTGGGTACCCTCTATGATAGCTATAGATCTGATATTCTTGGGAGTTTCATAAATCCAACCTCCCAAAATATAACTTCATGCTATGGAGCAAATTTTCGAGTTGGTCAAGCCCGATTTTCACGCTCCAGGACTCGATGTTAGACGGTTGTTCACTGATTAATCGAGGCTTAATCGATGGACAGCCCATCTACCAATCCAGATGGTCATCGTGCCTATTTTATCACGGACGCTGATCAAGGCGGGCATATCGTCATCATTTCAACTCTTTTGATGTCATGGATGGTATTATGTTTCTTTATTCGAATATATATTCGATCAGACATAAACGGTCCTTTCGGTTTGGATGATTCAATTACTGGAATAGCCTCTGTAAGTTCTCTCGTCATCAGGTTCCCTCTCAAACCTCCCGAAGGTAGTGCCATTTTGATCGGACTAACACTCTCACTGAATTTACCTAGGCACTAGGCATTGTACATGTTGGCATATTATTAAAGGCAGTTAAGCAGGGAGTGGGAAAATCGAACCAACTCCTACGTCCTTCCGATGTGAATTCAGCCGAACAGGTGCGATTATTTCTCTCCTCCATCCATTTTCTTCTTCCCCCCATTACAACCGTATAATTCTACAGGGGAACTAAATTTATATCCTAGTCTTTATATACTAGTGACATATTTTTCATTTTGGCACATTCCTGCGCTAAAGCTTCCGTGGCATTGCTCTTATTCCGATTGGGACGTGACCCCCTATACAAACGCGTGTGCGCTACGATAGCTTTTGTTATAGGCGTATGGGGAGTTTCATCTACGGCTACCATATCACTCAAGTGTGACCTTTCAGAACCCTGGGTGTTGAATGAACAATGCAGAAATATTGTTTGTAGAATTTCTCGTCTTCCAGTGCCTTAGCGTCGCTGACACCCACTAACGGTTTACCGGTTTTGACCATAGGAGTTGCGATGGCAAATTATCACGGCATTTGATGTCTTGACAGAATTATTACTTTTGGGGATGCTGGTATATCTCATATGGGGGCTGCAAATGATAATGAGCCGAAAAATTGTCATCGTCAGCGCTTTCGCGTGCAGACTTCCGTAAGCCTCACTTATTCTATCCCTAACCAGCACCACCATCTATCATCAGCCGGAACTAATAGTTAATTTCTGGGTATAGTGTTGCCGGATTTTCCATCTTTCGATTAACGACGATAAGAGGAACGATAGATCTCCAGGACCCAACCCTCTCGATGGTACCCTATGTCATATGGACGGAAATACTTCTACACTACAGTATAATGGCAGCAACAATACCCTGTCTAAAACCGTTTTTCATTGCTTTTAACACAGGATGGGGCCAGGGAAGCCACAGAAGAACGAGCAGATACCATCCCTACGATTCTGGGGCCAGTTCAAAGACCGTCCCTAGTTTCTCCAACAAATTTGGGAAGTTAATAGGGTCTCCACAACCTGCTCATCGAGAAGATACCATCGGGTCAAGAAGTATATCGCAAGCTATACGTCGGGAGGGAGCTGCTGCTTCAATCGCTAGCCATGATTCGCAACAGATGTTCATCCGAGAGACAAGGATATGGACGGTCGAGCACGAAAGTTATGAGATGAGGAATTATGAAGATATAAATCAACATTGATGCATCTGTGGTGGGAACGGCGTGGGATAAACCGGAGTTGGCTTTAAATTTGAAAAATCTGCATAAATGGACTTGTGTCGGGGGTGTACTATTATTATGACTCGATCCTCACTTGGTTCTACATAAACCTGTTCCTCGGGGGTTTTCAATTCTAATGTCTCTGCCTTCTAATGTTTCAACGATCTTCGAACTGATTACCCTGTACCCCTATGCTGGATACCCCCTGCATTGTGAAGCTCTTCGAAACCTACATGTACTCACATACATTAAGTATTTTCAACTGCTGGAGAGCCGTATCTAGCACCCGGAAATCCCCAAAGTCAGCTATATTGTAATATCAAGCCGTTCCTAGGTCTGAGATGAGCTGCGGATCAGAAGATACAATATAACGTTCCTGGTATGCGAGCGGCAAGTAGCAGGGAAATAGCTCCGTCGTTGCATAGCCATGACACATAAGTACCTTTGTACATATTGCAACCGCCCCCTGTTTGTTAGCTAGTTAGTTATCCCTGTTGTGCCTCCGAGACAGACAACCTGAGATAATTGCAGATGGCAGTCAGCCGACGCCGGAAACATGGGAAGTCCATGGCCAATATCTATGCTGGAGACATGCACGACTATTCCGTACAGTATACGGAGTATAGATATGGATATCGCCACATATCAGGTCCTCATGTCTGCACGCTTGCACTCCGTACACGTAGCCGAGATAGCCTATTCTGCTGATGGCGATTTCCACCCAACCCCAAATCTTGGAGTTCACCAGCAGTCTCAACCTGTAAGCTAAGTGGTATAGCTGGATCTAATGAACAGATCTATAATAACGTGCCTGTCTATTAAGAGGGCAAATTTCAAGAGGGAAGGGATTAAGCGGCGTTAAAATAGCGTAGCTAACCACAGGGTTTGACTAACGAGCCCGCCCGGGCCGGCGACTTTTTTTTTCTCTAACCTTCGTAACTTTATAACTCCTATTCCAACCACAATTCCAACCCGTTCCTGAGCAGCCGCCTTGCCCTTGGTATGATGAAGAATATGTAAGGAATTTCTCTCTATGAATCCGAATCAGACCGTTCGGGCGCTGTCTGCGACGAATCTGAGAACGGTTGATAGAACTACGGTGCACCTCAGCCGAGGGGCCAAATACCAGACAACGCTCTTTGTCCGAATGCTCGACTAATGGAAAGAATTGATCTCTATAGATTTTGACCCTATTTAGTTACGGAATTAGCTTTAGCGGTCTACTTTATTTTTGCAAGATGGTGCGCCTCGTCATAACCCGCGTTAATGATTCAGACTGGGACCAGCTCGTAGAGGTTCAATTCAAAGCCTTTGCTGCTGAACAGTTTTGTCAATTTGTCAATGGCAAAGATACTCCGCTGAATAGGGAGCGGTGCAAAAAGAAATACACTTCCTATGAACCTGAAAAATGGGCTGGTGCGCTCTGGCTAAAAGTCATCGATGCCGATGAAGTTGTGGGCGGTCATGGAAACGGCAACAGCAACGGCAACGGCAACGGAAATACCAATGGAAATGGGAACGGGAATGGAAACGGAAACAATCCAACAATTCTAGGGGCCGCACTCTATAGGCTCAACCCGAATTACTCAGCCGAGGATTTGAAGCGGACCGATTTGGATCCTGAAAGCTTTAAGTGGCTGGAAGACCCAGAAGAACGGCGGATTGCGGTGACGGTAATCCACGATGTGATGGACAGGAAGCTGAGATTCATCAAAGAACCGCATATTCGTTAGTCCACAAGTTCTCGTCCCGTCCTTATGCAAGCTTTGCCCTTGGCTAACTTTCTTGATTTTCTCGAATCAGAGCTCTCCATTCTTTTCGTTTCACCTGAACACCAACACAAGGGTATCGGTGGCTCGTTAGTAAATTGGGGGATCCAACTTTCCAAACAGATGATGCTTCCCCTCTGGGTCGAGTCATCGACCACGGCGTATAGCCTTTACGTACGCCACGGGTTCAAGGACCAGATTCGATCGAAGGTCATTATTGGGCCCTGGGACATTGAGTATTCAATTCTGAAATGGGAGCCTGACCAGAGACATCAGCCGGTGAAGGGTAAATGATGAGCCTACTTTGGATGAGCGTTCTCGAAGCGACGGAGGCCTTAAAGATATGTATATAGTGCCATTCTATACTAGATTAGAGTTTCCATGATGGATCAATCCTCCCGCTTTAAGTTGGACTAAGTCGCCCAAGGCTTACCCTAATAACCATTTTGTTCTTGAGAGAACAGCAATATGCCTAGCCTGGTACCCAGCTTTATCCTGATATTCCTTGCTAGCGTCATGCTGTAAACCTGTTGATGCCCGAATCTGCTTTCTGATACTACTTCCCAGGTAAACACTTGACTTAACAGGATACCATAAGGCATATATCTACTCGTATACTCCGTGTACTCAGGAGAAGGATACTGCCCTGAAAGAATAACCGAGGTTCGGCTCTCGGCTCGGCCCGCTCGAAGTCACACCGATGATATAATCCATGACTAAGATACACGTGACTGCTTACTAAAGTTACGTGACGGTAAAGCAATTACGGCTTTTTTTTAGTGTTCGACGCGGTACAAACAATTTGTACTTGGGCAGTCGCGTTTAGTTCGATCTCATCCAGCAGCACCACCACCGCCGTCCCGACGAACGAGGAGATGCACCCAGCCCCAGCTCGTTTACAGGCAGAGATCTCGTCCTCACCAGCGCACTGAGCTGCAATGTATCTCCCTCGGAACCTCATTTCGCACCTCTACCAGCAGCTGCTCCGGTCACATCATCCGTTGTCTCCTCCAGTCCTGATACTCGTGGCATTGGAACCAGATGCTCTATGTGCATGTCGAATCCTCACAGCGCTCCTAAAACGAGACTATATCCCTCACAAAATACAGCCTATTGCCGGATATGGCGACCTCTCTCAGGCTGGCACGGAACTCGTGCATCCAATGCATACATCAAACGGCGGCAGTGGAGGGGTTGTGGTGTGTTTAGGAGTGGGTGGACTGGTTGACTTGAGCGAGACACTTGGCCTGGACGTGAACAAGGACGACCCAGGGGACATGGGCGGAATCGACGTCTGGGTCATCGACGCGCGAAGACCGTGGAATTTGACAAACGTGTTTGGAGGAATGGGCGATCCAGCTACACCGAGAGAATCTGATACCCAGGTCAGAGCCAGTGTCAATGGAGTAGTTCGAGGCCGTTTGACAGATATATACAGGCCAGGTAAGGGGGGCATCATAGCCTTTGACGACGGTGACATTGACGAGGAGCTGGCCGTGGAACGAGATGCGTACTACACCCTCGAAAGTCTCCCTGATGTTGGCGAGGAAGACGGCGACGATGACATTGATAGCGGATCTGACGAGGAGGTCGTAACTCAGAGTAAGAAGAGGAAATCATGGTCAGATCGGTATGATGGTGATATTGCTGCGTCTGACGACGAGGATGGTCGCCCAGCTCAACGACGGCGGAGCAATTCTGTAGGATGCCCCAATTTCATTTGCATGATACAGCTGCTAACGTATCGTTTTTTTACAGGGATCATCCATTGCTTCCCCTCTTAGCTTGAGGGCGAGAAGACATGATTCTTCTCAATCTTCACGATCAGTCTCCCCGGCCTCTGATGCCCTATCCGTCATTCAGCCAAAGGAGCCGTCAACACGAACGTTACGAAGACGCTTACTCCGACTTAAACGGAAACATGAATCCGTTCTTCAGGCATACTATTCCCTCGGTACATCTTACTCAGAACCCATTTCGTCTTTACTATACTCCCTCGCGTCCGAACTTGGTCGAGATGATAACGACTTATTGTGGCTCGCAATCGTTGGGGTCTCGAGTCTAGAGCTTTCTGGACGCACGATGTCAGGCGTAGGAATATCGGATGCTTCTGAATCAGGAGGCTCAGCTGGATGGGGAGGACAAAGAGGAGAACGTATTCGACAGATCTTGCGTGACGAAGTTAGGCGTCTAAACCCACCAGACGAAGGCGAGGCCGGGCGAGATGCAATGAGGAGTGAGATCAACGGCGTCATACCCACCCACGCCCGGTCCCCTACCGACACCTCTATCTTACTATCCCCAGAACCACGTCTTTTTCTATTACGGCATTGGTCCCTATATGACAGCATGCTCCACAGCCCCTATCTCGCGCCCAGGCTACACGTTTGGAACGAGACAGGACGAAAACGGGCGCGGAAGCTCTTAGCAAAAATGGGAGTCAGCCTAAGCCAGTGTCAACAGAATTACACACATATGGACATGGAACTGAAACGTGATCTCCGCCAGAAGATGCTCCAGTATGCTCCAATGTATGGCCTGGAAGGGCTGGTCCCTCCAGCGTCCTCTGGTGGACATTCTGGCACTCGAGAAGGATGGGGTTTCGTCCGATGCTGGGGTTGGAAGGCCTGTCTGTCCGCCACTGATATTGGCGTAATCCTTGGATCCATACTTGAAGTTGGCTCTCTAGGCCCCTCAACAACCATATCACAAGCATTCTCCTCCCATCAAAACTCGTCTAACGCAACGCAGGCCAAGCTAGGAGCTGATAGCTCCAACGTACTGTCCCGATTCTGGAGTGCATATGATGCCCTGGTGCCTACTTCAGATTCCCCTACACAACTCCTGGCTTCGATTCCTCTAGCCCAGCATCTCCATCGAGCAATTTTACGCACGGGAACTGCTCTTCTCTCAAAACACCAGATTCGTCATCTTCGTGCTTTCCGCATTGCCGTCGTAAAAGATGGGCCCGACGTGAAACTCTTCACAAACCCAGGTGCACTAACGAAACTAGCACTCTGGATTGGCGAGGCAGTTCGTATACAAGAGAAGGAAAAAGGAACTGGAATGAAGGTCGGAAAAAAGCGTGCAGCGGGCACACCGCTGGTGCTCGCTGGCCTGGACGAAGATCGAAATGTATACATTGTTGTCGGAACTGGTGGAGGTGGTGGAGTCATCGATTTTGCTGCCATGGCCAAACGGCGTGAGGAGCAGCGAAAGAAGAAGGAGGCGCGAGAAAAGAAAAAGGCCGAGCGGGAAGAGCGACGTGCCAAAAGGAGAGCTGAGATGCAAGAGGATGATGATGAACTAGCCGAGGAGGCAGAATCCTCCGAATCAGAGTCGGAGTCAGATTCAGAATCGGAGCCAGAGCTGGACGGCTTCAGCAGCAAGAACCTAGTTCGAAACCGTTTCGGTATCGCATTCCAAGAGGTTGTCCACGAAACCAACGCGCGAGTGCGAATAGACAGCTTTGAGCATTGCGTTGTGGAAGTGCAAAAGGAGGACCTTGGAGCGTTCTTAGAAGCACTCAGCTTCAGGAGTGTGGTTGGATAAAGCCAGACACTACTCCCCGATCCTCTTCTTTTGCCTTCAAATGCCCCTCGATGACCTTCCATCTCTTGTGCTTGTTTTTTTTTTTTTTGCTGCGTTGGAGCGTTCCAAAACTTCTGATCCCATTTCTGCACATTGCCTATGAGTGTTTCCTTTCTGCTGCTGCTTGCCTTTAACGCTTCGACGGCATGAAGTCATTTTATTTCTCAGTTTTGGGTGAAGGCCCAGCTTGGATGGCGTTCATCTTTGTCAGTTCGGCTAAACTGGTCTTCACAGTTTGCATTGTCTTTGCTCTGACTCTTATGTTTGTGTTTTTGTTTCCCCAATCATTCATTCCCCTTTTTCGCTCAAGCTGTCTTTTTTTGGATATTTATGTTGACTCTTACTAATGTATATACGGATCTAAATGGCGGGTCGGGTTCATGGCAGGCAAGCGAGTCAATAAACTGAATATTCTTCAATTATACCTCTTACTAGAAGGCTCTAAAGACATCGTATCGAGAAAGTAATTTGTTGGGTAACGTAGTTGACCAATGGCCGAATATATTAACAGGTATAAAGGGATATCATTTATATAATAAGATAGTACACGAAGGATAAAGAACATTTGAGATAGCAAGAGTCTGATGTCTATGAACCCCTTAGCAGCGAACCGGCAAACCATATGCCCCCCATACCGACCAGTAATGAGAGACCGATAATTCTCTTGCTCCAGTCATCGGTATCGCGGATCTTCATCGGCCCAGCAAGCTTATGTATAGGGGAATTAACATGGGATGCTGTTGTGGACGTTTCCTGGGGACTTGCATCCGGAGTGGAAGTATTGTTCACGTATTCCTTTTCCATCTCCTTCCATTGCTCAACTAACCTGGCAATAGCCACAAGATCCTCTTTGATAGAGGGCTCGGAACCATTGATGCCGCTGCCACCTTCCACATCCACTTCTTGGACGTTGCCGAAAAAGTCCATGACCGTTCTCAGTCTACCCTCAGCTTCGCCGCCAGGGAATAAATCCCATCTCACGCCAGGTTGAGAATGTATCTTTGTCTCATCGTAGGAGTCGAACAAATCTCCCAAGGTGCGTTTCGAATTCGCAGTGACTTGGGTCTCTAGAAATTCCAAAATGTAGTATGTCCAACGGTCGATGACGGCAACTCCAACATCGCTATCTGCATGGTGGGAATAAGAAGACTGATCTATCTCGCTTGACCCCGTCGCGATGATATTCGGTGAATACAGATGTGTGTACATGGTATTCGCCTGGCACGTATCGATCATGAAGAGTAGCTCGTTGTATCGTTTTTTCTCCCACATCTGTCCAAATGCATCTGCCAGGTCCCACGCCCCGATCTCCTCCGAGTCCTGGAACTTTAGGAACTGGTCACCGCCATGACCGGTCATGTATACGAGCACATTGCTGCCTGCATCTGAGCCCAGCCTTTTGCTCTGCGGTACATCATCACCCAGTCGATCGGTCAGCAAGCGGATGAAGCTTTCCACGGTAACCTCGTATCCACGATAGTCGACTTCTATGTTATCTCCGTACAGGTCTAACGCACGATCGGCGTTGTTATAAACGGTTCCGGGAAAAGCGTTTCGTGGATTGCACGCCATGTCGTCTGGCAGCATGAGGATGATCTGGGAGTCTGGGATCCCCAGCCGCTTGACGGTCCGGTAGAGAGAGAGCACATTGGCAAGGTGGCGGTAATTGAACCAGAAACGGGACGTAGAGACCAGCACCGCCCAGTTGGAGGTATGCGCCGCCGATGAGACGCCGCTGGCGAGGAGGATGGCGAGCAGGGTCAGGAAGGGGTAGAGCAGCCGTAACTCCATGTCGAAGGCGAGCGAGGGCAGTATCAGAGGGATATATCGACTCCGCAGCACATCTTCCAGCGTCCTTCCCGTGAACCTGGCTCCTATACTCCGTATCTTGATGTTGATATTGATATTGATGTTGATGTTGATATAAATGCTGAAGAGATGTAGCTGTTTCCCCGGCTTAGTCATCCAGCGGGAGGCCTTCGTCCTGCCCAAGCTTCCTGCCCATCCCTTTATGGCAGCAAGATGAGGCTCGCTTGTTACGATCTCACTCCGCCTCGTCCGCTGCTTGTTCCTTTCTTCTGTCTCTTCACGCCCTGCTGTCTAGCGTTGGTCCTGCGTTCTGTTTATAGCGCTTCTGCCTGTTGATATATCCTTGCCGCCGCGGCGAGCTACTTACACCTGCTGCTACCCTGCTGCCTGCCTAGAAACCGTTCATTTCTCTCGCCTAATTTCGACTCATTACGAGCTCGCCAATCCTTCTTAGTTTACTTCATATACCTGGTAACTCCGGTCAGAAAACGTCTGGCAGTCTTCGGTTCACATCCTCGGTCACATATAGACTTGCGATAGCCGGGTTATATAGCTCGGCGTTTCGAATATAGGATCGTTCTTGAGAGTGAGCTTGCCCTCAACCACGCAGTTCCCACAGCATCGCCAGCTGCAGATATGATGATGACGACCGAAGAAACCAGACCTCCGTCTGGCGGAATGGAAGAGTCACGCCTCATGAGACTTCCGTTTGAGACCATCGAGGCCATATTCTCCCATGTAAGTACACCACGGCGTCCTCTTAGATATACGTCATCATTCATTTAGCTGCGTTCTACTCTTCGGGTCATGACTGATGGCTCCTGTGATTCTGTTTTAGGTCGAACCAGAGGATCTCGTCAGTCTGTGTTTGGTTTCAAGGTCGGTCCGTGAGCATGCTGCGGCCCGGCTCTATCGGTCTCTCAACTGCATTCTCCAGCCCAGAAGCGATATAGAGCATAAATGGCCAATCGACCGCCTTGCCAAAGAACTGGAAACGCTGACGACAAGTGATTTCAACTACGCTGCATACATCAAATCGATATGTCTGGACACCGCACCGATCACCGATGCTGGCGACTATCAGTTTCAAGAACAAATAGCAGACCAGTTTAAATACGATACCCCTTGCGGAAAGTTCTTTAACAACCTGCTTCTTGCGTCAATCAAGAAAATATCCACATTGGAATCATTTCGGTATGGAATAATCGCTCCTCCTAGATCAGATACTGAGAGCGGGATTACCCCCATACGACTATTCGTCGAGTTTTATTCTAACAGGTAGTATAGATGGAATGTCCGTCTTGAGCTTAATCCCGCCGTGTTCATGGCTCTTGGAAAGGCCCCTGGTTTACAGCACTTATGTGTTCGAATGCCCGCTGGTGTAGAACCCATTTCGGATAAGCCAGTGCCAGCTCCTCCTCCACCCGGGCCTCCCGTTCCAGTACTGCCCCTACCAGTTCAGATCAACCAACTCCATGCGCACCCAGCTCCTCCAATAGCGCCTATCCACCATTTACCGCACAACCGGACATCATCTCGGGACAAGTTTAAAAGCCGCAAATACTGGGACTCAAGTCGAACGTTCTCTCATTTCTCCCGGCTTAATACCATCGAAGTCCTAGAAATGGACAATCTTGGGTATATCGATGAGATCGCAAAATGTATCTCGCAATCATCCGGTACGCTGAAAACCTTAAAGCTTTCATTTTCAGAACGACTTGCTCTAGCAGCCCGCAAAAAGAAGGACGATGAGGTCTCAGAAACAAGCAGTGTCCAAGACGAGGACGAGCTTTACCAACCTCTACCCCCTCCGCCTCCACAGGGTCAGCCCGCGGCGTTCACTTCGTCCAGCTCCAAGAACTCCGAAGTTCGTCGTGAACGTCTTGCACAAGAGCAGACTCTTGGTCGCCTCTTCGGCCTAGACCAAGAGAAGGATGCCATTCCGCAGAATTCGCCAAACCGACTCATTGAAGATGCGCTCACTGATGCGGCGAAGGGTCTTCAAGTTGGAGATGATGCAGACGTATCCTTTATTAAATACTTGAAGTCGGTTCTAGAAAAGCTTAGCACAGAACACCCAAAGTACCAAGCCATGATATCCGAAATTGAAAAGGTTACAGGTCCATACCAGGATATCGCTGCTGGGAAGGATACAGGTGACGGAGACAATGTACAGGCGGGAGAACAGGCGGGTGCTCCACCTACGACAACCCCAGGTGAAGGTGAGGCTGATGATTCCGCACCACCTGAGGGTTCCCAAATGGGCCAAGAAAGCGAGGCGAAAAAAGAGGATGAACTCAAGGCCAATGATTCAACAGATACCCCTGTCCCAAGTGACACGAAAACTACAGAGCTAGAGGCATGTTTACAAAATATTGTAGACATAGAGCATCCTGATGAGCTTAGTGAAGGGGAAGACCAGGAATTTATCGATGGAAATACCGACGACGTAGCACCTACGAAGAATCTCACCAACGGAACGCTTTGCAGCCTCAAACTAGAGCAGAATGGCGAATCGAAAGGCAAAACGCCAGCGGATAAGATACCAATGGATAAAAAGGATTATAACCAAAAGGAGCGTGATGCTATTCAAAACTACGTTCGCGAGAACCATGGCATCGCGCTGGAGAGTCTTTCAATCTATTTGATCCCGGTCAAAGCTGCCATTCTTTGCCGAGGCATCAACGTTTGGACGCTGAGACACATCTCCCTGCTCAACGTTGGGCCGCAGAGGGCATTCTGGGCAACACTAGAGAATCTCAATAGATTCAATCCCCTTAAGCTTGTCTCTGTTCATACGGACAACGTAACTCGCCACCTCCTCTCTTTGTTAAACGCTCTACCGCGCCTCGAAGAATTATTTTTGATAGAGCGTAGTACCCGCTCTAGAGTAGAGCCATCTACTCCGAAAACCCTTGTTACAGCCGAAGATATTCGGAAGCAAGTGCTCAGAAAACATATGGGTACATTAAAGCGGCTGATGATAAGAAATGACAGCGATTTATGTTGGTCTCTAGACCTAGCTTCCATTGTTCTCCTAGCCAAATACGGTCGGAATCTGGTTGAGCTGGTTGCTCACCTTGATTCTCAGTGCTTTGTAAGTCAAATTTTCTTGTGGGAGGGAATTTTTCGGTCACCTTATTGCCCAATGTGCTGTCGCTAATCTTATCCTTCAATTATAGCATTCGTTGATGCGAGTTATCAGTAACATGGAGTCGCTCAGCGTACTACATGTCCTCTTCTCAGACCCGGACTACTGTGCCAGTGTCTTGGATGAGGTACGTGAGTGCGCAATTGATAGCTTTTTACATTATCGCTCTATCAAAAAGAGGTACATTGCCGTGAGCTATGCTTCAGGCCAGCCGGTGCAGACTCGCTGTACACTCATGGAACTTCGTGATCCGACTTCACTGAAACCTAAGGAAAACCATGCAATCAACTCCACCAACAACAATACAGTTGAGGCGGATGAGACGGATGATCTTGACATTTTCAACCTGGAGAGTGGTGTGTTACTAACTGATATTCTTCAATTCGAAGACGAACCAGGAGTCAAGGTTTGGGAGAAGGAGAACTGGAATCTGACATTGTGAAGAAGCTATTCTTCATATCTGAGACTTTTTCATCATTGTATGTCATTTTATTACCCTTTGCCAATCTAAGGTCTCTGTCTCTTTCACCATCTTAGACAACAATTACCCCACTCGTATGCCATTTTCCTATTCCCGATTCCCGAATACTTTGTTCTTTATATCCTTCTCCCTACCTTATTCAGCCTGACGAGAAGTTGCTATACATATGTACTCTTTATCAATTCACCTGCTTGGGAAACTTGAGGCTCAAAATTTTGACCGTTGTTCGGCACGGGAAATAGTTAATCCCGATAAGACTTCTTATCGCACCCCACTCTGTAGATGGCCGTAACTCGCGGTCGTGACTCTAGCAATCTATCTCATTTCACCAACTACTCATCCCATATAGCCCTTCGTTCTAAAGTCGTGTCTCTTGCTGTTTGCATAACGCTCTATAGATATGGCGCCTAAGAAAGAGAACTCCAAAAAGGTTGCCGGGAACGCAAAAGTATGAATCACCACATTCCATCTCTGGATGAGTCCTATAACTAATCCTGAGTTCATATAGAAAGCCGAAGCTGCCGCAGCTAAGCAGGCAGTCGTTGACGCAAAAAAGGCAGCTGAAGAAGATCAGGAATGGCAAAAGGGCGCAAAATCCAGTGGAAAGAAGTATGTTTATCCAACCAACGAGACCCCCCGCGAACAAACCAGGTAACACGCCAAAATAGGGAATCAGCAGAAGCCAAGAAAGCAGAAGCAGCCCGCAAAAAGGCCGAACGTGAAGCTCTATTAGCAGAAGAAGAAAAATCTCTCCCCAGCAAACCAAAAGGAAATGCCAAAACCGCCCAAAAGAAATCCCGAGGAACCCTCGACCTCGACCAGCTTGACGCCGATCCCTCATCCAGAAAGAAGGGTCCAGCTTTAAATGCAACTGGTATCGATAACGCACTCGACGCACTATCTCTAGGTTCTAAAGATGCGCTCAAGGTAGATCGACACCCGGAGCGAAGATATAAAGCTGCTTATGCCGCGTATGAAGAGAGAAGGCTACCTGAGATCGAACAAGAACAACCCGGCCTCAGAAGACAGCAGAGGATTACTCTTATAAAGAAAGAGTTTGAGAAGAGTGAGGAGAATCCGTTTAATCAGGTGAATGTGGCATTCGATGCATCCAAAGAAGAAATAGCGGCAGCCCGGGAGGCAGAGAGGGCAAAGATCGAGGGCCGTTTGACCGCGAAATGAAAAAGGGTTTCAGGGAGAAAAATTGTATATCTGCTTGGAGCGTTCAGTTCCCATACGCATGGCTTATTAGGGGCTCCTTGAGCCAGTTAAGGTTACATGTGTTTGCTAAGAGGCCACATCTACCCTTAGCTCAGGGTTAATAGGTGTTTTTATCGATGTGGACGTATACATGGTTCCTTCTTGGACACATTTGTATTTCATTTACCTTTGAATTGGCGGCCACTTTAGGCTCTTACATTCTACCATATGTCTGAGTTGGAAAATAAACAAGGAAGATAGACGAAACCTAAAGTCGATCTCATAATAGTAATTCTATTAGAATAAAGTAGATAATCCGCATTTAACATATGTCTTGCGTCTCAATCTCCTTATCACTATTCAAGGTATAAACAATACACCTGTATTCATGATGAGTGCCTCATTGGGCGTCTAATTCCTCACGGTTTCGACTTGGAAACAGCGTTTCGGGTGGTCTGTCGGTGGCTCAAGCCATGCATCGATCCATAGGGTAGAATTGGCCGGCCGAAGTTGAATGAGTGAATGAAGAGTTGTAGTTCTTTCCAAAATGAAGCTAAACCAACCCCAAAAAGAGAGAAAGAGAGGAGGCACGCTTTGGAGTTATTAATGGGTAGCCCAGTCCTTTGACAAAATAGGCCAGCTGAACAAATAAAGGTGACCCCAATTTCAATGCAAAGTATATCTCCAAACATATGACGCTCCAGTAGCCAAGAAGATCATAGACTTGTGCTTGGGAGAGGGGTTGTGAAGGGATATGGCTCCCAGTTAAGCCATTATGGCTCTGGCGTCCCAAACACATAACCTCTCGTCCCATCCACAGCTTGCACACCACCCTTCACTTCCAAAGAGACACCAATCAACCCCAGTGACGAATTCTGTGTGCCTTCCCATACGTCCTAACTCCCTCCCTAGAGTAGACACCGGCCCAGACCTCATAATATCTGTATCACCAGGAGGCATGCCCTCTGACCCATCTGTCCAAACACGGCAGGTCATATCATAGCCTGCACTGAGAAGAATATGAGATAGATGAGGTGACCATGTTACTTTTCGAATAGCATACTCATGGCCTATCATTGCAGAGAGAGGACCCTGCTGGGGTGCGCGGATATCAAAAGTGCGAATAGTTCTGTCGACACCAGCCGTGGCTACTATCGAGGGTCTGTATTTATTCCAATCATGGGTTAAAGCTTCCGCAGGTTGTGTTGGAGACACAGTAGGTACAAAGCCGGGTTTTTGGGATGTGTTTCCTCCATGAATTGGGATCTGTAAAGTGAGGTGGTTTGTTGCTGCCGGAGTTCGTAAGTCGAAAATGCGTAGGTAAGAATCTGAAGTCACGCAGGAGAGAACATCAGGAGAGTGAGGTGAAAAGGAGGCAGAATAGGTGCAGCTATTAGTAGATAGGGTAAGTAATGATTGTGGTCGGTCTGGTGTCCATATCTTAACAGTTCCATCCCAGCTGCTGGAACAAAACCGGTCCTTGGCAACTAGATTCCAGTGAACTGAGAACACTTCTCGTGAATGCTCTTTCCATCCTTGAACAGGGAATTCATCAACCGCAATATCAAATAGTTTGATGCTCCCATCTCCAGACGCTACAAGTGCTTGGTTTTCGTGAATCTCAGACCATGCAACATCATACAACGCATCCTGGGTTGTAAACCTAAATGAAAAAAGAGACAGGTTAGCTATTGAAGCTGTTATAGAGCCAGGGACTCGGGTAGTGATGCAATGTTTTAGGTACTAACGATTTTAGTGGGACAATACCCTGGGGTGCCAGATCGAAGACATAGAATCGGCCATTTCCAACAAGGCCAAAGTTTGAGGATGCCGCAACAGCAAGGCGGGAGTCAAAGAAAGGCGAATATTTCACAGCACATCCATTGAATCCCTCAGTGCGGTATTCGAGCATGTTGTCGACAGGGAAGAAGATGGCCTACTGAAGGCCAGGTGTGGGGTAGATATTCGTGGGGGAGTCACGGCAATAGACATCTACAACTCATGGTTATGCCCGTCAGCGCGTTGATGTGGCCAGTCGACACGAACTCATCCTCCGCTTTGTCCAGTGCTCGTCGAGTAGCTCTGAGGCTGGCGTTTAAAGTCGAAGTCGGAGGTTGCAGTTGGACGGTCTACCTCATATGCAAAGGGGATAAAAGTCATGAGGGCAACAGCGACGCAGCTAAAAATAAAAAAACGCCGAGGTCCAAGGGGAGAAGCCGGATTACGTCATCCATTAGCTTATCTAATATCTATAGCCACGTGATATCTAAAGTTGCAGGAGCATCTCGGGTTCAGCCTCCTGTTTTTCTATCCAGCCTCGCAGAAGAGCGGCGATGTCGTCGCTGTTGGACTCGAGGAAGAGCATATGGCCGTTGCCTCGTATCCCCACTTCGCCAAGCTGTATATGCTCGGCGGAAACCCCGGCCTGCCGCAGATACTTGACTACGCACCAGTCTGTTGGTCTATGATAGGAGGCCTCGGCTGTCACTACCAACATCTTCACCTTCGCCAGGTTGGGGAGTTGACGAGGCGGGGGAGTGTCTGCTTGAATTATGCAATGGGGCCCAGTTGGCACCTCGATTGTCTGCTTGACCAGATCGATTTCGGGGTCCATGACGGGAGGGGCATAAGTCAAGGCGATGTTCGATAGTCCCCATGCCCGGTTATATGCGCCTTTATAGATGAAGTTCTCGAACGGAGGGCCGGCCGGTTCCAGCGATATTACAGAATGTATCATATCTGGCCGAGTATCTGCCACCAGCCAGCCGTGGACAGTTGCCTGTGAATGGGTCAAGAGAATCGCCGGGCGACCAATGCGGTCCAATAATGCCGCTCCTGCTGCCTGGATGGTGGTTTCTTGCCGAGTTTGTGACTCTAAAAACTGCACTGTAGATGCGTAGTATGCGTCGAAGATGGGGTCGCCCATCACCCCTGAGCCCGGCCACTGGGTATGAAGTTTGGCTTCAGGCCATAACATATATTTTGCTGGCGCCGTGAAGAATTTTTGCAGTTGTTCAGCTGAAAGTGCGCCCATTGTACCATTCTCCGGAATCCAAGGGCTGCGTCCTCGAAATGTCTGGTCGATTATATAACATTCATAGCCATGTTCGATGAAGTACGAAGCCCAGCCACGCCCTCCGTCTGGTTTATTAAGCCAGTTCTAGGTAACTTGTCAGTCATTTATATATCTATAACCAAATCAAGTCCCAAAAGTCACTTACCGTCCCAGTCTGAGCTTGGCCATGGAAAAAGACTATCGGGTTCTGTTTTGCCGGACCTCTGACCGGAATTAGATGTTCAACGTACATCTGGTCTTTGAAAATATGCTCGCCTTTGCCATTGTCGGCGTATTCTCCGCCAACGTAAAAGTATTTGCGGATGTACGGGACCTCATCGTGCGATTGGCAGGTATTCAACAAAAGCAGGAAGAGAAAAAGTAAGGTAGCCATGTTTCGAGTATCAATGTCGTTACTTAGAGGACTGTAGCACACACAGTAGTCATTCAGAATCACGAACACACCAGATCGGTTAGATCCTGTCCGTTGGATGTAGTCGTTGCTTGAGCTGATGTCGGATTGGCCCAGATATAAATATCGGACTCGTGACCGTGACATCATACGCCCGAAGGCTGATCCCATCCTCTAGATAGGTAAGGAACTGTTAATCACCAGCATCGCCAGTTCGCAGTTTTCTGACAAACGTCCTCATCGTAGGCCCTTATATTTTATCAAGAAATACACAATATAGCTCAAGTTTAAAATCGGGACGAGTATAAGCTTAAAAACGTGGAGTTCTTGGATGGTACCAACCAAGATATGGGGACTCTGAATACTCAATGTAACGAGCTTTTAGAACCACCTGGTAGGAAGACCGACGGCATAGAGCTAGCCTGAGGCCAGGGCGTTTATTGTGGTCAAGTTTCCGGGGTCTTCTTTGCTATAAACACCCATGGCCGGCAAACGATGAAGCCATGCAGTCAAATTAACAAACTTAGTTAATCCGTTTTAATTAAGATTGACGGCTATAGAGATCATTGTAAAGTTTAATGGCATGAACCCCTTACATATTAGACTTATTAATAACCGTTTACTAGAATTGGATGGGTTCTACCAAGCTAGAGGCGATATCGTAGTTATAGGCAAAACTGTTTCTATTTACGGAAGAGTCGTGCTTTTGACTAAATTGAAGCATTTAATTAATGTTGTATTTTATTAACGAGAACAATAACAAAGCAGCAAAGTTTCCCAAATCCTACCGCCTATGCCCATTTAAAAGGAAACAACTGGAAATATGAGAGAATGGTGACAGACGGATAACAGTAGAGAAAAACAGCAAAGGATAAAACCCCACCAGGTAGTGTCTTTCTATTTATTTGTAAACAATCTTGGCCATTCATGTAGTGATACAGACTCCCTTCTAGAGATCATAACAAAGAACTAAGGACTAGCAAAAAGGCATAGGCGAAAAAAGTGCATTAAACAGGTGCGAAATATGAAGACAAAAAGGCAAATGCGAAAGCCGAACTCATTTTTTCCACCAGTCAAACAAATTGCGAAAAATGCTGAACGAATCAATTCCTAGCCACCCAGTAATAGCAGAGCAAAACAAGATAATGGCAATGATCATGACGGAATTAAGATAGGAAGTAAAAGACGCAGCAATAATAAAATAAGAAGAATGGGTATATGCAAGCAACATTTTGGGAAACAAACAAGAAAAACGTAGTTGCGCTTTCATCGTATCTTTTCTTGCACAGCAATAAGAGAATACGTGCGCGGCTATAGGATGCGAGCATCATGGAGTTAATTTGGAGGTCGGGTGATGGAGAGGAATACTCGTTAGGAGAGTGTGAGGGAGCGATGCCGTCTTAGTCCATGTATTGATGTGAATTAGACCTTGGGGTCAGTAGTTGTGTGTTCCCTAGATTGCGTTGAAAGGAATCCGGCCTTATTAACAGTAGAGTTTGATGCCTCATACTGCAATCCGGCTTCGCAATCATCAATGTCTAGCTTCACCGACTTCTCCGGGTCTCCCACTTGAGGAGCAGGTTTGGGGCTATCCTGTTCTATCCAGAAGCTTTCAAAGGCACCTAGAGCACAGATAAGACCACAGGCCCACCATGAAAGAATGGAAAGTCTATGTTCCAAGCCTTTCGAGTGTAGGAATCCAGTTACTGTTGGACCCAATGCTCTGCTCAAGCTAGCAGTAGAGGCCGCCACGCCATTGATGGATCCTAATACGGTCGTTGATGGTGCAGAGTTGGCGAGAAGAATGGCGTTAGAAGGGAACGCGATAACATGAAGCGTGATTTTGCAAATCAGAGCGATATAGGCTGCTGGTAGTCGAAAAGCTTCGGGGAGAAGGACGAGGTACGGCACTGCCAAGTAGAGGATGGGCCAAACAATCAAGACGAATCGGTAGGTATTAAGGGTGCCGAAGGATCGAACAACGAATGGAAATAGAACAAGCTGCGCTATCATCGAGTAAATTCCCTGTATGGCAAGCATGAATCCAATTGTTTTGGTGGAAAGAGCCAATCCTCCTAGGAACTTAAAGGGGAGTTCAACCGGCACGTTGGAAACGGGTGTACTCAAAAAGACCGGCATGAGCTGATCGAAACTCACGCTATGGCTGTTTAATAGTTAGCAAAATAAGTTACAAGTGAACCGGGCGATAAATTATATACTTACTAGGCGAGAAGTCCATATCCGAGAATCACATATTTCACTTTTGGAGTAAAGGCCTTGATGAACCCTTTACTCTGCTTTGATTGCACCGGCAAGGCTACTGCTGCCTTAGGTGCCGGAGCATCATGGACATCAGGGTCTTCGAGACTTTCGTAACCTGGCGGAGGGTCGTCATGGAATAAGAAGGGCTTAGCGTCCTCGTCGTCGGTACCGCTCGTATTTTTCATTTCCCTCGCCACGTCGTCACCCCTGAAGAATTTCGCCACCAGGTACTTTCCGAGCTCCCGGCCCCTGTCACGCTGGAGTTTCTTTTCGACATGGGTCTCTTCCAGGAAAAGGATTCCGATCGTGATACCAGCAAGAAGTACAGTGACGCAAACTAAGTTCGGAAGCAGAAATGGGTATCGGCTGAAGATACCATCGCGAGGGAAAAGCGATGGGTAGCTGTCGCACGGTTTAGCTAGGGCACCTCCAATGGCGGGCCCAATGATCGATCCCAAACACCAGACGAAAGGCATGATGGAATAAGCTCGCGGTTGATGTTCCTTGTCCGTGACGAGCTCCGCGACTGTGGTTTGCAGAACGCCGATGTTCCCATTGAGTAAACCACCGAGAGCTCGAGCCATGAGGGCCATCGGAAGGCTGGAAGCAAACCCGAATACCATCATGCTAAGAGCCGTACCCACGAGACCCATAATAAGAACAGGTTTCCGGCCGATAGCATCACTCACGCGGCCCCAGAGCATGCCAGTGGAAAATTCAGCGAGAGTGAATGCAGAAGTAACGATGCCAGCATAGAGAGCAATCTTCCGGTCATCGTTAGTGACATTGAAATTGGCAACCATATAGTAAACATATGGAAAGATGGACATAAAAGCAATAGGTTCACATATCCGGCAGAGACCTACAGTAAATATTAGTGTAATTCTTCAGACGAAAGGCTGTGGTAGATGGAATATGCCGGTAGATAGGTATTTATCACTGGAATGTTACTCACCTAATATGAAGAGCTGTTGTGTAGGAAATGGAGGTCGGCCATCGTCTACTTTGGCAAATCTGCCAATGAACGGGATATTTCGAATTCGAACCATGACGCCGGTGAGCTACTCGATGCGATGCACGGTAAAAGAGAAAACACTTGGTTCGCTTCGTTGTGTGTCAACCCGGGAGCGGTTATATCGTTGTATTTTCCAGGATTGATAGGTATTTATAAGTTCAAGATGAGCCAGATGAGACCAAAAGAGCTATAGGAATGAGTCTCTTGATAGTTCATGCCACATTCACACAGAAAGTCTATGAAGGTCCACTTGTGTTAAAGTCTCAGAAGCATAAAAGATGAGGGCCGGTGGAGTTGGAGAGAGGATCGAAGGTTGTTTGAATGTTTGATGGCTGGAAGGGAGGAGGAGTTTGTCAATCACTGCTCTGAAGCGGATTCCAGCTCGGTTTTCACCACAAAATCTCGTAGGCTTTAAAAGCCAGTGGCAAATAAAAAGAAAGCAAACGAAAAAAATAGATTAAACTGAAATAAAAGCAATCAATCCCGGTGATCGTGAGGAAGACTGGGAGCCGGGATTGTAGGTAATAAACTGTTCTTAGAGTTGGGGGGGTGGGCGGGTATTTTAGGTCAGGAGACAAGGTAGTTGACAATGCACATGGCACGGTCTTTTAAAGCTTTCCAGAGAATCGGGACAGGGCCACACGCTTATCAAGCACTCGGCCAATGACAGTGACGAGGAAGCCTGGGATGAGGAAAAGAGTAAATCCTGCAGGCGGGATAAAGGTAGTTGTGGAGGGAGGTGCGAACCGGGAGACGACTGGTGTGTAAGAGAAGAGGATGAGAGAAAGAGAGAGAAAAAAAAAAGAGACGGAGAAGCAGAAAAAAGAAAGGGGAGGGAGGTAGATAAAAGAAAAGTTAACGAGACACCGCTGGGACTGGGTACGAACGGCGGCATCTCTTGTATCCTCAGAGAAAACACTACCAATTATATGTATAAAATCGCCAGTAGTGTTAAAATTAATATTGTATTAATAGAAAGGGAAAAAAAGAGAGCTGCAAACCAGAGAGTTTGCGCAGGGTTTCAGGCTATCACAAAAATTGAAAAAAAAAAAAAAGCTGATTCCAAGAGGCACGTCATTGTATATAGTTGAGAGTGTCGGATGGGCGCTATTCTCGTACTCCTCCACAGGGCAGGCAGGCAGGTAGCCGGCCAAGAAAATGGACGCCTACAGCTAGACAGGCCCCTAAAAAGGCAGAAAGAAATTGACTCCTCTCATTTCTCTTGCGGCGCGACGACGAGTGGACCAACGACTCCGGTCTGCCATCTCCACCGGGAGCAGCTCTAGCCTTCCCAGCCGAAAGCAAGGAGAGGAGGACAGACAAGGACGCGGTGGAGCCGGGGAAGAGGGAAAGGGGAGCCCAGGTCTAAGCGTCTAGAAGGCACTGCATTGGACGTGTGGCGTTCTGTGGAGTCGCATCGATCGGAACTGGTTCCCAAAGTTTCTTTTTCCACTTTCTCTCTCTTTGCTTTTATCGACAGATGCCAGGGAAAGAAAAGCGAAAAGACCGGCCTTTCCTGATTGATCCCCTATGATTGGCGAAGAGTCGTGGACGGCTGAAAAGTACGGAGGAGCCCACCGGCCGCCTTGTACGGAGTAGGTGATTAGAGAAATGCGCAGCCGAGCCAAACTTACGTCGTTCGTCGTGGGTTTGGGAGACGAAGGATGCTGATGATGAGATTGATGCAACCAACCGGCCAATGGGTTTCGATTACGCCGTTGTCCTGCTCGCAGGTTTTTAGTGTTTATTTTTTAAGGGCAAAGATTACCCTGCGCCCATCTACCACGGCGATGGGCGGCTTCGGACCTGCTCCCCCACACGACCAGACATGCATGTGTGGGCTGTTGGGACGCGGGATGCATTATGACGATGCCGTGCTTTTCTTCGGCGGCCGCTGACTGCTCAGCTCGACAGCCGTCGTGGCACCGCTGAGCCGGGCGCAGAGACTAAGCATCCGTCGCGTCAAGACATAGGGCGAGGGCGACTATAGCATCGGAGGGGCGATGGCGTTCCCCCGGTGCTAGCGGTGCCGATGTAGTCGATGATGTAGTCGATACGGCGATGAGAGGATGTCGAAGGTGGCCAGGAAGCAGGTACCGACAGTTTGGAGAGAGTTTCCCAGCCGATCATGTGCCCCCGCCCTGTGATTAGTCATTCCATGCATCGTACACGCAATACCATACATACATACATACATATATATGTACATACGTACATCCATATATACGTACATGCCCTGCAGAGGCTGATATCAGGCTGATGAGACGAGACCTGCTGAGGATATGCTGCTGACGTCGTGGTACACATCATATACGGAGGCCTGCCAGACGCTGGGAATGTGATCGGGCGACCTGACAGTCCACTCCAGCGCCAGGGGGTGGCTGAGAGCGCTAGCCAGCCCATGATGTCACCGCGCACTTCTAACGCGTCAAGCTTTTTTCACTTTAGGAACACCGGCTGCCTCTTCCATTCGATCCTGGGCATGTCTGCTGATTGGCTGCGGGATAATCTCCGACACAGGGATCAGAGGGCTGGATCTTGCTGCTACACATCATTGTGATAGATGGAATCCGTGAACATGGTATCGAAACAGGCGTCGTGTGATGTATCGAGGGAATAATCTTCGATGGTTCTCTTCTCGTTATCGCTAACCAGGTTCCTTTTTCAGTCTGGACTGAGGCGAAGCGCGGCCTTCCCCAAAAGCTTGAAGCATCGGCCAGTTGGAAGACAACCATTTATGCCAAGATGGGATCTCCGTTTGGTCTTGCTCCTGGCTTAAATTCCCTTTCTTTTTCCTTTTCTTCCTTTCTTTTTGCTTTTGCTTTTCCTTTTCCTTTCTTTGCTTCCTCATTTTCCGCCTGAGTTCACGCTTGGAGCCATGGCGATTAGTTCAGGTCGAACACGGTAGCCGGTTGAGTTTCCAGATTAAGTTTTGCCTGTATGTGTGGAAGCATGCATACAGGAGTAGGTTCTGCGGCAATAGCTTAACCCTGATTTATCATAAACTTATATCTCTTGTGTATACCCGACAGGCGTCTGCATATACATATGTATACGGTACATGCATATCATAGTGCCCTGCAGAATAGCGGAGAGAGGGATTCGCGGTTTGTGCTATCAAGTCTGCCTTGTGTTTTTTTTTCCTTCCCACTCCAACATATTCGCTGTCACGTCAAGCCTCTCCAGAGTATCGAGCGAGGCATCTAACGGGGTAGTGCGAGGAATAATTGCTTTTCTCTGTCCCTCCGTACGACTGTCTGGCGATGCTCGCGACGGTCGTGAGAACCCGCGCGCCTATGCTAAGCGACGTGCCCAATCAGTCGACTGTGCCACAGCTTCACCCTGGCCAGTCTGGCTTTGCGATCGCGATTGGCATGCTGCGGCTGTGCCGTTGAAAACGAGTTTCCCAAAATGGCGGGAAAACCCATCGACCCGACTCACTAACCATCACAGGGGTACCCTTCGATGCGGGAAAAACAAAGGGTTCGTAGCTGCAGTAGGGCGCCATTGGGGGTAAAAAAAGGAAAAATAGGGAAATCCAGAGGGCTGCCTTATTTTACCTTATCCTTATTACCTTGTCCCAAAAGGGGGAAGCAGAAACATAAGTTTCGAATAGTCTCGTGATAATGAGCATAACATATCGACTCCACGGGCTGTTGGGAAAGGAGTGAACTAACCATCAGCTCTAAAAAGGACGAGCAAGTGTTTGCTTCCAATCCCTTTTTCCCTGCCGCCTCTCTGCCTCTCATTCGTCGCCTTGGTTCAATATTCTTCCGACCAAACGCCGCAACTGATCATGTCCCCACGCTCTAGTGATTCGTGTCTTACACCAGTTCTCCCCATCCCAACGCCATCGCCGGAATCTGCATGGACGATCGATAATGGCGGTGAATGTGGATGGTGAACGGTGGAGAACGAATCTGGAAATTCGCCCACCACACCCGTCAAAAAATGTCCAAGCGGTATGGCAATCTAAAAGTCATGCACGCAAACCTTTCTCCCATCAGCCATTTCTTCTCTTCTTCCACAACAACACGCCACGACTGTGCCTCATATTTTTGACATAATGAGTCGTAATATGCAGGATGCCGTCAAGATACATTTTGGGGATCGACAAGATCTGAACGGGTTGGGATCTTGTACTGAGCCCAACCTCCCCCAGGTTCCCTCTTCCCCCCCTCCCCTCCCCCCCTCGCTGGATATTTTCCGATGTCTGTGCCGTTGGCGTTGGATGCGTTTGATTGAGATTGTCAATGCATATAGATGGAGTACAAAGTACTCTGTACCATCCCTCAAACAATGAAAAGAATAACGGCCAGTGATAGTTGCCCGTTGTACGTAAGAAATGGCCTTGCATAGGAAATCGGTCCAATGATGCCCTCGTGGTCGTTCAGATTCGTTTTTCCCCTTAGCTAGCCCGTACCCGCGATAAAGTTCGGTTCGTAGGTTGGGCACTCTGTATGTAAGAAAAGCCAATTGATGGACCGTACCTCCGTAGGGCGTTGGGGATACGATGAGGCGCGTTGAGCTTACCAGGAAGCGAGCAATCACAGTGAAACATACCTTTTTTTAACGCGCCTCGCTACCAAGCTGCTCACTGGCCGATACGTTTCACGTAGAATGGAAAAAACAAAGGAGGTGAAAACTTTCTCGAAAAAAAAAAACACAGTTCTTTATTGTTTTATGCTTTGTCGATTCGTACTGTGATGTCTATTAGGTGAACCCTAATCGAGATCCTCTCAGTATCTCCGTATACAGCTTCAGTAGTACGGAGGACTTACTTTCCATAGTACTCCGTAGTTCTTTTAGGCCCTTGAGGAAAAACCGGTTGAATGCAACGAACATGGATTCCCCTGCTCCCCGTTAGCTTCAACACTAAGGTTAGAGGCGAGGCAACCGTTTGTTTCGAGGCCACGGAAACAGGCTTGAGGTTCCTCCTCTGCATCGACATATCAAGCCATATCACCATGTATCGGGATGCTGCCAGGGATTGTCCTGGTCAAAGCGTTTTGTCTCCCTTGTTTTTTTTCTTTTCTGCTCTCCCTTGCTCGAGGTCTAGTGTAGCGGCCAATTTAACTCGCTAGCATCTGCCAGGCGCGGTCTCGCGGGAGAAGACTATTGCTGTTTAGCCTTGGTCGGGACTAGGATGCGGTCCCGCGCCAACGAATCCAGCAACGCCGGTCCCAGGGGGCGGCCTGGTCACGGGGCCACCACTCCTCCTCCTTGTCGGTGTAAGAGAGGCACAGATACGATACAGAGCCCGATATCACGGCATTCCAGGGTCCCCCACGCCTACAGTGTCGATGCATCGATGCTCCGTACCTAGACCAGTAACACGGAGATGGGACGCTCCACCCCTGCAACAGTTTATCAGCCAGGCGCGGGAGTCGCGCTGATGGATCAAGATGAGACGATGAGACGACGTGAGAGCACCGCCAGCCTCGACGATGAGTAGCTGAAGTTAAGGAAATAGGCTTCTCGGAAATGACCTGCATCCTGCTCGCTCTGCTTGGCCACAATCTGGCACAGAGTAGATGCTCGCTGGACTTCTTCAACGCGCAGAGCTGCTGCAGGCGTCGAGTAAATCGCCAGATGCGGTCATCCATTTCATCCAACGGCCATTCGCCCACATTAGATTCGTGGCGAATTGAATCCGTACCGAAGTAGATGCCCAAAGGATGCGAGCCAAAAAGGCGAATAAGAAAAAAAGGAAACCCTCCAAAAACGAATATCAGCACGGGTTATGGCCTCTGGGCCAATCGTTTCCCCCAGATCCGTTGAATTTCCGAGCCACACACCGGTTTTGAGGCAGGCCTAAATGGCCAGATATTTTGACCCGGACTACGGATAGTCAACCGTCAGACCGCTATCCTGGCAAACTGGCATGCTTTCGACAGATCAAGACTCCCACGCACTTTTTGAACCAGGCATCCTGCACCCCCTTTCGAGTAAAGCTGCCCTGAGATATATCGAATTCTAATGAGACGGGCCAATTTGGGAAGCAAACTCCCCAACGCCGTTCCGCTAACTGCTTCGCTTTGAGTGGCTAGTTCTTCTCTCAACTGCATGCTGTACTGGTGACCTGTCTGCCTGTTTTCATCCTGATCCTTAGATGTATGCCAGGTAGGGTCAGGTAGGCAGATGACCCTCTGCTGACGCGACGGCCCGAGTCACCGATTACCTTCTCAGCTCAGCCGACAGCAAGATATTAATTATTAATTCATTGGAGTGAGGCTGCCGGGGGGGGCGAGGCGACATCCGATAACTATTTGCATGCTGGCCTCGCCATCTCGGTATTCAGTATCTTATTCCTTCTAATCAAAAACGGCCATTATTGCTGGGATGGCCATGTTCCCGATGAGGCTCAACGTCTTGGTGCATCGTTATACAAAAATATCACTGCCCCCAATTAAGTCCCCGTCGAGGGACCCATATCCACCCACGTACGTGTCATTTTCCTGAGTGGTGATATATTTCTCCTTCCTGCCAACCCACCTTTCAACTCCGCGGGCAGGGAAAGCCCGAATCAGTCATATAGGCTCTTTTCTCCCAGCTTGCCCATATCCGCTCTCTGTCATTGGTGCGATCATATCCGCTCTCCCATTTCGGCAATCCAGCAGCAAATCAGGATACTTCTCTGGTTCGCGGTCCCGGTTGTTCCACAACGAGCGGCAGGGGACACGAAAAGCTTCCAATTGTTGCATGGCTAGTCCCTGCGAGCTCGCGGGGAAAGCGCACAGAGACAGGCCTTGTGAGACCTGCGGCACTGATTCCGTCTTGCTTGGAGACATATCTCTAACGTAATCCGTCAACGGTTTATGCCTCGAGTTTCCATGAATGACTGATACTGCTCCCAACGGACGTACACAACCCGATAACTTATTTTAGACTTCGTCAAGGTACCATCCTCTATCTAGTATCCACTTCTCGCAACCCGGTATAATCCCGGTGAAAAGGAAACAGATGAAGAAAACTAAAGGGCCTCCTTTTTGAGCCTGCTCACATGGACGATTTCCTGAACAGTACGTGCTCCAGGCAGTATGATTACTCGTATGCAATGTGGAGTTAGGGTTTTAGTATCTGTGTCTGTCTGCCTTACTTGTCTCGATTTTATTCGAGCACTCATCCATTAGCCGTCAAGCTTTTCTTCAACAGCAGCAGAAGGAATACTACAATTCTTGATGATTGTGATATACGAAGCCACATGCATATGTGCCATGTACGTAATGAGAAATAGGCCTAACATGTGAGGAAACGGGGATGTATTTTTAGATAGGTATGTTCTCTCTTTCATGCAAAATCCTCGCCTTGTTTCACTGATCCTCTTCAAGCAGCTGAGATTGAGATAATAGGAATCATTCCGCCTTGGTATTTGTGTCGCGTGCGACACGGGTTAGCAGCCTCTTTGTCGGGAGTCGAGCGCGCAGTCGCTTTTCCAGTAGACGATAATGAGCGATGATCAATATCTATCCTGCGAAAAGTAAACCGGGGACCATACCAAGTGTACTTTGTAGAGAATACGATGTTTAGAACTTGGCTTTTTGCTCTTCAACCAACGCGCCGGGAGTAGTGATTACATAATAAATAGGATGACATAAGACAAAGCTTGGCATAACGCCTAAGCAGACTTTGATATCAAAAAAAAAGATACAGATACAGATACAACTTCAGATGAAGCCGGCGAGAGGTGGCTTGAAAGAAAGAGAGAGCAGGCTTCCATTTGCACCGAAAAGACTTGAGAATCCTTGAGGATAGGGTTTGTGCTTTGATGGCCCAGCTCAATGGCACTTTGATGCCGTTTCTTTACCCGTGTCTGCTATTCAACTCGGGTGCCAATTTCGCTTCTAGAGGTGCGCTGAGAGCTTCACGAGGCTTTCGACACTTTCGACTGTCATCTACTCTTCATGTGAATAATGATATAAGTACTCCCGAACCAACGCCCCAGTCCTCCGACGGCAATGACCCCGATCTCGAAAAGAAGACCCGTCTGAACCCTGCGCCATCCGACTACGGACGATCGGTTTTCCAAGATCGATGCTCTCTTACAGTTCATACTGGCTCTGGTGGAGCAGGGTGTGTTGCGTTCTTACGTCTGAAATATCTTGAGCACGGTCCTGCGAATGGAGGTGATGGAGGGACTGGAGGCAACATCCTGATACAGGCCGTCGAGGGCCAGACAAGCTTACACAAACTTGCGAGAAGAGGCGTGATAAAGGCAGGTCGAGGTCGAAATGGAAGGGGAAAATCTCAGGGAGGCGTACGAGGGGAAGACGTCCTGCTACAGGTTCCCGTTGGAACCGTGGTGCGCGAGGTGGAGAGGTTCGATCCTGTGGCAGAAAAGGAAAAGGAGCTGAAAGACCTTACCCGCGAACTGGGCAGTAGGACAAAGGCACTACAGGCTATAAACGCGCGGAGAGACCAGTGGGTGTTATACCCAGGTTCGCAGCCTTCTGATTACTTCGCAACGGATTTCCCTGAGCTTGGTCCGCCGAGAAGACCCGACCTTGCAGCCGTACAGCCTGCCGCGCCAATATACCTCGATCTTTCAAGACATATGGACACACCGATTGTACTTGCGGCAGGTGCTGTTGGTGGTCTAGGAAATCCACATTTCGTGTCGAAATCTATTGGCAGACCTACGTTTGCTACAAAGGCCGAACAGGGGATGAGGCTGGAGCTCGAGTTGGAACTTAAATTGCTCGCAGACGTGGGATTGGTTGGCCTGCCAAATGCCGGGAAGAGTACTCTACTACGTTCGATCACCAATAGCCGGACACGCGTGGGGAACTGGGCGTTCACTACGCTTTCACCTAATATTGGCACGGTCGTACTAGACGATTATTCCCAGCGGCAGGCTAGCCTGGCAACTCCGGGAAGAACCCCACGTCCTCGGTTTACAATTGCCGACATACCTGGTCTAATTGAAAATGCGCACCAGGACAAAGGCCTTGGGTTGGGATTTTTGAGACACATCGAACGCGCTGGAATCCTTGCATTTGTAGTAGACCTTAGCGCGGGAGATGCTGTCAAGGCACTCAAAGGCCTATGGAACGAGCTTGGCGAATACCAGGTTATGCGAGACCGTGAATTGAACCTGGATACCGAATCTCAACTTTCGCCGTGGACTCCAGTTACAGATGATCTCGACGAACCTCGCGTGAACGAATGGACGGGAGATGATCGCCATGCAACCTCGTCACCTTCGCTCACCTCGCAAGGCAAAGAGTCATCACTTGAACCCCTTGTATACGCCAGTCATAATATCTACTCGAAGCCATGGTTCGTTATCGGAACCAAAGCCGATTTACCAGGTACTCAAGAGAACTTCGCAGCTCTAAAGGAATATCTCGGCGAAGTTGAGAAAGGTGCTATTGAACATCCTTCGAATCGGGCTGATGCCTGGCGGAGCCGCATATTCTCCATCCCAATAAGCGCAATCAATGCTGAAGGGGTGAAAGTTATCCCCGAGAGAATTGTCCAGCTCATGGACGGTGCATATTAAACTATTTCCTTTGCCTACGGGAAATAGGTGTATTATATAGATCTACTGGAAATCTTTGGGTGCATGAGTTGCTTGGGCTGCATCATTGTATAATATTTTTTTAATTAATTGGACTGTACTACCAGTATTACTTTTGGATATATCTTCTATTCCGCGTGTTTTTGGTATAGTGAAGTCCCGCCGTGCCAAGCCTCTCATCGTCCTCCGTTGACAGGAGAAACTCTTTGCGCGAGACCAGCAAGACGCGCATTTCGGACAAGAAAGAAAGCAATGTCGAGCAGCAAGTTGCCCAAGGTTGCAGCCCTACGCAAGCAGCAGCTTCGTCTTGAGTTGTAAGTTCCGTTGTCTTATAAACTGCTTCTTATTCTACTCTGCCCGGCACTCTGTTGTCTCAACCATTAGTTACGTCACAGCTAATACGAATGGCTTTGGGATATCAACAGCGCAAGTATCAAGGTTGCTCCTCCTATCGGTATATATGTGAGCCTCTCGCCGAGTGATCCAGCTCTCTGGTCTGGAGTGCTATTTGTTCAGAAAGGTACAATTGGTCCTTGGAGCTAGGTTGTCCGTCAATACTCGTTTCTGATCTTGATCATATAGGTCCCTATGCATCCGCTATCCTACGGTTCCAGATCCGTTTCCCACCTCTATATCCTGATCTTCCGCCCCTCGTAACATTTGCTACGCCTATATTTCACCCACTCGTCGTGCCGTTAACTACACAAACTTACTCGAACCGACCGTCGGATTTGGACTCCGTTACTGGGGCATTTGAAGAGCAACTACCGCCTGGCGGATTCAGTTTACGGCATGGGTTTCCCCATTGGTTTGGGAGGGTAAAGGGGAGCACTCTTGATTCTACTACAACGTCACGGAGCACAAGCGGTCAGAAGCTCGAGAGCGTTGATACTCATACGGAGCAAGGCGAGAGCGAGGGCCAAGGACAGGCAGATAACGGCTTTGAAGGAATTGCAGCCAGAATTTCACCAATTCCCTGCAAACTACGCAGTTTAAAGGAGAACGGTAGTACTGATGTTACCGCCATTGACCTGCTTGAGTATATCCGCTCAACTTTTGACGACGAAACTGTTTTGGGTTCGATTCCATTAGAGGCTGCAGGGTATCCAAATGCGTGGCATGCCTGGCGCGCCCACCGCCGCCAGCCCCAGAGTGCCTCGTCAACCGATCGTCGATCCAGCAAGGATGGAGGAGTCAGCTCGCCCTCGACGCCTGGACGGACGCTGAGCCCGGATAGTAACTTGAGGAAGAGTAGCCCGCAGGCCCGTTCGCCGGGAGAGTGGAACTGGGAAGGTGTTTGGTTAAAGAGGGTCAAAGAGAATATACACCACAGTTTTCTGGAGTCCGTCCTGTTTGGCAGTTCGTCTCGAGCCGGAGGTGTAGGAGATGACATGGTAAGGATGTTTGTTTCATTTATGTTTTAAATGTCCCACTTTGCCTGGTTGCTGATACTACATATCTACAGATCCGATTTCAGAAGCTCGATCATAATGTCTTAACAAAGATTAAGGAAGATATTCTTGCACTTCAAGACGAGCAAGTTGAAACCTAGCTTTTGGCTTAAATGTTTCTTTTTGATACCCTGATAATCGCCTGCCTCCCACTTATTTCTATGTTACCCGTCCTTCCTGCCCTTTCCTAGCGATTTTTGGTCCTCTTATGGCTCCTAGTTCTATGGCTTCCGGAATACCATGACTTGGCTTGCGCCTTCCGACCCCGTCAGGCGTAACGTCCTTTTGAAGAAGATATTTCTTTCTTGGAAATAAACATCCTAGCTGAACTTGGACGGTATTCCTGTATAATATCTATTTCGAGCTTGGCCAACAGTGGTGTCATTTTGAGCCCTGATATAAATACCTGGTTGCCTCTTTGACTATTCTATCTTTTCCCTGTCTAGAAATATGTTCTACGAGCGAATTGTCACAACATATCCGAGATGCAACTAGCCAGACGAAGCGAGAGAGATAGGACCCTTATAATAATTGGTCTAGTGTTCGTACCTATCTTCCTCTTGTTCGCCATTTTTGCTGGCGCCCTTGCCTGTGCCGAGTACTGGAGCCTTCGAAACGACCGCCGCCGTGTTCGACGTCGACATAAAAGGAGTCGATCGGACGCTCCATGGTCCTTTGATTCAACGAAGCAGAGTGACTCTAGTGACGGCTACTTGGACCTATATCAAAACGCAGCGGAGTTAAAAGAACACATTTAAAGGAAGACCGAGGGGGGGTCTCGAGCCATTCTATATATAAAGGGGCCAAATTTCAGTCTCCTGCCTTCCTGGCAATTTTTATCAAGGCAATTTTTTTGGTTTGTGATTAACACTTCGCGTTGTGATACTGGCTATAAAGGGGCGCGTTGTCAGCCATGGAGCCTAGACACAGCTTAACGAATACACCTACCCCTAGGCCATTACAGATACCAAAACATCCCCGGAAGTCTGAAAATGCTGCTACCATAGTCAAGAAGAACACTGGCTCACCTTCTTTTATACCAAGGAGGCGCCGTTCTCATACAGTTTGTCCGCCCGCTCTTCTTCTCTCAACCACACAACTCCCTGTTCAGCGCAATAAATCTACAACCACAAAGCCACACCACCATTCATATAAATCTAACCTCCTGTCTCGTTCAAAAATCCTTCAGGGTGCAATGGAGCACCCCAGTACTGTATGTCTGCAATATTGGTTCTTTCTATACTTATAGTTTGCTAATACTATTGCTGTTGGATAGGCTAAAGAGGACCAGGATGGTGGAATACCGTCAGGAGATGTTAAACAGCGCCAGCCAACTCCGAGGGGGGGGATTCTTTCCCGCGCTATCCACGCCCTCGATTTCAGAAGCCGCGAGTGCAGTGGCAATGAGACCGATAATACTCCTCGAGGACATGGTGTTCGGTTTTCCTCTCTTCAAAAGACATCTTTTCTGGGAGGCAAGGGGTCCGACTCCAACCTCAAGAGGCACATGAAGATGGATGCAGAGAACAAATCCTGTGATGGTCTCTACGAGAAAGCTCAATCGCACAAGCATAAAATTCCACCATTTATCGATGAGTACTTACAAGTTGCTAAAACGCGTGAAAATCCTACTCCTTCCTCTCGCCTTCCACAGCGGCCCCCAATAACCTCAGCGGCTGTGAACTTAACTGTTGACGCCCTAAAGTCGAGCCCTGGACAAGGTATGTCGACTTGGGTGTCCGCTGTGGTTACAGCTGGTATCTGTGACTCCGCGAATGGAACGAATATCGATGGAAAACCTAATGCAGATATCCCATTGGATATAATGATACTTGTTAATAACTCGTAAGTTCCCAATAATATGGGCTTGATACCTACTCTTTAGCTAACAAAGCTGTTAGGGCTCGAGGCTCTGAAGAGCAGTTGAAAGCCGCGTGTAGGAACGCATTTCAGGTTGCTTCTACCCTAGATATACTTATAGACAGAATCGCTATCTGTTGCATCTCCCCTGACCCTACGCAGAAGCTGAACATCCTTATGCCGCTTTCTTCCTACAGCTTAGATACTGCTCGGGTCTTATTTCGGTCTCTGCCGGCTTTCCAACTTCCACATGGAGAGTCAAGCCGGTCTCGTTTGGCAGGTGCCATCAAAGAGGCATCGAATTATCTGACTCGCCATTCTAGCCGAGGCGCACTATGCCATATGTTCATTGTCACTGCAGGGTCGACTCTACTAATTCCAGATGATTGCAACGGAGAATTGTTGCGCTATCACACCATCTCCCCTGAGAATTCTATGGTGCTCCGTAGCCAAAAATCGCTAGAAGGCTGGCATTTAGCAACTAGTTTTGACGACGAAGAGTGCAACTATGTGGAATCTACATTCAAAGAAAAATTACAATCAATCATTGGACATCTCAGGACGGGGGTGGATTCAGGATATTTGCGCAATCTTTCTGTGAGGTTTGAGGCAGGGCCTGACTCCCATATTGAAGCTGTTCTTGGAGAAACAACGAGGGATACGCTTCGTTTGGGTGAATCGTGGACCATGTTGGTTAAAGTAAAACCTACACCAGGACTGGCAAACGTTTCACCAGGCAGTCCCGTTGTCCGTTTTGAGGACAAGTCTCATGTCTCGACTGCATCAACCGTCGACATAATGATTGATCAACTCCAAGGGATGCTTAAGCCTGGGGTTTATACCACTGATCCAGAAAGTCGTATCGCAGCAACTCTAGAATATAAGCACTCAGCCTTCCCAGATAATGCCGTCATCACAACCAAAGGGCGATGCGAAATTGCAAGATTCCAACGAACGGTTGCCTGGGAGGATAGTGTGAAACCACCAACACTTCAAAGCAATGCGAATGTTGGCCGTAATCAATGCCTGGGGGTCCCATCTGATAATGCCACGATTAGAGTGAAGAAGCGCCAGCAAGTCTTCAGCTACCTCAATGGAAATGGACTCCAAAAGTGTGTTGGAAAAGAAAATATGACCCCTCCTTCCTCCATTGGGCGGAATCGTCTGGAATACGGGGACTCACCACCACTGGGGAGCATGAATCCATTTAAGAATATTGTTTGCAAGCGGGACGACTTTATGTTATCACAACAATCCCTTAACCAAATCCCGGAACATGGCCATTTTTCTCAGTCAGAGGATCCTTTTGTTCAACATTAATTAATGGATTAGCATTGGAGGGTCCTTAAGGATTAGGATTTGAAGAGTGGAATTAATAATAATGTTTCCTGGCGTTGCTTTTTTTCGTATGCATGAACTAGGAGGTGTGGATGTAAAGATACGGATTTGGTTTGTGTGATGCGTTTTTGTAGCTAATTGTTCAAAATATGGCCTTTATGCCTTAAGTTCAGCCGAAGCTCCAGAAGGATTGGGCAAAGGATTATAGTCTATCATTTCCTATTCATATCCTTCTCGTCCCAGATCGGCTCGCCGTCATCGTCAAATTTAGCCCACTCAAAGAAAGAACATGACTGTTTGCCCGGTGCATAGCTAGAATAGCACATCCACATATATCTTCCTCGGGTTTCTTTCTTCCGCTGTACACACCGTAGCACACAGGGCATCTTACATCTGCATCGGGGAGTCTTTTTCGGGTGTAGAGACTCCCTATACCACCTATAGGTAATATTAATGCGTTTGTTACCCGATACGGGGTGAGGAGATATAGTCTGCGCGGGAGCAATACTATGTTTCCATTCCTCCTGGGTTTCAGCATGCATCACCAGGAGAGAGTTGTGTGGCAGATGGATTGAGATTTGACCTTGTACATCTGCTCGGGAAAGACAATGTTTTGATTTCCCCTTTTTATCAACGATTGTACTGCCTTTATTATTTTGACCCCCATCTTCATCATTATCGTTATCATCATCGTCATCATCGTCATCGTCGTCATCGTCGGGGGGGACGATTCTTCGCACTCGAAACTCCCTTGCTACCCCCAGACTTAGGCTTCCGATCACTGCCCTGGGCCCCAAATAGGTCAACTCATCAGAATGGTACCCAACGCTTTCTGCAGGGCCATTATAGCAATTAACAAACGCAGCATTCGGTTCCCATTCCTTTGGGGATTGATATTTTAGTTTTTCCCCGCTGGGGTAAAAATCTCTAATCCGCTTTTGAATCTCCTGGTTCACGTCTGCCTTGACGATACTTGATACCCTCCGCAGCTCTGGTGTGACTTTGCGAACGTCGTTTCGGAGACTTCCATAATATGAGTATTGAGATTGTTGTTCCTGTTGTTCTTCCTCCGTTGAAACATAGAACCCTGCAGAATGAGGACTAGATACGACGTTGTCAAAAATTTGAAATTTTTGTCGATGGAAGGTTTGTGATTCCTCTAGGAGCTCGCTCAATAGCGCTGTGGCCTCAGATTGGGGGAGAAAATTATGTATCAGCGTGCAGGAAGTGTATCGTGCTATATCCTCTGGTGAGTAGAGGTGAAGCGTTCTGCCTTTACGAGTTGGGAGAATACCCGGTGTATTATTTCCCTGACTTGCATTTGGCCCTATATGGTAAGATGATAGAGAACTTTGAATAGAGCCTGAGCTATTGGTTGCTTGCTTGGCTTTCTTCCTTGCGATCCCATGTTCTAGAAGTGACGACGTAGTCGATTCGATAGATCCATCGTTCGCGATGAGAAGATCAAGTAATTCTCCAGGTATAATGTCCGGGAAGATGGATGCAAGCTTAGCGAGCTTTATATCTGTCGAATCTTCCTCTTCATTTTCATACTTCTCAGTCCCGGAGCTTCCGGAAGTGTGTATATCTCCTGGTCCCCTTCCTGGCGCTGGGAGCGTGGTCCTCTGGCGCTTTCGTATGACAAAGTTATCCATCCTGCAAAATCCAAATTCCAAAGGGCGGAAACTACATTCATTTTATACCCATGAGTCAGATCCGCCTGTTTATAGGCTTTCGTGATAGCTCCTGGCTTTTGGGACTAAATACGCCCTTTGACGCGAGATGATCAGATAGTGAGAGAGAGTTCCATCAGCAATATAAGATTAGTCATTACTTAGGTAATAAATATATTTAAAGTTGACAGACAAACTTTATTTTCATTTAAGGTTTATGTGAGCTTACGTAAGTTAGACGACTCTTTTGCTTCTTGCCCAGGTGCTCAGGGATGCAGTTATCATTATTCTTGCATCCATCAATAAATACTCTTCGGGGGGTATTATAAAGCTCTACGGTCTCTTCAAATCTCTCTAATGACTTCACTGCAAGATCTCGTCTCTACGACAATATCCTCTATTTCTACACCAGATCCTAATGATCCAATCCTCGAATGCTATGAACACAATGTCGAGAAGCTAAAAACTGTGCTTCTAGAAACGCCTGACAGTGCTCTCCAACTTGCTGATACGAAGCTAAGAGTGTTCCCATTTAAAGATGTTAAAGATTGCTGGCGAAGACTGAATACCGATGCAAGTCTTGTCAAAGCATGTCAACTTCTGAGGCAGCATTATGGATCAGAACTGATGAGACCCAAGAGTAGTACGAAGGAAAGTAGGGCCGGTGAGGACTTGAAAGGCACAGTTTCAAGAGGAAGTCCAGGTTGTGGGCTTGATGAGAGTAGCAATGAACCTACGGAGGTTGAACATGGCACCGATCCGTCATGGATATCAAGTGTGGTTCATATATTGGATAAAGCACTCATAATGTCTGGCGCCCCTCGCCGTACAGGGCTGATAGAGACTCTTTTATCTACACTACAAAACACGCTTGACTTGAATTATGATACCTCTTTTGCCTCATTTATCTTGCCACCTGGCCCAGTGGAGAATACACGCGCGGCTTCATCTCATCCCGCAAAGAGACAAAAGATAGCTCTCAAGGATAGTCTATTTCCTATGGACTCTGTTCCCGCACCCATTTTGGAATACCCCGTACCTCGAGTCACGGCTCCTACATTCGAAGAGTTTACAGAACATATGTGGAACCGCCGAACGCCAATCGTCATCACCAATGCCATAGATCACTGGCCGGCGCGTTCTGCAAGGCCATGGTCGTCATCGAGCTACTGGGCTGAAAGAACTTTTGGCGGAAAGAGGCTAGTACCAGTTGAAGTTGGAAGATCTTATACCGATGATGGCTGGGGCCAACGAATTATCCCGTTCGCAGATTTTGCAAAAGACTACATATGGCGCGCTGCAGGGCAGAGTGATACTAGTTCGACTACGGAGCAACACGCCCAGACAGGGTATATGGCACAACATGATCTTATAGCCCAGATTCCAGCACTAAAGAATGACATTTGTATTCCAGATTATTGCTATGCCGAACCGCCTGAGCCAGAGCCAGGCACTCCACTATATAAGAAGAAGGCACAGAAAGAGGATGGTAACTTAAACCAACCATTGAAGAAAGACCAAGCCGGATCCACCCTAAAGTCATATAATACAATGGTAAAGGAAACTACAGAGGGCGATGTCTTTAGAAGCCATGTTAGTGAGGAAGATGAAGACAGCGAAGGCCATAGTACTACGCCAGCGGATCCCATAATCAATACCTGGATCGGCCCATCATGGACAATTTCCCCTTTGCACCACGATCCATACCATAATATCCTAGCCCAAGTTGTTGGTGCAAAATATATCCGCCTTTACTCCCCTCATACGCCTGCAAGTCAGATATATCCCCGTGGAAAAGAAGTGGTCAACCCTAAAACCTCAGATGCCACCAGCGTAGGGGGGAAAGGGGGAGCAAACGAAGAGCAGATAGATATGTCCAACACATCTGAAGTTGATATTTCAGCTATCGAACTATCTCCTGCAGAGTTTGAAACCTGGGATAATCTCTGGCCAGGGTTCACAGATACTGAATATATTGAAACTGTGCTGGAAGAAGGCGAATGCTTATACATACCCTCGGGTTGGTGGCATTATGTTCGGGGATTAAAGTCAGGCATCAGCGTTAGTTTTTGGTGGAGCAAATAAGGCCATGAGCCAAGCAGGTAATAGCCCATATTTCCAGCTGGTAAAGCATTAATGGCCTTAGTTAAGACCATTCTTTGTATTGACACTGGACTAGAAGTTAAATTGAAGCTGCTGCCAACGACTTGAGCAATTCCTGAATACAGCATATCCTACCGAGGTCACCCCGAGTAGGCGCGGTGTTAATACAGCTTTGGATATTGGGACATCGACAATCGACATCTAAGCCCACTGTTCTGGGAACTGTATATGCACCAGGCCACCATCGTGGTAACATCTACCCTAGCTTGGGAGTGTAATGTATTCTCGCTTTAATTGTATAGATATCTTTATATCAATCCCTACTCCTACGGTGCACGTCAATATATCCTCCAACTAACTAGGATAAATACTTTGTATTTCATGTGTGCCTACCTGTACAATTAGTTCTAGCCAACCTACCATGCGTGTTTCTATATATAGTATATACCAAGCGATTCGCCTTGCTACCAGACACATTCTATAGATAAATAAATAGTTAGCAAGTAAAAAGCCCCTAAAGCTCACGTATTAAGGGCCATAATATATCACAAGAACATGGTACATATTTTTTTTGTCCTTGAGCTTTCTTGACCTGAATCAAGCTGGAATATTCTCATATTACGTTTACGTTTAAGGGCAATCTGATTTTGAACAGTATATATACGCGTCCTTTGTTTCAGACACGCAAGGGAGGGTCTAGAATACGTTCACAAGAACCACCAAACTCCTATCATTTCAGCTCGCAATCCTGAAATAGAGATTATCTTGGCTTCCATGACTATTGTGCCTAAGAAGGTCGTCAACCCGGTCGATAAGGGGGGGCTTGGGGCTGAATGAAACCAACGTCTATCTCCCCGAGGATGATTAGGGGTACATTAACCAGGGCACCACGCATATCCAAGCATGTGTTATTGCGTACACCTTTAATTCTGGACTTCGCGGGTAAAAAAGGTACAGGAGAACTACCATCGGACAGAAAGCCTTTTGATATATGGGCCTAGTAGCTTGGCTTCTGCAAGGACCCCATACTACTCCGTACGTGCCGTGCAAATTAATATAGTGGTTTATATGCGGAGAGTATGGGGTCGTCTACGGAGTAGAGATTTGATAGTTATCGAAATTTCAAGGTTCCCATGCACTTTTGACAATCTGATAACAGGAGAGTGGCTTAGGTAATCGCAACCCAAAAGGGTAACCTAAACATCTCCGTCTCATCTCCTTCTCTCAAGCTACAACACACACGAACCCCTCGTCCTCTTACCATCCTCGCTAGGGAAAAGGCTGGTAGAAACATCAGTGGTCACCGACGCGGCCGCTTAAGCCACCCAACAACCATCACGACCCGCGTTGAGGCTGTACGGAGTACCTAGGTACCTGTTCAGCTTGTGCCTGCCCGGCGTTCAGGGGCCCGCAAACACGACGATGCACCAATAACCTGAGACCAAGGCCGGTGATATGTGAAGCAGCTCGAGTAATGGAGCATTGCACAAAGCAGGTAAGTCCAAGCAGAGGAACGAAATCGATTGGATTGACGGAACAAGCCATCCTTGTTTCATATACTATATCTGCAGGGCTAGTGGCTATAAGTTGTCAGGTCCAGGAGACGCCATTCGAGTACCTCTGTGCGGAGTTCATCGCGGAAAATGACGTTACAGGTTGTTCCCAGCCCAAGCCAAGAATTTACCCTGTCATAGACGGCTCTTCCCAGCAAATCAGGCCAAAACTCCTCTCAAATTTGACGGTGGGCGCAGTGCGGGTGAGCCCTTAACTATCTCTCCGAGGCGCAACTATTCATATCCGCCCAAACGTCGTATCGCCCCCTTATACGTTCTCTGTACTCTATCTGAATCTGGTCAATGGTCGGAGAAACACTAGAGGATCATCTTGGCTATTTATAGCTTGTCTGAACGTGATCGCAGGGTATTTGCTATTAGGGTTAACGCGGCCGGAAATCGGTGCCGGGGCGTCGAGGATGTCTGCATCTCCGAACCTCAATCTGCCAGTCAATACCGGCGATACATGCGAGGTACGGAGTATCTTGACAGCAGTTACGGAGCACTTTTCCGCCCTTTCTAGCATCTTGCGGAGGCATAAAACTGGGAAGTGACGGCCGCAATCATCATCGGATATCTCGACCGAAGCTGTGTCGATTGAGCAGGGTATGCTGGAAAGGAGAAGGCCAGCGATCTACGAAGTACTCCGTACGGGTACCAACCAGCCAGCGAATCTCACTCCAGGACGGACGGCTCCCGTATACTTTTTCCCCCATACAACCAAGAGGCGCCTCTCAAGGCCAACAGAAAAAATTTCCACCGGGGATATTTTCTAGAAATTGTGGGGATGGGCTCACGGCGTCAACGGCCGCGAATGTCAAAAGAAGGGCGTGCAATATCGGCCAGTCGTTTTCTTATGTCATCGCGGATTGACTTTTGCCTGTCCACCTAGCCCTTCGTCGTTCCCCACAACTCGAATAACAGCCGGCTGACCGATGATATGCAAATGACGGCCGAGTCGGCGCCCACTAGGAAGCCTCTCCACCGTGGATGGTTGTCAGGTTACTGAGTGACTTGCATACCTGCTGACTTGGTGCAATAACGATGCATCTGGAAGCGTCCGTCCGTCGGTAGCGTGACACCGCAACCGTTAGGAAGTTGGCCGCTAGTTACGTACAATTGCGTTAGGAAGGGGAGATTCCCTCCACTCCATTGCCTTGGCCTTACCCGTGGGGTATATCTACAGATATAACAGCGCCGATAATATCTTGCCCACGACCAAACGCGAAACTAACCCCCAAAGGTCAGTTCCGCGTTTTTCTTGTTGGCCTTCAATCAAATAGGCCGGGGGTCTCCCGCATTTTCAGTTAGTGTAAGTCTCTCGATGTCGCACATCCCTTGCCAATATACCTTGCCTAGCGCCAAAAGTTAATTCGCGGCAAATTCTCCATCATCACGAAGGACGTTCTGGATACACCCACTTGCACCAAGCCTCCTCCGTGCAGTAAACGAGAAGTGTGACTCAACTCCCTCGCTGATTTCCAATCTTCTCAGTCTTCCTTTCTAACATTCTCTACCAACATGTGCATGTTTCGTCTTATCTTCCCCTACTGATTACCCCATCCCACTGCGTCAGCCTCGAAAAATATACGAGAAGACCAGTCCGCCTTCATTGGTTGGCTGATTTTTCTTTTGCACGATTGCTATAGCTACAGTAAAATCAATCACCAACTCGTACCTACCCCAGCTTCTCAGCTTATTGGTCTAGCCAGGCCCCTGTGGATACTTTGCGAGCTGGACGGGTTGACTGTATTTATTAAATACTTCCGGTGTCCTCGCAATGGAATATTTTGATTTCGATGAAGCCGCCCGACAGAATGGAGAGGCATTCCGCTACACCGGACTCGGAGAACTAGACCGCCGCACACCTATACCAAACGATTGTCACAGCACAGCATCCCCGATTACTCACCTCTTCAACCAGGCCGGCGATATTCAGCAACCCTCGAGTCTCGATGGAGTCTACCCTATGCACCGCGTAAAGGACCCTTGCTACTTCTGTCGTTGTATGGGATTGGATTGTGTCGTTGCCCAAAGAGGGGTGATGCAAAACGCCTGCACTTGTTGCATTGCCTTGTACCGCGAGTGCAGTTTTACCCGCGCTCTATCTCAAGGAAATCACATCGATACTCTCCGATCCGTGTCTGAAGACGGTGCTGCTCTCAAAAGAAACCGGTTGGGGAAACATTTGCAAAATCCTAATCCTGTCGGCGAAATCAACAACCATTCGGAGGATATTGCGCAACAACCCCGCAAACCTGGGGTAAGATTCTCCCTTAAAGCCATTAAGGTCCTAAAATCCTGGCTTTCAGAGCACGCGTCACATCCATACCCAACTGACGCAGAAAAAGACGAACTGAAATCGAAGACTGGGTTAAACAGAAGCCAGATTTCCAGCTGGCTGGCAAATGCCCGCCGGAGAGGAAAAGTTCGACTTCCACCTCGAACCACCTCGCCATACCCTGGCGCCATAAGTATTCCTGGAAAACGACTGCCTCCTGGTGTTGATATCTCCGAGCTCAACCCCCTTGAGAGATGGAAGCACTCCCCACCGGAAAACGAAGCTGCCTCCGCAAGAGACATTATCCAGGCCATGGCTACCAGCTCGTTTGCTCCCCACGGGGAATCCGAACTACGCGATCCAAAGCCACTTTCACGAAATACGGAATCCAGTAACGATGATTCCTTCTCTAATAAACTAACTGCCCACTCAGTCAGCAGCTACAGCGTGGATACCAACAAGTCTAGTATCTCCGATATGTCATTCGCCTCAGCCTTCTCGCACCGTTCACGCGGCTCATGGAACTCGGCTGATACTCGGGAACGTCGACGCCGTCGTCATAAATCTGCAGCCGCACCAAACCCCTTTCAAAAGTCTAGGGTTGCGCGCATCTTCCAATGTACGTTTTGCACAGATTCATTTCCGACCAAGTATGACTGGCAACGCCATGAAAAGTCTCTGCATCTTGCTTTAGATAAGTGGACATGTGCACCCCATGGTGGAGTAATCACTTCTGCGAATGGACAGGCTGTTTGTGCCTTCTGTCAGCACCCTGACCCAGATGAAGATCACCTCGAATCACATAACTTTAGCACCTGTCAGGAAAAATCTATCCAGGAGCGGACATTCTACCGTAAGGATCACCTTAACCAACATTTGCGTTTGATGCACGGCGTAAAGCTTGCCCCATGGATGGATGCTTGGAAGAGCACTACGACTAAGATCACATCACGATGCGGATTCTGTTCTGCAACATTTAACACATGGAAAGAACGTGTTGATCATCTTGCTGCACATTTCAAGGCTGGGACTGAAATTTCTCAATGGCGAGGTGACTGGGGTTTTGAGCCACACATTGAGAACTGTGTCGAAAATTCAATGCCTCCTTACCTTATCGGGCAGGAGAGGAACACGTTAGATCCATGGGTTGCGTCCAAGGCCTTTAACCTGGCGAAATATGGACGTAACTTTAACAAGGAACATAAAGTTGCCCCAAGTGAGGTATCAGGGGCATCGTCACTTGGAATAACGTTCCGCACTGATGCCAGTTGCTTCAGACGGCTAGAGAAAGAACTTTCGGCGTATATTGCTCGGCTTTTCGACCAGGGTATCGTTCCCACTGACAAGTTGCTACAATCTAAGGCTAGACTGATCGTTTACGGGAGTGATGATACCTGGAACCAGACTTGCGCTGATAACCCTACTTGGCTAAAAGTTCTGAAGCGAAATAATGGCCTTTACGATGACCCTGATGCACAGAACGTTCAACTCGAGGATCTAGGTATGCAGCCACCATTTGCTGCAGACGGCGGTTTACGGCAAGCACCAGCTCATTCAACTAGAGCTCCTGACGCATTGTCCGGTACCATGTCTCCACCATCAGGCCTCGAATCAACCACTACCAGTAACCCTGGCAGCGTTGCGGGCAGCATCAGAAATAGTTCTGACCTTTTAAGGGGCGGAAGTAGCGTCAGCTCGCACAACTTCACACCTTCTCCCAGTGCTCCCAGCCCGAATAATCTCCACCTCTCAAGTTCTACACCTATCAACAGGATTACTACCAACAACGCAGAGGTCGACCCATTTCTAGAGATGGGTTTCGACGCCGAATTCCTCCAACAACTAAGCGATGGCTACGGTGACCTTGGTCGTGTGATTGATGGTCTCGAACTGGATGGCCTAGAATACACCGAAAACGCTGGGGTTGGTTACGGCGACATCCCTAACGGGACATTCAACGTTAAGAATAATAATAATAATTTCGACAACGTCTCAACTTCTGACTCGACACCTGTCACTCCTCTTTCTGGAATGGCCATCACCTCACCGGAGGCAATCTTCGGAGTTGTGTCATCGGGCGGCTCGGTTGAGTCTGTATATATCCCGGGTACATTTGATACTTTACCTTATGATTTTCAACAGGGTTCGGAGCGTTACGGTGGGGAGCTGAACTGATTTTATAGCCCATATCGGCGTGGAGGGGTATGGGGGCAAGGCGCATGCATAAGAGGGATGAATGAAATGCACGATTTTCCTTTCTGAAGACGTGGTGTACAGGTACTTTATAAGTAGCCGCCATTTTTAGCGGATATACTCTGTCCTGGGGACCTTTTCCTCACTATATAATGCATTCGAAGTTAGCTATTTGTTACTCTCCTCTCAGTTATATTTCTCATGCTTACAACGTACATTCTACTTAAGACGTACTTTTCTACTTCAGTCAAACCAACCTCGCAAAATCTTCAAATTTGATAAACTTTTACTACCTCTCAAGATTATATCCTCGCATTCCCATCTTTCTACAGAAGAGAGTCGAGATTATCGCAAGAAGGAGGCTTATCCGAGGAACTTGACTCGACCCAAGAGGGTCAGGCAAACAGAAAATGTCAGGAGAATGGCTCGGAAGTCCCAAAAGGAAAGGCTATAATCAGTCCAAAAGAGAGCCTGAAGTAGACGCTCTCAAGGTGGCTACTTGTATCAAAAGTGACCCCTATTGAGGTCCTAACTAACGATTTGACTATTTGGTCTAGCCAAAGATTTCACTCGGAGAATATGGGCTTTAAAACACCAATAAATAGTGTCCACGAGAATCTCCATTTGGTATCCATCGTCCGACCCTCTTGAGCCCACTAGATACACTGTAAATCTGGCCCTAAAATGCTCCTCCGGCGAAGAACTTGCTTTTTCTTTAATCGTCGTTCCCTGCGTTCCATTTCTTGCGGAGTTATAGGTAGCATTCGCCATAATTGATCCACCCGCAGAAGTTTTTCAGCTCTTTAACCATCGACTTTCTCCTTTGCTGCTACAGGAATATATCGAGGGAGAAGAAACACCCCGAGGAGAAAAACACATCGCATAGACAGGAACCATGGGCGGAGTTGCAATACTATTCTGACTTTCGTATCACATAATACGCTAAAGAATCATGATACAACAACCCTCTGGAGATGCTCGATCCTACACCGTCGCCCTCCTCAGCAGCTTCGACACCGAGTTACAGTGGCATCAAGAGACCATATGCGCCCAATGGATCGCCTAATGCTGGCCTGTTGGAAGTGACCGCTCATTCTGGATCTTTGCAGAGCAACAGCTGCTCCCCGCCGTTGGCAATGTCAGCCATGAGCCGTCCCGGCACCGGTACCAGCCCCCAGAAATCGATCAACCAAGATACACAACCTGCGTCATCGGGTTCGCATTCTACCTTTCGGAACGTGTCGGCCTGTAATCGTTGTCGAATCCGGAAAAACCGCTGCGACCAGCGTCTCCCGCGTTGTCAGTCCTGTGAGAAGGCAAAGGTTCACTGTGTCGGGTACGACCCTGCTACAAAACGCGAAATACCGAGGAGCTATGTCTTCTTCCTGGAGTCTCGAGTCGCATACCTGGAGGGGCTTCTGACGGATAATGGAATTGCGTTCAGGCCTCCTGAGGCGCACGAAGGTGAGGGGGATGAGCTACGCCATCCAGAGCTGGCGCGCGCCGGAGGGGATGCGGCGCATACCAAGGATGGCCGTGGTGGCCTTGAGACCGGAGCGAACGATAAGTTCTCGTTCAACGCTCCGGGAGGTGATGTCAAGATAAAACACGAGTCGAGGGAAGAACGACAGACCAGTCCCCGGTCGATGCCAGCAAAGACGATCCGAGATAATAGAAACAACCAGCATGGCAGGAAATCGCAGGTGGACGATGCGAGTAGAAGAATCGATAAGCTGGTCTCCAGCGTTGGTATGGTTCCTGTTCAAGCGACATCAGACCCTCGATACCTAGGGTCTACGTCTGGCATATCGTTTGCGCGAGTGGTATTTGCTGCCGTGAGAAGTTCGGTTTCGTCTAGCGTTTCCGAACGAGGTTCGATACGACCAGGCTCTCGCCGACAATCAGCAGCTACCACGGCGAACAAGAGTGAAAATGCTGGTACTCCCGGTGGAGGACTAGGAGGCGGCATGCACTCGATGCGAGACTCATATTTCGGCTTACAGACAAAGCCAATAATGAAGCAAGCACCGTTCCCGGATCGTGAGGTTGCTCAAAGGCTCGTGAACCTATACTTTGAATACTCAAACGCCCAAATCCCGATTCTCCATCGAGTGGAGTTTATGGAAGTCTTCAAACGTGTATACTCCACGGAGGAAAAGCAACGATCTGCCCGAGATCTGTATTTCCTGAATATGGTATGTGCTATCGGAGCTGGTATCATCTTTGACGCCAAAGGTGATGGTGATGCTACCTCACAGGAGGTAAAGGAGGAGGACGCTAGACGCAGTACATCTCCTCCACCGGCACACAAACGACGCCGGTTATCGAAGCAACAACACCAACCGGAGGAGTATCACGCATCTGCTGTTGTTCATCTAGAGTCTTGCCTTGGCTCTTCATCGTCTACGGACGGGTTTGGTGGTGGTTTGGAGGAGCTTCAAGCAGTTTTATTGTTGGCAAGCTTCGCTCTCCTTCGACCCGTAGCTCCTGGGCTCTGGTATATAGCTGGTGTGGCTGTGAGGCTTGCCATTGACCTAGGCCTGCACCACGAAGATGGTACTGGCGTCGACTCTGTGGATGAAGTTGAAGTCGCTCGCCGTATGTCTCGCATGGACAGTATAGACGAGCATTCATCCGAGCAAGTTCGAGCGAAGCTAAAGGTCGACCCTCGCGAAAGAGGGAGACGGGAGTTCATACGAGACCTACGTCGAAGGTTATGGTGGTGTGTCTATTCATTTGACCGGCTGGTTAGCACCTGCGTCGGTCGTCCATTCGGTATCACCGACCAGGTCATAACTACCGAATTCCCGTCCCTCCTCGATGACGAATATATCACCAAGGCAGGATTTGTTACAGCGCCGAAAGGCGCGCCTACGTATAAGCTTGTTGCTCATCATTACTTTAAACTACGTCTCCTTCAGTCCGAGATCCAGGAAGTTCTACAATACCAACAAGCAATGCTAGCAAGGAAAAAAGGCAGAAACCGGAACAACTCGTCCATGCATACGAATCTCCCTTCTCCATTCTTGCAAAAGTTTGACAGTTTCCGCTCCTGGAGGCAGGATATTCACAGACGCCTTGATGAATGGATCCGGTTGTCGCCTCAGCCCCATGAAATAGGCGTGCAATTTTCAACCCAGTTTCTAGAACTTAATTACTGGCAAACACTTATAAGCCTCTACCGCCAGAGCTTGACCGTTCCGAAACCCCTGGCCTCGGAGAGAACGCCAACTGAAGATGTGTCTAGCCCTTCACTAGCAAGCATAGAAGACCCCGAGGATGAGGATGACGTTTATTCAATGGTTGCCGAAGCGGGTCAGAAAGTATTACGGATTTATCGACAACTACATCGTGTGCGATTGGTTAATTTTACCTATCTCGCGACTCATCATCTGTTCATGGCTGGTTTGTTTTCCCGTCCATACGTAGTTGGGGATAGGCTGATCTAACTGAGATGATTAGGTATATCATTTTTATATGCCATTTGGCATTCGCCTGCCGTCAGAAGTAGACTTGTAAGTTGTTTCCAATTTCTATTCCTGTCTTTCCCCCTTTTCTATTGGAAGGAACAGCAGCTAAAGATACATGGTAGACGCTTGATGACGTGGACTTCACCGTCCTAGCGGCAACTTCGGTGCTTAAAGATTTAATTGAGAAGTGCCCACCTGCTGAAGCCTGCCGGGATGCATTTGAGCGCATGAGCAAAGCAACTGTCCAAATGGGATTATCCACTACGGGTTTTGGCCAACAAGTAGGTCCGACTGGGGATCGATTGTCCACTCACAACGCTAGCCCTCAATCGCGACAACAGAACCAGAGTCCGATTTCGGATAGTCAATATTTCCATGACACATCATTCCAGAAGGGCTATTCTCAGCAGCAGTACACCCCTAGCTCTAGGATCTCGCGACCGCTGGATTCCATACCAGAACAGCCTGTGGAACCGCGCACAACTGAACCTGGCACGGATAACCGCTTTAGCATCACAAGTTTCCTATCCCCCACTATTGATACCTCAAAGATTAGCAAAGCACAGTCCTCTTCTCCTCCACAGCAACAGCAGCACCATGAACGTAGGGATATACCTAACCGTGCTGCTTCTACCACCCCTGAAAAACGGTCCCCGAAATCCGCCACGCGCCAGTTGGGAGACCCGTTCTCGCATAATCAGTTCGGGGACCATCTACCAACCGCACATCATCATCATCAACAGCAGAAGCATCATCAGCAGCAACAACATCATCAACATCAACAACAACACCACCACCAACCCAACCAACAACATTACACGTATACCAATCCATTTGAAAACCGCACCCCACAGCCTCATCACCAACAACAGTTCCATTCCCCACAGCCTCCTAGCCAAGCAACAACACCGTTCTATCTCTCCGGGCTCGACTTTCTTGATGGGCCACCCCGTCCGTTTACCTCGGATAATCACATAGTATACACGAGCGGCCCAGGAGTTTCAGACGTCGACATGTCAACGCTACCACTATACTCACCAGATAGCGCACATGCTGCTCTGACTGGAAACAGTGCTCTCGACCTAGGCTTTGGCGTAGGTATGGCCGTCGATTTCCAGCATGACTGGAGCGAAAATACAGGGTTTGACCTGTTTGACGGCCTATTCTTTGGTGGCGGGGGGTGATTTATTGGCCTTTGGCTAGTGCTATATACGCTTTATATTATGCGTTGAACATCTAATAGCAACCCCTCATATACCGCTCCATGATGGAATATGGAAGCAGGGTGTATATATCCTCCTATATATTGGATAGGATGGCCGCTTTATGTTGCGTCCTGAGCAGGTCTCCTTTTCCATTTATTTCTTTTTTCTACTTGATGAACTGAATGATACCTCGTCCTATGTCCTATTTTATTGTCTTGTTTAGATCACGATGTTTGCTACTGCGAGTTCTCTTATTTAGATTATCGGTATATAGTAATATGATACCCCTTAGTATATCATCAAACTGTGTGAGTACTATATTGCTACACCCTCTTATTCTTCTACCCTATCCCCTGCATATATCCCCTGCATCTTGCAGGCAGTGACGCACTAGAAATACGAAGAACATCCCTGCCATCGACAACACAGCCATACATAAGACCCTAAAATGCCCAAAAATGCCCATCTTGGCCATATTCCCACTGGGATTGGGCATCAGGACCCTAAATGAAGCTGAGAATCTGCGGTGATTGGAGCCATACACGGCCAATACAAGGCTGACCGCAAACTAGCACTATAAATACCAATAGTACCAAACTTACCATACCGATCTTACGAGCGATAAGAAGCTTTGACTTTTTGGACAGGAACCTCTATATTTATAAAAAGGGAACAACTTCAGCAACAGGACTCAGCCTCGAAGACGACTTGCTGCTCTTGAAGGAGGGCGCAGACGAGCGTTAGCATAAGCCGGAGCCTGGCCTGTACCGGCTCTCCGTCTTCGATCAGCCTTCTCTCGGCCAGCTGGTAAGCACCAATCCTGCCCTACAGCTTCATCCCGTCTCCCTGGGGCGTACTGCTACCCAACTTCCCCCCAATCAGACCGCTTCACACGTTGAACTAAAACTTCTTGACCAGGCAGTTCTGACAAGTGTCGACCTAGCATACAGCTTCTTAAAGGACAAGTCGCAGTCATTCCGCAACTCGAACTGACAACACGCTGCGACCTGCAAGACCGACAGCGGCTAGTAACCACTAGCAACCAACACGAGCAACACTGCACAACAAGAGAGGAGACTCTATATCGTGTTCTAAACCCGAGCTTCAGCCAAGGACACAAGATGATATTATTAATTTTAGAGTGAATTCTCTTTGGTTTGGTAAATATCGTCGTTGTCGCGAATTCGAGCCTCGCCTATAGCCACCCCCGTCTCAGTCGCCAGCTAGTGGCGACCACAAGCCAGCAACGATGGTGAAGCCGGATGTGTCGAGGGATTATTATGCAGACTTGGGGGTTGGACCCAATGCAGACCAGGAAGAGGTCAAAAAGCAGTTTCGGAGACTTGGTGAGAAGGCTACTCTGCTATCCCCTTATCTGAAGAAGACTGACATGTCCCTTTTTTTTATTTGCGACTATATAGCTATGAAATATCACCCTGACCGAAACCCTGGAAAGGAAAGCGAGTATAATTCGAAGTTTCAGGCAATTCAGGCCGCACATGAAGTATTGGTTGATCCCCAGCTGCGGCTGAAATATGATACTGGTAGATTGAGAGCTGGCTATGGAAAGCTCTACGGGCCTCCAAGGACTGCTACTCCGTCCCGACAGGCTCCTCCACAGCCAACCCCAAACACGACTCGAAAGCCACAGGCTAGCTATACGACTCATCAATATGCTAAGCCATCCAACGCATACCCGGGGGCGTACCCCCCTCCCCCATCCTCAAACGCCCAAAAGTACGCAAGTTACGCGAAAGCGGGTGCACAGAAGTTTGATAAGGTATATGAAGAGTCTCGCGCCAGGGCAGAAGCCTTCCAAGGATTCCAAGACATGAAAAATAAGCAGCCTCAACCTCAGATGCCTGGAGGATGGACGAACTTTGACCCACGAACAGGTCGCTCATCTACACATGAGAAACCACAAACTAAGCCCCGCCCATCCCATCATCAAAGAGGTCAATCGGCATATCATGCCTTTGCAGAAGAAGCACGGAGATCCGCGGAGACACCTACTCCTGAGAGGTCGAAATCGACAAAGGCAAAGAATGGCTTTGCACCAAGGACTGCTGGAGGGGACGAGCCAATGGCGAAATGCGCAACATCATACTACAACGTTAGGAGTGACAAACATCAAGCTGCAGATCCGATGTCCTATTTCTATGAGCCAGCCCCGTCTCCAACTGCGAAGAAGCAGCAAGGATATGATGACATGCCAGACTCGGCTACGCCTAACCTTCAAAGAACAAGCAGCAAATATGCCACTGCTGGTGGAGAGAGAACTTACATGTCAAAAGGGGGTATTAACCGTTCTACTAGTGTCCGCGAAGAGACGTCACGATCACGAACCAACCCGCCTAGCCCGATTATCCCTACCGCTAATCCCGGAAGACACCACAGCGCCAGCCCAAAACTAAAGCCAAACAGACAATCGACGTTCTCCGCTTCTTCCTCCTCTTCCACGTCGTCCAGTGACACCGACGATACAGATGAAGTGATCCCAAACTTCCGTCCAAAGGCAGTCCCCCGAAGCAGACTCGCCCAGAATAAGCCCACCTGGAAACCCAATTTCCCCGATAATAAGACTTCAGGAACTGGTGAGAGTCCATTCGGTTGGGCGATGGGACCAGATTCATGGCTCTTCGCTGAAATTGGCGGCTCCCCTAGCCAAATGCCGTCCAGCTCTAAAAAGTGGTATGGGAATGCTGACAATAACCCTCAAGGATATGGCCCGACTACTCCAAGGAATAACCCATTCGGCAACGACGCCCCCTTCCCCAGCGAGACTCGCCGAGAATCCTCGATAGGCCGCACGATCCCCCCGATGCCTAACGTGAGCTCTTTTAGAGCGACCTCAACGGAGGAACGTAGGCCAAGTGCCGCAACTATGTATGAACCTACCCCTACACCCAAGCCCTCAGCACGGAATTGGTCAGAGAAATGGGGATTTTTCCAGAAATCCGGCAGCACAGCTGTCCCCCACCTCCCAACATTGTGGGCTTACCCTGCCAACATACTTCCAAGCACATACACCTCCCCAAGAATAACCAAAGAAGGCGATGAGGAAGAAGAACATGCTGCATTCAACACTGATGATGCAGGGAGAATGCCTCGCAAATCTTGCCCTGGCAATCAAGATCCGTCACCATCCAACCCACTGAGAACAAGAGCTGACTATTTTACCAACACAAACAGTTTCAACCAACCAAATAATGACAACCAGCCTCTCCCAAATGAAGGCATGCTCCATGCTAAGTCTAAAAGCAAAAGCTATGAAAGCTTTAACTCTGGATTTTCGCCAAATGAGTGGAACTTTGCGTTCTCTAATACCGCACAGTACTTTGCCCCCCGTACATCAGGAGAGACTGCAGGTGCATCTCAGAATAAATACAGTAATAGGCCGCGATCTCACTCCCGCCCTACAACATCTCAGTCAACTGAGTCACCACAGAAGTCTTCGAGTCCTTTCAGAGACTTTAAGGAGAATAAGCCAACTCAGCCATCGCCATTTAAGAACACCACGTTCTCAACCGAAAAGCTGTCTGATACTCTGAACGATAGGACATCGTGGTCTATACCCACCACTGATAATTCTCAGCAAAATGTGCTATTTGGCCAGAACCAAAAGGTCTCTAAGAAACGGGCAGCAGGCCCAAAACCAGTCAGCATAAGTTCGGAGGCAGAGGAAGAAGATGCGACATTTGCACCTAATGAGGTTCATGGAGACAAACCGGTCCCTATGGGCCTAGTTGATGAAATGGATGTTGATGAAGAACTTCCCACCGTCAATGCACAGAATCCAAACCCACAAGGAATGAACAAGCCAAAGTTTCCTGTGCATCAAGCTTTTGCTACATCTAATAAGTCAGGGGGGAAGACTGAATTGTTTAGCTTGAAAAAACTTGGGCTTGTCAACCCCTTCACGTCAAGTAACTCAAAGGGCATCGACGACCTGAAGGACCTTAATTCATCGTTGCCCTTCAAATCAGAAGCAAGCAGTGACAAGCCTTCCCAGCGCCCTATTCACCCACGCGATCTCTCATTACCGAAGCCACCTAAACCTCCGACCCCTCCTACAATTGTAGGACCTCCGCCAACGCCTCGAACAGCAATGGAGAAAGCCTCTCTGCCCCAGGCGCCATGGGAGGTATACATGTTGCAGATGCAAGCTTACATGCGTGAATGGAATTCCTTCAACCGTACCATGCTAGCTCACTTTAACGAACGACAGAACCTGGTGGAGACGGCCTTGGCTCCCGGATGGATGAGGGCGATGGGGGACAGCAGTCGTGTGAAACTTGGTGATGCCGATGATGGAGGTAATGTTGGGGATAGCAAGGAGGATCTTCTTATCAACGGCAAGGGCAAGGCAGGCTACAGCGAGTACCTTCGTGGCATCGAAGAGGATTTCGTTGTTCGGCAGCATTGGGATGTTGCCTGGGAACGACATCGGAGTTGTATACTGGATCTTGGGAGAGTCCGCGAGTGGCTACGCAGTGGACACGGCAATGGGCAAGGCGGCTTCCAGCCATCGGGGATCAAGGGCCCGTTGAATTAATACTCGATTTCGGTGTTCATATTTAACTTCAATGAACAACAGGGGCGGCAGTCAGTTGACTTGGGCGGTATTTTACTATTTTACTGTTTATCTTTTCATGGGGCCAGCGGTTATTTTGATGAGGACACGAGTCAAGGCTTGATCACAGCTCTATCTCTCTCTCTCTCTCTCTCTCTCTCTCTATTCTCAGACAGCTCCTTTCTTGTCTTTCCTATTTGCATTGTACAAGTACGTCATGTCCTTTTCTCTTCTGCCATCTTCAGAGCCGGCGTTTGCAGGAGGTGTTCTCTCCAAGATACCACATGTGTTTTAATATACTCGGCGCAGTTTTTAGAGCCAAAGACCATACTAGCTTATGCCGTCGTCATATTAATATATCAGCCTTCCTCTCTCGCTTGCCCCTGGATATATAGCATTATATCATGGTCCAGACAAGCCTTCGCTAAGCCTTGCTGAAGACACCCTACTGGCTGCCCCGCGACAAAGCAATGAAGCATAAAAGAACGTCGCAATCACCGTCTCGAGTGCAATAGTCAAGGGAACTCTCTGCTGAATTTTGCATCTTTCTCCAGGTTTCATCCTGCGTTTTTCTTCGTGGTCGAATCGGGCTTGGCTCCGGATCTCGGCGAGTTGCGCGACTAAAAGTTCTCCCGGTCACTGATTCTGAGCCATCCCACCAACTTCTGCTCTTTTTTTATATTCTTCTTCTTCCCCTTCTGCTTCTTCCTCTGCTTCCGTTGACACTGTGAGATCGCTGCAGACGATACGTAGACGTTCCTCTCGCTCCTCGCGCCGGTGTAACATGGTGACAATCGTGCTGGGGTCCCAATGGGGGGACGAAGGTCGGTCTTCCCCGCTTACTATAAAGACTCGGAGGGAGAAACATATATATATATCTAACATACGTATAGGAAAGGGCAAGATCACTGATCTGCTCTCACAGAATGCTGAGCTCTGCTGCCGGTCTGCTGGCGGACACAGTGAGTCCCTGCAATTCCGTATCTTGTTCATCCCACTTCCCCGTACGCTGACTCGAATTTGACCAGATGCCGGCCACACCATTGTCCACGATGACATCACCTACGACTTCCATATCCTGCCCTCTGGCCTCGTATCGCCTACCTGCGTCAACTTGATCGGTGCCGGAACCGTCGTCCATCTACCGAGCTTCTTCAAGGAATTGGCTTCTCTCGACGGGAAAGGGTTGAACAACACCCGGGAGCGTGTGTTCATCAGTGATCGTGCACAAATCTGTTTCGACCTACATGCCGTTGTAGATGGACTAGAGGAGGCCGGACTCGGTAAACGCAAGGTAGGGACCACTGGGAAGGGAATCGGTCCTTGCTACAGTGACAAGGCCGCAAGGCGGGGTGTCAGGATCGGTGATATCTTGGATGAAGGTGTGTTGGAGTCTAAGCTAAGGAGCTTGGAAGCTGGTTACCGGAGAAGATTCGGCGACTTGGACTACAATGTCGAAGACGAGATTGCTAGATTCAAGGTAGTTATCTATACACCTCCCCCGCATTGTCCAAGTCTAACGTCAAATATAGGAATACCGAAATCTCCTAAAACCACATATTGTCGATCAATTGAGCCTCATCAAGAAGTTCGAGGACAAGTCCGCCTCTATCCTAGTTGAAGGTGCCAACGCCCTGATGCTCGACATCGACTACGGAACGTACCCATACGTAACGTCCTCCTGCACCGGACTCGGCGGAGCCATTCAGGGAGTCTGCCTAAACCCGACCGCGATCAAATCCATAGTTGGCGTCGTCAAAGCCTACTGCACACGCGTTGGCTCCGGCCCCTTCCCCACCGAACAGCTCAACGAGATCGGTGAAAGATTGCAGGTTGCCGGTCGTGAATTCGGCGTAACGACCGGGCGTAAAAGACGTTGCGGTTGGCTAGATATGGTCTTGCTAAAATACAGCACGAGAATCAACCACTACACCGCGCTCAACTTGACCAAGCTCGACATCTTGGACGATTTTGATGAGATCAAAGTCGCTGTCGCCTACAAGCTTGACGGCAAGGAGCTCGAGTCTTTCCCGGCTAGCGCTGAAGCCCTAGAAAATGTTGAGATGGTCTACGAGACTCTTCCAGGATGGAAGTCGACGACCATGGGTATCTCCAAGTGGGAAGATCTCCCAACGAATGCTCAGAAATATGTTGAATATATCGAGCGTTCGATCGGTGGTGTTCCCATCAAATGGATCGGAACTGGGCCAGCTAGATCGCACATGATTGACCGCAATTAGCGGGACATCCCTTTCCCTTCCTTGTTTCCTTTTACTGATTCTCGTGTGTATGACCTCAGTGGGATTATACATTATCGTGTACTTTAGAGTACATTTCAACACTCAAGATCTTGTGTTTCAGGGCAGTCCAGGGTTTTCTTTAGGGCCAGGAGCATACCATCTTTTCCTTTTTCCTTCTTTCGATTACTTCGACCAGTACACCGGTTGGTTTAGAAATATACGACAGCAAATCGGCGTAGCGGTTCGGCAGCTCCATAACTCAACGCCCCTTTTCTTACAGTAACTAAATTATAAAAGTGCTTATCTATCTAATTCTTTGATAAACATTCAGTACTCTCCTTTTCATTTCATCTTCTATTCGCTATCGAGCAGTGTTTCAGGTCTCAAGCCAAGCGCGGCTATCTGCATAGAGAGCCTGCAACCACCAACCATCCATTAACCTCAGGCTTATTGTCAAACATCACCATCACCACATTTCTATTCATAGCCACCCGGGCGCTTACAGCCATTGACTTGTTCCTGCAGAGCCATTCACAGTCTATTCTCACGGTCTATGAATACTGCTTTATCGCGGAACTTACCACCATGACAGGCTCAACTGTGTTCTTCCTCTCCCTCAGCTTCTCTCCTCATGTTTCTGGTAAACATCTTCTCTTCTCTATAAAAATATTTTATGGCCTTGTACCATAATACCCTCTACACGTCTATACAACTATTTTAATCCGAACTACAACTAAGGAGGTAACTTGCCTGTTTCCTTCTACTTGGAAGTTGAGTGTCCTGGGCTAACCAACCGCTAGATCTCGAAGCGAAATGGAGACGTCCACACGCGACAGCATGCATTCTCGAATGCGGCTCGAACAGCTGGCTGCCAATATGGGTGTATACATGAATATGAAATTTCCTCGCATCACAAGGAAAGACACAGTCTCTTCGTTCAACCAGCAAGATAAAGATGCAGCGGAAGCACTCGCAAAGCAGAAGCGCCTCGAAGCCTTTTCAGCAAAATCTCACGTCTTCAGACGCACTCCAAGCAAACGCAGCTTCAAGCGGGATGAGCTCTACTCTGCCATAGAGGCAGTCATTCGAAATGATGGGTCACTCGGTATGCTAGAGTACCTGTTAACGCAGCTCAAAGACACAAAGGCGAAGAAGAGCTTTTTCAAATCCCAGGAAAACCCGATGGCCATCGACATGACCGATTTGCTAAGACTCGCGACAGAGAAGAGAAACTCGAGTTTTCTAGAAATTCTAGCCCCCCACGTTGATCAATGGGGGCTTGATGCGTCGCTGGGCCTCGCAGTTGCGAGCATGGATTTGCATTGTATCAAGGCTCTGCTACAGAACGGGGCGGATCCCAACTCATGTCACCAACAATTTGTCACGGCCGTTGGTAATGGACATGTTGCCGTCGTTGAGATGCTAGCTGGAACCGAGAAGAAACTAAATGACGCTTGTCTGGATGAATCATTGCCAGTGGCTGTGTCGATAGGGTCTATGCGGTTGATATTGTGTCTGCTACATAACGGTGCAGACGCGGACACGGATCAGGTTTTGGAGACTGCTGTTCGGGCCGGACGACTCGATATTACCGCTGCTCTTGTACTCGCTAACCGACCTCCTTCTCGTGTATCGCTCGATTGTGCAGCAGGAGCCGCATTCAATTTAAAAGGTCTTAGCGATGACGAGCGTGAGTCTCTAGTGGAACTTCTCCTTTGTGCCGGCGCGAATGGAGATAGCGTCGCGAGAGCATTAGTGAGCTCAGTCGCAGCTAACGATAAGCGGTCCGTGGCTCTCATCGTCTCCTATAACGGAAACGTCGCATACAATTCGTGTGAAGCCATCATAACTGCTATCAACGGCGGAAATCTACACTTACTTGATATCTTGTTCAAGGGCGACATCGACCCCAATACCGCCTCAGTGGCACTATCTAGGATACCCGAGGTTGTATCGAACCTCTCTCCGACAAAGAAGCTCTCAATTATTTCCCACTTCGTAGAGTGCGGTGCATACGGAAAGCCACTCAATCAATGCTTAGTTGGCGCAGTACAAAAGAACGAACGGAGCTTGGTGGACTTGTTGATCAAACATAAAGCTTCGGTTGATTATGATGACGGATATGCACTACGACTGGCTATTTCATCAGGCTCTCTACCGACTTTCAAGAAACTACTTGAAGGAAGGCCCTCACAAGCAACCCTGGGCCATTGCTTCAGCTTGCTACCCTCGATACCGCCACGGTTACAACTAACGGTCGCGAAGGAGCTATTGACCGCTGGTGCAAGAGGAGAAGCAATCAATAAATCGCTTATTGGCGCCGTTATAGGGGATTTCCCTGCCGAAAGAGAGCAGCTTATTGAGCTGTTCGTGAGCTACGGGGCAGACGTGGATGTTGAGAATGGAAAATGCTTAGAAGAATCCGTGAAGGTAGGAGACATCATTGTGCTCAAGCTGTTGCTCCAAGGAAGGCCTTCATCGTCATCCCTTTCACGAGCGATTGTCCCAGCAGTCTCCCTACGAGATCGAATCCTTCGGTTCTCTATCTTGGATCTCATCCTTAACTCTAGAGAAGCCAGTGGGCCCCAGATCGACCAAGAGTTGGTTACATTACTTAAGGAGGACCCCCTTGATATTGTCGCAGTCAACTTATTCCTCGAAAAAGGGAAAGCAGACATTAATTCTAATAATGGCGAACCCATCAAACAAGCATGTCGAATGGATGATCCTGAATTGCTGAAAATTATCTTGCAGCACCAGCCTTCTGTTGACGCACTCAACGCTGCATTCCCAGTCGCCCTAGCATCACAGAATATCTCGGCTCGCTACAAGATGTGCTACAAACTCTTGCTTGCTGGTGCCAACGGAGAGGCCTTGGATTCAGGCCTTGTTACGGCCCAGCAAAGCTCACTGGCTGATTCCCGCCTGATTGAGTTACTCTTAGCATATGGTGCAAATGTCAACTATAACAAAGGAGCAGTTATCCAGAGAGCAATCGATACTTCCAATGAGAAGCAGTTAGCGCTACTGGTATCGAAGTTTCCCACAACTCTTACTTTATCAGTTGGGTTGGAGCGATTGCTTAAAGTTGATACTGAAAAGAGAAACGAAATGGGCAAAATTCTGCTAGATGCTACGCAAAATCGTATCCCTGAGGTGCTGGATACTTTGCTCGCTGAGGCTATCATGCTGAACAAAGGCGACATCATATTCTTAAAGATGATAATCCAGTATGGCGCTTCTGTCAATTTTCGACAAGGAGCGGCCATCATTAACTCCATAAATGGGCGACGATTCGACGTGTTTAGCCTTCTGTTGGACCAACAGGCCAATCAAGGAACACTTGAAGCCGCATTCAAAGCATGCTGGGCATTGAAAGGTTCAGAGCGCTTGCAGTACATCTCCCGGGTGCTTGGAGCTGGTTACAAAGACGATCTAGTTGACGCCGCGCTACTTGAATCTGTTCAGGAGACACCCTGCGACCACGATGCAATTAAATTATTACTTACTTATGGAGCATCGGTGCATTATAGCCGCAGTCAGTGTTTGGTTCACGCAGCGATGTCTAAGGATATTTTGACCTTGGGCCTACTTCTGGAATATATGTCCGACAGGGCGGGCGTCACTTATGCCTTCGGTAAACTGATATCTACGGATACAAATAATTGGTTGACAAATACTGGATATTCAACCGTGGAATTGCTCCTTCGTAATGGGGCGTCCGGTGAAGTGCTGAGCCTTGCCTTGGTTACCGCTGTCGAAACGTCTGATTCTAATCCAAAATCTCCCGATTTTGTCGAACTCTTCCTTCAATATAAGGCCAACGTTGATTATCAGGATGGCCGGGCGTTAACAGCTTCTATTTCCGTCGGAAAACCTCTGTTAACCAAGGCGATACTAAAGTCGAGTACCTCGAGTCAGAATATCAACGCAGCATTTTTGTGCATATTCAGCTCCAATTTGACTGAAGAAGTTGCCATTGAGTTATTCGATATTTTCACCCAGGTTAACTTGGATATCCAGGCATTGAATGGTAACGTATGGTCTTCAAAGGACGAAATTGAGGCTCCTGAGCCAGTTACATTCCAATGCCTTAGGAAATGGCCTCGAGGTAGCAAACTCCTGGGTCGTCTACTTGAAGCTGGAATTCATGTAGATAAGCCAATTCCCTACGTGATCGAGGAAGAACACGGCTTCGAACAGGTATCCCTTCTTTTGTGGGCACTTCTTCAACCGCAACAACTGATAAGCCCCTACGTTTTTGAATGTCTTCTAAAGCATGGAGGTAAGTTTCCAGTATAAATCCCACGCTTATGGAAGCCATGTCCACTGCTAACAACGAAATTTTTGGTCTAGCTGATCCAAATTTCCAGTCATCTAGTTCAATGGTGACACCGTTACTGGTCGCTTCAACAGATAGGACACCAGATATTATCCGAAAACTCATTCAGCATGGAGCAGTAGTTTCGGTTATGGATAGGTATGGCGTAACGCCTCTTATCAATGTTAGCAGGCGGGGTGAACTAACAACTATGCGCTCCCTCATTGATGCTGGTGCCATCGTCGATGATGGCAGTCTTCACGAAGCCTCGAGAGGGCTACAGTCAAGTGCCGTTCAACTTTTATTGGACCACGGCCACAATCCAAACTTCCCTTCCATGCTTCACGATGGACGCTGCGCTTTAGCCGAACTGTGTCTTAAGACAGAATCACCAGGAACCTCTCTGGTTAAGATTAGACAGACGATCGATGCGCTTGTATCAGGGAAAGCTGACTTGACTATTCAAAGTCAAGGAAAGCCACTCATATACCATGCCCTTGATAATCCGACGTCATGTATCAGCACCACTACTGCCTTGCTGGCAAGCAGAATGTGGAGGCTGATCAACAATGACTTCAACCATTACACCTGTGACGGATATGTTTATTCACCAGCCACCTACGTGACTAGAAATCTCGCGCAGAGCCCCTCGGAATATGCCCCGGAACTCCTTCACATCTTAAAAGCTAACGGCTGTAAGGATGTATTCTACAAATGTGAAGGCTCCCAACCACCAGATATGGTCGGAGCACCCCCTGAAGTTATCGCTGAAGAGCGAAGGCGCAAAACTCGCATTCAACGCATGCAGGAACAAGAAGAAGACCATCAGATATCACTCCAACGTGAGCGTGATGCTGCTGATCAACAACATCAAATAATGACTCGTGCTCATCACCTTCGAACTCTACATGATCGCGAGATAGCAGATGAACGAGATGCAGCTGTCGAGCGATCCAACAAACTCCAACTACGCCTTGAGGCCGAATCTGCTTCTCAACGCCAACGATTTGCTGTCCAGCAACAGTTAGCAGACCAAGAACAGCTGCGTATGATGAGTCAACTTCGTCTTGAAGCTGCTGAGAGGCAGGGAAGACTACAAATTGAAAACGATAAACTTATGGCACACACTCAGCATAACCTCTTAGAGGCTAAAATTGCAGTGGAATCGAGGAGAATCAAAGAACTGGAGGCTGCCAATGAGAGACAATATCATAGAGATTCAGACTTGCTTTCACGCCAGGAGCGAATGTTAGCGGATCGGAAAGCATTTATGGCTGCTCCAGCAGCTGCATTAGGGGGTGAATCTGGCTTGTCCATGCCAGAGCCTCAACGGCAACTGACTTATACAGGCTCAGAGCTGGACTAATTCAAGGACTTATTTATGCTATAGACAGCCTAGCGTCGGGAGTAGATCGATATCTCATTGAGTGGAATATTTTGTTGGAAGATGCATCTTCGTCTAGTGTACATGAAGCCATAGCTAATCAAAAATGCAAGTGAGGAAGAAATACAAAGGATAGAATGAAACATTAGCCCAGCTCGAAGAAACGTAGAGCCTCAACCACAAAAAGAGACGAGATATTAACAGACATATATCAAAAGGGTAATAAAAGTACATTCATGAGAAAAAAAGTTGGAGGGTAAAACAAGAACTTCTACCATGTTTTGAAAATGAGCGCCGACTCCGTCATGGCAAGAGGTACCAAGGAAAATATTGGAAACACCGTTTTGTTGTAGTACAGCAGTGAGAAATGGAGAAGTGACCTCAACGCCTGTAACTTCCTGCCCATATATCTTGAGCTCCCGGGGATTTTAATCACAAGCATATTCGCAGTTGAGAGCCAGAAAAAATCTCTCAAAAAAAATCAATCAACCTCCAGGTCAGTTGAAAGGCAGAGGCCGTGAGCATGAATCCGTCAAGAATAAGGAGCTGCTATTGGCCTGAGAGGACTTGCTCACTCCCACGAATTTTGCCTCCTCTCACGAGGAGGGTAGCGGTCCGATCCCCTGCCCGGGCGACCCCCCCGGCCAGAATCTCCACGACCTCCGAAAGAGGATCTGTCACCATAGGATGATCTGCCGCCATAGGATGATCTGTCGCCATAAGAGGATCTGTCGCCATAGGAGGATCTTCCACCAAAAGAAGGTAAACCCCCTCGCTCACCGAACGCACCAGAGCTCCCTCGTAAATTGCCAAAGTTATTACTCCTCATGCCACCACCATTTCGGCCAAATCGGCTTTCACGCAATGGTGGAGCTTCTGGGAAGCCCCAAATGGTGGTAGCAAGCTGTTCAAGTAGACGGACGGCTTCACGTTTATCGTATTTGGACATCTGGTTGTTGATAGAGTTATATGCCTTCAATTTATCCTCGTCGTACATATGAGTGAATTGTTTCGTAAGGGTCTCAAACACCGACGCGACGGACTCGGGAAGTTGTGTAGGGTTAGTCAAGTCTGCATTTGCAGACTCCAAAGAGTTGTCTTCTTCGATAGGAAGGGTTCCAAGTTTATCCTCGAATGCGTTGAATTCAAGGTCTGGGAACAGAATCCAGCCTTCTCCAGTTTTGTCGGCTCGAGCTGTACGTCCAAGGCGATGAATGTAAGTGTCCTTGTCTGTGGGAGTACCCATCTGGATTACGTGAGAAACATTTGGGAAGTCCATTCCACGAGCAGTGACATCGGACGAGAAGAGAATTCCTGTCTGCAAGCGGCGGAAGGACTCTGCGCTGAACGTCCTTTGGGCCTGGGTTAGGCGCGAGTGAATTTCGATATTTTCGAATTTAGGAGGGCGCGAAGTATATAGTCTCTCCAATTCCTTGGACATAGTCATGAAGGCACGGCGAGCGAGACTGACTTCTGCGGTAGAGCCGTAATAAACGATGGCTTTGAATGGCATAACGTTTTCTGGGTCGGCGACGTGAGCCTGAATTCCTCTCTTGGCAATCTCGAAGAGGGCGGGAAGCTGGTTCTCAAGACCCTTCAAGAATACAGCTCTCTGGGGGACCCTCAAGTGAGTTGGTGTCTCATCACCAACAGTATTCACGAAGGAGAAATCGGGCTTCAACATGCTTGTAGCGAGGGCCTTCACTGATCTTGGGATAGTTGCAGAAAACATCAAAGTTTGTCGGTCAACCCGAGAACGGCTTGGGAAGAAAGATTGGATGCGTTCAATATCAGGTGCGAACCCAATGTCGAGGAGTCTGTCTGCTTCATCAAGGACGAAAGCCTGCAACTTAGGAGCGGCAACTCCACTGGAAGGATCCGAAAAGATATCCATCAAGCGGCCAGGCGTTCCAACCAGGATGTGGCAGCCTTCCCTCTGGATTCTTCGCAATCCCTCTCGCTTTTGTGTTCCTCCAACCGCAGTCTGTACCTTAAGGCCGCAGCCGCGGGTCAACTTTTTTGCCTCAACAGCGATCTGCTCAGCAAGCTCGCGAGTAGGGGAAATAACCACAGCACGGATGTCCTGGGACGATGCACCGCCGTATCGGAGCGAGCCGATAGTGGGATCTTGAAGAATTCTGTGGATAACTGGCAGAAGGAAAGCGACGGTTTTACCCGTTCCAGTCTTCGCTTGTGCTATCCTATTGGGAACCAAAAAAAAAGTCAGTTTCTTCATCGACGAGGGAAGCCTTGTGAGGGAGGGAAGGAATCTTACATGTCAGCCCCCTGTATACTCTCGTTGATGGTATGAACTTGTACTTCAGTCATAGTCTTCAAACCCATCCCCTGAGTAATAGCACCGATTACTCTCGGGTCTACCACGCCCTTTTCTCCCAGCTCCGCGAACTCCGTGATCAATTCCTCTCCTTCAGCCTCTTCAACCTCGACATTGGCAGTGCCGGCTGGAACACGGAATTGAGGTGTGATGTGAAAAGACCTTGCAGTCAGAAGAGGAGCAGTTGGTAGCCGTCTAATAGACCGGCTCACCAGCGTCGACGACACTGGAAGTCTGAGAGCACATCGCTGAAGATTGCGCGCAAGCAGGTGTCCGTAGCGGACTGACATACTGCTGGTTGGTGATATTAAGAACAGGACAACTCAATTAACAAGATATAACAAGCACAATAGACCCGGAGGAATAGATATTATAAGATTTGATAAGTAAAAGATCAAGGAATGAAGAGAAGTTGATGAAGCAGAAAATTCCGATGTTGAGTCTGGAGAGTTGGACTTTTTTTTTCTTTCGCAGCGAAATTTTCCTGTAGGCGGTGGTCACGTGATAACGCGATAACAGGATAAGGAAAAAAGATAGGGGGTCCATCGAAATATTTTAAAACATATTTGCCCCTGGGAGGCGAATTCTCTTTCTACTCCGTTCGCTACGTCTAGAGCCTGCATTGAAGTATGTGATGGGTACATGCGACTGGCCGTGCCGTCATGAGATTTATTTTGAGAACTAGGTAGAAGCTAGCTACTCTAGGTGAGCTCCCTTCATCTCCCTCTCCGCGACTTCAAACAGCTGCAATCCGTTGAAATATCCAGCAAAGGGCGTTCCTATCGTCTTGAACGTATACTGGGCATCGTCGTCGGGGATCTTCACGGTCTCGCCTCCTCGTCCCTTCGCAGCTGCATCGGCCAATAGCTGGCTGTAACAGCATTTCTCAAGAGCGTAGAACCAGAACACGGTCTCCTCGATGGTCCTGCCAACAGTCAACAGACCGTGGTTCTGCAAGATAGCGGCCTTTTTCTCTCCCAGGGCTTTGGCGATGTTCAGGCCTTCCTCCTTGCCTAGAACTATACCTTTGAATTGGGCGTACAGGGCATGGTCCTAGAAGAAGAAGGGAGATTCGTCAGCAGATGAATGGGATAGATAGGTCCGCTGGTATGAAGGTTGTAAGCTGACCTTGTAAAAAGCACAAGAGTCCTGGGTTGTAATGTCCAGCTCAATTCCCAGAGTAGAAAAGGTACGGCCGTAGATGCTGTGGCTGTGAGCGGCACACTGGACGTCTGGTCGAGCTTCATGGACTGCAGCGTGGATCATATACGCAGCGGTGTTCAATCGACGGATCTCTCCGCCTGCAATGACAACGCCTTCATGGTCGACCTGGATCAGATCCGAAGATCGAATATGAGCAAACGGCACTCCGAACGGGTTTACCCAGAACGTCGTTGGGTCGACGGGATCTCGTAGCGTAATGTGTCCGGCCACCCCTTCGTCGTAGCCAAATTTCGCGAAGATGCGGAATGCGAGTGCGAGTCTTCCCTTGAGATGTTCTCGTTCCTTGGCCTTGTCTTCAAAAGCAGGCGGTTTGGGGAACAGGGCGCGGGTCTTTGCGATCTCTGGAGTCTCACCCTTCACCGTGTAGTCGTCGAGGGCACCCCGTATAGTGGCTGTAGGATCTGTGGCCGGCGGTGCGGTTTCTGTCAAGGTTGGAGGAGCCATGATATATAGCTGTACGTGAAGATGTCGTCTCTGTAGACAAGCTTCTCTCGCAGGATCTCAGCCCGTCTGGCGCTTTATATGTCTTTGTAGCGGGCGAGCTGGTTGAAAAGCTGAGGGGCAGGTATAAACCTAGCAACCGACTGCCGGGCTCCCTAGCTATTTAATGCATATTTGCCTAGGTACGAATGCATTTAAGGGACCAGGGTGCACCCCTAGAATGTTCCCTGCTTTCTTCTCGTCTTCTTCAGTGGGCTGGACTATGGTCGCTCTCTTTGTGCCACAGAAAGCCTGAGAAGTCATCGTGGTGAAAGACAAATGCGACTCGTGGTATGCTCAAAGCCGAGGGCGAATGTAATCGCTTGGAAAGCTGCGATTGAAACAGGGATGCGGCAGTATCTCAAACACGGATAAACAGTGTAACTTCATGTGGAGAGTGCTTAAGACGGCTGTTAATGTTGTCTGAGCATCTGGTCTGGAATCACAAATGGATATAGATACAGATTTCAAGATGTCCCACTGTCGATATACTCAGCAACGACTCGTATATTTTATCGAAGCAACGGACAAGTACAAGGTCAGTATGTATAGAAGCTTAACTTTAGATATTAAATATAGAAAGCCGTTATTTTATATGGTCTTTTAAAATTAGTCAAGGTAGAGACGCCATCAAGAAGTTCATAATGTAATGAAATATATTCCTGCGCAAGGGTATGGACATAACTAGTAACATAGTATAGATTAATTATTATAGACATCATATCTGCGGCGTCCTTGTCCACATCCGGGTGTACGGCAACAAACAGCATTAAGCCACCGCCTCAAGATATGTTTGTCCTGATATATTATCTTTCATAAAGAGGATCTGATCTCCGTGGCTTTCCCCATGTCAATCAAGGGTAGGTCATTGGGGAGGTTCGTTGGTAACCAGCTGCCTGTGTACGGCGAGTGATTTCCTTCTCCTCCTGGACGAGCATGCAGCAGGGGAGACAGCAGGAGCCGGCGAAATCCAGAACGTCATTGCCCTCAATACCATATTGCTTTCGGGTTTCGATGCGCTTGAGGCCCTGAATGATACCGTAGCAACCACAGTAAGAAAGGCACAGCCAGGTGCAGCACTAGAGAGTGTCCGTTAGTATATTTTCATATGAATGACAAACGCCACAACTTACATCACCGTTGAAGTAGTTAAAGTCGGTCAAGGTTGGATCACGTCGTCGATGCTGGTTGCGGCCAAACATGAAGCAAGGGCAGAACCAAGAGCAGAGCACTAATTATCATCATCGAGTTAGCGAGAGTACTTGTCATAGATTGTCTTCCATGTTCGACTTACTGGTGTCAAGAGGATCCCAGAATTCATAGAATGGAGAACCCCATTTGTTCGCTGGCATGCCAGCAGGAGCTGCGTCCGCAGCAAATCCAGACTTCATGTCGGGGTTGGGGGTGTTTTGGGTGTTCTGGGCGTTTGGGTCCATTGTTGATATTATCGAAGTATTAGGTTATGATTTTTGTAAAGGGGGTATAAGGCAATAACGACAATGATTTAAAAAAGGAGGACTGAAGGAACGACGGTGAGCTCGACTGGGAGTATAATGATTACCAGTAAAAATGTAAATGAGCTTGGAAGGGGAAATCATGCAGCCAGACGACGAGGTATAAATAAATACCCCCCTCGGCCGCCCAACACGATACACCGTGTGAATGTGGAGACGCCAACCCAACTTGATACTAAGCTATGATATAGCACAAAGCCCAATGGATGTCATCAGCTGGTGGTCCAATTGGATAGCCTTCTCGCAAAAGAAGCGAGCTCTCTCCAGGTGCAATGCCGCTTCGCTCCAACCATGGACCGTGATCTTCAGCCTCCTTGTCGTATTCTCGGATTGACTTGACTATGGCCCGTGAAAGCAGCTCGGCGTAAGTTTCATCTATGCCCCTTATAGAATGAGGCTGACACTAAGTTCGACCGTGTTTGAGACCTCATGGAAGCGAACAATGAAGGTGAGGCTCTGCTAGCTAGACAGCTCATTTCTTTTTGGCGAAGCTGCTCTCTTTTCCATTTCTCGCTGTACACATTAGTTATTGCGTGTACTGATAACAAAATCATCCAGATGATCGTTGAGAGATGTGATGATCGACCTCGTACTCCGCCCTCTGTGCTAAGCATACCCCTTTGTTAGTAAGATATCTGCCCTGCACACTGTTGATCTATCACCCAGTAGTTTACTAGCTTGAGGCTCTTCGTCTCAATCTCAGCCAGGGGTGACATGGACAGTTCGGGTAGGGGAACCCGCCCCAATGCAGTGACCGTATCGGTTTCTATTATTATTTCCTTGTCGGTGGGCCTTCCACTGCACCAATTTCCTCATTTATGCCGTACCAAGGAATATCACCAGGAATATCACAGGTCGGTAGTCCAGCTGCTGGTCGACCACTTTCCGCAAACATAGAAGGCTGGCGGGTTAATCTTGGAGTACGAGACTCCACGGTGATGGCTTTCTCTGAGATACGGAATACCTGAAGGCTTATTAATCTGAGACTCCATGAATCATCGCAGACGGACAGAGAACAGACGCAGGGGTGAGAGACATGCAGCTGTTGAGTAAGCCATGTTGGAGCGGGAACTGGCTGTTTAATAAGTCGGCAAGATATAGCCCTGGCGATGACCAGAGACGGCCTCTCTAATCTTGATGGGCGATTGCCAGGGGTTAAGACCTTTGCTCTGACCGAGTACGCGTAGAATAATAGATCATTAGAACGAGAATAATATTAGAGCGAGAAACGAGCATACTAGGTTGATGTCTTTATTCTTGTTGATTTAAATATTCAGCCTCGTGTTGAAATAAAACTGCTGACTCATATCCAACGTCGGCCTCAAGAACTCGAACAAACCATCCATACAGATATATAACTATTAGATAGAGGCTGCTTTATACTAGGTCGATATAAGATAGAGACGAGGTCACTACTATATTTTCGATTACCACCGTTCCTTGTGATTTTACGACTAGGCTGAGCTGAAGGTGGTTACAGGAGACAACACGATGGAGCCCATCAGATGGCTCCATCCTCTCTTCGATGCATTGTTTGGTTTTGATATCCCTTTTACTTACAGATGGCGGCTTCTTATACTACAGCCAATTTCTATCCTTACCTGTGCTATGAAATGGGTGCCCTGGCTGCTCTCACGGCGATACACATCTATTCAAATACCCCTCCGTCGAAAACCCGGGCACTCAGTTCGGGCAATTGTCTTTCTACCTCCAGCGAATTCGACATCAGCTTTAGAAACCTCTAGAGGTCTACGGCCTCTCCACCTTGACTTCCATGGCGGTGCGTTTATCGGTGGAAACCCGGAGCACGATGCTGAGTTCTGTAGCGCGCTGTCAGACGAACTGGGTGCCGTTGTTGTCTCAGCCACATACCATTTCGCACCGCGATATAGGTTCCCGGTAGCGAACGAAGATGCTCAGGATGTGGCAGCGTTTCTAGTTGAAAATGCAGAGCACGTATGGAAAGCAGACCCCCGAGTGCTCACTGTAAGCGGATTTTCAGCTGGTGGAAATCTTGCACTCGGGGTAGCTCAGGGGTTAGCAGGCAAAGATTATGGCGTGAAAGGCTCTGTGACATTTTATGCTCCAGTATGTTTCTTCTTCAGCTTCCTTATACATGTTTCTAGACGCTGGATCCCGACGCATGCGTATGTATGCTTACAATAAAGCCAGGTCGACCTCCGGAAATCACCGTCTGAGAAACCGAAACCCAATGATAAGCCAGACCCGTTGGAAGTCCTAAAACCGTTGTTCGATGCCTACCCTGGCCCTGTCCGTTCTCAGAATATGGAAAACCCACTCATGAACCCGATCCTGGCAGATATCAGCACCTTGCCCCCAAGAATGGCCTTTGTCGTGCCCAAGATTGACATTTTGTACGAAGAGCAGATGTTGATGATTGGGAGACTAAAGGCAGAAGCTGAGAAGTTAAACGGTTCCGCCCAAACTATGGCGACTGGCGTAGATTCGGCAATCGAAGAAAGCCAGCAAATTAGGGATGGCTCTGGTAGAAAGGACTCCTATCAGATCAGCCATCTAGAGTTTCCTGAAGGGTTCCATGGGTGGCTCGAAGGTAAGCATTGGCTATTCCTTCTATATCTTGTTCTAGACTGGCAAAATGCTAATTGATATCAACAATAAGTACCGGAGGTTGCTATTGGGAACAAGGATAAGAAGAAAGCATTTGCGTTTGCCCTTGATTTCTTAAGGGAAACCTATCAAGCTCATAGCTGAGACCTTGAACACACGTCCCGATTTGTATATATATTGAGTCTCCGCTCAACCTGCCATCTCATCTGGCTGCCCATGTACATTAGACCCCCAACTCACCTCTACCATCATGCTTTAGATGTGTTCATGTATAATTATGTCTCCTTGCTGCATATAAATATCTATATCCGGCCCGATAAACTCCGGTCCCGCCCTTGCAGCTCGAAACCCTAAATAATCATGTCAATTTTCCTTCAACCGGGCGCATTTTCAACCTGCCAACCTCAAGCAATTAATAAAATCAACATGGGGAAGAAGCGGAATTTTAAAAAGGTAAGCCCTCCCCGGTAGCGCCGTTGCTTGTATTTTGTGTTAACTGGTGTTCCTCCTCGTTGTTTAGAAGGGTGGCTCCAAGGGAGGTTCCCGCAGCACTCGACCAGCAAACTATTCTACGATTTTGGTTCGGGAGAATGAGAACTATGAGAAATATTATAATTCGCTCCAGATAGTCCCGGAAGATGAGAAACAACAATTCTGGGATGCTATGCGGCGTGATTTGCCTAATAGTTTCCGCTTCACCGGGTCTAGAAGGTATGTGGGAGCTACGCGCCAGGGCATTTGGCCCATAACTGGCAACGCTGTTCTTTCTGCTAACATGTTCGCAGTCATGCTCTAGCTCTACAGAAGCAATTGAAGGACTTCTACATCCCTAATATTACCTCAATTCGATATGAGGGTGAATTAGTCGAGCCTCCTCGACCAGTGCCATGGTATCCCGAGCAGCTGGCATGGTCAATGACGACCCCGAAAAGCGTTGTCCGCCGCTTCGCACCCTTTTCATCGTTTCAGAAGTTTCTCGTCTCGGAGACAGAGGTTGGTAACATCAGTCGGCAAGAAGTCGTGAGCATGATTCCGCCACTTCTTTTGGATGTGCGGCCTGGCATGGTGGTGCTGGACATGTGTGCTGCACCAGGTAGCAAGTCTGCGCAATTGATGGAGATGATACACGCGGGCGAGGAAGAGCGGATGGCGAAGATTGCGCAGAAGTTAGAAAACACAGATGATGCTACGAGGCAGAATGGTGGGGTGAAGGTTGCAGATCTCTTGAACGGGGAGCCTGAAGTTGCGGAGGCTGATGCGGTAGAGGACGATGGCAGATCAACGGGATTGTTGATTGCGAATGATAGCGATTATAAACGAGCGCATTTGTTGATTCATCAGATGAAGCGTCTGAATTCGCCGAACTTGCTCGTCACGAACCATGATGCGACTGTCTACCCTTCCATCAGGCTACCTCCTTTGACGTCCGCCGATGGCCGAACTACGAAAAACCGATACCTCAAGTTCGACCGTATCTTAGCTGATGTGCCTTGTTCTGGAGATGGGACGACGAGAAAGAACGTTAATCTTTGGAATGATTGGAATCCAGCAAATGCCATTGGGTTGTTTGCTACGCAAGCGCGCATCCTATTCCGAGCACTGCAGATGCTTAAGGTTGGCGGTCGTGTGGTGTATTCTACATGCAGCATGAATCCTATCGAGAACGAAGCTGTCATCGCCCATGTCATTGATCGATGCGGTGGATCCAGCAGCGTTGAGATTATTAACTGTGAAAATGAGCTCCCCGATTTGAAGAGACGACCCGGTTTGACGACATGGACGATCATGGATAAGACTGGCCGGATATATGAGAACTGGGGAGAAGCTGAGGAGGAAGTCCGAAAGCTCAACCCTGCGGCCAACCGGCTTGTCGAGGGCATGTTCCCGCCCTCCAAGGACGCGGAAGCTGTTGACCTGACACGGTGCATGCGTGTGTACCCACATATGCAAGATACCGGCGGCTTCTTCATTACTGTTCTTGAAAAGAAGCGTGAGATCAAGGCGAAGCCGGACTCTACGAAGGCAGCTACAGCTACTCCCCAGATTTCCACCCCTACTGCGTTGTCTGAGCCAGACCCAGCGGAAAAGAATGGCAAAGCTGAACCAAGAGCACCAGCAAACCAGCTAACCGCCGAAAGTGGACAAGAAGCTGCCACATCTACACTCAAGAGAGGCCCAGAGCACCTCGATGAGCCGGAAGCCAAAAGGCCGAAGGTGGTCGAGGACACCCAGCAGGAAGTAGACAAGGCCCCAGAAGCTAAAGAACCAACAGAAGCACCACCAACATCAACATCAACAGCCGTAGCACCACCTAAACCTAAGCGCAGACAGCAAAATTCCTTCGAGGAGCCCTTTAAATACCTCGACTCCAACCGCGAGGACCTCGATGCCATCTTCGACTACTTCAGGCTCGCTCCCCAGTTCCCTCGCGACCGCTTCATGGTCCGCAACGCTGAGGGCCGCCCTGCCAAAACCATATACTACACCACAGTGCTATCCAGGGAGATCCTTACAGAGAATGAAAGCACAGGGATAAAGTTCGTGCACTGCGGCGTCAAGATGTTTGTCAAGCAGGACGTACAGAAGCCGGATGTTTGTCCATGGAGAATCCAGATGGAGGGTCTGCCTGTTATAGAGTCATGGGTGGGCATGGACCGGGTAGTGAAGATGTATACGAAATCGACACTCAGGAAACTCCTGGTGGAGATGTTTCCCAAGGTAAACGATGGAGCATGGAAGGAGCTGGGAGAGATTGGGGAGAGAGTCAGGGACATGGAGATGGGATGCTGCATTCTACGATTGGAGACGAGTGATAAGGAGGATGGATTCCGGTGAGTACTCCTGCTAGGTGGATAGAGAACAACTGCTGACATCACACTACAGAGAACGCATGGTATTCCCGCTCTGGCGCAGTGCCTACTCGGTGAACCTCATGCTGCCCAAGGAGGAACGCCGAGCAGTTCTTCTCCGACTATTTGACGATGACACGCCGCTAGTCAACTCGACGCAGAAGAGAGAAGCTGCAGCCAAAGCCAAGGAGGAGATCAACGTTGCCGACTACGACTCGGAGCCAGAAGCCAATGGCAACGCCAACGGCAACGACGAGACAGAAGATATTGAAGCTGAGGCTGAGGCTGAGGCGGATACTGCAGTCGACACTGCCGGTGAAGATGCCGGTGAAGACCCAAGAATAAGTATGTAGAAGCGGCAGGGCTCATCCTTCGTGATATGACACGCCCTGCATGAAGCGGCCATCTATCTCAGCATCTAGACAATTGCCATGTAACAACATCTTGCCGTCTTCTCTTTTCTTCTCTTTTTCTTCTTCTTCCTCCTTTTTTTTTCTCTCTCAAAAATCCAACAAGTCACATAAAAAGCCAAAAGGGGAAAGTCCCGTTCACTTAAGGTTCTTATATAAGCAGTAGATCAGTCATGTGACTTTTTCCAGCCACTTTTATTTTTGCTTATGTCATCCCTTGCCATTTTAATTTCCAACCAGTAGAAGAAGAAGAAGAAGAAGAAGAAGAGGAAGTTGATAATGGGCAGTTATTTCAACCTGAGAGTCGATATATCTGGTTACATGGACATCAGAGTGCTCTAGACTTGGTACGACTATACCAGAGAAACGTCTATCCAGCTGTGTGAGAGAGAAGAATCCAACCAACCTCAGTCGTTGTCGTGGTAACCGCCATATCCACGGTTTCGTCCCGCAGCTCTACCAGCCTTCGCATCTTGAGATATACATACGGAGAATTTTGGGTAGCACTACTTAACGATTATATTTGACGACTACTGTTGCGGGTAGAGCACTGCAGGACAGTTGCCCGTCCGCGCCTTCACGATGGCACCTCTACAAGATCTATACGCCCTCCTCCAGAGAAGCTCGGTGAACGACAACAATGAGCCATCATCTTCACTCACCTCGACCTTCACTCGTATCGGAGTCGACAAGTCGCTGAGCTCTCGAGCTCTACAGCCCGTGAGCAAACGATACCAGATGATAAACATTCCAGCAATATACACTGGCCCACACACCTCCCCGCCCATCGTTGTGGCCATCGTCCTTGGGACGGTCATAGGCTTCGTCGCGGTGGCCTACCTCGTCTACACCCTGGTCAACAAGCCCAAGGACATCATGTCAGCATCCTCGGTGGTGTCCGATGAGTTCCGGCGGCCAAAACGCAGACCACCACCGCGCCGAAGACCAACGAAGCCAGGCCCCAGAAAGAAGCCGATAATCGTCGACGAGGATATAGTGGACGAGCCAGAGCCAGACTTTGTCGACGTTCAGGACACCAGCGAGATGCACGGCAGGTATGAAGGGACGGAGTCGATCCAAAGCCCGTACTCGGAGGAGTCATCGGAGGCACACTACCACCACCACGGACGATCGAGACACTCGCCGGAGATGGCTGAGTCGTTTTATGACCCGCACAGCAGTCGGGGGGGCAGACGAGGAAGATGAGGCGAACGGTTACACCTTACTAATGACTTGACTGGTTTGGAGTTGGAGGATTCACTTTGAGATATTTTTGGGCAGTTGTGTCTTCCTGCATTGTCTGTAACGTCCAGCATAGCCCGGGTATAGCTGACATACGTGTTGTCATGCATGCAGAACGGGCGCTTAGCCAGGCCGCTTGCAGGGGAGGCCATGGCCGTGTTAATATATAGGAATAGCATAAAAGAAAGAGAACAGAGCTGACGTGCCCACTTCACTGTCATATAATCTACCAATTAACACGCCGTAACTCTGAGTTCAAGCCACAGGGAGCTTGTCGAACATCCCGGACAGCGAGCTCGGGATCACAGGTCCGGGCCTAAGGACGTAATCCCAGCCGTAAGCTTCCATGGCTCAGTGAACCCTCAACGCATAAAGAAGAGTTTTTCCCCTGCTGTGGCTGAAGGTGAGGTCTTGCGTTCTACCATCTCAGACAAGCCACTCACACTCGCACTGTGCCAGTCTTACTCCGTATAAGAAGCGTCCTTCGACGAATAAATCCTGAAGCAGTCTCGAGAAACACACCGTCAACATGGGCGATAAATACGTAAGTCTCTCCTTGCCTCAATTCGCCTCCTTGCAAGAGCCATCTTGGCGCGCGGCACGGCCAAGTCGATCGATCGATGATAAACGAGCTCGCACGGAGAGAAGAAGAAGCTGTGGACGATGTGGACGATGTGAACTGACCGTTGTATAGAACCAACCTCCATCCTACCCTCAGCCCACCCAGGGCCAGGCTGGCGACTACTACAACCAGGGACAGCAGCCCCAGTACGCCCAGCAGCCATACGGCGGCCAGCCCCAGCAGCAGCAGCAGCAGTACTATCCTCCACAGGGAGCTCCCCAGCAGCAGCCCATGTACTATCAGCAGCAGCAGGCTCCCGTTGACGACCGCGGAAAGAGTGGTGGCGGTGGTCTATGTGCTGGTCTCATGGCCGGTTTGGCTTGCTGCTGCTGCTTGGACATCCTCTGCTAGAGAGACGGTTACAAGCAACAGCTACAGCTACAGTACAAAAGGATGGAGCTGAACGAGAAGGGAGTCGACCGATAACTGCTTCTCTTCAACTACGCCTGTGAACCTCGTTTGCCTCGTTACTCGACGGTCTAGGATGGGTGGATGTCGTGGGCTGGAGTTCGGCTGCTGTATCGCATCCTTCATCTCCTTATGTCTTTCCTACTTCTCGACTTGATGAATGTCTATCGACCTGTGTTTTGTTTTCTTGTGCTTGCATTCTGCTTTTCATTCGTTTTACTGCGTTGCCAGGCTCTAGATGCGATGGGTGATTTTTAATTTCTACTTTTATACCACCACGTTATACCCTGTTGTTAGTTGCTCTACACTTGCAACATGGCAGTATGAAAAAAAAATTGTAAAACCCGCTCTTTAATAACCATCTTCTTTATCCTGGTTCTAACCCCTTTATCTCATTCAGGCTTCATTGGTTGGTATGTTTTGTAAACGATCTATCTGTTGTGTTACGCTGAAACAGTCTGCCTCGAATAGCTATCAGGATGTCTTCATCTTCTTCCTGCAGTCAGAATATTTCTACTCTTGCTAGGGTGTATCCTAGACTCTAACCCCTCCCTTAGCTGTGATGCCACCTGTTACCAAGGAAAGGGAATTTTATCCGTGAAAGTAAATGTATCTTGATTTAACTCATGGGTTTCTGCATTTTTGTATAACCGTAACCTATGGCTCTGTGCTCAATATACTGATCTGTGCATATATAGTGCAAGAACTGCTCAGTAAGGGCTAACTTCAGCGTTGTCAAGAAATAAACACATCTACAGCTTAATAGAGCCTTCATAGGCTTAAATGGAATACCTACAAGCAAGTCATCTGTAATATAGATAGTAAAGGATGGTTTGGAGTCAGGGACGTTAGAGATTCCCTCTATATAACTATTAAAAATCCACTAATATTTTTCCTAGTTCCTCCCAATCTCGAAGATGTGACGCTCATAAACTCGCTTGATGAAACACTAAGGGTGTATTCCATGATATCATTGATGGTGTCCCTCATGCATCTACCCGCAACAATACCTATGTTTTGTTCACATGTGTGGTCTATTCAGCATCGTCAGCGGCATCAGCAGCAGCCTCTGTTTCCTTTGCTTCGGCTGGCTTTGTTTCCGCGGCGACGTTTGGAGTGCTGGTGCCGCTGGCCTTAGCATCAGCGGCCTTGCTCTCTTCCTCAAGGCGGTCAATTTCTTCCTGGGCCTTCTTGATGTTCTGTGAACGACAGTGTTAGCCTTGTGTGTTATCTAGATGACAGTTAACGCAGAGGTGTTAATAGGACTTACTTCAGCGGTTTTGCTGGCCTGGTTGCTCTTCCACTCCTTGACCTTCTCGACCAACTTCTCTACCAACGCTGGGACATCAGACTGGTTCATTGGGGGGTCAACCTTGACTCTGGCCAGGTCTTCAAGAACGCCAAAGCTGAGGTTAAATTTGCTAGCTTCTGGCTGAGCGGCAGCAGGGGCGTTGGCGGCAGGAGACTTCTTGCCCTTCTTCCCTTTCTTTCCACCGGTTCCGCCCATGAAGTAGTTGTCGTCACGGTCATCCTTCTTGATAACCTTGACACCCTTGATGTCAGAGGTATCGACGGTTCGGCCTACCTCAGCACGATAGGCGACGGACGAAGGCAGCTGAGTCTTACCGAGACCAAGAGAGGCGAGGTCATAGGTGGGATCGAAGTGTCTGATGAGACCCTCGGCGGTGAGAAGTTCGTCAGTGAAGGCAGGCATGGAAGCCTCCTCGAGCTTCTTGTCGGCGATCTTCTTCTTCTTCTCGCGCTCATAGACCTCCCTCTCGGTCTTTTGGCGTTCCTGACGGATACGATAGGCCTCCTGTTCGTACTCCCTGTTCGCTCTTCGCGCCTTGTGGTAGGAGTCCTTGATTTCCTTCACGGCGTTCCAGGCCTTTTGCTGCTCGGCGTGGATCTTGGTTCGTTCGTCACGGAGAGACTTGATGTTCTTGAAGACACCGTCCTGTTCGCTCTTGATTTCGTCCAGTTCCTTTTGGAGGGCGGTGTATTGTTCGCTGAGAGCCTTGGCTTCGGGGTTGTCCAGTCCTTTCTTGAGCGTGCTCAGCTGGGCCTTCATCTCGTCAATGTTCTTCTTGCCGTCGTCCATGGAGGAGAAGTTCTTGCGCTGCTTTCGCAAGTTGGAGATCTCGGCCAGGTTCTTCTTCTCGTCGACCAGTCTCATGGTTCCGGAGTCGACCTCCTTCTCCAGACGCTGGATTTCCCTGTCGACATCCTCAACGCTCTTGAACGCAAGTCTGTCACGCTGGTTCTTCTGCTCGGTGAAGCGAGCCTTGATGTTGGCGTCGACGGCGTTGATCTTTTCCTGGAGGGCGGTACGCGAGGCCTTGAACCCTTGCTGTTGCTGGCGGATTGCGGCCAGCTGAGTGCGCAGCTCCTGCTGTCTCTTAGCGACCGGCGAGCCCTGGTTGTTGGGAGTGGCAGACTCTATCTTAGCCTTGATGGCTTCCTGCACATTTCGATCTGTGTGAGCATGCGACTATCAATTTATGCGAGGGTTACCATACCAGTTTCTTCTGAGCGGTCGCCAGGTCCTTCTCAGCATTGGCCAGGGAGATTTTATACGCATTCTCATCAGGCTTCTCGGGCTTTGTCTTGTGCTCGCCAGCCGGAGCTGGAGCTTGCGTCGCAGTCGTAGCCATGGCGTCGTAAGCGAACGGAGGGCAGGTCAACGATTAAAAAAAAAGGAAATAAAATATTAAAAAAATAACGACAATTGGGCCTCAAGGAAAGCTGCCTCGAAGCGATGCCTTCGGCCGGACGTAGACACCAGAGTAAGCGGTAGAAGACGCAGAAGGGACTCCAGAAACCCGGTGGAAGAAGAAGTCCGTATATCGAACAAAAAGTACAGATTCTACTTTCGGCGAACCTTTTTTCCCTCTGTTTCTATACTTGGTCTGTGCGTCTTTTTTCTTTAGCCCTTTTTTTCTTCTTCCACATATCACAACATCTTACTTCTACTTCTACTTTTACTTCTACGTCGTCTGTGTCTTCGTCTATTCTTGTCTGTATCTTGTCTGTATTTTGTACATTCTTGCGAATCAGGTCGGACGGGAGTGCGAGCTCAGCGCGAAGCTTGACGCGCGACCATGGCGGACGAAGAATATTCCAAAGCCTCTGCGGAGGCGGATCGTGAGATGACACGGCTCTGGCGTACGTGGAGGACGGTGTTCGAACTGCTACTGGACCGTGTAGGTTTCCGATCTTTACGGGAGGCAGGAGATTGCCTGCTAACGAGAAACAGGGCTACGAAGTAACCGAAGAAGAGGTCAAGATCTCTCTCAACGAATTCAGACAGCGATACTCTGACGCCCTAGGCTTTCCAGAGTAAGTATCTATTCTCCGAATTGGACAATGGAACGATAGAGTGAAGAGAGAGGTCGCGCGCATAGAAGAATCTAACGTACTCCAGCCGGAATAAAATGCGCATCAGTGCCCGTCCGTCCCAATTGATGATGGAGAAATACACTCCCCTCCCTACTCCCTCGAAACCCAACTCAGTTCCCGAATGTGGCACGATCCACGTCGAATTTTGCAACGAGACCCAGAGCGTGGGCACAAAACACATCCGAGCCTTCAACCAGTTCATCGACCAACAAAACTACCACGCCGGCATATTCATCACGCAGTCTCCCATCTCGCCATCAGCTATTAGACTGCTGACCGCCATCCCGGGCCGATTCTGCGAACACTTTCTGGAGCAGGAATTGCTGGTCAACATCACTCATCATGAGCTCGTGCCGAAACATGTACTCCTCAGCGCGGAAGAGAAGAAGAAGCTACTGCAACGATACCGATTGAAGGAATCACAGCTTCCCAGGATCCAGAGTGGTGACCCTGTTGCGAAGTACCTTGGCTTGAGAAGGGGCCAGGTTGTAAAGATTATCAGGAAGAGTGAGACTGCTGGACGATATGCAAGTTACAGATGGGTTACTTAGTCGGAGCACGACGAACGGAGGGTTCTCAGGAGTTCAAACGGTGCCTGGTGTCAGGGTGGATTATTCTGTTTACTTTCCTCTTTTTTGTTTTATACAGCAGAGACGTCTATGGGTACGTTGCATCAAGATACGGGCAACAAAATCGACTAAACCTGTCCCGTTCCGGTGGTATAAGACCAGCACTCTGGATCTTGGGACGGGATTAATTGTTTCTATTTGACATGTGTTCATTAGCCAGAATATACTAGCTGATTCCACTTTTACAATTTGAGATTTGGTTTAGATTCAATACCGCTGTATGGTCAAACAACGCCTCGCTCCACCTCTAAATTGATATCTCGATCGTCTAAAGTTGATATAATCTCCGGAATCCGCACGTTGAGCCTCAAACTGTGTCTGCGCATTGGCCTTGGGCTTCTGAAACCGCGGTCCACCAAGCTCCCAGTTTCAGCTCTGCCAGTAACGATGTCAGTTGTGGAAGCTGAATCTGATACAACGACATTTGCACGGAGTTCGGAGTCGGAGTTGTGTGGTTTGGGATATAGGGCCTGCCAATTATCTTGCTACCTCCTGATGCCGTCTAATTAAATTACAATATTCCGACGTCTACCATGAAGAGATGACTATGATAATATATTTACTATTCGTATCTGCCTCTTCGGCAGTAATTACCCTTCCAACAGCAAACATCGCTAAGGGCCAAAGCCGTATCGTAAACACATCTGTACATAAAGGTATACTCCCATGCTCCTTCGTATATACTCCGTTGATACCGAGGGATGCATAGCCCTTGTTTCCAAGAAAACCATTTGTCATGGCCGTCTCAAACAAGCAAGAGCATAAAAAAAACACAAAAAGGGGACGAACATGTCATCAACCGGCCGGGAAGCAGCGGGTAGCAGGGATAAAACGACTCGGTGGGGCGTGTCGAGGAAGAGACTGCAGCAATGCCGAGAGCGCCATGGCGGGGATAGGGGTAGAGGGAGGGTATTAGGGTATCGGGTATATGGTAAAAGGGAGAGAGAAATGGAAGACATTGACGGGTTGATAGGAGGTGGTGATATAGGTGTGGAACATGAGATTGAGACATGGGGGTTACAGCACGCAGGCCAGGGTATAAACAGCGAAGCAAAGAGCCATAGCATGGTATTTGTACATATCCTTGAACTCCTCCGACCAGCGAAAAAGCAAATAATATATGGAAGCCACTTCCGCTAACCAAAAAGCAACGTAGGATATATGTACGACGAAAAAGATGTCAAGATGTAAAGGTGTAAGATGTAAGATGTAAAGATGTAAAAGATGTAAAAGATGTAAAAGATGCAAGGTAGGAAATCCGTTAAATGCGTGTCAGATCGTAAAGGTACTTATTCTCGAGTATTCGGATAAGTGTGAGGTGTATTCGTAGCAAGAGGGCTGTAGGTCATCTCGAGTAGCGCATATTACTCTCGAGGTCGCGATTTAGAAGGCCGCCCAAATCTTGGAGTTCTGGGACTCCGGGCTGGCCTGGTGATTCGTTTCGGGGTTGAGTATCGCTCGGTGATATGGCAGGAGAAGATGGTCTTCTATCGCCAGGGGCTACCCGTGCTCCACTCACTAGATAGGCAGTATTGAGAGACGGGCGCGAGAAATTGGGTAATCCGCGCGTGGCAGGATTCGTCGGCGGAGAAGGCTGAGCAGCGGGTGAGCTTCCATTATTCGAAGAGGAGAGGAATCCAGCAACGGTCCGGAACAGGTGGTTTCGAGTCCGGGGTTCCTGGGTGTCCGTAGAGATATTGGGTGCGGTGCGAGCAGCGGCGGGAGGGAGAGGTTCATCGGAAGGCTTGGGATGGTCGAGGAGGCCACCGACATCGTTCAGAGATACCTTGGAGAGGGACATGTATTTGGAAGGGGTGCCGCTGTTGGATCTACGGACCGCAGGACGGGCGTTTGTTTCTATATACTCGTAAGGATGGACCTTTAGGCCGCTCAAGCTATCAGTAGTGGACGTACGGTCGTCATCGGCAGTGTGCTGCGCAGATGGGAATTGCCAGTTGGGATCAACAGATCCACGTTTGGGCAACACTGCGTGCGGCATGGCCACTGGCGCAGGACGGATCTTCTGATAGCTCAACGGTCGAAGGCTTGGGTCCAGTCGGATTCCCAGGTCGCTGACCAGGTCGGCATCGGATCCCCAATGATGGTGTGTGATGGTGGCGCGGCGGGAGGTTGTTTGCTCAAGGCTTTCGCTAAACGAGGCTGCCTTGAACTTTTGCTTCTTCAGGCCTCGGTCTCTGACGAAGGAGCCTATGACGATGGCATTCGAGACGGCGGCAGCTGCGAGAATCTCGAGAGAAGCGAGTAAGGTGCGGTATTGCTGCGATCCCCGGTGGGAGATCACGGATGGAATGCGGTAGCAGGTGATGGCTACCAGGGCCAGCGGGAGGGTGAACAGCAGCGTCAACGAGATCTTACGTCCCGTAGGCATGGCTGAGAGCTGGATGATGGGTATAGGGAACATGACCAGCAGGAGATCGGTAATAACGTTGCAGGTCCCCATGGTGATGAGTTGCGCAAAGCCTTGTCGACACTGGGGCCCCGGATCAGGGTCAACCTGCCAGTAATGATCGAATGGCTGACACTCGGTCAAAGTCGTAATGACGACTGCGATAAACGTAACCGCAAGGAAGAAGCGGATGATCTGAAGGACATATTGGAACGAACGCCGCCATATCTGCGCTGTGATCCGTCCCAGGAACTCGGCTATCGTGAATTTGGCCGTCCAGATGCTGTAGATGCGTTAGTTATATTCCATATATGAAAAGATAGAGAGCTCACAAGACAGCGTAGAATATTCTTGCGCCCAGAACCATGCGACTCCCGATCTCACGGCGATGTATATCGTCCAGAGTAAATTCGTGATAGCGTTGCGAGGCGTTGTTGGTGCCGAATATCAAGACAACATGGGCAAAACCCATCCGTATGAGCAACGGTATGATGCTCAGCGCCATCACCCAGTCTTCAGGAAACAGCCGCTCGGTTCGAATGTATCGGCCGCAGACGCGCACCAGGATGATCGCAAGAGAAAAACCAGTCGCCCACCAGCTCACCAGCAGCGTCGGATTCACCTGCGCTCTCGTCTGCGGGCTCGGGGGGTGTGAGTATAGCCGCGCGGCGATGCTCGAGACAAAGTGGTCGCCCATCGTGAAGGCGAGATGATGTATAGACGGACGAGAAAGAAGGACTAGGCTCCAGACAATAACGACAGTCTTCGATCCAGGACCATTGCATATATGATAGTACAGTATACGGGGAATCACTTCATGGCGTTCACGGACGAGCTCATCTGACGGCGTCCATGAACACAAGCCTTCTTGCACCTTGACCAGCCTCGCTCAAGCTATGTGAGCCAGTCATAGACACAGGATGAAGCAGATGAAGATAAAATCCGGGGAAAGCTCCAAAGACGCTGGATGTTTGATATGTATAGCCCGTGCCCTTAGCCGTTTATTTGGTCTTGTTTCTTTTTCCGATGCCCAACCACACGTGGAAACTGACGTATATACAGACATATACAAGAGGGGAGAAAGGGAGAGAGATGGAGAAGAGGGAGAGGCCAGGGCGAGTGGAAGAGGACGAACTGCTGCTCCACCGTCCGACTATAAGGCTCTATGGACAGGGAAAAACTGACGCCTGGGACGCTGGTCGCTTCGGCAAAGAGCGAGGAAGAGTAAGAGAGGGACAGACGGAACGATCGTCTGCGAGAAAGTCAAGCGGACAGCGGCCAGGGACCAGGGTGAAGGGTTTAATTGTCGACCCTCTCAGGCTGTGGAGAAACGGACGTAAGAAGCCGGCAGCGATTGGATACGAGCAACAGGAAACCGACGTCTAGCGGGCGAGGGAGGCCAGCATCAAGGCTCAGGATATGCAGTTATCCAGCGTCCGCTGCATGGAGATATCAGACATGCCGCAGTCATCCACGCGGGTGTAACAGTGAACCATCTCCCTGGTCCGTCTTCATCTTCGTCTTTTGTCTCGTCTTCATCTTTGTCTTGTCTGGCATCTTGTCTGCTATCGAGGAGACCGTGACTCCGGCATCTTACGTCAAGCGAATCCAACTTCACGAGATACAAGACGACTTCGGGCATGATTGGATCTTCGCTCGACCGGATCCACCTCTCGCCTTCTGGGCAGTTACTTTTCTACTTTCTTTTTGCTTTTTCCAGTCCCTTTTACGCTTTTCGTGCGGAGAGTTCAAAACGGTGATAGAGATAACCACTGATAGCTGATATGGATACAGACTACGGACTACGGAGTAGAGATAGCAAGACGATGATGAAGATGAAGAACATCAGGGCCAGGTCTATATCGTCCTCTCTGGCAGAGACACAGACAGACACAGCGAGGCAGAGCGAGGCAGGCGAGGACAGGGCAAGATGCATGCGCGAAAGGGTGGCGTTTGGGACCGATACAGAGAGCACCCCGGCCGAGCTAGCAAGCCATCCTGTCCCTTAATTGTGCTAATAAGATTAGCCAGTCGTTGGCTCGTTGGTACTTTGCAGCGTCGACCTATTATCGCCTGGCTGTGGCCTGATTAAGGTCGACAGACTAATAGACGAGGATTCACAGACCAGCCCCTCTAGCCGCCCATCTGGAGTATACTATTACGTCGAATAACCGTTTCTGGTCGTGTGATGTTGCCTCCATGGTCATCGACTAGCTCGTTCAGGAGTTTGCAGCCATATCCATGGTATCTCGAAACGATATCCCATTCACCGCCACGACGTCATTAGCTGGGTTGGGCGAAGTCGGAGCATCGGCTAATATAGATGCTCGGCCAACGTCTTCTCGGAGCGAGATATGAATTTGGAAACGTCTCTAGTCTAGGGTCTACTGGGGATGTGCTTGTTCCATTCGATCCCTAATCGTCAAGCATCAAGGTAGATATCTACGACCGCGGCTCCTCGGTGTACATGAATGTGTAGCTTTGTGGCTGACAATACCCCACACAAGCTACCAGTATATCTCTACCTCTATCTACGAGTACTAAGTATATACGGAGTATGAATCTATTTCTGAACCACACTCCTTAACCACATTCCTAACTAGACAGAAGAGACGGCTTGAATCTCCACAGCGTCCACGCGGGCTCACATAAGCATATACGGGCGCCTTCGTCCAGGCACCAAGACCAAGATTGCAGTCCATCGGAAAATTCTTCATCTCCGCTAAATCCTCTTCACAAGCCTCCACGAGCTCCGGAAGATCTTCGGCTCGTTTTCGAATTAACTTGATACGACGACCCTGCAACATCCAGGGAAAACGTGAGCCTACTCTGACGGTTAGGCCTATGGCATAGCTTCTTGTCCCGCTCCACAAACCACACGAACTGCTTCCAGATCTATTTTAATGTCGCGGAGATGGCTGGATTGCGGCGGTATATGGGTGCCGCCCAAGAAGCAGCAAAGTAAGAAGACGGATGGAAATGTGCGGATTAAGCGGCCTGAGCGTCCCTAGATATCGGAAAAGGGACGTGAGATAGGAAGGACATGAGGCTGTTGAAGGACCCATGGAAGACGAACCTTGCTTCGCGCGTCGTCTCTGATCTGCTCCTGTTCATCCGACGCGATATGCATACATCTGGAATGTGACTCGACGTCCTCATGGATATGCAGCTCATCAGGATTATTTCCCTGCCACCATCCAAGATGTAGAAGCATGGACTGGACCCCGTAATCTAATCATGGGCTCCTCCGCTTGCATCGAGCGCCATCGCTCCATCTTGATGCCCCCCTGCGCAAACCCAGGCGACCGGATGTACTAAGGACCCGATTCCAAGCAAGTACGGAGGAACCTTCCGTATCCATCGCATGATCTTCTCTTTTTCTTTCATTCCCTAGTCGAACCGTGCGAGAGAATACTTGCTACTTATGCACAGCCATGCATGCTATACTCACTTTAGTAATCGCAGGAACGCATGTTGAGCATTGGGCGCCCGCGATTACAAACAAAGTCTATATTATAGATTATATTATTATTAAACAGGAGCTAGCATGCTATACAACGCAGCGAGTGTGGGTGCGCGCACGAGTTAAGGCCTTGTCCTATATGTGCCTCCGTATAGCCATCGTCAACGCCATGACAGCTGCGATATCCAATTACTTTAACTGCCAAGGAGTTTGTTCGAGATGTGTCAACACCGGCGGTTGGCTATGCCTTGCCTGTCAGCCCCTTTGTTTGAACATATACCATGTTAGTCTGGCTATGGAGGCCTAGAGGGCCTCCTTTAATACGTCGTGTAGCCAGTGTCTTCGCGGCGGACACCTACATCAAGCTTGTGAAGCTATCTAGAAAGGAGTACTCCTAGAAAGGAAGGCTCCTAGATATGTGCAAAGCTGCCTGCATCGGCGAGGTGCTATAGATACTCCGTCCCAAGCTGTTTTTAGGTCAGATACGGGATGTCGTCAACTGTGTGGCTTCGCGGTGTTTAGTATGATATGATGTAGCCCGTCCTGTTTTAAAATGGTCTGCATTACTCGGCTCCCGGAGGCATGAATTTACACACTAAAGGTACCTGTTCCTGTGGAAGGGTTGACTATCAAATCGCCGTCCCTGAACACTTGAAACACCCCTAATCCGTCTACTCCGCGATCCATTTGAGTAGGTAGAACGACTTAACCAAGCTCTAGACTTGTTCCAGGTAGCAGGATAGAGGTCCAGCGTATCTGACCGTATACATATCGTAATGAGGCCTTATACTAACAAAATAATAGATATTCATCTAACATATCCACAGCGCTGAATTATGTCACCCACAAATTCCTTATAAGTGAGCCAAAGCATTATTTGAGCATCTTGATATGCTAAAAGGACTGACCAAGTGTCCCTGTGTGAGTAACGTTCATATCATGGTGACTTATAGCCTACGCCGTAACGTCGGTCGATACAAGCTATGCCAAAGACTACAACGCAGAGATAGAGTATTAGCCGGGGATCTTCCCTTCGCTAGCACATATCCTGCATATCTAACTGGTGTCCCGCAAAGGTCAGAGGTATGCATCATGCAACAGCGGGCGGAGCGTGGAAGGCCCCGTCCTCCTCCCTCGCTTTGATATGAGTGCAAAGATGCCTCCAAGCGACACTTATACAATATATATATATTACTTGCATGCAGCTAGTCACACTCCTACTATCCTGCAGGCGACATCTCAACAGTGCTGTGACGAAATTCTCCGAAACCTCCTTACTCGCGGTGTTATTCGTGATGATAACGCCCCCTTCGGTCATCCTTCTTCTCCCAGCCTCACCGAGACCCTCATCGCTTCGAGCTGCCCACCAACCTTCTCGCCAAAGGGACTGGCTCGGAGCATTCTCGTTTTCGTACCCAGACGCCATCGCCATACATGAATCTACACACGCTAGTCTGGGGAAGCGGGTGGTTGCATGTGCCAGAGAATATCACGTCTCGTCGATGGAGCCTATAAGATACGAGGAATTATGCAAATCTCCCGCTTTCATGATATAATTAGGCCAAAACTGCCTTGGATTCGAGCTTACCGCGAATGGCTGGTCCCCTTTGCTTTTTCTCTTCTTCTCTCTCTTTCTTTTCTTTCCTTTTTCCCGCTTAGGTCTCCCCTCTAAGCTTCTTTCTGGAGGCTTTTTAGACTTCCTTTTGCCCTATTCGATGCTTTGCATTCGATGCGGACCGTATTCTCATCACACGAGGGCGCCGGTGATCTTTACTCTCAATGGCCAATTCGATGTTGTATCTTTTGTGTGTGGGAGTTTTGTATCTCTCGGGCTCTCGGGCTTCAAGAATAGCTCTGCTTCTTTCGTTTTTGCTTTTTGGCCTTTGCTGCCTAACGAAGCCGGAGGACTCTGCATGTGTGATGGGAAAGATTTCTATGGTCTCTTCACCAGTAGAGCTGCCTTGCTCTTCTGCTGGATCCTGATTTTCGGCCGAGCTCGGCAGATGAGCCACTCATACAGAGTAGATGGCGAACAACTGCAATTGTTGTTCATCAGCCATCTTGGAACTCCTAATCCATTTCTTATACCCATCAAGGCCAGGCTACAATATGAAGACACAGGATGCCTTTGGAATAAGACCCTTAGAGCCGTTAAATGCTCTCTATACCAAACCGGCGATAGATTGGGGTCAAGATGAACACCAACGCACCTAGTCCCCGTATTCTCGGCGAGACGGTTCCTGGAAACCAAAGTGAAACAATCAGAACTATCAAGGCAGGCCAAGTGAGATTTAACAATCTAACTATAAAGATAGATTGGCGGCCCGAGCAAACAGGAGAAACCAGGCCAACTTAGGGGACTAATCCATGAAACAGTCCTTCTTCTATTAACGATGCCTTGCGTATGTGCAGTTGCTTCCCAACCCATATCGCCCATTCACAGCTTTGCCCTGGGTTGGGCCTCAAGTCTATAAAACTGTTCATAAAATTCCAATGACTTGGGATTCACCACTGTAGCGCTGACTTGCACTTATTCCCGCTGATGATCTTCTTAACAGCAATTTCAACCTTCTTACCATTGATGGTCACCGGTATTTCAGGCACTTGAAGGATAAACCTGGGAACATGACGCGGCGATAAGCTAGTTCGTATAGCCAGCCTCAGCCGTTGTTGAAGCTCGGGTGTCAAGGTTTTTTCCTTCTGGTTCCTCATCTTGATGAAAAGGAAGACCTCTTCGTCTTTGTCGTCCTTTCGGCGTCGTCTAACGCATAGAGTATCCTCGATTTCGGCGTTGGGGTCCTTCGGATATGGCATAGATCTCTGCACTGCCAAATCGGAATCCTGATGGATTCAAGACACCATCACTATGACCAACCGTTAGTCATTTAAAGGGTACATCCCGTTGTTCTCTTATCTGGGAGCATGACCTACCTTCTTCCGTGCATTGAGATACCCTTGGTAGCAGGATTCACGCTGATCCAGTCATGGAGGAAAGAGATTGAGAAGAGGCGAGGCGGCACGGCTTCCAATCCACCCATGTCTCCAACAGGTTTCCCCCCCTTTGTGCCGCGATATCATGAAAGCTCCGCAGCAGCTTTTGGCTTGGACGCCAGTTACCGACATGCCACTCAAGAAAGGGGTGGCTGCCATCTTTCGGAAGAAGATACCTTAGTCCCCACATATACTCCTTGCCGTAGTCACTTTCTGGATAGTTTTTCTCGATATCTTCACCAGGACAAAAGCGCATACACGTAAATAGCTCAGCCTTCTCCAACAATGGCATTCTCCCTAACGCCTTGACAAATGTTTCCAAGAATGGCTCTATAACCTCATCTACAGGCACGATTCGGAACATATTGGAACCAAAGTCCTCCCAGTGACCACCTTCCTCGTCCCAAACCTCGTCCCAATGCTCATCCTCGGGGTTTTCTTTGACTGGGGGGTAGTGAGCTTCGGTAACCTCGAACGTGGTCGTATCTCGGCCCTCCCCCCGCGGGCCTTGGAAGTACCATGTCCCAGAAGGTGACATAGGTTGAAATTCGACATGGAGATATTTCAAGTACGGCCAAAATGGAGACTTGGCCTTGTCTTCGTTGGGTAAAGGCCAGAAGAGATTTCTATCAATACATGCATGTATATTCAGGTCGACCACGCGCTGTGAGATTATGCGAAGGCCCGAGCTAAACGGATCGTAGGATAGTAGGCTAATCAAGTTAGGCAAGGGGAGGGTTTCATCATGACTGCCAAAGGCATATCGGAGACCAGATAAGATCTTAACACGTTCCATCTTCGCCGGTAAGGTAGCTGCGTTCTGCATAATGCTACCAAAGGCATGCCTTGCATCGCGCCACGGACCTTCCCATGGCCGGCTAAAATGAGTGAGAACAGGGTATTCATAAGCCAATGGCCACTCTTCCCGAAGCCACTGACAATCCAAAGCAACTAAATTGGGGAGCTTGGAAACGAGTGCGGGTAAAACACCATAATCTAAGGACTGCGAGGTGGAAGGCACACCAATCCTAGTATCACCTTTACCAACCCCATGCTCACCAACGCTAAGACTGTTGACCGACGAGAGAGTAGGCAGGTTCTTATGCGTGAGCAGGCAGAGGCGCCAGCTAAGATATTTACGGTGGTGGCAATCCTTGTGATTGTTATGATGATGGTAGGGAGCGCGGAGGCGTAAGTGAATGTTCCTTGGTTGATTGTGCGGGAGCTCTCGTTCCTCCAAGGTCTTGATCATAGTAAACAAAGCTGAGATTTGACGAGTAAAAAGCTCATTATATGACTGGAGGTCTTTAGCTGTCACACGGCATGGAAGTTCGTTCTCATCAGTGGATATCTGGGTCGGAAAGTCGTTCTCATCAGTGGATATCTGGGTTGGAAAGTCGATATGGATGTCTATAGAGCGGAGGTAGCGGCTGCGATGGCTGTGATATTTCTCTAGAAAATCTTCGATGCTACTGTCTGTTCTGAAGGTATAGCCGCGCCAGGCAGACTGCTCGACAGCGACTTGGAAAAGGCGTGAGACCGTGAGTAGCGGGCGGCGCTCATAATACTCGGCATGCTCGACGATGAGGTGCACGAGCTCTGGTAGAGCAAACGCTTTCCTAGCGGCCATGATGAGGCGACAGAGAATTAAGACATCAATGAGGGAATGGCGAATGCGGCGTTGGTGAGAAAGGGAGATGGAAGAAACTAGGGCGACCTCGCAGAGCTTTTCCAAAGTACTATCCCACCATCGCAATAAGAAGCAAGGATCCTGTTATAGTAAACTACGAGTATTAAACCATCTGCTCAGTGATATCGCCTTTTTAGCTCAACATCCGGCACCTGTGGAGACGATCCTGAGCCGCAACTGACAAGGGGGAGCTAAAATGCCCGTGGGCCCCTGAATGTGTTACATATTTTGACTTACCTCGATTCCCATATCTGGTGATATGGAGGAGAAGACGGCACCGATAGAAGCTGAGGCTAAGAGAAGCACAACGCTCCAGATAGATGTCGATACAATAGCACCAACTCTGTCACCTTGCTTGATTCCATGTTGTAATAGAGCACTTCGAACCACACGGATCCGTTCGTTGAGCTGAGCCCATGTTACAGGTTCGCCGTCAAGGGGATCAGACTCTCTCAGCCCGATGAGGGCTATAGCATTGGGATCCTTCCCTTTCAATATGTTCTCCGTGTAATTCAGCTGCACATTCTCAAAGAACGGTGGGATGCTGTTGAGTGGGAGAGAATCATCATATGCTCGGGTGATATTAGGGGGAAGTTCTGGGACAAGTCCAATGTATTTATACAGATCGATCCAAAAATCATGCGGCCTTTTGACGCTCCATTGTTGAAGTTGATGAGAGTTCTGAAGGTTAACATTGAATTTCTTATTTACCTGGAGCCGGTATTGGTCAATCGGGTAGTTCCCAGCATCCGGAGACACCCAAAGTGGCGTTTGTGAGCTTGATGTCATCCTTGGGTATTGCTCGAAGCTGAATTCTTTCCTGGGGTAAGAGAGCCGGCGTGAATATGACCACGAAGGCATGCATGACGCTTTATAGCACTCGCAGGCTCCATAGTCTCTAAACCGTCGATAATCGGCGCCGGCTAGGGTGGAATATAGCCTCGGCCTTCAGATCTTAGCGGCCTAAATATTAATTCACGACGCCGAGCGACTTCACCAACATATTTAATGGCGAACTCGAAATGAGAAGTTGAGATTATACTCGCTGCATGATGATACTCGCCAGGCTTAAAGATATATTGAGTGCTACCCTGTATAGCACCATGGCGGGGGGTTATTATGTCTAGATTGCCATTAACTCCGCCTTATCATATTCTATACAACACAAATAATGGTGATCATAAAACTAAAAGACGCTTAAATAGAAGTCATATAGTAGCGGCCATTGGTGACCGTTTGGCACACAGCTATTAGATCCGTGGCCTACCTCGAAAGAGATGGATTCGGCCACAGCAATAGCAGGTACCGCAACCCGACGAAGAATATATGATCTATACTTCATTTCGCAAGAGAAATCTCCATATTACTGTAGCAACAGCTAACAAAATGCCGATGAACAGAACTAGATGTAGGATATTAGTACCGGGTTCATGCTGTGGACGGGACTTGATATATTCTCCAAAGACTGACCTTGACTCTCAATGTATATACCACCTCTGCTCAATATCAATACCAATCGTTTCCACCTTAACAGCTGCAGCGTAGAAAATCCACCACAGCTCGATCCTTCGACGACCGAACAGCCGGTTGGCCCACGTTTACACTCAAGATGCCACCGTCTCTTTTCCATAATCTGGTTGACCTCACTGTTGCAGAATAACTCATCGGTTCCAAGCTCGCATTTCCTTCTGGGGACAGCAAGACCTCGCTCATGGCGTTCGATGATCCAATTCACTCTCAGGGGCAAATTGGTTCGTACCAATGAGTAGAAATAGCCGTTTGTATGCTTTAAAGCCAATGCGTCAGGATAAGGTAGCAAAGAGGCAATATGCATGTGGATTTCGGTGGGGAGGTTAATGAACGATTCTGCACTTGATATTGGTATTGTTGATTTGGTTGTTGCCATTGACGATGTTGAATCAAGAGCATGTTTCTTCGACCGAATCAGTTGCATTTTGAAGGTCAATGCAAGTGCTCTGGGGTAACGTATGATAGGAGCTGTGAATTGAAATGAACCCAAAGTGTTAAAGAACTGTTTGCTATATTCTCTGTAGAGAGTATGGGGTAGATATATATAGTGTTTTGGTAGTGTGTGTTGTCTCAAGTATCTAGGCACTATTTTTGTTGCCTGCTGCGACCCGTATTTCAGCTTCAGCCACAGCCACAAAGGCAAACTCCAGCTGTAGAAGGGCTGTACTGGCTATACGGATCGCTAAACCAAACAGCCCACATCTTGAAACTAATCATTGACATTGCCTAGATGGAAAAGATCGAAGGTGGTTTCGTTCCTGGGCCAAAAGCTGCAGATTATCACGTGACAGATATCGCCAACTCCGACCTCTGATATCGAACTGAGCTTCAGAAGCTCATCCGTTTGACAGGTTGATACCGTCAGCTTCAAGCCACGAGAACTCGAAAAGGAGGATCAAGCTGGCTACTACTACCATATTGAAATAGTTTCCATATACCAGAACCCAAAAGACGTATCGTTACCAGAGCTAAAATGAGCGACAAGAAATCTTTCTACAACCAAACCGTGTCAGACACCTCCTTCCGACGAACCTGGGATCGCGAGGCCTACACCGAAAAAGCTGCTTCAGACGAAGCCAAGGCGAAAATCGAAGCAAAAGCCCGCTATGAAGCTAAGCTACAAGGCAAAAAATACCATGCTCCCGTCGACTACAGCACGCTCGAGGCGACCACGTCTCGCGCAAAACGGCTCGATGTGGCGAGTCTGGTTGGAAAGACTACATTAGTCCCGGCAGGCGCAGCAGTAGGGAAAAGAGGCCGTGGTGCGGGATTCTACTGCTCTGATTGCGACTTGACGTTTAAGGATAATATACAACTCGTTGAACATTTGAATAGCAAGCAACATCTGTTTGCGACAGGACAGAGTGGAGAGGTTGTCAGGGCTGGTGTCGTGGAGGTTAGGAACCGGCTAAGATGGTTGGCGCATAAAAGGAGAATGGAAGCGGAGGAGGACAAGAAAGTTGGACAGTTGGATCTTGATCTTAGGATCAAGAATAGGGAGGAAGAGGAGGCGAAGGAGAGAGAGGAAAGGCGGAGGAAGAGGAATGAGAAGAGGAGGAAGACTGGCAAAGATGGTGTCAAGCAAGAAGATGCTTGGGAAGGCCGACTAGGCATTATTTCTTAAGGACTTCCTTCTATGGATGAAACGACTTGAACGACACGAAAAAACTGATGCTTTGGACCATATACATCTGATGAAATATCACCAGCCCGTTGACATATGGAGGATGCACCAAGCCACATATCAAGGTCATGAAGCTTTGAATTCATATGCCCTAAAACAACCCATAAAGCCGGCCAGACAGACCAACGCCACCCCCAACCACATTATATACATTATCGTTGATCAGACACTAACCCCTGGGCTAATCTATGCATTCGATACCATCTAATGCATGCATCGCACGTCCGCCTTCTCTTTCAAAGACACCGACCACCCTCTCACATTCACCCCGCAGTTTTTCCTCGCCCTTTTCTGCATTCCAGAATATCCACTCTTCAATATTCATACGCTTCTCAGGACTAGTAACACCGTCCTTGGCAGCGTGCAGAATGTCGTTCAAAGATAAATTTTCTTTCCCTGTGGGGTCTGGAAGGAATGCTTCATCCAGGTCAACGGGTTCCCAGGGATCGGCTGTTGCAAGCTGTCTCGAGCGTGTTTCCCCCTTTGCAGGAGACAAGACAGGGGTCTTTGTGGTCAGGGGTACCTTGATTGGCTGTGAAGTCGTGTGAGGGTGAGCCCTTGACATCGTTGATGGCCTACTCGAAGGAGGCTGGTTTTCTGCGTCGGAGGACTGAGGAGATGGGGAGGGAGTATTGTCACGGGGCGAAAGCTGCGTTGAGGGATTAGCGGTAGGAGGGCTTGCCTGTCGGACTTGCTTGGAGGGACGGCGAATAATAGGTGCCTCCCGCGTTGGGCCGGCATTCTTTTGAGACTGGGTGTCAGTGTCGAGATTCTGGGCGCTAGAGTCCCCTTCGTCCACACCTGCCCTCGTGTTTTTACTACTATTCCGTCCTTTAGACAATCGAGCCACTGGTTTCTCCCTATCGATTGTTGTATCCTCAGCTGGAGCAGCCGTTTCGGCCGTAGTAATATCCTTCACGTCGCCACTGTCCGCCTTTTTCTTTCGGCCTTTTGTACTACTTGTCGTAGATTTTGTCTTCTTGCTTTGCTTCACCTTTTTTGGCTCAGGATCTGGTTCCCTACTCTCTGCTTTGAGTTCTGGAGACTGTATTGGTATTGATACGACAGGCTCGTCCATCTCCACATCCGCCTCTGAGGTAGGCTGTGGAAGTTGATCAAGGTCACTCGCTGGTAGTTTGTCGACTGACGATGTGGAAATTTGCTTCTTCTTTGTGGACTTCTTCGTTGTATGTTTCTTTTGGGTCTCCTGTTTAGGAAGTTCATCGCAGTCTTCAACTTGTGGGCTCACTTTTCGGCGCACAGGTGCTGTGGGAGCTGTTGATGAATGGCGAGGTCGACCAGGTGCCTTTTCAACAGCTTTGTTAGTTATAGATTCCGTTGGAAGGTCTTTGTCAAGATCAGCCTCCAACTCGGCATCGATCTCGTCATCATTGGGAATCTGAGACTTCAATGGAGCGGTAGAGGCGTTGGAGGCGGTAGACGCCTTTCGCCCTTTGGAGGTGCTTCCTTTCTTACGTCCCCTCTTTGGCTGTGGCGCGGCATCCAACCCAAGCTCATCGTCTGTAGGCTCCGCATAATCGACAGTTGAACCCGTAGTACGTTGGGCCTTTTTGGTCCGCGTTGCCGTAACACGCTTTTTCTTGGGCTTCGGTTCTGGTTGGAGCCGGCTGTCCTCGTCCAGGTTATCCCACCCTATCCCACTGATTGCTTCGCTCTTTCTTTTTGTGCCCCGGGAAGGGCTCTCGTATAAAATCGAATCCTCTTTTCTGTCCAGCTTCTCAACTATGTCTGGCTGGCTAGGTAAATCCATCCCGTCTTCTTTTTTCAATTTAGAGCTTCGAGATTTTGACTTGGCCGTTTTCTTTGTTGCTTTTGAAGTGCTAGTTGCGCTCTGTGACATCATACTTTGGTCCATAGCATCGTCAAAATCAACAGTGGGCGCCTCCGACGCAGTTGTGGTGTTGGATTGCGTGGATAAACGTGAAGCTTTCGAGCCGCGTCCTGCCTTACCTGGGCCTCTACCCTTTTTAGGTTGTTTTGCAAATGCGAAGAAAGAGCAATCTGAGGAACGTCGATAGTGCTCATCACTAATTTGTAGGTTAGCACGTTTACATACAGAGAAGAGGATAACTTCAACGTACAAAGGTTTATCCTTCGGCTCCCATCCATCTAAGGAGAGCTTGCAATAGGGGCAGCTGACTAAATCGTCACTCTCTTCATTTGGGCAAAAGTACCACCCTGCTTCAACCATCTTCAACTGCAGTTAGATCCTGTGGATAGGACAGTACAGCGGTTATTAACTCGTACCTTTTCCGTCTTACAAACCCATCCTCGCTTGCCGTCATGTGGCCAGGAGAAGAACGTCGCTCTCCGAGCATCTGCGATTTCGGGGCCGGTTGGATCTTCAATTTGCGCAGGATCTGAGGTCTGTTGAGCTATATTCATTATAATTGCCCATCCACACTGGGGGGAAAACCGCAAGTGCTCTGCAAAAGGGTCATCGCCCTCTTCCCAGCCATCGAGCGATCGTTCGCAGAGGAAACAGGTAGTATTGTCGGGGCTGAGGGCGGTTGGCGTGTAGTGGAATCCGGCATGGGCAAGCTACAATCATAATATTAGCTTAATTCTCTCAGAGCATTTTAGCATCAAAGCAGCAGACGTACCTCATCTGGCGAGGGGGTGGTATATGGCCAGGTGGTTGACTCTGCTTTTCCGTGATGCGCGACATCGAAGGTCGCCAGCCGGCCGGCAACCGTCTGGAGTTCGAAAGAGGCAGTCATGGCAGCACTGTTTCCCAGGTACGAGTCCTCGTTCAGCGGATATCCCCTTTGACCGACGGTAGATGCTGGGGGGATGTTGAAGAGAAAAACGATCTCTGGATGTCCGGCGGCTGTTCTGTATGTTTACCCATTGCCTAACTCGGCCAGCCAAACACGCGCCGTCATGTGACTATCTTCTGCTTTGTCATCGTCTTATATCATTTCTTACTCATCGTCTTATGTCATCTGCTTACTCATCTGTTACGCCCGCCTTGCGCCCACCGCCCTCCGGATTTCTTGGCCTTGGATTCTGCCGCGTTGGGAATCCCTGCCGCAAGTTTGGACGAAGCCGCGCCGTCAACTTTCCACTTCCTGCGACAGATACCGATCCACGCCAGTCAAGTGTCCATGCGAGCTAGATATATACACTGTCGCAGCCTTTGCTGTGTGTTTTGCAAGATTCCCGCTCACTACCTGCAATGCGCCAACTCTACGTACGAGATTCCATTTGTTCCAAGCTCCTCAACAGAACCCGGCTCAAGAGTCCGTACTGACCTTTGATCAATAGTCCATGAGGCCCAGGCTGGCTCTCCCTTGCAGCCGTTCTCTGCCTTCGCCATTGACTTCGTTCGTCTTTGTTTCCAACTCGTCTTTCGTGCGGCTACTCTCTACCGAACCATCGTCGAACCAAGTTGGCTCTAACCCCGGCCCTCCACCGGGTTTTAACATCGATGCCCACCGAAACACACCATTATCTTCGTCGTCTTCATCGGCTTCATCGGCCTCATTGGCTTCGTCTCAGGATGCACCGAATACCAGCGGGTCTACTACTCCACGTACAGAGTCGGATTGGGAGGATAATCCAAATTTCTTAATTAAAAACTTCTCCGAGCTTCCTTCGAAGAATTTTGGGGTTAATCAGCATATGATTATCAATGAAGAATTCAAGGAAGCTCTGCGACAAATCCTTTGGCAGTTCAAGGCACCGATTCGATATGCATTCGCATACGGGTCCGGTGTTTTCCCACAAAGCGGATCGTCTGGAGGGAGCTGCCACCCATCACCTCCGCAAGCAATTCAGGCAGTGCAGCAAGGCGGCGGGAAGATGATCGATTTCATCTTTGGGGTTTCACACAGCCAGCATTGGCACTCTCTTAATCTCAACCAGCACCGCAATCATTATTCAGGCCTTGGATCTATGGGATCGTATGTTGTGTCCCAAGTACAGGAAAAAATGGGAGCTGGAGTCTACTTCAATCCGTACATCACCGTGAACGGGACTCTGATTAAATACGGGGTTGTTAACATCGACACCCTTTGCAAAGACCTAAGTCAGTGGGATTCGCTGTATCTTGCAGGGCGACTCCATAAGCCAGTCAAGATTCTGCGCGATCATCCAAGTGTCCGACTGGCCAATCAAGTTAACCTTCTATCAGCTGTGCGTGTTGCTTTGCTATTGCTGCCACCCGATTTTACGGAGCAAGAGCTATACCGAAAGATCGCGGGTATCAGCTACCAAGGCGACCCCCGCATGTCCTTTGGCTCGGAGGACCCCAGGAAAATCCATAACATAGTCTCAGCCCAGATTACGAATTTCCGTCGACTATATGCACCGCTAATTGACACTCTGCCTAATGTCTCCTTCAACGACTCTCGATGCAGCGACCCGGACTGGCTTGACAACCCAGACATCAACGTTACCTTGGCACAAGACATGGACCCTATCAAACGAGGTAACATGGTCCGGCGGTTGCCCAAATCGTTCCGGGAGAAACTCTACTTCCAGTATCAAGGTCGATTCCAGATCCCACGCGGGGAATTCGATATTATGATGCAAAAGACTGCCGACGAGGACCCAGAACGTTTCCATCGCCGGCAGGGAAGTGACTTTGACCGGAGAATTGCTGCCGAGTCTAACCTGAAGGATGAGGTAACGCTCTCCATAAAAAACACAATATCCTGGCCTAGCACCAGCCAATCTATGAAAGGTGTCCTCACAGCGGGTATTTCCAAGTCGATGCGCTATCTCCAAGAGAAACGCCAAAAGTATAAGGCATCAAAAGCGTCGACCTCGGAGTCACCAGAGGACAAGCCCAAAGGTGAATGAGCGCTTGTATATTTATACCATTCATCAAGAAGATAAAAATAAGGAGCTGACTCCTTGTTGTCTCTTGAGAATTGAGCATCGGTGGCTTGGCGTTTTGTATATTGATTTTTTGGAAATTTTCTTTTCTTTTCCATAGAAGTGCGTGACATCACCACTGGCGTTTGACTGTACATAGATATATCAAGGCCACCCTAGGGAATCTAGGCTATCAATATTGTCTCTCGGGAGGATATTGCTTATAACAAGTGATAATATAAAACATGATCTCATTCCAAACCGCGTTGAGGGGCGATATGTATGCATCTTCCCATCTACCTGGACGAGAAATAGAATGCCGTTCTACTCGAAGTGTTTACTGGCGACGAAGGCCTGTATATAGTTGATTTAATCTATTTAGACACATAATGTAACTTTAAACGGGGGGGATTTAAATAAGGACGGCTAAACATTGTGGAAACGCGGAGTAAACCATCTCAACTTCACTCGCTCCTCCAGTGACTATCAGAAGCAGAACGGTGTAGTTCAACCCAGCGAGAATGCCTCCCTTTGATCTTTCCAAGTGCGCAAGGCCAAACATCCTCCAATTGCAGCCATACCGATGTGCGAGAGAGTAGGTCTCCCTGTGTCGAACCCCTCATGCCGGGATGAAAAGCTCATGAGTCAGTGACTACAAGGACGACGGGACAAACGTCCTTCTCGACGCCAACGAAAACGCATACGGCCCCAGCCTCACTCTGGATGCCGTTAAGAAGGCTGCAGGCGCCGAAGACGGCTCGAGCCCTGGTGATATAGATTTCCTGGGCTTGCACAGATACCCTGACCCGTAAGCATTTTGCCCCCACCCCCAAGCGTTCTATCAAGGCGAAGAGGCTCTAACAAGAATACGACACTCTACCCCGATAGACACCAGGTAGAACTGAAACAGCTTTTCTGTAACCTGCGGAACACCGGGGTTCATACGCAGAAGAAATTGAAGCCTGAGAACCTCTTCGTCGGCGTGGGCTCCGATGAGTCGATCGACGCTCTCCTTCGATGCTTCTGCACCCCTGGCAAGGACAAGATCCTAACATGCCCGCCTACATATGGGATGTACGCCGTTAGCGCTCAGGTTAACGATGTCGAAGTTGTCAAAGTGCCATTAGACGCTGAACACGGTTTCCAGCTCCGTCCAGACGCCATCAATGAAGCCCTATCCGCTGATCTGTTGATTAAGATTGTTTATATCTGTTCGCCAGGGAACCCAACAGGTAACCTGATCAAGAAAGATGATATACAGAAGGTTCTCAAGCACAAGACTTGGAATGGAGTGGTGATCGTTGACGAGGCGTACATTGATTTTGCGCCTGAAGGGTCCAGTCTTGCGGAATGGGTAACTGAATGGCCGAACCTGGCTGTTATGCAGACTCTGAGTAAAGCATTTGGCCTCGCGGGAATACGTTTGGGAACTACGTTTACAAGCCCGGAAATCGCCCTCTTACTGAATAGCATGAAGGCTCCGTATAGCATATCTACACCTACCAAGTCTCTTGCTTCTGCGGGACTTTCGCCAGAAAACCTTGCGCTGATGCGCAAAAACAAGGAGAAGCTGATTGCCCAGAGGGCGAGGATACTCGAAGAGCTACCTAAAATACCCGGCATTGGTCGATTTCTCGGTGGTACCGACTCAAACTTCCTTCTCGTGGAGATGCTGGACGGCCCGCTGAGTGAAGGTGGGAAGCCGTGTAATAAGACCGCGCTATCTGTATATCAGACCCTGGCTGAGAAGAGGGGAGTGGTTGTGCGGTTTAGGGGTAAAGAATATGGCTGCGAAGGTTGTCTGAGGATTACTGTTGGAACAGAGGCTGAAGTATCAAGGTTCTTAGCAGATGTGAGAACTGTTTTGGCAGACATATATGCTGCATCTAAGTGAATAGCTGGGCAGGATAGAGATTATATCAATTTCATTTAGATCCCTAGAACATATCAATCTTAACAGGGTCATTTAAATCTGAGAGCCGCCAACACCTTAATCACCCCTTTGTTGAAATCAACGGCAATATTAATTCACACATGCTTGGGTATCTCTAGCAAACCGACCCCAAAGTAAAAATAACCAAAACAATAACACCTTTCGCATAATTAACCGAGTCCGACACCAGCCCGTATTGCAGTTATGGTTCCAAATTTATTAGATCTATTGGATCAATGTTAGCGGTGCTTCATACCTTAATCGAGGGAACTTCGACGAAAGAAACTTACGAGACGTAAAGGAGTTCTAACTGGGGCACGTCCGCCGTGGAGAAACATTGCAACTGCTTTGCTAGGTGTAGCTTGGAGCTTCCGATATGCTTCATGGACGTGTCTTGCTTCGATCGGTGTTCGTCCTTCCTCAGGGGGGTCGAACAACCCTGTCTCTCTTTTCCGTTTCTTCTTCTCTCCTGATCCGTCCTCAGAGGCTCCAAGGCTTTTCTTGCCACGGTCTTCCTGCTCCTTGACCTTCAATGCCTCCTCCGTTAACGTTTGCACGATTTCAAACGTCAGAAAACCAAGGATATCGACAATGTCATCGTTCGGTTTGAAATCTGTAACGATCCCAAAACCTGCCCATTCTCGGAACCGTTTCGCTTTTCGGAACGTAAATGAGGCTTGTCGACAGTCGGACCAAAATACATATTCTTCACGGGTCATATTTTTGGTTCGCTCGTCAGCAGTAGCTAGGCGTTGAAGTGTGGCGTAATTCTGTTCCTCTTCCTCCTCGTCTTCCTCGTCCTCTCTTTCCGGTACCTGAATGGAATATAAACTGTTAAGATCCCAGGGAAGGCCGATTTTTGCACGTTTGTTCTTAGGTTTGGCAGCGATTTCTTGCGGCCCGGCAACACCGGCACCAACGAGGGCATCGTCTCCGGCTCCAAAGTCAGCGGAGTCTCCGCCACCTTTATCGTCAGAGTCTTTGACGTTTTTTCGAACGTCCTTCCACGAAAGGAAAGTCTTTAGACGAGACACCTTGGCCTTGTCATGCCGTATTAAGAAGAATAAATCGTCTGTCGATATGGATCGTACACCTCGACGAGCAGCCAGCGTGGTACTTCGTGAAAGCTTGTAATCATCAGCTGAGTATAAAAGCGCCAGGTTTCGGGTTGGGCAAACAAACCATTTCTATTACTTGTTGGCGTACTATTTCTTCGATAAGCGTGGTGGTTTCTGCTGACGCCTCCGCCGACTCGCCAGACACGAACATCATCTATGCATATCGTTAGCTTAAGATCATCAAGCGTAAATATTTAGCCAGGCATAATATAAATCTTTTGAAGTCCATCCGCAAATATAATAATCTCGCATTAGCCAAGGAGTGCCTCCTCAGCAAGGGTATATTCTTGGAAATTCTGAAACCTCCTATCTGTAATGTATCTCTAATGGAAATACTGGGCCCCTCAGGGCCTAGAGGCTATTTCATGATGTGACTGCCCGTAGAGACGCCTTATACAAAGGATGGGTGCAAGGAGAATGGACCAACCTGCTGAATCTCCTGCCGGTATTTCGGCGACCGCTCCGCCATCTTGAATGAGAGTTCCGCTTGGGAAAAGTTTTAATATAAAATATTCTAAGATTTGATAAGTGGGATTTAAATGTCTTGATAGATATTGGGGATTGAACAAAATATCTTGATGGAAAATGCGCCTGATTGGGATGAAGCTGGAGGACGTTCAAGCCACAAAGGCAGGTGAAATGACAGCTTAGTCAGCATGACGGTTAGTTTAGGTAAGCTGGAAACAGTGGCAGCCCTTTCCATGGAAACAGTTGATATCATGTTGTCATGGCCAAGGATAAACGTCAGGTTTATGTAGTAATTGATATTATATTTTCAGAGCCATTGCTACTTTTTTTAACAGGTTATATTCAATGCAAAGTACCCAAGCAGATCTGCTCTCTCTGAGTCACGTGACTACTATACATACTTCAAGACTATGAATTTCTCCCTCTATCTAGGCTGTATTTAATCAAGTAAGGTGGCCATGGCCCTCCTATCTCATTCAATATTCGTAATAATAACTGGACTTCATAAATGTCATCTTCGTGCATCTGATATGGAAGGTCGAGAAAATGCTTGGCATAGATCATGATGCCAAGACTAAACATCCCGCCGATGCTAGTTTATCGTGATAACAAAAAAAAAAGATGATGAACCGCCAAAGGAACAATTGAGATATCAGAATTATTGAACATGCTCTACCTCGTGGGACTTGGTCTCGCTGACGAGACTGATATTACTGTTAAGGGTTTAGAGATTGTTAAAAATGCCGAACGAGTCTATCTCGAGGCTTATACGAGCATTCTACTCGTTGATACATCCAAGCTGGTACGTCGCCCTGGTTAACCCCGCCATTATAACTCGTAACTAAATAGCTAACGCAGCTGAATTTCAGGAGGAATTCTATGGAAGACCAGTGATTGTAGCGGATCGTGAGATGGTCGAGTCTAGCAGTGATGAGATTCTGCATAACGCGGATAAAGTAGACGTTGCCTTCCTTGTTGTGGGCGACCCGTTCGGGTACGTATACTCCGTCAACGTTTTTCTACATTCGGTCTTGAGTTTAACTAACTATATGCTGGACCTTGCCTACAGAGCGACCACACATACCGATCTAGTTCTCCGTGCCCATGAGCTAGGGATCGAGATGAGGAATGTCCCCAATGCCTCTATAATGTCTGCTATCGGCTGCACGGGTCTGCAACTCTATAGCTTTGGTCAAACTGTCAGCATGGTGTTCTTTACCGAAACCTGGAAGCCATCATCTTACTACGATCGAATCAAGCAGAACGCTGAACATGGCCTGCACACCCTCGTCCTTCTAGACATCAAAGTGAAGGAACAGTCGCTAGAAAACATGGCGAGAGGAAGAAAGATATACGAACCCCCGAGGTATATGACCGTTGCGCAATGTGCAAGCCAAATGCTTGAGACCGAAGCGGAGAGGCAGGAGGGGATTTGTGGACCAGAGAGCTTAGCCATAGGTGCAGCCAGAGTGGGCGCCGTAGATCAGCAACTTGCTGTCGGCACTCTCGAAGAGCTTACCAAGATCGACATGGGAAAACCCTTACATTCCTTGGTTCTCCTGGGTACAAAAACCCACGAACTAGAACGGGACTACGTCCGCCGTTTTGCTATAAACACGACCACGTTCGACGAGATCTGGAAGAAGCATTATGAAGCCAAACCATAACTAACAGATCGACTCCTCCAAAATTTCACTTGTAAAGACGTCAAGCGTATTATGGATGAGCCCCTGATGCATGTTTAAGTCGTAGGCCACGTGACAGTTGGGGATGGGCCATGAGCACTTCAAATCTCTCCAATTACAACAATCTACCTGTCGGCTTTCCTTGCCCCTTTTATTCTTTTGTGCACATCAACAAGTGAGCTGAGGGCTCGAGGCTGAAAGCCGAACTTCAACTAACCCCCCGACCTGTGCAATCGAAATCGCCAATGTTAGGTTTACGGTTACTCGACATGCCCATTCTTCATAATTCACCGTGAGCCATCTCGCTATAACTTCAAGCATGGTAGTATACATCGTTTACGGTTTCCGCTGGTCAAGGGTTGGTACGCTCGCTGCACCGGGGATTCGCCCACATATCGTGATGAACGACCTTCTAGACGCTACCTCCGACTATATTCAAGAGCCACGCACAGCCAAAGAAGTTATACAATCATTTGAGCAGTTCGATCCCAGTATATCGTCTCATATTCCAGGACTTGCATTAATAGAACAATATGACCCCGAGGACACCAGCAGTTCAGCCACCGGTCAGCCCTATGCTTTTGTTTGCGCTAAGGTGGTTGCGATCGGAGGCGGCCCAGAACCACAGTCCAATTCGTTTCTTAGCCTCGACCTGGAAGAATTTATGAGTAAAGGCCCAGGTTTATCTTCGGAAGCGTCAGCTACCTTTTCACGGCTGCGGGAGGTTCTAGCCCCCGATGAGAAGATTCGGTGGTGGTTAGTATATAATGGGGACCCCGAGAGGTTTTACCCGGAAACAGATGACGAGATTGATGCTATCGAGGAGGAAAGTGATAGTGATGGGTTAGAGGACAATATTGACAAGCGTGGTCCACCTGTATGTGTCCATGGACTACTTGGTCCCATCTACATTGCGCTCCCATGGTTGCTGATATCTTCATAGCCCACTCGATCTAATATACCGCCTGCTATTCCGCCGAAGCCCAAACTCGAGCTTCCCACAAGAGCTAAAAATTAACTAGAAACGGTGCATGCCCATAAACGATGTATGCATAGACCAGACAATTTAGCTTAGCCTATAGCTGAATATGCTCTCTGGCGCCTGGTCCTTATGTTGCAATATTGGAGAGTACCAAACATAGTATTTATATAAACAAACCATCCATCTGAGCATGTATTTATGCTGGGAAAGATATCAAATGCGATGGAAGAAGCTTTAACCCCGTATATTGCTTATTATATAATCAAAGAGATAAGCGCTGTAGGCTTGGCATCGACGGTGACTTCATCAAGCGGAAAACGGGCAAGGGAAGAGCTTCAACAGGCCATCGCAGGGCATATATCGTGAGGACACCAACACCAAAACAATTTCGTGATGTGATAGGGCCTGAGTGCCATCTACACAGCTCGTCAAGGCATGGTTCTCTCGTTCATCATCGTTCAGAATCGGCAGTAAGCAGTGCTATCCATCTGTCCTTATCGCGTACAAGGGGGAGGGCTAACGAGCCTCGTAGAGGTAAAACCCGCCTGGCAAAGTGGTATGCGCCGTATAACGTAAGTGTTCGGAATCTCTTACTGTCCTATCTACTTGGATACGATACTAACCTGTTAATTCTATAGGATGACGAGAAAGTGAGATTAAAGGGCGAGGTATGAGCTCCCCCTGAGCATCGTTACCAATTCCGCATCCGCATTGAATGCCTTCCGTACCGAATATGTCCATTGTCTGACTTCAAGCCGCTGGAAACACCAGGTCCATCGCCTCGTTGCCCCACGAGACCAGAAGTACCAATCAAACTTTGTCGAGTTCAAACGCAGCACCAAGATAGTTTACAGGCGATACGCAGGGCTGTTCTTCTGTGTCTGCGTTGATGCGAATGACAATGAGCTAGCATACCTGGAGGCCATACATTTCTTCGTTGAAGTTTTGGATCAGTTTTTTGGTAACGTGTGCGAGTTGGATTTGGTCTTTAATTTTTACAAGGTATGCTCAATGGGATAGGAGAATTCCCAGCTCAGCTCCAACTATAGTCAGGATGGAAGTTATGGTGTCGTGGCATCATCGGAATCATGGCAAGGCTCGTTGTTGGTTAACATGGACTAATTTGAGTTGTGTATATTATAGGTTTACGCAATTCTTGATGAAGTGTTTCTAGCAGGTGAAATACAAGAGACGAGCAAACAAGTCGTTTTAACGAGGCTGGAGCATCTGGATAAACTGGAGTGATCATCTGAGGACTTTTTCATAGCCAATACGCGCTGTTGAATTGGCGCAGCGGCCGTGGAATAGCCGGACAGAATGTATATACACCCCATATGAATGATATATGTACCTTCCAAACAGCCTCTTTAGTAGGTACGAACACAGACAGCCCAACTTAGTCAACTTGGCAAATACAGAATATTTGATCGAGGCCAGGATTTCCTGGTTGTGTTTGTCTGACCGCTTCTATGAAGGTAGGATGATCCCTATCGAAGGTCCCCAAGAGTCCCAATTTTCTATATCATTTTCTGGGGATCTAAGGACAGATCTATCAATAAGCAAAAGAACACGCCGTTGGTTAGATAATATAAAGTCTCTTAATATCTATAAGGATGTATACTAATAAGGAGAATAGGGATTGAGGTATAGGTTACTCACTGAGATGTATAATCCCAACTTTATGCAGAAGCAAAGATACTAAGAATTGCTTCGCCAGGCATATTCCTCATAGTAGGATCCTATGTTCACACAGTCTTACGCGTGCCTAGGACTGCCGTGATATCAATTTGGAGATCCGGCAGCGATGTTCCGTGTTGCTGCCGATACTGACGTAGTATTTTCTTCATTATTATATTATTAATTTGATGCTATTTATTATTTGTCATTTAATATTTATATGAGGGGTAGTAGCGTTGGTTCTACTACGGTCGAAACAATGTAGTTAACTAACTACATCCAAGTTCTCAACATCTTTCTCCCCTTGTATACCAACACCAACCAGTTGATAGATAATGGCAGCAACTATAGATCTCTCTCAGCTTCCAGACATTAGCGACCAGCTGGTCACGCCAGACAACCCGGCCCGCGACTCAGCAGAAGGGATGGATGTCGCCCGCTGCGTTGCTCTACACAACTACCTGGTTCACTATGCCTGGGTGGCCCAGGGCCGTTCGCCAGATTCTCTGCGCCGAAATAGCTATACCTATTTTGCAGTCAAAGGCGATGCTGCAGAGGCTATCCGTCCTAGGCTTCACCCGTCGCTGGCGGCTTTCCTAGACACAGCGATACTGCCTCTTTACCAATACCGTCCCTCTGGATACCTGTTCTACTACGCTCATTATTTCAATGACCCGCGATATCTATTCGACAACGACGCGGCCGACCTGCAGGATATGCCAGCGGATAGTCTGGTGAACCTCTACTCAGGCGGGATGGAGATTGAATCCGGCGGTGGTTTGTTCTACCATCAAGGCTCCCATTGCGCCGTGGTCTTTATGCATATGGATGCCCATGATCAAGCATTCCCCATTGAGGCTCATGAGGAGCTCTGGCACCCATTTGAGACGGTGCTCTCTAACTGGATCAACCTGATACATATCGGCAAAGTTGTAGGCTCGCTCCCTGATGAGCCAGGCTTGTTCGACTGTGAGAAGTTCATGTGCTGGGAGTGGCGGCCCTACAGTGATGCTCAGGTCGATACTTGCATCGCTGCGTGGGACCGGTTGTGTGAAGCCATCGAGGCGCGCATCTCGAGCAGCACGGCCGGTAGGGCGGTTGATAATAAGGATAATGATAATAAGGATAATAATAACCGCCGTAATTCAGGGTTAGTCCCCCAGGCCGTCCTGGATGCTGCTTCAGTGCCTGATCCCGGCTTTGCGCGTGCCTTTCTGACTCGTGCACGACGGCCGCTATTCCATCGCATTGCTCCAGGGCTTGTCTTGCCCGCAATGGACGAGGCTGGATTTGCGGAAGAACAACCGTACACCCGCCTGCCTCGTTCCTCGCCTTACTCAATACCGCCCGTCTGCCTTTTCCCCGCTGCCGGGGAACATCTGGTCAAGTTGACAAGCATGACGTGCGCATTTACTGATGACTTTAGTGCATCGTCTGTTCATTCAAATATTCCACCCCGAGTGAATGCTGGTGTCTATAGTGAGTCTGTTGAGCGGAATCGAGTCGACAACGCGGAGGAAGGATTTCGGCTGTTACTTCCCTTCAGCTTTATGGAGCGTGATTGGGAAAACACTGGTTTAGGCGCGCGGAAGAGCGACGGGTCTCTTGCGGGCGCGGATTCACCAGGGAATGTGGGATGCCTCTTTCAGCATGGATACAAACCGTTTGGCGGCGAAAACTTGCGCCCCCAGCGGCTGGAATGTTTGTTCAATTGTTGGCGCAAGCTCATAGTCGATAGCGTCTGGTCGGTTGGGCCGGAAGGGGTGGAAGGCACCCTTGATACGTTCAGGGAAGCCGACGGAGAGCGTTGGAGGCACTATTACATCCCGCCCTCATGGTAATCACTCTATAACAAATAGGATGGTCTATAAGATTGAAGTAGGTACAGTATTTAGAAAAAGGTTTTATTAACTAGACTCTATCATCCAGAATATTTATAAGAATGGCTCGGTGTACAGTGCATATATCTTAATGGCAGATCGGGCTAGAGGAAGTAACACTTTCGGCTATCGATAGGGTTGCTATCCATATTGACGAAGAATAAATTATTATTATAATCAAGACTAGATGCTTCAAAAGTTGAAATTGCGCAGAGGGGAGATCATACGAGTGCCTATTGTTCTGGCTCCAACTGCTATAGTGGCGCCTGTACGGAGTAAACGTTGACGATAAACTCGGCAGTATATACTGAAAATAGTGCCAATAATTAGTTAATTACCGTGTTTAATGCATTTCTTGGGTATTTAAGAGCAGCTGTATCGACTGGAGGACGCTGTTGCTCCAGAAGTCGTCTCTCATGACCACTTCGCCGTCAACGGGGTATTGGGCTGCTCAGCTTCGTCACTTTCTAGTTAACACTTTGCTGGTATATATTAATCCAGTTATCAAGCCAAGTGAGACATTGGGTATAGTAGCTATCCTAGTTCGGGTATAAAAATGTGGACAACACTGTCAACGTCCAGATCCCTGAAGAGATATTTCCTATCTCCAAAGTTTCGCCTGGCTAATCGGCACCCTGTTTATATTACATATCAACTAACTCGTCCGAGCTGCCATCAAACAAGGGCCAGGATATCTCAACGACGCCGGGATGTCTCTAGCGAGCTGGCATGGGCGACTTATATTCCCCGCGGGGAAGAAACAACACGACAAGACCCCTGAGCTGATCTCGTCACCGTCTCTATCCATGGTTGCAGAGAAGCCTCTCGCCCGTCTTCCGAGCTGCATAGATTAACTCCGCATGGTACGGACGAAGAGCGCTGGTCGAAGGGGGCGGACTCGCTTCTGGAAGACTGCTATCCCCAAGCAGAAGGTCGGGCTCCCAACTTGTCGCCGACATCTTGACTTTTGGCCTCCTCCCCCTGGCAACCAAGCTACGACAAAGCTTGGTCTAGGTTGTTTGGCCAAGGGACCCGTAAGTACGAGCCTGCTCATGACGGACGAAGAGTTACTCAACTGACCAGAATCCAGGGCAGCAGAAGTCAAGTGGCAGACATCTACGGGGTGTCATGAAGGAATTGTACGACCCAACGCCTGCTTCTGGCAATATGCTGCGTGATCAGGCTCGTCCATACACAGTTCGAGTTCGAGTTCGCCGTGATGTCACTCGTGTCTGAGTCGCCCTTGACCTTGTCTAGGCTAGTCTTGGGGGGCGGGTAGCAAAGGAGATGCAACCTTGTCGATGTCGAATTTCTCTCCTCCATCCAATTTGCCTGACCTCGGCAGCCAACTGCGATTCTCCATGCTCCGTCTGCTCGGCCGCAAGGTTGGACGGGGAGTTACCATGCCTGTCAGCGGGGAGGATCAACGCTCTCCACAGAGTCCGTTGACGAGCTGTCCGGCCGTCTATATATGGGCCATGTCTCGCACCCGCGTGGAGGAGTTTTCGCCAGCCCAGAGTCTCTTGCTGAACTCGAGTCAACATGAAGTTCACCAGCTGCTTCCTCCAGGGCTCTGCCCTTGCTCTCCTCGCGGGACTGGGGTCGACCTTCGGACTCTCCAACTCCAAGTTGGTCAGAGACCTCCATGATGCCGCCATGATGGGCATGGATCCCGATGTCGTTCTGCACCCTGAGCAGTTCAAGGCGCAGATGGCGGGTATCCAGTCTGCCAACCCGGTAGCAGAGACCTTTGACGTATGTGCTCCCCTTTATGTCTGTCATATATGGCCAACCTTGTTAACAATCTGTTTAGATGCCAATTGACCACAAGGGCAACAAGACTGGCACCTATAAGCATCGTTTCTGGATCAACGAGCAAGATTACAAGCCAGGTGGTCCAGTCTTTGTTTTCGACTGCGGTGAAGCCGCCGGTCAGAGATATGCAAACAACTATCTCTTCAACGAGACCAACTTCTTCAGACAGTTCACCAAGAAGTTCAACGGTATCGGTATCGTATTTGAGCACAGGTATGACGTCTACTCTCAAAGCATTGTAATATGAATACTAACAGTGGGTAAAGATACTACGGAGAATCAACCCCCTACCCGGTTACCGTCAACACTCCCCCAGAGCACTTCCAGTATCTCGACAACGACCAGGCTTTGGCAGATCTTCCATATTTCGCTAAGGACTTCAAGCGAGCTGCTTTCCCCGACACTGATCTCAGACCAAATGCTACTCCATGGATCATGGTCGGAGGATCTTACCCCGGTATGCGAGCTGCATTCACCCGTGACAGGTACCCAGAGACCATCTATGCTTCGTGGGCATCCTCCGCACCCGTCCAAGCTCAGATCGATATGGCCGTGTACTACGAGCAGGTCTACAGAGGACTTGTCGCTTACGGCTGGGGCAACTGCACCAAGGATATCCACGCCGCATACAGATACATTGACCGTCAGCTCTCCAGAAAGGACAGCGCAGCAGCTATCAAGAAGCTCTTCTTGGGTGAGGGCGCCGATGCGGCTAGCAATGGTGACTTCACCGCTGCTCTGATCGTTGCATACGCCGGATGGCAATCATCCGGAGCCGACGGCCAGGTTGGCAAGTTCTGCAACTGGCTCGAGACCGATCCCAAGACGAACAAGACCGCTCCTGCTGAGGGTTGGGCTCCTACCAAGGGAGACAAGGCCATGGCCGAGCGTTTCGCTGCCTGGCCCACCCTCGCTGCCATGGTCAACGCCAATGCCATGACCAACTGCAAGCAAACTGACAAGTCCAAGCCACTCGAGTGCAAGCTCGACAAGCCAAGTGAGGACCCAGACTTCATCAGCTGGATCTGGCAATACTGCAGTGAATGGGGCTACTACCAGGGCGTAAACTTCCCAACACACGAGATCCTGTCCAGGTACCAGACCAACCAGTACAACCAGGAGTTCTGCTACCGCCAGTTCCCTACCGGTGTCAAGAGCGGCTACCTTCCACGCGCACCCCAAACCCACAAGACCAACCGTGCTACTAAGGGATGGCACATGCGCCCATCCAACGTCTACTGGAGTGGTGGTCAGTGGGATCCATGGAAGACTCTTTCACCACTATCCACCGAGGTCTTCGCCCCTCGCATCGAGGTCTCCAAGGAGATCCCGAAATGCAACGTTTCCACCGGTCCAAAGAAGATCTTCGGCTACGTCATTCCAAATGCCCAGCACGTCTACGATTTTAGGACCTACTTCAAGCCCGGTGCTGTTTCCAGACAGCTCTTCTCGGACGCTTTGGAGGCATGGCTTCCTTGCTTCAAGAAGCATTAGATGAAAAGGGATACTAAAAGAAAAAAGAACGACTAATGTCGGAATGATTTTCTTTCTTTTTTTCAGGGTTAAGATAAAATGACCTGTATATAAATATATCTTAGAATCATACATATGTTTCAATAAGCCAGCGCGTTTCTACAGTAGTATTATTAATGGGCACTTGCCGGTTTCAGGTCTGAGTATCCTTGACTGCCTCGATGCATGTATAGCGACGGAAATATAGGTAGCACAGTTATCTGTACAACAATCCCATAGAATCAAAATGTTTACCTAGGTGATATCGATGGTCCAAGCGAACAGCATCGAGTTGATGATAGAGGGTTGTCCGTTTTAGGAAAGTCGACATCTAGATGGCTTCAACATGCTATCAACTATGGAAAAACAGTCGCAGCTTGGGCACCGTTAATCATGATCGTATAGTTCCACCATTTTCACGGCTACTAGTGATACTAATATACTGTTCGACGAGCCTTCAATGCCAATTTCTCAATCTTAAACCATCTAGCATCTGGCTGGTAAATCCGACTGAAACATCGGCTGACAGGCGGCACAACGGGTGATCTATAAGGCATTACTCATGTCCGAAGTATGACCCTACTTCCGCCTAAGCCGTTGGGAGACGGATATGCCACGTGTGTGTGACGCTGTGTAAATCGGGAGGTAAACAGCGGTAATATCATATTGTGAAGGATGATATACCGAGACCGAGCCCCAATGTAGAAAGCCATTGTCTTGAAAACGGATCTCCATATTCAGGTACAGTCACAGTTAGTATAATCCCTTCGAAATAGACATACCGTTGGAATTCCCTAGTCATTGCTATTGTTTGGAAATAAACAATTACAAAGGTTTCTCAACATATGTAATGAATTCGCGGTTAGCAGGGCTTATAGGGATTCGTCTGAAAAAAATACATATCAAGGAGGCATCTGGTTTCACGATCCTTCGGCATTTACATGTCCAAGCTGTTCCCCTTGGTGTCCGCCAGCATTATCTGGATATGGGAAAATCGTTGGTATTTAGTAGTCGTTTGCAACCATGCACCACTGCCAATCTGTCCCCTTTATTCTGGCACCGGGTACTGGGTTAACCAACGAGACCGCTAGGGTCTACGCCGTATGACTTATGCTGTAGCTAAAAAGGGATCCACGATGCAGTAACGACGATGCAACTCATTCCTGCGCATGGCGTACATTGTGGAACCATGGCGAGTATAATTTGCTTTGTTTGCCCTGGTTTGATATAGAGAAATGAAGTTCCCATGGCTAAGGTTGCTGCAATATGTCCTATTCATCAAAGAGAATCCTATCATCGGAATATTGAACGTGCTTAACTCCGTTAGCTAGTTTTCTGAAAGCTTTGCCGTATTGAGGCCGAAGCTCGGTGAGACTCCCAGGCAGTTACACCACATAGCATTCATATTCTCTCGGAATTAGCGCCTTCGAATCAAAAGTCTAGATACACAGTACTTACAGGTAGATCGACTATTTTCCAGTGGAGTCAGTTGAACTGCGACTTATGATCCGTTGCACTGAAAAAACGCGTCTTTCTCGGTACTTTTGAACAAGCGACATTAGAGACTTTCCCACCGGCAAGATTCCAGCATTCCCAGCAATGCCACCTGACTTAAAGCTATTTCGTCGTAAATCTATGAAAACTGGGGGTGTAGAGTGAGAGCTGTTGGTCGTGATATACCTTGGAGGTTATAAGACGGTTTAGAGGCTTTGGTTGTTTCAGCCGCACACAGCGCACCAACTTAACCACACATTCTTCGCACGGTATCACTCGCTACGCATACACCTTTCCAATCAGCTTCATATCCGCTCATGCAAGCCTTGAGAAGCCTCGAGATGTTTCAAGAAGCCTTGGGCAGCCTTGGGCAGTGTTGAGATGCATTGTGACCCTTCCTGGCGATCCTGGGGCTGCGGATCAACAAAAGCAATGCATTCAGTATTAGCCATTATACGGACGTTGAACAAACAACAAATATAAGATGCTGTCGCGGAATCGGCAGCGAAATGCTCCAAGTCAGCTTAGATGCCTCTGTCGATACGCTTCACCGAGAGTTACCGCTTCTTTGACAGGCTATTAATATTGCATGAAATGGCTGGTTACACGCAGAATGTCAGCCAGCTGCGCGAGAAGAAGAAAGCAGCCAATGCCGACATTCCACCAGAATCCTCTCGGCTGATGTCGTGCAGAATATGGGCTTAGGTGTGCTGTTTTTCAAACTCAGCTGGCGGAGAATATCTACATGCACTCAACCAGTGCCGGTGTGCCATATTGCAAGGACCAGGGGGCTTCAAACCCCTTGAAGATCTATTCATCCCTAACGGATAACAACAATATGATCTTGCGCCCGACGACTAAGGAAGCGCTGCTCCGCGTCTTTAGCATTGTCTGTGGGCGCTGACCCCTGCAGTTTCCCGCCGGCAGGGACGTCCGTTTCTCCAAGAAAGAGATACCACTTTTATGAGACGGTACGGATGGTACATGGCTTTTCTTTTTACAATGCGAGGTTGTACGAGAGCTTCGCTGTATAGGCACGCTGTGGGTACACCGTCTAGATACTTGAGATACCCTGTTCACTCCACGGGCTGAGGGTACAAGGTTAGACAGACCCCAGGCACGAGCCGATTACCCATATCATACTTTTGATATAAGTAGGCCTTCTACTTCCCACATGAGGCCGCCAGCTGGTGTAATCTTCGGTGTTGGTTAGGCTCACTTCATCCGATGGAATGGACCAAAGCTGACAAGGCTGAGATTTACCTCTCTTGACACCCCCACGTCTATATATATATACATATTTTCCTCCCCCTCATTCTCGATTTTCTCTTCTCTTTCCGGCTGATGCTCGAACGTTTGTCTCTTCCTAGAAGCCTTTAGAGTCATGTTGCCGATGATCTTTATATTCAATGCCATGGACCTCGGAAGGAACGCAAATCGTGGTTGCGGCCTCGATTTGTACTCTTCAAATTTTGATCCGCTCTATCGTTCGTATCGGCGGGACTTTGAAATGGTTTCCTACCATGCAGCAGTGGCATGCCGATGACAGCTGGATGGCATTCTCTCTTGTTCCCCTAGCAGTCAGGACGTTTTGCATGTGCTGGACCTTCTCCTTGAGTACAACACACTCGGCAGCCGAGGAGGAACTGGCTAAAAAACTTGTCATACCGGCCCGCTTGACTTATGCGCTGTTGTAAGTGCAATGTTCCCCAGAATGATGCTAGCTTGCTCATACAGGCTTCGGGTCAAAGGCTGATTTGTATCGAAATGATAACTCAACTCCTTAGTCTCTGGTGCATGAAGCTCTGTCTCCTTCAATTTTATACACGAATGGAAACCGGGTCGATTCGAGTTCATCGCGCAATCCAGACGATCCGGATATTTCTCTTTCTAACATTTATAATTATTATCTTCGCGACATTACTTGAATGCCAACCACTACATGTGTAAGTGACAGCCTTCATTTGCCGCGCACAGCATGAAAATATTCAATTAATACTAACGCAATAGTGACAGCGCCTGGAGGCCGGAGTACAGCCATCGTAAGTCCAAAATCATTAACCACTACCCAATGACTTGTGGAACAGGAGTTTTTGACCTTATTTAGATCCATGTCGAAAGGGGACTCTGAACCTACTTACCATGGCGTCATTGAATATCATCACAGATCTCGCGTTGATCCTATTTCCGATCCCATTACTCTGGAGGATGACTGCTTTGAAATTTCAGACGTAATACTTGGGACGCCCTCTTTAGACGGTGATCATTGCTGATGATGACAATAGTAAGATGCAATTGACCTTCCTTTTCCTGGTTGGTATTCTCGTGGTGGCAGTTACCATCACTAGAATACCCCTGATTTTAGGTCATTCTGTTGCGCAGGAGTCTCGGACCTTGGTAAGTCTTGCTTAATCCCATAAAACCATTCCAGACAGCATGCGTATATTGTAACTATCACTAATGGCGGATTATAATATTCTTCACTGTTTTTCAGTGGGCCTCAGTTGAGATTGTTTGCGCAAGTGCCGCCGCGAATGCAGCGTTCTATTACGCGTCATGGAAAGAAGCTCAACAGTTATATTACCGTTTAACACATCAATCACGCATGCCTTCGCAATCTCCATCCACGGCAATTTCGCCCAGAGTACCCGGCACATCACCTCTCTGGGTGACGAGAGTTAGTGAATCCACGTTAGAAACCAGAGTCAGTTTTGATATCGTCGAATACCACTTACAGCTGTCCACGGCTAGTGATTCCTCGTTTCTTTATCTGGATAGAATGGAAGCTGGAGAACGCCATATGGGCAAAGGATGAACCCTGAGAACTCACCCTTCCAGATCTGACCAGCATAGCCTATTTCCCATTCTTAATATGCGATCTACTGTCAGGAGATGGTGGCTCTGTGGTCCAGGTCCATCTATATCAGCCGACATTTGGCCCGCTATATGCAAACTATGCACTTGAAACCCATACCATGAGCGAAAGGAGGTGCGCCCCAAGTTCCGAACAACACCATTTGCTATTTGCTCAATTGATGGGCTTAACTTGAACTCGTGCAGCATTCCGCTTTGAACATAACGGCTATCCCTTGGGCAACAGAGAAAAGTACCGTTACAGGAGACATTCAGAGCCCCATTGAAATGACATGATAAGTCAGTTCACTACCTAGCCTTTTCGAACAAGATGGCATAGCTATTTTATATAGGCGCGGCACGGTTGTTGGTATAATCAAATAAGACCCAAAGGTCGATATTGCTATATAATCAATAATGTATGAACTATTTACAAAACGTTAATCAGAAACCAATGTCATGGCCTCATCACGAAATATAAAGCACGTAACAAGACGTGTCCTCAGGTAAGGTATACGGCTGGCATGAGTATATAACCAAGAGAGCAGAAGCGAAGAGCGGCTGAGGAGTAAATGTACCAGCAAGAAAAAGAGAGTCCAACTTCACTTCTTCAAGGCGGCAAATCTTCGCGCGAGTTCGTCTACTTCGGGTATACCTCCAAGTTTACTCTCGGTCTCTTTCGCGGCTGCGTTGCTCTTTTCGGACCCTGTGCCAGCATGGGTGTCCTCAGAGGAGCCTTGCGTAGATCGTCCCTCATTCTGCTTCCCTTCTGTAGGACGAGAAGTATTTGCCGATGTTTCTCCTTGCTCCGGCTCTTGTTGTTCGTTTACGTCCACATCGCCATACGGAATGCCATGACTCCTTGCAATTTCATTCAAATAGCTCTCAACTAAAGACTCTGGAGCTTTCCGAACGCGCAGCCTATCCAGTAAAATTTCTGGTAATTCCACTGGGAGATCGTCGTCATCTTGTGCTCTACTAGCGAAATCACTTCCCCATCTCAACGCCAGTTTATTCTTCACTTCTAACAAACCTGGAACATCGCGTGGGATTCTGGCATAGGAGTAGAAGACAACGGCGGCGGAGCGGTCCAGTTCAGGGTCAATGTAAACTTCAGATTGCTGTTCTGTATCGTTCATCGAGTCGTCATCCTTGCGCTCGTCTCGAGTCTTTGGCGGCGGAGAGGTAGATGTGCTATCATCATTCGATGGTAGGCCTTGTTGCTCTGATGATATTCTGTCAGCAAGCTGCTGAGGTGCCGGTGACGGCGAGGCAGAGGCAGACGAGAAGCCAAATAGGTTCCAAATCCCCCAACCTCCTCCAGCAGCAGGTTTGGTTCCTTCGTTCGCGGAGGTTGTACCAGCTCTACCTCCAGTAGGTAAACTCCTTGATTTTGCGTCTTTTATACCTCTGCCCTTGTGTCTCGCGGGTGCCTTGTTCTTCTTCTGCCCGAAAGCAAGGTGATCCAGAATATTCGCCCGAACCTGCAACTGCTCGCAGTGTAGCTCCAACACCTCGAGCGCAGCAATCAAGTTATCGTTCGCAATAACATCTTCGGTCTTTATACGGGCAAAGTCTTCCCGGCCTTCTTTCAGCAGCTTCGCGAGCTCTCTATGCTTTGCTTTCGAGTAGCCCTGTCGTTCTTTCTTGAGCTGGCGGAGTCGGAATACGAGCGCTTGAAGTGCGAAAATCAAATCTTGCTGTTATTTGAAAAGAGGGAAAGAAAGTATAGAGGTTAGCTTATGTATCTCTCCGTAGAAAGAAGGGTAAATGGTGGTGTATAAATATAAAGACGTCATCGCGGAGATCAAATCCGCTGGCAAACCCTTCAACCGTGCTAGACATAAAATAAGAAGAGACTTACAGTTTGTTTTGGCAACGGCATCGCTGTTAGGAATAGTCATTCATCTCGTGGTGTTTCTCTGACTTTGTTGTCCAGAGCATCGTTAAGAAGCTGGGGTATTTGGCCGAGCCGTGGGGAGACCTCGGAGGTTTGAATTTCTCGGGCCTACCAACATTTGATATTTCTTATTTCACCAACTACAACTCGTTACTTAATTTAATTAGCCAAATAGGCTCTCTAGTATGGAATATGTACTGGAGTATACTCCGTATTGTCTTTAGGAATTAAATTGCTTAGTATTTGTTGCCTTGCTTCATACACCCAGGAACTAGCTATGAAACATGAGAATGAAGCCTCTACTCTAATCTCTCCTCTCGGTCTGACTTCTCACCTATCTCCCGCCTGCGTACCTTGCCCTCGTTGGACTCTATATCACCAGACGTAGACCCTTCTTCCACATTGCCTGGGCTTGGTAACAGCTCCATCGTAACCCCGGGAGCGTACATGTTCTCCCCTAGTTCAAGGCGGACGCTAGGAAGGAATAGATTGAAAGCACGGGGGATTATTATGCCCGCAATGACAATAATTATAATGATATGTGCGATAGAGAAGGCGAATATCTGTAGCGGATCGTTGCGTTTCAGGTAGAAGGCAGGATAGGCGAAACTGATAATGATGGCGAGAATAGGGGCAGATATATATCGAACGACTGGTCCCCAGAAGATTGGGATACTCCAGTTCTTGCCTCTGGCGACCACGATGTTTAGGTCGCGCATTAGTTGGTTTCCCTACAAAAGTTAACTCTAGTCAAAAAGAAAAGGAGTTAGAAAGCCTACTGACCGAATACAAGGCCAGCCACCAGAAACGGTTCGCCCATACATCGTTACCCCAGAAACGCGGAGCTGGTGTGTCTGGGGAGCGTGCAATGAGAACTGAGATGACGGCGCTCGCGATGTAGAGACCAAATCCGACACCCGCGCCCGCCTCTGGGCTCACAGAATGAGCGACTGCGATGCCGACGATGGTTGCTGCAAGATAGCCAACATTATAGGTCATAAATGAAGGTACACCAACCTGTCCCAACACATCTTTATGGCGGTATAGCGTAGTGATGGCGACGCACTCACACCAGGCGATCGAGAGGAGTGCCAGGTTGTTGAGCCAGCCGTCGACGGCATCAAGTAAGTAGAAGCCGAACTCAGTGCAGTACATGAGCGATAAGAGAAAGGAGACAATGACAACGACGGCACAGATGGTTATACGGGAGATCTTCTCACCAAAGGAAGAGTCGTTGATGAGCGTAACGAGCGACTCGACGAGGGCGAATGCTGAACTAATACCGACCAACATGAGAGTGACGAAGAACATCACAGCCCAGAAGTTGGCGCCTGGCATCTCGGTGATGGCCTGGGGGTAGGTCAGAAAGCCGACAGTAAAGGTGCCTAGTTCGACGCCGTTTTCAGGCCTGAGGCCTAGGAATCCGATGACTCCAAAGACGGAAAACCCTGCCAGGAATTCGTAGAGACAGTTACTGCAGCCGATTATGACGGCGTCCTGCACGGCATTGGAGAATTTGGTGCTATAGGAGGCAAACGTGGTAAAGTATCCAAGGCCAACGCCCGTAGAGAAGAATATCTGACCAGCAGCAGCCTGCCATATCTTCCCGCTGGCCAGCTTTGATGAGTCCCAATGACCAACGTACAGCTTTATCCCGTCAATAGCGTTAGGGAGCGATACGCCACGGCCGAGCAGAACGATGAGGATGACGATGGGCAGGCCCATGGTGACATACACCACACGGCCGGTCAACCCGACGCCCCTGAAGATGCACAAGAAGACAACCAGCCAGACAAAGGCAGACCAGCCTGCAGTCTCACCGACCATGCCCATGCCCGGGTAGCGAGTGTAGTCGAGCACGGTGTTACCGTCGGCGCTGAAGTTACCAGGAATTGGCTCGACGTTCCTGATCACATCTTTCTCATAGAACTCAACGCTGCGGTTCGTCCAACCTAGCGGGCTGATGAAGGAGTAGCGGAAGTAGACCATCGTCCAGCATAAGATGGGCACGTAGTATGTTGACACCATGTAGCCGGTCATGATAGTCCCCAAGCCGACGCCCTTGGCGCGACTGTCCATATGGTGAAAGGCCGTAACACCACCGGCGCGAGTGGCCTGTCCCAACGAGATCTCGAGGACGAGCAGGGGGATGGCGAGAAAGACGAGCGATATCAGGTAAGGGATGAACCACTGAAGGCCGTTATTGTCGAAGACGACGGATGGATAGCGTAGCAGATTCCCCAGGCCGACGGCGCCACCCATGGCCGCGAGCACGAATGCGAGTCGAGACGGCCAGACATCACGGCCATCAGTCTCCTTCTTAGCCTCTGGAGCGAGGAAGTTGAAGGCCTTCCTGACGATGTCCATGGTAGAAAACAAAAGCAGATGCCAACTTGATCTGCACTATATCAACGTATAGCCAGCGAGCCACCGACATAAAATGAAACATGGGCGCAAAACACGAATATGGGCAAGACCTGCTATTTAGTATAAATCAAGGCCCGATGACCCAAGGATTCTCCAAGAAATAGACCAAGAATAACCAAGAGACATGATCTCTGGGATACGTGGAGTAACTCGAAGGAACAGCTGGAGAAACCCGCCAAGCGAGATATGAGAGCCATTTCCCCAGAATATACCCAGGATATATCTAGGATACATGTCCGAGAGAGCATCTGAGAGGCTGGGATGGAGATGATCATATACGAACGTCCTTGGCTCTACCGGAGATGCGCCAGTTCAAGAAGACGTCGTGGAGTTTGCCCAGAGACTAAGGATATTTTCCGGGGATGAGGAAATAGTACATGGTACTACTGTTGTCATAGGGTAACATAGACGGCTGCAGTACTGAGTTGGAGCAGATGAACGACATATGAAGTTGTGTCAAAGAGTAAGGATATATGAAGTTGTATCAAAGTGCAAGGATACGAGCTTTCTCCCGTATATCGCAAGACTCCAAGAGCTTCATAAAGGTCATCATATATTTGCGTACGGCTTGGCGCTAAGAGGTACTTAGTTTTATATGGCTGCCACGCTAAGTTTAAGGTACCTCCTAAGCTGTATCTTAAATATATGATATTAGGGGGTTGGTTTAAAGCCATAAGGCACAAAAAATGTTGAAGATAGATCTTTATATGCAAATAAATTTTCAAAGAGCACTTTTCTGTATAATCATATTAAAGTAAGTGGCCATTCGAGAATTATTAAACATTTTATCTGTGACTTGGAGGTTGTGCATAGACTTATGACGAATTATCCAACTGCACAAGGAAGTTTTCCTGCCCAAAACAACAAGCCCTGATTGCTATATATACAAGTTGATTTCCGTAGCCGCCAAAAAGATATAACGCCTTGCATGAAATCGAGAAGGAAAAAGGAAATCAATAGTTACCCACCCTGGCACCGTGTGAATATAAGGAAACAGAATTAGTCCCGCCGTCCAGTACTGTGGGAAGGAGATCAAAGCATTGCTGGAGGGATACCATCAGATTCGCTCTCCTGGTATGCCCACAAAACATTAAGCGGAATCATATGAGGGAGTATCCCAGGAGACAGATCCCAGTCTTCCCAATCATCCTCGTCGTCAGCACCTTCGAGAGCCGGAGGCTCAACCGGATACCCGTCTACATCCGTATGGCTTCGCCCAAGACGAGCGTAATGAGCTCCTATAGCATTGATAACAAACTCATTTTCTTCTGCCCTTTCCCATTCTCCATCTCTACGTCTCCGCATACGACGTGTACGATGTAACTCGGCTATATGCCCTACTTCGAAAATGTATGGCTTCTTGGTGATAGGGTGGATGTGAGCGTAGTGGCATTTGTTTACAAAGAAGCAAACTGGTCGAAATGGAGGCTCTTTCTTTCCGCGTTCTGTTTCCCGTTTCACTTTTGCCTTCCAGCTTTTGACGGCTGCTTCGAAATACCGACAAGGTATGGTTTTCATATTCCGTGTATACTCCTTGATAATTGACTCCTTCAGTGGATTTGGTGGAGCATGGTTCTTCCCCTTGGATCGGTCGTGACTTGGACCACTCTCAAATGAGCTGGCGGATGTATCTTCTGGGGTCGGAGGGGTGGGAAACACAGCACTGGGTATAATGTATTTGCTCGGTTTACGGCATAGAGGGCAGGATTTGATGGCTACTGATCCCCAAATATCGCCCGCCTCCCACTCATCATCATCATGGTCATCTTTATCGGCTTTTTTTGAACCTCTCCACTTTCTGATGCACTCTAGATGCGAGTTAGCGAAGAACTATTCTTATGCAAAGCTACCGGACATGTTCGAACCCAAGCAGAATACATGGTCACAACGAATCAGCAGACCGTAGACCTTTGGAGATTCCAAACAAATGGCACATTGCTCCTGTTCTTTTGTCGAAGCTGGGCCGTTGCCTTGCGGTGCAGCCCCTGGTTGGCCGGGGGTTTCTATTGAAAGATGTTAGCTTGAGATTATTCCTCGAGACATCATGTTAGGCATAAAATCATGTCCAAGGATCACGGCAACACATAACCCGATTTGGCAACGGTTCAGCTTACGGCTATTCTGGGGTATCGTGCTCTCTATCTCAATTGCTGTGCCCGCCGCAGGTTTCTGGTCAACCCCCAGCAGCGCTGGGTCATGGCGGAAATAGCATGAGTCTCCGCGTAGACAGTGGCCTCTCTTCCACCACTTGCAGTGGACTAGCCTTGGTTCGGCGGGAGCATGACGTCCCATGGTTACTTACTACTTCTGACCTCGTCTCCTATGTGATATGAGTGCGTTGTTCTATCCAGAACCTGATCCAAAGTCTATGAGAAGATAGTGTAAGCTAAAAGCGGCATCGGTTATATAGCCACTTGCTTTGTCGCGCGTTAAAACAGCGATGGCTCATATTTACAATATGGAAAGATACATAAGTTTCTACGAAGAGATAGAAGTCAGGATAAAATATGTACAGCGAAGTGGTATTTTAAAGCTAGCTAAATTCAAGAGTATAAGAAACAGATGTGGTTGGATACATGCGACAAAAGGGGACCTGCCGATGAGCTCAGCTGTATATTCTCGTAGACTGGGCCGCTATGGGACAAGAGCATGGCAAGAAAACGAATTGAAGCTCGGGGGGACAGTGAAATAGATCAGGGGACTAAGGGTAAAACAGGCAAATCACAATATGGATGGTGGATGACGATTACTAAATAAGTGATAGATAATAGAAGCCAAAGGCACCTCCGGGAAAAAAGTTCACAAAAACGCTCTCCAAATCCGACACCAAAAAGCTCCTTCTCCAATGCTAAAACAATCCAAATAGGGAGTCCAACTGGGAAGGATGCGAAGGGAATAAGGAAGCGATGGTAGATAAAAACAGGGGCCCGCGAAGGCATGTTTTGGAAGACATGATTATGATCGATTATATGTACATGAAGTTAACGTTGTATAAAAAGGGATATCAGAAGGGTATAAATCAGATAAAATGTCATAGGGGGTTCCAAACGGACATCATAAAAAGCCCCAGCCTACGCGTAAATCTCGTCGTGAAGGGTAAATTAAGTAATAAGGGGGGTCGGCGCATATATAGGGTATATATACCAGGTGCCGGGAGGTATGTAAGCCAATGTCCTTGCGGCCATGGGCAGATAATAAAGGGGAGTAGATAAGTTAAAATGGGGTAAAAATGAAAAATAAAGTGAGGTGCTTCCTTTCCCAGTGAATTATTTCGTGGTTTTCGCTTTTTAAAAGTTCATAACGATCGAGACAATCAGGAAGCTGAGGGTGAGGCTCATAACTGAGATGGCGGTAGCTGATGCAGCATTATGAGTTGGAGTAGGAGAGTTGCCGGAGTTGGTTGGAGTTGGCATGATGATCGAAGAGCCGTTGGTGGGATGCTGAATTGACGAGCTAGGACTTTCGATGAAGACATGGGGCGAGGGCTTGTAGGCGTCTGTGGGTTTTACAGTAGTCGAGTCAGTCGTGGTTGAAAGCGTTGGTTTGGCGGAGCTAGACTTACTGGAAGAAGAGCTTGACGTTGGGGTCGGCGAGGATTCTGAGGTGGACGACGCTGAAGCGGAGGTAGTCGATGGTTCTGCGGTCGAGGATGCGCTAGCTTTCGTGGATGACGGAGCGGCGGATGAAGATGATTTGTAGTCTTGTGCCTTGATATCATCTTTTTTGTCGTCTGATCCGCCGCTGTTACCTGCCTCAAAGACAACAATAGTAGCTTGAGTACCTTTTGGAACAGTTACAACGCAGAAAGCGGCACCACCAGCACCGTCAGTTCCGCTGCCGGTGATCTCATTGACTTTGTTTTTGGCCGGGTCAATTTCACAAGGGAGCCCATTACATCCTTCACACTCTACCTTGACACCGAACTTCGGGCTTTCGTCTTTAAACGGCGTTGCGGGTTCAAGGTAGATGGGGTTCCAGCCGAGCTTGAGGAAGGTCTGTCCGCTCCCATCGACATTAGCACCACTGACATAAGGCGACCAGTTACCCCATGGGTTTGCATTTGTTCCCCAAACACAGGCAGTGTCAGTGTCCGTGCCTGGAGGGTTGATGTAGTAGCTACAATTACACAAGTCAGCAAAGGGGAATAGAATCATAAAAGGAGCCTGTGAGTACTTACTGGGCAGCGGTAGAGCACCAGTATGAAGGATCGGGAACGGCAAGATCTGCGGTATCGTGGACGCTGGTAGGGATCAACATAGCCTCGTTTCCTGGAAGAACAGTTTGGCAGAAAGAAACAACTCCTCCACAGCTGTTCTTAACCTTGACGGAACCTGATGCATCAACGCAGTAGGGCTTGTTAGGGAAAGGCTTGGAGATTTTCCCGCTCTTGTCACAGTAAAGGCCACCATTCTGTTTCAAGCTATGTTAAAAGGGCTGACTTCTCAAAAGGACATATCTAGAAGGGATATAAAAGATTAATCGTACCATCGATGCAGGATAAGAGTATGAGGTCGCGTCAGGGTCCCATTGTGCCATCACTTGTCCAGGCGGGCAAGCATAAGGACAGTAGCTACCCGGCTTGCAAGGTTGGTCAGGGCTCATGGCCCAGCCAGCGTTCTGCTCATTTGGAGTGACAGACACCAGTCCAGCATCGGTAGGGAACTGGCATTGGCCCCCTCTTTTCTCGACAAAGGATACACCTCTCTCCTCGACTGCAGGAACGGATCGGTGGAAGTTCTGATGGCCATGATGGCGGCTCAGGCCAGGCGCATAGTTATGGAGATTCGCATGTCCAGCCTCAGACGCGCTCGCGAGGAAGCAAAGGACAGCAGAGGCCCAGATTGGTATGCGCAACATATTGAATTTCGAACACAAGTAGTGTTGTCGCACAGTTGGTGCGCGAGTATCGGCCCCTTTTCCACCGGTTTTGCGGTGGTCTTTTTTATCTGCGCGCAACGGCGGGAGAACAACGGGTTTAACAGTTAAACAACAACGAAGAGAATGGTTCCCAACAGTATGAAAATGACCGTGTGTATAAGGTATAGCAGCAAGGAATAGAACGCGGGGAGCAGGCTCGACAGTAGTACCAAATGAATGACAGGTTTCGCAAAAAGAGAGCGTCAGTGAGGTGCAAAAACACTGAGGACTGGAAACAGCACCACACAAAAGGAGTCGACGGCGAGGTTTGAACTACTAGCGAAGGCGGACATATTTAGTGGGACCCCCCTGGGCGTTTGGTCGCCAAGGGGGATGAATTAATTGTTAGTGCGCATTGGTGACCATGGTTGCTTCTTGCTAGCCAGGCACAGCACCAGGCCGGGGACCTGGCGGACTGTGCCTTGCATCACACCCATATCCGTCCAATCCAGAGTGCCCCCCCAGGTCTTAAAAGGCGCTTCTGTGGGCTATCACCAACTAACCAAAGCCTTGTTCCTGTGCTGGGGCCTGGCGTTGTTCCCGCTCGTACGGAGCACCCCCTACATTGGGAATGTAGTCAGTGGCGCCGGCTCTCCAGATATTTTATCGCTTCAATGGCCCTTCGATTACCCCGGGTATTGGGCATCGCAAGAAGACAGTATAGTTAGTCGTCTCAGGTACGCGATGAGCCTGGAGCGAATGGCATCGACTGTCACATCATGCAAAGAACCATTTGGTAGCGCCGTGCTAGGGTTAAATTGAGATCGCCAGCGTACTCCAATAGAATCCGCCACTGCGCCGAGTGGCTCCGGTGTCTCGTTAAATAGTCTCTTGGCCGCGCATTCTAGCCTTTGTTGCTGGTCAATTGCAAAGCGAACTGCGTGGAATCGTGGAAGGTAAATTTCGCTAGTTCTTCGGATGAAAGATCGAGCTTAAAAGCTTCAGATATATGCACGTGATGTTGTAGAGCGTGTGCCAGCGGGGGGATAAATAGGGGGGATGAAGCCGTGATATCATGTCCTCCGCGGTAACTGCCGTGAAAAGAGGATACCTTCTTCCTTATCCTGGTTTGAATGCTGTTGTTATAACCAGGAGCCGTTGAGGGTCCGTATTTCTCGAGAGACCCGAGTCTCAGATCAACCTGTTAAAATGGACTCCAAATTTTAACAGTGAATACTCCATATCACCCACTCTATTTCGTTTATTTCGTCTATTCGTTTATTCATTGTGATGGCAGCTCTCCCCAGCTGCGGAATAGCCCACCACCCGGGTCTGTGTCTTGTCTTTCAGCCGTGGAATCCCTTGCGTCATCTCGCCAGCCCCAAGCAACACAGTAATGTCTGGCCAGTAGCTTCCATTCTTCGATCTCGTCCAACATCTCCAGCCCAGCTACTCGAGTTTTCTCATCCTGGCTAATCCACTTTTCCCATATAAAATCTATATCGGCGACACCCTGGCCGCTTGAAAACCCATGGCTCTGTAAACGCTCTCTCTGGGCATGCAGTGTCGCATAGTGGTGCAGTGTCTGCAGCTGGATTCCACGAGCAGCAAGGTTGCTCACCATTGTTTTCCCGAACGGGTCGTCGGGCCGGATGGGCTCATAGATAATTAGTGCAAGAGGGGTAGTCGGTCGACACTCGGGCGAGAAAAGGGTGTTCGTGAAATAGGAAACGACGTTAACAGCATCTACTGGAGAGAGATATACGAGACAACATTCCGAGATCAACAGTGTTGGTATGCCTATCTCGATGTCCTGTAGCTGCGGGCGGCTCGGGCCGTCGGAGGACGTAGAAGCAGCTGAGAGAGTTCGTAGATCTATGGAGTGAACGTGGTAGAATTTCGAGTGGAATGCATCGCCATTGAGAGATGTGATCACCTCTTCTCGGTTTGATATGCGAAGAGCGTTGAGGAGGGGTGGAGAAGATAGGATCTTCGTGATCTTCGTGGTCGTGTTGTCCGCAAAGTCGAGCTCATGGTATATCAAGTCCAGCCCTGGATTTTCAGATAGCAGCCGAAATGCTCGAGTATCTGACCCTGCTCCGAGCGAGATGATCTGTTTCTTCGTCTTCGTTTCGTTTGCGGCTAGGAACTGTGTCACCAGTGTATCGATCGAGGTCGTCCTTACGTATGTTCCTGGTGGTGAAATGCGGCGGGTTAGCAAGAAGTCTCTCTCTTAAGGACGTGTAGCTTGCCAGCACGAGAACGAGAAATAACACGGAATAGTTTCATACCTCTGTTGATAATAGGATATCTTCGCACTTCTGACGAGTCTGATGCGAAGATAGTCGCGAATGGGTCGCGGAGATAGCCCAGTTCAACGGCGCTGAGTCTCGAGATACTGGCGTCATTGTCTGTTTGTTGGACCACCTTGTCCTTCGACGAAGCTGCTGCTACATGTCCTGCACCCTGATAGCCAGCTCTGGCTCTTCCCCGGCCTCTTCCGCCGCCTCTCCGGAGAGTATTGAGGTTAGGTATGTGAGAAGCTGCCATGGTCGAATTGTGTGTCTGGGTGACGTTCTTTGGCGGGGTCTAAATATGACGTCCGGCGGCTGTTTCGTGGTGGTTTGACATCATCGAGTTTCACAGGACACAAGATGATATTTCTCCGATTCTCGCCATGATGACGTAGAAAGGGCCCGTTGACAGATATTTTAATGATTAAATCTCTATACTATTCTAAAACTAGCATAATTATGCATAGATCATGAATACAAGAAGCTATTTCGACAAAGCGGGCAGCTGCTCGAGTTGCTGCTCTTGAACCATCTGAACAAGCAGTCCGAATGGAAGTTGTTCTTGCATGTTCCGCATCTCTTATTTGGCGTCTGCATGTTCGCCGAAATAATAGAGCAGCAGATAGGACATTCGCCTTGTCCCTTCAACGCTCCTTGGACGTTTCTTCTAAACGCAAGCAGCCCATCCATGAGATTGCCGTTAGAAAACAATATCACACCTTGGATCACCAGGAGCCAGCCCTTCCATTTCCTCTCGTCGACGGCCACTCGTGAGCGGCCAGTTACGATGGCTTGGTGTAGCGGGTACGTCGGGGGTAGTGAAATAGCGATGGATGTTGGAGGCGACTCCTCATCTATCTCAATGCTGCCTATGATCTCGGCGGCCTTTGAGGACACCTTGACTTCCAACGCGTGATCCTCACTGTCCCAATCTTGCCCCGAGTACCATTCGCTCACATTCTGTAACGAGTCTTCGATTATCAGTGGTGAAACCTGTGGTAGCGGTTAGCGATATCGTCCAAACCGTCCCCAGTGCAATTTATAGTCTTATACATACGTATTTTTGCGTCCACGTTTCCACCGGTGTCTTAAGCCGTTTCTTACAGTCCACCCACCAAGCCCTAGTGAGATTCGGCAGATACCTCAGAGCTAGATAGTATGTATGAATGAGAAGCCAGTGCATTTCCTTTTTAGGTGATTCGGCTTCGTCTAGCTCAAAGGACCGAATATCAAACTTCGAGGCATCGATTAGTTGACCTTGTGGAGATTCAAGGCAGTCAAATGCAAAATCTAACAGCAGGTTCAGGCATTCTTTCTTCTTTATATCTGAGCTGTAGCTCTCCTGCACGGGGATGGACTGAAATACAGATATGTTAGCGTATAGAGATATTGTAGCACTGGAAGCACATGGAGTAGCTTACTGAGGATGCAAAATGATCAAAAACCACCTTCCAACCAAGGAGGTAAGAGCGAGCTCTAAGCCAAGAATCCTCGTCTATGAAAATGTCTCTTAAGTGGTCCATTGGCGGTACCTCCGAGAGTAAAGACAGCAGCTCATCAGGCAAATTGACAACAGCTTTGGATAATGCCACATCAAAAGACAACGTCTCCTGAAGTTTTGGAATCACTCGGTGAAGTATTCCGTAAGTTGCACGCTGTACACCCCTGCTCTCGATAGTAAGGCTTGAAAAGAGTTCGTTGACATCAGAAAGGGTATCAGTATTGATTGCTGATAATTCACGAGATAGGAGATCAGTAGTTATGTTCCAGGGTTGGTCGGAGTGGAATGAAGGGTCTAAAATTATAGGTTAGCAACGTATACTTGAACAGAGTTGAAATATCGAGGCTCACCAAACTGCGTTAACAGGTTGACCATATTTTCTGTATGAGACTTTTGAGCTTCCTTCCATGCATCTTCAAGGTCTTCATTGCTGTCGTCGGTAGCTAGCTTCCTCAGGCAGTTGAACAATCGTAGCGAGAAATGGAGAACGGGAAGAAATTCGTCGGACATGTCGCCTTTACCCCATGATACGTTCAACATATCGAAAACTTCTGACCAGTGGGACCCATAGATATCTTTCATCAGCGGTAACACAGACGTCAACACTTTCAATATTTCTGAAACTATCCCAAGGCCAAATTTCTCGGATTGCAAACACACAACTAAGTGTTTTACTAAAAATACTAATCTCTGCATGGGTGTGCTCTTTGCAGGATTGTTTTCACCGTGAAGCAGGGAGTTGAGGGTTACCAGCTTCCGCAAGCCTTTATTTCGTCAGCCATAAAACATGGAAAGGAGCTAGGGAAGTAAAAACTAACCGCCAGTCTCATCGGTATCTTTCAAACCTGTCACGTCTGCCACTAACTGATTACACAGCCTTCCGGCAGGCTGAGTATCGATAATCGAGTCTCTATACCCAGCTACAGTTGCAATTATGATAAATGGGTCAGATGATCCAGATGATTTTATTGCCGTCTGTAGTGCGCTATTGGCTGACGGCATGGACCCCATAGCATCCCGCTCTGCCACAATCCGAGCAAAGGCCTCCGCAAAACGGTACGCTCGCGGTCCACTGCCTTCGATTCTCGATATATTTCTTTCCCAAAAGGACACAAAGGATCTCTGCCCGGAATCACCAGACGTCTCGGCTGCATATGACTTCTTGATCCACCCGTTCATGAGTATGCGAGCCTCGGAAACAATTTCTGTTGCTGTGGCCCGGGCTTCAGGGGTATGAAGGTATAAAATTGTCGTCGATCCGTCAATACTTAATTCGTCGTCAATAAGCTGGATGGCTAATGGAAGGTAGATAAAAATGCTTTCCAAGGATGGTAATGGAATATGCTCCATATCGATTGAATGCAAAATTTTAGTGACATAGTATGCAACCCGGAACGCCAGTGTAAGTTGGTCCCTGTCCCTTGGGATGGAGTGTAAGGTTTCTGAGCTCCATATTGAGTCGAGGATGTATACAGCTCCACCCAGAGGGCTCATTATCGAACATGCGTGTTTTGGAGTAACATCAAGGAATGGCTCTAAGGCAGCCTCCCAAGAGCTTTGACGAGGTAGCAGGTTAATTAATAATTGCGGTTTGTCATTCGTAGAGAATTGGCTAAGGAGCTCTTGCGTTAGGGTCACTAACGAATCAACCCTATTGAAGTAGTTAGTAAACCGACTTAAACCCAGATAGTATACACTCACGATAACGATTCGTCATCCACAACCATAAAATTCTTTTCCAAAACTTCAAGCGTTGGTTTAAGAGAATCATTTTCTCCCGTAATATTCGTTACCTCGCCCTTCAATGATTCGGCAAGTAATGCAACCTCATCATCGGAAGATTCAGTAAGATAGAGGAGTTTAGATATTAGATTTGAACCATTGGGACTTGCCACATATGATCGAATTGCTTCAGCGCTTTCTGTTGATAGTAATAAGAGCCCACGAAGAATCTCCATCGCCGACTCGTTATTTGACAGCATCTCAATTAAAGAGTCTAGGATGGTGGTTAGTATTGCAGGTCTCAGTTCTTTATTCTTAAGAGCTGCAGCAACATCCAACCAGGATTGGCGGCTCCCTTGAACGCCCCGATCCAGGATACCCATGACCAATGGTTTTAAAGTTGGGTTGGACTCTAGGTCGCGAGATGTTATGGAGGAGAATACCTTGCTTATTGAGGGTACGTGGGCGGAGGTTGGGAGAGCATTGTAGTATGTATCAATCACTTTCGTCAGGCCATCGTCAAAATATTTTCGGCCGCGACATGCAAATAGGACAGATATCAGGCGATCTGCGGAAGGCGACATAACCAGCCCCGGAAGGGTATCAGCAATAAACGAGTCGAGGACTTCCATTTTAGACATCGCCGAGGGTATGTTTGCCAGTGCCTCATCAATTACTGCTGCTGCCCCATACGGCTTCCCGTTTCGAGACTGAAGGAGCTGAAGGGAGGTCTCTATCAAGAGAATCGTATTGTCCTCAATAGTTTCTGCAACGAAACTTTGTCCCTCATCACTAGCAGTTTTAATAATAACACCGTGGCCAAGCTTAAAAAAGCGGCTTCCTTGGGAGCAAACGGAATCCTGGGACGTTCGGTACCGTTGGGATTGTTCTGGCTCGGATATTAATATCTTATCCTTTAGCAGGGCTGCTAATTTTGCCCACATAGCGCGCGTGGCATCGCAATCTATGATGCGACCAAGTGCGCTAGATAATTCGACACAGACCTGGGGCCCATTGGGGTCGTCGATTGTCCAGGAAACTCGCTCTTGATCTGCCGCAATGAATTGTTCCAGGATCGGGAACAGGTAACTTTGGAGAAACTCGAGGCGTTTCTCACCTTGGATTTGACTAGCCATCCAGAGACCTGTTTTGATATAAGCAGTCCAAGCCGCTAGTACATTTGTTCTCGCCTCCTCCCTACTCGCAACGGACTCATGAAAGGCATGTGCAATGGAAGATATAGATTTTGCTGCAGCTTCATCTTGCCCCTGAATTTCCAACACCTCCGCTGGGAGGGCTTGTAATAAAAGTTGTAAATCCGACCAGTATGAAGGATGGGCCCCTTGTGATCCAGCCTTGATATACCGCAATAGTTGCTTCCTGACGGGGGTTTTGGCAGAGTAATCTGCTGTCCATACTTGGGGGGATTTTTCAGCCAATGTTAATAAAAGCTCCGAGAACGTAGAAGCGGAGCCTCGCTGTGTTATCCCCAATGATTTTGATATAACACAAGAACTTATGATTTTCCAATTGAGGTAACCGATACCCTTTGACAGACAAGTTTGCAGCAGCTCGTATAATGACCGGCGGACAAAAGCATCCTCACTGTAGGAAAATTTCCAAAGATCCCGGCTTTGGAGTAGCTTTTTAATTGAATCTAAGTCCTGATCGAGTTTCTTGGCTGAAGCCGTGCCTGCTTTTAAATTAGCACCTTGACTAGGCGGCGATGGGGCGAAGGGGTTTCTTGATAAATACCTAGTAGCCTACTAAGTTCCTGCAAAGCCGTAGCAACCACCCGCGCGTATTTTGCCTCTGCATCATCTGGTCGTACGGTCCGCTCGTCGCTCAAAGTCAACGGGGTTTGCTGAAGCGTGGCATCCACGATAAATTCGAGTATGGACGACTGGTACACTGTCCATATTCCCTGCTGTTTATCCTCTGTAGGGAAGGCCCTTGTAAACGATTCTTGCGCAGATTTCTTGACCAGTTTATCGTTCTCATATAAGCCCGCGAGCCATGCGCCTATGGTCCCGCTGATGTATCGGGCAATGCGTTTCCCAGCGGTAGATACAATATATCCTTGTAGGCTATGGGCGAGCTGACGGACTCTGCGAGACGAATCTATGGAAGTACGCGGATAGACCTTGGACTAAAGAATTCACGTAAACACTACTATTCCATGATGCCTGGTGATTACGCACTAGAAGGGAAACGCACCCATGCCTCTAGCAACCCGTCGTCTAGAGGAACATTGCTCGACTCGGAACCGGAAATATGGTTTTGAAGTTCCTCTAATGCCCTGGATTTTGTAGTGCTATCCTTTTTCAAAAGGTTCTTAAACGTAACCACTATCTGAGGGTGAGGGATCCGTGATAGATCTGGGGGTTCATAGACATAGGATAAGGACGAAGCCGGTGTCTCTTGATCCCCTCCAGCAGTAGAAAATCCTCCGAATGAGCTGAGCGAGCTACCTCCAAACGCACCAGCGGCTGCTCGACTGCTCGAAGCTTGCGACCTGAACTTTTTCCCGCTCATACCTGCGGGGCAATCGATATAGAGAATTAAAATAAGGAAAAGCAAAGAGGAAACAGTTGACGAGGAAGAACAGGTTCAGCCAAATCCAGCCATCGTCCGTCTGTTATAAACTGCTCTGGCGCGAGATACGGTCCCTTGTCCGCGAGACGCAGCGTCAGCGTTGGATGTTGTTCGTATCTTCGTTGTCCCGAAGCAGCTCTCCGATATAAATCTCAGTGGGGGGAGCTCTCACGTGACTTGGTGACTGGACGCGGCTCTGCGGCGTTTCTTCAAAGGTGGAAAAGCGAAGAAAGCAAAGTGAACGAGATGAGAATTAGAACGACCTCCAGCAGGTTGACCAGCATCAATCTCCTAGGGTCCTGCGGTACTGCGTAGGTGATCCAAGATGGAGTTTCTCATAGAGTAGGTCGTGCATGCTTCTTCCGGTTTTCTGCTTCTGATATGGACTGCAGCTAACTACTATGCTTTCGACAGTGACCTCCCAATTCTCTTCCCCTATCCTCGGATTTACCCTGAGCAGTATGCATATATGTGCGATCTCAAGAAGACCCTCGATTCAGGGGGTCACTGTGTCTTGGAGATGCCTTCAGGAACCGGAAAGACCATTACTTTGCTCGCCCTGATCGTCGCGTACCAGCAGCATTACCCGGAACATAGGAAGCTGATTTACTGTTCTCGAACAATGTCCGAGATCGAAAAGGCTTTAAGCGAGTTACACGCATTAATGAAATACCGTTCCAAGAAACTGGGCATTGTTGAAGACTTTCGAGCTTTGGGACTCACTAGCAGAAAGAACCTGTGCCTACACCCCTCTGTGAAGCGTGAAAAGAGCGGAGCGGTAGTCGATGCTCGATGCCGAAGCCTAACCGCTGGGTTTATCAAGGAAAAGAAGGAGAAAGGGGAGGATGTCGAGCTTTGCATATATCATGAGGTCTGCTCCAGCGGTCAACTACGAGGGCTAAACTGACTTGTCACAGAACCTAGACCTTCTGGAACCTAGTAATCTAATCCCGCCTGGTGTATTCACGCTTGATGGCCTCGTTAAATATGGAGAACAGCACAAACAGTGTCCCTACTTCTCTGCCAGAAGGATGGTAAGCTAACTGGCGGCCTTTCAAGTTGCTTTCAATAACATAGTACTAAAGATATTCTAATAGATGCCATTTTGCAACGTCATCATCTATTCGTATCACTACCTTCTCGACCCGAAAATTGCGGAGAGAGTGTCGAAGGAACTATCAAAGGACTGCATAGTTGTGTTTGACGAGGCACATAATATCGATAACGTATGTATCGAGGCTCTCAGCATTGACCTCACCGAAGACTCTCTACGAAAGGCAGGTCGCGGTGCGAACAACCTGGAACGTAAAATTGAGGAAATGAAAAGTACCGATGCAGACAAACTGCAAAATGAATACCTAAAACTGGTGGAAGGCCTACGGGAAGCAGATGAAGCGCGAGAAGAAGAGCAGTTGATGGCAAATCCTGTTCTTCCGGATGATCTCCTGAAAGAGGCTGTTCCAGGAAACATTCGTCGAGCGGAACACTTTGTGGCTTTCTTGAAGCGCTTCATTGAGTATCTGAAAACCCGGATGAAAGTTACCCACACCATCTCCGAAACTCCGTTATCCTTTCTATCCCATCTCAAAGACTTAACTTTTATAGAACGAAAGCCTTTGCGGTTTTGCGCAGAACGTCTAACATCCCTGGTTCGCACCCTAGAGCTGGTGAATATTGAAGATTACCAACCGCTTCAAGAAGTTGCTACGTTTGCGACACTTGCTGCTACATACGAAAAAGGCTTCTTACTCATTCTTGAACCATTTGAGTCTGACACAGCAACCGTGCCTAACCCTGTTCTACATTTCACTTGCTTGGACGCTGCTATCGCGATACAGCCTGTATTTGACAGGTTTAGCTCCGTTATAATAACCTCTGGGACCCTTTCCCCGCTTGAAATGTATCCAAAGATGCTTAAATTTGATGCTGTCCTTCAGGAGTCGTATAGTATGACCCTTGCCCGCCGCTCATTTTTACCGATGATCGTAACACGAGGTTCCGATCAAGCACAAATATCTTCATCTTTCCAGATTCGCAATGACCCAGGAGTTGTCCGGAATTATGGCAATTTGCTCCTGGAATTCTGTCGTATAACACCCGACGGAATTGTGGTTTTCTTCCCATCATACCTTTATATGGAATCTATAATCAGCATGTGGCAGGGGATGGGCATTCTTGATTCGGTGTGGAATTATAAATTGATCCTTGTCGAAACGCCTGATTCCCAGGAATCGTCTCTTGCGCTTGAAACCTACCGCACTGCATGCTGCAATGGCCGTGGCGCAGTGCTTTTGTGTGTTGCCCGAGGAAAGGTCTCCGAAGGAATCGATTTCGACCATCATTATGGTCGTGCTGTGCTTTGTATCGGAGTCCCTTTTCAATATACCGAGTCGCGTATCTTAAAAGCCCGCCTCGAGTTCATGCGAGAAAACTATCGTATTCGCGAGAATGACTTTCTCTCTTTCGATGCTCTTCGACATGCTGCTCAATGCCTTGGGCGTGTCCTTCGTGGTAAAGATGACTATGGAGTCATGGTACTTGCCGACCGTCGATTTCAGAAGAAAAGGAATCAATTGCCCAAATGGATAAGTCAAGCAATGCTTGAAAGTGAGACAAATTTAAGTACCGACATGGCTGTTGCCACTGCAAAAAGTTTCTTAAAGTCCATGGCACAACCATTCAAAGCCAAAGACCAGGAAGGAATCTCAACGTGGAGCTTGGAAGACTTGAATCGGCACCTCGAAAAACAAAAACAAGAGATGGAAAAACAGCATAGCAACCAAATGGTGTGGACCGCGACCAATGGGGGTGCAACTGATACTAAGCCTACGGGCGACGATGAAGATTTTAACGCAGAACTCCTGGCAGATATCATGACATAAGGTGTATTTAGAACAGATGCCGGGGTAAGCTCTGGGGAGTTTGGGTGAGGTAATATGGACCTGCAGGATACTGGCGTTTGGCCTAGGATATTATACTTGATGTTCAAAATTAACTGGTATGAGATAGTTCATAAAAAAATATAATAATGTGCATCCATATATTTAAAGAGTTGAACTCTCAAAACAACAGTTCTTGGGCATTAACATAAACTATAGCTTAAAAACTCCAACGAAATGTATATGTAACAGATGATTAAACGCCCCCCTCTTTTTTTTAATGTCTATCCAATAGGAGCAAGCACATCGAATGCGCCTGTTCCTACAGTCCCGACTCTGCCCACAACAATCCTGCTGCTTGGACCGTTCAGGTTGTCCCAATCTCTTTCCAAAACAGCATCCCGGAGGAAGCGAACTGTCGTTTCGAAACTCATTTTCATCAATGGAGATGTGCTATCCTTGACAATACCCATACGGTTGAATGGGCGGTACCCACCGGCTTGAGTCATGACATCTGCGATGAGGGTCAAATGTCGATTGTCAACTTTGATGCCGTGACCCTCGAAAACGGCCCCAACCTCACTGACAATGGTTGCTCTCGCCGCCTCAACACCGTATAGCCCAAGCATGTGAGAAACAGAATTCGAGTATACAGAGTGCGGGTCGATGATGTCCTGGTAATCACGCATTGCAATCAAGTTCACACCTTCTGTTATCACATGTGCAGGTTCGTTCCGATCAGCTGGTATGTAGGCACAGCTACCAAGTCCAGGGATGAATTGGATCACGGATGTCCTGGCTGCATTTTCAACCAAGGGGAGAAGTAGAAGTTTCGGTGTAGAAATATCATATTGAAGTTGAATGGTGCAAGAGTTTCCGTTGGCCGAGTCGAACTTGAACTGGGTGAGGGCAGGGAACTTGCCCTTGAGAGCATCCACTCGGTCTCTGTCATTAGCCCGTCTGTTAGCTTTAGACGCACCGGAATCTTCCATATCAGTATCACTATCACTATCACCATCGTCGGCTATGGGGGCCTTTGGTTTGTTATCTGTGTCCTCGTCATCAGAATCAGGCTCTGGTGAATCCTGCCTTCTCATGATCTCTTGTTCGCCTTCATCAGGCGCTTCATACGAGGCCTGGCCAGCATTATTGCGTGACGAGTTTGCCCTCTTTGCATCATCCAAATCTTCATCGTCATTTTCGTCGTCATCTCCCCCATCACGGTCACCACGCCTAGCCTCCTCTACCACACCGACAGAGGTTCCAATCTCAGGCTGGGCAGCGGAGGGGCTCGACAGTGACTTTTCCGCCATTCTCTTTTTTAGCTCTGCATCGGTGAGCTTGATAAGGCGGGGAACAAATTTCTCCTCCAGAGTTCGAAGGACATCGCTGATTTGGATGGCATACTCTTCACAATATGCCTCAGATGGGAAGAAGTCCACCTGGATGTCATATATTTTGGCTTTTGCATGCCCTTGACCGGACGAGACACGTTCTCGAACCTTTAGTTTATCAATAACTTCTGCAAGAGTCAACTTGGTGATAGTTTTGGCAAACAGATCCGCAGTCTTTTTATCCGTCTCCTTATTTAGCTTCAATGTCATGGTTGGGGTCATAATGTGGTTGCTTGCTGTCATTACAATCTCCCTGAGTCGAGGAATACCAAGTGTGACGTTTTTGGCGGCGTGACCAGCCAAATGGAAGGTATTTAGAGTCATCTGGGTCGACGGCTCTCCAACGGACTGGCCAGCAACAATGCCTATAGCCTCGCCAGGATCGATAACGGCCTTCATGTATTTCATGTTCATTATCGTGGTAAATGCTTTCTTTGTGATCTCACCTTCAGATTTGCTTTTATCCTTGAGCAGGTTGTCGGGGTTGGATTTGAGATACTATATGTCATATTAGTTTCTGGGCGTGTATTTTTTAAAAGGATGCAACATACCTTTTTGAGCGCAGAAGCAAATTTCTCAGAAGTACTACCATAGTTAGCGCCAGGTGGAAAGTGAGCCAAAGCAGGGTCTTTGGCGTCAAATTTCCCTGACTTTTTAACCTTCTTCATGGCAGCTTTGTTCCAGTTGCTCGCTTCTTCGCTGTGAACTTTGCCCGAATCATTCACCCCGTTGACCTGAGATACCATTGACATGTAGTTTTGTGCCAAGAAGGTAAAATTGTCCAAATGCTTTTGCTTTGTGATATCAAGTCCATCCTCTCCGTACAAAAATTGCACTAGAGATCCATCTGAAGTATCCCGTACAGATGTATCGTACTCTGCTTTCAAACCTTCCATTCCCTTAATGAGACATCGCTGGAGATAACCGGATCGCGAAGTCTTAACGGCAGTATCGATAAGACCTTCTCTACCAGCCATGGCGTGGAAATAATATTCATGTGGTTTAATTCCTGTAAGGAAACGACCAAACACATAACCACCGGCTCCGATTTTGGTTTCATATGGCTGGAAGGAAGGGAGTGTTTTCCCGCTGATCATGACGGGAACACGACGACCTTCCAAAACCTGTTGACCTAAATTGCAAGAAATCAAATTGGCATTGACCATTGATCCTTTAGCACCCGAAACAGTCATTGCCTGCATGTTATTGAAGGGGAATGGCTTTTCGAGGCCACTAGGTAAGCAGGCCTTGGTTATTTCCGAAGAGAGTTCACCCGCGCGGGACTTGTACATTCCATCAAGCCCTGCGTGCTTGTCATCATCACGCATTACCTCCTCGAGTCGACGCCGAAGTTCGGAATCCTCGTCCTCAACTTTATTTTGATCTAGAGTCACATACTTTAGAGCGATATCGTTTCCTAAGCCATCCGCTTCCTGGATTAGTTTTTTGCGATTGACATTGCCCTCTTCTGTGAGACGAAGGTCATCCATCCCGCAGGTGAATGCACGCATATGGAGAACTTTTGTTAGTAGACGACCCAGAATTCCAATCAATTTACCAGCAACGATGTGGCCATAAACCTCATGAATAGAGTGAATGAAGCCGCCAACACTTGGACCGAGTTGATTTTTGTCAAGAATTCCTGATATCAGCTCTCCGTTCCTGAAAGTGACGTCTCCTTCTGCTTCGTCACCCCAGCGACTCCACGGCGTGGACGATTTACTGTCCAGGTTAAGGCCTGCCCGGTTCTCGGGCGTAATGTTCTTCAAGACTGTGCTTATTATTTGCTTCCCTGTCCAGAGTGGTTGGGGCTTGAAGATGGTAGGTGGCATAGTCCAGATTTTGTCCGATACAGTATGCGAATTTTCCGGCCGTAAGCAACTGTAAAGTAGCTGGTGGTAGTCATTCTCATCAAAGAAGCTGTCTCTGCAAGTAAGCCATACACCCATGGATAAATGATCCTGAATTAAACCACGAAGCGGCTTTCCGGATGTGGCCACAAGGTACTGGTGGTCAGTATCCGCAAGTTGCATAGCTTCGGCACGAGCGATTTCATTTTGTGGGAAGTGCATGTTCATTTCATCACCGTCGAAATCAGCGTTGTATGTGTTACAGTTGGCGTAGTGCATTCGTATGGTTCTCTCGCCTGTTAGGACTCTAGCACGATGGCCCATGATTGACGGTTTGTGAAGGGTGGGCTGCCGATTCATCAGAACGACGTCTCCTGTTGTGAGATGGCGATAAACTCTCTTGTTGCGAGAACGCTTGAGTTTCCAATTCGATGGCGAGAGAAGCAAGTTTGCAATTGCAACTCTTTCATCCACAGATTTGAATTTCAAACTGACCACCTGTCCAAGCTCGTTTTCAACAGCCGCTGCGCCCGGGTATATATCTGGTCCATTGATCACAGCTTGTTTCAATTCCCAGTAATTGTGATTTGTTACTGGTTCGGGGTACGTCAACTTCTTTGCAAAGACAAGAGGTATACCGATTTCGTTTGTTTCGATGTTAGGGTCTGGGGAGATAACACTTCTGGCTGCAAAATTGACACGTTTTCCCATCATGTTTTTTCGGAAGAGACCGTCCTTCTTTTCTAATCGCTGTTTTATACCATCTTCGTTTGGCGCACCTAGTCCCTGAGAAGGATTCCGATCCCGGTCGATGAGACTGTTTACCGCGTCTTGAAGCTGGACAATCGACTGGAGCAGATCGCGGTAATCACGTATTCTCCTCGACGTCCCTGTCGTATCACCCTGTCTTTCCCTGCTAATCTGGTTGATCTGATCACATAATTTGATAATCCTGCCAAAAGACGTATTTTGCTGGGCCTCCATGATTTCATTTGGGCCTTGCTGCGCCGCCGGTCGGAACTTGTTTGGGGGAACGAGGATGTTTTTAATAAAAAACATGTTGGCACTAACATGAGAACGCTTTTTTACAAAAGGGCGAGAGTCGTATATCAAGTCGAGGATCTCTTGTTCCTTATCGAAAAGGAAGTGAAGAGAAGCATGAATCTCCGAAGAGGGTACGTACTGTTGGGACTCGCCCTGATCTGCTTGTTGAGATACTTCGGTCTCTTCAACATCCATGAGCACAGCATTACCCATTGAAACCTGCTGCTCTGCACTGAGGTCCTCGTCGCCGTCTGGTGCCACCGCCGACTTCACGGGTTTCTTCGCATCTTTCCCCCTTTGGGACATCCGATTTGCTTCTTCCATCAAAACAAGTGGGTTAGGTATCTGGAACCCAGCTTCCATCATAGCTATTCTGGCCTTCTGGGGAAGGGATTTCCGAAAGATCTTAGAATACTTATCGCGGCGGTAGGCTGGAGAGATCCTGATATTCAACTAAGTCAACACGGCCATTATAATAGCCAACATAGAGGGATTGGAGACTAACCCTGAACAGGACGTGCACTTTTTGGCAGCAGACGCTTCCTTCAGAAAGTCCCGCACTAAATTCCGTCGCATTTCAGCCGCAGTTGGATCTTTCACAATTTCCATGTGAGATCTGCTTCTCTTCTGAGCTGGTAAATTGGCGATGCAGCGTTTAACGTATGCATTTCTCCGCTGCATCAAGTCGACATCGTCCTCGTCGTCACTATCGTCGTCACTTGAATCGGCTTTATTGCGTGCGCCCTTACGAAGTTCCATATTCCCAGCGATATGCGCTTCTTCAATTAGACCATACTGTAAAAGTCGCAATTTGCAAGAGTAATTGTTGATTTGGGCGCGGGACATCCTGAATCGATGACAGTATATACACTGAGCTCTGAGTAGTCGATAGAGCTGATCAAAGAAAGTAACATTGTAGACGTGAACTGGCAGCTCGACGTGCCCAGCATGTCCGGCGCAAGACCAGGAATTTTGCCGACATGTAGAACATCTATAACACATTTCGTTAGTGTTCCCCCGTCTTTCCAATACCTCAATGAGGAGCCGTAGAGCATAACATACATATGATCACCCCATGCGCCCAGAGCTGCATCATATAACCCCCCCGGAACCGGGTTATTGAACGAGTCCAGACTGGGTGTGTTGTAGATTCGCTTGACTGAAACCGCCTTTATCTCGTCATCGGACATGACTCCAAAGTCAATTCCGCCGATGGACGACGAGACGGGGATGGCAAAACTCGACATCGCTGCGAATTCCTTCCGTACTGTCCTGCGTGGAAGAAAGAGCAGCGCTGTCAGCGGCTGTGGTTGCTGGTTGCTCGCGATATAATTTTTTTTTTTGGCTTCGCAGCAACTTGAAACTCAGATAAACTTTTTCTGCCGCTTGGTACCGTCTTCAAGCTTGACGGTGGATTATGTAAGCCTCACTCTCTGATAAATTTCCCCAGTTAAAGAAAATACATTTATTCTTTGCCTATATGTTGGACATTCAAGCTAATTTGTTAAGAGAAAAAGCCTGAGGTATAACCTACGATGACCTCTTAGATACACGGAGTTTTCGTAGGCATATTCTACCTAGTCCTCCCACGTATACTCTAGGAAAGCCGTAGTTAGAGATCTTAGTTAAAGGTCTTAGGCGTGGGCTAGTTAAAGGTCTTCGGCGTGGGCTAGTTAAAGGTCTTAGGCATGGGTTAGTTAAAGGTAGGTGCGGGTTAGTTAAAGGTAGGCGTTGGTCAGTTAAAGGTTAGGCATGGCCTTAACTAAAGTGCCGCCAAGGAATAACTGCTTACCTAAGGTCATGAGCTGCATAATTACATAAGCCATGCCATTTACTTTCTTTCGCCCAACGCGCTCATCCTTGACATTTATCAGTTTACCACCTACAACAGAGCTGTTATCTCCCCTTTACAGCCATGGCGAGCTCGTCCGGCAGCGGGTCGTTGAAACGGCCACACCAACTCGAAGATGAGACTTCCCAGAAGCGGCCGCGTTCGAATAATGGATCCCCTGCGCCGTCCAGTGCTCCCCCCAAGGTCGACATCCAAAAGGCGATTGCGGAAGCCAGAGCGAAAGCAGAAGCGGTTCGCGCAAGACTCAACGCTCAGAGAGAAGGAATAGCCCCGAAGCCTCCGGCAGGCTCGCAAACTCCCCAATCATCGAGCACCTCGCCGGCACTCTCAAGACTCGAACAGATGAAGGCGAGAGTTGCGGCAGCTACTGGGAAAATAAATGCTTCCGTCTCGCAGGTAGCCCAGCAAGCTCCGAGTTATGCTCCTCCGGTCAACGATGATAGCCTGCTAAAGGCAAGGGGTGGCCTGGATGTTGGCTTACATCCTGCACTCCTGGGGGATATTGGACAAGACAGCCGAGCTACCAAAGGGAAACAGGTGATGCAGCCTAAATTTGCAACTACCATGGCGAACTTTCGATCGGAGTCTTCTACGCCATCAACCCAGGGGAAGACACCTCTAGATCTGTCTGGGCCGTCGATAGAAGAAACTAGGAGCAACCCATATTTCGATCCTACTTTCGGTTCCAAATCTGTATCCGCACGGCCTCGTCACACCCGCCAATTGATTTTCAACCAAAAAGGCAAATACATCCAGCAAGCCGCGGCTCTCAGAAGGCAGGCCCAGCTGGAGGATATGAAAAAACGGATAGCAGCGCGAGCACGGCAGGCAGGTATAGATGAAGACCTCGATGTTGAGAAGTCATATCTTGTAGCGGCACCTCCGGCTATCGAGTGGTGGGATGAGGGCCTAGTAAATGCAACGGATTATTCTGCTATTGAGGACCCGAGCAACTTGAAGGTTGACACGCCTGATTCGGTTATTACGATATATATTCAACACCCGGTGCTCCTTGAGCCACCACAAGATAAGAATATCCCCGCGCCAAAACCTATGTACCTTACCCCCAAAGAACAGGCGAAGATCCGTCGACAACGACGTATGGCGGACCTCAAAGAGCAGCAAGCAAAAATCCGTCTTGGCTTGGAACCTGTTCCTGCTCCCAAGGTTAAAAAGTCCAACCTCATGCGTGTCCTCGGTGAAGATGCAGTCAAGGATCCTACAGCCGTGGAAGCTAGAGTGAACCGTGAAATCGCCGAACGTGCGCAGAAACACCAGGAAGCCAACGAAGCTCGAAAGCTCACCAAAGAACAACGACATGAGAAGCTAGCCTCAAAACAGGAATTAGACGCTTCCAAAGGTGTATGCGTATCTGTTTATCGTATTGACAGCCTAGCAAACGGCCGACACCGGTTTAAAATCGGCAAGAATGCAGAACAGAACGCCCTCACTGGAATTTGCATCATGCATCCCAAGATCAATATTGTGATTGTGGAAGGAGGTGCTCGTTCCATCAACGCTTATAAAAAACTCATGCTAAACCGTATTGACTGGACCGAAAATTCTGGTATCAATGCTGTGAGGGAAGGCAATCGCGAGGCCCTGACCTCTTGGTTAGCCGCGGAGGATGAAAAGGGGGAGCTTAAAGACCTGAGCCTCAATACTTGTACTTTAGTTTGGGAGGGAGAGGAGAAGAATAGGGCATTTAGGAAGTGGGTTGGTGCAAGGGTGTGTGAGACTGATGGGGCAGCAAAAGATCAGCTGGCAAGGGCTAAGATGGAGAATTTTTGGGCTTTGGCAAAGAGTATAAAACCTGGAGCTGCGTGGCCTTGTATATAGAAGGGCACGACTGCATGATCGGCTTGCTTAGTATACCTGTGGTCAATAAAGGAGCAATACTTCTAAACTGCTTATAATTTCGCTACTCTCGATATAAGCAATTATCCCAAATCGTCGGAACCTATGGTAGATTTTTGAGCGTCTTGCTAAAGCCAAACGAATGGAGTTAATAGAGTCAAAGTTGTAGAATGAACATAGGTATCCGCAAAAAAATATAACCCATGATGTCAGGTCCATCGATAGCCGGTACTCCAATAGACAGGCAACCTCGCGTCAAAAGAACAAGTTACCACCATTTGACACATGCACCAATAAACAAGCAAAAAGAAATATACATCAGAAATTATAGATAAGAGAAGGGAGCGGCGAGCGAACATCAACATCCATCATCTGATAGCCATGAAAGACTGTAGTGCCCTGCTCAGAAGCTGGTATGCGGGTAATAGTTCCTGTGCCTCAGGGGAACGCCATCAACGCCGTATATCTGTGAATATAAAGCTAAACAGCTTAAAAGTTGATTTGTTAAGACAGCCGTGAAGCTCAAAGCTCAATATATCGACACCGCGTATCAAGTCCATCAGGTGGCATAAAATCCGTAGCTGGGCATGTACGGGTCAAGAAAATGTTCATCAAGGTTGAACCCATACGCGCCCATCATGTCGGATATTAACATATTCGATGGCGTAAAGCTAGTACTACTTTCGGTTCCACTATCAATCATGGTATTACCCATGTTTCCATTCTCAGGAGATGTGGTTGCGGCGGACCGATTCCATGCCTTGAATCGTTCGAGCATTTTGCCCAGTCCCCTCGAAATGTGACGCGTTAAATGCTTTTCTCCCGCACTTGCACAGGTAATCAGGTCAATGATTTTCTCAACAAGGTGCTGTACCTGGCCAGCATCCACATTGAGATACCCTGTGTTCCATATCACAGCGACTTTGAGCAAGAAGACCGCAGAGAATGTAATCATAGTGTGAGTGAAAATAGGCACGCCCACGACAGCATCGCGCAGGTCAACCTCATCTAGCACAAGGTTGAGGGTCGCTATTGCTGAAGCTATGGCCACATTGGCAGCTTCTTTACGCTCTGGAGAGAACTGCATATTAGGCGAAATAGCACGAAGTGCCAGTGAATTGAGCTGGAATTTGGCGAAGTGATAATGCAATACTGCGCCTTTCGAAGGATATGTTCGAACGTAAGGGTTGTCCTCTATAAGGTAAATATAATTAGTCTTAGGGTATCAAAAATACAAGGAGGAGGGAAATAGGATATATATATAACTCACGAGATCGAGGTTGCCACAGAAGCCTCCACTGTTCAATAGCCGCATTAAAGGACCGTAATTGCCCGAAGTCAGATTCAGTCAATGCCTGCTCAGTATCCGATCCATAAATCCTATAAGCTTCTGTTAAAATGACGAACAACGCTACCTGGGCAATGAGTCTAACATCTCCCGGAACGGTGGACGGAGACTGCAAAAACGTTTCGTAATTTTTAATCGCAGCATCCTCATGTATAGAAGGAGGCCTTCCATATGCAATGCTAAAATGATGTTCACAGACATAAATCAAGTACCAGAGTTTTGCACGCTCGTACTGATCGGTCTGGCCCCTCGTCATCTTCAAAAAGCTGTGATGTAAATTAATTCCGGTTGCTATCCGTACTGCTTGCCCAGAAAGCTTCCAGCTGAGATCTGGAAGCCAGAATGCACCGATGCATCGTGCTCGTATGTCATCTAGTGTGTGATATCTGGATAACGTGGCGGCACCAATTAACGAAATAAATTCATTATAGCATCTATTGAGGGTCTCCGTCCGGTTAGGGATATGGAGTGCAGACACCGTTAATATTGCCGCAGCTAGGAGCGATGATGACCTCCGAACGGAAAGTAGGTCCGGATGTACCAGAATGATTCCACCCCAGAGGAGCTGGTTCAGGGTGCGGCGGAAATAAGCAAAGAGTTCCTCTGCCTCACGAAGTGTGATGCAACCCCTCGATATAAAATCCTCTTCCATCAGCGTTGACTTGGGTTTCCCAAGATGATTGCTACGCAGATTGCGAAGTTTTGTGACCTCGTATAAAGTACCCATAGGTGCGGGTACAAGGTCCGGCTCTTCCGGCATCGGTTCCTGGGAGTTTTCTCTTGTCATATCCAAGGATTTACTAGCATTTGCATCGCTAACACGGGGTTCGCTAGGCGCATGGTTTGGCGTAGAGCTTAGGTCAGAGGGGGCACCAGGTGAGGGAGCGAAGTCGAAAGCTGAGAGAGAAGGAAGCTTGTTTTCGCGAAGAATGTACGATACGGCGGCCTCAAGGCGCTGCATCTTGTTGGTGGCTTGAGCCTTCCAGCTATAAACAGAATAAGAAAAGAGGTCAGTCGGGCCTTTTCACGAATATCCAGTAAAACGACGAGGTCAACCCACTTAATATCATCATCAACAAATCTCTGCGAGAAATCATTGGCCACACATTTGACACCACTTTTGAGGCACTTGGTGCAGCTGGTCTCTCCAGGCTTCACCTCGCACTTGATCTTGTGGCGTTTGCATTCTGCGCCTAGAGAAGGTATTCAGCAACAACATCCGAAATATAGGCTAGCCGTAGACTACTAACATGCGCGAGCTTTCGATATCTTTGGCGCAATGATGGACGGAGTCGAATCGCCCTCCCCGTTAATCCTTGGAGGGCTCTCGAGGCTAACCGCCTCGTGGGACCGCTTCATCCCTGTCAGCAGTAAAAAGGTCGAGAAAGACGGGGACACCGAGACTCGCGTCGCATGAAATCCATCAATCGCCAGAGCCAGGTAGACTGGAAACTGCACAATTGCTTCCTCTCAGCACATAGGACCTGGTTTAATAGCTGGGGAACTCTCTCCGCGCAAGGAGAAGAGCAAGAGGCAAACTCGGACTGTCTTGCTCCACCCCCACACACAGTTCGTGCAGCTTGCGCCGAGGTTTTTCCGTCCCGTTGTCGTGTGCATCTACGGCTTCAGGGGGGAGAGTCAACAAAGCGACATCTCGGGGAGTTCCAGGTCCCTTGGTCGGTCCAGGGATGAGCTCTCGTTGTCTTTCTGGAGCGTCTGAAAGCTGTCAGTTAAGCGACGTCGTCCTTCATACCCGATTTGGTTGGAAGGTCATGTGACTTCGCGCTCACTTCGTGTTTTGAGGCTGCAGAAAACACGCTTGATATCAAGACATTCCAACCTCATTTGCAACAAAACACGCGTCACCGGCGCAAGGAGCTGGCCTGGCAGGATGGCAGACGATACCTGTGCAAACCCGTTGCTGCTGGGCTGGATTAAGGAGTGGTATGATGAGGCTCAGGAGCGCAATTCCAAGGGAGCAAGCGTGTATGTATGCTGCTTCGTGACCCTGATGGATGGCAGGATTCAGCTCTAATATCGCTCAACTGCAGGTACAAAAAGGCATATAACTCCATGAAGGCATGTCCTCTAGAGTTTGATCACCCTTCAGAAGCACAGCAGCTCAACGGGCTTGGACCGAAATTATGTGATCGTTTGACTGTGAAGCTAAGGGACTACTGTAAAGACAATGGACTCCCCATGCCCGAGTCACAGCAACAGGGTGAGATACCGTGTCCGTTAAAGAAAAAAAAAAAATTAAATTCAGCAAGGTAGGCTAATCATGGGACAGCAGTCAAGAAACGGCCGTCTACGGATGACCTGCATCAGACGGAGGGACAGCCAGCCAAGCGCCCAAAGAAGGTGAAGCCGTATGTCCCAGCCTTGCGTTCAGGGCCATATGCGCTCTTATTAGCACTTGCTACCCTGGATGAGAATACATCGGTTGGCTTAACCAAAGCTCAGCTCATCGAAGTTGCGCAGCCATACGCGGATGCGTCATTTACCGCACCTTCTGATCCAACCAAGTTTCATACCGCGTGGAATTCGATGAAAACTCTTGTTCAGAAGGATCTTGTCTGCGAGCGTGGCAGGCCACTAAGGAGGTATCTTTTAACGGACGAAGGATGGGAAATTGCCAAAAGAATACAGAAAACAGTGCAGGACAAATCACACGCGCCCTCAGATTCCAGCGGGGCCATGGTCAGTAGCCACTTCATATTACTAGATACGTAAATAGCTAACCTGTCTAGGATAAGTTCGTGCGCCCAGGAAGTGCGCAGCCAGCATCGTCACGGTCTATGGTTACCCAGACGGCTGAATCCTGTCGACTGCCAGTATCACGCATAGAAAGCCTTGATTCATTCGCAGACGAGGCTACTCCAATACCTGCCTTGCCCGCAACACGAGGAGTTGCCAACAGTTCAAGATTTACCCTCCCGCGAGATAGTTTCACAATCGAACTAGTACTTGACGTTCGCGAAATCCGTTCTAGGCAAGACCGGGAGTATATATCCAACGAGCTAATGAAACGAGGAGTCACGCCGATAGTCCGTTCTCTAGAGATCGGGGATATTCATTGGGTTGCCAAGTGCAAGGATCCCAACTTTCTCGCACAATATGGCGAACAAGGGGATGAAGTGATTCTAGATTGGATCGTGGAAAGAAAACGACTCGACGATCTCCTTAGCAGTATCAAAGATGGCCGCTTCCACGAACAGAAGTTCCGCCTTCGCCGTTCAGGAATTAAGAATGTGATATACCTGGTTGAATTCATGGCTCTCACAGATTCCAACAGTGTAAATGCAACGCGCAATTTTTCAGCTATCACATCGGCAATTGCATCGACACAGGTCGTCAATGGCTATTTTGTTAAACAAACCAACAGCATTGACGATTCAATTCGATATCTCGCCAGAATGACCGCCTTTCTTCGTGAAATGTATATAGGCTCTGACTCCACTGGACAGGTGAAAGCTATATCGGTCACTCCAACATCATCCATCGAGTCGTTGAATACATACTTGCCTCACCTCGAGCAACTCCGTGCTAAGGAGCAGGATAGAACCAATGCCTCCTCCTCACTCAACGCATTAGAAACAACCTATACCCTTACATACAGCACATTTTCCGCTCTCTCCTCGAAATCAGACATGCTTACGTTGCGCGATATCTTCTTAAAGATGCTCATGTGTACCCGCGGAGTAACAGGCGACAAAGCCCTGGAAATTCAACGACGATGGGGTACGCCACGAGAATTTGTTAAGGCCTTCGAAGATGCCGGCCCGAGAGGATCTGATGGCAAACCCTCTCCTGCTCAGAATGATTTAGTCGCGTCCGAATTGGGAGGACTGGTCGGACGGAAGAAGATCGGTAAGACGTTGAGTAAGAAGATTGCAGAACTGTGGGCGACCTGATGGATGGGGTCATTACAAGGGCATCTTCTGCTTCCACTGCAGAACTCTACCCGCTTTCCATATAGTAAGATACATTGCTTTCATGCTTTCATGCTATGCATCATTTATTCGGACTTGGCGTTTGGGGGTTCACATATACCCATGGGTTCAGTTGGCACGTTTGGGCGAAGGCGGTCTATATTGGGAGTAAATACTATATGATATTTGTGAGTTCGTTAAGGCATAGCGGAGTATCAGAAATGTCGTCTAGCATGAGGATTCCCCATGCTGTTGTATAAGCAATGTCTGGCTCCATGGATTCTAGGGGGGGAAAGCCATGGTCCTAATTCAGTTGTTAGGTGAGAAGCCAACGATGTATCAGGAGAAGCGAAACTTACGCGAGAGTATTGTAGAGGCATGGGCTGAGGATGTAGAAATTTGCTCCGCCTAGAATGCGAGAACAAAAAAGGGGGACAGAAGCATAACAGGTCAGGTTAGGTGATTTTCTTGCCGTTTTGATATTTAATATCATCGTCAGTGTCGTATAGTATGCTTGAATTCCCCTCTATTATTCAGTTAGTTAGATAGTAAACAAAATATTAGATATATGCCTTACCCCAATGTCCAGCTTTCTTTAGAAACTCCACCAACTCCTCCTGAGTCATGCTATCTATTTTTTAAGATGCTGTTGGAACACCTGGCGCCTTTCCTCCTTACTCATTATCTGGGGTTTAGAGGCCGCACCAGAATTGCCCGTGGGGTGGTTCAAGGCAGGGGAGCCGGATACCTCGCTTGACGAGGATTCGGGGGTGGGCTTAACTATCTTTTCTGAGGGAGCCATCGTGTCTGTAGTTGTGCTTTGTAGTTGTATTATTTCGCAGACGCGAAAAGAAGAAGGGCAACTTTGCGTCATCGACTTGAAGTTACCTACCAAGGTTGGTCGCTTATATAAATGACTATGGCTCAACCATAGATCGAGTCATATAATTCCAGGGTTGACTATAGATTAACCATAGATTGAGTTACTTATGCTTACCCTGTCAGGCTATACAGAGTGGATGTTAAGATCGAACCGTGCCCTGTATACGGAGTATAGCTGGTTAATCCATCCAACGCAGATTAAAGCCAGAGTAAATAGCAAAAAGTAAACATAGAGAGTTATATATCTGTACCTTAATAGGTGACTATGGCCATGCGCCTATCATATAGCTAAATGGCAGAGCGCCTGTTACTAAACCCGATATCTAGTGACTCGTTTTCCCAAGAAGCCTCCTAATCCCGGCTGTAAACTCTACCCTAAGAGCCAAACTACTACAAACAACAGACACGCTGCTTAATGCCATTGCAAGCGCTGCCCATACCGGATCCAACCTCCAATGGGTGTTGACAATGGTCCCGTCATCATGCATCTTATGCCCAGTAACGATCGGATAGAAGACACCAGCGGCAACCGGAATGAGGGAGACATTGTATATTGCGGCCCAAAGGAAATTCCATCTCACGCGGTTAAAGACACGACGACTTAGTTTGCAGAGGTCAAGGATTGTGTTTAGGTCAGAATTCAGGAGTATGAATCCGGCAGCATTGACAGCAACGTCGGACCCGGATGCCATTGCAATACTAACGTCAGCGGCAGCAAGGGCGGGAGAATCATTAGTACCGTCGCCAACGAAGGCGACGATGTTTCTCTTTCTTTTCTGATCGGTAGAATTAGTTCCTTGGGCCATGACTCCTAACTCGTTATTCTGAACTTTCTTGATATATTCTGCCTTCTGAGAAGGGAGAACATTGGCCATGACGTTCGATCTGGGAATTCCAAGCACCGAGGCTACAGCGTGGGCTGTTATTGCGTTGTCTCCGGTGCACATGTGTACATCGACATTTCTAGCTTGAAGTTGGGAGATCACTTGTGCAGCTTCGCGACGAAGGGGGTCCGAAGTTGCAAAAATGATGGCTGGTACGAGCTTTGTCGGTTCATTTGATTTGCGAATGGAAAGAATTGCAGATGATTTACCGGCTGAGTGATATCTTGATAGTATGTTGGGCAAATAGAATAGATCCGGTTCTTCGCTGCCCAAACGCTCGACTAGACGCTGGTTACCAATCGATGCTTCGTACTCAAGTCCCTCATCGCTGCCGTCAATATGGACTGTGAATACTCCCTTCATTCCATGGCCTGGGATTTCTTCAATGGAAGACTGCTTAACGGTGGCGGTTGTTCGGTCAGCGCAAAATTCGACGATAGCCCTAGCAATCGGATGGGTGCTGCTTTCTTCTAGCGCTTTCCCTAGAGCCCATGCAATCTGCCTGTCGTGCTCATCACTGATTAGAACCTCATGATCGGAGACTCGAAGGGCACCACCTTCAGTAAGGGTGCCTGTTTTGTCGAAAACGATGGTGTCCAGCCTGCTTGCTTCTTGAAAGGCCTCCCCACCACCTCTGACAAGGATTCCTCGTTTTGCTGCAAGTCCCCCGCCGACAAAGAGAGCGGTAGGAGCGGCCAGCGCAAGTCCACAGGGACATGCTACAACAAAGACAGCAATGGCAAACTGCAAGCTCCAGAATGGCCAACCACCTTGTTCCGAGTCTAGATATTCGGGAGGGAGAACACCAGATTGCCCCAAGCTGAGCCAGATAACGAACGTCAAAATTGCAATCAAAGTGATCATCGGCACAAAATACCCAGTTATAGCATCTGCAACTCGTTCAACAGGTGCTCGTTTTGCCTGACCTTCTCGTACAACCGCGACTATTTGATCAAGCATGGATGTGCTTCCTAGATCGGTAAGCTGGATGGACACAGGTCGCCCGACATTGACTGAACCAGAGAATACTTTGTCGTCTTTAGATTTCTTGACGGGCATCGATTCTCCAGTTAGGGAGCTTTCATCAAATTTATAAGAATCACTCCCAGTAACAATGCCATCAGCTGGAGGTGATCCTCCATGGGGGACCAGGACAACGTCCCCGATATCCAATAGGTCAACCGCCACACGTTGAATAGTGCTGTTATTCGGGTTCACTTCGTCGGCAGGATCATGGTTGAGGACTAGCGTAGCTTCAGATGGACGAAGCTTGCCCAGCATGGCAACGGCATCTCCAGTTTTCGCTTTACTGTATGCCTCAAGAGCACGGCCAACCAGGATGAAAAGAGTGAGGAACACAACCGTATCAAAATAGGTAGCTATTTCTCCTGATTCGTGCTCATCGGCGGGGATGCGAGCTTTCATAATTATGACAGCCAAGGATGCAAAATATGCTACCATCGTTCCGGCAGAAATAAGCATGTTCATACTCCCAAAACGATAGAATCGCCTAAGAATAGGAACGCGGCTGCCAGGCCTCCACAGAGCGCGGATCTCTTTGAATGCACGAGCATGGAACACGTCTGTACCAAAAAACATGACGGGGGTGGTCAAGATGAAAAGCGCCCATTCCGTACGAGAGACCGAACCTATCCACATTGGCTGCTCAAAATACTTTCGAATGCTATTCGACGGTGGAACTAGCGACATCCAGAGTATACCGATGAGGAACTCAGGGATAGCTACGATGAAAGTGAATAGAAGACGGATAAGTAGTCGCCTTTGTTCGTGCATTTGCATGGCTCGAGAACGATCTTCGATTGTAGGCGGATGATACACGCTTGCCTGGAAAACCTCGTTTGTGGAATCAATCGTGGCGATAATATTTCGTATAGTCATTGAGGGGGAGTTTGGGGTATATGAGACCGTGAGTATTGGGTTCTGTAAGGTGAGTTCATCATCAATAGTCACAGCGCCGTCTGAAAGTCGTTTGAGGGCATCCACTATCCTTTGCGGACAATGTGGACAAAACATTCCATCGACCTTGATCTGAATAGTTCTCGTCTGGGTACCCTCGTCAAGAGTGTGAGGGCCACCTCCAAGAGGGCCGCAGTCAACGATTGTAGCTTCAAATCCTAGGTCTTCAATCCTGCTGATGATATCATTAAGATTCTCTTTCCCATGAAATTCAATCCTCCCTGAATTTCCCAGCAGATGTATAGTCGTACTGGTCACATATGGACAAGCGTCTAGAGCCCTGGTAACGGCTCCCACGCAGGAGCTGCAAGTCATACCCTTGATGCTGACATTCGCGAGGTAGACATCCTTGGGAGCTCCCTCTTTAAGTGAAACTTTTTCGACGGAGGCTTCGAATCCGATATCCTTGACTTGACTGGCAATCTTATTGATATTTTCCTTTGGGCCAGTAAATGATACCTCTGCGCTGTTTGTGAGTAGGCTTACAGTAGCCGAAATGACATGATCTGATGATTTTAGTTCAGCTGTCACAGCGTTGGCACAGGAAGCGCATGTCATTCCACCAATGGTCAGTTGGGCGTCATATACTTCTTCATTAGGAGCTGGTGGGGGGATTCCCACAGCTTTCGTTAACGGAAGCGGCGCTACCGGCGCAGCGACTGATCGAGATCTAGATGCTGGTCTGGATAGCCGAGGAGTTGGCGTTCGCTTTGGTGTCTCTGTATCCGTGGCATGTTTCTGTTGAACTGTGCGAGGTTCCGATTCGGCTCCTTTATGGTCTAAACTAGAACCAGCCCCGAATTCTTGCCTGCAGACCAGGCAATTTGCAATATGAAGCGACTTCCGCTCAGGAGAAGTGGCACGCAACCGTCCTCTGACCTTTAGAGGTCGAGGAGAGTTGAGGAGACCAGATTCAAGCCAACTACTACCCAGCGGCGAAGAAGATTCCAAATTGCCAACCTTTACTCCGGATTCGTTGTATGTATCGGCATGAAAGACTTCGAATGCGGCATCAGCAAGGGCCTTCACAAGGTCAGATGTCGTCGTCTCGGGGCTGTGGTGAACTGTTACTTCGTGCGCAAGGATGGAGACCTCGACGCTTCTGATATGGGGCAGGACATATAAGACTTCCTTTGCGTAGGCCACGCAGGAGGCACAATGTATGTTGTTGACGAGCAGTGTGGTTTTCAAGTCTTCTAGGAACATATTGGTCTGCGGAATCTGCATCTTGGGAGAGCGAGAAGGACAGCATGAAGATGTAGTCTTGTTGGTATCTGCCATGCTGTCAATGGAGTCTCAGATATCTCTTCAATGCCGTGTGAGATACACAACAGCAGCCAGTCCAAGGTGTGAATGGAACGAAATAACAATAATTATCGTCCAGTCCTGCAAAAAAAAAAATTTTATGCAGGATAAATATATTTAGTTGGCTGGTTGTTCAACTAACTTGACCATCCGCTGAGAAGATGGTATGGAAGATAAATGAGTCAAGAGGAGGAAAGTGGAATGGCGGAGAAGATGTCAGAAGGCATCGACCAGAGGAACGACGGTCATCGCAGTATTTAAGTCCATTTTGACGGCAGCCATGACTTCAGATGGGAATTTATACGGCCTTCCGGCGGCGACTGGATACGCGATACTTTTGCCGGATGCACAAATCGCGCGGCTTCGAATGGACCGGGAGATGTCCAGGATCAGCACAAGTGCCGCCCATCGTGGACCCAATGGAGCCCTAGTGCGCCGTAGGAAGATGCGAAGTGAACTGCAGCCAGGATGTCGCTCTTCTACTCGCAGATGCAAGAAGATTGTCGATATCAACGAACCAATTTGCTGGACCAGAACCCAAGCGAGAGGATGTGATGGCCGCTCAAGTATCTCTTATGTACTTCTCTGCCTATTAGTTCTAGTAGTGGTACCTCTGAGGTACTTCTCAGCCGCTAGTCCAAATGGGCGACTCTCAACTTCAACAGACAAAATGGATACGAGCACATCCTACACATCATACAGTCTGTGGTGCACTCAATCCACCGTCTGGGCAGGTAGTCACGGCTACCGCTAGGATTAGGGGTCTTGTTCTCGACGAGAATAAGCCGTCTACGGCAATAGCTTCATCTTGCCATTGGCATCGCCGTGACGTGATGCCTCCGGCCATCTTGACTTGATGAGCGAACGACAATATATAGACGAAGATCCAACACGGGTTTATCTGCAGTACGAGGACCGGCTATTATCTTCCTCCGTATACTCGATGCAGTTCACAGTCGTGATACTTCCGGGGAATCGGGAAATGGTGGCCACCTGCACCGTCATCACCACGCATCAACAGTCTGCCCTTCGTTACTGGACAAATCATGCATTTTCTCTATGCGAAGACACCTCCGACCCCAGCAATCTAACACCCTCTTTGTATCTTTTTTGCTTCTGCTGCTGTCACTTGAACCCGGCTCCAGAGGCTCCTCCGGCGTTTTCCTTTGATCTCGGGATTTTGAAAGTACGAAGTACATGAAACGTCAGCAGTGCCTATATACCCACCCCGATAAGCAGGATATACCTCTACCTTCCCCTCTACAACCTTCTATATCCCGAGCAATGAATGAAGCACAACCTCATCAGGCATTTCTCTGGGGAAAATCCAGTCTATCCAGTCTGTACTGGATTACATAATCCTGATATATGCGCAATCTGGTTCAGAATCAGCTACCAACCATGGGAATGCTCCTACCTAAACACTGGATCAAATATAGCATCCATGAAACCGAGAGAAGAAACCTTTCGACGTCTATGACGATATTATTCCATGACAAAATGTACACGAAACTCGTCGAGATGTTGGCTATAAATTGCGTTGGTTACCCAGCAGCACTCCATCCTAACTCATTACCATCTTGTCATATTATACACTGCTGGCTATCTACTCATATTTATCTTAATACTTAGATTCCTCCTTATATAATAAGTACGCCTCTTATCGATATCTATCCTTTTACCCATTCAACGTCTGGCTAGTATGGCTGGTATTCAGAATCTCCCGGTAGAGATTGCGGACCAGATCCTGGGGTACCTGGACAACGAAAGCCTTACTCGAATTGGCCGTTGCAGCTCGGGCTTCACGCCACTCTCAATCAAGGAGCTGTACCGACGTGTATTTAAAGCCAGCGAGGGTACCCAGGCAGTCCCTTATAAATTGTACGAGCAGTCCAAGTATTGGAAATCGAAGTACATCATCGGCCTCCTCAAGTCAATCAAAATCGACGAGTTCCTGGTTGAGGAGGATGGACTGACCCCGTTCCACCACTTTGCGAGAGAAGGGTCAATTCCCGTAGTTCGATGTTTACTCGAAAGGAAGTTGGATCCTAACTTCCAGTCAAGCTGTGAAGGATGCTACCCTATAGGCCGCAGTACCCCGCTACAACATGCTATGTACAGCATCACATTGTTCGGTGCTCAGCACGGAACTACAAAAGACTGGCAGCGCTTCATGGAGCTGTTCGAAATTTTTGTAAAGGCAGGCGCAGACATCAACCTCCAGAGCGACGACGGCAGCTGTCTTATGTCTCACTTGATCGAATATGGCCCGAGAATGATGGTGATGAAGGCCCTAGGAATTGTCAGCGAGCTACCAGTCGACTACAACATCTTGGATAACTGGAATCTTTCCATGGTTTGGAAGTCAGTCCAGCGTGGCTTCCAAGACGTATTGGAAGTACTTCTTTCCCGGGGCGCTCATCCTACTCTTGGTAGCCTCATCAGCGGTGAAACGGCGCTGCACCTAGCGGCTGTCAGTGGAAACCTGGATATGTGCGAGATGCTCGTCGCCGCCTTACAGTCTCGCGAATGCAGTATCTCCCAGAAAAACCGACGCGGGCTCAATGCTGCCGAGGTGGCCCATGAGCGAGGCTGCCACAAAGTAGCAGAGTTCTTTGTTGACCAGGGGCTCAAGATCGATCCATTAGTGTGTCCGAATCGGTCTGCGCCGTTTCGCTACCCAGGGCCTCAGGTGTTGTATGGTGGTGTATGCCAGTGTAAACGGGAGTATTTCCAAAAGTACTGGAGGTAGTACTCAAGGTATCTGAGGAAGGAATTCTCCGCCTGGGAGGAAAACATATCATAACATTATAACTGTCACTATATCTGTCACTATATCTGTCACTATATCTATAATTCTCATACTAAATTTAAGTCTGTCACTATTACTATATCTGCAACATCTTGAAGGAAGCCGCTCCACGATGGATGTTTTCGTATGAAGAAAAAAAAGTTGCCTTGTCCGTGGATCGAACCCCGGGACTGGCGGCTTCCCGATCGGGTTTAGCTCCTTACCCTTTTCTTCCGCCGCCAAAAGGGAAGAAAAAAACATACCACGTGACCAGACGGCTTGAGCCGCTGCACCAACGAGGAAGTTTGGGCGCTCGGCGACGAGCGGGCGCAGTTTCCGCCGGCCTTGCGCATTTCCACCTATACAGACACGCTTAATACTCCGGATACGCCATCACAGCAGATGATACAGTGATACAGGTGCAGGCCTTTGGTTATTAATCTTAGCGACGGATTACGGTCTATTCTGCGTGGCCGCTGAGAGATCTCGCCTCCTGGTGGGGGGTTCATGAGGATTATCGACCGTATAGGTGAGCTCGACACAAAAGATACCTTTGCTCTCGTCCGCTTCATAGCTCCAAAGATCTTCCCTTTTGCTAGCACTGTGTATAGGCTGACTCAATTTCCAGATAGCTCCGAACATACCTAATAAAGGTCCGAGAAAGGAGAACACAAAAAAAGGAAGCTCTATATAATATTTCAATAAATCGCTTCTATGGTCGGTGTCAAGCCAACTCCCCGTCTCCCTCCTCCAGGGAAGGCAGGGATTCGACGGCCGCCAGTCGAGCGTCTGGCGAGCTTGAAGAGACCAAATCCCACTCCCATCCGACGTCCACAGTCCATCCACGTCCCCCAGCAACAGCAACAGAAGACGAATGTTGCCGTCCCCCCTAAAACCTCCAAATGTCCGAATCCAGGCTGTCCGGACCCGAATATAGTCGAAGATGACGGACAGAGGGTTTGTGCCGGCTGTGGTACCGTTATCAGCGAGTCTAATATCGTGTCTGAAGTCACGTTCGGCGAGGCTTCGTCTGGAGCGGCAGTCGTCCAGGGTACATTCGTCGGTGCAGATCAGAGTCACGGCCGCAGCTTCGGGCCTGGGTTTCAACGCGGTGGTGGGATAGAAAGCAGAGAGATTACTGAACAGAATGGTAGGCTTGTCTCTTATTCATTGTCTCGTGGGTTACTTGTTCAGGTTTGCTTACGTCTTATACAGGTAATCGATATATTGCGCAGCTTTCCCGAGCTTTGAATATCCCAGAGAGTGCCTCGAAGGCTGGAGGACAGGTTTTTAAGCTTGCAGTCGGGCTGAATTTCATCCAGGGGCGACGGACAAAGACCGTGGCTGCGGTTGCTTTGTACATTGCCTGCCGACGACAGGATGGAAATACCGTTATGCTGATCGATTTCGCTGACGTACTCATGGTAAGCATGAAATATCCTTCCCTTAAAAAATGAATTATTCAGAGGTTAATGATGTTCTAGATCAATGTCTTCAAGCTTGGCAGAGCATACAAGGCACTCCTCGACGAGCTGAGGCTGGGAGGAAACCATTTCATCATGAACCCCATCGACCCGGAGAGTCTGATTTACCGTTTCTCGAAACAACTAGAATTCGGCCCCGCCATGATGCAGGTTGCCAGTGAAGCCGTGCGGATCGTTCAGAGAATGAATCGTGACTGGATGATCACTGGTAGACGACCAGCGGGTATCTGTGGTGCTGCACTTATACTGGCAGCGCGGATGAACAACTTCCGCCGGACAGTCCGCGAGGTAGTATATGTCGTCAAGGTGACAGAGTTGACAATCCATCAACGGTTAAACGAATTCAAGGCGACGGAAAGTGGTGGCCTTACAGTTGACGAGTTTCGCTCCGTGCAGTTGGAAGCCTGCCACGACCCCCCTTCGTTTTCACATTCAAAGGATAAGAAGACAGCACAGGGTAAAAAGCGAAAGGCTGCCGAAATCGAAGGCGGCGATGATGTTGAAGACGACACAGCGTCAATCCAAACAGAAGCTTCCACAACACATGGAGATAGACAAATTGCTGCGCGGGTTGATGCAGACGGTTTCGCCATCCCTGAAATCCCGATTGATCCTGCCCTACTAGCATCCGATAAGAAGAGAGATTCTCCAGATGGTGCAGACGTAGTCGATGAGACTGATTCTGACGCCAAAGGGAAACGTACCCGGCCAAGGGGTAATAGAAATACTCCTTATCCCGAGCCTACCGAATCCGAGCTGGCCTCGGAATCTGCTTTAGAGGACGAAATGACTGCCCTCTTATCTTCAAACTCCGACCTTATTGCCAACACTAGCAAACCCGCCCCAGCAACAGCGATTACTGAAACAACCAAGCCAGATACTACTCTAGATAGTGCCAAAGAAAACGTCGACAATGGTGTCAACGCAGGCGCCGACACAACCCTAACACCACCCCAAACCCAAACACAACAACCCGTATCCTCGGATATTGAAATCAGCCCCTTGGAATTCGACGACGATCCTGAAGTACAATACTGCCTCCTCTCCCCTGCCGAAGTAGAAATCAAAGAACGCATCTGGGTCCACGAAAACAAAGATTACCTACGCACCCAGCAAGCCAAAGCGCTCCGAAAAGCTCTTGCCGAGGCCGGATCAGATCCATCGAAATCAGGTGCCCAACGACCCCGAAAGCGCCGCAAAGGTCGAATGGGAGATGTTACTTATTTATCAGGGGAAGGGAAGAACGCAGACGGCGAGCCTGTGGCTGGATCACGTGCTTCAACACCAGCAGAAGCAACAAGGCTCATGCTTGAAAGAAGAGGCTTTAGTAAGAAGATTAATTATCAGCTATTTGAGCAGATGTATGGCGATGACGACAAGAATCAGAACGATGAAGGAGGAAATATAATCACGGTTAAGAGGAAGGATAGCGAGAGCGATGTTGACCGCCGGAGCAGAAGTCGCAGCGTCAGCGTTAGTCGCAGCGTTCGCAGCTCTAGCATCGTTTCCGAACGAGGTATATACGGCGGACGAGCATCGGGGAATAGGTCAAGATTACTAAAACCCATTCGGACTCCAGTCACATCAACGATGAAGAAATCTGCCGCTCCCGCAGTCATCCCTGCCGCCAAAGTTCACACCATTGATCCTACAAGTCAATTTGCAGCAGCAGTGGAAGCAGCAAATCGAAAAGAAACGGCACCACAGATATCTGCGGCCCCGAAGGCTAAACCTGTACCACCGGTTGCTGAGCCCGAGAAACCTACAGACCCCAACGAGGAGATTCTTGGTTACCTGCCTGATGCAGAAGAGGACGAGTTACCTGTCGGCCCAGCGGGAGATGCCGATGGAGACGACGATGAAGAGGAAGAGGAAGAGGACGAGGAGGAGGATGATGGTGTCGAGGCAGCCTTTGCCGGGAATTATTATGATGAAGGCAGCGACGGAGGGTACGATGATGATTATTTCTAATTCAACCAGCTGGATGATTCACGAAAGATGCGAACAGGAAAAGCTGTTATATACTTTATTGTACATTAGCTGTTGATCAGCTTACGCCGCATCTGGATGTTGCTGTACATTAGGAAGCTCTGGCTGGGCTTGTATACATCTTTTATCTTAATCCACTCAACCCAGCCGAGCATTTGATTTTAAAAAAGTTCAGGTCCAACCAACTACGTTTTGATTTTTTAAACTTAACTTGAGGTGACGAATAACCAGTTTTTGAATCTTGATTGATTTTTGATTTCATTATCAATACTTTCTTTTTTTGTGGTTGATGTTTGCTCGTTGTGAAGGATGAACATTGAGCAGAGGCAAAAGCCAAAGTGACGATTGAACTAGTCAATAACTGAATAAGCAGAATATAAGTGAGGAATAGGTGAATACAGCAACCACTTAAGATGAAAGGTAAAGTAAGATAAAATAGAAATGAATAGATAGAACACCGAAAGGTAAAGAAAAAAAAAAAGAAAACAAGTGACAAAAGAAACCAGCTTCATCACCTTGAATCCGTTCCTTGGTGGGCCGTTCGGTCGGTTGGTCCGTTAGTCGGTCCGCCTAGTCGCGTTTATCGTCGATCTCGTCGTCCGGATGGCGTCCATCTCTTCGTTTTTGTCGGTTGTTTTTATCGCTAGTCGATTTCCATTTGCATGTCCGTTCCGGCTGTGGCTCCTGCCATTCCCATCCCGCATCCATTCATGCCTACGACGGTAATCGGAACTCCCTTGTCTTCCACTTGCCGCTCTGGCGTCTTTTCTGCTGCCTTCAACACTGCTGATCCAGCTTCGAACGCAATGGGGGACGACTGTAGGTTTCGGATAGCTGTCTGCCAGTCCTTGCCGACCAGCTGGCCTTCGGAAAGATTGTCGTCGAATAGGTAGAAATACCGTTGTGGGGCGTTGGTGTTGTTGTCGAGTTGTGTGGCTGGGTGGGCTGAGACGAGGTAGACGTTTAGGCCGCGGTGCTTGAGCATGATTTGGGCGTCGTGTAGGTGTTCGAAGAAGTGGTTGTTGATATACTTCTCCCATCCGCGGATGGCAGCAACCATATCCTTGTCGTCATTGGCCATGCGTTGCCAGCTGATCCCCAATAGGTGAGTAGCGTCATCAACGTGTGGCATTTCGGGGCCCTTGGTGGAGGAAGTAGAACCGCAGACATCGTCGGTGGTTGATTGGAGCTTTTGGGCCATTGACAAGGCTGTGATATCGTCAAATGCGGAGGCAGTGGCGTCGAGGCGTTGGGTCTTTCTGCTGGGTAGAGCGCTGGCGTGGTCTGGGTTGGCGCCCACAGAGACATCCACGGAGACAGATACTGAGATTGGGGTGCGTGTAGCTTTTTGTTCTGCCTTTTCTTCGTACCAGGTTCCTGTCTGGCTTGACGCTGAGACAGCCAGGCCGGTCTTGGGGTTCAGGAGTACCATGCCTTCTCCATAGATGGGCTCTTCTTCTGGCACGGCAGGCGGAGAGGGGGCCTTTTGGACGGCAGAGAAGGTATTGTAGCTGTCATTGCCTAGGTTGAACTCGTCACGGGATCGTTTGCGTGACGGGGCGCTTGGTGCAGCAGCATTGAGGCTGGAATTGGCAAAGGAGGAGCCTATCCAAGACGGCTGATGGCCGGTAAAAGATTTTGGTTGTTCAGACTGCACGCCGTCTGCACGAGTAGAAACGTGATGGGGAAAACGGGAGCCGCCGGAACGGGCTAGCGAATGGTTCATCGAGTCGGCTGCGGCGAGCTGGTTAGGTTGGTGAAGCTGGGATGGCGGAGGTAAGGCGACGGTTGGTCCGTTGAAGTAGTTGTTGTAGAGAGATGGACCCATGGTTGATCTAGATAGAGAGAAGAGAAGACTGTTAAATGCTTGCTGGGCGAGTGCCTAACAATGCTATATATGAATCTGTAAGATTAAGAAAAATATGTTGTTTGTCCCTTTGTTATCAGCTGGAAACCAGTCCGGCAAGAGAGTAACTTAAGAGCTGCGGGATGCCGAAGTTGAGGAGAGGAGAGACGCGTATAGATAGAGGTATTGATATGATATGCGCGTGGCAGAAGATCTGTACAGAGGTGATCGTATAGAGTGTGCAGCTTTACAGTAGCAAAGCCGGTGGTGAGGTTGAAGTGATAGAAGTATGAAGCAGAAGTAGGAGAGAGAGAGGAGGAAGAAGAAGAAGAAGTTGAAGTCGGGGAAGAAGGAGAAAAGCAGGTGGTCCCGCTGAGTCAGCATCAGCCTTGCAAGCCAGGGCCACCCCGGATGTGGAAGGAAGCTATACCTCGGTGGTACCTTCCATGCGCGGCATCAGTCCCGCAGGAGGCAGGTACCACCTTTGTTGCCTTGGCCAGCCAATAGGAAAGCGCGCTCGTGAGCTTATCCAATGCCAAGACCGAAACCCTGACCAACCAGAGCAAGGGATCTAGCGCGCCAAGATGTTGCAGCCGACCCATGCTAGGCTGAAAGTGGCAATGAACCAGGGTTATCGCTTATTCAGCACACGGGATCTCGCGGCAAGTTTACGCGCTTAGTCAGTGATTAGTCAGGAGACCTTAAAGTTGCTGGTTGCTCTGGCTACTCTACATGTGGAGAAGGAGAAGTGCAGTGAAGAGAGTAAAAACAGTTCTAACATTGAAGAAAAGATACTTGTCAAGGAAGGCAAACCATCCTCTGGCCTATGAAGAAGGCGTGATTAAAAAGGCATTGTTGTAGAAGAGTACAAAGAAAGGGAAGAGAACGGAAGGAAGAGAAAAGAAAAAAGAGAAAAGAGAAAATAGAATCACAATGAATACAAGCTTTACTTCCCTTTCAGCGTCTAGAAACCTTGATTTCCCCTTTTGTGCATGTCATACCATAATAAAGCAGTGAAACAGAACAGGTATGTTTGGTCCATCCTGTTGTTTCGGTTGTTGAAAATTAAGTTCATAAATTGGACTCCGGAAAAACGGCCATGATTAGTCGATCTTATGCCGTTTTGTTCAGAGTGTTGAGAATCAGAGATCGTTCGTTTTTTCAGGCTTTACTGGCCTTGGGCCTTGCCTGGCAACATGCCCTTGACCACGTTCGGGTCAACGTTACCTCCAAACTGGAACATGAGGATAACGATCACGACCACACCGCTTCCGATGAGGACAAGGCGGCTCCTGGCAGGGTGTGCGGCGGAGAATTCGGCCCATCGGCGGGTACCCTGACTGGTGTACTCCTTCATCTTCTCAACGCCGAGCTTGTAGTAGACCAGGCCACCGAGGGCAATGGCATAGCCGAAGAGCTGGAGAGGAGTGACGGGGGTGTTCCACCAGAAAGCAGAGATGGTAACGAGGAGGATATCCTTGAGGACTCCGCAGAGGGTGAGGACGAGAGAAGAGGTTTTGCCAATCTGGATAGTGTTGGGTTAGCAAGGAACGGGGCAAGTTGTAAGTTGTTGAATTAGTACACACCAGGAAAACGACAGAGACGTTCAGGAGGAACGCAACCATGGCGTTAGCCAAGAGGGTGATGACACCGGCCTTGTTGATATGTTCCATGGTCAAGTCTGGCACTTCCATGAACAAGGCCACGACGCCGTTCATGACAGCACAAACAGGCGCAAAGTAGTACAATGACACCAGTGGGTCCATCTTATACTCGGCTGCGCTGAGCAGTTGCTGCACCATGACGAGACGGGTAGCCTCAAACACGATACCGGCGATCTGGAAGATGAAGCCGACCATGACGAAGTGGATCTCGCCGAAGGAGGCGATTACGACACCGATAACGATAAAGGAGACGTTCATCAGCACTTTCATGTTTGGTGGGGAGATGCTGAGAGCCCAGGTGACGAGGAGAACGGCAACGGGGGTGGTGGCCTATACATTGACATTAATACACGCTCGCACATGCAGCATTGGGCTTGGATAACTGTCTACCTTGAGCATTTGGATGAAGGCAACGCTGAGGTAGAGGTATGTCTTGTTTCCGCAGATCAAGCTCAGACTGAAGAAGAAGCCGATTGGGACGATGGCGCGGAGGTAGACGCGGCCGGTCATCTTGACCTTCTTGCGTCCATCGAGGAGGTTCGTGGTGCGTGCTAGGACCTGGGTCATGAAGGCCGCAAACGCCAAATGCCATGTTGTAAGAATAACGGCTGTAGCGAGTTAGGAGACTGTTTACAATGGGATATCAATTGAGAGAGGAAAATTCGTGTGACGTACGGAATGCTACAAATATATCTGTTAGCTGAGCTCAGGACTACGATAGCAATGTCAGCACTTACGGAACTTGTTCTGCTTCTTATCGAGCAGGTCCTTGTTGAAGAGAATAACACTGGAACTGAGTGTGATCCAGGCACTGTCCAGGGTCAGCATCTCATCCTCCTACGGGTAGACATCTGGACACCTTACATCACGTAGAACGCCGGGTGAAGCGACGGCTTTGGCGGCTCACTCTTCGGCGCAGCCGGATTGACAGTAGGCAATGTCTGGTCGTCTTTCCTATCCTCGAGCTCCATGGCCATCGCTGGGCTGGGACCGGGCTGCATCTCGCCGGATGTTCTGGCCTTCTCTTGCTCGCCCATCTTCTGCACAGCACTCGACAGCGAATGAGCTTGTAATGCGACGAAGCGGTGGAAGTCGAACGGACGCGACCGCAGCAAGTTGCTCTGGCCAAACGCGTTGGACGCCAGGGCAGTGCTGTTGTAGGATCGATCTCGAAGCTGCGCGGACCGGCGAGGTTGGATGCGTACGTGTCTGGTGAAGATGAAACCGGGAACCGCAAACTTCTGTTTCAATTAACTGTTCCTAGCCCGGATGGAGAGGAGTAAAATAATTTATTATATTAAAAGGAGGTGTTATAAAGAGAGAAGAGAAGAGAAAGATAACGGTCGTAAAAAAAAAGGACGAAGCCGGGGGTCCTGCGAAGGTTGCCGCGAATTAGGGGATGTGGACTGGGGCCATGCTTATGCTGCTCACTAAGGGACGAACCGCCAACCTCCATCGCTTTTCTTCCTTTTCTCCCATCTCTCCTTTCTTTCGCCCCAGGAGTACGCAAGATGCTTATTAAGGTGGAAACTGCTCCATCTACGGACTTCACGGGTTGAGATCGCTGGCTTCCATCTCGATCTTGTCCTTGACCTGACACCGAAGCCCTGGCCGACACCGCGTACAGCCAAGATATATAGCGAGATGCGCCTTCGCCTGAACCATCGTCGAGATCTATACGGAGTATACAGAGTAAAGTGACTGGGAAAAGGATACCTGACTGCTTCTTGACCAGCATCCTGACCAGCATCCTGACACGCGGCTCAGGACGATCCCGGCACACTCGAACCAACCAGCGAGTCTGTGGGAAGCAGCAACACGACGATGGCGCCGTGTCCCGCCGCGGTTTGATGTGATGGATAGCGGTCGATGTGTAGATGACGAACTTGTCTGATATTCGATGCTCAGACCCCTTGTAACGACTTCATGCCAACGACGAGTCGAGAGATGGATGTCGAGATATATGCGGCTCATTAAACATGCTGGCATCGTGCATACCCTTGCAACGACTCTTTGAACTAATTACAGGTCTATGGTGCAAGTCACGACCATCACTCATGTCGTGCAAAGATGTCGACGGGAGCCTGATATACATACGAATCACATCTGAGATTGGATATCAAGTATGGCGTCGAACAGACGGCCATACCCCTCGCCACTAATGATCCCGCCCGCCTCTCATACAAACCACACCCATACATTCATCATCCTCCATGGTCGAGGGAGCAACGCGGAGAAATTTGGCCTGGAACTGCTCGAGTCTGCCCGTCTGTCTGTCCGACTGCCCACAGTCAAGTTCGTGTTCCCTACAGCAAGCAAACGGCGTTCGACGGCGCTTAAGAGAACCCAGATCAACCAATGGTTTGATAACTCTTCCCTTGAGGACCCCAGGGAGCGGCCAGACCTTCAGATAGAGGGGCTCTGTGAGACTGCCGAGTTTATCAGATTGTGCGTTGACACTGAAGCCGATATCCTTGGGGAAGGAGGTCATCGGAGGGTCATCCTCGGCGGCCTAAGTCAAGGATGTGCGGCGGGGATATTCACTCTTCTTGGAGGCGGCTTTGGTTTGCCTCACGGCGAGACACTGGGTGGATTTGTCGGTATGAGTGGCTGGTTACCATTTGAAGCTCAGTTGACAGATATCACGACCGCAAGACTAGATGCAGATTACGAATTTGATCCTTTTGCTAGCTCTACCGATCCAGCGGATGAGAGCCCGCCTGCCCTACAGGCAATTAATCATATCCGTGATATCCTCGATCTTGAAACGCTTACACTTCCGTCAGGAGATCCTATGCCAACCGTGGAATCCCCGCCAGCAAGCCATCTTCTATGCCCGGTTTTCTTGGGGCATGGCACTGATGACTCGAAGGTGCCGGTCAAGCTGGGCCAGAGAATGGCGGATTTCCTCTCTGACACGCTGCATATGGATGTTACTTGGAGAAGTTATGAAGGGTTTGGTCATTGGTACAAGGTTCCTCATGAGATAGACGATATAGTTCACTTCTTGAAAGAAAAGGTCGGCGTTCCATGTCCGGAGAGTGGATAAATTAGTTAAGATAGCATATATATCTGGACTCTTTGCCTATCCCCGTCTCAGTCGCATTTCTATCTATCACCTTTTACGTCTGTTCCATCGTCTCGTCTAATCGTTTCTTTAGAGCCTCAAGTCACGTGTTCTCTCGATTATTTCTCTCTTCTTCGACTTCTTCCATCTTGACAAGAACAATTTGGACATGTTGACCATATCAAACCTCAGTGGTAAGGTTGTCTTATAGAGCCATGTCCATAGTCCTCATCTCGCCCCGGCGCATTTGCACAGCAATTTCTATCCCGCGAACATCTTGCTCGCTGTCCCGTCTATCCACTCATAGCTTCCGATCTATATCCACACGCTCTAAGGACCAATACGAAGACTTTTATCGTTATACTGGTGGGAGATGGCTATGGGACGAGGAAGCTCAACTCCAGAAGCGCTATAAACGCTTCAATGTGCCTGAACTGAAGCGAATTGCAGCTCAGAGCGTCGGTGCAAAGTCATGCACATCTATAACGAAACATGCCCAGGGGAGCTGGAATAAGGTTTTCGAGCTTACTATGGACAATGGAGTTACAGTAATTGCACGACTGCCTATCCCAATGGTTGGCCCTCCGTTCAGGACGACGGCGTCGGAAGTTGCGACCATGGACTTCGTAAGATAACCTTCTTTTTTCTTCACCAAGTCAACATAAGAATAAAAGCTTATGTGTGCGCACTGTACTATGTGCAGGCCCGGAGTGTTCTTGATATACCCGCTCCAAAAGTGATAGCTTGGAGCGGGACGGCAGATAACCCAGTGGAATCGGAGTATATCATACTTGGGAAAACTCCTGGAACAGAACTCCACCAGACCTGGGTTAAGATGGAGCTTGAGGACAAGCTGAAAATTGTGGATGAAATCATCTCCATTCAAAAGAAGTTTCTCTCAGCGTCCTTTACACGGTTTGTTGCTTCAACTTGACTCTGACTTGCTACGCACTTCGCCACTAATATGGATTGGATCCTCCAGATATGGACATCTCTACTTTGCAGAAGATGCTTTCCCCGGATGTGAAAAGGCCCAAATCGTAGGCGACGTATCAGAGTCACAGAAGCAGCTCACACAGGACCGATATGTGATAGGGCCAGTAGCCTGCAACTATTTTTGGGACGAAGAGCGGGCATCTATGAACATCGACCGTGGCCCCTGTGAGCTTCCGAAATCCTCACACTGGATCGTTCCCTTGCTGAATTACATGATATAGGGAGATGTCCCCAAAACTATCTCAAGGCGACTGCCAGACGAGAGATTGATTGGATCACAAAATATGCATCCCCAAGACCACCACCGAACCCGCTCGTGTTCTCGAAATCTCAGCACTCTCCAGATGCTCACATTGACCTTTACAAAAAGTTCCTAGACGTTGCTGATTTTATCCTACCTACCAAGCAGGAACATGTTCGATCCACTCTGTGGTATAGTGATTTCCGAGTTTACACTATCTTTGTCGATGGGACTAGAATTACCTGTCTTGTCGACTGGCAGAACATCTGGGCAAGACCGCTATTTATGCAAGCGCAGAGTCCAAAGCTTTTTAGAATCAAGGATGAGGTCCTAGAACTCCCCAAAGAATATGAGGAGATGACTGATGAAGATGAGAAAGCTGAACTTCGCAATAACGTGGAGACGTCCAAGTTACAGCGTGCATACCACGAGAATACTAAAATTGTCAACCCGGATATCCATGATGTCCTCCATAACATACCACGTGGCGACAAAATCCGTCAAACTATTGCGTTGTCCACCGATACGTGGAACGATGATATAATTCCCTTCAGGATGTGTCTTATCTGGATTGCGCGGTAAGTTAGCAGCTAGACAGTCACGTAAATGTTAACCCGAGTCTCAAATCTGTTGTCTAACACGGTAAAAACTATAGCTACTGGCATGAGATCTGCCCACATGTCCCCTGTCCCATTGAGTTTACAGAGGAAGAATTAAAGAGTCATCACGAAAATGCAGATGATTGGAACGCCCAGGCAGACTTCTGGGAACTGCTAGACGGCACTATAACACCTGACGGGTGGGTTTACAAAGAGAACTATGATACCGCAATGGATATTTTCGCCCACCTCAAAACGGAAATGTTGAAGGATTCTTCTATAACTGAAGAAAGGCGGGCAGATATCGAAAAGCAGCTGAGTTGGGTGGTGGTTAAAGAAGAGGCGCCACAGGAAAACCGAACAGAAGAAGCAATATCTTAACATTAGAGAGATGTACATTTATGTTGTAGTTAGGGATAGATATCTCCGCTCGTTCTTTGCCAGTATCTACCATGGAAGGTAGATTGTATTACTAAAATTAAGGGGCATGGCTTATTATGCCCATACACTCATACTTTAGTGTTTCGAGATATTTTCATTATTATATTCTGATAGATAAAATCTACATTAAACAACTGCTGCCACGGATTCCTTAGAATTCATGGCTTACTAACTAAACATGTTTCTCAGAGGTAAACGTCGAGTAAACAAATACCCCCTCTAACAGCTGGGCTCTCCATCCGGAACTAAAGATACTTCGCCTATAACTTCATGTCCATGTATTGTATCACTCTGAGCAAAATAAATAATCACAGGTATTAGATATTGGTGTTGCTTGTAGTAAAATAAACCATTCTAGACGATGTTCCTAGAACTCGTAAACTTAGTAGGTTGATAACATTGGTAGCAATTCAAAGCTCGTACCTGTTCATCTCCTCTGCCATTAATGACTTCTCTCATTGTACTTTTCGATAGAATCGATACAGCACAATACGGCAAACGAGAACATGAGCTGTGTTGGAATTTTGACCGATATCAATGTATGGATGGTTTCCGTCCTTGGAGTCTCGGGTATAGAAGTTCCGTCTTACTGTCCTAGTCATCATAATCGCAGTCATCATAACAGGAGTCGTCATAATTGCAGTCATCATAACAGGAGTCATCATAATTGCAATCATCATGATGGTAGTCATCTGGCTCAGTATAGGGCGCTGGAGAGTCATAAAAGTAGTCGGTGGATTCATGATGGTGATCAGAAGAATCATAGCAGTAGTCTAAAGATTCACTATTGCAGTCGGAAGGCTCGTGGAACTGGTCTGAAGCCTCATATGGGTCTTCCGATCCATAACTGCCAGGCTGTTCATAATAAGGGGAGGATGGTGCAGAATAAGAATCAGAAAATGACTGATTTGCCAATCGGTCGGCGTCTTGGTTTTGCTCCCGAGGGACATGCTGGAAGTCGACCTCTATACCAGATTCATTAAGTTCACGTACACTCTCCTTAAGCTCTTGGAAGAGGTATGCATTAGCAACTGGCTGCCCGTTTGCATTCAAATATCCGTTAGACTCCCATTTTTGACTCCACTCGTTTACACCTTTCACCATGTATTGAGAATCCGACTTGATAACCACATGGCGGGAAGGGCCACCATCCATTTCGAGTGCCTTGTTAAGCCCATGGATGCCTGCTAGTAATTCCGCTTTCTGGTTCGTTGGTCTATCCAAGTTCAGAGGGGTGCTTTCGTTGAACCCAGATCCGGGGCCCACATACACCCCTACACCGGCTTTTGCGTGTCCTGTTCCGTTTCCTCTGCACGCTCCATCGACGGATATGACGACGGGCTTTGAATTATCCTGCAACTGGCCGTCACCACGCCCCAGGGGGGGACCTGAGGACGAATATGGCTTGGTAAGGGTCATCTTGCCGTGCAAAACTGTCTGTCAAAGAGATGCTTCTTAGCAGGTTGAAATATCAGCAGCTGATGGTGTTGTTGTTATGAGTTCCTGACGTTGAACTTACCTATAAACAGTCTTCCCAAAGAGGAAATGGGAGGGTTTCAACGCAGGAACGAATTCACGTGATTTTGGGTGTTTCTCAGGGGCCAGCCAACCAACCGAGTGGGCTGTGTCTCTACAGAACACAGGGCTGCCAAATAGGTGTGATGAGAGGAATAATGATGATATATAGATACTCAAGCCATTTTCAGCCCCTATATGAGCTGTAACCTAGTGGATATGGTGCCAAAGGAAGGTCACTTGCAGTATCTGACATCCGGGTCTTTATAAAAGTCCCTATCACAAGTTCATAAGGACTCGTGTAATTTATAGATATAACTATAAATAAGTATAGGAATAGTGAGGGGTATTAACTATTGAATATCAATGCCTGCATTTGATACATTGGGTACAGGAGTAAAGATGATACAATAATAAATATAAGAAACATTGTGTTGTCGATGGTTGTTGATGAGTATAAAGTCAATAATGCCCGAGAAGCCTCACTAAACGAGGTATTAGATTAAAAACAGTGATATAATGCTGTTCAGTGAAGGGATATAGATGTAGTGGAAGAATGAACGTCACTTGCGAAAATATGAATAACTGGAAAGAGGTAATTTCGCATCGACGTCAGTCAGGATGCTCGGAAAACGAGGAGCTCCATATGTCGAATTTAACAAATAGCCCCATGGTGCGCCTGGATGTGCTGATGCGACTGGCTGGGATAAATGGGTGAAATAGATATGCATGGTAAATATGGATATCAAGCCGTTTGGAGAAGAGTTGCAACGGTAGAGGACTCAGGAGCTGGAAGCCTTTCTCACGAGCTAGGACGTCAATGCGTTTCTTGCCAACTGATCGGCTTCGGTGTTGTGTTCTCTAAGAACGTGCCAGAAATAAACATTCACCCCCGATGCTGCAAGTCTACGTATGCAGCGGGCAAGCTCTTCGAAGAGGTAGTAATTGGTGACGCGCCTCCCATTTGCGTTCGTGTAGCCGTTAGCCTCCCACCCGTCAACCCATTGAGTCACGCCATTGACCATGTACGCAGAATCCGTCTTAATAATCACTTGGGCTAGTGGCTGGCCGTCGATGCCGTTATCATTGATATTCTTAGCTTCATCGAGTCCATGGAGGCCGGCAATCAACTCCGCTCTCTGGTTCGTTGCGTACTCTGGAGTGAGCTGGAGGCTGATATTATGTTGAGAATTTTCACCGACATACACACCCGCGGCTGCTTTCTGGTATGGCGTTCCGTTCCCGCTGCACGCTCCGTCAACCGCGATTACTATGGAGCCAAGGTCTGGCTCTAATTGGGTGTACCGTCGGGATAGCGAGTTGGCGTGAGTAGTAAAAACCAAGTCCCCGACAGGGAACTCGATTAGAGACGGACTGACATCTTGGCCGTAGATTCTCTGAGGCTCATACTTCCAGCAGGGAAGTGGCTGGCGTTCTGGCCTTGCGAGCCTATAACCTCCACACCTCACAGTGATCATTTTCACGAAGCCGTGCAATTATGTCGAAGAGTGATTCTTAAAGGTGATCAACTGGGGGAACAGGAACAATGTCAAACAAAGGTCGATGAGGGCAATTGATGAGGTCGCCAGAAACTTCGCGACGTCGAAATTACCTACATATAAACCTGTTTTTCCCAGAAAGGAAAAAGGGGATTCTAGACACCCGTAGGAGGATAACGCGGTCACGTGGATGGAAGTGTTCTCAAGGCCATCTCAGGGGTATATATAGATCAGAATATCTGATAAGTGCCCTCTAATATATCATAATATATCATCGTGGCAAAGTGGCTCTTATTCTTACCCCCATGGACACCCTTAGGCAGCCATCATAGAAGCAAGCATAAACATATAAAGACAGGCAGGCGCAGTATATAGAGACGCTTAAGCCCTTGACGGGATATACGGGATAGGACTGCTAGTGGGTCGCGTCTCTTCTCCATAATATAAAATAAAATAGCCATCATCGTCGCTGGACATCGTCTTCTGCCCGTGAAATCGTCTTGTCCAAAGCCTTTAAAAAGGGGCTAAAAAAAGGGAGTACGTAAGCACGAAGTACGTGGCGGGGGCCAACGGCGCTTACATAAGGTGGGCGGTCTCCACACGTGCTTTTTCTTAGGGTCTCAGGGGGCGTTTAGGTAAGTTCCTCCCTTCGAGCTTCTTCTTATATCTCCTCTCGTCTTGTCTTCTCTGCTACTTCTTCTCTGCTTCTGCTTCATCGTCGTCTGCTTTTTCTGCCTGTTGTTCCTGATAGAGCGTGTATCGCGTATTGTCTGGCCGGAGAACTCCCTAGACTGATACGTTGAGCTTCTTTTCGTCCCCCCGCCTCAACAGATAGCTCCCAGAAGTTAGCACAGCTTGCACATCCAACATGCCTCGAGCAGACGCGTGAGCCTTCTTCCAGCGCCATTACCTTGATTCTTCTCAATTGACCCTTTTTAACCGGTTTTTCTGCTTAAATAGTGAAGTTGATATCCTCGTCATCGGGGCTGGCCCCACCGGTTTGGGTGCCGCAAAGAGGTTGAATCAGATCGTGGGTTTCTAGCCTGATCTTGAGAGCTGCGTTCGTTCGATAGGTTACTGATACTTGTCTGCCTGCAGAATGGCCCGTCCTGGATGATCGTTGACTCGAATGAAGTTCCTGGTGGTCTGGCGTCGACTGACGTGACCCCTGAAGGCTTCGTACGTTACACACCTTTAAGCCGCAATATGTACGCACACCGCTTCTAACTTGCTTTATCCTTTCAGTTGTACGATGTTGGCGGCCATGTCATCTTCTCCCACTACAAATACTTTGACGACTGCATTGATGAGGCTCTCCCCAAGGAGGACGACTGGTACACCCACCAGCGTATCTCCTATGTCCGCTGCAAGGACGCATGGGTTCCATACCCCTTCCAGAACAACATCTCCATGCTTCCCAAAGAGGAGCAGGTGAAATGTATTGATGGCATGATCGATGCTGCCATGGAGGCCCGCGTTGCCAATACCAAGCCCAAGGACTTTGATGAGTGGATTGTTCGCATGATGGGTGTAGGCATTGCCGATTTGTTCATGAGACCATACAATTTCAAAGTTTGGGCTGTCCCTACCACCAAGGTGAGATTAGAAACATTCTTCTCTCGTTTATCGACTCCAAACTAATATATTGCCATGTAGATGCAATGCGCTTGGCTCGGTGAACGTGTGGCTGCACCAAACCTCAAAGCTGTCACGACCAACGTCATCCTGCAGAAGACTGCTGGAAACTGGGGTCCTAACGCGACATTCCGCTTCCCTGCCCGTGGTGGTACTGGTGGTATCTGGATTGCCGTTGCGGACACGATTCCCAAGGAGAAGAAACGCTTTGGCAAGCATGCTGCCGTGACCAAGGTTGACGCTGCAAACAAGACTGCCACTTTGGCTGATGGATCGCTTGTCAAGTATCAGAAGCTCGTCTCCACAATGGGCGTCGATGCGCTTGCTGAATCTATGGGTGACAAGGAGTTGATCAGCCTCAGCAAGGGTCTGTTCTACTCCTCCACCCACGTCATCGGTGTTGGTGTCAGAGGTGAACGCCCCGAGAGAATCGGAGACAAGTGCTGGGTAAGTACTCACCATTAAAAATCTCATTTCCACGGGACCAATAACCTTTCTAACACCATGTATAGCTATACTTCCCAGAGGACAACTGCCCCTTCTACCGGGCTACTATCTTCTCCAACTACTCGCCTTACAATTCCCCTGACGCCTCCACTTCCCTCCCAACTCAACAGCTTGCCGATGGTTCCAAACCAGCCGACTCTTCTGCCAAATCTGGACCCTACTGGTCCATCATGCTCGAGGTCTCCGAATCCTCCCTCAAGCCTGTCAACAACGACACATTGCTTGCGGACTGTATCCAAGGCCTCGTCAACACCGCCATGCTCAAGCCCACCGATGAGATTGTCTCAACTTACCACCGCCGCTTTGACCACGGTTACCCAACCCCAACCCTTGAGCGAGAAGGCGTCCTCACCAAACTCCTGCCCAAGCTCCTTGACCAGGGTATCTATTCCCGTGGCCGATTCGGCAGCTGGAGGTATGAGGTTGCTAACCAGGATCATTCATTCATGCTTGGTGTTGAGGCTGTGGATAACATTATCAACGGCGCCGTGGAAATGACGCTTAATTACCCGGATTTCGTCAATGGACGACAGAACACCGAGCGCAGATTGGTTGATGGAGCGCAGGCCTTTGCCATCAGGACCAAGAACTAAAAGTGTCCATTAAGTGAAGTTTCTGAATACTGAATGCTGAATGCTTCAGACATAGAACATAGAGATGAGGAAGAACATACTGCCTGCTTTTTTTAACGACTTAAATGGTAGAGAACGAAAGAGAAAAGTGAAAATATTGAAAGGGAATTAATAAATACATGATGGATGAATACTTAGAAGGCGGGACAACATACCATGGCGCCTTTGTTTAAAGAGGACAAGTAGATAGCTCTGTGAGGAACAAATCGGACATATATACTGTTCTCTTCTCGCTTTTTTATAAAGTCGTCGATTTCGTTCTGCTAGTTTATAGGGCGATGTAGCTTATGAGGCTTGAATAAATATCCGCTAAAAACGCCCCTTGCTTAAGATCTATGAAAGACATGACTTGCTCCGTGAACACCGGGTATCATCCATCTATACAGGAATAAAAATCCTGAAGTCACAAAAATGCCACAAACAAAGCCCGTAATTTCATATTTCCTTATAACAAGACCATTCCTGCTCGCCCATCGTTACTGGCTCACAATATTAGTGGATTCATCCCCGGGTCTCTGGTTCCAACATCTCGGTGATATTTGGTAGATCATTTATCCAGTCCCAAGTGTCTGCCTATAACGTACGCATAAATAGATTAGCACTTTTCCCCATTGAATGGAGGCACTAAGGAAATGATGAAGATTGAAGACCAATGTACATATTTAAATCGAACGAACTTACCAACTTTTCTATCCGCACCTGTTCTCTAAAGGCGTCCCTAATGGGATCCCAAAATATCCGGCTAGCGGATTGGAGAGGCGGGAGGGGCCAGCTGTTTGTTTCGGTGTTGAATTCAAGAGGTTTGAGAGCTGGCGCATTGGGCGATAGTGACGGACTAACGTTACTTGTCGATGGAGGTCTATTTACGTCTTTCTGGTAATGGCGAGTTAGTTATACCCCTGGGGGGCGATCTTGAGCCTCAACTGGGGGCCATTATGTTATCTTACTATGGGGTTATTCATCGACGTTCCATCCTCCGGTTCAATTTCCAGACTCATAGGCACGAAGGGAACGGCCAGTTCATCGTAGCTAGGGTGAAATGATATGATGTCGTAACGCGAAAGCTCAGGCTTTACCACCTCTATAATGGCAGCTCGGCCACCAGCTGGGTAGGGTTCAGTTAAAGCTTTAGGGCGTTCTGGATATGTATACGGGGGTTGTTGGCTAGCCCTCCAGTGCTCTGAGGATGTCGGTAATTGTCCAGATGGATTCATGATAGGCCCAGAAGTAAAGGGCTGAGGCGGCAGAGACGGAGGTAATGAGTTGAACCAAACCTGGAAATCTTCGCTGTCATTACCAACCTCGCTTCCCAGATTTTCTCCTGGCTCCTTGACTGCATCTGGCAGGCTTTCAGTGTGAGTGATCAGGAAGCCAGTGTCAGGCTGACTCTCGTAATCCACAAAGTCGCTTTCATCCTTGATCATGTGTTCCACCTGGGGACCCTGATTTAAGTCCCCAGCTGCATGCTCGATGGCATCCTGTATGGCATGCTCGACTTGCAACTCACATCCCAGCCTCGTCCTTACATACGAGGTTGGAAACTGCATATGGACAAAACGGGGGTCCATATTCGATCGACCGTCGTTGGAAAGCGGAATGACGACTTAAAGCTCCTGTAAGGAATAGGGGAGCAGGTTTTGCAAAGTTTTGGCGCATCTGGAGAGTGGTTTTATAGAGAGGGAGAGAAAGGAGGGGGTAAGAGAAATGAATTGCCATATAAATCTAGGACAGTGAGTAGATGTAGTTAAAGCACAAAGGTGATAGGGAAGACCGCTTAGTCGTCAAATCCATATCAGGCCTGTTTAAAGATTCAGCGTGAAGTTGAATTCTCTCCTGGTCATCCATTTGAAAGACCACACTATTATCCCTTGCTTGTGTCATATGTGCTGTTTTCAATTCAAATGAGTCTGGTATCAGGTAGCTGGAAGAAGAACTAGCTTATTTGAAGAAAGCTTGGATTCAACATTGCATCTTAAGACTTATAGCCCGCTGATGGCCACAGTTACTTGTATTGTGAAGGACTTAATGGTAAGTCTCATTCCCTAGCTGTGAACATAGCGCAATGAAATCTTGCTGAAATTGACTGCCAGCAGAGCCTTTCATGATAGTCACAGATGAACTAAGGAATAACGCGATATGGGTTCCGTTCTATCATGGAGGCCAGATAGAGATACTGGAAACAGTGGCAGAGCATCTTCCATGGGTATTCTTTCTTCATCACAAGGCTGGAATAAGCTAACAACTTGCAAAGGTAGCCCCCAATCGAACATAGATCTATCCAGATCCCTGAAGATGCTATTCTTGGTATCTATTACCATTATTTTGGCTTGGCTGCCAGTGGCCAACGATAGTCTCCATGGTGAGAGAGCCCAGGATGACGCAGGCAAAGGCAAGGCCATGAAACATATCATATTCAAACGGCAAATATGACTGTTTAACCTTCGATATCACACTGATTCTATATCGTTTCAAACCTGCTTTGCCCGATGGTTTCAACACCGTCATCCGTGATACACAGCGAATAGGAGGCTTGGAGAAACCCAACGGCCAACGTCTCTCTCTCCTAGTTGGATGCCTTTCGATGCTGCTGCCCTGAAAAACGGATGCCATGAATGGACACCATGAACGAATGCCATGAACGAATGCCGGTATCCAGGCTATTCGCCAACCTTAGCGATGAATGGGGCGCTGCAAGATCCAACAACTTCGTAAGACGGGGCTATTTAAAGCCATATGTCTCAGGGACATGTTGCCGCGCCCGTTGCAGTCGTCAGTTAAGACATACATCTGCATTAGATCCGAGAACTCTCTCTGGGTCCCTTCGACAACGGAAATAAGAGCAAGAAACATCACAAGTTGTTCCATGTTGATTGTTCCAGGGGGGAAGTTCGGATGCGAGGCGGTTGGGCGAGCTATTGGTATATTACATAAGCCACCCGTTTGCTTCCTCTTTGAACGAACATCGGGATCTTCGCCCTTGGAACTAACGACACAGACATATAAGAGCAGGCCAACAGCACAGGGAAAAACTGGCGTTGGCATCGTTATACTCACAACTTGCTCCTCCGTGTCCGCGCCCTTCTCGCCCTCGACAGACAGAGCTTCGTCGTGCTCGTCTCGCCGCCACTCCTCGAGAACCTGCAATTCGACTCTAGTGACATCCTGAGATAGGACCTTGATTTGCGCCCAGGTAGCCTTCTCACCGTCCAGCCTCGCAACTTGGTTGGCTTATAAGGAACGACAAAATCCTGCTGAAGAAGACCGGATCGATAGCCCATCCACGTCGTCCTGCCATGCACTTGTCAAACTCGCGAGTAACCGGCATCGTCTCTATCCTGTGAGACAGCTTGCCTGGTTACCTCCTATCCTGAAAACTCGATAACCGCCAATCGTCCATCCCGACCTCTCGACTTCTTTTTTTTTACATTCTTTTTGGGCCGTAATCAGGCCTCCATCTCCATCTCATTAGACCGGGCCATCCAATCTCCGGTGCAGTTACCATGGATGGTGATCTCAGTCTCTCACAGTCCTTCGGCGGGCTACGCATAGCCAACCCGGATAATGCCTCTACAAATACATCGGAAGGGCCTTCCGTCTCCTCTATAATATTACCGTCTGGAGAACAGGACACTTCTGAAGCAGCCGACGGACCTCAGTCAACCCAGATCGATGATCAGTCAGTAGGAGGAGCATCACCTAGCCCCGCACACTACGCATCATCGTCGCATACGGATCTTCAAGATCGAATTAGAAATTCACCGCCGCAGCCCTCCCCCGGCCTACCACCCAACATGGGCCATCATTCCGCTCGTCAATCAGTATCACTTCCGCCTAACCACCAGGCTTCCTCGTCGCGCGGTGCCCCTTATCGACTTCGAACCGATTCGTCCGCCTCTGCCACAGAACACCCATCCAGAATAGATTCTCGTGGTGGATCAGCGGCTCTTCAAGCCGGCGTGCTCCCACGGGATGAAGGCCACACCGATAGGTCCTATGCTCCAACAAAGGGCTTCGTTGGGGGAGCACCCCTACCACCCAGGCAAAGCTCTCGCAGGGCACCAAATACCTCTATACCACATGTCTCATCCTCGTATGGAAACGAGAACGCTCCGCTAAATAGCTCGGAAGAATGGCAGGAACGTGGGGCCGCCGTGGGTGTGCACCAGGACATCGATGCGAGCGGGAAACCAGTTGCCAGGTACGTGAAAAAAGGGGTCAGAGACTTCGTGTTTGGCCGCACGCTGGGCGAAGGCTCCTACAGCCAAGTTGTAGCAGCCACGGACCGTCAGACCCTCAAGGAATATGCGATCAAAGTCCTTGACAAACGACATATAATAAAGGAAAAGAAGGTGAAGTATGTAAACATTGAAAAGGATACACTCAATCGCCTAACAGATCATCCTGGAGTTGTTCGGTTATACTACACCTTTCAGGATGAACGATCGCTATACTTTGTCTTGGACCTCGCCGGGAGCGGCGAACTCCTTGGTGTTCTCAAGAGGATGGGGACGTTTGACGAAGAATGTACCAGGTTCTACGGAGCGCAGATTTTGGATACAATTGGATACATGCACCGGCGGGGGGTCATCCATAGGGATCTCAAGCCAGAGAATGTCCTTTTGGATAACCAGATGCATGTAAAAATCACCGACTTCGGAACTGCAAAGATACTCAGTATGCCATCTCAAAAGGATGGGGGAAATGCCGGTGGAATTCCTTCCATGGACTCGCCTGAGAACGATAGGGCAAGATCCTTCGTCGGCACCGCGGAGTACGTCAGTCCTGAGCTCCTCACGAACAAAAGTGCGTGTAAAGCCAGTGATCTATGGGCATTCGGGTGTATCATCTTTCAGCTACTGGCCGGGAGACCACCGTTCAAGGCCACCAACGAGTACCTCACCTTCCAGAAGATTGTGGCCCTCGATTACGAGTTTCCAAAGGGCTTCCCACCCACCGCCCGGGACCTGGTTGAGAGGCTGCTGGTTCACGATCCCGCCACTAGGCTGCAGATTGAACATATTAAAAACCACGAGTTCTTTGACGGAATAGTATGGGGTCGGGATCTGTGGAAACAGAAGCCACCCAGACTAAGGGCATACACGCCCCCGACAGAACCCATCAAGCTAAATGGTCCAGACAATGACGACAGTTTCCCTCCAAATATCAATATGAAACCTTCCGCAGGCTTCCAAGGCTCTTCTACGCCGCAGAACAGGTCATACCCCCCAGTTATCACTGAGCTGCCTCCACCCTCGCAACTCGACATTGAATGGTCCCCTGTCCTGACCCGAACTAACGAGCGTATATTAAAGCTGGGAAACCTAACTGTATCCACATCCTCGGCACCTCGTTCTCAAAATAAGAACGGCAATGGGGATGGCGATACCCCGAAGAAGTTATCCCGTTTCTTCGGAGGATCCACAACTAAAAAGCGCCAACGCCTAGTCCTAGTTACTTCCGCTGGCAGGGTGATCATCGTACCGGCGGGTGGCGAGGATAAACGGCCAAAGATGGATCTCTTACTTCTTCACCCAGAAACACAGTACCGGAGTGTGACTGACGCCAAGGGGTTTTCGTCCTGGGTAATAGACACGGTTAGTAGACAGGAACCAATTAAATCATCAGCCATTGGGAATCCCTTTACTAACGTCGCTAAATTCTGTTCTCCCCAGCGCGATAAGCATCATGTCTTTGACGAGACTAAGCCAAGCAGTGACGCAGCGGCTTCGGCCGTTGCCACGCAGGAGTGGTTGGACGTATTAGACCGTGCAAAGGAGCTGGCATCATTCTACTCCACCCCCAACTCCTACGCGGGCGACGACGGGTTTAGGGATCTATCTTCAGGCGTTTCAAGCCATGCCAACACGCTAAATCATACCGATGATCCACCGACAGGCCAATATGCTCAATCAAGCGGCAGGAATGCGCTTTCAAAACACCAGCCGTCTCCAGAGGGCGATTCGAAATCAAAGAAACGATTTAGCCGTCGACACTCCAGGAATGGCCTCTCTGCCGTGTTCTGACGGCTAAAAACCTAATCTATCTCGCCCCTTTTTATTTTTGCATACATCCTGCCTCCCGCATATGAAGCTATTTTGTTTAATAACACCGTCCTTTCTACTGGTGCCTACTACCCCCTAGCACCACATGTCCGTAAACCATAACCCTCCAGCATTCCCGGACTCGCTCTTGTCTTTTTCTTCTTCCGTGCGTTAGTTCTACTTCATGTGATCAATTATTTGTGCCCCCTTCTCTTTCCTTTCTTGCATACAATAATTGCCACCCAGGCTACGATTGATGACCTCTTGATACCATTGACTATGTTACCGAGCGTTCTAGTTGTGACGCAGTTGTCAATAGGAGGTAGCATTTGATGGTTGTTTAGCATTCGAACGTTTTTCTTTTCTTCAGACTCCTTTTTATCTTGCCCTTTACTGACTACTAATTAACCATGTTTTTCTTTTTCTTTTTCTTGTCTTGGCCCTCCACATCCTCTCCTTTGTTATTACATCACATCTGTATTCTTCTAGCGTTCCATGTGTTTCTGGCTCGATCTAAAGCCTCTTCTGTTCCTCAGTCTACTTCTGTCTGTTGTATTAAGGCATATCCTTTACCGCAGATTCTTTTTTTTTTCTCTCCTCTAAGCTTTGGCGTTTATTGAGTCGCTTGCACTTGAGATTATATTTCGTTTCGCCTTTTATTTCTTGTTCTCCTCATTGTCGTGCATAGAAACTAAGCAGGGGAGTGAGATTAGCTGGCAAGCAGATGACCATTTCGCGTTTTTTTTTTTCTCAAGTCATCCCTTGTCTTGCTCTATCTTCGCCTGACACCTGTTACTTCCGTCTTTCAGCTGCGAGATCATATCTAGACCCGTTAACATCGGTGGCCTAGACGTTCCGAGCGTGACTTACATGTCACCCTACGGCGTCACCATTCGAATGGAGTATAGTGTCCTGACTTCTCCTCGGTAGAAGTACGCTGTAGAATAGTGAAATTGGAAAACATCATCACCCGCCAACTTTTTTTCCAAGACATAGCTACACCGCGCCTCACATTTGGATGTTCGAAAGTGGACGAAGAGGGACCGTGGGACTATGAGAGCATGTGATAGATCAATATAATATCGAGCGCGCCGCAGAGCAGGGGGGGCCAGCCAGACGTGGCATGCCTTTTTACCTGAATATACCGGAGTATGCATAGTCGATGCGATGCGTCTGGGAGTGAGGGGAACCCCCAGGCCCGGTCATCTACCTGACCCACGACGTCGGCAGGGCCCCATGCCTCATATCAAGGAGGACATATTGTTCTGTGCATGCAATGGGTAGCATGCAAGATGAAGTTACACCCCGCCGGAGCCACAGGATTGGATAGACGAGATAGTTGTACTCCCGTCCTTGCGGTGAAAATAGAGTTGATGCCTTCGTGTAGGTCATGCCATGCTAATTTGCCTTAGTATGATAATATAAGTGCGTTTTGAGCAGAAGGAAGCAGGCCACTCAACTGAACCGACCCTTGCCCACACCCTCAGGAACAGGGCAACGGGCATCTCCATCTATCTCCAGCTCCATCTCCCTAGCAATCTCAATCTCCCATGCTCTCCGTAGATATCGGCGGTCGAACTTGGCTGATGCCATCCCTACACCTGGCCCTCTCCCCACACGCACGTACGCGATCGCCACTGTTTAAAAATAACCTCAGCCGGGGATGGGGTTTCTTCACTGCTCGCCGGTGTCAACGGCGGGTGTCCAGGTTGCTGGTTTCTGGTTTCTGGTTGCTCGTTGCTGGCTGGAGATCGATCCTCGTCCCCGCAAACTCATCCATGTCGTCGATGATCCGGGGTTTGTGCTGACTCAGCCCCGAGCCGCCAGGAACGATGCTATCAAACGACGGGATAACCTGCTGGCTGCAGACGACCACGATATCGCAGCTGGATATATTAGCAGGCGTCGTGCAGCCCAATCAGAGGGGAAACCGGCCATCAGTTCTCTCGTATCCTCCAGTTGGGTTGGAAAATCCCCCTGTTCCTCCTGTTCTGCAAACGCAAACTAGAAGCTTAACGGGCTGAACACGAAGGCGAACAGCGTTCGGTCTGCGATGAATGATCCTGGCCGGTTTCAATATAATCCCTATACACATGGCCCTCCAGAGCAGGCATCAAGCCTGCCATTTTGGCTCTGCTAGCCGAGCCGGGAAACTCATTTCTTCGACATCTGGAAAGCTAAACACACATCTTATTCGACTGGAATCTTTCTCCCTGGCAATCACAGCCCGTTTCTCGCTGCTGGCCGGGGGGGCTAGGGCCTTGGGGAATCGACCCTTGCTCCGCTGCTACATACGTCCGTCCTGTCTATGCCGCTGGCCGATGTTAGGCCGATGCTAAAGAGATGCTCCAAAGCAGTCCTTGGTCCGCTTTCCCTGCCGCTATACCCTTGATATCCCGCCATCCATCCTTTATTGGCATCGCTAAGGTGGTGTCATTGATCCCTGCAGAAATCACCGCTAAACTGGAAATATTGCCTATTATATGCCCGCTGCCCTTTGCTATATGTCAGGGAATTCGATATAAAACTAGGGGGGAACCCTCGCATTCCATGTCTCCACGCCCCAATAATCTTATATTGTTGCACCCGGAGGATATATATATGCCTCTATACAGGGCCCAAGTAATATATTTGGGTTTCCATATCGCTCAGGGTGTGATTCCGAGGAGAATAGTGTTCTTGCACTACCTTTCTTATCACTTCTTCAATGTTTGTTTGCCTCCCACACACACACACACACACACACACCCCCGTCAAAGGCCTAGACAAGAAGCGCATCCACCCGGTTCATGCGCTTCGACCTGCTCGATTTTGGTCTCTCCTCCATGACTGGTCTGGAAGAGACACCGCAGACACCGCTGCCTAGCTGTACGGCGCATTGGCAGTGAATTTACCAAATACCAAACGTGGAAGGCCGTGGATATCCTTGTGAATCTTGGGGGGGAGTGAAAGGTTGCAGAACATGCAGCTGCCATGGCGATTTCGATGGCCACCTCCCCATATCCCAACAGAGATATAAACTCCCCACATCTCCGCCTGCGATCTTGCAGCTTTCTTCTCCACTGCATCATCCAGGTCGCGATTCTGCATAGTCCATCAAGATCATTATATACATTATAACATATACCATGAAGCTTTCTCTTGCCCTCCTTGGCCTTGCTGCCACCCAGGCACTCGCCATTGCCATCCCAGACACTACACCTGAAGACACCGATGTCCCAGATCAGCTTACCTTGACCGAAAGACGTCACGCCGGAAGCGGATGTGCATCTGACAGCAAGACTGTCCGATACACCGTTGCCAACGACCGCAGGTCCATTATCATTGAATACCAATCTCTCACGGCGAAGATCAGCTCCCGAACTTCCCCGGCCGACGAACGCACCAACTGCCAGGTCAACCTCGATGTTGCTGCCCGTAACGGCTTCCAATTCTCTGTTGCTGGAACGACCTACTATGGCGCTGCTCGCTTGGACACCGGTGTGACTGGCAGACACGGAAGCATCTACTACTTCTCTGGAAGCCCCGACCAGGTACGTTCTGGACCTCTCTCCTTCTTTGATATCATCAGCTAACCATAACAACTTTCAGTCGTTCACCGCAACCGGCATCTCTGGCCCACGCAGGGGTAACTACCGCCTGGACAGCGATGTAAACAAGAGAACCTGGTCTCCATGCGGTGCAAGCTACCCATTCAACGTTAACACCGATGTTCGCATGGACAGTGACAGCGCAAATGCCATCGGCGAGATGAGCCGAGAGGATGGTGCCGACGGAACTGTCAAACAGGTTGTCTACCTTGATTGGAAGCGGTGTTAGACGAGAAGGATATCTTTTTGTCGAAAATAATCCTTTCCTTTCGTTTCTCCGTGCACAGTTCATTCTTCACTGCCTAACGGCATCGTTTTGACATAACTTCTTTTTTATAACTAGGCTCAATCTTGAGTTCCCAGTTGAACGACCTTTTTGATGAAGACTTGTACACTTCGACACCACGACTGTCGCTATAAATACATATATATACCTTGCCTGCCGAAATTAATGTCCTTCTCTTTGTATCGTGTAACTTATCATGAAGATATAAGTCTCCTCTCTCCACGTAGGCCCATGATATCGACCGATGTCCACGTCCATGTGAATACCCGAGATGCCTGCAATTCATGAGGGCTACAGGCCAGGAAAACGCCTTCGATGCAGCCACAGTTCGTTCTCATAGGTTCCCTTTGCCTCCCAGTGGATCGAGTGCCCTGCAGATGGCGGGCTTATCCCAACGATTCGACGACTGCGCCGCAATCTAGAAGAGCTGTTCAGCTGTATCAAACGGGCATCGTCGAGTCCCGGCATCTACTGCTTTCGTCTGATATCCAGGGTCTTTTTCTTGCTATGTTGGCGCTGGCGTTCGCGTATATCAAAAAAAACTAGGCCTGCACAGCCTCACACTAACAACAACCGCCAGCATCACGAATTAACAAATATATTCTTCAGCATCGGTCTCGTCTCGTCTTTTCTCTCTATCTTCCGTCTCTTCCTGTTGGCCTTGAGCTTCCTGGAGCCCCTGAAGAGTCCCTAGTTACGCGCTTCTGTTTCAGCACTTCGACCTTCGTTTCAGAATATATTTAATCACCCACCATCGCGAAACCACAACATCCTCATCGCTGGCGGCTACTGTTGATCTATACCGGAGATTTGCGACCTGACTGTGCCTGTTATCAAGGAGTACAGGCTCTCTCCGGCTGTAGAAGACGCGACTGGGTCGTCTACTTGCTGTTCTTCGCGTCTACAATCTGCAGATTCTACCTGGACGAGGGATCATGTTCGGCCTCATCCTCTGTTGATACCGCGTCTTTTCCCCCGCCAGATTGCTAAACCGTTCATCTTAACAAGGGAAAAGCTTCTTCCTATCCATGGTTTCGCAGCCGACAGCCATGGAACCGTCCACGGCTGCTCCCCGCGGGCCCTCGTCCGTTACTTCGTCACGCCGGTCGAGACGCCATCATCGCTTCGGAAGCCGTTCTCACGCCGGTGGTTCATCCCACCAGCAGCTCAACGAGTTCCCCGTATTCTCCGCGACGGGAGACGTGGAGATAGTGATTCGCGCCGCAGATCAGGAGCGCCGGTACCTGCTGCACCGACTGATACTGGCGCAAAACTCGGGCTTCTTCGAGGCTTCTACGAGTGACGAGTGGTCGAGTGTGCAGGCACAACGCGAGATCACCGCTGCTGTCACCGCTGCTACCTCGAACAGAGCCGGAGGAGCGGATGCGTCTGCTCAGTCGCCGTTAGAGGTCGTGTACGAGCTTGGTGAGAACAATGACGATAACGACGAGGAGGAGGATGGCCCTCGGACCAGCGTCGAATCCAGACGATCGTTGACAGTTCGCACGGGTATCCCACCGGCAAAGACGAGATGGAGATATGAGCTAGACTGGGACAACAGAGAAGGGGATGAAGTGCCTATTCTCGTGCAAAAGGTACAGTCTTCTGCCCTGGCCGTTGGGATATACAACATGCTAACGCGCATACCGGAAAAGCCCCCCAGCAATAGCAACTCGGTCTTTGGACAGGCTGCACAGCAGTCACATCCGCCACTGCCAACTCGAAACAAGCCTCTAGCTCCCCAGCAAGGGTTCTTTCGATCGATGGCAAACCTGTCTGGGATTCAGTCAGCCCTTCACCTGCCTCTTGCAACTCAGTCTGAGGAGACAACGCCTGTCGACCCTACAATCCGTGACTACGATAACCTCTTTCGAATCTTCTACAACTATGCGCCGCAGCTGAACCCGCATAATATCACCATAGCATACTCCCAATGCAAGTCGTTAATCGCGCTGGCTGATATGTACGATGCCTTGACCGTCACCGGCCCTCGAGTGGACTATCATTTATTGCGCTTCTCCTCTTCACTTTACAAGCATATCGCGAAATTTCCAGCAAGTTACATCAAGCTTGGCTATCAGGCTCGCAGTCGTGTTATTTTTACAGAGGCTCTTATTCATATTGTGGGTGACTGGCCTGTCTCCTTGCCCCTTGTTGGCCGAGACCATAAATCGCCACTCCCAGACACGGTGCTAGATCTTATAGAAGACAAAGTCGAAGATCTACAAGATGCAATTAGAAGGGCAGAGTCGAAGCTCTTCCGGCTTACACTGACGACCTCGCGTGGGGAACGAGTTAGCCCATTCAATAACTACCTGGACTGGTTGGCAGTCTCACTATTCCGGCAATGGCTGGTCGATAATACCACTCCCCCTCCGCCTCCTATATTGAAGGCCCAGCCTACACTGCCAACCCGCACCCAAAGAGATGGTAGGAGTGGTAACCCTTCAGCTTCTACCCGCAATGTATCCGTTGTTGGCAGCAGTGGCGGCGGCGGACGCCATCATAATACTTCCAACTCTACCTCCTCACGTCGATCAACCAGCAACACCGCTACCGGCCGCCCTTCTACTGGAAATTCAACTACCAACGGGGATGAAGCCAGCCCCCAGATCCCGTTCTGTATTGGTCGAACATACAGACTCATTGGGTCTTCCAATTCGCAGGCATATCTGACCCATGATGAAATCAAACGCTTCCTCAAACTGCATCCAACCTCTTACTCCCGTGAGAATCTGAAGCGATTCGAGAGCAAAATGGACGAACTTAAGCGATTGGCAAAGGAAATTGTGAAACCGCTGATGCGAAACTTTCTCGAGCTGGACTTGAAAAGTACTGGTGGCGAAGGTGATGCGTCGTCTTCTAGGTCATTAGTGACCTATTTGACTTGTACAAGAATCGAGGAAGCTGATCTTCCTTGGTATTGATGATATATTTGCATAGTACAGAGTAATGTGGGTGATATAAGTTTGAGCTGGTCTTTCCCCTTTTTTTCTCCTTAGCAGCACATCATGTCTCTCCTTTATATACTAATATCAAATGCTACGTGTGAATGCCTTTATGAACGATTGTTTCAGATATCCCCAACTGCCAGTCTTGTGAGCGCTACTCTTCGTTTAATTTTATGCTTTCTAAGACTTGAAATAAGCCAGTGTCTTCTTCGGTTTTGGGTCTGGCGGTGTCTTTCATATATGTATATGTTTATGAGTGCTTTTTTCTCACGTAATTCCATATAATTAATTACTGCCTATATATATCTTTACGACCCTGAACGTTGTCCCATAATCTATCTATTTCTATAGTATTGGGATGTCTAGCCAAATCAGTTGTAGATGATTCTAGATGAAAAACTCCAATTGCTCGTATATCGTACATATATGTTACAGATCTTCCTTTCCAGGTTTTATTTATTCCCCCGAATAACCTCGATCCCACCCATCCAAGGCCGTAGTACCTCGGGCACAACGATACCTCCTAGCTTCTCATCCCACCCATGTTCTAGTATAGCAGCTAGAACTCTCGGAACAGCCATTGCGGTACCATTAACAGTATGAGGGAATCTTGACTCACCCGCACTGTCACGCACCCTCGTCCCCAACCGTCGACTCTGATAGTCCGTACATATTGAGGTCGATGTAACTTCTCCCCACCCGCTATAATCGGGGTCAAGTACCGACGATTTATCGGAACCATTTGGCATCCTTGACGGGAAGAGAACTTCTATATCTCGCTTTCGAGTCGCGCTCGCACCAAGGTCGGAGGAGGACATTTCCAGGACCCGGCAGGGCAGATTGAGAGAGGAGAGGATATCCGTCTGGATGGAGAGCATTTCCTCGAAAAGGGACAACGAGTTGACCTCATTAGAAACCATGGTCGTTGCGTTTGATTCAATATTATCGGCCCATGCAAATAATTCCACCTTTGTAAATTCATGCACGCGGTATAACCCCTTGGTATCAACCCCTCTTGCGCCAGCTTCAGCTCGGTAGCATCTACTCGCACCCACAAGCTTTATCGGAAGTTGGTCAGCCAGTATTTCCTGTCCAGCATACATAGCAGCAAGCGGAATCTCAGCAGTCCCTGTTAAGCTGCGCTGCGGTTTGTGGGCAGCTCTATCTCTCTCCGTCTGCTGGATGGACCATATCTGTTGCTCGTTGTTTGCATCACGGGGCTGGAAACCGCAAGCTTCAGCAATATGAGAGTAGACAACACTTGGTGGAGAGACAGGTTTCCAGCCCTTGCTACGAGCTGTGCTGAGCGCGTATTGGACGAGTGCATGCTCGAGCAGACAGCCTTCGTTGGTAAGGAAGTACCACCCCCATCCAGTTGATGTTGCAGAGCTGGAGAAGTCGATCAGCCCTAGTTCGGTGCCGATAGAGACGTGTGATCGTGGAATAGAAGAAGGAGAAGCAGATATAGACGTATATGACGGCGGCGAGGCAGGGTCGAAATTGATGTATGTGACAACTTGAGGCACATCTCCAATCGGTGTTTCCTTCGATGTAAGATTTGGCAACGATAAGGCTAATTGCTGGATTTCTTCCATACAATCTTGCCTCCGGTCCATCATCTGTTGCGAGGCATCTTTCAGCTCCTTCGCTTCTGATCGAAGTTCCTCAAGTGCTTCAGTCCTATCCAGGTCCCCCGATTTCAATTCACCCGGCACCGCTGTACCAGCCCCTTTCCCTTCTCCTTGTTGTCCAGTTTGTTTATGGCGCGCCGCAAGCGTAGCGAGTTTAGCTATTTCCTTCTCAACCTGCTTTATCCTTGATCGAGGGTGCTGTAGAGCATGCTGCAAATCCGCCGCTTCCTTCGCTAACGATTGTATTCTCGGCGGGTAGTCTGCAACCGGTTTATAGTTGCGATCGAGACAGTTTTTGGAGTATAATTCCGCATTTTCGCGAATGTGCCGGACATTGGGAACGGCCTTTGGTGCCGTGGGCGGGCGAGATGAAGCTGTACTGAGGACGCTGCGGGACACGGAGAAGTTCCGGCGTGGTGATCTAAGTGTTAGCCTACAATTGAGGCATATGTATGATTTCGAAGGCCTCATTGGGGTCGGTTTGTGGTGAACGGCGTCGTAGAACTCGCTGGTGTAAATTGTTGATGGTTTGAGGTTTTTGAAGCTTTCCAACTTTATATGTTTAAGTATCACCACCAACCAGCACTAGAGACAAAGTACGGACACATTTAATAGATACTTTCACAGAGTTAAGAATAACGAAAATGATATGTATTTGAATCGCTAGCAACTACTTTTTTAGCACTAATTAACGATCATTCAGCTTGAGCTTCGATGCCTCTGTACCCATGAGCCCTTCGCAAAGACAACCGAAAGAAATAACCGAAAGAAGAGAAAGAAGTACCATCGGTAAGATCGCTATATATACCGAAATGCATTCCTATTTCTCCCCACTAAGCGGACCGCCTTGCAAAAGCCGGGAGCTTGTACCTTTTGACACGGGCAACGACACCAGCAAAAGTAAGCGCCGATGCAATAGTAACAGGCCAGAAGCCAATATGTAGAGTTGTGACGTTATAATCCGTCTTGGTAGCAGCGATAATGACCACTAGTTCGAGGACAAACAGCACATATCCGCTCACGCGGTGCCATTTGTATATCTTCTTCCCATTCTCGACGCTGCCAAAGACTTCCTCGGGGAAGAAATACTGCGCCACGCCAACAGCTGCCTGCAGGAAGATAATTATATAGGTGATGAGGCCTAGGACACCGTGGACAGAGGAGAAACGGGTCTCTGGATGGCTCTCCTTGTTGATCTCGATGATTATGAGGGCGGAGATGAAGGCGAGGTTCGCAATGGCCAGGAATCCAAAGTGTGTGAGGGCGCCTGCCCGTTTCTGCGAGGCAGTCTTCGTCGGCTGCACGATGAGAATCGCTTGAACTGTGAGCAAGACGGCTACCGAGTTGAGAAGCTGTGTTGTTCGTCAGTATAGGGAGCCTGATGGAGGGGCCATGGAGGTTGGCCATCAGACGCAGCGACTGCTTACCGGGTGCGGCGAGAAGAAGATGAGTTCATGGGTGAAGATTCCGGACCAGACGAGACCAGCAATCTTATTATCTTGTCAGTATCTTCTTGATGATGGTTATATATTGATGACTTGACGTACGATCAGTATCCCAACCTGCGCCAACGCCGCCGTTCCTGGAGACGTTGAATCAGCATATATGGCCATTGATGGATATAAAGACAGCACCTATGGCTATCCATCACGGAAGCCCTTACCTGTTACCAGATTGATGAAGATATTCTGGTCCTCCGCCTGGGTGACGTCTCCGGGCCTGCCGAGCAGCGGTTCGTTCTCTACGCCATCTTGGATAGACGACGGCCGTTCTTCTGGGATTCCAGTTGCAGATGCCATTATTATTATTGCGTGTACTCCGTATCGGTCAATGTATAGCACTCCGCACGTTAAGAGCCAGCTCGACGAAGAAGTTGTTGATGAGAAGTTGTTTGTACGTCACAAACATTGCATCATCACTTCCGCTTATATAACTATCGATCTACACTACGAACTTGCTATAAAATATAGAACCACGGAATGATTATACCGAATATTAGTGATACAGATACGTCTCTCTTTAGCTGAGCTAGGCCTGAAGCTCTCTAAGCCGGCACGGTAGCTGTCGCCTGTTTAGATGGCCCTGTTCAAGGGCGAATTTACGTTATCCAGTAAGAAGCAACGGATTCAAATCTTGAAGGTTTAGATATTCCACTTCCCCCACCGGCGAGTCCCGAGGGTATGATCGATATTCGAGAGATAAACCTGCGGGGGACGCCGTTTCGTCCAGAATATAAAAAGAGCAGCCTGTCCGGGGGGATTCGAGTATATAATTGAGTCCATATCATCGAGGGAGAAGAAAGGCATAAAGATCCCCGTATATTCCGTGTTCGGTATAGAAATATCAAGAAAATGGCCAGCAACGTCACTCCTGTCACCAAGGATGAGATAGACAAGTGCTTTTCCAAGACCACCAACCTGGCATCCTCGGGCTTGAATTCCACGGTCCTGGCATGTAGCGATGAGTACTTCGCCGCCGCATCGAACCTGCTCACGCCCGGCCCGCCAATCCATAAACCAGGCTATTTCGTGCATACCGGTGCATGGTACGACGGATGGGAAACCAGACGCCACAATCCCGCAGAATACGACTGGGCACTCGTCAAGCTAGGCGTGGGCAGTGGAATCATCGAAGGGATCGAGATAGATACTGCGTATTTCGTAGGGAACTATGGCGAGAACGTCGTTGTCGAAGGTGCATACCTGCCGGCCGCCGACCCTGAAGCAGCGTCGAGCGAGCAGGAAATGATCAGTGACAGCTATTCCAAATGGGAGACAGTTCTCCCTATCCAGCCGTGCGGTCCATCGATGCGCCAGGCATGGCGATTGTTGAAACCAACCGGCCCCCCGTTGACGCATATACGGGTTCGCATGTATCCCGACGGCGGGTTCTCGAGACTGCGATTGTATGGCCATGCTCTGCCTCCATCTCTGGCCGCGACTCAAGACCAGTCTCCTCCGATCGAAGAGCTCTCCTCTGCTCTGATGGGCGGCCTGGCTCTCTCGGCTAGTAACCAGCATTTCACCCCGATTTCTAACCTCCTCTTACCCGGTCGAGGGAAGGATATGGGCGACGGATGGGAAACCGCCCGCTCCCGCGAACGAGGACATGTCGACTGGGCAATTGTGAAGCTGGGATTGCCTGGATCGGCTGTCAAGGTGGTTGTTGATACCAAGGACTTTAGAGGGAACTTCCCTCGCGCGATTCGTGTCGACTCAATTGACTGGAAGGAGGATGAGAATAGCGAACCACCCTTTGATCACGCTGGCTGGACTGAGCTGGTCAAGGGAGAACAGGCTTGCAAAGCCGATACGGAACATGTTTATGAGGGAGAGAACCTGGCTGCTGGAAATCACATCACACATGCGAAGCTGACCATGATTCCAGACGGAGGAGTCAAGAGATTCCGTATCTTCGGACATAGAGCTACCAAGGCATGAACAGGCTACTTATTAGCGGGAATAACAAGAAGATAATAACATAATATAACAACAAACATATATAAAAGCACATTACTATAATCCAGTTTTTTGCTCCCTCCGCGTTAAATGGTCAATAAATGCCCAAGCTAATAACCGCCGCACAATATGGACACAGACATTCCGGCCAGAGTAAACCTCTCGTTAAAAAAAATCCCATATATACATGTCCTCGTCATCATGAATGAAATATGTTAAAACAATTATCGTCCCCCGCAGCATATCCCGACATGTCAATGCATTAAGGCTAGTAGACATAAAGAGGCAGAAAGTAAAAGCAGTATAGATGTAAAAAATCTATGTACTGCAGAGCGGAAGAAATAAATGCCCAAGTAATATCGTTCCCAGAAGTAACAGGCTAAGGACTGTAAAGGCATGAAAGAAGATGGGCTCCTTCTATATGGCGTTGACTCGCAAAGCTAGGCATGTTGTGTCCAACGGGCCTCGTTCCAGACGGGGCCAAGGGTATAAAGAGTCTAACCGGAGGCTGCTTGTACGTGTTCGAGACATGCGTCTATCATTGTTCCGCGGTTGGCGCTTTGTTATCGTCTTGCTCTGGCTTCTTCCCTGTATTCTCTGGTCCAATTCCACCATTAATGGATCCTTTTCGCCTCTTGGTTGCCGCCGCGATTGCAGCATCTACCGCGGCCTTTGTCTTTTGTTCTTCAGCAATTCTGTCTTTTAAGGGCGGAGAAGGTGGGTTCATAGGCCCCCTTGAAGCTTGTAATTCTATCAGGCGTGAGGCCGCAGCAGATGACTTCGATCGTTTCGGTAGCGACTTCGTTTGTGGCGCGAGATATCGATCAAGCATGCCTTTGAGAACATCCGATCGCACCGGTTTGGCTAAGTAGTTATTCATACCAGCATCTATGCATTTCTCACGATCTCCCTCTATGGCACTTGCTGTCATGGCAATGACGAGTACTTCGTTGACATTCGGGTCTGGATCTTGACGGATCTTACGTGTCGCGTCGCACCCGTCTAGTACTGGCATTTGAACATCCATCAGGACAATATGGAACGGGTTCCCATCCTTAGATCGCTGCCTAAGAGCTTCAACAGCTTGCTCTCCATCACTGAAAACTTCGCTCGATAACCCTAGATGGTGAACGAAACTGACGGCGATCTTCTGATTGATGGGGTTATCTTCTGCGATGCAGATTCTGACATGGTCGCGGGGTATGTGAGAAATATCTCGCAAGGTATGAGCGTGTGGTTGTTTCTGCCCCGATTCCTGAGACCATGGGGTTTTTGGAACGGCATCCTTGCCAGCTTTTTTGAATAAGAGTGTAAATGTGACTGTCGTCCCTACACCTTCCTGGGATTGCAGCCATATTCTTCCACCAAGGACGTCCTCGATAATAGCTTTGCAAATACTCAACCCTAACCCACTACCACCGTAAGACCTTGCAGTAGAGCTGTCTGCCTGAGAGAAAGGTCTAAATAAGCGAACCAGCTGCTCTTCTGATATCCCAATTCCAGTATCTGCAACTTTGCAAGTGACACGTATTTTCTCAGGGGTGTCTTCGTCGACTGTAGCTTGGACAGTTACCGACCCCTTTGGTGTGAATTTATAGCTATTGCTGAGCAAGTTCATGAATATCTGATGCAAACGGACAGGGTCGCCCATCACCAGAAGGTTAGGATCAATGCTATCTAGATCCTCAATTGTTTCAAGTCCTTTCTCTCGGTGGGTATATCGAAGAGCACGAACGACTTCCGCAATAGTTTGGCGGAGGTTAATTGGAACAATAGAAACCTTCATTTTTCCGGCCTCGAGTTTGGAAAAGTCGAGAATGTCGTTGATCAGGGTAAGGAGCGTGTCTGCACAAACACGAATTGACTCGACGTAAACGTCTTGCTTGGGATCCAATTTAGTCGCTTTGAGCAATTCTGACAATCCAATGACTCCAGTCATGGGTGTGCGCAAGTCGTGCGATATGTTGGCGAGGAATATGGATTTTGCTTTGGCTGCATCTTCTTTGAGCTTAACGTTATGGTTGGCCTCGACTTCTGCGATTTTGGCTTTATGCTCCGCTTCCCGGGCCTGTACTAGAGCGCATTTTTGCGCTTCAACCATAGCAGCATTAGCAGCACTAGTAGGTTATGTTAGTTCATGGTCCCATACATAGGAGGCATACCAGGCCTCTTATATTATTGGCCTGGCGGGGGACTTAGCTTACCTTACTTTCCGCACCTCCTGAAACAGGAATGCATTGGCAAGCGATATGCCCATTTGGTTGCAAACAAGGCGCAGTAGAACAAGGTTGCGTTGAGTAAAGGAGTTAGGCTTCCCTTCAATGTGTATCACTCCAAGGAAATTCTTTGCCTGAATAATCGGTAAAACGATGATAGACCGACCGTGTGGGTGGCGGGAGGTGTAAGCTTCGCTAAGGTTGGAGAACCTGTCATCTTCCAAAACGTTATGCACCAGCACCGGCTCTCTTGTACGAAGAGTATAGCTGCTGATCTGCTGCGCCATTTTATCTTCAATATCAGAAAATGGCAAACCATTCTCATACGCAATAGGTTCGCTGTCGTTATCCCCAGAGGCAGCAACACACCAGCCTTGTGAGTCAAATTCGGTGATCACTAGAGCATGTTCGGATCCACTACATGACTCTAATATAATGCGGACCATCTTTGTCAAGAGCTTATTGACCTCAAGCTCAGATGACATTACATGACTGAACTCAATGATGGTGGACAAGTCAATGATGTCTAACCCAACGCCGGTTATATCAGAGGGACCCTCGGTTGGCTTCTGGTTTTGTTCAAGCCAGTTCTGGTTATGGCCACCTTCAAGTGAATTGATGGCGTGGGAGTCTGAAGAAGGTTCCGTCACATTGGATTTTTGAACGCCGAGAAGTGAATCAATTGTTTGGCAGCCAACGTCATTTGATCTTGAGACTGTCCCTATTCTTGTCAGCCATTCATATTTCTCCGTTAACTGTTGTGCCTTTCCGGCGGCGCCAATTCTATTCCACACAGAAATGGCTGGTTGTAACATCTTCTGCGCTGCACGTTTGGCACCGCGTCGAATAAGGAAATCCACTACGGACAATGAATTAGTATATCAGTGATGGCCGCTGGACATGGTACGGGCTCTCTTTACCTTGGAGCTCATAAGCAAGCGCTTCCTCAATTGGCCAATTATGGAGCTGAGCATGGTCCAATGACTCCTGCGATCCTCACAAGTTAGATACAGCAATCAGTGGTTATAGTATAAACTGTACATACCTCAAAAGCTATCAATGCTCCCTGGAAGTCCTTCTTTACCTCGCAAAGTAAGGCTTGGACCATCAATGACCATGTTCCATAGTTCGCATCACACCCCCCTCGCATATAATCGATTTCTTTCTTGTATCCCTCAACTGCGCTAATGCTAGACTCCACGCCAGGCAGTTGAGGGTCTTCAAGATGGAGGGAGAGGGTGGCCATCGACAGATAAAAGTATGCTTGAGTTGCCAGCCTTGATGACCAAATTCCGTGCAGCTGACCAGCCATCTCAGTACCCAATTCCACTATCTTCGCATAGTGGCCATATGCGTATAGAGGAATAAAGAGGACACTGCGATACATAAGCAGAACGTGAGGTTTTCCCGGAAAACGTTCCATGATTTCAGCCTGATACGTTTGATCGTCATGGTGTGCATCGGATAAAACAAGGTCAGCCGAGCTCGCTATCGTCTTTCCTTGCAGCGCGCGGGCCGCTTGCCTGCTATGTGTTAGAATTAAACCTAATGCTTTGATGGTAATGAAGTACGTACCGGACTGCTACTATGGCGGTTCCTCCACGAATGTCATGAGACCAATCGCTGATGCCCTCAGTCGCATCATTGCATAGGGCTTCTATCTCTCCTAAATCATAGCCAAGAACAAGTCGGGTAATAACCATCGAGGATACATTGAGAAGAATGTAATAACGGTCGCCGATAAAGAAGGCAGCTTCCGTTGACGTTTCTAAAAGGGGCATGGTTATAGCCACTGGCTCACGCATATGATTTATGAAGACATTATGAATCGTAATCCCACGCGCAATTGCTGAGGGATCGTTGGTAACACGTAGGATTGATAAAGCGGCGTCACTTAACTTGAGGCCGAGGTCCTTGTCCTTGAAACGACTCAATGAGAGTGCCGAAAACTGGCTATACAAGTAAACAGCCTGCACCATCGAACCGTATTTGAGGGTGATGCGCATCATTTCCACTGTTAGGCGGAGGAACATCAATGGGTCAAGCCACAAACAAACTGATATAGCTTCGTTCATCACTGCACCAACAGCGATTACCGATCGATCTTCGCTCAGAGGTCGCGATAATAGTGTATCGAAATCCACGGTTCGGAGATATTGGGCAAGTTCCTTGAATGCTGTATCGTTTTCCTCCCATGTGGTTACACGGTTCACTTTCACGCCTAGCTCTTCTAAACAAGTAAACAAAGCGTCCAATGCCGCGCATATATTCCCTTTGACGGAGTGAACCCGACTTCGTAGTGTCCAGGCTCTTGCTTTGCAGGGCGCTGTGCGTGCATTCTTGAAAATGACGTTAAGGGCATCTAACGTCTCAGCTGTCTGGCCCAGAGCTAGATGCATTTCTGCAGTCTGGATGTAAAGTTCCCTCGTTTCGTCATAGTATGCGTCGGGCGTATCGGCATCCCAAGCATTGTCTTGTAAGAGGAAGATACACTGCTGGTAATTCTTGAGTGCCGTCGCTTTAGCACCTGATTTATAACCCGCCAGGCCTGCTCGGTACAAGACATCCCGATATGTAGTGCGTATGGGGATTCTTTCTTTAATTAGTCTTGAGGAGAGGCTGATATGGCGTGCCTTTGCGTGCAATGTAGTATCGTCGTCTGGTAAATATTTCATCATTGTCTGTATTATGATAAAGTGCATTTTCTCGGAATTATGGCATTGTCGCATAGAAGCCACAGCCTGGGCGTAGTGATCTGAAGAGAATCTGGAATATATCAGCCAAACTGCTCCGACATAAAGAGAGTATGCACACAATAACGAACCTGAACTCATCATCGGTATCACCCGGAATTATAATATAAGCTTGGAGTAAAAACTGAAGCCCTGCTACAATATCGGAGCTATCCTGTACCCATTTTGTTTGGGCAGGGCAGGTAACGTCATCCTTATCCTCCCCTCCAACTTCATAGAGAAATTCGCCTGATAGCAGCTTTTGGACAAGCGAAAAGGAGAAGGTCGTACCGAGCAAAGCAGCCCATAGAACAATTGACCGGGCCGCAGATGGCATTTCCTGTAGTCTCTTGACAACAAAGTTGGTACCAACTCCCTCACCATAGCCAGGCACGACAAATTCCGAGAACACTCGATCGAGGTCAAACTGCCATGCAGCGTCTCGCCAGGAGTACCAAATGCAGTTCTTACGATAACATGTTTCAAGGATCAAGCGGGCGTAAAACGGGTTTCCACAGCTCTTCTCTTGTACAACAGCAGCGAGTGGCACCATAGCACTGTTCGCGGGTTGGTGCATTGTTGCTGCAACAAATTCAAGGATGTCGTCCTCGTTGAGGGGCTCTAGTACCACTCTTGTGAGATTTGGGGCTTCCATCTCAAAGAGAGATTTCATGGTAGGGGAGACAATGTCATCACTCCGGCCGGTAAGGATAATAACACATCGCAGTTTATTCTTCATGATTTCAAGTAATAAGCCCGCAGACTCCTCATCTACGAAATGCGCGTTATCCACACATATACAGATGACTTCGTAAAGAGACATAATCCTGAGCACATCGATCATAATGTCCACAAAGTTGATTCCCAGTGAGGACGCAGGGCCTTGACAAAAGTCTTGAGAGGATTGGCCTTGGCTGAGGCTGGTAAATTCCGAACCACTAACGCCGAAGGATTCTTCTATGTCTTCTTTCAGCCCCTTCAGCGGCTGAAAGGCCCTCTGATGCATTGTTGGCTCATAGTCGACATTTTCTTGAAAGAGTAGTTGATACGGAAGGTCCAAGAACTGGTATAGGGAGCCCCAGATAGGTTGCAGAGTAGCGCGTATTGAGTTATGATATTCCGTTGTGATATCGCGCTCTGAGAAGATCTGACGCAGTAAGCTAGTCAGGGCCTTGAGAATTGGGTCAAATGGTAATTTGCATTGCCGGTCAACTTTTGCGACTGCGACATACCCAACTTTGCGGATTTCGGGTAGTAAACGTTGGATCAGGTCGGATTTCCCCATTCCAGTTGGGCCAGATACAGTGATAACTTCACATCGGCCTCCATGTCGATATTTAGTATGAGCGGCCTTACGCCGTGCCAAAGAACCGGAGTCAAACGCAAGACTGGGGGAGTCACGTTCAATATTTTCCCATGACATCCGCGAATCCGTTGGGCTCTTCATACGATTGGATAGAAGTGCAGTTTTGGTACTCATGGTTCCAGATTCCGTACTGAAGATAGAATCCTGAGCAGAAGGGTAAAGCGGATGAGAGGTTGAATTGTGTCTGAATGCGGGAGCGGCGGCGGGAACCCCAAGAGAACCGGAGTCACTGGAGGCATCGATGTCCACATTGTCTACTCTATCGCCAGAAATTGATGAGTTAGAGCTTCTTGTGTAGAGGCTCGTTTTGTTAGGAGTAACAGCAGCCTGCCGCCGTTTGTAGGCCTTGTTCACGACACTCATGATTCGGTCAAATTCCATCTTCCTACCGAACATGCCACAGGGCAAAGTAAAGAACGAGGAAACGTCCCGTTGGGCCACTTGAAACTTTTTAAGCGCATCCGCGTCTCCATCGCCTAGCAACTTTGAAATTTGCTGAAAGTCCCACTTAACAGCTGAGATAGTATGATATCTCTCGCCAATTTGTTTCTTGGTCATTCTTTGGATAACAGCAGCACATGCGTCGGGTACGTCAAGGCGTAGAGACGATATAGGACTCAAATTCTTGCTCAAGACATTTTGTACCACCTCGACAAGGTCTTTGCCTTCAAAAGCAGGTCTTCCTGCGAGCATAATCCATAATAAAATACCAAGAGCATATATATCTGTCCGACTATCCGGTTCCGTTGGTAACCTGCCGGTCTGCTCGGGCGCGATAAATTGTAATTTGTTTCTCACACCTATCTCCTTGGATAAGACTGCCCAACCGTCGCCCAATGCATTATCAAATGATCTAGCGCCATTTCCAGCATTCATTAATCTGACGATTTTAGTGTCTTCCGCGAAATGGAAAGCGTCGCCACGGATTTCGCCATGAACCGTCTTGAGGCCATAGTGTAGTAGCTCGAGACACTCGCAAGCCCCGATGGCAAAGTTGAAAAACGTGGGCAAGGGGACCTTTTCAATTTCTGAATTAGACGTGGTAACACAGTCCATCTGAAATGAAGCGGGCCCGGCTGGGATTAATTTTCTCAAATAGTTAGGTGATACATATTCGTATATTGTTACTAGAAACAATCCGCGGTCTTCTGGCTGGCGTGCAAGGTGTATGATATCGATGGGACGAACTGTGTGTTTGCATTCCGGATCAGAGGTCTCGATGATGGATCGTAGGATATGAAATTCGCGTTCTAGCCGAACAACATGGCCGGAAACACGGGCTATAACGGGAAGCCATGGTCGTTCAACTTCATCGCGCGGGGAGGTAATTTCACTATCCGCTTCGCTAGGCGCCTTGCGCCAGTGTGACGGGAAGAACGACCTTGGTTCTAACTCTGGGGAATTATGCGACGATATGGAGGTTTTAGATCGAGAGGACGAGGAGGCGGTTTGGGTTGAGGTGGTTTCGGAGTCGGCGGAATATTTGATTCCAGTAAAATGCCAGTGGTCGTAGGAGGAGTGAATAGGCACGAAGTTTTGGTCCCACGAGTACCCGGGGAGTTGCGATAGGCGCTCAAACAACCGATCAGGGGAGATTTGGAGATCCTCCCCAAGAATGCGGTTTTCTTCCATCATTTGCAGCGGATGATGATTGCCTAGACGTTCGGACGGGGGGAAATGCAACGGAGCGGCAACGACTGTGGGAGGGCGAACATATCGTGATCTGCGATCACTTCAGAGAGTCAACATGTTCGTCACTGAAATTCTATGAAAGAGGTGTCGTTAAATCTGGGTGGTTGATTTAGGAAAGGCTGAATCATGTGTTTTAACGAGATCAAGCTATCGGTAGAAATCTGAGCGAGTGATGGTCATCCTTCTTCTCGTCAAGATACAAGTTCTAGGCCTGTAATCCCAGCCACTGAGCCACTGACCCTCTCGCTTGTGGCTACCATGTGCCACCGCGCTTGAGGCGCACGCAGGAAAGTTTAGACGGACACATCAAACTCTCTCTTCGTGGTTGATAGACACATCATAGAACTTGGAGTAAAAGCTGGGCGAGGTAAGGCAAACCAAACATCGCCGTCTGAGTATCCTCAGGATACTTTCAGGGCCCGCAGTGACGACGGTTTAACCACCATAGTCAACCATGAGTCGAAACCCCGAGCTAGCCGAAGCAGGGGCCATCGTTCAGGAGAGTAGTTACAGAGTCTATCTCTCTCAAACACGCCTGTCCTTGCTCTTCCGTGCTATGCTTTAATGCATGTCATCGTGGAATAAAATAGTGCCACTCTCTGACCTATACCTGGGATCAGTTAGCTCAACCTGAACAGGATTATCGGTAGTACGAGGGATACCTCGTCTTTCCTAGGCCTCTCCGTCACCCCAACCGAAGCTCATCCATGTTTACCCCGTATGTCACGGTGTCGTTGGTTTCGTAGTCGTGGTAAGTAAGAATATGACGTTGTTGCGTCGTCGTTGGAATAGAAATATTCTGCCGCCCTCACCTGTCCCAAAACGGATGACCGCTCTGGACAAATTGATCCAGTTATATGTATACGTACGGGATATCTAATATCTATACGTATATCTAGTATCTCCAGGTTATGGGATTCATTTGGCCTTCTAGTCTACAGTGCGCCCTTTACCCAACGAGGCATTCTTTGGCATGCAAAAGATATGTCTTCATGCTGCCACTGGTTCCTACACTCCAGACATGCACGCTCCGTGTTTACCAGCTGCTTAGTTTGTCATGGATACCCGAATGAATGGATATTTCCCATTCTAACCCCTTCGAGCTGGTACAACGGTGTCAGACAAAGAGATATCGATGATAGTTAAGGTTGTAACAAGCCCGATTCTTTAGTGCGGCTATTTAATCTGATATATGCTATCCTGCAGGGGCATGATTTGTGATGAAAGAAGCAATTATCAGTGGTCAGTCGTTTTATGGAGTACTTTTGATAAAAATACCCGGCTGACATACCTATTAGTTATCTATCAAGCTTGATGCATCGTATTCTGCTACGCCTTTCCCGTCTCTGACGGATAGCAAACGGTTCCTTTGTTCCTCGTCAGCCTCTGGGAAAGGGCGTATTCCAGTTTGGTACAGGATACACGACACCTAGCGACGGAGCCTTCAAGGCTGGTCTCCCTATTCCAGATCCGGAAACAAGATCCCTGAGAACGAAGAGAAGCAGCCGCCGAAAATGATTACGATGAGGTAATTTCCAACGGCCGTCAGCATGGCGATGTTAGGTCCAACCAGCCGACAGACCGCCTGATCCAGCCCCAGTAGCCTATCCAACTCATCGTTTGTTAGCTCTCTGCATCTCCAGACGAACGTCTGACTTCTCAGCTCAGCGATACGCCGATATCCAATTACACGTCATATCTACAAGTACCCGTGATGGCTGCTTCCCCCCCAATCGGCCTCCACCGCCCCCATCCATCTTCACCATCACCAACACCATCACCCATCACCCATCACCCATCACCCATCACCCATCACCCATCACCCATCACCCATCACCCATCACCCATCACCCATCACCACCATCACCAGCCCCTCCTGTCAGCCCACGGTGTCGGGTAAGGCGCTAAAAACGTGTTGAGCGGATTCCTCGGGATGGGTTCCCATTTGCAGTGTACATGACTGACGCTGCATGAGCCCGACACTACGTATGAAGGCCTGCTCGATGAAGGACACTGTGTATATATGACTGGTTAGAAAAGGAGAGCTTGTGACTGACTAAATTCTGGTGATGCAGAATGGCGGGTTGTGCGGACTATTGAAAACGATCAACGGTTCCCCTTTTTGTTGGGGGTGATGCCTCCGTACGGAATAGGGAACGTAGCACGGAGAAAGGACGGAGTAGAAGGTAAGGATACTCTGCGGGCGACGAGGATGGGTGATTGAGGGAGGGTGAATGCCTTATACGAGTACGCCGGCTCGAAATAGCAGCATCGGCATCACCGTCATCGACATCGTCATCGCCGTGGAGTGCCCTCACCGTTTATTTAAATGATTTAAACACGGCTGAAAGCCAAAAGGTAAAAATGCAAATCATCGCACATCCTCTGGCGCTACCTACGCTACCTACCTCATGGATACAGGCATTACCCTCACTACTCGTATTTAGCGATCTCTAGCCTCGTGCTCACCGCTCGACGAGAAGCGAGGCGTCGATATGTACCATCTGCCATGGTCCACGGAAGGACAGGAAGGACGGACGGAGTATACGGAGTAACCAGCATGCATGATGGAAAGAGTACGACGAACAAGGAACCAAAATCCGACGACGAACATTGGTCCTGCACTCCGGATTAATCCCAGGCCACCTTATATTTACTTCGACACGGGTTGCGTTATGTCACTGTGCATGTCGATGGCTTGTTGCTGCCGCCGATCTCAGCCTTATCTGAATTATTCTTACTCATTTCCCTCAGTTTCCCTCTCCTGCTCCAGGGCAAATCGTTCCTTGTTAGTGGTTTTCTCCGTATGTTAGTGTTCCATTTGTAAGACACCGACGGTTCTTTTTAACGGCGGCGGTGGATCCTGCTGCCCCTTCGCCTTCTTCCCCTTGGCTGTGGGTCGAATAGAAATGAAGGGGACAAAAGATATCTCCCGAGGCAGAGATGGAGCATCTGAAGATGTTTTTTTTTTTTTTTTTTTGGCGTGATGTGGTGGACAGAGAGTGACACTCCCGTATTCAATATTATCGTGAGAATCCGGCCATGGATGAAAGAGTTGCACAGGTCGAGCGAATGTCGCATCGGCAGGTGCCCGGTTACGTACATGGTACCACACAGCTCGCGATGTCTGCCCAAGTGACGATTGAGAAGCAGCCACTAACACGCATTCCGTACTCCGTACCCCGTAGCTAGTGTGCCAGCTTTGGAGGTCAACGGCCGTCATTTGAGGTCGAGCAACTTTGAACAACTCAAGTAGGCTGGTAGGACGAGCAGTGTGAGGGAGACTGCTGCCACGACTGGTCGAACGGAGATTCCATCCCTTGATCTTATATCACTTTCACTTTCGCTTTTTCCTGCATCGTGTCCTTGTCCTGACCTGTCCTGGCCTTGTCTTTAACCAGCGTCTGACCAGTCCTCGACTAGTCCAGTGCAATCCACCGCCAGGCTAGCTGTGCCAACGGAAAGTAAGTAGCGTATAGGCAAGGGCCCGGGGGGGGTCTCTCTCTCCCCATTAATATTCTGCGCCGGCCAGTCTGCCTCCTATAGGCATAATGAACTAGGGGGTTGGCTGCAGGTTTGCTGTTGGGCCTGCTGCTAGGCCTGTTGGCTAACCTCACTGCTGGAACTGGATCCTGTAACGGCGTAGTAGAGAGTGCCAGGAGAAGCTTTGGCGCTTGTCCCAAACACCTCCATCCTGCTAGTCAGCCTTAGTTGTATAGTTACTCGTGTGTGGTTTTGTTTGTAACGGGGAGATTGTCTGGGGACAGGGCGATGACGTAGCAGAGCAGCAAGGAGGACCCGCCAAGGGCCAAGGGGAAAAGAAGAAGTCGAAGAAGCAGAAGAAGCAGAAGTAGAGAGAGGCAGAGGAGAGGATTACCGAAAGCGGACTCCACCACCTCCGACCTCCTTCACCTCCATCTTCACTTCACTTCACCTTCACATTCACATCTTCATCTTCATCCCCATCCCATATCCATCCACGTATCGACGACTGCCAGCCTGATGCGTGTGTTCGCTGTCGTAGAGCCTCGTTCCCTGTTCTGGTAAGCCTCTTCTCCGCCTCTTAGGCCAGAAGCCACCACCGCCGCCAACGGGAACACCACCACCACCGACAGCATCACGGCACCACCACGGGCTCGCTCTCTCTCTCCGGCTGCAGAGAGGAGGCATGTCAGCATGCGGACTCCGCCATTACCTTCGCCCGTTGATCCTCTCGCTTCTATGACATCTCCTGGCCAGCACCATCACCACCGGCGACTCTCCCGTTCACAGCGGGTGGACATCGACTTCCAGCACGACCAGCAGAGCGAGAGCCAGAGCCAGGCCTACCAGCACCGGCAGCAGGGCCAGACGTCATCAATTCTCGTCCCAGACCTGACGCAATCGGCACCGCGTCGTGATACCAACACCACTCCCAAACCGTTCTCGCGCCCTTCCGAGTTTGCTACTCCCGGAAACAGCAATGATGCGGCGGCGCCTGCTTTCAACCAGCCAGATCTTGACCTGACCGATGCTGGCTTGGATCAATCCGCTCAGAGTAAGAAACCAAGCGGCGCCATGCTGGAAGAGTTGCGGAAACGCATGGGTGAAACCATCATGAACCAACAGCAGCAACAGCAGCAACAGCAGCAACAGCAGCAACAACAGCAGCAGCAGCAGCAGCAGCAGCAGCAGGCGGCTCAGTATTACTACGCTCATGAATCTGTCTCCACAGACTCTGGATTTACCGATTCGGACACCAACATGACTCCCAATACTTCGGACGAAAAGGTCCCTCAGTCCAGCCAGTCGTCGGCCCCGAGATCACCAACATTTTCGCGATCAACTAGACCACCAAGTCTGCCGCAACGGTCGTTGGTGGCTTCTTCGTCTCCGTTCGACATACAAGCAAATAAAGCCGTTGCTGAGCAAGATCCTTATCTATCGACCACCTCGAACGCGAATGCCAATGCGACTGCGACTGTAAACGGACTTGGGTTCCATCACCAGCCTCAGACACCGTATCTACATTCCCCACGGGGTGCTAAACCGAAGAGGCGGCCTGTTAGGCATCCGTACACGGCTGATACGTTGAAAAGGATGAACGAGATGCCGGCCGCTTCAATAGAAGCTGCCGTGACTGATTTCCTACCTCCTGGCACTGCACCGATCACCGACGACTCGCCTTATCCTACGCCAAATCTGTACGATATCACTCTTGCGCTAAACGCCGACCCAGGTCTTGACGGATGGTGGTCAAATGTGGTACCGATTCTAAAGACTCATTACGGCGCTGAAAGGCTTACACTTGCGGTTCCGGGTGATGCAACGGATCTAGAAAATGTTCCATGGTTGCAAAAGGCTACATATAGCATATATGGGAACGAACAGGTTCTTGTTTCGTCACCACCGCCAATCACCAAGGCGGATAGTGAAAGGTTCTCTAGAGGACGCTTCAGCGATACCACGAAGGAGGACGGTAACACCCTCAAGTATACCAAATCTGTCACTGGTAGCCGTCGTCCGAAGCTGATAGGCCGTCATTCCTTTGCTGGACATGCATCGTATTCTGCGGAGAAATGGAGCGCTGACGAGACACCCGGAACTCCTTCTCCCCTGAAAGGTCGACATTCGCGGCGGAAAAGCTCGAGTGGAGAGTTTAGGAAACCGCGCAAGCATCTGCGAGAGGATGAGATCATGGCCGATGTATGTGATTACACGATTCCTTCGAGTGGCACCTTTCAACGGAACCAATCTCGTCGACCCAGCAGCAGCGAACAACCAGGAGTTGCATCGGGACCGCCGAGCCCAACTGCTGTTGTTTTCCCTGTTCCTCGAGCCTTGGAGGTCGAACCTGAACCTCTGATAAAACGGACGGGCGTGGTTAAGCTGTTTGGCCGCACAAAGCCAGTTGCCCTCACAAGGGAATATTCCGATGACCCGATGCAAGATACTTCACCCGATGCGATCCATAAACATAAAGATATCATACAACATACCCCACGCTCCGAGGCACCGGGGACACCGCTGAAAACATCCATGTCTTCCCACCGCGCCACCCCGCTCACTCTTAGCCTAGCTTCTGCCCAAGAACGCAGGGGTATCCCAAAATCCACTCGTATGGACCACGAATACCCAATTCCCTTTGACCCCTCACCACCCGCGCAAAAGTACGAAGAGTACGAACAAACTCCTCCATCCCCTTGGTCACAATCTCCCGCTCCGTCTCCAGCGCCCCTCCTAAAACCCGACGTCAATCCATTCTTTGCCGAATCATATAATGAAGTAAACGAAGATGCATTCGCCTCTAGTCCTCCGCCTCACGATTATTCGGAAACAGCGCCTTTGGAAGCCATAGGCATCGATCGCGCTAAGACTGTCATTCATATTCCGCTCATTCATTCTGCCTCGTCACGACAAGGCAGGTCAGATACTCTACGCTTCCCAGTTGCTGTCATTTCCATATTAGCACCTATAATTCCATACCCAACTAATCTCCGAAGCTCGCTTGCCCTGTTGCTTCCCCATCTCACGACTTCTTTTTGTCTCGCACAGCAATATAGTCAGCTAGAAAAGCAGAACGCCAGCTCTTCTGTCGAGCGGTATGGCCACCTTTTGGGCCTCGGTGGCACATTCTCAGACGCTAATAGCGAGCTTGAGCTTATCAATGGTCTAACAGGCCATGTCAACTATTCGAGTCCATTGACCCAGCTAGGGGGTGATGCAGCGGGCGAAGGATATTTCAGGATCAGAAGCCCGCCAGCCAACGAGTCTATTGCGGCAACGACAACAGCGATGGCTAACCAAAGTAACCAGGGGACTCCAAATGAAGGGCTAGCAATTGCAATTCCTCCATCACAGCAAAAAACGGCATACGACGAATTGACCTCAAGAGATCCAGGTCTCGTGCACACCCCCTCGATTGCTGAAGTTCCGCTAAAAGCAAGTCAAAATACGCCACAAATGCTCTCCGACTTCTCACGTCATTCGTCCACGGGCTCTTTCACCGCTCAGTGGCACCGGGAGATACCTTCGCGGCCTTTCCCGGACACTGTAGCCCAGCTAATGCTTAACTCGATTCCATTACATCTATTTCTTGCGAAACCACACACTGGCGAAGTTATTTGGACTAATGCGAAATTCGATGCCTATCGACGAAGCCAGCCGATGGAACCGCGTGTTCGCGATCCATGGCAAAACGTTCATTCGAGCGAGTACGAAAAAGTATCTAAACAATGGAACAGGGCGCTACGTACCGGATCGCAATTCACCGAGCGTGTGCGCGTGAGGCGGTTTAACGATGAATCTGAATATCGTTGGTTTATTTTCCGTGCTAACCCCTTGATATCAGGCACGGGCGAGCTGTTATATTGGATCGGCTCGTTTCTAGACGTTCACGAACAGCATATTGCTGAACGCAAGGCTGCACAGGAGCGAGAGACTTTTGCGACGGACGTCAAGTACCGAGCCCTTGCTAATTCGATTCCTCAGGTCGTCTTCGAAGCTGCGGAGTACAGTGGATTGATCTCCGTAAACGAGCAATGGGAGCTATATACAGGCCAGTCCCTCGATGAAGCGATGACTTTAGGATTCGCAAAGTATATTCATCGCGATGATCTAGAGAAATGTGGTATCCTGTCACCTCCGCAGGTTATTCCAGACTCAAATGATATCCCAGAATTCGCGCGTATCATGTCTAATGGAAATCTGGCTGAAACGTTGAAGCAAGCTGAAAGATCTCGCAAGAATTCTTCGCCGTCGTCGCCTGCGACTCCACAGCGGTATGAAAACTCGCTAAGAGTTTTCGGCAAGGGAGTCACGCCTGCATTACAGGAACTTGTTAGACGAGAAATCGTCACCATCCAGCGTGACGAGAATGGTCGAGATTCATACACAACAGAAATCAGGTTTAGGTCCCGGAAAGGCGATTTCCGATGGCATCTTGTGCGGTTGGTCAAAGTTGAGACGCCTGATTTCGGCAGCGGAGAGGCGTCGTGGTACGGCACCTGTACTGACATCAATGACCGGAAATTGTTGGAGCGTGAGCTCAATACTGCCTTGCAAAAGCTGAATAGGGAGATGGAGTCTAAAACGAAATTCTTCAGTAACATGTCTCACGAGATTCGGACACCGCTTAATGGAATTCTAGGCACTATTCCGTTTGTTCTTGATACGCTACTTGACAACGACCAGCGACGGATGTTGGATACAATTCAGAACAGTTCGACGAATTTGCGAGAGTTAGTCGATAACATCCTTGACGTTTCGAAGGTAGAGGCCGGAAAGATGAATATTGTTAGGCAGTGGTTCCATGTTCGGTCGGTGCTGGAGGATGTCATTGATACCATTGGCTCGAGAGCGATCGATAAAGGGCTGGAGCTGAATTATCTCGTTGACACCGACGTTCCCTCCACGGTGTTAGGGGATCGATTCCGTATTCGCCAGATCCTTATCAATCTAATGGGCAATGCAGTCAAGTTTACCTCGCAAGGGGAGATCTGCACCCGCTGCTCGATCCATGTGGACCCCAGCGTTAGCACGAAACCGTCCGAGATACTTCTCAACTTCGAAGTGGTTGATACGGGTAAAGGATTCAGCTCAACGGACGCAGAACGCCTGATGCAACGGTTCAGTCAGATTGAAAGCAATGGCTCACAACAGCATGCCGGCAGCGGCCTGGGTCTGTTCTTGTCAAAGCAGCTTGTGGAAATGCACGGAGGTCAATTGACGCCTACTAGCAAAGAAGGCCGAGGAGCCAAATTCTCGTTCTACGTAATGGCTGGAGCACCGTCACAGCAGCCGCCTTTGCCTACACCCGCGCCATCCACACCAGGCCAGACGATAGAAGTTCCGGAGGAGGATAGGCTGTCACGGCCACCAACAGCACCAGTTGCCACAGGTGAGGAAAAGCGACTCGCTATTGCCAAACCGAAATCCGAATACTATACATCTACTGCAGCGCCGCCAACGGTATATTCACCGACAAGACCGACCGAAGCCCTCAACCCAGACAAGGCATACAACACAGTGATAATTTGTCCATTCGACTATGCGCGCGAGGCAATCAAGCAACATATTGAACAAGTCGTGCCTTACGGCGTACAGTCAAAAACAACCTCGCTCCTTGACGTGGAGGATTGGAAGGAGTTGCGATCTAACAATAGCGAACCCCTAACGCACCTCGTCCTTGGCCTGCCAGACGCCAATGAAGTGACGGAGATAATGACCACCCTTCTTCGCACTAGCGCCGAAGGAACGCCATCCCCAACTCTTGTAGTTATAGCAGACATATATCTCAAACGCACCATCACGGCCGTCTACAAGGAAATGCTAGCGGCAGGCAAAAGCGTGTTCATTGTTCCCAAGCCCGTCAAGCCGAGCGCATTCTCGCTGATATTCGATCCAAAGAGCGAGCGCGAGCTGAGCAAAGACCGGAACCAAGACATGGCGCGAGAGGTCAACAACAGCTTCAAGAATATGTCCAAGATCGTCAAGGAGGTTATCGGTAATAAGGGTTATAGGGTTCTGCTTGTCGAGGACGATGAGACGAACCGCACGGTATGTGTCTTGTGTCTGATCTGTCAAGTAGATGTGTTGCTAACGATGAACGGTCTAGGTTATGTTGAAGTATCTCGAAAAAGTCAAGCTTGTCTCTGAGACTGCTGGGAATGGCCAAGAGTGCGTTGACATGGTCTTCTCCAAAGAGCCGGGCTATTACTCGCTAATAATCGTACGTCACCGCTTCTTCCACCTTTTTCTGTTATACTTTTGCCTAACTAACGGGTTGTAGTGTGATATTCAAATGCCTGTTAAAAACGGGTATGAGACTTGCAAAGAGATCCGGACGTGGGAACACCGCAACCACTTCCCACAAATCCCGATCATGGCACTCTCTGCCAACGCGATGATAGACCAGATCGACGATGCCGCACACGCCGGGTTCAACGACTACGTCACCAAGCCGATCAAGCACAACGAGCTGGGCAAGATGATGATGGAGCTGCTAGACCCCAGCGCTCCTCGCAGCCTACTAAAGGATCGCAAATCGTAGCTTACGCCTTTACTGATCGCTCTTTTTGCTTCTTTTTGCTTTCTTCCTTTTCCTTGCTTTTTTATATTATTATTCTTCTCTTTACCGTCCTTCGGCTAGTTCGGGAAGGGCGAAAAATTCGGGCTTCTTAATGAACTTCTTTAATGGCCTTCCTTTCCCGCTTTATTAACGCATACATACATCCTGCCTCCCTCCCTCGCCGCCTTCCCCCTCTTTGTCTCCATATTCTGGGCCTTCTTCGCTATACACAGCCTTGGTGTTTTTCTCTTCTGCGTCCTGCGTCCTATATCCTGTCCTCTCTGGCCTCGTGCTTGTTCTGGCTTTCAATCGGTGCATGGGTTTAAACGGGAGGAAATTGCTGGTGGCTAGCTTTGTCTTTCTATACATGTTCTTTTATACGTTGTTCTTTATGTTTTTCTATTCACTTATTCTAGTTTTATATTACGTGGACGCAAAACGGAGTAGAAGAGAGAAGACCGGGACTATAAATTACGATATATCATTACTCAGATGCTTTCTGTTCATTATCCTCTATCTTGATGCCGCCTTACCTTCCTGTCCATGGTATCGTATCTTGTACACTCGTAGGCCGACCGTATACAACAGCTAAGAGTCTGCAGCTAGGAGCTGGATGAGATTAAAATCTGCAGCCCGGGATGCATGAAGAATCGACTTCTACCCTCCACGACGTCTTTTGTCCTGCCATCGTGAGTGTGCATCTATCTCGACTTCCCCCCGTCTGGCCGCAAGATGCAGAGCGAACAGGCGACCGTTAGGCAGAAGCAGCTTCTATAGCAGCCAATCGTACTCTCCTGCAGCCCATGCAGCCCGTTCGACCGCTTAACTCATATAGCTGGCACCTCAACCTCGACTACAGCCCAACTACCGCTCATACATCGCCCTCTTCCCATCCGTGCAATGCGGCTTTTATAAATTACAGACCCTCCGAAAAACCGAATATCAAATACAGAAAGCAGAAAAACAAAAACCGAAAGGATAAAAAAAAAAGAATACAAAAGATAAAATAAAAATAAAAAGGAAGAAAAAAAGTACATCGACTTAGCAGTGACAGCGCCGAACTCCGTCTCCTCCCTCTGCTCTGCCTTGAACCCGACGGTCCACGCCCGATGAACGACCGATCCGCGCGCTGATGGAGGGTGTCGCTGGACTCTGACAGGATACCTGCCGGGTCTCGCATCGCTCGCCGACCAGATCCCAGGCGAGCTCTCCAACCTTTTCACCATCTTCCTTCTCCCCCCTAGCTCTAGCGCCGGCCACTGGCGAATCCGCGAGCAGCTGGGCATGGGCTCCGCGGGGGGCGAGGCGGGGTTGGGCCAGCGCCAGCAGCGAATCGGCGGACGGCGCAGGGGGCGGGCTATAAGGGAAACGGATGGGATCAGGATAGGCTGGACGGGGGAGGGAGAGGGAGAAGAACGGCGTCTTTTCTCCTTCGTCATCGGAGGAACGCACAAGGGATAAGGGGCTATCCCTCTTCGGGCAGGGCAGGGAGGCCCCGATGGCTATAAAAGGGAGCTCCTTTTCCTCCTCTGCTCCTCCTCCTCCTTCTTCCTTATTTTCTCGCCATAGCACTCTTCCATATCTCCTGCCATTGACCATACATCTACATACCCATACCCAGTATACCCAGTATACACTTGCATCCTTGATACGCAGCATATACCCTCGCTGCCTACATTGACCCATCTACTTCATCACCCTACCGTCGACCAGACAAAGATATACCAGACTCGCAATGGAGACCGCCATGAGAGCCCACAATGCTTCCTTTCCCATCAACATGCCGTCCAAGGCCCCGACCAGCGCAAACTACTATCCCGTCTCCCGCATCGCCGGCTCTCCCCCTGAGGTTTCAGATGTCAGCACCACCACCGGCAGCGCCAGCGGAGAGTACGACTCTTCTCTCGGATACTCGGGCGTCGACGTCATCGACACGCTCAACGACCGCATGAGCAACGTCTTCGATCCATCCCGTCTCGACAAGGGCATTGCAAAGCAGACTCAACTGCAAGTATTCCCTTTCTTTCCTCACTGTTGCCACCAAGTGGAGAGTTTCAATTGAGAGTCTTCTTGAGACTTCAATTGAGACGTTTCAAGGTTGAGTTATAGATTCATGTTCTAACTTACTGCAGCTCCGGCCAACTCAACGCCAAACAACGAGAACTCCTTGAACTCCAGGCCATCATGCAACGCCGTGTCAAGGGCGCCAGAGCAAACTTCGCCGATGGTATCAAGGCCGCAAAGGAGACCAAGGCGGACCTGGAATGGACCCAAAAACGTGTTGGGTGAGTTTCGCCCAGTAACTTCCTTTTCTGCATCCCGTCCTCCTCAACGACAATTTACTCCCTACCTTCATATAAACTGCTCCCCTGTAACCACTTCAATTTCCGCTCCGCTCCGCTCTATGCTTCCGCCGCCCCGCCATCCTTGGCAGCTGCAGTTTGTCACTTTTCTTCAAAAATCTCACATTTTTCCACCAACCGCCACTTTTAACCAATTTCTGCGATTATAAATTCTTGCTAATGCGGGTACCTACAGTGCCATGAAGGCAAAGGCCGAATCCGCGCTTCCCACGGAATACCGCTCTGCATCAAGCAAATACGCCTATCCCGACGACTACTGATGCTCTGGATATTCCACCTTTTAACGACCCTTCAAATTAACGATTTTTTTCTATTTGGGCGAATTCGCCCTGGACGGCTACGGAGTATCGGTTGATTTTTCTTTATAATAGGAGGCAAAATGGTACACCTGGCTGGTATTTTGCTCTTATTAATGTTGCGATGTGGTTGTCTCAGATTTCCTACATTTACTCCCCCGCCACTTCCCCCTCCAAGCGAATTTCTTTTTTCTGCTAATCCTGTCAAGGCTACAAGGAGGGAGAGGTATTTCTGCTGTTGTCGGCTTGCTACGAATATTTGTGTTTTTAATTCATGCAGTTTGGTGTGGTTAAAAATTTGATCAGTTTTATATTGTTACCCCCTTCGGGTCCATCCATCTAACGCGTCACATTTTGCTCACACTTGCTCACACTTGCTCGACCACAACCCGGCAAACCCTGTTCGGCGACCGCGGCGACGTCCTGTGATCCTACAGTGCCCCTGAGAATGCCAGACAAATATCCCGTGCAGCCTGATTCAACAAACGCGCGGTTCACACTCGAAGGACCCCCCGCAGTCTACTGGGTCTTCCGCCCGGACCCTCCGCTCCGCTCCGCCGCAGCCTCTAGCGGGAACGAGCCTCCCGTGGGCCCCTGTCCCCCTAGCCAAGTCAGGGGAACGGACAAGGGACAAGGGAACCTGCAGGCCTGAACTCTTAACGCTATTCCACCTATCATCAGCTTCGATTAGCGCGAGCCGGGCCCATGGATCCCATCTAGGCTTGTAATTTATGTATGCCGTAGTATTGAAGCTCCTTCCATGGTCAGCTGGGGTTGTATGGCGCGTATAGAACCAAACGAGCGCCTGCAGTATTAACAGCGTAATGAATGTACGCCTCCCTCTATGAGGCATTATGTTATTATACTGGCTTTTAAGCTGCGTAATACGAATAATACCCTTCCTTCTGGGCCCTGTTGGCGTATTACTGCGCGCGGGTGGGTGTATATCCGTGTCTCTGCTGGGTGTAACATCGTACATAACTATAAACAACAAAAGTGTGGCCTTATCCTTTGCTTAATACTAAATTATACAGCAGATATTATACAGCAGATGGTAGCTCGATATCACTGCTAAAGTATAAGTATTATCTTCAAGGGTGGTATGCTTTGTGTATAGAACGAGCCTGGAAAGAAATTATCCCTTTTACTAGGCTTGGATGGTGGAACCGTTTCTTCCCCCTTATTATCGTAGCATTATTTCCTCAGCAAGTGAGATTTCCATTAGAATTTTGCCTAGCTTCTGTGCTTTCTCACTCCATAATCTCGCCACTCGTTCCCTGTGTGATCCTTATCCCCTTCCAGTACCTCGCAGCCTAAAGTATACCAGACAATCACTAAACCCCCCTTACTCACTCGGTTTTCTCAAGGTCCTTGGGGTCATAAAAGATACGATATGGCGTTGGGGGAAGCACCACAGGCTCCTGGCCCTTGGGTGGGTTATCCTCCAGAAAAGACGGCATAAAGTACACCCTATCACCAAACGAGTTGCGGATTTGTCCACTGGCAAACATTTCTAGCAGCTCGGGACTCATGATTGTTCCGTTAGGAGCGTGATAGTTGCCTTGTTCGTCGATGTAGTTGGTGCGTCTAGGCTGCCCATCAGGTGTCTTGTCATCTACGGGCTCGGGGATTGGTCCTGAATCCATAGTTAGTATTATGTCGGACACACGGCTGGTGGTCTGATGCTCGACTTACTCGGCCCTCCGGAAGGGAAGATAGGACTCCATTTATCGAGGGGAGGTGCTGCTGCTGGTTCTTCCTTTCTGTCCTCAGGGGTGACGTTCTTAAGGTTCTCTCCCTTGGGGAGCTTTGTACCTGTACCTTGGTTTGGTTAGCATCAAATTGTATGCGAACGCACAATCACATATGGATGCTATGAGGACAGACATGTATCTCACCTTCGTTACCCTCGAAAGCATTGATCTTGAAGGCCTTTTCTTCCACAGCCTTCCGACCCTCACAGACATCGGCGGCCTTCTGATCCTTGTTATGGGCCCCAGAAGCAGCCATAGCTCCATATCCCCAATCTCTCTGCTTCATCGGTGCACGCTGAATTTCGCCCATCTTGCGTCTCTGAGGACGTTGGTTGGCCTTATCTTTCTGTTCACCCGTATTCTCGGAAGCAGACTTGATTTCCTTGTTCGCTTCTTCCCTTATTTTGGCAGCCTCCCTTTTTTCCTTCCAGGTTTTCGCTTTTCGAAACTTCCGCTTGGGTTCGCCAGCAATATCAGAGGCCGGAACTGTACCTGGCACGGTATCTGGAGTAGAAGCAGTTTCTTCAACAGTAGCTGCGTCAGGAGCAGACTTCAGCTTTGAGGATGCAGGCTCAGCAGAAGTGAGAGCTGCAAATCTTTGCATAAAGGTTTCCATGGAGATAGAGGATGAAGAGCTTTCAGGTGTGATTAGTGAATCAATCTTCCCATTAAGATATTGCTTCCCGCGGCGTCCACGAGGTCGCTTGTTCTGGGTGGCTTTGCTAGAGAACTGGGAGAACCCCATGACGGCAGCGACCTCCTTGTTAGATGCATCATCTGTATTATCATGGGCCATGCTGGATGGAGTTGTCTTTATACTGTTATTGTAAGTGTCATTGTATTGCAAGAATGGTGGATAAACAAGAGGGGTTAGGAAATAGAAAGGTGTTTATTTACTTGATCTGGCATAAAAGTGATATAGATAGGGATGATGACCTAGACAAGGCTCGGCAAGCTGTTCGTAGGATGAGGTGTAATGAATCAGATGGGATAAATATGTCATCTCATTTTGGTGTCCTGGAGAGAGTGTGTGAATGTGGTTTAGCGAAGTTTCTCTCCTAGAGATTCACTTCACTTCCCTCTTCCTCTTTAGGAAGTATTTGATATCACGTGGAGACAGTTAACGGATGTTTCCAGACAGCATCCAGGTAAAAGAATTAAATATTCTTTTCAGGTGTTTGAAAGTAACAAGTATAATAGAAAAAGTAGAAGGATATCAAAGAACCATTCATTCAATCATTAATAACATGGTAGGATAATCCATGGGCTATCCAATGTCAACACATCTATAGCCAAATTCAAGCTAGACGGACTTGAACTGAATATAACATTAGACCATAAGTAGAAAACACATATATAAGTTGGGATTGACCCTGTATCTTAGTATGTTCTAACCTCATTTATACATAATTTTGTTCATCCATTGCTCGAGCAATAACAGATGCAAACCTGCTGGCTCTATTAGTGTCTTGCTTTGCAGTGCCAACACCGAGCAACACCTTCTTCACACCAACTCCGATCTTCTCACTCTGGGTCAACTCTCGAATTCGCGACAAGGCAGATTTGATCTCCTCGGGAGAAAGAGTTTGTTCTTGCTGCAAGATATATGCAAGTTCCTCGTATGTGTTGATGTTCGGTATCGGGATGTCTGAATTAAACGAGGTGAACACATCTAACTGTTTAAGGATTGATCGTTCTGTACTTGTTGCGAGGACTAGCAGACGGCGGCCCTTAGGAGGCTGCTTCCTCAGGAGAACCATCACTGCCTGAAGGACTGAGTTGCTGAATCGTGGTCCAATAGGGACCCAGTCGATTATTCGCTCAATGTTGTCTATGACCACAACGCTCGTTGGACTCTTATAAGCGTCCATGAACACCTTGTTCATGTGCTGAACCTTGGACATTTCACTGTAGCCTACCATATCTTCGGGGCTAATAAGCTTGACGAAGGGGAACCCTGAGTCAATTGCAATCTTTGCTGCCAAGGCAGTCTTTCCACTGCCTGGAGGGCCGTGCAAGAGCACCGAGAAGAGGGAAGTTGTCGAATCAGGATCACGGACTTGTTTGACGAAGAGTTCACCTTCCTGCAATATCTCTCCCACCGCTCGAGAGTAGTGGTGAATACCGCCATGGATACATGTCTCAAGTTCTTCCTCAGAAACACCAAAGGCGGGTTTTACTTCGTCTAGTGCGTTGTGAAAATCGACACGGTTAACCTTCATGTTGACAATATCATCACTGATACCAGCCATTGTCCCGACTTTAACATGGCGGTTGAAAGCGAACGACGACGCCGATTTCACCAAACCACTGATCTCGGCACCGGAAAAGTTCTTGGTAAGCGCTGCAAGCTCCTTGATATCAACGTCTTTGTCCATTACATCGTTGTCTCGCATTTTCTGGGTATGGATCTTCAAGATCTGTGCTCTGCCGTGTTCGTCGGGTAGAGAGATTTCCATATGGACCTCCAATCGACCGGGACGCAGCAAGGCATCGTCAATCATGTCCATTCGATTCGTCATACCTATCAAAAGAATGTTGTTTAGCTGGTCAACACCATCTAGCTTTGAGAGAAGCTGGTTGACCACGCTGTCGCCAACACCTGTCCCGCCACCAGCGCCACTGCCCCTCTGTTTACAGACAGCATCCAACTCGTCAAAGATGATGATGTGTAAACCGCTCTCATCCCCCTTTTCTCTGTATTCTTTCTCTGCATCGGCAAAGAGTTTTCTGATATTTTCTTCAGATTGACCGACGAACTTGTTCAGCACTTCGGGTCCATTGATAACCTTCGGCTCCCTAGCGTTCAACATTTTTCCAATTTGTCTCGCGATCAATGTTTTACCTGTTCCAGGCGGTCCGTAAAGCAAAATACCTTTAACATGCTGAATTCCAAGCTTCTCGACAAGGCCCGGTGGGAAAATACGGGATGCAAACGCTCTTCGGAAGATAGTACTAAACTCCGCATCCAAACCACCGATGCCCATATTCTCAAATTTGAAGTCAGGTTGAATGATCGAATTGGCTGCTGGTCTTCGATTGGATGCCTTTACATTGATACCAGTTTTTGCGTCTTTGAAAAAGTTGATCAATGTATAGCCAGTGAGAATACCCCTGGATCGAGGATCAGAGGAAGTTGGCGCAGAAGAGGATGTCTTTTCTGCGGTCAGATCCCCCAGTTGGACTGTCTTCACTGTTAGTAACAGAGGAATGCTCTTATCATCCATAAGAATTTTCTGGCCAGGCGCTAGAATTTGGTCCTCAAAGTTCTAATTTATCATGTTAGTACCGAGTACATCTTTGGAGTTGAATTATAGGGTCCCAAGCTAACCTTAATAAACGTCTGAGCGAGCTGGTCTTGATCGTATGGTACTTCTGTTCTTTTCTTTCCGGCGAAGCTGACCTCGATATCCAACGATCCGAGGTAGGCCTGACTTCCTTGGCTAAATACATCATATGTTTGTACCTGGACCATATCGGTCAAAGCAATCTGCGCCCACGTCCTTTGCGGGTCAGACATGCTGATATGTCCCTGCGGGAAGCCCTCCAAGGGCCGAGCGGAGAATACATATAGTCCGTTAACAAGAATCAGGACATCGCCGCCGTCACGGGGGCGGGGGATATCGCGGGGAGAAACTGCAACACTAGAATGGAGAAACAAATCTTAGATATGATCTCTTTTCACCAATGGCTAGATAAGGTGCAAACTTACAGATTCCCATATGTATATGAATTATCAGGGCTTTTGGCAGGACTCAGAGACCAGGTCTGTCCCTCGCCACCTCTACCTCCGCCTTGTCTGGGGGGCATTGGTCGTTCGGCCGGTCGACCCATTGGGGAACCCCCATGGCTGCTACTGTTCCCGTTATTTTCATCAGTCATAACGGTATCACAGTCATGTAGGAGGGGTAGAGATGGAGAATCGTACCCTCCGCCCGCTGCACCCATTCGAGGGTCTTGTCCATAGCCGTCATCATAGCCGCCTCGTTGCTGTGGAGGAGCTCGGGGAGGACGAGAACCATCACCACGAGCTGGGCTGCCCGACCCAAAGGGAGTAGGGACGGACGGATAGTTGTTACGATTGAACATAGTGTCTGCTATTTACTGATAATGTCTCGTGGACATGCGGTCAACTGTTTGGCGGGGTTCCAGCTCTGTTTATCAGACCGGTGGCCAGTCTAAGAGTGAACAGGCCGTGATAAAAATGGATTCAGTGTAATGAGCACCTAGGTTCCAGCCTAGAAGTCGTCCTTTATATGGTTGAAACAGTGTGAAAGGTGTTAGGATCTCTGGCTTTCTCCAGGCAGCTTCAATATGGGGTTGAGATGTGCTTAGTCATCGGAGCTGTCGGTGTCGTCACTGCTTCGTGTCTTGCGCAACGGTCGAAAAATATCAAGTTTACGGCGAAAGGAAGAAGAAACTGGAATTATGCCGTTGTACGTATGACACTATGCATGTTCTGACACTTAAGATCCATACTAATAGACTTTCTTAGGCATTTACTAGGGAAGAAGTCATGGAACGTCTACAACAAGGACAATATCGCTAAGGTTCGGCAGGATGAAGCTCGAGCAAGAGTGGAAGAAGAGGAAAAGGAGCGACAAAAGCAAGAAGACGATGCCGAGAGGAGGATAGATATATTACGTGGGAGGCAGCCGTTGCCTTCGCCGTTAGTAGCAGAGGAAAAGGAACAGCATGCTCACCCTCACGAGAAGTCGCATGGCGATACCAGACACCGGAAGAGAAGAAGGCTTGCAGGAGAAAATGATACAGATCGCGATATCCGATTTGCAAAGGAGGACGCCCAGCAGACAAACCAGCGCACTCAGACAGATATAGTGCGCCGGCCTGCCAACGATGCTCCCATCGTTGATAAGTCGGGCCACATCAGCCTATTTCCTGAGAAGAAATCGTCCAATAGACAACGGTCAGACAAAAACCCTGAAGCAGAAGCGGAATCAGCACGGAAAACTCGCGAATTCGAAGACCAATATACCATGCGTTTCTCTAACGCGGCAGGAAATAAACAACAACTAACTTCGGCGCCATGGTATTCTTCTTCGATGACAGAAATAGCTGCCCAAGGAATGGGGATGCCGACCAAAAATGTCTGGGGTAACGAAGACCCAAGGAGACAAGAGAGGGAGAAAATGAGGCTCAGCACAAATGACCCGCTTGCTGCGATGAAGAAGGGTGTAAAACAGTTACGGGATGTTGAGAAAGAGAGGACGAAATGGGCGGAGGAGAAGGAGAGGGAGTTACGGGCTTTAAAGAAAGAAGAGAAAGAGAGACGACGAAGGCGAAGGCGGAGGAGGAGTAGGGGCTCGGATGAGAGCCTTGATGGGTTTAGACTGGATGCCGAACCTGAGAAGGAGGAGAGGAAACGGCATAGGCGTCATTCTCGGGATCGAGAAAGGGGAAGGGAAAGATCAAAGCGTGACGAGGAACGTCGAAAGCATGGATCGACGAGACACTGTGATAGACATGAGCCTGAGAAGGAGTCTGTTGCTTGGAGCCAGGCTCCAGGGAAACGATACAGTGCACAGTTTGCAGGTGCTTAAGATGGTTTATTCATGTTTTTTTTATACCCAATTGATACCCAAGACGCCCAATATTTTATTCCGGTCGTCTATCTATAATAGAACAGCAACGCTTTTATCGTCCAATAAACAGCCCAGCAACTAAAAGGATATCTGCTTTAATTCCGCCTACGCCAAAGACCATTTTTGGCTCCCAGCCTTTCCATCCGCGTTCCATCCAATGGTAATATCCAATAATCGAGACGTCTCATCCTTCTTCTGATACTCGATTGATCCGTTAACAACCTGTCCCTTCGTCATTGCGGCGGTGGGGTTTTCCTTCTGGTCGATCAAAAATAGACCCTGCTGCCAATGCGTCTCTTTCCCGCCGGGACCGGTCGTGAAAGCCACGATATCTCGTTTCTTCATTAACTCCGGCAGCGCCTCTTCGGGGGTAAGTTTGCTATCCGCTGATGGCATAAAGATGATATCGAACCATACGGCCCAACCGTCCAGCGAGTCGATGTCGCGGGAGAGTGTGACGGAGAATTCCTTCGTGAATACGAGCTCCTTGGCCGTTATTGTGTGCAATGGCATGTAGAAAAACAGTTCTGACTCTGCGGCCATGATGGAAGAATTGAGGGAGCGGACAATAGCCTCATCGTGCACGCCTTCGAGCATGCTGGTCATGTTGAAGCCATAGATCGATTTCCAGAAAGTGATGTGTTCTTGTACTATGTCTGAGGATGCAACAGGGGCGATGCGTATGGTTGCGTGGGATGGAACCATGAGACCGCCCGGCACGAGGTAACGGTCGCGGGCCCAGAGGACAGAGTCGAACATGGCTTCGAAGAGGAGGCAGTAGCCCATCCATTCAGAGACGATGATGTCAACCTGCTTCACGGGGAGGATGACTTCTTCGATTTTTCCACGCAGACATCTGGTATCTTGTTAGCAATTGGTCAAAATAAGTATGTGAAAGGGTTCCATACGTGATGACTCCATCGAATCCATTCTCATATACTATCTCTCGCGCCTTGCCAATGATATCTGAATTATCTACCGCAATGACCTGCTTTGCGCCGGCTTTGGCGCAGAACATGGATAATATACCCGTTCCACAACCGACGTCCAGAACAACTTTGTCCTTGAACAGGTGTTTGTTGTCATAGATGAAATCACGGTATGCGTCTGTTCGAATAGAGTCTTTGATCATTGACTCGTGGATTGCTGTTACCGTTAGCCCCAGTCACGACGATACTATCAGAAAAAGGGGATTGGTAGGGGATTGGTACCGTTGTAAGAATAAGAAGTGAAATAACCCTTCTCTGCCTCCTCGAACCGTCGTGAACTCGAAGCATCCTTCTCTTTCTTACCACTTTCACCTTCATCGTCTATGGACTGGTTCAACGCCTTTTGTACCATCTGCTTATACTCTGCAAACTCGCCGCGGAGGTTATTGAGCTCGTTCTCCAGATCCTTTATCCGGGCTGGATCAGTTGCCTTCTCGAGCTTGTCTGTAACTTCAAGTCGCTCTCCGGCTGCCGAATCTGCAATGTCATCTAAACTATACAGCAGCGCATCATCCTCCAGGACGGGTTTTAGGTACTTCTCGTCCTCGAATGCGGCGGCGCTCGAGACGTCGGGCTTCGTGTTGCCATTCTTCACCTCTGAACGAATATAGTTGACCAGCTTGATAGTCCCGAGGAAGTCGAGCTCTGTAAATAATTAGCATCTATATCATTATGGCAGTGAGTATAAATTCTATACACACCCAACTTCCGCTGCACGCGAACAAGGTCGAAATCGAACTTCTCTCTGCACTCGTCCAGCATCGAGCGGACATCTGGATAGATCTTGTCCGTAAACAGGCCTACTATAGGCTCGCTCTCTTCCTCAGGCTCTACGTCCTCCCATCCATCGTCGCGTGTGACATCGAGGGGCTCTTCGGGCATCGAGTCGTCGCTGTCGCTATCCCGGTCGTTATGCGGAATTGGGGGACTCATAGTGAAATTAATCCCGATATCTGGCCACAGGATCACTATGTAAATACTCCGTAGATGCCAGGGGGTAGATATACTGATATTCAAGCTTTGGTGGGTGTAATTTTTTAATCGAGATAAAAGCGATTTTCTGTAACTCCAAGTGGTGGGGCAAAAGCATCATCGACAACTCCTAAAACACTCGAGCTACCTAGTAGTTACGTCCTCTGCAACATCCGCCAGCAGCTCTTGTTTGATGCGAGCGGAGAACTGGATATACAATGATGATATGAGTTAATGTTCTGAGCTACATTCCCTATCCCTGACCAGTAGCTGTTAGGCATATCGTTTGTTATTGTTGTTATTGTTGTTGTCGATCCCTGGCTGTCGATGAGCTGAACCACATCCTACATGAGTATCTCTGCAGCGAAAGAGAAGGAGAAGACCCGGCCTATCTTTATCTGTGATGGCGTTTCTATTTAACCGGAGCAGACAGCGGCAGCCTGCAGAGGTTGCAAGGACGACCAAGGACCTGCTGGTCAAGCTGTGGGATGTCCCTGGAGATGCAAAGGTAGGTCAATGTTAACAACTCCAGGAGACTATTCAGGATACTGATAATACTCTAGGTAGAAGAAGACCTGGCCAAGCAGCTAGGCTATATGAAGCTCATTGTACAGGGGACGCAAGGTTGGCTGTTCCCGCTCACCACCTTAACACCATCATTATAGCTAACAGGTGAACAGAAGTCGATACACTGCCAGACCAGGTGCAACAACTTGTGCATGCAGCACTGCAAGAAGATCTCCTCTATGAACTCGCGCGATCCATCCCAATCCTCCCCTTTGAAGCCCGCAAGGACACCCAGACTATCTTCTCACACATCCTCCGCTTCAGACCAAATGCATCAACCACCACAGGCGCAACTATACCCAATGCCAACGCCAGCACTGGTGCAGGCGCTATATCGTCCACATCCGGCGACCCGCCGGTCATCTCGTACATCGTACATAAACGGCCTGAAGTGCTGACCCGGCTATGTCGCGGCTACGAGAACAACAAGAGCGCGATGCCCTGCGGATCGATCCTACGCGAGGCGCTCAAGTACGAGGTCGTGGCTGGCATTATCCTGTACGACGAGTCCGGAGAAGGAGAGAGGGCGATACGACTTAATGAGATACAGCCTGGCGAGAAGCAGAGCGGCGAGGGATTGTTTTGGAGTTTTCTGGGCTGGATTAATCAGGGTAGCTTCGAGGTTAGCGCAGATGCGTTTACGACATTTAGAGTGAGTACATCTGGCCATCTACATATCTATCAGGGTTGGACAGCGCTAATGAACGGTTGACAGGATATATTGACACGCCACAAGGCACTGGTGGCCGGGTACCTGAGCGCGAACTTCGACCTGTTCTTCAGCCGGTACAACAACATCCTGGTGCTGTCTGACTCGTACGTGACGAAGAGGCAGAGCATCAAGCTGCTGGGCGAACTGCTGCTGGACCGCGCCAACTACAACGTCATGACGGCATACGTGGACAGCGGCGACCACCTCAAGCTATGCATGAACCTGCTTCGAGACGACCGCAAGATGGTGCAGTACGAAGGCTTCCACATCTTCAAGGTATGTCTATAGATGAGTGTCTATCAAACGCCGTCAACTAATAAGTACAGGTTTTCGTCGCGAACCCGAACAAGAGCGTGGCCGTGCAGCGGATCCTAATCAACAACCGGGACCGGCTGCTGAAGTTCCTGCCCAAGTTCCTGGAGGACCGGACGGACGACGACCAGTTTACGGACGAGAAGAGCTTCCTGGTGCGGCAGATCGAGAATCTCCCGAGCCAGGCGCAGTGATGAGACCATTCTTGCTGGAGTTTGGAGACACCTGGATGTTTACTATGGATATAGAGTCCGCTTCCCTAATACCATTATATCGTACATGCATATCTCTATGCTCTCTCTTAGCTCGTCTCCACTGAAACCGGTGGCGAGGCGGAGTATAAAACCCGATGTTAGCCGAGAAGACGAACAACATCATAAAGAAGAAAAGAAAGCAACATACAGAGGAGAGCAAAGAGGATAGAAGGATAGAAGAAGGGAGTCCTGTATATAAGGGCAGGTAAAGAGACATCCCTATCCGGAAGTCAGGGCAAGGGCAAGGGCAAGGGCAAGGGCAAGGGCTCGGCGTTTTCCCTGCTTACCTAAGCTCTTTTTCGGGCCGACGAGCTTTTCTGTCGCAGGGCGCGGGCTTTCCTTATGCGGGGCAAGGGCAAGGGCCGGGCGAGGGGCAGCATCCCTGCGCGGGTATTTATATAGAGATCTATCTCGATCTCGCTCTTCTCTCATACATGCTACAGCCCACCCATTCAGCCACCAGCAACCCCAGAACAACAGCAACAAGAAGACACCGATATACGATGACATCCACGGTCCCCGTTGGCGAATACATCTTCCGCCGTCTGCACCAGCTCGGCATCCGCAATATTGTCGGCGTTCCTGGCGACTTTAACCTCAACCTCCTCGACCATGTCTACAGCATCCCTGACCTGCGCTGGGTAGGCACCTGCAACGAGCTCAACGCCGCCTATGCTGCTGACGGATACGCCCGCGCCCGCTCCCTGCCCGGTGTCGTCGTTACCACGTATGGGGTTGGCGAGCTCAGCGCCCTCAACGGCATAGTTGGCGCATACAGTGAATATGTGCCTGTCATCCATATCGTGGGCAACACCTCCCGGGACATGCAGCGCAACCACACACGCATCCACCATACCCTCTGGATGGACCAGTGGGACCACCGAACGTATCAGAAGATGGTCGAGCCCGTTGCCGCCGCCACGGCGTTTTTGGACGACGAGAGCAAGGTTGCTGCCGAGGTGGACAGGGTGATTGAGACAGCTGTCAAGAGGAGGTTGCCGGTTTACCTGTTCGTGCCCCTTGATATACAGGATAGCCCGATCGATGCTACGCCGTTGCAGAAACCATTGGACCTGGCCGTGCGGAACGAGGGTAGGGAGGCAGAGGAGGATGAGGTTGTTGAGGAGGTGGTCAAGTTGATGGGCCAGGCAAAGGATCCCGGCGTGTTGGTCGATATGTTGATGTCCAGACATGACCTGTATAAGCAGACAAGCGAGCTGGTCAAGCTCTTAGCTGCTCCGGTAAGAGTTATATATCCGCTTCCTCGGTGTAAATGTGTCCGTGCTAATTGGCCAAACAGTGGTATACTACCCCGTTGGGTAAATCGACTGTCAACGAGTCGGATCCTCACTATGCCGGCCTCTACTGCGGCATAACCTCTAGTAACCCTGCCCTGAAGGCTCAGATCGAGTCTCACGACGCCGTCCTCCATCTTGGCCCGTTCAACGTCAGTGGTAACACAGGAGGTTTCAGCACAGAATTGCCGGCCAATAAGCTCATCGAGCTTCACCCGGCATACTGCTCCGTGGGAAGAAAAGTGTGGAAGGGCCTTGACTTTAGACCTGTTATCGAGAAGCTGCTTGTCAGACTGGCCAAACAGCCTATTCAGCGAACAGTCGATGTTGCCAAGATCCTTCCCAAAACCTCAGAGCAGCCATCTGATGACAACTGTACCGACCCCCTAGACCACGCCCGCTTCTGGGACCGTCTCTCTAAATTCCTGCGTCCCAACGACTTCGTCATCGCCGAAGTGGGCACCTCCCAATTCGGTTCTCAGGGCCTCACCCTCCCCGACAACACCCCTTACTTCTCCCAACTCTACTACAGCTGCATCGGCTTCTCCGTCCCCGCCACGCTGGGCGTCCTCCTCGCCCGCCGCGAAACCGCCATCCCAGGCCGTGTCGTCCTCCTCGTCGGTGACGGAAGTCTACACATGACCGTCCAGGAGATCGGCACCATGGTCCGCGAGGGCTTCAAACCCATTATCATCGTAGTCAACAACAAGGGCTACACCATCGAACGTCTCATCCACGGGCCCGAACAACAGTACAATGACATCTCCGAGATGTGGGACTACCAGAAGATGCTCGGCTTTTTCGGCGCCAAGGATAGCCGAAGCTACAGTGCGCGCACTTACAAGGAGCTGGGTGTCATCTTGAACGATGAGACCTTTCTCAAGGCGGACGTCATCCAGGTCGTCGAGATATTCTTCGATATCATGGACTCGCCGTGGAACCTGACCAGATTGCTCGAGCTAAAGGAGGAGCGGATAGCCCTGGCCAAGGCTGCGAAGGAGAAGGCGGCTCTAGCTGCTGCTGGGAATGCGACTGCTAATTAAAAAGCGTGAGGACAGCATGGGCGGTTGCTTCTTTCCTGTATACAACCATAGATATACACAGTAGTTTATACACGACGTTGTTATTTGTCTAGTTTACACTATTTGTCTTGTTTGCATGTTTGTCTAGTTTGCATGTTTATATGTTTGCCCTGTTTGTATGTTTGCATGTTTGAGTGTGACTAAGCATATTACTAATATACTAAAGCGGTTAGCGCAGGGATCGCATCCTGGTTTTCCCCTTTCTTGGCGTCTGCTTACCTCATCCTGCATGCTCCCCTGACCTCCCCAGGAAACAACAAACTATCGCATCCCCAACCCCATATCACGACTTTTGTCCCTCGATCTATCTGCCAGTCCCATCCTGCGCTGATGTGCATGCAGCACGCTGAAACGCCGGACGCCATGCTCTAACGCCAACAGCCCAACTGCGCCAGGCCCCAAACAGTTGTCGCTCCTTAACCTCCGTGCGGTTCCTGCTATCGAGTGCTACACGTTTCAGACTCGCTTAATTCACCATCGGTCCTACGCCCGCTTTGGGAATGCCGTCTATAGGGCCACATATACGTCGACGTCTACCTCTTCTGCTCGATACGACTACGCTTGATACTCGACGGCTGCTGCGGCCGTCGGTGCGAGAGCAGTAACATCTACACCCAGAGGACAAATATAATACCTGGGTGTATATAACACGTTTTAAGCAATGGCAACCACCGCGCCTGATGCAACGTTATCGGTGCCATTGTCATCCCCGTCATCGTCGATCAGTCAAAAGACTCCATCCTCGTACGAAGAATCCGTAAACTTCGAACCCTCGTCCTTTGTGGCGACCCTGGAGGACCCAAAACTCCGCGACACTCTAGAGGTCAAGCCTGAAACGATCCCGGAGCCCCTCAGCCGGCCGTCCTTTTCTGGCTCGTTCAGGAGCTTCAATGCCAACGCCCGCCCGTCGTCAGCTTGGTCGCGCATCACCTCTTCTGCCTTTTCATCCAGGGAACGTCGCGCGACTGTCTCCGCCGAGAAACGATCGCTAAGCCTTGCAAGAGGAAATCGTACAAACGGTGACGGTGAAATACCTAGCATTGTCGTGGACGAAGCTCCAAATAGACCCAGTTCAAGAAGATCTTTGTCAGAGAGGAAATGGAGCTCTGTACGCGGGACTAGAGGTGAGGTAGCGTTAGGAAACCGATCTGGCATCTCCAGCTCGAACATACCGCCTGTCCCGCCTATTCCACCGTTCCAAGGCATCACGATGGATATTCCTGGCTCGTCACTGGGGGATATCACGACCTCGACAATCGATGAGACCGACGTATGGAGTCCGTCAACGGCGGCCAACTCAAAGTTGCTCAGTGCGGACGGAGCCCATACAAATTCGCCAAGCAGGAAAGCGAGCTCGTCCACGATGCGAAATTTTAGCACTCGCCGTATTCGGTCAGCAAATTCGCTGAGGAGTGCGAGGACCGGAGCTGGGAGTGTGGTCCGTACTCTGTCCGTGGATGAGGAGATGCTGTCAAGAAAAGTGAGGTTGATGTATGAGAAGGGAGAGGATGTGGTTAGCGAGGCGGAATTGAACCAGGCGCTGGATGAGGATGAGAGTATGCTTATGGACCAAGAAGCAGAGGGGAGTGAAAGCACAGATAATGCAAACTCAACGGCCCCAGCAAGCGAGAGATCCGAAACCGGGTCCTCAGCGACAATCAGCCCGACCAGGAGGCGGAATACGGTGGCAAGAGAGAGCACTGAGCTTGCTGGCGGCGTGGAAGACTGGAACGATATAGAGAATGGTTACGTTGATAGGTACGGGTTTATCATCCCGCATCCTGAAGAAGGCGAACCAGATACAAACGGGCCCCAGCCGCTGCAGAGGGTCTCAACTAGCTTGATGCTTGCATCTGCCACACCTAGACGGAAAAGAACGACGGCCAAACGCCCACCATCAACCACTGGAGCGAGCATTCGTTCCTTTGCAGGCCGCTCCTCGTCGCAAAGGACGGCCGATCAGCCAATTCGTCCAACTTCCTCTCAGAGCTCGTACCAGCCTAACCTCTCCCGAACCACCAGCAGTCTACGCTATGCAGCTAATAAGCTCCCTCACAACCGCTCTCGCAAACTGCTAGACGAAGCAGGTGACATGTTAACCAGCCCCACGCAGAAGACCAACAGCTTCAGCTTCTCTGAAGACGATACGGCATATTCCAAAGCCATGAAGAAGAAAGAATGGGAACGTGAAGACAAATGGCGCAAGATGGCAAAACTCACCTCCAAGACCAAGGACGGATCAGGAATGACCTTCGAGTTTGATGTTTCTAGCACCAAGGTCATCGAACGTACCTGGAAAGGAATCCCAGACAGCTGGCGCGCAACGGCCTGGCACGCCTTTCTAGCAGCCAGTGCAAAGAAACGTCCCGATAGCCCCACGGAGGCAGAGCTCATTAAAAAGTTCAACGAATTGCAAATATACCCTTCCCCGGATGACGTGCAGATTGATATCGATGTACCTCGTACCATCAACAGCCACATCATGTTCAGGCGCCGGTATCGTGGAGGCCAACGGCTCCTCTTCCGTGTCCTACACGCCATGTCCCTCTATTTCCCGGAGACAGGATATGTCCAAGGTATGGCTGCGCTAGCTGCTACTTTGCTAGCTTATTACGATGAAGAGAATGCATTCGTCATGCTTGTCCGCCTCTGGCAGTTCAGAGGCCTTGATCGGCTCTATCGTGAGGGCTTTGCAGGTCTCATGGAGGCGCTAAATAGTTTCGAGAAGGATTGGCTGGGCAGTGGAGAGGTTGCGGAGAAGTTGGTGCGTTGAAGTCTATTACTATCGTTTGATCCTTCAATAGCCTCCCCTACTAACAAATTACTCTTTAGACCGAACTCGGAATTCCTCCAACCGCCTATGGAACACGCTGGTACCTGACGCTATTCAATTACTCAATCCCATTTGCCGCACAGCTTCGTGTGTGGGACGTATTCATGCTCCTAGGCGATTCCGGGGAATTTATCCATCCCTCAGAATCAGCCAATACCAACGGCAACGGGAACGCTAACGTTAACGGAAATGCCAACTGTAACAGCAACGGTCACACAAACGATGCCGTTTCTGGGCCCGCACATCCTGTGGCCAACCCGTTTGGTAAAAGCCTTGACATCCTGCATGCTACCTCTGCAGCCTTGATCGATGGGATGCGAGATATCATTCTCGAATCTGACTTTGAAAACGCAATGAAAGTTCTCACGAGCTGGGTGCCGATAAATGATATCGAGCTGTTCATGAGGGTTGCCAGGACAGAGTGGAAAGTTCATTGCCGGAAGAAGGGGCATTGATCTGGCACACCTATGGCCCAACTCGATGCAAAATAGAAGACGACGCGCCTACCAATAACGCTCTACCACCCAGCTTATCTCGCAACCGTTCCAATTTCGACACCACCAACTTCTGCTCATCTTTACTTTGTTTTAATAACAGTTGCATCCATTTACCACTCTATATATACTCGCCCAAATCACCCTCCTAGCAGGACACATGTCACTGCTATTCTTCTCTTCTTCTGACTAATGCACACTCATGCCCTTCCTAGGGAATATTATGTTGTCATGTCTTTCCTTCTTACCCCTTCTTCTTCCTCTATGGCCTGCCATTTACTCCGATGGATTTAATTTCCGCATAATTGACGCGGCTTTTCTATTTTCTTCTCTTTTTCGTTAATCTACTTATAGATATACCCAGATACCCTAACCATCTTAATGTATTTGAGTTTTTTTTTTTCACTTCAATTCTACTAATCCTTTTGTGTTGTCGTTTATCTATCTAACTACTTATTTCATGTTGTTTTAATCGTTTTATATAACAACCTTACGATTACACTTTCCTTCTGTATTTACCTTTATTTCATTCCTCTTTTCGGATCTGATAATGGATGATGAAAGGTGTCGACTCATGTCCTGATTTGGCCGTGATGGATAGTCCTTCGCTCTGAAAAGGTAGATGGGAGAAGAGAAATACAAGGAGGTAGGTAAATACCACAGTCGTTACTTCCTAGGAGCTTTGTTCTCTAGTATATTTATCGTAGAATACACCTCGTCCATTTCTCGGAAAGCTATAGCTAGCCCGCGGTAGTTTTAAATATTTAAGGTCGGTCGCCACTCTATAACCTAATCCGCACCACAACACAACACAACACAACATCGAATATACACACCTCCAATGCCCTCTGTCCACAATCAACATGATACCCTCGGTCAAAAGCCAAAGTCTGTTTTGAAAGTACTAGGACCCCAGGCTGCAAAGAAGGGTCGAGTTTATGCAATGTCAGCATATCAACATATCCGCACACCATGAAACAATTTAGTCACTGGGCATGCAAGTCATTGAGCAAGCTTGGTGGTAGCTTTATTTATATAAGTCAGAGTGTTAGAGCCACAGCAAACATTTATGGAAACACCAGAAAGCAATATGAAAGCTAACAAGCAAAATTGCTGTGATTGCTACTGGAAATTAGCATCAGCGCAAACAAAACTAAATCAAAGAAACAACACAAAGAAAACATGAACTCAACACTCAATGTTGAAGTTTTATCCCATTCACTGTTTTCATAGCTGCAGAGGCTCTGTATGCTATACAAACTAATCTTTGTGGTACATTTTTAGAACTCATGCATCCGGCATTGATGATAGAAAATGTTATACTCATTCACTCCCCTTCCTAGAGTGATAGTGGCCTACAGCTACATATCTTTTTGGCATCGCTTGTATAAACACCTCAAGCCCCAAGAAGATCATCCAGCCATTTTTACTCAAAGTTGACGGAAAATTGAGGCAGCATGGCCAGTATACCAGCTCCAGGGTTTATCTGTGCCAACTGGCACCCTCACCACACCGGCTGTAAGAAAGAAGGTGGATACACTTGCAAAAACTGCTTTCTTGTCATTGTAAGTTTATGACCCATGCTCCTTTTTACCTTTTTTTATTTGATTTTAGGGGGTTTATGGTTATACCTTGAGATATACAATAATCTAACTGCGTATATAGTACTGTAGCTCGACATGCTAGAAGCCCCACTGGCCTCGACACAAATCCGAATGTAGGTCACCATTGGGTAAAAGGACCTGGCAGCCCGCCTGGGTTTTAGAGAATCGAAAGCCTTCGTTTGTGGGAGCGGTGGAGCAGTTTGTGACAATAGGGGTGAATAAATATCTTTGGGGTAATGTCCCTGCCTTCGATGTCCTGCAACTCGGTTTAAATGAAGGTGTTGAATACGGAGAAGCTCAGAGTATCTTGCTTGCTGGTAAGTTCTAGATACAGAGGCCCCTACTGGAAGTCCTTAAGGGGCTCTGTTTTTTCATTACTTTTTTTAGGACAAGCTCAAGGGTTATAAAGTAAGGTTGATGAGAGAATCTCATTACCAATAAATTCCTGGGGACCCTTAACGGCTTTGTTAGGGCCCTCAGGGCACCCATGGGCCTAACGAAAGCTGACGAGATATACATCTTCCTATAGCTTTAGGAGACCTTCGAAATGTTATCAAGACGATCGCCTAACTTCCGCATGGCTATTGTTAACCACTCGAAGTAACAATAAACGACCGAGATCTTGACATAGTGGCCCGTAACGTGATCTTGCTTCTTAGGTATTTCCCTAATGACCGGGTAGGTTGACGATGCAGCCGACTGCATCATCCACCTCTGGTACTCAGCTCTTGTGCGCGAATCAGACATTGACCTTCTTCGCCATAAAATTCGGCCTCTCATCGAAGACGTCTGTCAAAAAGTCAAAGATAAGTCTCCTAAATGTGTACTAGGAAAGACATGGACATTTGGGCAGCACTCCCTTAGAGTTGTGCTTGAAAAGGCATCGTGGGACTGCCTTTTATCTTTTGTCGATGTGCTAGCTAGCTTAACGACTGCTCGGGCAAAAGAGATCCGCACATCTATCACTCTGGCTGAATCAAGAAAGATTATCGTGACCGACTCATTCTTTGCCAGTCTCCTTCACATCGGATCGCTTTCCATAAATTTTGGGAAGACGGTCCCCTCCTTCCATTTGGGTACCCGCGCAATGAATTCGAGTACAGAACCCGTGAGTTGATAAATATATACCAAAGTTACACGGTAACTAGTGCTAACGCAGAACAGGACATTCTTCCAGACCGCCGATATCTAGCCGATGAAGGACAATGCTGATGTCCATAGCGGTTGGTCTTCGCTGGAGGCTGTCAATACATCAAGCGGAGCAGCAAAGGCCGATATATACGGCAAGCTTTTCTTTCATATCCGCGGGATGCTTCAATCACCCCTTGGAAAACTCTCGACTTTGAGTGTATCCTTTAAACTCTTCCAGGTGGATGTCGGTATTCTTCCTGTCTATCTTGGGAAAAATGCTTTTAGTAGAATCGAGGTAAGAAATATCCAATGCCAACAGCAACTTCTATATTTTTCAACCCCTTGTGAAAGTGAATAGACAGGGAGTACTTGGTTGGCAATGCATCTCCAAATAAGGCACCACTAACACGAGATAGGTATCCAATATTTCGGACGCTGGTTGGCTGGGATTGCATCGCACACTGGGACTGATGCTACCATTTCTTCAAACCCCTCTCGAGAACCCACATGCAACTCTGATCACTCTCTTTATGAATGCTGTTGATATGGCCTTAACCGACGATGACAGGCTGCCTGCAACCTCCCCGGTCACAAAACGCCTGCTCAAATATCTTCCCTACACGGAAATGCCAACTTCCATGTATGATCCCCAGATTATCAAGACTACTATTGGCTGGGGTCTTGTAACAACCCTACGACGATATCTTTGATATGTAAGTGTATGATTAATGCAGATATGCACCTGGAGTAATCAGAGCTCCATGTTAACCCTGCGAGTAGGTATTCGAAAGCTGCCGGGTTCTATGAGACAGCTGATATATTGGGGGCGGCGATAAACGAGAAGCACACGATCATTGATAAGTGGCCCTACCGATTGAAGCTCCGTCCCGGCCAGCCAGGAGCACAAGAGGAGTTTGGCCGGTGTTTGGGAGGGGCGACGTCTGGAAAGGAGCGCTATGGAGAGTGGAAGAGAACTCGTTAGGGGGTACTCCGTATGATTGGAAGATGGCCAACTTGTGACAAGTCATATATCTGACCTCAGGACGCACATACGGAGTAAAGGCTCGAAAGATGTTGGAATACCTTCTTGTACGGAGTATACGGCTTCTTATAGAATGTGGTTCCAACTGGTTAAGCATTTTTCGCCCGTGGTTGACTTTCGGACGGGCGCCTTGCTCCACCGACACGGGCTGTCCGTGGAGTGGCAACCTTAGGCCCCTGCATGCAGCCTCCTCCTTTTCTTTTTCTTGACATAACTATGAACGCTGACCACTTCTACTTACCAGATGCTGCACGGGGACACGGGAACGTCGAGTTCGAAAATGGATAGGGGGTTTAAAGACAAGTCGACATGCTTCGTTCTATACCCTCTTGTCTCACGGCTGCAAATGATCCTAGCGGCTTGAAGGATTTGGTCGTGGATGACGATCTGTTTATTCCTTGTGGAGATAGTTTCCGGCAATTACGAAGAGGGTGCGGCCTGATACCTCCTTCAGTGCATGGGTTTGGGGCGGCGCTGGACGGGAGAGGTCGACATATACCCTCTTCCTTCGCCGCCCCCGTCCGCGGCCTTGCTCTCACCACTACTCAGTATTGCTGTCCACCTCACGGCTCCCAACATGCTAACCAGGAGTCTTTTATATCTGGTCTTGTCTGCGTCTCTTTGCGCAGGACGGGATTGCTTCTATCCTGACGGGTCCGCTGCTCGAGGCTATTCTCCATGTTTCTCAGGCCCTCGTGATACTCATTGCTGTGCGGATTCTGCCATCTGCTTGACCAATGGCTATTGTCTGGAATCAACCCAGCCATATAGTCTTGGACGTGCAGCCTGCACCGATAAGGACTGGGACACATCGTCCGGGTGCCCTGATCCATGTTCAGAAAGTACGCCTCCCTGTCATATCACCATTTGTTGTCCAAAGAATGACCAAGTCTAACATGCTCAATAGTACCTGGCAGAAAGGGAGAAGGATGCACAGTCGTCCTCTATAGCTTCCTCAATAACAAATCGCTGTACTGCGCAAACTCGATCGTCGCCAATTCATCAAACAGCATAGGCTGCGCCGAGGATACAAAACCATTCACCATCAACAGTGGTGATGTTATCACCAACAGAGCCCTTCTCGCGAAAGCCGATTGCTCCGTACCTACGCTCAACCAGACAGCAGCGAACAGTGGCATGCCCTCCTCCACTGCCACCCCTACCAGCAGTCCTGACAAGGATAACAGTGACCCCAAGACTATCGCCGTCGGCGTTGGTGTTGGCATCCCTCTTGGGATCTTAGCCGTATTCGCCTTCGGATGGGCCCTCTACGAGCGGAAGCAGCGATATCTCCTCATAAACTCCCATTCATCGCAAATGATGGAGCCACAGCCATACACCATGGAGCCGAAGCCTGTACATATTAGCCCAGTTCCCCAGGAATTGGGAGACGAGAACCGCTAAATATACACTGGAATGTGGGAAGGGAAAATGGGCACGGCTATCTTGATTGTAAGATTTCGGGAAATCTACTGGTATCAAGGGTTGGAGGGGGTATTTCCTTTTCTATTCTTCTCTGTTCTATATAAACCACCCACTGAACCGCGACCTTTGCGATACCCAATGAATTGTACAAAAAACATGTTGTCCGGTGGCGGTATAACATGAATTAATATCGATATAAAATACCTATATCACTTTATCTCTACAGCTTTTCTAACAACGTCTAGCTTCTTCATATTATCTTACACAGGTCTCAGTAACTTAGCACGGAATATCTATTTATGCCGAGTACAGTTTACGCCACCGAAATGAGCTGCAGATGGAGCACGAAATTTGTCAGGCAATCCAGCATTGCTTTTACTCTCGCAGAACTGCTTTACCAGGTTTACCTCTACAATAAAACCTTGAGCGAGAACCCCAGAACACAGCTGTCAACGAGATAGCCGTGAGGATGCTAGCCAGTCGCCAGCGGCATCCGAGAAGGATAACGAGGATGCTACATACCCAAGGAGCCATTCATCCAAGTTCATATTCGCCTTAATGCTAGGTTAGATGAATATAGCCGAACTTCTGACAACTTACTCTCAAATCTCATGGCTCGAAATATCCTGACGGATGAAACATCCACTAAATTATCCAATCTGGACCCGCATGCTGCCCTGTCCATTTACAACTAGCACAATGCAGCGTAACAGCCGTCACCACGGATGTCGATTAACGACTCTCTTGCTCCGAGATCCTGGTCCTTAAGAGCAAACCGACTTAATGGAACGGTCTATTTACGCCTACTGGACCGATGCCAGTTCCTATGCAACCCCTGTTTCTATCAATAATTGATACCCCTGTTGATATTTGTCTAGGCAAACTAGTCTATAGCAGGGGGATAGATTAATATGTATACGCCCTATGCAGAGATTTCACTGTTTTCAGTTATGGTTATCACCGATGTTGTACCCCGTACTCGTCTGATATAGCTATATCTCAAAAAATATATAGAAGAAAAAACAAAACATCTGTCGCAGCTGGAGGAGGAACTATGCGAGTTCTCAACATCCCCCTCTCGGCCTATATCTCTGCGTTCTCCCCTCGATACACATGCCGCTATATTCTCGCCTCCTTCCTCCTGTGCTACCTCCTCCTCATCCAGTACGGTCGAACTCATAACTATCGCGACCCAACTTCCGTCTTTTTTGATGCCAACAAGGGGTATGAACCGATATACTCTAGGTTTAGAACTTCCGAAGCCACCAACTTTATCCGGTACATCGACGCGACGGCCAGCCCTCGAAACGGTACTACCTCACCAGGGGATAGCAGCGCAAGTCTCTGTGTCGGGATTGCCTCCGTTGCTCGGAAAGATGTGAGCTATATTGAAGCGACGGTTGGGTCCTTACTCATGGGCCTCAGCCAGCGGGAACGTGAGGATATCTACTTGATCTTATTCATACCTCACGTAGATCCAACGATACACCCGTCCTTCGCAAGTAATTGGACATCGGCCATGGTCGATAGAGTCTTGCTCTATGATGTTGATGAGGAGAAACTCAGCCATCTTAGAGAACTGGAAGGAGAAGGCGGATTGTTCAGGGAGAAAGGTTTGTACGATTATGTTTACTTGCTGAAAGCTTGCCAGGCCGTGGGAACACCGCATATTGTGATGGTGGAAGATGACGTTCTTGCAATGGATGGCTGGTACCATCGTACAAAGCAGGCTTTGGCAGATGCAGAACGACAGACTGCTCAACTGGGTGCTTCAAAGTGTTAGTATTGATCCCCTCGTGTTTGACTACTTATACTAAATATCTGATACCTCGAGAGCAGATCTATACCTTCGATTATTCTACACTCAGGGCCTTCTGGGATGGAATAACGAAGAATGGTTCACTTACCTCACTGGCTCTATCATCTTTATCGTATCCCTTTGGGCTGTACTCGTTGCTACTCGGTGGTGCATCCCTCGTTCTGGCCGTCTGCTCTCAAATGAGGTTCTCGCACTTGTTTGCCTTGTCTGCGGACCTCTCTGCATAATACTATTTTTCGCCTCAGGCCGCTTGTCGGTATTGCCGACTCGAGCGGGAGTTCATCAAATGCCACGCTTTGGATGTTGCTCCCAAGCTCTTGCGTTTCCACGCAACCGCGTCGCGGATATCGTATCATGGTACGAATCAAAGAAAGTTGGATTTGCAGACTCGCTGTTGGAGGAATATGCCAATGCCAATGACGAGGTTAGATGGGCTTTGACCCCGAGTGTATTTCAGCATGTTGGCTTGAAAAGCTCGAAACGAAATGGCCCTGCTGATGACGATGCCGCGAAAGTAATTTGGAACTCTGGGTTCGAATTGAACGACCCGATTGCACTGGAGCTTGAGCATGAAGCCGCTATCAAGCCTGTGAATACCATGTAAATTTAATAAACAGTGTAAACAGTCACTTAAAACCTACTAATAATTTGAAGCGTTAGACAGATTCTTTTGGTTTTGTTTTAGTTGAGCATATCTCAGCTAAAAATATATCTGGAGGGAGGCCCAGCTACCGTATATACGATTACTGATAGCATTTTTGATCCATTTGAGAGGAACAGTCGCCTCAAACATGATTTGTATAGTTATCTAAATGAGACTGTTCTGAAAATTCCGACAAGACGTTGATAAGTGTAATATCAAGGTTGTAAAACGTGAGCATTGAAGCAGTGCAGCCTGTCTATACGGTGCACCATTAGGGATTATAATTAGTACGCTAATGAAGGCCACTCCTAACTCCATGGAACTGAAGCTGTAACTGGAATTCCATCGTCTCAAAACGTACTTCGCCACTGAAATTACATCCTGCCTAAGGCTTGGGCATCACCGCATCGGGCATTGTTCTATTTGGATTTTGATGTCCGCACGCCACATGTGATATCATATCGTGGCGCCCTCAGCATTGGAAGCGGCGGAATAAAGTAAGAATCTCGCTTGTCTGTATGAATTGTATTTTATTTCATTGATCAGCATTCGTCAAATGGATGATGGATGCAAAGGGCCAAGGCGCCCATTTCCCTGGACAAGTAAATATACACACCTCCGCTGGGTATCAAGTTTGATTAAAGGAATGTAGAAGACAAAAGGGAGGCAACATTGGATGGTACATGAAGGGAATGTGAACTAAAGGATGCAAGGAAGTAAATAAGCCAGCATCGAGAAGATAAACCCACCCTGCCACTCTATAGGCCAAAAGAAGTAATGGCAATCAGAGAAAAATACTAAATAAATAAATAAATCAAATGGATTAAATCGAAACATTATAAAAGGGACATAAGCAGAACATTAAGAGTAAAAACAGATACAAGCGATCCAATATCAATCATTAGGTGCAATGGTTAATCAAACCCTCTCATTACGTAGAAAAGGACAGTAAATGGGATATGCAGAAGTAAAGTAAACGAAACACAGGCGCAAAGACACAAGCGTGGCTATTTTTTATAGAACAAAGACATGAAATAGTAGAAAGAAGGGCATGCAGAGCAAGAAGAGAACAAAACATAACGAAAAGGGCGAGGATGTCGAAGAGGGCAAGGCATTAGATTAGGTATTATACCAACCAGCCTAGGCAATTGGGATATAATCAATCAGTCAGTTAGTCATTAAGTAAGCCAGTTTCAGCATGGCCGGTCCTAATTGTTCAAGTGGTCACCATTGACAAGTGCGCCGCTGGTCTCGTTATTTGGTGTTATTGGGTTCGATGCGCTGTGGTAAGAGACAGTGCTATCCCCGCTGCTACCGGCGTTGGCGTTGACATGGGCGTTGGAACTGGTAGCGGTAGGAGTGCCTGATTCACGTACGCTTGCTGGATCTCTCTCCCTCTCCCTCTCTCTGGTGGTGTCTCGTGTATCGCGGGAAGAAGGCGAGACGTCGCGCGAGTGAGAATGAGAGCGACTAGTCGTCGGAGTCTGAATCGGATCAGATGGACGCACTAGGGAAGATACTTGCATCTGCATCTGGACCTGACCATGTCCCTGAGCCTGTCCATGGCTTCCTTGTGGTGGTTGTTTCGAGGTAGAGCTCGGATTGGCATGGGCGTTGCTATTATTTCTGGTATGAATCTTAAACGTATATTCCCCGGCTGAGCGGGCCTGGGCTGCGGAGCTGCTCTGCCTGCGTCTTTCCGTGCTGCCTCCAGAATGAGATCGATTGCGTGGGTTACGACCAGAAGTAGAATTTGGACTTTCCGTGGTGGCTACCTCTGACAATTGGGATGGAGGAGGTGGGACGGGAGCGTGTGAGGCCTGGGTTTTGCGCTTCTTGGGGGAGTGTTGGTATTCATTTCGTAGATGGTGAGTCTGGGAAGAGGCAGAGGCCGGGTGGCCGGAGTGAGGTGAGCTGTTGGGGCTTTTTCCAGCGGGAGTGCTTGGCTGTGACTGTGGTGGTACCCAGTGGTGGAATGAAATAGGAGAGGTCTGGGAGGGCGGTTGTGCCTGAGAAGGAGTTGCAGACTCGTGTTTGAGCTGCATGGAATGAGAAGAATGAGAGTGGGAATGGGAATGGGAATGGGAAGACTGCGTGTGGGCACTGATGGCAGCGGAAGAAGGAGCGGAGTTGTTCCTTTGAACGGGATGATGCATGTCAGAAGCAGTGGAGATACGGGGAAGTGATTCGGTGGTTATCTGGGGGTGATGAGACATGTTATTTGGTCCGTATATAGTGATTGGAGGGTGTGACGATTGCGGAGACGGTTGTTGCTGATGATTATGCTGTTGATGCTGCTGGTGCTGTTGATGTTGATGATGCTGATGCTGTTGATGCTGGTGCTGGTGCTGGTGCTGTTGATGCTGATGCTGCTGATGATGCTGCTGGGAAGATGGAATGGAGAGCCTGGGAGCGGGAGAAGGAGCAGCGTATGGATTGGGTGCTATCTCACGGTTCTCAGATGGTTCCATTGGACTCTGCTTCGAGCGTCCTGGGAGCTCTGGAAGCTGGCTGAGGGGATTGAGAGGCACCGGCTGAAAGGAAGGAGGCGGAGGCGGTCTGTACTGCTGAGTATACTGATGGTCATGCCGTTGCTGGCCCTGGTAGGCAATTGGATTCGCGTTTGGAGACGGACTCATGTTACTCCCGCCCTGGGTCATCTGGAGGATATACTGCTGAGCCCACTGAGCCTGGGGCCCGGCCAACCCCACAAACACCAGGGGCACCATATGCGGCGGGACGTTGGAGTTGAGCGTCTCCTGCAGCATTCTGTGCTCGATCTTGCGCTGGTCGAGCTTAAGGGACTCCTGCCGGGTCCGCTCCTCCTCCTGCTTGCGCTTGTCCTCCTCCACCTTAGCCTGCAGCCATTGGCGCATTGCGTCGTCGTGGCCATCACGGCTGCCATGGTCACGACTGTCGCGGAGATGCTGATGCGAGTGCGTTGGCGGCGGCGGAAGGGGGATGCTGGTTCCGCCGGTGGAGTTTGAGCTGCTGGAGCTGTTGTGGGCGTTTGTGGACGTCATTTCGGTGACGGTCAGGCCCATCGCAACTGGTGGAGGCAGGTTCCGGAGCGAGTCCATCTGACAGCGAGCTGGCGTCGAGGTCAACGGCGACGGCGGTGGTGACGGCGACGGCGACGGATGGGGGTGTTTCTGGTATGCGTATGCCGGCGTCGTGCGCGTGCATTCGTCCAGAGCCAGGGCGCCGTTGCGGGAGGAAGCCTTGAGGGTGAGCAGCATGAGCTCGTCTCCTCTTCTTCTTATTCTCTTTCGTTTGTGTTGTGACTGTTGCTGTTGCTGTTGCTGTTGCTGTCTGTCTGTCTGTTGGCGGTGCAGGTAATTGCGTCGCCTTCAGCTTGAGCTGGATTATCCTGGGCGAGGAGAGGTTAAGAAGGCCATCGAGAGCCGCTGCGGAATGTGCTGGCTGGTGTAATTATAGCAGGAGGATGGAGGCAGACGGTGGAGGTTGCGCCGGGCAGAGAACCCTGGCCCATCGCAAGTCGCAGCGCATCCCAGGCCTTTTCTTCTTCATCCGCATCCACTTCCACCTTTTGCTCCAGCTCGTATGTTCGACGCAGGTTGGCCGTATTTGGAATACGCACCGGGGCGGCGGTACAGCACGGGGCAGCCCTGGGCACGACCCCATTGGTCCACGCGGCTCCACTTCCTCTTTCGGACAACTTAGACCTGACCACACCACACCCCCATCTACAACATGTCCATGTCCATAAACATAGGCCATAGTACATGCTCATTGCGCAGTATAGAGTGTGCATATAAATATAGTGTAGAATAGTGTAGGTAGCGTAGGTAGCGTAGGTAGAGTGTAGAGTAGGTAGATGGTCACCGAAGTTTCCCGATCGGGACAAGGCCTCGGGCTTTGGCATGGACCCACCTTTGTCCCAAAGCGGAAGGCGGACCGGGCCCATCTTGGCATCAGCCCTTTCCCCTTTCGGCCAAGGCAGGTACAGCCGAGGTTGCTCAGCCCTTCCCACTTGCCGCTTTGGGACGACTTTCCCTCCCACAGCCACGATCTCTTTCTATACATATACCACAGCGCACACAAAACGCACCACGAAACCGCAAAAACGCACATATAACAGCTCACAGGGCCAGGCAAGGCCGTCTAATTATAGCGAGTACAGCAGTACACGGCACATAGCACAGAGTAGGCTAAAGGGTGCACAGAAGCAGATGCAGGTACTCTCTCTTCTGCATCGAACTCTGCTGCATCGCGCCGTTGGCCTTCCTGGGGCCAAAGGACCCTGATCTCCCGATCTCCCAGCGGGCGCCTATATTTAGAAGCTGACTCAGCCTCTCGTCCCCCTTTGGGCCTCTTCCTCCCTCACACTCTATCTCGACTCCCACCCACAGTCACTAACATACGGAATATACAGCATGCATTTACTATATGCACACGGCGTACGGCACCAGCCCGTATCGACTGTGCCGGTCTTTCATTACCGCCAGCAGCAAGATAGGTCGAACAGGATGGATGCGACTGAGGGGCCGGGGGGCCGTTCGGGGAGTAATTCTTATTCGGAACGAGTCAGCTATAGACAACGGTTTGGTCGTGTATGATTAGCGTCGACATATACGAAGAGGCCTGGAAAGGGACAGCAGAGACAATGGATGGCCTATCGATAACCGCCGAGGTATGTGATGTGATGAGACAAGGTTGGGCCCCCTCATCGACTTCGCCCGCAGCCATTCGGCCAACCACTACGCGAGACATGGACGAGAAGGGGGGTTCTGTTCCCGCTTTCAGTCCATCAGACGGAGAATACAGTTCGGTTGGTTGGTCGGGGGCTCGCGAATGATTGGGGTTGGCCCATTGTTCAGCCCGACCAACCAACGGATTATATGTAAGGGCCGGCGCTTAACTCCATCACATACACACACAATCGGCAGAATACCACGATCGCCTCCTGCACGCTGCACGCTGAATAAGGCCTCAGGAGGGGCCGCTCGCACTCTAGAAGTTACATGCTAATCCTTCTACTTCTTTTCTCTTCTCTCGTCTCCGGCGCGCAGCGGTGTCCACAATACACAGACCCAGATGTGGCCTCCCCCCTCTCCCCTCACCCCCAGATTGCCATTTAGACCACCAGAAGAGCACCAGGTACCCAATCATTGATGTTACTTCCCCAGACTTAGAGACTATTTAGCCAGGGATCAGCCAGAAAGCTCCGCAGTACTCTTGTCTGGACCCCAGCATACAAATCATCTTAGTTCTCGCCATTGAGGCGCACCTCTGCAGCTTACAGCAAGTACAGGTACGATCACCTCGCCTCTCGACCGGCCAATTTGCAACACCATCGCCATCAGCTGCAACCTCATCGATACCGGTTAAGTCCGTATGTGTACTACCGACTTATCCCAACATGCACCTGCATGACTGCTTCCATGAAGGAAGGCAAGTGATACATTCCCCAAGAGCCATTTCCACTAGAAGCTGTTCGTCTCAACGGTTCTTGCCAAGTCCTTATCCGCAGCCCGCAAATTACAAGTTCCTCTGCATATAATGTCCATTGCTACGGAAGGTCACGTTGGAACCAGTGCTCCCTTAGCCTGCCAGCAATATACCAACGTTCCATATATCAACCATGACACACCACCACCTCAGTGGCACGAAATAGACCAGGCTACGTCAGCCCACAGTGGCCACTGCCTAAGTCCGAGAGGCGTAGACGCCCAAACCGCAATACTTATTGATGATACAGCCATAGCTCATGTCTGTGCCTCCTGTGCCTTGGCTTGGTACAGCTTGCGCGTTCTCACCCCATTCACAGGAAGAGAGAATCATGCTTGCACCTGACTTGAATGTACTTCACTTGTATACCTAGTGCAAGATATTTGCATTGGAACAAGCTCGGCCAAGCCTGTGTGGCGTTCAATGCAGACTGGTATGTATATACAACCTGTATGCAAGGAGTCAGGAGTGATCAATAGCTGGCATAATTCGACAATCATTAAGTCTTCAGGGAACGGAAATGTAAGTAACGTGGCTTGGAAGTGCAGATGATACAACCGCGCCGACCACTTGGTACAGTCATCTTAATTTCATCTCCGGCGGTACGGAGACAATTATGCCCGGTATGACCCGACTCTATATCTGAGCTGTGCTTCATGATGTTGAGCTCCTAGTTTGGCTTAGGGCTATCTATGCACGCTTTCAGTACATCATAGAGACGTTTGCAGGCTCATCTCAGCGGCGTGGTAGTGGTATATTTACTCTCTTGCACATGTGAGGGGTGTATTACTGAATATTCAGGCGCTGCTCTTCTATCATATGAACAGTTTACCTGGTGGCGTGGTAGAATTGCAACCGAGTCTGCACGTGAATAGACATAGGAATCTCATGCCTTACTAAAAGAAAAAGTTGCCAGAATACGAGGTCATAGTTTTCACCCCCTGGTCAGGGAAAGAAAAGATACGTGATATCAAGATCTGATTCCGCGGATCATGGCCCCTCCGTCGTGCTTACTAATATCCGCTGCCGTCTACCCGCCGCCAAGCCTATTTTTCATTGGGTCTTGGCTGCGGGTAGGGAAGACTCTGTGCTTACTTAATCAACAACTACGTCATAATGCGTAAGCCAAGTATGACTAAGCACGAAAAATGCGGCTATCTCGATGTTTCTTGAGGCTTCAAGAGATGAATTAATCCATGCGCGACGGGCAGTGCGATGCAACATCAGAATTTTCCTGGATAGCTTCAACTCGAGGTAGACGGGTATAAGTATGACCTCGATTCTCGTTCGAAAAGCTCCATCATCATCAACAGCATCGTCAACAAGAACAATAACAATCACAAAGCATTCAGATCTATACCAATCAAATACCACCACAAACAAACAAGCACACTATATCAGTCTACCAACAAACAACTATCCATCAAGACAACTCAATCTTATCCACTCCATACATCTACTCCAACTTCAATAAAAAAGCATTCACAATGTCTGCCAACTTGACCGACTTCAGCCTCCACTACACCCCAATGCTCATTGATGCAAACGCTTCCTCTCGCCGCAACTCGAGGACCTTTGAGCGCCACTCTGCCTCCGCCTCTTCAACTCCCTCCTCGTCCCGCGCCTGTTCTCCTGCTCCAGCCTCCCGTCAGAGAATGGACAACAAGGCCGCTGAGAAGAAGTCGAGCACAGAGGCTCGTGCTTCCTTCTTCGCCAACCTCGGATGAACATTCAACTCGATTCATAAAATGTTTTAAAACCATTACCATTACTTAATTACCACCACGAGCTGATGCAGCAACGACACTCCTTACGACAACTATGGCTTTTTCAATATATGGGACGGTGATACGGCAGTATCTAATTTTTTTTTCTTGGCCTTTTATATATAGAACAATAGTCACTAATACTTAATACTTATTTGTATACTATTAATGTGCCTTTTATAATCAATTAACCTTATGGTTCATACAAGTGCTATCTAATCTTCCGTATTCAGTATAAATTTACTTGCAATATGGTTATGTGCAACTGGCTGCGTGCGATTAACACCCAAGGCAACAGGGAATATCTCAAGTGAGCAGAATTGATCATTTAATGATTACTATTCACAGGCCTGGGCAAATTTCCTTCAAGCGAGCAGGAAATGAGCCAAATATAGTGGTTGACAAGGATCGCTCGTAAGTCACTGCGAACTCAACCCGATGTAACCACAAGGCTGGTCGCGATGCTAACTTTCGAGCCACTCCTTATCGTCTAAATTATCGATTCTAGACTTGTTTATACTGCGGCGTGTATGTACGTGAGAAAATAATACATTTTGACCCAGCCCCCGGATGTATTGGACGACGTTCCAATGCATGACTTTGGTTGTATCCATGCAATCCCGAGTTCCATGTATGTATAGAAGCACAGAGCAGAGCCTCCCTCAGCCTGCAGGGCTAAAAATAGACCGATGCAACATCTCAGCCTGGGTGTATCTAAAGCAAGAAATAGAATGATAAGACCGGTCATATACTCTAGGCACCGGCAATATACAGAGTACAGAGTACAGGACAGTATATCCGAAAGGAGTCCGAAAAGAGTAGTGAAATGTAGAAGGTAGCGTCTCATATTTGTACTAGGAAACATAATCGTTTCACTACGGTCTATATAATACTGCCAGTTATTACTCGCGATCAAATTTGACGAGAAACTCCGTCGGCACGGTTGGTATATATTTTCGTTCACGCTCGCGGTTGACTCCACCGAACCCGGCCCCGTAACTTACCAGCATATCGGTGCTAGTGGGCAGTTGAAAAGGAAGTGTTAGAGATGGGTCGAGAAGAAGCGGGGCGTTCTTGGGGATAGTTATTTGTGGTGATGGGGGTGGCGCGGGCGAGGTAGCACCACCTGGGGAGGATGGAGGAGGCAGCACTCGTGGTGTTTTGGGGGTTTGTGGTTCCTCCGATGGTTTCGTTTCATCCTTTGCATGGTCGGTGAATGAACCTGTTGTACCGGGGGTTTGGGGCGGTTTCGAGTGCTGTCGATGCTGTTCTAGAATCTGCTGTAATTGCGATGGATCCTTTTGTACAGAGAGAAGGAGCTTCATGGCGTTCTTGGAAAGACCCTTCTCCCCGACTTCTGATCGGTAGAGCTTTACAGCATGGAGAAGCTGGTTCGGCGTAAGGCGTTGGAGTTGTTCTAGCGTCTCTACCAGAGCATCCATATCTTCGCCCAGCGACGAGAAGCATTGAAGCCACTGTAGCAGTTCAATGAGGGGCTGTAGGTGTCTACGGGCTGCCTCAACTGTGCTTTCACCAGTGCAAGTCGCGGAGCCATTTTCATAGTGTTCAGGTTGTCGGCTGTTCGTACGTGCCCAGTCCTCAAGGGCCGATACGTTCATTCGAATTTGCATCGCCTTGGTTCGAGCAAGGTATTGCTTCGTAGTCATAATTCTGTTGAAAAGCTCAGACCCAAGCCAGTAGAACAGCTGTGCTATTATTTGAGTCGTGATAATTGAGTGGACGTCGTATAGATCTAGCACAAACAGAGTCGACGATAGCAGAGATGTCACATTACGAGGAGCAATTTCGGCCCGTCTCTTGGGAGACGGTGGCCGGTACCGCTTCTCCATTGGCTCCGGCTTTACCTTCGACTTGGTTCTAAACAGCTTCCATTCGTTCTGGAACTGAACATCTTCAAACCCCGGGATAGTCTCGTGGTCGAGCATTGCTGTGTCCAGAATTTTATCTATGCGTCGCTCGGCGTCGCGGATGATTAGTATAAATATCTCATTGATCAGCTCTGCAAGATGAAGCTGGAATTCGACCGTTGCTTCGACCAACTCGGCGTCTTTCTTCAAGTAGTGTAATAATAAGGTAGCGTTCGATATCCAAAACGCCAAAATGGTCATGTCCCACTGGTGCTTTTCGACCACGCGGTTGATTCGATCTGTAGCGGAGTGAAGGAGCGTCTGTAGGAGGTCGGCGCTGGCGTGATAATGCGCGTAGCGTGCGCAAAGGAAGAGTAAATTTGCAGGGACAGGTTTCTGTGAAGGCGATCGTTGAGGGGTCATGTTCGTTATAACAATATCCAATATCCTTTCCAATTCATGTTCCTGAAACACAAACATTTGGTCGTTCAGGCATCGGTCCCAGGCAAATTCTGGCTGCTCCTCAAATTCATCAGGGGACTATTTTAACAATAATATTAGCATGTGTTCTTATCTTGTAGGAATATAAAAGCCGTACATCTTCATTCTTCTCGTCAAGACCCAAGCTCGACAGGTCAACTTCTAGATTTATCGCGCTCTCCTCCATCATCATCCTCCTCTTCATCTCGTTTTCTGCCATTTCTTCCTCGAAACGGCTATGGGAAAACCCGGAATCATAAAAGTCCTCTCCACCACCGGCAGATCCAACGTTATAGCCATTTTCATGGAGATACTTTGAAATATCAGTTCCAGGTTGTATAAAGTCAAACGCCGTCCCGCCAGAAGATGATCTGATATCGGGCGACGCGCCGTGGTCTAGCAGGTTCTTTGCAATGGTCTTATGTCGGTTCGTCATAGCCCACATTAAAGCACTCCATTGATTGCGATCTTGTTGGTCGACAAATGCGCCAGCGTCGAGCAGCGCCGATACAACCTCATGGTGGCCCTACATTGGTTAAAGGTTAGATCCCCGATTCACACAAGCCATCCTACCGACCTTCCGATTAGACGCCCACTTACAAAACAACTGGCATAAATCAACGGCGCAGTCCCTTCTTCATCTGGCGCATTCACATCCACATACTTCATTGCCTTGCCACTAACCAGCTTCCTCACCCGGCCTACATCCCCATTACTCGCAGCCATATTCAGCGTTCGCTGCAGAATATCCTTCTTTTCCTGATCCGACAGCTTATCGTCAGACGCAATAACATCCTCGTCCGCTTCGACGTTTTCCCCATCACGGTGCGCCGCCTGAGCAGCTAGCATTTCCATTAACCGGGCATCATTAGAATCACCTGCTCCAGTCCCTAGCCTGGAACCACCGGTTAAGCTCTGGGATGGGAGGCGAGGGTTGTAGAAGTCTTCTTCAGCGTTATGGTCGTCGAGGGCAAGGTTGAAGGAAAGTGGTTTCGTAGGCATAGGAGTGGTAAGGAATTGCGATTGTCCTGGCAGATGTATACACGTATGTTAGTCTATATAGGGGGGACGGAGATGGGGCAGGATCAAGAGGTACAATAAAATCTCACCTTGCCATCCATCATATATCTCTGTTTCAGAGTTATAGCTTGGAAATGAGCGTCGGTCGTCTAGTGACGTTGGCAAGTCGGGGGGTAGAGTTCTCGGCTTCTCGACGCCCTCATCACCGCTGCTCTCGTGCTCTGCAGCAGTAATGTTGAAGGAAGGCCCCCGAGCATGCTTCTGGTCCCGACCCTCAGAGTCCATGGCATCTAGATGGTGCGAGATCCAGTCCAGTCCAGTCCGGTCGGGTTTGGTGGTGGGGGATTAAATATGAAGCAACGACAAAAAAAGCTATCCTAGACTGCGGGGGAAACCAGCATCTGAGTCCATTAGGGCGAGTGAGCACGCGGACACGGGCCGTAAGCGGTAGTAGGAACGCCGGGCCTGAATATTGGATCTGGTTTGTATCTGGTGAATTGCTGGACCGTATGTTGACGTGTATTTGCAGGTTGTGAGTGACGATGTTTTATGGCGAGGGTGGAAGAATGTTGTTTCTGGCCAAGATGAACTGGAACCGGCCGAGGACAAACTCCGATCTCCAACATTATACATCAAAACACAACCCAACTACAGAGCAGGCCAATGTGAAGAATTATCATTACTTGGATAGAATCTGTCGCCAAAAAAAAAAGTCTTTATGTTTAATCTTAACATGCTCGTCACCGCCGCGCTGCACCAGCCCCAGATATGAGAAGAAAACAAACAAAAGACCACACCGATGCTCCTGAGTTAAGAATGATGATTACCAGATCCGGCCCCAGGATGCGCAGATGGAGATGATTATTCCAAAGAAAAGTAGACAAAAAAACCAAATGCAAAAGAGTATGAGGAAATAAATTAGAAAATAAATGGCCATGATATGGAGTGGTTCGGAGATTGGTGTTAATTAAATATGTGAAACAAGTCGGTTTCATGTATGATGATAAACCTGCTGGTCAATCGGTCGCCCGCTCGAGGAATAACGCCGTTCAACTCATTCAATCGCTTTGCTAAACATTATGATATCGTCGTCCGGCAAAGCCGCAATCCAAAGACACCGCTCCAATATTCCGGGAACGGGCTCGAAGGCATATTTTGTGCTGGCATCAATGAGGCGAAGGAGGCTCTTCACAATGGCAGCTGTGGTATGGTATCGCTCAAAGTTGACCAATGGCTCACCGTCACGGGTGCTTGCGATCTGTGCTGGCTTTTGAGCGTTGTATGTGAGGTCTTGCACATAGAGGCCTAGTTGTGATATGAGTAAGGACGGACGAATGGAAAACGGAAGAGAGGGAGAAAGAAATTTGGGGGATGCTCACCAACAAAAGGAATACAGCCGTCCTGAACGGAAGATTCCATCTCAGACCTAAGTTTATGGAAGTTACGGATGGGTTGGATCAACGATTCCATCTCGGCCAGGAACCCCCTTTCAACCTCCGGAACGCGCTCCCACGTCTTCGTCAACCGCGAACAGTCGACAGACGACAAAGCAATAACCATCTGCAACATGGTGGCGTAATTGCGCAGCTTACGAGCGTATACAGCGATATGAATTAGTTTCGTGATCACGAGAGCACGCTCCGCGATATTCTTGGTTAGCACGATTTCAGACACGGCCCATTTGACCATTAGATTGAACCGGGCGACAACCATGTCTAAGCCCTTGCGCTCAGGGCCAGCGAAGATATAGTCGACCCAGTTGAGCGGGGAAGGGCAGGAATGGGCCCAGCGCATATCTACAAGGTCTTTCCAATCAACTTCACTGAGCGCAGCTTGCTCAACGATAGTGAATTGCTGGGCGAGCGTGTGCGAGTCGTGAGCTAGGATAAAAGCGATGTGACCAGAGCTAGGAAAGGTGCTGCGCGTGGGTGTTGGAGTGGTGGGGGTAAGAGTTGGCTGCGAGTTATTGCGAGGACGGGAGAAGTTTGGATGGCTATCCTGATACTGGTTGGTATATGGCGGGCCTGCATAATGATTGTATGGCGGCAGGGAGGCCGACGGGAGAAGAGCCGGTGGCATAGCAGGCGCTGCGAGGGGATGCGTGGGATGCGAAATTCCCTTGCCGATAGAAGTGTCATCGTCCACCGAGAGCTCGGATGAGAGTTCGGAGACATTGTCATCCATATTCTCATCTACTGGTGACGGCGCAGTCGCACCCTGCGCAATCCTATCCATGCTTTCCGTCTTCTCTATGAGTTCAATAGACGGGTGCGATGGCGTATCTCCGCCCAACGGAGACCGATTCTCACCCCTAGGAACTCTAGGCGTTCTCATCGATTCATCGTCCAGCCCACGCTCCAGGAGCGGAATGGAAGAGTACGAATACTCTGATCCTAGGTACGACTCAGTGTTCGTGCCTCCACCCGCATTCCCATATACGGAATAAGCCGTGCCGTTGATGTTGACGTTTATGCCTTGCCCGTGTGCGCCTTGCCCCTGTATTGGACCATCCACAGGTCGGGGGCGACAGGCACTCTGCCCGCCAGTATTAGGGCAGACAGCCCTAGGAGAAATTTCATCAACCTCAACATTCATATCTGCCCTCCACCTTCCTTCAAGTTTAAGAAGAGTTGACTCAATACCCCCATCCCCCTGGTCGGGTATCTTCCGAAACCCGGCAACTGCGTTTTCAAAGATATGCCCGACATGGGGCTGTGGAGAGGAGTGGGAGCGCGTGTTGCTACGTCTAACTGAATATTGTGCACTCGATGAAGTGGATAAGTCAACTTCATCGTCTTCATAGTCATCGTCCTCGCTATGCGAGATGGAGCCAACGGTCGTTGATGTACGGGTGATATACAACGCCGAGGATGTGGAGTCAGTTGCGGTTGTGCCAGATGCAAACTTGAATTTTGCTAGACCACGCTCAGTGTCGACGTCTGGTTCTTGGTCGTCGGAGTCCAATGCGGTTTGCATCTTGCGGAGGTTGCCGCCTGGCCGTCGACGAAGTCGTTTCTCGGGTAGCCGCAAGGGTGTGGCAGTGGGCATCCGTGCAGGCAGAAATGAGTCTCTACATTTAATCATATCTGCATCTGGAGTTGCCTTGGGCATGTCCGACGCCGGCCGTTGCGTACAATGCCCACCCAACACGCTCTGATAAGATGCATACTTTCGAAGCCTCGAGCCTGATCTATCGATAGGGGCATTCTCGTGATGCGTTGAAAATGGGGTGATATCTAATTTATCCTTTTGAGGCACCTGGATGGGGATAGGTGTGAGCGGGTCAATCTCTGGTTCTTCAGCAGCCTTGCCAGTGCCAGGGTAATACATCTGGAACTCCTCTGGAAGCAACGAAAGGCCACCCCCTGCACCAACGCGCGCACCAGTATCATCGACAATGACAATTGACTGGCTGCCAGTTGTGATTTGGCTAGATGCTCCGCGTGAGTAACTGGGAATAGGGAGTGAGGGGGCCACGCCCGTTCGGGACTGTGACTTTGGACTTGGACTACGAGCGGCAACAACTGGTGTTGCTACTGGTGTTTGACTTGCCAATGCTTGATAGGACTGGTACGTCCGCTCACACAAGACGTCGATGCGTGAGGCGCTTCGGATGCCTGGTCGCTTTTCACGGTACCTGTCGGAGCCAAAGACGATATTTGGCGGGAGAAGAGATGTTTTGCCATGCGCTGATACGATCGGCCGCGGTTCTGGTTTGTTGGAGTTACTATTAGTGGAGGTACTAGCACCGGAGCCACTGCTGTACAAGACACGTCGAAGTGAACTCATGAACGTTTTGACTGCTGGCGCCGGAGACTTTGGTGGCGATTCTACCCGTGTGAATGAAGCGGCTGCTGACGGTGGTGGAGAAAAGGAAGACGAGCTAGGTGGTCGAAGACGTGGCATTGATGGGTCTGGTGGTGGTGACGGCGGGCATGTCATTGGTACATCTGGCTCCGAAGGTGCGAGCATGCTTCCTCGAATGATACTCATGTTCACGCCTCCTGAGGGTTGCGCGGTTTCGGCAGAGAATTGGCCAAGTGACCCTAGTCCAAGCCCTGCGCCAGCACCATCGATATTGATATTTGATTGAGGTTGTGGGAGAGGAGCACGGTCATCCCGAAACGAGTCAGAGAAGCTGCCGCTTCGTTTATGCGAGTGAGAAGAGTGAGAGTGGGAGTGGGAGTGCAGTGGCCAACGCCAGATAGGAGAACGCGGACTAGGGGGAACGGGGGAAGAGGCGGAAGCGTTTAGCTCTGGAATAGGGTCCGGGATGGCATGAGGAGCTCGACCTTGGTTGGAGAAACTGTTACCGCGTACTGAGAGCCGGGATGAGGGATTGAAGCTTGACGGGTTGAAGGTAGACGACGAAGGAGGTGGACTTTTAGGAAAATCGTTCATGGAGGCAGCCGATGCCTTGCGGTTATGGCATGTAGGCGTACCCGGTGCAACAAGTTCAGAATATGAAAAGCACAATCCATCACCATTAGGTCTGGAATCCGTTCTGTTAACACCGGGGATAATGGGATCCTCTGGTCGTGCATCGTTGACAAACTCTGGATCATCCCAGTACTGTGCACATCTCCCGTTCCAGCACCGTTTGAGATCTAGGATGATCTTGGTATCACTGACGTCACGGGTATTACGCTCTCTAAGATCATCATATAGTGAATTTATGCGTGAACAGAACTGAGCGCGCAGGCTCTGGTTTGCAACAAAGTCGTCAACGAAGTAGTTTAGTATCCAGTGCCGTAGGGCGGCGAAGACACGGATACGGATGATGCGTCCATCGTCTGCACGACGGTTGATAGCCCACTGGAGACGAGCAAGAAGGAGTGAGAGCAGATTGCTCGCAGAGAGGTAGGATCGGAAGGTGAGAAAGAAGTCCGAAACGAGTTCATAGTCCATAAACGACTCGGAGGAGATCTGGGCAACGATGCGTGCTGGGGTAGCGGCGGAGAGCTGCTTAGTCTGCTTTGTGTACCGAACCACAGAAGGGTCGTGCATTATAGGGATGAGGTCGTCGAAGACGGAAGGGTCGATCGGTTCCTTTAGCTTGTAGAAGACAGATTGGCCGAGTCCCCTATCGGCGGACTTATGCACGGGCCCGTCCATCTTGTCCATCGATATCGGCGGAGACAACCTGCGAGGACTGGGTACCGGCCGGTGTGTCGAGGCATGTCTGTCAGGAAACTTGAACTCGTCTAATTTATACGCAGGCTCTGGTATATTTGGCAGTCTCCTGTCTCCAAGTTCGTACCCCTCGATAACGACCTTCAATCCTCCGCGAGTAGGACTTGGCGGGACGTCGTCGATGGTGGGCAGAGACTTCCACCGACGGAGGTGATGGTAAGCCTGCGTGTGTCCATGGGCGAGAGTGGTGTCTGGCTGGTCAACGAGGTACGAGAACTGTGAGTTGGACCAGACGCTGGCTCGATGCCCTGCAGGCGTTGTAGTATCGTGTATGCTTGGACCCGGTTGCAAGCTATGCGGTGTGTAGGGTTGATTGGCGATTGGTCTGTCCAAACCGTGTTAGAAGTACCGAACTTGTGTAGTCAGCGGGAAAGGGAAAAGTGAAAGGGACAAGAGGGTACCGTAGATATATACGCCCATTGTTGCCGACGTTGGCTACCGTGAACTGACGTCCGTGAGAAGCACCTCGGCGGCGGTGTAGGACCTCATCGCTGCTCTTGACCTCACGCAGGCCGAGGCCACAGTTGTGGACGTTCTGGCTCTTCGCGACGGAATGTCTTCGTGGACCGAGAGCAGAGTAGTAGCTGGAGCTATTGGTGTTCATTCTTGCACTCCGAGTAGGGCGCCGGGTGATTGTGGCTGCATGCTCGGCCGGAGCTGTCAGAAAGGCGACGGAATCATTGCAGCATGCTATCTATATCGTGATAGTTAAAGCAGAGTGCAGAGGCGTCGATCTACGCCTCGGGCGGGTCAGTGTCGCGTGTTCCGTCCGAAGAGACGTGTATAGGAAGACGTTCGACGGGGTGGTGCTGTGTCGACGGTCGGTTGTTGACACCGGCGTAGTAGATGTAGGTAAGCAGAAAAGAGACAGAGTTTCCGGGTCCGGGCAGCGATACGGTCAAGCTGCAACTTCAAGACGAGAGCACGGCCTAGTATGCCGATTAGCGGACGGCCATGAAGGGACGCCGGCGAGACAAGAACGAGACAAGACGAGGCGAGGCGATGGGCTGGAGGTGAAAAAGCAAGCAAGAGGGCGAAGAAGCAAGCAAGGAGGAAAGAGGAAGAAGAAACAAGCATGTCACGCAGGCTTACGTAATACTGCAAACGCAAGGACCTGTTTAGGTAAGCAAAAGGACGGGTGGAGCCGCGTGGGCCAATAGCGGAAGGGCCGTGCTTAAGTAATCAGATATAGCAGCGAGCTTATATTGAGAACGTCCTAGGTACAGCGTAGAGAGGACGATGGAGAATAAGTAGGAGAAGTAGGAGAAGTAGTAGTGGGAGAGTCAGGTGGTTAGATAGTCACACCCCGTAACTTGCAACAACCACCGCCTCCGCCTACTTCTGTGTGTCGCACCGGTGAACCTGGCCTGGTTGCTGTTGATGTTGATGTTGTTGTTTGATAGCTGAGCAAAAAGCAAAAAACCGGAAAAAGAAACGAAGAGATGCCAAGACCAGCTGCCCAGCCCTAACTTTTTTGAGGTCTAACCCTAATCAAGCCCTAGCTCCGTCTAGCCCTAACCTTAACTTAGCCCTAGCTTTGACCCAAAGAACGGGGGAGACCATGTGATATCACGTGGTTGCGGGGAGGTGTCGTGACTTGCTCGAACTTGTCGCAGGGCGTTAAAAGAGAAAGGAAGTTGAGCAACTTGTCAAGCAGAGGGCGTAACACACTCCGTCACAGTTGATAAGAAAAGGGATATATATAAGCTCCTCTCCCGCCGCCACAGTCGCTATCATCCTCGAACCCCTCGCTACCTCACTCCAACTCACTCAATTGAACTCTCACCACCTTCAACCCTACCCCTCCTCCACAATGGCTCCCAAGCAAGAAAAAGTCCTCCTCGCCTACTCCGGTGGCCTCGACACCAGCACCATCCTCGCCTGGTTGCTCGAGGAGGGCCATGAGGTCGTCTGCTTCCTGGCTGATGTCGGCCAGGCCGAAGACTTCAAGGAGGCCGAGCGCAAGGCCGTCGCCATCGGTGCGAAGAAGCTTGTCGTCGAGGACCTGAGGAAGGAGTTCGTCGAGGACCTCTGCTTCAAGGCCATCCAGTGCAATGTGCGTTCTCGACCGATTGACTGCATAGAGCATGACATGTGCTAATGGATACCTGCAATTTAGGCCATCTGGGAAGACAGATACCTGCTCGGGTAAGTGTTTTATCATCGCCTCTAGATACTGGAATCGTCAAAGCTAACTGTTGAGTAGAACCAGCCTGTATGCATCCAGAGAGACCCCACAGTGGTGGATATGATAACTGACTTCCTCAGTGCCCGTCCCGTTATTGCCAGAGCCATGATGCGTATTGCCCAGCAGGAAGGGTGCACCGCCGTCAGCCACGGTAAGTTCCACCGCTCTTTGACCGTCTACTCGACCGCTGCTAACGTTTATCATTCGGCTAGGATGTACCGGCAAAGGGTACCTCCCCTGTCCAATCCCTGCAGATCATCCTGACCCATGCTCACCCATTGTATAGAAACGACCAGGTCCGCTTCGAGCTCGCTTTCTACGCCATCCAGGTGCTTTACCCCTCATCCAACATAATCTATTTACCAACTCTAACGTTCTATATAGCCCAGCATCAACGTCATCGCCCCATGGAGAATGCCAGAGTTCTACAGCCGCTTTGCCGGCCGCAATGATCTTATTGAATACGCCCAGAAGCATAACATCCCCGTCACTTCCACCAAGGCCAAGCCATGGTCCATGGACGAGAAGTAACCCTCCCTTTTTGGCTCATATCTTGTGGGGGGAAAGTTAGATAGCTAACGTCGACGTTGTAGCCTTGCTCACTGCTCTTACGAAGCCGGCATCCTCGAAGATGCCGACCATACTCCACCAGAGGACATGTGGAAGCTGACCAATGACCCTCAAACCGCCCCCGATGCTCCAGCTGACCTTACCCTCGTCTTTGAGAAGGGTCTCCCAGTTGCTCTTGTTGACCCCAAGAGCGGTAACAAGACCACTGGCTCGTTGGAGATCTTCTCTGCTCTCAACGAGATTGGTCGTATCCACGGTAAAATCATATACCTCTCCCGTATGGTGGCAGACCCGACTGACATCCGCTCCAGGTATTGGCCGCATTGATATTGTCGAGAACCGCTACATTGGTCTCAAATCTGTACGTCTTACCTCCCCCTGATCCACTACCCTTGGCGTATGCATGCTAACTCTTCCTTGTATAGCGTGGTTGCTAGTAAGCTTCTCTCCCCTCCTGCATGTCTCTTAAACCCCTGTTCCCCGCCACTAACATTGCGCCTTCCAGCGACTCCCCTGCCATGACCATCCTCCGCCTGGCCCATCTTGACCTCGAAGGTCTCGTTCTCGACCGCGAGGTCCGTCTCCTCCGGGACCAATTCGTCACCATCACCTGGTCCAAGATCCTTTACAACGGTCTCTACTTCTCCCCCGAGCGCAAATTCATCGAAAAGTCCATTGCCGCCAGTCAAGATGACGTTAATGGCCAAGTCCGCCTCCGCTGCTTCAAGGGTGCCGTCTCCGTCCTTGGCCGCAGCTCCGAGACCAGCAAGCTTTACGACCCTGAGCTTAGCAGCATGGACTCCATCGACGACTTTGCCCCTACCGACACCACTGGCTTCATCGCCACCCAGGCCATCAGACTAAAGGCCTACGGTAAGGCCGAGAAGGAGGCCGGCGTCGACCTCACCAAGGCATAGATCTAGTACGAGCAGAAGAAGAACTATGGAAAAAGAAATACTCTTGCTCGCGCGGCTCGCTTGTTCGGGATTTATTTCTGGATAGCGCAATCGCCGCGTCACCCCGCCATCACACCACTACAATACCATACCACCACCGCCACCACCACTACCGCAACATCACAACATTTAGCTATCCAACTAGCTATCTTATTATTTTTTGAGCCGTAAAAAAGCAGGAAGGCGGGATAGAAAGGGACCCCATCTGTTTGGAAGCTCCAGGGCAAAATGCTTATACTTTTAATCAATGATACAAATAAAAGCTCAATATGACCAATGAATGAATTCAAACCTCTTCAAATGTAATAGGATAACGCAACTCACCTGCTGAATGAGCGGTATCTCAGTTGTATCGTGATATCTGGCCACTACCCCGATGCCAAGACCAAGAAAGGACAAGGTTGAAAAAGTTGTATGACACCAAACGCCATTTTAGGCAAGCGCGGGGTCAGATCATGTGAGTATCACCTGATGAGCTTAGATAATATTTATATAAGCGGGTAAACGCGGGTCATGTGATTTGGCGGCTGCACGCGTCTAGCGTTTCCCTGACGAAGCAAACAAACGACCATAAGGTAAATAATAATAGTGACTTCTAAACACACCTATCGCCGATATAGAGTCAAAACAGAGCTGTTACTTCACTCGGTCAATGCATCAGCCTCGTCGAAATTGAACAGGGATAGGGCTGAAATTCCCCTTGCTTGGTTACTCCATTGGAATCCTCTCACAGATTTGACAGTTTCAGGATGAACAGCGGGAGGCTATCCCATACGCAGCCAACATACGACTTTCTCGCTGGGAACTCGCCTTCCCGGATGGCTAGAAGCCCATTACGACAAAGCATCCGGGCCAGCGACCCAGTCGTGAAGCCAGGTCAGTTACTCTACCCCTTATAAGATCAATTTTACGCATCAAGTTTGCTAACATGTCCTCAACGGTCTGGTCGATAGATGCCGGAAACGAAGAGCTACGCGTACAAATAAGTACCCAGAAATACGATCTCGAGAATATCAAGCAGGAAAAAGACCTTATCGCGCTTCAACATGAGAAAGAGCTGAGGGAGCTGCAGGCTAGGGCGGATGCGGACTTCCGTAGAGCACAGGCGGCGGAAAGCAGTAATGCTAAAACGCAGCATAAGATCGAGTCGCTGGCCGAAGAACTGAAAAACACACAGGAAGCTGCAATTAGCGAGAAGTCTTCGTGGGAGAGGCGGTTGAGGTCCCTGCAGGATGAAAACGAAAGTTTGCAGGAGGAATCGGACGATTATCAATCACAGCTTGCAGACCAACAACGCCAATCGAAACACCAGATCAACGAGCTAGAAGCTATTCGGTCTGCCTTACAAAAGACCCTAGACGAACTGCGGAACGAACTTCTGGAGGTGACGGATAACCTACAAACGGCGCAGGGAAGACTTGAACAGCGGGAATCAGAGGTTGAGGCCTTGGAGACAGAAAATATACGTTTAAAAGCCGAGGGCACAGATCCTGAGTCTCTTACCGTTTTGAAGCGAGAACTATCCGAACAATTGGCGCAAGTTAGACGGCTCGAAAGTGAATTACGCCCTCTCCAAAAATCACAGAAGAGAGTGGAGGTTGTGGAGGAACAGAAGATGGCGCTAGAAAATCAATTACAGATGATGAAAGGCGTCGAGGCAGAGTTACATAATGTGCAAATACGAAATCAAGTGTTGGAAGACGAGAAGCGGTCCTGGGCCAATTTGCTGCAAGAGGAGGACCAGGAGATGGAATTTGAATCTCCCGAAGCTATCGTCAGAGCGCTTGTGCAGTCCAGGATAGAGAATGCATCTTTGGTGGAAAGAGTCGGACACGTTCAATCAGAGGCTACAGAGAAGGCTGAGCTGGCTGCGAGGTTGGAAGACGAGAAACATGCCCTTCAAAAGGAGATGGAAAAGATTCGTGCAAATACCGCGGCTAGTGCAGCCCCATCAGCATCGTCAGGCTCTGAAAGTCGGGCTAAGCTACGACTAGAGCGCCAACGAATGCTTGCGCTAAAAGAGGTTGAATATCTACGAGCACAGCTAAAGGCCTTTGATGACGAAGAAACGACTATGAATATTGAGGAGAACCGTTTCGATTCCCAAAAGGCCGAGCACATCGCGCATCTGGAATCTCTTCTAAATGAGCACCGTCAGGAACTTCATCAGTTACATGAACAGCTCTCGAAACAGGAGGCAGAGGCAACTCCCGCTGATCCACAAGCAGCGGCCGCTCGAGGAACCAAACGGCCCCTCTCCCCTGCAGATAGCGATGCCGAAAGTGAACGGATTGCAGTTCTGACTCGCAAGTATCGTACCGTTCAGGCATCTTTTTCCAAATCAGAGCAATCCGTCAAGCTGCTTACGAAAGAGCTCGAAGCAACCAAATCCCACCTCTCTTCTCTCCAGGCTCAGTCACGCACTCGGATCCTAGAGTTCCGCGATAACCCAACTGCCCAGGCGGAGAAGATCAAAATGACTACACTGAAGACGCTCAAGGCAGAGAACGTCGACCTTCTCAACCAAATCCGTGGTTCACGTGCAAACATCAAATCCGTCCCGGCCACAGTCCTTGAAAGCATGAAACTAGAGCTACAGGAAGCCAGCAAGACAGTTGCTGAGAAAGAAAAACGTATCCGACGATTAAAGGAAATATGGACGGCCAAATCTTCCGAGTTCCGAGAAGCTGTAGCCTCGATCCTTGGCTATAAACTTGACTTTATGCCCAATGGTCGCGTACGAGTGACTTCTATGTTCCATCTCTCCCCGGCCTATAGACATGGCGACCCAGGCGGTTCTGCTGACGGACCCGGAAGTATGGGCGACGGCGAAGAAAATTCGATTATATTTGATGGTGAAAATGGTACCATGAAGATATCCGGCGGACCTAACAGTTTGTTTGCACTTGAGATTCGCGACCTGATTAAATTCTGGGTAGAGGAAAGGAAAGATATCCCATGTTTCTTGGCTGCGATGACTCTGGAGTTTTATGACAAGACGACAAGAGCTTTGCGTATTTAGGTTGTCTGTTTAGTGATTTCCTAGGCTGGGGACCTCAGACTGTTTATTCTATATTTTATGTTATTTTTTGGCGATATAGAGCGCAGGGTTAGGCTGGTCCTTTGAACATGCTCAACGTTAACTCCCAAACTTAGCATCTTGAATGCTTCGGTTCGTAGCTGAAGAGTGGCTATATCAATATACACATACTAATAGAATATCTCCAATTTGACTACAGCTTGAATCTCTCCATTAAATGGGTGATATGAATATCCTCCAAAGTCAGTACTTTTACTCTAAGGCTCCTGCTTCATTCTTCAAAAAGTCGTAGGCGATCATAGTATGGATCTGTGAGATATTATGGAGCTCATCTATCTCAACGTATTCGTCGGCTGCACCCATATTATTCGGTGTGCATCCAACAACCACAGTCGGGACATTTGCAGCGCGATACCATCTTGAATCCGATGCTCCGACACGCATATTGCGGATGGCTTGCTGGCCTAATACTTCAGTCGACACTGCCTCTGCCAATCTACATATTTCATGGTTTGGCGAGGTATAGTTTGGTTCCGATTTCCGTAGGATACGCCATGAAATACCCTCCATGGGACCAAGCATTTCCTTCAACTTCTCTGATACGGTGCTCGTTGGGATACCCACTGGAATACGGATATCACATTGGGCCACCGCAGAACTTGGGATCAAATTAGGGGATATGCCGCCTTTGATAGTGCCTGTGTTGACTGTTATGCGTTGCAAGGTATCCGATTCACCTGCTCCAGAAAGGCTTTCAGATATTGTGCTAGCTGCTTTGATGGCATCGCAGACCTCCTTTGGCGCGGGAACGGGGATCTTTTCAAGGCCATACACTGCATCCAATGCTTTGCGGAGACGATCAATTGCATTCATACCGAGATGAACGTGTGCTCCGTGGGCAGGATTGCCAACAGCTTCAATGTCGACCCAGACGAACCCTTTTTCGCCGAAGCGGATGATCCTAGGTGATCCAGCATCGCCGCATATCATGGCATCACCTGTCGCCTTTTCAATGTTATCTAGTAACCACTTGGTGCCATGTGTGCCCATTGATTCCTCGTCACCGGCCAGCGTAAGTACGATCTCACCAGACCACATCTCACGATTCTCAGACAGGACCTTCGCGGCGATGGTAGATGCGGCAATCCCGCCTTTCATATCAGAGACTCCTCGTCCGTAGAGCCGGCCATCTTTCACCAGGCCGCCTGCTGGAGGCACAGTCCAGTTCAAATCCGTGCCTAATGGAAAAGTATCTAGATGCCCATTGAATATGAGGCGTTTACCTGGACGGCCGCTCGAAATGCAAGCGAATATATTCACAATTCCAGGTTCGGGTTCGTGACGGGATATTTGGATATCTGGGATCCCTTCTGTGAGCAACTTGATAGCCGCCTCGGCTGCTAGTGTGGTGTTCCCTGGCGGGCATGGGGAGGGAGCAGCTACTAGTTTCTGAGCTGCTTTCACAATCTCGTCCTTTAGATTTGATATTTGAGCTTGTAGACGGGATCGTAGTGTTTGTTCATCCATCATTGCAAAAGTGTCCTCTAGATAGTATTTATATGGTACCAGGAACGGGTTTCCGTAGCTATTTATACGGTTCAGGGGAATGGATCAAAGTATAATAACTAAGCTGTAGTTGACAGCGCCACAGACCCGAATTACAATGGTAACGGTGATGCATAACTAGAGATGTATACTTTCTCTATATGCAGAACCATCTAACAAAATATTTGGTCAGCCGGCGTTACTGGGGAAAACAAGCCGAAATACGTGGTCAAACTCCTACATTATATATGCCGAAAAGCCGGCTAGACTGACCAACTAACTGTAATAAATCTGGGAAAGCCCAAGATTATCAATGACACAGAGTACCTATGGCCGACAGCACGATTTAAGTATTGCAGGCTAGAAAAGCACAAGATATGATAGGAACATCATTCGTTTGGGCATCATGGTCAACAACTTAATGATTAAAGAGTCTACTTGTTAATTTATCAAAAAAGGATACATAGCAGGAAGAATACATAATATGGCAAAACGGTAATACCGGAGGGGGCTTGGCTTAACAGTAATGGCATGGGAGTCTACAACTGAACCTGTCTCCAAGGGTATATGTTAAAAGGGATTCAAGGGAAATGAGCGAATGTACGTGGCACGCAAGCGGTAAGTGTGACTCCCTACCAACTAGCCTCAACTCAATGATGGATCATGCCGAGACGTACTTTGCAACAGCAAGTTTACGCTCGGTCAAAGGTTCCGTCCAGGTGCCCGTAGATGCCGGAGCATTCAGACTTTCGTCCGCGAATGGGTCGTCTTCCTTGCTCTTATCGTCTGCGTGTGCAGCGGATTCAGGAGAGAAAATACTCACTCCAAGCCTTGAGGTGTTGTCATTGCAGGTAGCGTCAAACTTGGCTTCAACCTTGCCTCTCTTTGGCCAGCAGGTTGACGTCGTGAACCTAGCAAGGAACTTACCCTCCTGGCCAGGCCCAACCTCTAGCTCGGGGATCTTCCAGGTAACGGATGAGTTCTTACGGCGGAAGACAGCGCCGGTGCTTGGATGCATAGCGGCGCCGATCGCCCTGGCAGCTTCACGGGGGCGCATCGTAGTTTCGTCGACGTGGGATATGTCCAAATTTACGGATAGCAGTAGGTTGTGGAGGACGACTGATGCGTTAGAATTAGTCGATAAGAATTGCGGGTTCAGTGAATATTGGACAATGACGCTGGCTTGAAACTCCTCCTCGTTCCAGACGGGAGTAAAGATGACAGGGCAGTATGATGATAGATTCGAAGAATCGAGATGGACCTGGTATTTGAAAGCAACGGTGGGAGCAGGTCCCGTAATCGATGCTAGGCGGACATTATACATGCCTTTCTCGGAATCATCACCAGCGGTTAGGTTGGACGCCTTCTCTGTAATAAACTGCGGGTTTGCAGCAACTCGTTCCAAAACACCGAAGTTGTTTAGGCGGATAAGCGGCGTATTTGGGCTAAATTCATCTGATGAGTTGCTATTGTATGCAAGAGCAAGCTCACCCACGACGAATGATCTCGTAACCGTCCCCTCGGATATCATCGCAGTTAACTTTTCCACTATGGAAACATTTAATCCGGCTTCCGGTAGATCAGGATGTGTTATGGGCCCAGATAGACTGTGTAATGTCTGTGATGAATGAATCGACGTATTATCTGGTACAGTGTGATCCTCTTGGACGGACTTTTCAGCTAACGTTGCGCTTCTTGGCATGTCTGGTGACCCTGGAGTAGCAAGAGCAGCTAGATTCAGGGCTGGCACAGGGCTATCGGCACTGACTCCAGCGTCCGGTACGGTGGGATGAGGAACGAATATGGTATTTCGTACGTCTCGACGACCCCGAACTGTTCCAGGGCCGCGGGAAACACCTGATTGCTGTGCTTTCTGTTAAGATGAAAAGTTAGTTATCTGAAAACTGAGCAATGATTGTGATATGTACATACAAGCCGCAAGGTATTCGCCACCTGATTCAATGCCTGTTTCGCTTCACTTTCATCCTCTGGAATAGGCTGGTCCCGAATGGTTAAGTTGATACCTGAATCATCGACACTAATGAAATGTTAAAACTATTGGCGTTTGTTTATACGGGTTAAAGAGTATGGTAAACTTACGCAGAAGCTTCCCTCTGGATTCGTGTGATCTCATCTTCGGTATCCGGTCGCTGAGAGTATCCCTCGGCATCGACTTGAGGAGATTTAGCAGGCGCATCAATAAGCTCCCCATTCGTTGCTGTTGGTTCTTTCATAGTTGGCTCCTCGGGGATACCATTCGTCGCCGTCGCCGTTGGAGGGGGAGATTCGATGATCGCCGAGTCGTTATGAGTAGACGACGATGGCCTCTGAGATTCCCTTGACATAACCGTTTCTAGGCCATTAGGGCCGTCTGATTCGTCCATTTGGTGAAAGTTGCGCGATGGGTCGGCGCGGCGGAATGGAGTGAAAGGAGATCGAAATTTCTTCTCAGGAAGTCCAGCGTTAGGAACAATTATGCTCTTCCGTCTTCCCATGACAGTTCCTAGTCGTTTCAAGCCACCGAAGGCAGTATGACGTGCTTCAGGCGCTGGGAGGTGTTAGCTGAATGTGACAGGTGCATGAGGGAAACAATGTACAGTCTTACCTTGTTGGAGACTTGGGCGACGTTGAGTAGATGTGCCGGAGCGTTGACTGGCGGCATCATCGTGAATCCTTGGGGGCGATGGTAGCGGTTCCATCACTGTAGGCGGAGTTGGTTTAGGGCTTGTTGGTGTCGCCTGTCTAGCGGAAGAGGCAGCAGGAGTAGAAGGGGCATTTTCAGCCGGCAGCCGTCCTCCGCTCTTCTTGCTAACATATGCGCGAATCTCTTCGCCTGCTTCTATATTTAGCAAAGCATTGAGTGAGTTCTCTGCAGCCTGGCGGCTGCGCTCGACCTGGTCTGCCTCATGAGTCTGGTATTGGGTGAGGATGTCGCGCAAGTGGTTTATACGGTGTTCGTCGACAGCTTGCAGTTGTTCCAGCACGAATGGTGCTCTAGACTGCCATTGAGTCCTGGCATCATCCACAGCTGCCTGTGCGCTGGGCACCTTTGCAGCGTACTTTGGCCCCTTGTCCTTGAGCTTGTCAAGTTTCTTCTGTGCGACTTCTAGGGTCTTGACGAGGGATGAAAGATCGGTTTGAATCGACGCCATTGATTTCATGTCACTATTTTTAGTTTCATATTCTCTGAGAGGCTTTTCGGCGTCCGTTTCGATCCCACTGGCCAGGGCTTCGTGCGACTGCGCCATGGACTCCGTCGAAGAAAGGATGCGTTGCCATGGTACATCAAAGACTCTATCATATCACATTGCCAGTAATCAGTAGTTATTCTCACATATATATGTGTGCTATTGAGGGTGATATCATACCCCAATGCGTGTCCCGACTCCGGTTGTGGTCTCCGCGCAAGTTTTCGAAGGCCGAGGTAGTATGCTTCCTCTACACGGCGTCGTTCCTATCTGCATATCAGTGTCCTGCTTTCCGGTATTAACGGCAACCATAACTGCATAGAAAGTACCGCAAGCCAGTCTGCAACATCTGTGTTCAGCTTATTAACTGTCCGCAATCGCTCCGTCACAACTGCAACAGCTTGGCTAGGTTGCAATACGCCCTATTCCCCATAACCGTGCTGTTAGTATATGAATCGTACATGAGAATATAAAGGCATTCTCAGAGACGGCTATTAGATGCTCCAACTTACCGCCAGGGCAGGATATTCTTGTCGCGATAGTTCCATCTCAAACGCGTTTCATAATTTGGCTGCAGATAAGAACTATTGTATAGTTTCTCGGCGACGTCCGGGTAGAACAAGAGAGGTAAGGAGATATCTCAGCCTGTAGTTAAGAGTGACTATTGAATGAATGACTGCTCTTCTCTGCTGCTCCGCGACTGACTTCAACGTTTAATGTCAGATGGAGGATGAGACAGCCCTATGAGATAGCTGGAATGAGGAGAACATCGCGAAAGTTGAGATTACAAAGGCATCACGTGTCTTCATCTTGCCACCTGCAGAAAGTCTGGGGAAGAAGCCATTAAACAGAGGGTTTGGAGCATAGAATTGATAGCAAAGAGGGATGATGTTCAAAGGGATGACAGATCTGTGAGTGAGAGGTGGAATTAGAGGCTGGAATATTGATGCTGTCAATTTAGACCAGATCTCAATGCATGAAGCAGATACCCGTCAGTCCCTCCTGCTCACATAGAGAAGACATCTATCTATCTGCTGGATAGGTGCTTTCCACCATATATCCAGAGCTATCACAGGTCATAAGTAGATTGAGAGATAGCCTTCATATCATAAACCGCCATGGCCACAGAAGCAGATTGGAGATCAGAAGTTGGATTTTCTGAGCGACTGGCTAATGTCACAGCACTGCAAGTTACACAATATGTGGCCCCTATCCAAATGTATGTATGGCAAGACTAACTGGTTTATAGGAGCTCAGCATATTGCCACGCCTTTGCAAGCTCTGATGACTCTTTCAGGGGACACGCAGAAGGGACCAAAAGGGAAGCCGATGCATTTAACACTGCCTCCTCCAAGGTAAGGAAGAAAGCCGACTACCTATGTCAATAATTACACTGAGCCGCCATCATATAACCTTCTCAACCTTCTAGGCTGAGTACTTGGATAAATGCCAGGCACTTATAGCTTCTGTGAAAATGCAGCGGGCCAACGATGAGCCTGTGCAAGAATCAGAAGCAAAACGGAACTATGAGAGTGACCCTCGACCTGGACAGGAGATCGGACCCTACAAGAAGGCCCTGCATGATAATGATGGACTGTTCTCAACCATCTACAAGTCCAAAGATTCTGATGGCAATCTCGTGGCTTTAAAGGTCACCGTTCCGCAAATGATGGAACCGCCACATGATTCAGTGCGCGAAGCAAGAATACTACGCCGCAGCGCAAGTGCCAATGTGATTCCGCTGCTGGACACTTTGCACGAACCGGGTCAGCGATTTGTTCTTATATTTCCATACATGCACTGTCAATTGGGCGAGCTGCTGCAGCAGAATCAGCTCTCAGAGAAAGAGATCCAGTCCCATTTGCGTGACATGTTTCGCGGATTGGACCATGTACACTCACTAGGTGTTATACATCGTGACGTTAAACCGTCAAATATCCTACTCCGCGGACCGTTGGGCCCGGCATATCTGGCCGACTTTGGCATCGCTTGGGACCCAGAGGATGTGGTTTCTGAACCAGCTAGCGAGAAGATAACTGATGTTGGAACAACATGCTATCGGCCACCTGAGATACTGTTTGGAGCGAAGGATTATGACACCAGCCTTGATCTGTGGGCTGCTGGATGTGTTGTCGCTGAGGCTATCAGCCTGTCAGGCCATCCGACGTTATTCGACGCTGGCGAGCTCGGCAGTGAGCTGGCGTTAATACATTCCATTTTTACCACCCTGGGAACACCGAGCCTTGAGTCTTGGCCGGTATGTGTAGGGATTCCAACCCCATCCTAGCAAGCCTCCGCCCTAGGGTTCACATGCTGGTCCCTCCGTCATACACCGGAAATTGCCATGTCTAATTAACTGATTCGTCTTGTAGTCTGCGAAAAAGTTGCCTGATTGGGGGAAAATCGAATTTAAGCAGTATCCTGCAAAACCGTGGGAGGAAATCCTGAGCCAGGCACCGCCCGCCGGCCGAGACCTGGTGCGGCAGTTGGTCAGGTACGAGAGCAAGGATCGGATTAGCCCCTGCAAGGTTCGTAATTCATCTATCCATACATGCATGTTTACAACGTGCAGAGACTCTGGGGCTTAGGAAGTTGCTAACAGCCTGGGATGACAGGCATTGAAACATCAATTCTTTTCTTAGCGAGAAACTCGTTGGAAATCAATCTATCGATATTGATTATACGGCCTTAAATGAGGATCGTTTTGACCTGCATCTAGATAATCTGTTTAATTTCTTGCACTCCCAGCGCCAGATCACATGATAGTATACGATCATGTGACTTTACCTTCCTGATCTAGAAATTCTGGACTTCTCCAAGACGACATCTAAGATCTATATCCAACGGTTTTGCATATTCTCTGTGCTTCTCTTGCATTTTAGGCTGTTTATTCGCGTATTAGACATAATAATAGCACTCTCTCTGTGGGTTGGCATCATAATTTCTATACATACAAGAATTCCACAACCCACTTACATTGGTCTGGGATCTACTTCTTATACCCTTAAGTTTGTCCAAATAATTAGCCCTACACTCCTCCTTGACCTTCCGTCTCGCGCCCCGTTTTGCCATATGCTTAGGCTTAGGTAAATAAGGGAGTCTTGCGGAAAAGAAAGCGAGTCCGCGATTCCTAATTCTATAGCAACCTGGAGTCATCATACAGCAGAAACCACGAGCCCGAAAGACCAAAGGCCAGTCAACAAGCAGGATTCCATTTCTGCATGCATCGTATATATAAATACACCCTATACTAAAACGATTGAGACTCCAATACTGATACTCCTCCTCATGTCAGATAATGCTGGCTATGAGGTTTTAGACCCTCTCCGCAAGATGAGAGGACCTTTGACACGCTGATGGAAGAAGCACGCGAAGCTTATAATGTCGTCCAGGATGGGTCAAGGCAAGTACGCGCCATCTTGGAGACTACCACAAACAGGAAATGCGTCGACCTACCGGAGATTTCTGAATGATAAATCTCCTGCCATGGTATACGAAACGAAGGTCCTTACCACGAGTCCTTGGGGGTCCTCCACTCCGTACATATTACCAGATGATATCAGGTAAAGCACTGCCCCCTTTATGATGGTATCCGGAAGGGTAAATGAAGGTAAGCTTAAGGCCAAGCTTAAGGTACAGGAGAGAGGGTCTTTATTAGACCTATAATGATACATTATAGGTCCAGTTATGGGCTTATGAGACCTCACAAAATATTCAACTAACGGTATAACCTGTATAGTCAATTAGCGTCAATAGGACAGTCGCGTTATTACCATTCTGAAATTGGCAAGCATAACAGCAGCTGTTATGCTTAATCCGCAAGAGCTTCTGCTCTCTCTGCCGAATTCGCACGGGGATTCGAGTCTTACTTCATTGATGTTGAGGCCGAATCTCAGGCGGCTAAGCTTCAACCCTCCAGTGAGTAACTTGGCTGGTGGCGGGCCCTGAGGAAATAGCGCAGCTTCAGGTGCTAGTGAGCCAGTCTTCGGGGACCCCAACAAAGACAAACATCCTGCCGGTTCTTGAGATCGGTGTAGTTGCCACTCGTGACACCTCTTCGTTGCCTTCAAGACTCAGGACGGTAACGATGATATTCCAGAAGAAACGCGCTTCTCTCTCCTGTCCGTCCGTGTGATGCGCTGGTGAAACCTCTTGGTCGCAGCTAACATCTGGTATTTGGCGGGGCAGACATTGTATGGCATTATGAGCTTGGGAGATATGCTTTTCCCTCAAGAGGATTTCAAGTCTTCTCCAACTTTCAACAGACATGGGGTGGGGCTGTGTATTGGCCGTGGCTTTGAGATAGCACCCTGAGACGGCTTGAAGAGTCCTAACCAGAGATATTATTCAACATGCGGCTTCAAACTGGTGGTAGGAGCTCGCTTGACGTTCTCAAATTAACGTACGGCTTCGGTTGGAAACATCGCAGATTTTATATATTAGCGGCCCCAGTGATCGAGGGGAAAACATTAATCGAGCACCTTTCGACCAATGGCGCGGCCACACCAGGTCCCCGTTGTTTGACGATGAACTGGATCCCCTTTCGTACGGGCTCGTATTGATCGACAGCCAACAAAACACGGCAGACAAGGGGTGGGAAAAACCGGCACCAAATTGTTTCCTGATGCACATCATCAAGCATACTGCGGAGTACGGTCATCATCTTCATAAACATCGCTATATGGACATGGCAGTTAGTGCATTGCGAATCAACTATTTACGTGTCTCGCAGGACGGCGGCCACATGTGTTGCTCCATCAGCCGTGTGGATGCTTCCATATCGGGGCAGGCGCCAGGCACCAACGCCGTCACAGCTTCCTCCAAGCCACCACTGGGATAGCGCCAGGGGTGATACGACCCTGGCCACCTCGTACCGATGTTTAATTAATAAAATACGCCAACACCGAGGCATCGCATGCAACTGACTCTGGAGCGCGGGAGCGTGGGAGCCTGAGAGTATGGCCATGATAGAGAGAGTGCTGCGAGATACGGAGGACCGCTTGTCAGTTCCTGCTTCCATGGCCACTGTTTACTACATACTCCATGAGATCGATCGATGCGAGCCCGATCTCGAGATGTGTCTTGCGTGATTACTCAAGCAGCCGGGGAGATACGGGCTCGCTCGCATGGGTAGCGCATGGGTTGACCTGGTTCAGCTGGTTCACTAAACCGCCGCTAATCTCTCTTAGTGTCCAAAAATACATCTCCAGGCTTGGGATGCCCTGGCATGAAAGTCTCCTCCTTCCCCCAGGCTTTCGCTTTCGCTTCGCTTCCGTTGCGCTTTAGTTTCTTTACTCCTGACGCTCGACGCTGCCACTACGTTCTTTACTCTGTCGACGTTCGACGTTCTCTCTTTGTTCGCTGCCCCCAGTCATTCTTTTATCCATACTCCGTTCACTCTTTTAAACGCTTTATAGAGGGGTACGATCAGTCGCTCGCTCAAAAAGCTATTCGAATCTCACGCAACTCAACGTATTGTTATTGATCTCGACGCAGAAACAGATGGCTGTCTGTTAACAGCTACTTCTATCGATCCCGTCCTCTTCAGAGCGCACTGGTTGCTGCATTACGTCAAGCCAGAATTGAATTCACGACCGTTTTCTGATATATCATTTCATCATGACGCGACACAGCCATAGCCATAGGGCTCGAAAACACCCTAATCGCGATATCATCGATGATATCCGCGACAATATCGACAACATCATCAATGGCGGGAATCAACCGGCGACCATCACCTCTGTCATCTATGTGACGGCCAAACCGACATTCTCTGGACCCATCGGCGGCTATTCGACTGCGACTGGTAAAGATGACCACCCACCGCCTACCCTGCTTCCTCCTCTGGAGCATACTCCCACCAGGTCGACAAGAAGACCAAAGCCAACTGAAACCAGTGAGGAGGAGGAACCAACCTCAACACCTACTCCGACCAGCCGTTCTTCTTCGTCGTCGTCGTCTTCTTCTTCTCGTTCGTCCCCCGTAACAACCACAAGCAGAGATAGGGATTTCACAACTTATACATCGACCCCTACACGGACTACCCTGACGAACTCGAACGATGCCGCTATGGGAACAGGATTGAATTCTCCCTCGGCTACTGCTGCCCCTGCCGCTGGAGGAATGTCCCCTGGCGCAAAGGCTGGTCTTGCCATTGGCCTCATCGCGCTGTTTGCAATCATCGGCGGTGCCATCTTTTTCTTCATTCGCAAACGGAAGCGAAACGAGGAATTGGAGGAGATTGATAATGAAAAGTCTTTCAGGAATACCCCCATGAATTTCCCACCACCTCCTCCTTCAAGACCATCTGTTTCTACCACTTCTCCTGTTGCGCCGAAGCTCAACATCCGCCCTGTGACCCAGTTCTCCCCAGATTTCGGTAGAAACCAACCAGGAGCAGCCAAAGCTCCAGGCATGCTGAATGTCTCTGGTGCTCTACCAACTCCCCCTCCATCGACCAATGGTTCGCGTAGTTTGACGGACGGCCCCGGCCCAGCATCCCCTCTCCCGCCGCCCAAGTCACACAATGCTACGAACTCTGATCCTTTCAATGACCCGGTCAATCCCTTTGATAACCCCAACTCGGCGCCCTCGTCGCCTCCAGCTGAACGAGCACTTCCAGGAGCTCTCCAGGTTCGCACCCCGAGCCTTGGATCAGACGTTGGCCGACCTGTGTCCCCTGAAGGCACTGTCAACACCGGCGTCGTTGCGTCCGCTACTGCCCTGGCCGCTGTCACTACTGGAGCTGCTGGTGTTGCCGGTGCTGCCGCCGTTGCTTCTGTTGCCTCCAATGATCACACACAGAAGCAAGAGCTACCTGCTCCTCCACAGATGCCGGCTGCCAATGGTCCACCTCCAAGCCCCGCCATGAGCACCGGATCTGCCTCTGTCGTCAGTGTCGCTCCAGTGCCAGCAGGAGGAGCAGCTGGTGGCCCTCCTCCAGGCCCAAACAATGTGTACCGTATTCAGCTTGACTTCAATCCCTCTATGGACGATGAACTGTCCCTCAGGGCTGGCCAACTTGTTCGCATGCTTCACGAATATGATGACGGCTGGGTATGCAGTCTTTCCCATCCACCTATCCATGTACTTTACTAACTTGACTTAGGCTCTCTGCGTCCGTCTCGACCAGTCCCAGCAAGGTGTCGCACCACGAACCTGTCTTTCTTCCCGCCCTGTCCGTCCTCGCCCACGCGGTCCTCCCCAAGGTCCCGGCCAACGCGCCCCAGGTCCAGGCCCCATGCCCCCTGCCGGCGGCCCCAACTCCCCCGGTCCAAATGGCAGCCCAAACCCCAATGGTCCACGCTTCAACCCACCCGCTAACGGCCGCCCTGCCTCCCCTAACGCAGGCTACCGTCCATACCCTCCACCGCAACCGAAATTCAGTGAGATCCCACGCTCCTTATCTCCAGGCCCTGGTGGTAGCCCGCGTATCCCACAGCCTCGGTCAATGAGCCCTGGCCCATATGGACCCGGCGGAATGGAGAAACCCGTTATGCCCGCTGCCCAAAGACCAAGGAGTAATAGCGCCGGGCAGGCCGCTGCAGCCCCGGCACCAGCTCCCACTACTGTCTCGAGCGAGCCAGCAGAGAAACCGGAGCCAACAAGCAGCCCACCACCGTCACTTGGACCTGTGAGCCGTAAACCGATTCCAGGTCAGGAGTCGTAGACTTTGTTTTCCAACGCGAATTCCCCATTTCCTTTTTATCCCCTTGATTTTGTGTCATGGTTTGAATGTTTCTAATGTCTAGTTTCTCCCTTTCCCTTTCGAGCTAACGGTTGTACATGAAATGAACATCTACATACCTATCTAGCTATATCTATGTGGGCTGTAGCCATGATCATATATGCATACGTGCTCTCACCGGCGATGCGATGGCGATGATATCCCGGATATGTTTTACCTCTCTTTTTTTCGCTTTTCAGGCCCGTGCTTACATTTGCTTCAAAGTTACCAATCTAAGTTCACGGTGTTGTATTTATTTACCTTTTTTTTTTTTAGCCTATCCTATTTCTTATGGCTTTATCTCGTCGCCCAATTGTATACAGACTTTTTTCTATACTGCTCAAGCCCGGTACCTATTGCTATGGTTTTGATGTGTCCTGACCATATAGCGTTTCATGTTATACACTTAGAGTAGCAGTTATACATTTAAGCTGTGGCGTTCCTCTTTTGAAAGATCCTTTTCAATAGCTAGTGAGATCCCCTTTTTAGGGGCTCTCTAATTACAATATTATGGTGGGTTTTTATAATGACTTGTTCGGACATATGATGTTGATATATGGTATAGAAATATACATAGTTCCCTCTTTCAAGAATTTATGGCACGGAATAATAAAAAACGGCGCCGGTTTGTTAAACTCGACTAATGTGTATGTACTGTTAAGCCTTCCCGTAATAAATGCATCATTGCTGTATATATATGCAACCAATAGACTCTAACCGTGAAAGACAAAGGGTATCCAGGTATTCATTCTAATCTTTCCCAGGGCGAATCCATCCCCTAACGGGGCAATATAGGAGCCGGAGCTCATGGGTATCTCCGAAATCTATGGTATAACTATAACTTCGTCCATGTAATGCATGAACAATCGAGATCAAAGGTGCGGAACTTTCGCACTCGCGAGCACCAAGTTGAGAATGCTAACAATACCTTCGCCAAGGATAAGGCCAGATGCCAAAATAACAATTGTCGACGATGTTGCATCTTCATCTTCATCGCCCTGAGATTTAGGTGACTCTTGCCCCTGACTCCTTTGAGTAGTAGGATCCTGCGGTATTTGCAAGGTGCGGGCATCCCGTGTTAATTTTGTGCGATATTGCCATACCAGCGCAACGACGCCCCCAATTGCCCTGGCCAACGTGAACGAAGGGACATTATACATCCCAACAGCGACGGCGATACCACCAGGAATCCAAGCTCGCCACGGTGCAAACTGAGGAGACTTTCCACCAGCGGGGCTTGTCACAGTTCCCACAATCCTTAGGATGGTAGTTATAGTAAACACTATGCTGGCAATGCCGGCAGCAGGCCATGCCATCTCTGGCAGCCCCTGACCGGTAACTAGCCGCGCAGTGAATATCCATACATAAGCCGTTGGTACCTGGAACATCGGCCCAGGAACAGGATATACGTGGACATAAAGCTTATAGACACCAGCGGATATAAGTGCACCCACAACGCTGCCGATTGCCTGGCCATAAAACTGTGCCTTAGGGCTGGCGCCAAGTAAGTGTCCCGTCTTCAAATCCTGCATCATGTCACCGGCCTGTAGGGCACCAGCCTCCGAGACAGCACCGGCGAGGAGATTGGTAATGATTGCGCTGCGACGGGTATGGTGACTGGCCGGTGTGGCTGCAGCAAAGATGAGCTGGGTCAGCTTGCTGATGCCAGACACGGGGTTGAGATCTGTTTCACCCAGAGCACGAACACCCATTACGGATAACACGAGGGCCAGGAGAGTCGCGAGCGTGGAAAGGAAAGGGGAGATGAGGTCTCCAAAACTTATATGCATGCATATCACGTTAAGGATCAATGTTAGAGGAAGGAGAATCATGACGGTACGGTTGGATATAAGCTGGGATGGAGGGGCGTCATAATCTTCAGCTTTGCCGCCCTGTTCGTGCAGAGCAGCATAGCCCTGGCGGGACGAGGAGTTATTGTTGAAAAGGCGTTTCCAAAACCGTTTTCGTCCAAAGTCATGCTGAAGACGAACGATGAAACCAGGGCCGTGGTTAACGAGCGGCCGAATTACCAGCCATCCCAGGTTGACGATTGAATCAGCAAGCATGATCGCAAGGGAGACCCAAACAATCCATCCTTTACTACCGGTTTCCCAGTTATCAACTGGACCGGGTGCCCAGCCATTATGCTTTGCAAGTGGTGACAGAATGGCCCATCCAAGTACGGCACCAAGTAGCATATGAAGGGATGTCGAAGGACCCATGATGATGCCCTGGCCAATGTATGCAGGGGAAGGGTTAAGCGTCCACAGCCATTTATGCGCCAACGGTAGCCCAAATATCGGTAGGTCACGAAAGATGGGAGCAAAGTAGGTCAGGAGAGTCTAGAAACAGGTTTTTTTTGGTCAGAATTAAAAGGCGGACGATCAACGTATGAGACGATGATGTGTGACTTACGTAGAGCGCGGATACACCAAAAGCAAGTATCAACATTCTGATCTTTGCTTTCCATGCATTCTTCCGTCTTCTATCAGTCTCAAGATCTTCCGGTGTAACAGCCGTAGACCCAGTATCTTCTAGATGACTAGACACTAGCAACCTCTCCCGCTCCCCTCGACTGTCTGTGTAATAATCCAAATCCCTTGCAGCCCCTTTGCCCTTCTCGTCTGTCTTTCCTGCGCCATGCAGTACGTTTATCATAAGGGCCGTTGCCGTTCCGCTTGGAAACTTCAGCCGTTCCCGTACTATAACCTCTCTCCTCAACGGTACAGCAAAGACGACTCCGAACAAGCAGACCCCCAGACTCCAGACGACCAGTTTCCAGAACGTCAGCTTCAAGGGACCGCCTTCTCCGTCGCCGCCATCGCTCCCATCCATCGCACCGTCAGGTCCCGGTCGAAGTAGATACTCCAATGCCGGGATGACTCCTACAAACCCGCAGCCCAACGGCATCGTTCCAACGGCCCCGGCAACGGTCTGAATCAGGACATTCTCGATCGGAGTAAAGGGGAAGGACAGATGGCGGGAGAGTGTTTTGAAGACGGCAAAGCCGATCAGGGACGACGGCATCGCCATGGTACTGATCCATCCCGTCTGGAGGCCGAAGTAGGTGTTTGAGAACGTTATCAGAGTCCCGATTGCGAGGCCAACGAGTAACGACCGCGGCGTGAAGCTCTGCGGAGATGTCTTGGGCGAGGTTTCGTCTTCACCATCCTGTCCCTCGCGGGCTTCCGGTGTTTCCTCTGCTCTGAGCGTGTCGCCTTCGCCCGCCATGGTGTTTCCGGGGATATCGGTTGAGGTATGTGGCGGAGAGGTTCTTTCTTTCAGGATCGTGCGATGGGCGACGGTGGGAGGGATCCTGTATATAGAGAGCCCATGCTATGCTCCCGTACTTGTCGCCGGCCAGTTCTCCCAGGCGCAAGTCTGCTCTCGCATTGGCTGTTCGTCCGTTGATCGCGGGCCTCAAAATTGAAGCCATCGCGAGCTGACTAATTGGGGAAATAGGGCGCGTTGACGTAATATCGCATCTCTATCACGAACCTATCTCGTATTCCTTGCTGATAGATGATATAGAAGCATCTTCCTGGTCTATACCGCCGGCATGTTAACAGCCTAGACCTGCTCGGAGACTATACCATCGTTGATACATAGAAGGTTGAACAGGATACTTACTTTGTTCTCGAACACTTACACAGCCAGGTTTCTTTGTAGAGAGGTTACATGGCCTTCTGTTCGCGCGAAGAGTAAGACGAGTCCGGATGTAGTCGATATATATGCATATATATATCATCTATTCTCATCCTCGGGGGCTGGAGATCCATATTCTTCAGATCTGCGAGCCTTGAAGTCAGTCTACTCTTCTCAGTCTCTAGAAGTCTGTCTAGATATCTCTCAAGATGAAACTTCCAGCATCAATACTGTTTATACCCCTTTTTGCCCTTTTGGCTGCCGCTTTTCCTCGAAGCATGCCTGAGAAATTCACTCTCTTCGGCGAATATCTCAACAATACAGGACGTTACCAGTGGCCAGTTCAAGCTTATGAAGGAGCCTTCTATCTCGGCGGCGAGACAAGCACGAGATGGTACGCAGGCTATCACTATCCGGTTACCCACTTCAAGGACGGCCATGGGCTCATGAACAAGTTGGTATGTTGCGAAAAATGTGCAGTCTTTGGCTCTGCTCTTGTCGTTTAGCTGATACTCGGTCTTCACTGGAAAAAGGACAGCCCCATAGACCAGACAGTGTATATCGATGTCAATGGAGCTCTCCGCTACACGTCCGTGGAACATCCAGCGGTCCCCCCTAACGCTGACCATGGGGGATTTCGGGCAACGTACACTGAGTGGGCGCCTATAAGCTCAACTGGAGTATACTGGCACGCCTGTGCCACTACCAGGGGCGCGCAATATCGTCAAATCTACCGCCCGGGCGAACAGATAAACGTTTCTACCTGTGTGAACCTCTCTTGTTGCATTTTCCTCAGGCTCGTTTATACTTCGTCCGTCCTAGGATACGCAGGGATGTCTTGGGTTGGGTAGGTTTCAATATAGTCGTTGATATAGTGGCATTGTACAGGAGATGTAGTCGCGCTTGCGTTGATACAATGTCACATCCTTCTCACGACTGCTAAAAGAGAAAGAGAGAAACCAAGTCATCAATATTCCTACTATACATTGCCAAATAAATACACACTATAATCGCGGCCTCCCAGGCTCGATGATCCTTAAAACTCCTACTGAAATTAACACACAATCGCAGCCCATATGCATCCAAAGAGTATAAATATAATGGGAAGAAAAATATAGTATCGTAGGTAGACTTAGAATCCGAAGCTATCGAGCAGCGAGCTTGACTCTGGCTCTTGAAACTGAGTGGCATTTTTTGCTTGCTGGGAACCAGCTCTGGAAGCTTCTGTCTTCCCAGCGTCCTCTTTCTTATCGTGTGCGATATGCATATCTGCAACGACCAGACTCCCTCTGCGTTTAAGTAGTTTGCGTGGATCCCGGGAGTCTTCCATAAAGCTGACTGATAGCCGATTCGATACCGTGTCGTTTGCGGAGGGTGGAGTAAGGAACTCCCACTCTCGTACTAGGTTGAGGGCGAGAAGATCACAGCCCATACGGTCGTATAAACGTGCGTTGCGTAGGACAAACTCCCATTCCTCACGGGCGGAAATCCTGGATGCACCTTTGAGAGTTTGTAGAGTCTTTTCGCGCAGCTGCTGGTACAAGACAACGAGCGCTGGATCGTTGGAAAGGTACGATTTAGCTTGAAGGGCTACTTGGCCGGGACTCGATGGGGACCCAGGAGTCGACGGGAGGAGACCTTCGATGGGCGTCTATGGCCAAAGGTGTTAGTACAGGCCAACGATAGCAAAAATCAGAAAACACTCACCACCAATGCACGGACAGCCATGTCACGTTTGTTGAGCATCCAGAAGGCCCATGTTGCCATCCACCGGTTACCTTCTGTGGCAGCCGTGGTGAGAACTCGATCCTCCAGGATTTCCTTTAGAACCGGCCCATCGTCTCCTTCATATGCGCGAGCGAGTGTGATCGCAAGTTGTACGTCTTGAAGCTGGTTTAAGCAAACGTTTACTGCATCTCGTAGGTGGTCGGCCAACAAAAAGAAGGCGGCAGCGTACTCTATCGTAAAAGTTAGCAATCTCATAAGGCAGTGTTTAGATCTAGGGCGACGTCTCACCAAATCTTCGCTTCCCAAGCAACGCAAAAGCGTTTTTCAGCGCCGCAGTCTGCCAGCGAGTCTCCTTAAAGTTATTAGACAGGAACCGATAAGTGTTTGGTTGCTCTCGGTGCCAAGTTGCCATTCGCCAAAGACCCTGCAAGACTTTCTTTTTCTTTAATGCAAGATAGAAAATGCTGCAATCGATAGGGTTCTTCTCGTCGGTTTTGGTGTATTCATTTCGAGCAATAATTTCGAGTAACGAACGCTAACCATACACACAGTTAATAAATATACGACATAATAATAAGTAGAAGGGGAAATCATACCAATGCATTAGTGTCAGTGATCCACATGAAAATACCACTTTCCCTAGCTTGTTCCCAGAGCATCTTGCCGTGGAATTGTTTGCCAACCAAATCTGTAAGGATTTCGTGACTACCGCTGTGGAAGGCCCAAACGATTTCTCGCCATGAAACCATAAATTCTTCGCGGAAGCCTTGACTTTTTCGAAGCATATACTGGCGAAAGAAGAGTAGATATCTTGCAGCATTAACGTCCATTGAGCGTCGATGTTTCTCAACAGTCGCAACGCACTCGACGGTATCAACAAGGCGAAATTGTTCTTTAGAAGACAGCTGGGGGAGAGCTATTTTTTTCAAATACTCGTTGAGTGAAGTTGCTATTGCCTCATCTAGCACATGAGGTTCGTCATCCATCGTAAAACCAGCATAGGATGAGTTCATTTCCTTATATGTTATCTGTTGTATGGGCTTGCGATAAGGATTAGCTTGACTATCAGTTTTCACATGTATTGGACCGGGAAACTTTGTATATACGTACGGAAACCTCGTTATATATATCATCAAGTGGGATGTCTAGAAACGCCCCAATATCATCACCATCAGTAACATATTTCAATTTCTGATGTAGCCTGGTTAATATCAAGTGCACCAAGCTGGTTTTACCACTTAAGATGCACTGCGCCAGAAATTGGGGATGGAAAACTGGTAGCGGTCCATTCAGTCGGCTAACAGCATCGAATAAATCGAAATGTGTCTCCTCGTGATAAGGTAAACGGAGGCTGGTGACCCATCGATTGTTCGCCTCGATATATTTATCATGTACGAAGAGTTGGTTTCCGGCGCCAATGACAAGGTTTCCGTTACCTAGCCAGCATGAATCGCCGATCGGATGAGGCGTGTGACGCCCGATATTAACCTCTCGAATTTGTGCCCATGACGGTCCGGCGTCAAGGTAATCATATCGCAACTGCGAGAGAAGAATGACTTTATGTGGGAACCCGACAGCCAGGATAGACTGGGTGTCAGGAGTGGAAGTCCAATCGAGATCTTGAATGATATCATGTTCTTCAAAGCTTTCTTCCAGTTCCAGCTGTGCACTGTTTGTGTCCCAGATAGTCAAATGTGTTCGGTTTTGATCTACAAGAGCTGCCTTTCGCACGGAACCGGCACTTGCTAAAGAAGGATTGGGGATTCCGGTCTCAACGGAAGCCGTCAGAAGCCAGTCAATTTTTCGCTTTGATTTGTCAACTTTAGCAGTCCAGGTCTTGATTGTACCGCTATGCGAGTAGGACAGGGCAATATCCGTTGCAAACAAATCTAGTGAGTGGGAGGCCTGGAGCTTGGAGCCTGCTGGGTCAACAGGGAGGATGTAAGCAACATCTTCGTCTGACCCGAGGCTGAAAGTTGAAAATTCTCGTAGAACAAGGGTAGTATCTTTCTTCGACTGGCCTCGATCCGTACTGTTGGTAGGAAGCTCAACTTCCCAAGCCACACCGGCCATATCAGCTCCTATAGCTGCAATGTAAGAAGTGCAAGGTTCCGACGTGGGGATGAGCAAGACACAAAGAGGCTTGCTGCTCAGATGGAAATCGCTTTTCGCTATCATCTTTGCCTCAAAGGAGCGAATATCCCACATCGACACGCCATTATGGTGTAGATTAACTAGAAAATTTCCATCTTCAAGCAGGCAAGTTCGGTGGATATGCATATCACAGTTAAGTGAACTTTGTTGCACAAGTACGGAGCCCGTAGCGCTATTTGACCTCTGTCGCCACATGACAGCATTGTTGTCATTGGTACGTGAACTGAGTACTTTTCCACTCGGTGTTCGAACTATCTTCTTTATTGACTCTGTGTGTCCAGACCATATGGCTTGAGAGACCAATCGACGCTTCCTCGGCGTAGGATCGAATAAAACGTCAACTTTGGAGTCTAGCCATTCGATCCGCCCATCAAAATAGTGCGCGAGGACGGTAAAGGACGCATCAGATACACCACCGGCGAATGGGTAAAACTGGGCATAATCGCCTGTTGGGCTATTGCCCAATGCGGAGGATAGATCTAGCCCTTCGATGTGCGCGATGTTGAAAATATTCGCTTCCGAATGAGTTTTACAGCCTGCATTTTCCAAACCCCAGACACACATGTGGCCGTTCCCATCAAGGATAACACACACTTCCGGGCTCTTTGTAGCGGCTTCGATGAGGTGTTCAAGGGCGAACTTGTCCTTTTCTGTCGCTGGCCCGCGCTGCACCGCACGTTCAGTAGCAAGGGAGAAATCCCGGCTATCAACAATGAATCCGTATCGACTGCTAGCGTTTCCTGTTTTAAGAGGGTATCGTGGTTGAATTGAAGCCTCCATATCAATGGTATTCCAGAGCTGAAGGGCCAATAAGGCATGGCGATCCATCGGTGCCCATACTCGTATTTTGTTATCGGCACATATAGTGTATAGTACATTGTCTATCGTCTGGTCTATATGATGCGATCGACGCCAGTGTATACCTGTTACAGCACTTGGATGCGGTAGATAGGTAACGTCGAACCGCGCCTCGTCTGAGCCGAACGAAAGCCGTCTCCATACTTTCACGAGCCGGTCATAGTCTCCCGTAGAAGCAATGAGCCCAGCATCGTATGAGAATTGGGCAATTTTAACTCTGTTAGCCAGCTTATTTGTCCATATGGCATGTGGAGTGTCATCGTCAAAATGCCAAAGAACGAGGCTGTTGCTGCCTGTCAGCAGCTCTCCAGAGCCACCCCATGACAGCGTCCTGATCTCCCCATTATCGCTTCCGGAATCAGCACCATCACGACGAAAGGTATACTGGAGGTTCCACTGCGTGCTTATTAGCAGGTTTTTATATTATTCCAGCGAGGGAGCAAGGGTGACATCGTACCTCGACTCTGTCGCGGATTTTCGACGGTTTGTAAACAAGTATAGTCTGTCCTCCACACACTGCAATCTTCCCGGAAGCCTCGTCTATATTAACCGCGGAGAGCCAGTCGACATCGTCAAGATAGATGGTCTGTAGAAGCTTCTGCGGGCCACCGAGTATGACGACCGCATTGCCAGATATATACACCTATCACGATCATAGGTCAGCCAGGCCACTAGAAGCTACAAAAAGGCACCGGATAAAGGATAATATGCGCGCTGGGAGGCTGTATCACTTACAACTACACGGATGCCCTCCCACAGAGCTGTGCTGACAGCTTGGAGCTTTGGCGCAGGCCTGCCTGGAAGTACGGTGCGCATCGCAACGTCGCGGGACAGGACACGCTGGTTCAGGTGCCGCGCTATACCATTGCAGATAATGATAGAACCCTGCAGTTGCGCATGAAGAGCGAGGGCGTGAGGGAGGTGGCCTTCGATGCAGTTACAGGCAGCTCTCTGGGGCTGTTTGCGGTCGTTGTTCGTATATGGGCGGGTTTGGGGCGTGGTGAAACTATGACGTGCATCTCCTTCGCGCGTGATTGACTTGCTTGCCTCTAAAATTGTGATTTTCAGCTTGAAAATGCAACAACCAACCAACTCACGATACAAGAAAAGGAATATCAGAACTGTACTCAATCTTACTTTTGCCATGTATGGGAGATACGGAGATATAAGGATCAATATTATATTCTTTTTTAGGTACCGTACTACAAAATATATATCCAACTTTTGACTAACCGTCGTGTAAACATCGTGGGATAGCCATACATTACAACAGACTTCTTATCAACCCGACGCTGTTTATACTTCGAGTATAACTTATGAATGTTCCTCTCAGCCAGCTTGATACAAAGCTGGGCCAGCAACGACGTGTGGATTGATCATTGACAGGTTAAACGACGTGTACGGCGTGTCCGAGTCGGTGATAGCAATGAACATCGTCCCATTGATCGCCGGGTCGCCCTGGAACGTCTCCAGGTTTGGCTGCACGGTAGTTCCTGAGCTATTTCCATTCATGTTTAGGGGAGAATAGGTGACGTTAAGCTGCGATACCCATACGACGAACTTGGGAGCTCCGGCCTGCGAAGTTGTGATATAGCTGTTATTCGGCCCCACTGGTTTTCCGGGACTTTCCCATGAGAGATTGACGACGCGGCCAGGGTAGGAGAGTGGGTTTGTGCGGTTCTGGGTGATTGCTGGACCGCAGTCGTTGGACAGGCTGGTTGCGTTGAGACAGGCTTCAGATGATGTTAAGTTTGAGCTCTTCAGCGTGTTCATCCCGGGAGTCAGCGTCTCGTTTGTTCCTGCTGATCCATTTATACGTGCTGGGTTAGGCTGGTTAACGATCTGAAGGGCCGGGAAGTTTTGCCAGGCAAGTCTGGTCTGGTCAGCTGGACATGAGCTGATATATGGTGCGAGAAGCGTCCAGGCCCATGATTGAGGAATGCCAACTTCGAACCACACGGGCATAGGGAACACGCCGTTGAATTGGCGGAAGATCATCTGCTGTCGAGCCTCAGTGGTAATGGACTGGAGCAGGAGCGTAGCTGCTTCACCTGAGTTCAGATGTCCGAGGAATCCATACACTCCCGACTCACCGAAGCGAGTGAGCTTTTGACAAAAGTCGACGTACTCCCGGACAGTGGTGAAAGGGTAGTTGTATGTGCATTGCATAGGAGCCTGGGCGCCTAGGATGTTGCTGATTAGGGTCGCATGGCCGATTTCCTGCTCAGCCATGAACTCGATCAGATATCGGTCCTCGGAAGTGAGGCCGGCATCAGTGAATTCTTTCTCTGAGAAGATCTTCAGGCCGTATCGGAAGAGATCCAGTTCGATCCATTCTTGATATAGTGCCAGGGCCTTTACCAATTGTTAGCACTGGGAGTTCACCCCCTGGAGACCTATGCTACAACATACCAATGATTCATAATCAAAGTCACTCTTGACATTATAGACTGGCTCCGTTCCGTTTGTTCCTTGTCCTCCGGCGGGAACATAAGGGGCTGGCTGAGGGTTATGAAGCTGTCCATCGCTCGGGTATGTGGTAGCTGATGCTGCAGGAGGTTTCGCAGGTATCTCCGTTCCCAATGCGGTATTCTTCAAAGCACCAGTGACGGTCGGTGTTCCACTGAATGAGCCATGACTGGCCAGAGATTCATGGCTTCGAACAGGTGGTGCAGCAGCTGGTGCCGCCGTGTTAACCTGGGCAGCTACATGGAAGACTCCACTGCTAATAAACAGTGCCAACAAGGCAACAATAAGGTCTGTGAGGGTCCGCATGGTCCCGACCTTTCTCCAATCTATCCCCGAAACTTATATATACGTAGAATTGCACCCGGGGAACTGCGTCTTGCCAAGTTGACTATGGCAAGTGTTTTTCCTATCTCTCCTGATGGTTTTATTGTGGAAGAAAATAAAAGTAGCGAGCAGCTATATACCGGCTAGCTCTTGATCGGAACCAGATGGAAGTGATGGTGATAGTTGCGTCATCTGAGGTCTCAGCCGGGACATACGGAACATATGAACGTATGTCATGACATTTAACGGTTACAGTTTCTAGTAGCATCCGTATATCATGGACCAGATGCGAGCGAACAGCACGATCTAGCTGTTGTCCTCTGGATTCTGGCCCGAGTTCACCGTACTTTTTATCAGCCATGGAAATATAAGGTATTTTGATAATCTCGCTATCAATTGATGCAGGTAACAGATCTAATAAGATAAACCAGGAAATAAAAGCAGACAGTTGGGATTCTGAGCTTCGTTTCCAAGCGGAAGCCCGTTCCGCCAGGCAGTAAACGGGTTTGGGAGACCTTCAGTGTATCCTTGTGGTTTGACCCGGTCGACTCATGGGTGGGTGTTCTCTTCTCTCATTCGTCTTTCGTCGTTCATCCTTACTCTCCTCCCTGCTGTTTCTTTCCTTCTTTCCTTCTAGTTCTTTATCCCGTGAGATATGGCCTTACTGTCCCCCTCGTAGGGCTAGAACCAGATGCAGTGTGGCTCCGCCTTCTAAGTTGTACTCTGATGCGATCTTATCGTCTGCCCTGTTGGATGAGAACGGTTAGCAAGAGGATAAGCCCAGGGTAAAAAGGGGAGAGCATACATCTGCTTTCCGCCAAAGATCAACCGTTGCTGCACTGGTGGAATACCCACCTTCTCTTCTACACGCTCCTTGATGCGGGATACCTGGTCGGGTATTCGGGTCAACAATCACGTCTTGTCTTCGAATAAAAAAGATAGGAGACGCACCTTGTAGTCTGGCTCAATGTCCAGCTCGATCTCCTTGCCTGTGAGGGTTCTAACTCTGTTGACAGACGGGTTAGCTGGTGGATGTGGGCAAGCGTTAAAAGGTATGAGGGGCAGCAGGTACTTGATCAGCATGGCGACAGTGGCGCGAAGTGTGAAGAGGAAGTGCTACGAAGAGACAGCAAGCGGTGCAGGGGAAGAGCTCAAGATTGAGTGAGCGTTGCAGTCGAGGCGCCAACTTATATATCGTGTTCTCTCTCTCCTCTGTTGTCTTAACCGTTGTATATACAAAAAGACGGAGAAGGAGGCTCCAGCCAACGCCAAGACCCGATAACCCTTATCATCACGTGGGGACTACAGACAGCGAGATGAAGACAGGGAGAAAACATGGAGAAAGGATGATAGAAGGGATAGACAGGAGGATATAAGAGAGGTATAATGAGGGTAGATATAGAGGGTATAAGAGGAAGTTAGTATAGAAGTTAGGTATAAGAGTGAGTATACTATTGACTAGCTGGGGCCGAGTATCTGCACTCTCCGGTTCTACCAAGGCTGACTGTAGTTCTGAAGTAGTCCTATTCTACTATGTCTCTGTTTAATATAACTGCCATATGCCAACTGCCAACCTATGTTATAAGCGTTCCTGTCTGACGATAAAGATATAGATGCTTGCGTACAGAAGTTTTGTAGATGTGCTTACATAACTCGCCTAGCGTCTTGGCTTCCTCTAAACGTAAGCGAGCGTGAAATTCACACCACACAAAAGTCGCATCGACATCGACATCGACATCGAACTCAGCGACCAGCGACCAGCGACACTACCACTCGAGTCTGTGATCCGGCGAATATCAGTCACCATGGTAAGAGCCTGACTCCCTTTTTCTTGGCCGTGTCTCCTTTATTTCGGAGCTTGGAGGGGTATCCAGCGAGCAATCGAGCAATCGACATCGACCGGCCATCGCATAATGACACGAAATTCGACAATTTTGACGAGAGCGAAACCGTGTCTGCGGATACTATTGGAAAAGAATACAGTGTTGGGAAGATTGTTGTGAAAGATCCGGGAGTGACAATCGCGGTATAAACAGTCAATATTTTGACTCCTAGAGATGGCAATATACGTATATCTCTTCGGTATTCATGGACGACAGCGAATGTTCTCGAGGACTCATCTAATCCGCCTCCTGGCCCATCGACGGCACGATACCACCGATAATACGATTTCTGCTTAAAAGATCGAATAGGATGACTCCAAGCTTCAAATATACTTACAGCCTGCAAAAGTCTTAATCCGCGAATAGTACTGACCCTTTGCTCGATAGGTCAACATCCCAAAAACCCGCCGGACGTACTGCAAGGGCAGGGACTGCAAGAAGCACACCCAGCACAGAGTCACCCAATACAAGGCAGGCAAGGTCAGCAACTCTCACGATCTATAAGACAAACCAGAAATATCTCTCGCGCGTGCAATATACTGAACAGTGCTGTTTCTTCGGTGCATTAGGCCTCGCTATTCGCCCAGGGTAAGCGTCGTTATGATCGCAAACAGAGTGGTTATGGTGGTCAGACCAAGCCCGTGTTCAGGAAGAAGGCCAAGACCACCAAGAAGGTCGTTCTCCGAATGGAATGCACAGTCTGCAAGACCAAGGCACAGCTCGCATTGAAGCGATGCAAACACTTCGAGCTTGGGTATGTCGTTCCTGTTGTCATTTTCTCCTTCTTCTTCTTCTACTTTATGCTAATTACCGTGTTCAACAACAGTGGTGACAAGAAGACCAAGGGTGCCGCCCTTGTTTTCTAAACGACAAAAAGAAATAAAACTTAAACGAATGAATTACCTTCATCAACCACCTCTCTCGATGACATTCTTCTTCTCCTTTTTCCAATATCATGCCGTGCTTTTGAAACACCCCACACCACCTCCCGATACCTTCTTCAATCTTCTTCATCCATTTACCGCTTCTGGAATGGAAATTATGTGGGGTGGCCATGCGGAATGAAAAGAAATAATCAAATAAATAAATGTTTCGATTTCCGTGTAAACTAGACGGCAGAAGCAAGAATGGTGAAGCGGTCCTAGGGAAATGACATAAAATTCAATGAAGCTTTCGTTGTCAAGTAGGTGCAAAACCAACTGGTGTAGATTGATGTAAACTATTATTTTCATGCTTTTAAATAAAACTCCTAGATCTCCGTACACTCGTCATAATATCCTAAATTCGTTCTTATGGCGTCATCCCAATATTCGTGCATACATCATATCTTGCATACATCCAACGGTAATACATTCACACAGATAAACAAAAATGTATCAAATATCTGCCTTGACGACTCCCTAAAGACACTTAGACACACCTAGAACTCCGAGCTTGCTTTCGTGATAGTAGAACGGGGCTATACTTCATGGATAAGGAATCCCCAGTTATTCCATGGGATACCGCCAGCCGTGACCCAGTACTGGGCCTGGAGCTGGGACTGGATAGTTTCAGCGTGCGGGTTTGCAAAGTTGAATGCTGGTTCTGGTACCGGGGCCCCGTGCGAGAGGAGAGGGAGAGCGGCATCTTGCGGTGATGAGAGAGTGGTGGGCATGAGGTCAGAATGTGACTGTGGCTGTGATTGTTGTTGCGGTAAGGTTTGATGCTGGGGCTGAGGGGATGCCAGCTCACTATTATTCCTGGTTAGGTATCGACGGTAGGAAACGAAGATGGGATAAAGATCGGTGGACTTACAGTAACTGACTAAGGATTGGTATCCCCTTCTCGCACAAACTACTCCTACTCGAAAGTATATGGAAGACCTGCAACGTATCCACCAACAGGCCATGAATCTCTTCATACTCCGCCTGGCTTTCAGGATTCATCATGATCACGGTGAGGACAACGGCGGCATGGAAGGCGTGGAAGCTAGCCAACCCAGCCGTGTACCATTTATAGGGTGCGTACTGTGGCGATTCAGCAAGGGTCTTTTGGATGGATAGCAAGCCCTTTGCAGCGTCAAGGCAGCGATTCCGAGAACTATGGGTGCGGTCGTTTATATCCCCGGTTAGATAGCGGTTGAGGGCGGGACGATGCAGTAGCAGACGCAGCTGGTGCGAGTAGCCGAAGAGGATGTTAATGTGAGCAAAATGCTGGCTGGGCAGCGGCTCGACACTGGTGTCGGAATGGTATCGTGTGGTCCAAAGCTCCTGTTGGCTAGATATATCATTGTCCAATTTGGCAATGACAGAAGGTGATGTCTCCGAGGAAAAGATCTCATTACAAATGGCCAAGGCAATATCGTAGAGACGGAACTTGAAGAGGAGATATGTCATCTGTGTAGGGCCGGTAGGATGGCGGAGCTGGTCCATCGTGAGACCACTGCCCTTCATCAGGTCAAGATCGTTGGCGTCCAGGGGAAGACGAACGTCACGACTCATACGCTGGCGGTCGAGGTTGCGGAAGGAGATCTTCTGGATCATATGCAGCATGATCAGCCCAGCCCAGCACCGCCGGCGTTCTTCAGCTTCGACCAGAGAGAGGTCGAAGTTATCTGGGTCGAGATGGCAGCCCATGGCAATGGCTACGTGATGGGTCATGCCGATGAGGACCCATGACGGCTGAGAGCTATGCGTGAGGGCATAGATCAAAAGTACCAATGCCTGGAGGGTCTTCATGGAATGCCGGGACAGCACCTGGTCTGCAGCAAGGCATTGCATGGCCGCTGACCGGTACTGCTCTGAGATGACCCTGATATTGGCGCTTGGAGTAGACTCCCGACCCAGATCGGGGAGCAGAGGGTCGTCGTCGTCCAGGCTGGTGACGCCGATTGCCAGGACGACAAAGAGCAGAGCCAGCCATGATAGAGACACCGAGCCTGGATCCTGTCTGAAGCACTCATACTCTTCAGCAAAAGTAGGATCGTGCAATATATGAAACAGCTATAGACGGTCAGATCCACTGATATAAACAAACAGTCCTACAGTCCAGGAAAAAAGGACGAACCGGAGAAAACACTCGAAAGTACGTGTCCTTCAGGGCATCACAGTATCTGCTCGGCGGCAGACGGGCCAGCAGCCTGTCTCGCGATGCCGGGTCGTCACAGCCAAAGGGGAACCCGCTGGGCTTCTCGACGTTGGCGCTGTTGACCTGGTTGCGGTACTCGCTCGCCGAGATCTGGGCGAGATGGAAGTCCAGCTTCGACGACTGAGGCTCGAAGCGAACATGGCCCTGCGGCGAGATCGAGAGCGAGCCGACATTCTGCAGAAAGCTCTGCGTGAGCTCTGAACTGCTGCTGCTGCTGTTGATGTTGCTGTTGCTGTGGCTCTTGCTGTCGCTCTCGGAGCCGTGACGGGTGTTGGACGACACATTCGTCGTCGGCGGCGATACGGGCTCGTCCTGGACGATGGCATGCCCGACGTGCTTCTTGAGCAGGTCTTCGAGGTTCCGGATGCGCTGCAACAGCTCCTGCTGGACGATCTTGGACGACTCGGCGGAGGTTGCGTTCAAGGGGTTGCGCGACTGGCCCAGGAAGAAGCAGTCCGCCATCCCCAGGCCACGGCGTATACAGGTGTCGCACGGCGGCCCATTGCGCGGACAGCGGATCTTGCGCTTGCGACAGGGCTCGCAGCTAACCGGCAGCCGCTTGTTCGTGTGCGTCGTGCTCATGGCGAGGACGGTGATCGCGGAGGAGTGAGGGCGGAGGGGGGACGGAGGACGAGAAGAGGCCTGGGACAGCGTCGAGGGGGGGGAGGTTGGTTTTTTTAATTCTCCTTTACTTCCAGCTCTACGCCATGGTAACGGTATGACGGGCGAGGGCGACGGTTGGATCTTGTCAAACGTCTGTCTCCTTGCTTTGCCTTTGTTATATATTGCTTTTTGGCGGTTTCAATATACCAGCCCGTCGCCAATTATTAAGATATCGGGATGAACGCCAACTCTGAACAAATAGCCAGTCGAGACCGAGGGAACGAGGCGGCGAGTCGCTCGTACACAGTGCGACGGCGATGTTACAGTACTTGGGCGTCGATGGCTGATCGTGCGGCGTATATCTGGCCTCATACGGAGTATATGGACATGCGTTATCACAGATATAAGCTGTATACCATACCTGATACCCTTAAAGCTGGAACTGCGGCTTCCAGATACTCAGGGGATATGTTATAGCCCAAGTTTATCATATACGGCCTTCCAGAAGCCGATGTCCTGGTACAGACTGCTCTATATAGCCGTCTAAACAGCTTCCAAGGATTGCTTGAGGATAAGCACTGCTGATCTTTAAAGGCTTGGGGAAGGCCGTGAATAAGAATATGGATACTTATAGGGAAGCAGTGGGTGAATCAACGTTTTATTCGCCGAATGATGCTGTATAGAGATATAGATGCTGGTTATATCGAAGTTACCAATGTAGACATTATAATATTAATACTCTATTAAAACCCTTGGTCCAAATACAACAGTCATCACGTCTAGGCCAACGTACGTATATGCCCGAACTTACAGGCGCTGGTTGACAGATGATAGTCGACCACTGCTCTGTTGAGTCATTACAAAAACATATACCAAGTCATTGTTCCCGAACAGTTGAGCTTGCAGCTTCTATCCCTTCCTCTATTGCCTATACGCAGGCAGGAGGCATAACATCATCAAATCTGCAGTCCTTCTTTGCAGTCCTTATTCCCGATAAATCCCCTCATACAATAAGAAAATAGCAGTCGTGGCCAAGTTGGATATATAGAGAGCTAGTCCCTGAGAAATGGCCGGATTGCCTTGGATACCCCGTCTATGTCTTCGAAGACATGCCAGTGGCCAACATCCTTCAGCACGACTGGAGGCTGGCAGTTGGGTATAGACGCTGCAAGCTGGCTACACACAGCTGGCGGACTAACTCTGTCCTCGTCGCCGGTGATGATACAAGTCCGACAGGTGAGGCTTCCAAGGTCCAACGGCTTGGTTTCATCGGCCAGGGCAGTGCATGCCTTTGCGTAGCACTCTGGATCCTGGCCCAGCAGCATCGATCGTATTGTCGAGTAGACGGCTGGTTTCTTTGTTTTGGTGAGTGAGGATGTGGCAGCTGTAGCAACTGTGTCCGCAATGGTAGACATGCCTCTGCTTCTCACCACTGTTGCCCTGGCGTGAGTTGCACTTCGTCCTGCCGGAGGGAGAGGGCATGGAGCAGGACCCAGGAGGATGAGCTTGCGAACCAGCCCTGGATTCTGTACTGCAAATAACGTTGCTATAATGCAGCCCATGGATGATCCAATCAATGTCGCTGGCGTAGATGGTGAGATACCGGCTAACGAAAAGATACTCTTCACATCGTCTGCGAATGAGGACATGCTTAGTATCGATTCAGCGGAGGAAGGTGAACGGCCGTGCCCTTCAAGGTCGAACTGGTGAATTGAATAAGTCTCTGCCAGCTTGAGAGAGGAAATCAAGGGGTCGTAATATTCCGATGTGCCCCCTAGGCCATGAACGAGTACAATTGGTGGTCCTGTTGGGTTTCCATGTTTCTTATAGTATAAATGCTTGCCGGCTTCGTTTATCCTAGTCAGGAATCCACTGTTCTTGGTCATGGCTTCGAGGTAGACAGGAAAAGTCGTTGATATATGCGTATTCAAGAGTTTGGTCTTCCAAACCAAGGAATTCCTTCAACAACGAGCGTGGTTGGAGGCCTCTTATATATAAAACATGGAAAATTCCTTCTTCTTGCCAATTCTGCGGACTTCCGCGTCCACGTATTGCCTCCGAATCCAGCAGCAAGGAAATCCTTGAGATGAGGACCACTTTCACGGACGAAGCCCTGCGTTGAAGCGCGGATGTCAAGGAGAAGAGCTATTTCTCTTTCGACTAGTCACCACAACACTATGCAATGCAAGACGCCCTGACCCTGGAATGATCAAGGGGGACCTTCAGCCCGGCCATGGAGATGCTGTCCGAGGCGCGGAGACCTGCACGAAGCGGGCTTGACGATGGACTTGGCCGTCCGCTCCTCCATGTCAGTCGACTCTTCTCCACGATGGAAGACGGACATCGATGCGGACTCCACGCCCAAGATATGCTAGAAATCGGTTCTTCAATTCCAGATGATGCAGCCCTGCCCCACAGATCGAGCTCTTCTCCTTCTCTTCTCTTTCTCTCCGCCTTCTCCGCCTTCTCCGTTTCGAGCATTGTGATGGCCTAGGAACTATCTCTGCACGAAATCAGTCCCGAAGCGACGATGGCATGGCGAGGGAAGCTATAGTAGCTCCCCCGGCGCATGATGGTGGTCGTTCGCCGGCGTGGTGGGAATAGAGAGAAGAGATAGGCTGATATCGACTCTGACGGTAGCAGCGGTGGCCCTGGTTAGCCAGACGTAGTAAATATAGTATGACCTGGCTCCAGATATCAACCTGTCGTCTGCAGAAGAAGGTGTTTGTACATGCAGGACGCGGTAGCCAGATCCCAGTCTTCTTCTCCTAGACGCAGTCTCAGTCAACTCATATCCCTAACCTCTTCCACCATCTCTCCCGTCGTCTTCCAGCTTTCTTCTCACAGCTTTCGAGACTTTTCTTTCTTGAACGGGCATGATGAGCTTAGTCCTGCTGGAATCTTTGTCCATCCTGGCTGCGATGTGGCGAGTATATGGCCATCATCTCCTTGAATAAACAGATGATCACGACGGCGTCATTCATCAACACCCGGAAGCCAATTTGACGGTTCGAGAAGATGAAACTCATGCCAGCGAGAACGGATGACCAGGAATCGCATATACATTCGTTCATTCATACATGGATGCATTCAGCGCGAGGGTACGACGTCGAACCGATGCGCGATTGAATGGCGCCGGGGAGATATATGTACTGCAACACGATCAGTCGCACAAAAGAGACTCGACAGCTTCGATACTTCGCTGGCCAACATATATTTCGTCTTTGACTGTTTTCCTTGTCGATCAAGTTGAGAAGCTCCAATCCCTCTTCGCGCCATGCCTCCATCGCTCTTTGAGCGCGCTCCCAGGGACATGCTCTACGGGCTATACAGGCTACTCTGCGGGCTATACAGGCTACTCTGCGGGCTATACAGCCTACTCTACAGGCTACACACTACGGTATAGCCTCTGCTGGACCTCAACATATTCATTCAACACACTTTCGCCAAGCTGAAGCTTGCCTGGGGATGTTTGCTCTCAGCGGCACGACGAGGCCAGGGTGCCTCTGCAGCTGTGACAAAACTCTGAAGAAATACAAAAGTTACAAGGTGACGGGCTTAACTTTCGGCCTCTCGCGTTCGCTGGCTCGACAGTATCTCGGTTCTGGAGGACGGATCAGCTCGATATTGCGCCCTTGATTGGCCAGATACGCTGCTTTCTCCCGGTTTTTCTTTCTTTATATTCGACGCTATCTCGCTAGCACAACGGCAGGCCCGAAATAGCATAACTCGCTCCTATATACCGCCACTAAATCATGACTGTGCGTTGAGCTTGGAGAAGGCCGTCTTGTGGCGCCCAGCAGTCTGCTCCACGCAGCTGGCTTGCCTGTGCTGTGCCGATCTCGTTCACCTGCAGCGCCGTTGGTATCGTCGCGGAATTCAGCATGTGCAAGGCGGAATACTCCTCGCTCTTCGTTTTAAGGAGCCAGGAAGGGTGAAGGAGGGAGCAAGGATACATCCCAAGCCTGGTTGTTTTCCCAACATAGCACACACGCCTGCACGGGGGAATCATACGTGTGACACGCCTTGACCTGCCTGTTCACTCCAGCGGCACTGGTGCTCAGAGAGACTTTGCTGAGACAAGCCCTGTTGGCGAATATTCATCGCACACGTACTAACAGGCCGCGGTGGTAGTGCAAAACTCACTGCTGCGAAGGGATAGTTCTTCAGTATCTTTCACTGTCCAGGGTGGATCGGTATAGCAGAACTCTAAATTGATATCACTGTCACTTGTCTCTGGCATATTGTACGACAAAGGGGGAGCTGCGTCCTTTAAGAGCAGTGGGAGACCCCCTTGCAGAGGTAGAGGACGGCAGCTCCTCGAACTCAATCCAGACCTGCCCCCTCTAGCAAAAGCAGTCATGGCAGCAGAAAAGACGGACGAACCTCCAGTTTCATGGGCCTCGACTGGGAGCCAGATACAACCTTACGATGGGCCACCTAGAAACATAGCTACTATTGATGCTCTAGACTTTGGAGCCAACCTAACCCCCAAGAAATATGAGATTTCAGGGACTCACGCAGACTCCAAGGTCCTGTTCCTAGATGTTAATATTTTGGACTCTACTGGCAGGCTCCCATATCAGGGCGATGTTCTCATCGAAGGTATGTCAAACCTATCTGGCTGGCTCCTGATTCCTGCTAGGGTATATATAATAGAAAGGGCCGGCGACTAACCATCTCGTAGGCGAGAGAATAACCGCCGTTGGTGCAGTTCCGGGGAAGGAGGATCTTAAGAAAAATCCCCGAGTACGAAAGATCTTCGGACGTGGCCGCACGTTAATGTCCGGTCTAGGTGATGCCCACACGCATCTCTCCTGGAACGGTGGTGACCTGGAACGGCTCGGCGAGCTTGCAGTCGAAGAGCATACATTGCTCACGGCAAGGAGCGCCCAATGTTATGCTGACTCTGGTTACACGATGTATGTACTCGACCTTCGTATCATCCATTTCTTCCTTTCTAGTATCGCTTTTTTCCCCATCTTATCTGGTGTATCCTTGGAAATAATCCAGACGCTGACCCTCTAGCAAAGGTGTTTTGGAGCGGCTGCAGCTAAGGATCGACTGGACGTAGTGATACGTGATTCGATCAATGCTGGCGATATACCCGGCCCCCGGTCTCTAGCTAATGGCATGGAGATTGCTAGGCGTGATGGGGAGTTGATAGCTGGAATCACGGCGTTTGCGGATGGGCCAGAGGAGATGAGGGAGGTGATCAAACATCATGCTGAGCTAGGAGTTGACCAGATAAAGCTTAGCATGTCAGGCGAGGAAGTGAGTAAATTATTACTAACCTTTTCGATATTTTATGTGCAGCTGTTAATGATATATTGCAGATAACGGAGACAAGAAATGCACAAGACTGCTATTTTACAGATGAGGAGACAGCTGCTTGCGTCGATGAGGCCCATAAGCGTGGTATACGTTTATGTGCACATGCACGAGCTCGAGATTCGGTGAAGATGTGTGTCAAGCATGGAGTCGACGTAATATACCATGCCTCCTACATTGACGATGAAGGTTAGTTCTTCACCAACCAACAGTAGTCTCCCTTTTCAAGGGAAGAATGGCGCCTAACTGCCAGATAGGAATGGACATGCTTGAGAAAAACAAAACGAAACACATTGTTGCGCCCGCCTTGAACTGGTTGGTCAACATATTCACCGAAGCCGCAAAGTTTGGATACCCACCAGAAAAGGCAGAGGAGGTAGGATACCGGAAAGAGAGGGACGCGGCACTTCTAGCTCTACGGGAGATGCATCGTCGTGGTATCGTTATATTACCAGGAGGGTATGCCGAATCCCTTTCAACTCCTTCCCTACCACATACCATACCTCACTAGTTATAAGAAGGATAGTTTTAAGACATCCTAACTAACACCTAGCTACAGTGACTATGGCTTTGCTTGGACGCCTCATGGCACCTATGCCCGAGACCTCATGCACTTCCAGGATCTACTAGGCTTCACGGCTCATGAAAGCGTTATCGCCGCCACCGCCGGCGTAGCAAAGCTGTTCATGCGTGAGAACGAGCTGGGAAAAATCCTTCCGGGTTACTATGCTGATTGTATACTGGTCGATGGTAACCCACTAGAGAATATTTCTGTGTTGCAGGACCATAGGAAATTGGACGTTATCATTATCAATGGGCGGGTGCATAAGATTGGGATGAAGGATGGCGCTGGAAGAGCTTCTGCTGCTTCTGCCGGCGCTGATGCGGAAGAAGGGAGGAATGGGAATGGGGTGAGCAACGGGGATACTATCCACGAGGAGTTTCCGGAAGTCAAGAGGAGTATGCAGAAGAATTACTAGGGCCATTTCACTCCACCAATACACTCCTATATGGCCAGACGAGTCTGTTTATGAATCACCAACGAATGACGTGCCATGACTGTTATTTTATCGTTTAAGGGTGCACCTTTGGGGGATTGGCTTGATTTATTGTTTGAGCTTGCAAGGTTTTATTTATATTGCAGTATTATTATCGATTTCCGTATCATCCCTTTCTTGATTAGGCCATGAATTCCCGCCGCTTTTCCTTTCTACTAACTTACTCATATTTCTTCCTCTTCCTATAAAGGTTTCTTTGTATTCTGTTGAGTGTATTCAAGGAAACAACTGGTCGTCCTCGATATTTATATTGAAATGCGCGTGTCGTTTGTTTTATTTTTTTTTAATATCAACCTTGGAAACCTTCGATGGAATAAAAGATGAGGATGCTGCCGAATGACGTCAGTTTTGACGCTGACTTCTAACTCGGATTTATGTCTCTGCTTCTGTATTTCTGTAAACACGACATAACAGGTTGAATAAGCCCTCAGTCTGGTAACTACTCAGCTGGTATGTGTGGATTTTATGCCCTCTAGTCCACCATTGATCATCTTTATAGTATCTTATTCTTGGTAATGTTGGTAATTAGCACGCCTTGCACAACTGCGACTATGGACGGCATTTGCAGATATATTAGTAAATGGAGATCGAAAAAGTTTTCTGGTCGAAGAGTGCGAACTGCGCAGCGCCTCGCATGTCCAGGATCTCATCGATGAGTTAGAAGCTGATATCTTGGGCCAGTACCCTGATCGTACTCTTAAAGGGCTTTACCCCCAGCGGAGAGTGTATCAGCGACGTCTACCCAACAGCCTTAACGTATGATACCGAAGCGCACGCCGAAGATACTGCCCTTTCCATGAAACAGTGGCACGTAGATAGATACGGGATTGGCTTAGACTAGGCGTCAGTCTTCTTTTGAGTTAACCGTTGCAATGTATTATACTCTGATATCCTTTGAGCTTATGGCTGTTTTCATTCGTTGAAGGCCACCACTTATCTTATATAAAACAATAGTTCTATTAGATATTCCTACTGTCTTTTGACGCTTAGAGGTAGTATGGCGCCCGGTGAGCGAGGAAAGCAATTAGTTAGCCAAGGAGAGCTCATTATTGCAAACTATATAACTTGTTAATCATTGATTTAAACACAAATTGCATCTCACGTATGCGATGAACCCAAAATCTGTAAATAGAAGCTTTGTTATCATGACATATCACAAGTAGGGGGAATCGACATGAGGCATGGGCATGGGTCATTGGTCGTTATAATAAAAAGACGAAGAAATAAAACCAAAAAGGTACAGGTAACAAGCACGTAGGTCGTAACGTATAAAAAACAGGTTCATAATCAGATCATAATCATAAGGGATAACAGTATAACATAACTGGGTAATAAATCATTAAGCAAATGGCCCCCCTCTAACGACAAACTGTGAAACAAACACGAACGCATAACCGGGCGCTAATCTCTCTATTTTTTGTATTATTTCATATTATATTTCATCATCGTCATGGAATAAAAATATAACTCTCTCCAAGTAGTGGTGATCTGTCTAACAATGGCTTATTAATTGGCCGGCCATGTTCATCAAACCTTGGAGGGAGCTCAATGGTAGAATCAGAGTCTCGGTCGGTTTCACGCCTAACATGTGCAGGGGTATGGTTCCGGGGAGAGTTTGGATAAGGTTGTGGTCTGGACTGGGAATAAGGCTGGGGCTGGGCGGTATTGTGATATCTTTCCGAGTGGCGGGATGGCGCATAAGAAGAAGCATTGGATGTAGAAGAAGTAACGGACGAGGCGCTGAGGCTATCGGTATCATGGTCACGGTGGTCACGAGGATTGCGGGAATGGGAATAGGAATTTGACATACGACGATCCCTAGAATAGGATCGTCTAGCATAGTCGATGGTTGCATCGGAATCAGAAGCAGAATCATTATCGTCACTTTCATACCCGTCACACGACGAGGGAAGGTCAAATTGGACGGATTTAGAACGGGTAGGCGCCTTATCCTTCTTGGGCTTGTGAGTGTGAGAGGGGGGAGGTGGCGATGGGGGTTCGAATAATGGGCGTGTGTTATTTTGAACGGGGCTTGCAGCTGGTGATGCAAATAACCACCTCTCCAAACCTCCGATGGCATCAACTCCTCTTTCGCCGGATCCGTTCTGTTTCTGATTCTGGTCGGATGTTTGTGGAATCTTTACACCTGCTCCGGTTAGCTATGTACTACATAATGTCAGACACCGTTATGTGGAAACGTACATTCTCGTCCCCCCTATATCCTGTATACCCGTTATGTCCGGACGGCCCTCCCGGTCGTCCTGGGCCAGCAAAGTAACCCGGCCCTGGCGGAGGCCCAGGCGGAGGTGGAAATCCCTGTCCCCCGAGTGGTCCTCCGGGTGGTCCTGGTGGAGGAGGAGCGCCGTAGTACTCCTGTGCTGCTGGAGGATGCTGATAAGGAGCAGCGCCTGGCGGTGGACCAGAATGTGGTGGATAGTCTTCCTCATATGAATTACGGAAGTCCCTGTGGTGCTCAGCACGGCCGCTATCACGCTTATGTTCGCGGTGGTCTGTACGCATTGGTCAGTCGAGTACTACTTGTGAAGTATGGTACGGGGTGTGCGGTATGCCGTACGCTTTGCATATTCATGCCCAGCATATCCTGCACCAGCGGCAAGACCAGCAGCGGCTAGCCCTGTGGCTAAGTTCCCATTTCCATGGTCACCGCGCGAATGGCTACGGCGCCTATTCTTCCTATCCTTTCTCCGTCTGCGTCTTTCGTCGCTATCAGACCCGTCATATTCGCTTGAATCGCTGTATGAGTCGTGCCTGGAGTGATGACGGCTCCTACGTCGGCGAGGAGAATCCTCTAGCCGCGGCTGATCCGGGCGTCCATAATAGTCTGCCGCTGGGATACGACCATACACAGGGTCGCCACCATATTGGATTAATTCGGGATGTGGATTCCTGGGGTCGTCATTGATGTTTAGCCGGCCCATTCCACGGTCAACGTCCGTGTATGAAGAACCAGAGTGAGATCGTCGACGTCTGGAGCGTGACTGACGGCGCTCCTCTTTCTCGCTCTCGTACTTCTTGTCAGCTTTCTTCTGTTTATTGCTCTCATACATCGCGGCGATGGCGGCACTACCCAGTCCCGCAGCTGCAATAGGAATACCTTGCCTTATACGGCTGTGAGAGCGAGAACGGGAACGGTGTCCTTTGCGGGAGCGTGATTTGCTGCGAGCGTGCTCGACAAGGCCTGCTACAGTAGCACCAGCGAGGCCAGCTTCGGCCATGCGTTTGTTGCGGTGTTCAGCCGATTTCTTCTTTCGCCTCTCCGAGTCCCCACTGTCGGAGGAATAGGAGTATGGGGATTGAGAGTGCCGGCGACCACGTCGGCGACGGGAGTGGCTCTTACGGCCGCGATACTTCTCGGTTTTGAGAGCCTTTTCTTTCTCGGCCTTAGATTCTGCATGTTTATGGGCTAGGGCCACAGCGCCAGCAATGGCTGCAGCGCCAATTCCAAGGCCAGCCATTGCCTTGGTATGCGAATGGGACGAGGAGGAGCGAGAACGGTGATGGCGTGAACGGCTGCGGCCATGACGAGACCGGCTGCGATGATGTCTGCTGTGGTAGCGGTGCCTATGACGGTAGTGCTCACGATCACGACCACGGTCGAGCGAGTCTGCGCGGCGGCGGGATTTGCTGCGATGCTTGGATATAGCTTCCACAGCGTATGCGCCGACGGCACCCGCACCCAGGTCCGTGGTTATACGTGAAAGGGTGCCAGAGTGTTCCTTTTCTTTATCCTTTCTGCTGTTGCGGCGCCACAGCTCTGCGGCGCCTACACCAGCGAGCGCACCCTCAGCCATATGTCGACGGCGGTGGTCATGCTCGTCGTCGCTACCATATTCACGATCGCGACGATGGCGATGGCGATGGTGTCCTATACTAGACCGACTATCGGAATAGCGATCTGAGTAGTGGTCGTCGTGGTCTCGAGGACCGCTGTCGTACTCACGAATGCGACGTTCGTACCAGTAGTCATCTTCGTGGGGTGCACGATGGACCACGGTACGATCTTCTATGTCATCAGCACTGTGACGGACGATCTGATATTCGTGGTCATCGTGGGGGGAGTAAGTAGCTGACCCCCGATAGGCGGTGCGATACTCATTAGCTACAGTCATGATATGGTGATGTTAATGGATAGACAGATGGGCAGATGAAGATAGGTATGAGATGGAAGTGGATTGTAAAGTAAGGAAGGAGAAAACCTACAGTCGTGGTCGATGTCGACATATTCATACTCCTGGCGACGTTCCATTGTGTTAAGGCGGCGGGGCAACCGCTCGCTTCCAGAATCGCGCCGGCGGGAACGGGGCTGCGAGTCGGGCACAATGACGTAGCGTTTGATAGAGTAGCTACCGGCGTTTGAAGATCGGGTTCCGGACAGAGGCGAGATTATTTCTTGGTCGTCGTCTTCGTCGTCGTCGTCTTCGTAATAGTAGCGGTACTCCCTTTCTCTGAGGCTCATGCTGGCACAGAAGAGAAAAGACGGGGCCTTGGGCGGATATTAACGATGACCGGGGATCTCTTTATCTGCCGTCAGAGGGGATTTCTCGGCTGTAACCCAGATGATAGAATGATGGAAGAAACAAGAAGTCAAGGATGAACTGAACTCTGAATAATAATAAAAGAAGTCAGGCGGGGCAGGGCGGCCGTTTTGCCCAACTCCAGCTTGGCAGATCCTGGGCCCGTATCCTATACGTCAGGATACAGGGAGATGCGCGCCTTCGACTGGGCAATGCGGGTAGAGCTGTGCCGTGCGCAACAAGGTCGTACATCTCAATACACGGCGATACGGATGTGTTCCCATGACATCATTCCTGGATTCCATGGAGAAAATGCTGGCAGATCCAAGGAGATACGCCCATTTCGCAACGCCGAGCATAGGACGGCTGGGATATGAGGCGAACTATACGCCGTGTCAGCACTAATCCAGCGTCCATGGAGAACACGGAGCCTTCTTTTTTCATCTTTATCTTACTATGTATAGACCTGGGAGTAGTTCCTCCGTCAGCCCTGCCGGGCGCTCCCTAGACGTGGCAGCGTCGCTTGTCGCCAGCGATCGATGCATGGCGCCATCCTTAACGGCCACTGGGCCAATGACACTCCTTATGCATGCAAGTAGGCGACGTAGATCTGGAGAAGCTGGAGGTACAGCTGGACCTGGTGGAAGTCGAAGAGGTGAGGTCGAAGAAGTGAAGTCGAAGAAGTGAAGTCTGGTTGGCCCAAAGGGGGGGCGGCGGGCCGCGGCAGAACCAGAACCATTCTTTCTTTTCTCCTTTTTTCTCTCCATCTTCATCTTCATCTTCATCTTCTCTCTTTTCTCTTCTCTATTTTCTTATTCTACTCCCACTCTAATGGCCAACTACTGATAGGCAGTTTCCAACTCTAATTGAGCCCCGTTGCCCGAGACCGCGGATATATCGCGAAACGTCAGGGGGTGTGGAATATCCGTCGAGAGGATTGGGTACCTGTATATGTACGTATGACGTTTGCTTATCGATCTGCCGTTAAAAGGGCCTCCTGATGCCGCTGCTTATACATACGGGCGCGGAGATGCTGGAGATGTCGGAATATCGTGCATGGGTGTATTATGCACCTGTATGCCGGGCAAAAATCTGGCCACTTACCCTGCTGTCGCCCCCGCCCGTCAGCATTCCAGATTTTTCTGTGAAAAGTTTCGGGTATCCACCAGTGAAGGTGTATGTGTACCTTGAGAAGATAATCGTATCGCAGTCACTTGCGCCGTTACTTCGCTAAAAAAGATAGGTAGCACATCCTGGCACATACTATTTAAAAAATAGAAAAATCGTAATAAATATTAGGAATGGATGTAAATATGTAATTATTGCACCTGAATGTTTCCCGTCGAGTCGACACCCTATACGAGTTTGATAGGGCCAGTTTGATAGGGCCGAATTGATGGTGAACACCTTCGTCCAACATTGTACACCACACACTGAATCCACCAAAGTCTGGCCCTTCATATTGCACAATTAAAATAACTAAAGGTAACGCTATACAAGTGATCGCGTTCAGGTTCGCTGTCCAAGCTGAAGGGGGAAGCTATACCAGTCGTCGCTCCAATGCGCCCGCGTTTTTGGCCAGAGGTCCCGAAACGTCTCTTCGTAGGCCTTGGGGGGTTCGGGATGACGATTGATGGTCTCAATTCTCTCTCTCTTCATGCTTCCAAGCTCCTTTACATGAAGTTTGCCGCTGCCGTCCCTTGACCTGGTACATAGCCAATGGCGTTGGAGAACAAGGGCGACATCTGCATACTCCCTATCACGTAGGTGTTCCCATTGATAACGGGCTCTGTTCCAGTGGATCTTGAGACTCCGCAGAGCAGATTTTCCCTGATCAGCAGCGGTGATAATTGTGTGAAATATAGATTGGGCTAATGGCCTATCGATGGCAGAGTTTATCATCATTCCATGGTTGAAGCTGCCGTCAATCTGAGGGCCCCAAAAGTCCATATATATTACAAGATGCTTCAATTTAGCTAGTGTCCCAAGTGCCCGGTAGACAGCAATTTCATCCTGACTCCCCATTGTGCGGTCGACAATTAGTGTAAACTCCTCAAGCTTCAAGCATCGTAAGGAGAATTTATTGATCATCGCCGCTGACAAGGTAAATGGCCACTTCTTTTTCGGGGAACTTGAGAGCCGTAGTCGTTGTATATGGCTACCATGACTATCCAAAACAGCCTGGAGAGTCTTCGTCGAAAAAGAGCCTGGCAAGTTTAGGCTCTTAAGTGGATGAGACAGACTTTTGAGGAACGAGCTGCCCGTTGCATCCAACTCGTGCCTATCATACTCCTCACTGAGGAGAGACAAATCTAACGCCAGAGTTTCAAGCGAGTTAAATTCGCATTTCCCAGCCAACTTAAACGTGTCCATGGTTATATCGCCCTTCAAAACAAGAGTACGCAATTGGGAGAAAGAGGTATTGTTGTTCCAGGCCTCGAGCCCCTGGTTGTCCATCAGAGCGCCAGATGAGAATCCCAATTTCTCTATCTTCCCAAAGCCGATTGTGGGTTGAGGCCGGTCAGGAAAGAACCCATGCCATGTAGGCCTAGGGACGCTCCGGTTTACAAGTGGATATTCTTGTATAGTCTTCAGGTATATCTCCTTCAAATTTGGAGCCAGTCCCGATGCGAGCAGCAAAGCAGCTTCGTAATTATGGTCGACCAACGGCGAACGAAAATAAAAATGAGGCACAAAAATGCTGTATAGGTTTGGTGATGTAGCGAGGGTATACTCATATGGCTCTATATTGTATGGGCAATCCGGGAACCGGTATAGGCTCTCTAGGCAGAAGGTGTATATGTGCAGTCTGCACCGGGGCAACTTCCGGTGTAGCACATCTAGCAGACACTGCGGGAACAGTTTTATATAGTTATATATCAAATCAGTCAAGCCTGGAAGTCGGCTAATGAGCTGAGCCAGGGGCTCCCATGCTTCTTCCTCCCGTAGAGTCCATTGGTTGCGTTCATACATTTTATCAAAAATGCTGCAGGGAGATTGGCCTGAGAGTATGTCAATGTTTTCATCGGCAGGGTCCTCCAGCATGCCGGACTCGAAACTTTGGACTGGAGCTTCGTCGTAGAGCACAAGCCGACGGACATACGCAAAATAGCAGCCCGATTCTAAAACGGTATTCCATCGGTTCACGCTTGAATGGAGCTCTTTGCGGTTTGTGATGAGGAAGCGAATCTCCCTGAAACGTTGTTTGTTTGCTGCGTCACAGAATCGCCTGTTTGTAAGTGAGAAACCGCACAGGCTGGCCCAGTCGTCCTCGGAAGCGACAAATTCACAGATATCCTCCAAAACCTCCAGGGGAAGTCTCTCTATGTCGGCCATTTGCACATCTCCTGTTGACGTTTGGGGGGAGGAATGTGGTTATGGAAATCGTGTGGTTGTATAACTATACGGACAATTAAATATATAGTTAGGCTTGATCCCCCGCTTGCACTAGAAGCTCTATAGTTATAATATGCGAGCCCCCGCACTCAGCGTTTCATTTTTCCACGGGTGGGATAACTATATTTTACACAATCCAGGCTGAATTAATCTAGAGAGTAAACTCTCTAAAAATGGGCAAATCCATCTCTCCAGACGGGATCATTGCCATTCGCAAAGCCGTCGACGATGCCTGCGTCGATAAGGTCAAGGGTCTCCCTGGCGTGACCGTCGTAGTGGTCAACAAGCAGGGAGAAGAGCTTCTCGCCCATACAGCAGGAAATAAAGGAGATGCAGCCTCGGAAGCGCCCTTGGCTCTCGATGCGGTGTACTATATGGCGTCCTTTACTAAACTGATCACTGGCATTGCCTGCATGCAGTTAGTTGAAAGGGGGGAACTGTCCTTGGATGATGCCGAGATGCTCGAAAGGCTTTGCCCCGAATTGAAGGAAGTGAAAGTCCTCCAGGATGATGGTACTCTCGTTCCGAAGAAAAAGGGAATCACACTTCGCATGCTTCTTTCTCATACCTGTGAGTGTTGGCTTGTCCGCATTGGAGTGCACCGACTGATAACTGAGTAGCTGGGTTTGGATATTCGAACGGCAATAAGAAACTGGAGGGATTCCTGGAGAATACTGGCAAGTTTGACCAGTTTCTGCAGCCACTCGTTAATCAGCCCGGCGAGAAGTGGGAGTACGGTGTATGTTTTTACCAATATCACCTCGAGACCTCCAACTAACAGTTGTCGCTAGATTAGCATCGACTGGGCTGGTATAGTGGTCGAGCGAGCTACCAACATGAGACTGGGAGCGTATTTCCAGTCGAATATCTTTGATCCTCTTAGTATCAAGGATATCTCTCTGCTCCCATCCGACGAGATGAGATCTAAGCTCGTTACCATGCATCGACGGCATCCCGACGGAACATTAAGACCGATGGACTATAACTTGCTTAAGGCTGTATCAACTCTATCAACTCGGACTAACGAAGAGCGAGAACAATTTTTTCAGGGCGGCGGAGCCGGCGCCTTTGGAACGATGAGGGACTATTCTAGTATGCAGGCTCTTCTATATATTCTTCATCTTCTGCGGATGCTAATGCAATGGCTACAGGCATCCTCGCAGCACTCATCAATGGCGGCACATCGCCGACGACCGGCAACAGGATCCTAACTGCCAAAACGGTAGAGTCCATGTTCCAAAACCAAGTGCCGGACATGCACAACTTTCACTGCGAGCTGCTGCCCCATATCTCGCCAGTTAACCCTGCGGAACTGCCCTCCTACGGGTGGGGGTTAACCTTCATGATGACATCGACCCCCCTGGGCAGAAGTGCAAACAGCGGTTTCTGGGCCGGGGCGCCAAACTGCTACTGGTGGTGTGATCGTGAGCATGAGATCGGAGTCGTGATAGCAACGCAGGTCTTGCCCATCGGCGATGCTAATGTCCTCAGGCTGTGGCATACCGTTGAATCGACCATCTACCAGCAGTTACAGTGAAGGGCGCTGTCGTCACCGCCAGAACCAAGGATAGAAGTATGTTAATAATAGGACAGGGGCCTGGCCATATAGGTCGAGCCTACAACAGAAAGTGAAGGCTCTAGACAGGCCCTGAATACGAGGCCCTCATGTGTATCTGTACCTCGAGCCGAGCAGGAGGGATGGGGCAAGTCGGCGCTCTCGGTACTTTTTTATATCATCCTCATCCCTGTCTGCCAGCAATTTACTCCGGTCAAAGGTTTCCATTTCCCATTTCCCACTTCCAGCTTTCGGCCATCGGTTACATCATATCAGCCTGTTCGGAGGATGAAACATGTCTCCCAGCCTGCATATCTGTATCACATCATCATCACCACCATACATCATCGTACATCATCACCATCACCACCATATCATATCTTCGTCACATCGTCACATCGTCACATAGTCACATCCGACTGTACCTCGACTTAGATGCTGCGATATCCAGGGGCTTTTTGTATGGGGGAGGAAGTACCGGTACTTTGCTCACCGCCGTATCAGTAGCGTATTCCTCTTACCGGACAAATATTAAGACCGAGATATAAGTAACTCCAGCGTTACTTCTGTAGAAGAGTAACATTAGTCATACATACTGTCATGTACTGTACGGTAACATAAATAGTGGCCAGGCTCAAACCTCCAACTTTCTTCAACAACCTCAACTTCGACCTCAAAACTTCGACTTCATCTTTCTCTTCCTCCACCCGTCTCCTATTTATCTGCAGCCTCGCTCCCTCTGACAGCCCTCCTCGCGTCCTCCGGTGGTTGCTTTTTGTCGTTGCCGGTTGCTGCCCAAGCGACGACACCTGCATCTGCAGCACACACTCGCAGTAGCCCAATAAACAAGCTTCCGGCTTCATCTTCAACATCGAACCTCGACCCTCAGCCTGTCGACGGCCTCCCCTCGCCTTGGACTGTTCCATGTCCAGCTTCACTTCGCTGGCTCCTTAGACCTGCTGCGATCGCTGGCTAGCCGTCTCCTTCCCACTGGCTGTGCCCTGGTTGGAGAATCTCGCCTCGCTGTTGACGTGGGCCGTCCTTATTGGGCCCTTTCGCTCCTCCACGCCGCAGACAAACAGATATCGACCCCTTGCTGCTCAATTCGTGCAGCTGTCGTTGGCCGTCTGAGCGGGAGAGTCTGGATCGGACCGTACTCGAGCTTACTTTACCTGCGGACCTGCCCAAGCCTGCGTTATTCGACCTGGACAACAGAGGGAAGCCTGACCATGATCGTCACCCCTGTATAATCCGCTGCAGCACACCTTGACTATACGGACTCTACATTTCTAATCGCTCAGATCTGACAAATACCTTGCTCTCTTTTTCTCTCAAAGAAAAATCAATCTGCGTCTCTGACCTGGCCAGTCTCAACATTATGGAGTTTTGTTGACCTATGAGCGCCTCATTTTGATAATTACCTGCACATCCAACCGTCGCTGGCCGATCATTTCGTGCCAGCACTCTAGCCCCGGATTCGACAACGACGGCACTATTCTCCATATCGCCTTTCCTACAATCCCCCGTCATGTCGTCTTCTACTAGCCGCCTCTCGTCTCCGTCACGGCCAGCGCCAACAGCGCCGTCACCTGATTACGCCGTCAGACAGGACGCTCCTCCTTCCGCAGGCCCCGATGGCCGTAGTAGCACCAACGGGAATGGCACCGACAGTGCACGCGAGCAGCTGCAATCCAGACCAAATCCCCTACTTCCTCCAACCATCCTGCACCCCTCGCCTGCCTCCACATCTACAGACCCGTCACTGCGTCCAAAAGCACTCCACCTCCATCATGGCAGACCTGTCCATTCGTCTTCCCCCAATTCTGTCGCTTCCTCGCGAGAAACCTCACCTATACCGCGCATACCGCGCTCGACCATTGCCCATCCAGCCGCCCATTCATCGACGCCCACATCTCGATCCATCTCCAGGTCAAGGAAGAGCAGCAGGGATCTCAGTGTCCCTCGTTCCCCAAGCGGAGGTGCCGCTACTCACCCCCCTCAATCGCAAGGGCAGAACGGCCAGAAACTGCTTTCGGAAGTGAATAAGCCTCTACTCCCTCCGCCGGTCGAGACATTAAGCCGACTCTCCCCAATCTCGCCGTCGTTCACTAACAAGTCAATCGACCTCCAATCTCAACGCTCTCCAGGGCTGAAGTCGCCTCAGCCACAATCTAATCTATCAACCTTCTGCCTGCCGGCCACCGTTCCTGAAACAACACGACAACAGTACAGGGAGAAAGATAGCGGATGTCAGCAACCATATCAACTGCAACTGCAACCGCAGCAACAACAGCAGCAACAACAACAGCAGCAGCAGCAATCCGAGAAACAGGCTGAAGACTTTGAGGATAGCCAGATGCGGAGTATAAGTCGTAACCTGTCCCGCGCAGGGAGTGTGGCAGGGTCTATGCTCGAAACTGTTGAGGAGGCAGGGACTCCAACACCAACGGATTCACATACCACCCTCGACTCTAAACTAGATGAGAAGGAAAAGGGGAAAGATGACTCCTTGTCTAAACCTGCCGGTGAAAGTGGCTCGGACTCTAGCGGAAGGAAAGCCATTGCTCGGCCCCCCACTAACCCAAATCGAAGAAATGCATCAGCTACAACCAGGCCAACTGCCGGTGATGTGTTACCGAAACGGTCGTTTACATCCTTGAGTGCTACTCGAGGAAAACCAGGGGAAATTTCCATGACCAACATGACCGTTGAGACGGAGACTGTTAGTTCCGTACCGCAATTACCCCTGGGCGGCGGAACTACTGAACGTGGAGGGCCTGGCACATTAAGAGAACGAAGGAGTGACGAGACCATCAGGCCTAAGAAGGAGAAGAAGAAATCGAGTAGAAAAACCACAGTGCCGCCTGGAGCATGTAAGTCTACCTTCCATATACATGTTCGTTGTTCATCAACGTACTAATAATGTGTGCTAGTGTCGTCGAAGGCGGATATCTTCGAAGCTAAAGTTGCTAGTGCTGTGGACGATGCGGACTCTTCCGATTCTGCAGAGACATTTGTCTATGAATCCAATCCTCGTGATCCCCATCCTGCTCGCCAGCATAGATATCACTCGAGAACTCCGTCTGCTGCCTCAGCTGTTAGCCAGTTAGACCAGTACGGTGGCCGCACGCGTTCTACACTCCGCGATACACCTGGCTTCCATGGAATATCTGGAAAACGAAGTATGAAATTCACAAATACTACCTATAATACATTTGACGGCGACGACAATATGTCTTCGGGACGAGGGAGCTCACGAACCAATGGTCATGGCCACAATATACATACCACAAGACACCACACTGGCCGACATGCACGCAACGGAGCACACCCATCACTCTTCGACCATGCACGGTTCTTCTCGCAACAGTCGCCTGGAGCCAAGGGATTACGATATTCCTCGGTTAACAGTAACGGTGGGCCTCAGCGTTTCACCTCCAAGCAAGACGGCGACTACGGTTACGACTTTGACGCTGAAGGTGCAGACGACGAGCGCGCACCCCTTGTCGGCAGTTCAAATGGCCGTGCTCTCCGCTCCCGTCATGGCCGCCGACCAGGCAGTTCTAGCCTTCGACAGCTAGAATATATGGAGGAACGACGCCGTGGATGGTTTGCGCGCGTCACCCTCTGCTCACTCCTGCTTATCTGCATCATACTCCTCGGCGCTGGCACCGCGGTGTTTATCGTCGGCGTGACCAAGGCGTTGAGCAATGTGCAGATTCGCAGCATTCAAAATGTGCTGGCTTCAGAAGCAGAGCTAATGCTGGATTTGGACGTCCAGGCTGTTAACCCGAACATCTTTACGTTAACGGTTAATTATCTAGATGTGAACATTTTTGCGAAAAGTAAATTTCTAGACGTTGATACTATGGACTTGGGCGAAATGCGAATACTTCCTCGCACAAGCGATAGTAAATCGCGCGCTATCCTCTCCCTCGCAGCGAGAGGAGTAGAGGCGGATTCCGCAGTCATCTCCAAACGAGAAACGATAGATGGAAAAGTCGACAAAGGCACTGACCCCATTCACGACCCCTCGGATCCGAATCCGCAAACGATGCTCCTTGGCCGCGTCTTTCATCTCGACTCACCGCTTACTTTCACTCCTTCACCGTGGAAACACATCGCATCCAATTCAACGGCTCAAATCCGTGTTCCCAAGCCAGGAAATAGGACCGAAGAAGGCGGCTCATTGCGTTGGGAAAGGATCTTGCAGCATCCTTTCGAGCTGATTGTGAGAGGTGTTGTGAAGTATGAGCTTCCGCTTAGCTCGATAGTACAGAGCGCACCGGTTAGTGCAAAGGTTGCTGTCCTACCAGATAAAGGGATTATAAAGCCTACGCCTACCTCTATTACTACCTCAATAACGCCAACGAAGACTGTCACGGCGGAGGTGCTAGCGGAGACAATAAAGTCCGCGTCAATAACGCCATCCCCGCCGCCTCGATCCGATACTAACATCCACCGGCCATAGATTCTTTGTACGACTATCTTCGAATTCCCGAATATTTTTAACGGATTTTCTATATGCTCTATCTTTTTGAAAAAGAGGATCATCTTGCGTTTTTTTCATATGATGATTCCAACGAATTTCTAGTTTATTTCTCCAAGCCTGATTCGGTTTTTATGTTTTAAGCGGTTTTTATAAGAAAACACTTATACCCTTGTTGCTTTGCTGTTATGATGCATAGCTGTTTTAATGCTATTTTTACTTCCTTGTTTTTGTTTTCCATTTTTTTGTCTTTGCCTTTTGTCTTTATGTACTTGACCCCCGCAAGGGTAAAAACCTGTTTTTCTTTGATATACTGGGGGAAACATCATGACAACAACAATGACAACAAAATAGAATGGGGAATGGGTAATCGTTATGGGCGCAAGCTAGGTTTTTTTTCCTTTTTCATGTTTCTTCTGGCCCCTATGATTGCTATTTGGCTATCACACTGCACTCTTTTGATGACAGAAGCAGACGGGGCTTGGTGGGATGATATAGCTGGCTTTTTAAAGCCCTGTCCTCGCCTCGCTTTCGCCTTCTTCGCTTCTCCTATCCTTTTCCTATGTTACTTTACGATCTGATACGAAATTGCCACGAATGAAAACAGAGAACAGAGCAGGACAAACAGAATATGAAAAGAACAGATAATATATTAAACTATAATACAGAAGTGGAAGCATATTTATAGTATGAATTACTGGGAATAGAAGCTTGTGTCTATGTACTTTTCAGGGGACTATTAACATATATAGGAAATATCAAACAGTGTTTCTAGGGCTAATAACAAATGAGTATCTCCATAAACTTTTTTATAAATACCAATAACTGCAAAAGTTGAAGGGTAAAAAATATGCTCATATATCAAAAACATTCAAATAACTTTCAATTCAAAACAAAATCAAAAGGAGCGTTCTAGAGCACCTGATATCAAAAACGCTTCAAGAGCTAGCTGGTACTTACACTACTATCCTGTGAAATAGCTGGAAATGTGGAAATATATAGAAGACGACCCACTCCTCTGTTTGCAATATATGTGCTGCTTACACGATGCGATAAACGCGTTTCGCAACATAGAAGCAGACAACAGCAAAAACCACTAGCCCTGCGGTAACTATAAGAAGGAAGATGTTAGCGAGTATTCATAGTAGGAGATGAAATGAAAGAGTGGGTTTTGGTGACATACTTGACCAGAACCAGTTGAGGTTCTCGATATCCTGTCCAGGAACTTTTACGTTCATCCCCCACATTCCACAGATGATGTTCATTGGAAGCACGATGGTGCCAAGAACTGTAAGTTTTCCCAGGACATCGGCCGTCTGCTCTTGTCGTTCGTTCATGCGGATATTTATCTGGGCAAGATAGTTGGAGTGGGCGCGGGAGAGGAGGCTAGGTAAATGATTAGTATATTATAGTAAATGATATATAATGCATGGGATGAGGAGCGGCGTACGTTTCGTAGTGAGTCAGATTGCTCGTCATAGTCAGAATATGATCTTGTATATCACCGAGGTAGAGCCCGATTTCTGACTTTGGGGCAACCTCCCAATACTCGTTGCAGCGCTTAGCGAACCCCTTAATAACATCTGCCTTATTGCCTAGTAACCTATAAAGGCCCATCACCTTCTTTCGGCAGGAGCCAACCTGTCGAAGCATATTAGACCCAGAATGGCTCGCTTCTAGAGCAGCTGTCTTTTCGTTGTTTTCATTGCGGTCAGGCCGCATATCTTTGCTGTCGGAATGGAGACGTAAAATTATATCGTCAATCTCATCAACCTCCTCTTCAATAGCATGGATAAGAGGACCAAAAACATCCGTGATGTCGTCAATGATAGCATAAGATATCCAGTCTGCGCTAAGGATCAGGTAGTCCTTAAGTTGGCGAATTCTTCGACGCACGTTGGCTGGATGGGGGGTTCGAGAGAAGTGGAAACTGAGCAGACCTTCACGGAATACTACCACGTACATATTCACTGGCTCAAGGAAATCAGGGCTATTCACATCCTGTTCGAATGTACGATAGTTGATGAAATAGTAGTTTCGGAACAATTCAACCTTTTCGCGAGCCTCCTGCATCATGATATCCTCAGCCGTCAAGGCATGGATGCCAAACGCTTTAGAAATTACTCTCATTTCGCTGTCGGTAGGGCTGAGAACGTCAAGCCAGAATGTGGGCCTGGGTCCATATCGTGTTTCTTTCGGCTGGCTATCTTTCCGGCTGTGATCGTTGGCGGTCTTGGATGAAGCGCCGTCTGCATTGTCTGATAGGAGATCTGGTATGTTGTTTGTATTGTGATTCAGGTATGTGGATGTTGATTGTGTTCTATCACGGTTCATGGCACCGTTGTAAGGGCGGAAATCATCTTCGTCTTCCGAAGACTCATCCTCCAGTATCGGGGGCTCGGGAATAAAAAGATCCCGGAATGTTTGGCCGGGCTGTTCAAGCTCCGACAGAGTCTGGCTATGCAGAGTACTCTGAAAGTCTTCGTTGAAGTAGGTAAATCGGTAAGGTGCCTCCTCTTCTTCGTCGTGCTTCCATACTAAATTCCGCGTTCTTAACCTCCCGCCAATGAGCACTGGTTCACTAATTCTCTTTGAGCGGATGGCGCCGCTGCGGGCTTCTTTCTCCTGTTGGCTCCATTCGTCTAATGCCGAAAGGTCTGGCCATACCCTTCGTGCACGGCGTCGACGTCCTCGTGTGTCTCCTTCAGCTTGCGCGCGTGACTGAAGATCTTCCTCGCCGAGATCTGAGAGACCACCGGTTGGGAAACATACGTCCTCTTCTACAGGGAGTGCGACTGTTCGCCGGCGAACGAGCTCTGGAGGGGTGTGGCACGTTGATGTACGACGAGACGGCCCTCCTGGTCTTCTGGTATCTGTATCTATATTGATGACAGCGTCCATGGGTAGGCTAGAGGCACTCATCGCCTCTGGCGATTGTGATCGAATAAATCCTGGGCCTGTGATCATTGTACTATCGTAACCCAGATCAGGCCCCATTTTCGGGCTCCCAGGCATCGAAGGCGGGTTGTTGACATCGTATTCCTGCCTAGGAGCCAAAAGGCCATCAGGCATGTAACTGTTCTGCGGTGATCGCCGTGACGATGTGGTATCCATGTTATCCATATTCTGATGCATAGAGTAAGGCGACCTTATTTCACCGGCCCCATACCCCCCAATACTACCATTGTGTATTGGGTTGATTAGCAATGGCGAACGGTCATCTGTTATGGCAAATTCGTCCTCTTGTACCGCCTCAGGCCTGCGGCCTCTGCTGCGTGAGTTGGATGGCGACTCCGTCAGAGGCTGGTCTGGACGAAAGCTTTGAGCTAGCCTGCTCTCACGACGTGGGCGCATCATGGGTTGGTTTCTGTAGTATTTAAAAGAGTACATTAGAATTACAATTTATATCACGGATTAGGTCGCCCACGAAAACGCCGCTTACCTGTGATCTAGCAAAGCTTCGCTCTCAAGGCTTGTCTCGCTGAGATTACCTCCGCCAACTCGCCCTAGATTGTAAAATGGGCGTGGGCGAGTCTCCGTCGGGGAGGCATTCTTTACATTCTCGCTACCGTCGTTTGTTTGGCTATCGACTCGGCTGAGCGGGGACTGGCAGTGAACGCTTTCACCGGGAGCAGGGGCGAAAGACGGTCTCCGATTTCTCTTCTTCCTCGGTGCTCTCTGTCTTCTTTTCTTCGACGCACTCCCTTCTACCCCCACGACGTTGTTGACCGAATCCATCCTCAAGCCGGCCCGTTCGAAGAGGAGATGGCGAGTAGGGCGAGGCTGAATGTCATCAGGGTATCCCGGCCGAGATATTGCGCTTTTAGGGAACTTTGGAGTCGTATGCAGGTAGCAGACTAATGGAGAGAGATGCGGAGCTCGACATGGAGCAGAAAGATGAGCCGAAGAGGTTGATGTCCGAATGCTGGCATGGATGACCGCAGCATGACGTCGGTGGTTGGAAGTTTGGGCGGTATGGCTCAGCGCAAAACCTAATCCCGGCCCAGGGCTGACTTATCAGTTCCGGCTCCCAGGCCCGGATTCCTCAGCCATGCAGCCGGCCGCGGTGGTGCGTCTATCGTCAACCAATAATTATGCTGGATCTGGTTTTTCTGTGATACCGCATAGCCAGGCGGATCAGGGGATCGGCTTGGAGATCTTGAAGAACACGCGGATCCGGGACAAGGCCGTTGTCAGTCAGCCGGGGAAGATCGTTAGGTGGTGATATCCAAAGTCAACTTCCAATAAAATTGAGAACTATTAAAATACAGCTATAGCGAATAAATACAAAACAAAAAGATTTGGAAGATGTCGTGAACCTCGTCATCGTTATCCGAGCAACAAAGGAAATATAAAATAAAAAAAGTGATTAAACGCCGTGAATCTTGAAGCACGCCCAAATGCCAATCCAATTATCCCATCCAAAAATATAACAAGAAAAAGGTATCCCAGAATATATCCAAACGCCGCAGTTTCCGTGTATTTGAGAGGTAAAGGAAATGTCATCAAGAGGCACCCTTGAGCGAATAAATAAGTATGAGTGTGACGCCTCACATTATGTTGCTCGGGTTGCTCGGGTCCATGCTGATGGACGGGAAACTTTGAACGGATCGAATGCTCTGTCTATCTGCGCTCAATCCCTTTGACGATTTCCTATCCTTTGGCGGCCTTGCGACGAGGACTTGAGCGGGACATACAACTATCTCTTCATCCCCATCACCCTCATCGCTGCCCTTCTTGACAACGAGGGGGAAGAGAACCATGCGAACGATTGCACGCTGTGATTCGAGCTCCTCGTTTGAAGTAGTCTCGCCGCTGCGTTCGTTCATGAGGGCGGCGTTGAAGTAGACTTTTCTGAGTAGCTCGCCATTGGTATCATATTCTGGCTGCAAAGGAGGCAACATGATGTATTCTGCACGCTGAGTGCGCATTTTGATTGAGAGGTCGACCGCCGACCTCATAACATTCCGGAGAGAGTCGAGAACCGTCTTTTCTAGCTCCTGGGGTGGGGGGAGTAGCTTCGAAAGGGTACGGTAAATTTCTTGAACTACGGCCTCGGTATCCTGCGCGCGTAGTTCCTTGAATGACGGTCTCTTGGAGAGAAGGGTCAATGTGGTGGCTCTCCATTTATGGACAGCGTTTGGCGGGCCGACTTCTGACAGGTGCTTTTCGAGAGTTTTTAATTTTTGTCGTTGCTCCCTGTCCATTCCGAACAGGTATCGGGTGAAGATGTACTCCCACATCATTGTCATTGCAACTGACATGAACACGTCCCTTCGTCTAACCCGGTCGGCGAGATATGTGTCGACGTCGGTTCCGTCTAGGATGGCATTCTCGAACCGGTCGGCAATCTTTTCGTCGCGAAGGACGCCCGTCGTGCGACAAACGCGCATATCCGAAAATTTGGAGAATCTCAGGACCCATTGCTGAACGTGTTGGCACAGCTTCTGGCAGGCGCTGTCAAAGTAATCTTCATCGTGGAAAACAAGGATGTCGTCTTTGGAGGCACTCTCGATCTGCTGCTGGAGCTCCTTGATCTTGTCTTGCGCCTCTGCTAGGTTGTCGCGCAACAGCTGTATTTCGGCATCTTTATCGGCCAGCGCGTTGCTGACTTCGTGCTTGACTATCTGGTCCAGGCCTGAGGATAGCTGGGTGTACTGCGCCCTGGCCTTCTCCAGCTCCTGCTGCGCTTTCTCCCATTCTTCCTTGTAGTTGGAGCTGTCACCGCCGTCGAGGGCGCGAGAAGCAGCGTACCCGGCGCTGGCGGCCACAAGCCCTTCATTGACCTCCGTCAACCTCGCTATCTCCTTCTGAAGCCAGTCCGACGACTTCTGCAGCTTCTGGATCTCCAGCTCTTTGTTTTGCAGCGCCTGGTCACGTGCTTCCAGTGCGCGCGCATGTTGGCGCTGGGCGACGGCGTGGTTCTCAATGGCCTTTTCGGCAGCGGCCTTGGACGAGCCCAGTAGACGGTTTTCCGACACGAGCTGGTCCAGACGGGACTCGAGGTCCTGGAGGTGCTGCAAGCTGCGGCGTCGGCGCACACTGGGCGGGCGCGTAGGCGACAGCGGCGGGGTGCCCTGGACATCGCCCCATCCTTCCTAAGAGCGAGGTTAGCACTGTAATATCACTGACCCATGGCTATAACTTACATAAACGTCAGCGGCCATGCCTCGCAGCGGCGCTTTGCCCTTGTCGGTGACGGGATCGTAGGTTGAAGACGACGGAAGTTGAGCTTCTTCTGCTTCTGCTTCTTCTGCGGCGCGGAGGCTGGGGGACGGAGTGCGGGTTCTTCCGCGCCGGAGGTCACGTTGGCTCGCCGCTTTAAGGTCGGTGCTGCGGCTGCTTTTAACCCGGCGCAGGCTGGGGGGAGTCGACGCCGGGCTGGCGATGCGGTCGACGGCGGCGCCAGAACGGACGGTGTCCTTCTTCTCGGGCCCGCGGTAGATGGCGGTGGCCTCGGGGGTCAGCTGGGGCAGCGCTGGCGGCGTCTCGAAGGGTGGTGAGATCGCGGCGTGTTCTTTGATCGGAGCCAGGGGCGTCTTGGGGGGGGAGACCGATCTCTCCTTTTCGGCGAGTCCATATGGTCCGCCAAAGAGAGACGGCGGATCGAGGGAAGACTTGGCCTGTTCGAGCTGTCTGGACTGTCCGAGGGGAGAGTTGGGCAGTTCAAGGGATCTCGGCTCGTCGTCCAGCTTTTCGGGAGTCGGGAGCAGTGCGTGGGGAGTATCAAGGGGCTCGTCCTGCTCGATGGACTTGTACAAGTGCTTGGGCGTAGGCGTGGACGGGAATTGTTCGAATCTATCTTCCCTTTCAGGACGAACCGGGGTCGTGTAGCTGAAATCCCGGGTCGAAGGCGAGGAGTGAAAGAGTAATGCGGAGGACCGTTCCTTTGAGCTCGATTCAACCGAGAATGGATCCTCGTTTCCCGAGCGTTTTGGCGTCGGTGGCACCGTTTCGCTATCAAAGTCATCGATTGACCTGGAAACGGCCGTGTCTTGCACCGGGACATCCTCAACCGGCTGATTGATGGTTTTGTGAACATCGCCGGGAGCCTCAGGTAGATCAATATCCATATCCCTGGAAGTCGTCAAATTGTCATTGACTAAACCTGCGTCTTGACGTTCGACATTGCTATCTCCAATTGGAAACTCACGTTGCTCGGACCAGTCAGGTACCTCCAGAGCTTCTGTTGGCATAGGATGAGGTTCAGGTTGAGGTTGAGATTCAGGTTCGGGTGTTGGTAGCTGGGCGTCTACATTGTCAGGGGAAGGGTCTTCGAAAGCCTGGTTTTTGCCCTTTCGCTTGGTTTTCTTTCCCCTCTTGCTTACGACCAACGACGGCAGGTCGTCCTCTTGCCCGCTCTGTAAATCGTTTGGGGATTGAAGAGAAGGCTCAACTGTTTTGACAGGATCCGCCGGTTCAACTGGTAGTTCACGAGGTGCATCCTGGGGGCTCTGTTCCGTTTCGACTGTCGACTCTGGCTTTGCTGATTTTTTGCCCTTGTCTTTAGATTTCTTTCCCTTTTTCTTAGTAGCGGTTGGGAAGAAGTCTTCCTCTTGGCCGGGGATTTCCTTTAAGGGCTCTGAGGTTGGCTCGATGATTTCAGCTGGAGCCTCGGGTTCAGGGGAAAGCTGGGAGAGTGGTGTATCTTTGACTTCGTCTGTTACCAGTTCAGCTGCTTTGGTCTCCTCTTCCCGTCGGTTCGCGTCTTTGGATTTCTTTCCCTTTCTCTTGGTAACATTGGGTAGGAAATCTTCCTCTTGATGCGGCTCCGTAGAAGGCTCTAGCACCGAATCGAGATTTCTCACAGTATCCTCAAATCCAGCATCTTGAGTATTCGCTGTCTCCTGATGATCTTGTGGTTCGGGTGCGGCCCATTCAATATTCTCGACAGCACGACTTTTAGCCTTGGATTTTTTCCCCTTTTTCCCCTTGGTCGTCATCAACACTTCTTCATTTGCAGGCTCCATTGCAGGCTCCATGGCGGGTTCCAATGCAGGCCCTGGGGTTGATTCAGCGGGTCCGGCGAGATCTTGAGGCTCAGTGCTTGATGGGTCTGGTAAAATCTCCATTTCAAGTTCGCGGGTTTCGTTTTTTTCTTCCTCACGACCCTTTCCCTTCTCTTTTGACTTCTTTCCCTTTTTTCCCTTCTTCCCCTTGGCTTCCTTTAATGGCCAGGTTTCTTCCTCTTGCGTTGAGCTCTTTGGAGTGTCAGCGGGTTTTTCGGCTTCCACCCTCTCTGTCGGCTCCAGGCTGCACTCCTTTCCCATCAATACGTCTTCCGTGCCTTGTTCCTCAGTGGAGATAGGCTCCATAGGCTGGGTTTTATCATCTGAGAACGCTGGGGCTAGGTCTTTGGAATCGTGAGCCTCGGTCGTCATATGCCCAACGAAAGGGAGAGCGATGTAATCCTCCGTAGACACCTCTCTAGAGTCGTCCTCTATCGCTAGAGGATATTGCGCATCAGGACCCTGGGGTACGTCCTTCGGGGTTTCATCGATCTCCATAGCTGAATCGGCCTCAAGTTCAGGGGTACCATCGCTTTTCGTCAACGCAGTTTCATCATGCACTCCCTTAGACGGAGGCAAATCGGGAACGGGTGGACTTTCTACCTCCTGCCACTTGGGGGACGAATCCATATGAGTATCGTCAGCCTCAGGTATCGATGACTTGGTTGGTTGGACTGGGTATAGATCATCCATATCCTTCGACTCGCCCAAGTCGATTGTCTCTGGGTTTTGTTCAACCATAGGGATGCTAGGTGCCGTTCCCATCGACTTATATTCATCCCTGGGTATTGCGTCTTCGTTGAAATCTCCAATATCATCTGCCGCTGAGTCTGGAAGGTCCTGGTGGTGAAGTTCGGGGGTATCGTTCGTCACCTCATGGTCGCCTGAAAGCTGTAGATCCAATGACGCCGTCTCCACCTCTCGTTCGTTATCAACCTGAGGGTACGGAATAGTATTAGATACATTTTCTTGGACTTGGTCCCAGTCAATAGTTGGCCATACCTCATCCTCTCTATGAGCTTCAACCTCACTAGCAACAGGCATATCAACCTCAGGATCAGCTACGGGGGGTTCCGTGGTAGGCTGCTCGATTTCTTTCTTTTCTTCTTCAATCGAATTGTCAACATCGCCTCTCGTGGAGTCGAAAACGTTCCTTTTCTTTTTCTTGCTTTTCTTGGAGGATCGTCCCGATACAATAGGTTCCTGCGAAATCTCTTCTTTCTCCCCTTCATTTCCTCGTTCTGTTCCCGGTTCAGTTCCTGTCGCATCGTTGGAAACATCAGGCTCTACCAGCGAAGCCATCACAGATTTACCATGCTTTTTTTGTTTTTTCGATTTTTTCGTTGAGCTGGAACCCCCCCATGCAAATTCGTCGTTCGTTTCCGTCGTTGCAGTAGGGACTCCTGACGGGGCAGAATTGTCATCCAGTGAGCGTGAGGTTGGCTGAGAGGCCTCCGCTGCCGCGATTGGATCAACGGACGTGTCCGTTAGAGCAGAGGGTTCTTCCAATTCGTTGGTTGAGCTTTTAGCAAGCCCATCTAATCCCTCAGGCATGGGTGCAATGGCTGCTTTGTCGAAATTTGTATCCTCGTCAACATCAGCCACGTTATCTAGCCCCCGTGAAATTAGACTGGGCTCCTCGGTATCGTTCTTGGAGGGCTCTTCTTGGACATCAACTGAAGCTTTTCGGCCCTTCTTCTTGGCTGCCTTCTGTTCTTTCTTGGACAGGGTCCGGGGCGGTGGTGTTTCGGGATCAACAATGGCTGGCTCCAGAACGTTAGGCTCTTCAGGTAGCCTTTCCATGCTGCTCTCTGGCATTTCGGGGGCAGCAGGGGCCTCTTCCTCCAATACAACAGCCTTCTTCTTCTTTTTATCCTTTTTCTTCTTACCCTTTCCGCCATGTTGGAATGGTTGCTCGTCAGTGACCATTTCGGTGTGAGGAATAGGACTCGCTGGAATTTCTTCCTGAGCGTTGTCAAGGGGGAAGGCTGAATAATGGCGGGCATCGGGGATTGGTTGTTTGGGGGAGTCAAGAGATAAATCTGGTTCTGGCTTTGGATCCTTAAACAGAGTCTCTTCCATGATCTCACCAGGGACTGTGTCTGTTGGCGCAGAATGGGAGAATTCGGTGGATGGGGGTTGATCTAGGACTGGGTCGTCATGAGATTCTTTGCATTCCATGAGGTCAGTGGGCTCAGATTCCAGGGTCGCCGTTTCTTCCCCGATGGCCATTGGTTCCTGCTGGGCCATGGATTCACCGCAAGTCTCGTCTGATGGTCCCTTTGCTGCAGTTAAAATTTCGGACTGATCTTCGGTAGAGGGCCATGCATGCGTGCTGAGCGATGGAGGTGGGGAGCTCGATTGTTCTTGTGGCTCAGGTAGCAAAGGTTCGATAGGAGTATCCCCTAGACCGATTGATGTTAAGTCTTTATTCTCATCAGGTGATATTTCATTGGCAGGATTCTCAGCGGCGCTCTCTTGGGCATTTTCTTCAGTCCCATCATCGAGAGATTGCCCGGGTCCGGTGCTCTTTACTTCCTTGGGCGTTTCAATACCTTCTTTGACCGTTTCGTCCAAGTTTTCTTCTGGCTCCACGGCTTCCTCCAATGATGCTAGCAGAGGGACTGTTCCGGCATTAGCAACTTCATCATCGGCAGTGGATGTTGGGTCCTCGATGGTGGCTATGTCATCCATGGGGGGTACATCAAAGTCGTTCAAGGAGTCTGATAGCTTCGATTCCGCGGGGACAGCTGGAGAATTGCTTGGGAGAACATTTCGTAATAAAGGATCCGGGGCATCGGTAGTTGTGTCAAATTCTTTGGGAGGTTCTTCATTGAAAGATAACGATCGCTGCTGGGGCTCAAACTCCATGGGAGGGATTGCAGGTTCATTGTCAACCTGCGTAGGCGGAATTTCATCAGTCCAACCAGAAACTTTAGCCTTTTTCTTACTTTTACTCTTCTTCTTAGATTTAGAGAGCTGAAATTCTTTACCGTCCACGTCTGGGTTACCAATCCTACTATCACCACCACCGTCACGTCCGAGCTCAGTTGTGATAGCATCTGGTCGGTCGACATCCATATCATCTGTGCCTTGGTCGATCGAACGGGGCTCGGTTGTCTGCCCTGTTTGATCTTCGTGCTGTTGTTCCATAGCATGCCCTTCCGGCACAGGTTCCATGGCTGATGTAGGCTCTGGTAAAACATCAAGGCCGGTTGGGACTGGCGTCTCCGGTTGGGCATCTTTAGCGTCCTGAGAAGCCTGAGGTACCTCGTCCGTCCAGTCCAATGCCTGCTTTGATTTCTTGCCCTTTTTCGCCTTTTTCTTTTCCTTGGCAGTCAAAGGTTGCTCAAAGGGGGTTTCTATCGATACGTTCTCGATGCCTAGAGCCTCCTGACTTGAAGGCTCAACAGCTGCATTTTCTGGAGGTGGTGATGCTTCTATAGGTTCGGGTTCGCCTTCCCACGGAAGAGATTCTTGATTCTTTTTCTTTTTCTTCTTTTTCTCCTTTGCCGACAGCGGTTTTTCAGGAGCTTCTTCTACCGTTGTATCGATATCCAAAGCCTTGTCGCCCAGGGGCTCCATAGGGAGACTCTCGGATGGCGGTGGTACCTCTTTTATAGGTTCAGGCTCATCCTCCAAAGTCATCTGTTCTTTGCCCTTCTTCTTTTTCTTTTTCTTTTCTTTCGCTGACAACGGGTTTTCAAGGGCCTCTTCCACCGGGGTGGTATCGGCTGCCAAAGCTTGATCCGTTAGATCTTCCGCAAGAGGAGTTTCGGGTGTTGCTGATGCTTCTATGGACTGGGGTTCCTCGTCCCAAGACTTTTGCTTTTGATTCTTTTTCTGCTTTTTCTTTTCCTTGGCTGTAAGAGGTTTTGCAGTTGGCGTTTCCAGAACGGGTTGATCTTCTAGAGGGCCAGTGGGTAGATCCTCAAGAGGGGCTGGCGCTTCCGTGGTTTCAAGTTCATTTTCCAAGGGCAACGACTGACCCTGCTTCTTCTTCTTCTTATTTTTCCTTTCTTTAGCAGTGAGTGGCCTTTCAATTGGCGTTTCTGTAGTAGCCTTGTCAATGCCTGAAACCTGCGCCTCTACAAGGTCAGGCCGTTCCTCAATGACCTCTGCGGGCTTATCTTCCACAAGCTCAGCAGGAATATCCTCCACAGGTTCAGTAGGCTGTGCTTCTATAACCTCAACAGGAACATCCTCCACAGGCTTAGTAGAAACATCCTCCGCAAGCTCAGCAGAAATACCTTCTATAGGCTCAACAGGAATATCTTTCACAAGCTCAGCAGAAATATCCTCGACAGGCTCAGTAGGAACATCCTCCGCAAGCTCAGCAGAAATATCCTCGGTAGGCTCAACAGGAATATCTTTCGGAAGCTCAGCAGAAATATCCTCGACAGGTTCAACTGGAATATCCTCGACCGGCCCAGCAGGAATATCCTCGACAGGTTCAACAAGAATATCCTCGACAGGCTCAACAGGAATATCCTCGACAGGCTCAGCAGGAGTACCCTCCAAAGGCTCGGTAGGCTTGTCCTTTATAAGCTCAGTAGGGATATTCTCCTCAATCTCAGTAGGCTGTGCTTCTACAAGCTCAGCAGGGATATCCTCCTCAATCTCAATAGGCGGCTCTGCCACAAACTCAGTAGACTTGTCCTCCACTTTCTCTGCAGGCTGTTCCTCTACAAGCTCAGCGGGTTTGTCCTCCACCGTCTCTGCAGGCTGTTCCTCCGCAAGATGTGCAGATTTATCCTCCTGGGGCTCCGAGAACTGATTCTGCTGAGATTCAAGGTCCTTATCCTCCACCGGTTCGAGAGGCCCATGCTCCTGGGGCTCCGACAGCTTATCATCCAGAGATTCTGCAGGTGGATCTTCTAGGGGAGCTGGTGTTTCTATAACTTGGGATTCACCATCCGATGGCATTGACTGGTTCTTTTTCTTTTTCTTCTTCCTTTTTTCCTTGGCTGTGAGAGGCTTTTCAATTGAAGTTTCCAAAGCTGTATTGTCAATGCCTGAGGGTTGATCCTTAGCGGACTCTGCGGCGGTATCGAGCTGAGACATTGACGGCATGTCCTCCATGGACTCCAAGGGCTTATCTTGCTGGGACTCTAACAGCTTATCCTCCTCTTGAGGCGCTGACGGTTTATCCTCCTCTTGAGGCGCTGACGGTTTATCCTCCTCCTGGGGCCCTGACGGTTTATCCTCTTGAGGTTCTGCGAGTGAATCCTCGACAGGGGCTGCCGCTATGGGTTGAGGTTCATCATCCCGGGACTGATTCTTCTTCTTCTTCTTTTTCTTCCCCTTCACTGACAAGGTTTTTTCGAGAGATGGCTCCTTGGAAAAACTATCCGCGTCCACTGGCTGTTGCTCCCTTGAAGCTTCCGAAACCTGGGGCTCTGCTGCAGCTTCGAGTGGCTCCTCAACTGAGACTCTTGAGGGCTGAGATTCTATCGTAATGTCATCAACAGGCAAGGCCTGCTCGTTCGATGATTCCACGAGCTCACGCCCAGTCAGACTATTATCAAGGCCTGGAGGCTGCTCGCCCGAGGATTCAAGAGGCTGGGGTTCCGTTGGCGTCTTACCGATGGCCGATGGCTGATCGCTCAAGGGTTCGGAAGGTTGGGATTCTTTGTACCCGTCATCAATGTCCAATTCCAATGAACGGGTACCTGAGGGCCCAGGTTCGTCTTTAGGCGTAACAGGTTCAACCGACAATTCAGTGACCTGGGCTTCCTCTTCCATAGCTAATGACCCTCGATTCTTTTTCCGTTTTTTCTTTTCCTTGGCTGTCAATGGTTTCTCGAACGTGGCATCCATGGAAGCATTATCGGCACCTAATGGCTGATCGCCAAGGGATTCCAAAGGTTGCGATTCAGGAGAAGAATTTTCGATGCTGACCCGTTCGTCCTCCAAAGGTTTCGGGGGTTGGTCTTCAGGGCTCTTCGCTGGTTCTGCGGTCTGCGCTTCATCTTCCCAAGGCTGCACTTCTCGGTTCTTCTTGCCTTTCTTTCCCTTCTTATCTTTCTTGGATTTGGCAGGTTTTGTAGCTTCCCCAATGTTAGATAGTTCTCCTGCTCGCAGGTCGGGTTCTTCAACAAGGCTTTTAGGCTGCGCAGTTTCGATTTCCCCAGCATCTTTTGCGGTATCCGAATGTTTCTCTACAAGGCCCGCTTCACCTGACGTCAATTGAGTTGGCACCTCATGCTCAGCATCTATTGGCAATGGATTCTCCTTGGGCGGTTCACCCATCTCGAGCGAGGAGTCAACAGGTATATCCTTCTCCTGCTCCGGAAGATTAGGACTAGCACCTAAGAAGTCGTCCACTTCCTTTTCTATCAATTGACCACCTCCGATATCTTCAATAACCTCTGTTTGCTGTTGAACAGGTAAGGCAGTATTCTCAGCATTCTCCTCGACGTTACTTGCCTCAGGAACCATTTCCTCTGATGCATTGGCCGATGGTATTTGCTTTTTCTTGTCCTTTTTCTTTTGCTTTTTAGATTGCTTCGATGTTGACCGCACATCAAGTTGAGAACTGCTGTCGCCAGGCACATGTGGTGGGCTATCATTGGCTGCTAACCCAGCTTCGGCCGCATTAGCGGCTTCATCCGTTGACAAGGGTAAAGCCTTGGATTCCTCCACATCAAGTGATTGTTCTTCTAACATCGGTGGTTCGGTAGGTATTTCACTTGGAGCGACAACCAGAGCATCCTCGGCGTCATTGGATCTCACCGGTATTTCAGAAGTTTCTGCGGTGGGTTCCGCAGGTGTAGGTGTTTCAACATCAGGAGGAGTGGCATTTTTGCGGTCCTTTTTGGCCTTCTTTCCTTTCTTCTTCTTTTGTTTAGGTTCCGGCTCTGCTGTCTCTCCAGGTCTATCAGCAGGGGTGGGTTCCGGCTCTTCATCCGCCAACTCATCCGGGGTTGCAAGCTTGGCCGGCGCATCCACATCTTGAACGGTGTCAAAGAACATATCGGTTTCACTTTGGTCGCCTTTCTCGTCTATTTGGTTACTTGGTGCAAGATCGGGAGAGCGACTACCAACCACTATATCCTCTAGAGTTTCACGCGCCTCTGTAGTAGAAGAAGATTCCAATGCTTGAATCTCAGGCTCCTTAGTGTAACCGGAAGAGGTCGAAGCGGGTTCTCCAACGGTGGTGGTATCTAACGGTACTTCATCACTGAAGTCTCTCGCATCGACGTCCCTATGAAGCGAATAGTCTTTGATCGGCAGCTGGTCATGGTGCGAGGAAGCTAACGAATTCATTAAAGAATCGTCCAATTGCGTGGGCTCCTCCGCGGCTACTTGGCTGATTTCTTCTAAAATATTCGCTTCATCGAGATCTGGTAGTGGTAGTGGGATATCCTGTGCGTTTTGATGCGGACTGTGAGGTAGAGACATTGCTGGCTCATTTGGAGGATCTTCTAGCTGCACCGATGTTACAGCTAGCCCAGGTTCTTCATGGACAAATTTGAGGGCATTGATTTCATCAAGATCCACCTCGGGTAGAGGAGTGTCTTCTGCACGAGCTTCTTCTAAAGTAGAGTCTACCCCCAAAGGCAAATCACGTTGACTTGGGGCTTCATGCTCCACTGCATGACCATGATGAGGTTCCTCAAAGACGTCCGAGACATGATGCTCAGGGTCAATGACAACTTCTGCTTCCTCAAGAGGGTTAATGATTGGACCGGCAGAGTCACCCGCTATTGGAACTTTTTCCATTTCTGGAGGGCTACTTTTTGCTTCGGGGATAACATCCGCGCCGTCTTGGATATCACGTTGAAAATTCTGATGCATGTCAAAGGCAGGCTTGTCTGTTTGATCATCAACATCTCTCATTGGAGCCTCCAAATCTTGGCCCTGGTCTTCAACTACTTTTTCTTCTGTTGGTGGAGTAGAGATGAAGAACGGAGGCACCTCGGGTTCCTTGCTAGGCTCTTCAGCAGGCTCTACCACAACAGGCTCTTCTACCACAGCTTTATTCTTTCGGCCTTTCTTATTTTTGCCCTTCTTGCTCTTGGATTTCGCAGTTGATTCAAGAACGGGTTCAGGTACTGCAGGCTCGGGTTCGACAGATTCAGGTTCGACAGTTTTGGGTTCGACAGGTTCAGGTTCAACTGATTCAGGCTCGCCGGGTTCAGGCTCGACAGTTTTGAATTCGACAGGTTCAGATTCGACTGATTCAGGCTCGACGGGTTCAGGTTCGACAGTTTTGGGTTCAACGGGTCCAGATTCAACTGATTCAGGCTCGACGGGTTCAGATTCCACCGGCTCTAACTTGGTTTCTTCAGCAAAAGTACTGGAGGCAGCCTCTTCGGTTGGGCGTTGATCAGGATTCGTGACAGGGATTGAGTCCGGTGAGCTATCTAGGGGCACTTCTCTCTCAGCTTCAATCTCGGCGACAGGCCCAGTACTCGGTTCTTCAGCAACTGTAATCTCAGGCTCTACAGGTGATGCAGTAACAACAGCCTCCGCATTGCGATCCTTCCGCTTCTTTTTCTTGCCCTTTTTAGATTTTGATGGCATTGAGAGTTCGGGTGCCTGGGCTTCTTCTTTCGCAGCCTCAGATTCAGGCTGCTTTTGATCTCCGTCGTCTTTATATGCAGTTCCGATGGACTCAAGGTCGATGTCTTTGGATATAGACTCTTCATTTGGTGCAACAGGGGTCGAAAACTCAGCGCTAGGTGTGACAATGCCGCTCTCCTCGGGCAGTTCGTGATCGGATGCCAAGCGAGTAGGAGTAGTTGGCGAGTGTAACTCTCTTTGATAGGATGGGCTCATGGGCGCCTGGCTGCTGGCATCTACGAAGTGGTCCTCGTCGACTGATTCATATTCGCTAGCCTCACCACCACGGTAAGCTAGTGGGATTTCCGTAGGGGTAACAGGGGCTGTATCTGAAGTTGAGCCTTCAGCGGGTGTTTCATAGGAAACCTCTTCAACAGCACGATGCGTCGGCTGTGGTGTCAAAGAACGGTCGATATCTTCAGGGATCATGTCATTATCCACATCTTTGTCGGCATCGGGGCTGCTTGGGCGGCTGTCGGGAAGTGGTGGAAGCTGTTCGGTAGAAATTGTCTCTGCTGCTGCTTCTGAAATACTCTCGCCTTTATCATTAGTTTCAGAGCTTGAAGGCGCCGAGACACCCTCATCAACGTCAGAAGTTTCATCTAAAGCAGGAGCCTCCCGTAGCACTGGGAGGTCTTCTTCGACCGGCGAAGCAGGCAAAGGCGGCAAGTTCTGCAGGTCCATATAATGCAACCCCATACCAACATCGTCATCATGTATTGCAGTACCTTCAGGCGACTGTGGTGCCTCGTCTGGCATGGATCGAGGTATTTCCACGTTGAGCATTGGGTCCTCCAGGAGCTCCGATGGGGAGTGGAATTCATACTTCGGTTTCTCCTTTCGTTCTGCATCTTGTCGTTTAAATGTGGCCGCAGTGGGCGTGGCTTGCTGGGAACCCAAAATATCTGCATCAAAAGAAGGATGGTCAGTAGCAACTTGTAATGATGGTCGGCGCCTTGGGGTTGAAAAGAAATCCGTAGATCCTTCGCCATCAAGAGCAGCGGCCCGTAAATCTTCAACCGATGACATTCGAGACGTGGATCTACTTGAAGGCAGGGAGGGGTATGATTCCTCCACCGGCTGTTCGGCTTTACTGGTGTGTCGTTCGACAAGCCATAATGGTCTAAACTCACGATTCGTCTTAAACTCAGTAGACTTGGGCCGCTTGTGTCCTGATTTCGGCCTGCTTGGAGAAATTTGGGTGTCATGGGCTGATCTATCAGGGGTTGAAGGTGGCCGGCGAAGTTGTATAGGGATGGCAGTCGGAGAACTGTTGAAGTCGCCGAAACTGAAGCCCCCGCGCCACGATACTCGTTTTGCAGTATCTGGTGGTGAACGTGATTGAGACGAAGGCCGGCTGACGGATTGAGCAGGAAGGTCGACAATTTTCTCGCCAGGCAGCGGGCAAACCGAGCGGCTTCGGCCACGAGATGGTAAGTTCAGCTGCAAAGGAACTGCTGTCCCAGGGGTCGGAATGCTGCTTGCGGGCTCTCCGCCAGCAGGAGTAGAGTCGTGCCCCAAAGTACCACCGGGAACGGACGGTATTTCAGGGCTACCTCCTAAAAAAGACCTCGATGTTCGATCACTCTGTGAAGGTTCGTCCTCTTGTTGTTTAGCACTACGGGTGTCATGGCGAATCTTGTCCTGAGAGTCCTGTCAGCAATAGAAATGGTATTATTAAACACTATTAGTTACATACTTCGTCATCACTTGCTTTTCCAGACTCAACGATTTGTTCATATCGACTTTTACGACTCTTTTTCCGGTCTTTACTCTTTTGCTTTTGTTGATCCTCAAAATCCGCGTCATCTAGATTTACTGGCTCGATATCTCGTGAGGTGGCTAGGTCATTGTCATCTGGCTTGATTTCATCGTCGTCAGCACGGCGATCTTTTTTCGACTTCTTCTTTTTCTTTGAGCTTGTTGAAATTTCAGACGGGGCAGGTGATCGGTCTCTCTCTTTTGAATGCTTCTCCTTATTGCTGGTGGAGGAGGAACCGAACAGTCCGAAAAGGCCTCCAGATCTTTTCTCGTTACCATTTGAGTAATCTTTTGCTGTCTCAGATTTAGCTCGCGACGAAGAAACTATTGATGCGTCGTCATCTTTCGGCCTGGAGCTCCCAACAACATCAGACTGGGATTCGATCAGTTCGCTATATCGTTTTGAGCGGCGTTTTGACTTAGACTTTCCTCTTTCTAGCCCTTCGTCCTCGTGGATTGACATTGGAGCACTAGGTTGGGTGTTGCGGTCAAGAGAGTCGTCTATTTCTACATCGCGAGTACTGGGCTCCACGAACTCATCGGCGAATATATCGTCCTCCTCGGTGGTGCGGCGTTTACTTTTCCCCTTTGACTTCTTTGACTTTTGCGCGGTAGTAAACTCAGGATCTTCTGCTGGGATAGGCTCCGCAGGTGTAGGGAGAGAACCATCTCCTCGGTCGGCGGTACCGTCGTCAGCCCAAACGTCATCAAAGTCCCCTGGCATTGAAGAGTGAGAGCGATTATCGATCTCACGATCTCCAACATTGCGGGCTGACGAGCCGTTACTCGCCGGGGTTATTTGAACATGCTCATTATCGGCCAAAGGCAAAGATGAAGGTGCCATATCCTCTTCAGCGTCTTGCCATGTCTCAGGCCGGTATGCAGATTTTCCTTTGCGATCATCTACTGCTTCCTCGAAATTCATACCACGGCGATCCTGGCTTGGGGCATCTTCCACATCAAACAAGTTTCTGCCCACGGGTTTTGGTTCATCAATAGGCGCGGCTTCCACCAGGTGAGAAAATTCTTCTGAGGGTTTCGATTGAGCGTAGGCAGACCCTTCTTCCCAATCCGGCTCAAATGACTTCTGACCGGAAGACTTGTCCTTCTTCTTAGCAGCTTTCTGTTTTTTCTTGTCTTTCTTGCTAAGCTTCCCAGGTGATATTTCAGGTATTTCGCGGCTAGAGGTCTCTTCAGGCTGAGCGGTTTCCATTTCTTGATAGGCATGCTCTGGTAGCGGTTGCGTCGAGGCATCCATGTTTCGGTAAAAAGAATCATTGCGCTTAGAGTAATAATCCTTCTCGGCCTCGTTGTCAGACGTAGGTAGGGATTCTCCTTCAACAAAACCTCGAACGGGGGATACTGGCGTCTCATCACGAATACCACCAAGGCCATCCTCGCTTTCTGATCCAGGAGGCGAAACACGGCGGTGATAAGTTGGGTTATCCGTGACAATAGCAGGGTCAAAACCTGACATGGCAGCACCAGCAGCAAGAGTAGCTGCGAAGTCGATATCGTCGGCAAATTCACCAGGCATATGGTGAGGGGGTGAAGAAGTATCAGGACTAGATTCAGGCTGGTAGGAGCCAACCTTTCGCGGCACAACCTCGATATCCTCATGGTCATCCAATTTTTTAGATGCTCCCACAACGTCAGGCACAATAGTTGTAGGGATGGCAATGTCCTCTACATCTGCATCCCGTTTCGGGTCGCGAACACCACGCTCTACAATATCTCCAATGTCTCTATCATTGTGAACGGCGGATGGCTCGGGGACAATGACGACAGGGTCCGCAACGCGTTCCTTTGGCTCGCTGGCATCTCCCAAAATGGAACTGGTTCTGCTATGAGGCGGCGTCGGCTCAATTACATTCAAATGGGGAACTGGCCATGGTAAGTTTGTACTCTTGACTGGCTCATCCTGCAGCGCTTCACTATCAAGTCCCGCGCCACGGGGTTTAATGACACGGAATTTTGCAGCTCCCGATGTAGCTGTCGGCGTCGAATCAGGGATTGACTCAGCGCTAGATTCACGGCGAAGCTCCGGGGGAGCGAAGTAGTCGGCATAGCTTTCATAAGTTGGCTTGCTTCTGGGCTTTCGGGTTGGTTTCTTGACTACCTCCTCAGGCTCTACAACGATATCATCATCAGGAAGGTCGAAACGCTTCCCTGATGCCGTTGATGATCCCATGTCAGATTCGGGGTAGCTACCGCGGTCTCTGCGACGCTCTTCGGGGGGCTCTTCTTTTTTACGCTTTTGAGCATCCGATATGTGATCAGCTGCGAATGCAGCGGCGGCCGCGGTGACAGGGATAGCAACTCCTGTAGGCAGAGCCCATGGATGAGATGAGCCAGTGTCCTTTTCACTTAGCTGGTCCTCAAATGTTTCCGCGGGTGGCGGGGAAATGTCCCTTCCCTCACGGCGGCGAGAGCGCTTGGGTTTGGTTATCCGGATCTCTGAGTCTGACACAGGCTCGTCGTCCCGTTGGTATCGTCGGGGCTCTCTCCTGCCGTCCAGCTCTAGCTGACGCATCTCTTTATCTTGCTGTTCTTTTGTCAATTCGAATTGGACGCCTTTGATCGTCGAGCTGCGTTTGGGTAGGTCCGATCTTGAGATATAGGATTGCTGGCTGCTGAGGACTGGGGAAGAATCTCGCCTTCTGCGTTCCATCTTCTTCGCTGGTAAATCACTATCGTCAAAATGGTCTCTCCTTTTTCTAGTTTTATCCACACCTGTTCCTATATCACCAGAAAAGCCCGCCACTGGCTCATGATCGTATTTTCCCGGTAAGGAAATAGGTGCAGCTGGTATTGCTTCCTTTTTCCGATACTTGTCTGCGCCTATACCACTAACCGTCTCCTTGGGGAGTTTAGTATCATAGTGCTCTCGACTACTCCCGGGTGATGGGACTAGTGGTGAAACGATATCCTTAGTCTGGTGTTGCTCTGCTGGTATACTCCCTACAGAGTCTTTCAGAGGGTGGTCGGTGTAATATTCATGTGCGGTCCCAATCAATGCCGCGCCAGCCACTGCAGCTGCAGCCGCTGGTGCAATTTCTTTAAAGACATGCTTCGATTTTGCGGCTTCGGGCTCCGTGTGAGAGTAGAGTGAGCTAGAGATAGGAGCTACGGGTTTTGGCTGGTCGACTTCGGTGGGTTGGGAATGGGAGATATACATCGGGCTTGTCGTGTCATAGGATGATATTGGAATACCAGTTGAGGAGGAATGGCGCGGGTTGCGGGAGGGTTGCGTGGAAGATTGTTCGGAAGCTGGGATTGGCTCCACATTTTGCATGGAAGGAAGGCTGGTGAAGCTGCTGGAGGGCGGAGGATATGAGGCTTGGGAATTTCGTCCGTTTGTATCAGGTTTATAGGGGAGGGTTGGAGATTGTCGTCTCTTTTTTCGGGAATTCCCCCAGCGCCATCCCCATTTCGAAGTCCCGGAGTCTGATGTGAACGAGTCTCGGCTACGTGATGACGGTCCTCCGTATGCTAGACCTGAGTACCCTGAAGAGGACTCATCTGATACAGATTCCCAGTTGTCATCTGCAGAAGTTTTGTGCTTGTTGTTCGATTTTCGTTCCTTGACTGCCACGAGGCCATGCTGTCGCCTACCATTTGCGATGGAGGCTGTAGCTGCAAGCCCAGCTGCAGTAGCACCCAGGCCTAGGAGCTTCGCATCAATATTCTCATCACGCTTCCGGCCCTTTCCCTTTTTCGGAGTCCGTGATTTAAGGAAACCGGAGCCAAATGCAAGGTCACCGTCATCTGACGACGAATACGTTGATCCAAGGCCGAAAAATCCCTTTTGTCTCTTGCGAGGACTGGCACGACGGGTTCTGGATTTCTCTGAGGGCGCGCTAAAGAAGGTTGAGAAGCTGGCTAACCCTTTCCTAGCAGGAGGCCGTGATATGTCGATAATGGAGGAGCTAGAAGACGAGTATCGTCGACGAGGTTTCCTAGGTGACCTGCTCCTACTACCACCACGTACCCGTCTCTCCTTGTGTCCGTGGCCCATCGACGATACCGCTGCCGCCGTACCAAGCGCTCCCGCTGTGATAGCCGCAGTCTTCAGACCAGACCTAGATTTACGGTCACCAGACGACGAGCGTGATCTATCGCGTAGGAGGTATCCTTCGGACTTAGACCTCGAATGGCCTGACACGGATGACTTGGAAAAATCGCTTCTAGAATCATACCTATCAATTCTCTGCCCGCCTGCTATAGTAGAAGGTGGGTAAGAGCGATCTGATATAGCGGTCTGTCCGTAAGAAGCGGTTTTAGGTCCTCCTATGCTCGAGGTTGATGATGATTTTGTACGGCGAATGGACGGAGACCGATCACGACGGTCCTTCTTCCTCTTATCAAAGAGTGTCTTGCCCACATAGGCAGCTAAACCAGCAGCAAGCCAAGATTTGCGGTTCGAGCTTTTGTGGTGACCCTCATCCTCGGAGGAGCCATAGCGACTGAGCTTATCAACTCTAGACCTACCACCAAAACTTTCATTGGAAGGTCTTCGCCTATATCGATGCTTGCGTGGTGCATCACGAGAGGTTGTTCCTGGCTCGAAGCAGTACTTGCAAATCCCTGTGATTTCTGAATATTCTTCAAACTGTGCCACGCCTTCGGGGTCTCGCCAAAAGTCAACAAACTTGCTAAGGGGCCCATGGTGGCGCTTATGATATGCCAGAGTTCCTTGTTGAAAACCTCCAATCTCTTGTTGCTGGGGCATATGGTGCGAGCTTAGTTGCGAGGCGCCGTAGTTGTGTGAATTGTGATTTGTGTTGTAGTGAGAATTGTGGTGCGAGTTGTGGTGCGCGTTTGCTGCTAGGCCAGCTGCAGCTGCGAGACCAGCCGTTGCTCCAAGAGCAGCAAGCCCACCGTGTGAGGATGACTGGTGATGTGATGATGAATGGTGATTCGAAGATGAATGATGTTGAGGCTGAGTCTCGGGATATGCTGGTGGTGCATAAGCGGTTGGAGATTCGTGGTAATTCCCGGGCATCGCGTTAGATGGCATATCAGATGGCATGCTTCCTGGCATGGTAGGTGACATGTTAGAAGGCCCGGTATGAGGCAATCCTCCAGACATGGCTGAAGAAATACCATAGCCAGCGGCTCCGGCAGCCATTCCTCCCATCACACCGGCACCAGTGCTAGGTTGAGGCGGCCCATGCGGCCCATCCCCGTGCTGTTCATACTGTGTCATGGTGGGAGGCCCGTATTCAGGTCCTGGGGAGGGGGAGATGGCGCTCGGTGTGAATCCGGGCTGGCTGGGAACAGACTGGCCCTGGTCGCCGTAGTATTCAGCCGCTGAACCGATCGTTTGCGGCAGTTGCGAGCCCTCTGGGGGTGGATAGGAACCCGATGTTGGATGGTAGTTAGATTGATGTTGTGGTAGGGAGCCAGGACCAGATGTCGAAGGTAGAGGGTAGTTGGTATCAGTAGGGTATAAAGGAGAGCGCGTCGTCTCGTTACCAGAAGTACCAGCTCGACCCCGGCTAGCTGGCTCGATGGGCTGGTCGTCAGAGATGCCTCGATCATTTAGAGTCCTGCTACGTCGCTCAGAGCGTGCAGATGGTTCGTATCTCTCATCGGGTTTTATTTCTTCATGCCGTCGACTTCTTCTCCTATCATCATCGTCGTATCGGTCTTTGTCCCGTCTTGATATATCTGGTTCTGTTGTCGAAGAAATATCATCGCGGCGTCTTCGTTCGCCTGGGAGGGTATCTCTATCCCGTCGTGATGTGTCCCATAAATCCGATCCCACAGTAGAAGGAGCATCATCACGGTACCTCCGTTCGTCGGTATATCTATCTCTCTCGCGACGTGGTGTGTCTCGCGAATCTTCTTCCACGTCCTCATCATGTCGTCTCCTGCGAGACCTCCGCTCTCTGTAATGGTCATCAGGGTCATCACCAATCACACTTCTCGCACCATCCAATGTACGCGAAGGAGCCTCAGAGGCTACCTCACTGGCTGCTACAATGGATCGTGCGCCATCATCTTGATCCTCGTGTCGTCGCGAGGATCGCCTCGAACTCGAATGTCTGTCCGCATCACGATCGTCACTTCGTGAGGACTTGTGTACCAAGGAGGACGAGCTATGGCGTGAGGATTTACGGTGGTGAGAGTGCGATGAAGTTTTTGAGCGGCTGTCATCATCGTCGTCGTCGTCGCGGTCTCGACGATGTCGGTGGCGGCTAGATGATTTAGAGCCCGACGATCGACTGCTCGACTGCGTTCCCAGAAGGCTTCTAAACATCTTGAGTGTGAATTGGAGCCGGCCGCTGGACGAGACAGCCTGAGAGAGGGTGTGTGGTCGTGGTAGTGAGAACGTCGACTTTGGTGTTTGTTTACCGACCTGAAGCTGGTTGTCCGGTGGCTGGTAAACGGTAAACAAGTCGACCCACGGCTGAGCGGCCGGGAAGAATCCGTGGTTGGCTGCCGGCAGGGGCAGACGAGCTTGGGAGCAGAGCTAGTGGCGCCGTCTTCGTCTTGCGATAAAGCGAGGGCGAAACACCCAGATCGCGATGGACGGAGCAGAGAGTCGTACAGAGTAGAGTATAAGTGGTTGAAGTGAATAATCTAGAGTCGTCAGGTCGTAAATCGTTGGAGACAGGCTGAGTAGTATATCGTTTTACAAGGGAAATTCGTCAATCGTAAGTCGTAAGTCGTAAGTCGTAAGTCGTCAGTTCGTCACAGTAGATCAAGTCGCAGGCTTCGCTATCAGAACAGACGCCAAAACGACGGTTTTTGTGTCAGGACATCAGTCGGCTAAGGAAGAGAGATGCGGATGATGGAGAAAGAATGCGACGATGAGAGCGAGGCGAGGAGAGATAAAAGTGCGAGATGCGATCGAGCTTGCGAATCGAGCTGAGGCTGCCTTCTTTCTGCATGTCGCACATGACCTGGATACGTTGCCACCAGCAGAGAATGTCCAAGTACAATTATCGTATATTCTGGGGAGGTCGTTGGGAAGTATCCAAGTGTACCAAATGTAGTAATCGTGAGGTCAGTGACCAGCTATATCAAAAACGCCAAAAAATATATCTACAAAAAATAGGGAGAGATTTATCCAAAGAGATCGATTCATCCAAAATTATACATCGTCTCACATCATATCTCGTCAGGGTCTGCTGAATTCTTCCCTCCCTTCTCGTCTATCAAGCACAGTGACTGGTCCTTGACGACCTCTCGCATCTATCCCTGATGAAGTTCTGGAACCAGAACGGGAACGCGCGAATGTTCTCAGCCAAAAACCCAGTTGAAGCAGGCAATATCACTCTCCCACTAGATCCGGTCAATATCTGCTCAACCGTCCGTTCTGCAACCGTGTCAGGGTGAAGAAGCGGGTGGAACCATGAATCCTCCGATGACATGCCATCGATGAGGCTTGTTTTGCAGAAACCTGGCTCAATGACTACTGTGCGTACTTTGGGGGCTTTGTATCGTATCTTCATCTCACTAGCGATACCTTCGTGGAAAGCCAATGCAGCGGCCTTGGTGCCGGCGTAGTCAACCATACTGGCGCATGCGACGTGTGCAGCCTGTGAAGCCACCGTCACCAGCATCCCATGGTTCTGGCGGATCAGGCAGGGCAGGAACTCACGCGCCATTACATAGTGCGAGAGAGTGTTAACCTCAAAGGCAAGTCGGGTCTCCGCCTCCGTTCCTTGAAGCAGAGGTCGCGTCCTCAGAATGCCGGCATTATTGACGATGATGGTTGGTTCGCCAACGTCTGCGCGGATTTCTGCAGCTGTCGCAGCGACGGCCGCGGTGGAGGTGATGTCACACTTGTAGAAAGTGATGTTTGCTGGTGCTTGATATTTCAGCGGCTGGACGTCAAGGACAACAACCTTGAGACCGCGGCGGGCAAGGAGGAGAGCAATTCGCTGTCCGATGCCATCGCTGCCACCAGTGATCAAGGCAATTTCCCGCCTCCAGACAAATTCGTCGGAAACCCAGTTGTTTAGAGCACGACGGTTAAGCCAGCCGTTCACGGCGCCTAGCAGGCCGATTGATACGAGTGCCTTCAACGCAGTAAACACGCGAGGTCGCTCAGCGATCAGCTCCTTTCCTTTGGCGGTGTAATTAGCGACGAGCAATAGAGGTATCGTCACCGATGGTGCCAGGAGAGTGGAAGACAGGATGCGCCCGACGACGTCCGCCGTGAAACCTGTGTTCGTGTTAGCTCTTGGACAAAACCAAATACGATGCGTTCTCAATGGTGACACACCTTCACGCGGCAGCCACCCTTTATGACCCGACAAGCTCATGATGGCTATAGTTGCACTTTGTATCAACAGCTTGACCTGAGCAGAAACGCGATCGTTTGTTTCCCTCGATATTTGGCCAGCAGGCGGCTCTATATACTTCACTCGTCTCCACAGATCTCCCAACGCACATGCTAGCTCCCTCCCAAGAAACGCGGAGAAATAGCCGACTTCTGCTGGACTCGGGCCTCTGCTTGGGATAACGTATGTTGTGGTCCTTGCATCGTTTTTTCCTTGAGAGGTTCCGCTCCTGTATCCGCGATTGCATGGAGTACAGGCTTGTTCATAAGCTCTGTTGTCCCCGGCGGACGCTCGAAATAACAGCCACGCCATCCAGAAAGGCCAATCTTGTCCCAGCAGGCAGTGTCAGGAGAGTCCGGGGTTCTCGATAGCCCTTGAGCACCCCAGGCACAGATCTATGCCATCCATGCTCTCGGTCGAACCTCTCTGCGCCAATACGAGCAGAGATCCCCTTCTCCGGACCTCGGTCCAAATTCGTAGCGAGGACAGGACGCGACGAGCTGCGGGAGCCCCAGACTGCCCCTTAGCTCCAAGTTTCCATCAAACACGGCGAATCACAATTATCGTTCGTCTTGGGGGGAAAAGAAATGTGGGAAAGTTGAAGTTTCTTTATATAAAAAGCTCACGGCCGAGTAAGTCACGTGGTATCATATTCGACCTCCATCGAGATATCGACATGGACATTTCTCAATATAAGAGCTGTTAAACAGTCGATATGCGATACTGTGGAATGTATGATACCCATATAACTGCTGTTCCTACTCTTTGTCCATGATATTGATTATTAAATGATGAAATATGGTCGTTCAGGGTGTCCAGAGTACCCCTTATCGCTGCTATTGCCCCGGTTTATACTCAGGAAAGCTCGTGTGTTTATAATCATTGTGTCTTTTGTCTTGTGTCCTTGAGAGAATATTGGATACAGTCGATTGGAACATGAACTCAAGTCAAGGCCTCAATTTTCGCAAAGGGTAGACTGCCCAAAAGAAAAGAAAAATACCCAAGGTCAACCCTCCCTCATCCACGGATATGAACTCAAGATAACCCCCTCATAAACACCTTCATTACTGGTACACTCTTCAGGACAGATTTTGGGATGAATTTCTTCGTACTCTGTGTGTACTCCTTTAATGCATTGTGCGTTCGGAAAATATGTGGCGTAGCCTCTCGACGCTGTGCGTCAATCCAGTCAAGCAGGTTGATATGCACTTTCCGCAATTTCTAGAGTGCCATTAGCTTGATATATCCTGTATCCGTATGGATATCTTCAGGTCTATACACGCTCTCGCGCTCATCCGAGAAGGAGAACCACATACCTTCTCGCATGCGGTAATAGATGGTGGTGCTTCGTTGCAATATTCTCGACACAGCATTTGCATATTTTCAAGCTTATCACCTGTTCCATCGACAATATTATCCACATGGTATGCCAGTTCGGCTATAAGGCATGTCTTCCATTGACGTTGGTAGTTTCCTTTCGCCTTGGTCCAACCACGACGGTTGGCGACGCGACCGAATTCCACGCGCAGAGGGTTTTTGTCATTATGGATGAAGCCAGGGTCGTGAGCCTCAAAGTAGGTTGAGTGTGGCATGCTGACGCGCTCGTTGGGACAAGCTAGATCATATATTAGCAAAACCTATCTAATAGATTGCTTGTGGATATGTGATACACACCAGCTGCGTCGCTAACAGATGCCCTGGATACTATCTGGCGTGCCTTAGAAGTATGATGTTAAAGGAGTGGGAAATATGGCATGTAAGTGAAATAAGAAAGAAAATTTATTAAGAGTTTTTGCTAGGGACACTGTTTATATAGAAGTGGCGGGAAGATCCGTTTCCTATAACCTATCTAGACAGTGAGAGTGGATATACTCAGGTATTATCTATACAGCAATATCTAAGGCTTACTTTCACTTTACTGTTGTCATACCTATATATGAAATACCAAATTTTGGGTAAATTGGTGCTATCCAGAGGTAAGCAATCTATATAATGGATATTTATACCTAGTGAGATTTGTAGTATGTGGTAGTTATGCATTTTGCATCAACTAAAGGAAGTGAAAATATCTATACACGTCTTGTCCCTTATATTACGGGATATAAATAAGAACCATGGGCAAATAGAATAAATTCATTTTATAAGCTGCTAATCAATGAACTGGCAGCGTATGTTAATCTTCCATAACTCTTACATTTATCATCACCACTCACTTCACCTACTAGTGAGTGACTCGCTACTTTGTTTTCAGAACCCAGGGCAGGATGGAGCAAGATGGCCAAAAAAGGAGCAAAAAAACCAAAGGGAAACGTGCAGATAAACAATACGCATAAAAGTATACAAAGATCGAAAAGCAAAAATGAATATAGATGTTTAAAAATAAGTATGGTTTTCACATAAAAAGAGCCCCCATAACCTATTTCAGACCTACAAGAAGCGAAATAGGTAAACAATAGAAAAGTCCTAAATATATGCAGAAGACGATTTGCCACCCACGCCAAAATGGTATTGAGCATAGATTGAAACAATGCATCAAATGCAATAAAAATATATGAACCCAATAAAAAAAGTATCAAAACAGAGAAGTGAGGATAAAAACACATAAAACGAATGGAAAGAACGTAACCATGCTCGCTTGAGAAGTCAGTAGACGAGATGGTTAGGGGTTATATATATATTCGAGGAGTAAAGGTTAAGTATATCAATGGTCACTAGAGAAGCTACTCGATTGTGCCTGCTGTGTCTGCTGTGTGGCCTGTTGGGGTTGCTGCTGCGGCTGTGGGGGTTGCTCGAAGAGTTTACGACGAATCAATGTTAGGATCTCTGCATCCTTGCGGAGAGTAGGTGATATATGCTTGCTTTGTAGTAGGAATTTAATGGTTCGGTTGAGTAGGGCGTATAGTTTCTCGCCATCCACGAGGCTCGAAAGTTGAGAGGTGTAGGTTGCTGATAGAACAAGCATGTTGCCAAATTGACTATAGCAATAATTAGTGATCATCTTTAAAGGCGCATTATATATAATGTTACAAAGGGAGAAGAAGAAAGTGGCTGCTTGGTGACTTACGCATGAGCAGTCCCAAAAATATTGGTCACAATGGGGCGCCCTTCTACGCCGTCGAAGGCAACAGTGCTGTTCATTGCGGTATTGATGCAGACCATACACGCATCAAAAACCTTGGGCTCCAGGTCTTTCACTGATGGGGGTTGTGGATCGTTCGATGGGGTGCGCACCGGCGGCCCCATCTCGCTTGTATATCGCTCCATTTTCTCCGCCTGCTGGACATGTGAGAGAGATGGCGATACCTGGGATTGTGAGCTTGACACTGTAGATTGGGCTGGCGAGTCGGCGGGGGCAGGGTTGCGCGGCTTAGGGGCCATGGGATGCAGGGCATGGTGGAGGAGAGGCCGGTGGATGAGGTACTTCGCGCCGTAGTACTTCCCGCGCATACGTGCAGTGTTGATGTCTTTTGCCGGTGGGTCGGAGTCAGACCATCGCATGTATTCTGGGAGGCCACTACGCCATTGCTCAAGATTGAAGCTCAGCGCTTCCTGGATCTTGGTCGACCAGCGGGCCTTTTCGCCTCCTTGCTCTATGAGTGGTTAGCTACCAGGCTATGACAAAGGTGTATGGATGTGGTTGGTGTCTCACTTTCAGCTTTGTAGAGGTCGGTATGGATCCTATTAAGAACCTTTCGGAGGTGGACCTGCACAAGGTAATACATCATCATCATGGTATTAGGCGCATATATTTCGTTTGGGATGGTATGCGCAAAGACACCTCGCGGAAAATTCATGCGCCCCTCTAGTCGACTGATCCCACTCGCTGGCAGATCAAGCTCGGCCAATATGTCACTATTTTGGATAACGTATTAGCAGCATGCTTTTAAATTATTTTCAATTTAACTCTTACCTCTCAAGTTGCAGACAAGTCCAGAAAACCAGGCAGGTCAAGTCTTTCTTTGGGCCTTCAGGCATGCGATCATATTTTCGTCTAAGAAGTAGATGAGTTACAGTCACCTTAAAGAGAATTAATGGCAGGGGGACCCTTACGGTCGAACCAAAACTTGGCAGGCTCGGGCTGCTTGATAAATCCATCCATGGCTAGAGAACGGATGTGCAAGTTGTCCTGTATATAGAGCGGCAAGCAGACAAGCTTGAGCAAGCGCCAGATCGTTCCCACCATGTAAATTTCCTAAAATATCTGAGGCAAGCGCGTAATATGCCATTCCAGGAATGACATCCATATTTCTCACGTCAGGTGGGTCCGGCCCAACGTGGGTTGACTGCGTGGAAAATCGTCTATGGTGATTTGCAAATGGCATGCTCTCGGGCGGGGAGTTTGAGACCGCTAGAGAGTGCTCTCCCATTACGGGTGTGAAGGGGACAGGCTGCGTATGGCGTACGGGGCCTGGGATTGGGCCTTTATATGCGCATATCGCGCCCAGGGCCAATACCAGCAACACAATTGCATTATCAAGAGAGCGTTGAATTTCATGACCACCATTAGGGGAGAAGGTGTCTGATGCCGGGGATTCTATCTCAATGGGGTAGCCATCCGACATATCGACGGATCGCTTCCGTTTTTGAACTCTATGGATGCCCGATGTTGGATCGGCTCGTGAGGGTAGCGGTGCTGGTGCAGTTTTAGCCTGGGGGCTGTACGTCCGGATGAAGTTCGCAATCATGTTGTTTAGGCTATCCTGACCGAGGAAAGGGTGCAGGATATGCATGTGTTGGAGGTAGCTATGGCGATACCTATCGATAACATCTGCATCGAGGTTCAGCACCCCAGAGGCATTGAGGCCACCTACCTGGCGCTCTTTTGGGACGCGCACGGTAGGGTTTAACTGGTAAATTTCCAGTCCAGTTCCGTAGCCTGTGCTAGGCGAGCGGGATTGGTAGCCTTCATCATCTCGGGGGCTTGGGGATCGAAGTTTCGGGCTAAGTGGGTAAACGCTGATGTCATGTCCGTCTTCCCCTTCACCGCGGCCATAGGGTCGAATAGGACCCCGTTCTTCCTCCAGCTCCATTACATATTCCGCGTCAATTCGATCAGGTAGTAATTTCCGTATCGATGGCCATAGAAGAAGTTTGTGTGCTGCGGTAGTGTGCTCGATTGGGATAGATAGCTCATCGTCGTCAATGTGTAGGTCGATGTGCTCATCCTTTATATGCTTTCCACCACTAGGAGCTTCGTTGGTAGATGCGGCTTGCGGGGGGCTCCGTTCCTGTTCTGCAGGCTCAGATGGTTGCTGGACGATCTCTGGCTTCTTCTCGATCTTTGGACTAAAAGGGGACATCTTCTGAGCCCGTATCAAAGCTTCTAGTTTTGAGTCTTGCTCTGCCTGTCCCTTCAGCATATCATTGAATCTATCATCTAGCTGCTTAAGACGATCTAGTACCAGTTGGGTCGAGCGTTCGTGTCTACGCCAGGAAATGTCAGTTTTATCCATCGCTAGTGGGACATAATCAACCGTTCGTCGACACATACTTGTGAGGCGGAACATCTTTATAAACGCAGGCAGAGTTGCTCTCTTTACACAAGCTGCATGACGGGCGACCTTCGTCACATTTCGCTTTTCGCGCACGACATTGATCGCAAGCCTAAACAGACAAACGATTAGCTCTGGTAGCAATACCGCCATCAACAATCACAAATTTGATTCCTACCTGTTGCGCCCGTGTGGTTCGGCGCTGCCGTTGAGCCTGCGACTGTGCCTGCGAGTTAGGCTGGTTGAGGAAGTAGTTGTTCTGTTCGTACGGGCTGTGTGTCTGCGCTATTGGTGTACCGGGAGGGTATGGCCGGTGCGATGATGAAGGCGGCTGCATGCCATCGACAGGCGAAATCATCTGTAAGCTATGATGTTCACCATTCTGGTGCCCGCTATCAGGGCCATAGCTGCTAGGTCGGGTATGGAAATCGTTCGGCGGAGGCTGGTAGTTATTAGGAGGATTGGGGTTGCTGTCGTGGGCACCATTAACCGGTCTGAACGTGCCGTTGGGTGTCCTGGAGGCGGGAGGTATATTATTTCCCGGCCTGCCGTATGATTCTGAAATATGGGAGCTTTCTCGCGGGGAGACCGAGTATGAAGATGGCCCTCGTTGGTCCGCGTTTTCGTAGGGATGATATGAGCGACCCCCCCATGTATTCTCGTAGGAGGTCCGGGGAGGAGGGAGAGATGGCGGCCGTTCGGAGGGAGGCAGCTGGCGCACTGACGTCGGGGAGGGAAGAGTTGGCAGCGTCTTCGGGTTGTCTGATGCTGTTACGGCCTCCATTGTCATAATTTTGGCCCAGTCCAAGATCGGAACGCTCGATCAGCCTGCAAACGCGAGGTCCAGGCAGGGAGGAGCCGGTGATTTTTGTTTGTGTTCCAAAAAGAGCGCGATATATATACGTTCTACAAAGACCAGTTCAATAAACTCATCCGTAAAAATGGCATGGCTAAGGGTGACTGTTAGGTCGAAGTCCTATCCAGTTGCGCTGCGAAGGTCTGAGCAGAGACGAATACGACGACGGTCAGCAAGCTAACGATCAACGGTGATATGTGTAGTATCTGTGACGGGCGCTGTTATCCTGCACGTTTGTTTCAGGGTCGCAGCGAGGGAGTCGAGGAAGGAAAAAAAAAAAGGGTTGATCCCGAAGCCGTGACAATATCGATATCTCTCTTTGGTTTGGGGGGGAGGCAAGTAGACGGCTTCCTGACAAACGATGGATTGGTTTGTTTGTCAGAAATGCGGTGACCTATGGTTCCTGAGCCTTCAACCCAATGCTGTCAGCAGCCGTGTAATGGTCCTACTTGAATGGATGGTGGTTACCCGGTTCCGGGCAAAGTTTCCGATGTTTGAGAGCCACGGAAACCGACGCAGCTAAGGTGAAACGTCCAAGCCAGACGGTGGTAGGGACTGGGCGACTTGGGATTATGTAGATACCCTCTACCTATCTTCGGCTGCGGCGTGCGGCGTGCGATGTCAGAATAGGCCAGGCCAGGCGGGCAGCAATCGTCGCGAGGTACGAAGACAGGAAAGATGAACGTCCCGGTCGAGGAATGACGAAGACGAAGCGGTCGGAAGAACGTCTTTCCTCCCTGGCTGTTAGCCCCAAGTCGTCGATGATCCGGTGATTGAGCAAAGGCTGATGATGGACGTGGATAGATGGGATTTGACTGGACGAGACTGGGGACACTGGGAGGGGCGAACGCGATCCAAGCTCCCGCAGGCTTTGCTCGTAGCCGAAGCCTCGATCAGGGCGATGCCGGGGTGTGATGTCGATGCCGGCAGCAGGCAGGAGATGTCTCTGCTTCTTCTCCCAAATCTCGATCGATCCCCCGGGCTCGAGCTCAAGGCACAGAGGAGGGAGGCGGCGAGTGGAGCAGAGGATCGGATCACCCACAACGACGTTAAGCTCAGAACGGAGTCACAATTTTGCGGCTTGCGGCTTGCGGGCGTGATGGAATTGCGGACGGGGGATGGAGTTATGGAGCGGCGTAAGTAGCGTCCCTCTTGGTCGAAGGGAAGAAGAAGAAGAAGGAAAAAAAAAAAGAGGGCTACCCAAGATGCACGTAGCAGTGGGATGATGGATCGTGACAAATCTCCTCCGTACCAAGTCTGTATACACACCCGGCGGGCGATATTACAATTGAGTGGCAGGCTGTTACCGGGACTATCGGCGGGCGGCTGCTGCGTCAAGCTCGTTGGCGAAGAGGAAACGATACATCGACCTGCGCTGCCGTTCGAAAGGGGGTGTTTATGCAGGCTGAGGAGGAGTTCGGTTCAGCGGCGTTGATATGTAGTATAACTCGTACCACACTACCGCACTACCGCCACGATTCCATCCATCCAGAAGAACAAACTGGGGACGGAGAGGTAGGGGAGAGCATGTCAAATCTCGTATTTCCCGAATACTAAAAATAAGGCATTCCAAGCGAGACGACAGCGACATGCCCTGGCGCATCCCGTCATCCCTCCCCATCCCATCCACTCCAGCAGGTATTGTCATATCCACACCCGCTATTAATTAACCTAGCTTGCTTAGCTTAAGTTTCCTGGGCGAATCAAAGCCTAAACCGAATTAGACCCATGGGCAAGCATCATATTGGGTGCAGGCGAGAGCTCGCACGCGGCACGAAACTCCTCGGACCCAAGGCATATCTAGTATGCAGAGCCGAAGTGTGTCTTAATTCTAGAGTGCCAGAGGTGCCGAGATGGGAGCAGATCGTTTTGCCCTAGCAGCTCCTCCCCTCCATGTATGTATCAAATGTACTCCATACTTTCGTTTGTATATGGGCTGTCAAGCGCTTACACTATGTAATGCAAGGACGGCCCAGATGCCCGTTTACCAGGGTCAAAGGACAGTGGCAAATCTCCAATTTTTTGACTTGGAAGCAGGGTAGGTGCATCGATATCTGCTGGCAAACAGTTCGCGGAGTTCTTACCAGCTGGCTGGAGTTGTCTGGCTGGTCGTATATTACTTACTTATATCCAGTCGTTGACTCCACATCCGACGATGATCTCTTGGTTTCGAGTCAAAGTAGAGAGTACCAAGTACTACTCGGTGACCGCCGAACGGGTCATCCTTGAATAGGTTCGCAGGGCAACCGTCAGGCCGTAGCATCATTTGTATCCTCTTGCACCTGGCGTCATTATAGACTCCGGACACCGCCCGATATACACGCCGCTTACTAACGATTCCGTGGCAGAGGGAGCTGGAAACAAACAAGCTTTTCCCGTGGAAAAGGAGAGCAGCGAGCCTTCTCTTTCCTTGATGAAGCCCTGGGTTCTCTGCTACTTTGCATGGTATACGCCGTAGGTATACATGATGCACCCCACAGAACCGATCGATTGAGACCCTTGCTTGACCCAGTTCGAATCTGAAATCTTGCGCAAGCGTATCGTAAAAAACTGCACAGGTTGTTTGTATGCTAGTTTAGCGTATAACTAATGTGTTTCGACGGCAAATGGTTGGGTGGCTGCTGAGAGCGTGTAACTAACGGGTGCTGTGCCCCTTTTGTCCTTCGATCATCAACGTCACATACGTAGGCGGTATTCGTTGGCCGGAATCTGTTGGCAACGGGTTGAAGCATTGCACTTTACCTCACCGTCAAACAAAGATGTCTTAATAGAGATACGTCACAACGCCCTCACAGGTCCTCGAGGTTGACAAGTGAGTCTGTGGCGTGTACGCCGTACCACGTACCACAGCATCATCCTCCGTATACTCCCGTACTAGTGCTGAATATCTCTGGCCACCCAGGATCATGGGAAGCTCGAACTTCAGCCAGTGAGAAGCCAGGAAGCGCAGAAAGATGTTAGCATCCCGTATCTACCTTCTCGACCGACTATCAAAGATAAGGCATGATGTTCATACACGTGAGCCATTGGAGGTTGAATACATGGAACTGTTGCAAGCCTTAGCAGCCGATAGTTATCACAAACCCCAACGCGCCTGCATGAAATATCAGTTAGCCATGGAAAGCGTTCATGAGTTAATGGAGGTAGTGGCGGCGGCGGGGGGGGCCCTCCCGCGACTTTGGGCACCGCAACGTCCGTTTACCCCCTGTCGACCCATGCACCAGGCCCCAAGCCTATAACCCCGAGCAAGAACCCCGTCCGCAAGGGCTCCATTCCAGGACCAGTCCAGTCTGAATCGTTTCTTTGCGCCCATTTGTTCCCTGTCTTCTCTTTTCTCAGCTTCGCTTTTTTTCTACTGGCTGTTCACTCGGGGCTTTGTGGTTATCTGGTTAGTATATTCTCCACCCTTTTTTGTCCAAGGCCAGGTATGATCGAAATTCCCTTGACCCCTTAACCCTACCTCCCTTCCATCGGGCTCCGATCGCCTGGGCCATCTCTTTTCGTATAACACCTCGTTTTGCATGGTATGGTCAGATGATCGTTCATTCCCCCAACAAGTCGGCAAATGACCGGCTCACGGAGCAGCCGCGTCATATATATGAGGGAAGCTTTTATAACCCATCCCTCTCTATACGTAAGAGTACGGACCTCCCTGTACGGAGTAATAATAGTCGGTGAGTATATCGGGGTCTTGAAATGTTAGCATTGCGGCTCAGGCGGGATTTGTTCTTCAATCCATCGTTTTGATTCCTCTGGTCTTCTGCGTTGGCTCTTCGACTAGCGTTCCATACATCTTGCATGGCAATATCCCCACATATTGGATAGCGCGACGGTTTGTTCACCGGCTGGCATGGACTGCGCGCTTGCTCGGCACACAAAGAAGGCTTGGTGACCGTCTGTAGCGAGTGCCTTCAACGCCACAAGTGCGCCTTGGGTAAGCATAGTATATTGAATTTCCACCAAGCCGAACTCAAATGTCAAAAGGGGAAAGTCTCAGAGAAGAATATCTTAGAATAAGAATAAATCGAAGGAAAAAGAGGGAGCCAGTGGGAAAAAGAAACAAAACAGGTTTCGAGCGCCTTAACTCCATCATGTGGAAACTAGAGAGAGCAAGTTAAAAAGCCTGAGCTGAGGCGTGATACGAAAATAAAAGAAATCAACACCCCTACGTGATTCAGAAAGTTAGTCCCCTTAGCTTTATCCTTTTGCCCGGTTATCGTTGCTCATAGTGCTCCATACGGAGTAAGAAATATGGCCATAGACAGCGGCGACTTAGCTGCATATTCCTTCTCTTTGAAAGGAAATGAGGTTTGACGGGATGTAGCGCGTGTGAGGGATCATCTTCGAGACGATCGAGGGGTCAATGACATAATGGAAATTAATTCTTTTTTGTCTGCGCGTTTCGCCACGACACGGCCCTCAATTGCTTCGTACTATTGACAGCGATGTTTTGATATGCGGAGGGGCAGTTTAATATTAGTATAAATATACGGAGTAGTACGTCTGATAGTCAGAAACCTCATGATGCGACGATGATACGGCCTGTGCAGGAAAGCTCATCGCATCCCCTTCGTACACTCCGTATGCATCGCTTCTGTCATATCATATTATCGTCGTTTCAGGGGTTCCAGATTTCATGCACGGCCAAGCAGGCTCGATGTTAACACAGGGCAGGCGGAAAAAGAAACCTGGCCGGCATCAGGCAGGAGATTTGATTCTACACATGCATGTGGATCGCCGTTTATGTACGCGAGCGAGCGTGAGTGTGCATGTGGTGTGCATGTATGTCATGTCGAACCCGCTTAGCCTGGGAAGAGAGTCAGGCATCAAAGGGCGTGGAAAAAGGAGGATATCACTTAGGCAGAGGGATGACATATTTTACCGATCCTTGAGGAAGGCGACTCGCCTCCCTCGATGGCAATTAAGGCGCTATCCGACATTCAGCTCGGCGTATATACTGAAATTTATCAGCTCATCGGGCTCATATGCATCAGATATATCTAGGGGCTGTCCCTATCCATGTCCGTGGGATGATAGCGACCAGGGCCTCTTCCCAATGCTCCAGATAGGCTTCTCTTCCGGTCTTCCCCGCGGCTTAGCGTCCACAATTTCTCGAGCGAGGCCGTGGACGGGTGGAGATCTGAGTTGGGGAAAGTCTGTATAGTTGTAGTTATACGATGTGATGAAGTCGGCGGTGGTCACCAAGCTGGGACGGCGCATCCCATCCATCCCATCCCACGCGTCTTCACCACCGCATGGTCCTATCGTTATTGGCCATGTCGACGGTGGTAGCGCAAGGTGACAGCGGGCTAATTCGACGAGGGTCTTGATATCGTGGTAGATGTAGTAGGCCCTTGCTGGGAATAACGGCGGACGGACATCCATGACAGCAGCCCCCACCGTCGTCTCATCTTCCTTGTCCGTGTTGACGCCATGCTCAAGCTGCCACGCAGAACCCCAGAACTCAATTGCTGCCATGTTTGGCGTCTGGTGTAGAGATATGCCCGAACGGGAGCGCGTTCTGGTCGTGTCGACGTGTCGACGTGTATGGAGAACGGCCCGTAGTAGACAAGTTGTCCGCAAGGTGGAAGCTTGGAGCTCGGATATACCAGCCAGGGTGAGTACCATGGTAATTGCCTGGGATGCTGGAAGTTGGAATTTGCCGTCATGGATGGCGGTTAAGATGTAGATGTATACTCCGTGGCGTGGGGGGAGATGCAGCAACCTGATGCCCTGCATCGCCGTTTCGCCGTTTCGTCCCATGCAGCGTTGGTTGATTTTCATGTCTGGCACCATATTTGGCAACAGAAGCTCACCTATGGAATAAGACATTAATTTCTATTCTGGATATGTACCTTTTTATCTTTGACGAATCAGTGGGCAGGAGAGGATGGAAGCTGGGGAAGATCTTATTATTCCAGGTTTTATACCATGTCCTTATTGCGATGCTGACTGGCCCGCCCGCCTCTGGCGTTTTCTCAACGTCATTTTTATACAGTGGTAATATCAAATTCGTTCTTTCTAGAATCTTACGTAGGATTTGTATATCCCAATCTGATATAATCCCTGGATAGACGGGTAGTTTTCAGATCCAACTTGCATACATAACAGCTAGCAAGCATACACAACATGGGGGCCAACGGGCAGCAACATGGGGCGGCCGAATCTAAACATTTATCTCACTTGCAACTTGGGTACGCGGGAAAGGAGGCAAGAATAGGAAATATATTCGCCTTGGCGAAGGCGAAAGGGATGAGAGGCGGAAGCAGCAAGTGATACTTTTTGGACATTTCATAGAGAATACACCCTGGAGACAGTAAAGTCAGGATAGTAGCCATCCTGTTTACCTCATCATATGCGTAAGCACGGCCCAGAGCCCGTCAAAGCCCTCTATACGATCAGTAGGGTTGAAGAAATCAAACCATCGCGTTCGACGAAGCACGAGGCATTGCCATGGTGGCGTCTCCGGGCTTGTATCTTTATTGGGGGAGTCTATCTTGCCTGTTGCAAGCCATTTAAGGTAGCTGTCGTGGACTCTGAGGTGAACGATAGAAAAATGATGGATGATTGACGATATCATGAAGACCTGGACACGCACATGTTAGCTGGCTTATATTTCAAGAAAAAAAAAAAAAAAAAAAAAAAAAAAAGCTGAGGCAGCCAGAACTCACGTCATCGAAAGGACTGTCTGCATCGGCTCCGATTTTCATATATTTCACCCTCTTATCCCACAGACTCGGACCAGGCTGAACCGTCTTCCACTTCTCTATCATGCTAACCTTCCTGTTACCTGTCAGGCCCCGTCGGTACGAAATGGGAGACCGGTCATGTCTCGTCCGTTTGTTGGTCGCGGCTTCAGATTTTGGTGCAGCATTCGATGGCGTAGCCTCCGTCTGCTGCTCCGGGCCGGTTGGAATTGGCTCACCAACTGGGCCGTCGTTAGGGAGACCTCCCCATCGAGGTGTGGTGGTCCACCATTTCCCATCGCCCGGTTTGACTTCAACCACGTTTTCTCGTGCTCTCTCTTGGGCAAGAAGGAGCATTCCTGCGACTTCACGTAAGACGTCGCATTTCTCAACATATCTTTGGCCGCTGGCGTCGTCGTAAAACTGGGTCTCGGCTCGACACTGGGCGACAAGCACGGGACCCTCAAGAATGTGTTTCCGGGCTTCCTGTCTATCTTGTGGAATACGTGATACGCTGAAACTCTGGCGTACGGGGAACAATAGGTCTTTGACTGCAAGGCGAGGAGGCATGGTTGGCAATTTAATTTGGCATCCAAGGGACCAAGCAACCATTTCTACAAGGCCACGTAGAATTTCTTCACGAACAGAATCAGGCATACCACTCCCTGTGCCGATTCTCCTGCCCTTGTAGCGTCTGTTATCGTCAAGGTTTTTAGGCTTCAATTGGGGTATAGTGACTGGTTGCTGTTTATGGACGTTTTCATCGTCAATATCCATTTTGTTTTCCAGGGGATTGTTCATGGCTTCTCCTAAAATTCCACTATTCCCATGCCCGTTAGCTGTAGCATTGTCTGTGGCATCACCACTCATTTCACTATCAGTGCTTTTCTCATAGTAATTATCGTAACTAGCATCCCAATACTGAGCAGCATGTTGCAAAGCAGTCCAGAATTTCCTCGCATGTGCAATGCGTAGCTTCTTATGTCCAGGTAAAGGGTCAAGGCGAGCAAGTGACCGAAACACATCTTCGTTATCAAATAATAGTTCTTCCCTTAAGTGGCTATATTTAGTTTTGTCGGGGAATGGCGCCCCATTGCTCATAAAAACCGGGGCATCAGTTGGTTCTTCTCCTTCCCCCGCGCTATATTCTGACCATTGATAGGGGGGTTTAGATTTGAGGTCGTGGTCTGGCACAATTTCGGAAGCATCAACGTTAGGTACCACTTCGATGTTAAACGCCGTCAGATATTCGTCTGTAATATCCGACGGCTTTTTGGCGCGGGCCAACAGTCGGTACAGCACATCGCAGCTTGTTTCATCCAGAGGCCTAGTTGAGCTAAAATTGCCGTAGTCAGGGAATTGGAGTGTTGTTGGTGGCGGAGGGGGATCTCGCTCCTCGTCTAGGTTAACGTTGAAGCTTGGTACGGCTGTTCTCCCGTCAGTTGTTCATTGCAACGTGAATATAATTTTCTTGATGCTATACGTTGAAGAATAAATAGAGATCGAGTAAAATCCCTCAGAGTTACGCAACACAGACGAAGTATTCAAAGAGAAGGGAAAGCGTAGATACACGCAGGAAAGAGGGAGAGAGGATTTGATACGGGGTAAAGGGAATCGAGATGAAAAGCATTCTTTATAGAGGATTATGAACAGCCAATGAATGTTAGGGAACCGATAGGCTTACCCAGACTGCCTCCCCAGCTGAACATGGCTACCGAAACGGCCCTAAGACGACCTTAGCTAATAAGTATAGCAAGGGGCCCTTAATTGGTGGCAGTACAAAGGCTGGATAGAAGGATCAGATAGACAACTTCATAAGTCTCTGCTACTCGGAAGCCCAGGAGGGGTTAGATTGTCACTAGGCGTATGCAATGGGTGAGCAGGACGTCAGGGCAAGAGCTCTATAGCGTAGCAGATCACACGAATATATCTGTTAGGTCTGCGAGCGAGTTTCGATAATGTGCAATGCACATAAATAAAATAATCGTAGGCCTTGGCTGAATGAAGGTCGTTGCTGGAGGGAGTGAAGCCAGAGAGCGGCGGAATTGTACAAATATTGGGTGGTTTCAGCATTCACTCGGGCTTGTGTAGCATGGTATTGCTTATTGAAAGGAAAGGAGGGCGAATAGTAATAATGACGGATAATAAGACCCAGGCGAAGAATTCAATAAATACCTAATGGTCAGGGATATGATGCCGGCGATGCATGAAACTGCCAACACCTCTGGAACATCACTGTAATTAAACGAGAGCTAGTGAGAAATACTTAAAAGATCGCAATTCCCACACTCGAATCGACCAGAGCGTCTCATATACAGACACTCCAGAAGCCACTGATTATTCGCTATTTACTCTTGGAATCAACTCAGCTTGGAGGTTGATCTGGCTTCAAGGGACGGTCACGTGGTTGTCCAGAGCAAAATGTCCAACTTCCGTGTCAGACAGTTAACTAAATATTCACATCTTCCACTTCAACGTCAGCCCAGCGGCTTATAAGGACCAGATCGGATGCGAATTTAACCCACACTCCGGTTTGGGATGGGGGTATATAATTGGGTGTCTCGAGAGGCTTTAAATGGCCCGAGATAAGCCATCAGGGCGTTAAAATGAACGTCCATTGCAGCTGGATGGTGCCAGCATATAAGCTAACATGATGCCATGTTTCTTCTTCTGTTGCTCTATTGAGCCTCGACTAATCTACTCTAGAGGTAGATTATCAACTCTTGTAACGACGATACCCTCAAGAGTCGAAGATTCGCTACGGTTTCTGACCTTTCACGCAGCCGGCAGAGCAGTGGCACCACGGCCTCAAAACCACCATTAATTTCATTATCTGATATCCATATCCCGCTGGTGGAGGCAGTATGTGGCACCCTGTCGCCATTCCCTATCTAGACACTGTTCTAGGGGATCATTTTTCTTTTCCCGCGACCCACCTGCAGCCTCCCGGCTTCTTTGCCAAAGAAAAAAAATAAATAAATACAAGATTCTCCATCTTACGCCCAGTGTCCCACTACCCGTCAGACATGTGGCCTGACCAAATTGAAGTTTGATCCCGTCAAAATCGCCCGCTCCGGCTGTCTCTGTGGCTGTCTCTGGCTGATATCCTCTTTATGCACTCGTTTTCGCCTGGCACTTGACGGGAAGCCTGCAGTCATTGATCCGCCAACATCAAGCCATGCAGGTGACTCTGTCAAGCCGCACCTGGTCGATATATGGGGTGAGGATGGGTTGAATGCATTCGGGTCGTTCCGAGGCCTGCTTCACCCCCGGTTTCTTTCACCCGCTGCCGCTCGAATGAACCCCCACGGCCAGTGGCTTGATATCGCATATTGAGGGTTCAGCTTTTGATTATGATAAAATATGGCAGAGTATCGTCTTAAGACTAGCGTCATGTAGACACGCGAGGTTTGACGGACTCCTCGGCTCCTTTGGGACTTTTCACGGAAAGATTTTCTCTCTTTCTATCTGGGTCTTGCATGTATTGGACATATTAAAACCCCTACAAGAGTACATTGTCTACTCTAGCCGCGGGCATGATAAGATAATGTTTACATCCTCTACGGTGTCAGCATGGCTCCTGGGAACCCTCCGTATATAATTGCCCGTGCTACGAGTCAGGCAGTAGCAGGACAGCAGCCTTTCATTATTGCGTGTTCTGTAACTGGTGCTGGTGTGCTCTTAACTATCGTCATTTTCCTATCGGTTTATATCTGGCGTCATCAACTGGGCAGTCGACAATTTAGGCCAGTGCCACAGCTTAAGCTGTTACAAGAGGGACTTCTTTCGAAAATTCGATATAATACCAACCATGTTCATGAACCATCGAGTCAAGTTATCAAGCCATCACCATGTGTCCTGCCTTCGAAACCACCGATGCCGGAGTTGACTTCCCCCACTCTTATTCCAGCTCCTCGATACCTCCATCCGCCAAACCCGCCGAGTTTTCATAACCGATCACCTCCAGGCTTTCGATGGAAACGAAAATGTCCTCCCAAACTCGGACCTCTACTAGAAAGTGGGCCTGTTGCGTATACCACTACTCATGGAAGCGAAAAAGATTCTCTTGAGCCAACGGAATATGACCCCAAGGAGTTCCGCGGCTCCCTCGATGAACTGTCAACTATTTCAAATCACATCAACAAATCTCCGGGCCTTACGCGAACAGTGTTCGCTCATACATATGCGGACGAATCACACTATCTTACGGATAGCTTAATACCGAGCCCTTCCCTTTATTTCTCGGCCAGTATTGATTTAGAATCGTTACTGTTTCCGTCTGACATTTATGTACCGGAGCCATCTCTACTATCCCGCTCAAGAACCAAGAGTAGCAGTGTCATCTTGCTTCCCGGGGATAGCCCTGGTTCTAAAAGGAATTCAGATGGTGCCAGCAAGCCGCTTCGAGCGACTGCGTCGGTCATCTCTCGCTGGCGAAGAGTTAGGGACGTGGTTGATTACCCCAAGGTGGAATTGCGGAACGGCAATAGTTCGTTAAGGTATTCTATATCGCCTACTTGGTCAGAGTACAGTTCGTTCATGGGCACCTCTAGAATGGGAGAGAAGATCAACGAGTGACGTATTCTGGCAATGCGATCTTGATCTAAATCATGGGGTATTCCCTTTCGAGGGTTGAAAAAAAAATATCTATCTCGTCACTCCTTAATTGACCCTTTCTTTATTTCTACAATCATACAGCTGGTTTGGATTAGCCATAGTTTAATTACCCAAAGACATTGACTTTCATTAATTATTGTTTTGATTTCCTGTGGAATATTCTTTATTTCTTCCCTGTCTCGATTGTGGACTTGGGTTGACCTTGCATAAAGTACTCTGCTCAAATCACCCTTCCGTGACAATGACAATGGTAGGATACTAGCGTCCTGTGTAATCCGTTGTACATTCATAGTAGAGCCATGAAGAAAACCCTCAAATGAACAGAGAAATGCCAGAACAGTAGTATAGTGGGCATAAATTCCATTTCATCATTTTTTTGGTTCGAAAAATCAACATGAACTCCCTTGCCCACTGACCAATACCGACAAGGAGAAGTGGGGTGGAGGAAAGTGGAAATAACACATATTGAAAGGTCAACAGATAGTTTATGCCTCCTCCTCGTCCTCACCGAGAAGAGCATTCCGCTTGGCGGTAATACGCTCTTGTCGTCTCTCACGGGCAGCCTTGGTCTTAGCACGTTTGACATCCATCTCGTTCTTGAGGTTAAGTTCACGTTGTTTCTCAGCCTTGGCCTTGTGGATCTGTAGGCGCATATATTAGTACATACTCGCATCGTTGTGGATGAAGGAGAAATGTCTGCATTGGGGGAGCATACGTGTTCAACGAGGGCACGCTTGTGCTTGAAGGTGTTACCCTTGCTCAAGTGGTACAGCTCGTGGTAAAGGTGCTTGTCAATCTTTCCGGCAGCACGGTATTTGGCAAGTAGTCGTCGGAGAACTCGTAGACGGCGCATCCACAGAACTTGGCTAAAAAGTTGGATAATCCGTTAGCTACCGCGGGAAAGAAAATGAAGGCGTGTTTAAACGCTGTATGATCTCGCATGACAGCGCTGTCGACGTATTCTTCTTCATTCTGATTGTAACTATTCAGCACCACTCAGAGGAACGTACCTTGGCATTCTGGCGTCCTTGGTACCCTTCCTCTTACCGAAACCTCTGTGTCGGCCATTTCGTCGGGCCTCTGCGAGCTCGCGGGCACGGGAGCGCGAGTGCATAGTGACGGGCTTGTGGATGATGAGTCCATCGCTGAGAAGTTTGCGGATGGTCTGGCGAGAGTTGGCGGTAGAGATCTCGTTGACCTCGCTGGGATCAAGCCAGATCTTGCGTTGACCGCAGCCGACCACGGAGGCGGCCAGGCGCTTCTGAGTGCGAAGGTTGACCCTAATGAAGACGCAGAAGGTCAGTTTACAGCCACTCCTTCGTCTCGAATTTCGATATCACGAGAGCGACAGAAATCCTCCCAATCGGGTGCCATCAACGCAAATTTCTGCCACAAAGAGGGACGCGGGGTGTGTTCGAGAGGGAAATATCGGTAGCAGGCTTCGATCCGACGAAGCAGAAAGGGTGAACTCACATCTTGATGCCGGTTAGTTGTCGATGGCCGAAGGAGTCGATGGATTGCTGTTTTGAATCCGCAATCGACAAAACGACAAGAGGTGGACGACGTTCCAGATTAGCTAAGCGAGTGTGACTTGCTAAGCGAGCCCACCAAAAAGGTCTGCGAGTTAGGGTTCGGGTGCACCAGGTGACGCTTTACCGCTTTGGGACTCCGGGAAAATGTTCTGCTTAGTAAAAATGTAGAAACAACACGTGATATGCTTTTTTATCTAACTGCTCTAGCAAACGGGATATGGATATATACACCCAGACGCTGCATGTAGTTTTTTGCTGGTTTAATCGTCGCTGAACGACTCCCCCAGGTCTATCTTGCCGACGCTCCACACCTCCTTCTCATCTTCGAGCTCGTCGCTGGAGAGACCTAGACCTCCCTGGCCTCCTTCTGCCTCTCTCCGCTCGCGCGCTTGGCCTCCTAGTCGGAGTGCTACACGCTTAAAGTAGTCCTGCATGCTTCGTTTAGGACCCGGTGGAAGCTCTGCTCCAGGACCCTTCATGTACTCTTCAAACACAGTACCTTCGCATTCCACGACCGAAAAGAGGCCAAGGAATGCTGCCTCCGCGGCAAGCTTGACGGGGATGACCATATCACGGACACCGCCGAAAACTGGTGGCACCATAATAGATAAATGGGGTGCAATCATCTCCTGGTTCTCTCTGCTGACCGTACGTATCACGACTAGCGCTAGACGACGGGTATCAGTCGGCTTACCAGGCTGTACTATGGCCGCCAAAGCCTCGAACACGTCTTTCTCGTCCTCTGGTTTCCGGTCCATCTGAGATGACAGAAGGTATTTACCGGCTGCAAGGACAGCGTTATCGGATATGAAAACCTAATATGATGTGAGTGAGTGTTTATCTTGACATGACAGAGTTGGGGTAACATACATCGTTGCTTTTAATGGCGTGGCAGATTACTGAAGGCACTTCGGATCGGAAATTCTCACTCAACAGCGTAGGAGCCTCGACTAAGATGGCATTCAGTCGAAGGATAGACTGATGCGTTACTTGGGTCGAGAGTATCCGGTTTCTAAAGCCGTATTAGCCATTGCCCTGTAAAACATGAGCTATCGTGTACATACTTGATGAGTGGAAGAGCTGTAGGTGTAGGAAGCGATTTAATGAGTGCTCCGGCAAGTTTGGCGTTCGTGATGGTCGTTGCAGCTATTAAGGTGTTAGATTAAATATTTGAAGCACCATGTTAGATGTAGGGTTGAACGTACCATCGTCTGCCGAGTCACTATCAACAAGGCCAAGCACGGCTTGTCTTGACGCATCACTCATGTTTGCACCAGCTTTATCGACAACATCATGCAATGCACGCAGCATAGCATTCTTGACCCCGGAATCGGTGGTCTTGGAGCCGGTGATAAGTTCTTTGACCGCGTTAGTATCACATCATTTGTAATATATCATTTTTAATACAAGGTGGTTCTATTACTCACCTGCGACAAGGGGGTCGACTCGTGGCGTTAATGTAATCAGGATTCCTAAACCTTTAGCAGCCCGTGTCCGTAAGATCTCACTTGATGTGTCTGCGAGGCCTCTTGCAAATGTTCGCTGAAGTTGCGGCAAGAATGGCTTGACAAATAATGGGATTTTTTCGAGCAATTTGTCAAGAGCAAGGAAGATTGCACCTATATCATTAGTTAGTTAAAGGAACTAGTTTCACTGTCAAGGCCGGAATAACTGTACATTTAATGTCCACGGATCTTTCTGAGACCACACGAATCAGAGGACCAGTAATTTGAGTCACAAAGGCTTTAAGTGCTTCTGGGCTGGTTCGGTCAATGATATCACCAATCGCCAATGCGGACTGCGTGCGCTGTTCGATGTTTCCGTTCAGTAAGCCCTGGAGGAAAATAGGGAGAATGGCGCCAATTCCTTTGGGTAGGCAGAACCCAGCAAGGTTCGATCCTGGAACTCCAACCTGTCGTAGAACCTGGCGTGTCGGGTTGACGAGGACCTCCATCTCTTCTTTCCTCATGCTCTTGGTTAGCTGGCTAAGGCCCTCCCAAGCTGCCTTGACAACGTTCTTATCACGATCGTCAAAGGAGATCAGGAGCACGCGTATCAGCTCAGGGTAGAATCGAGAGATATCTAGCTCTGTGTTGACGAAGAACGTAGCAAGGTGCCCAGCTGCGCTTGCACGTCGTCGATGGTCGTCATGTTTCATTAATGTGAGCATCACGTTCATACCCACGTTTAGGCCATCGAACTCATCCACTGAGTCAAGGACGGTGTCAAACGCCTCACTTATCTCCGACTTGAGGTCATTGTCCTCTGTGGAGATGATTTCATCCATGAGAGTATTCAAGATGGTCGGTAGCCTTCTGTTCATCCCACCTCCTGCGACCTCGGAGAGCGATGCCAAAGCTTTAGCATTGAATCCAGTAATTGGCCGGGTCAATAGAGTAGGAATAAGGTTCGGCAATATGATATTGGCCCTAGTGGCCTCAGTCAATAGAGTAAGAAGGGCAGAGAGAGCTTGCTCAGCATCATTCTCATTATGCAACAAGTGCAAAAGGTCAGGCAAAACTCTGTCTACGATTCTCTTACCCAAAGCCTGCTGGAGAGCATCGAAAGCTTCAGCAGCAGCCTCGCGAACCTGGTTGTTTGTATCGACCAAGGCCGTTCTGACAATAGATATAAGTGGCTTTTCGTACGTTTCAAGTGATTCGTCAGAGGAAGACACCACAAGCTCCCGTACCGCCAGACATATACCTTGCCTGCCATCGATATCGGTTGAAGTGAGAAGCCCTTCTTCAAGCGCAGGCAACAGGGTGGATAGGACCCCCTCGCCAGCTTTCTTGATCAATTCTCCTAGTGCATTTCCAGCGATGACCTTCTGCTCCATATTTGAACTTCCCAGGCGTCGAATGATAACTTGAGACAGCGTTGGTACCAGCTCTTTCAATGTGCGTGGAGTAGCCACCAAAGCCTTCCAGACATTGATAGCAGCACTCCTGACCAAGCCTGAAGTATCGCAACGGCAGATGTAAAGCGACGAGAGGACCTTGTTGCGCCTTTCTTCGCCGAGTACCTCGAGAAGTGACTGGCCAGCTTGGATTGCTGAATCCATTTCTTCGTCTCCATCTTGTGCGCTGGCTCCTGTTAGGTTGAATAGAAGGTCACCAATAAGTTCCACAGAGGAAAGACGGATGCGGTAGTTGTCATTCGCCAAACCACGTTCAAGCTCGGGCAGAAGTAGATCAATTGATCTTGTAGAAAAGTTTTTCACCAGTAGTCGACCGGCCCGGAGTGACGTTTCCCTTATCGATTCAACCTCATCGGCCAGACCAACAAGAATAGGAGGAATAATTCGGCTCAAGTAAGCGGCAAAACTGTTACCAAAACAAGCGGGAAGGAAAATGAACAGGGTCATGAAGCCTTCTCGGACTGTTGCCTTTGAACTGGAAACATTTTGTAGAAGCGAAGGCAGAGTATCCTCCAGACGAGAAGTTCCCAAACCAGCAAGAACCTCTGCAAGCGCTTGGGCAGAGCCCATACGATCTCCAGCTCCAGCTTCTGATTTGAGAGTGGCCATAAGACTGGGAATGAGGTCTGGAAGAGTATCTTCTCCAAGTTTTTCGATGAGGGAACCGAGTGCCTTTGAGGCCGTTGCACGAGTAGTGGGCACAGGGTCAACAACAGCAGTCTTAAGTCCAGCAACCAGAATCGGCAAATGAGAGGTCAGGTCCTTACGCTCCGTAAGATGGGCTAGACTGCCAATAATTTGGGCAGCCTTTCGCTTGGTCGTTGATCGATCGCCTAAGCCTCGTTCAAGAATTCGCACCACCAGTGCCAAAGATGGCGCATCAAGATAGTGGACGAACGAAATCTTAATTAACGCATCTAAAGCTTCGTCCGTATATTTAGTCGGGTCACTCAAAGCTTTGAGTAGGATTGAGACTAAGCTCTTCACTTCTGGGTTGCTTATGACATCTCCGAACCGTTGCAAACTTCGGTTGGCGGAGTTTCGAACCTCCTTATGACTGTCATTTAGAACTTCCGTAAGCGGAGGTATAATATCAGGAAGATTGAATGCAAGTTGCTGAGGATCAAGGTAGGCCATAGCCCCAAGCAAGTCGCAGGCACCCTTCTTACTTCTCCATTGAGAATCATCCAGACCTTCCAACAAAGTTGGGAGAATTTGTTTAACTCCGAAAGAACTCAAGCTTGCGAAACATGCTTTTGCGGCATCTAAACAAGCATCACGAACATCAATACTTGGGTCGCCAAAACTTGTCAGTAACTGTGGGACGATCCGTATGACATAAGGCTCGAATACACGGCCAAGGACGAATGCAAGAAGCTCAAATGCTAGAACTGCTCCTTGTCTTTGGTTTGCTTCTTTTTTGTTTTCCGTTGCCTCGGTTAGTCGAGACATAATTCCAAAGTCGCGAAGTGCCAGTATTCCTTTACCCCTGACGATACCTGCTAGGCCATAGGCTGCTCCACGACGAGCTGCATACTTCTTAGACTGGAAAAGTTGATCAAGCAATTCCTGCACAAAATGGCTGGCGTCAGACCCATCTAGTCGAACCAGTGGGACAAGGCACTCAGCAACAGCAAGTTGTACAGTTTCAGAAGGGGTCGATAGAGCGTCCATAAGTTTGCGAGTGACTTTTTGAACGCGTTTATCTCCGGAAACAAGGTGTTGTGCAAGAGACCCATAAAGGATGATGACCGCTTCGTTAAGCCAATCTGACTGTTCGGTTTCCTTATCAGAGGTTTCCAAGGCCGTTTCGAAAATATGCATCAGTTCTTCGACCTTCTCGCGACCACGCAATGTAATCACAGCACTTCCACTCTCAGCCATTTGTCGTCGGACAGATGCGTTACGATCCACCAATGGACCATCATCGATCAAAAACCGGAAGAATGACACAATATCATCCCCATTGAACCCGCTAGCCATTGCGCCAAAGGACAATGCGATCCCACTCCGAATTTCCCATTGATCGGCTTGTTCGGCTTTCCTAGGCATGCCATATGCATCTTTCTGTACAGGCTTTGTATGGACTTCTTCCCGATACATAGATTCCAATTTCCGCAACGTACTAGGGAAAACAGAGGGGCATAGCTCACAAGCATAGGCTAGGGCATGAGCAGCGGCCGTCCATAGTGGCAGGTCGACGGTTCCTAGGTGTTTGATAATCAGATCCGGGGAATTTTCATCAACTTCTAAAGCATTTTCTTCCCAAATTTCTTTGGCAATCTCGGCATTCTCAGCCACACTGTCATGATATGCAATCCAGATGTATACCGAAAAGTCAAGGTCCGTCAAATCTATTTCAGACAGTATACTCTGAAGAACGGCAGCCCGAACTGGTATTTGATGGGAAATCGAACCCTGAAGTAAAGTTTCAAGCTCTTTGGGTTGTATATTTGCTGACATGGCCCTACAAAGGTCTAAGAGCGCATCGCGCATTAATTTATAATGTTCTGTGTGTCTCCGCATAGCGTTAATGAGCAGACGTAACGTTTCAGACCTAGGTAGTCGCGAGTCAGAGTATGAGTTCGCGTGGAATGAGATGAACTCCAGAGCAAGGAGAACCTGTTCCCCACTATCATCCTTCGATTCTTCAATTCCGTCATTTTCCAAAACTATGAAAACTAAAGGAAGAATATAACCGAGGGAGACACTGTCGAGGGGGCGCTGTTCTGAAAGTATTCGAAGTCGGTAGAAGATCCGGGTGATGAGAGCTATTTAAACACAGAGATCAGCAATGTTCATAATAAAGTATCCAGACGGAAAACTCACTTCCGAGGTGCTCTGTTTCGAGCTCAGCCATCAAAAAGGTCTTCCCCACGGCTCTGAGCGTGGCAATGGCAACAAAGGGTCGTAACTCTCCGAGTCGAGATGACGCCTTCTTAGCACAGGAAATAAAAGCTGAAGATATGCTATCACCAACAATAACACCCCCTCCAAGCTGTGCAAGCTCACATAGAGAACTGCAAGCGGGGTTAATCCAAGATTCAGCATCGGTTGGAGGACCGTTAGCTAGGCTCTTGATTATACCCGCTCCTCGCTTAATCATTACTTCAGCAGAGTTAACCTGACTCCGGATCTCAGACTCCTTCACCAGCTGAGCTTTAACCTTAGCCTGTTCCTCCGCAGTCAACTTTTTCTGTTTTTGGCCGTGCTTCTTAGCAACCTCTGCCCGCAGTTCTTCCTCCCACTTGAGGGTGTCATAATCTTTAGCACTCTTGTTGGGTAAGTTCTTGGCTTTGGTATCTAACACGTCAATAAATGGTGTGTCTTCTGTATGGCGAGCAATAGCGATGTCTGTGGCGGAGAACTGGGATATTCTTTCAGGTTTCAGATCTTCACAGAACTGCGATACAAGCTTCGGTATCATCACTTCCGGAGCAACAAAGCCGAGATCGGCGGCTGCATTCCAAGCCGCTTGTCGACCTTCAACTATCTGGTTGCGGATTGGATCCTATCATTGGTTAGAGAGTGTAGTGCTTTAATTATTGCGTTAAGGGGAGAAGAGAAAATATCGTACTTCAGTTGCAAGTAGAACTTGGTTTAGACACTGATCAGGATATTCGAGGGCCAGTTTCCCAGGATCAACCCCCATTTTCAAGGTTATATTAATCCAGCTCGTTCCTGGCACCAATTCAGGACGACATAGGACGAGAAGCTCAATGGATTGTGACTCAAGGTCCTGTTTGCTAATAGGACCATGGCCTTCGAGCTCCGATACTGCAGGCGTAATTGCTCTCACCACATGACAAAGGTTTGATTTTCCCGTCCCTGAGAGCACTGCAGCGGACTCCTTGTCCAGAGTATCGAGATGATAGAGCCACTTCCACATGGAATTGATGATGGTAGTACCTATCAATGCGGTTTCCTTGAGATAGCACTGCCGTAACAATTCTATTGCGCGTTGTCGAACTTTAGGAGGTGAGCTCGTAGAGCAGATCATATATATGAATGCGTGAGCCCAGGCCTCCTTGACCTGCGCGCTGGAAGCGGAGAACTCTGGTTGCATGGTCACCCCGAACAGGGCGCGGACATTCCATTCAAACTCCCCGTTGGACGACAGCTTTGTATAAATTTTTGGGTTGAGCAAAAATGATGGTTTGGGCGAAACTGATATTGCCGTAGCGAACACATCACCAGTCGTGAAGGGTAAACTATCCTCATTTTGGAACTTTTGGAATGACAAAGCCGTAAGGACGTTTGCTATTGAGATAGCTCCGCCTTGCAATGAAGGAAGCGGGTTGGCAGCAATTTCTGTGAACGACTTGTGCAATCTTGCTATCACTGGCTGTAGGCACTCTTTGCTAAAACTCCGGGATGATAGCAGCGTAGCGTGGTCAAAATTCCAAAACAATTCGCCCATGTTCACAAGCCATAGCTTACGGAATCCAATGCGCTTGTCATCGCAACCCTTGATGATGGTACTATATTGCTCTTTGGTAATATCAGCACCAGAGGACACGATAAAGGCGAGGTGGTGGCAGAAAGATTTGATCTCAGGTTCTAGCGCAATTTCACTGCTCTCGCGAAGAAGCGCAGAGGAAAGGCCAGTTAGTATAGACTGTGATGCATTGGATGAGCATGGTATGGCTTTTAAAATTTGCGCCTGAAGGGCACGTTGTTCGACATTTGTGATCTTCTGTGTTTTTAATGGAGTTATCACCTCGTCTATAACCTTGAGGGCCCATTTTTCATCACCACACCTGGGCATGAAAGCTTCGAGCGCTTCAACGGCACCCTTTCGAATGACTCCATTCGTAGATTTGATGTTTGCGAGCAATGGCTTACAAATGGATGAAGAGAAAACCTTGGAAAGGTCAATATTCCGAGGGATTGCAGAAATAAGAGAGGCGAGTGCACCAGCAAGCAGGATTTCGGGGCTCCTGAGGATTGCCTTTTCTACGGCTGGCCAGACGTATTTTTGGAGGTCCTCCTTCGTAGAAAAGGATGTGAATAGGTCCTGGATTCCATCATAAACATGTCGAGGAATTGGGTTTCTGGAAGCAACAATTTCCTTAGAGTAAAACTGGAAAATATCACCCTTTACCACATCCAAGTCATTCTTCCTATTTGGCAGACGGGCACAAACACCACAGATGACGCCAAGTATAGGGGCATTTTTAAAGCCAGATGACGCCTCCTTCGTCAGGTAAAGTACTACATCCCGGACCAGGTTGTTCCCATGCGGCTCCGTGGGGAAAACAGCACGTAGTGCCCGTCGAGTTACTATTATAGCAGAATGCCTCAGGCTCTGCTTTGTCGAAGTCCCCAGGCACGTTTCTAGGGCCTTGCCGATGCCAGACACTGTCTCCAGAACCAACGGCGAAAGATCTTCGAGTCGTGTGCTCAGATGCTCTAACAGTATAGCGCACCATTCCACCAATACGAATGCATTCGCAGCCGCTATAGCCGAGTTCGATGCTTCCTTTCGAAGGAGCTGGGTAAAGGCCGGAAGGTCTGCGCTCGGAATGGCTGGGAAGAGGGCTTTCGCACAGCGTTGGGCAGCATGGCGGGATTCGCGGTCAATATAGACGGGATATGTCTTGAACAACAGAAGCAGGACTTGCTTGTAAAGCTGTGGAGGCAGTTGAGAGCCTTTCAAATGCGATTAGTTAAAAGAAATGCCCCGATTTAGACTCCAACGTTGACTGGCGAATATTTACCACTGGTGATGCTGTCATGCAACTGATGTAACAACTGACAGCGCAGCGAAGTAGAACTGGAAAATACCACCAGCTCTAAAGGGACGACGCTCCCTTTTCTCACTTCATCCCACTGTTCTTCGTCCATTTTCGTGTTAGATTGCTCATTCCGCACCCCCAGACAGACCGGGCGTTTGCTGGACGTTTGCGTGGTTGATATGGTGTGAAGTCAAGGATTCTTTGCTGTTCGGAGAATTCTCGGTGCCTGATTTAGGGCTCAAGGCGAGATCACCAATTTTTATTTATCCAGGCCTACATCAGAGACGAGAAAAAAATCTATATCCTGCTAATATTTTCCGTTCAGTCATCATTTTCACTTGTATTCTTTAGATCGAGGATTATCTAGGCTCGCTTTTACTACACGACGAACATTCTGCGGTATCCCACTGCCCCTCTTAACTAGTTATCTTCCTGACTATGGGCTTCATCCACGATGGCGCCCAATAAGAAGAAGAAAAAAGCAGCCTCTAACCCGGCTCGAGGGTTTGCAACTGTCTCCGTGCCATCCAAGGTGAAGCCGGCGAGCTCTACTGAGCCAGTAGAGCCCGAAGGACCTGCCAGCTCGGAAAATCTACCAGATAAACAACAGGCCGCAGAAGCTTCTCAGAATACAACTGCTACTCTGCCGGCCAGCCACACGCCGGAGCTGCATGAGTTAACCCCTGAGGAGCTAGAGCGGCACCTGGAAGAGGCAGAACTGCAGGCTATCGTCGACAAGCATGGCGTAAAGTGCAAGGGGGATGCTGCTCGCTACTCTATCAAGCTGACAGCCGAGAAACGCCTACTACGGCCCCAGGCAACGCCGCTTAACCACACCAGCGAATGGCTCTCGTCGGACCTACTGGAGAAAATCCTCGAGAAAGAGAAAATAGGCGCAAAAAAACAGCCTGTCCAGGCAAATAGGACAGAGTTTAATGGACAGCTCACTCTTTCTGCGGAAGAAAACGTGTGTGTTAACATGTGGATCGTTCGTCTTACTCTCCTAGAACTCGGTTTCCAGGAGACGGATATTGACGAGGCGTTGAATAATCTGCTTCTCCATGGCCCATTGGAAAGAATATCTGGGAAGGATCCCATCCCAGTCTTGGACCAAGCATTCTACTACCTAGCGCTTTACTTGGACAAGGATAATCTAGCTGCATACGATGACAACAAGCCGTTAGAAAAAGCAGGTAGGGTTATCACTGTTGGAGAAGATGCTATCAGTATACTGTCAGATAAAACTGGATCAAGGAATTCCAGTCCTGCAGGCCAGTTGCGAAATACCACACCCGGTAAATCCACAGATGCAACTCCCAGGTCTATCTCACGCCCCCTAAGCCCAGAATCTGAAGAAGATAGTAGTCTTCATGACCCGGAAATGCTGCTTCCAGAATTTCTTAGCCTTCGATCACGACTCTATGAACTGGACCCTGGTATATTTGATAAAACAAATGTCAAAAAGGCTTCGAGGCAGGATTCTAAACAGACACAAGACCTAAGTCATGATCCTGCTATCGCTAAGCTAAAAAGAAAACTTGCCCGCATTGAACGAGATGTTTTGTTTGACTTGCGCGAAGCAGAAGAGCACTGGATAGGAAGACTAAAAGAATTGAGACGAGCGACTGGAGAGAATCTGAGGAAGGCATATGACTCGCAGGCAGCTTCTCCTGGCCTCCTGGGCACAGAGCCTGATGATTCTCCACCAAATCCCATCGAACCCGAGGAGGACGAAGGACTCTTCGGTGAAATGTTTACATCGGAACTGAATGATACTGGTAGTAACTCGCTACCTGGGACTGGAAACACTACCACCAAGTTGAGAGATTTCGGAAAATCAGTAGGGGTTAATCCACGAAAGGCTTTGGAGGATGCCTGTAGAGCCAGGTTAGATTTGTGCCCTTCATCAAATATTTTAGGCCTAACTAACACCCGAGGGGCAATAGAGACACCAATTATAGGCTTGCCTACCATACGCTCTCTGCCTGTGCGTTCTCGCATCGCAAAGCGGTGGAAATAAAGTGGTCAAAAGACCAAGATATCATGTTTGAAGCACCGCTCAAGGACACCTCGTACAACATTTCTCCCCGGTCGTTGGCATTTTATATGACCGGCCTAAGCGCTGCTTCAGCTCCACAGGCCGAATCATACATTTCAACCGTTGCCTTGTTTGTATTATCTTCTCACGCGTGGAAGGAGAGCAAGGCATCCATGAAGCTCACAGGTGTATGGAAAGATGTCTGGGATGAAGTGGCTCAAGAAAAGAAAGAGTATAATGACAATGCCGATAGACACGCCGTTAAGGCTATTAAGGGCTACCTACAAGCTTACGAATCTCACCTCGAAGAAGACGTTGTCCTTGTCCACAACTTTAGACAGCGGAACGGTACTGGAGATGTTACTCCATCAAATGAGACTGTACAGCGAAAGCATAACCAAGCTTCATTTTCACCTGACCTCCAAAGACTCTGGGCCAATCGAAGTTCGACTCCTAACTTCCAAAGGATGGCAGAATCAAGGGCAGGTCTTCCAATATGGTCCTTCAGAGATCAAGTTATTGACGCCCTCTCTGAAAATCAAACAATTATAATCTGTGGAGAAACTGGAAGTGGAAAGAGTACACAGGTCCCTTCATTTATACTTGAGAATGAGCTAGCATCGGGGCGAGAGTGCAAGATATATATCACGGAGCCTCGACGTATATCTGCGATTTCGCTGGCAAGAAGGGTCAGCGAGGAACTTGGTGAAAACAAAAATGATATTGGCACAAACCGGTCACTTGTTGGATATGCCATCCGTTTAGAGAGCAAATTCACGGCTTCCACACGACTAATTTTTGCGTAAGTTCCACTCCAGACTTGATATCATGGATATCGTGCTTACTTTCTTTCTAGGACAACTGGTATTGTTATCAGGATGTTAGAACGACCCCAGGATTTCGATAACGTCACTCATTTAGTTTTGGATGAGGTCCATGAACGTACAATTGATGGCGATTTCCTTTTAATCGTCCTCCGTCGATTGCTTGACACTCGAGCTGATCTGAAACTGGTTCTAATGTCTGCGACCGTTGATGCTAAACGCTTTTCTGATTACCTCAACGGTGCCCCTATTTTGAATATTCCAGGTCGCATGTACCCCGTGAGAACCAAGTATCTGGAAGATGCCATTGAGCTAACCCACCATCGGCCCGATAATGACGAATCGTATACCGATGACACGGATACTTCAGAAGACGAAAAGGCATCGACCCCAGAAGATAGCACCACGTTGAAATCAACCCTTGCTAGCTACAGCAAACAAACTCAAGCCACCGTCCTATCATTTGACGAATATCGTTTGGACTATAAACTTATCACTGATCTACTTTCAAAGATTGCAACTCACTCAGAGCTACGAGACTTCAGTAAAGCGATCTTGGTATTCATGCCAGGTCTCGCTGAAATCCGCCGGCTACATGACGAAATACTCTCCATTCCGATGTTCCAAAGCGGCTGGGTTATCTATAGCTTACATTCGTCGATTGCAAGTGAGGACCAAGAAAGAGCTTTCGTGGTCCCTCCACATGGCGTGCGAAAGGTAGTGATTGCTACAAATATTGCAGAGACGGGTGAGTACCGTGACCTTACAATAATTTAACTCAATACTAACTGGAGCCTCCAGGTATCACCATTCCTGACATCACAGCTGTCATTGATACTGGCAAGGAGAAAGTTATGCGGTAGGTAGATTCCTCACTCACCATAAAGAATAGCCATTGACAGTGTACTTTAGTTTTGATGAACGCCGCCAGATTTCGAAATTAGTTGAGGTATTTGTTGCCCGTGCTAATGCAAAACAGCGTCGTGGCAGAGCAGGACGAGTCCAAGAAGGAATCTGCTTCCATTTATTCTCGAAGTACAGGCATGACAAACTTGTATGTTCCTGAACCCCAATTTAGGACCTCAGATACTAATGTACACGACGAATAGCTTGCGGACCAACAAATGCCGGAAATGCTTCGCCTTTCGCTCCAGGACCTCATCCTTCGAGTAAAAATATGCAACTTAGGTGACATTGAAGGCACGCTCTCTGAAGCTCTAGATCCCCCGTCTTCGAAAAACATCCGACGAGCTATTGAGTCTCTTAAAACGGTGAAAGCTCTTACAGGAACCGAGGCATTAACGCCTCTAGGGAAACAATTAGCCAAGCTACCGTTAGATGTGTTCCTAGGCAAGCTTATCCTATATGGGGCTTTCTTCAAATGTGTGGATGCAGCTGTCAGCATTGCAGCGATATTATCTAGCAAATCTCCTTTCCTAAACGATGCCAATCGGAGAAGTCAGATTGAAGCTTCAAGAAAAGCGTTTGAAAGGGGTATGTTTTCTTCTTATATCGCCCGTTAACCTTTAAATTTGCGTGAAGTCTAACATGATATATCCACTATAGGAAATTCTGATTTACTCACAGTTTACAACGCCTACTGTGCATGGAAGAAACATCGAGCAGAGAAAAACGAGTTCAGTTTCTGCAGGAAAAACCATCTTAGCCCTCAAGCCCTGCTGAACATTGAAGACGTCAAAACTCAGCTTCTGGTGTCTGTAGTGGATACAGGCCTGGTGAAGTTGAACAGCGAGGACCAGTTGGCCTTGAATAGGTATGGCCTTGTCTGCTGAAATTCTGAGAAAATATTGGAAAGTCACTAACCCTCCTTCGAACTTGTTAGAGCGAGGTATACGGGACGAAAGCGACAGTTTTTCGTTGCTCCTGAACATGTAGATATTAACAGTAGTAACGATACGATCGTGAACTCGGTGATTGCCTGGAGTTTCCATCCGAGGCTCCTCACTCGACATGGCAAAGGATGGAGGAACGTCAGCAACAACCAAGCGGTCGTCCTCCATTCAGCCTCCGTGAACAAGCACACCGAAAACCCGCTGACATGGCTATCATACTATCACATCATGCAGTCTCGGAACAGAAACTACAACGCACACGAGACTAGTGCTGTAGAGGAGCTCGCAATTGTACTGTGTTGTGGGGACGTAGAATTCAAGGTACATAACAGTTTTCCTTTTTCCTCCGGATTTTCATGAAATTGCTAACTCTATTTCCCAAAGATGTACGCCGGGATTATCTCCCTTGATGGTAATCGCGTCAGATTCAAAGTACGCGATTGGAAGACGATGCTAGCCCTTAGAGTGTTGAGTACCAGAATCAGAGAAGTGATTGCTCAGGCGCTCAAAACCCCGAAGAAAGAACTCTCCTCGGACCATAAGCAGTGGCTCGATCTATTTTTACAAGTTCTTGCGGTGAAAAAGAAGCCGGAAAATTTAGAATACACGATGATGTGAGGCAGAAGAAAGAAAAGGAAAGAAAAGAAAAGGAAAAAGAAACGAAAGGTGGTCTAATTTAAGCGACTGATATCCCGATGTGACACTTCCATTTTTCTAGCCCCCTTTCTGCCTATAAAATGTTGGTTTTTGATTTCTTTTTGGTGGACGTTCGGTTTAACATGGTGTCTGATAGAATGTGGGATGGCGACGAACGGGTTTCTCTTGCATATTACTCTGGCAAATGAGAGGATTAGCTGGGGAAGGGGGAGACTTTTCATGCATGAAAAAAAGGGAGTTGGTAGAAAGAAATTGGGTCATGGTAAAAGTGGTCGAAATCTCCTAACAATCAAAGGATGTATCAAAATTCCATGCTCGTTCGCTTGCTCGGTTCTACAAATGACGGCATGATATGTCGGGTCAAGTCAAGAAACTAGGAAATTGATGGGAGCGAGTTTGGCGCGTCACTTGTCCGTTGTACTTTCAAGACATATCCAACAAGCTGTTGCTAAGTTGACTGCCCTGTAGTACAGCAGTGATAGGGGTTGGAAGCTTTGTTGGGTTTGATAGCTGTAGGCATGCGTGGTAGGTACAACAAACATCCTAGACTTCCAACCGTACTATTAGCCCCCGTGGGGCATGGATGATGGCTCTCGTGTAGCCGGAGGAAGCGTAGTCTGCAGAATCTTCAGATAGTTCTCCTGCAGCGATAATGAAATGGCCATTGATGTTTACTATGGAGAGACAACTAATCTCCACATCCCAGGAGAGAATCCAAGACATTTCAGACCCAAGATAGGGATACTTTTATGACAAAAAGATAACACATCTTCCCATCCGGACAGAAAAACGAAGACTATTGCCAAAAGCATCAAGCATTCGAGCTCCGAAAGCAAGTAGTAACACTGCCGGAGTCGTACAAATGAAATGCAAAAGAAGAAATGTGCATGTAGATGCACATCTGACCAAAGGTGACGCGGGGCTTGCCCTGCATGAAGAGCCACCGCAACAAAGAGAGAATGAATTTTTTCCCCTTCCAAAGGAGGCAGCGATATGGTACAAAGAAAAGGGTCAATATCAGGGGGGAATGGACATACCAGGCGTACGTGTCTGGAGAAAACCTACCAGTAGCCAACTTGAAGTGAAAAAAAGGATAGACGCAAATATTTTAAGAATAATTTCAGGCAAAAGCATGAAACGCCGCGAGATGGATTTTATCAAGCTTTGTTATCGATTTCCTCTTGGCCATTCAGTCGAGATGGACGACCTTGACAGGTGATTCAACATATCTGGGGGGTTGACGGGTGAGCCCTCAGCGCTGGGTGAACGCCGCCGTGGGTTGGGCGAGCTACGTGGCACGCCTGGGCTGTGAGATATCGCCTTATGTTTATTTTAACTCCAGCTCAACTGTGGTTGAGTTGACGATATAAAATTTCTTCAGAGCAGGATTTTAAGCAGTTCGATGGCGTATATCGACTGGTAGTACCTTGCACGGAGATATCAGATTCTGGCAGAGTAGGACACTGGCCAGCCCGAGAGAATACGACGAGATCCCGCGAGCCCAAAGGGAGTAAAGGACAAGCCCAATGGAGGTTTTTCTCCATGTGGGTTTATGTGGTTCAACCCGAAGGGTAGCACAGCTGTCAATCATAGCATGCTGGCATCAATAAAGGAAGAGTAGGTGGAGGATGGGGATAACTCAAGACCCCCTTTTCTTCCAACGAGCAAGCCGGAAATACATCGGATCCCAGACCTGTAACTTTTCCGATTACTTTTCGATTACATTTCTTAGCTTCGTTCTCGCCAAAGCCAGGAAATATAGAATTTTTACTGATACCCGCCTATCGAATGAAGGCCATGGCGATTCTCATCGTTGGATGACTCGTGCGACTCCCTCCCTGTCTAGGCTAGGTAAAATGAAAAAGAAACGGAGGAGCAGCTGCTCTGGCTGCTCTGGCTGACAAGTTTGATTGTTGTCAGGATCCGTGCTACCGCTGGATATCATGCGGCGCATCAGTCATGACAACAGAACAGCCATAGGCTACGGGGTATGACTTGAAACCGAGTGGATCGTGGATATTCTGTAACGGCCGACATTGCCTGCCATATTTTCCTTTTATTTCTTTTATTTTTCACCGAAATATGGCTGAGAAACAGGTATATAAACTTGCGCCACCGAGACAGGACCGCGTGAACAGGGCGGGCGAAGGAACTGATAATTTCAAGTCTCCCCTCTGCAGACTCCCAGGCAAACCTGATGATAGCTCTCTTCTAATTTGGGCCAAAGGTAAACAAGGTGTAGGCAGGCAATCTGCTATATTGTCCTGCTATGATATGCAGCAGCGGTCGCACCAGCTAGGAAGATCGCCGATTGGTGAAGATGCGAATGCGAGAAACAGCAGCTGGCGATCTGCAAAATAAGGGTGAATAAGCTGGCTAATTGGTTGAACGTACATGATGTACGCACGATTCTCGTACATTTATACAGACTCCAGCAGTGTGTTATGTACGTCCGTTGAGCTCCCCCGTCCCGTCATCGAGGAACGGCCGTATACCAACGCAACCTCCTAAATGAGATTGATATAAAAAGATAGGGGGGAAGGAAAAAAAAGGAAAAACCAGGACGGGCAGTAGGACGAGAGATTGCAATCTGTACTGGCTGGCTAGCTGTTTAGCGAACGAGATGCCCGTCCTCTGCCGAAACGGTGCCCCGTTCCGTCAGTACATAGGGGATATATATTCGCCGGTGGAGGGAGAAATCGAGAGACACGATCTCACAGATGGATACTACGATAGATGGCCGGTGTCACGGAAGGGGACGTGAGTGCCTTGCATCTGTCGGATCATTATTTTTTTTTATAGTTGTAGCCATCCCCGTTGCTTAGTTACGGTGACATAGGGAGGGAAGACGCTGCATGCAAGTAAGTATCAGGGGGAGAAGAAAGTGATATCTGATATTTCAACTCCAACTCCAACTCCACAACCTGCCTCCGTTTCGTGCCAGCATCCTGACAGATAAAACGGGCAACCTTCGACTCCGCTCGCCGTTCGCGATAATATCAAGGAGTAAGATGCGCCAAGTCAGTCTCCAGAGGCATCATCATCATCCGTCACAGGGATAGGAAAAATCGCTAGTTCTCTGCCAGGTCACTCGGCCTAGATCTTTGCCACTGCTGGCAGCTCAAGCATCAGTTCCACGGACGGACGTGGGGAGTGTGGTATCACGCAGTCTCTGCCACTTATTTTTACTCTTCTTTTTTTATTTATATTTTTATTCTATTTTATTTTTTAATACTCGCATATGCAACGGCGGGTGGATGCAGCTGAAACCCGCCATGACCATCACCACACCCTTTTCTTTTCTTCTTTCTCCGCCATCCTACATCTTACCCTGATATCGGCCAGGAGGTACTCGCCATGTACGGAGTACGGGCATGCTTATCAGCCGCTACGGAGTACGGAGTAGGACTGTCAGTAGAGACGGAGGGTGAATAATCGACATGCGGAGATTACGCGAAGCCAGAAGCTGTCCATACAGAGACCGTTGGCCGCTCTCTCTCGCCTCTCTGCCACGGCGCGTAAGGGAGAAAAATACGCCACGGGCCCCGGAGTCACCGGCGAGTAGGGGAGTAACGGGGTATGGAGAGGATACTGGGCTTGCGACTGACCACCGTGTATGGATGAAAGGCGAAGGGTGGAGAAGCGAATCTTCAAGTTGATGGAGAGTCTAGGGATGTACGGCGCGTATACCGTCAATTACGCACAGAGTACTCCCGTACGGAAGGCCTTCAATTTTGCATTACGCCTATACATACGGAGTACCCTCTGGTACGGGGAGAAGATATACATGATTCTCGTCCTGCGTGGAATTATCAGCCATCTGGGAACACAGAATACCCGCTCCACCCTTGCTGGGATGATGGATGTTACATACATATCGACCTGAAGGAAGTCACTAGTACTAGCCCTGGTCGTTGCTCTCGGACCACAGACATGGTCAAGGATACCTTTTGTCCGAGGGATGGGCAAGAATTCGATACGGGCAGAACGACTGGACTGGAGCAGACCGGAGGGCGAACCGGCATGGTTGGGCGGGCGTCAAACGTCCCATCGTCCATCGTCCATCGCCCATCGTCCCATCGTCCCATGGGCTATCTCTTGCCTCAACTCAAGTTCCATCCTGGCTGGGGGCTTGGTTTTGATGGCGTTTAGAGCTCGTTGACGTGGTCGCTTTACCATCCAGTCGTTTTCTTTGCGCCCAGCCCGCAATATCCACTTCCCACACCCACAGGCTATACAGGCCATCCACATCTACAGCGCACACCGGGCTCGAGGTCGTTTGATGCCAGTTTCGAACCATGAAGAAAATGTCCTCATGGGCTGGCTACCGGACGGTGGGAGGTTTCTTGCCATGCGGAGTGGCCTCCCCTAGTCCAATGCTGAGATGCTAAGTAGGTACGGTCAGGATGAGTTAATTAATAACCTACTATAGTTACTAACGGAGTACACACTAATAAGCTAGCATGAACAGGCATCGTGGATGGATTGTGATTTCCACGCTGGCTGTTCGCACTTCGCTCGTTACTTTTCCCTCTTTGCTTTTTCTTCTGCTTTCTCCTTTACGGTGGCCGCTTGGTTTTATCTTTTTTATCTTTCCTTTTTGAGGAAAAGCCCGCCACGTAGCAGGATGCCTGGGGGAAGAGTGAGCGAGTGGATGGCCGTGGTTCGTTCAAGATCTGGACTCGCGCCTGCTCGCCTACTATAGCATGTGTACTGTACTCCGGATTCCGTACGGGCATGGCATGCGCTGTCCATGTACAACTACCGCGGCACTAGGTAGGGGGGGGAACATTCGGCATCATGCTCTCTCTCTCTTTTCTTCTTCTCCCCCTTCTGAACGCAGTGCACAGTCTCTCTCTCCACCTGTCCGCCAGCTTTGACCTCCGAAGTCTGGAGTACATATGTACAGCCGGTGGGAAGAGCCCGCCAGCAAGCCCACGCAGGCAATTCTCCGCAAAGGAAAAACGAAAACCAAAAAAAAAGGATAAAAAAAAAGGATAAAAAAGAATTTGGCGAGCGTGTGAGAAGATTGGAAAAAGAAAAGAAAAAAAGAGCAGCGTATGGGAACAAGGTTGACATCCTTGCGTATCCCTCCCGTCTCGCCCAGGGGGCCCCCATACCTGGACTGAACAGGACGGAGGAAGGACAGGAGGACAGCAGCCGGGCGAGAGATCCCACTCCCGAAAGTTACTGCACGTATGCTCCTTGTGTTATACTTGGGATATATGTATATTCGGTCCTCGTGCTGGTCGAGCGTGGGGTACGAAGCGAGTCTGTCAGTGCTTATGCCGATGCCTATACTCCGCCTGGCCTGATGCTTGCTTGCTGATGCTGGTTGATGCTGGCCTGATGCTGGTTAATGCTTGCTTGCTGCTGCTGCTGCTGCTTGCTGATGCTGCTGATATGCTGCTGGTTTGCCGGTGGAACCAACCGCGACGCCTTCAACCAGCGGGGCCTCCCTTCCGGCTGCAATGCAAATCAGATCCAGAGTTCGGTGTTTCTTTTCCTTTCCTTTCTTTTTCCTTTCCACCTTGCTGTAAAGGCCGTATGGTACGGAGCAGGGAAAGCAGAATACGAATACTATCGACGAGCTATAACCCCCCGTGCCATTTACAGTGCGAGTGTGCGGCGTGGCTGTACGTTTCGCTTCTCCAGATCAGCAGGCGGCGCACGACGAAGAAGAGAGAAAGAGAGAGAGGGACCGGTTATTTCGCTATTTTTCCCACCCAGGGATGTACGATGCACGGCGTACTTTTCGTCTTTGTAACGATTGAAATTATTAATATATATTCGCTGGTCAGGCTGCTGGTTACGGTATATCGGCTCTGTCTCCGGCTGGACAAACGCAGGGCCTTGCTAAGCGACTAGCAAGCTTACGATATACAAGGACCCTGATGAATGCCTCGTTTGGGATGCTACATTCGACATCGCGATAACTAGTTTGATATAGTGAGGAGCCAAAGGCGCAGGTCTAATAGCGACGAAGGTTCCTGCAGTCGCTTCTTAAACTCCGCCCTCACGCCACGCCTGATACGGTACGGAGAGGGCTCTGCTGCCGATGCCAGTATACACCCGATTACTGAGCTGTTACTCCGTACATGCTCGATGTCATGCAATCAGAGTCCGGCAAGGATGCAATGCTAGGTTATTTCTCCTCCGCCGGTCGTGTCACTGAACTCAACTCTGCCCGGCACGCTCTGACCTGACTTACTCACGACTCGCTTCGAGGAGATACTTCGCTAGCCCCCGTCGTCCTGCAGCGGGTAGTCTATACTATTATCATATCGTCCTACTCTTACGATATGGTCTCTGCGATCGATGCGTATGTAATCAGAGAGCTAATGCGACCCGTGGATGTTCGGTGGATTGGACTGTGGATTGCAGGTCTGCGTTCCAAGGATGCAAATAGGTACCTTAACCTAAGATGTTATGCTATGTAATGCGCTGTAGGGCGGGCCGTGGATAGCGAAAACCTTCAGCAGGGCTAAAAATAACGAGCAAGGACTCTGATACAGCGATGGAGGATACAGAAGCAAAAAGGGGGTGGTCTCCGTGCCGGTGCAGCGGTGAAGTTTCACGATGCAGGGGAGGGAGGGAGGAAGAAGAGAAAGAAGAAGCAGAACGAAGGAGATGCTACTGGCTCGGACCCGGTGTATATCTCCCTCGCTATCATGCGGCCTGACTAACGGAGCAATTAATCAACGATACTATTGCCTGGCTCCTGCGCTATTGTCGGAGGACTACGAACAGGCCACGGCCACGGCCACCACATCCACATCCACATCCACATCCACGGCCACGTCCACGTCCACGGCCAAAGCGGCGACCTGTTTGAAAGAAGTGTCGATTTAATTAATCCCGATGGGCCAAAGGACGGGCCGGGCCTTATCCAATTGAAGAAGCAAGTTAAGATTCCGATGCACGAAGATCCTGCCTCGCCGTCTCTTTGACAGGCCCATCACTGCCCAGGACGGATGAAAGAGATAAAGACGAGGTTAAGGCACGGAAGAAGCAAAGAAGAAAGGGAGAAAAGAAGGCCTTCCAGCGTTCTCTCTTCCTGCATTGCAGTGCATGAGAGAGCAACGTACATACATGATGTACGGCGGAACCACCAGCTGGGAGTCTTTGTATCCAGCCTCGGGCTTCATCTAGAGACATACTCCGTACAGAGAGATCGCTCGTGGGGACCGCTGGATAAGCGCAGTCCAGGCTGAGATGAGGCGGACAGACAAAGAATGTGCCGCTGTAGATCGAGATATCATGGCGGCTGTCCGAGGCTGATACTGAACTCATACCCATACTCTACTGATACTGATACTTATACTGATACTGATACCGATACTGGTAAGGTAAGGTCTTCCAGAAGAAAAAAGCAATAACCCTGTCCATCACCAGACCAGTGAGTTGTCATTACCTGCTAAAGTGATGTAGACATAGAGTAGTAGAGTAGAAGGGTAGAGCAGACTAGAGGAAAGAGAGTAGACTAGAGAGTAGATATGGAGGTAGACAGACAGACAGACAGAGTAGACATAGACATACCCTAGATATAGACAGACAGAGTATCGTATAGACAGAGAAGAGTAAGTATACGTAGAGAGAATTGCAAAAAGATACTAGCCCGTACGAAAGATACGGAAGAAGCAAGCAGCGAACAAGCAAGTAATGTGATCTCCACCTCGAACGTCCATCTTGCTATCTTCACTCTTATTCCCTTCTTCTTCTCTTCTTCTCTTCCTTTTCTTCTTCTCTTCTATGGCCTCTCATCTCTACGAGTCCATGACCTCACTCTAGCTCGACTCGACTACGACGTTACGACCTCACGTTCACGACCTGCTAGACCTTGTTCTTCTTCCTGGCTTTCGGGTGCCTTCATACAGACGACAAGACGACGAGACGACGACACGAGTCGCGCAATTGACAGTCTCTGCCAGTTGCTTCATCCTTGCCCCCCCGGATCCCTTCAGTCTGAAAAGCTGGAGCTGCCGTCGATTTCCCAGGTTCACACCAGGAGCGCCGTGGACCTTCCCTGGTATAATCACCACGCTACAGAACGGCCGCTGTTCTCAGGCGACAAGCTCCCAGCGCTCTCCTTTGCTCCAGCGTCCGTCGCCGCCACCACCGTCTCGCAGGACTCCAGCTCCGTGACGAGCCTGTCGAGCTTCTCCCAGGCCAGCTGCGAGGGTAAGAGCCCTCCCTCGATCGCTGCGGACGGCGCGGGTGTCGGTGTCGGTGTCGGTGCTGGAGGAAGCATGAACCAGACACAGCCGTATATGGATGTGCAGTCGTCGCATTTGGCCTCCTCGCAGCCGTACACGCAGGGAACGCCCGCAGAGAACATCTCGCACTACTCTCAGTACCAGCAGCCGTCGTTGCTGCAGCCAGGTCCCGCGGCCTATCCTCCATCGCATAGCTATCCGCAGTACGGGTACTCGAACGGCATCACCTCGCCCCCAAACAGCCAGCCCGTCTCCAACTCGTTAAACGGGCAGCCGACCCAGATCCTCCCTCTCCCTCGTATGTTTATCCGTTGTTCCTTTGGTCTGTTCAGAGTGCTAATTTTCTAGCGTTAAACTCAACGGCCCCGAGCTCCCATGGTTATGTGCCAAACTCCACGGGCCAGGTTCAACCCTACTCGTCCCAAACATTCGACACGACCGGCCAGATAGCGCCGCCGGGCGTCAAGCCTCGCGTCACGGCCACGCTCTGGGAAGATGAAGGCAGTCTTTGCTTCCAGGTCGAGGCCAAGGGAGTGTGCGTCGCTCGCAGAGAAGGTTCGTTCGTGTCCAGCAGCCTCTCGTCGTCTCCATGTCTAACGTTGATACAGACAACCACATGATAAACGGCACAAAGCTGCTCAATGTCGCCGGAATGACGAGAGGCAGGAGAGACGGCATCCTCAAGAGCGAGAAGATCCGCCATGTAGTCAAGATCGGGCCCATGCATCTCAAGGGCGTCTGGTACGTATATCTATCCGTATCTCTCTCTCTCTCTATAAGCAGCTAACATGCATAGGATACCGTTTGAGCGCGCTCTGGACTTTGCAAACAAGGAGAAGATCACCGAGCAGCTGTATCCTCTGTTCGTCCACGCCATTGGGAGCCTGCTATATCATCCGGTGAACGAGAACCGCTCCAATGCCATCATCTCGGCCTCTGACCGCAGGCGCATCGAGAGCACCCAGCCATTAGGTCGTCCTGGGCCTGGAGGACACCCTCCGCCGCTGCACCATCACCACTCGATGCAGAACCCGACCACTTCACACATGTCGCAGCCCTCGTCGCTCGCCACGATTCCTCATCCCATTCCTGGCCGTCCGCCGCTTGACCGCGCCCACACCTTTCCCACGCCTCCCACCAGCGCCTCCAGCTTGGTAGGCATGCCCAGCCAGGCTGGTTCTTACGAATGGAACGGCCAGAACATGTCAAACGGCGTCCAGGGCTCCCAGGGGCTTCCCCTGGAGCCTGGAATGAACGGCACTCGGTCGATGCCAACCACTCCGGCGACGACACCGCCAGGTGCAAACATGTCCGCCATCCAGGCGTACCAGAGCCAGTCTGGCTACAGCGACTCCAAGGCCTACTACTCCTCCGCTCCCGCCACGCAATCCCACTATGCGTCGCAGCAACCTGTCTCTCAGCAAAACATGTCCAGGTACGGGATCGCTCCCTTACCCTCCCACCCACATCACCCTCAATCCTCCTCCTCCGCCAGCAACGGAAACGAACCCCCCCCGTTCGCTCGGTCGGATAGCAAGGGAACTAACCAATCGTCTATCAGCCAGGGAAACGGCCAGGTGAATCATGGGCCAGCCGGCGCCACCGCCGCGGAATCAGAGTCCACGGAGCAGCAGCACCAGGGCCACGAGGGTGAATACATCAACGACACCCACGGCGCATACAACTCCAACCGCAACTCGTACCCGGCCTACCCGTCCAACCAGGCCGTCGGCTCAATGCCAAGCGAGCACCCTCCGCTCCCGTCTGAGATGGCCGCTCCATCTCACCAGAACGGAACGGACAAACGCTCCTCGGCCCCGTGGGCATCAACCTACCCGCCTCGCACCGGAGCGCCCAGCAGCGTCTACAGCGTGATGAGCGACACCCGCAACTCCTCTGCCACCGCTGCTGGAACCGCGACCTATCCAGACTCCTACTCCGCTCCCGCGAGTACCCCTGGATACTCTTCTTCCATGAACGGATCAAGCAAGCGAGGCCGCGACGATGACGAGCCAGATCACATCTCCCGCTCCGAGAGCCGCAGTGAAGACTCCGTTTACGAGCATAAGCGCAGGAAAACACTCGTTGACTCCACCGCAGGTCCCATCGTGCCTGCGTCCATCAGCCTGCAAAACGTACAATCAGGCAACTTCCCCCGACGTATCTGACCATCCGACTATGCTCGTACCCCCGCGCTACACTAGACCATCTGTTGCCACCCTGACACGGACGTTGACGAATTGATGCTTGTCTGGACCTTGATATAAAAGAACCGCAAAAGCCGTCTACCCCATCCCTTTCTCCAACATGACTCGACATGCCAACGAACACGACCACGACCACGACCTAAAACTTCAACGAACTAACGAGCCCAAAAGAGAATCAACCATAAAAAAAAGCGCAGCGTCTGGATTTTTCTTCATAACGACCCATTTAACGAAAGCGAGTGTTACCAATGTCTGCTACATGTTTTGAAACAAGAAAAATGTCACCTTTTTTTGCCTTGCCAGCCCCTTCTTTTATATCAAATTAAGCCACCCAGTCCGGTCAACGTCAGCGTCATCGTCAGTCAGCAATCCAAAATCGAGAACACGTCAGTTTATCACCCACCGCCATTGGCAACAACCTCTTGCATTGAATACGCCACTCTCCCCCTTCTCGGAACCACGGGGAGACGGGGATCCGTTATCATCGTCTTTTTCACGTTTTTGCGTCTACACTTGTTGAATCGGGAGGCATCCTCTGCTTTCCCCTCACCATTTGATTATTTCTATTTACTTCTTCTTTTTTCTTCCTGCATTAGAAGTTCTTGAGAGCTTTTTTTCGTTTCTACAGTTGGTCCTTGCCTGTCTTGTCCTGTCGTCAGGAGCGGAGTAAACGAACCTCCGAAACTCCTGCTTCTCGAACCGCGCCTGCTCCCGATCCAGGGATCTTTTATGCTCTTAGCTGACGTGTTACATGTGTTTTTATAATGACCTGAACCTGACCCTCAACTGACCCTTTTCGTCTGCAACTTTCGCCTGCAAATCTACCTTTTCTTTGGTTCTGAGTGATTATCTGCGTCATGTCTTGCGTTGCGGTATCTAAAGTTGAATGATTGCCTACTACCCGAATGTGGTCTGATGTGTTTGATGTGATTCCTTACAGTTGACAGCAGTTATCTTCCCTCCTCTTTTTTCCTTACCTTCTTTCCTTCTTCGCTTCTCCCATACTGTTGTCATCTTTTTATACAAATGCTACTTTTTCCCCCCTCTCCTTCCCTATGTCCGTATTTATCTTTCCTTTCCTTTTATCTTACATCTTCTTCATCCTCAAAATCTCCCCAAAAAATTTCCCTATTTTTTCGCTTCTAATGACTTGATATGACACGAATTTCCTACTTTTGCACTATCCTTCTCTAGTCGGTACATTTTGGAACTACGAGTATGCCCTAGGGATTGATGTTAAACCAAGGTCTTCATCCAACAAGGGTAGCGGTAGCCAGATTATTCTATTCTTTAAATCTTAATTCTCATTATATATTTACTTTTCCCGTCGTTAGATTTGCATTTTTATGTCATGAACATGTTCCCTTGTAGCAGTTCGTTCGTTTAGGTAGAAGCGCGGCTAGAACACGTGAGCTGCAAGTCATCCCGGCTTCCCGCATAAACTAAGCTGGTTTCGGGCAAACAACAACATAGCGCTTGATATCTGGTGGGATAGGGATAGGATAGGAGAGCTGGAAGGAGAAGAGAAAGGGGAGTCAGTATTACGGAAAGGAGGCCCGCCTCGTCTGAAATGGCCCGCAAAGATACGAATATATCTCCCTCCCTACGCCAGATTTTAACCACGCCGTCTACCGCCGCCCTCGAAACCTTTGATGCCTGGAACTCAGTTGGAACAGGCCACCAGCGCGCTGAGCTGAACCAAACAAACTCATCAGGCTGGAATAAAGTAAGGAGCCAGAAACTATCGGCACAATACGGCAAGGGGAGAGATGGCAATGCAAAAGCCGCGGCCGAGGCCGGGGAGTGGGTGTTGTCAGATAAAGCAGGACGAAAGAAACTCGGTCGATTTAATGATGGGAATGGAGATATCAGGTCCTTTATGGGAGGTGTGAAGAAGAGACGGGTAGAGAGCGAGAAGGATAACGAGGTAGCTAAGCGGTTAAGGACGAGGGAAGAGCAGGGATTCAAACGGCACGATACCCACGATGACACGATAATGAGTTTGGAAAGAAGTAAAGGGGCTATATCCTTTGACCGTGATGATCTCATGAGTGAGTGATATTTCTCTCCTCCGTTAACTGTCGACACTTCAGGATCGTGACGATGATAGCTAAAATGCTGATACTGATAGATGCCAACGAAACAAATACCTCAACCTCAATACACGCATCTAACGACAGCAATGATAGAGACAAAGATACTAACAAGGAGAAACGAATATTCGCTAATCTAACAATATACATCAACGGTTCCACCTTGCCGCTAATATCAGATCATAAGCTGAAAAATACCCTCATCGACCATGGCGCGAAGATATCAATTGGCCTTGCAAGACGGAGCGTCACACATGTTATTCTTGGCTGTCCTAACGGGAATGTCAAGGGGAATGATGATGGTATTTCCAATGGTGGTGCTGGAGGGGGCCTTGCGGCTGGAAAACTACAGCGTGAGATAAGTCGTGTTGGCGGTATGGGGGTTAAGTTTGTTGGTGTTGAGTGGTTAGTACTTTTCTTTACCGTTAGCATATAGGGGAACTCGGGGTTATTGACTTTCTTTTTAAGGGTGTTGGAAAGTATCAAGGCAGGATGCCGACTGCCTGAAGCGCGGTTTGCAAATTTACATCTTGCCTCGTCTAAACAGAGGAGTGTTTTGGATTTTACGGTCAAGTAGCTGTATCTCGAGAGGACGGCGATGCTCCTTATCCTTTGGCTTTGAATTTCTATTATTGATACCCCTTGTTTTATTGATTTAATTTTTCTATTTAACATGCATGCCCGTACCGTCATGTATATCGACCGAAATCACCATGCCGCCCAAAGACATTATCATCATTACCAGGCATCAAACAAACAGCGTCAAGTTCAAGTTCAAGCGCAAGTGCAAATGCAAATGTAAGCCAGGAACAGAAGACATGCATCAAATCAAAGCAAACGAGGATAAACGATAACAAGAATGTATTGTCGATATCTCCAATGCAAGGAGAGCGGCAAAAGCGCGCGCAAGCATCCATTATAAAACTGCAAAACAAATCCATAATGGACAAGCAACAAAAAATATAAACATAAATGACAAGAAACAAAAACCAGTGGCCATGCCAAGCCGTGTATTAATGGCTTTCCCTATATACTCCGTACATTTTGCATGATAAGTATGTTATAAACGAATAAGACAAACGGGGGGTCGAAGAAGGGTGAATGGACAGTCAAGGTAGACTGTCAGGGAGTTCCAAAAGGCGGAACAGTAGACAAGAGTCGATGGCTTGTCGTAAAGGTAAATGCTCGACTGTAGCGTGAGCCAAAAAAAAAAAAAGGAAGGGAAAAAAGATATTAAACAGCGAGTTATGGCAATCAGAACGCAGCGCAATGCATTTTTCATCAATTTCATCTTTTGCTTGGACCTTGTCCTGCATCTCCAGAGCCGTCACGACCGCCTCCGTCATGGCTTTGTCTAATGTTCCCGCGGCGCTCTTTACGTCCCTTCCTAGCTTCCCCTGGGGAAGAGGTCGCGGCCGACAGGGGAAAGCTTGAAGTGTCAAACTTGGGGAACGAGCATGTCGAGTCAGAAGGCCCTGTTTCGCGGTTGTCTTGCTCTGATACCCCCGTCAGCGGCCGCTCGGGACTTTGTCCGCGATGCTGTTGGGACTGGGACTGAGACTCGGAAGACGGTGATGGAACGTGGGATGATTCACCTCCCGATGAAGAAGAGACGGAGAGGACGTGGCGAAGGGAGTCTGAGGAGTCGACGTGTGAGTGTCTTGTGTTTTTGTCCGGGCGGGATTTATTCGCGGCTGGTGAAGGGGAGCGGGTTTTGCCCTTGTCGCCCGCAGCGAGGCCGAGGGCTTCTTCCTCTGTGATGCGCTTGGAGCTGCTGGCATGAGAGCTGTGATGGGGTATGAAGCTGGGGAGATGCAGGTGGGTCGTTTTTGTAGGTGTAGTGAGTCGTTCGGTTGGCGGAGCGGCGGAGGAACTGCGACGGAAGACATTAAAGGAGAATTGTCTATGGGCTCTATGTGGAGGAGGCGTCGGAGGAGGGCTGGTTGAGTCAGCATTCTCCCTGATTTCAGATTGGCCCTTCTCGTTATCAAAGAGAGGCGATTTCTCTTCCTTTCTCCCCTTTTCATTAATCACGGAGTCGATCGTCTCGCTTCGCGGACGACGGATGGCTTTGTTATATTGGAATGCCTGGAGGAGCTCATGGCGAGTGAAGGGGTCGGACTCGGAAGGCCGTTCGGGCATGGACCTGGGAGAGTCGAGACGGCCATCTTTCTCCATGGGCTGCGGGGAGATGGTGCCGCTGGGTCTCCAGTAAGGGTGTAGAGCAGTTGAAGCGCGTTTGCGGAGACTGCCAATGAACGAGCCTTCGCCGCCCTCGTGAGATCTGACTTCAGAACGTTCAGGTTCGGTGTAATCTGGGAAACGGGACATGCCTAGCGGAGGATGCTGTACCCTACGACGAGGGCTGGTTGCCTGTACACCATTGACAAGAGTTGTTCGTCGTCTGCGAAGACCGTCCCACTCGATAACTTCATTTTCACCGACTGGCTCAAGTTCGTCGAGTCTCTGATCCATGTGGAAGCGCCTGATCTCTTCTTGCTCCATCTTTTGGCGAGGAGTCGATATGCGGCGGATGATGGCAGCAGTTCCTCTGATGGCGTCTGCTTTCGGTTCCAGCTCTCCCTGTTCTTGTTCTGCAACCTCGCGTACCTGGTCCAGGTCACCCTTGAAGACAGCAGCATCTGGGACGTCCTTGGCGGATTTGGAGAGTTGGAGAAGCACGACACCGGTACAGATCTGGAGGAAGCCCATGACGACGGTCGTGATGCTGATGGCGGTTCCCTTGAATCCCTGGAATAGCACTGCAGAGGTGATGATACAAGCACTGGTAAAGATAACGTAGTAGGTAGGCGTGACAAGGGCGGCATTGAAGAGGTTAAGTGCTTTCTAAGAAGGAATTAGCATCGAATATTGTAGATTTATCCTCTAAGTTGGAAAACTCACGTTCAGGTATATAATCTCAGTGAGCAGGGTGACAATGATAAAGACCAAGAGCACCCAGAGGAACCATTCCTTAAACTGCGAGACACCCATGATCTGGGCGATGATGGCAGCTCCCAGACCCTGCGTAGCAACGACACTCAAACCACCCGTGAGACTGCAAATGGTGAGGTAGACAAACATGCTCTTCTTGCCGTACCGGGGTCCAGCCCATATGGCGAGAAAGGCAGAAACCACCACAATGACACCAGCAAAGGAGAGAAAGCCAGGAGTAATCACATAGCGCTGCATATCCTGGATATTGGCGACCGAGGACTGCGTCGGCGCGTTCATGGCGATAATGACGGACCCGATAAGACAGTTCAAGCAGCCGACCTTGCCCACGAAACTAAGTCGTTCCTTCAGGAAGATGGCTGAGAGGACGGTGGTGACGACGACAGAGAGGGCGCCGAGGGGAGTGACGAGGATGGCATCGACGAAGGCATAGGCGATGAAATTGCAGAGTTCACCGAGAATCATCAGCGTCATGCCTCCCCACCAGTAGACGTTTTTGAGGTAGCCATAGCCTTCGCCGGCTTCCTCGTTGTATTTGACATTGGCCTTGAGAAGACCGACCTTCTTCAGGACGAAGGAGATGCCGATGAAGAGGCCTGAGCAGACGGCGAGAGTGATTCCAACTGCTTTGAAGGCCGGTGGACGCGAGTCGGGAGTTCCAAGGGGGCTGCCACCAGAGCGAGCGATTAAGGGGCCCAGCGTGGAGGACTCATCGAACATTGCGTGGCGGCGGAGCGTGAGCTCCGGTGTGCGTGAGCGTTTAGGGACGCCGTGACGGTGGTCTTATTGTAGGGACTGTAGATATCGGTCGATGTTGCTGTGTTGATGTTCGATGTGATGTTCGATGTTTTGAGGTTCGACTTTTGCTGGATGGCGGTTGGAAGTTCCGCGGAAGCGAGAAAGCTTGTATGTAGAGTTAAAGGAGAGACAGACAGGAACAGGCACAGGCACAGGCACAGCTCACGGCGGACAGAGAGTCGGTCTCATCGAGATCAGCGTCGCAGTGAGCGAGATGAAGGTGAAGAAGACCGTCGCAGAAGAGATTTGACGGGATGGAGTCGTGATAGTGCAAGATCCCGGCGACAAGTCGGGGCGAGCGCTTAGGAGGTTGAGGCGTTGCCATGGCACTTGCTAGGGTCTTAGGCTTAAGCTAGGCGTGGATCTGACAGCCTTAGGCGGCCTTAGGCATGGGTTTGGCGGTCCTTAGGCGTGGGTTAGGCGTGGGCTGGCAGTCGTTAGGCATGGGCTAGGGGTGTGCTAAGGCGGGCTGGGCGTGCTTAGGGGGGCTAGGCATGGGTTAGGGGTAGTGGCAAGCTGAGTTAGTTAAAGCCAGGCTTCCAAGACTGCGCCTGCCGCATGACGTAGAGAGATGCGCATCACTTGCCACCAGCATAGCCAGCATCAAGATACCAATATACCAGCAGTATAGCAAAGAAGTTCATATCCCGTATAGATCTCTAGAGTACAGCCTGAACCCTGCTGCATGCATCACGATCGTCGGCTGATATCCCGTACTCCAGAGCCAACGAAACACACCACGCATACCAACGATGAAGGAAGCATACATAAACTAGCCCAATAAAAGCAAGACATAAAACAGGTATAGCATCGCTTTGTCCAGCATATTTTCCTTCCAATCAATATAAACGAGAGAAGTACAACGAATCCAGCGTAAGTACGGGAGTTAGACAATAGAATATTAGACTTATATATGTACCACAAGGAGATGCATAAATCGTTACCTTTTCTTCTTTCTTTTTTTCCGTTTGTTCGTTTGTTCGTTTGTTGCCCCTCACCGGGAAGTATTATATGTAGGCTTCCTCGTACGGTTCACCGGTGGCGGTCCGTCATCTGGGTACGGCAGCTTATACTTCCGCGGTGAGCCAATGATAGAGACTGGCCTGTCTGGGTTCCGGGGAGGGATGGGCATCGACACCACCCCGTTGCCGTCAGTTACATTCTCGCTGCTGCCAACAGGGTACGGAATGGGTGTCTTGGGCGGTAAGGGCGGTGGTGGATTGCGTGGTTGGAGCGGTTGGAAAGCATCTAGGCTCTCGCGAGGGGAGCCGTGAGGAGATGGTCTATCCAGGCTCTGACGGGCCGGCGAAGGAGGCAGCACATCGGAGCTGCGACGGCCACCTGAGTTGACTGGTTCCGGGAGGTCTCGACCGTCTGCATCGGCGCCGGGGAGGACGGTGAATTTGTCGTCGTGGGACGAGAAGCTGACCGCCGTCGAGCTCTGTGCCGTATTTGGTCGTGGATGTTGTTGTGGCTGCTGGCCGTCGTCAGCCGGTAGTTCGATGGCAGGGAGCTCAAAGACATGCTGCTTCGACGGGGACTGAGCAGCTTGCGAAGGTATTGGAGGAACAGGCCGGTTCTTGCGCTCTTCCAGGCTTTCGTTTGCCGTCACAGCAGCAGAATGAGACTCTATCCGGCGATGCATGCGTTCGACCTTGGCCAGTTTAACAGCTGCCTCGTAGTTCATGCGCTGCACCTCATTCTTTGCCAGGTACATGCGCGTACTCGTGCTGATTTCCGCCAGCCGGCTCCATTCGTTCATCCCAAACTCGCCGACACCGACTTCGACGTTGAGACGATAGTAGACCTCTCGCGGCACGTTGCGTTTGACCAGGTGGTCCTTGAGCATGAACTGGTGTGTGGCCTCGCAGCCTTCGATCTTCGCAACCAGCCGTCTCCTGGCCTCTGCAAAGTTGCCCAGCGAGTCTCGGAATACATCTTCCCACCATTCGTGTGCGGGAGCGGTCGAACCCTGTGGTCTCTTGCCTGTGCCTATGCTGATGAAGACGCCCACTTCACGGCCCGGCCATTCGTTTACCACCGCCTCGTCGAGGATCTGTGGACTAGGGTTGTATTTGCCGGCACCTTCGTCGAGGAAGAGATGCTGGCCGATCTGGATGGGTTTGAAGGCCAGTCCGGTGGCAGAGGTGGCACGTCCGGCCTGCCAGATCGTGCAGTTGAATTCGGGAGGAGGTTCACGGCGGGAGTCGTACGAGCGGAGGAGTGTAGAAGAGCCAGATTTCGGTGTTCCCTTGTAGACTGCTGTCACGGCACTGTTCATTGGTTAGTTAAGAGTAGCAGAATGACAATGCTCATGCGTATACTCACGTCTTGGTGCGATTCTCCCGGTTATCGTACAGTTTCGCATTCGGATCCCCCCACATATGCCCGGTCGGTGGCCCTCGATTGCTCACAGGCGATGTAGGAACCGAAGTATTGGCCGTACTCACGCTCGACCGGCTCAGCCTCCGTTGTAGCGTGCTGGTCGAACCGACATACCCGCTCCGCATAAACGGATTCGCGCTCGTCATCGCAGTCCCGTCATTTCCTTCTTCTTCGTCGACCGTGTGCTCACGCACGCACTGGCGTATCGCATCTTCCAGCTTCGAAGCCTTGAACAGCGTTGTCCGATACGGGATGCCGGCGATTGTCTTATCAGTTTCGAACACCCGGCGAGTCATGCGGATGTAGACCTCCTTGCAGGTCTCGATATCCATGCGTAGGCGACCCAGCATGAGCGCTATGAGTCCGCCGGTGCCTGTGCCTGCTATCAGGTCGAAGTGGTCGCATGGCTTAGGGATCTGGTCACGGCGGGGGGCCTTGCCTTCGCATTCGACATAGGTTCGGTACATCAGCTCCTGGAGAATGATGAGCATCGAGTATCCTCTCACTCCGCCGCCGTCTACAACATGGTTAGTCCGATGCTATACACCCATAATGAGAGAGAAAGAGGGCCTACCGAGTGATAATATTCGTAGAGGGGGACCCTTGGTGGTGTCCTTCCGACGCAGGCCAGAGGACGATTCCATGGCTTCTGGTCGCGCGCGCAAATAGCACGGATGTATCGTCTTGCGGTCTGTACCAGCGAGGTGTCGATGTGAAGAATGCGCTGTGTCCTGCGATGTCGTATCGAGTGTGATATCAAGTGCGATTGCTCTCGGTGCCTCGGTTGGCGTGTCAAGCACACAGTACGGCGTCCGATGCGAGGAAAGCAGTCAGCCAGGCAACGCAGTGAAGGCGTCTTATATCGTATCAGCAGGATGGTCTCTCTGTGTGAAGTGTAGGAATGAGAGGGAAGATGTGAAGAATTAATGTGAAGGATGGCGGTTCTTCAGCTGCGACTTTTCGATGTTTCGGCGTGGCGTCGACGGTGGAAGCGCTGCCAAGGTGATGACGCAACGATGAGCAGTCTCACATAGATGAGACGAGATGATGAGAAGACGATGAAGACGATGTTGATGAGATGAGATGAGGACATGAAGATGAAGAAGAAGACTATGAGATGATGAGATGAGGCGAGGACATGAGTATAGGATGCGCCCGCCGGTGGAACAGCTGGAGGCGCCATCAGCTGGTGGTACAGATCATGCCCATACAACATGAGGATAGCTACAGATCATGAAGACAGGGAGCATAACATAGTTATAGAGTGCCTGGTTCAGGGTCAGGGCAGCCGTCTACCGTGGAGTTCGCTGCAGAGTGTTTCCGGTTGACCCGAAGTATCTTCCCATTAAGCTATTCCAGCGCCACCGTATACAAAAATATCATCATCACATATATATCGTTCAGTCAGATAACTCCAGCCCATCCAGACATATTATTAATTAGATTCAACCCCCAGGGTCGGTACGGCCTCGTCTCGCTCGTCGCCTCTTTCGCTGGTTATTTCCAAAATACCAGCGCCCTGCCTACATAGCGTACCACGATCAAGGGGTCACTCAGCAGCGGCGCCCCGTCTCCGCCCAGCTTGGGCATCTTCTTCAGCACGCCAGCCTTGTGCATCTGCTCGACGGTATGGTGCAGTGTGGCATCGGTCGGGATGTCTCTGTGTGCACCGCAGTTGGGTGGCCAGTACCGCGGCTTCCACTGGTGCTCTTCCAGCTCGAGACGGGTGAAGACCGGCAGCAGTTCTGATACAGCTTGTCAGTACCTGTACATGTATGTATGTATAGATGTATATAAGATGACTTACCCATAAACCACCATATGACGGTCATGTACCAGCCAGCTCCACGGCCGATGATGAGGGAATCATGGTGTTTAAAGTGAGCTACCTCGCCCTCTGGTGTGACTCCCGATGCTCCAGGCCCGTCGTTCGCTTCGGCCCGCGCCTTCAGGATAGCCTCAATCGCCTTGAGTCGGTTTACTGCCTCGGGATGGTAGTCGTTGAACGTTAACGGTCCAGCCGGGGCGTCTGTCACCGACAGGGCTTCTTCCAGCATCCAGGCCAGAGGAATATCGGACAAGAGGTAGCGTGAGTTCCGCTCGTAGGGGAACCCGCCCCCTACGTCAGAGTGGTTGCCTGCGAACCAGACTTCCCTGATCGTGGCGGATGTATCCTCGGATTCAAACGTGAATAGGGCAGGCTTAAATTTGAGACGACGTTCGTGGACGGATAAGGCGTGACGGACGTGTTTGGCCGGTGACTAGTATTTCGTTAGACTAATGCAAGCAAAGGCGAGGAGACGGACATAGGGAGTACTCACTGGAGCACAGTATCGGTATGGGTGTGAAGAGAAGGGGATCTCGAGTGTTGACACGCTGTTCACACAATCAAACAGACCCAAGAAGAAGACCCCGACCTCCTTACGGCAGAAGGTAGTCTTCAGCTTTTGCAAGTATTCTTCGACCTCCAGCTCCTTGGCCGTCTTGTGTGGCTTGCCTCTGGAGACTTGCGATTTACAGAAAGCGCTGTACACGAATCTGATCATGTCTTCGTTGCCTCTAGACAACAGACCGACGTGTTCGATCATCTCGGCCAGGAAGCGAGCCGTGTAGGCGCCACGCGAGAAGCCGAAGATGTAGATATCATCACCTGGCTTGTAGTAGCGCATCAAGAAACGGTAACCGCTGCTGACATGGTATTCGAACGTTGTGCCGATGGCTTTGTCGATGACTTCGCTGATTTTGGCACGCATGCGGCTGAACAGTGTGATTCCGCTAGATGTGCCCACGCTGAATGTTCCAATACCGGCTGGCTCTGGTTAGTTATGGCTCTATAACGTGTAGAGTTCGAAGGAGCTCACGTTGATAGTAATGGAATTGACGCTTGTCGAAACGGTCTAGCATCTGGTAAATTTTCACCACGTTGGAGTCGGATTCATTGCCCTTGAACTGGTTTCCCGTGCCATCGAAGCAGAGCACCAGACGGCGTCCGGGCTTATCGATGCCTACCGTCTCCGTTCCTTCGTCCATAGTCACTGTATAAATCAATATATGCCCGTATGAAGGGGGTATATGGATTGAAGTCCCAGGACGAGAGGCCTATCCAGCGCAAGGGCATATATATATATATCTCTTATATATCCGCAAGCCACGAATGCACCTACAAACGAGATAAGGCCAATGCCCCCATCCGCCGTAATCTAGCCCGGTATCATCAGCCGCGAGAGAACGAACTTCCTCAGCTGGTAACCATCTTCGCACTGCATGGCACATCCACCCATCCCGTAGCCCCCGTTAGTGCACAGCGGGAATACCGAAGAAGCCCTGCATCCTGCGTCCAAACCCCGCCGGCCAATGGGTATCAGAATAATTGAAGGCTGCCCGAGTCTTTGGCCCATCGAACCAGGAATAATCACCAATGTGACAGGGAGTTTTGTCAGACTAGGCTAGCTAATCATCATGCGGAGCAACAGCCTCAGCTCAGCTCTCCGCAAGCCACCTTATCAGGGTGCCGAGCTGGCGAATTGGAAAAGATATTTACACGAAGGACAGACGTGATGACAAGGAGGTGGAGTTCGTGCTCAATTTTTAGGCTATGCTTGCTTTTTGCTTGGCCCGAGATGAGATATGAGGCATGGTAAGTCGATGGGATGTCTGTAACGAGGGTGGATGGAGTTGGCCGTTGGAGGGAGGCAGTGTGCATCCAACATCTCAACCCATCATCCTCCTTCACGATGTAGAACGTAGATGTTGGTCGAGGAAGCCTGGAGTCGAGTCACGATTAGTTATTAATAGTCAAAACAAGGGCGCAGCTAGTACCTTGTAACTGAAGCATATAAGTTACTCCCCGGACTAATATATCAAAGTCAGCCCCCCATAGGATTCGCTCCTACGTAAAATATTTTCTAGGCTGTAAGGCTGAACGAACTCTCATCCTTCTAGATACCTCGCGTTTTTACGCCGGTCAGGACCAGGAGTCATCTTACTTGTCGAGCAAGCGATCACAGGAGTCGAGATGGAAATCTCCCAGGTATGTATGACCTCGAAGAGCACATATCACACTTCTAAACCTCGCTTCGTAGATATACGTCTACCCTATCAAATCCATGCGTCCGACGGCGCTAAAGTCGTCGAGAGTGACACGCAATGGATTGCTATATGATAGGAGGTTCATGCTGCTCAAGATCAAGCCAGACGAGCAGCTGGTGAACATGCATATCGACAAGTTTCAGCAGATGGCGCTCTTCTTGACTGACATCGAGTTCCCATCGGCACAGGGAGCGAGTGATGACCGTGGCTGGATAACGGTGACTTATAAGAATGCTGCTACAAACCATCCAGAGTCGGGTGTTGGGAACAAGCTGCGCATCCCCCTGGAACCAGATACAAGCAACCTGAAGAAGCTTGAAGTGATGATGCACCGTAGCCCTACAACGGCATACGATATGGGCGTGGAATACAATAGCTGGTTCTCTGCCTGGCTAGGGTTTAAGATCGTTTTTGCATATATTGGCGAAAACAGGAGGTTTCCGCTTGGAAACATGGCTCCTCCAGGTACATCTGGCAACTCAACGACTGGATGGCTATCCACAGTTACAAAGAATATACCCTACGCCGACAACCTGCTTGGACAGGTTGATGCCTCAAAGGTCCTCACCTTCGCAGACATGGCACCTTATCTTATCGTCTCACAGACGTCTGTGGATAACGTATCAGCCCGACTTCCGGAAGGTGAGACGATGGACGTCACCAAGTTCAGACCCAACATCGTCCTGTCTGGCTCCCCTGAGGCGTTCGAAGAGGACTTCTGGGGTGAACTCATCGTAGGCGAGCGTGTGACGGTTCAACTGAGGAATAACTGCGTACGATGCGTCAGTATCAATGTTGACTTTGATACAGGAGCACCGCATACTGGTGAGGCGGGAACGGTACTTAAGAAGCTAATGAAGGATAGGAGGGTGGACAAGGGGACGAAATATAGTCCTGTCTTTGGACGGTATGGATTTCTGCACCAAGAGAATGGTGACGACGATGCAATGATTCGAGTTGGTGATGCCGTGAAAGTGTCGAAGATTAATGCAGAACGCACTATTTTAGGTGAGTGCCATGTCCCTCCACATAAGTGCAAGGAGGGAGCTAACATCAACTACAGAATGGCCCGGGATGACCAACTAACCCGACATCATGTCAACCTAACTTGGTCGCTCATCGTACTCTCTACCAGACACCTTATCCTCCACTACATCGCACACCCTTGATCCTTCGCAGATCCCCCACATACGTTCGTTGAGCAACTGCATGGCTCAATATTGGTCGAAAAGGAGGAATTCCACTCGTGACGAGCCAGAATCGAAACGTAATTGCCGATAATGCCGATACTAACTCTCTCACAGAGTGGTATGCACCGTCTCTTTAAAGCCAGTCTTATACGATCAAGGCGTTCTCGTGGGGATAGTGTCAAAGTATGCTTCCTCTTTCTCTCACACAGCACATTACGCTGTCATGTTTGTAGACTGGTGCTAGCGTCAATGACGGCGTGAACAATGCCTCGCATCATCACTGGATAGATATTTCCTTTTCCATATGTTGACGATCCCTAGCTCGTGGGCATATTGTTTTATGGGTGAGGTCTCATAGAGGCATCTTCGCTCAAACTGTTAAAGTATTCCGTTGCCTTGCGGAGGGTGTCCATGAGTTGAAGAAACGAGGACTTGAGTGATTCCGGCGAGGTGACGGTTATGTCACTACCCTCTTCTTCCGTAATATCAGGTACTAGACGTGGAGGAGAGATTGAGTTTGGAACAGTGGGTATATCGTTCCCCATTTCATTAGGTTGACTGGATATATAAGTTTCTCGAGCATCTATAGCAGCCGGAGGATGAGAACAATTGCTTGGATTCGGTTGACTGGCTTGGATCGGGGTAGGCATAGGATCGAAAAATACTACAGATGTAATATCAGTATTGGACAAGCATGGTATGGAGTGAAAGCATACCATATGTTAGGGTGTTGTTTATATCATCGCCCTTTTGTGGTTTTGAAAGAGCATTCTTGCGTCTTAGGTAGGAAAGTCGCCTTTGTTGCTTTCGGGCAAGACGACGGGCTTCGGGAGAGTGATATAAACGTGGACGACCCATATTAAATAGGTTAAGTATTCAATACAGCCGATGATAGTATATTATGTATATATCAGAGAATAGAGAGTACTGAGAATAGAGTAAGGTGATATATTCATCGAGAATGGGGGATACTGAGAACAGGAATAGCCCCCTGGCGCGTTTATATAAGCTGAACTAACCCGACTAAGTCCTTTAATTGTCCAGGATGTTGGCAGTATAGTATTATATCTTGATGATAATGGATAGAGGGAAGTATAGGGGAAAGTTATACATTATTGGTGGTTTGGCTGAACTGGGATATCATTATTTATACTGACAGTTGAACGAGGTTAAGCAAGAGCCGTCCATAAATCCATGTTGAAATACATAAATAACAAAATACATCTTTTGCTCATCAATCGTCGTTGAAGAATGACTCTACCACCCCGTAATGGCTTGCTTTGCTATTTACTCGCTATCGGTCCATGGCAGGCTGAACGTTCCCACCCAATCCTCGACCTCCTGTCTAAGCTGCACGATCTCAGAAACCTCCTCGCCCTCTCCCAAGAACTCATGGAACGCCTTGAGGCTGCCTGGGTTCTTGCGCTTGTTGCTCTCGGCGTGTGCACGAGCAGCCTTGTCGAGCTTCTGAGTGATGGTGACAGCCCGGTCGACGATATCGGCTACGCGGGCAAAGTCTTCCTCTGCGAATCCGCGAGAGGTCATGGCTGGGGTACCGATGCGGAGACCACCTGGCTTAAGGGCCGATTTGTCTCCTGGCACGGTGTTCTTGTTACTTGCCACGCCGCAGAGTTCGAGGACTCGTTCGACGCGAGCACCGTCGACACCACGGTTCTTAAGGTCGACGAGGACAAGGTGGTTGTCTGTGCCGCCGGAGACGATGTTGTAGCCTAGACCGCCGGCGGAGGTGGGGTTTCCGAGACGGGCAGCGAGAGCTTGAGCGTTCTTGAGGACGTTGGTCTGGTATTGTTTGAAGGAAGGAGATTGGGCTTGCTTGAGGGCTACGGCGAGGGCGGTGATGGTGTGGTTGTGTGGACCGCCCTGGTGGCCGGGGAAGACGGAGGCATTGATGGGGTTCTCGAGATCGTAGAACTCCTTGTTGCCCTTTGCGTCGGTACGGCGGAGACCCTTGCGGTAGAAGATCATGGCGCCACGGGGTCCACGGAGTGATTTGTGGGTGGTTGTGGTGACGATGTCGGCGTGAGCGAAGGGAGTAGGCAAGACGGATGCAGCTACCAGGCCGGAGATGTGGGCCATATCAGCGAGGAGGTAGGCATTGACGCTGTCTGCGATCTGGCGCATGCGTGGGTAGTCGATCAGTCGACTGTAGGCGGATGTTCCTGCGATGATGAGCTTAGGGCGGTAGACCAATGCGAGCTCGGCAAGCTTGTCGTAGTCGATGAGGCCGGTGGATTCATCGAGGCGGTAAGGCACCGTCTCGAAGTATTTGGAGATGGCGGAGATCTTCTTAGTGGGGGTCTGGTAGCCGTGGGAGAGATGACCGCCGTGGGGGAGGTCAAGGCCCATGAGACGGTCGTGGACGTTGAGGACGGCGGAGTACGCACAGAGGTTGGCGGGAGAGCCAGAGAGGGCTGTAAACATTAGCATATATCCGATGCCTTTTTATATACGACCAGACATACCCTGGACGTTGACACCCCATTCCTCTGGGTTCAGGGAGAAGGTCTGAAGGGCTCGTTCCTGGCAGAGGCGTTCTGCCTGGTCGATGAACTCGTTTCCACCATAGTATCTTGCTCCGGGGTATCCCTCCGAGTATTTATCTAGACCATATCAGTATACCATCATGATCACCACCACCACCACCAAGGTACTAACTCTGCATAACACTGCCTAGGGCATCGAGGACAGCCTGGCTGGTAAAGTTCTCTGACGGAATGAGGTTGATAAAGTGCTTCTGGCGGCGTTTCTCCTACAACCCCCACACTGAGATTAGCATACAATGCCGATGTCATTGCTGCCGAAGTCGGAGAAACGTACATTCTGTATTATCTTGTAGATCTCGGGGTCTGTGGACTGCAGGTGTTTTGAGAGCTCCTGTTGACCTGTCAGCAGCTGTAGGAACACTCAATGGATGGGATATGGCGGTGGTCTGTTTTTACATTGTGGTGGCCGTTGGAGGCAGCGGAGCTCTGCCATCTGACGAGCTGTGCAGGTCTGATGTAGGTGCGAGGGACGGCGAACCGTCTGGCGGCGTCTCTGGCACAGCGCAGGGACATTGTCGCAAACAGTCAGGATGATACTGGTGGACAATGGCTGGGAGTGTGGAGGGACTTATATCTTCCCGCCTGCTGTTGATATCTTGATGTCGAAGTGCGACCTCGGTCTTTCTTCTCGGCGTTTTCTGTTTCCCGCGGAGTATGACTAACCGCGGACTTAGTCATTACCCGCGGACTTACTAATAACTTATGTCATCCTCTTACTCATCACTTATATAAGCTACTTCCCTTTTCTTTTCACTTTTCATCTTTCTCTCTCTCTTTTTCTTCTCTTTTTCTTTCTTCTCTTTCTTTCCTCACAACTAAATCCAACATGACGAGAGGGCTATCTTTCCCGCTCCAACTCTCGCCTTCTCCCGGTTCATCGCCGGGGGTCGCGCGGGTGCTGTGGACATGTCTCGGCCCCAACTTCACCATCCTATAAAGGGACAATGTGAGATCTTCTGATTGGAAATACGTTGTGCGTTCGCTGTATACATAGCATCTACGAGTACGAAGTATTATGAAGTCAGTCTGAGTCGAGTCGAGTCGAGTTGGATGCAGCGACGGAAAGCGGGTGAGACCCGGACGGCCTGCGCTGTCGTCGCTACCGGCGTGTCGTGTAGAGTAAGTAGGTTGACGGTGAGTGATGATCTCGCGGTCTCGGTCGTGGTCTGCTGCTGTGCTGGTCGCATCACATCGACTAGTCTGCCGTCCTGTTCGCCGTTATCTGTCGCTAGTTTGTCACCACTAGTCTCGTTCGTGCATCCGATGTCACATCAGGAAGACGACCAGCGATGAACGACCGACGGGACGGCATCCTCCTGGTGACGCAGCCTGACAATCCGCCATCTTGTCAATCTTGTCAATACGGCTGCATGGAGCGTACGGAGCACAGGACGGAGTCCATCACATCTTCAGCTCCATCCGATCTCCATCTCATCTCGCCGTCGCCTCCCTGTCCCTGTCTCTGCCCTGGCCCCTATCCTTCATCTATTTTTTAGGTGGAGTCACGGGAGCTCGTAAGTTACCGTGCCTGGTACCGTCATGTAAGTACGTACAGTATAATACGCGCCTAGACACCTAGACACCTAAGATACACCATAAGATACGCATGAAAAGGGACGCCACCTCTCGACTTGGGCATCTCCGACACCGTCTTGGGCACGATATTCGGCCAAGTAGCATGAAGGACAAGGTATGCAGGGCCTGGTGGCGCCGATAGTGGCAAGCAAGTCACGTCTCCGTGCAACCTGGCGTCGATCCCGTCTGTCCTTGTTCTCCTTGTTCTCCTGGCTCTCTCCTGTGCGCTCTTTGTGCCTCGTCCGGCCCTGGTAACCGCCCGTACCGTGACGCGCACATACGCTCAGGTACCAAGGCCTCCTTTTTTTAGATCCGCCCGTCTCTCTCTTACTTATATCTCGCCGTCTCCTCGTCCTTCTTCGCTCTCTTTCTTCCCTTCACCAACAACGATATCTCTCTCATTCGTCCGTCGCTCTTTACCAGGTTCACTCAACCGTCCACTCTTTCAAACGCCGCTCCAGCTCTCCTAACGTCCTCGTTAACCACCCACCCACTCCCACCTTATTAATCAAGATGCGTTACTCCGTCGCTACCGCTGCCGCCATGGCCAGCATCGCCTCTGCCTCCCTCCTCGGAACCGGCCTGCCCGTCGAGATGCCTGCCCTCACCACTGAGGTCGTCACCAACTTCGTCACCTGGTGCCCTGAGGCCACCACCATCACCCACGGCAGCCAGACCTACACCGTCACCGAGCCAACCTCGCTCACCTTCACCGAGCCCTGCACCGTCACCCGCACCCTGACCTCCTCCACCGTCACCGAGTGCACTTCCTGGTATGTTCACTATCAATGATAATAATAGAGTATATACTAACGAGGACAGCCCAACTGGCGCACCAACCTCTGCCACCGTCGCCCCAACTGGCGCTCCCGGCACTGGTGCCCCCGTCCCAGTTCCCACCGGCGGTGTCACCTCCATCTACGAGCCACCAACCTACCCCAACTCCACCGCTACCCAGCCCCCAATGGGAACTGCCAGCGGTACCGGTAGCATGACCGCTCCCCTGCCAACCTTCACCGGCGCTGCCTCGCACGCCGTCGTTGGCGCCGGCGCCGGTCTTGCCGGTGTCCTTGGACTCGCTGCCTTGTTGTTGTAGATGTGAGATGTGAGATGTGAGTGTGAGAGACGATGGGTTATGCGTTGGGTTGCGGGTTGGGTGTGCGATCTACGGACAGAGTCATTGTACGGTAGCCGATCTTCTGTCTTGAGTTAATGCATAATCATTATACCCTTCTAGTCGAGCTTTATCATTTTCTAATCACTTCGATATTCTCACTATTAACAATATTCTAATCACTTCAACGATATTCTCAGTATCAACAATATTCTCAGTATCAACAATATTCTCAGTATCAACAATAATCTAATCACTATTCTCGCTATCAACAATATTCTAATCACTATCTAATCACTATCATCAATATTCTCAGTATCAACAATATTCTAATCACTATCTAATCACTATCTACAATATTCAACCAACATCAATAATCCATGTATACCATATTAACGTCACTGATCAAATGCTCCACGCCAGGGATACGCCCCACTGGCCCCTGACACATCTTGCATATATCCCAACAGCCATGCCTTCGGTGTCGTTGCAACAGCTGCCCGCCACAGCGCTGTCAACCACGCTATCAAAAGTCGATAGTCGCATGGCCGAGGGTTTCGGAGCCGCGCTACTCCTTGGCCGGCCGGCTAAAAGGCATCGAAAGCCTGGAAAGAATACGCTTTCAGTGGGGCGAGAGGAGCGTGAACTTGCTACCCTCATTGCCGCCTCTAGTCTATGCTCGATGTCGGAGATGCTCCATGAGTACGGATAGGTTTGGGATATAAAAAAGAAGCAGAGCGGGACGGCAGCTCGCCGGTGCAGCGACGGAGGCATCGCCGGCCTGGTATGCTTTCTCGGGCTCGGGATACCCCATGGGGAGAATGGGAACGGCTATGGATGCGATGCTGAACTTTGGAGGAGCTATTCTCTCGTCCGTGTTTCGTCTGGGGCGAGATGGCGAGATCCACTGAGACTCTTATATAAAGCGTCTTTCCTTCAGCATGGATGATAGCTGAAACTGGTCGCGTGGTCTGCGTCTATACTGCTCGACCGTTGTGATGGCGGACTCGAAGACGGACGTTGAGTCTCTCGACGTTGCGCATATGCAGCTCAGTCCGGAAGAGCTGGTGCTGGAGAAGAAGCTGCGGAGGAAGATAGATGCCTTGATCATGCCCTTGGTCATCCTCGTCTATCTCATGAACTACATTGATCGGTATGTCTGTTCTATCTCAGTATCAGACGTATATAGCTAACAAGAGATAGGAACAACTACGCCGCCGCGCGACTGCAAGGACTAGAGAAAGATCTCGGTCTCGTCGGATCCCAGTATCAGACTGGCCTCTCCGTACTCTTCGTCGCATATATACTCATGCAGGTGCCCTCCAACCTGCTGCTCAACTACATGGGCCGTCCGTCACTATATCTGGGCGGCTTCACCGTCGCCTGGGGGGCAGTGTCCGCCCTCACGGCCCTGGTGCACAACTACCAGCAGATAGTGGCCTGTCGGTTCCTGCTGGGGCTCGTGGAGGCTCCCTTCTTCGCCGGCGTGCTCTTCTACCTGTCGAAATGGTATACGAAGAAAGAACTGTCTCTACGCATGAGCTTCTTCTACTCTGGCTCGCTCATCAGCGGCGCGTTCGGCAGCTTGATAGCCGCAGGGATACTGAACGGACTGGCCGGTGTTCGTGGCCTGTCTGCCTGGAGATGGCTCTACATCATCGAGGGAGTGGCCACCGTCGCTGTCGGGCTGGTCATCGTCTTCGTCCTGCCTGATTTCCCGGATACGTGGAAGCTGCTGCCGGCCGACCTCAAGGTGGTAGCTAACAAGCGACTCGCCATTGAAGCTGCAGAGGCCGACATCGACGTGCCCGGCGGCATGAGCCAGCTGAAGGGTCTCCGGCTGGCCATGACCGACGTCAAGACCTACGCCATCGCCATCGCCTACATGTCCATCACCGCCGCCTCTGGGTTCCAGAATTTCTTCCCTACCCTGACGGGCACACTAGGCTACTCCAAGATCATCTCCCTGCTCCTCGTGGCGCCGCCTTACCTCTTCATGGTCGTCTACAGCCTGGCACACTCCTGGTTCTCCGACCGAATGAACAACCGGTTCTGGTTCTTCATCTACCCGATCCCAATCACCCTGGTCGGCTTCATCATCTTCATGACCACCGACAGCTTTGGGCCACGCTACTTCTCTTTCTTCCTCATGATCTTCGTCTTCGCTCTCAACGGCACGCTGTACGGCTGGATAGCGAGCGCCATACCTCGCCCTCCCGCCAAGCGAGCAGCCGCTTACGCCTTCATCAACTCCCTGGGCAACTCGGCCAGCATCTGGACGCCCTTCACGTACCGCAACCAGGACGCGCCCCACTACCGGCTCGCGCTGGGCGTGGCGATGGCCTGCCAGCTCCTGGCGGCTGCTTGCGTGGTCTTCCTGCGATGGTACTTGCAGAAGCAGAACCGGGAGCTGGCACGGTTCGAAAGGGCGGAAGTCCAGCTGACGGAGAAGGAGATGGCGAAGTTGCGGCGGACGGCAGAGATTGAGAATGTCGATGTACAGCAGGCGAGGCTCCTGCAGGCGGGATTCAGGTACCAACTGTAGCTAGTCTTCGTCTTTATATATAGTCTTCAGTATAGTCTTCAGTATAGCGTCTTATGTATCTTATAGCGACATGTATCTATACTCTCGCGGTCAGATCAGCTCGTAGTGGCGACGGAGGTACAGCGACCTTGCCCCTCTGAACCGTCTATATACCTAGATACTCTCAATAGATATACCGTAACTACTCCGTATATATTATATCTATATCTATATCTATATATATCTGATATCTATATATCTGTGTCTGTATATCTTCTCTGTGTGTAGTGGACGTCGAGTCACGTGCCACCCCTCGTCAACTCCCTCGGAGCATCGAAGCTCGACTTCTTTCGCAACTCCAACTTCGACCATAGTTCGACCGTCCTTCGCCCTCCAGCGTCTTCCAGCGAGCCCCCAGCGTCCTCTGCTCGTGTCAATGGTTACCGGCGATTCTCCCTGTCTGTAGCCTCCCGCCAGCTCGCAGCCAACAGCTTCCAGCAAGCCCCCGTCCTGCTGCGCGAGAGACCGCTACGACCGCACCTCAAACCTCCTTCAGCCCATCCCGTCGAGCCCTGCTCAGCGCCTCTGGCTCGGTTCGTACTCTGTCTTCCTCCTCGCCTCCGCCTGTCAGCCTCAAGCTCTTTTTTCCCTGCTTTTCTCGCCCTCGTCTGTCTCATTGGTGTCGCTCTTTTGGACGTGTTTTCGCCACCGGGCGCAGGCGTGGATCTTGCCCTTCAAGACAAACCCCCCAGGCTAATTTAGCTCGCAGATATTCGCAGGCTTGCATATAGTTACTTCTTACTATCTGTTCTGCGTTTGGAGTCCATCTGGCGCCACCATTTACCATCCTTGGTGTTAAACTTGACCTAGGCTTACCCTGACTACCGCAAGGAAATACACACGTCTTCGTGTCTTTTGTCTTTTTTTGTGTTTGTGTTCGTGTTCGGGTCAGCAATCATGGCGGGGAAAATGACCTTGTATAAGCTCGTTGTCTTGGGCGATGGAGGAGTGGGCAAGACAGCTCTCACAATTCAGGTTCGTCGTCAAGTCATTTTTTTTGTTGTCCGGGGGGGAGGCTCTCTTTCTAGGGGCCCGAAAATATACTAATATGGGAGGGGGTATAGCTTTGTCTGAACCACTTCGTCGAGACATACGATCCTACCATCGAAGACTCATATCGCAAACAAGTCGTCATCGACCAGCAGTCGTGCATGCTGGAGGTCCTCGACACGGCCGGACAGGAAGAATACACTGCCCTACGCGACCAGTGGATACGAGATGGTGAAGGTTTCGTCCTAGTATACAGCATCACCTCGCGCTCTTCCTTCACCAGAATACAAAAATTCCACCATCAGATCCAGCTCGTCAAGGAATCTGCAAGCTCCGGCTCGCCCACCGGTGCTAGCTACCTCTCCTCTCCACTCAACTCCGCCCTATCAAACACCCCCGCCGGCCCAGTGCCGGTCATGCTCGTCGGCAACAAGTCGGACAAGGCCGTCGAGCGTGCCGTCTCCTCGCAGGAAGGTATGGCTTTGGCCAAGGACCTGGGCTGCGAGTTTGTCGAAGCTTCCGCCAAGAACTGCATCAACGTCGAAAAGGCCTTTTTCGATGTCGTCAGGCTACTCAGGCAGCAGAGGCAGCAGCAGCAGCAGCAACAACAGCTGAACAGGCCGTCCGATAGGAGGACAACCGGGTTTGGTGGACAGGGTGGATCGAATAGGGATCTTAACGGCTCAGACTATCAAAAGGCCTTGCGTCCCGATCGATCAAAATCACACCGCGGCGTCAAGTGCCTGATCCTTTAGATTTCCTATTCCTCTCCCTCTCCTTCTCTCTCTCTCTCTCTCTCTCTCTCTCTCTCTCTCTCTCTCTCTCTCTCTCTCTCTCTCTCTCACTCACTCCGCATTTCTTCCGCCGTCCAGTCATAACCTTCTTATCATACCCTTTTGGTTCTTTGGATATTCAGATTTCCCCGGTGCCAACCCACTACACACGGCCTCACTTCGTTTCCTTCGATTCGTTTCATCACACTTACACATCTATCCACATCTACCATCTACGTCCACCACTTACCCACCGTCTACCATCTACCACGTTACATACCTAAGCTTTTTAAATGACTTGATGATCTATACGAACGAAGAAGTTAATTATCATTTTTATTTTTATTTTCTCTTTTTGCTGCTGCCTCTTGCCTTGGTTTTTGCTTCTCTAGCCCAGGAGTTACAGGACTGTCTCGTCTGTGTGCATTAATCAAGTGGGGGCGCCAGAAGAGAGGAGAATATACGGAGCACTTCAGCAATCGGGTGGACATGGGGCGGTTACTCTGCTGGATGTGACTGATCGTCGGAAGCTGCGGGACTACAACCTTGGGGATATACGCCTGCTGCCTTCTCTTTTCTCTTACGGGGTTACTCTGTCCCTCCTCGCTTCATATCCTCCACGCATCGGAAGAGGTACCATACCGTTCGGAACACACCACCGCCAACGCACGCACGCACGGCACTAATGCACGTCTTTGACCGGCGAAAGGGTTCCAAGAAAGGATAAATCAGCATTTTTAACGCTCGAAACAGCCTCCCTGGTCAGCGATATATATCTCCCCGCACCCCTCTTCTGCAATGGGCTTTACCTTTACTAGTCTAGGTCTGAGGCTAGTTGCAATGTATATAATAAGTTATCATCACAACTAACGTGCTCAGGGTTGGGTGGATTTTTCACTTAGTAGACGGTTTATATCCTATTTTCATTTGTTACATACACTCCCCATGAACCCATCTTTCCTACACATAACTAGATCTGTCCCAACAGTCCAATTGAGCTTCTTCCGTATACTCTACATCTTCGGCTTCAAGCCACAGCTTCATCCTTGTCAAGCTAATACGATCTCTCCGCCCTGTCATTGGCCCGTAGCACCGTAGTAATCCTACCCCAACCTCATACTCCAGACAGCTATTAGGTTACGGGGCCAGCGATTTTCATGGCTGTTACTACCGACCTTCTGCCGAGCCTACCATTTTATCAACTGAACGAAATCACCACACCACTCGCTGCTTACTTGCATATCATATCGGATATTGGACTTCCCTCTTATATACCGCCTCTTATAGTTCGTTTCGTATAATCCTGCCCAATAATGGCCGCTCCTCACCCGCAGGACGCTATACAAAGCCTATCATTAACCCATCCCGAGCAATTCTGGGCTCGCCACGCCGCCCAACTTCACTGGCACAAGCAGCCGTCTCGCAGTCTTCGGAGGGGGACTAAGGTCTTGTCCGACGGCACAAGACATGAGAGCTGGTCCTGGTTCCCGGACGGCGAGATCTCGACTACGTATAACTGCGTAGACCGCCATGTGCACGCGGGACGAGGAGAAGAGGTTGCCATCGTCTGGGAGTCGCCGGTGACTGCGCGGGAAGAGAAGATCACTTACCGCCGGTTGCTGCAAGAGGTGGAATTGCTGGCCGGCGTCTTGAGGGAAGAAGGCGTTAAAAGGGGCGACGTGGTGGTGATTTACAGTATGATTATCTATATTCTGAGGAAGTATATATAATGGGCGATTTTGGCTGATTCTATATTATAGTGCCCATGATACCTGCTGCATTGATCGCGGCACTGGCAATTACAAGATTGGGCGCGATTCATGCTGCGGTGTTCGGCGGGTTTGCGGCCAAATCGCTGGCCCAGAGGGTAGAGTCATGTAGGCCACAAGCTATCATGACCGCCTCGTGTGGCATTGAAGGGAAGAAAGGCGCCATTGACTATAGGACGTTGGTCGAGGATGCTGTTTTCCAGAGCTCCTTTAAGCCTCCCAGGGTGATTGTGTGGCAACGAGAGGAACTTCGTTGGTCACCGATACGGGAGAACCTGGGCCAGCGGGACTGGCAGGGTCTTGTAGAGGATGGGAGGAAGCGAGGGATACGCGCTGATGCGGTGCCAGTCAGAAGCGATGAGGGATTGTATATTATATATACCAGCGGTATGTATGATTTATGGCTGGTGTATGACTTATGGCTGGGGATGAATATCTAACCTACGTATAGGAACGACTGGCACGGCCAAGGGCGTTCTGAGAGAAGCCGGTGGCCACGCCGTTGGCCTTAATCTCTCTATCAAGTACGTGTTCGATATCAAGGGACCCGGCGATGTTATGTTCTGCGCCTCAGATCTCGGCTGGGTCGTTGGCCATTCGTTCATTCTCTACGCACCGCTCCTAGCCGGAGCTACGACGGTTCTTTACGAAGGGAAACCGGTCGGCACGCCAGACGCAGGCAGCTTCTGGCGAATTATCGAGAAGCATAAAGTGAACGCGCTGTTCACTGCGCCGACGGCGTTGAGGGTAGTACACAGGGAAGACCCGGAGGCAAAGTTCTTTCACCAAGTCGGGCAACGGGGAGGGTTGAAGCAGTTGAGGGCCATCTTCTTGGCCGGCGAGAGGAGTGAACCCAGTATTATCGTCGAATTCCAGAAGCTGCTCGACAGACATGCCGCGCGCGATGCGATGGTTATTGATAACTGGTGGTCGTCCGAGTCTGGGTCGCCGATGACAGGACTTGCGCTGAGGCCGGACAAGGGAGCTACAGACGGCAAGATTGCGTTGACCAGGCCGTTGAGGGCGAAACCAGGTTCAGCGGGGAAGCCGATGCCTGGGTTCGATGTCCGCGTTGTCAACGACGAGGGCGAGGAGGTCGAACACGGCGTGATGGGGAATATAGTGCTTGCCATACCGTTTGCGCCGACGGGATTCACGACACTGTTCAACGCCGAGGAGCGGTTCTATAACGGCTATCTGAAGCGGTTTTCTAGTCGATGGATCGATACCGGCGACGCAGGCATGATCGACCAGGACGGCTACATCCATGTAATGTCGAGATCGGACGATATCATCAACGTTGCTGCGCATAGGTTTAGTACCGGTACGTATCTCTCTCTTCACATGCACACTGGTATGGGGTGGCTAAGCTGACGGTGACTTGACGGTTTGACGGTTCAGGGGCCATCGAACAAGCCGTTCTCTCTCATCCAGCCATAGCTGAGACGAGCGTCGTCGGTGTGCCCGATAGCATCAAAGGCCATATGCCGTTTGCCTTCGTCCAGCTGCACTCCTCAGCCTCGGCGAGTTCCAGCCCGCTGCCGGCCACTCCATCGCGAGAGTTCTTCTTGGAAGTTAACGATCGAGTGAGAGAGCAGATCGGGGCCATCGCCTCGCTTGGGGGTATCATACAGGGCCGGGGCATGATCCCCAAAACACGCAGCGGGAAGACACTTCGGCGGGTATTGAGGGAACTAGTGGAGAAGGCCGCGGAGGGCAAATATGATGCGCCTGTCAGTGTTCCGCCAACGGTCGAAGATCCGGATGTCATCGAGGTGGCCAGGCTGAGGGTGAGGGAGTACTTCGAGGCGAAGGCGAATGGAGCAGGACGAGCAAAGTTGTAGTTTCACCTCCCGATGGGATTTCACCCTTAATCTTCACCTCCCATGGATAGAAAGCAGGATTTCAGGCAGATCGATTCGATTCTAGCCTCTTGTATATTTATATAACAAGCCTGTCATCGCACTTCCGCCAACGCCAGCCGCTTTTTTTGATATTACGATGCTCGCTATCCCCTGCCCTCAGCCCTTGGCTGGCCAGCGGGAATGCACTCCGTAACTAGTCTCCTCCGTACGATGGGACAGGCCGTGGAAAGCCAACATCGGTGCATCCGTTCCTAGCTCTCTCTTCCCTGGTTCGAGAACTCCTTGTCCGTCCAACCCCATGTGGAGATCGGCCCTGTCAACAAACACAACCCTTGCGTTATATTAGATCCTGTATCCCGATAATGCTCGGCGAAACATCGAGATAGATAAGTCGGTATAGACGGGGGTAATAATATGACCTAATATGGTTCACACGTTTCCCAACGGCCTCAAATCGACAGTCAAATCAACCCCCTGCTTGCTTTTTCGGGCCTATCTATCGGTCGAATGGCTGCATTTCGTGTCTCAATTTTTCGACTGGTCAAGTCCAGCACACTGACACAGAAAGTGAGCTCACAATCCTCATCCTTGCATGCATGCTGTCGACAAGGAGAGAGAAGAAATAAGAAGTATGGGTAAGGTTGGATGCAGTAAAGCTTCGCACCCGCTGCAGCGAGCCCACCGTTCACTCAGCCTAAGGGCATCGTATGTTTCTGATATCGGACCAGGATAGGCCCTTGACGGTCCAGGAATACGAACTGGCGCAGCTCCCGGGCCGCTGGAAGAGACTTGCTCATTTGTCCATGATCAACGGCGCATTCACGGACTTGCGTCCTCAGGTGGAGCGACCAGCTTCCAATGAAGCCCATAACGCCAATATACGCCAATGCGAACGAAGCCAGTGAAGCCGGCGCTGCTGCCGTTGCACGCAATTCCCAGCGACCTTCCACAGCGCTCTCGAGGGCGCCGTGTGAACTCAAATCACCCCTTTTTGCTTTTTCTTTCTCCCTTGTCGCCGATGTCGTCGGGGACGCCTTGACGTGATGGCGATATCTGACGGCGGTATCTGATGGCGAGGCAGGCCCCTGACCGTACTCAGTACGTACGGAGTACTTTGGAACCAACGCTGTTGGATGCACGGAGAAGGAATGTACTCCATGAATGTAAGAATGCACTATCTGCTGGAGGTCGCGGAAGTTTTCTCGCAAGCAGGCATATCCCTTCATCTCCACCTGTAGCTCCTCCTTACTAGGCCTCTCCCGACATAGCGCTGCGTCTAAGGGCTGCAGCTCGGCCAGGGGAGTACATCGGGGCTCACGAGCTGCTCTCGAATCTAGCGCTGTCTCTCTGCTGTCGTCCTGTTGCTCGCGTTGTTTGTGCACCATTTCGTGGCTTTGGCAGTCGACTCAGTGCTCTCTCTCGCTGCTTAGCCGGATATCTCGAGATATACATCTTTTTTTAAGCGACTTTTTCTTTTCAGTTTGTTTAATTGCTCATCTCTAAACCATGTAAGTATAAGCGTGATTGTATTGACCTTAGGAGTACATACTTTTGCTCTCCCCTTGCTCCTTCACATGTCCTTGCTGGTATCTTGCTGGTCTTTTTGCTGCTAGCTGGCTGGCATTTGCTATCCTGCCCCTGAATCTGCATCTTGCATGTCGTTCTACTTCTGCACGTTGAACACTTTGCATGGTCCATATTATTAGCATCGCGTTTTTGCTATTATTGGTTTATCTCTGCTTGATCGATGAAGGTTGTTAATCGCATTGTCGTTGTTTTTGATAGACCGCGAGGTATCTGATACCTACTGCCAATTGCACCCTCTCCTCGCCCTCCTTTACGCCGCCAAAGATCGCCTACGAAATCGCCCTCCCCCTGACGCCCTTGACGTATGAATGCATAGCTTAGCTCGAGATCTCCGCCGGCAACTATAACTACAAGCTGATATGCCATGATACAGTCGCATGGCCTTGGTCTCTAGTTAACGTCGAGTCGTGCTGATGGGCGAGGCTTGAACGCAGTGACTAGACTTGGGGTTGACCTCCAGACCGGATATCTGAGCCAACCGACTGTATACATATTCTTTTTTTTTTTTGAAGGAAGCTATTCAGTGTCAATACGTTGAACTGGCATGCTTGGAACATTGAATCAGACTCCCATGGACGCCAGGGAAAGCGAGCGTGTATATGCCTCCCACGCGTTGACGGATACCCCTTATCAGACTCTCATGTCTCGTCAATCGATGAGCTGGATGGAATCTCCTCCCAAACCGTCCTCTCACCAGCTACGATTCGACCTAACTGACGGGCATGAATCCCGCAGCAAGTTCGATGCTGTAGGCGACGAATCCATCTCCCCCCTCGACCCTCGACGGTTTACGCCTACGCTACATGCATCTCTGGTGTCGGAAATCCTGTCTCTGCGCCGCGAACTGGAAGGTAAATCTAACACTATAGAAACGCTCGAGTTGAGTCTTGATGTCTCCAGGGCAGAGGAAGAATCGCTGCAGGAGTCGCTCGCCAATAATGCAAAGGAAACCAGGACCTTGAAGAAGCAGCTGCAGTTGCTCGAGGGCGGGTCCCTAAGTGCTGTCACTGAGCTAACCAAGGAGAGAGACGATGCGTGGGAGACTATAGCAGAGTCTAGAAAACGGCTGGAGGACGCTCAGAAGAGGGCAAAGTCGCACCAGGACCAGGCAGAGCGGACGCAGGAACTATGGGATCTCGATCGACAGCGCTGGGAAGACGAGAAACGGAAACTCGAGACGAAAGTTCACATCGTCGAGGGACGTCTGAAGACTGTCATTAATGAGATCACGACGTCATCTCAGGGCGCCAACGGGAAACATGGTCACCAACCCGATGGCCAGCCGGACGAGCTGGACATGGGCCATACGGCATCAACAACGCCCAGGGCTCTCGATGCGATGAGCGTGCGATCGGACAGCCCAGTGTCAGGGCGTAGGAACAGTAACTCCAGTGTCAGCACCTACAGCAGCGACGTCAACCACATCCGCTGCTCTGTTACGGGCCTCACCAATGGTACAAGTCCCGGAGGTACCAATCTTGCCGACGAGCTTGCTTTCGACGACACCGAGGATGAAGAGGCCGAGACTCTGGAGGCCGCACATAACGCTACTCAGATCCAGTCAGAGGATGAATCGGAACACTTCCCATCGATACACGAGCGCAGACCCATGTCAAGCCAGTCGTTACTCACAGGCCAAAAGGCTAGAAGGATTCTCGGACTTTCGTTTGATTCAATGAGCTCCCAGAATTCTCCAGTGAGGGATCATTGGTCAAATCCTGCCTCGCCGAGGAGTCTATGCGAAATACCTGAGACTCCGACCACCGAGACTCCCATCTCCAAGGCAACATATCGAGATGTTGGGATACAGTTCACTCCACCTCCATCCCCTCGCGGGGAGACGATGGTCAATGGAACCCACGATCCGTTTACCCCTCCACTCGTCCTGGAGGCGCCTTGCACGCCTCCAGAGGCTGATGATATGGTAGGTGTAACTGGGAAGAGCTCCCCAGTCTATGAAACGTTGGACATGGGAGTTCAAACCAGCCCGGCCGATGTCGTATCTACCGAATGCCAAACCGCTGAGGATTTCCCTGATACCCAATCTCAGCAGGAGATAGAGCTGCAGATCGTGGATCACAGATCAGATCCAAGCTTGATGATAACGGCCTCAACCCAAACTGAAGACGTTCCAGCCCCTGAACCGCCCACCGAATCCCCCGAGTTCAGTATTCCGATGATTACCATCCAACCCCCAATGTCCAACCCTGCGACTCCTAGAACTAGTGTCGTCCTACCTCCGCAGACGAAGAATGCCTTTTCTCAGACTCTCCCCGAGCCGCAATCGGACATGCAATCGTCTGGAATGCAAACCGAAGAAATCCGCGTTGATAAGAGAACCGTTAGGCTACATTCAGATCTGCTTCCATCTGCCTTCCCAGACCATCCAGCTGAAACTGGCCCTGCCGATGAGAAAAAGCCGCCGTTCGTCTATCAGCCATATCGTCCGCCTGCCTCGAGTGTATCGTCAGTCTCTCGATTACGGGATCCGCCACCCGTTGATACCCCGATCTCACTTGGCACTACCAGCCAGGCTTATCCCGGTAACAACGACAACGGCCCGCTCACTGGCGACATGCAGCGTGATATTAGACGCCCCTTCAGGTCTAGTAGCTTGTTTGCTGGGTTTGATCATGAGAGTGATGACGAAGTACCCCATCTACCTCTTGAGGAGGTGTTCAATGACGACGATTCGATATTAAATCGACCAATGGCCTCGTACACCATCAGGATGGGTAAACTGGTATCGAAATCCACCGGCTCTATTCTAGACGAAAGCCCAATGGAAATGCACGAAGATGAAGAGTTTATGTCTGGCCAGTCGATGGGCGATGACCAATTTGCTAGCGGCAGCCTACGCCGCTCTTCAGCAACTCGCGGGAAGCCGTCTGTCAGGGGGTCGACGAGATCGAATAAGAGCGGAACGTCGAGACAGCCTCTAAATATCCGACGAGCGGCCATGATGTCTAGCTCGGTAGCTGCGCATCAATCCACATCAAGGCCACGAAGCCCAAGCGCTCCCAACATAGCAAACCCGGCTAATGTTGTAACTCGCCCTCCATTCCCAGTCCCCGCTCGCCTCAGTTCCCGGAAGGTTCCTACGATTGCGAGTGAAGGAGCTCAGAGTCCTACCCCCTATGGAAACGGATCGATCTCTGATCACAGCACTATGGGACGGGATCTCCCTCTTCGCAAGATACGGTCCGCCGCTGCAGTGTCGAAACCACATTATCGTGATGACCATGCTAGCTCTACTCGTTCTCCTACTGCCATGTCGACCTCATCTGCTGGCCCAGAGAGCCCGCAGTATTCCTCCCATCGCTCGCCCCAGCCATTCGATATCGCAGCTCTCTCTAATAAAAACACCAGCACCTATGGTTCACGCCGGCCATCAAGAGCAGGGGAGCCCTATCACGAACGAAAGGAATCTGCTGCTGTGTCTGTTCAGCAAACTAGTGTTGTTGATGCTATTGCCCAGACCATGGTTGGTGAATGGATGTACAAGTATGTACGAAGAAGAAAGTCGTTTGGAATGTCCGAGGCCCCCAAAGATAAAGACAAGGATGGTTGGGAAGCTGGTAAGAACACTGAAGAGATGTCTGCCAATATCTCTGGCAACGGAGTAAGACACAAGAGATGGGTATGGCTTGCACCGTACGAAAGGGCCGTTATGTGGAGTAGTAAACAGCCGACGAGCGGATCCGCTTTGCTGGGCAAGAGTGGACGAAAGTGTAAGTGCTACCTCAGCATCTATTCATCTATTCTTATATTCGATACTAATGACAAGCAGTGATCATTCAATCCGTGCTCGATGTGAAGGACGAAAACCCCTTGCCCCGTGGCGCAACTCAACAGAACTCATTCAACCGTTCGATCCTTATCCTGACTCCGCAGAGAGCTTTGAAATTCACAGCTCTATCGCTGGAGCGCCATTTTGTTTGGTTAACCGCCTTGTCCTTCCTTAGCCATTCCTCTCTAGGCCTTGATGATCTCGCGACATTACCACCAGTTCCCCAGGTGGAAACTGGCCAACGGCCACTAACTGCGGCCTTACGACGAAACCCCATCCGTGACTCCATCAGGGTCGCAAAGGGGAAAAACCGTCCGGTACCCAATAAAGCTCGCGCAGCAACTACTAACCAGGCAACGGTTCCTGAAGAGACGTTCCCTGAGATGTCAGTCAGACCAGACCACAGTATTGACTCTGCTGACCCCCCTAATGTCCCGAGATTTGCGTCTCATTCCCGAAAACGAAGCAACACCGCTCCCAAACCATTGCCAAATCCATTCAGGTCTTTCTCCGGTGGTGCCGTTGCCCCATCTACATACAGTTCAACCACAGCCGGATCCTCTGATCTATACTCGCCAACATCTGTAGCCCCTTCTATCGCGCACAGCGGACAAAGTAGTTATACACATCGCACCTCTGAAGCCAGCGGACATGCTCCCGTCGGCATGGCCAACTTCTTCGACGCTGTTGGCACAGTGAGGATGGAGGCGTTTGTTGATAGAGGTGACGTCCCACGGCAGCGTGGTTACCGTGGGAGAAAAAAGGACCAGTGGCCCCAAAGCCCTGATATCGAGTTCCGCGAATCAGAAGGCGGAAGCAATGACTTCTTCCGAAGCTACGATCCTTTCAGGGGTTTCTAGACCCATGCTCTCTGTCACTCCTTTCCCCTCTCCCTCTCCCTCAAGGCGTTTTCTCTACGGCGTCCTTGATCTACTGTTATGAAATCTTCTGGATAAGTCTAACCCTGTAACTCTAACTTTTTTTTGGGAACAATTTCTGTTCCATTTCATTTATTATTTTCGCTGGTCTATCCGTCCGGTTTAGGGAATGGCGGTATTCCGATCTCTCGATCACTCCTTTCTTTTCCTTCTTGTCTAACTAGCCCATTGCTCACCGTCTCTTACTCTCTAGAAACGCTTATATACCCTCCTGTTTTCTTTGTATATCTTGTAAGGCGGGATGGAGGCAGGTGCTAGAATTACTGCTATGCCAGCACTTTTTTTATTGGCTATTCAACTGCCTGGTTCCCTGGTTATTTCCCATGGCATTCGTTACACCAGCCTTTTCTTTCTTCACTAGTTGATCTGACCCTCTTAACTGCGTTAAGGATTTCTTATAAGTGGAATATACCCAGCAAATACTACATGTAGATATTAAACATTCAAAACACGATTATTGGTGGTACAATTATCAATCTGTACTTCATAGCAGTTTGTCATAACATATCCCATGCTTGCTAATTGGGTATATCCAGAGTTTAAGGTAGCAGCAAAATGGTGTACAAAGCACATATCTCGAATGCAGCACCACTTCACATCTAGTGTGACATGCGTTCTCACATGCCTCAACCTGGGCCCTTCATCCCATATGATGCCCCTATTATTGCTACAATATCCTCAGGGATATCATATATCTTCTCCTCCGCAATCTCCTCACTAGCCTCTCCTAGCCGACCAGACGAAACGAGGCTCGAGACCTTCTGAATCTGATCTGTGATATCTGTGATAGACACGATCCATTCGTCCACGTATCGATCGACCGCTTCTCCCTTCAGCCCAATTTGGATCGAGCGGTAATTGAGCGGAGTAAATTTGAAGTCTCGTTCAGGGTCCCATTGCACCCGGACACAGGATGCTTGCATACGCTCTTCCCAAGATGACTTGTCTTTGTAGAGCGATTCGTCTACATGGCTTAAGCAGGCATTACGCAGTGCCCACTCGAAGCCAGAGCGAGTAATCTCTATGGCCAAAACGCGCTCCTGGTTAGGTTTTGTTGCCCAGCCGCTCCGATATGCTACCCAGAGAAACGAGGGTTTGACCCAGGTCATTCGACCTCGTTTAAACGGGGAGACAAATTTTTGTGCATGGAGTGCGGCATCTGCAATTTCATTTGAATAGGCTTGGTATACGGTGATAGTGTCTTCGGTGTACTTTGCTCGAATGGCACGGTAAGGGTGTTTGGCGTGCTTGGTCATTTTGTATAGAAGAATAAACGATTAGGCTGGTTGGTGATTTTTGAAAGTATCAATAAGGAGAGCACCGTTAGACGATCTACACGGTGTTGAGGATCTTTCAGGTTTATGGGTATAATCAGAGGAGGATTGAGATTTGAATGAATATTCATACTTCTTCCAAGTATCAATGTGAGTCACGCTCAGCCACACGGAATACGCTTGATCTAGGCAGCTTCAGAGCTATAACCATTGCTAAGGGTTAAGGAGCGCCTAAGGTTATCGCGTACTGCAACAGTAAAACTGTGGAGGCTGAGCGACGACAAAACTTCGTGACTCGACTTTAGTATAAAAATAAAGGCCCTCGAAGTTACTAGCGGGAGACAATAACGACGCTCGAAGAAATATACTCCAATTTGATATGTGATTCTCACCCCGAGTTATCGACATCTAAACCGCCGAAACAGTAACATTGTATCAAGTTCTAATAATCTAATGATAAAGCTTGCCTCCGTCGCCAAACTATAGCATCTAGCCTAAGAGGGGCTTCTAGGTTAAACTGCCGTGGAATCGATGGTGCCCTCCATGACTTCAATTAAGTACATTGCCCTCCTGCATTGTATATGGAACAGGTGATGTATTCATTCAGTTTCATTCGTTCTGAGACCCAAAGATGGGTGCCATTATAGCTTCGCCGCATCCTTGACCTCGCCAACCTTTAGCCTCTCGCCGTATTTCTTCAGAACATTTTCGCTGTGGTACTATAAGACACTGTTAGCAGCTATACGAACGCATACTGCAGGAAGTAGAAGTGATAGGACTGCTACTTACTTTCCAGAATTGTTTTGAGGCATCCTTCCCAATCACTCGCTTCAAGATCCTCGAACCACCAGGGTGTTCGTCTATGAAGTTGGTGATGTCGTACACTCCCGAATCAATGATAATGTATTGGCCGTCTTCAGGCGTCTTATGGTTTGCGACTTCAGCGGGAGTAAACGTTTTAGTCATGCTGGGCGATTCTTGATGTAGTTGCGACTATGTCAACGTTAGTATTCTTCACATGAAAGCGGTATGACTGGGCGCTTATATATGCGAGGTTGCTTACCTAGAACAGAGGAATAGGTATATATACTGGCGTAGAGATACAACCTGGGATAAGATAGTAGTGAACTTGAAGATTGGCAGACGTTTGAATATAAATGGTTAACTCCAAACGCCGAAGTTCTGGTGGAGAGCCGAGGCACGCGGGAGAAAGAAGTCACGGGGACACGGCGCAGGAACATTTTGGACCAATCAGAGCACGATTATTACAAGTAAATCATGTGATAAAATAAGTAAGCGATTTTGCCCATTTATCACAGTCAGGTGATTTATTGTAGATGACTAAGCGTGTTATTTCCTGATTAGGAAGGAAATTACTTACTAAGATGCTTATTAATAATAATACCAAATTATACCATTAGTACAAGAATAGGCCAATGAAACGCGGTATTTGGGCTGGATATCGTATGTGGTCGTATGATTAATTACATACCTGACTATGCCTCCACGAGATTTTGCCTACGGGAGGAACTTGGATGGCTCTTTAAATGGTAATACATGGTATATAATAAAAAGTGACTATCTTACATCCTAGGTATCTATTGGCGGCGCAATCAGTTCTCATGCCTTGCTTTTTTCCGCAGCATTTGGCCCCTTGGGTTTACCCAAACCAAGCGTCTCCAGATCCTTCTTCTTGTGATAATGGGGAGCAACCTCTGTTAACCATTCTGGCTGCAGCGGCATATTGCTACGCATAAATTCCTTGCTAGTCAATACCAGCTCGAAGTAGATGACCCATTTAGGATCTGCCCCGAACAGTGTGCTTGATGGATGGAGGTAGACGGTCTGGCCGTTCTTGACGGTTCGATAGCTGTCTCCTCCGCGCTGAAGTCTAGCGGCGTTAGGGAAGAAGCCTGCCGTGATTGCCTTCTGAATCACCGGTAGATTGCTTGCTCCTGCGCTACTGAGAGTTACTTCGACTCGATCACATAGTTTAGCAAGTTGGTCCCTGACGTCGCGGGCACGGGTTAAGCTTCGCTGCTGGAGGAAGTTTTCCCGCGCCCAGACATAGCTGAAGTCTGCGTCTACCCATTGGTTCCAGATGTTGAGGAGCGTTAGGTGGTCACCTCCATCTTTGATGGTGAATCGGGCGCGAGCGCTGTCAGCGTGGATCTTCTTATCCTTGGGCCTGTAAAATAAGGCGCTAGCCTCTCCTAGCATGGCGATGATGGATAAAACCTCTTCAACGCAGCCGTATTTGTCTGCGGCAAGGATGGACTTGGAGAGCATCGGGTCAGTTGGGAATTCTGCCATCTGGCGACCAACTTTTGTGAGTTCTCCATGGTCGTTTAAGGCGCCAAGTGCATAAAGCTGCTCAAGAGCACGGATCAGGGTCTCTGCCGGAGGCGGGTCCATAAAGTCAAAGTCAAGGAGGTCATTGATTCCTAGAGAAGTCAACATTAGCACCACACCGCTGAGATTTGTGCGCTGGATCTCAGGGGTGGTGTTCTGCTCGAGTTCGTTATAATACGCCCATTTCGTATATAGACGGAAGCATTTGCCTGACCCAACACGACCGGCTCGACCAGCTCGTTGACCGGCGGATGCCCTAGAGCACGGCGTGACAACGAGACTTTCCATGCCAGTACGAGGATTGAAAACACTCTCCTTGACGAACCCCGGGTCAATAACATATACGATCCCATCAATTGTCAAACTTGTTTCAGCAATATTTGTAGCAAGGACAACCTTTCGAGCTCCAGGGGGTGTAGGTTCAAATATCTTCGTTTGCAGTTCGGACGGGAGATTCGCATAGATAGGGCAGACCACCAGTTCTTTAATTTTATTTCCAAGTTTCCGGGCTGTTTCTTGGAGATTCTGTTCTGCAGATTCGATCTCTTCTTGACCTGTCAAGAATACTAATATATCTCCTGGGCCTTGGGATATGTGGATTTGGAAGACAGTGGTGATTGCAGCGGCCAAATAGTTGGCTTCTGGCTGGGAGGTATAATGGACGTCGACGGGGTATCTGCGGCCGGGAATGTTAAAGATAGGGGCGTCATCAAAGTATTTTTGGAACTTTTGGGCGTCCATTGTTGCGGACGAGATAAGGAGCTTCAAATCTGGCCGGGCTTTCGCGATATCTTTTAAGAGACCGCAGGCAATATCGGTTGGGACGGTACGCTCGTGCGCTTCATCAATCATCAGAGCAGAGTAGGAAGCTAAATCTGGTTCCATGAGAAGTTCTCGTAATAAGCGACCATCAGTCATGTACTTCAGTACTGTCTTGTCGGAGGTAGTATCCTCGAATCGAATCGAGTATCCCACTTCATCTCCAAGCTTAACTCCTACTTCTTCGGCAACACGCGCAGCAACACTCATCGCGGCAACTCGACGTGGTTGCGTACATCCTATTTTGAGACCACCTTTAGTATACCCTGCTTCGTGTAGATATTGAGGAATTTGCGTCGTCTTTCCACTACCAGTTTCTCCCACGATGATCAAAACCTGGTGATTTGCCACAGCCTCTAGGATTTGTTCTCGGAACTGATAAATCGGTAGGCTTTTCCGCGTCTCTTCAATCGATGCTGCCTTCTTCTCAGCTGCATCAATTTGTTTGTGCAGAAGCATCTGGTCCTTCGTCATGGGTTTGTGGTCGCCAACTAGCTTTGAATCCATGATGAAATTCACCTTCTGCGCATCATCGAAGACATATTCATAGTCCCCTTCATCAACAAATTCTGCTTTTGTAACCTGGGCTTTGGCCTTTGCAGTTTGTTCAAGTTCCCACTCCTCATGTTCGGTGACAAAACGTTCCTTGCCATGGTCATCACGATCGACATATCGTTTGTAAAGTGCTTCTTCTTTTCGTTTCCGGTCTATCTTCCCTTTCTCCGTTATATAATCCTCCGGCAGGAAGTAGCCATCTCGATGATCATCTATTTGCAGCCGTTCTTCAGTCAACCTTAAAACTTCTCTGTTCTTTGCGAACTCTTCTTTCTCCTGCCGTGTCAAATCAGGGTTTTCGCGGAGTTCAGCTGTTTCTTCCGCAACTTGCTTGCGCAATAAAGCTAGACGTTCAGCCTCTCGCTTCTTTAGATAATCTTGACGAGATCGTAGGCGAAGGTCTGGCATCGCAGCAGCCCTAGCGGCCGAGTCATCTGCAAGGGCTCTCCGCGCAGCCACCCCACCCTCCTTTCTGGATGACCTGTCTTCGATGAGCTTTTTGGATCGTTGATCATCCTTTGACACCAGCCGTTTCGCGAACTCATCACGTTCCCGCTTATCACGTTCCCTAGCTCTTTCGGGGTCATCATTATGGTTTTCGTCCGACTCGTCGACATAGGAAGCGCTGGTCTTGTCGCGAGAGGTTTTTGGAGGAGGCATACGTTGTTCTTCGAGCTCATCTTCGCCTAACGGAGGCTCTTCATCCCCCCACCGGCTGGCAAAATCCTGGTCGTCTATCCGCCGAACTTTCCTTGGCCGATTGTGTTCCCGTCCATCAGTATTGTTATCCCGCCTTTTGTGCTCACTGCTTTCGTCACTTCTGCTTTTTGGCGTGGACCGCGAGCGAGATGAGCCAGCCTCCTTTGACCGGGGCTTGCTAACATTAAGGTCGTGGTCTGCCGGCTCGTCTTCCATTTCAACCAAACGGTATTTCTTCTTCGACTGCTGTTGACTTGGCTTATCCTTTGTCGGCATGTCATCGCGCCCCGACGGATTTACCCGATTCCATAACTCCGAATAGAACGGTTGTACATCTCCATCCCCGCCATCTAAAAACACCCCAAGCTGGTCGCGTAGGGAATCCCGTGATTTGGCTTTTGACGCTGTGGCAAGAACAAAATCGACAACGGTAGGGTCTGAGACTCCGGTAAACTGAAGAAGGGAGTCTGATATGTAGGTTTTGATATCCATGGCGGATTCGTCTCGGGGAGGATGGGAATGAAAATCGCGGCCTATATATGATGTTAAGATTTAGGTTGACTGGTGTCGTGAGTTGGGGTTTAGGTTATCGCATGTTGAGAAGAAATAGAAGAGGTTCAGGTAGGAATAGCTACAAGGCCCGTCAAGGCACCGCCGAAGAGAGAAGCTGGTTAGATGTAATTGATATAAAGTTGAGATCTTGAAGCTCTCAGACTTTCAAAGTGGCTGAAGAGTCAGTATTAGTCAGCACTCTCCTCGGTCTATGAAGCTCTTGATACTGCATTCATTTGATATCTGCCTTTATTTCTATAATGAGTCCGTCGTTTATGATAATATAAAGCTGGACTGTTTGGAAGGCTGTGTTTATCCCGTTTCATCTCATTAAGCCGCCATGAGATGGGGAGGACGCCAGGCCGAGATGCACACGATAGTGCCTACTATTCCTTGTCAGGGGCACTGAAAAGTAGTAAGGAAGCTATATCTCTTGCGGAATAGTGTCAGCGTCCTTTATACGAAGCAACAACTTACACGAGGATGGGCGTCGATAGCTTCTTGTCCTCGTACCAAGCAACGAGTTGAGCCGCATACCAAGAGCTATGCAGATGCCACCAACATGGCAATAATTTGTATATAAGTACTAGAGAGAGGCGTATATCTGCTAATAAGACGTAGTCATCAATAAATAGAATCAGATAACTGCTTTTCTTTGTATAATATAGGTGAATATCGATGTCGTCCATATAAATGTCAGCTTCGTACCTGGATGAGGCTGAGTGAGCGCGCTAGGCCTTGTCGGGCTAATATGGAGAAATCGCGGACATCAAAACGAAACCAGCTCGACTTTTTCTCTCGAGACAGCGAGAAAGGCCTCAGCATGTCCAGCAAGCACTGAAGGCTGTCCTGGACCAAGCCGACATGTCGCCCAACAATGGACTCGGCAGCTCGCCGCTGTCTACCCCCAGCTCGTCCTCAACCTCGACAGGTAGCATGGCCGCGAAATCCCCTTTACCGCCAGACACCGCGAGCGGCGTCGAACTGAAGCCCATGAAGGCCCCGAAAATCGCGGACCCGATTCCTCTCGAGTACGATATTATGCAGCTGGCTAGGCTTGGTGAAATCGCTGCGATCAAGAAGCTCTACGATAGCGGGAAGTACGATATCAGTTGTCGTGACGAGGAGGACATAACCCCATTACATGTACGCTGAAAAAGAAGTACGACGATGATGGTGATATCTGAAGCTGATTTGTGTGATTGTTCTATTTATTCAGTGGGCTGCTATAAATAATCGCTATGAGCTTTGCAAGTTCCTCCTCGATTCTGGCGCCGATGCCAACGTCAAGGGCGGCGAGTCTGTCGCAACGCCTGCCATGTGGGCTGCCCAGAGATGTCACTACTATATCGTCCATCTCCTGCTTCAATACGGAGCCGATCCTCTCTTGACCGATATCCAGGGCTTCAATATCCTTCATTTGGCTACTATAGACGGAAATGCATTCTTACTGGTCCTGCTCCTCCACCAGGAGATTCCAGTTGATGTTGCTGATCCTCAGGGGCATACTGGCCTGATGTGGGCAGCCTACAAGGGGTTTCCGGCCTGTGTCGACGTCTTCTTAAGATGGGGTGCGGATGTTAATGCGACAGATGAAGGAGGCTTAACGCCGATCCACTGGTCCCTAGTCAAAGGGTCTACCGCCTGCGTTCAGAAGATAATAGAGTACGGCGCGGATAGGTTTGCTGAGACAAAGGAAGGCAAGAGTCCGGCTACTGTTGCTGACGAAATGAAGACAACTAATGTATGGCATCATGCGCTGAGAGAGTGTGGCTATAAGCCCGACGGAACCAGTTCGGCTGCGCCGTCTGTTATCGGCCATGTTCTGCGATCGCCGCTACATATGGCCAGATTCTACTTCCTTTTGCCTTTTGCTGCCCTACCGGCTGTTCTGATTATCCTGAGCTCCCTGTCGATATATGTCTCTATTCTTGCCACGCTCCTCTTTATGTTTGGTGTCCATTTGCTTATAAAGTGGGTTTCGAAAAGAGGCCCATTGGACTTTAGAGTGCTTCAGAGGACGGTACGTTTGTTGTGCTTCGTCCCCATCTACTACATATCCAAAACACTAACACTTCAACTAGGCATTCCCGGCTGGGGTTTTTGCAGCGTCTGCGTTCTGGGTTGCGTTGCGATGGTTGCACGTTATTCTACCTAGTACGACCCCATTCCTTTTCCTTGATCCCGTTATATGTGTAGTGATATGAACTAATTCGGCTATAGATACATACTCCTCCTCCCCCTTTCTGAATTTAATTTTCCTTGTTTTGTTTGCATTAATGACCTACTTTTACACATACGCTATGATTGAAGACCCTGGGTTTGTCCCGAAATTGAGCAGCCGGAACGAACAGAAAGCTGTCATCACGGACCTTATTGATGATTGGAATTACGATGAGGACCATTTCTGTGTTCCTTGTATGATTAGGAGGCCGATCAGGAGTAAGCATTGCAGGCGATGCAAGCGCTGTGTATCAAAACATGACCAGTAAGTTTGGTACCCTTGACTGATGACATTACCAGGTTCTAACTGCTGTTTAGCCATTGTCCATGGATAAATAACTGCGTAGGAAACAATAATATCCGCCATTTCATGCTTTATCTTATTCTATTGCTTCTTGGGATTATTGCCTACATTCGATTGGTCTTTATCTGTGAGCTTCCCCTCTCGTCACTTGATACTTTGGTATGGACTAACATGGTCGATAGATTATTCTGCTATTGTTCCAGCTGGCGAGAAAACAACATGCAATTTCATCTCTCCGTGGCTCTGCAACCTGATTGAGACAGATACATACACTTTCATTCTAACTATTTGGACCGCTCTTCAGCTTGTCTGGGTTACCATGCTTACCTTCGTTCAACTATACCAAATATCCAGAGGCACGACCACTTTTGAGGTCATGAGAGGCCATGGACACGGGTTCAGCCACAAGACTCCTGCATCTGCAAATCAAGCTGCATCAACAATCGGAGGCAAGAAGCATTCGCATTCCTCTTGCTTCACCAAGTGGAAGAGCCTGTTTGGGTTCGACGCGTTCATGGCAGCAGCTCAAGACGGGCTCCAGGACGGCCAAGGCCAAAGGCAACGACAAAACCCGTTCTCGCATGGAATCATCCGCAACTGTCAAGATTTCTGGTGTGATCCAGCGCCATATTTCGGCCAGCGGCAAGCTGGAAGTTCGATGCTTGGAGGGACGGTTGTGAATTACTACAAGATGTATGATGCGGAACTGTTGGAGTATTCAGGGGGGCGAGTCTAGATCAACGGTTGCCTAGGCTGACATGGAGGGGTTCCCCTACTTTCTGTCGGGATCGCAGTACATGATGCAGCCCACGACAGAACATGGTCCGCAGTTGACTCAATGATGCTTTTCTTTTTTCTTTTGCTTCTTTCCCGCAACACCGCCGTGTGACTTAATCCTGTATGATAGATCCAAATTTTATGTCAACTTACGACTTTGCCTCAGCAGTCCCGAACCTGCATGCATTTAGACAAAATACGGGAATATGTACTCCGTATACCAAGAAATCCTACTGCTGATCAAGGCTACGGCCGGGTCGTGAGACCTTGGTCCTTTATCCTTTCGTCTTTTCTCCTTTTATCCACCAAATTCGCGCAGACCGCCTGCTAATTCACCCCCGAACGCACGACGCACGCACGGAACCGCCGGCATGAAGGACTTGGGCGCAAAGCTCTGCGGCCCATCGAGGTGTTCTGTTCCTTGGGCTCTCGGCGCTTGGCGTGTCGCATGCTGCATCTCGCTGAGTTCTAACCGGGGAATGTCGGAGACTATCAGATTTTCCAGGTCCACAGTATGGATCAGATAACAGACAAGGTTTGCACATGGGCTTATCAGATCGAGGAGTCGCATGTCCTCTTGCTCCACGCGAGAGAACGCAGTCGTTATTAGTGCATTGGTGGCGTGAGGGCGCAGGGATCAGCGGCGTCATGTTAGCCTTGGAAACTCAATGCTTTTGTTTTTATTTTTATTTTATTTTTGGTTTTATTTTTCATTTATTTTTATATTTATTTGCTCATTTGTGGAGATGGTAAGTGTTAAGCCGTTTGAACATGCAAGTATGGCATATGGAAGGGCTTCCGCTGAGGCTAATATACTGGAAAACTCTGACCGTATCCCTCGCTGCCCTCGTTGTGCCAGGAACTGCTGCAGGATGGGAGGGAGCTTTGTGTTCCGCCTCTCAGGACAGCTTATAGACATGGAATTTAGCGATTGAGTTTAGGGCTTCATGTATATAGTATCACGTGTAATTATGGCTATGGGGATTATCTATTACATACATGGATGCCCTGGAGGGAAAACTAAGGGGGAGGTTCACGGGGGTAGAGGGATTTATGCGGGTAAAGCGGATTAAAATATCTAAAGGAAAAGACCAAGAGAAAAACAAGAAATTATCATCCCTAGATGCAAAAGAAAACGAGAAATTATAATCCTTAGATGCTGTTGCTGCTGAGAACTTTTACGCCAAAAAGGAAAGCTAAATAACCAAAAAAGGAACTATTCTACGCGCGGTATAACCTGACTCAAAGACATCCTCGGACCTCCCTCGTAAACTCGTCTGAAAGTGGCACCATCTCATGCCCTGCCAAGTAAGTTAATTGCCGTTGGCAAGTTGGGCACCAAATATCGCCTGCACAATCTCCCCGCCCCGAACGGCTAGGATCGAGAGGAGACTATCGCTGAGTCCATGTGTAGATTCGTTGCATCCCTGTAGCCAAATACCGGCATTGACATCCACTTGGCCTTTATCAAGTTCCAGTCTGTAATTTCTCTGGACCTTCCAGCCCATCTGTTTATGAGCTCGTAGCGGTTCAATTGAAGCTAGCATGCTTTCGTGCGCATTTCTAAGGTAGCCGGTTGCCAAAACCAGGGCATCGGCAGTCAATTCCTCATCATGGATTCCGTTCATGGTGATATCGTCGGATTGAGAGTGTTGTAGTGACATGCTAAGTTTCTCGCTCTTGTCTGACTCGATCTTTGAGATGAGGCGAGATGGGAAGATTCTGTGCTGCCATTTTCGTTCGTCGGGGCATTTGATCTTCTGGATATACATGTCTCCGTAGATCTGCTCGATGAGTTCAGGTCTAACCACTCCGTAGTTGGTAGAGCGGTGACGGGACAAGAAGAACTGTCTCTCCTTTTCACTTTGGTTAAAGAATTTGTCGACTCGCTCGGGGTTGAATAGTTCATTAACACTATGAACCTTGTTAGAGATGGTCATGATATAAGAGGTAGACATTACTTACAAGGGGGAGTCATCGCTGGGTCGAAGGGCCGAGTCACGCATGATAAGGCTTGTTTTGGCATTTGGATACCGTTTTTGGAGATCATGGAAGATCTCAGCTGCGCTCTGGCCGCTTCCTGCTACAGCAATATGATATTCCTTTAGGGTGTTGTTTAGAATATTTGGGAGAGTGGTGCAATATGCTGAAGAGTGGATTATTCTTGAGTTGCTTGGGAAACCTGACGGTATATTGGGCTTGCCGCCAATTGCAACAACCACATGTCGAGCCTTGCGAGTGGTGATCTCGCCCGTCTCCAAGTCCTTGGAGCGGACAGTGAAGGAGTGGATTTTCCCAGTCAAGGGATCAATTGCCGAAGGGGTAACATCAATGACTTCAGTTCCATATCTGACGAGATTGGCAAACTTGCTCGCGCACCATTTCATGTAGTCTTCAAATTCAACACGGGCAGGAAGGAAGGTTCCCAGATTCGCGAAGTGAAGCAGACGGTCGTGGATTTGTAGGTAGTTTAGGAACGTAAACTCGCTCCGGGGATTGCGGACGGTAGCTAGGTCTTTGATGAAGGATATCTGCATCTTCGATCCCGGCAGGAGCATGCCCGAATGCCAGGCGAAGTTTGACTGTTTCTCCAGGAAGCAGACCTTTGGGAGTGTAGTGGTATCTGGTGCATGGCTGGACTCAGCCAGTCGATCGTGAAGAGCAATAGCTATGGCGAGGGACGCGGGCCCAAATCCAACACATAATAGATCATGGAGCTCGTCGTCAGAGACGGGAGTCAGTACTTTCTGAAGTCCCGCTGTGTTGGATGACTCCGTGGTTGTTTCTGGCTGCAAGTCCAGCTTCGGCACTGGGTACTCTGCTCCATTGGCGAAACCATTCACCGAGGCAGGAGCACCGTTTATGTACGGGCTGAGAGATTCTAACGAGGGAGCCATAACCAATTGGCATGTATGTACTCAATGAAAGGGGAAGAATATCGATGATCGTGGTTTTAATATGAGGGTGACAGTGATGTTGTAGCATGCAAGGACCATGGACCTGGAGCGGAGGATGATTTAAATCAACTGGAGCAATGGGTTGAAGAACCTTGGGATATGCTTCCATCTCCGCCGGTCCCTGCCCGCATGTCGCATCATTATCATCACGGGCACGGGAAACGAGAAATTTAGAGTTGAAAAAGGGTTCCACTTGAAACTCTCGACGGGCTGATTGATAACGGAGATGCTAAATGCACTAACTAGCCCCTGGTAGTTATGCAAGCAGCAAGCAGTTTAGGCGATGGCGCGGGAAGGGAGGGAGACATCGATCCTCTTGAGTAGAGTTTTAGGACACGGAACAGTGCGAGTGCTGAGCATCGTCATAGGCTTGTGCCTGCGAATCCCTGACACCGGCTGTGCATAGCGCTTGGAGAGAGCGTCATATTATTCCAAGTAACCGGTTAATTCAATCAACCTGTACCATGACCTGATTGCGTACCAAGGTCCACCAGGAAATGCCGTTTGACTACCGTTCGTATTCTGTGTTCTGAGGACCCTTTCTTCTTCTTCTGCTGCTGCTGCTGCTTCGTCCGGTCCGCCCGCTCTGTTCCCTGCCCTCCTGTTCCTGTTCGCTTGTTCGACGTGGATGTGGATGTGGGTGGAGGGCACTAGGGGGGCAAAGGGGCCTGAGGTCGGATGTTCCTTTTCGCGGTCAAAGTTATCAGATCGATAAGATTAGATCCGTGTTTGACCGACACGCGCGCTAGTCCGCTTCGGGACATCCTCACCTCACCCTCCGAAACAACGGACAAAAATGCAAAAAATGCAAAAAAAATGCAATTCTGGCTGGCTTTCTGCTTACCTACGACGCTTCTTCCCGCCCCACGCAACAAACCCGGCCACCAAGCAAGCAAGCAACCAAGCAACGCAGCTCCATCTCAGTATCCCGGCCCCTGGGCTCCATGGGTCACCGTTTCGCAGCAGCAGAAGTCGCCGATTCGCCCACTGGCCCAATCATTCTGTCTCCTCTCGCCAGCAGGTTACTCGCGTTGTCTCGCCTCCCATATCGGGACTTGTCGGTGCTCGGGTATTGCTTGTTGTGCCGTCTGCAAGGCATCTCTCTACTCCGTATACCGGTCTTTTCTTTTCTTTCTTCAGGGGTAGATGCAATAGAGGACTATGGCGAACCCGGATGAACCCCCTCCTTCGTGGCAAGGCATACCGCAATACGCTACGAGATCACTTGAAGTTTTGATTTTTTTTATCTAAGGTTTGATCAGTAGACAACTCGGTTAGGAGTTTCTCGCTGGGCCCACGGTTTAGGCTCTCTGGGCCCTGAGCCAATCCCTGACTGGACGGGGACACCTTTCACGTCTTGTATGGAGTCTTCTCCCCTCCGTTAGCTTCTTTCTCTGATGGCTTCTAGCTCTGAACTGAAGACGTCACGCGCTTAGTGGCACTTAACCAGAAGCTGCTGTCATCACTATTATTTTTATCATTATTCTCTCTGTCGCCAGGCTTTTTTCTCTGTCGTCGGAAGCAGTTATAACCCTCCAGCTCGGGACCTTTCTCCTCAGTCATGTCAATTGTATAGACGATTATCACTTATTTACACTACATACACAACCATGGAGCCTCTTCAATTCAATAGATACACACAATTTCCAGACCTCAACTATGGGCTGGAGCCGGTTCCCTCACAGGCCTCAGCTGTCTGGAAGCTGGACGGCAGCATTGAAGTCGATAAGCTGATTCTGTCATGGGCGTCGATACTAAGTCGCTTGAGCGAGGAGGAATCACCAATCATTCTTGTCGATGGAACTCCCGTGAAAGTACATCCAAAAACCAACCAGATCGAGAGAGTCCAAGTTGAAACACTGGGTTCTGACTCTGGTAATTATACAAGCATAGTCACCGCAGAAGTAAGTAACGAACCTGCTAGTATGATCTTGTATCCGCGTTAATCAAGACCATAGACTCCCGTTTCCAACGAGCATTGTCAGCTCGAAGTCAGATATTCTCCCGTCCACTTGGAAGGGTCTATCATATCTAGGGGCTGCGCAAGTGCAGAGTACTTGACCCAGATCGCCAGGCAACTAGAAAGGCTTCTGCGAGAGTCCCCCATGCTTTCAATTCTCAATCCAACGCCCATGATTCTTCCTGGCCCCCGCCTTTTTCATGACATGGTGCAACGGGCTGGCAGTGAACCAGCAATATCGTTCCTAAACGGAAACGGAGAAACAGAAGACCTAACTTATGAGCATCTTCATTCACGCTCGGAAGAGCTAGCATCCCACCTTGTGCACACTCTTGCATCTCTCCCAGCTCCTGGGCAACACGGACGCATCATACCCGTACTTCTACCTCAATCACTAGATCTTTACGTGGCATGGTTGGCGATTCTCAAAGCGGGTGCAGCCGTCTGTCCCTTAAATCTTGATACCCCGACGGAGCGGCTTAACTTTATAGTTGGGGATGTTGATGCTCGCGTAGTCATTACCAATGAGCAGCTCGCCGGGGCTTTCCAGCAGATTGAAATCCCAGTCACTGTAGTCAAGATGGAAGACAGTAAGGACCTGACTGCAGACGGTCCTCCCGCTGTGGATATTCGGGAGGAAGATCTGGCGTATGTCATGTATACTTCTGGATCTACTGGTCTGCCCAAGGGAGTAGGCATCTCTCACCATGCTGCTGTGCAGGCCTTACTGGCTCATGACGAGATAATACCACCTTTTAGGAGATTTCTCCAATTTGCTGCACCGACATTTGATGTATCAGTTTTTGAGATCGTCTTTCCACTTTTCAGAGGTGTAACCCTCGTGGGGTGCGACCGACGGTTAATGTTAAACGATCTCCCTGGCATCATCAATAAGTTGAATATCGACGCAGCTGAACTTACCCCCACCGTATGCGGAGAACTCCTCCGATCACGAGCAGCAACACCCTGTCTTAATCTGCTATTGACAATTGGCGAGATGTTGACTAGGCATGTGGTCGATGAGTTTGGATCATCAGAGGACCGGCCAGGGATTTTGCACGGAATGTACGGCCCTACAGAAGCTACCATACACTGTACAGCTGTCTCCTCGATCCGTGCAGGTTCCATTGTTGGCAATATCGGTATTCCACTTAAAACCGTCTCCGCCTTCATCATTTCGATAGACCATACAGTTGGTCAGGAACCAGAGATTCTTCCAGTTGGCCACGTCGGTGAACTTGTGGTTGGAGGCCCACAGCTCGCTAGGTACTATCTCAATCGACCAAAGGAAAATCAAAACGCATTCATCGAAACCAAGGCATACGGACGTCTATACCGAACCGGAGACAAGGGCCGCCTACATCCAAACGGTGAGATCCAGTGCATGGGTCGTATATCGACAGGACAAGTCAAGCTCCGAGGGCAACGAATTGAGCTCGGGGAAATCGAAAGCGTTTTATTAAAGGGTCAATATGTGAGAAATGCCGCCGTGTGCGTGGTCCAAGGCGTGCTTGTCGCATTCCTATCCGCCGATGTTGAACGCTGTACGTCCAAGGATCTGCAAATGACTTGTCAACGATCTCTTCCAAAATTTATGATTCCTGGGAATTTTGTCATCCTTGACGAATTGCCACGGCTTCCATCAGGTAAAATTGATAGGAAAGGCCTGCAGGAGGAATATATAATATCCAAGGGCATAGGGCAGGGCGATCCCACCGAGTTTGCGGGTGAAACTGAACAGAAGATAGCAGCATCCCTTGAGCAGCTGCTAGGGTTCCCTGTTGGTCCTACCACGAGCCTTGCCTCTGCCGGACTCGACTCGCTAAAAGTAATTAACCTTGCCTCTATATTACGGCGAGAGGGGATAGTTCTCAACGCCTTGGACATCTTGGAAGCTGATTCCATTCGCCAAATGGCAGTCCTTGTGTCGAAACCTGAGCCAGAATCAACTGTGGCTCCTATCCAAGGCAGCGCCTTGGAGACCTGGAATGCAATAATAGAACAAGGCCTCGATAAACTAAAATCCACCGAATATCGCGAACACCCCTATGAAATCATCCCCTGCAGTCCGACTCAGACGGGTATGCTTCTGGAAACCAAGTTAAACCCAAAGGCGTATTTCAACTCTATCGAACTGCAGTTCGATCATGGAATTTCTCTACAAGAGGCGAAGAGAGCATTTTTTGCAGTTGCTCTGCAAAACGAGGTGTTGCGATCTGGCTTCGTCGAGATCGATCTTCCAGGCTTTCCCTATGCACAAGTTATCTGGGAAAAATTAAATTCAGATCAAATCAGTGAACCACAAAATTTTGACTACGATCTAGAGCTACAGAGCCAATGGGATATTCTGCACCCATTCAGAGTCCAGCTGGGTCTTGTTGACGGACAATCCAGAGCTTTAGTACATATTCATCATTCTCTATATGATGGTTGGTCCTGGGATCAGATTATGCTAGACATAGCAGCGGCACTCGGAAATAAACCTCCCGTCCAGAGGCCACAGTATCGACTCTTTACCCTCTTTCACATGAACCATACTTCCTCTGAATTCCGAGAGCAGGCTCTAAATTATTGGCAGTCCCATCTGGAAGGTTCATCGCCGTCCGTGTGGCCTAACTTCCAAGACCGATCCGATATTTCCAAATCAACTGGAGTAGTTACACATCAACTGAGCATCGACCTGGACAAACTTGATGCTCTGGTTCGAGACTTCCGTGTAAGCCGACAGATCATCTTCCAAGCGGCCGTTGGATACCTACTTGCAGCCTATAATGGCGTTTCAGATGTAATATTTGGGACTGTATCCGCTGGTCGTACGCTCCCTATCGATGGAATCGACAGTATCGTGGGGCCTTGCATTTCAACTCTTCCATTGAGATTCGATCTACAGCGAATTCGGACCGTTCGAGACTTGCTTGCAATCCTTCATGGTTTGAATAGGAAGACTCTTGCACATGGATTTGTTCCCCTTCGGGACATAAAGCAGGCATCAGGGGTTAATGTGGCGGAACAACTATTTGATACTTTGTTCGTCTGGCAGGACACTATCAATACTACTTGCGGCCCAATAACCCAAGTAGCATCGAGGGATTTCCTCGAATTTACATTAACCGTTGACATCGGAATTCAGGATGGCAAAATACAAGCGAAGGCTATCTTTCAGGAATCAATTCTTCCCGCCAGCCAAGCTAGGATATTTCTGCAGCAAATCGAAGGATTCGTTTCCACCGTCCTACAAACCCCTGATATGTTGCTTGGAGATATCGGGCAACAGCTTCCAGAACCTCTATTATCAATTGAGAATGCCTTGCCAATGTCGTTAGAGTCGGTACCTGACCTTTCATATGGTGTTGAACAAGTCTCCAAAGCCGATCCAGAGAGAATTGCGGTTGAATTTTTGGACTCTTTAGACCCAGAAACTGGAGCCAGAACGACGCAGACCCTGACATACTCTGAACTAGATACACGCTCCAGCAGGCTTGCAGGCCACCTTAGAAGACTGGGTGTTATTGAGGGTAACTTGGTTGCCATATGCCTTGAAAAGTCGCTCGAGCTTTACGTTTCTATTCTTGCGGTGGTCAGAGCCGGCGCAGGATATGTGCCAATGACACCACAAACGCCCATCATGCGAGTGAAACATATTATCCGCGAGGCGAACTGTCAGATTTGCATTACGGATAAGGAAATTTCAACCCAGCTGTCTGATCTCCCAGACACAAAATTTATCCACGTTGATCATGATATAATGGAAGAGGATGTCCAATATGCCCTTATGTCGAAACCCCCAGGCTCCGGTCCTGCGTACGCGGTATTCACATCTGGGACCACTGGTACCCCAAAAGGAGTTCTTATTTCACGCTTCAACTTAGAGAGCAACATAGCTGTTCTGTCTGCCCTTTATCCTGACTTCCCAGAGTCACGGCTGCTCCAAGCATGCTCTCATGCATTTGATGGTTAGCATACCTCCTTAGTACCACCAATTTATTTACGTACTAATTGGTATAGTTTCTGTGTTCGAGATCTTTTTCACCTGGAGCAAGGGAATGACCCTATGTTCTGCGAAAAATGACGTTTTATTCCGGGATATTGAAGAGGCAATTCGCAGTTTGCGAATCACCCATCTCAGCATGACCCCAACGGTTGCCGCACTAGTAAGGGCGAAGAACGTGCCTCTGGTTAAATTCCTCGTAACGGCTGGTGAAGCGATGACCCCGAAGGTTCTGATGGACTGGGCAGGAAGGGGCTTATGGCAGGGTGAATAACTCCAGCGAGAAGAAATTAAATTAGATGAGAATGTTACTAACTTTTGATACTTAGGATATGGTCCAAGTGAGACAACGAATATTTGCACGGTTAGGCCAAATCTTTGCATGTCCCACTTTATAAGCAATATTGGGAAACCCTTCGTAAACACCTCTGCGTTTGTTCTTACGGAAGGGGATGGATTCTCTCTTGTCCCTCGAGGAGCAGTTGGCGAGCTTTGTTTCGGAGGAGACCAAGTGGTAAGTTCTTTGCGAAATGTGCTCTTACGGTGCCATATACTAATTTCTACTAGGGTATTGGGTATCTGAATATGGAAGAACTTACGCAGCAGAAGTTCGTCACTCATCACAAATACGGTAGGATATACAAAAGTGGAGACTATGGGCGACTTCTTGCCGATGGCTCGATTGCTTTCGCTGGTCGTCGTGATGACCTAGTAAAGATCAGAGGCCAGCGCATTGAACTGGGTGAGATCACCAGTGTTTTGATGACTGATGAAAACGTTAAGGACTGTGCAACGATCGTATGCGAGGGCCAAAATGGTGGCAATCAGCAACTGGTATCTTTCTGGGTTCCTGACAAAATCGGTATCAAGGGGCTTGACCAGCCCGAAAATTCTACTATTCCCCAGCAGCTTTTCGATCACATAAGCGACCGCTTGCCTACATATATGATCCCGTCATTCCTAATCCCAATTAGTCATATTCCAATGACGACAGTTGGAAGGAAGATCGACAAAGGAGCTCTACTTGCCATATATTCAAATGCGGATTCTGCGTTGCTTGATGTATACTCGCGCGGAAAAGACGAAGAGCACATACAAGAAAACCTGTCAGAGAATGAAGCCAAGATCGTGGAAATTGTTGCACAGGTCACAGGGGCCTCCACGAAAGAGATCGGACGACATACTTCATTTTATCGACTAGGTTTTGATTCAGTGATAGCGATCGCGCTTTCTCGGCAGTTGAAACTTGCTGGCTTTGGCCAAATCGATGTCTCGATCATCATAAAAAACGATTCCGTGGCCCGTCTCGCTAGAAAATCGCAGCAGAAACTTGAGGCCCCAGTGTCAGGCCTGCGGGCTCTTCCAAATTTCGATCATCTGTTCAGTCCTGATCTGTTAAACAAAATTAAGAACGAAGTCTCTTCTCATGGGATGAATGTTGTGAAAGTTTTACCATGTACATCCTTACAGGAAGGCATGCTTTCGGGGATAGCAACTGGGAATGGTGAATCGTACTATAACCATCTAACCTTTGAAATCAGCGCGGATGTTGAAGCTATGGAAGTGGCCTGGAAGAATATGGTTGCAAGACATGACATGTTGCGAACTTGGTTTCGACAAACTAATAACGCCCGTTTTGCATTCGTACAGGTTGTTCTGGAGAAAATAGACATCCCTTGGCAGACCATTGAATGCACCATGGCGGATGCTCCATCAATCATAGAGCAGCAGAAATCTACAGTCTCTGTCGAGGAGGGGCCCCGTTCACTTTGCTCTTTTACCATTGTTCAATGCCTTGATTCTCCTAAGGTTTTTCTACTGCTGTCCATTCACCACGCTTTGTATGATGGCGAGGCAATGGAGGTACTTTTGCAAGAAGTCGAGGAAGACTTGTTGGGATCTCAGCTTCCACCAGTCGTCCCATTTGACTTGTATCTTCATGAAATGATCAAGCTTAACGGCGAGTCGATGGACCAGTTCTGGAGCGATTACTTGAAGGGACTTTCCCCAACGCTATTCACCGCGCCATCTTCCTTAACCAAGGCAAAGCCGAAACAATACCGAGCTATCTCCCACATGCCTGACATACGTCTGGCTGAGATAGGGAATGTATGCAGAATTTCCTCCGTGACTACTCTTAGCCTTTTGCAGGCTTCCTGGAGTAGGCTTATCTGTTATCTTTCTGGTGCTTCTGATATTTGCTTTGGAGATGTGATGAATTGCAGGAGTATATCCATTGAAGGAGCGGAAAGAATTGTGGGACCTTGCTTTAACACTCTCCCTGTTCGGGCGAAACTCAATCAAAACATGACCAATATCGACCTGATGCGGAACCTGCAAAGGGATAGGTCTGCCTCTCTTCCGTATCAACTTAGCTCAATGAGGCGGCTTCAATCACGATTTGGTCAGCGCGGTCTCAAAATTTTTGACTCATTATTACTCCTACAAGGCACACCACGCCCACTCGACGAGGCATTGTGGAGAATGGTCTCTGAAAGTGGCACTATGGACTTTCCTATTATCTTTGAGATCGTTCCAAATCGAGAGGATGACAAGATGTACTTCCACTTCCATTTTGACGAGGGTCTTATCCCATTGGCAGACATTGATGCTATCATTGGTTGTTATTCTGCCCTTTTAAGCCATACACTTCGCTTCCCGGAGGCTAGGGCGATGGATTTCACTATCACAGACCCCATTAGCGATATAGCCCAAGGCCTAAGCGTATTCAGCAAGGAACAAGAACTAAATGGAGAGTCTAAAATAAACGGATGCCATCAAGCCCAGGAGGGAGCCCTAGCAGAGACGCTAGAAGTCCGAGACCTGCTATCGACGATGTCAAAAATAGATAAGAAGTTTATCGAAATGGATATGACGATATTTGAATTAGGCCTTGACAGTATCAATGCAATTCAAATTGCTGGACATTTTAGGAAGGCCGACTATGAAATCTCAGCAGCTGATATCTTAGAGGTGAGTTCACGAATATAGAATTAACGTTCAATCATTGGGGCTTGCATATTGACACTACGTTTAGGGACCTTCCATTAGGGAGATAGCGTTATTCCTCCAGCAGTCAAAGGCTGGTGGTTATGAAATTCAGAGCCTTCCTACATTTGATTTTGGGAGCTTTCATTCGTTACATTTGACCTCAATTTGCGATAAAATTAAAATGCCCGAAAGCAGTGTTGACGCTATACGACCATGTACTCCACCCCAAGCAGGTATGCTTGCGGCTTTCATAAACTCGGAGGGAGTCCTTTACCTTAACAGCCTGAGTATGAGATCCCCAACACCACTGGACCTTTTCGCATTAAAAGCGGCGTGGGAAGAAGTTATGAACAGGAATGAGATGCTCCGAACCGGATTTTGTGATGTGAAAGACGATACATTTCCTTTCGCGATGGTAACCTACCGCCCGGGAATTATGGAACTCCCCTGGCACGAATGTCCATCCCCCGTCGAAAGCTTTATTGGCGCACCATGCGAGCATAAGCTTGAAAATAGGGATGTATTGAATCGAATTCACCAGCTCCCTTGGTTCCTTACAATTAGAGCAGGTCAAGAATTTACGCTCATTCAAGTTTCAGCACATCACGCTCTTTATGACGCTCATTCAATGAATCTCATACTATCAGAAGTCCTAGAATTATACCATGGGTCCTCGTTGCCTCAACCAATTCCAATATCCCCTGTGTTGAGATTCATGGCTGAGAAATTCCAGTCTCCTGAGTCCGAGGCCTATTGGGGAGAGGTGGGCCCAGCATTCCATGCAACGAAGTTCCCAGATATGAACCCCGTTCACACTAAAACGGACAAAATTCGTGTGCTCTTCAGACACTGTTCAAGCCTTATGGAAGAACTCCAAGTGGGATGTCGTGTGCTTGGTGTCACTTTACAAGCCGTCGGACAAGCTGCATGGTCACGAATTCTCTCCTCATACCTTGGGGAGTCAAGTGTGGCCTACGGCCTAGTTCTTTCGGGAAGAAATATGTCGGAAGAGGCACAGGATACTGCTTTCCCTTGTCTTACAACAGTGCCGGCACAGCACAATGTCGAGGGGACGAATCGGGACTTACTTGACCAGATTATGAAATCAAATGCCCTAGCGGTAAAACATCAGTTCACATCTTTAGCGAAGATCCAACGCCTGAGCAAATCTGATTCCCCGCTATTTGATACACTGTTCGTATTTCAAAAACTCGCCCCGTCGGATAAAGAAGGCAGCCCCTGGGAGGTGGTTGATGAAGAGAGCAAAACGGAGGTAAGTTTATATCAAAGCATGAGTGAATGATAGTATATTAATCTAGTCTATAGTATCCGGTTTCAATTGAGTTGATACCTGATGGCAAGACACTCAAGCTTGCGGTCACATTTAAGAACCGTATCTTACCTGAAGAGCAGGCCGCACTGCTATTGGATGAGCTTGACTGGTTTCTAGCCGATATACTGCAATATCCCGATTCCACTTCATCAAACCTCGACTCTGCGAATCGTTCTATCATATCCGTTTTACCAAGGAAGGATTCCAGGATTGAATGCCCCACCCAGCTTTTACATCAGTTTGTAGAAGTTGGAGCTGCTAACCATCCCTCTAAAGTGGCACTTGAATTCGCAGAAAGATCAAATGGCAAACTAGTTCCTAAGAGCTGGACGTATAAAGAGCTAAATGAACAGGGGAACAAATACGCGAACTTACTCAACCAACTCGGAGTGAAACAAGGGACGTTGGTTGGGGTTTCCTTCCAAAAATGCCCAGAGGCCTATTTCTCCATACTTGGAGTTCTCAAAGTTGGTTGTGCATTCCTTGCCATTGACCCTGGAGCTCCAATCGCTCGAAAACAATTCATAGTTGATGATTCGGGAGCGAATGTGCTTCTTTGTGGGATAGAGCAAAAAGATGAGCTGGAGAGTCTCACGGGTATCAAAGTAATGGCAGTCAACGAAGCTGGTTTGCTGGATGGAATCAATTCCACACCCCCAACCCTGGAAACTCCGATTACAGGCGACGCAACGTGCTATTGCTTGTATACATCAGGAAGTACTGGTACACCAAAGGGATGTGAGATAACACATGACAACGCAGTTCAGGCAATGCTCTCCTTCCAAAGGTTGTTTGACAATCACTGGGATGAATCATCTCGATGGTTCCAATTTGCCTCCTTTCACTTCGATGTCAGTGTCCTCGAACAGTATTGGACGTGGAGTGTGGGAATATGTTTGACCTCCTGCCCAAGGGATACTCTGTTCGAAGATTTTGCAGGGACCCTCCGGGATCTATGCATCACACACATTGACTTAACGCCTAGTCTTGCACAATTGATTCGCCCAGAGGATGTACCATCTCTTTGCCGTGGTGTATTTATCACCGGAGGAGAGAAACTAAAACAAGAAATTCTGGAACATTGGGGCCCTCATGAAGTGATTTACAATGGATATGGGCCAACGGAAGTCACCATCGGCTGTACCATGCTTCCTCGTGTTACATCTTTGGATAAACCATCCAATATCGGACCGCAATTTGATAACGTTAGCGGCTATGTTTTTAAACAGGGTACTTCTATTCCTGTTCTACGTGGTGGCATCGGGGAGCTCTGCGTATCTGGGCCCCTTGTTGGCCGTGGTTATTTGAACCGACCGCAATTGACGGCTGAAAAATTCCAGTATATTGATACCTATGGAGAAAGGATTTACCGAACTGGTGATTTGGTTCGTATGATGCACGATGGAAGTTTCTGCTTCCTAGGGCGCATTGATGACCAGGTGAAACTCCGAGGCCAGCGGCTCGAAATCAATGAGATAAACCATGTGATGAAGAATTCTACGGACGAAGTTGGAGAGGTGGTGACAATGGTTTTGAAACACCCTGCAGCAACCAAAGAACAGATTGTATCTTTTGTCACTGTTCTTCCATCAACGGCCACAAAAAATAAGCCACAGGTTGATTTCAGCCCTGAGGCTAGGTCGGTCTTGGAGCTTATTCGACAAGAATGTCAGATGCATCTACCAGGGTATATGATCCCAACTCATATCATCCCGCTGACAAGACTCCCCCTCTCATCTAACAACAAAATTGATAACGCTCAATTACGAGGGATATTCGGGTCTATGCAATTAAGCGATATGCAAGAACTGTCTTCCCATGAGCTGGAAAGCGTTTCTGGGTCGACAGAAACAGTTAGGGCCATTATTCCAATTCTCTCTAAACTCACGAAGGCTGAGGAGAGCTCAATTTCACCATCTTCCAACATTTTTGAATTAGGCCTAGACTCCATATTGGCAATTTCTTTTGCTCGGTCGCTTCGAGAAGCTGGCTTCCCAACTGCACGTCCATCAGTGGTGATGAAATGTAAGTTTTGCTTCGTGACGAGTTTGGAATGTTATTAACGGTTTCTAGGCCCAACCCTTTCAAAGCTAGCCAAGGCCATCGAAGCCCCTGGCAACGACGCAGAAGGAGAAAGGCGCCGGTATGAAGATGCAAAACAAAGAATCGTTGCATTTTCCCACATGCACACGGCGCAGTTAGCAAGTGAATTGAAGGTTGCTCCACAAGGCATCGAGGCAATGACTCCTTGCACATCCTTGCAAGATGGCATGCTCTACCAGTGCTTGAGGAATGAATCTCATCCGTACCTAACATCGTTCAACTTTGAACTAAAACCTGATGTCAGCTTGTCAGACCTAAAAGAGGCCTGGCGCCAGACCCAATTTTCTCTTCAGCTTCTGCGAACCAAATTTCCTTTGACAGATGACGGATATGCCCTTGTTGTTCTTAAAGAGGACACTTTCCCATGGTTTGAATTGGTGGCGCCAGATGACGACGAACTCGAAGAGGTGTCAACTGGTCATTTTAGGGAGTGGAACCTCGGGTTTGATAATTTTGTTGGTCGAGTCTGGGAAATTGGAATTATTTCAAGCCAGGCTCGCAGGTGGATGTGCTTGAACATATTCCATGGGTTGTATGATGGAATCAGCCTTCCCCTCCTCCTTGACGCAGTAGCAGCTGTATATCGTGGAGAGAAGTTATCAAAGACGACACCATTTACTGATATATTGCCACTTGGACCACTTTGCACCGTGCCGGGCGCTAAATCATTCTGGACCCATCACCTTGAGGGCATGAACCAGAGGATAATACCACAGATAGCAGCCCCAGAAGCCCACCCTAGAACCTCAACCATTCGTATCGAGGGACTAGTGGGCCTCGAGAAAACGAGAAGATTGCTGAATGTGACGGAGCAGGCTATTTTCCATGCTTGCTGGGTCCACGCATTCGAGAAATATTTCAATTTCATTCCAATAATGGGGATTGTGGTTTCCGGGAGGTCGTTTGATTCGGAGGATGCTGATACCGCGATTGGACCTTTATTCAATACTATCCCTTGCAACATCACCAGGTTTGATTTCTCGTCCTTTTCGGACCTTGCTAAAGCTTGCCACGACTTCTCTGTCTCCGTACTTCCTTTCCAACATACGCCTTTGAGATCAATTATGAAATGGGTTGGCCGAAGTGCTGAGAGCCCTCTCTTTGATGTATTGTTTGTTTTCCAAAAGGAGGAAGGCAATGCGTCTCCTTCAGCACAATCTTTATGGGAGCCTGTGGCATCGTTCGCGGAGGCCGATTACCCCCTAGCCTTGGAAATACAAAGCCAAGGCAACGGATCCTTCCAAGTGACTGCAGTTTCTCAAGGAGACATCCTGACGCTTGATGGTATCTCCGACTTGTTAGCACAATTCAAGCTTTCTTTAAGCATACTGGCCGAGGAACCGTCCTCAGTTCTCAGCTTCTCCACGAACTCAAAACCGGCTAAAGCTACGTCTGACCCGGTTGAGGCTACGCTCCCTGGCGACAACCTAACCAACGGCACGGCTATATTCGAGTGGAACCCGACTGCATCCATGATTAGGCAAGAAATTGCAAAGTTAGCCAGTCTAGACGTGTATGCGATTACGGAAGATTCTTCCATCCTCGAAGTTGGACTGGATAGTATCGATGCTATCAAGCTCTCCTCTCGCTTGAAACGAGAGCATATAGATATCTCCGTGAGCAAGATCATGCGGAATCGAACCATACGGATGATGATGACGGAGATCATGACTGGCGATAACACAGCTAACAGCACCATGGTTTCTTTAACGTCGTTAGATGCCGAGTTACGACAATCTTTAGAGGAAGATGGAAATGACTTGAGTGAAATTGAACACGTCCTCCCTGCGACGCCACTCCAAGAAGGCATGCTTAGTGAGATGATGGCTTCTGATGGCCACCATTACCTCAACCATGATATTTTACAGATTGGAGAAGACGTGGATCTCGACTTGCTGAAAAAGGCATGGGAAATTATTGCGAAGCAACATCCCATCTTCCGGACCTCCTTTGCCGCGATATCTAATCCCAACTTGCCATTTTCTTACGCCCAGCTTGTTCACAAGTCAGCGATCGAAATGGATTGGAATATTGTAGACCTGGCCGACAAGACCATTGAATCAATCCTTGAAGAAGAGCGAGTCCGCGCGATGCCACTCGCAATGACAAAGCCACTTTTTAACGTACGACTTCTTCGGGACGGAATTAAATGGCTTCTTGTCCTTTCTCTCCCTCATGCAATGTATGACGGATGGTCACTTGGGCTGTTGCACCAAGATGTAGCGAGCGCCTACGCTGGCAAAGATTGCACGCGGCCGCCGTATCACAACGTTCTCGAACATATCCTTACTTCTTCTGGAGAAGCAGGGTCGCAGTTCTGGAGGGGAGCTCTCGTCAATGCAAATCCAAGCATATTCCCACAACTGCCTGATGCTGGGAATGAAGGCCCTCTGGTACATCGTGAAGAGACTGCATCCGATATTCCACTTCCAGAAGTATTGCAATTCTGCAAAAGACACGGAGTTACGGTCCAGGCTCTCGGCATTACATGCTGGACTATTGTCCTTGCCAGCTATCTCAAACAGCTAGACGTTCTTTTTGGTACTGTCATGCTTGGTAGAGACACAGAAGAAGCATCAAATGTCGCATTTCCAACTATGAACACCGTGGCAATTCGTGGCATCATTCATGGGACAGTGTCTGAAATGCTAGATTATACCCAGAAGAATCTTGCGAATATCTTAGAGCACCAGCAGTACCCCTTGCGAAAAGCGAAGGCGATGGCTGGAATAGGGAACAAGGAACTGTTCGATACCCTTTTCATTTATCAAAAGAGCCCTAACGTCCAGCAAACGCAAGCTAAGCCGCTATACAAATCTGTTGAGGGCTCCTCAGGAGTGGAATATTCCGTTTGTGTTGAATTAGAAGCTGTCGATGAATCCGCCGTATGGCGCGTTGCCTGCAAGGATACGATTTTAGGCAAGAGGGACACTGACGAACTCGTCTCCCAACTTCTGCAGGTATTCAAGGCCATTATACGATCCCCAGACACACCAACTGCAACATTCATCAAAGATGGAGAATCAATCCAGGCCCTCCCAAGTCTAAGTCCGAATGGCGCTGCAGCTCTGAACGAATCGAATGGTAACAATGCTGAGAGTATGTCGTGGTCACCGCTTGAAGAGCAAATTAGGACAACCTTGTCGTTGGTTGCCGGTGTCCCTAAGGAATCAATCACCAAGCTCACCACAATTTTCCACCTTGGAATCGACAGTATCAGTGCCATCAAGGTTTCTTCGTTACTGAGAAGAGAGTCCATAATTATTTCCGTCAGAGATATGCTGCGGGTTGAAACGATTGAAAAAATGGCAGATACTATCACTTCCTCACAGGAGACTAAGAATTCTTCTGGAGGAGACTCGTCGTCACTGCAGATACCAAGGAACGGCAACATTGATCTTCAGCTCCGTAAATACGGGATAAACCCAGAGGATGTCAAGTCACTCCTTCCTGCCACTGCCGGACAAATATACATGCTGGAAATGTGGAAGAGTTCAAATGGAAAGCTTTTTTTCCCAGATTTCTTTTACAAGGTCACTGGGCGTATCACCAAGAGTCAGCTAGACAACGCATGGGAGCAACTGCTCGCCAAACTGCCTATTCTGAGAACAACGTTCCTGTCTACAGACGATACTATTGTACCTTATATCCAGGCAGAGTTGAAGCAAGTCGATAATCCGATCATCTGGAGGCCCGATTTAAAGATCAAATCCAATCGGCGCCATGTAAAGGCGAGACAGGGATCGGGTCTTGTTTATCTATACGCCTCTCAGACAGAGGCCGAGACTATATTGATGCTCCATGTTCACCACGCCCTGTATGATGCAGTGGTGATTCAGCATCTAATCAACGCGTTTGAGTCGATCTGCCAAGGCATATCTGCTCCCATGAATTCCCATGTCGACATTTCAGAATTCATGGCATTCAGCCAGGCGAAATCATCCCCAGAGCAGCAGAAAGCATTCTGGGAAAAATATCTAGGAAAGGACACTCTAGCAACACCACAGCTGCCTAGACCCGCGGTGGATGTTCAGATTGGCGTGGGGCAGTATCACCCAGCTCTCCTAGAAAGCACCGATTGGCTGAACAAAATGTGCCAAAGTCAAGGTCTATCAGTGCAGGCCGTGTTTTTGGCAGTCTACTCCAAGGTCCATGTCAAAGCGTTCCCTCAACCTAGCGAAGACCTGACAGTTGGTGTCTATCTGGCCAACCGCTCGCACGATATGGTCGGACTTCCTGAGCTCATCGCGCCAACACTTAACATTGTACCACTCCGCGTGGAAAAACCGAGATCGCGCTCTGTATTCCAACTCGCGCGGGGCATCCAGGGCGACCTGCATGAAATTGGCTCTATCGACAACTGCGCCGTGTCACTGGCGCAGATAGCTGATTGGACTGGAATCAAGGTTGACACAACGGTAAACTTTATCAAGCTACCGGAGTTGTCGGCACAAGAAGCTGCAGCAGACGGAGATGCTCCACAGCTGGTTCAGATTGAAGAGGAGGAGGTGCATGGTTGGCAGGACAAGGAGTGTAATGGCCGTGAGGTGGATGATGACGGACCGGCCAAGCTCTGGATCGAGGAGATGCTCGGAGGCGAGACTGGGGCTGAAAACAAGACCGCAAGAGACATTTTCAAGGTAAGGGTCCCCCGACAAGATCGGTTCGCTGGGGATCGAAGGGAGCTAACACTGCCATCTCCACAGCCGTCCATTGACGTCGAGGCGGCGGTTAGAAACGACCGGCTGGATGTTGGGGTCTTTGGCCCCAGCAGCGAGACAGCTTCGGGGGTCCTGGATGAATTACGACAGCAACTGCTGAGTCTCCAGGATAAGTGAGACGCCGCATGCTTCATCAAAGGCGAAGTCAGGCAAGGGGTTGGCCATCAGGCTCGGGGCTATAAAAAGGACCACGGCGTAACGCTGGCCCCAATTTATGCATGTACATAATTAGAGTTAGCTGCCGCTCTGCAGGACAGGGTTAGATAAAATCATCACCTCCTCTCATAGATAACACCTCGTCACCTGTACTTATCACCTATCATCAGTATTAATATCATCTATCAACATCGATATCATCTACATCGCATTGTTTGTTGTTGTTATTCCCAAAAAGGAAGTGCCAAGAAAGGGGCTTGCTTACTCATCGAAGTTTCACGGGACCGGCCGCGCTAGCCCGATCGGGACTGCAACAACAACGCGATCGCGTGGGAAAAGAAAAAGCCCCTTCGAACTTCACGACTTCCCGTCACTTATCATATCTCAACCACCACCACCGCTATCACCATCCACCGCGGGCCTCCGTCCTCGACGCCTCGACAAGCACCCTAAGACGCTCTCCATCCTGCATCCTACATCGCCTGCTCAGCCCTGTCTCGCCCTGCGAATCTATTTCTTTTATTCTTGACACCTTGCGATCCGCATCCGCCTGTCGACGGTGTCTTCGGTCCGACCTGCCCGTCACTCACTATCCCGCGATCGACCGTCTACATCGCCGCAGCATCTACGCTCGCTCTCCCACTCCTCAAATACAGCGAACTCTCCTCTCGAGCATGAGTATCGGCCTTGACTCGCGCGCTGGACTAGATACCTAGCGCGGATGGAAGAAGCCAGTGCAGTCGGCTGTCCATGCTTGCCTTGATCAGTCACCTTTGAATGACATATACCTCGCGTGAAAGAGCGTGCGCGTCTATTGTCTTTCTCTCTTGCTAGAAGGACGCTTTTGAGACCACTTTGTGGGGAAATTTACAGCTCTGCGCAATATTTCCTATTGACCTACTATCTTTGTGCGGCCCAATCATTCACACCACCAGAAACATACTGGAACGCTTCAGTTCAGCCTCGCTTCACTTGTTTACCATCATCACCATACGCCTACCTTGATTTGGTGCGATGGTTGCCTCATTCTCTCCTCATCGTGATGCGGGGGGCACATTACACCTGTCCTCCAACGGATTCCATGCAACGCATAAGAACTCCGCCCTAAGTCAACTACGACGCTCGCTGTCGAGAAGTCCATCAAAGACCACCGATTTCAGGCTCATATCTTCTTCCTCGTTCAACTCTCCAGCAAACAGACACTCGAATTTCATGTCACCTACGCTCTCACCCTCAAGACAGTCATCACACGGCAAAATACTCTTCGTACCCAACTCAAACTCTCCGTCTCCTGTCGCCATTCCATTCCCGCCCAGCGCAAAGATCCATCGCCCTCCCATGCGCCGCAGCCGTTTCATTCACTCATCCAAATCGTCTAGCATCTCTTCAGGCCCAGTTAAACGGGTCCTTGGTGAATCACGAGATAATGGTAACTCCGTGGTTTCTCCAGAATCTACTTTTGAACCCATGAACGATAAGATTTCCACCACCCCTCCTAGCCCAGTGCTATTCAGAGGAGGCCAGGAAAGTCCACTCAATCTCTCTCCCGGTGAGCAGACGGAGGATACCTCTGGCACTGGACGAATGGAGAAACGACGCAGCGGGAACCTGGAGTCAGCAGCACTCACATCCAGTCCTTTGAAACGTGCTGATGTGAACATGACTCTGGACTCTCTGGGCGCCGAGAGCCCGTCGGCCAAGCGTAGGAGCTTGCACGGCGTGAGCTTTGGTGCCGATTTTGATGTCTTCGAGTCCAGTTACTCTGCCATCAATTCTCCTCTAAACAGTCCAAACGCGAAGGAGCCTCGCTTCCCAGCACCCAGTCACTATTTCTCCACGATACCAAAACGTTCGTCGTCCTTGAGAAAGTCCACCATCCAACAACGTCATCCAGAGCGATCTCCCTTTGCACGCAAAACGAGCGCGGAAAATGACGAATCTCTTGTGCTACAAAACAGGCAGCGCATGGCAATCGACAGCTCGACGTTTCTGCCCCTCAACCCAGACTCCTCGCCATCTCCTAACCCATCTACACCATTATTCGCCTCCCATACAACATCTACGTTCCACCCTCCAATGCATCCCCTATCACGCACCATCACGCAATCGTCCTCAAGTTCAAGCGTGGGAGACGACTCCCCAACCAACAGAGCTTTGAGTACAAACTTCTCAGAATCCAGACCAATCCTAAACTTTTCCAAGTCGCTCCCAATTGGTGCTGTAGCACCTAGAGCTCCCAGTCTCTTACGACAGGAATCTTCCAATGCCTCTGCATCACCTTTTTCCACTCCAGAGAACTACAAACTTGTGAAACCTTTGCCAGCGGCATTTATGTCAACTGGACTTATTTCAAAGAAAAACAAGAATGTCTCGGACTTCCGCAACAGCTCAACTATGAGCCATAATATGCCAGAGACTCCTTGCAAAAGAGCATCCAACGTGCTTTTTGGGGCCAACCCTGTACCCCAAGCAAGCAGTGGAAAATTTTTACCTTACCATAAGACATCCAATTCCTTTGAAACCCCATTCACTCACCGTGTTAAAGCACCATCGTCATCCCGCGTTGTGCCCACCTGCTCTCGACGGGGAAGCTTTGCTAGCATTGATGGGGATATTAACTCCATTCCACGATCACCATCGGCTGCCTTTGATAGCCAATGTGCCACAGACTCAGACCTTCCCCCCACACCCACCAAGCGAGGATTGTTCCCGCAACACGTTTCCCACTCGACTCCATTCCAGTTTCAAACTACGAACCACTATAACTCAGATGTCTCGAGGGGTGAACCTGGTTTATTTTGTAAGGATGTTCATTCCAATATTATTCAAACTACATATTTACTAATGCTCAATTACTTCAGCGAGCCCGCTCTACTGTAAATCGCCGGATTCCGGGCCTCCCAGAACACCTAGGGATCACACACTGACGCCCGATGCCAGCGGCCTCTCAATAGCAGCCCCAGACGACCATACTTTTAGTCTTGTAGAAGCACATGCTTCAACCTTACCTGCTACCCCCACTGCTCCTCGTGAATCCTTTCCCAATCTAGGGAAACGATCCAGTTTTCCACTGGGAAGCTATAACTCCCCTGATATCGACCCCTGCCTCAACTCACGCTTCGAAAAAGTGGAGTTAATTGGCACCGGAGAATTCTCTCTTGTGTACTCTGTCACCGAACGTTCCTCTCCTTCAAGTCACCATTTCCAGCCCCATACGCCTCTTGCATCCAGTTCGACACCTACAAACTCTGGAAGCAGTAAAACCTGGGCTGTGAAAAAATCTAAACAGCCATACGCAGGTTCCAAGGACCGCGAGCGACGAAACAATGAAGTTGTCGCGCTCAAAGCTCTTCGTGACTCCGACCATATCATCTGTTATGCTGATAGCTGGGAAGAGAAAGGCCACCTTTATATCCAGACCGAATTCTGCGAAGAAGGTAGTCTCGATGTATTCCTGTCTCAAGTTGGCCTCAAGGCACGGTTGGATGACTTTAGGATATGGAAGATCCTCCTTGAGTTGGCACATGTAAGTCGTGTCCTACAGCTTGCCGGACGTCGGTATCGAAACTAACAATCCACTCCTAGGGCTTGAAACACATTCACGACACCGGGTTTATTCACCTAGACTTGAAACCAGCGAACATTCTCATCACATTCGAAGGTGTTCTTAAGATTGCAGACTTCGGCCTTGCCGCTCGATGGCCTGCAGCTGCTGGAATTGAAGGTGAAGGAGACAGAGAGTACATCGGACCTGAAGTCCTGATGGGCCGATATGACAAACCTGCAGACATCTTTGCTCTAGGACTAATCATGTTCGAGATCGCCGGTAATGTCGAGCTTCCGGATAACGGTGTATCCTGGCAGAAGCTCCGGAACGGCGACATGAGCGATGTTCCAAGTTTGACCTGGAGCTGCGAAAGCAGTAACATTCTCCGCGATGCATCAGGCAACCCCTTGGTCGAGTCGTCTCTCGGAAACCTCTCCTCATTTGACGATTTCGACAAAGACTGTTCCTCACAGGAGCTGTCTTCGAACTATTTCCAGCTCGCTCAGCGAAAAGATGCGCCTAGTGCCCGCAGTGGAGAACTTGCGGAGCCACCGAGCTTCATGGTCGACGCAAGCAACGATCAAGCTCTCGACAAACTCGTCGGATGGATGATATCTCCCAATCCTCCAGACCGCCCTGTTGCCGATGACATTCTCCAGTCTTTCGGTGTGCAATGGGCCGAACAGAGACGTCGTGCTGGCGCAACAATCTTCGAAGGAAACTGGGGACCGGCAGATGAAATACTGAACGAAGATGCCGAAATGATGGACGTTTGACAGGGGAGATCGGTTTAGAACCCGGTTTCATTTCAATATTGAAGTACGGCTTTGCTTCACGGTTTTTAGTTCCTTCGCGCGAGCTGTGCAAGGATAGGCAGGTTTTTTTTTACACGGGATGGTGGGGCGTTGCTTGGGGGTCTCTTATTGGGTTTGTCAACATCCGTTTTTCTCCTTTGTATCTTGATGGTCCTTTTCCTTCTTCTTCTTCTTCTTCTTCTTCTTCTTCTTCTTCCTTTCTGTGTTATACCAATTATCTTACCAGTGATGCAAATCTGGAAAGTTTGAGCACCTGCATAGCAGCATGATATTCTGAGTTAATGATGGATGGTTTTTGTTTCGAAAACAAATGTATAGCACGATAAACTAGCTAGTGATATTTTATAGATGATACTTCTTACCGTTAATCCTTTTTCCTTCCTTCCCTAGTCCATGTCCCGTAGCACATACATGGTTGGACATGGGTGCGCGGCATGTAGCTCAGAAAGAGATTTCCTCCAATGTCGTCCGTTCCATGAAAATCCACGGACAGCTCCTGGTCAATATATCCCTCACCAACGGAAGTCCGTCCACGGGCAAAAGGCTTGTACCTAAACACCCGGACAGTTTGAGATTTATTATACTTTCCATCATATTCTTCCCACATGGGAAATAAATGCAGAGATCTCACCAGTCGGCCGGCATCAGTATTCATATACATGATTCAACCGTGACCCAGTCATTTGACACCCATTGACTGGCCCAACTGCGCTTCACGCAACGGACGTAACATGCCGAAAGCGAGACACCGCTCCTTCCATACCCTCGATCCCACGCAGAAGAGCAACATTTCACGAACGAAGTAGGTTGAGGTGTGTTTCGCAGGACTCCACACAGGTAATTTGATTGCTTCTCAGCCCGTCAGCTCGGTGAGGGTCCGCAACAACACCATGCGGTACGGAGTCGATGGTTTGCGTTCAAAGGCTATATTTGGCTAGAGGGATTTTGCATCTAGCGGCGGATTCCGGGCCATCATATCCGCGGTGGCGCAGCGGAAGATCACTTCACCGTGTTTGACCCCTCGACATCGTCATCATGCCGCCGAGTAGCTGTTGATATCGATGTCGTAGTGTGTGTGTGTCGTCGGTGGTAAAATGTATGGCGTCGTGTTTTTTTTGCTGCACATGTAAAAAAGGGCTGGCGGGACTCACCGGAGTTGCCTGCTTACTTAAGCCACGGAGTTCTGCCGCCACCCACCGCCCCCCCCCCCTAAAAAGGGAAACTCGGGAGACTAAGGAATGACTAAATATATATATCCAAAGGGAAGACTCTGCGGTTTGGTCAATCAGCATAGAGGGTTGCATCCAGTGGTAGTCTTTGATAACAGCCTGGTTTCCGTCTTCTCTTCTTCTTCTTTTCCTGTCAGTCTCTCATCTTCCTCCATCTTCCACTCTGGAGACCCGATTATCGCGCATTCCGTCATACCCATGGATCTCCCCCAGATCACACTATAAAAACTGTTAATTATCAAAGATGGCGGGCTCAAAGTCGTTGAAGGTGGTGATCAAGCTCGGTGGGTTTATTTGATCAGTTCTTGCTGCGTTCAGTAATGTGTGACCTGTTCTGACATGGAATATAGGGACGAGTTCTATCGTCGATGAACACACCCATGAACCGATCCTGTCAAACCTGACGCTCATCGTCGAGGCTGCCGCAAAGCTCCGAAAGGACGGCCATGACGTTATCATCGTCTCGTCCGGTGCTGTAGGCGTTGGCATGCGTCGAATGGACGTTGCGGAGCGGCCCAAGCATCTCCCATCCATCCAGGTTTGTCTTTCGCCATCATTTCCCGCTATTTAGCATGCCACTAACATTTATCCCTAGGCTTTGGCGGCTGTTGGGCAATGTCAGCTCATGAGTACCTGGGACAGCTTGTTCGGCCACTTGCGTCAGCCGATAGCCCAGATCCTCATCACCAGGAACGACATCGTGGACGTGAGTTTTCCCCCCGCCAGTAAAACAAAGAAGCGAGGAGTCGTCACTAACAATATCGTAGCGAACTCAATATGTGAATGCCCAAAATACGCTCGCTCAGCTATTGAGCATGGGTGTTATCCCGATCGTCAACGAAAACGACACGCTGACCGTTTCGGTATGTGGACCATCAACCACCCCCTTTCCACCAATGCCAGGTTGCTGACAGGGATAAATTGCGTTTTAGGAAATCAAATTCGGCGATAACGACACGCTCTCTGCCATCACGGCAGCAATGATTGAAGCTGATTACCTCTTCCTCATGACTGATGTTGATGGGCTGTACACTGCCAACCCCCGAACCAATCCTGACGCCCAGGTCATCGATATCGTTCCGGATATCTCAAGTCTCGAGGCCGACGTATCAAGCGCCGGATCGTCCCTGGGTACCGGCGGCATGGGCTCGAAAATCGTCGCGGCAAGGCTGGCCACAAGTGCCGGCGTCACCACCGTGATCACCCGTAGCTCCCGTCCAGGAACGATCGAGGACATCATCGAGCATCATTCGTCCAACGACGCAACGTCATCCGACAGCGCGGTAGGGGTTGAGGAAACAAGACCCGATCCACCGCTGCACACCTGTTTCTTGCCCTCGGATTCTCCGGTGCATTCCAGGTCGTTCTGGCTTCTCCACGGCCTCAAGTCTCATGGAAGCGTCTATATCGACGAAGAGGCGTACGACATCATCCGAGACACCGGATATCTGCTTCCATCTGGCGTGATAGCAGTAGAAGGCAAGTTCGGATACATGGAAGCCGTCAAGTTGATGGTTGCTCCGCGTCCGTCACAGACAGATCTAAATGGCGACTATCCCATGAAATGCAGCACTCCCAAGGAAGCCAAGGAAGTAGGCAGGGCCCTGATCAACTATGGAAGTGCAGAGCTTTCCCGCATCAAGGGTCTGCGGAGCACCCAGATCCATTCTGTGCTAGGCTACTCTGGCAGCGAGTATGCGGTATCGCGGGAAAACATGGCGTTCTTCGAGATGCCCAGTCGATGCATGACGCCCACGAGTCTTCCCTCGCCATCTCCCGAAATGAATAACGATAAAAACCCCCTTAATGACATCCCCGCTGCCTCTGTCAATCAGTAGCGTGACGACCTGACCTGACTCTGGCAGTCATGTTTGCTGGATAACAAACAACTTCTATCCTGTTAAATGGTTTCTTTTTCTTCCTTGCTTCCTCTTCTTTTTTTTTTTTTTTTTTTCTTTTTTCTTTTTCTTTTTTTTTTTTTTGCCTCGGGACTTACGCACGTCTGAAGAAGGAGATGGGGGTAAAAAAAGTACCGCTGGATTCAGTAATGGTGAAGAGAACCGGCTATTTGCACAATTCTGTATAGAAGGTGGAAGACGACTGACTGCCATAGAGACGAAGTTCTAGATGTATTTCAACATCATCAAATGATAACATTGTTGGTAACTCTGGTATTCGAGGGGAGGAATGCCAGTACGCCGTAGATATATCCAAGACCATCTGGGGTGCCTTAAGCCCAGTTTGTTTCCCTTCCGGACGTCCCGCATCCTTGTCCAGGTTGAGTTCCATAGTGTGAGGAGAGTAGTAGGTGAAGAGTGTGGTCTGCTTCATGACTTCACGACGCCCGTCTCGGCTTCCAACAGCCTATTCTATTTTGGTTAAGGGTGTGTATATGTGTTTGTAGGGGGGGTAATTTTGAGTTATTTAACAAATCGCCAGGATTGTCTCTCAATCTTGCCACCTTTTAAGGAATTTTGCCATATCGTCGTCCACTGCTGCAGGAGCGTGCTAGATTACAGAGATGTGTCAGTAGTCCGTGGAGAAGACCTTTTTTTATCATCAGGTATAACTCACGGTGTTTTCATGGGGCTCTGCGGTAAGAACGACTGAGACAGATATGGTAGTCTTGATAGTGGGACGTGGTAGGAAAGTAGTAGCCTTTACGTAATCGCTGGTAGGAAATTGTGGTTTGGCGGACTTGAGGCTTATCTTGGTTGGCGGATGCATTGGCATGGGAGCGTATCTGGTGAGTCCCGTCTGTTCTGCATAGGGAATTGTTGGGACAACCGGTGGCTCTGCGGCCGGTGGTGGTACTGCTGGTGGAGGAACTGCTGGCGGAGGCACGGCGGGAGGAGGCACTCCAGCCGGAGGGGGTACTCCAGCTGGAGGGGGTACGGCTGCTGGTGGTACTGCGGCCGGTGGTTTCCCTCCTGGCGGTGCTGGTGCTGGCGCTGGCGGGTTGGCTCCTGGCACTGGAGGTGCTCCGGCCGGCGGTACAGCAGCACCGGGAGCTGGAGCTGGAGCTGGGGCCGGGTCAGGGACCTGACGTTCCTGGATACGCAGTAGAGAAGGAGGTCCGTCGTCCTTGGAGACGGATTCAAGGCCCTTTTCCACCGTGGGAGAGAATGAGCCGGTCATATGGGTGAGGGTGAAGCGGCCTGAATACTCGTGAACCGCATTGGATATGTGGATGACCGCCTCCAGGAAGCTGGCAAGAGACCGTCAGTATGGAATATTACGATATAGATTTATCATAGAAGTAATCACTTACTAGCCATTGGGATATTCTCCTCCGACATTGGGATCAACCTGGGCAGAGGTCTGGATGGGGTTGGCGATTATGTTCTCCGTCAGCAGCAGCGCCACGCGTTCCTACGGCGTTCCAAGTTAGCAGTGAGCAACAGCAGCAACAGAGCGTCTATCGTACGTGGGAGAGTCCATCGTTGCCTCCCGCGCAGAGATAGATGCTGTATTCACTGCCGGCGAGGTACGAGGTTGCGTTCTCTGGGTATGACCACTCGATGGCGAGGGGGGAGCCGGCGTCGAGGACCGCCTGTGCCTGCGGCGCCGTGAACTGGATGGTGGCAGAGGCGACGCCCAGTAGAGCAAAGAGGGAGAAGAGAGAGAAAGGGGACATCCTGAGGCCAGGGAAGCGAGCGCTGTTCTTATATAGAGAATACGAGATGTTAGGTCGCTCTATCGTGACTTTCTCGCTCTTTTGGAACGAACTTGATGCTGGAAAGGGCAGGATAGGGCAGGATACCACAGGCTTAGTCATCGCCCCTATACCATACTATACAATACTTCTATACATACTTCTACTATACTTCTATACTATGATACTATTATGATATATAATCTATAGAACAGTCTACTATAGGCCACTTACTTCTGGTGGCTTCTTACTGGTATCCCTGCCTCGGTCCGGAAGCTAGACGTGGTGGCATCACTCGAGGAACTTATAAAACACAACTGCGACACGAAATAAAAAAGACACAGAAGAAGATACACAACAACAAGAAGAGAAAGATAGAGATGGAATGGGACTCCGCGAGCAAGATCGCGACCAACCTGCTATCGGCCAATCCGGTCGCCATCGTGGTGACCTGTCTCGTCGCATTCCTGCTGCCAGTGTGTCTGCATTTCCTCCTCTACCGCGCAGCTCCCACCAGCAAGTCCGATGAGTTCCTCCTGCTGGGCGCCAGTGGATCAGGAAAGACAGCACTCTGTGCTCTGGTAGGCACTCTTCCTTCGATATATACTGTGCCGAGTCCTGCTGACAGCATCATAGCTAGAGAAAAGTCCAGCTTCCACAGAGTCACGGCCAACGCATACATCCCAGGTCCCCTCGACCGTCTCCGTGGCCCTTCATCCCGCTGTCCGAACGAGCTCAGACAAATACCGCTCAGTCAACGACCCGACAGTGGCCCAGTCAGCCAAACATCGAGTCGTCTTTGGCCTCAGAGACACCCCGGGACACGGCAAACTGCGTGACCTCGACGGTATCGCCCAGCTGCTGGATCCGGCAAAGCAGAAACAGGCCAAGAGCAGGGTTCGAGGGGTGATATTCATGATAGACGCTGCCACCTTGTTGGACGCCGGCCAGCTAGCTGATATTGCAAGATACGTCTACGATGTCCTGATCATACTACACCACAGGACATCGTCGACCCGAACTCGCAGAACGCCCGTCCTCGTGATAGCCAACAAGCAGGATCTGTTCGCTGCAATCCCGCCGAAGATGGTAAAGGATAAGCTGGAGGCCGAGATTGAAGCAGTGCGCGAGACGAGACGGAAGGGCGTTGTAAACCCTGATGCCGACGAGGAGGACGAGACCGACGCGCTGGGAGAGCAGCCGTTTACTTTCCAGCTTCTAGAGGACGAAGCGGGCGTCAAGGTCGATTTCGTGGGCGGGAGCGTGAGGGATGACGATAGAGATGATGCGACGGCTGGTGTTCGGGCCTGGGAAGAGTGGATGGGACGATGTCTATGAACGATGATAAGGTCTAATGAACTTGATTGAAACGAGAAAGAATTATATCCAATATGAAGAGCATTCCTACCTGTCTAGAGCCTGCTCTATCATGTTACTCGTGGAGTTCCTTCGATGAACCTCCTTGCCTACGCTGTGAAGCTGCTGGCAGCGAAACCGTTCAGGCCGAGACACTACATTATACCAACGCCGACATTTATAACTCGGTAATGATGATGGGTCCCCACGCTACGAGAGTGTATAACTTACAAAGGCAAACTATCAACAAAGAGCCTCGATGTATTACTATGATATGTGCATACGGTTTTAAATGTTGAAAAATCTAAAGACAAGAAACCCCAACTCAGAATCAGAAGCCATGCAGTCGTTGAAACGTCTAACCTGTAAGACATGCCTGTTGAAGAACTATAAAAATGTCATGATAACGTTGGTCTAAACTCACTCCGCCTCCAGACGTGAAAGAAAAGAATCGAAGGAAAAAAGGAGGAGGAATCTAAACGGCCTTGTTTTGCTGTAGGAGCCAGGTCAAGAGGTCGACCTTGGTCGCGACGGCGAGTGGCTTCATGTTTCCAGACTCGTCCTTCTCAGTCACTACCGCTGCGCTGTTCCACTCGAAGAAACGGTTGAGAACGCTCAGGGGTGTGTCCATTGTGATCTCGACGAATTCGCGGCGTTTGCTACCTTCGGCTTCAGTCTTTGGTAGCTTGCCTAGGTTGCGCGGGTCGGTAACGATTTCAGATATCTTCGAGAAATCGAACATGACGTCCGACACGGGGCTGTTGCCAGTGGCTCGGCCGCGAGAGATCCAACTGAGAATGTTTCCGAGGGTTACGAGACCGACTAGTCTTCGGCTTTGAGATGCGAGGACGGGAAGCTGGTCGAAACCCTTTTCTCTCATGGTTTCAATGGCTGCTGAGCAGGATGAGCTGGCAGATACTGTCGTGACGGGCTTGAGACGCAGTGCCTTGACTTTGGCGCCCGCGAATCGGTCAGTTGATCCCTGGGGAGCCAGTTGTGGTGATGGAGGAACGGCTTCGGTGGATTCTGGAAGCAGGTTGTTCGCCGCAAGCCAGTCATCGTCGGCAAACTGTCGAGATAGGTGAGTATATATATGTTAAGTGATTAAATTCGTGCTGGACATACCTTGGTCAAGTAGCTTCGGATGCTATCAGGCAATATGACAACAACGACATCATCTTTACCGACCAGACCGTCCTTTGAAGCCTGTACTAATCCGTCGATGGCGCTTCCACTACTTCCACCGACAAGTAGTCCCTCCTCTGCAATAAGCTGTCGAGCATATTTGAACGATTCCCTATCGCCGGTCTTGTACCACTTGTCAATGATGCTCCTGTCGAGGACATCAGGAATGAAGTCATAACCGATTCCCTCCACCTTATAGGCCTCGTTAAGGTGTTCCTGGTTCAGGGGCTCTGGTACGGCGAGGATAGAGCCATGAGGATCGGCCGCAATGGCCTTGATCGAGGGGTTATGCTTCTTCAGTCCACGGGTAATTCCAGTGATGGTGCCACCGGTCCCGGCTCCAGCAACAATCGCACTGACCTTGCCCTCGGTCTGGGTCCAAATCTCCTCTGCGGTTCCATATTCGTGTGCCAGCGGGTTATCCAGGTTGCCATACTGGTCCAAAATATGCGCGTTAGGCAGCTCCTTCTCCAGACGCTTGGCCACTCCGATATGAGACTCTGGGGAATCAAAGGCCGCCTCGGTAGGGGTGCGGATGATCGTGGCATTCAACGCGCGAAGCACGGCGACTTTCTCCGCCGACATCTTCTCGGGCAAGGTGATGATTGCCTTATAGCCTAAAGGGGGAAATGCATCGTCAGCCGAGGGTGTCTATGTCGCAATAGCAAGGATTCAACCCCGAACCTTTCACAGCAGCAACAAGAGCCAATCCGATTCCCCTAAAAAATCACCGGCAGTTAGTTTATATTAACTCAAACTCATGCGCCATGCACAGGCTGCATTGCATGTACTTACGTATTGCCGCTGGTGGGCTCGATCAAAGTGTCGCCAGGCTTTATCCTTCCCGAGCGCTCTGCCTCCTCGATCATGCGCAGGGCGATACGGTCCTTGACGCTCCCGCCGGCGTTAAAGAATTCTAGTTTGGCGTATACCGTTGCTTCTATGCCCAGGGCTTTTGGCAGCCTGTTGAGGCGAACGAGAGGGGTGTTGCCGATTTGCTCGGTGACGGCGCCCATGACCGCAGGCGGGGTTCGATTCTGAGACTGCGCCATGGCTGCTGAAGGTCGTAGCCTGGACGATAAGAGAGAAACAATAAAATAGCTAGAGCAAGGTGTTTAGAAATAGATATAAAAACGGCCGATGTGTAGGAGAAAGAGATGGAGGTACCCTTGAGGAACGTATGTATATCTCTTTGCCTCTTCGATGGATCTAGTAGCGCCCCGACAGTAGCCGGTCTAAACTTTACAAAGATATTTATGGACTTAAGACACTTTTCGTATCGCCCGTTAACCCGTGGGCTACCTGGCGCTATCTACTTGGTGCAGTTATATCAAGGGCTGGACGGGGCAACTTCAGCCTGCAAAGAGAAAAACATCCCACCAAAGAACGAGAAAAGAAGAAAAAAAAGTGCCGGGATGCGAAAAACTCCGAAAGCGAAAACCCGAGCCGAGCCAATCAGAGGCCGAGGACGGAAGATACTAAGTCCGGGCCGATATTATGTAATAAGGAAGCTTTGAGACGAGAAAGACGAGAAGGAAGAGCTGGAAGAGAAGAAAGAGAGACGAGAAGGAGAAGCAGGACAAGAGGAAGGGAATAAGAAGAGAAGACAGCTGCAGAGCAATGGCGGAAGCACAGTCATCAGGCAGCAATGCCTCGGAGAAGAAGCCAAAGTCGAACGGGTTCATACCTGGAGACGACATCCTCACCCATTTCAGGAACATCTACGCGGGCATTACGGGGAAGATGACCCCAGAGGGCGTCCAGCAGTTCATGCTCGCGAGAGATCTCCGCAACGAAGAGGCAGACTGCAAGCGGTGCGAGACGCAGAAGGAGTATCTGCTGAATTATAGTACGGAACAACGTCGATTTACTTCTCTCTCAATTGCTTGTACTGATACTTTCTCCAATTTCCAGGTCCGGTCATAAGATTCCTTCAGGATAACATCAGGCAGCTCGGGGGAGATATATCTTCAAAGAACATATACTGTCGGAGATGTACATCTCGGCGGGGAGGAGGGTTTGATCCCGAGTATGGAATTCAGATATGCGCAAACGCCATGAACAGCCAGAGTCAGCTTGAGGATACCTTGGCCCACGAGATGGTACACGCATATGATCACCTACGCTTTAAGCTCGACTGGGTGGATAACTTGAAGCATGCCGCGTGTGCAGAGGTATGTTTGGCTGTCTGGAGAGAAATCACACGAGTGACACACGCTAACTTCAACCTCCTAGATACGAGCAAGCTCATTGAGCGGAGAGTGCAGATGGGCCAATGAGTTCTTTGGAAAACAGCAGTTCAAGCTGGCAAACCATCACCAGGACTGCGTTAGACGGAGAGCCGTGTTGTCCCTGATGGCCAGGCCTGCATGCAAGAATAAAGAGCAAGCTTTGAGAGTAGTAGATGAAGTATGGGAAAGCTGCTTTCGAGATACACGACCATTTGACGAAATATACCGATAACACCAGATATTATGGAAACAAAGGAAAACACCAAAGAGACAAAACGCTCAAACAATCATGACGCTGTAACAATAGATAGACTTTGAATACCCCCTCCCTTTATTTACTTATTTGCCTTTGCTCTTGCCTGCAGCTTCTCTCTGCGATACTCTCTCTCCCTTCACACAGTATTTCACAATCCATGGGTGCCGTTGAACTTCATCCAGTGGAATTCGACTGGCAGGGTCAAGTACAAGAAGCTGGTTTTAAGAAATGTCAGTGATACCCGTGTGAAAAGCTAGGGGAAAGAGGCAGAGCATTTACCTTCTTAATAAGATCCCTGGCTTCGGGGCTTACGAAAGACGGGATAGTCATTTCTCCCCGGACAATCCTTCTGTGCGTCATCACTGGTGAGTCTTCAAAGGGAGCTTCACCGACGATGAACTCGTATATAAGAACCCCCAAGCTCCACAGGTCAACTTTCTCGTCATACCACTTGTCGCCGGATCCGGGCTTCAACATCTCTGGGGGAAGGTAGTCGAGAGTTCCACACATCGTCTGTCTTCGGTTGTTTGGGGCATGTACACTCCAGCCGAAATCACTGATCTTGATCTCTCCGTGAATCCCAACCAGGATGTTTTCTGGTTTGATATCGCGATGCATAACATGCTTCTTGTGCAGATACTTCAAGGCAGCAGCCATCTGGGCAATGTATTGGGCTGCTTTCCATTCAGGAAACCTGTTCTCCTTTCTTAGATGCTTGTAAAGCTCTCCCTTCCCAGCAAACTCGAGGATGAGGAACACTCGCTTGCTATCGTGGAAATGGCCGTATAATCTGAGAATGTTTGGGTGTCGGAGGTTGCTCTGGATTTCGATCTCACGTCTTAGCTGCTTCTCAACGTGGCCGTGGACGAGTTCACTCTTGTGCAACACCTTCAATGCGCATACGAAACCCGTAGATCTCTCGCGGGCAAGATATACTCTTCCGAACTTTCCTTTGCCAAGTGGTTTGCCAATCTCGAACATGCCGAGATGGAACTTTTTCGGGTTGCCCGCTGAATCGTTCATGCGTAATGTGTTGGGAGACTCTTCTTCTAGTGGGCTTCGGTGAGACTTGGATTCGTTGTTGTTTTGAAGCGCAAGCTTGAGAAGGTTGGGCCGGTTTGAGCTGGCATTGCTGTGTGAGTTTGAAGGCGGACCACATTTTGATGGCACGCCCTATCGATCTATTAGCAATCAACGTATTTCAGAAGCCTGTATAATGGTATTACCTTTGCCTTGAGGTGAAGACTGTTGACTGGCGGCTCGTTCTCGTCGTTAACGTTCAACTGCTCGAACCGAGCCTCAAGCACCTTTGTAGTCATCCTGGGAGGGTAGTACAGTGATGGAGAGCAGTAGATGTGTTGCGACGGAATAGCTAGAGCAGTGGATAACCCAGAGAAGTGAAAAAGAGAAGATAAACAGAAGGCGATCTCAGCTTCTGCAGCTTTTGAAGAGCAGAAACTCCATTGCTTGTCGCTGGCTTCTATTTACACTTAAAGTAAACTCTCGCGTTGTCGCAGCAACCACCGGCCCGACCTTCTCCGGCTTACCTCATCATCCCCAGCACGTGACTTTATCTACTGGCCGGAAAAGGAAGCAAGGAAAGATGCCATAAAACTTGAGCAATAACAACGAATAATCAGTCATTGAACATCAGAGTGCATAGTCTTGTGGCGCAGGAAGATTACTATACTCTGGGTTGTTACTGGGATTCAGTACGATAACCATGGCTTCTTCAAACGGGACTCAGTCGAGCTTCCCCTCACCAGAGGCCACGCCCCCAAGCTCGATAACAAGAAAGGGCTTCAAAATAAGTACCCAGAAACTACCAATCCTTAAAGCTGGCCCAATCGATGAGATGACGAGCAAGCTGGGCATTGCGCCGCCTGAAATGATATTTGGGGATAACATGGTTTCTATCGAACATATACCAACCGGGTGGGGCATTTCCTTTAATGCATTTGATGCCCTGGATCGCGTGGATAAAACAGGAGCCTCGATGCTCAAAGTGTCGTATTCTGGCGAGTGGCAGAAGAGCAGGTGAGTGAGGATGCAGGCGAGCACTTTTATACAGTAGTTCAACCCTAACATTAGTCTGCAGAGAAACTGCCCACGAGGGCATAAAAGAAGTGGTTAAGCCGTTCGACTGGTCATATACCACTGACTATAAGGGCACTCTTACGCCGAACGGTCATGAATTTGAGCCGTCGTCTAGCCCCATCCCGATAGAGCAGCTGAAGCGGCCAGACCCGATTCTTTTTTACGATGACATCATGCTTTATGAGGATGAACTAGCAGATAACGGAATCACGATGCTATCATGCAAGATTCGCGTCATGCCGACCTGTCTTCTCCTGCTCACTAGATTATTTATGCGATTAGATAATGTCCTTTTCCGGCTGCGGGATACCCGTGTGTTCGTCGATTTTGACACTGGTGAAGTGGTGCGGGAGTATCTTGCGAAGGAGTGCGAGTACGATAAAGTCCGGGAGGTAAGTTATATCCACTGCCCACCGAAAGAAAAGAAAATTGCATACTGAACGAGGTTGTAGGTGATCGGTGGCTCTCGCAAAGACGTCCCAGCTATGATGCGGGATCCGAACCACCTTGCGCAGCTATTACCCATCGTGGAGAGCAGTTTAGAACGAGTGGTACTTCCTCCGCCATCGACTTAGACGTAGGTAGCAGTTGTATTTAACCACGACATTGCCATTCCTTGGACCCCTAGAGGGCTCTAAACTACTTAATATTCCCATCGTAAAGTATTTCGAGCATGTTGAGCCTCTTTTTCTTTTTCATGGTAAAAATGGCCGGAAGCTTATCTTTACACTCCTGCCGACGCTAGGCCGTTTCTGGGCCAAACAAAACAAGCGGCGCGTCACTTTGACATTTATGAAATCATCGCGTCACAAAGCTGACAACACTCAAGATAGGCTGCTGATCTGGATACGCAGCTGATATCTATACCACGGAAGCCGACAGCTATAATATTTTCAGCCAGATAGGCCATCGTCGTCAACAAGATGCCTCGACCAGCTGCGAAGCGAGCTCGGGTCACTCGCAACGATAACCCTCCTCCTCCCGCACCGCCCGCCAAATCGAGTGCTACGCGCGGTAGGAAAGGAAGAAAGGTCTCTGGGAGGCAGTCTAAGGGTTCCGCGACGAAGTCCAATACCACACCGAGATCCAGATTTGATATAAGCGGCGGAGCTGAGCTTTCCGAGGCCGAGGGACAAAGCGATGAACTGCAAGGCCAGAGTCCAGGGATGATACGGAGAGATCGCGAAAGAGGAATGGCAAGCAGCCAAACTCCTGTTAGGGACCGACATCAGCAGATAAATGCGCCTCCATCAGGAGGCGTTGGGATGGGTGCCTCGCTGCGGTTACAGGCATTCCCGGGCAGCGCGAGACGGGGGGACATGAATAACAGAGGACATACACCTGCCTTTGAGAGCTCGATATTAAGTGCATTTCGCCCGCGCCCAAGGCAGCCGAGTATTTTACAGCTTGTGGGGGACGATTCTTTGGACCTAGGGTCGTCCGAGTTGGGCTCTGATGATTTACTCGGTAACTTTGATCCGGAGGATATATCTACACCACTGCCAGCAACGAGGAGGAAGACTTTGAACGAAGCCGATGTCACTCCTACAACGAAGAAGAAGACACCAAAATTCCCCCGTGTCACTGTTGAGATTCCCGTATGGCGCGGGGATATTCCTGATGATACGATACCGGATGAGCCATCCATCGCCGTTGACAAGACCCCAGATGAGCCTTCTATTGTAGTTGATGAGGATCCGGATGAGCCATCTATTGCGGTTGACGAGAATTCAGAAGAGCCTTCTATTGCAGTTGATGGGGATCTAGATGAACCACCTACTGCCGTCGATCAAACTCCAGACGAAGCACCTGTTGTCGACGACGAAATTCCAGATGAACCGCCGGTCGTTGTCGAAACCCCAAATAAACAGCCTATTACCGCCGCCGATGAAGTCGAGGATGATGATGACGACTGTTCCTCTCTTACATCCATCGATTCTCTTCCAGCAATGAATTTCACTAGCTCGCAAGGGCAGGAATCCAGACGACAGACAATGACGATGGCACCCCCAGCAAGCAGCCTCGGGACTGTCACGCCTCCAGCTTCAACTCCCCAAAGCTCTGCAAACCAGCAATCACATCTCGCAGGCACTGGCACACAATCCTCAAAATACCCTCACCTATCTACCACGTTACTACAAGACACCCTACTCCCCCAACGACGTAGCCGCCGTAAAGGCCTGGCCAAACAGAGAAGTAAACGCTCTCGTGCTGGAGCTAAGGATTACGTTCTCTCTGCTCCAGGATCAGAAGATGAACTCAACTTCTCTGGAGAGCAGCGCGTCTTGGAAGACACAACGAACCAACGAAAGAACAAGAAACGTCCGCATAACCAAACCGGGTCTAAGATACTAGAAACAACGAAGAATCCAATACGGCCCAAGAGAGGACGCCCCAAGGCTGATATTACAGCATCACATCCAACCAAGGGTCTAGCAGCAAAGAAGACGTATTCACGACTCAGCAACGCAGACGGAGATGCGGACTGGGATAAGGAGAACTTCCCTGAGGAGCCAGAGGTCCTGACCGGGAGAGATATAGCAGTTTCCATCATAAGTGACGAGCTGCTGCGACAGAAGAAGAAGTTTGCCGAGATCGATGAGTGGTCAATTGACTTTGAAGAGGTCCCCGACGACGGGTTATATTAGTCCATACTATTGCTTCTTATCTATGTTAGCCATGGCGTCTGCTCTTCATCTGCACATCTTCATCTTCACATCTTCGTCTTCAATCCTCATAACAGCTTTCCTCTTCTCCTTTCTCGATATAACATCCGCTGTTATGTAATCCGACCCGGTGTTAGCCATCTTTAGCCCCGCGTTTTCCACGGCTTCAAGAATGCCGAAAAGGGCGCGAGATAGATAGAATAACGACGACAACATCCAAAACTTCATCTTCATCCTCGTCTGCTTCTTGTCTTAATATAACCCACAGTGCAGTGATCTATAGCCATGGATATCAACGTCGACAAATATCCCGCCAAGAGCCACGCCAAACGCGTTGCGGAGAAGCTCAGTGCCGCGGGGCATGGCTCGTCCGGCATCATCTTCGTCGAGGGCCAGAAGGAGCATATCATAGACGACAGCGATGAGCCGTTCCACTTCCGGTATGATATAGACTTGGCCTATAAAACTGAAGGATACCAGCTAACGGTGAGATAGTCAACGACGGAACTTCCTCTACCTCTCCGGCTGCCTCGAGGCCGACTGTTCCGTGGCATATAACATCGAGAAGGATGAACTCACCCTGTTCATTCCCCCAATCGACCCGGCATCGGTCATGTGGTCAGGTCTCCCCCTTGAACCTGCCGAAGCCATGAAGCAGTTCGATGTGGATGTCGTGCTTCCAACCACAGAGATAAACAACTACCTCGCAAAATGCGGTGTTGAGAAGGTCTTCACAATTGCAGACCGAGTCTGCTCGGAAGTTTCTCTTTCCTCGTTCAAGCAAAACGAGTCATCGGCCTTGAAGACTGCCATTGAAAGCTGTCGTGTCGTCAAGGACGAGTACGAGATTGGCCTTCTTCGACGTGCGAACGAGGTCTCGAGCAAGGCCCATGTCGAAGTGATGAAGTCTGCAACCAAGGCGACAAACGAACGGGAGTTCTATGCTAAGCTGAACTACGTATGCATGGCAAATGGCTGCTCAGACCAGTCTTATCACCCCATTCTTGCCTGTGGTCCCAATGCTGCTACTCTTCATTACGTGAAGAACAATGCCGACCTGACCAACCCAGCTACCGGTGTTAAGGACCAGCTGCTCCTCATCGATGCTGGATGCCAGTACAAAGCTTACTGCGCTGATATCACCCGTGCGTTCCCTCTTTCAGGGAAGTTCTCTCCAGAGGCTCGCCAGATCTACGACATCGCCCTGGAGATGCAGAAGGTCACATTGGGCATGATTAAGCCTGATGTTCTGTTCGATGACCTCCACGCCATGGCCCACCGAGTTGCCATCAAGGGACTGGTGAAGATCGGCATTCTCACTGGCTCTGAGGATGAGATCTTTGACAAGGGAATTAGCGCTGCATTCTTCCCCCACGGCCTCGGCCACCATCTCGGAATGGATACTCATGATGTTGGAGGCAACCCTAACCCGGCTGACCCCAACCGCATGTTCAAATACTTGCGTCTCCGTGGTACTATCCCAGAGAGGTCTGTTGTGACTATTGAGCCTGGTGTAAGTGACTCCAACCCCGTTATACAATCGCTAGCTAACATATTCTTCAGGTCTACTTCTGCCGCTACATCATCGAGCCTTTCCTCACCAACCCAGAAACGAGCAAATACATCAATACTGATGTGCTAGACAAATACTGGACCGTCGGAGGTGTACGTATCGAAGACAACGTCGTTGTCCGCGCCAATGGCTTCGAGAACCTGACCACGGTACCGAAGGAGCCGGAGGAGGTGGAGCGCATCGTCCAAGAAGGCGCTAACTAATTGCCTTTGTAAATAAAAGGTAGAGCAGCATAAGTGAGAAGAAGAATGTACATACGATCCACCCAGTTGATTGCAAATAAAAACAAATTTGGCATCAAGCTTTAAGCGTAGCCAAGCAAACCGCAGCTGTATTGGTATTACATAGAGAAAGGATCCTAGGTTCCAGGTGTGTTTTTTTCCTGTGGAAAACAGTAATGATAACAGCATGTAATGAAGTGAAGAAAGGAACGGTAGAGGTATAGCCATCTAGAAGATCCGGGATCTCTTTCTAGCAGATCCTTTAGGAACAGGGCTGCTGGTAGCCTCGCGCTCCCTACTATGCTTTTCCTTCATGTTAAGAACGGTGTTAAGTATATCGAAACCAAACTGCGGGAAGTCAAGACACAAAGCGCGGAACTCATCCTCAGCCTCATGACGCATGACACTCCTCGTGCACCAGAATTTAGCAATGGGTTTCCGGATCGTCTCGTCGCTTGGCGAGGTATTGCTGTACACGTATCTAGCATAGACAATCTCGGCAGAAGCCGTGCTTGTGGTTCTGCATATCTTATCGAATGCGAGTGCTTGTAGTTTAGGTATTCCGAGCTTTTCAGCTAGGGTGTATACTCGTCCGTGTTTGAGGAGCTCGTTGCCCACCTCGTCCGTCGAGGGGATGGCGGGGTCTTGCTCAAGATCTTTATTGTTGTTAGGTATGCATCGTGGGAAGTATTCTCCAGTGTATTGGAATTGAAGGAAGCAGGCGACCGCATCTGGGTTTTCATCCTCAAGGCTTATGCGGCGCTGTAGCGTAGACAATGGTGTTAGCACTACTATCGTATAGATACTGGTAATAGTGGAAATGAGTCCGTACTTCGCCTCCGCTTTCAAATTGCGATAATTTCTCTGCAAAGAATGGACTGGATTCAAGGACCGCTTGATGCGCAGTGAGTATAGTTTCCTCCTCGCCCTTCCCTAGGACCAGCTGTATGATGGGCGATTTAAGGACACTAGTCAAGAAGAACAAACACGGTCAGCCACTGGCCATATATAATACTATCTTCCTCAATCTGGAAGAGTACTGTAGACTCCGAGGGGTAAACGAGCAGCAATGGCGGGTACATACTTAAGGAACAGGTCTTTCTGTGTAGCGACTACCGGCGCAGCTGGTTCTTGTGTTTCTTCTTCTGCTTCTTCCGTCTCCTTCGAGGCATCATTAGACGGGCCTGAAGCTTCTTCTTCGGCTTCTTGGGCTGTAGATTCCGCCATATCCACGTCTACAGCTGGGAGTTCAATTTGCACCTGTGGCATTGGGTCCGCCATGTTCAATTCACCGATGACTTTTCTGAAGCGACCGAAGAAATATATATATATATATATATATGCGGTATGTATATATAGTAGCCCAGCCCACGAGTTCCTGCTCAATCGATGGGGGAAGTGTCAAGCTGGTGTCCTCGATGTTTGTTGTCGGCGCATCTTCTCGTTGGTCGGGCGATGCAAGCTGTTCCTGGCTAAAAGCTGAGCTAAGCCGACAGCAGTTATTTACACTCTCACGTCAGTATAGATATATCAGGTCAATACTCCGTATAGGTTAATAGGTTAATAGATCAATATCAGGTCATCATGGGTGAATGCTATGGTACATAATATACAGTAGATTTAGGAATCCAACGCTCAAGTCGAGCGCTCCCCGCTTACTGTGGCTTCCCTAACGGCTTTGGATCAAGCTTGAACGACTCCTTCGCGCCTCTACTCGCCAGCTGGACCAACTGCCCGTCATTCTCAGCTGTGACAAAATACTTGCTAGCCCCCAATCCCTGTGCAAACTCGGTCAGAAGTGTCACCTCGTCCACGGGCGCCATCTTGTCCAAAGTTCGTCGCATGTACACGACCACCTTCGCGATCTTAGCCCAGTCGAGCTCGTTTCCCTTATGATCCGTTGGAAGGCCTTTGAATAGATTCCGCCAAACGGCTGCCGCAAGCTGGGCGTCTCCCTTGACGAGTCCCTCGTCGTAAGCAGCCAGGACGCCTCGCCATTGTATGAATAGATCCTTGAGATATGTCACGCGGATACCCCTTGCTGTTATGCCGTGAACTTCATCCATGCGCCGTTCCGCCTCGTGGGAGAAGTGATCGAGTAGATATCTGTTGTAGGTCTGGACGCTTTCGGGAGAGGACAGTCCGCGTAGTCGGACGGTCATAAGGTACATGTGCAGGAAGGTAACTTGAGACCACGACGAGAATGTAGGGAGAAGTCCCAGTTCTATCAATGCCTGTTAGTGGCTGTGAAAAGCACTCTGTATCAGACGAATTGGGTGCTCACCTTCGTACCACCATCCACTGCCCTCTCCGATATCCTCACCCGCCGCTGTCTTGGGTATCTGCTCTGCCTTCCTGAGTGCCTCCGAGATGGTATACTCTGCCTGCCCCGCACACGCGCTGAACAGCTTCTTTGTTGCACCGTATGCGACGTATGACTCTTTGTAACCCGATATGGCACGCTTGGTGACGTGTGAAGTCAACAGCCTGTCAGTTGCTGCTGTGAATGCGGCTCCATGTCTACTCCGCTCACGGCCAATTGACACGTTCTCGGGGGTCCTCGGTGATGGCGAACTGCTGGAGAGAGCTCGGTATGGCACGCTCAGGAAGCTCTTCTGCTCATGAGCGAGTTGCTGGTTTGCGGCCTGTAGAATGGTCAGTAACATTGATAGAACAGAGTAAAAGGTGTGCAGAGTCTCACCCGAACTACCCGTGATAGGCATCGAGGCCTCGATATATGTGTTAACGGCTTCATGGCTCGCTGTCTTCCCGTCTATCTCTATGCTCGTCTTCTTCGTCTTCTTCATCAACTTCTCCGACCTCTAAAATATCACCATCACGTGACTCAAAATAGAAACACCTATATCGAGCCTGATATTACGTCCAGGCAGCGAATATATGCATGGAACCGATCATAAGACCAGGGATAGTAGTAGAGACAAAAGCGATATAGACAGGCTTGCGGCGAGGATGTCGCCTGTTCGAAATGAGGTGTAATTGCAAAATCGACCGTTAACGTCCTCCGCCCACTGCTCGATTGGCAGCTCTTTTATTCATAGATCTATTTTCTCTCCCAGCGTGTGGCCGATGCAGGTCGTGTGCGATGTGACGGATTATATATATTAATTAACTATGCTGCTGGCCGTCGTCGACGTCGACGTACCGCGGGCTCGTCTCAAACAGGAACTTCTCACGACGAACTTCAACTTCAACCTCCCACAACGTCAACGTCAACTTCCCCTGTATAGAGCCTCACCGCGAACACCGACACAACAGCGGCGAAACCTCAGAAAAGAGGCAAAGAAGCCGTCGAGGCTCGCTCGGAGACTCCACGCCTGCAAGCGCAAGCCCCTGGCGCCCCTTAGCCCCCTTGCATCCCTCACTTTATCGACCACCACCAACATCTCCCGCCAAGCAAGAGAACTCACCCCAGCATCAATCCAGCCTACTGTCGGTGAACCAGCTTCTGCTCCCATTCGCAGTGCAGTTCGGCGGACCATGTCCATAGTGTTCGCTCTAGACTCTCGATGAATGGCTTGCTGGTCAGCGACGTTGCAAAAGCCCTGAGGATCGATGGATGGGACTCGAGAACCACCACCACCACCCGCCGCCCGCGAAGGTAGGGGGTCCACGCAGAAGACAATGTTGTCCAGAGCACTGCAGAAGGCGAATACTGCGGTCCTGCTGGACAATGCCACCAACTACGAGGGCGCCATTGACGCATACACCGACGCTTGCGGCCTTCTCGCGCAGGTCATGCAGCGTGCGGGTGCAGACGAGGAGAGGCACAAGCTAGATGATATCGTGAGTGAAACAAAATAGCTACTACCCCCTTATCTCCGGTGGACTCGGAGAGGAGTAAGACCTGGTCTGATAACTGCTGTCTGTAGAGGAATACATATACTACGCGAATCAACGAACTCCGACGCCTAGGCCTTGCGCTGCAGGCAGGCGGAAAGGCCCTGCCGGAGAGACCGCCGAGCGGTGAATCGCTATCCCAGAGCCTCCTCTCAACCCATATAACAGACGGTAATGCAGACGATCAGGATATCTACGTCATTGGCACCGCTGCTGCAAGTCGAATGCTCGCTAAAAATGCCGCCACGGAGTCGACCGACGAACGTTTCATCCCGCCGCGACAGCAGTCCCTACATCCATCCAATGAAGACAACAGGCTTCATGCATCGGGCAGCTTCGATAGAAACGATAGTCCGCCATCAAACCTTGCAAATGGCGATCTGCAAACCCTCCAGGAGAAGGGGACAGAGTCCACCTCATGGTTAGACACCATCGACGAATCTGGTGCTTCGTCAAACTCCTCCGTACGCTCAACAACGTCCTCCCTCTACCTACGCCAGAAACGAGATCCCCATTACAGCAGGGGCACTGAGGCCGAATTCGACGCTGCTCTGGATGAAGCCGTCGAGGCTGCCTATGATGACGGACTGGAAATTGTTCATCAGGATGAACCAGAAGACGATATAATGTCTCACGTACGCAGGAATATCGAAATAGCAAAACAAAAGGTGCGAGAGGCCGAGCTCGAAGCAGAGGCTGCATCGGCCAGAGAAAGAGAGAGAAGGAGACCGGACGGCCTCCGTGAGGATGACCTTGGCGCGCTGGATCAGGACGAGTACGAAGACCATGAAGCCGAAGAGGAAGAGCGCATTCTGGAAGAGATGATGGATGATTTCGAGTTCGATCTACAGTCGAAATCTGCCCTCCCACGCCAGTCGGGCTCCAGTGGCTACTCCAGTAGAACCTGGGGTAGCTCGGTGGCATCGAGTCGAACAAATACAGGGACTCTACTTTCTACCCTCACCGAAGAAGACGACTTTACAATCCCACCTGGAGGTTCATCCATCAACTCTCACCCATATTCTCACTCTTTTCAAAAGTTTCCTCCACCCATGAGTGCACCTCCACCTCCTCCACCACCTCCTCCTCCGCCGCCGCCGCCACCACCGCAACAACAGTTACCGTCAGCGCCGACACAAGTGCCATCGCAGGTACCATCGCAGGTTCCATCGCAAGCGCCATCACCACCACCACAGCTACCCGCGAATCCTCCAGATGCCGAGGACAACGCTGTATCGGCAGCAACAGTTCGGTCACGACGACTGTCTGGACATCCAAAGGAGCTTGTAATAGAGACTGGAGCCTCCCAAGCATCCTCTGGAGCGGATGGATCTCGTCATGTACCACCGTCAATGCTTCTAGCCCACCCCATAACCCCCTTGCCGTCGAAAACAAGCCATGCCAAAACATCGAGCGATTTCAATCTCGAGACGCTACAGCCGCGTCCCCATACCGCAATTGGCTCGCCAGAATCACCCACTCTCGACTCTCCTGCAATTTCGGCGTTTCCCACCCTCCAATCTCACGAATCTGTTGACTTTGACACATTTTTGACATCTCCTCCCCCCGTTTTGAGCAGACTACATTCCGCACCCAGTATCTCCCAGCGAGAACACTCGGCACCAGCCCTTGGGAAGCCCTCCTTAGGACCCAGCAGTCCATACGCCACTGCGTTCATCCCTGATATTGGGAAAACCTATTCTCTACCCGCCGTACCTACGCTCGGTGTGTCCGGGCCTTCTAAACATTTATTCGATAACAATATACATTCCCCCCTCACCCCAGGGTCACCTAATCCAAACGCTCCCGACGCCCCCATTCCTCTAGAACCTTGTCCACAATCATTCCTCCTTCGTCCATTCTGGTTAATGAGGTGTCTCTATGAAACAATCGCCCACCCGCGCGGTGGATATCTAACCACAAAATTATTTATACCCAGAGATATATGGAAAGTGAAAAATGTCCGAATCAAGGCCCTGGAGGAGAAGATCTCAAACTGCGATCTACTCACGGCAGCATTGCTGAAACTTGCCACAGTCGACACCAACGACGCTGATGCTGTACTGGAAGAAATGCAAACCTTTGAAAATATCCTGGATCAGGTACAAGCCGTATGGTCTAGGAAACTAGGTAGTGAAGTTGGTGTGCAAGGCGGCATGGCACTGTTCAAGCTATCGGCAGACGAGACCTCTCCAGCAGTCGATTCATCTTCCAAACTTTCCAGCAGCGGAAGTAAATCTTACCTTTCCTCATGGCGAAAGCTTCGGTCGAAGAGTTCTGGTGTCACCAGTACAAGTTCAAGTAGCTTGTCAAGAGATAACAGCAAGGACAACCCGACCATATGCACATTGCCTATGACTGATCTGGCAAGTTCCGCGGCTCCAAGACGGGATGTCGTTGAAATCAATTGCAATGGGCCAAACGCAAACTACATGAGCGCCTTAGCCAGGCTGTTCGATGCTGCACAAGTTATAGGTATGTATATTCAACATTACCCTTCCAGCTTCAAGAATATCCAACTAACCTGCTCTTCCACAGACCAAATTGCCCGCCAAGTTGAGGACCCAGGCCTAAGGCATACATCCCAGACTCTCGTTGGCCTCGAACTCAGCACTCGTCATGCCTCTGAATTCTTCGGATTCTATGCTTGCCGGTTCGCGCTGAACGACATCGGCCTGATGCTTGACAAATTCATTAAACGAGGTAGTGAATACGTTCTAGTTTGATAAAGACTAATTGTGCCCCCATTTTTGTGCTTCTTTTGTTTATGGCTTGATGAAATATGGGCTCCTGGTTAGATTATGTAAGTCGCATTTTATCGCGGTGTTCATGGCTTGGCAATGTTTACATAATCTCTTTCTTTGACGTCTTTCTTTTTTGATGTATATACATATCACCAGGAGCGCCGCAAGCTGCTCCCGTCAATTTTGGGATCTTGACACATTTCGTTTGATAGAAGGCGCTGGAATTGATAACGTCGCGTTCTCCTCCTAAATATAATATCTTAAACGCGCTTTTCCAATGGGCCTCAAGCGTGGGAAGCGGCCCTCATCGCCTGGTGACGACATCGAGCCTACGCTCTCTGAAGACCGTTCCAGAGATATCAAAAGAGCCAGAACTGCCAAACCCTCTGCTGACGCGGGGAAATCAGACTCAAGCGCCCAGGTATCCTCGGCTTTAGACAGAACACCCAAAACCGATTCCAATGGAGATCCATACTGGGAAATCTCGCGTCAACGACGTGTCACTATCTCAACATTTAGAGGACGCGTGCTAGTAAATGTGCGGGAGTATTATGAGAAAGATGGGCAAGACCTACCGGGAAAGAAGGTAAGAGCCCAAATACGCATAATATATGAGAGGCATAAGCTAACACCCACGTTTTCTCGCTATATAGGGCATCTCTATGACATTAGAGCAATTCAACAGCCTCGTCACATTGCTACCTGAAATAACGACAGTCGTCGAACAAAAGGGCGGCACGGTTATTCGACCAGACTTCTCAGGCATTGCCGCTCCCGCTCCCGCTGAGGACGAGGATATGTCTGATGTGGAGCCAACCGTTCCTGAAAAATCCAGATCAAGCTCCAAATCCAAGAAGGAATCTCCTATCAAGAACTTCGAGGCTACAAGCGACGAGGAAGAAGACGAATAAATATGTTGTGCCTTGAATGGTTTCCTTAGCTGGGCTGGGACTGGTAGGGCTTTACACAGCTTGCCTGGGCCGGGATGTATATGATTCGGTGATTTACAACTTGGTTGGCGTTCTACGTTGGGAGGTTTATGGAGGTATCTAATTTGGAACGGTGTTCTATTGCGCACTTTTAGGCATTAGTTTCCAACTAAGTCTATGGTCTAATGTGGATTAATCTGATATCGACACAATCAAGAATATGTGGCTCGATTGGCCACTTAGCCGCTTAACATGGCTATATATCTCCAGTTCACATACTGGTTTCTTGAGTGCCAACTCGTGAAGCTAAAGAGCCTCCTTTCCAAGCAAGCTGCGGGTCAGTTTCCTTTCGAACTACGCTTTCGTTTCCGGGCTTTCCATAACCACCACCTCCTGGAGTCTTGATGATAATGCAGTCACCTGGCTCCATCTTTGCGGTGTTTTTACCTCCTAGATTCACCTGTTTAACAACACGTTCTTCCTTGGATCCTTCAGGCTGGGGCATATTTCGGACCCAGAGGTTCTGTCCACACGCGGCGTCCTCTCCTCCGCCCATACCATAAGGATGGTAGACTCTGCGCTCGGAAAGAATTGACACCTGGACAGGAATTCGGAACTCAATATCCCTAATCACACCGTCACCTCCGCGGTTCTGACCGGCACCTCCAGATCCAGCGCGCAGGCTGAATTCTCGAAGTAGAACTGGGTATCTTCTCTCGAACACTTCAGCATCCGTAATACGTGTGTTCGTCATGTGTGTATGAACTCCGGAAGTTCCCTCCCAGTCAGGACCTGCTCCGCTACCACCAGCGATGGTCTCGTAGTATCCGAAACCCTTCGTTTCCTCTTCTCCAGACAAATTACCACCGAATCCGAAGGTCAGGTTATTAGTATCACCTTGAGAGGCAGCACATGCCTGGAAGCACTTTAGGATGACATCCGTAACACGTTGACTCGTCATGACATTTCCACCCACCACCGCCGCTTTGTTCGAAGGTGAGAGGAATGAGCCCTTGGGAATTCGCACATCGATGGGCTTCAGACAGCCCTGGTTGAGTGGGATATCTTCAGAGATGAGACATCGCAGGCAGTAAATAATTGCTGAATATGTGACAGCTTCAGGAGCATTGGTGTTGGCATAGACTTCAGGACCAGTGCCTTCGAAATCAAAGATTGCCTCTCCTTTTTCGGCGTCAATGGATATTTTCAATTGAATAGGGCTGCCGTCATCCATGTGTTCAATAGCAGTCAAATCCGCTCCCTTGAATCTCTCACTCACTTGCTTTAATAAATTGCGCACGCTAAGCTCTGCGTTCTTCTGGATACTCCTCATATACAGCTGGACAGTGTCGCCACCATATTCCTCTATGAGGGTAGAGATGAGGCTGATACCCTTTTGATTTGCAGCAATCTGTGCTTTCAGGTCGTTCAGGTTGTCTGCAAGGCATCTTGTTCCACTACAGCCAGGATATTTAGCTGGCTCAACATAGAGCAACTCAACAAGACGCTCCTCGTTGAACTTCCCTTCAGACACTAGTTTCTCCGATTTGATCGCAGCTCCCTCCTGGTAGAGTTCTTTAGAGTGTGGAGGCATGGATCCGGGCAAGATTCCTCCAATATCCGCTACATACTAGTTAGTGTCTATCCAGGAATAATTTACGGGTAGAGACTTATACGTACCATGATGAGCTCTTGACGCAACATAAAAAACGATCTCGTCACCGCTGAATGCAGGAGTAATAACGGTGATATCAGGCAAATGGGTGCCTCCAAACTCGGGGTGATTGGTTACGATGACATCGCCTGGTTTCAGTTTTCCCTTCCAGATGCCGGCTTGAGTGCGAACACAGGTGGACATACTACCCAGATGGACGGGTAAATGGGGAGCATTCGCTACAAGACCACCATCGCTATCGAATAGGGCACAGGAGTAATCCAATCTCTCCTTGACGTTGGTGCTAACGCTGGTTTTCTGGAGGGCTCGTCCCATCTGTTCAGCAATTGCCATGAACCGATGGCCAAAGATACTCAACAGGATTGGATCAACTTCAGAAGCCGACTGCTTCGAGCTTTCTTTCTTATGAACATCAACATCGATAACCACATGGGTATCGATAATCAGAGCAGAAGAAGTCGGGGTGACCAGAATAGTCTGTGTCCCATCTCCAAGAATTGCCGGACCATCGATGCGATCGTTAGGCTCCAAGGATCCAATTTTGTAGATGGGAGTTTCAACGCGGCCACCTTCAAAGTACACCAGCTGTGTCGCATGTGCCTTGCTTTTAGACACAGGTGTTGGCTTTGCGTCGCGGAGTTGCTCATCAACGGTCTTGGGGAAGTTGTCGAAGCTCTTCCCAATAGCTCTCAAGCGAATGTCATCAATGATGATGTCACGGTCAGGGAGGGTAAAACCGAACTCTTTCTCGTGCTGTTGGACAAAGGAGTTTCCATACGCCGAATCGCCTTGTGGTTTGATGATCATGAGAGCAGACTCAGTTCCGCGGTATCTCATGTTCAGGTATTCTTCGAATACGACTGAATCCTCCTTGAAGCCTTGATCTTGAAGTCTCGCAACAGCGCCCTTTCTCAGCTCTTGCATCCTCTTCTCGATGCTAGCTTTCACCTCTGAGCTCTCGGACCAGGCCATAGACTCTGGGACCTGGCTCTCATCGACAACATCGGCGAGGGCCATTCCGTATGCCGACAAAACTGAGGAGTAGCGGTGGACTAGGATCTGTTTGATTCCGAGATTCTCTGCGATTGCAATGGCGTGCTGTCCACCAGCACCACCAAAGGTAGCCAGACGATGTTTTGAGGTATCGTGGCCCTTGGCTTCAGTCAGAGAGCGAATAGGTCGGGTCATGGCCTCGTTAGCCACTTTGATGAATCCATATGCGACTTCGTCTGCAGTCATCTTTCCTTGCTTGCCACTCTCTGCCATTTCTGCGTTTACCTTTGCTGCCAACTCTTCAAAGAGAGCAGCGCTGGCCTTCTCGTCAAGTCCCTCATCCTCATTCTTTCCGAAGATCTTAGGGAAGAATTCTGGCAACAGCCTGCCGAGGAAGAGATTGGCATCGGTAACAGTTAGGGGTCCACCCTTTCTGTAACAAGCAGGTCCTGGATGGGCACCAGCTGATTCTGGTCCGACGACGAAGAGACCGTTGCGGTAGAACAGACGAGAACCACCTCCAGCGGCGACGGTGTTGATATCAAGCTGTGGCGACTGGATGGTAACGCCGGCTGTTGTGGTCTCGAACACATGCTCATATCGGCCATCGTACCGACTCACGTCCGTACTTGTTCCACCCATATCGAAGCCGATAACAGGTATTTTGGTCTTTGGGTCGTAGCTGGTCAACGCATATCCTACAACACCACCAGCCGGGCCCGATAGGATAGCTCGAAGGCCAGTGAAGCCATTGACGTCAACTAGACCGCCGTCAGACTGCATAAATTCGCACCGAGCACTTTTTGGCTGCGACGGGTCCTTGACGCCCTCTGCACCAAGGACACCCTTGAACCCAGACTGGAAACCGGTAAGGTACCGTTTGATGGTGGGTGTGAGGTAGGCATCAGCACATGCTGAAGTGGCCCTGGGAACAAGTTTGATCATGGGCATAAGCTGGTGACTTAAGCTGACGTGGGTGAACCCGATATCATTGGCGATTTTCCCAACCAGCGCTTCATGGTCTGGGAATGTATATCCGTGCATCAAGCAGACGGCAATGCTCCTAAACCCATCATCATACAACGCCTGCAATTGTTGCTTGATCTTCTCTTCGGATGGCCGCTGGAGGATTCGCACTGCCTCAGAAGACAGGCCGCGAACTATCTCCGAGTCCTTTGCCTCTTCGCTGCGGGCTACCGTTGAGGTCGCGTGCCTCGTTGGGTCCTCGGCGTAGTCTTCAAGGGTAACTCTCTCGTCGATTTCGACAACTTGTTCGAACAGATCGTCCGGTCGACGGATGGCAAGATCAAAGATCTTAGGACGTGACTGGTTGCCGATTCGAAGACAATCCCGGAATCCCCGGGTGACTACGAGGGCCATGCGTTCACCTTTTCGCTCCAGGAGGGCATTGGTAGCAACCGTTGTACCCATCCGTATACTTTCGATCTCTGATGTGTCCAGCGGTACGCCTCGAGGGATCTCCTTGCCCTGGAACTTCGACAGCAGCCTCCGGATACCTTCGAGGGGTGCATCCTTGTAGTTTGATGGATCTTCGGATAGTAGCTTGATCACCACGTCGTCTTCCATCTTGCCCGTCCCTGGATTGCCCACGCAGTCCGTGAACGTGCCGCCGCGCTATACAGCTGTATTAGCATGCTTGTAGCAAGAGTCAGACAGGAAGTGCTAATACATACGTCAATGGCGATGCGGATTCCATTTCCTTGGACTTGAGACATAGCTGCAGCTCCAGCACCAGTGAAAGATACAAACGGTTCGGTGAGCAGTCCGTACAGAGCTTCAGCAGCCAGTATCGACGATCGGGGTCAGGGATAGACAGCTTCAAGAGCTCTGTCTGGGGTATATAAAAGACGAAGCAGTTGGTATATTCGCTGCGGGATGCCCGGCGAACATCGGTGAAACTCCGACTCGCACCCCACCAAAAGGCAACTTCGCCGGGCGTTAAAAAGCTTGAGATGTTCCCGAGTTCTCGTACCGGCGGCAAAGTCACTGGATAGCGGGTTTATACTCACGACGGGCCAACCAGGCAGTCAAGAGAGCTGGAGACAGGCTGGAGACAGCTGGAGAGTCCCGCGGAGTGGCCATTACGGAGTTCACTACCAGGAGGCGACGCAATTATTGAACGCAAGACTCCGACAGTCCCCGAGTTTACTATCACCCGTTGCGTGGAGGATGATGTTACAGGAGACAATTGGCTGAAAATAAAGATTTAATTCATGTAGTAGAGTAGTTGTTTTAAGCCTGATATGGCTGAGATCGTTGATCTCCACCTGGCCACGACTATAGTTTACATCATAGTTCTTCCTTACATCTTCTCGAAGGTTGCCATTAGCGATCCTAGAACATGGTTAGCCACGGGCGAACTGTTAATTGTATAAAGGGAAAAGGAAAAGACATACCGATGAATGTGGTGACCAGGCGGGAGCGGACTTGACAGATATCCTCCGGCACCAGCCATATGGTAGCACCCATCTTTCTGGCAATGCTGATGGCCAGTTTGGCGTTGGCATAGCACTCCTCCTCTGTCCTTCCGGCAGTCACCAGGTCGTAGTCGACGTAGCTGCTCTTCATGCCGTTCAGGATGTCAAGCAGGTAGATACCGGTGGCGATGGACTGGTCCTTGAAGCTGCGGATGGACGAGCTCTTCCCGCCCTTCTGGGACATGTCGTTGGCCCACCGAATCATCTCGGTATCGGTGATTTCACGTTTACCCATCCGCTGGGCGAGGGATGAAAGCGTGTTTGTAATGTCCTTTCTCATCAGCTGCCAGACTAGACCTAGAGTCAAGGTGCGTTGTCCGTCGGTGATGTCTGCCCCCTGGATACCTACGAGGGAGAAACGGTTCTGTTTCCCGAGCTCGATCACGTAGTTGGTGTTCTCCACAGCTTTAAACCTCATGAGTTCGCTGCCCGACGCCGGGGGTTTGTTGACATGTCGCCAGTTGACACTGTTCGGGATCACCTTGTCGTATGCTTGGAGAATGATGGTGCCGTCTCGTAGGTCGTTGAAGAGTGAGTGCACGGCTGGCTGGACGTCCAGGGAATTCAGCCAGAGAGTAAAGACTCGAGCTTCGCGCTCTCCCTCTGCGTCAAAGTCTTCCACCTCGAGCTTGTCTTCCTCCGTAATAGGGTCTAGACCAGGGTGAGTGTTGAATAGATTTGCAACAAAGGCAAGGTTGAGCTTGGGGTTTCCGGCAACAAGTGACGTCGGTGTCAAGAACTTGCGGCATTCTAGAAGATCGGCGTTATCCAAGACCTGCTCAGCACGCTGCAATAGATCGCGAGTCTCAAGCGGCCTTCGCGAGCAGATGTCCGGAGCCAATTGATTCAGCAGGACCGTATAGTTCTCTCCATCCTTTACATCCGTAGAGAAATTCGAGACTCTATCCATGTATTAGTTATTTCTCTTCTCAAATTAGATTGAGTATACTTACGTTCGGTGCCATTTGGCGTTCTTGAGATGGTAGTTGAACCACCGCAACAAGATCTGCTCTGGGGGCAGACGGAGGAACTGGTCTAGGGTTTCATCCTCGTCAAGCAGTCTGTATAGCTCAGGGTGGAGCTTTATATCGATCTTCCCCAGCAGACCACGACGAATAACTTGCCAGATAAGGCCCAGGATAAGATGTTCTCGGACCTCGATGATATCTCCACTTCCGATATTGACGACTGAACATCCAATGCCCTTTGCAGAGTTGATAACAATATTATTGTTCTCGGTCATGTGGAAGGCATTGAGCTGCTTTATCCTTGTGCCGGGCCTGTTCAACACACGCTCATCGATGGTGTCTGGAACGCTGTCGTTGATAAGTTTTGCCAGCACCAAACCGTCCTTGCATTTATCGAACATCTCAAAGGTGTCGGTTGGGAAAGGAAGCATGTTCCCGATATCCGGATCCCCGGCAAGGACAGCGTTGATGTGTCGTGTGAATTCGGTTCTTTCATCTTCGTTGATGGTATGGGTGACATTCGCAGAGGAGCCCTGGACGTGGATCTTCCCGCTGATGCTTCCCTTGGAGGCATGTCCATGGCTACTGGGAGCATGCGGGGAGGGCTTGACAGGCGGACCGGCGCTGGCGGAACGGTCACCACCACGGAGTTTGGCTATCAGCTGTATATGGTCAGCATATACATGAAGTAGACATCCCCAGCTAAGGACGGTAAACGAATGCAACAACGAATGCGGGACTGACATCAACATAATCCTCAAACTCCACGCGGCGAGAACTGTCGAGTTCCACCTCCTTCAATGTCTGTCGAACGACGTCGTATGGCTGTCTCTCGGAGGCCTGCGTCGCCTTGATAGTCTCAGCTTCGTCGAGATAGCCCTTGTCGTCTACATCCAGCCTCCGGAAGGCATCCTGGAGGGTGAATATCTCGTTCTGCTGGAACTGCGGGTATTTCCTATCGACCGTCAGTACCGAGTCGGTGATCCAGTGTATATCGAGCAGCTACTACCTTTGGAGCTTGATGACGTTCATCTCGCCGGCGGTGTTTGATATCTGCTGTTCCTGGTGGGCACAAGGAGAGCAGGAGGGGTAACAACTATGAGGAAGAGGCTGGCAGCGAGAAGAGCTGAGCCAGACAGATAGACGGCGGCCTTAAATACTTCTCTCAGCCACAAGTGATACGGGACTGCAGGCACCAGGATTTTTCTACCAGAGCGAGTGCGCGTTTACCTTCGTCCTCGTCTTTCATCTTCGTCCTTTTCATCATCGTCGGCGTCACTTTCGAAGCTCCGCCCCGCGGGTGATGACTAAGGATCCTTCTCCGTTATATAAAAATATATATATATCCGTGGAAGAGGCGGAGGAGGAGGAAGAAGAGGAAGAGGAAGAGAGAGAGGGAGAAGATAACGAAGTACGGAGTAAAATAAGAGAAGACGAAGAAGAAGCCTAATACCGACAAATCCCCCAGATCGCATCAGACAATAGTTAAAACAGTCCCTCGCAGTTCACGTTCAGTCAATATCACCCATGGACCGGATCTATTCCCCCTTGATCAGGTCCTGAACCAGGTTCAGCGTCTTCTCGGGGCCCCCCGGCGTGCGCAGAAGCACTTTTCCTTCCTTGTTGACGGCAAAGACGCCGCGGACGGTGCCCTTGGGCGTCTTCTTGAGTCCGAACGCGCCGATTAGCTTAAACGATGGATCGCACAGCAGGGGGTACGGGAGCTTCTGCTTGGTCTTGAAGGTCGTGTTGGCCTTGGGAGAGTCGCCAGACAGGCCGAAGATCGAGAATCCAGTCGAGGTCAGGTTGGTGTAGTCGTCGCGAAATGCGCATGCCTGTTTGGTGCCTGTGGTCTTGTTAGATATCAAGCAGCAGCCCATATTCTATACACGGGAATCGACTTACAGCCAGGCGTCGAAGCCTTGGGATAGGTAAACACGGCGACACCACCTTTGCTCTCCTCGAGCAGGGCCTTGAACGAGGTCTTGGTTCCATCCTCGCGCTCGATCTCGTCTTCGAACAGGCTGAGGTCGAGCACATCGCCCTTCTCGGGGACGCGACTGGCAGCTTTATCTTCAGCTTTGTCTTCAGTCTCAGCTTCAGCTTCAGGAGCAGCCTCTTCCTTCTCTTCCTTCTTCTCCTCCTTTTCTTCCTTTTCTTCCTTCTCCTCCTCCTCCTTTGGCGCCTTCACCTTCTTAGGCGCGGCCTTCTTGGGCTCCTTCTTAGGCTCTGCTTTACCAGCCTTTGCACCTCTCTTCGCCTTGGGCTCTGCCACGGCGGGCGGTGCTGGCGCCTTGCGTTTTCTCAATTCAGGAGCCATTGTTAGATTGGAGTGTCTTGCTGTTCGCGCTGGCTGTGGTGGTCTGGGGGCTGGGAAGACTGAAAAATGGGAAATGTGTAGCGAAGAGCGCAAAAGTCCTGCGCGCGCGACTAGAGAGGGAAAAGCAGGAGGATGGAACAGGACAAGGTCGCTAGCTCGTTTCTTTTACTACCGCGTCCAGGCGCGAGTCGAGCTCCATACAGGGTCGAGTATTTATATCTATGAAGCCAGGAACAGGCGCCTAGCCGACTATCGTTAACTGGCGCTTCTTCGCTTCGAGACCGCCGGCGTAGACTCGTAGAGACCGTAGAGGCCGTAGAGGCCGTAGCTTGTCCGTCGCTGGTTGGCGATTAACTGCTGACCGTCTCTCTCTGCTATTGACCTCCAGCTTCTCTTTCTCTGCTTCTCTTTCGGCCTCTTTTGCTGTGTTGTTGGTGGTGAGGCTTGGCGTCTCTTCATCTTTCGCTTCTTCGGCTTCACATCAACCACCACATCGCATCTTCTGCCCTCGTCTTTACCGTGAGTTCGATATACTGAGTACCTGTCGTTGCTGTATGTGTCTAATTGGTCTAATTGAGAACAGGAGATGAGAGCGTCCAAGATCCTGCAGACGGCTCCGGCCGCCTCTCACGTCGTCCCAGTCAGCCAGGTCGGTATATCACAATGGCACTGCACTTCTCGCTATACATGCTAACACCGCGGTCTCGATGCAGAAATACACCGTGCAGTCCTACGGCATATGGGAGAGAATCCGACGGGCCCTCGCCGTGGATCCCACTCGCTCCAATGGTGTTCCCTTGAACGCTCAGTTCCGCAACCCTACGCCCGGAGCCCTCGCTCCCCAAACATACGATGACCCCGTCACTCTCCCTGCTGCAGACATCGCCGACAACCCCTACTGGAAGCGAGATGTGAGAAGAGGCTACCCGCAGGCCAGCGTGGTGAAGCAGGCCGATGTTGTCGGGCTCTTGACCTACGGCAGCAAGGCAGAGCCCAAGGAGAGTCTCCTTGCCGGCGAGGCGGGCACGCAGCAGCTCGTGCAGACGAAGCAGACGGCCGAGGAGCGTGGACTGGCGGCGCATTTTGAGGAGAAGGCCAGCTCTGGAGTCGATGTCCTTGGTCCGGATGGCCTCCCACCTATGCCCGGCAACTTGAACGCAGGCACAGTATATATCATCCCGTCAGAGCAGGCTTATCCATCAAAGTAAGGATCCCCTTCAAGTTTATCTGCTTGTCAGTTGATACATGTCTGGCTAACCTCGTTCTAGATACCCGTGCCGCACATTTATCTAGGAGCTTGCAGCTAGGTCAATAGAACGGGCATTCCTTGTTTTTTTCCTTTTCTTGCTGTAGAGTACTCGTCTATGTTCTCAGTAACGTCCTTTCAGCTTTGATTGTCATGCATTGGCTTATCGGGAATTAACAGCTGTGACATACGGAGGCGTCTACAAACTCGGCTATTAACATGTATAGAAGTAGCCATGTATGAACATATCCCACTTCCAGACCTTTCACTCTCTATGCCGTAATATCTTTCGTAATTATGCTCTTCTAATCATCTTGTACTCTCAAAAAACACATCTATAAGCGCCCATGGTGGCATGGGATGGCCCATTTAAGTTTTCCCACTGCAAGGCGAATTTTTTCATATATAAAAAAAAGTAGCCATCAAAAAACTCGAAAGCAGTCTGCACCGCTACAATTACTGGACTAACCCCAATACTCAGACACTGAAGCAGCGATTCTAGCTACATGGGTGACTTTAGTGAACAGCAGCCTGACCAGCTTCTTATCAGCGACTCGCTCGTACCGCCCAGAGAGATTCAATGTCCAGGCACAAGTACCGTCTCACTTGACGGCATACTCAACCCGCCATTACAACTGAGAGAAGACCTGAAGGAAGGCTGCGGCGGCCAGATATGGCCTGCCGGAGTGGTTCTTTCAAAATACATGATTGAGAAGCATGCCTCAGACCTCCTGGGCAAGACAATGTACAAAATGCTACCTATGCGATTTTACCTCCTGCTTTGCTTTGCTGATTGCTTGCTTGACTTGACTTGTTTGAGCCTCGAGATGTTGATGTCTCCTCTAACTCCCACTAACTCATATACCCTGTTACTAGAATCGAATTAGGGAGTGGAAGTGGCCTCGTCGGGCTCGCCGTCGCAAGAGGATGTGTCACCGATTCACCAATTTATATCACCGATCAAATGGCGATGTTCGCGCTGATGCAACAGAATATTGAACTGAACGGCTTAACTGGCTCGGTACACGCAGCTTTGTTAGACTGGGGAGACGCAGAGGCTGTTCGTGCTCTCCCCAAGGCGAAAGTCATACTCGCTGCCGACTGCGTCTACTTCGAGCCCGCGTTCCCTCTGCTGATATCAACTCTCGAGACCCTGCTGGACAAAGATACAGTGTGTTATTTTTGTTATAAGAAACGTCGCAAGGCGGATATCAGGTTTCTCAAGCAGGCTAGGAAAAAGTTCGACTTTACGGAAGTGACTGACGGTATTGATCGTGAATATTGTAAACAAGAACGGATCTTCTTGTATATCATTAGACAACGAATGGAAAAGTCTTGAAAGATAAAACCAATAGTTGGACGGATATTTTTACGTAGTCTATTCTCTTCCAACGCCTGAAGAGATGCAAGTATTTATTCTAAATCACAGTTTTAGGTTCTCACGGCCTTTGGAGCCGGTCTCACGGACTTCGTTCCCTTGTACATCGGTCAAGTTACCGCCCTTCCCAATGACCTTGACTCCTCCCTTCTTCAAGCTGGACACAACCTGCTGCTTCTTAGCTGATGCAGTGTCAGGCTTGCTGGCCGCTGCCTGCGACTCCCTCTTCCTTTTCTTTTGCGCATCACGGCGTCTGCGGTGTCGGAGTTTAGCCTCCTTGCCTAGCTCGTCCTTGGCCAGCGATGCGCCGCTCTTCAGTTTGATCTCGCCCGGTGTCCTGGTTTCTCCAGGGTTGTATATCTCGTGAGGAGCCATGCCTCCAGATGCAGCGCCAGAGTCAGCGCGAGTAGTTGGTTGAGCGTCTTCCATGAATATCGTATCAACGTTGGACACCACATTGAGATCAATCTGGGCCTTCCTGGGCTTGAAGTGCCAGTTCGAAAGAGTGTCCAGCTGAGAACTGATTTGCTCCCATAACTGAATAACCTCGTTATGCTCTTTTCGTAGCTTCTCGGCGCCCTTATCAAGGAACGCAGGATCGGTCGAACGTAAATGGTCTGCTTCATACATTTCTGCTAGACTGTGCTGTGGTTTCGTCTCGTCTAGTTCAAACTTCCGCTTGGGGGCGTTGCCATGTTCGCCGATGGCGAGCGGTCGGCGGCGGATGATGTCGTCGAACTCCTTAGTGACGATTCTGCGTTTGATGAGCGATTCTATATCATTGCTGACCTCGGTTGTGATTATAGGCACTGGCTTCCCAACACGTTCAAACTCCAGATCTTCTTCGATCAACGAGTTAAACGGTCTTGCGTTGCTCTGGGCTTCTCCCATTAATGTCCAGTCTTTCTTTGCAACATTACCAGCTTCAAGGCGACGGATTTCATCCGCAATTTGTGCCCGTCGTTTTTCATGGGTAGACATGTTTTTCGAACTTTTACCGTCAGCGCCATCGTTTTCCTCGCTCATTTCATCGTCGTCAAACAAATCTCTTCGCACATTCGCCATGGCTCGATCAATGTCTGCATCCAGGTCTTGCTGGGTCTGGGCAGGTTTTGGTTTTGGTTTCTTTGCGTTTGTTGGAGGGTCGAAAAAGTCCTCATATCTAGCCTGGCGGCCGTCGTCACCGTCTAATTCCATATCATCGTCATCAGGATTGGAATCGCCGTCATCCATTCCCATATCAGGGTCTTCTTCGTCCCCACTCGCATCCTCGTTTTCTTCATCTTCGTCCTCATCTTCGTCCTCTCCGTCGGGCATATCTCCAAGGGCAAGGGGGTCTGCGTCCCAGTCGATGTCCTCTTCATCACTGGAAACTTCATTGGTGTGCGGGCGTCTAGCATCCTGATTCTCGAAGAAGGCTGATTGCTTATTGAATTCGTCTATCGAGAAGAAGCCATCGTTAAGCCCATGGGGGTCCGTTTTCGACTTTTTAGTGGGCCGCGAGGATACATCGCCCTCCATCATCTCGTCTTCGTCCTCCTCGGGTAGTATTTCACTACCACCTTCACCAACGTCAACTCCCTCGGCATCCTCATCTTCTGAAGCGTCGAGATCCAACATTTCCTCTTCGCCATCTTCATCGTCCTCGCCGATTTCCGCCTCAGCGTCATCACTCAAACTATCCGCACTTTCCGCAGAATCGTCTTCGGATGCTTTTCGTTTTGAAGGTCTGGAGGAAACGGTGCTTTGCGCATGGAATCGGTCAATATCACGCGAGGATATAGTCAATGCTGAATCCAGAATACGCTTTGCTTGTTCCCAAATCTGATTGTGACTGAAGCCGTTCACATGGAGTTGGTGGAGCTGTGGAGCGGGAGTTCGCTGTTTTCGTTTTTGTCCACGCTGTTGCTCTTGTCTCAGGTCTTGTGTGAGAGAATCAAGGTATCCCTTTGCCGCGGCCACTGAGTCTGAATATAGAAGAGAGGAAGGCTTTAGAAATGCTTCGGGTTGAGATATGGGAAGCGTCGAGTGAGAGGCAGCCATGGTGGTGCTTGGGGGATTTTCAACCGGCATCGCGACTGGCGTAAGATATAGACGCTGGATATGAACGAATCCAGGTATATAAATTGCTAATGCGAGGTCAATTGCGTGCTCCTTTAATCAATTTTTGGCGCATACATACTATCCCACGAGCTTCCTTAAAGACCGAGATATAGCTTTTCCGGCCTATAACATGAAAGAAAATAAAGAGCAGCCTCTACCTCGTACGTCTATCTCCAACAGCCAGTCGTCTCTCCGTCGAAGGTTGCGCTGTCTCGCGATGAAATTTCCTCTCGCAAAAATGTTCAAATCTTCAAAATGTTCAAAAGTTCAAAATGTTCGAACTCCACATCGAGTCTGGGCGAGCCGCTCACGTGCATGACCTCATGCGCGGTTGGAACAGCTGAGCCAAAAACGAGAACCGCGAACATCTCGACTTTCTGTATAGCTTCACGATGGCCATTCTGCAGCTTCAGATACACGCTGGAGTCGATCTCCTAGACACGACGGACATGCAGCTTCAGAGCTGGTGATGATATAGCTGCACCTTCTTGTCTCCTGTCTCCCTATCCGAACAGGTTGACCCCCTTGCATCCTACAGACATGTCGAGCTCTACTGCTCCCGTACGAGGCCAGCTCGAAGATGGCGACGGGAACGCTCCTCTCCTCCCACAAACCGATGGCCACCCGCAGGAAGACACCAGGCCTACTAGCAGAAAAGAGCTCGCTGGCTGGTATTGCTATGGCTGGGCTGCGGAGGTCTTTGTTGTGTGTGCTATGGGTTCGTTTTTGACACTGAGCTAGGTCATAGATGAGGGACCGGTTATCTAATTACGGATCGAACAGGCTCCTTTCTCCCTCTAGCCCTCGAACAGATGTCCCGAGATCAGGGAGTGTTGCTCTCTGATAAAAAAACGCCCTGCACCTCAACATGGCAGCACTCGAATGCCACAGCGGGCGCCAGGGCTGTCTCCCCGTTCAAGGCAGCACCCTCGAACAATCAATGTATTGTCTACATGTTTGGATTTGAGGTGAACACCGCTAGCTTTGCCATGTATACGTTTTCGACTAGTGTTCTGATCCAATCGCTCATCATAATATCAATCTCAGCCGCGGCAGACCACGGCGCCTACCGAAAGACCTTCCTTCTTATATTTGCAGTGGTTGGCTCAATTGCAATGATGCTATTCCTTCCTCTCTCATCGCATCTATATATGTTGGCCGCGTTTCTGGCCATAGTTGCGAACACTGGGTTTGGCGGATCATTTGTATTGCTAAATTCCTTCTTACCTCTCCTTGTTCGCAACCACCCTACCATCCGAGCTTACAAGGAAGAGCAAAACACACCCTTATACTCCGATACACATCCAGAGACCAATGGAGATCTGGAACCCTCCCAGGTTCGCCAATCGCATGAAATCACCCCAGAAAGCACCACTGGAGCTCCGTTGGTTTCGGCGGCGTTGGAGTTATCGTCCAAGATATCCTCCAATGGAATTGGTATCGGATATACTGCTGCTGTCTTGGTGCAGATATGCTGCATTCTGATAGTTCTTGCTACGCATTCTACAACGTTCTCCCTTCGACTTGTTCTATTCATCATTGGGATGTGGTGGTTCGTCTTTACCATTCCGGCGGGCATGTGGCTACGCCCTAGGCCCGGGCCACCGCTCCCTGAACATGTAACGAATAAGAACAGCAACTGGCCATGGGTCGACTACGTTGTATTTGCATGGAAGTCCCTCGGCCGCACTGCCATGCGGGCACGTCGATTAAAGGACGTTGTTCTGTTTTTGGCTGCTTGGTTTCTTCTATCCGACGGCATAGCAACCGTCAGCGGTACAGCGGTCTTGTTTGCGAAAACTCAACTGAAGATGGAGCTGGCTGCCTTGGGTATGATCAACGTCATTACCATGATTTCGGGTGTATGTGGTGCTTTCTATTGGAGTTATGTCTCCCGTCTACTCGGACTCCGCCCTTCCCAGACAATCATAGCCTGCATATGTATCTTTGAGATCATCCCGCTCTATGGCCTTCTAGGCTATTTACCGCCTATTCAACGGCTGGGAGTCCTGGGACTTCAGCAACCATGGGAGATGTATCCACTTGGTGCAATCTACGGACTCGTTATTGGCGGCCTGTCGTCTTATTGCCGCAGCTTCTTTGGTGAGCTTATACCGCATGGGTTTGAAGCTTCTTTCTATGCCCTCTACGCGATCACAGATAAAGGATCAAGTTTCTTCGGCCCTGCTATCGTAGGTGCCATCACCGACCGATATGGAGAGATTCGCCCCGCATTTTTCTTCCTTGCGGTACTTATCATGATACCGCTACCTCTGATGATGCTCGTCGATGCGGAGAGGGGGAAACGCGATGCCGACTTACTTGTCAAAGAGCTGGAGGGATCCGCAGATGCTGATGACGACCAGGGGCAAGTCTATGGGACTACGGCGGAACAGAGAGAATAGATTTTGGTTTTAAGATTCATTGGAAACATATATTGTTAGACAGACCCCTGGGATTGCATAATATATCAGCATTGCCCATAGGCACCATTTTGTACCGCACACCTTCGGCTTATTAGTAATTAACCGCTCCATCAGACCTTACTCCTTTATCCGTAGCAGTAAGAGTTGACCAAAATATACCAATTTGAAGGATGCTAAGCGCGGCCCGTGGCTAGTTACCCATAGATGGAGGTGGTGCTTTTCATAACCGTCACTGCATGTCTTATTGAAGACGGGTAGAAGAGTTCCACAAAGGCTACGGCTTCTTAGCGATTAGACTGTCAACCTGCTCGTCAAATTGTAACACTTTCCCCGGTGGAAAGACCGATGGAATGGCTCATTTGCATCGCTTTTCTACGATGTTTGGTCCATGCTCTTCATATTCCTTCTTCGAGATCCACATTTGATGGAACGTGCCTAAGCTCGCTACAATGCTTCCACCTATCCATGAGCCGAATTTCCTCTCAGCAGTGTTTCCTGGAGCAGATATTCGGACTCTCGGGCTTGGATACATGTTTGTGAGCTCAAGGTTCAATCGGTCGTTAAAGCCGTACAGCAAGCTAGCTGCTCCCGTCACGACTACGTTACCAAGTAGAGTCGGTCTAATATCAACGTCGACTTGGTTCAGGGCGCTTCGGATTAATTCTGGTATTGTCTGGCTGGCGGTCGGAGTGGGGAATTCCGAATCTGGGTCAGGGAGAGCAGCTTTGGCGTCGAATAAGCCCTCGGCAACACGATACCTCTCAGGACCGAAGAGCTGATTATAGCCATCTGGGAATTCAAATGGACGCATTGGCATGCCCTTTGCAAGCTCTTCGTTTGGAACTCCGGTGGGGCTTTGGCCGGACAAGGAACCAGGAGCAGACCAGACTTGGACCACACATTCTTTGAACTCAGAGAGTGTTCGATCCTCCATCAAGCGGCGGTACGAAGGGTCAGGTAACTTGTTTTCTGGCAAATCCTTGTACACTGCTTGAGCCGGCTGGCCAGCATCAACCGCAACCTTGGAAGCAATTAAGTAATGAGGCGTCACGTTAACGGGTGGTGTACTCGATTTGAGAAGAGCCCGAATCTGAGAAGAGATGAAGTCGCCAGCAAGCTGAGAGTGCTGTACACCCCGTTTAAGAATTAGGCCATCATGAACTGGGGTCACAGAGACATTGCTAGCGCCAACATCGACTACTAAGGCTGTTGCTTTGCCGGCCGCAAAACTGGAGTAAATCACGAGTCAGCACTTCCACCAAACGTAATAGAATGTACGGTATGGCTATAATCACAAACCTAGCTAATGGCCCATTTCGAGAGAGATAGAAGGCTGGTGTTCCCCAGTTCTCCATGGCAATTTCAATGGTCTTCTCCCTCGCTTTGGTGGGATTCCATCCTGGTTCGGTCATAAGCAGCGGGCTATCAGCCAGAGGCTTTTCTTCTGTTTCTACCCCTTCCATTTCGGCTGGTAAATCCTCGGGGTTAGGATCGTTTAGTCCGTTCAGCATCGCATTCCCAGGTTTTCGTCTCGTCAGCCGCGAGGTAAAAGAGTATTCCCATAGTTTCTCGGCCATGTCCCAATCCTCCACAATTCCATCCCTACCGATCGGGTTGTGAACAGAGATGCCTGGGCGAGGGGAAACATAAATGTTGTCGCCGTAAACATATTTATCTTGCGCGTCCGCAGAGTATCTCGCATAGTATGAAGGAATGACCGATTTGGGGGTGTCTTCACCCGCAAATCCAGCCCGGGTTGAGGCATATCCGGGGTCCAGGATTATCGCAGACACCTCATCTAGTGAATGCAAGTATTAGTCTCCTTAACCGGCTGAAAAAGGGCCTGAGATGGGAATTGTATCTTACCTCCGCCATACTCTGCCGCCGCGGGTGGGGCAGAGGAGTTCATCGCGAGCAGTCGGAGCTTCGGGTATGAAGAAAGCTTGCGCAATAGAGATTTCGATACGGATTGCTCCAGTCAAGCAAGGTATTATGGCGATTCCAAAGCTGTCTCGCGCGTACTTACAGACTGCCTGTTGTCGCGCTTTCAACTTTGATAACAGAAAGCAGCGAGCTAACTAAGCAAGTCTTGGCCGCTTCAAGCATGATCACGTGTTACACCCTATCAACGACATCTTCTCTCTACACTTCTACATATCACAACTCTTCGCCAGTATTGTTTAAACTATTGATAAATATGAGTCCGAAGTTCAACTAAGGCGGCAGATATTAAGAGTGCAACGAAAGGCGTACTCCAAAACAAGAAATGATACAACTCAGGCAGAAAAAGAGCCAAACGTGAACTAGCCTCTAGAATCCGAACAGATTCTCGTCTTCCTCATACCCCCAGTTCGTCAAAGCAGGCAACACGGCTTTCTGGATCATCGCTGGTGGGCCACAGAGCAGAGCAACGTTCTTCTTACCCGGTTCGAATGCATGTTTCCGGATGATTTCTTCATTTACGTGACCTTTGGGCCCTTGCCAGTCGTCGCTAGGATTGGACAGCACATGCACAATCTCGAACCGGTCTTTATGTTTGAGGGAAAACTCATCGAGATCTCCTCGCAGCAGAATATCCCCTTCCGTCTTGTTTGCATCGATGACTTTGATCTTTGTCTTGTCGTTGTTGTCTTGTAAAACTCGCGCGATGACCTGGTAACCAGGAGTGACGCCAGATCCACCCAATATAAGGGAGACGTTGTCGAATTTATACTCCTTGTTGTCAACAGTGAAACACCCGTTACCGCGGTATTGTATATCGCCCGACGGACCTTTAACTTCGATTTCTTCATTATCACGAAGACAGTCTAGGATGTTACTCATAGTACCACCTGGCTGGTCTTCATTTGGGAGATATGTCTTTACAACAAGGTCAAATGTTTCATCATACTCTTGATTTGAAATGGGGCGCACTGGGGGTAGGGGCGAACAACAAGGCTGTCCCTGAAATGGAAACCGACCAGGACATGCTGACCAGTTTCTAAGCCGAGCTCCTTAGCTGAGGCCGGGAGCTTGAACGTGTATCGGCTAGTATCCTTGGAGAGACGCTTTTTTACGAGGAGTTTCGCTTGAGTCCACCTGGAGGTCGACTGTCAATACCTAACGTTCTAACGCAGAGTTCGAATGGACTGACATACTTGTGTTTAGCTAGGGCGGCTTTGGAGTCCTTCCCTTCTGACTGCAATCGTTCTTTCTTCTTTTGCTCGGCTTCTTTCATCATATGATCCATCGCTTTCTGCGTGACCTTTCCTATGATACATTCTGCTCACTGCTGTTAGAAATGTGCCCTAATCATACGCATATTTTGAGCCAATGGAGGAAAAAATACCTTTGAGCTTATCTTGGGCATAATTGTCGTGGATACTGCTAAACTCCTCTGTTGTATCCCAATGCACAATCCCAGCATGCGCCATGATAGCACCCTTACCGCCGGGATGCCAGCTGAGAACATGCGTAGCATCATACACATTTCCATTGACAACTATCCAACAGTCATCCTCCGTATGATGCTTCTCAATCTCCTGTCTGGTAAACTGTTTCTCAGGAGAAAATGCATTGCGTTTGATTTCTTCAATTCTTTCCTCGGTAGATGGTTTCATCCAACCATTCGTCCCACTGGCTGCGTCAACCGGGTGACGGAAGAGAAGGTATGCTTCCTCGTCCTCTTGGTTATCAAAAACCTCCGGCCTTACTTCATACCAGCAGTTGTTCATCATTCTAAACGTGGTTAGCGATATAAAAATAACTACTAGCACTGAAGAGGGATTTGCTTTACGAACCCTCCAATGTTCCACACTGGCTTTCGAGGTTGCGTGTTCTTGTGGGAATCAAACGCACGAACTAAGACGCTCTGCGCACGAATAAGTCTGGTAATGTCCAGGTCGATGTGCCAGTGCAACCAGGTCCAGAATTTCTTGCCATGCCGAATTGGCTTGTCAGGGTACTGTGTATAACCGTCAACTCCTGAGACTCATGAAAAATATGGAATGAAACTCACTCTGCGGGAACAGTAAAGCCAAGTCTCCCCGCCGTTCAAACTAATTTCTACTCTGTCAATCTCATCCCCGCTTCCACTATAGGCAAATCCCATAATCCTATACATCTTGCCCTTTTTAACATCAACCAAGTCAATTTTTTCACCCTGAGCCGGCCTCACGATGATAGAGTTCAACATCTGCTCGTTGCAGATGGTACTTGGATGGCGGTACATTGTCTGCGCAATCTCCGATTCTGTATCGGTGATAAAACTCGGGAGCTGTCTATTGTCATATATATGATAGTGGCTATCATTTTCATGTTCAGTCACCCAAATTTTGGCCAGCCACTTGATAGATCGTGCTCCCACCCAACCAGGGAGTATTAATCGCAGGGGATACCCATGGTCCGGTGGTAAGGGATGATCGTTCATTTCATAGGCAAGCATCACATCGTTGATAGGATCCATGGCATATTCAAGTGGGACACAAGTTGCATACTTCCCTTCACTAAGCTCGTCTGCTCCCTCGTAGTTGACCCATAATCTCTTGTCGGGGTTTTTCTTCACAAGATTGTCAACTCCTGCCTCTAAGAGAACGTCGCGAAGGAGGACTCCCTTCCAATAAGAGCAGCTCGCTGATGCAGCAGTGAAATTAAAGGCTCGAGTTTTCTTGATCATATTCAGTTCCTTCCTACGGCTTCCATCACAGGCCAAAAAGACGGGTATGTTAATACTCTCGAAGGAATCCTTTAGATTGTCCATCGTGTAGACTAGGCGCTGGTCAGCGACCACTTCGACTTCATGATTTTCCCATAGCAGATGTGGGACGGTTCCATGGTTGCGGACATAATGAACCGGTGAAGGAGTGATAAGGCCAGCCTCAAAGAGAGTAGTCAGATCAGATTCTGCATTCATCGGATGCTTCCCTGTCAGGCGAATCAATTTGTCGTTACGTGGAATCCAATTATCCGGAGTAAATTGGTCTACCTCGTCAACTCGCGAAGGAAGTATCTCGTCTTGAATCGGACAGTTTCCCTTGCCATCGTTTCTCCCCATGGATGACCGATATTGTTGTTCATGTTGCAGGAATTGTAAAAGCGTCTCTTCTTCCAGCGTGGGCTTTGGCTTCGACTTTTTCTCCTGTTCACCTTCTCCCTGGCTACTATCCTTTTCTTTTTGCTGTTTCTCCTGTTCTGCTTTATCGGCCTCTTCTTTTTCTCTTTCCTTGGCTTTCTTCTGATTCACAGGCCAGGGCTGTTCCAGCTTGATGAAACTTTCAGTGGTATGCAGAACATATCTCCAGTAATCAGGATGCACTTCTGGCCGTTCCAAATGGAAATCCTAGCCTGAATTAGCTCCCATATTGACTCTAAAATCGAATTGTTGGTCTAGCGATGGTATGAAATGAATGTTTCTTTAAAACCTTTTGCCTGGTCATAATGTCACGAACGGTAACCAGTTCCCCCCTGTTCACCTTATCACGAAGCTCCTGGATCTTTTCATCGACTTCCTCGAGCTCCTCGTAATATTCGTCCCCTCCATGGGTCATACCCATGAACCGGGCATCACGGCCACGGGTCCCGACGCGATGACTATGCGTCCGCGTCCAGTCGGGTTCATTGAGTATATCGAGGTCAGATGCCCCCAGGTGTTTCTTTAACGACATGATGTCTGCCGGATTTCGGGAATCAATGGTGAATTTCGTGACCTGCCAGTTTCTCGTTGTTGAGAGGAAACTAAAAAGTATCAGGTCGCTGTAATCTAGATATATATCGTCTAAAGCTCCATTCCCTTTCCTGCTGTCTGATATATGAATTTATATACAAGTTGAGCCATATTAGCCACTTCCTGAACCCAGAATCCTTGGATCCCGGACTCTAGAACTTGGCTGGCCATCCGCTCCGCGGAGAGCATGTCAGCGGGTATGATCTCATCGACGCAACATTCGCTTGCGGCCAACTTCGCAATTGTTGGACTGGCCCTGGTCTAGCGTCAGGTGATGATAGAGTAGATATTTATCTGATTTAATGCTCTATTCTCATTGGTATCTTTGAGCTGATTTAATATTTGTTCTAACAGGTCTAACAGGCTCAACGGTGAGATGAGCTGCCGGTAAGTTTGGCCACTCATCTTCTTTAATGATGGGGGTGGACAGCCAAGTTTCGAAGTACTCCTAGAGCGAGGAGAGGCTCGAAGAAACGGTAATATCTATTTCGTTGCGTTCGTTTCGTTAGGCGCTGAGCTCTAGATATCGTCAAACATAGTTCGTAACTATATATAATAAGTAGTACTCAAGTTTCAGGCGATGTAACAGGCCACTCCTGCACAGAGTAGTAGTTACTATCTAGTTCAATTTTCCACATCCCGATGAAACTTTACGATTTGCGATGCAATAGGTAAGATGAATTGAAACATCCAATTAAGATTGTATTGTTTCTTATATTTATCTGGAATGTAATGTATTTACACGGGGAAAGCAAAATTCCAAGAGGTGAAAAGGTGACCGAAAAATCCTGCGGCCACAACTAGACTACCTCAGGGAGTAAAGAAATAAAATTATGTACACGCTTGCCCCTTTCCTTTCATGCAAACGAGCCGACTCTCGCCCACAGAAATGATCGGAGGAACCGCTTAGCAGCCGACGTAGATAGCTATGATATAATTAGTTAGGGGCCATAAACGCTATCATATAGCAAGAGGAATAAGAACATACCATTGGCGAAGAGAGCATAGCTGTCAGCGTTCTGAACGGCCTTCTCAGCAGAGAGAGCGGTGGCGCGCTCATATCCGTATCCGTTGTCCTCACAGAATGGCTCCTGGACAGCTGGGTTGTGGGTGAGCTCGTGGAGGGTGGTGGTGGCCTGGTCCTGAGCGTGGCACTCCTGGCTGAGTGGTGGCAGCATGCTGTAGTAGATTGGGCAGTTGAAGACCTCGTTCTGGGATGGGAGAGTGTAGGCAAGGACACCTTCCTCACAGCCGTTCATGAGATCGGTGCAGTGGTAGGTAGTGCCACCACCGCTGGTAGAGCTGGACTCTTGGGCAACAGCTTGGAAACGGCTTTGAACAGTGTTGGTGTACTGTGGGTCCTTGAAGTATTCCATGTACTTGTCCTGGTTTTGGCTGACAGCCTGGGCAGCCATGCTGGAGAGCTGAGCGGAGGCTTGAAGAGCATTGGTAAGAGCCTGGAGTTCCTCCTGGTTTGAGCAGGACTGCATGTCGACGCTGGTGCGCTTTCCGAGTCTGGTGAGGGGTCCGGATCTCTTGACAATTCCCATAGCACGCTCAACGGAAGCGGCCTTCTTTCCGTCAATGTTCATGCGGAGCTCGTTGGAGTGGTAGTTGGCAGCTCCGGTGATGTTGGTGCCGTTCTCCTCGGCGACTGGGACGACACCGCTGGCTTTGAGGATGTACTCGCCGCCGCGGGAGAGGTCGTGGGTGGCAGCGATATCGAAGGAGTGCTCAACGCTACCCTTGGCAGGGAGAGACATGAAGTAGCTTGGCTTGAGGTCGGTGTGCAGGTATCTTGGCATCATACCAGTGAACTGGACCTCAGCACCACCTAGTTAGGATGTGTTAGAAATTGATCACTCCAACAAAGACTTGGGATAAAGAGAGAACGAAATATTGCTCTCGAATTATGAGATATCTTACCCTTTTGGTAGATGTTAACCTTGCGGGTTGGGTTGGAATCCATGATGGTATGGAACCTCAACAAGTTCAAGGCACGGTCACCATTGTTGGTAATGGTAGCCTTGACCATGGAGTTACCAGTGGCACTGAGCTTCACGTCAATCATGGAATCGCTCGTTGGCACACCGCGGGGAATGGAAAAGCCAACCACCGGGGCGGCGAGGGAGCTGAGAGCAGCGAAAGCGGCGAGAATTTGCATGTTTGCGAAGAAGGTGAAATAAAATACTGGGATATAAAGAAGGTGAATAGAATTAAGAATGGAATAAAGAAGATTCTCTCGGAACCTATGTCTTTTCGAGGGTTGTTTTGCTGCTCTTGCTGTCTGAAAATATCTCCAACTTGACGGTTGGCAGCCTGGTTTATATACCCTATGGATGTGGATGCGTCCATGGCACTGCCCGGCAGATGACATAGCTCTTTGCACCAATTCCAATGAACAATATCCATCCCAACCCTGGCAATCATAGTAAACGTTGCATCCGTTCCCATACACCAACCGGAATCCCGTTTCAAAATATCAAGTATAGAAAATGGGGGAGTTGGCCTTGAGCGGAGGTAACATACAACCGGACAAGGGGGTCATTTCCACATTGTAGCGGAGGTTCCACCCTGCGACTGATGCTGACCCCTCGCATTTTGACAGGGGAAGTGCCGGTAAGAGGATACATCAAATAATTGAAACCAAGCATTGTTTCGTGGGCGTCCAAAAGCTTATGGTTTTCCACCCATGGCAAGCTAATGTGAACACACCGGCTCGGCAAAGCTTGAGTCCACCGTAGTATCGAACCATGAAAACCATTAAGTTCCGAGTGACTTCTAGACTGAAAGGCTAGAAAAGAGAAAGTCCCGGGGGTATGCGCCTGGGGATCGTCGAGATGATAGATAACAATTGAGCAGGTGAACTCGACTGGATGTCGACGTTCGTTGATCGCCGCAAGACCAGACGACCGCAAGGCATCTTCGGCTGAGTTCATGCTAGAACCTCCCTGACTAAGAATAGGGTATATGAAGCTCTGGTATGGTTAAGGATGTCTGAGAAACCCCTGTCGCCTCGTCGTGATTGGGGCATTGAAATCAGGTCCTGTACCCGAGGCACGACCATTTCGCGTTTCATGATATGGGCGATCACTCCCATCAAATTCCCCGTTTTCTGGAGTAGCAGCGAGAACGGGACAGGCACATGCTGCTATGGCCTCTTGGTCCAATCAACATGGACAGCCAGCGATCGTTGCAGGCTATCTCGATGGATGTCGAATGCTGATAGAATGACAACTAATGTAGCGGGAGGGGCGACTGGTTAGTAGGCGAAGTTTGGATAAGGAGGCAGTTCCCCTCTCTGCTATCTTTACCGGTTCTATCGTGAGACGCCGGTCTCTCTCGCGCTCGATCGAGGACGCCTTGCGATGGCGACGGCGTCGTTTGTGATGTCGAGGCGAGATGCAAGTTGGGAGATATCCCGACCCCGTGATCCAGTCAACGTCGAGGATGCCATGTCAACATCCAACGCCATGTCAACATCAACGGCTCAGCGAGATGAGAACTGCAGATACTTGCTAAGAAAGGTGCCCTCCTCCATGCCCAATCCTGGCGGCTATGCCACTGCCCGAGTCGACACGAGATTATGTGGGTGAGAGCGATCACCGGCACTCCGCCAATCTAGACCAGCATACTCTGACCATAGGTACTTACAACACGGCCCGGAGAACAAGCCCCTACCCTACGACCGGCCGACTGGAGGTGGAGATAATACATGAAGGGTGCTGCTTGTGTTCGGCATCAACGAACGGATTACGGGAGTTGGGAAGATTGTCGTTTGGACCTGGCATGACCACAACATATCATCATGCAGAGACAGCGGTGGTGATAGTGATATTCACTCGCTAAGCCTCGGGTGTTTTTTACGAAGAGTCCGATGATGTGGTGATTCTGGATTTGATCTGCGAACTCGGTGGCATCGACGAGGTGATAGTCGCAGCTCATACTATGCACGGAAGCTCGAAATATTCTCGGATAGTACCGCTCACTAACACGGGGCAGGCCCGTTGATATTCCTCATGGGCGACTACTTGCCATTATCCTTCGCCGGATTTGCAATGCAATCCTTCAGTGAAGATACATACTCGGACGGAGGCAACGGGGAGTGTCCATTACCGTGCATGGTGATAGGTTCTGGGGGGGACTTGCGGAGGTGAGATGAATAGTTATGCTAAAAATATGATTGAAGCCTCCGGGTTTCCCGAATCACTCTTCAAAGCCGTCTATCCTACCATCAGAAAGAAGAAAGATATTCGTAATACTCGCTTCCACAGAGTCTTCCATATATGGTATCCACTTCGGTGCCTTTCTAAGTTATATCACCGGCGTATCCTCTCAGTGCCTATCGACACTGGAACATCTGACAAGGCAGCATGGAACCGATATATCATGGTTACAAGTATCAATATCCGTACAAGACGGCGAGGGCGAACGTATGGAGCACTTAGGTAAACCTATCGCACGAGTGACGACCGTAGGAGGCCCCTGGGTATTCTATCTGTCAACTTCATCCTGCGATGGAGTAATCGTGCTAGCTGTGGCCATCAACATCGACTTCGAGGCTGTCAAATGAAAATCGTGCCCATGGGTATGTTTGAAACCCAGGGCGCCAATATCGCAACTGTCTCATTGTGCTATATGATATCTCGAAGGTGATGACGACGCCGAATGTAAATAAACGACCAGGGCAGGGATCATGGCTTCAATGACTCAAACTCCGGAGTTTTTCTCAACGTCAAGAACAGCCAGTCATTGCATGAACTGCCCGAGTTCCGCAGCCCCTTTTCGTTGCCATCTCCCCTAAAAACCAAGTACCAGGCCTGGCTCTCGATTAGGAAAGAAATAATAAGTCCAGCCCGCTCAACATGACCAGCCTTGCAATCTTCGACTTCGATGGGACGCTCTTCGACACCCACGAGTCGATCGAACAATCCATCAAGCTTACCTTTGAGGCTTTACTCCCGGCCCATGTCCCGCCACAGTCGAAAATACACGCCCTGATCGCCAAAGGAGCGGGCCTGTCAGATACATTCCGGACACTGCATCCCAGCATTGAAGCGTATACCGCGGCAGCGGATGGCTGGACTGCTAAATATCGCGAGGTATACGCGACACATGGCCAGTTGCTTATCAAAGCCTTCCCTGGAGCCAAGGAGATTCTTGAAGACTTGAAAACATGTGGTATCCCTATTGCTATTGTGAGCAACAAGGGCGTTGCGGCTGTCAAAACTGCCTTAGAGCGTAATGGCATGGGTGGATATATACCCGAAGACCTGATTATAGGGGATAGTACGCCGGGCGCGCAACGAAAGCCGGAACCAACTAATTTTACGGATATCTTGATACCGACGCTGAAGAATCAGTATGTGGTAGCCGATATCGATGCTAGCAAGGTTCTGGTTATTGGGGATACTGTAGCGGATATTCAGTTTGCGAGAAACATCGGTGGACGCGCATGCTGGTGTCGTTATGGCTTTGGAGATCAAGATGCGTGCAAGAAACTAGACCCAGAGTTGATCGTTGATTCCTTGTGTGAGGTTGCTGCACACATCCGTTCCTCGGTATAAAATGGTTATTATATGTGGAGGAATAGGCGATTGGCTATGGACTCAAGGGTTGCTGTTGGTGGTAGAATAAAAGGAGGCTAGGAGAAACGCTTGCTATAAAATGGTCTCTCATAAGGCTTAAACTGGGCTGAAGATGACGACGTCAATGATGGTCACTCGCATACTCTGTATATTCTCAGCAATAGAACAATCCCATAAGCTTTAGATGTTAATTAAGAAAGAGGCTGGCTTCATAAGAGTGGATAGAGTTACATCGTTAGAAAAAAGTAAACAGTTGTAGAAATATGGCTAAAAGTATGTCAAGTTAAAATCTCAGGACCTCCCCCGGTTACTACGCAAATTCATTTCAGGCCTGTCCTGGTTTCGCTGCAATGGCGAATGAACTATATTCACCAAGGTAGTTAATATAATATCCCGTGGACGGATGGCAGAGGGCAGTGGGGAGAATACAAAACGAACAGCACATACAAATGAGAATATATATGCATCTTATTGGATCTGAGCTCCTCGGTCGCGTTATTCAAAAGTTTCAGTAGATCGTCGGTGCTCCAGCCGCCAAAGCGAGTAAACAGTGATATGCTGTAGGACTCCATTGCATGACCAAGAAACTGTGCCATAAAATAACGGCCTCTGGTTTTCAGTTTCTTGTCCTTCGGCCATGTTCCCAACGGTACAACCTTTTCCGTTTCTTCAACTTCGATAAAGCCTGCGTCTCGCATCCAGCCGGCCAAACTCGGGAAAATGTCGAACTCACGCCCACATTCATGCGAAATACGATTGAACTCATTCTAAATTCCACGTCAGCTGCGAATAGAGCGTGTTCCCGGGGTTTGTCTGTAAACCAGCAGTAAGGGGGTGGTTTATCGGATACATACCAGCCACTGTTTTGCCTTTGAGTCCTCAGGAAACGTTCCGTCGTCACAGCAAAGGTGTGCGCGAGCTTCTGATATCTCGATTCGAGCTCCGGGTTTCAATCGCCTGCAAGGTGATTTTGCATTAGCAATTTGAAAACAGGAAACTATAGGCATGGCTTCCTTCGTACTTGTAGCATTGGGCCATCAGGTGGGGCCAATCTGTTATGCTTCCTCCAAGCGTGCGGATGTGGATGAAATCGAACGAGGATTCAGGGAAAGTCCATTCCTGAAGAGCATCGTCCACCATAAATTCGACGTTAGGAGGACGCCTGCCGGTAGGTCTGGGGTTAACCGAAGCACGAGAAGACTCTAGAACTTCCAGAGTCTATGTCTAGGACACTTTTATCTCACCAACTTGGTTGAATCGGAGATATATCCGTCCCAATAACCTGGGCCGAGGGGTATAACTCTGCCACTAAACCAGGCTCAAGTGTTAGGATTGGATTCTCTCTACTCGCTGCGCGCAAGACACAGCTCAGTTGTGACGGAAAGAACTTGCTTTCGATAGCCCATATTCCTGTTCCAGTACCGATATCGAGTATCCGTTCAGGACTATCGAGTTTGGTATAACACAGGTCCCCATCAAGCGTTAACCGAAAGATATGGTGAAGAAAGTCAAGACGCTCTTGTTCCCGTTCGTCGTTTGGCAAGAACTGAAAAAACTCTCCGACGTGTGACCAGTCAGCGTCTAATTAACTCGATGACCAGAGAGACGATCATGACGTAGAAGTTCAGGCGAGAAAGAAATCTCCTTCGACGCCTGAGGTGGTGGGAGAACGCACATATTGGTCCGCACTGTACCCGTGATACCGCCGGCCGTTCTCATACACGTAGTTTGGGATCGTGGATGCGATTGAAGCGAAATCAGTTGCGATGCTAGCGTTTAACTCCGAGTAGCCGCTGCTCTCTGGTTCGATGGGCAATTCGGAGCTATCCAGCCGATCTTCTGGCGCCATCCTGAGGCTAAATGGTGGCGGGACGCTTGGGCTGAAGAGGCTAAATCTAGGATCGAAGAAAACTCCAGGATGGAGGGAGTTTGCAAAGCAAGGCGTTGGCGATGTTCTATCTGTCCTAGTGACACATAACCGTCCACTATAACCATTTCCAGGACCCGGGTTTATCGGCAAGTGCGCTGAAAGAACAGGACGCCACCACAGGCCATAGCATGCGGGTTTGTCTCCCACAGACGCAGCGTTCAAGCCGTCTTTACCAGGGGCTGAATGCGCGCATGAAGTGCATATCTGCCCGTCGAGTAGCAGTCTAAGTATTGGACAGCAAGTCGCAGTTTGGCTGGAACAAAGCATGGTTAAGCAGGTGGGAGCTAATTATTAAGCTCCCTTGCCCGTTGTCCCGGGTCGCCTCGTCCACGGCCCTGGGACGCGCGACTTTATGTCCACTGCCGGCCGACACGCCCGCTCACGACGGGATATATGTACATATGTGTTGTTTAGTTGGCAGTATTTGGCGTGTTGGTTACCTGAAGGCTTTGGGCTGGCTTCTAGCGACGTTTATGCATCGATATAAGATATATATCGTCCCGTATAAATATGCATATTATGTAATGGGTACTGACCAATGATAATATTAGATTTATGTGGAGCACTACGGATAGCGATATCATTGGATGGATACTGCTGACATAATATACAGATGATCTATTTTATCCAGCCTCATGTTCTCAAGAGAAGGAATTCGTTTCAATTATGTAGGAAGAAGTGCTTGAGGATAGTCTAAGAAAATATTAATATTTCACGGTTTGGTACAGCGTACAGCCAACATTGCATGTTACCGTCAACCCAGGTAGGCAAACAACAAGGTAGATGGTTCGTTATTATACACAGAAGAAGACTAAGATATATTTGGGAGCGGGAAGGTTTCTGAAGATAAAATCGATAAGGTCCCAACGACTTATTTACCGGCGCTTCCCCAGCTTCCCCAACTGGTCCAACTCGACCCCAATCCCTTGGAGTCGGTGGCTTCGTTCCTTTGGCTCTCGCTCTCCAGCCGGGAGTCTGAGGGAAGGGTAACTGGTACCGGAGCCTGAGCAGCTTTCGAATCGGGTATTTCTGACGATGAGACGTGGGGCTCGGCTTCTGAACTGGTGGCTTTCACGGCTCCTGGGCCATCGAAGAGCCAGCTCCGGGCCTTATAAAACATCGTCTGCTTCTTCAATTCGTCTCGTGCCCGCTTTTCTTCGTCCGCAGCCTTTTCCTTTTGTAGTAGTTGTAATTGTTCCTGGGTGGCAGTTCCAGCAACATATGCTTTTCTAGCATCTAGTAGACGATCCAATTCCTTTTCGATAAATAGATCCCGCTGCCGCCGGTTGTGCATGAATAGCGATGTCATTGAATAAATAGTGAGGATTCCGGCAATACCTAGAAAGCATGTCAGTATATGCGTATATATAAATTGACTATTATCAGAAGCCATGAATGTCCATACCAGAAGCAGTGATTAGCGAGAACACCGCCGCCCTGTGGAAACGATCTGCCCACGTTCTGCCACTATTTACTATCCGATCCATGGGCGAAAACGACTTGGAAATGCGATTGGCGCGAGCCTGGGCCCGTAGCCGTTCAACTTTTTCCTTCGCGGTCTCCTGGGCCCCTTGGCCGGGAGACGGTTGTGACGGCTGGGAGGACCGGACCTTCAGGCCGGACCATTTCGAGGAGGAAGGGGAAGACATGGGAGATTTCGAGTAGGCGTAGGGACCGGTAGCGGTAAACCGGGTAGCATCAGCTGCAGACCGCGACATCCTCGTCTGCTAAATGGCTAACTCAGAAAGCGTTAGGCTCAAGGCACCTCGGAATCAGGCAATCGAAGTCGGAGTCGCAGTCGGAAAATTGTGTCGAGATGCGTATCATGCCAACACGGTCCGTACTCGGCCTTGACAGCGAGCGAGAGGCTTGCGGCGTGGGAGCAGGCCTGGTGGAAGAATTGCAGCTTGTGGTTTTGGTCTTTTCGTTGAACTTGCAACTTTCATCCAGAAGTAGAATATTACATAAGCCACTTGAATCTGGTCTTGGCATTTCTCTCAAATCTTCAACTTTTCCTCGAATAAACAAGATAGGAAGAGAAACAGGAGAACGTCTACGGAGAATAATCCTTTGATATCTTCTAGAGGTTACAGGGGATTCTCACGGTAGTTGCAAGATATGTTGATGCGAGTTCCTGACGCTGTCCTGCATCAAAAGCCATAACTAGTGCAGCTAAACCTCTACTGATCAATCTAGCAATTACCATCAATCGCTCCTGGTGGTCTATCCCCAGGTTTACTGATATTCTAGGCTCCATGCACAGTATTAGAGTCTATACCGTGCCCCTGTACTACAGGCCTATAGCCGTACTTGAAAATGGCTAATAGCTAGGAGTTATAAGAGATACGCGTTATGGTGGTGTGACTCGGCGTGTCAAAGTACCGAATAGTAGCAGCCAAAACTAGCACCAGGACAGGCGCATTTCAACTGATCATGCACATCTTCAGCGTCTTTATATAATGGCTTTCGGAGCATAAAAGGTCCATCCTTCCGCATCTTCCGAATTACGTGGATCACCGAACACGCTGGTCTCCTTTTTTCCCGCAAATTTGGGGCAGCCAGACACTCGTCAATCCGACAATATTCCATCCAGCTCTCCCTACTGTGACGTCCATAACCTAACTTGCGCTGATTAAATATGGACGTCGCCATAGATTTCTTGGACCCTTTGGTATTCGATAAAGCGTACGCCTACTTCGTCCCAGCAGCTACCTCCAATGCCGCCACATCGTCCAATTCGATATCAGCGTGGCCGCGGGACAGCGTCCTACGACAATGCATCTCGATTCTAGTGATCACGCAGATTGGCGCTACAATGCTGTACTGGGTCTTCAGCGCCCTTTCATACTACTTCGTCTTCGACCGGCGGCTCGAATACCACCCGCGCTTCCTCAAGAACCAGGTTCGGCAGGAGATAGTGTCGTCAATGATGGCCGTCCCGTGGATCAACATCCTCACCCTCCCATTCTTCCTGGCCGAGGTGCGCGGCAAGAGCTTTTTATATACCAGGGTAGATGAGTATGGCTGGGCGTGGTTGGGTGTTTCAGCTATCTTGTTCATGATCTGGAACGACTTCCTCATCTATTGGATTCATAGACTTGAGCATCACCCCAGCGTCTACAAGTACATCCATAAACCACACCACAAATGGATTAGTATGGATCACTATGCATTCTTTTCTTGTATCGACTAGTGTAGACGCGTCGACTAACCTGTCTAGTGCCAACTCCATGGGCGGCTCTCGCCTTCCACCCCCTTGACGGATATGTTCAGTCTCTGCCGTACCAGTAAGGCGTCCATGCTATCAAAGCCAATTATAGAGATGCGGATATTTCTGACAGCTCTTCTCTAGCGTCTTCGTCTTCGTTTGCCCTGTGCAAAAGTATCTCTACATGGCGATGTTCGTTCTCGTGCAGATATGGACCATCTTCATCCACGATGGCGATATGATATCCGGCCACTGGCTTGAAAAATACATCAATAGCCCGGCTCACCACACCCTCCATCACCTCTACTTTACTGTCAACTACGGTCAGTATTTCACCTGGGCCGACAACTACTTTGATTCGCATCGTACACCGTGCCCTGAGCTAGATCCGCTCCATGATGCCCTGCGAGTCATGCGCGAAAAGGGACTTGTGGACGAGAGTGGTAATATGATTCCCAAGAAGAAGAAGAAGGAGTAGGAGATTCCCGTCGTATCGAATATGATCTGTGGATGGAGAGTAGAATCTTGGTGGCATTCATTCGGCACTACAACGTACGGCTCTTTTAATATAGAATCCCTAGGCTAGCAAAACCGTGTCGCCAAAATACACGGGTTTGTGAGATAGACCGGGCCTACATTTAATATGTATATATATATCAATTAATTCCACATAAATGGTTGTCTTTTTGAGACTTTAGCATCAGGCCGCAGACAAGGTTATTAAAAAGTTACAATTTAAACGTAATTTTTTGCACCACCATAGAGGGTATTTATATAAATGGATGAAAACACCTTCGCCATTCTCACTTACTTACAAATGGAAAAGAGTATCTTCACCTCGAACCTCTAGAAACGCTTGAATCTTTTTTGAATAACATGGAATCTGTCCAACTCTCCCACCCTGCCTCCCTCTGACAAACGCATCCTTGACCATCCCACCCCGCTTCTATCTGGCAGCATTTAGGAGTGATATATCAGAACAGAAGTGATAAAAGTCCTGTACGGAGTATATACATATCATACCTCGCGATATCTTGTATCAGTCAAAATGGGAGTCCCGCCTATTCCAGTCTCCAGCGACTTGCCACCACTTATCATGGGAACGGCCACCTTCAATGGCCAATACAATGCAAACCCTTATGAGCTTCCTACGACAGAACTCGTCCACCGTGCTCTATCTGCCGGAATTTGCGCTTTTGATACCTCCCCTTATTATGGCCCGGCAGAGGAACTACTTGGAAAGGCCCTTTCTACCCCGTTCGTTCGTGACAACTATCCACGGGATACGTATCGGCTGCTCACCAAAGTAGGCCGGATAGCGGCGTCGACCTTTGACTATTCCCCATCTTGGATCCGGCGCAGCATTAAACGCAGCTTGTCCCGCCTGGGAACATCGTACCTTGACGTTGTCTATTGCCATGACGTGGAGTTCGTTACGCCAGATGAAGTGTTGATAGCTGTTCAAGAACTCCGGAAGATCCGCGACACAGAAGGGACTATTCATTATATTGGAATATCAGGCTACCCCGTTGACGTACTCTGTTCCCTGGCTAAGATGGTCCTAGAGAAAACTAGTCAACCCATAGATATCGTTATGTCTTATGCAAATTTCACCTTGCAAAACACTCTTCTGGCCACCGAGGGGCTCCCACGATTGACTGCAGCTGGCGTGGATTGCGTTCTTAACGCCTCTCCGTTAGGAATGGGGCTCCTCAGGCGCAACGGAGTACCTATTGGTAGTATGGGAGACTTTCACCCGGCCCCTAGCCCTCTACGTGAGGCGATCCACAAAGCGAGCCTTTGGACCGATAAGCAAGGGGAAAAGATTGAGGTTGTTGCCATTCGATATGCCCTTGAAAACTGGCTTCATGAGGCTGCTGCCGTCGGTGCATCTGGCCTACCTACTGCTGCTTCCAGGGAGGGCAACGGTTCTGGTCCGCGTAGGCTGGGAGGTAGCGTTATGGGAGTGAGCAATCTTGCTGAGTTGGAGGAAACCATGCGTGTTTGGAAAACTATTCTCGACACTCTGCCAGCTGGAGCTATCAATCCCCAGACCAGGGAAGGGCATGCTGTGTTGAGTGATGACCAGACACCGCCAGAGACACAGCGGATCCAAACGCTGACGAAGGGAATACGTGATATCCTGGGCCCAGAATGGGTGGATTACGCATGGGAAAGTCCCGATACCGGTTTTGTGAACACGCCTCTGCCCGATCACCCACCACCCGTTGTAGATGGGGATCCTCAGACCAAGCCCTGATTACATTCGATCCTATGGGCGTTTGCTATCTTACGAACTGGGTGTTAGTATTGGATATTTACTACAGTCGTCTGCCCACTTCTAAAGTGGTGATGTATGCGTCTAATCATATTGTACATAACTTCTATTAGAGCGATTAGAATGAATCATTGCAGACACCCACCTTATCGCCCCTAAAAAATGATATCTGGGGTATCAGCGTACGCAATGCGAAAATTGGAATAAAAGTACATAAGACATAGAATGTCGAATCACGAAAGGCTGTCAAGGATAAAGCATGTTCGCAGCCCGATTTCAAATGGGCGGCATGCTGTCGGTTGAAGGGATGTATAGTGTAGACTTCCCTCAATCATAATTGGTGTCATTCCTTTAGGCAAAGGATATGATGCTGCGGGTTCATGCAGGATTATGCCCATATCAGGGAAAGCTTGCTATAAATACCAGCCAGGAATGACAGGTACACCCCTCCAGGCAAAGGTTGAACTTTAATATTCAAATACAAGGCGTCGTGCTCTCTTGATACTGCTAATCTAGATCTGTGGATAGATCTTTTTGTCAGGTATTTGATGGTGGAGGCGGAGGCGGAGTTGGAGATGCCATTAGAGGAGGCGGAGGTGGTGGCGGAGTGTCAAGCGCTACAGTGCCCTGATAGCCTGCAAACCTACGATCGCCAACGAAAAAATCACGCAGGTGTTTTCTCTGCTCCAGGAACGAATCGTAGTTGGCAGCTATTATTGATCCAAGCAAGCTGCTTGTATTTTGTGGGCGGCACGAAGCCGCATAGATGTTCTCCTTTATCGAGTTATGCGCATCAGAAAATGCTTGGAATATCCGTGGAATCTCTTTAGTCCCACCAGAGATATCATTATCTGGATTGTTGGGGTCAATTATTGAAAGCCTCGTCCCCTTGTTTGCGTTATATATGCCACGCAAATTCTGGACGAAAAAATTCAGTAAGTCATTAGCACTTCAGCTAGTTAGGTTAGGAAAGAGAAGGAGATGGCCTACCTTGTAGAAATACCCTGGTGGGTCGAACTGTATGCCCACCGTACCTGCGTCAAACCTGGAGCCATACAAGTCAAAGAAATCCATTAGAACGGAGCCAAGGTTTGGTTCTCCGACTCCTCGAGGCAAATGCTGAAGTATGCTTGTGACCAAACATATAATTGAGAAACCACCCAATCCGCCAGTGGAAACATCGTTGAGCCCTCGAATTAGAAGAAATTGTTTGATAATGGAGGCTATGACTGGCATAGCCGGATAGTCTTCTTTCCAAGCTTTGAACGTATCAATAGCTGCTAGCCCACTGCTGTTGTCGAAAGACAAATCCACTTTAAGCCCAGTGAGGCTATCCACAAACTTGATGATGGGAACGCGCGCGTGCGCAATAGTTTCAATCGACCCAGGAATTGCAACTCCAAGCCCGCGGAGATATTCAGCGAAGCTGTATATATCCCGAACTTTCTGGCAGATACTTTTCCTGCTAGAGGACATAAACTGGCGTGAGAGCAACACAAGATCCATATCTGCAGTAGGAAGGTACAGACCTGATGCAAATGACCCAAACGCATATAGTTTTGCGCCATAGAACCTTTGCCCAAAGTACGACTGAAGTCTGGATATCAGGTCACGTCTAACAATGTCTTCGTACTCTGTGGGTTTTACCCAGTGGTAGAAGTCTAGAATTTCTTTATGTAGTCTGAAACACCTAATTAGTATCCTAGAAGACGAAAAGGGGATGATAAGTGTTGCGAGTACTCACTTAGTTCCTACGTGGAGAGCTGATGAGTCTGACCGATTGAACCAAGGAGTTGGATCCTGTCCACCACGCGACCTCCAGATATCAAGGGGCGAGCCATCTGCATTAAAGAATTTCGGCCCTTTCTTCCCCCTTTTCACCGTTCCAGTGATCTCGTCGTCTCGATTTCGCTTCCGGTTGCCCAAGGCCGAATCACTTCTTTCAAGGCCTGCTGCTCTCGGTCCACTTGGAGCATTTTCCGGCGGCATATTCAGGTCCGGCTCCTCCGCGCCCAAAGATATAAAGTCATCGTTCGACACAACGGGGTTACTGGCCTCTGTAGTCGCGAGGACTGTGGGCGTTATCCGTGCCTTCCTTATCAGCTTCACGAAGTCTCTCTTCTTCCCTTGCCTTTCCTCTTCTGGCGGCAGTACGGTATAGGGATCAGGATTTGACCATTTTGGCGCGGGCGGTGCAGTTTCGGGTTCGCGTTCAATCGCCCGTTTCTTCCGCGGTGGCTGCGCGCTCTCGTCCTGCTCGTCGTGCCCATCAGCAGAGGACACGTCCATTTCAGCTTCCTCGCTGTCCGTAAGGTCTTCAAGCGCTAGGAATTTCTTTGCTGGAGCTTCATTGTCCGGATCGCCTATGAATTCCGGGGTGGTCTCGCGCTTTGCTCGTAGTAATGGCCGTGTCGAGGGGGTCGCCCGGAACGTAAATTCGTGGTGGTGCTGGCGACCACCGCGACGACCATGGCCACGGCCATCACGCTCGCGCCGGCCGTCACCGTTGCCATTCCCGCGGAAGACGTATGGCTGCGACATGCTGTCGTCTCTGTCGTCTCTGCCGTCCTGTCGCGGTCTTCAGTCGTCGGTCTTCGAGCAAGCGGAAGAGTCGAAGATGGCGTTTTTGGTGCAGGGAAATTTTGTCGCACCGTAAAAGGCGGTAAGTTGCGGCAGTTGCCCCCAAGGTTCGAGTTTTCCCACTTTTATAAAAAGGAGGCCGGCGCCTTTTCCATTCACTGTTCACTGTTCACTATTCACTACGGAGTTGGAGACACGGTGAATAGTCTATGCATGGCTACTACGAGTGAATGACGATATGTGGTGACGCTGAGGGCGATGGCGGCTCTGCTGGTGTCGAGTCTCGCGTCATTAGGCTGGCTGCAGGTGAGGCTTCTTGCAGCGGGCGAGCACTTGCATAGTGAGGCGACGTTTATTCCAACTCGACTCGACCAGAATGGACAGCATGAGACAAGAAGAGACAGTATAAGACCAGAGGAGACAGTATGAGACAAGAAAGGCAGAGACGTCGTGATCTTGCTTGAGGTGGCTACATGGCAGACTCCCAGGATGCCTATGCCCTTGGTATACGAGCTGACCTTAGAGCGTTCTACGACCAAATGTTAGGAGCAACAGAACTGCTTATTGATATCTATTCACCAGACATAACGAAGGCTATCCCTTCAATAGAGTCAGTCAACTGCAAATGTTGGGCACCAGGGCGCTGAATCCATACCTATATCAGGAACTAGATGTGGCCAACCTGCTGGCTTATCTTCCGACAACCCGGCCTTAACTCACGGTCTATCGATGATTGAACGATATGGTCAAGGTCGTCGAACGATATTCCTGGGATGGATGGGCCATGGCGTACATACATGCGATGCAGAGATGGTCGACGGCGATACCAACGAAAACAGAGCCATGTCCGCACCGTGCTATATGGCTCGGCGGCGTCATGCGAACGAAACCTGTCCACTGGAAGTTCGTTTCTCCTGTTCTTTGCGATGCATCCTCCGAATGACATGGATGGGATAGGCTGGCTTCCCCTGCTCCTCTGTATGGATTCTTGCCTGCATCCATCGCTAGCAAAAATACCTCAGCGCCTTGCAGCGAACATTCCGACCCAGCCTAAGTACGGACAGACAGGTGACTTTGTCCATCGTCATAGGCCGGGGAAGGACGAAGTTGTCACAGGTTTTACGCCTAGTCATGGCCCCTTGTACCTCTACATAGGCGTGGGCGTGGATTACTATTGGTGGCGATGTCGAGTGACTTACCCCGCTACCCATCCCTCCAAAACCTCCGGTATTTATATATGAACGCCAGCACCGCCCGTTTCTTCTTCCTCCGCCTTTCCACCGACGCAAACATCCAGCAAACCAGCCTACGCCGAATACGCCAGCTCAAAACAAATACCAGATACCTCGTTTATCTCTCCAGATATTTCAAAAATGGGTAAGCTGAATAGGCTATCTCTGCCTTAATCTCGGGTTACTAATGAGACTCGTCATGCTCACCCTTCTTTTTTTATATAGCTCCTTCCCAGACTGCTCTAGTTAACTACCAGTGCGACAACCCTAACTGCAAATGTGGTGATGCCTGCAAGTGTCCCGCCGGCTCGTGCAAATGCGGCGTAAGTCTACCAGATCTGCCGCCAGGCAAGTCATCTCTCGCGCAGCCTACTGACACATCCAAGGCCTAAACGGGGTTTCCCCCTGCCATGACGAAACTCGATGACAGTTATATCGCGGGCGTGCTGTCCGAAAACCTCTGGCCCACCGAGCGAGGGTCAAGGCAGCCGTTCCTCCATCGACCAACAAGCCTTCCAACCAAGCTTTTCTCATCCTGGATATGTTTAAAGCCGGAAATATAATAAAAAGACGGGAATTCGATATTGATAGGCTACATGTTTCGCTAAAAAGGGATAACTGCAATATAACTAAATTATGAGAGAAAAGAAACGTCGTCATCCTTCTTCCTCGACCCTTTTTCCTCGGGGTTTGATACATTTACGGGAAAGTATTCCGTGCCGCCGTGGCTGGATAGCATCAAGCAACCCAGTCTTGGTTTCTCGTACAGTACGTACTCGGGGGATCACACTCGTTCTCCCCAGGTTTCAAAGCCAAGATAGCGTTCGAGGAGGCGAAAAAAAGGAATGCTATTACGTAGATATAATAGACCTGTCAGCCGAACTTCGTATATCCGCCATAATTAAGTGTCCAGAAACTAGCTGGCGATTCGCTAACTTCCCGCATATCCCCAAAGTTGCCTTGGGCCTGTCATTGGAGACATCAGACTCCCTAGCGCCGAACCTCCAGCTCCTCACAGCTCTGGTCATCGCGCTATAACTACAACAACTTGGTTATGTACATACGAGGTGTCCTGACAGGCAGAGCGGTCTCGGCAGCCGGAATGGTGGCCCTGAAAGCCAATAACTTCGAGACTCCTTACACCACACCAGACATCCTGCCAGGTTGACCTGACACTATAAGGTATGCAAGGCGAGGCCAGAGGAGATAGCCGAGCTTCCTCGTTGACGCCCATATACAGCAATAATATGCAGTCACACGGCCTCCCTTATGTCTAAGTGAAGCGGGATTTGTTTCCTGGCGAAGAAGAGTTTTGATATCGTTTATCGTTTTTTTACGGGCCTGCTCGTTGCTTTTTGCGCTCCTGTGACTCCATCCCGAACACGTAGCAGCGACAGCTAATGAACGACCAGATGCCATTTGCAGCCTCGGAAGGCAGAATACAACTCTTGTTCCGCATAATTCACGCTATCGCAGAGCTCCACACCGCGGGGTTTGCGGCCAGCTGCTTGATGTCACAGTGCAGGCCATTTCACCCATCGACCGGACATGTCCAGGGGATATCCGCCGGATATATGTACGCATTCGATGCATACGGCGTACAGGACAAGGGGGATGCAGCAGATATGCTGAGTTTAGTCTGGATTTTGGCGTTGTAACGCTGATGCATGGTTATCTGGGTTCCGGACGCTACGCTCTTTGGTGCCCTCATGCAAAGGAATGCAATGCATGTTTATTTCCTTTTTGTTATTCTGATGTTTGATACCCTTGCCCTATGGCGTCTGGTGGTATCGCCGGTAGTGTTGGAAGGGGGGCCAGTGGCTTTCTATCCAGTTCTATCCCGAGGGATGAATGGCTTCAGTTACTTGTCCGTCTAAACGCTTGTCTCTGATTCGACTTCCCACTCTCCACACTCTTCTGCTGTTCGGGCTATCAAGGCCGAGTGAGGGGTTGGGGATATCAAACAGCCCTCCGCAGCTTCAACATAAAAGGCAGCTCCTCTCCCCGTATATTCCTCTTCTTCTTCTTCCTCTTCCCATCACGACACAAGAATCCAAAGCAATCTACAAACTTCCAACTCAACCAAATCTTCAGACACTTTCGTCAACCCAAACCCCCCCCAAATCAATCAAAATGGCCCCATGCTCTTGCAACTGCTGCCCAGGAGAGTGCTCCAGCTGCTCTTGCGACACCTGCAAGGTGAGAATACCCCCTGATCTATACAAATTCCTCGAGGAACCGTGTTTGAATACAGACCCCAAAATCCTAACATAAAACACCATGATAGCACTAAATGAACTATGAACGTCATCCCGACCCTTTAATTTCTCTCTCCTCCATATTGCAGCGACAACATCGACTCCTCCCGCCGAACACCTCAAATACCGGGCCAAAACTGCATTGACAACATCCACCTCGCTTGAACCCAGACAACCACCCCAATGCGCAGGATATAGGAGACATGGGAACGGATTTTGGACATACGACTTTTTTGAGGACCGACCTTGTTTATATTTCTTCCTGCTAGCTCTGAAGCCAGCCAGTCAATTCACCGCACACTCCTTTTATGTCAATTTAAACGACTTGGTTTTTGACAAAAACCCCTATAGTTACAGCCATAGAAGAATCAAGTCACCAATCTGCAGGCCTGCAAACAAATTCTCGCTTACTTCCATCTCTTTTTCCTTAATAGATCATCATATTATACAGGTTGAATTAAGCAATGCGTTGAGTTAAGCAATTACAGCTAGTACCTCTAAAGGGGTAACGTTGGGGTCCCGTGCGTTGATATTAGTGCCAGAGGAGAAACTTGTATCAGCTAGAGACGAAAGTATGTTTCTATCCAATTTGCATGTCAATACGAGAACGATTTCTGGCCTGAAGTAAGTTCTATAGCCAACCGGATGTAAACTAGTTCTATATACGGCTTAGAAAAAAAGCAAAGGCCCTAGTGTCCAATCGTCCTATAATATTTTTATAGCTCATCCTTTCCGCTGCTTTCCGCCTCATTCTTCCCTGGAGAGTCACAGACTGCGGGGGTGGTCACGAATATAGAGTAGATACACTTCTCGTCCTCTGAGATTTTCGTCAGCTCGTTGTTCTCACCACACTCCAGAATCACTGTCGTCGATCGAGAGGGGCCGTTCCAGCATGATTGGCCGTTGGTGTACAAGAGCGTGACCTTCGTTTTCTGTACAATTTGGCCAGATGGGGTGGCCTCGTCCACAACCATGGAGGAGATCTTCTCGAAATTGCCCATCGTCGTATCTCCACGGCCTTTCTTGGATTTCTGCTTAGTCTGCTCCATCCAGCAGAGTTCATAAGTATACTCGCCTGAATCCTTGGAGATACATTCTCCCTTGAGTGCTCGGAAAACAGAGTCAGCGCCAAAGTCATGTTCGAGGTCGCCTTTGTGTCTCTTGATTTCTGATTTTTTCGAGTCAAGAGAAGACTGTGCGTTAGAAACTCGGTCTCTGGCTTCTTTCACTGCTCGTGGTTCATTCGAGTCACTATCAAGTGAATTATCTGCAAGAAGGCCGTTCGAGACCAATGCGGATCGGAGGCCGGAAAGGCTATCTTCGATGGAGTTCACAACACTAGCAGGCAAGAAATATGCCAACTTGTATACTAAACTGTATGTTAGAAATACGTCCTGAATAAATAAAAAAAGGGTACAATCCTCAGTTTTAGACTCACTTAACCCGACTTCGGCTTCTTCCGCCCACTGTTCCGGGTCGTTGAATGGTTCATCGTGCTCGGGTTTAAGGGCATCAAAGAGGTCGGCATCCCCAAAGAGGTCACCGTCCCCTTCTTCCTTTCGTGCAATGTAGTCCTCCCAACTACGCACAGCACGTTTTACACCCTCGTCGTTGAAGTTCGGGTTATACTCTTCTTTAAATTTGGAAAGTATCCCCTCGGCCTCACGCAAGAGATTTACCACTTGATCCCTTTGGTGGTGTACTTCCGCTAGTACGGTTCGGAGGGTATCAGTCCTAGTCTTTGCAAGTTGTGCCAGCTCATAGGCCTTTCCTTGTTTCTGACCACCAGCTGATTTACCCCTGTTGTTTGCTCGGACAGTCTCCAACTCTGCCTCGAGGTCCTTGACTGAAACTTCAAGCTCCTGGGCTTCCTTCTCAAGAACGGAAATTCGCTCCTGCATTTCCCGTTTCGTTTTGGATGACTTGGCAACGAGTTCCTTGCGTTTTCGTAAAGCTGTAGCGTATGATTTATCTTTCTCCTCTTCGGTCTTCTTCCATTGCTTTCCGATCTCCTTGCATTTATCCTCGCATTTTAGACCGCCAACGTGTGCCCACTCATCACTTCCGTCACAGCATATGTCGTAGTCACAGACCCCATCGTTGACTCTCTGGAAGTTGACATAAAGAGGGACATGGCCTTTATTCTTGCAGTAAAAGCCTGGGAGTGCTAGTGTGTTATTTGTCTTATCATTTCCAGGGTTGGATGAATATGACGGAGAGAGGGAGGATATAAATGAGCAAGCCGAGGTGCCAGGTTCATCACTGCCGTCTGGACAGTCACAATAGTCATCATTAACGGCAGAGAATGGTATCTTGATCGAAGGGTTAGAAATGCATGTAAAGCTCGTTGTGTCCTTGTAAAACTTGGCAACTAAATTGCGTCCGAACCGCCAGTTAGCCTGATTGGTTGCTTAATCTGAATATGAGGATATCAAGAAGGTAGATGGTGGACTTTACATTCTGGCCCTACTCCCCTCGGACGGGGTCCTTTCTCGCCTGCGGCTACACATAGTGTAGGACCCACGGCCGCCGTAAACAATAGCAAGAGGGAGCCTCGGTTCATGGTGATGGCATTGGGCCACGTCCAAAGCGCGACTCAGCAGCCTAAGTGACTTGGCTCAAAAAGCAGCTGTTGCAAAGCCAGTATGCGGCCGTTGGAAGATGAACTTGGAGTTGACCGGACAGTTGTCTTGTTCTTAAGCTTCCTCCACCGCGGCGGGAGCTTGTGGTCACGTGCCGAGGAGAGGCGATATCAAACTTCGAGATAGGGACTCCAGCCTGGACACCAGCAACCAACAGCTGAATACTGCTTAAGATGGGTAATGACGGTGGAAGGTGAGTTGTTCTCTCATATATAGTTTAATGACCGCGTTTCTAACATCGACCTATTTAGCATCCCGACTCGCCGCGAGCTGGTGAAGGAAGCTGCGCGGAATCCAAACACTACGCAGCTGAAGGAGACGCTTCGCGAACACCTCGAACATTTCTGGACTACATGTCCTTTGTCTCACAAGAGGTTACTGCATCCTATAGTGTCAGATGCTGTAGGGAACTTATACAATAAAGATGCCCTTTTGCAGTACCTTCTCCCCGGAGATGATATCGAGGCGATTAGCTCAAAGGCCGACTGCGATGAAGTTCTCCAAGGAAGAGTCAAATCGCTGCGTGATGTGGTTGAGCTCAAGTTCGAAGCCGATGGAAATGCCGAAGCGCCAAATGGGAAACAGAAAGGGCGGTGGATCTGCCCGGTTACCCAAAAGGAGCTTGGCCCAAACGCGAAGTCTGTGTATCTGGTTCCCTGCGGACACGTATTTTCTGAGGGGGCCATCCGCGAAATGAAAGCTGATAAATGCTTACAAGTAAGTGCGACTGCGCTCCTACCAGACGTTTGTTGAGTGCCTGCTAACAAATACATCTCTATAGTGCAACGAGCCATACGAATCAACCGACATAATTTCAATTCTTCCAACTGATAAGTCAGAAAAGGAACGCCTGAAATTGCGAGTCGAAGAATTATCTCATCGGGGCCTCGCCCACTCTTTGAAAAAGCTTCCTGGATCAAGCAAAAAGAGGAAGAAGAACCGTATGGATGCAAACGGCGATGTCGAAAATGGCATTAAATCAGAGCCCCCATCAAATGGCAAAGTCAACGGCAGCAGCAAGACGCCTATTCTATCTTCCACTTCTGCACCTGTGGGGATCAAGAACGCGGACACCGCCATGTTAACCGCCAGAGTCCTCGAGGAACAGAACGAGCGCCGCAAGCGTAAGAAGACCTCAGGGACAAGTGACGCCGTCCAATCCCTTTTCACGTCCAAGAATAAAAAGGGCGGGAACAATAACATGGACTTTATGACTCGAGGCTTCTCAATTCCACATTAGCCTACCGACAACGTCATTCCCATTCCTTGTTCGCTGTGAACTGCTTATACCTAGTAGTATGTTATTTTTACTACACGACGATGTGATTATTCTACAACAAAGCGGTCATAGAGCAAGATACCTCGCCCTCGGCGATCTGGGGTCATTGCTCCATGGATTTCCGAAATAACCCATAACCACAGGCAAGAATTCAAATCAGCCTTGCTTGGGCTACCGAAGAGGACATCTTATCTTAACCCTCAAGTGGGAACCCCGTTTCGCCATAGGCTCACTACTAGCCTCGGTCTACACATTATGTCAGAGCTAGCTGTAACATATCGATCTCCCTTCTAACACAGCGAATGTGTATGTTTGCCGACGATAAAGCAGGCTCAACAAGGGGCACGCCTACCAATAAGCGGACCTATTTGACGCGATAACATCCCAAAATTTATTTTCGACATTGAGGATGTGAAAATAAAGTCCCACATAGGCTACGTGAGTCTATAGAATTCCTATACACCACAATGAATAGTGGTTACAAACATTTCTAAATACCTAAAAGCTTACAATGCTTAAGCTGGTATTAAAGATGCCTAAAGAATCAAAGGACGAGTATATACTTGGCTGGGAGTTAACAGGATTACTCTGGCGTGTTATTGCGTCGCGTCCATTTCAAGTTTTAATCGACTTAAATAAAACGATATCCTACAAGTCGTCAAATGATCAGAATATGACATGCTCAAGATAAAGTACATTTATTCTAAAATTAACCCGCCATAACGAAGGAAAGTGTCCTATTTTACATGCAATATGTAGATTGCTCTCGAAGGCTCTTTTGAGGGATCTGACACCCACTAAGCTTGATTTGGGAGCATGAGCGCACACGATCATGCTGTTTTGCGGCCAGTAACCGGTAGACCCCTCTTAATAAGTTCTTCCTCGATAACTTTCCATTGGCCGGTCTCTATTTCGCGGTCGATGGGGGTTTGTCTCCTATCGTAAATCTTGACGTTAGGGATGCCATCGAATATGCCTTCGGCGAGGAGTTGGTCGGCAAGTTTGGTTGGTTTTGGAGTCGAAGCGCGGATGAGATATTCTAGGACAGCTGAGGGATTGGACATTGATGCAAGTTCGTGGTCGGGAATGAGATGTCCTGTCAACTGACTGGCCCTTTTAAGGTACTGGTAGAGGGAATATTGTTAGTATCAAGCAAATATACTGCAAAGGCTATACAAGGAGAGACATACGGCAAATTTCAAATCTGGAGATCCCAAGGCAACATTTAGGAACTCTGTATTCTTAGGTGGGCTAAGTTCGAAGGACGACGTCTCCTGCGTGAGTTCGGATGCAGAGTTCATCTCGGACTCCGTCGAAGGGACTTCTTCAGTGGCTGCAGGCTCCTCGGTAGAAATCGCGTCAAATTCACGGAAGAATTCAAAGATTTTAGCCTTCACATCTTCGCTGGGGAAAGCCAATGCAGCTTCAGACCCATCGGTAGATGGAGTAACCTCGACCTGGTTGATGAGAGCTAAAGTCTCAGGTCCATGTTCCAAAATATCGCAGGCAGACCCCAGTGGCTTATTGAGCTCTTTCAAAACGCTCAATTCGACCATAACCTGGTGCAGGATAGCTAAAATATCGTCATTGTTCGTAACCTTTTCACGTCGCATAAATCTGTATATAATAACTCAGTTAGTCTCTCTAATTGCTTCCTCCCTCAAGAGGTAAAGCCGAAGAAATAACTTACGCATCAAATCTATCCATCTCGGTTGCTGGTTTATCCCACCATTCTCCCAAGGATCCAATATGTTCTAAGCCATCCCATGTCGTCGCAGGTACATAATCCCCTACTGGCTCAGCACTTGCTTCCGCCGTTGCGGCCTGGACAGGCTCTTCTGGGACTTCGTGCGACTCGGGCTCTCTGGAGACTTCTCCTTTCGACTCTCGAAACTCACGAGCTCTTCTCTCGAGTATGCTTTCACCCCCATATGGATCCTTCAGACCTGGAGGATTTTCTGTACCCCATAGCTTTCGTCGTACTATTTCGGTGAATGGAAGGTTGTCAGACGAGTTGTATCGACGGCTTGCGGTGTAAATCAGATTTCGGGTTCTTGGGAGCGATTGCCAGCGGCAATTCGTGCAGACATAGCGAGAACCGGATAGCTGCGACGGCAGTGCCTCCAACGACCGCAACAGGGGCCTTGACGATGGCATTGTGCTGGTTGTATTCGTTGCGATAGTTGCTGCACTTTATCCCAGTCGAAACAATTCATCTTCAATCAAAAAGGACTTTTATGCCAAGGCTAGGCACGTGATAGTTTACCATACCCCAGAGAAAGTTTATTTTGCACACTTCTTACTGAATATCAAGATGGGACTTATTAAAAGTAAAGACACGCAATAGAAGAGCAATTAGTTGAATTATTTTAATAATCCTGAATGTATGATCGATCCCTAGTGTACAGTTTACAACCCCAAAATCAGGTTGAAAGCAGAAGGCAAGGAACCAGTCCTTCTTCATTTCAACGCGGCGACCAACACCAAATACTGGCCATTGGATAATATGCAGAAGGAAAAGGGTATCTCTATACGGGAAAACGAGAAATCCAGCGAGTTAAAGAAATAAACTGAGAAGATCCCTATCCATAAGGCGACGTAGGGCTGGCTGGTTGAGATGGTTGCCGACCGGGAGTTTTGGATATGATAGCCGGTAGTTGGTGCACATCCTAAGAGTATACAAAGTGGCTATAGTGTCCAGGGACACGGCGTTGGCATTTGTCACAGTCAGCCCGAAATCCCATTGCTATGCTAGGTTTCTTCGGTGGCCTGGGTGTGGTTGGCGGCGTGCGGATGATCTTGTTCTCGAGGTTGTTGTGTAAATGGTGGGCCTCCGGATTTGTACGACAAGAGTAGGATATTGGGTTTGCCGCTCGCATGATATTGAGCCCATCTCGGGATCCCAAAGACGTGACGTTATTCTGGGTTATAGAAACGAGTGGAGTTGGGTTATCGAAGTACGAGCCAAAATGAGAGGCGTTTACCGCAGATTTAAGCAGTATACCATGTCGAGTCTTCGATTCGTCTTGGTCTTCACTTATATGGTTAGGAAGGTGACAACCCGATAAGTATGTGTCATTGGTTTGTGGGATATAGGGACCGTCAACAGAGGTTGCCGAGGAATCACTGTCAGGGGTACCACCTGAAACTTGGTCAGCCGCTGTGTTGTAGGCAGAATGGGGGTATCTTGGTGACGCAGAACGACTGGCTCCATCTGTGAAATCGAAGGCGTTGCCAACAACTTGGTGGGAGACCAGAGAATCCAGGTTATCTTCGCGGTGTTTTATATGAGGAAAGCAGGTAGACCACCCCGGGTGGCTAGTAGATGCTGCTGACAGGCAGTCGGTCATTTCCAAGTCGGAATCTGCCTCGGTATATACTCGGCCATCGGATGGGGACAAGACATGGTAGTGCGGTCTGGGTCCTGCGCCGTATATCGGTTTGTTACACTCATTGGAGGTGTCGTTGTCATCCACTTGTGCTCCCACCAGGGTACGGGGTAAGGGCGTAAAGCTGTGAGTTTGGGCATGCTGCATCGAAGGGCGAAGGCATAGAGATTTGAGTTTCTGATCTATATATTAGAAACGAGCTGAGAGATGATATGTCGGGGCTGACAAGGTATTCGGCTATACAAACCTTTCTCCTCAACATCACTTCCCCCTCCAAAGCTCCATCTACCTGTTCCTCCTCCCTAGCCCGTTTGGCAGGGTAACTTAACATGAGCATCGCGAACCGGACGATCCTAAGCTCGAAGCCTTTAAAGTCGTCTCAAAATCCTATGGGCAGTCCGGGTATAGCAATAGAGTGAAGCTCATTGAGAGTGACGGCAGAGAAACAGCAGCCCTGCTCCTCCTTTAAGCGTAGGAAAGAACACAGCTGCTCATGGTAAGCAACACACCCTGCCTTCCAGAGGGAGCCGAAAGCACCTCGCGTAGGCGGTCTGCCTGTATAGAACAGCCACGAATAGCTGCAGGGTCCTGCTCACGTAAATATGCCAAACAACAATGGGGGACCTTTTACGATCTTTAAAAGCTGCGTCAGTAAATAAACCTTGGGAGGCAAACGCCAGGCACAGTCTTGGCGTGATGTTGATTAGTTATGTAATATCCTCTTTTAGCTGCATGAGGCAGGGAACATTGCATGGACGAGACATCGACATCTCCATCTCGACAGCGACGTGGCCATGGAAGAGGCCGTCTCAGGTGTTCACGACGAGGTGTGCCGTTAGATGTGTGATATATGCTCCCTGACGATACCCATACTCTATTCCGTGCTGTCGACTTTTTCAGTATCGACCGTTGGTTCCTACGAAGATAGAGCGGATAACGCAGCTCTAATCTCAGATTGATACCCTAAAAACCATGCTATCTAGTGCTTGGTAGCTGGTCATGGAGTTCACTAATAGTGGAACACCCGATCTCGCCGCCATATTAAAGACACTCTCGTCGTTCAATACTCCTCAGACTGGCCAATCTCAAACCCCCAACACGTCATTACCACCAAACGATTCTCGCCATGACAATCACTCTAGGATACTTGCATCAAACCAACCCACCCGTAATCCGGGCCACCGAGCACCACAGGAGCTAGCAGCCGCCTCGAGCAGGCAGGCTTCGGGGTTTGGGCCTCAAAGCAAGAGCTCTGTTGATCCGTATACTATCACGACATGGCCAGCTGCTATCAAGTGTGTGATGAAAACCGTTGCTCAGAATGAGACAGTTCAGTACCGGATCCGTCGGCTGATTGCCACACAACATGAACACGAGAAGAATTGGTGGCAAGGGCGACAGAGACTTTTAGCAAAGCAAAAAGCGCGCGTCGGGAATCAGAAGAAGCTAGACGAAGTGCTGTAAGCATCGACCTTCTACTCTCTCATGGAACTCTCTTTGATTTTATATATACGTTTATTAGACGAGCCGTGGGCGGCAAAGTTACCAATCAGCCACATGAAGCTGTAAGTAGCGAATTCTACACCGCCATGTCCGTAGACACAATACTAACCAAATAACAGGCACCACAAGAAGATGAGCTTGAGATCAAACACTATGATGACAAAGTCTACAAGGCATCAACAGAAATGTCCAAGGCTCTTGATTCGGAGCTTAAAGCCCTTGGGATCCCCTTTTTTGCGATTAAACAAGACCTCATCCGGCCTTCACCGTCGGATGGCAGCTCAAAACCAGAAGACGTAAATAGCAGCACAGATAATTGTATCACACCCGAAGAGGCAACCGTACTGCGGCAAAGGATGCTGGAGCTTCTACAAGACCTTTGCAAGGAGTGAACTGGGAATGACACCCTCTATGGACAAAAGCAGTGCAGCTTCCTGGGTTTGGGGTTAGAATAGGATCTCGATTTCTTTGGTATTATCATGTACTCAATGCCTCCGTCTGTTGTTCTCCTTGGGCCACGATGAGAGCTGTATAAATGTGAATTTTTGTACTTCATCCGACGGCTTCTTGGCTCTCACCCCCTAAGAAATATCCGATCCCACTACGCTATTGGGCCGGATATAAGTGGGTACGGGTGTTTCACGGCAATCCAGCCGTCTTAAAACCCAGCCATCACGCTCGCTTGACTCAATTTTTGTGTTGGAATCCGAAATTCAGCTGTGCAGGCTGAAAAGGATCCTTCATGGTTGCGTGCCATGGTCGAAGTCTAGGAATTGTGCAGCTGCGCTTGGATGGAACAGAATGGCGAACTTTCATACGTTACGGCGTCGACGAGAGAACACCAACGACTAAGGTTTTGGCCGCCAGGCTACAGGGTGAATTACGAGAGAAATCGAATTGAATGCAAAGATGACCGAAATTTTTGACCGCGAGAGAACATTTTCCCAATATGAAACAAGAATCTATAACTTCCTATACCAACAGACATATCCCACTTGTTTTACGGAATCTTTCTAGGTTCATCGAAAATTTTGACCAGAGCATGAATGTTTGATACAATCCTCTAGTTATGATTTACCACTCTTCCCAATTAGATTTTCCCCAATGCAGCCTTGCTTTCTAGGCCTTCTTGGAACGGACCTCCCTCCTCGTACGTACGGCTTCTGCAAGTTGTTCGAGGACGACAACAGTCGTCTCCCAGTTAATACAGGCGTCGGTGATGCTGACACCCTTGATGAGTCCCGAAGGCCCTTCTGGCGGGACTTTCTGGTTGCCTTCAGCGATATTGGACTCGATCATGACTCCAATGATACCCTCTTCGCCATTGCGTAGCTGGTCGCCAACCGCCTGTGCTACTGAAGGTTGATTTCGGTGATCCTTCTTGGAATTGCCGTGCGAACAGTCAACCATTAGAATCTCACGCTGTTTCTTCTTAGCGAGCTGCTCGCGTGCACCGGCGATACTCTCGGCATCAAAGTTGGTGCCCTTGGTACCACCGCGGAGGATGACGAAGCCATGCTCGTTACCGGTTGTCTTGGTGATCGCAGCCAGGCCTTGCTTGGTCACTCCCAGGAAACGATGTGGTTTCTCCGCAGCACCTATTGCATCGATTGCGACCCCAATGCTTCCGTCCGTGCCGTTCTTATAACCGATGGGGAAACTGAGCCCAGAAGCAAGCTCACGATGTAATTGAGATTCAGTGGTACGGGCACCAATGGCACCAAGGGAGATAAGATCGGCAAGATATTGAGGCGAGATCGTATCAAGCATCTCGCTGGCAATCGGCATACCCATACCATTCAGATCAGCATACAATTTTCGAGAGATGCGAAGACCCTTGTTGATGTTGTACGATTCGTCGATATCGGGATCGTTAATCAACCCTTTCCACCCGACAGTTGTCCGAGGCTTCTCTAGATATGCTCGCATGATAATACACAAATCACCCTTCAACTTGTCGGACAAAGCTTTTAGGCGTCCGGCATACTCGAGAGCGGTTGGAGGATCGTGGATCGAGCATGGCCCGCAGATGACGAGAAGGCGGTCATCACGCTGTTCTATGACCTCAATGACCTCCTTACGACTCGCGCGGACGGTTTCTACTGCAGCAGCCGGCTAATAAGTCATATCAGAGACGGTGTCAGAATTTCCATCGATGCCCATCCACGATGCGGGGCAAGCTTACCACAGGGACCTCTGTCTGGAGGAATTGAGGCGAGAGCAATGGGTCGTATCCCAACACTACAGCCCGAGTTAGTTCCCTGGCCATCATTCGGATGCTATTTCAGGAGCGCGCACCTCTGCTATCATCGTTGTCCTCGACGGTGGGTTTAGCGAAAGGCATGCTGCGCGGGCTTGTTCTGCAGCTCAAATGAAGAGAGAGAAGCAATTGGGTCCTGAGTGGTGAGATCCAAACTATCGGACTTGTATACGGGTGAAGGGAAGAAAAGGAAGAAAACTTCACAAGCGATTCCGGGGGGCGGCCTTATTATGTGTGAGTCAACCAGCGCTTGTGTTCTCTTGTGCCCAAAAATTTGAAAATCCGCCAAGACCAGAAGGTTGAGCTGCGCTGGCTGATAGGACCACGTGATACCTTCACCGCGTTATCTGGAGTCGACGGATCGAGTTATATCACTCGAGTTTATGCTGGCTATGGAGTACATTAGTACGCCGTGAGAGCCCAATCAGAGACGGCATCATGCTCAGCAAGCAGTGGGCGACCAGCGAGCGAACAGCGCAGACTTGACGGTTTGCCCCAACGGCTGGCTGAGGATGCAGCTCGGTAGCAGAATTTAGAATACGTCGACTCTCACAGACCAGACGGGCATTAAATGCTTCAAGAAAGAGTGTTTTCTCTTTGTTCAGTCTTCTCAGATTGTGTAAAGATATGCTGCATGATAATTCTTGCATGGCATATCTACGAAGATTATTAACTACAGTGACCCAGTGAGGAAGCAGATGTGCAATATTCCAACATGTAGCTTTTTATGAAGCATTCTTTATAAAGCAGCCTATATATAATCTGTGCTTGAAGCAGGAAGGGCAATAACATGGCTTATTGTCTGCTAAATCTTTCTCTATGTGAATCCCCTTGTGGTATACATATTGGTACTTCTTCTACTTAGGATCAAGTGCTAGGCTACGCGATAGAGTGCCGGACAACCACTTAGATATCTTATCTAGCAATACTATGGTTTATTTCTGTCCTATCTTTGATAGTACCCTCTTCCCGCTCTTTTCCCTCGCTTGTAGCTTGCATCTCAACAGCAATGATTTACTGTCCCTTACCTCTCTCATTATATCTAGTTACAATGAGTTCAGAAGCCAGCTCAAGTTCAGACATGGACCTATCATGACAGGAGATCTAGCCTCAGATTGAGAGATCTCCCATCAGCTTTACCTTGACCTATTGCTTCATCAATCTTCAATGGATCTGTTATCTTGATCTGCTGAGTCATCTCACAAAAGCAGCCAGTCCTAATTTCTCTTTTAGGATTAGTGTCTGTCCTCTTCACCTAGTTTTGTTTTCTTCACGTGACCAGACTCATTATCACGTGCACACCTTGTTCTGACTTCGGATTATCCAAATCTCCGTTAGTTCAGCTTCATTTGCAGCTTTGGTTCTAGTAAGTTATATCTTTCTTCTCTTCTTGCACATCTCTACTTCCCCTTCAGACAATGGTGATGAGAAAGAAAAGACCACCTCTATAGCTGGGGGCGGAGAGCCGAGGGATAAGAAGCTGGGGGATTTCGCGGTTCCCCTGCTCCTTATCCCTCGAGTTATGTCTGTCCTATGTCTTAAGGGGTGGGATTACATTGTCTATTTCTTTTGTCATTTCAGTTATTTAAATTACCCTCCTTGCCTACAGGATCATCTCCTAGACCTCTAGTAGGAGAGGATATATGTGGCCCAAGCTAATTAAGTACATATGCCCATCCCAGTCCCCCTTTACGTTCTAGGCTTGAGGGGAATAAACCCTTTGAAATACGCCTACCATCATATTCTAGACATATTTAACCGTGTGACTTCTCCTAGGTATAGACTTGGGCCACTAAGTCTTGGCCAGAGAATCTCAGATCCTCTGGGCAGCATCTCAACTTGCTGCTAGGCAAGAATGGGGGCGAAGGGGAATCTGAGCTCACTCTCCATAAGCAAGTGGAGGAGGCTTAAAGAGAAGCAGTCTTATGGGGCCGAGCAGGAAGCCCTAGAGAAGGAATATGCCAAATGCGAGGTACACAGCGGCGCAGCCAAAGCGGTCCCTGAACCGGAGCCCGTTACTGATAGCTCAGCCAAACCATTCGTTGTAAATGGCAACAACACTTCTTCACGGCCTTCTAACGCTCAAAAGCAATTACCACCTTTATTTGAGCCTTCCATAAAAACTGAGGTCGAATCTGTGCGTGCTTCATTCGAACGACTTGGGATAGTATTTGGTTGCCCAGAAGAACCCGAATCGGTCTCTCCACCAAGTGCACGGTACCAGCCAACTATGGATGAAGGAGCTACACAGAAACTCAACGAGCTTCATCTGCACCATCCAGTCATGGATGTTCCGCTGTATGCTGGTGGTGGTAGTAGTAGCTACGGTTATCTATCTACCGGCCCTCATTTTCCTGCTCATGTCGACCCTCTCCATCTTCCACTAGGATCTCCACCCTCAGGCTATCGTTCACCAGCACACCAGGGGTCATTCTTCACCAAGAATGACGCTACCACTGTACCCTTATCTGGATACCCAACCCGCTGTGCTGTCTATGACAACCATACCCCTATGCCTCCCAAGGCTTATCCTGCTCTCCCTCCGAAGCCACAGGCCTTACTAGCCGCTCTGAATCATCAGGCCGCATCAAAAAAAGACACCTGTTCTTGTAGCCAGGAGAAAAAGCAAGGAATATTGACTGCCTCCCATCTCTTAACATCCTTTAAGTCTGGGAATTATTCTGATTTAAACCTCACTTTGTACTCGTGCACAAGCGTGTTCCTATCAACCACATACTCCATCCATCGGGTTATTGCATCAAGAAGCAGACGGCTAGCTCCTCTACTGGATATACGTGAGAACGGAAAGGATACCAAAATGATCTCTGTATATGCCGGAAGGTCTTTTACTCATCCAGCGGCGTTTGAATCAGCTTTGTTATATTTGTACGGACAACCTTTGGTTGATCAACATCAGTTATACAGTCAGATTCCCCTTCCACCAAACCACATCACCCAAAATATGGCATCAAATAACCTTGCAGCCTCAGCTGCAAGGATTTCGCGAATGAACTTTGCTCTTTCCTACGCTACGGCGGGGGCGTTTTTGATGGATGAGAATATCGTGGAGCGTGGAATAGAATTGGTTTCCAAAGTTTTATGCTGGGGAAGTTTGGAGACCGCATTGTCCTTTGGCTTGTGTCCGGTGCACTTCGAACTCACATCTATCGATGAGGGTGTTGGGGCCAGTTTCTCAATGTCGAACGATTCAGACGACAGTATAGATGATGGCATTGCGCCTCACGTACGAGACACGAATCACAAGCTCTCAGGTTGTCGTTTAAATCCCGATATGATAATAACTCTGGCAAAGAAAGTTCTAAATATCTCACTTCACTTTGTCGTCGCCAATATTCCCCCGGACTTCCAGCTCGACAAGCCCAGCTCTTCACATATTTGTCACCCTCAAATCAGTGGAGTGACGCCACCTATAACCCTACTTTTTCTATCCCTACCTTTCAACCAGTTGAGAAAACTGTTCAAATACATGCGGTCTACCGGGGATTTGACTGAGGAGTTCGTTAGAGAAGTCATTCACGAGCGAGAAATACGTCGCATGCAAGCATTACGGAATCTTGCCTTGAGAGGAAACCTTCGCAGCCATTTGGATCCTGAACATGAGGTGCTGGGATGGGAGGAACACGCTTTATTTACTACCAAGCAAGCTTCTGGAGCCATTATAGGTCGTGATTGGAGAGGTTTAGAGATCCGCCCTGTTATGCTTGCTTCTTGCCGGTTGAGGAGATCTAAAAGCTTTTGAATGCCCTGTTTCTACCAGTTTTATGGTCATGGATCTCTCAAACCAGTTCGAGTGCACTGTTCTGGGCAGCGGACGGATATCGGTATATGCATCGTACCACCAGCGGGATGCCCTCGATATCTCAAAGATCAACCAAAGAAGGTAGAACATACTCACAGACAGGCCCAATCGTTAGGATGGATATCAACGGAGATGTCAATTTCTTGTTCCTTAGCCTTTTCCTTTTTTCTTCAGTGGTTTACTTGAGCGCTTTGATACCAGAATGCATTTATCATCATCTTTGCAGATCCATAATGAGTAGGAGCGTAGCGTATGGCCAATAGAAGTATCGATGGTATCAAATCATGATCAAATACTTACTACCTAAGAAATTTTCAATTTATAATTTGATTTTACACTATACTATACCTGAATGTTTTGCTCATATGTAACAGTTTAGATCATGAGTGCGAAAGCAAGGTCGTACGAGGTACTACACAGCTAGAAAAGAAGAGAAGAAAGAAGATGGTTACCTAAATCATTCTGAATTTAAAGGAGAAAAGCTCCCTCCCTGAGGGCATGAAAAAGGGGTATTTAACATCAAGGCCAGACAGCCAATCGGATTTAGAATAGAACTTCTGAAAAGGAAGCGTGAAAAAAAAAGAAAGTGACACATGTCGTAGGTCAAGTATGAAAGTAAACCGATGAAGGTAAAATAAAAATGTACACAAGAAAAGTAGAACAAATTTTGTACACAAAGTCTTAAAAACGGTTAGTGGCTCAGTGGAAAGTGGTATATTCCGGTTCCTGGGTACATCTATCGAAAATTTGTCGAAGAAAAATGGCCCGGGTTGAATCCAACAAAGCGAAGGTATCACAGTAGCTGAATAGTAAAAGAAAAGGCGACTTAAAACATGCCATCTACCCGATTTTGCTTTGGTGGTTGCGGCATGGCCGGCGAGTTCCCATTCATTAGCTGATGCCTAGCCTTAGCGTTAAGATTCCCCCCTTCGCTCGATATCTTTCGGAGCCTTTGTCGGGGTCTAGGTCGCTTCTCCTCGTCCGAAAATGTACTATGCTCCTCCGACCTGCGAGGCCCACCAGCGCTACCGGGTGGTGGAGGATGGTGATGGTGGAGATGATCACCTCTATCAGCGGAAGGGCTTCCCTTGAAGGCGCCAAGGATGGTCTGTGTTGTGGTTTGTCGTTTTCTCCTAGGATTCATGGGAGGAATTGGTGGAGTTGCGGATCCATTGGACAGGCTGGCCCCGGGAGGTAAGCCGATAGTGGGAACATTGGAAGTGGTTGAAACAAATGTAGGCTCAGATATTTGGGACTTGTCCACCAATCTCTTATGCGAACCAAGGCTTTGTTGCGTGGTGCTGGGACCAGGGCCTGGAGGGTTTCGCTGGGGCGGGGGGTATTGCATGGGCGGGCCACCAAATCCTCCAGTGGTCGGGGTTGCCGATGCAGGCGAAGTTTCATATAAAGGAGGAGTTGCATTGGCCGAGTATGGGGTAGAAGGCGATGGCCTTGGTGAATTCGTCATGGCAGGGAGATGGGTGGTTTGAAGTGAAGGGCTCGGAGCGGGAAGAGATCTCAGGTCGATGTGGTTTGGTGCGACTGGTCTAGAGTTACTCCTGTATCTTCCTGTGGATGCAGAACGGTCCCTCGCTCTACGGTCATTCGATTCCGTGGATGGTCGAGTGGATGAGCTCCTGGATGCTTTGTCCTCAGTTGATGGTCTACCTTTCCTTGGCTGCTCGATACTTTCTCTAACAGGCCCGAGATCTTCACGATGTCTAGGCCGGCTTTTTGAGCGACCAGAAGTATCTGAATCGGATCTATCTCTGAGCCCACCCCTCCAGGCTGACGAAGCACTATCCCTGGCAGAATTTCGAGCAGAAGTTCTAGCATCATCCTCGCTTCGGCGCGATTGTGGTGTAGTTGACTGTGGGGGCTGTGGTTGACGTCCCCATCCATGATGCCGGCTTCCTCCCATGTTTGGGGACTCAGCTCGAGATTTCTGGCCTAAGCGTCTCGTCATCCTTTCCTCATCTTCTCGCCACATTTCACTGCCCTGTTGTAAGTTAGGAGCAGACGAGTTGAATTGCGGCTTATCCAATCCTAATAATCTAGTGGATTTGGAGAAAGGGGCCTCTGGCTTCGTTGGGTAGTTTTGGTTTCTGCTCGTCTTGGCCTTGAGTATTGCGAATGCATTGCCAGTCTTACCGGGGCTGCTGTTACTGTGATTGTTGTTGTCTGGGAATCGATAGCCAGGTGCTGGACTGCCCGACCTCGACCTGCTCTCGTTTTCGGCAAAATTCTTCAGTTTTTCTTGAACTTTGCGTCGTCTTTCAGCAAGCTCGTTGGCGAACTCCTCTCTTTCCATTTGTGTTTCCGTGCTACCGCCGCGGTGGTGACCATATTTAAGCTCTTCTTCCCACGAGGGGCGGGTAGTGTTAGAAACTGGAGGCACAGGAGGTACTGGGGGTGCTGAGTTTTGTTGTTCGTGACTTAACCCGTTCGAAGTATTTGCATTCTCGGCGCTCTTGTTGCTAAGAGCAGTTGCTTGCCCGAGCATTTGTTTAGCACGTTGAGACATGCTTGAAAAATCAGGCTCGGGCTGGCTGAAGTGTTCAGCTGTCTCTAATGGATGAGGAGCAGGCCTGGCCCAGTCATCATACTCCCAGGGATTGCTGTGAATGCTTACCGCAAGGTCCGAGGACCTAGCTTCCTGGACTTGAGGGTTAACTGGCCGTGCCCTCTCTGCAGGGCGATGCATTGAAATTGGAGAAGGTGGTGGGTATATCGTAGATTTGTCACTGTCTTGTCGTAGATGTGTCCGAATCAAGCTGCTGAGACCGGTTGGGCCCAGGGTAGGAGACTCTGGTTCTCTATTAGGGGGTAGTTCTATGACGGGTGGAGCAGTATCGGGAGCCATGTCGTCTTCCCTTATGGTATTCAAATCTCGCGATTCCGAATATCTGAATTCTCCAGGGGTAGGATGAGAAGGTTTGGTTGTTGGGATAGAAGTGATTGAATCTCTAGATTCCATACTAACTCTCAGAGGAGACCCAACACCTTCGTGGGGGTGGAATAGGGGCGAGACTCGTGCATTTGACATATCTTCTTCGGCATCACTTCCGGACTCACTTCCACTAAAGTCCGCCAGAAAAGTTGTTGGGTTGATTGGAAAATGCGAGGGCGGAGCCTTCTCGGTGCGCAAAGGGGTTGATCGGAAATCTGTAGTGTGGGGGGTCGAAAGTGGTGAGTTATTAGCAATAGGTAGTCCCGGAGATTCTGGCTTCGATTGGTGACTCGTGGCAGACAGGCCCCTTGGCCGTCCAGAGTCTGCAAGATCCGAGGCTGCTCGAGGGAGAGTTGGGCGTTGCAACGATACGTTACTTCTGTTCTCATGTATCTGGATCTGACGCTGGGAGAACTGGCTGTCATCGTATCTCGAGGCTGGCTTGTTGAATAGACCGGTTGCTGTGGCTTTACCACGGTCCTCTGGTTGAACCGCGGCTGCAAATGTGTATCCTTCTTCGGTTTCGCTCGCTGGAGGGCTTAGCGGAGAACCCACCGTGTGTCCCTGATGGGGGTTCGTAGTGCTAACAGGAGACGGCCTTTTGGGCTCTGAATTTCCCGCAACAGATGAGGTTGATGACGGCGGAGGGCTGCTGGGTCTGAAGCTTGAGGATGAATAAACCGGTGATAGCTTTTGGTACCTTTCATTAAGGCTAACGGCACTTTTAGAAAGCGACCGGTTGATCTGTGTGTTGTCGTTTGCGATAGCTCGTTGACGACTGATGCTCTCCAATCTTGAAAGTGCCGAAGGCTGGCTTTGAAGCTCTAAGCCACGGTCATACAATCGCCGCGATTTGGTAGGATTCCGCTCGAGGCCCACTCCGGTTGGATTCTGGGTGCTTCTTGCTGAAGTCTCTGCGGTTACTGACCCCTGTCTAGAAGCAATACCCTGAGAATTTGCTGAGGTTGTCGATGTAGAGTTTCTATTCTCGGAAACGAAAAACGAAGGAGATTCAGTTTGCCTGGGAGATGGTAGAGATAGCATCGTAGATTCCGGGCGCAGGTCTGGTTCAGATTTCGAGTCGTCGTCCTTGGGCCGTTGAAATATAGAACCGACATCGTTTTGATATAGCTGCTTCCCTCCCATTCGCGCACTGCCTCTGTCTCCTCCTTCCGACCCTCCTTCATTCTCCGAAGCCGGCTCGCTTCGCGTGTTTGGGATTTTGTAAACCTTTTGGCGTCCACCAAATAGGGTATTGCCTTCAACCGGCCGTGACCTAGCCATCACACTCGTGCTACTGTTAAGGTATTCATCGTCTGTGGAACCAGAAGCGTAGGAGGTCCGGCCAATGTTGAGAGAAGGTCGAGCAGAGCCATGAACAGACCCAACTTCAGTGATATCAGCCAACTGTGAGTGTGCAAACAGGTTCAACCTAGACGCCCTCTTTGGGAACAAGACGCTATCGTCGTTTGCCTTTCCGATCTTCGAATTAGGGTCGTCCTGCTCGCGTAGCATGCTAAATCTTGCCGATAGATTCGGCATCAGAAGACTGGTCCTGAAGTCATTCTCTGTGGGCAGGGCGGTTGCCAGGTCTATCTTGGGAGGCTGTTCTGGTTCGGGCTTCCGCTTGAAGAACGGCTTGGAGAAGATAGGGAGTGGAGGAGCGTCAGATAGATCAGGGCCATCGCCACGTTTCTTGCGGTTTCTGAACCGATTCATGATGTTTCTCTTGGTCTTTGAGAGGGGGTAAACGAGCGTGAAGTCGAGCGTTGTAGACTCAGGTATACGGACAGTCAATTCCAGCCCAGTGGAACGAGTGAACGACGGTTGCGGTATCCTCGCAGAGGAGTATGACAAGAAGAGTAAAATAAATGTGTTTTAAATGAGAGACAGAAGTAGAGGGCCGTTGCCGGGCGGTCGTCTTCAACAGATTCGATTAAGGAGAGGAATGCGAAGAAGTATTTCGACGACTAAAAGTAGTTCGACGTCAAAAACGATTAGACTGTACACAACCACGACAACCAAGGGGGAAAACAGCAGCAACGAGAGACCATGTTACATACGAGAATGTGATGGGAAGGACTCTAATTATCAGGAGAAGAGACTCTGCGATCAATTTGAGATCCAATTCCCGAACGCCGCGCAAAAGATGCGATGTGACAGAGTGCAGGCCGGCGGCAAGTCAGGAACGAGAGCCAACTGATCTCAACGAAGCGATGCAAGATCTCGGGCCGTGCTACCATGGGGAAGTGTTAGACTTCAATGTATGCCATCTTATTGCATATACGGTGGAAAAGAAAACAAGTCGCGGTCGATCTCAGACGCAGAGGGCAGACTCCTTGACCAGGAACCAGGGATGCCAGGGTCGCACGGCGCTCGTCGATATTCGAATCGATAGTCTGTCTGATATGCACAAGCCAGAGTCGAGGGACGAAGAGATGCAGAGAAGAGTCCCAGGAGGGCATAAAAAAACAACAGCTTCCCACCGTGACGTCGAGGTGCAGACCGGGTTCAAGATAGAGGCCGCAAAGAGACAGCCGGGGGGGGAGGAATATGATACGATCTTTGCCTCCTACCTGTTCGAAGTATTTTGCAACTGCAATCCACCAACCAAAGGGCTAAGCGAGAGTCTCCAACGGATTTTCAGACGCGTCTCTTTTGAGTGCTGTTTATTCGCCTCCGCTGCGACTGATTCTCAACAGGAAACCTGAAATTGCTTCCCGGAAGGACGGCCGCCCAAAAAAGAGGATTAAAAAAAAGGATTAAAAAAAAGAAGAAGAAGAAGGAAAAAGAAAAAAACGAGGGCCCGCTAGCCGTTAGCATCAACTAGATTTACGATACTCTTTCTCAGGCACTAGTTACTACGGAGTACGAGCTTGTTCTTCAGCTGGGCAACTGCTGTCCAGATATATATCAGCAGCCAGATAATCACCAGGCCCCAGCAATCCCAGGGTGTGGCATGGCAGACTGGACGGCGTCAGCCATCCGCCGCCAGACCGAGATGATGCCTGTAAATCCAGCGCCCAACGACGAGGATGAGAGGATGAGAGGATGAGAGGATGAGAGGATGAGAGGATGAGAGGATGAGAGGATGAGAGGATGAGAGTGAGGACGAGGATGCCGAACGTTTGTTTGCTCCCCCTGACTATGCTGCTTGGAGTCTAGGGGCTGCTCCACCGGCCAGGAACAAGCAGGAACAGGCAGACCCCTGGAAGGTTCTGCGATTTTACAGGACGAAAAACGGGCCAGGGGGTCAGGGATGAGGAGGACGAAGAGAGGACGAACGGGGGAAACGCAGACAGGTCATGCAGTTCGCCGGCCAAACGTTGTTGACGACCAGGGCATATAAATATATGGATGGTACACTGCGCGCGAAGCAATCACCGCGGGATGGAACGTTGTATCTTGGTACGAAAACGGTGAATAGACCCGTATCTGGCAGAGTCTTCCCGTGAAGTATCCAACGCTAACACCGGCGAGGTTTAATTAGATTCCATCCTCCGTTCCACTGGGAACGAGGATTAGGTCTGGACCGTGAACTCCGTACTATCTTCGTGGGATCTGCTTGCTTAATTTGCTGGGGGAATTTTGGCCACCCTGAAGACGACCAGAAGGCTGGCATGCAATGCATATATTGGTGTCCTCTGCCCCTGGCAGACCTGATACAGTCTGTCCCAGCAGGAAGTGATCTCGCATGGACGGAAACTGCGTGATCGCGGTGGCTTACGACTTCTCACTGGATCGCAGGACGCAGGGGTTGTTCAAGCCTTCCCTTTTAAAGCCGCATCTCACAAAACGCGACTACATCTATACATACGGAGTACATATACGGACACTTATTTAGATAGCGCTCCAACCGAGAATATGACTGGTATGGAGTGCACATACATGCATTTGATTGTTATTTTGTACAACACACCGGGCGCATCGAACCTTCAAATGACATCGCCAATCATCTTACGTACGAGCAATCATCTCCGCCTTACCCAGAACACGCATACGCATCAGCTCAAGCCACAACCTTTGAAACAAATATTGTGGATACAAGCGCTTGGGAACCCGGATTAGCTGAATGCTCAAAATTGGCCGCTCCGCTCATCCCAGTATCATGCAGGAGATATACATATCTCAAAGCTCGTTCTTTCGATGGTCACCGCCGTTATCGAGTGTGTAGTCTAGGTTCCACCGCTTCGTGCCATCGAGAATTCAGGAGTGAAAATCTCCAGCCCGGCATGGGAGTACGGAGTTACAGACTATACAGAGCACATCTTTCCCCAGGTTCTCTCGCCACCAACGCACTGCCTTTTTATACTCATCAACTCAATCGACTGGGTATACTTCCACGTGGGAACCACTGCTGTGGCCTTGCGCCGTGCTCCCTGTCAGGGTGAGGGTAATATCATCATGCATGAGACGCTATCAGGGATAACTCTCTCTTGGACGCAAAATCAGTTCTCGACCGCGGATAGGTTCTTGGATGATGGGATCGATAACATTCCCTGCAGCGCCCCGGGGTCCTTGCAGCCGGCCTTCCACCATACAGTCGCGGCCATTTACACCGAGGGAGGACCTGCATGCACTCCGTATGCATATACGTACATAACTTGCCGCACATATATGAACAATCTAGCTGCGCCTAATTTTAGTACCGGCTGCTAAGTCTCGGACCTAACCCAACGACAACCCTTCGTTTATATCTTATTCTAATTGACCGATTTGACCGTCTCAAGGACGTTTGGCTAGTTTAGCATCCCACATTTGGCAGATCGCGTATGGCACCGTTCTGCGTTCGCTTCTAGATAGCCTGACCCTTGGGCGTGCTCGGTAATCTCCCCAGTCAGTTGCAATTATATCACCAGTGTTAAGGGGTAGCCACAAGGCGCTCTGAGGGTGTTTGGGATTAGACTTCCCACTACGTGTCCAAAGCCAACCGCATCGCGAACGGAAAAACGGCTGTTTACATGAGTGTTTATTGTGATACTATAAACACCATCCCCTGTCCTTAATTTAATTAGAGAGGGGTGCAATATCACGACCTGGAACAAGCATCGGAGATGAGACACCGGAACAGCCTGGCATATTATAAATATCAACTACGGAGCAGGCATCGCAAGCACCAGGATGGGATCAAGAGTCGGGATATTTTTACTTCCCTTATCGTGCTCGGTTATATCAACCTTGCAGCGAACCATACATGGATTTGGCCATATATAAGTACGAACCGGCGGCTGAGAGATCGTACCGTTAAAGGAAGCTGGAGGGGGATCGTCCACGCTGAGCAAATTTCAAAAAAAAAATCCATCTACTCTCAATTTATCCTTTGATCAGGAAAGCATCAAGGATGGTATGAGTGCCGTAATATCGACCCGCCGAAAGCCGTAGGAGGACAACGGTCAGGCGACAACGTAACTTTTTGTTCTGGGGTATAAACCTCTGCTTAGAGCTGATATCGCAATCGGAGCCACGGAGGATATGGAGAACCCGGGGTGTGGATGGTTAACTATTGAATCAGGCAGCTATAGGTAGTAATAGTAGGTGCAGTTAAGAGATAAAAATATACAAAAGAAAAAAAGAAAAAAAACAACAACTCCAACTCCAACTCCATCATATGCCATTCCGTTATGGCCTTGGACTGACGGTATTCCCGTTTCCCACGCTCATGTCATAAAAATGCCAACCACCTTAACAACGCAGACAGCGTACAATATAACACGCCAGACAAAAATAATACACCAGATAACGTAAACTGGAACACATTCGTCAGCTTAAACTCATATGGGCATCGTCACCCAAACCCCATGCCCTGCCTGCCCTCTCTGCTGCATTGCCAGACTGACTACCCCATCTGTCAGGCATGTTCTCTGCTTCTTCAATCTCTTTCTCGCGGATACTGGAAGACTGACTCTTTCTGTCGCCGTCGGTGTTTACACTGGCTGGCCGTTTACCGCTCCCAGAGCCGATGCTCCGAGCTCGTATTGATCCGTTGTTCTGCGAGCTACGGCCGCTAGAAACGCTTGACGCCTTGGGCGGGCTAGACCCCGTTGCTGCTGAAGGAGATGTCGAGTATGTTTCGAGATTATGTGGTAAGCTCGAGCTGGAAGGTTCTGGTACAGCGGTTGAGAACCCTTTGAAGTCTGTGCTACCAAACCATCGTCTCCTGCGAGCTTTGGCGGCGTTCTTATCATCTCCCGAGTTCACGTCTTTCCCGCTATCACCACTGGATTTCCCTTCGTTGTCGAGTGTACGTTTTGAGGGAGCTGCCGAAGACTCCGTATCTGGGAATGTTTCGACCAGCTCTGCATCTCGACACCATTTACGGCGCCGTGTATACCTTCCCCAGCCGTCTTGACCTCGACGACCGTCGTGCCACTTCAATCACTACGTCAGCAGTGCATTTCCATATGTATGTGAAAGAGGGATAGAAGTACCTTATTGTCATAATAAATCCAGCCGCCGTCGTCTTTATTCTCTATATTCTTGTTCCCTTTACCCTTTTTCTTCGAGGATGGATCAGACGCACCGTCAATGCGCCATTCACTTCCGGCTACCCATCGCCACTTAGAATTGCTACCCTGAACTTCTGGAAGCTCAAATTCATCTTTGGGCGGCACGGGGTTCAGATGCTCATCTGACCACGCCGGCCGTTCGTAGGCGAATAGAGAATAGGTCCAGCCGATGCCCAACCATCGTCTCTGATTCTCATAGATGATGAACGTAAATCTCACACCTGATGAGCTTGTCCGACGCCTTGTTGAACCGTGCTGTGATGGTTGTTTGGAGCGGAAACGGGTTAATGATAAAAGAGAGGATTTGGTAGAGGATTTCGACGAGTGGTCGTCGTTATGCGGTAAAGAAGAGTACTGCAAGCCAGTAATGGTTGAACAAATGCGCCGTATGGCCAGAGACCTCCAGAGCAATACTCGGAAGATCCGTGCGGGTTTCGAGTGCCACGTCAAAATGATCGTACCGACGGTTATGATAACCCTTTTTATCGTGATCAGGTAGATTGGGTGAAGGGTTAACAGGATCCAAACGGGCGTAATGAGTATTATCCGGGTTAACAACGCTGTTAACGCAGGCCGAGTTGTAGTCGACGTTGCTGTTCGCTGGGTAGAAAGGAAATCGGTAAGGTCCCGCAGAGGCTCGAGTAGAATATTACACCTCATCGTAAACTCCCGTAGGGTTTCGACAATCTCATCCAAAGTCTTGTGAGGCCTAGATGACGCATCGGAGCCTTCTCTTTTATGGCCATGTTTCTCGCCGGTCAAGCCAGTTGATGATAGAGGGGAATACCGCCGCGAGTATAGCCCCAGAATCAACGCAACTACCACCAATATCGGCCCTCCCCATAGTATGATAGCGCTACCGTGCAAAGTAACGGCCCAGAAGGCGCCAACCAAGAGAAAGCTCTCCCACGGATCCCCGCTGGTCCAGGAAAGCAGTCCCGCCAGTCGGTTTAAAGGGAGAAGAAACGGGTGAGAATATGCCAGCGCACGGGTGACCGCAGGAGGGGTGGCTACCAGCAGCGGAGACTTCCGGTGGACAATGATAGTAGACCGCTGCTTCGACGTTAGAGAATTGCCCGATATGTTGGTGGGCGAGAAGGTCGCAACGGTAGGCGGGAGAGCATCGTTGGAGCCGAGGGACCCGGAACCACCGTCATTCTGAGAGCTAGGATCTGCAGACATGGAATCTACCCACGGTGTGTCTATCGAGAGAGCGTTAGCATAATATATCCAACCCGTCATGCGAGGGGAGTGTTGATAGTATATACCGAGAGCGGCCATGCAACTTTCAAAGCTACCTTATCCGGAGACCGCCGAAGCTCATCCTAGGAGGCAGAGCTGTATATCTAAAGGCACACGGTTGTGAAGAGCAGGCAGAGAGAGATGCGTCTTCTACTGTCGCTTTATAGTCCGATATCAGAGCTGCTCGTCCTCGTCTTCGTCTTCTTCTTCTTCTTCTTCTTCCAACTTCGGCTTCAACTCGCAAACTACGTCACGTGTGGATACCTTCCCCATGTGATTCCCGGCTTATATAAGCAGATAGGCTGTTTTTGCGCTAGTCCGCGTTGGGTCTAAAAAATTTGTCCCTTTGGCCGAATCTTCAACGACTTCAACAACTCTTGGACACTCGTTCGTTCTCATACACAGGGAGCCAGGGCTGCGGCTTGTATTTCATTCTTTCCTTGGATCAGCATGGTAAGCTTGCACTTCGCTCTCGTACGAGACACTCGAACTGACTCTCCTCGGAACAGGCTCATCGCATCTTGACGCAGATTGTTCTCACGAGCACCAGGGTGTTCGGTCGAGCATTCGCTGAAGCGTACAAACAAGCGTCCGCGTCCTCCAAATACCAATCGCATGCGCAGAAAACCGGCTCTTCTTCCGGCACATTCTCCAACTCCGGCCTAACGTTGGAGGAAGCATGCAAGATTCTCAACGTCAAGCCGCCAATGGGCGGGGAGGCAAACCTGGAGCACACGATGGAGCGGTTTAAGAAACTATTCGACCTGAACGATCCCAAGAAGGGCGGCAGTTTCTACCTCCAGAGCAAAATTCTTCGTGCTCGTGAAAGAATCGAGGCCGAGGTCAGAGACGCGGCTAGAAATGCAAAAATAGAGAAAGAGGTACGGGAAGGCTGGAACCCGAAGCTGTTTAAAGACCGATGATCGATGTTAATTTGTGAAGGTGAAATAAACGAAAAACCACAAATTCGCCGCGGTCGATTTTTTAGAGCCCTTTGAGGCTCTCCGAGCGCCCGTGACACACACACCTCTCCTATCATCTTGGAAAACACACTTAATCCTTTTTCTTTTCATTAATTTGGAGCATTAGCACCGGAGTTTTGTGGATTTTTAGAAAGGATATAAGGGCTATCTACATCTTCGCTTTTTACGATATACTCCCTCCCGCCATCACTCGAAACAACCCCCGCCTTTCGGCCGATGCTTGAGCGCCCTTCCCTGCGCATACGATACTATAGTTCAGGCATCTGGAATCGTGTTTTCTTCTAGTGTACTCTGGACATTTGCATTGCATATTGTTTTACCATACATTGCATGAGCCAGAGTCCCCGTTTTCCTTTCTGGCCGAGTTACTCGGTTTTATATTTGGATGCTATGTCCCAAATGGACCCGAAAATCTGTATTATCAACTGTATATGTACGCAAATTACCATACCTAACTGTCGAGAGATGATGATGCCGTCGTGTTTCTTCCTGTTAAGCCCTTTTGTTTTTGCTTCCCAACTCTCCCACTCCACTCTTACCCTTTAGCAGTGGCCTTTGTTATATCCTCGTGTCGGTGTACATATAGACGATAAAACCCAGGAGCTTACGATCACCCAAGAAGCCTTTAAATTGTTATTTACCGAATTATTTTGCTGGGTGCTTTTGTTAGGTACTATCGATATGTAACCTTGATTTACTCTCTCATATATTTACTTGCCGTTATGTCCAATAATTCGTATCTCATCAATAGTCGTACCACTGCTTTCGGCCTGTCAAGAAATTCCTTTTTATTGCTCGTGGTTCTGTTGCCAATCACAAAATCCATGCTCGGGGCCTACCCATTATCCATACTCGCTATCCTACTCCTCTATACTACGCAGTTTCTCCCTGTGCGACTTCGCCGGCATACCTGCTTTTTAACGAAGTGACACGAATGCCATATCTGCTACTTGGGTTTCTGAGAGGGTTAAAAATTTAAATAGTAGGAGACAATCTACGTTACCACTCCCATCGCTGTCTGATGCAACCCATTCGTTGCTTTAGATACACCTGAATGCATGCCCCTTATTGGGTACTATTCCGTTTAACATCCTGATAATGGGGGTGTCAGTGTAATATTCTTATATTCTTAACCAACGGTTCGTGGAATCACGGCTCACACCGCGTCAGCCGTCTCTGCGCATGATATATATGATATTACAGAGAGCAACCTTGTCGATAGTAATCAATGAGATATTCCCTATGACGAACGCTATTCTAATCCTGACTGTCGATATTAAGGGCGGGGAGTAAAAGTTGGACTCATAGGCTATGCATCTTCTTCGCTGGGGACTGGGCCTTGCTTTCATAGCATGCCGACAGGTGAAAAGGCGGCTGGCCTTCCCGGTAGCTTGGGACAAAGCCCATTAAGTATCCTGGTAAGCAATCGATTTATAGAGTACGCAGGGTATTCAGCGAATAGAGCCTGAGAAGGGCCCCCCCCTATATCGAAGAAATGTTTATCACCCATAGAAGGCCAAGGAGCAACACGGCTGAATATATATTTTCTACCACCGAATGACTCGCTGGGGGAAGAATTCGTCGATAAGGTCGAGGTAATATGGCTGCATCCCAGTATTAGCCTAGCTCTAGCCGAGAACTGCAATAAATCAAGACACAAACCTTGAGTTCTTTCGTGTCTGGAATCTCATCATTCTTGCTGTATAAATCATAGGGGTTGAAGGCGCGGACGGCCTCAAGCATATGTTTGTCTTTCTCGTCCATAAGATAAGAATATGCTCCTTCGGAATGCCAGGGATAAAAGGAGTGATAACGAATCATTGCTAGCGCCTCAGTGGGCAGAGTAGACTGAGATTTCACAACACGATATAGGTATTCATCATGCCCCCAGGAGAGCATTACATTGTCCAGGCCACAGGCAGGGGCATATATCCCATACTTGGTTCCATATATTTCGTGGCCATAGTCCGGGTTCTTCCTAAAAGACTCAGCTGAATAGATTATTCTGTCATCGAAAGCGCAGCCGACTGGGAACGTATCTCCAACGACATCCCATTGCCCCTGGGCGCCAAAGAAGTAAAGTAGCTTTCCCAGGTCGTGAATTAGACCCGTCAGTTGCATCCACCGAGGTTTACCGTCCCTTCTCATGGCCTCCGCAGCTTGGAGAAGGTGTTCAATCTGAGAAAGTGATGTATCAGGGTCAGATTCGTCGATGAGAGTGTTGAGCGTTTCTATGGCCTCCCACACGGTCAGCTCTGTGTGGGTCCGGGATCGGAAGTCATTTCGCACTTTCAAGTTGAATGCAACGGTTTGCTTTTTATGTTGCTCGAGATAGAACTGCTTCACCTTCTCGCACGCGACTTCATAATTCCGAAATTGGGTTTTGTCTTTACCTCGATCAAACTTGGAGGCTTCAAACCGTGTCCGGTTCCTGACCGATGCCCTCAGTACGTTGACAGTATCAATGTCATCTGAAACCCTTTCCAACGCCCTCCCACCGTAATTACCCTGTACTAGTGGGGAAGCTGTAAGCCCAAGAGTCATGTTATACAGATAAGTTCCAGTTAATCGGATTTTTAGTATGGAGTAGGGGCTCCAGATGAGCAACAAAGGATGTCTTTTCGCCTAGTATTGTAGAAGGTGACGAACACAAGTTGAAACGGGATGCACCCAAGTTAGGATTCTCCGCCGGGCCTGTTCTTTTGTATTTGGCGTGGTCAGGAGGTCATATTCTGCAATATAAGAACTCTTATGAAGTCAGCGTGAGAATAGATGTTTTGTAATGAGGAATTTCCTGGGATATCAATGACACTGTCAGAGTGTTCGACCAGCGAAAGGGGTTGGGCCATATTGGCGTTATCCACTATAGATACTCCATGAGGTGGTTAACGGCCAACTCTATAGTTGGGGAAATAGTTTGATCTAGCAGGGAAACCCTTTCAATAGGAATAATAGTTATCTGCATTTATAGCTCCCCGCATTCCTAGCTCGAGTGTGAAGTTAGAAGATATGTAATATAATGCCGGGAGCGACAAGGTTCTTCCAGCTGCTCGCTTGCATGTCACAATCACAACAGCCAGTGGATAGAGTCACGGTCGAAAACCAAGGCCAGAGCTGTCAAGTAGTCTAGGCATAGCCGATCAACACGGGATACATACACCCTTAACATTGCCGCGGAGGTGATGATGTCAAATTGGGGTATACGACTCCTCACGATCGAGTATCAGGTATCCCCTAATAGGCGCTTGTCGGCCTTTTCCAAACTTTGAGTTGATGCCACCAGCTAGTTATCGACACGACCTTAGCTCGATGGCAGAGCAGTTCTCGACTACTGCCTCTCTCGTATCCCGCTTGCATCTCCCGCCCATTGGGTGTGAGGACAAGGAAGTAGCAATAGCCATATCGTTGGGTCTCCTGTCCGGCCCCCCGGGGAAAATGGGGACGAGCAGCTGGAATCATTATCTCATGACACAACTGTATGACCCCGAAATACCACAACCCCCCGGCGTTCATCTCCAAGAATACGGGCAGGTAGGTTTTGAGGCTGATCCGAATCTCAGTTTCGGCTGGGACATTTCCTCCGGAGCTAGCTCTGTGGCGGTGAGGCTCGCCGTAATACCCGGAAGCAATAGGGCAATTCTTTCAATAACCTCTAGTACAATGCACGATACATGATAAAGCTGGCAGAGGAGTATTTTATATTTTCAAACACGAAGATGAAAGTTGATGTTTATCTAGGCCGCCAGTTGCTGACTAAGACGGACAGCTCTGATCTATATAAAAAAGGCTCAGGCACGTTTTAATCTGAAAGCCAACAGCTTTGGAAACTGTGTGAACTGACGGAGTGATCCTAGCTTCAAGTCGTTTGCTTTGGTATATGCCTCGTCAAAGTTAGGCTCTTCTAGAGCATCGAGGATCAAGCCTGCTCGGAAAAAGGGAGAGAATAGTTCGTGGATTGGACGGTGGAAATATAGCTGCGTTGATCGGGACCTTAGCTTTCTAGAGCAAAGGAAATTTATGAAGGTAGTTATTTGATTACCTGGGAATGAGGCTGGGACTGGGTTGCAACGCCCTTTGAGGGCGGTACGTGCAGATACTTGCTCATCTTCAAGGTATAAACAGCTTCCTCTCGGCCCGATTTGGGGTTGTCGCTATATTCAACTGATCTCGTTACTCCACAGGTGAAGAGAGGATGCAGCAATGTTGCAACAAAGCTGGAGCGATATATCAATCACTGTCACTGTTTCTTCCGGGGCCCCTACGGACTCACCGGCCGCCACCGTTTTTCAGAAGCCTAGGCAATGCATTGGCAAGATGCTCCAAGGTAGAGACGTCCATGATTGCCATATTCATGGTAATGATATCAAAGGGCCCCTAGGAAGTCAGTGAATTGGGTTCGATTTCCACTAAATCTTCATCTTTTGATCTCTGGGGTAAGATGACGCTGACAAGACACGCAGGATATATGAGCTAGAGAATCTCACCCCCCTATCTGACGAGATAAGCTCTTCGAAGTGTAGCGGATTTGTCACATCAAGAACTCCGTATGCTACCAAAGACTCTACTTCAATGCCCTTGAACCTCATTGCCTGTCGGGCTTGGGCGTGTACGATCATAGCTGGGCTTCCATCCGTCGCGAGGACGCTGGCGCCTTTCTGAGCTAACCAGTGAGCTACAAGGCCGTTTCCAGTCGCGAGATCCAAAGCACGATCACCAGGTTTCGGCTGCACCATACGCTCTAAGGCGGGGAGTTCGATAACGGTGAAGTAATCGTTGCCTTCAGTTCCCATCGCTGCATCCCAAGATTCGGCAAGCCGGTCCCACGTTAACACAGGGTCAAATTCCATTTTGAATACGTAGACTTCAGGCTTCAAAGTGGTAGTTGGAGGGATGAACGCTCTCTTCCTTATCTTAGCTGTTCTACGACCGCAGAGAATCGTGGGGGCATGGCTTCCAAGGAGCACGCCGTGACTCATGAGGCCGTGAAGGATAGGATACTCCGAAGATTATCTAATTCTGAGGCTAGCTGGTTCGTATTCAAATAGCCGTTTAAATATTGACCAGCTGCAAAGCTTTCTTTTTACCACGAACGAAGAGTTCAGTTTTAGACAACGGTTGCGACGGCTGGGGTAGTTGAATAGCACTCAGTGCCAGATGGTCCAGTTGTTCTTCTAATCGGTATTCTATCACTTTTATCGCGTTGACTCTGCGATGCCCAGAGTGCTCAATTAGAAAGACCCCTTTCGATCAGCACCATTTCCGGCCAATGGCTTGGAAACCATGAAAAGTTTTATCCTGCTTGAAAGGGAATTGTTTCAGGAGTCGAAATCCGGAAAATACTACCCAGTGAATATCGGCGAGGTATTCACCTCAAGCGCCCATCCATTTCTTCCAGATGAGATTCCTCCTGTCCTTTTCAGCGTTCTTTGCCATGACCTTCGCAGTTTGTATGGCGGTTAACTGTCCAACCTTCCTCGGTTCCAGGAAAACTGTCTTGCCAGCGAAAAAGGGGTCAACGAGTTCTGCGTAGCCACCAGGAGTGGCATGGGCGGACAAAAAGTTGCGCAACCCAGAAACATCCCGGCGGTATGTGGTAAGTGGCCCCTGATTCCCAGTCTTTCTGGCACTGTTCACAAAACGAACGACAAATTCTACCCATCGAAAAGCGTCGATCTCACGAGTGAGACCGGGGCCGCGACGGAACTCGATGGTGAAGTTATCACCATCTAACAGGCCGGTGAAATTCCAGCCATAGTTCCTGTTGCTACCGCAATTCATAAGCTGGACTAGTTCTTCATTGGTTGTGCAAGCGTCAACCCGGCTATAAGCTTGCACATCAGACAATCCTTCGAGCTGGTAGTTGTCGCTGCGATTGTTCTTCCCCCATATACTCCCCCGACGATGCTCGGGAACAACGAGCTCGATAGAGGATTCGAAGTAAATGATGGCGCGAGATATGCGCTTAAGATCCTCTAAGGTCCAGGCGGCTTCCTTCCGGCTTATATGAACGTGGAAGCCACAGGAATGAGGAAGTTATATGCGCTCAATGAATCGAAGACTGAACGGACCGACGTTTTCCATGTCGGCCTCGAGTATTCCATTACTGGAGATGTTAACTCAAAGGCAGCTACTAAGTGGTTAGAAATTGCAAAAGCTGGCAACAAGGGAAAGGATTGAGGCATACATTGTTGCGAGTTGTCCGTATCTAGAGAACAATCCTCGACTATGCTCCACTCTGAAAGACTATTAGGACCGTCATAGGGGAGCAGGTCCAGGTCACAGTGTATAGAATGGATTCGACTGGGAAACTCGTGGTATTTTGATACCAGCGTCTGCGCAAACGCTTCTACCGACAGCGGAGCGTGGCTGTTTGGAGTAAGGAGAATTTCTATCTCGATACCAATCTTATATGAATCTGCCATCGCTGGGACAGGTGGTGAGGGTAGAGTAATGTAATAGGCGATGAAGGTAGGTTTTTGAGTGGAGGATGAAAACTGAGTTTGAGCTTGAATTACTTTGAAGAATGAAGAAATAGAAGGAGGAGGAGGAAGAAGAGGAGGAGGAAGGAAATATGGCCGCAGATATAATGGGCTTCTTCGGTTTAAAAGTGAATAAATACAAACTGGAATGGACTTTTTTTCGAAAGTGAATACACAAATGTACGAATTTCCCAGTGAAAACCAGTAGGTCCAAACACCAACCAATTCTAACCCCCAGCTGAGTGAAGAGTGATCATACCCTGGATTAACTGCTCATGCTTGGATTGTATTTCCCTTCAGTTAACTCTTCGGGGCTCCCATTCCACACAAAAGTTTTACCAAATACCTTCTGCATCCTCGAATTCTCAATATCAAGAAACTCAATTGCGCAGGCGTCTATCAGGTATTTATCAGTTTCATAGGCACATAACCGGTCCACCTCAGCTTGGTTATGCACCTCAAACGCCATGCCCTCAACAAAATGACCAAAATCGGGGCCGTGTCGAAGCGCCGGGTATGGCCCCCAGAGTTTTGTGTGATAGCCATCAATTCGGGCCGGTCGTAAATTCAGCCTCTCACTGTCAGGAGACATGTCAAGGACTTTAGCGAGCATGTTCTTGTCCATCAACGTCCCGTAGAAGAAGATATAGTATTCATCGAAGAATCCAGGCAAGCCTAGTCTTTCGTATTTGGGGTCAACATGAATCTCTGGGGGTTTCCAGCCTTTGGGCATTAATTTCCACTTGGCCGCCATGCTGGATGGCCTTTCCAGCTTCTTTCGTAATGTTTCTGGCTTGATATTTTCCATGGTTGGCTGGCGGAGCGAGTCTATACGAAGACTCTCAGCAGGTCAGCTACTCTTCGAGTACATTTGACGATGGGGACTTACAATCGCTTGTTGATATAGAAGCTCCTTCGGAGCTGTTTGGGGTCAAGGGTATCCTAGCACTAGGTATGTATTATGTGGTAGTTGATAAAAGTCACAACTGTGCCAGGCAACCAGCGGAATAATAGGCTAGAAGTTTGATGCTTGATAAGCTGTTTAAACACTTAGTTAAACGCTTTGTGCAAGATAATTTATAGTGGTAGACAAAGCGCCTGTTCACTTAATAAGCTATCAAAGCAGACTGAGGGTGAAGGATCTTTTTCAAGTCATATAATGAATGATAAAATCTGAGGAGCCGGAACTTGGAGATGACGTCAATTTAGTATTTAAACCACTATTTCCTACTGATTTTTACATCTGGAAACTGCCACCCTCATAGGTTTAATTTCTTAAAGCATCGAGTATTTTGTTGTTGTTGTTGTTGTTGTTGTTGTTGTAAGACAAAATATAGATATGGTTGTGGAAGTCATTTAATTACTGCCAATAGTTTAGTTTATCATTAGTTTATCTTGTATTAGTGGCGCGGGATATGGAGAGTTTCCCTATATAAAACGAGGTGTTGTAATCAGGCAACAAGGGTGATTTTTTGGGTATTATTGTTCCTGCTTTAGGTTATGTCGTCATTCAATGTATAGAAAGGTATCGGCGCCTATTCTCTTATCTAATTATGTCGAAGGTCGGTCGTTAGTGGGCAAGCTCTGTCGATGGAATTAGGGGTAAAGCCTACGCAAATGTGCTAGAATCCAATGAAACTGTTCCTCATCATGTGCGATAGAATCTTTAATGCAAGTATTTGAAATATCATGTACAAGTAGGTCATTTGCAGATGCAAGATAGCATCATTTACTCGACCGAAACCTTTTTGTTTTTCTTCGCGCGGCGTTCAACCAAGTCGATATAGCCGTCACCTCTCATCCATGTCAATGCTTTCCTGAATCCTCGATCGGCGACATTCTCGGGGTTTCTTTCTAATAACACCCCCAAAAGCGCCCATGAGGCCACAATTACCCACAAGTCTCCGCCTCTATAGCCGCGCCAGAGACCACGCTTAACCCCGGTTTTCCAGGCAGACTCAACAGCTTGTCGGAATAAATAGAGGAAGTGAGCTCGGTAGCCAGACCCGCAGAGCACTGCAAATGGCAGACCACTAATCGCACCACTGAGGTAGAATCGTTGAGTTGGAAGCAGCTTTCGTGGTAAAATGGCGTTGAAGAGACAAACACTTCCCCATGCAGCGCCGATCGACGAGCACAAAATGGCCGTGGCAGCGAGTATTTTCCGGCACAGTAGGTTAGTTGAGGTGATGGGTTCTGTGAGGAACGATTTGATCTTGAGAAGTGAGAGGGCCAAGTAAACTTTGGTAAGAGAACGAGTGAGGGGTGGAACAGAAAGGAGGGCTTGATGTATGAATGCAGTTAAACAAGAAGGAGATTTTGGGTGAAGTAGTGCGCAGGAGAGTGAAGCTATTGCTGGGTGGGCGGGAGATGTGATGGGGGACATGGACTGAACGGCAGCAGGAAGCGTGCCTGAAACAGTTGGGTGAAGTATGGGAGACGTGAATGGCCTACGATAGAGCACAAGTCAGTTTAATGATCTCGAAAGTGAAGCTGGAGATGTCATACGGCCACTTTAATTCGGCTATTTTCGCCAATGCATCGACAGTCTCAAATGGCTCTGGCCAAGCCACATTCGCTGGGAGCCCAGCAGGGCGTTGCTTTATATACTCTGGAGTAAACTGCAGGATGAGTTTTCCAAACCACTGGAACGATACAGCGTTAGCCTCCAACTCGTCAAAGATTTCTGATCCGTCCTGACGACCTACCGCTGGTGTAGCTTCCCTATCAAATATAAACGCATGGAAGAGCTGGGCCATGGAAAGTGGCATGAGCAGCCAACTGCCGAACCACCATGGCCGAAAAGCGAACCATCCCTTCTCCACTAAAGTATTATACAGGACTTCTAAGCTTCTGGTCGACGTGTAGATAGCTAGCGTAAGACGGAGCTGGCTTTGCGGGTAACCCCCGAGAAGGAAACCAGCCAAACTGGCGCCTATGGCAGGCGCATATTTCGACATCAGCGCTTTTGATATACGCGGATTCCTTTCGCGGAAGAGTCGGGCGTTATCTGTTCGCAAGTTCGCACGCAATCGGTAGAAAAAGCGATATAATAGCCGGTGGAATAATAGCATCAAGGATAAGGAGAGGGGGAGCCGGAAAGCCGGAGAATCGCGAAATGGCACCTTCGGCGAGGCTCTATTATTCGAATACATTAGCTATATTCCACAAACTGCCTCTAAATAATATTCTTTCAACGTACGGTGCCCCTTTTCCGAGGATTCGCTGGGTGATGAAGTCCAGGAGTTTCATCCCCACGCGTGTTAGTAAAAACACTCGGATTGAGGAGCGTAATGCCGCTGTGGTGTATTTGTCCTTTGACTTAACGATGCCATTGTAAGTAGCGGGCGAGTAGGTTCTATCTTGTATAGATTGGGGGAGTTTCTGGATGGCGCATTCATGGAGAAAGCGATACTCGTCGCCAGAGCAGAGAAGCTGCAAGACGGTTCTGCGGGCCTTCAGCCGCGGGTCAGCGGGACTGCGTTGCGCCTCTGGATCAGCATTTGAGGCCATGGTCGCGACTATTCTATGATAATCCGCATAAAACGAAGGCGTTTGACCACGAAGCGAGTTCCATGTCTCGACTTGATGTTTACGACGTTTATCTCGACTGCGACCTCGACGTCACCAGAAGCGCTTTTTACATGTGACTTTAGCGCGGGCCTCGGCTATTCTCTTCCTTAGCCGCAGATTATACTGGATATCAAGCAGAGAACGATAGGAATTATAGGAGTAATCTAGGGGAGGATATGACAGGTATTGCTAGGATTAGATCTATGGACAAGCAGAAACGAAAACAAGTAGAAGTAGCAAAAAAAAGGGTCGCGTGTATAGTAAAACATGGAGGAGGACGAACGTAAGGAATCAACCCCAAGCAGATCGTTACTATGAAATTCGTCAAAAGATATAGTACCAGAGGTAAATAGTTAAGAGCGTTTGGGAGGATGTGAGCCACTAAAAGCTAGAGCTGGGGGAGAAAATCTGGTGCGCAGGAACCGATCATGAAAAAGATTCTCTCTACAGATGGTGGGATGCTACCAAAAGCTGCACCATCCAATGTAATGCTGGCACAGGTTTTCTACACTCGTGGCTTGGACTAGAAGCTTGTCGACCTGGTCGCTAACGTTGAGTTCCTCAGGCGTTCTGAAGTCGCGGCCAGTCAACTTCTCCTTGACTCTTCCAAGCACTTGAAGGGCTCGGGCATTCTGCACTTCACGTCCTTCGTTAGGGATGCCCTGCTGGGCATCTAGAATGCCACCATCGAGAATTGATGGGCGACGACGGGAGAAGGTACTCGGCTGAATAGGGTTGCCCAAGTTAGCTTCCGTGGGCGGATGTCGATCCACGATAGAAAGTCGAGCGGGTGATTCGCGGGCACCAAGACGCCAATTGATCAATGGGTCATGGATAAACTGTCAAGGAAAGTTAGTAACTTAATTGTTGAAGGTTAGTATAAAGAAGCGGGAAAAAAAAATAGAACTTACGGCTTCAAGAACAGCCATTAGAGACTCCTTGTTTTCGCGAATAACACGCATAACCGCCTCACAGGTGATATGGAAACTACCCTCGATGTTGCTGACCTCCATTGCGAATGTAAGCATACGGGTCAGCCGGAAGGGTACCCGTTCTGGATACTTCTCACGATGCATCGCAATCTCGAAACAATCGCCGAAATCGATATGTATTATCTTCCCGGTAATTCTATCAAGTAGCAAGTTTGAAGGATGTCGATCACCCAAACCAAGAATATACCCGACCATCGACATGACGCCGAGTGAGCGAGTGTAATTGGTGCGTCGATCAAGCCATGATTCAGAGCTCTTACTCTTCAGCCATAACACGCGGTACAGGTCTTTGCCGGTAGTATTGTCCATTGCATAGCCAAACACTTCCACTTTTTGCATTAGCGTTAAGTTATCATAGTCAGGTGCCATCTGAAGCATAATCCGGTGCTCGATATTGAGTAGAATGCGGCGGCTCTCGCGGTATTCTTTGATGAGCGCATGTAGCGTATCGGTATTGTAGCACCATCCAATCAATCCTGAGTTCTGAGAGAGTGGGATTGCAGGGAACCTTCGAATCGTCAAGTGACGTTTGAAACATTCGCTGTCGTTGTCTAGAAGTGTGTTGACCAGACCGAACAGCTGCATAACTCGCTCGTCTTGTCGAATATCTTCGTGACCCTTGAGCGCATACATGTATGAACTTCCATCACTTCCTCTGATTATCATCTTTCTTGGTTTCTTCTTTGTTTGAACCACCACTGCAACGCTATCGAAACTCTGAATTCGGATAACGGGCCTACCGCTTTGATATGTGCCGGGAATAGCGAGATCAAGGTCAACCACGTCCTTGAGTTTAGGAGAAATGTATTTCAGATCAAGCGATTTAATCTGTGTCACTTGTCGGGAGATTTTGCGGAATACGTTGTAGTATAGGTCCCACGCTTGGTTGAGATCTCCCATCTCCCCAGTTTCACGATATAAGTTGCAGAAGTGTTTTGCCTCAGCTAAGTCCCGACCGAAGGCTTGAGCAAAGGATACTTCACGCAGGGTTTCTGCGCCCTTATCCAGCATATCATGGAGGGGGGCAAGCGTCGACAACATACCCTCCACGTCATGGTCGGTGAAGAAGAGCCTGGACGCTTCTTCTAAGGCATCATACCACAGTTCATGCCATAATACCGCAACACGCACCAGTTCACCACTCACAACCTCAGCCTGTTCAACCAACCGTGCGCTATGCGCTCTCATGCTGTCCATGATGCTCAGAGCGGACTGGGACCGCCGGACCACGTTGGACTTCGTTGCGACAGTCAATGGGTAAACAAGCGCCTGCGGGTGCGCTTTGCCCATCTCCGCTAATAAACGATGCACCGCGGCACGAACTCGGGGATTGGGTTGATTGATGCGGGCTATGAGCTGGGGAGTGACTTCGAGCCATGTGTCAATGCTCACAGTTGAAAAACCTTCAACGACAACAGCATTGACTTCTCCGTCGCCGCCATGGGTAAACCAAAGAGTAAGTAGTCTAAGGGCATCTTGCAATGTGCTTGAAGAAAGAAGAGCAATTGAACGGAAGAATCCGCGTATTGCGGGCATAACATGTTCAAGAATGATGTGTTGGGGAGCGTCCCGGTCTGGTTGTGACGTTAAGGAGTTAACAACTTCGAAATTCGCCAGAGCCCATGCATGCCACGCCTTGTAAGAATCGCGATTGTATTGGGTGGCTGCAGAGTATGAGTTCAGGACATCGCGGACACCGTCAGATCTCCAGTCACCACGTTGCAACACGGTCTGCCATTCACCTTGCTTGAGATGGCTCTTCGCCAGGAGCCGTCGGAACTTATTGGCATCCCCGAGATGTTGCTTCGAGAAGCCAGCATCTGCATGGTTAGAGTCAGTGATGCCATTCGTTAGTGATGGCCCTTCGGCAGAGTTGTGCTCGTCATTAGTGGCGAGAATCGAGTTATATCGCCCGTAGGATTCCGTGAGTGAGATAGTAAATTCTTCTAGTGCTTGGAGGGCTTCAGCCTGACGTCCTGACGCCCAGTTAAACTTGAGACGTGCATATGTCACTTCAGGCGGGATGCCACCCTCAGATGTCTCTACCGACTCGAGTGCACTGAGAGAACGCTCTGCCAATCCCATTCGGTTTGATTTACGGCAAAGGTTGACGAATTTAATCCACATATCGAGATTCTCACGCGGAGTGATAACAAGGGCCCTGACTTTGAGCATGCGCTGCCACACCTCAACATTTTGTTGGCAGCCCAGAAGTCGCTTATTCCACGTTATTCTCATTGCTTCCTGCTTCTCAGGGTCATCCACGCTGCGCTTATATGTTATTATCTCCTCCAGCTCCGCAAGCATCTGGACGCGAACAACAACGTTGTAAGCTCTGTTGTATGATTCGCCTAACAAAGCAGAAAGTTCGGTGTCTAAGCCGTTTCTGGCCTTTTCAATGAGCGCCGATGCCTCCTCAAATTGGTTGCGGTGAAGAGAGAGAATGGCTCCGAAGAATGAACGATCTGGTGATTGATCTTTCATAACTCCGATGTAGGAATCCATAAGTTCCCATTGGCCCCTTCCCCATGCGGCCGCTGCGGCCAGTGGTGCAATTGCCTTGCGATGCTCGTTTGAAGCTTGATTCCACTTCTCCTGTGCAAGATCTGAAAGCATTTTCCATTCTCCAAGCGCATGAAGACATCGCATCTTTCCCATGGTAACCTCGAAAGAATCGGGATCTATTAATTCTCGTCTCTTATAGGCAGCTAACGCTTCTTCCCATCGTTGAAGCTTCACAAACCATGTCTCCTTTAACTCCACGTCTCGGTATGCTTGAGCTTTGCGGAGAATACCGATTGCGGCATCGGATTGTTGAAGGTGATTATTGATGCTGATCAGCGCCTCCACGGCGCTAGAATTTTGATCTTGCTCAAACTCTAACTCCTTGTAATGTAGCGCTTTAGCAAATGCGTGGCATTTACCGGCGTATTTACCAAGGGTTCGGATATCAATTGGTAGAGCTTTGTCATCGTGCTCCATGAACTCGGCTAGGTTGAGGAGTATTTGTAGGATTTCTGGAGGGATATTTTGAGAAGTTAGAGCTAAGTCGATTGAATGAACCAGCTCCTCCTGGTATTGATGGTACAACTCTGTCCAGCAGGAAACAAAAGCAGCGTTGAAAAGATCTTTCGCAAGTGGCTGGTAGATACCAGCTAAACTTGCACAGGCACGAAGGGCATGAGACGGGGACTCTTTGAGGAGCTCGACACTGAAACGTCGAATCCATTCCTGCCAGTCCTCGCGAGTAGACTTTTGTGTGGCATCCCACGCATTTTTAAGATGTTGCTGGTTAACAAAGATTTTCTTCTGGCCTACATCCGCAAATGCCGAGTCCTCCACGAGGTTGCTATGATGTTCATTGGGGTTGAGGTCCTGCGGTAACGGGTCTCCTTTCTGTAGTTTTGAAACAAGGATGTGGTAATTGTGGTGGTGAATCTGGTTAAATTTGAGAACCTTGTTGATAAGGGGGACATAATTATTGAAATCCTGGCCAAGTTGAAATATGAGCGTACAAATGCAATCTAATGCAGTCTGTCTGAGTGGTCTTTCGGCGTTATTTATAACCCTGGACAATGGATGTATCATAAGTGACGAGAAGTCGGATACGTTGACCTGCCTCGAGAGCTTTGCCAGTGTTTCAATGGCGCATTTTCGGATATTGGGTGGATTTTGCGTTTTGTCGAAGAGTTTGACAATGGCTGGGACAATGCGATGCATATATTCCTCGGCACTCGAGCCGAAAATTAGAAAGGTGTGAAGGATTCTCTCAGAAGGTTGTCGTCTGACGGAGTTGTCTTTCTCGATAGTGTCCAGCATCAAGGGCACAAGTGCTGCGAGATACTTTTTGAATTCGCCCTCCAACGATTTGGCAACTGCCTCCACCAAGGATAGTATCGTACATTGCACAGGGTAGGGAGAACCCCAGTAGTCGCGAATGACTTCAATTATTTCGGGAAGGAATGCACGAATATGTTGTTTAACAATTGTCACCAAGATGGCCAACTGGTTAAAGTATGTTTCAAGTCGGCTGATAGGCGTGCTCCTGATGACGGATATAAATGCGGGTATTATTTGCCCTAAAAATGGAACACATTTGAGTCCGAGGGTTTTGAACATCGTAACAATTGCATCAATGACAGCGGAATGATATTGGGCAAGAGAGCTCTCCCGCAGAACGTTTTGGAGAAGGGTATTGATGACAACGGTGGGATAGTACTCTTCGTTGGAGGGGGTGAGGCCTTGCATGATGAGGGACACGTCGGAAACCGTTTGGATTTCATTGACAAAGTGAACATCAGGGGACGTTTCGCTGATTTGCTGTAATACAGTTAGTATGTTACTATCAATATAGAAATATATGAAATATTACCTGATCCTTATATGGGTCGAGGGCGCCTAATATTCCAATGAGTTTGATGGTCTCTTTTCGTAGACCTCCAGTCTGCTCCGTCTTGATGATGTTGATGAGAATAGAGAGAAGCTGCGGGTATTCCTTGTACGGTTCGATGACATATCCGGCATTACTCGCTAGTTGACCAAGAGTCTTCAAAGCCGCTTCTCTCTTGGCTTGGGAGGAGAGATCTTGCAGGGAGTCCAGGATGATTGGCATGAGTTGCGGGAGGTACTGTTTCATATCCTCGCCGCCTATGGTTGCCAGCTCTCCAATAGCTTTAAGCGTGGTGGCTTCTACTGCAGCATTTCCGTCTGACATCTTAGGCAGTAATGTTGTAATGATTGGGTCAACATAAGAGCGGATAAGCTTCGTGGCATTCGATACGAAGAGACTGATCAGTTGAGCACTCTCCTCTTTTTGTCGCGAGGTCGTCGCGAAGCTGAGGCCAGTCAACAAGTTGACGAGCAACTTCCTCAAAGGTGGGAATACGTAGGCGGGATTGACACTCGACAGGCGGCCAATGATACTGATTGCTGCTTCTCGTACTGGGAACATCTCATCATTAACCGCAAGGAACAAACATCGAACATTTTCTGGTTTGGCCAAGTGGCGGTCGAATTTCTTATCAAGAGAGAATAGCACGTTGCGTCGGATGTCGGGGTCGGGGTCTCCCACTCCAACGGACAATAGTTTATCGATGACCTCGCTAACGACCTGGATCGAGTGAGCGCTTGTCTGGTTAATAATTGGATCATGTACAAAGAGCTGACAGCACGTCAAAGCGGATGCCTTTCGGATTTCCGGGCTGTCGTTATCAACAAATTTGATAGCAACGTCACGAACAAACTCGTTCAAAACATGACCTAACGAAGTTAATAGATCGCTTCCAATTCCCCTTGGCCTGGGATTACTTACCTGAGAAATCAAAGCTGCCAAGTGTATGCAACGCGAGAGCGATTTCGCTGTCGCTTCGGTCTTGTGGCAAAGAGCCGAAGTCCTTTGCAAAAGAAGGTATAGGAGGTAGCCGACTCTCTGGGCACCCTAGGGGCCTGAACGGCGTTCCACATAGGACAATACTAAGCATGTCCAACAACTTTTCTTGGATAGTGGCTCTAATGGGTGGGATATAGTGCGCCATATCCACAAGCGCCTGGGTAAGGGATTTACTTAGGCCACAAGCAAAGATCGGGTCAAGCAATGATTCCATGTATTTGCTGAGGGTCTGTCCAACGGCGAGGGAGAGCATGCTGATGCACTCGAACATTGGCCCTTCATTAACAGCAGCACGATTTCGTCTATAATTCATCTTAGCTTGGGCACAATCTGTTAAGTAGGTCAGGGATCACTTACGCTTTCAAGGCCAAACCCTCACGGATATATATGATGATTCCATCAAGGAACTGCCCGATAGCATGGCCAACAGCGCTTGCAATTTTCCCAATAGCAACGAACGCAGTATTTCTCTCCTTATCGCGTTTCAGCTGTGCTTGGAGGTATATCATGAATTTATGGAGGTATGTATTTGTAAAGTCGAGGGGGGCGTAAGAGGCGAGAACGGGTATGGTAAGCACAATCTGAGCGCGAATCTTGGGGTCACGGTGGTCCTTCAGCCGCAGTACGAGTTCGCATGTGTTATGATAATGCTCGTTCATGAACATCGCCCCTTTTAAGAGTAGCTCTTTAAGCGTAAGAAGGGAGCCGTGAATCCAGTCCACGTTGTTCGATCGCAGGCCTGACAATGACTCCTCATATATCCTCGAAAACCACTGTGACCGAACCAAGCTATCTCTAGCCGCAATTATTTCGAAGCATTCGCTGACAGCCTCTGCGGCGGTCTCTCGAATGACTACCTTCGGGTCCCGCAACGCGACCCATATGAGGTCAAAAACTTGCGGAATAAACCCGTATAGCAGTGTTGGAGACCCCTTAGCGAGTTCTTGGATGACCAGAACAGCGGCAAAGCGCCTGTTTTCCTGGCGCTCCGTCTGCAGCCATTCTAGCGCAGACTGTATCTCGCTTTCAACTAGTTCTGCCGTCAACGCGCCGCCTGGCTTGGCCAGATGTCCGAGGCATCCGGCCGCGAAGAGTAAAACCGAGTTGTCATTGCTTCTTAACGCGCTCCGTAAGTAGCTAGCAAATCGAGTGGTCTTCTGTGCGGTGTCCACGCCATCAAATTCGATCAAGCGGTCGAGAACGAGTAAGCCGCCAATTTTTTCATTCGCATCATTTCCAGTTACGATAAGTTGTGCGATACGCTGGTTTATGCTGTTATAATGGTCGAGGAACTTGTCCTGCGGAAGCTCTGCCGGTTGGGGAGAGGTAGATTAGCATAGGATTCCTCGACGCAGATGCGAGATTGGCCGTCTTACCTCGGGAGGCTGCAATGATATTATCGTACAGCTCGGTGGCAGCTCGATTCCGAGTATCTTCGCTCTTGGACTTGAGCTCCTGAAAGAGTCTTTGGGTTGCATCTGCAGCTTGGGTAACTTGGGCCATGTTTTGATATCAAGTCAGGAAAGCCGGCAACACAACTAGCTCCGATAAGCAAATCATGGGCCGCATTCAGCATCCCAGTACAATAACCAAGCAGACAGCACGATTCATATCCCTCGCGATCACTTCTCCCGTCAGCTGCCGGAGAACTGCTGTTTCGTTGCTTGCTGTCTTGTGATGGCGACCCGTTTGGAGGTTGTAGATAACGCTTGGGGAAATTAGTAAGCAGAAATAGTCACGTGAAAGTCAGCTTTTTAATCTCTTGGGCAAGAAGGAAAATCTTCATGTATTGCGAAACAAGAGACCTTGGACGGCGACACAGGCAACGCCGAGAATAACGCTGCGTTTGGGCAATTGGAAGGCGACAGCTGCCACAGTCGAAGCCATGGCGGGTAGGATATCGCCTGCCACGAATCTTCTGCGCAAGTCTCGCCTGTTTGCGCTCCCTTCCTCTCTCGCTCCTCCACCTCCAGCGCCGACATCCATTTTTTGCAGCGAGTCGGACTCGGCGACACTCCCCTATCCAACGAAGGCTACGATCGAGACACCTCTGTCTTCTCTGGTGAGAGGCGATTGGGGTTTGAAGCGGCCCCTACCAGCCAAATCTACCACCAACAGCTCTTCCAACCCCCTGGTTCGAATCAACCGCCTTGATACCTACGAGCATATCACCGACTTCCACCCAGCCAACGATCATGCCCTCACCCTTCAAAAGTATCAGGAGCTAAGTCTTCCGGTATCCTCGACGGTCCATAATAGCCTGACATTGTCAGGCAGCCGTCACACCAGCGTGTTCGAAAGCTCAAATGATAACATAACAATAACCGAAGATCAAAGCTCCGGGAAAAAGTTGAGGTACAGGTTCAAGGGACCATGGTTAGCTGGTATGACAGAAGTCGAATTCCAAAGGTACCTGAAGAAAGTACGAAAGCAGAAGCCGGAGTTCCTACAGAGGCTCCGTGAGGTTATCACAGAAAACAAGGCTTTGCAAGCAAGGAGACGGTTGATGGACGAGGGCAAGGTGTTGGAGGACTCTGATATCCCGAAAGAAATGAGCGATGCCGAATTCGAAACCGCTCTTTTGGCCCTTCGTGCCGACCCTACAAGCCTTGGCCCCGAAATCAACAGGTTCCTCGACCTGGCTACTCCGCCCAAGGTTCCCGATCGACGAATTCACCTACACAACTGGATCGGGGGCCCGTCAGACGTAGCGTCACCTCAGTATGCACGAGATGGGCCTCCCAGAACCCATCCTTCTGCGGGAATAAGTTATCTGCGCACCAAATCGCATATCGACAACCATCCCGTTGCAGGTCCCCAGCGAGACCCTCGTCCGGTCCAAGCCCGAGTGTTGCGCGCGAGAGGACGCGGTAGAGGAGGATCAGCCAAGAGCATAGTTGGTGTCGCCGGTTTTGTCACAGACGACATTGGCCCTTCAGCATCTAGGGAATTCGACCGCCAGAATGGATCGCTCCAGTTTGATCCAGATCTGCCCGGTGGCTCGAAATGGTGGGTTAAGGTGGACAGAGCTATGGTAGATGCGAATGGCAAGGTGATACTCCGTGTCGACGGCGCAACGTCTTCGGCAAAGGCCCTATATGGGGTGAAGGAAGCAACCAAAGCTCTGCCCTCATTCGTCACCAGCAGGGCGTCTTTCTCCCGCCTCGACGAGAATTCGTGAACGAGTGTCTGCCTTTGATCTCCCGCTGTATACAAGTGTATTTTTATTTCCAGTCAAGATATACAATTTACTACGTTTTAGCCATGCTTCAACATACCAAATTACTTCCTTCTTCCACCTGAATCGAGGCCTGAGATTATGTAATCAATATAGTCACGTGCATATACCAGCCCTAAGCGAACTTCCACTTATCAAAAAAGCATCACGAACATTTACTCGACTGAACCAACTGTCACTTCATCAACCGCAGTTCAGCACATCAACACCGCCAACATGGGTCGCGTTAGGACAAAGGTAGGTGGTCATTCGGCTGTATCTTCTCTTGATCGAGAACTGACGAAACTGCTTTGATCTGGACAGACCGTTAAGAAATCCGCCAAGAGCATCATTGAGCGATACTACCCCAAGCTCACTCTCGATTTCGAGACCAACAAGCGTATCTGCGATGAGATCGCTATCATTTCCTCCAAGCGTCTTCGCAACAAGGTAGGCCTCCAAGAATACCATGAATCATACAATTTCCGAATCTGCAATTCTAATTCGAAAACGGTTTTTCGATAGATTGCTGGCTACACGACCCATTTGATGAAGCGTATCCAGCGTGGTCCAGTCCGCGGTATCTCCTTCAAGCTGCAAGAAGAGGAGCGTGAGCGCAAGGATCAATACGTCCCAGAGATCTCCGCCCTTGACATCTCTCAGACCGAGAGTGGTCAGCTCGACGTTGACGCCGATACCAAGGACCTCCTCAAGAGCCTCGGAGTAAGTTTGCACCCCCAAGCTTGGAATATAGTATTGGCAATTTTCTGACATGCTTCCCTCTCCAGTTCGATGCCCTCAAGGTCAACGTGGTCCCAGTTGCTCAGCAAACCCAGAACACCGACGGACGACGATACGGCGACCGTCGCTAAATCGATTCCTTCAAAATGGCAGGAGTTATGCGGTGGTGGGAATTTGGGTCAAATTATCCAGGCATTTGTTCAAAACAAGTTCAAGCCTAGGGTGCCAATTTCTAATATAAAAAAATTTCCAAATACAAGGTGTCGCGGATTCCCTCGGGATGAAGCTTGATTGCCAAAAAAAACTGTTTCCCCAGCCGTAGTAATCTATACTACATGTCTCGGCCCTTTAAGGCGGCAAGATGATGTTCGTTTATTATGGTAAGTATCGCAACCGCCCAATGTGAAATTGCAAAAAGAAATGCTTGAAAGACGCCATAGTTCGCCATCAGCGCACACAAAAGCCTCGGGTATATTGCGTTCAGCCCAACAACGCCAGAATAAACCAATACATGTAAGCGCGATCTCATATCTGTGGTAATAAATCATGCATATCCTCGTCTCCATCCCCATCTCGATCGGGGACGTCCCAGTTTCTGAACTGTATGTCACTCCTGGGATGAAAGCCTTCCACTGAGCCTCCGCCTGCGCTGTCGGCCTGGGGAATAGGAGCTTCCGGGTGCCTTAAACTATCAGTGTCTCTCTCAACAACCGATGCGAGTAAACCCGCTGCCTGATGTGAGGCAGGATTGCCCTGACTGTGAGGATTTATCGACGGAGCCCCTCGATCTTGCATTGTCAGCTCCTGTAGCTCTCGAGATAGATGATCCTGGATATAGCCCGAGTTCCCCTGGAGCGCAGGTCCCTGGACGCTTTCCTCCATTCCTCTCATGCTATCACCGGCCTGTTCGGTGTGCGACCCTGACGACTCAGCCCGTCGGGCCTCGTCTAGAATCACAAAGTTCCTGTTCCCGTTCCCCATCCTTTCAGAGGCTGGCCTCTCACTGAGCTGGACCTTGAGATACATTGCTCGCTCAGCACACTCGTCAGAACACCACATCTCCAGCTTCTCTTTCTGCACTACTTTCATCTCTTTGCCACGGCCTCCAGGACCGCTTCCCTTTGAACCCCATACGATCCGGTAGCCACCTCTAGAGTTATCCTTCCTCCGCGGCTTAGGACATAAGGTATAACCACAGCTACCGTCGATGTTGCGTTCCTGGATCAAGTTATCGTAGTCCGATGGCTGGAAGCAGGCCAACGCTGAGAAAAATGTCGACACGTCTTCAGCAGAGGGAGAATCAGCCGTAGCATCCTTTGCTGTAGGTAGTTCCATGAGCGTTTCTATATGTGAGAGTATAAGGAGCTCCAGCTCTTTACGGTTCTGGATCTGGCGCGCATGGTGAAGCGCAATGGACATATGCCGGGGATCTGGGGACCCTTTCCCGCGATACTGAGAGGATTCAGGCCTCGATCGCGTCGAGGCTGGCGCGGATGAGGCGTGAACAGCTTGTATCGACGTCTTGAGGGCCGAGTCGTTATGAGCGCCTCCGGCCGCCATAGCTTCGGCCAAACGGTTCGTAAATATGCAATCCTGGACGGGCAGGCAATAGACAAGCGCTCTATCCCAGTCGCTAGCCCAGAGGAGCCCTCTTTATCGTCAGTGTCAAGCCCGTAGACCGCGAGCAGTGCATGTTGAATGTTGTGCGGGTGTGGGGTTGGACGTGGCGGCGTCTGTATACAAGCCACAACCACCTTATTAAGTGTTGGCGCTCTCTCTCTCTCCTCCCTCCAGGCAACTTCACCAACTCCACGCTTCCCGGCCCTGAGCTCGTCGTTACTCAACGGCCTGTATTCGTGAAGGAGATAGCGCTATAGACTTTACAGCTTGCTTTACCACCTGTAAGATCGTGCACTCTGCTCTCCTCCGTTGACTTGTGTTGACATCTCATTACTAACACAGCCCGCCGCGCAGCTTGCTCAGATGCTCTAGCTACATACCACGTCATCTTTCATTCTGTCGGACTCGGAATTGAAGCCATAGCGGACTCCAGCCGTCTGATACTCTCTTTTTGCGCTCTGCTATTGCTTGGTTTAAATCTGGTCGCAATACAGTTGACCCGTCGTACCTGGAGCCGCCGTTGCGCTCGACCGTTTATACGTCCCTCGATACTCTTATAGATTCGATACCAGCCTCCCAAATGCCCGCGGTACCTTTCACGGTCAAAGCAGTGTTCGAATACACCTCGGAACATGAAGATGACCTTAAATTCTCAATTGGGCAGATCATCACGGTAACGGAGGAGGAGGATGCTGATTGGTATTACGGCAATTATACCGACGATGCGGGCGCCAAACAAGAGGGCATTTTCCCTAGGAATTTTGTCGAAAAGTACGAGCCTCCAGCTCCTCCACGGCCTACGAGACCGACGAGGACCCGGAAGGAATCCGAAACCGTTCCTCAATCCCCGCCCATGGCGCCTGAGCAGCCCCCTGCCGATATTCCGCAAGAGGACGTGCAGAAGAAGAGTGTTGATCTGGGAGCTGCGGATGAATCGGTCAGACAGAGCATCCCCGCCCCATCCGAGGCAGTCAAAAGCCCTGTTGCTCTATCGTCGCCTCCTTTGAGTCCTCCTCCCTCTCAAAAGGCCGTACCACCTCCGCCAGCAGCACCTGTTGAAGCCCCCGCCAAAAAAGCTCCACCTCCGGCAGTTGCTGAGAAACCTGCCGTTGGCTCGTTTAGAGATCGAATTGCTGCCTTTAACAAGCCATCTGCGGCACCGATAACGCCTTTCAACCCTAACGCTAACCTATCAAGCTCTTTTGTTAAGAAGCCATTCGTTGCACCACCACCAAGTAAAAATGCTTACGTTCCTCCACCAGTTGAACCACCCCAGACTTACAGGAGAGAGGAACCTGCAGAGCGTGTTAGTCAGGAGACTTCATTGCCGATCCGTTCTGAAGTCGCGGACACCACCGGGGCTGTAGAGGAAGACCAACCAAAGCCAACAAGTCTTAAAGAAAGAATTGCTCTTTTACAGAAACAGCAGCTAGAGCAGGCTGCTCGACATGCCGAGGCTGCCCAGAAAAAGGAGAAACCGAAGAAACCAGCAAAGAAACGACCGGAACCACAAGAGCCTACCGAACAGCCCGAGTCAACGGTGGGAGTAGAGCTGCAGAGAACTGAGACTTCGGAAACAGCAAAGGAGTCATCAACTACAAGCGGCCCAGCCGAGGAAAGCAGTCAACATAAGCACCGAGCTTCTGTCCTACCACCCGCCAGAGAACTTACAAGCGATACTAATGACGCTGACAATTCCGCGGCTGGTGATACGGAGGAGGCGAGTGAAACTTCGACCAGCAAAGAGGATCCTGAAGAGAAATCACCTGAGCCAAGGTATCAGACACGGCCTGACGATGAAACCAACCGTGATGAAAATGAGTCCGAGGAAGAAGCAAGCGAGGAGCAAGAGGAAGTTGAGATGGATCCAGAGATCAAGCGGAGAATGGAGATTCGTGATCGAATGGCCAAACTTAGTGGCGGAATGGGAATGATGGGAATGTTCGGTGCGCCATCTGGTCTACCAGGAATGCCCACTGGCGGATATAGAAAACCAAAAACCCCGTCAGCGGATGCAGGAGCCGTAGAACAACAACCAGAGCCCCAGGCATATGCTCCTCCTATTCAGGTTATGGGTCTTCCGGGGATGCATCCCAGAAAACGGGAAGAATCACCCAAAAGCCCAACAGTGGTGCCAGAAGAACATAGTGAACCTCAAAATGTTTCTCAAGCCTCCCCAGCTGGTTCAGAAGAGGCTCCCGAAGAGGGCAGTGAAGAACCGGTCACACCACATGGTATAGCTCTATACTCCCCTAAATTGTCAAAAACGTAACTAATGCATTCACGTCAGGACGGCCAGTACCTGCGCCTCCAGTAACCCATGCTCTACCACCACCACCTCCTCCTCCAGAAAGTAAGCTACGCCGTTCCTCTTTCTACTCATCTTCTGCTCTAACGTTCACTAGGTCGACCTGTTCCACCACCTCTGCAAGGAATCATGACTTCTCCTTCTCTTGGGGCCAAAACCGAGGAAGACATTGTGTCCTCTCCGGTAGGGCTTGACAAAGGCGATAATGAATCATACTTCCCAGGACATGAAGCATCCAGGAGTGCACGCCAGTCGATAGACCAAACCATGGGTGCATCTCCTATATCGTCTCCCGTGCTAGGGCCAGGGCGACGGCAGAGCCATCCACCTCCTCCACCTCCGTCGGCTCCCCCAGTACCATCATCCGCTCAAACTCGCCCCCCACCACCTCCTCCACCAACAGGCCCAATCTCGCGCAAATCTACATCTGACAGTAGGATGAGTGCACGAACACCAACTCAGCCATTAGGTAGTGATAGTGAGGAAGAAGTGACCGAGTACGAAGGCGACTATGATACGGACATAGCTTCTGGGGCCAAACACAAAGATGCCCTCAAGGCGCATGCACGAGATTCTAGTGTAGATGAAGGGACGCTAGCCGACTCTTTCAGTCCCCATTCACCAAGGAGCCCGATAGAAACAAGACCACCGATCCCGCAAACTGCTCCTTCGACATCTGCTCCCCGTTCAGCACCACCCCCTCCTCCACCTGGCCAACCTCCAAAGGCAGCACGGAGGTCTGTCGATATGCCGAGGGTCCCGCCACCTCCAGTTCCTGCTCCAAAGATGTACACGCAAGAAGAAGATACCCGTCAACAAGGGCGTGAGGAAGGATATGACCCGTATAGGTACGATGTAGGACCTAGTGTTGTCGCCCAGGAGGACCGAGGCGAACCCCAAATAAAAGAGACGGAAGAGGAGGAATCATACGATCAGCCATCTCAACAGCCAATGTCTTCTCCCCAGCCGTCACGCCCATCCCGGAGTTCTGCTGATCTATTAAGAGGCCAAACAACAACACGTAGGTCCATGGATGTTTCTCGCCCCTCCATTGATCAAGGATACATTGCAAACGATGTAGATCTTGCTTCCACTTCTCTCTGGTGGACTCAACCGAATACACCACCTCCAGTATTCCAGGGCCGACGAGACATCCTCTTTGAAATTGAGGAATCATCAACGAATAAACGCGGCGGTAAAGTTACCATATCAAAGGACGTTTATCTTCTATTTATGGACTACTCTCAAACCGTTGTATCCGCGCAATTCGATGCCAAAAACCCCGTCGATGTAGTGCTGGAACAACGTCACGAGCCACCACCACCACGACTCCGTCAAGATCAACTAGAAGACGCCCACACCCAATTCGGTGCTCGTATTTCTGAATCAATTGCCTCAAAACAAAACACCACCATTGGCGACGGCACACCTCATGCTCTCATCCAAGCACTCCTTATTCCGTTCAAGGATGCTCTTCTCCCCGTCGGCGTCCGCAGCTATGGTGCTCTAGTTTATGCCAACCTTGCCAACGCCTCTGTCCAGCAATTTGATGAGATCCGTCCCGGTGATATAATCACATTCCGCAACTGTCGTTTCCAAGGCCACCGCGGCACAATGCATCAGAAATACTCAGCCGAAGTAGGGAAACCAGACCATGCAGGAATCGTATCTGATTGGGATGGGACGAAGAAAAAGGTACGAGCCTGGGAACAAGGTAGGGAGAGCAAGAAGGCGAAAGTAGAGAGCTACAAATTGGGAGATTTGAAGAGTGGTGAATGTCGTGTTTGGAGAGTCATGCCTCGTTCATGGGTTGGTTGGGATGGACAGCACAAGGCCTAAGTTCTAGCCAGAACTGGACTTCCATCAACTCGCTCACTCATGCTCCAACGCTATACGCTACGATTTACATTTCTGCCTTTGTCCCTCGAGTATAATCGAGCCAGCAACTTTTTTGAATCACGAAATTTGTTTGTGTGAAGAGGAAACGAAGCCGGAATACCATGTAAATGAAATCGGATTCCTTAATATTTATGAAAGTTATCTTTTTCCAGCATTCGTCCGATGTCCGATTTCAAAAGAGTCAAAGACAGCTATATTTTCATCAGGCGGAATCAATATTCCTCTTTTACCTATTTAGGAGCTATACACATTGCAAAGATTATCTACCTCAATCCTCCCAAAACTCCACTATACACAAATACATAAACACACCCCAAGAAAATGATGCATTAATCCAAATGATCGCTTGCTCAAACAAATCATCTTCCCGCACTATCCAGCTCTTGCACTGGTATTCGTGCCTTTTGACTTGGATTCAAACCCAGATCATATAAGAAGAAGCTCCCCGGTAGGACCGCCCATATTATGCTGATACACCTGCTGTTGATTCTGGCTGACGATATACTGACTCTCTGGTGCGGTTCCTACCATATCACCGCCCTGCACACCGCCGCCACTCAGGCTCATGGCAGCCATTTGACCGTTCCCTATTCCAGCGAAGTAGACATCTGCAGCATTTACAGCGGCGCTGATGTCTGGTTTCTGCGCCATACCTGGGGTTCCTGCCAGGTGTTGAGCGTTCGGATCAGAATCGCCCTGACCAGGCGATAGGAGGGTAGCTAGGGGAATGTAGAATGGTGCATCGGAAGAGTCTTCGTACGTAGACTGTTGGAGAGCAGGACTTGGGGCGAGCCGTTTTGGCCTCGCAAGGCGGAAGACCTGCTGGACAGGCTTGAGGTAAACAGTTGCAAGAGTGCCGACATTAAGACATAGCTCCTCAAGGGTCTTCGGGTCTAGTTTCTCCCTATCGGCTGAGATGGGTGGCTTTTCGCCCATGACGATTTTCCTGGCTGTTTCTGGATCAGTGGAGAGAAGACGCCAGTACATGAAGCCCCTATCACGAAGATCGGGGTCATCCGTCTCCTCAGTGCACCATTTTAAAACCTGCGGAACCAGCTGTTGACCCTTTGTAGGACGTTGGATGAATAGTTTGACGGTAGCCGTGAGAAGGGCTAGCTGCACTTCCACGGGTTCATCGTGGAAGGTAGCCAGGTAATCCTGTAGGAATGCGTCGGAGTTATCGATTCTGTCCGCATACTGGCCAATAATCCATATAACGGCTGCCTTGGCTTCTGGCTCATCCAACTCATCAATGTTCTGAATGACAGTGCTGATAATTGATTCATACTGGTTGGGGTATTTTCTGAAGATGTTCCGGATCACAACCGTTGCTTCCTGTACGATATATGGGATCTTGGCGTTGACAAGTTCGAGCAATGTCTCGATACATTGTCTAGATGCAGATTCTATTTTGATAGCCAGCTTTCCAATTGCCCGCACAGCCTTTCGTACGAAATGAACGTCGATCTCAGTAGCATACCTGGAGCAAAGGTTAGAGAACTGTCAACAAACATTAAGGTGGCCCACTCACTCTCGAAGCTCGGTCAAAACCACCGAGATATTATCTTTCGAAGCCAGCATAAAGATCAACTCTAACTTGGTCACTTTGACATAAATAGGGTCATTATATTTGCAGAAGAACACTCGGATGTCATTCCGCAGCACCTCGGGCCGTTTCTGTAATATCAAAATCGCATTTCGCAGAGCCAGATACTGTACTTCCGGCCCCTTAGATAACAGCGTGACGAGTGGTGGAGAAAGCTTCCTAGATAGAGACGTGACCTGTTTTTCGTCGGCAATGTAGTTCATGAAGTAGAGAATGACACGAATACATGTTAAAACGACGGAGGAGTTGGAATGTGAGAGACGTGGCGCTACTCGTTCGGCGAGAAGGAGTGCCTCCGAGGATTCTCGGGGAACATAGGCCATCAATGCCTCAAGTATGTATGTTTGGCACCACCTGCAAGCGTATTAGACTATACCATCCAGACAGAGCATTAAGAGAATATGATCACGTACTCGGAGCAATCTGGCAAGATAGAGATGATCTTGGACGCATTCGTATAGTCAATTGTCAAGGTAATGGATTCACTCCGCTCCCATACGTCTACCAACGCAGCCAATGCACTCGAGACGACCGTTGGATTCTCGTCCTGAAGCATGTTGTTCAACCGCTCGATCAGGTCCGATGATTCGACCAGCCTTCTATCATGATCGTATAGTTTGGCGACTGCAAACGCAGCTGTCTTACGGACGTACGGGTCTGCATCAGACATTAAGTGTTTCAATGGCTGGACGGTTGCCTCGACGAAGTCTCGCACGTGGATGTATGATATCGTTCGGAGGGCCAGGGCTCGGATCAATGGGTTGCTATCGCTCATGTCCTATCTCGTTGTCAGTGCCGCTGCCTCAATATATATAGGAATGTAGAGGGACAGACGTACATTAAGGAGCAGCGGCAACGCCTTCAACGCTACCTCCGGCTTCGTTCGAGAGTAATTGACGAGAAATAGGAAACACCTGCCACCGTTAGTTTTTTCCTCTCTATTCAGCGGAACCCCCCTTTCTGCTGGCATCCAGCATCCTCCCGGCCGGCCGGACGTACATTTTCTTTATCTCGAGACTCGGTATGGTCATGCAGCCGATGACGTCCGGGAACAGGCCGATCATATCGTTATTGCTCATGGTCATATTGGCGACAATCTTCTTCAGCGTAATCTTCTTTGCGGAATGGTTCTTGTCCTTCTTGCCACCGCCCTGCAGCTCCATGCGGAGCTCGCTGACCTTGCCCTGGACAGTGTTAGCTTTTGGAGCAAACGCCCTGGCCGTTCCATACTGAAGGGTCATCATCGTGCCGGTGGTGATAGTGGCAGCGCACTACCGTCGAAGGATAGATATGGCATGTATAGGGGGGTTGTCAGGGCATTGGAGGGAGGATAGCAAGAGGAGAGAGGCCTGAGAGGGTATCTGCGGGCAAGATATCAACAGGAATGCAACGTACTCTCGCGAACAGCTTCGCATCGCCCCCGCTCGAGCTCATCTTCCTTGCGCGCCTAAGGCGAGAGCGGCTCGAGATGTCTGGTTGTTACTGGATGGACTGGAGGCGGTTGGTCACATGTAGGTAGGCCCCCTGGCAAGCCAAGTTGCGCTGGGAGTGTGTAGCGACGGGCTTCGATGGTGCGCGGTGGGCGATATCCGGGTGATCGGTGAGGGTGTATGGCGTACGGGAGGCGGTTTTGATGCTCTGGAGATAGCAGGTCGGAGCGAAGGATGCGCTGGAGCTTGGAGTCGTGAAAGTTGTGGACTTGGGTTGTCCCGGTGCGCAGGTACTTGCAAACACTAGCAAACTGTTAGCCAGCGCAGGTACCTCGCGACCCTTAGGGAACAGTGGGCCGCAGCTCCTTGGCCCCAACTGAAATCGACCACCGTAAACAGTTTTTATATCTTCTAGACGCTGTGTCAGGAGCCGAGATGAGCGTCCAGGACGCTTGGAGTCGCCGTTAAGGGCTACAGCCTGTTTTTAAGGGGAGTCTGTGGCGCCCTACGTCGACTCCTGAGTCCTGAGTCTGATACTGTGTCTGTTGTATGAGAGACAGCGTTTATCCCCGACGAGCATACTCCAGCAACCCTGGAGACAGTGATCCCGGCGGTCATGGAAATATATCAGTGCATCGCTACCCCAGCTATTTTAGTGATGGTTCGAGAATCCGTGAAGGGTATCCTTGCAAGCGACGGCGGTCTCAGGAGAGTAAGGGGTGTCTTTAACTTGGCTCTTTAGACTCGTTCTTTACCTACGACTCGTTCTTTAACTAAGACTCGTTCTTTAACTAAGACTCGTTCTTTAACTAAGACTCGTTCTTTATAACAATTTAGTCCTTAGGGCATTCACTACCTAGACATTATGAGCTACTACTTGGGCTCATCGTGGTAGAATGGTCTTCAACAGTCACTTGAAGAGATAGTGCAGTAACCATTTGATCCGTTCGTCTAATATAACCACGGCAAGCATCTCTTTCGAATACCATGACTCCTTTGGACTGTATACAGACCTGCAACCCCGGAATATGCTACTATAGGGCAATATACTATGCTAGACGTATACTGGTCGTCCGTCATTCTCAAAATATATTGGAATAACAAGTTGATATTGGAGTATTGTATGGGTTGCCTTGGGCCAACTGCGGAAGACCTTGTATTTGGCCCCTAGTTGACGGACGGATTTAACCAGGAAACCATCTAGGACAAGAACATGTCCTTTAATAGTGTCTGAGAACAGAATAGAGGTTTCAATGGATGTTTGTATTATTTTCTATATGGGCAGCTTCAAAAGAAGCTGGCTTAGTCATCGATATCTAGACTAACGACATCATCGAATTATTCCACAGCGATACATCCCATCAACAAATATATCCTCCATCTACTCATATACCGAGCCATAAACAGATATCCAACATGGCAGAACGGATGAGCCTGCTCCCACCTCCCCCTCCCCCTCAATGGGCCGTTGACATGAACTCTGCCGCACCCAGCAGAGCGCCAAAGTCGGCCTCCTTCCCTGACCCGCCAGGCTACTCTGCCCCCAAGCCTGTGTCGAAGGTATGTGTCGACCAGCCCTGTCCTTTCCAGCAGATATTCTAACGTACACCTATCCAGCAACGCGCCCAGCCATCCGCCGGCACCTCCTCAGCACCACGCAAGACTGAAACAGACGCCCTGAAGCTTAAGAAGGCATGGGAAATAGCTTTCGCGCCAGCTAAACAGCTACCCATGAACGCTATAATGATGTACATGTCCGGCAACAGCTTGCAGATATTCAGTATTATGATGGTATTTATGCTTTTCAAGGGGCCTATCGGTGGTATTATAGGTACGAACGCCGCGTTTGCCAAGTTGGAGTCGGACAGTATTCGCGGGCAGATGGTGGCTGTTAAGGTGGTTTATGTGGCGATGCAGTGCGTACTGTTGGCTCTAGGGGTGTGGAAGGTCAATGGGATGGGATTGCTGCCGTAAGTGATGTCTACAAATTTTGGGTGGTGGTTTCTGGCACTAACAGCGTATAGGACGACGAGATCAGACTGGCTGGCATGGGAGACGGAGCGGAGTCCGCTGGAACGGGCATATTTCGCTTTTAAATGATATACACGAGTTTAACTAACAATAAAAACCATTGCATTCTATCTGAAACTAACGGGTTGCACCTCAATTGTTCTCGCTCTATATATATATATGTTTTGGGTCTACCGTTGTATGATCTAATTCGCTGTCGCTTGCTTACATGCCTCCTTGAGTTCGCGAACAAACACCCACACGTCGTCAAACGTGTTATACATCGGCGTGGGCGCGACGCGGAGGACGTCTGGTTTTCGCTCATCCAATATCACACCGTTCTTCTCCAGGTAGGCAAGGACATCGTCCAACATGCCTGGCTTGAGACGGACACTGATCTGGGCCCCTCGCGCGTTAGGATCGGAGGACGTGATGATGCTGAATGGCTTCTCGGGTCCAGCCGGGAACTCGCTGTTGAGGAGATACTCGAGGTAGGCTGTTAACTGGATCGATTTGCGTCTGAGAGCGGGCATGGTAGCCTTGTTGAAGAGCTTTAGGGAGGCGGCGACGGCCGTCATATCTATAGCGGAAGGGTTGGAGACTTGGAAACCTGCCGCGCCAGGACGGGGTACGAATTCTACCAGGCCATTAGGAACCAGTGAAGCTGTCGGACGGGAAGTAACTTACTATTGTCCATGAGGAAGCGGGCACTTTTATCGGATCCCCACCAACCACTCAGCCGTGGTCTGAAGCTACTTTCACTCGCCACTCCATGCTTCTCGTGCACGAACAGGCCGGCCATCGCTCCGGGGCCGGAATTGAGATACTTATACGAGCACCAGGCAGCAAAATCAACGTCCCAGTCATGAAGCTTCATGTCCACGTTTCCAACAGAATGGGCACAGTCCCAGCCTACTACCAAACCCTTGGAGTGTGCATGGGCTGTGATTGTCTGGATATCAAAGTACTGGCCGGTATAGTACTGGATGCCGGGAAGCAGGAGGAGAGCAGCCGTGTCTGCGTGCTCATCGATGACGGAGAGGATGTAGGATGTTTCAAGGGTGGGTGATTCAGGCGACTCTGGCTCTAGTAGTACCATGGTATCGGCTGGATCAAGGCCGTGAAGCCGTGCTTGAGACTCAATTGCGAACTTTCATCCCAGTCAGCAACCGAAACAATGTGAAGAAAGTAGAGCTATATCCCTACATGGTCACTAGGGAACGCCTTGCCCTCGAGGATGATCTTGTATCTGTCCTTGGTAGGCGTGTAGAAACTAGCCATCAGCAGGTGTAGATTGCCCGTCAGCGTACCCATGACGGCCACCTCGCTGCTCTTCGCACCCACGATGGGAGCCATGAGCACAGCAGCTTCATCGTCAATGTTCAGCCATTCCGCCTGTAGTTGGTCTGAATGAGGAGCTGTATGGCCCAGCACTCCCTTAATTGCCCACGACCGAAGGTAGGAATTGACGTGGACGCTCGTAGAAGTCGGCTGGAGACCAAGCGAGTTTCCGCAGAGGTAGACACATTTTTCCTCTTGTTTATGCTGTTCGTCTGCCGGAAGGGCGAGAGTGGTGCGTGTCAGGTCTGCTTTGGAGGGGATGATGAATTCATTGCGAAAGGAGCGGAGAGGGTCCTGCTCGTCGAGACGCTGGGCGTACTCGCGTGTGAGCGAGCTGGGGTCTTTGGCGAAGTCCATCTCTATTGATTATAGTAGCAGCAGGTAGTAAGCAGTAATATCTTGCCTCTGGTTATCTGTATAGACATCTTTTTGTACTCCGAATTGGGGGAGGGGACGAACTACCTAATGCCGACCCCGCTAATATTAAGGCTCGTAAACATTTAAAACTTTGCCGTTTCATGCTATTATAAATTTACTTTACTATAAATATTCCGTATCTCCTGCATAATTAGCAGTTACGTTGAATAGCTCTAAAGTAATAACGTTGTATACCCATGGCGATACTACCACTTCGCAGTCCTCGATAGCTTATACTTTTAGGCTATGATTTGCAGGCGATCTCTTTAGCTACTCGCAGTTCATGACAGCGATAATGGCACAAGTGAGCGAGGTCGCCTACCACGTCGGGGCGTTCATCTCGACGCTCTTCCTCCTCGAATTCGGAGCAGACAAATTCATCGCCCACACGGCCATTGTGGCAGCTCGCATCCAGATCTCGGAAGTTGTCATCGGACTCCTCACTGCAGGCGCAGAATGGGAAGAGGTAAGCGTCTGAGCAGAGGTTACAGTGCATTGCGAGCAACACTTGCTAAGGAGATTGCCAGCTCGCAGTTGTAATCGCGTCAATTGCGCAGGGCCGCTCATCTCTGGCCCTAGGAAATGTTATCGGCTCGTCCATATCCAACATACTGGGCGCATTCTCCCTCGGACTGCTCTGCTATGAGCGAGGAGAGCAGATCGTGTTCGATAGGAGCTCGCGGATCTACTCTCTTCTGCTCCTGGTATTAACAACCGCGTTGATGCCAATCATTTATTATTCAACAAGGATCACCTGGCTGGTGGGAGGTTCTATCCTCATCGTGGCATTTGTAGTCTATTTCCTCCTTGTGGCGCTGGCAATTGGTCGAGGAGTCCTTACAGCCCCAGAAGACTCCGACAGCGACAGCGATAGCCAGAGTGATGTTGATGACCATGATTCTAGTTCCGTGGGAAGTAGAACTGCGTTGCTCCCTCGCAATACAGGCACACGCTCGTATCGACATAGCCTGCTCTACCACGGACTCTACCTATTGTTTGGATTCCTTGCTATCTGCCTCGCCGGCTACGTCCTATCCCAAGCTGCAATAAAGATCACCGATCAGCTTGGGATGTCTGATGTCCTATTCAGCGTTGTGATACTTGCCGTCGCCACTACTCTCCCCGAGAAGTTCATAGCTGTCATGAGTGGCTACCGAGGCCACCCTGGGATACTCGTGGCCAACTGTGCTGGCAGTAATATCTTCCTCTTGTCGCTTTGCTGTGGTATAATAATGGTAGACACGAGGGGGAACCTGGATAGAGGAACAGTGACGGTTTCCGAGTTGGCCGTCCTGTGGGCGTCCACTGTCGCATTTACAGGGACAGTCTGGTTTGGGGCTAAGTTTTCACGCAGCATCGGTGTTGCCATGCTCGCTGGCTATATTGCATTCATTATCCTGGAATTTACCGTGATTCACGGAAATTCGGGCTAAGCGTACATTATAGTGAATAGGGAATGTACATTATCAGCTAGGCTGGTCGGCAAAGAGAAGCCTGGCGCCCACTGAGCAAGGGAGGAGACGCCCTGGCATGGCCTGCTCGATGGCCATCTTGACCCTCCAGCCGGAGCAGTGGCCGGGGACGAGGAAGCGCGGGTTCATGGCTGCCAGATCGTGGACGGTTTCGAGCATCGTGGCCTCGTCGCTGGTCGCCAGGTGGTATCCCCCTATTATCGCAAAGATATCCTCTTCTTTTCCTTGTTTGTCCCTCTGTTCTCTTCTTGCATGTCTCGCGGTGTTTACAACTCCAGCATGGCTACACCCCGTGACCACGACTAGCCCTAGCCCTGTTTCCCCTTTTAGTCAGCGCGGGGTCATGTGCTTAGTCATGCTTATATAAGACGTTACTCACCCCGCACTCGGCACGTGAGCACGCGCTCATCCGCGATTTCTTCGTCCTTTTTCCATCTTCCTTCGCGTTTATCATCATCATCTTCATCTTCTTCTTCATCTTCAAAGCGCATTCCTCCCCTAAGCCCCGTCTCATACTCGGTCTCCCTTGGTATCATGCCCGAGACGTGAAACATCCCGCCAGCCAGGGTATGTGCTTGCGCGTTCTTGCTCACCGTAGCTCCCGCGGCCGCCATCTCGTCGAATCCTGGGTCTGCTTCAAGGGATATGATCTCCTCGCCCAGCTGGAAACCGCGATACTTGGGCCGTGATGGATGGACATCCACTACTACTTCCTTGATGTTGTCGCCATGGGCCTCCTGGGCCTCCTTGATCATCCGGATAGCGCGTAGCATGCCGCCTGTTCCTTAGCTATAGACATATACATGATAGTAGAAATATAAGAATAGCTACCTGAGTGGTCTCGATGCCAGTGGGAGAGCACGATGGCTTCTACTCCCGCAAGATCCACGCCTAATCTCTTTGCATTGCGCTCCCATATATCCTCTTCGGGGCCAGTATCAAACAATACGCTTCTCTTCTCCCAGCCTATCGTCCCTGTCTTCATCACAGCGTCAGTACAACTGTATTCTCTGGATATTGGGTATATGGTATACCAATAAGATAGACAGCCCATGCGCTGCGCAGCAGATACTATCCATCCTGAGCTCGCGAACATCTTCTCCGCCGCGATCATGGACTAGGGCTGACTCTCGGGCGATGTTGCCCAGTGAGCCGTGCGAGTAGATGGTGCCCATCGTCGTGGGTGGCGGGGGAGACATCACGTCCAGCTCATTGTCAATGATCACCGTCACTTCAAGGCTGTCGAGTAGCAGAGACATGTTGTCGATGTCGATATACTTTGTGGTGATGTATATAACTAGTTGGGCATATGTTGATGTTGATCTGCTATGGACCATGGAATTCCTGAACCCAGTGCCGGCCCTGCAACCACTCAACTTCAGCTGTTCAAAGTGGCTCTGGGGGCGATGACGTGAGGTGAAGTTACTCAACCATCGCCTCCTATATAGATCACCACCAAACACTCTCTGCCCACGCTCTACCAGCGCATAACCATAACCAAGTTCAAGATAAACAAGAGATCATACACCATGCCGTCTATCACAGACACTATGAAAGCAGACCACCAGGAGCTGCGAGATGACTACAACAAAATTGTCAACGCCACGGATGAAGACTCCATGACCCGCTACGGCAACAAGTTCACCTGGGACCTCGCCCGCTACGCTGTTGCAGAGGAACTCGTCGTCTATCCGGCCCTCGAATCCCACATGGACCACGGCAGCGTCATCGTCGACCACGACCGTGCCGAGAGCCAAAAGATCAAGCAACTACTCGCTACTTTCCAGCCATTGTCTGCCTCGGACGCCAAGTATAGGCATACGCTGGACGAACTCATGAACAAGATGAGCACGCACATCAACGAGGAAGAAGACGAGTATCTTCCTTCGCTCGAGTCGGTGTTGGATCCGGTAGAGTCGGAGCAGTTGGCGCGGACATTCGAGCGGACAAAGATATTGATGCCAACCAGGAGCCATCCGAACGCTGTGGCCGAACAGCCCATGTTTGAGACTGCATTGGCTCTTATTCAGGCGCCAATTGACCGTGTTGCGGACCTTATGAGGCGGTTTCCAGAGGAGTAATCTTGTATATTCACCATGATGTGATGTAAAATGTAATGTGCTGCGTATCCAATCTCTCAACTGTTAATTCTATGTTTTGGTCTCAAGAAATCCCCTTAACGCAAAAAAGAACATCCGCTCCGATTCCCACGTGACTGGCTTTTTGGTGGCTCAAATTGAATATTCCAATCATGCAACAACCAACATTTGAGCACGAAGACATCAATAATTCCTTTCTCATAATCAATACATGAATCCCGCTTTAGATCGTGATAACTCAATACATCTAACGTGTGCTCCGTAGTGCCGGTCGGATTGGCCAATCTACTACAAACCATATACGTCCTGAGATCCTTGAAGTGACGTCTGCCAGGGATGCATGAACTAGTACTCCAGATGTTGGGCGAATTTATGCGGCCTGCTATACGAAGTATGGTAATAAAATAACGCAGGCCTCGGTGATTGGCGTGATGGCCCGACCTCGAGTCAAAGCAGATTAAAATGTGGAATGACCATTATTGCTGGTCCCATTAACTTCATTTGATAATATATTAAGACTGCTTCATATTCTTATACTTAAATCTCAGGACCATATTACTCTTGGAATATAGTCGGCATCCTGTCTATCCTGGGAGACATCGTCAACTTCACCCCATCCTGCATTTCGCCAGTCTTCTTTTGTCAATATGTCAAAGATTGATATTCACCATCATGTCTACCCCCCGGTTCTAGTAGAAGGTCAGTTAGAATTGTCTCATTCGTTTGGAATATGCTAACGGCCAACAGCTTTGAAAGAGGTCGGAGGTGACTCTTTCGGGTGGCAGGTTCCTCCCCCATGGACATTAGAAAAAGACCAGGAGATCATGGCCCGTATGGGTGCTGAAGCAGCGATTTTGTCGATAACCTCCCCCGGTGTATGTTTTGTCGAGGATACCGACAGGGCAGCCCGCCTGGCACGTCAGTGTAATGAATTCGCTGCAGCCATTCGTGACGAGAGACCTGGGAAATACGGATTCTTTGCCACGCTTCCGTCCTTATGCGATACCCAGGCGGCCCTTGACGAGATTAACTATGCGCTGGGTATACTAAAGGCGGACGGGGTGACTATTTTCGCCCAGTATGGTGACGAACATCACTACCTGGGCCATACCTCGTTTCATCCCATTTGGGCAGAGCTAAGCCGTCTGAAAGCCGTGGTCTTTGTTCATCCTACTTTTCTCCCTACCAGCGCCGCAGAGACACGTTGGGTCAACTCTTACATGCCGCTGCCAATACTTGACTATTCCCAGGAGACTGGCCGCACTGCAATGGACCTCATTGTTAGCGGAGTCATGAAGACATACCCGGGATGCAAGGTCATCCTCTCACACGCCGGAGGTACACTACCCTACCTTATTCACCGCAATGCCGCCTTGTTGGCTTCTACACCTAATAGCTGTGGGCAAACGCAAGAGGAGATTCTCGACGCCGCTCGCAAATTTTACTTTGATACAGCCCTTGCTGCAAATCATGTCTCTCTATCGGCTTTGTTTGCCTTTGCAGAACCAGGTCACATATTATTCGGGAGTGATTTTCCGAATGCACCTGGAGAGGTAATCGACCGTTTTACGGGCTACATTGACTCAGAGCTTTCGGGTGAACAACACAGTCGGATCTCTTACCTGGCGGCTTTGGAGTTGTTCCCGCGACTGAAGCCATTCTTTGAAGAGACTGAGATAAAACGGCCGGACAAGCTAGATGGCTAAATTCGGACACAAGGCAATATATGTATATCGGATACGACGTACTCTCATATTCAGCAGAGTTAAACATAGGAGCATCGGGCCGGTACCAGGATATACGCAAAGACTGCGGTTAGGGCGAGGAAAGGCCAGTAAACCGAGCTGATTTCGGCACAAATTGTGGTCACAACTCCCGTTCTCATCATCACTCTAGACCAGAAATCTTGATCATATTACCAACTTGCCAGTTCACCCAGCATTTTATCTCGTGTACTGGCCGCTACTGGATACCCTAACACGAATAAACTATAACCAGTACATACACTTTCAATATTCTGAAGGCTGGGGCGCGCATAGGCAATGCACAAATCAGCCCTGCGCTGCAGCCAGTTACCCATTACCTTTGCTGTCAATATTTATATATCCCGGCCTCGGCACTTTTACCAGCTTCATAAACCCCAAGTCAGAAGTTGACTGCGATATCAAACGGATTTCGCTGGTTGACTACTGGCTGCACTGATTCCGCTGCGCCAGGGCTTGTTGCATATATTATGTCAAAAAAGAGTACAGTGCAGCAGAGGAAAGCTAGATGAGGGCTGTTTTCTTCGTTTAGAATGGTCGCATGGCCAATTACAAGTGACAACAGCCTACTTTCCAGTGGGCATTCATACAGATTACCCTGTCGCGGCTCGTCGTTACACTGCATCCCTCTCTGTAATGAGAATAACGCCATTGTCGGCTTTCGGGAGACCATGAGAACGCCTCGTCATCCAGATCCATGAGACTGGCAAATTACCAAATATTTGGGTCATTTAATGATGGATGTCATTAAAGTCATGCAATTTGCGATTTGCCAGTGGTAGAACTCGGCATTTACTGATCAGGCCTACACCTGTAAATCAAATCGGATTTAGAGTCTTATTTGGACCTATGAAAACGAGTTTATTCGCTGCGCCTATTCATTCATTGATAGACTTGGTCGGCCTCAGACAGCCATGCATCTTCGGGCTGCTTTGTTTGCACTACTAGGGTCACATCTAGCGGAGGGTTGTACTGGCCAAACTGAGCCTGTCTCTATCCATTTTGGCAGTCCCCAGGGCCATATCGGCTAACAGATTATTACGCCAACGGGCCGGACCTCTGCGCTGCTACCCAGTTGCTATGCACATTAACGGCATAGGTGTAGAAGACCTGATGTGTTTGAGAGTGCATCTCAAGCAATCTAGGAAGTGTGGTTGCAGGCGGAAGATAACAACTCCAGGCCAATTAATCATAATTCAGCCTCAGTGCACGTCAAATTCTCTTGCCTGGCCAACATTCAGAAGTCTAACACTTGGAAGAAACAGAGAAATATGGCAACATATGGGAGATACGTGATGCTCTGACTCCTTAAATCAAATATCCTTGACTAAGGAAACGTTGGCAGGCTATTATGTTTACCAGAGTTGCTTCACAGTTCTCAATCACCAACTTTTCTCTAGGATATATAAACCAACTCTCTCAAAACGCTTTACTCCAGTTCCTTATTATCCTCCTTCGAAAACCGCTGCACATCCCCAGCCTCAGGGCCCCGAACCCATCCCAATGAGACCTTGCCACTCTTCACCAACCGGTCCCTCTCAATCCATTTCCTTTGTACCAGCTTCCCAACATTCCTAGTCGACGCCCTCGCCCTCGACTCAAGTCCCATATCCAAAGCCATGAACAGATGTTTCTGGGCGTCCGTCAACGGGCTACTGTTGGCATGGATACAACGCGCCGTCTGGTCTTTGAATAGTCGATACCATGAGTAATATAGATTGGAAGATCCTAGGATAAGGTCCTTGTAGAGAAACTCGAATGCAAAAGGGAAGAATCCTGCCATTTCCCAGTCGATGATTGCAACGACTTTGTATTGAACCGTCAGGGGACTGGAACCTGTCTCCTCTGCTTGGACCAGGATGTTGCGAGGCTCAAGGTCGTTGTGGCAAAGGACAACGGCGTCTTGCAAGGCATCGATCGCGGCTCTTGAGATGGCGACTGGGGGTATATCGTCACATGAAGACTTGAATTTGATCCCGCCGTCATCTGTATCGGTAATTGTGATCTGCTGAGGACCAAACTGTGATGATACAAAACCACGCACGAGATCATGCATATTGGAGAAGAAACCCAAACTAGGGCCACCAAGTGGAATTATCGGCTCCTTAGGGAGTGAATGCTTTGCAGGCTTGAGTATATGCTGCGCCTTGTCGCCACGAAGATCAATCCCCTGGAGCATCTCTATAGCAGACGCAACCTGCTCCACGACGTGCAGCTGTTGATCGTCCGCCAGGTCACTCCAAACATCCTCCAGCGTGATGGCATCACGGATGTACGTGGTAACGGAATACCCAAGGATTTTTCCGTCTTCTGTAGATGCTGTTCCTAATTTATGAACATTAGGAACAAGATCTGGAATCACCATTGTCGCCAACTCTTGGATGGCCGAAACTGCCGAGATTTGGCTGCCCTCGGCCTCGAGACGGACGAGAACATCCTCCCCGGAGCCTGCACGCGCAGTAAAGGTGCATGTTTTGAAGGTCTGAGCAATAATGTTGGTAGACGAGGATTCAGCAGGACCGAATATCTCAGCTAGAAGCTGGTTATCCGGAGCAAGTTTTTTGGAGTTTTCTTCAGAAGACATGGCTGTAGAGGCAGGATGAATACTCTTTTCCCCCACTGAAGCTCCTGGATATCAAGAACACTTTGATATAGAAGCAATTCAATACAAACAACGACGAGGCTGCACTTCTACCCTTCAATTCTGACTCAGCAGGGAGGTCGACAACAGGATGCATGTACACCCCCTGATAGGAAAGTCAGATCGATATTCTCAAAGGGCCTACTTCCTCGGCCATGGTTCTCTTTCTGTTCCTTTTGATCCGATTGCGAGACCGGACATTCCGGACGCATCACCCTGTTATCTCTGGCCAAAATACAGTCGTGTTGGACATGGCTCAGCTATTGGAGCCAGGTGTTATCGCCTCCGCCCAGCACTGGAAGTCATGAGAGTTCCAAGTTTCTATAATAAATTACTTTTATAAAAACCTAGCAGGCTAAGACTCCGTGATTTGCTTCCTTGCTACTCCGAGCTGTCCTTCGTTAAGTTGTCATATATTACGATACCCCCCCCCTATCGGTCTTCTACCCCCTTAGGACGGCGAAGAGTACATCTCCAGAAGTCCAAATACGGGCATGACACAGCCTTGTCCTAGCAGAGAGGGTAGGAATAGTGTATGCACCATGCCGATTGATCTCCAATTATCGATTTACCTGGCTTGAATGAGGCTCCTGCACGTGTGAATCTTGGTATGCTAATTCTACCTTATTGCACACTGTCATTCCTTAGATATTAATCAAGGCTTCCTCTTTTTAGAGTCTGCTTTCAGGCTGGTATGACCGGGAAACTATGGTCATTCATGATTTCCAGGACCCCACAAGGGCCATCGTCTCATTTGTCTGATTCTTATGCACGCTCAGCTATATCGCTCGTTACCACGAAACGGTCGTCCTCATAACTGTTGTTGAAATAGTAGTGGCTGTTGTCATTGCTGATCTACTCTTGTGTTCTTGACTGACTGCACTTGTTATCTATGTTTTCTCGGCCCCAATGCTACTATATATCAATATAACCACCTATCATTCATTCGTTATGTAGAACTCAGTTAGTTTGTAGGACTTGACAGTACCGAATCTTCGGCCGTAACTCCTTAGGATCTGAACAATCACAAGGCGAGGCTGCTTACATTTTCTCATAATACACTGCCCATATTACCCCCTATATTCCCCCCATTTTATATTTGCCCAAGGTCTTTCTAGTATTTATTTACTATTCGCTGTGTTTTGCACAGAGGAGACCAAGATATACACGTGACCTGCTTAATAATAATCACTTATCTGCTTCCAATCAGGAACAAGTTTATTCGAGCTTCGACATCTTATCTCGAAGGGAATATTGTCATTCACTCAGCAAGAGACAGGACTCTTTCTCTGCCTATATACACCCGTCTAGCGTTCGTCTTATATATCCAGCATGTCGAAGCATACTCTTCTCTCTGCGTGTCGCGCGCGAACCATCACCGCATCCCCGCCGACCATATTTATAAAACTACATAGCAGAACACTCGCAACGGCCTCCACCCCATCGCAGACCCTCTCTTCTCCCGTCCGAGCTATCCCAACATACCTCCTCCCATCGCATTGCCAGTGGCGACCACGGAAGTCCTCGCCGAGTCTCCTACGACAGTCTCGTACACCTACGGCCGCATTCAGCACCTCCGCCGTAGGCAACGCGACAGTCGCAACGTTGAATCCACAAGTGAATGAGGAAGGAGAACCATTACTTGTTTCTATATCCTCTCGGGCTGCAAAGGTACGTTGGAGTGACAATTTTCTGTTGGAGGCTTGGTGGCCTGCTGCCGCTATATATACCCACTCCTCCTAGTATCCAGTACATACGACCACAGGAAGTGGAAAACAGAGCTTCCCGTCCGCTCAGCTGTACTTAAGCCACTTGCCGGTCGGTTAGTAGTTGGGTGGGTGACCACCAGCGAATCCCGACTGTCGTATGTTTTTCTTTTTGCTCGCCCAGCTTCTACATGGTCCTTTCATCTCGTTGGTGTTGTGTTTTTTTGATAGGATGTTGCTAACTTGTATATCCAGCGATTGAGAGAAATCACCAACCCCACTGCCTCCCCGACACCCACCCAAAAGGAAAATCCATACGATCACCTGCGAATTACAGTTACGAGTGGCGGGTGTCATGGTTTCCAATACCTAATGAGCCTAGAGTCAAGCTCCAAAATCAGTGCAGAAGAAGATACCGTCTTTGAGGTAGAGGAGGATACTCCGGACGCTGCGCCAGGCGCCGAGACTGGACAAGCAAAGGTCGTCATGGACTCCGCCTCGCTCGAGCTGTTGTCGGGAAGCACGGTCGATTACACCACGGAGCTTATTGGCAGCCAGTTTAAGATTGTGGACAATCCGCGTGCGTCGAGTAGTTGTGGGTGTGGCACCAGTTTTGACGTTAACGAGTAGGCATAGAGGTTGAACAGATGGATTTAAAGCGTGTACGATAGGTTGCCTCAGCCCACTCATGATATATTAGACCAGCGAGGTTGCAATACTCGATTGTACATAAATACAAATATAAGATGGCAATGCTCTGCTCCTAGATCGTATCATTTGATAGTGGCTGAAATCACATTATTGCAAATTCATAAAGATACTTCTTTTCATTCCGTGTCTACTGAATCCAGCAATTAATATATCAATAAAGTGGTAAAATTCCAGAGTTGAAACAGAAAAGAAAAAAGAAAAACGCCTAAATGAATGGTCATGTCTTTTCACGTCCAAGAAACATGGCAAGCATAACAGCGTCGTGGAATCAGGCAACTGGGCACAATGGAACCATTTTTGTAACGGCCTAAAGAGACCTTTCGCCTAAGCCGGGCATTATTCCTACCTGCCCCGGGGAACACGTAAAATCAATAGAAACATGGAAGCAAAACGGCAGTTGGAAACGTAATGCAGAATTGCAATGCCCTTTTCTCCTTTTCTTCTACCCGCCAATAGCATGACTTAATAGGTTCTAGCAAGGTTGCGTAGATACCAATCGACCAGTCTTCGTCCAGCCTTGACCTCGCTAATATGAATCAGATTGCCCTCAATGGCATAATCGAGGTCTCCTGCGTTTACAGCCTCTCCGTCCAACAGTCCGCCGTCAACCCATCGGATCTGTCGGCTTCGCTGCTTGTTAACCAATAGCCAGGCACGCAATTGCTCAGCATCAACTTCCAGGAATCCAGCAAGCTTCTTCAGGTCCATGGTCGTGTACAGCTTCAGGTACGACTTGACGGTTGGGTTGAACAAGGTGTTCTTGACCTCATCCATGAAGATGGCGGTCTGGTGGTCGACTGGGTCAACGTTAAGGGATGGGTTGTCAAAGTCTGGAGGAGTGGGGCTAATGAATTTGGGGCAAGCGGAACGGAACAGCTCTTCGAAGATTGGAAGGGCATCGGGACGACCGCGCTGGAGACGGTTGAATTGGTCGCCGTACTTCTCGCGGATGGCGGAGTGGATGGTGTCGTCGAGACGGGTGGGGTGGAAGGCAACACAGATGGCTATCAGGGCATACATCTGGTCGTTCTTCTTAGCAATAGCATCGTAGCCATCACGACCCTTCTGGAAGTTCTTCGTCCTCGAGACATATACGAGGATGTGGCTGAACATGCGAATGGCGTCGGCATAACGGCGCATCATCATGTACGAGAAACCAACATAGTAGTATGTGGTGAAGTGGGCGGCCATGACACGCGCGAACATGGCCTTCTTGTTCATTTCAATGTCGTCCAGCGTCTTGAGGGCGAGACTGAAATCTCCGAGGAGACAGTGCACGCGCAGCAGACCGATGATTGAGAAGTATCCCAACATTCGATAAAGCGGGCGAGATCCGTACTCTCCAGCAACTGCCATTGGGTCTTCATTTCGTTTTATGGCAGCAAGCTGCTCGTTGATCTGGGATCGCTGGATGAGCGAGTAAAGCACGTTAAGAACAGAGTAGCAACCCCATGTGTTTGGGTTCTCGCGCAGTAGCTGTGCCTCCTCCTCGTTCGAGCCGGTGCGAGCCACTCGGTTTCGGTATCGGCAGAAAGACTCGAATTGATAGATGAACTCGTCAATCACATCCCACGCCCAGTAATACTATAGTCGTAAAGCGTCAGCTCGGATCACAATTCAACCTATCATAATCTCCTCCTTCTCAAGACATACCGACGGAACTTCCAGATCAACGGGCCCTTCCGAGTTCAAGATATAATGGAACAAGCTACAGTAGTTATCGTAGCTCGCGAACTTCGTCTCTAGAGTAGCCTGGTATTCCAGCGGGGTGGCAGCAGCCGCTAACTGGGCCTGTAAATCCTGTGTCTGTGATGTCGCGCCTAGGGAGGTCGTTCGGTCCAGCTCACTCATGCCATCGTCGAAATGTACCTGCTCCTTGTAGTCATTGACAAGAGCCTCTTCCTCGACGTCGGATTCATCCTGGAGATTGGGGGGTAGACGCCCGCGGTGATCTTGCGACATTGTGTGTTCGTTCTGTGTGTGTGCGTGGTGGTGGTTGTTTTGTGTGTGAGACCGACCTCGAACGGAATTAGCGAGCGGACGACGGTAAAAGCACAGCGGCTACCTGTAGCACTGGTCCCTCTGTACGTGGCGAGAATGCTGTCTTTGACGCTGCCCTCGATTCGATGCTGTCTCCTCGTTCAAATTTTGATTTTTTGACTTTCGTTTTTTCGCTTCTCTTGTTGAACTTATCTTGCTTATCTTAGTGCGGCGTGTAGATATCACGTGATGCTCCTACATTTGATGCGAAGTTACAGATATCGAGATGGATATAGATGAGTTACGGGGGAAGAGGGGAGGAGGGTGAGGAAGGTGAAGGTCAGATGGCAGTAAAGTCACTCCGTACATTTTGCAATTTGAAATCAAGGCTGAGATAAGAAGGATAGGGATAAAGATCGATAGAGCGCCAGATACAAAATGAGAGAAGTTGGATGCTGAATGCCAGGATGGGGAGAGAGTAAGGGAAAACATGCTGGGTATCAAACAAGAAATAAAAAAGAAAGGAAAAAGGTGGTGGGATATTACAATTTATGGTGGAATAGGGTGAAAAATAAAAGTGTGAACCTGCAAAGCACTTCAATACCATTGCCAATCAACGACTGTTAGACAGCAATCGTATTGTTGCGCCAACTAATTCCACCTCCCAAGGGACCGTTGCTCTCCACATCATCCTGATCATCCGACTCGTCCTCGGACTCATCAAGATGAAGCATCTGGAACCGATTGGCCATGGGATTCAGCGTCTTGGCTGGACGCGATGGCACTTTAACCGGCGTCTCCTTAATCTTGGGCAGTGGATCTGCACACTCGTCTTGATAGTATTCGATCCTCATGATCCGGTATGGCATGCGGGACATCATACAGTTACGAGCAAAGGAAGCCTTTTGGACGGAGTTGGTTGAAATGTAGACGTTTCCATGATTGAACGTGAGGCTGACTATTATCAGGTTATGGATATGCCTCATGTCTTCGCGGATCATCGATTCAGTGATGTTCGGATGCACGCCGCGGATGATGAGGTTGCGAGATGCACCATTTGCCATTTGGGACGAGAGGTATGTTGATAGAGAGTATTGGCGTTCTGCCCAGGATATGTCGACCTAGTTTTGTGAATCATTAGTCAACGTAAACGGAATCGATATGTACAAGTAATGGCCTTACCGGTCTATCAAGAATGCATAGATTGCAGCGCTTAGCGTATGTATAAAACTCCTGAGCAGCCTTTGTATCCGCAAAGGAGACGCTTGCCATGTGGTCTCTGGATCGAAGGAAGACATCCACCAGCGCTCCTCCTCGAACGACTGCGGTGATGTCACGGTGCGTAGCTCGCTCAGGGACGTTTTTGATCGCTACCGTCCGGTTCTCGGTGCCGTTTACCCCATGTCTCGAGGAGGCAGGGGCTGAGGGTCCATCACCTATAGGCGATTCCAGTCTATCATCGCTTGGGAATGAATCATCGTCATTGTTGTCAAAGGAGCCATGGTGCATCGGCGATTGTTCCTCAGTATGAGCCCTAGTTGACCTATCATTGAAGCTTGGCTGATGAGTCCCCGTTCCAGACCTAGCATTCACCCTGCCAGAGTATCTATTCGCCGGTTCGGTTCCCTCAGAGTTCTGGGTTGGTTCATAGCTAGTCCGGGAGTATCCATTCGAAGAATAATCTCCATTGGTAGTAGATGCCCCTTGTGGAACACCGGAATCCTTTATGAGTGTCTGTTCGGACCGTAAGCTTCCTGTAGATATTATACGATACTCGGTGCCCTCTCACTTCTATAGACGACTGCTCAACCCCGCCTTGATAAAGAGCTCGCTTCAGGTTCTCTGCATGCCACTCATAAGTATCCTTCTCGACTGATCCGGTTCGTACCATCCGCCCAAGCTCTAACAGTCCATTGACATACCATATTCACGACATCTGCGGCTCTAACATCAACCTTATCAGCGTGCGTAGAGCAAGATCCCGTTTAACCCAAAGTTCACGAACCATATCATCATGATCAGGTTTCAGTATTGTCACAGTCGGGATATCAGCAGGCGTGTCGAATTCAGAAGACGATACACTCTAGCAACAAAGTGACGTTGGGAGCGGTCAGCTCAAGCAGGCGGTCTTATGGCAGGACGATATCATCAGGGAATACGCACACACTTGGCCCTGCAGCGTATAACGAGAGTACAAGTTAGCCGGTGCAACCTGAGTACTAAACAGAGTGTGTGGGATGTTCCCATGGTTCATGGTCGGTGGTTATCCAACATCGTCCATAGATTGGTTGGTTCGGGGGAGAAATATCAACGACATACCGTCTGAGCAAGGTTTCAAAGTACTGCTTTTCAATTGTCACGTAAGATGCCATGGTCACTGTTCTCTGCCTCGATCCGACGTGTTAGATCGATGCTCTATACAGAATCAAGCGAGAGAAGCAAGATAACACGAGGGACAAAGCTCCGTGTGCGCTAACTAATGACTGCGGGCGCCAACAAACACAAGCCACAGGGGTAAATGTAAATCCCGACCAGGTTAAACGATACAACGTCCAGGATGTCCGCACGAGAGGATGAGGGGAACGAGAGCCAGGGTCGATACGTACTGTCTGCGCGGCCTGTCTGAGGGGAGCGAGGTGGGAAAAAGGAGAGTTGAGTCTGGGGAAGCTCTGCTCTGCTTGATCTGTATATGTATGATGATGTACTAGGGGGCCCCTTGATACGAGGTGAAGAAGCTTATCTCACTGGCAGCTCATCAAAGAAGCGCCGTGATGCCTTCTCGCTTGTCTCCAGCATCGTCTCTCTTCTTTCTCCCCTTGTCGTCGCCTTGTTTGTCTCCTTGTCTGTCTCCTTGTCAGCTCGCTACAGTGAAAGACTCCCGGTCAGCGGCCAAGCAACGATCCCGGCTTCTGTATCCGTGACAGTAGTCTTACCGTGAGTCCGTAGTATTATCTTTATCAGCTGTATATTTATTGGAGACTATCATCTTCTGTTAGGGTAATTATGGAAGATAAGGTAAAGGCGAGTATTAAGCGATCCTTTTATCCGGCTTCCTATGAAATACGGTAGACCGTGATATATGGTAGGGATGTATAATCTTTATTTGAATATAGTGAACATGTCTCATTATCCTTCCTCTCGCTATTAAATAACTGATCTATGTATCGCCAATGCCTGAACCGAGGAACAGGGACGCGGGCCCAACCTTCCTTCTCTTCCATGGAGTATCCAGCATCCCATAGATGGACGGCCCTGGCATGCCATAGTATCCAGCTTCAGTCTGCGAGAGCTGCCTGGCTGGGTTGACGGCGATGTCAAAGGCGGTTCTTCTTTCTTCTTGACCCAGGCGTCAGGTCATGTTGTTTGCGGGATGTCGGACTGTTCATGAATGGGATATCTCTAGCCAAACTCCGTACAAAGAACCCCCAAAATTCCGTAAATTCCTTTATCAACGCAGCTGTAAGCACTTTCAATACCTATCTACCAACTCAACCGCACTTCCTTTCGCAGCCTGGTTAGCTCCAAGAGTTTCCTTCGCTGGCTTGGGTTTCCTCGACATGAAGAGAACCACCGAGATGTATACGGCGGCCATGATAGCTGCTATGATACAGTATGCGATCACGCCCGCTCTGGGGACACCGGGGGTTCCGATTCCACTAAGCTTCAGGCCCAGGCCGCCGTTGATAATGGCAAGAGCAAATACACATCGTCCCAGCCAGGCGTGAAGAATTCCCTGTACGGCACGCTTTCCGGTCTTTCGGAAGTGTAGATGCTGAAGCAGTCCGAGAGCAGGCTGGAGGAGTATAACACAGGCCATGACGACGATTCCGATGATGGCGTGCGTGGAGTCCAGCTTTTTCAGATCCTTTGCAATGGTAAGACCGAGAGCGAAACCGACAATCGCAGCGATGAGAGAGACTGCCTGAAGGGGCGCGTGGATGCGAGGAACGGTATTGCTGCCCGGAATCAGGTGTAGGGTCAGAGCAAAAGATGGGAACATGACGAGGAAGACGATGGACATGATCAGTCCGTGAGCCGATCGTCTGGCAATCCGTCCTCCGTCAGAGATAACGGTGCCATCAGAGCCAGAGTTGGGGGTGTTGGAACCGTCGCTGGACACGAATGGATTGCCGTTCTCATCGTCGCCAACGGCCTTGGTCAGATCCAGGTTGAAAGCGCCCATGGTATCGTGTATCATCAGGCTCTTCGAAACGTCGTTTGACATGATAGCTGCGCCCATCTTGACGGCCCAAATCCACGAGCTGGCAGCGTCTGTTGGATCCATCTGTCCTCCTTCCCACGACAGACAGTTGTCGCATCGAACATTTGCTACCATCCGTCCCTCGGTGATGCCGCTGCCACTGAGAAGAGTAACCTTGGTCCGCGGGTTATGTTCTGGCATGAACTCCCCCAATCCTGCTCGCGGAGAGAGCGTGACGTTGCTGCCAGTAGCTGCAGAGTAGAGCATGAAGATATTTGAGCCGGCCATCTCGCTGCCCTGGCCCAGTCCTACCCATTCTACGCCGCTCGGTACTCTGATCTGGAAGTAAATCGGCCCTCTCTTTGTCGAGGCCGTGGATGTGGGTATATTAACTCGAAATCTGATGTCGTCTGCGTTTGCTGGTCTGAATTGAGCCGTCTTCGCGGCGTCCACCAGGGATGCTATCAAGACGTTAGCATTTACACTCAGGCTTTTTTACCCCTGGGCCGTTGATATCGCTCCCACAACTCACCCGCCAGAAGACAAGCTTCCGCAAGAAGCGACAAGAACTTCATCTTGTGTGTTTATTTCAAATCCAGCTTGAAATCAGGTCAATGTGGAAGAAGCGATGCAGAGAAGTTATCATCCAACCCGAGTCGGAGAGAAGACACGCTACGTTATATATATGGAAGTGCATCAGATTAACGCCGAAACTCGTAACAAGGGACCGGCCCATGGTTCTCAGCTCGGATAAAGAAGGTCTAATACAGGGTTAAGTTCTTGCGAAAAAAACAAAAAATAAAAACCAAAAAAATAAAACTGATCGCATCCTTGGACAGTTTGTACGTCGTTGACCATTACTGCGGCCTCATAGGGAAATACAAGCTGACCAGATGCCCAGGAGACCAAGACCTCGTTTGCATCCTTCCAACGCCAACAGGAAGATCACCATGACTGCATATCGCAGGGCGAGGCGCAGTTGACAGCTACGGAGTACAACTTTCTTCTTTCTGCTCTTCAGGCTTTTCAGCATGGTTCGGGGATATAACCAGGGGGGCTGACTTCTGACGACGCGAGCTACGGCGGACGTTTGATCGACCCAGATCGCCTTATCAACCTCGAATATTTCACTTGGCCTCTCCGCAATTCTTTCGAAATCCTCAATGCGCTCAAACCAATGACCGCGAGCCGTTTTGTCAGACCGGACAAGATAAGAATTGAAGAAACTCTCGGCTTGGACGCCCCCTGCGCTACTTAAGCCTAAACTGTGTCCCGAAGCCGATGTACATAGTCGAGGAATCGGGCGAACAAGCAGTATGCATCCAGGGGTTCGGACGGCCTTTGCGCTGGAATTGAGGGTGATACGGGATCCTCGTCCCCTTGCCAGCGACCAATATCTTCAGGCGGGGTCTGGTGTCCGTCTATCTTGAAGTTGATTGTACGAACGCGCACCATGTATAACTCTCACATGGCGAGTATCATTTGTCTCGTGGCGGTTACTTTTTTGCAGGGAACATGGCAAGAGTCGGCGGTTCATATATTTCTAGGCGAACATGCTGTCTCTGACTCCAGTATGGGGGAGTCGGGATACAGAGACTCGGCTGCCCCTTGCAATGAAACACGAGCCGTTTGCGCTGGAGTCCCGACGGCCTTTCCAGGGATCTAGGGGATCTGTAACCGCCCACGCTCTTCACGATGCCCCAGAGCACGACTGGATGAAGACTATTGATCGATCTCGTCCAGGCCTGAGACGCTCTCGACCGACACCATGCAACAAGTACGAAGTACGAAGGTTAGTAGCACGGTGGCCCGTCTCCTGGTGCGAATGGTGAACTAGCGCCCTTGGTACGAAGCAAAAACCAGCGAGCATATTACTATCTTCTTGTTCCTGATTACTCCATATGGGGGGTTAAGGCCTGTACAGCGCCAGGCATGAGGAATCATCGGCCCAAAGTCCCACCATCCCACCCTAGTACAGGCCATTTTATTGGTGGTTATATTGGTTTTGGGCTCGACTGCTATATATTTATCGACAAACATATGTAGTCCTTGGTTGCTTTTGACGTTGTAGCCAGTTGGTATCTCAGATATCCTTTTCGCACACAGCCTCAATCCTAACGTCGACGGGATGGCCGCTCTGCCTTGAACCATGGGTAAAACTACCAATCATATACGGAGGGGTTCGGTCAATAAGCCTTCCGCGCGCACAACATGGAAGGCTCAAAACTAAAGATGCTTGACAAAATCTCTTGGTTTTGATATTTTGCTCGATTTGTCATGCTGACGGGCAACATGATAGAGCCGATCACGCCACACGGAAGGATGCAATCATTGTCTGACCTTGTCGGTTTGGTTCTACTCCGCACATCCGGTTGAACATCTGTATAGCTTGGGCTATGCTGAAATAATTCTTGGGTAACTCTGCCTTGGCGCTAGTTTGAAATCTATGAAATTGGTAGAACCAGGACACCTATTAGATTATGCCATTCCCGCCATCAACCAATGATCTAAATTCATATGAAAAAGTAATATTAAGTAAGAGATCTTGCCCAGCTGGACAAGTAATATTGCTGACTCCGAAATAAGCTTGCTTTATTAATACCAAAATAAGTGTTGGGAAACCAAGTGGCCCCAGGCTTGAAGCCTTCCCTCAAGAGGCCGCGAAGCTCGAACATGGATTCTCCATGCTCCATGAACTCTCCATACCCGGTATCCGCAACGAGTCATTGAAATGTGGGATGGCACGGGCTTGGCTCTGGCTAGTTGTCATGGTCAAGGCATGTATTGTTCACTCTCCTTGGGTCTGCGCCCCAATCCGCAGTGTGCGTATGCACATACTTGTTTGAATCATGAAACGGCTCAAGCTGGCTTTGACGTCTTCTCCAAGATGGTTTTCATCATCTCATTGCCAACTCGCACAGCCTCTGGGAACCTTGGCGCAAAATAGGACTGGATCTTCTCGAATCTGTCGCGGTAGGACTCGAAATCTCCAAAAGAAACGCAGTCTGACCATGCCTGTAGTCATGAATATATTAGTTGGACTTCTTTCATGGCTAATCCTTTAGTATGGTCAAGGAGAAAGACTGACTCGTGCCGCAAAGGTAAATTCAAGGTCATCCGACCTAAAGGTATTGTCGTTGATGGCAACGTCAATCACCTCATCAAGGAGCTCTTCCTTTTGAAACAGATACTCGGTTACTCCTAGCCAGAGACGGAATAACTATGATTGTAAACATCAGTGACCTATCAACCACAGTAGGGAGGGGGATTCTACTGACTGGCGTTGAGCAAATCATATGGTCATAAGGCACGATACCTAGTTTCCACCAGCAGTCAACGATGGCAAGTAAACTCAAGTGGTTATTTGGCATTCTCTCTGTCAGCCCCTTCGATAGCGAAAACCGATCTAGGACTTCATCTTGGAGCAATAGATCATGGTTCGCTGAGCTACCCTTGAACACAGCCTTTCTGGCAGTCTTGACTCGTTTCTTCAGCTCCTCACGATGTCCACCTAACATCAGCTTATACAATTCCGTCACCGACTCGGCATATTGCCTTATCTGCTTTTTGGCAGCAGGATTCAATATGGCAAGGCCAGCATAAACGTGCCATTTGTTCGCATAGATTCTTAAGGTGATGTTGATCTTCACGTTCTCGATCCCACCGACATAGCGCGGTACCTCCCACGGGAATTGGTTATTTGCATGCCATGCGGTGCCCATGCTTAAAAACGCAGCATGGGTGACTGCCTGGGTATCTGCAGTAATTCGATCATGCATTTCTCCACTAAGGTGGACAAATTTCGATTGGAATGAAGCGAAAATGCTCTCAACGAATTTTAGACTCTCATCTGATGCTCGATGTTGAATTAAAACCTAGTAACTGCGTTAGATATCAAATCAAACTATCAGGGTCAAGCTCTATTTACCAAAGGTTGACCCTTGGGTTTAACATTTGGCCCGTGGAGTGAGTGACATGAGATAATCTCCACATCGCTGGGCAGATATTTCTCAAATGCTGCCAGTTCAGGGGCCTTGCAGGAAGTCTGGCCCCCTACTATGGCTCCGACTTTCGTAGCTTCAATGCCGGTCAGACTTTCCTGGTTCTTAATGGATGGACTGTCTTGGATAGAGACGTACATGGTCCGTATTCTTCAACAACGGATGCAATGAACTTCGCCTCTACGCTATAGATAATATAGTCGCTTATTCGGGAAACAAGGTGTCCATTGGGAAGTATATTGATATTGGTCTACAAGGGTATAAGTAATAATAGAAAAATAGATTAAAACTAGGAATATTTAAGGCATGACAGTTTGAACTTGGGTAGGAGCAGCAGCTGACGTACATCATTTGCAAACTCCTCTCTCAGTTTATCATAACTGGATGGCTTATCACAGGCGTTGATTCTGGAGACCAGCAACGTGTTAGTGAGTTGTGTGAGGTTTTACTAGCTGCCCTAAGAAAATCTGTATCATCCATTAGCATAGATCCAATGCAAGTATAATCATCATGCTATGAACAGATAGTCGTATAGAGTGTGTTTCAGACAAAGTAATATTAAGGTAGCAAAGAGTTTACATCAGTGACGACAACGAACCGACTTCAGCCACAAGAATAGTGGTAGGAGCAGCCACATTGCCATACTCGAGCCAAATGCGCTCTTGTCATCATAAGAATGGGGTTATGAAGGGAAGTGAAGTGTAAAATAAATCGGAAAGAAAATAAAATAACGTACCAATTGAGTAGTAACCAGGAGTCGCAGGTGAGAATCAGGTAAGAATCCAGTGAGTTGACCATTACCTCCAGCCAGCTTCACCCAAGCGCTGAGCATACATCCTACCCATATCACCCATACCAATGATCCCAATGGACCTGGTCTTTGGGCTGGGTGCCGCCATCGCGAGAATTATGTCCCTTCCAGCGGGTTAGCGGGGTGATGAAAGTGAAGCTGCTCTTCCCTCGAACGAGAATCAACAGATCAAGCTGTCGTTTCAGCGACACCGAGTTGCACAGCCAGATGGCCCAGCTTGAACAGTTTGAAGCAGCAAAAAGTGAGGGAGGAAGCAAAATAAATAGTCGGAGGAACGAAGAAGTTTTTCCCAACCTTAAGCTAACTGCTTAGTCATGGATATCTTGGCATAACACGTGACACTTTTAGGGCACACCCTGAGAAGCCCTATATCGAATCCCGCTTTTTGTGAAGCTTCGAACGCCTTTGATTTTTCGAAACCATCCACAACATCCTCATCCATCGCATCATTCAAAATGGCCCCAAAGAAGAAGACCGACGCTAAGCCCGCCAACGAGAACGTGTCCCTCGGACCTCTCACCGGTGATGGTAAGACGACCTGCGAGCTGTGCCAATTGAAATCATCATTGCTAACTCTCTATCAGGCGAGAACGTTTTCGGCGTTGCCCGTATCTTCGCCTCCTTCAACGATACCTTCGTCCACGTTACCGATCTCAGGTCCGTATTCCATTTATAACTATCTGCACTAGCATGTTGCGCTGCCGGATGCGATCCTGATGTCGAAATTCCACACATCAAAACGCAATCAAACAACCTGATAAGAGACTAAGACTAATAGGTGATATAGTGGTCGCGAAACCATCTGCCGTGTCACTGGTGGAATGAAAGTCAAGGCTGATCGTGACGAGTCCTCCCCATACGCCGCTATGTTGGCTGCCCAGGATGTCGCTGTCCGCTGCAAGGAGCTTGGTATCAACGCTCTCCACATCAAGATCCGTGCTACCGGTGGTACGTATTATAGCACTCTTAAATCAAAGCTACCAACAAGATATATAGACACTTACACCCTATATAGGTAACGGAACCAAGACTCCCGGTCCCGGTGCTCAGTCTGCCCTCCGTGCTCTCGCCCGTTCCGGTATGAGAATCGGCCGTATCGAGGACGTCACCCCTACCCCATCTGACTCTACTCGTCGCAAGGGTGGTCGCAGAGGTCGTCGTTTGTAGATCTATATCGCCTTTATCTCCTGGTTATCCGATTTCGCGATTGGGAACAATGGCGATTGGAGAAAGGATGGAAACAACTGGAGGTTATCTCACGATATCCCTCTCTATGTTCTGTGGATGGAATAAACGCGAAGAACGGCATTTTCGCCTGGTCTTCTAAAATTTTCCCCTTTTTCAACCCCCTGCTCCTTCAGCGATTGCAGAGTTAGTGATATTGCAAAATATATCTATAAAATGCAACAGAAGTTCGAACAGCCTACAGCAAAACATCGTAAACCATACCAGTAGATATCTTTGAATACATTTGTAGAAAACCGTCCTCTCAAGCTCCGCTTAGGTCGTTACGAAGTTCCGTGATAAGGCCCTTGAAAAATAAACATTCCGCCTCTAGAAATCTTTTGATTCACGTTAACTCCTTCATACAGATACTGCCCTTACTACCTAAATCTCTTATCCCTATTTATATTGCTACTTCGGATAATTTAAGTGTGTACTGTATCCCCGTATCTCATGTCGGACTTTCCTCGCCCCTCGCCCACGATCCTTATCGACAACCTCCCCGCCAAAACACTCGTAGGAGTCGATCTCCTCGCCTTCGCATCAGCGCCGAACTTCCATGGAATAAAAGAGCTCCCGATTGGAGTGCACATTCTCTACACGGGCACAACAGACAGTTTCTCGCTGCGGAGTGGAGAATGGCTTGTGGTTGCTGGCCCGAAGGAAGGCCAACGCAATGGCGCAGGTGTTGACGTTCGATTAAGGCATTGGGATGAGTCGGTTGAATCTCTAGCTTTGGTAGACGAAAGCAAAGATGAAGGACGACAGAGAGCAATGCAGCAAAGGGCTAATCTGAGCCGAATATGGGCCGCTGGAGGGTTACTCGCATATCAATCTCGAACCAAGAAACAGGAGAAGGATGGCAGTGAAGAGGCGTCTGATACTACAACTCTATACAACGAGTGGGATAGTCTTTCAACCTACATAACTCCGTCTGTTTTGGAGCGGATATTAGGTCGTGCTGAGCGTGATTCCGAAGGCAGACCAAGGTGGATGATTACATCTGGAAGCTCGGCGGCAAGAGACGATGATGAGATACCCGGTCTCGCAAATAAGGACGATACCAAGATGCGCGGGAAATTAGTAGAAGAAGAGAAGGAGCTACGATTCTTACCTGTGGATTTGAAGAATACCTGGCGAGCTGGCGCAGTGGGACGTGAACGGACAGAGGCAGCTCGGGATCGTTCATGGGCATTGGGCTATATCTGCGAATGGGCTTCGAACAACACCAGGGCCGCGGGAAGGATCGTTGATGATGAAAGCCTAAGTGAGGGTGAATCACAAATTCTGGGTGAACTGCAACTTACGTTCCTCACTGCACTTACGTTGATCAATTTCTCCTGTCAAGAGCAATGGAAGAGGCTACTACATTTGATATTTACATGTCAGACAGCTGTTGGAGAAAGACAGAACTTCTTTGTAGCAGTTCTCCGGATATTGCGGCTTCAGCTGGCTCACAACGATGATGTCGAGGGAGGATTATTGGAGATGGACGGAGACGATGGTGGCACCATGGTGAAAAATATCCTCAAAAAGTTCCGAAGAATAATATATGACGACTTGACCGTTGATGTGTCGGCGGTCAAGGCGGAGTTTATGAATTTAGAGAAATGGGTAAAGGACGAATACAGTTGGGAGCTAGCAAGGGAGTCGACAGTGCGAAGGGGTATGCTGGAGCTGGAGGATGGAGAACAGATTGAAATGGAGGTTAATGGTGCTGAGGAAGAGGACGAAACGGGGGATTACGCCCCAGTGATTGTTGACTTGGAGGAAGCTGGAGGGGAGGCCGAGGATATTGATATGATGGACCACCACAAGTAGTGTAAAAGGCAAGCCTGTTTCAATTAGTAGTCACTGCAGAGTCCAGTCCGTTAACACAAAATTGAGACTCCTCCAATGTATAAGCACGTCTCCAAGGTAGAAAACTGCTTGAACAAGAGAAAAGTAGGATTTAATATTTTAGGGCAAAAATCTGGCCTATTTATTCTATGTCCAGCCATTTCCCATATGCTGGAGCACATTTTAACATCAACCATTCAGGGCAGATACAAGCAGATACAAAAACCCACAGATACCGCGCCCAGCAAAACACCCCGTCCCCATAAACCCATCCACCTCCATTTTGTTTAACGGTAAGATTTCTGGTATCTGGCACGGGCACCGGGACCACCGAAGACCTTTGGCTCGCAGCGTCTGTTATCGGCAACGAGGAGAGTTCGGTCGTACTGAACGAGGGCTTGCTTCAGTTGGTTCTTGGAGTGTTCATCGACGAATTTCTGGTAGTAGGCGACTATCGACTTGGCGATAGCTTGTCTGATAGCGTAGATCTGGGAAGTGTGACCACCACCGGTGACGCGGACACGGATATCGACACCGGCGAACTTGTCGAGGCCAACGATGAGGATGGGTTCGTAGACCTATAGTGTTGAGACGATCATGTTAGAGATGTGAATCTTTAATCAATTCCGCCGCACCACATCGATCATTTGCGATTCCACTCGTCTTTCCCTCGTCTCTTCTCCATCCGTTTCCTTCCATTTTCTTTCCACCGTGGGTTCCAAACGTGGGTATTTCCGTACCTTGAATTTGAGGAGCTCTGGCTTAACGAGAGCGAGAGGTTGGCCGTTGACCTTGATCAGACCTTTGCCTTGCTGTTCGGAAAATTAGTATACGCCCTCGAACTTCTTCCTCGCAGTATCCTGTATCGTCGGATTCGTACCTTGCAGTGGGCGACAGCGGTGGCTATATCGTAAGAAATTTCATCAGCAATTCGCACTCTATCGGGACTTCGATAAGCAGCTTCTCGATACACGTACCCGTCTTCTTCTTGCCGAAGCATTGCACGCTGGGAGTACTGGCCATGGTGAAAGGTGATGGCAGTGTCGACGTGCAGGGTGCGGTGGAATATGGGAATGTCTGGTCGTTCACCGTCGTCGCTATCGATCGCAGCTGGTATTGGAGATATTGAAAGTTTCAAGGTGTGGGAGTTCGCTTAGTGGGGATTAGGGTAGAGTCACGTGATATATAACTTTTGGCTGGGACGAAGCTTCTTCACGGCGAGGACGAGCAGCAGCAGGGACGCGGAGAATCGACGCAATTGACGGGAACAGCGCTTATCGAGGAGCTCAGCTGGCTGGAAATTGTGCTGTTAGGTTGGACGACCGCCTGAAAACCTATCCTGACAACCCCTGTATGCGCCGGTAGTCGTCAGAAGCCATGTCTCAAACCATTGGAAAAGTACGTCCCCTTAACAGCTTCAACCGATGCGGAATCGTATCTCGGAGGAGGGATAGATGGAATATCTGGCTGACTGAATGACTACAGACCCGTCTCGCCTACTCGCGAACATGGCACGCCATCGACATCGGATCTGATCCGCGAAGTCTCGGGCGCGTTGCCTCGTCCATCGCAATTTTTCTCATGGGAAAGCATAAACCAATCTACGACCCTTCTACAGACTGCGGCGACTATGTCGTTGCCCTTGGATGCCGCAATGTTCACACGACTGGAAATAAACGAGCTCAAAAGTTGTACTACACACATAACACCCGGCCCGGTAGCTTGAAGTCGATGTCCATGGATCAGATGATTGAGAAATGGGGAGGTGCGGAGGTGCTGAGAAAGGCCGTCAAGGGAATGCTGCCAAAAAACAGATTAAGAGAGAAGAGGATGGCTCGATTGAAGGGTTAGTACCTTCTTTTGTTTTTTTTTTTACCTTGCCTGGCGTTGATGTTTGAACGTTACTAACCTACCCTGATTTACAACAGCCTTCGACGGGCTTGAACATCCCTACAAGGAAAACATCGTCAAATTCGGCGGTGAGAGCACTTCGATTGCAGATCTCCCTGAAGTGCGCGAGGCCCTACAGAATGCGAAAGAGGAAGCTTTAGCGCATTAAATGCCAACGTTGATTTTATATTCCCCTGTCGAGCGCATACGCATGGAGTAATTTGGGTCTTTTGATTGTATTATTATTACTACTATCCTCTCCTTTACAAGTTATCAAGGAGGCTTCTGGTTTTAGACCTTGTTTCTATGTACCATATATATATATATACGGATTGACATCACCATGGATTTACAACAAAGATAGTACAGATAGTCGACTGAGATGAATGTCCAAGAAACCTGCCATGTATGCGGTCTATTCTAGATGTTATGACCCTAATATGCGTCTATGTGGCACATTCGAGCTATAATTTCGACTTCTTCTCGACATCACCGCGCCCAATGGTGCATTTGATGAGCCCACTGGCGCCTGAACCGGGAACATACACTTCAGCATCTGTACCAGTGTTTTTCAAGCCCTTATGCCAGCTCAAATCTGTACAAAGCATGTCAGCATAATCATATCATCGAGAGCGAAGGGCCAGAGCAGAGCTAACTTACCAAGTTGGAAATAGTGCTTGTTAGGCAGGCTGAATTCAGCCGTCTCCAGCAACGGCTGAGCCGCAAGGAATCGCTCTCCCATTTTATACATGGTGTTTTGCACACTGGCGCTGTTATCGTTGCTAAAGGTCTCCAATATGATACCTCGCGAGGTGTCCCAGGTAGTGTCAAACTTGGTAGCTGAACGTCTTACTTGCTCCACGCTTGAGAATGTAGACCATGTCCAGGTAGAATCGACATCTGTGCTTAAAACTCGGTCCCAGGTCTCGGGAAGGGTGGTGAATTCATCTCTCACGAAGCCATGGAACTGTGAGTTTGTGCTTTTCAAGACGGAGAGCCCGGATAGAGATGTCTTGATATCAACTCCTTTCCCTTCAGTAACGGTGACATCGGTAGATCGGACTTCAGAGGCATCCTTTAAGAACGAGTGAGGGTGTGGTTTGCCGTTGATATTCACTCGGGACCATCGCTGTGCCACTACATTGACATGGGCGATATGGATATGTTTGTACTTGTTTATAAAGTGGTCTCCAACAATCGAAGCGAAGAGCTCCGGTGGTGTGACTGGGTTCTGCTTTGCTAGAATATAAATGGTATTCTTTATCGAGTCTGTCGCTACCACGACGCTGTTGTCTGCCTTGGTATACCTGGTGGTGCCGATGTCAGTACTCTTTTCAGCTGTCTCGTCCTGGAACAGCCACGGCGGGATACATACGAGACATCGATTTCACCCTCAAGCAGTACACATACAGTCATCTCGACCACCGTCTGAGTACCGGCTGCCTCATCTCGATGTACCTTGTACACACGAACGTTCTCCTTGCCGTAACGGGCGGCAGCTACTCTGGAAGTCATTCTTATTAAGTTGTAAGGGATGTTTAGAGATGGAAGGCTAGGGATGGATGTGGTAGACAATATACGGAGTAGAATGGATATTTTTATACAAGTCCGGCAGCGAGGGAAGACTCCGGGGCCAGTTTATATATTTATATCATACGGGCAGAGGAGAAGGCGCGAATGGATCGGCCAGCCCATGCACAGGAATGATGGAATTAACCTATTATCAGCTAAACTAAGTCCCGCCTCTTGGGGTAACTAACGGGCTACGGCTAGGCACGAGCTTTCACGAATAGTTGGGCGGTTAGTTCCGTAGATAAAGGAGTATATGAAGCTTCACTTCTGGCGATCCAAACAGCTGCTCCAGGGCAATAACCACGCAAAGAAACAGGGAGAACGGATACAAGTTTCTAGCCGTATACCAACTGGTCTGTACCGAAGTCTTCACACAAGGGGCGTTCGCATCACTACGGCCTTTCGATAGAGGCATTGACCTAATATTGAGCTGTCACAGGGGGTGTCGCAGGAGCTTCGCCCGGGGTTCTGGCATCGGCCAGCTCCGATGACCGCGCAGTTTGGCGATCGCCGCCTGGGTCTCCTTGGGCCCGAGATACGCCAACGCCGGTGGGAAAGTAGCGTGCGTTGGTGGCGTCGACTTGCAAGCAGCGATGTCGACTAGCAAAAGGTACGTATGGAGGACTGGCCGGAGAGCTTGGAGTCTTCGAGGTTGGAGGAAGAAACATCCCATGATCACATGACTTGGTGATGGGAGACGAAGGATGAGGAAGAGACGGTTTCTTTAAAGACTGGGGGTTTGAGGATGAAATATGAGTTGCCTTAATAATATCCTACACTGTATCGCTGTATTCAAGACCCAGGACTGCCTCCGTAGAAAATAGAGCATATATGACAATTGCACCAAAACGCCGGTAGATCTTCGCGCCCACGTACTTTAGAATGAGAAGGAAACAGCGGAATAGAAAAAGGCGAGTAACTTAAAGTTCACGGGGGAAGAGAGATAAGAGGGAACAGTACAGGCGACATGTGAAGCGCTACTCTGACATGGCACTATCAGATTCGGAACCGGAGTCATCTCCGAAAATGATACGCCTGAGCACGCTTTTGTCGAACAATTCCAGCGCGAAACGCCGTGCGGATAGCCGGAAGTGATGGCTTTCTAGAATAACTAGGGTCTTCTCGAAGAGATCAATACGCCGGAAGCAGTCGGGACGGTTTGCTTTGAAGCTGTTTGGATAAATCATGTTAGGATCCTTGGCGTGGCAAGTAAAAAATTGATGAAGAGATATGAAAGGACGTACACTTGTAGATCTGACGCCGCCTTTTTGGCAAGAACAGTGTTCCCCATGTCGATGATGAGGCTTAAAACCTTCTGCTTTAACGGATCTTGGTCCTTTGATGCTGCTTTGTATCTGTTCCTTGCAGCTTTGTCCTTTTCTGTCCGAGCGTGGTGTTGCTCAAAGGTTACCTAAAAACGAGCTTAGCACAGCTATCCAGCACCATAGGTGTCTCCAGGATGGACTTACCGAATATAATTTCCTTAGATCCATTGGCATGCAGGAACCCAACGACCGCCCCCTTTGATCAACGGCGGCATCCCACCCTGCCTCAATAAGCATTTCAAGGCCATGTTGGCTCCTGGATACCAGACCCAAGACAAAGAACGCTGTTCCACGCATAGTCATGACCGCTGCATTTTCAGCGATCTGCACTATCCTTTCCACGATATCTGTTTCTTCTAAAAAGGGCGCACTAAGCTCCATTGAACCCACGTTCCCAATAGCCCATAGCGAACCCTTTACCTTTAACAGTACCTCTGGATCCTCTTCGTTGAGTTGGAAATCTCGAAGTATAGAAGCAAATTCGTAGAAATGGCCAGACTGCTCCAGCAGTTTGCATCCTTCCGTAGTACGGGCGAGTTCTCGGTAAAAATGTGGTGGTACTAAGCCGATATCTTGCATCTCGACTATGTCGTTGAGAGCTAAGCTATTGCGGCGTGGCTGGTCAACATACGCACGAGATAGTGAAGCCTCCACCAACCCGACGTATGCATCGTTTCTTCCTAAGAACCAGTCGTCCATTTCTTGGGTGATGTAATCAAGACCGTCGAGATAGTGGTATCCGACAGAGGTAGAAAGGAAACGGAGTAGCAGAGGAGCACCAATTTCTCCAAGATGGTCCAAAGATGGGCGGCACTTGACAACATACTCGAGATAATCTCTCTGGTTGCATGCCTCTTCCAGTATTTTGACGGCAACCTGGCAAACTGCAACGTCCGGATCATATAGTTGGGTGACAAGGAGCTGAATAACCCACTCGACTGGAGTGCCTTGTAACACTTTTCCAACCACATACTTTCGTAGTAGCTTGGTAGAAAATATACGGATATCCTTTGATCCCGTGGTTAGCGCCTTTGAAAGGATGACTCGTAGATGGCTCTCGCGAGTAAAATCCATATTCCCAAGAAGAGTTTGAATGAGGTCATTCCGGTCCGTCAATTCGACGATATGATAAAACATGTTAAGCATATGCCACCTTTCCATCATCTGAAGGCCATTGGGTTCACTGCTCAGGGTCCCAAGCAGCGCAAAGTATCCACCACTAAGCGTATCAGCCATTTGCTCACGAGAGAACAATGGCGACAGGGAAGTTAGCCCGCTCATTCGGTCGACTTGAGCCAAACACTCAGCTATTTGGCGTAATAGCTTATTCTGAGCTAGGTACTTCGACCCTTCTGGACTTTGAACAAGACAGCGCATTAAAGCACAGCCCGTTCGGACATATCGGCGATTAGGCTTTGTATTGCGAACCATTGAAAATCTGTATTTAAATGGCCTATAAAAACCTACTAATCGCTTCATGAATTTGGAGCCTTTGATGGCTTCGTCTAGCCGCTTAGGATTTGTCAAAGGTCCTTCAATGATGTTCAGGATCAGGTCCCACTTCCATTTCATGAAGTTGACAGAGCTGAGAACGTTGGTGTCTAGGATCGCAGTGCGAAACTGGGCTTCGTCCATAGTAGCACTAAGTTTGGACTTGTTTTGTTCTCCTGTGAACAACGAGGCCGGTATCTCAGCACTGACAGAGTATCTGCCGTTAACATCTGATATATCGTCGGATCGTGTCATTGTGCGGCTGATGCTCTCCATTTGATAGATTGTCGAGGTTGAAAGGTGCTGGTTGTCAGATCTCTCTTTGAGTGCTGATGATGATGGGAGAAGGCTGGGAAGAAGGTGGAGGTTGGAGCACATAGAAGAGGGTAAGCAGCGCTGAGCACGTCTCAGAACCTCGGCAAGGAGGAGGGTTGTTTTTCGTTTCAGGGAAAGGTCAGGTTCATCCTCAATCAAATCAGACAACACCTAGAATTTGCGGTTTAGCCTAATTTGTATACCATTTCTCAGGGAATACACGTACCTTGATTAAGCCTGCCTCAACTAATAAGGCTAATATAAGCCCAGAAAAGTGTGCAGTAAGGTCAAACGAGTTGTCTTCGTCTTCGTAAACTGCACGAGGTTGTTTCTTTTCTTGGTCTGATTTCATATTGGCCACTCGGCCGTACGTTGTGAGTCTCCTTCCAGCAAGGAACGACGACGACCAGGAAGGTGGCTTGATACGGAGAGCATCAAACAGAAGTTCCAGTATTAGATCCCTCGATTGAGGATCAGGAAACTGTAAGGAAAGGAGTAATGATTGGAGTGGCCGTTCTGGGTTTTGGGCAAGTGTTAATATACCAGGCCAGGTTTTAAGCATTGCAGAAATAGCTTTGGCTGAATACTTCAACTTCAAATGGCGGTCGCTATCTGGCACCGTCTCGGTGAAATTGGCAAAAACAGAATTCAGCTCACATCCCGCTCGGAGGTATTTTCTGCTCTTAGGAGAATCCAAGACGTGGACAAAACCGGCTGCCAAACTGTCCGATGCCCCAAAGGTGCCTTCTCCCAGCACATCGTTTAAAGTACCAATTCCACCAGCAGAGAACAACAACGCTGGGTCCTTGACAAGAAGTTCTGCAATTGTCATTATGCAGATATTGCGTAAACGGTCGTCTCGGTGTTCTGCGATTGATACAAGCGTTCGCACCACCGAGCGCGAGAGTTCTCGAACGCCGTCTTTGACGTCTAAAAATGCGCGAACGAATTTAAGCGCCTGCTCACGCTCCATGCTGGCCTTGGATTCCTTGACCAGAGAGAGCATTACCAGCTCATCCGTGTGTAGTGCTCTGATTACCTGGATGGACTTTCTATCCGCAATCGCATACCGTGTTAATCTGTAGCCTGCAGCGACAACATCGCGGCTCTCGCTCAGCAGCATCACCTGTACCCGTAGACCAAAGACAGACCACTCCAAGTCATATTTTAGGGTGGGATAGCGTTTGAACAGATCAACCAAGTTATTTGCTCGGTCAACATAGTAATCAGGCGACATACCCTCTGCCTCTAACTCTTGTAAAGTTTCAGATAGCACGACCGTCGGCGATTCCGCTTCACTATCCTCATCCTCGAAGCTTTCGCCGGTTGCGTGAGTTGTTGCCCTTGAGGGAGACCGGCCGGACGTTGCATTGAAGAATGTAGACAGCCTCCTGGCTTCCGGAGCTTCTATAGGTGTTAGCTGAGCCCGCATTAATTCCTCTTCCAGCTCATTCTGTAGTTGTGCTATTTTTCGATGCGAAGAACTGAGCTCCGACTCCACTCTTAACCGCTGCTCCTTTGTCTGCTTCATATTCTTCGCCAGCAGGGCTTCCAGCATATTTTCCGTTCCAGTCTTTATCTTTATTTCTTTCTCAATCTGGCCCCGGATAATGGCCTGTCGTTGCTCGGTGGTGGGAGCTTCATTATCGCCTCCAACACCATTTCCCCGGCCATGGGTAATCGACTCTGGGGGTCGTGGTGTCGCATTTCTCGATATACTCGCATGTTTTAGATCCGAGTTGAAGCTTCCTTGTGTGATATTGGACGGAGCTAGCGAGGCACTCTTTGCGCTGAGGGAAGCCAGGGTGCCTGATGACGAAGGGCCAGCGTGGCGCGAAGTGGTAGCAGAAACAGCATCGTGCCAGCTTCCGTCGGCAGACTCATCATCCGCACTGGACGAGGACCGCCTGCTGTCACCTAGGACGCGGTGCTGGGTGGGCGTTGCTGAGGTCGCTCGATCATGGAATGTCGCCATGGATCTCCATCTAGCAGCCCCCGGGGGGTTCACTGTTCGAGTGGACAGTGCGTTCGATGCATCGGTTTGCGTATAAAGAAGTGTGATGCGTTGCGAATCAATTGGCTCCAGGGACCATCGAGTGTCGCTGGGGGTTGTGTGGAAGACAATATATCAGATCGTCATAACTATGTGTTGCCGTTTGGATATGGCTTCAAACCGCCAGCCTCCACTTCCCTCCCCACAGCAGCTAGAGGACGTGGCCTACTTTAGCGTGGCTGCTGAGTGAACTGTGGATTAGGTAATGACCGATACCTCACCTGTACCTCACTATAGTACGAATCTGACCACGTGACGTATAGGACAAGGACATTTAATGAAATCGCGTCTTGGACTTCAAGGATGATATCAAATTTATATTCGCCTTTGACGTTTGCATTTACACCACTCTCTTCTCGGTGAGGTACCAGTTTCACGCCATGGGGATGTCCCTGGAGTCTGCCATATACCACAGCCACCAAGCTTAGTTTGATGACGGTGCGGACGAAGAAGTTCTCGGGAACCCGAAGAGGCCGGTACGGGTTGGATTTGAATTAGAGCCCAGCTCGGGTTTTTACCCTAGTCGAACCCTCGATGAGTGGCTCTCACGAACCCTCCGTTGCGGTGACCAGTGTGGATGATCCATCTACGTTTTACCGCAACTTAATACGATTAATACAATGTAGTCGCTGCTCTCTTCCGCTCAGAGCACCAGTAGAGCTGCCATGCGGGAACACCATCTGTCGATCATGCATTCCAGAGACACACCAGCGGATCAATATCACGTACCCTGGCACCGAGGGGCGTAACCTGGGGTTCTACTGTCCCTCACTATGTTCGCAGAGTCAAGCAAAGGGCACCGCAAGTTGTGTTCCGGAGCACTGTTTGGCAGATTGCGGCCTGGATATCACTCTCGGCAAGGTGGTAGATATATTCGACAGATGTGTAAACAATTACTCGTCTAATGGCCTACTGGATAAAAATACCCCCCTTGGACTTCATATATATACTCCAGGGACCAACTCCGTGGAACCAGAGCCGGAATTCCAGGTACAAGGCGGCTTCTTAATCGGAACTTACTCCCTTACAACCCAGGGCCACATACCGGCTACTTCCAACGTCAGATACACATTCAATGACCAGGACAGGGAGTTCTTGGATAATCTTGACGATGAAGTACTGCAGGCGATAAGGACAGACGTCTTGAAGGAGCTCGATTGTCAAATCTGCTATTCCCTGATGATTGACCCGTACACCACCATCTGTGGCCATACATTCTGCAGATTATGCGTAACCCGGATGCTTGACAATTCGAGTCTCTGCCCTGTATGCCGCAGGAAGCTGCCCATGATTCTGCCCACCGACCCTGGGAACAAAGTTCTGGACACCCTTCTTAGCTCTATACTCTTTCCATCACTCGTCACCACACGCCTACAAGGAATTCGAAGCGACGCAATCGACACCTCTAGAATCACCGAATTACCCCTTTTTGTATGCACGGTTTCTTTTCCGTCTATGCCGACCTATTTGCATGTCTTCGAGCCTCGGTACCGGCGTATGATTTTGCGAGTAGTTGAGGATGGCAGCCGCAGGTTTGGCTCGGTCATGTTCAACCGAAATGGCGAGTTGGGAGGACAACTCGAGAACTGTACCTTTGCCCAGTATGGCACTCTGCTTGAGATTGACCGGCTAGAATCGCTACCGGGAGGAAGGACTCTGATACGTGCCACCGGCCGGTATAGATTCAGGGTTGTTACAGGTAGCGAGTACGATGGCTGTAAGTTCGGACGCGTGGAGCGCCTAGACGACATACGCATCCCGGATGAAGAGATACTGGAAGCAGAAGAAACATCAGCTTCAAATACAGAAGACGACGCGAACCGCCTGAATACGGCTTCCACCCAGAAATTGTTTCAAATCGGGGCCGAGTTTGTGGCCAAATGCCGAGCGAATAACGCATCATGGCTCAACGATAGGATGATTTCTGCGTATGGAGAGCCGCCGACAGACCCTGCAACGTTCCCTTATTGGCTTGCAAGTGTGCTTCCAATACCTTCAGAGGAGAAGTATAAACTGTTATCGGTCACAACAGTTCGGGGAAGACTAAAAATATGTGCAAGATGGGTGGAGCAAGCCGAGAAAGATAAACAGTTGTCAGTACACACCCTCTCGTTCCCCAACCGTCGGAATATAAAGGCTAAGTAACTGTCTCTAGGCTACGGAAGGGTACAAGAACGGGTTTTCACCTTTCAGCGCTTCTCCCATTTCTGTTCATGTTTGGTATCTGGTTCTTACCAACTCTCATCTCGGTCATTCTAAACTTCGCCAATATCTCAACTCCTAATACCTCTGCCTTTAATTCCTCTCCATTTAGCGTGTCCTTCTCAATCTTCCCATTTGGGCTTTCGTTCAGCTATTCCTCGGGCTCGTTCTCGACTTCGTTTGGTACAGACCAAAACCCCCCGCCAACTGGCTTCGTCTACCCTGGCTTCAACATATCGCAATATTTTTCCAGGAACTTGCTCCTGGGGGGTATACTGGTCGTATGTGTGGCAAGAGTCTTGCGCCGCTTTATCGAAGTGATTAACCAGCATCAACGCACAGCAACACATGTACATGAGAGCTCCGCTGATAGCCCTGCATCACCAACTCCCGGAGAAAACAGCAACAATAATACCTTCACTAGAGAACAAAACTACACAGAGGCGGGAGCGGGGGTCAACAGTACTACCGCTCCTGCGGATGATACAAGCTCTGCTGAGCCAGATGAGTAACTTAACCTATAATCTTTTTCCATCCAAAAGTGAAAATGGAATGGATTCTGTTGTGGGACACCAATGCAGTATGTTTTTGAGTACCAAGAAAATGGCTTCGTCTAGTTAGGATATCCGTATAAGCATTAATATAATAGATCAGCGTCTAATTCAGGTTAAAGTAGGGTGTGGTATTGTAAAAACCGACTTTAGCACAATTGAACGCTTTAGTTAGCACCAAACCCCTCACCAATCTAAGAAACTTCTTCATTTACAAACATGTATGAGCCAGGAACTGGGTTAGAAAACGCCAAAATGCCATGATATCAAAGAGTAATGTGATGAAGATTGAAGAATAAGGGGGAACCAAATGGCCCAGGAAGATTTCAACATTTTCACTGCTTATGTTGACATAACACAACAGTTGTACGTGTTCTAGCGCCAGTGTTACACTATGCAGAACGACTCTAGTCATCATTATCATTATCCGCCATTTCTTCGTCGCCGTGTGCGTCGGCTGCATTTTGACTCTTCTCCGGCTCATCCGTGGAGAACGGATTGGTGTATTTAGAATCAATCTGGCAACGGTGCCCAGCTCGCTTGTGGGACTCCGCCTCGATAGGATCACGCAGTTTAAGTTGTATCTGATCCACCAGGTCCTCCTTTGCAGTGGCACGTGTAGGTGCCAGGCCTGCGCGGGCAATCTTTTGAGAGCGTTCCGGTTTTATGCGAGTCTTTGATATAATCGGATAATAGTATGCACCCTTTTGCTTTAGACGGAACGAGTCGCGTTCACCCTCCGGTATTTCGGCGGGGTCAAACAGAACTATGGAAACATCTTTGTATTTGTGTTCAGTGTTCAAGATTTGTGTACTTGTTGCGTATGTTCGAAGCCGGTCATAGTGATGATATTTATCTCCACTTGAGCTTTCATTGGCATAATTGGATGGGTTGTCTCGATCGGGGTTAACCATATTCAGAGAGCGTCGAATTTGTTTTGTGGAGCTTTGCTTTTGAGGCAGGTAAAGATCATAATCGTAAGGTACCGGTCCGGGATCTGGGTAAAGTGCTGGGTTTGCTCTGTAGAGCTGCATCTTGGAAGTATGTTCTTGTAGGACCCTTGGCTCTGGTGCGGAGGGAATTAGAATTGACATATCCATGCGATCATCTCGTCGTCCGTTGACTGGTGGAATAGGTGTCTTGTCAAATTTGAATTGTAGGAAGCCACCGGAATCTGGGAATCCGTCCACATCTGGAATCACGGGGAAGAGGCCAACAGGTTTCAACTTGGGATTGTCTGGATGAACAGGATTTGCCCATGCGTCGAGTTCGGCTTTGGTTGGTGCTAAACCTTGAATCTTACTTGAAGAGTCTGGGCCAGAATGTTTGCTCTTAGGATAAGCAATATCGAATCCTTTCTGGATATATTTCTTGACGTATGTGGGATCATCTCGGGATGGTTTCGGCTTCTGTCCCTTTCGAGCACTTCCAATAAAGACAGGTCCCTTAGCGTCTATCCCACGAGCCATTCCGCCGGAGGCAATGTATTGTGTTCGCCTTAAAAAGCTAACATTCACGTTCTTTGGCGCTGGGTTCCTTAACTGGTCCAATGACATCAAAAGCGGAAGATCTGCAGGGTCGAGTGGAGGCGGGTTCTCAGGCGCCATAATAGCTATGGAGGAAGCAATACGGGTTAGCCATAGTACTCAATACCGCTATAATCAATCATTAATCCCGCTAACATACCACTTTCGTCACCCAGGTGCAGGCCTGGTATTCCTATCAAATCAATTGGCATGCCTCCCTCAGCATCGACATCAATATTTGGCTCTTCCCGGCGCACCATGTTGGACGCAAAGCCTGCTGTCAGAAATCGTTCTAGCCCTTCGTGCGGGATGTCCAAAAATTTGGGGGGCATTTCTGGCGGAGGGAGGTCATTGCGGTATCGTAAGGATGCGATATATTCTTGGTGGAAACCACCGGCGGGGCCGCCATCCTTTGATTTCGACATTTTGCCTATTTAAAGGCACGGAAGAGTCTCGGGATAGCTCTGGTGGATGAAGGAGGGCTAGTATGCGGTTTTGCGCCAATCCAACCTAGCTCGAAGATCTGAAGTCCGTAGTTACCACTTCAATGGAGTCGATCGCGCAAAATTGGCTGAATACCTGGCTAGATATGCGTATACCGATCCAAGTCGTGATGCCTTCAACAAGGGATATGTTGCACTCAGTGATCCTCGACTGGAGAGACCGCAGCTTCTCGTTCATGGAGGTCGCGGTGAATAAGGAAGAAGCTATTCCGCCAAGCCTCACCGTGGATAAACCATTAGTCCGATGTCCTGTCTTAGGTAATCAGGACGCCAAACGGACGATATCGATATACAAGGGACAACAAACAGGCATGGAGTCAGTTAAAAAGTATTGATTTGGAACATATAGCTTCTATCAAAGTAGCACTGCATAAAGTATCGTAATATCACCACTGCCACATACATTTATAAGTCAATACCCGGCTGCCAAGTCGGTCGTATTCTAGCTTCCCAATCCAACTATCATTCGTTGCATCCAGCTTGCCAAACACACTTGCCCCTTTCCACACGACGACTTGCGGATCGAGTTCTCGGGGTGGCGCGCCGACCATGACATGACTGGCAATATCTGGGCGTTTGAGTTGCATCCTCTCCTCGAGGAAAGCGTGGAAGCCAGAAACAAGACTGCCACCTCCAATCACTAGGACTCCACCAACGAAATCGTTGAATTTGCGAGCCTCTCCCCGAGCTGCATGGGTGATAGAGGTAAATATAGCATCTTCAAGAGGCCATACCGGGAGGACGTCATCGCGCATCTCGACTATGGGCTGGCTTTGTGATGTTGGTCCACCACCAGTACCTCCCTGAGTCTTGAGAGGGGTTGAGACGCCTCCTTGGGGATTTGGTGCTGTATCAGGTGTGGGAGATCCAGCTGCAGAGGACCGTGGAGTTGCTTCAAGATCCTGTAGTCGGCCCAGGGGATTGTGGGCTTGCGAACGACTGGGCGTAGCTTGAGGGTCTGATCCGTTGGTTTGTGAAGCTCCATTTGTTGTGCCATTGTTCAAAGCTGGGGGAGGAGAAATGGCCGCTATAATCTCAGCTTGAGCAGTAGAGCTTGGATCGTTCGGCTGTCTGTCGTAAAGATCATAAGAACGGTTAATGAGTTTCCTCCGTCCAATTAGTTTTTGTGAGTTATCGAATATATCAGGCTGAACCACGCCCATAGGCGCTAATATGATTTCATCATATGCTTTGAATGTGTACTTCCTCGTATCTTGGCCCGAAACCCGAAGGTGGAAGTCAAACACCTGTACTGAAACGTTTGTTTCATTGAGGGTTGCCACATTCTTCTTAAGCTCCTCTGCTAACAAAAAGTCATAGCGGCGGTTCAAATTGATCTCCTCGTATGGGAAATGGTCGTAGAGCATCATTTTGATAAAGGTATCAGTGACGTCAGAGCCACCATACTTCAAGTTGACACGGGAGTTTTCAACGCACATCCCTTCTTCGACGCAGCATATTGACGTCTTTTGGGCACCGACGTCAACAACGCAGGCAGCGGTGTACCCGGCGCCAAAAGTACCGGCCAAACTCTCCTGGACAAAACAGACACGGCCGAAACCGAGTTCCCGCATCAGCGTATCCAGTATTTGAGTGACATATAGCTTTTCGTAGAGATCGGGTATGACAAAGACGCATGAATATTGTCCCCAATCTTTATCTTGTGCCAAGTTTAATTGGGTTTTCATCGCATCTTCCAGAATGAGAGCAATGTCTAAGAACAATAGGTTCTTGCTGTTGTAATCCTTCTCGTTACACCACCCGTTTCGAAGTGGCCAGTAGAGCTTGTATCGGGGTCTTGAGAGATCCGGTATCCTCAAAGCTGCTTCTCCAACCACGTACTCGGGAGCAAGTGCGGAATTATTTGGGATTTCAGTCCAGTCAACCCGCATAGCGTCATTGTGCTCAGATATCGTCTCTGGTGGTGTTCTTCTATTGTAGTTGACCACCATCTCCTTGGAGTTGGGTAGTGTCCTTCGCTTGTTTTGGCGCATATGGGCCTTTAGTTCTGTGCACATATTTGTATACAGGGTGCCAAACTAAAATATATCTCATTAGCACTATTATTTGAGGTGTACGTCGTGGGGCCCAGCAACTAGTTACTCACATCAGGTCCAAACATCTTCTCCGGTTCCATAAGTTCACCGTCATCCATCTTTAAGCGTTTTGGTTTCGGCTCACCACCATTTTCCTCGGATTCATTTAGGCCGGACTTGTGGGCTATGACCATGGGAATCGTCTTCGGTAAGGCATCACTGGCAAGACCTATGCGCAGATTCTGGCTTCCCACATGCACCACAACAGTCTTTGAGCCGACCATCACTTTTTCCTCCTCGTCGTCCGCCTCTGCCATTGTCGCATCTGCGTCTGCTTCTTCCTCCGGAAGCGGTAGCTCATTGGGTTTTGACATCGCAAGAGATCTATCTCGTTCCTTTGCTGCTTTAGCCATTCGGTTTCGGTTTTCCTCACTTTGTAAACGGTATGCCAGGATTTGATCGTCTCGTTTTAAGTACTCGCTGGAAAAGGTATCATTATAAAATCAGCAATGGCTTCTCCGCAACGTTTCTGCCTAGGTTGTATGGGAAAGGCCGATCTCGCGACCCAGCTCATCCGCGTTCTAGCGTACGTACGTGTAGTAATTCTTCTGATTGATAGCAGCCACTTGTGGCCAGCTGGTGAGGTCCATGCTGTTATCAGTTCGCTGAAGGCCTGTATTCGACCAACAGACAATGCATTAGCTCAAGCAATTCCAATCTTTTGATGTCTTGAGGATCCTTCTCACCCTCATCGCGCATGGCCCTTCCTCCCTTCTTCCCCATGGTTGCGGTAGCCTCTCGATCGGCCTATTTTCGCAAATAGTTCCAATTCGGGTTCACAATCGATCGTCAGAACAGTATAAGAATAACCCAGCGCGTTAACGGGATGATTATGCCGGCTCCAAACACCGCTAAACCGCTATCTGGGTCGAGATGCCGGTGGTGGTCAGGTCAAGATGCTTGGTGTTGGGGTCGACGACGAGCTTGGTTGCTGGCTGCAGCTGCTTGGAAACGCCACTAGAGAGAAATATCGCGGCCCACGTCCTCACCTCCCATTTGTAATAGATTTATTGATATGCAGAACTCCGTTGCTCTGCAGCACTCCCCTTACATTTAATGCTCATTTTTGTTTCCTTGTCCCTTTCAATAAATACCCGAGGAGCTAGCGATCTCTTCTTCTACCCAGCCAAATAGTTATCCGTTCGTTGAGCGCCTTTCCAGACCCAACCGAGCTCGTTCTTACCGCCCCTATCTACATATCTCAGAGACCGACACCGTCATCGTCTATTCTGTGTTTTGTCTATATCTTCTAGAAGCAGGATTCCCGTTCCGCGGGGCTACGAAACCATCTGAACGCCCTATACCCTGGCTCCGTATCCTCGACTATCGCCATTACCTGACGGCCGAGCTGTATACCTCCGATCGTCCCAAGCAACTCCCATTAAGACTTAGTTTCCTGGATATCTTCTCGCATAAATATGGGCGGATCACTATCTAAGCTTGTGTCAGGCTGGCTGTGGACAAAGAAGGAAATCCGGATTCTGATACTAGGACTTGTACGCACCCAACCCCGATGTTTGCTATTCTACGAAACGCACCAACGCATGCCTTTACCCTTAAAGAATAAGCGCTAACTGGGCTCCCTGAATTACAGGATAATGCTGGCAAAACAACTCTCCTTTATCGATTAAAGGTGTGACCGCCCTCTGCCCCTCACCGATCAGACAAACAACCCAGGGATACTCTCATGTCAGAGTACTTGGGAATCATATGCGTGGAAGCTTACATTCTCTCTGCTCCTTGGGAGCGTATTATCGATATGATATAGATCGGCGAGGTCGTAACGACAATACCTACTATCGGATTCAACGTCGAATCCGTCACATATAAGAATCTGAATTTTAACGTCTGGGTATGTTTATTCCCCTGAAAGCGTTCTCTGAGAATATTCCAGTGAGGCCCGAAATAGATATATATAAATGCTGAACAATTCGACTCGAACACTATCTAATCATTTTTCTGGCCAGGATCTTGGAGGTCAAACATCCATAAGGCCTTACTGGCGATGTTACTATGCCAACACTGCGGCGGTTATATTCGTCATCGACTCAACGGATATTGATCGACTGGGGACAGCATCAGATGAACTGGCAGCGATGCTGAACGAAGAAGAACTACGGGAGGCGGCACTTCTAGTTTTTGCAAACAAGCAAGATCAGCCTGGTGCCAAGGGTGCTGGCGAGATATCGGAGGCCCTCAAACTGGGCGAGCTAAGAGACCGAAATTGGAGTATAGTGGCATGTTCTGCCATCGATGGGAAAGGTATCAATGAAGGAATGGACTGGCTAGTGGTAAGCCCAGAGATCTTCTTTAACCTCCGTGCAACCTTGCTTCAATCACTAACGGTGGCCTTGGTATATAGCAAACGGTACAATCCGAAAATGCATAGTTATGAAGATGCATATATTGTCCGTGCTCAGAACTGTACAACCTAATTATTTCAATGACCAATCTACAAATTTACAATATCACGGCCCTTGGCTGAGCAATGGGAGTTAAAATCACCAGTCTCTCTCCCACTTCCTGGATTGCTGAAATTCTCATCGTTTTTGAGAAGCATGCCAAGCCATCATACATCGTCATTTAATAGTCGTTTCTATTTCTTCTTGAAACTAGTGTCCTTCGTCTCTCTCCTGAGCGATGACCCTCTCTCCTGTCTTCTACCCACAACACAAGTCTAAGATACAACCCCAACAAAGAGAAAACAGCCAGAGCCATCATCGTCCTCTCTGTCCCCTTCATGCACCAAAAAATTGAGCAAAAAAGACATTCGTCTGGGCCCGAGCCGCGATTCGAACGCGGGACCTCTCGCATACAAGTACTTAGGGTTAAGGCCCTAAGCGAGAATCATAGCCAACTAGACCACCCGGGCGTTAGGGACAAAGTCGTCGATTTCTGCTCTTTCGAAGATAAAGTCGTCTTCCTACGTAGACAAGACACGGTAAACGGAGATAGCAACGGTGATAGTTCATACGTTCATAAATACGATATAATAATCAATATAGGATTAATAAAGACACGGTTACTCGTGTTAAGGATGAGGTTAACAAGATGTATATGACGCTCTTTGGTAGAGATAGATTCTAGTAGATATAAGCCAAATAATCCCTAGGGAGGAATGTAGGTAGAAACAGTTGTAGACAAGCAGACAATGGTAGATCTATCTACATAGATATTGATAAATAGTCTCAAGCTATTTAGCTTGATGAGGATGTTGACACCGAGTACGGTCCATAGGATAAACAACTTCCCGCAACGAGCTGTTTTCGTCTCATCTACAGCTGTGATATACGCGTATAAAATCATTTTGATTGGGAAGTTCATGCACTCGCCCTAGCCTAGTTATCTGTGATTAAACGCCTTCAGTAGCTTGAGCGCTATCAGGAACCAAAACATAACACGGCGGCAAAGCATCGCTCCTATGTCTAGACCACGGATTTTGTCGACATTTCTTCATGCCTATAAGGCGTCTCGAAGCTCTCTACACCCCTTGCCCCGGTACTTTATTCCGTACCCCCATTGCCATCAAACAACCCGTCAACAAAACCGCTTCACAAGTACACAATCTCCTCCAGCCGCTAACATGAGGAAGACGATACCCCTTGGAACAGAGCTGACAGGTCAATCTGGCCGTCGCTACGTTATTGAACGAGTTCTCCAGGAGAAAGAACATTCGCCTTTGCATGTTTATTTTGCTCAGTATGCCTATGTAGATGTCCTGAACTTCCGTGTTTCCTCAAGTTAACCTCTTCAATAGGTCAGGAATGGATAGCTTTGTACTAAAAGATGTACCTGATTTCGAGTATCTCCAGGAAATCTATCAAAAGATAGATGGATGCTCTCATCTCCGCCTACCACAAGATTCAATGGCCGAACGCTCGATGTTTGTTTATAAGCACATGACAACAGACTTCTTGACCCTTCCTGTTAAAGAAGAATTGCCATTGGAATCAACCAAGAGAGTTCTGAGAAATGCACTGCAAGGGCTTTCTGCATTGCATGAGAATTACATAGTGCATAATGGTAAGTGATATTGATATCGTGCATGCTATCTCGCTATTATCCATAATTAAACTAACTTTACATAGATATCAAGGCAAACAACATTCTTGTAAATCAAAATGATGATGGCACAATAACAGATGTACAGCTAAGTGACATTGAAGATGCTGCAATTGTTCCTCAAGGCAGTGAGATCGCAGGTCGACAGCTGGGCAATTGGATGTGGCGTAGTCCAGAATCTCACGCCGAGGGACCTATGAACACGCCCTCTGATATCTTCTCCTTTGCAATCGTGGTCAGTATTATGTGCACCCCGGTTATTTGCTGGATCCATACTAAACTTACTTCGCGATTAGTGCATATACGCCGTTCATAGACGGCTTATCTTCTCAGTTGAGGAGAGTGAACTTGGCGAAGGCGAAGAAATTTTGGCCCACGTTATTGAGAGGCAGATATCATACTTCGCAGACGCGGATAGTATACAGGAATTCCTGAAACACATTCGTGAAAGTCCCTGGGCCGAGATCTTCCAGGTCACTCGGGACGGTTTCAACAAGGAGAATCCTCGAAAGCCATTTGCTCTATGGAAGGGCGTTGATCCGGTATTCAAGGATTTGATCTGTCGGATGACGCATTTTAATCCTAGGAAGAGAATCACTGCGCGTGAAGCATTGGCACATGAGTGGTTCAAGGGTATATAGTCTGTTTTGTTCAGGACAGCGTTAACAACTTACCATTGATATCTTGAGACATTTATCTAGATTGGTTATAGAGTTTGGATGTAAGAATAAGAATGGATAACGATGCACAAAGCACATAGGAGGAGCAATGTGAAAAAAATACAATTCGCCCCTCCTTAAAAATAAAGCCGTTTATTTATATTTCCTTCTCCGGGTGGCACGCCACATGTATCTCATCTAGATTGTACTACGTATTAACTTAAGGTTAGCACCCAAGAATATTAGTCTTACGATCCTGTATACGACGGTTATATAAAAGTAATGTATCATTAATTTCCTGTTAATACAGCCGAGGAAGGTAGGGAGAACCCCATACAATCAAAGGCAAAAAGCAATCAATCAAAGGGGTAAAAAGAGAATCAAATTAATGACGAGTAAAACGCGAGTGCGAAGAACAAAGGACTGCAATGTACTACTACCGAATGCCTATTCATACCGGGCCGCTGTAACAATTTAACAAAGCCCCCAACCATTCAATACCAATCATGGGCATAACAAAAACCAACAAGAAGGCCCGAGATGCCCGAAAATTTTAGATCATGATCATGGATGCTCCAAAGAGAGTGGACAGGCCGACGGTGACGAGAACCATCAATGGTGCAAAGCCGAATTCGGGGGCACGGAGACCAGCAGCGGCGCCTGCGGAGCTGGTGCTGCCGGGGGCGTTACCACCGCCGCTGGTGTTAGGGCCCTTAGCTTTGGAGCCGGAGCTCTGGCTGCCGGAGCCTTCCAAGCCGGGGCCGTCACCAGCACCATTGTCCATATACTTCTTAGCATCAGCGGGGAAGGTTGGGAGGTCCTTGTCGCCGTCAACATTCCAGTTAGGAGCGTTCTTGGCAGGGCACTTGCTGGCAGCACCCTTCTTGTTGTAGCCACCGTCACCGGATGGGTTCTCGACCTTGGCGAAAGCAGACTTGAGAGCGTTGTAGTCGGCAAGTTTGGATGGCTTGCCGGACTTGCCACCCTTGATTTCAACCAATCCGTAGTTGCTGGGCTCCTGGGAGTATTCGTAGACGAGACCACCGGAGTAGACACCAGTCATTTCAGTGGAGTAGAGAGCCTTGACCTCACTGAAGTCACGCTTGTTCAAGTTGCAGCCGTACTCGGAAAGGAAGATTGGGACACCATAGTCAGTGAAGTTCTTAACTTTCTGGTCCCAGCCGGAGGTCTCAAAAGAGGATGGAGAGCACCAGGAGTAGTCGTTGAAGGCGAAGAAGTCACTTCGAACGTCGTCGGAGCCACAGTTCATGTACTGGGCAGCCTCCAAACGGTTGGTATCGATATCAGCCTGTGGGGGGTATTTGTTAGCTAGCTTGTCGATGGCACAAGAGGACTTGAATAGAGGAATATCTTACAGCAGAGTAACCGACTGGAACCTGCCTCAATTTGCGCTGCTTGAGGAATGTACGGATGTCACGAGTGGTAGCCTTGACCCAAGGAGCAACTTCGGAAGTTTTACCGTCGTTGATGACCTCGTTACCGGAGAAGAACGCAAGGGTGTTGTCATACTTGGCGAACATCTGGACGGTAGCGAAGATGCTCTGGAGGTAGACAGCATTGTAAGAAATCTCCGGGTCTGGATAATAGTATTAGCACCAGATGCATGTGTAGTTTGACGAATGGTTGTGCATACCAGCTCGGTTGATCGAGTACTTGGGGGTGTTGACGTCGAGGACGAGGTAGATGCCAGCGTCGGCCAACAGCTTCATGCACTCATCGTGGTTCTTGGTGTTGTCGACAGTGTAGATACGGACGGTGTTGAGGCCGAGATCCTTGAAGTTCTCAATGTCTCGCTTGCAGAGTTCGGTATCGGCGATGGGGTCGACAACCTTCGAAGAGCCACCCTGTTGAGAAAGCCTTAGCAACGTTCTCATGTTAGCAATGGTTGTATCCTTTATAACGTACTGGCTGGTAGTCCCTATAAACGAGAAGTTAGCAAAATGTTATCCATCAAGCTGCTGAAGCCAACTTACACTCCACGAATGTAGAAACGCTCATTTCCCTTGAAGAATGCTATCCAACCGTAAACCGATTAGCGACTACTATCCCATACACGGACTTTTCTGGTTATTCTCAGCCTGGTGGGGGATCGTACCGTTTCCCTTGACGGTGATAGGGGTGACGGATCCAGCGAGGGCAGACGAGGCTCCGAGGGCGACGGCGGCCACGGTAGCAAGGGTAGCCTTCATTATGACGTTTTCTTTCAAGATGTATCCCGAGCGGTTAAAGCGTTAACGAGATGCAGAGTCGAAGTCGAGGTCGAAGTCGAAGTTGAAGGCGAACGAGTTGGCGATTAAAAGAGCGATAACGCCGAGGAAGGAGACGCCTAAACGAACGTGTATCCCGCTTTCCCTACAGCAAGAGTGAAAAATAGAATGAATGCGAGAAGGAGAAGACGATGGAGAGCGAAAGAGTGAAGAAGAAGAGGAGGAGGAGGAAGAAGAAGAAGAAGAAGAGCAGAGGTGTCTCTCTATGTATGGAAGACGAGGCCAATTGGGGGTTGGCATCCAACTTTTTGCCCTTGCGATGTTTTACTTTTTCGATCCACCAAAAAGCCCAAGCCGCGTAAGATGGCCAGGGGTCAGGTACCAGCTACTTCGATTAACCAGGCCCCTCGCTGCTATTACTGGCGTCACTGCTACTTTATTATCGGCGGGAAGCATCTCTCGATCGGCCCTAGGGAGACGGGGCGCATCGTGGATTGGACGGGCCATCGAAGCCCCTTGTCCATGCATCGAACTTCAAACTCATGCGGTGGCGGTGGCAGCGACCACGGGGAAGCAGAAGCAGCGCTGCAGAAGCAAGGAGCAGGGAGTCTCTGGCGCCCAGGGACGATGATGATGAGATGGGCCAGGGGCGAAGGGGAATAAGAAAAGAGAAGAGGATCTCTCGAGACGGGCGGCACAATCATCTCTCTCATCCCTGATGATCTCAATACGCTGCCTTCTCCCGCCCACCCACTTGTTTCACACGGCAATGAAGCTGCACATCTCTCGAGGCAGCTCACTAGCGACGGCTACGAGGACACTATGATGGCATTCGCTGCTTGGCTGGTATCGGGGTGGATGTCTTCTTGGCCGTGTCCAAGTCATCATCGTGCTGCTCGGTTACGGATTACTGATGGCATTGAGAGATTACCTGATGGCATAGAGAGGAGCAGGCATGGTGTCTAAGCTGCCAGCTGCATATATAATCATCCGGCTTGATGATTATCAATCGCAGTACGGAGCACATAACTATGCAGGAGATTACAAGTGAGACGGCACAACGTTCATCAGCGACGCTTTTTGGCCGCCCAAACGCTACATCCATAATCCCCCGGGATATACGGAGTTCCACAACAAGAGAAACGAACGTCGAGGGCTCTATCAAGAGAAGTTCGGGCGTCGATGGATGTTTTGGCCGGATTAGGACGTTCAGTGTCGAAAATCCGCGTTCTGGCGTACGGAGTACTTATGGAGCGATTACAGAGTACAGGTCCTTATCTTTTATCCCTTTTTCTGATGGCCGCTCAAGAGCAGTCTATGGGTCAGTCTATGGGTGATGAGGACAAATTGATATTATTTCATAGCTTTCATCTATCATTATGCTTGCCCTGACGTCCTTCAGTGGTTTGGTTTAGTCATCAACTATACAAGAAGCGCGACCTCCAACAACCTGGAGATTGACCAGATTCAGACCTCAAGGAAGCCCGTCGAGGTCACTGTTCGAATTATGGAAGATATGAAGATGTCATTTATCGAACTTCGATCTCTTCTCCACTCCCAGCCAACCGCCTACTGAGACACCAAAGGCAGGATGGCATCACAGGTAGCTTGCTCTATTGGCCAAATAAGGGACAGCTCGTGTTTGTGGACGACTATGAGGGGGTGACATTATTAGAAACTGTGTACCTTTGGGAGTTAAAGGCCACATTCCTGCACTGTGTTACCGCTAGTGCACTTGCGCTGGACGGGACAGTCGCAATTAATGGTGGCTCGGCGGGCATATACAGTCTCAACACGGGTAGAATGGAGCGGAGTCTCGAGCAGGGTTTTAGGATTTGGCACGACCATGAGGTTACGGCGTTCGCTTTCTCGCCGGACCGTGGGCGTATCGCAGGCGGAGGTCGTCGTAATATCACAATTTGGGATGCAAGGACTGGAGAGACGCTGCAGAAGTTTCCCATAGAGCGTGGAGGTCAAGCCCTCGCCTTCACCACCGATGGGGACAAACTGCTGGTGGTGTTCAGGCCCGGGGAAGACTCCCCATATCAGCGCCTTGTGGAAGTGACAACGAATACAACACTCAGCGAACTCTCGGACAGCAATATTTCACAGCTGTTCCCTAGCAACATGAACGACGGCTACATATTGACCAATCGTGGACCGTTGCATATACCGACTCCCCATGATATGACTTTGACCAAGCCCGATATCGAACACTCTTCGTCACTGACCGCTGGATCACGTATGATGGATGCAATGTCCTCTGGCTGCTCCATGAATATATGCCTACGTGCATTCTTGCTCGGGGCCGTTTTGCTATATTCGGATTCGAGGATGGTCATATTGATTTTATAGTGTTCGACTTTACCAAAATACCCAAATAAACAGACTGTAACAGTTGCAGTATATTAGAAATGGAAACCCGTTCAGTTCAATCTAATATTATTCCTAGATCAAACGTCATGGGGAGACAGAAGATATATATTGCATTCTATATTGGCCTTGCTTGTTTCCAAACCACAAATCCCTGGAAAAGAGAACAAACCGATAACTAAGTCTTCGTTATATTTATAGATCGTCGAAATCCTCGTTACAAGCTCCCTACGGTCGTGAGGGTGGTGTTTCCTTACCCTTCACTAACCAAGCTACTTCGTCGAGGAGATGAGTTCAAGTGTTGAAAGCAACGAGTAGCGGTAGCAACCTAGTCTCTAAAAAGGATCACGATATACTTTGGTTAGGATAAGAATCAGTGTCATGATGCCATTAAAGGACGGTTAGGCATATCATACAGTTAGCTTGATCTGGTATATGGCGTCCCCTGGCCAACGAATTTAGGACTTTAAAACGTTTTGCTGGATTGAGTAGAAAAAGGAGCAAGACGACAGAGATCCAACCATTCTAACCCAAACAAAGTTAAAAAAAAAAATAGATGCTATACCATCTACGTGCATGGCCGTCCATCCGTCCATCCCTAGATACGCAAATGGAAGAATAAAAAGCAGGAGGAAAGAGAAGAGACTCATGCATCTTCAATGTAATTAGCAGGAACACACTTCGTTAGGCCTCCCTTTTCGACATCCGCCCATCCATTCCCGCTATCCCGATTCACCAGCACGAACCGATCACCGGCCGCCATGCTCCATTCTGCATCAGTTCGTGCTTCATAGTCATACATCGCTACGACGTACTGGAGTTTCTTCGCACCGCGTTTGGGGGCGACTGCTGGGCCACGGCGCTTGCCTGCCGCACTGCTGGCCAGGGAGGCGCTGGAGGTTGAGTATGTTGATTCTGGTCGGCCGTTGGGGCTGGGAGATGTAATTGGTGACGGAGCTGGGGTGGGTGATACTTCAACGTATGACGCAGGCACCAGGCCGGTCAGACTGTTGGCTTTAACGCGCATCCATCCCGAGCCATCTGTTAAGCATATGTTAGTAAAACGATGTGGATAGCAGGGAAAGTGTATGCGCACCATCTGGTTCGACGATGATGACGTCCTGTCCTTCGTCTACGGTTATCTCATCCTCCCCGTTGGCCTGGTAGGCATATATCATCTTCCCTCCCGGTTCACTGGGCTTGCTAGTGCCACCAATGTTCTCTTTGTTATCGTTTGAAGGTGCCGGTGGTGGCGCACTAACATACTGCGCTGGAGGAGGTGCTAGTATTCGATTCTTCCGAGGTGCCACAGCAGGCTTCTTTGCAGCAGCTGCAGCACCAGCATCAGGTAACTCGACGATAGCCGGCGACGCTGTTCCACCGTTAGCGGGCTGACTAACAGAAAGTGCCGACGTTGACTTGTTAATTGCATTTGCAGAATATCCCGAGCTCAGCGAGTTCATAGTATCCTTCCGCGACAAGGCCGGGAGCTCTGCTGTGTTGGAAGTTGAGATTCGGGGGGTGATATCCTGACTCGACAACACAGGCGTAGCATTTGCTTGCTCTTGTCTCTCAATCTTCAACTTCTTCCTCTCCTCTTTCGTTTGCTCACCCGGACACTCGGCTGGGACTTTCATCTCACATTTATTATGACATGTATAGCCACAATCGCGACAGTCGAATCCCTTGGCTGAAAGGCCCCATATCCTCTCTCCGCACAGGTCGCAGTTGGTAGGAATCTTGAACGTCTGAGCTCTGAAATTATGATTCTTCGCTCCAAGGGATAGATCTCCCACTACCGACGATATCGTCGACACCTCAATTTCACCTGTGAGCCTCTTCCGATCCAGCAGGTGTAAATCCTCCTGCATAGCGAATACCGCTCGCACAACCTCGACTTCATCACGCTTATCTTTACCCTCTCGAATGCTCTGTCGGGTTTTCTTTGCATTTTCGACTTCCCGTCTCTTCTTATCGGCTTCCGCTTTCAACTCTTTCATCTGGCTTTTACTCTTGCTTTGTAGATTTCGTAGAAACACCTTTGCCTGATCGTCGATGACCATAGTTGGCTCGTCGTGCCAGACGGGACTAGGCTCAAATTGCATGTCCAATGGTTCCTGCCAGTGGGCGGTGTTATGGCGCATGAACATCATCGAGTCCAGTCGAGGCTCATTGCGCGGGATTTCGGCGAGAACATGCGACACTTGCTCGTCACTTCTCGCCAACGTAGCCTTTTCTAGATCTGCGGCTAGAGTCCAGATTGAATTCAGCTTGCTCACTCGGGTTTCGTTCAGGTCTTGGAGCCCCTATATTCATAATGTTAGCAGCTGAAGCAGAAAACGGCCAGGATGATGCACGTACATCCAGTACTTCCGGTACATATTCATGATAGTATTTCTCTTTCAGTTTATTCGTGACATTTATAGCAATTAAATAGGTGTTCTAGAGTGGTGAGTTTAGCATTCGCTGGTCAACAAACGACGTCACCCTGGACATACCTTGACATTATTCATCTCCGAGATCTGATTCTGATAGGAGATCTGTGCCTTCTGCTTCCCATGATCGAACGAGCTCTCTACCTTCTTCCGCTTGTTCTCCACCTCCTGACAGACCCCGTCGTATTTGCCCTTGCTCTTCTTCAAGTCGCCGTACGACGCATCCCTCTCCTTCTCCAGCTTACTTGCGTACTCGGCATGGTTCTTGCGTAGCTCCTCCAGCCGAACGCCCGTCTGCTTCAGCGGCTCCGCTATGCGAAAGACAAGGTCGGCCCCAAACTTATCTCGTGCCGCGGCTTCCGCCTCCAAAGCACACAGTTGTGTAGCCCATGTCGTTAACGATGCTGACTCTAGCGATCCGGGAGTCATGACCGGCGTATCTCCGACGCTGAGAATGCTGGCCTTTTTCGACTTCCGGTCATGGTATTTGCGACAGAGGGCTGTGAGTTTGGCGGCATATTCCTTCTCGATGACGCTACGGTCACGGTAGAATTGCTGTATCTCGTCCAGCCAGTTTATTCCGACTGAGACCTAGAGTGTAGAGTATTGTCAATAAAGCATGCGGGGATAGCGGCGTTCGAGGGAGGGAATGTACCCAGGCATTGACCGGCTTGAAGGCATCCTATCCGCAGAGTTAGCAGCTTGACACCTATCCCAGTCCATCTGCAGTAACGTACCTTCAGCTCTGCGCCAAACTGCGGGTTGACCGTGTCCGCCATCTCTCCTGTCTATTTATCTCGAGGGGGAGGCGCGGGTTCGTGGTGGACTGCTTCACAGCCCGCCGGCCCAGCGAGAGTCGTCGAAAGCCAGCCAGAAAGGACCCAGACCGAGGCGTGGAGATACAGCAACGCTACAGAAGGGAATATGCATAGCTAGCATCTGCCGCGGAGTGAAGCTGGCGGTTTGTTCTGGTGTTCTGATCGTGTTTATGTTGGACATCGAGTCCAGCCACTTCGGCGCATGTACTTTGACTGCTTTGGGGGCAAGCCACGATCCTACGTAAGCAGCATCCTTTCTTCTTCTCTTCTTCTTCTTCTTCTTCTTCTTCTTCTTCTATGCTTCTTCTTCTATGCTTCTTCTTCTCTAGATACGAACCCTGAGACATGCTCCGACGGACAAGATAGACGACATCGAGCAGATCAAGTGGGATATCGCCATGAGGCGCTATCGACTGGGATATCCCCGTGTTTCCTGGACATCCGCCTTCATTCTCTCAGGATACGCCTGGGATGGACTAAGAACAATCTACAGCCCAGAAGGTATACGAAGACATAAGAAGGTATACGAAGACATAACAAGGCATAAGCAGCTAAGGACAGGTAAGGAGTTAAGTAAAGGCAACTCAAGGCTACAATGTGAACTATAGGACTATATCTCACTAATAAATGATCAAGCTATACTACTATCTCTATCTCTATCTATCTATATATATGTATATCTATATCTATATTTATGTATGTTTATATCTATCTATGTATATCTATATCTATGTATGTGTATATCTACATCCATCTACATCTATATCTATGTATGTCTGTCTGTGTATACGATGACTAAGCTGTCGAGAAGTCGAAGAAAGACTGAAAACGCAGACTCGGAGTTCATTCTGGCAGAGGAGAATATCTGGATATTCCCAGCTTCTCACTGTCTACTTACAATAGCTAGTCTGCAGTGTAGCCGTCAGCATCTCGCTATATACCCTGCCGCTGCAACATCTTCAGTTACCCCCGCGACCCCTCCACGCTCATTTGTGCACCTGTGTTATCAAAGCAGCAGCTCTGCTAAACAGCAAACACAACCTCTCTCGATCCCTTCTTCCTCTCTTCCCTGCCGTCGCAAATCCAGACCCAGCTTCTCGAGACCAGACGTATACATCTGCCGCGACCATGGCCTCTGAGAACCCGGCCACCGGTACCCCGCTATCAGAGAGGGCCTCGTTCCCTGATTCAAAGGGCAAAGGCGTTGACAAGACGGAAGAGGCTTCGGGCACCGTTGAAGATGCGCAGACTGACGGTACTACAGTCCGGACTGGAGCCTCGCAGCTTCGTGACTCTGAGTATACCGTCAATGTCCAGTTGAGCGATCTCCAGGCCGACCCAAATAACCCTCTATACTCTATCAAGAGCTTCGAAGAGCTTGGACTGTGAGATGCGATCTCTCTTCCCCATATCTTTCTAGGCGGATTCAGTCAGCTTACCCATTTTGACAACTCTCTAGAGATGAAGCCGTCCTCCGTGGCCTGCGTGAAATGCGCTTCAGCCGACCTTCTAAGATCCAAGAACGCGCCCTCCCGCTTCTCATGTCGAACCCGCCCCAGAACATGATCGGACAGTCACAATCCGGAACTGGAAAGACAGCAGCTTTCGTCCTCAATGTCCTCAGCCGTGTCGACGTTTCGTTCGCTGCCCCACAGGCCCTGATCCTCGCCCCTAGTCGCGAACTCGCCCGCCAGATCGTAGGAGTCATTCAAGTCATGGGCTCCTTCATCGAAGGATTAAAAATTGCGACCCTTGTACCCATGGAGTCGAATAGGAACCAGCCAGTTGACGCTCCTGTGGTTGTGGGAACTCCAGGAACTGTTCAGGATTTTATTAGAAAACGACTGTTCAATACACAACATGTGAAGGTTTTGGTACTAGATGAAGCAGATAATATGCTGGACCAGCAGGGCCTGGGTGACCAGTGCATCCGGACGAAATCGTAAGCATATACCATATTCACTGCCTCTATAAAACACAAAGTACCACGACGTGCTAACCGCCATTCTTCTAAAAGATCCTTACCAAGAGAAGCGCAAATTGTTCTGTTCTCTGCGACGTTCCCAGATGCCGTCGTCCGCTACGCTCACAAATTTGCGCCCAATGCCAATCAACTTACCCTCAAACATGAAGAACTCACAGTCGAGGGAATCAAACAGCTGTATCTGGACTGCGATTCCACGGAACATAAATATGAGATCCTTGTCAAGTTTTACGGCCTCCTCACAATTGGGTCCTCCATCATTTTCGTCAAGGTATGATGACTATCATTGTTGGGGTCTTCGCTCGTTCTCTAATATCTCTTTAGACACGTGCTTCAGCGCTTGAAATCGAACGCCGGATGATTGATGAAGGACACACGGTCGTATCCCTCTCTGGTGGTATTGAAGGACAAAAACGTGACGAGGTCATCGACAGTTTCCGCAAGGGCACTGCTAAAGTACTCATAACTACCAACGTTCTTGCGCGAGGCATCGATGTACAGACCGTGTCCATGGTCATCAACTACGTAAGTTTTAACATGAAGTGCCTCCGTGTATCAATTATAAGCTAATCGGTCCCTTCTTTCTAATGGATAGGATATACCCGAACTCCACGCTCCTGGAGCAGGCGAGCGTGTCGCGGATCCACAAACCTACCTTCACCGTATCGGACGTACAGGTCGATTCGGCCGTGTCGGCGTCGCAGTCTCCTTTGTTTCAAATAAGGAAGAATGGACAATGCTTATGGACATTCAGAAGTACTTCGGAACCGATATCATGCGAGTTGACAGCAGAGACTGGGATGAAGTCGAGGATGTCGTTAAGAAAGTCATCAAGCCGTCCGCTAAATAATCTACTGGCGCTTTCTCCTTACGAACACCGCAACATACCAACGGCGAAATGAAAATGAATGAATGGCGTCTACCTTTTTTCTCACCTCCTGCATTCGGCACGGGGAGCCGCAATGCGATCTAGAGCGACGGACTAAAAGCCAGGGAATGAATGCATTGAGCTGAATCGAGTCAGAGTCGAATCAGGATGGAATGGAAATGTTTTGCTCGAGTCTTTTACGCTGAAGATGACGATACATGGGCCTGGAAAATAATAAAAAATAATTTCATGCAGAGAAATCAATGATGACGTTTTGCCGCTTTAGTTAACTCCGAGCTTATCTCCCCTTACTAATCCGCCCGATAACGATTTTCCCCTCCATGAGATCAAAACAATACGAACGACGGCTGGAGAAGACATTTAATTTCAGCTTGCGTTGCGTGAACTATCTTGACAATGGTTAGTATGGATCCAAGAGGCTCCGGCTGCACAGTATTATCTTAGCTGGCTGTATGTGCTAAAAATCTCGAATAGCCCCACGCAGACTCGTCGTATTTCCCCGCGGGGGCCTCAAAGGAAGAGGTATACAAGCAGGTTGTAGAGCAGACGAAGGCACTGATAGATGGACAGCGGCACTGGGTATGCATATCGACTGACGGTGCATTTTACTCTGCAATTGAAAGCCCCCAAAGCTGACTGGGAATATATCGTTACTATAACAGATAAGGTATGCTTAATAAATTCCCCATGTTCTTGGTCCTGCAATACGCACACTAACGATATATTCTCCCTTATTAGCAACTCTGCAAACGCAGCCTCTCTCCTATGGCACGCATACGCTAGCCTCCCTGCGCCATCAGCCTCCGTAAACTGGGCCGGCTTCTACATCCGAGAAGACAAGTTTCCCTCCTCCATACCTGAAGCCTCGCGCACGAAGAATAAGCTACTCCTGGGCCCGTTCCAAGGTAAACCTGCGTGTCAATGGATCAATTTTGGAAAAGGAGTTTGTGGCACTGCGGCTGAAAAGAAAGAGACGGTGATAGTCCCTGATGTGTTGAACTGGGAGGGACATATCGCTTGTGATGCGGAGAGTAGGAGTGAGATTGTTGTTCCGATCTTGGTTAACGGAGAGGTAAGGACGATCCTATTTAATATACCTACTTTATTCCAATCAGTCTGCACTCGGAAAATGGGTTGTTGATGGTATTTGTTAAAACTTACTTATTGAGATAGACTGTTGCGATTATCGATATCGACTGTGCTGAACCCTCGGGGTTCGATGAAGTGGATAAAAATGGCCTCGAAGCGCTCGCAGCAGTATTAGCAGAGAGCTGCGACTGGTAAGGGGTATCGAACTTCCTGCCATTTCATATGGGCGACTGGGCGACTGGGCGATTGTTTAGTAGAAGGAATTAGATACAGACTTGCCCTTGGAATTACGCTTAGCTGAGGTACTCTCTTGCTATATGGTCTATAGATCTCTTTATTAAAAATAAGTAGGATATTGTCGAAAGTACACACTCCTTAACTGTCAAGTGGTGTTATCCATTGAAGGAAATGTAGATAACTAAGAGCCTACTCCTAAGACTTAGGGAACTAACTAGACTGCTCCCAACCAACGGCCAGAAACATGGAATAGACTAGAGTGCGAAGCCATGGTATTGCTTCGGTGAAAGTCGATATGTTTGAACTTGATCTTTACTTTCTCCTCCCTCGTCCCCGTAACCGGCACTCGATCATGGAGTACACAAGAGCGAAAAACCAATGGCAAGACGGCCGATATGGCAAATAGTGATTCAAAGACATCGGAATGAAGCAATTGCAATAGATTAATGGACACAGAGGGTGACTGAATCAAGTATTGTAAATTTGTGTAGGCGTCGAGGGCTATCTCACAGGCTTCTTCTTCAACACAGGTCGGTATGATGGGCTATCAATGTCCATTTTTCGCAGCAACAGCTGCATCATTCGTAAAAAAAAAGTAGCCAACTAGCCAGATAGAATGTTAGAATACCAGAATGTCGTGCCGACATGTAAGAGAGCTCTAGATACCTGCTGGTATCAAGGTGTTTCCTTGGAGAGGTTATAATGGTATCTTGAGAGAAGTGATATATTGTGCTCCCCAGTTACCGTGCTGCTAGTCAAAGAAAGCCAGTATTCACACCAGACCTCGACAGTGCTTTGAAGGGATATTACGCTAGAAGACAACTTCCTGCATATGCAGCATAATCGCATGCTCAAGGTGATACGGCTTGAGAATCTTTTCGATAGCAGCATCCTTGATCCACCCACTTGTCCATTTTGGATAATATAAAGCCTTGACATATTCCCAGTATTCAGGATAGTAGCCGGCCATTTCCCAATCCAAGAGCGCGACCACCTTATCTCCACGTACAAGAATGTTTCTCGGAGCTAGATCAGAATGCGTGAGAACAATCTCATGTGGAGGCAATGCCTTCACAAACCTGGCCACCTGGTCTACCCATGTACTGTCCCCAGAGAGTCTCATTGCTCGAATGAGGCCGTCGTTGAACTCTTGCTCGGTCTTATAAGGCCCAAACCCACCCAGTTCAGCACAGAAAACGGGATCTTCGCAGTATGTGCCGTCAAATGAGCCGATGAAATCGCCCTTGAACGATCTTAGTTGTTCTATAAACGACTTCAGCTGGCTGATGATGTTTTGTCGTTGCTCCTGGTCCAGTTCGTCCCATACATCCTGCAGAACACAACCTTCAATATATTCCATAAGGATTATACCACGATTTGTAGCTTCATCGGTGTATACATTATACACCTCGGGAACCGGGATGGAGGTGTTTGCACGAACAAATCGCATTACTTCGGCCTCAGCAACTCGGTGCGGGTCGGTCACCTTTGCCACGGTTTGGTTATCGATGCGGTGAATATTAATCAGGGGATTCTTCACTAAACGATTGCTCTCCGTGAGATCTGATGCTTCAACTCGCCGTGCCATTTGATTCTTCCTTTAGGGTATTGGTATAAACTAAAGACCTGAGGAAATTAATAGCGGTGGTCGTGACGTGGGAGATAAATAGGATATTTGATCAACAAATTGCATACGTCGTCAACATGCATCAGCCCCTCGTCCTCGTATCTCGGAACAACAGCATCTATGGAGTACTTAACTAACTCGTATAGACACTCTACGGGCTTTTTTGGTCACTGACACGATTCATGAAATAATTTATACTGGCGTGAATCTTTTGAAGGGTGTCATGGGAATGTGTTCAAAGCCGTATCCCCAGCCAGCTTCAGGCTGCAGCAACCATACACCATTCTGGCGAACAGTGCCTCACAGTCTGGATACCCATCGGTCAACGGCCGATTTACCCTCGGAATGCGATATCTTAATTATCGGTGGTGGATACTCTGGTGCCTCTGTTGCATACCATATATTTCAGGAGAATGAGGCACCACCTAGCACCGTTTTACTCGAAGCTCGACAGCTATGCTCTGGAGCCACAGGGAGAAATGGTATGTGATCTCTTTACATTTTAGCATGAGTGTACGGGTCTACAGTGCTCCTTCTAATAAAAACAATGAAGCTGGTCATCTTCGCCCTGAAATGTACGGCCATGCAGCTAAATTTATTACGCGCCATGGGATCGAAGCAACGGCGGAGATGATCAAATACGAAATCTCGCACCTCCGCATCCTTGCAGACGTGATCGAGCGAGAGAAAATAGACTGTGATCTTACCTTGACTAGATCATTCGATGTATACTTTGACCAGGAAGTGATGGACAAGGTCCGTCATGGCGTCGAGCCGTTATTATCTGACTCCTACCAGCAGGGGAAGTATGAATTCATGAAAGATGCAGACTTTCGATTCCCCACAACAGATCACCCGTTAACTGAGGAAGACCTGAAGGAAACAAAAGTGAAAGGGGCGAAGGGATTCGTGTCTTTTCCTGCAGGTCACATCTGGCCATACAAATTCATATCGGGGCTGCTAGAAATTGCCGTCTCCAAGGGGTTGAATCTTCAAACTAACACACCAGTACTAGAAATTAGCCCTCAACGCGACGAAGAAGGGTACTGGAAAATATCTACCGGCAATGATAGAGGGGTTATTCGTGCTAGAAAGGTTATCCTGGCCACGAATGCATATACCTCTGCCTTAGCCCCAGAATATGCAAAGGCCATTGTACCCTGTAAGGGTCTCTGCTGTCATATCGTGATACCGCAGTCGAGCGATCAGGATGCGGACCAAAAACTGCCACCACGCCTAACAAACACTTATGTTACTCGTCACGGCTCGGGGGCAGGAGGATATCTCATCCCCCGTCCTGATGGTAGTGTGATTGTTGGCGGAACAAGTCACACATTTACCCCCTTCTTGGAGCAGTGGCACAATAACCCCAACGATGACGTGTTGATCGACGCTGCTAAACAGTATCTTGATGGATACATGCAGCGAACATTCGTGGGCTGGGAAAACAGTGGTGCATACTCGAGGGAAATTTGGACTGGTGGTATGCTTTTTACCCGCATTTTGAACCCTCTATTGTACGGTTGGCGTAACTTATACTAACCATATCTCACCATATAGTAATGGGTTACTCAGCCGATTCACTGCCCCATATTGGAGTAGTGCCTTCGAAGGAAGGCCAGCTCATCCTTGCTGGGTTTAACGGACATGGAATGCCGGTATGTTTCTTAGCAGGGAAGGCAATTGCACAGATGGCCCTATGTGATAATGTTATCTTCGAGGACACTGGGTTGCCCCGCGTTTATAAGACGACCAGTGATCGGCTGGAAACGAAGTATAATGATACGCTACAGCCATGAATCTTTAATATGATGACCTCCAATTTAAGGTGGGAGAATAATTTTTAGAAATAAAATGCGTTATTCATTCAATGGGGTCATAAGGTCATCAAGGTATATATATCAACATCATGGAACGTGAACAAAAAAAATATTCAACACAACTAGATATAGGTATCAGAAGGAAAACGAAAGCAGTGAAAGAACAAACAGAATCTACATGATGCATAAAGGCCAAGCCGAAATCCGCCCCAAAGAGAATTCTCAAAATTTAAGAAAGTATAAAATCGACGATCATGATGATTACCGTAGTCAAATGTTTAACAGACTCATCACTCTGTGGATAGGGCTGCTGCTTCCTGTGGCAGGTGAGTCGCCGCATTCACTTTGTCCAAGGCCACTATCAGTACCTTGGCCTGTATCAGTAACTGTATCAGTATCAATATCCCAATCCTCGTCTTCTTCGTCGTCATCATCATATGTTCCAGGGTCGGCTGTCATATCAGCTGTAGGAGGTATAGTATTAACCTCGCCATCTGGACAATCCGCGCTACCGTTCCAGCCTTTTTGAACAGCTCCTCTTACGTTCCAACGTAAGGAACGGCGGACACTCTCGAACCATTCTCCGCCCTGAGAGACAACGGTTGGGAATGGATACTGGCTTGCTTCTACAGTCACGTAGTCGCCGCGACGTAGCTTAATACGGCCTTTGCCGTCGAAGGAGCAGTAGGCTGAAGAACGTGAGTGACGGGGGACAGCAACGCGGAGAAGGAGGGTGTCAGATAGAACCATAGGGCGGAAAGAGAGAGTATGTGGGCAGATGGGTGTTAGAAGAATGGCAGGGATGGACGGATGAATTAGAGATCCACCTGCTGAGAGAGAATAAGCGGTCGAACCTAAAAGTCGGATGAGTTAGCCGTGATATATGAAGGGTGAGCTAGAAACTGATAGATATCCATACCTGTTGGAGTCGAGAAGATGCATCCATCCGCCTGAACCACAGTGAGAAGCTCATCGTCCCCGTATACCTCTAGATTTGAGACATATGGGGATGGTCCACGGTCAATAACAAGTTCATTGACAACCTCGAACCTTTCAACCTCTTCTGCCGGCGCAGCCTTGTTCCCATTCTTCGCATTGGCTCGATACACTGTACATGTAAACCTCATGCGAAGATTAACACGCATCCCTAGGTCGCCCATTATCTGGTTTAGATGCTCCTTATATTTGGAGAATTCAAAGTTCGTCAAGAAACCTAGACTGCCTAGAGAAAATGACAATATCGGAGGCACAACACGCTGGAAAAGCCAGGAGGTGAATAAAACTGTTCCATCACCACCTAAAGTGATGACCAGGTCGAACTTCTCGGGATGTGACCAGCAGAGATCAGGCGTCCAGTATTTGAGCATGTGCTCGAACCGTGGCTCCATTTCTAGTAGTCCATGGGCGTCAAACCGTTTCGATTGGCGTAGCTTTGCGTCCACATAGACGTTGACTCCTAGATCACTGCCATACCTAGGAGTGCTAAGTAACCACTGGGCCAGATCCCGGGTGAGGTATACAAGACTATTATCCCGCGCCTTGGTGACTATCATAACGTTCCGGACGGCTAGTTTGATGGGTCGACGTTGTAACTGTCTCGACACCTCTCGCACACCCGTAGCAGTCTGCATTAATCGAGAATGTGACATCCACTCGTCGCTGACCACTTCATCCAGCACTCGTTCAATATTAACCGCATTATCGAACCGCTGGTGGAAATAACAGGGTGACTTTAGAGGTAAACGTGGGGTAGGTTCGTCTCTTCCGGTAGCATTTGCTTGAGAATTGGATAGCGCTGAGAGCCGCTGAGTGAGAGAGTCACTATTGTCCTTTATCTGGACGGTGGTATCATTCCCTTCGCCTATCTTATTCTTCGAACCAGCGCCGGAGCCTGGAGATGACGGGTTTAGAATTTCAGACAAAGAAGCGGCCAGTGAGACTCCAGTTCGAGGAGCAGGGTCAAGGATATGCTGGCTTGCGAGTTCGTTAACGGCTGGAGGTCGTATGGCCAAAACATTGGACTTCACCTTCCGGCTGTTCGGACACGAATCTATGGCTGGAGTGGAAGCCGACGCGGGTAGGGACGAGATCGATTGCGTATCCGAGGGGTCTGGTGTGATATCTGTACTGCTGCCATCATAGGTGCTCTCATACAGAGCCTCACCGGCTCCTCCCAGCAGCGTGGTCATGATGCCTCGTTATCGTTCGGAGATCAGGATGAGCGCGGTACCATACTGGCGGGATAGGTTAAATAAAAGCACAACAGGTTCAAAATATGTGACGGTTTTCTGGCCTATGTGGCAGACCGGTGTAAGGTCGTCTACTCAATGAGCAGTATACGGCGGCTCCTGGCGGCGCATCTCATACAGTCATTCCTCCGCATATAAAGGCAGGGCTAGTATGCGGTCAGCGTGAACATGCGGACGAAGAGGCGGGCCAAACAGCAGAGATATCTCACATCCTAGTTACCAGGCCAAGATCATGCCTGTAGACTAGACAGCGAGCAAGTCAGAGGCCACCTCAGTCGTATAAAAAGCCTCCGAAGCTGCATGCCGGGGTGGAGCGATGCGATGTGACGGGCGTCGCTAGCCTGCGTCGGAGTTGTGTTAGTGAATCTGGACGACGGACTCCGTGGATGTTCTCATCGTGATCGATGCATTAACTCGACGTTTATTATATTGACCACCGGAGGATCAGCTTCATGGCGGTTTGGATGTCGAACTCCGACACGAACGAATCCGTCCTCGCCGGTTTCTGTGGGAGTTGAGGCCGGCTCCTTCGCTCCTCGGCGCTTTCTGGCTCCTATACACATCCCTGCTATGCACCATTCAAAGTAAGCATTCCTGTACGTACATACTCGGTGCCAGCAGCATGTATGTCATTACGGCAGAAGGAAAAAGGAGTGTTCAGCTCGCCATGTGCCGATATTCCACGGAGCACAGCACAGCATGAAGTTCAGCGACGGCTCCTTGCACGTCCAATCACTCCTTGCGCCCCCAGCTGTACTAAAAATATGTACGTACAGAGCAGGCGGGCTGAAATGCACCTCGCTGCGCCAAGGTCACATAGATATAGTCTAACTACTCAGTTGGAGGGTTGGAGGGTTGGAAACGATTCGATTTGTTGCACTAAATATCTCATATCTTGCATGCATCTGCTATTCAGCGTGTTGAGACGCCGTTGCGCATCGTCTAGTATATATAACCAGGCTGGCCTGCCACGCAGAATAGCTCAGATTCTATAGCTCGATCATATGAGATCACGGCAACACCTTCGTCAAGGCTTGAAAGTTGGGCGTGCCGAACCCAGTCACCGGGTCCCATCCTTTAGTAGCGTTCCAACTCGCGTACGGCACCTTCTTTGCTTTCAAGCCGCTGTATATATCGTAGCCTGTGCAGCCCCTGGATCCACCTTCGACGATATCTGTAAAGCCGGTGAAGCCCTTGGAGTAGATCCATGGGTTCAAGAATCCAAGCACTGGAGCGCCCTTCGACAATCGGAAGTCGTTTAGCTGCCCAATAATCGCTGCCATCGCAGGAGCAGACGCACTATGAAGTGTAACACGTTAGCATCAGGATTAGTTCGTTGATAATCTTAAGTGAATCATGGCTTGAATCGCCCGTCCTCGCCGTACCTTGTGCCCGACACTCCAGTCATGCGCCCTTTGTCATATACAGCGAAGTTCGATCCCTGAGCAGCGATATCAGGGAACGCTCGACCCTTGGGGTCAAACAGCCCCTTCCATTGGTCACCTAGGATCTTTAGGTACCCATTAACTGCAGCCTCCTGGTACTGAGGTCGGGGGAATCTGTCTGAAAATCCACCGGAAGAAAACGAAACCGCGCGCTCGGGGTTTGTGCCAGATGTTCCGCCAATGGAGGTCACAAATGGACATGAAGCTGGGTAGATTGGGTTAAATCGCGTCGCGTTCCTGCCATCGTTTGTCTGGCATGAGCTGCCGGGTCCTGTATCACCACTGCTGAAAATGACTGATACACCCATAGTGCCTAATTGGGCAAAGAGGTCACAAGTGGCTTTAGTATAACTTGCTGGCAAGCTCTGCTCAGTATCTCCGTATGAAGTTGACAATACAGATGGGAGCTGGCCTTTGGGGAGCTTCACGAGGTAGCGCAGCTGTTCTAGATATGGCTCGTTGGAGTTTGATGCCTGACTTGGCTGGGACAGGTCAGGTATCAACGGACCACGACCGGCAGTCGAGAAATAGGTAACCTTAGCCTTGTGGGATAAACCGACAACATATTGCATGTCTAGGTTCGCCTCAGTCGAACTTCCAGAGCCACCTTGTGTGTTCTTTCCGCCTGCAATAAGACCCTCCGAGAAGTTGAAGCCTTTAGCGGATGGCTCAAAGCGAGACAGGAAGAGCTCGAGGTCGCGGTATTGGGCATATTCCTCCAAGAATCCTGAGACTCCGAGAATGTTGTCATCTCTGGCCTGAGTAACGCGGTCACCGAGTCCGTACAATTCACGAAGGCAGGCAGTCGTTACCAGAGACCTGCAGTTGGATGCAGCAAATTCCTCAACAGACATCGACTCAAGATCCTTCGTCAGGGGGCGGATAATCAAACTGTTCTGTGGTTTTTGTCTTCCAAACAATGTTGTTGGTTGAATCATCTGGACATGGGCGGAGATGGAGGCGGGGACAGAATACTCCAGAGTTCTGATCCTCGACACATCACTCAAATCATCCTTGAAAACGTGGAATTGCGTGTTCATCAGCTTCTCGGCAGTCTTGACATTGGTCGAGAACCTGATCCAATCCCCTTCGTCACGAATTCCCTGAGGGCTAACTCCACCGGTGGTGAGCCAGCTGATGATACCCTCGCTGGTTTCTGCCCTTGGACGTAGCAAATCATCCAGCTCCTCACGATTCAAATGCTTGCCGTAACGGGCGTGCCCTGGGGTAGAAACGTCATAGATCGCCGTATAAAGATCCTCTGGGTTTTCACGTTCGATCGCCAACCAGAAGTCGATAATGGCGGAGGGATCTGCGGCTCCAATCTTTCTCCACCCTTCGGGAGTCGAGTCTAGATGTTCGACGACCTTGGGTACCTGCCATGAGGTAGGCTTTGCAACAGCAACCGTGGCCAACAGGCACACGAATTTAAGAACAAACATCGCTACTGAAACCCAAAGCCTGGGCAATGCGATGGAGGAGGAACTTTTGCAATAGAAGAAAGAGAAAATGACTCGGGAGGGTGAGACGAAGACATGAATAAATACCACGACGGGCAAAATAGTGGCAAACAATGCATTTGTCGTATACCCGCGGGGATGTAGTCGAAGCAACCCGAGTTACACTCGCATAGAAGCGGCCGAGACATGGTAAGATGCAATCAAGGGTTCTCTCTATTCATAGCTGCGGCAGCTATTATGTATGTATCCTCAACGATACCAGCAAGGTAGTTGGGGGTTCACGAAGATAAAAAGAGAGTTCCTAGCCGGCCCAGATATAGGGGGACCGAACGGAAGTAGAAGCCGAAGTAAGGTATAGTATACCGCGGCCAGTATAACGACCTTCATCAGACAACTGCTTTGGCTGACTGCTCTAACAGACTGTAAAGCAAGGAAATGTGGCGGTCGTGTGCAGAGGTAGAGCCACGGTAAAACCGACATGGGTCTCTTCCTGTCAAGCAACGAGGGGAAAGCTTGTATTTCCGTGCCGTCACCGATCCTTGCTCGAATCTGTTCTCATGGCCTCTTTTAATTAGTTAGAGTTCCCCGTATGTTACATCTGGATGAAGATGGAATCGGGATTTAGCATCATCCTGCCGCCGTATCTGACTTGAATGCAATACCCCGCGACGGCCATAGAAGGATCTGTGGGGGATAATGGCCGAGTACCCCTGAATATCGATGGAGTTGCATCCTCAACAAAGCGATCCTTACAAGGTCCCGCCACTCATGAAGGCCGCTTCAATGCCGCTGTCCGATCGTTATTTATGTCTTGACCGACTCACTAGAAAGCCAATGGAATTCCTTCAAGGCAACATGTCTTGCAATTTGTTGGCTTGCGGCGCAGAGAGCATTCGCTCCATTGTACTTGAAGTCGGCACTTGATACAAATTATTCGTTGCACCTAGTGTTGACGCTCGCTTCAAGAAGATGTTCCTGCAGTGACCATTTCGGACCTTCGCAGTAGCTTGCCGTGTCTTTGTTCACCTTTTTTCTTTAAGGTAGATGAAAAGGACAACATGCCCACACCTTATATATTTTGTTTGCATCGATGCTCACTTCCTGGACTGTACACCCACATCTGAGGCTATGAGCTTTGCATTTTTATCGTTTATTGTTGATCAGGATAATATCGATAATATCCACATTCCCTTCAGAATATTTTACTTCCTCTGCCTGCAAGTGGCAAGGACTGTAACTACCTCCAGATCTGTCCTGGTCCTGTCAGCAGTGGTAGCATATTGCGGCTCGTTCTTGAGAACGAGCACCTCTTAGCCTTTCTGCATCTCATTTTTCCCATGCTTCAAGGAAGTTTCTGTCCAAATATCTTTATAAAAAGTAGTTCAGCTTCCTGGCCATAAGATCATAAAGCACATCATAGCCCAAAACACAACCACAACATTCTCTTGGTTCACATTGGAACAAACCATCCAAATGGATCATAGGGTAGATACTGACCCTGAAAGGCTGCGTGCTGTCTATGGGGAGGAAAGATGGCCTAGTTGTGCCGATCCAGGCATTGAAATGATCGAGTTTATCGCAAATTCAGGCGGGAGAAATGCTTTGACAGTTGGAGAACAGCCTCGGACTGAACGAGCTCACACGATGAGCCCGTGTATCGTGACGCTGTCTGTCGTCGGCGTTCTTATCCTTACCGTCTTCGTTGGGCTTGCAGTGCAACTCGTCAACCTATACATACTTCGGGTGAGGCCTTGGAAAACTATACTTGCTGATCAGTAAGGTGGGTTTTTGTCTTTCTTGGATATAATGACCATCTACTCTGTATAAATTTAACTCACTCATTAGACAGATATAAACCCTTCGTCATCTAGTCATTGAAGTTCGCAAGTACGCAGTCAGCAATGCCAATCATTCACTTTCTGCAGGGTATCGAGCGTGTCATGGCGCCCTGCTATTTGATCGAACGGGGCTTGATAATGTTGCCTTGAAGAATGCACACTATCGCGTAAGCCGACAACTCCGGTATAACGTTCGGGTTCGCAAGTTCGCTGTCACTACCACTCTTCGTTACCTGCGGATTCATTCCCCGGGCGTTAGTGATATCCTGATCGACGGCACCGCGTTCGATCATCCATTCGCCTGAAGATGATGATGTCTTCGTTTGGCCCACCTCCTAGAAGCTCTGTTTTAGACGACGAGGAGGTATTGGCTGCCGGTGCTGCCTTGGTCACAATGTCGAGAAGATCAAGTGGAAGCCGGGCAGCTCCGGGGTGCAGATGCGGGAATGGATTCCTTACGGGGGCGACCTAGGAGAGAAGCAACGAGCTGTGCTCCCTCGCAGCTAAAGTTTGTCGAGTTTAGTTTTGTAAAGTAGATCCTCCTAATTTTTTTCTGTTTCTTTAACTCTCTCCCTCTTTAGACATGGTTTCATATCACAGGGAACCGGGTCCAAACAGGTACCTGTTTCCATAGCCTTGGATAGACGAAGTATATGCAGCATTTTGGAATAGGGTTCGGAGGTGAGAATCTAGATATTTTTCCTATCAGGCTGCTTCTTTGGGTGCAGTGCTTGATGCAAACCAAAGCAGTTATGAGGTTGAATAATAGCGGCGCATGTTTGTATTGTTATTGTCTTGCTAGTTTATCGACCCATTGGCGTCACGTAGGAGATGGTTGAATCTTGCGATACATTCTTTGGGCAGACGCATTCTAACAGAGCGGGATTATTAGCCGTCACTGTGCCACGTCGCTCAGGCATAGGATGCCCGCATATCCTCGAGCGATATGTTTGGATGGACACCATTCCGAAGCCGCCATTTCTGCTGGATAGCCTTATTCTGTGCTCCGTAAGTTGGCTACAAGGTATTAACCTGGCCATATCCCCCAAACCAAGCTTTCACGTAGAGCAGCTTCCTACCGCGACGATGCATAGGTAGCTATGTCGTAAGCCTCTCAACCAGGGTTGTCGATTTATCCTGTTACACCATCTTCCCACCCGGCATATCAAGCAGCTGCAAGCTTCCAAGAGAATTCTTCTCTAACCTTATCTTCAACCGTTTCTCGAATAAAACTCTCAAGCGTATTGGCGGCCCCTCCATCCATCGCAATATCCTTATCCTCTCCGTCCGCAGCAATGCTGCCACGACAAAGTCTTTCTGCAAGGTCATACACACCTTCCCACTGCTGCATGTTGAAGGAGCCTTGGCTTTCGTTCAAGAGCAGGTTTCCCTTGGAAGAAAATGCCAAAACGTGTAATGATGCGCAGGCTTTTATCTGCTCCGTGGATGGATTGGGAAGGAGTTCGCCCGACACAGATATCGCGATAAGACAAGATGTGTAGATCATTGCCATCGGTATTCCGGCTGATAGTAATGCGAGTAACGCTGCATGGAGCAAAGCTGGTAATATCGAGAGATACTGCAAGGCATATAAAGTCAGCCATACACAACCGGACAAACATTGACGACATGAGCCGTCCAGCTGAGAAGATAAAATAATACTTACGCTGCCGCCTCGCAAGTCCACTTTGCCGTCCACGATGCGATTCTCAACCACCACAAGGGTAACGACTACCCCTCTGCGCGCCATATTCTTATCCCTCATCAGGATCACCCTACCCAGTAGGCCACGTAGAATGCCTTCGACATACCGCTCTCCAGGGCCGCTGACCCCTACACCAGGTTTCACTAGCACTTCGAGCGTCGCCTCTTCGGGATTCTGAACATCGCGCCGACTTACTTCGCCAGGCCCGTTGACAGAGGCCAGGATCTGCTCGCCGGTGGGAGATGTGTATGATGCCGATCCATTGGGGAATCTGAGCGGTGTGAGAGATGCCGTAGGAGCTGCCATCGAGCTAGACGAGGATGCAAGGTTGGTATTAGAATGGATGTATCTCGGGGTGGAAGAGTTGTCGGCTCATTGTTTCGGTGGTGTGTTTGGAAGCTCTGCGATTATTTTTCTGGGTGGGAGATTAGGTAATTCCGCCCCGAGAAACATCCCGCCGGCCTTCGTTCTATCATTTTCATTTTCAAGAGCTCTCTCAAGGTGTGCATGGGATTGATTAGTGCGACAGCACGGAATACGGGAGGGAGTCTGCCGGCCTGTTCGGTTGGCAGAGCTCTCTCTACTTCAGACCACTGCCGGGGTTTCAACTTGGGGAGTCCCAGTCTGGGTTGTGCATTCCTATCTCACAAAGTGAAGCATCTTCCCCACGCTGCTTCACACAGAATATTTCGTGGCGGCAGATATTCAGATCATCCTCCCCGATGGAGCATCGCTTACGTATTCCCAACCTGGATCCCGCATCTATTATGGGGATATCTGATAAAGAGCAAAAGGCCCGGGATAAGGAAGAGTATCAACTATCTTTCATACAAACGGACCCGCCAGGTGACGCCCTCGTCCCGGCCGTCCAATCGGCATGAATCGTGTCTGCATCCGTGTGGAACATCACGATATCCAGTGGGTTATCGCGTTTGGAGCGTCAGACGGCCGGCACTTTCTCCCACTGAGACCGGCCTCTGGTTGGCTTCGCATGCAACCTGTTCGCATGGACGTCCTGCCAAGTCTCGTCACTTCACGCTCAATGGAATTAAGGGAATGGTAATTGCGGAAGCGTAAAAAAAGGCGTATAACCAATCTCCCCCTTACACGTGAGAGGAATCCATTGTGCATATGCTCTTCCCCAGATCGCACATTCAGTCGCAGCCGGTTTCAGGCCAACCAGAGCGTGTCTCCTGTCCGAAGAGGGAATGATGTCGAATGGGCCCCATGGGTCCGACCCAGCACTCCAGGGTTCTCCGCTCGAAACGAGGTAGCGATGCGCGGGAGCTAGCCCTACATCTGAAGCCCGTATATTTGTGCTCTGTACTCTGTACACCGTCGTACCCCGTACGCAACATATGTACTCCGTAGCCAGGAAGAAACCTGGATTCTCCGTGCTCAAGCCAAGCTGTCATTCTCCGTAAGTATACTCCGTAGACAACCAGCCGAGGAGAGGCGAACTTGTCCTTCAAACGGGCGACCGACACAGCGTTTCGCCAAGTGGTTAGTGGCCTCGCTGGCCTCCACTCGCTTCCATGGCCAGAACGGAGTATGACGATGTCCCAGCCTGTGTGAACACGTTCCTCGGGGTGGGATGCGATGGCGGATCCGGTGGAAGGGCCCTGCGCGCTGCAGCCTGTAGGCTTGCAGGCTCCGAGGGAAGGGCCAGGGATGCTCGTCGTGGGATCTGGCTTTGATCGACTTTAACCTGCCCGTATCTCTCTCCACCGCACCAGGTTCTCCGTCCAATCTCGCGGCGTCCTCAGTCGTCCGCCATGCCTCTATACCGCATCTGTCGGTAGCCCTGGGCGGCGCTGGCGAATCGTGTGCTAGCACAGCCACCAGGCAAACAATCGTATAGGCCTAGAGTAGCGTGAGTAAGCTGTCATAATTCGTGCTTTTGCCATGGTAAAACGGGGATATGATGGCATGCATGGCGGAGGGCAGGGTGGAGGTGTAAAATATGAAGTAATAAAGTGAATGTTTGACCTGACGTTGATATAAAGCCGCCCTCCCGCCCTCCGCTCCCTTGGCTCCAACCTCCTCCCACTCCTCCATTCTACGACATCTCACGCCCACATAGGACGATACGAAGAAAGAAACGAAGAAACGAACACTACAAAACGCCGTCTGACCTCGCTCTCGCTCCCTTCTACCCAGCTTTGACAGCCACAATCGCTTTCCTTGCTGCCCAGAGATTCGCTCGAGAGGACAGAGCGCCAGTATCTGTCCTTGTAGACCCCCCTTCTCTATTGAATGGGCACAGAGACTTCTCAGCCGGATGTCGAGGAACCGACGGAACCTCCTATATGTTCCTCTATCCATGAAGAACCCAATAAACATCAACCCAGCTCTGTCGTAGACCCCCAGGTCGGGGTAGACCGTACACCTGCTAACTACCAGGACTGGCACGCCTGCTACCAGCATGCCCACACTATCTCCATCACAGATACTGCCCGTATTCTACGAGTTGAGCTACAGTACGGACTTTGCCTGTTGTGTTGAATTGACTTGACCTTGACTTTCCCCCAAGCTGGGCCACGATAACACCGTCTCAGCGTATTCAATACTTGGCTAACACTTTCCTCTCCCCGGCCAGACATGGGCTTAGTAGTTCCGAAGCGGCATCTCGCCTTGAGCGGGATGGACCTAACAAGATTAAGAGTGCGGAGGGGATATCCATGTGGAAAATTTTGTTAAGACAGGTGTCGAACAGCTTGACCTTAGTACGGCTCCCTATTCCTTGTATCATTATCAATGCTAATATGTCGAGCCTAGGTACTCCTAATAACCATGGCCTTGTCCTTCGGAATCGACGACTATATCGAAGGCGGCGTAATATCGGCTGTGATTCTCCTCAACATCGTCGTTGGGTAGGTTGACACCCCCCCCTTTTGATTGATATCTCCCTTTGCTTATATTACTATCTAGTTTCGTTCAAGACTACCGTGCGGAGAAGACGATTCTATCTCTCCAGGCTTTATCTGCCCCGACCTGTAAAGTTATTCGTGATGGGAGGATCGACTCCATCAAGGCAGAAACCTTGGTTGTAGGTGATCTTGTCCAGCTGGCTGTGGGAGACATGGTCCCTGCAGACCTGAGGCTGTTTGACGGGATCAATGCTTCTACCGACGAGGCACTCTTGACTGGTGAATCAATGCCTGTGTCTAAGCACCCTGATGCTGTTTTCACCACCAAAGACATGGCTGTGGGAGACCGTACCAACATGGCTTATTCCGGCAGTATCATGACCAGGGGCCGTGCAACTGGAATCGTCATCTCGACTGGCATGAATACAGAAGTCGGTAAAATAGCCCAACTGCTCCGTGACAATAATCTCCAGGCCGAAAACGCCTCCCTTTTTGTTCGAGTCTGGGGCCGATTTAAGAAGAGTTTCGACCAAATCCTTGGTTTGGTAGGTACGCCTTTACAGGTGAAACTCAGCAAATTTGCTTTACTACTCTTCGCCCTTGCTATATTGCTTGCTATCATCGTTTTCTCGGCAAATAAATGGCACGTCCAAGGAGAAGTCTTAATCTACGGCATATGTGTGGCCGTGGCTGTCATCCCTGAGTCACTCATTGCAGTGTTGACCATCACGGTCGCCGTTGGTACCAAATCTATGGCGAAAGGGAACGTGATCGTTCGGAAACTGCAAGCGCTCGAAGCTGTCGGAGGAGTGACCAATATCTGCTCTGACAAAACTGGCACGCTCACCCAGGGCAAGATGATTGCCCGTAAGGCCTGGGTTCCCGGGACGGGCACATTAACTATTCATGACACAAACAGCCCATTCGACCCGAAAAGCGGCTTTATTCAAATCGGAGGAAACGAGATACAGCCGAAAGGCTTTGAGCAAACGTCAGCAATGTCAAAGTTCCTTCGCAGCATCTCCCTCTGCAACCTGTCGTCAGTGTATCATCCTGGCAACAAAACATCAACGGAGGGTTCTTCAACCACTGACTCGAAGGGGGGAGACTGGGTTGCAGTTGGAGAACCCACCGAAATCGCCCTCCATGTTCTTGCTATCAGATTTGATATGGGAAAGCAGGCCGTGCTCAAAAATGATGGCCTAGAGCTCGTTTCTGAATTTCCGTTCGACTCTGCCATCAAGCGAATGACTGTCATCTATAAGCAAACGGACTCGAAAGATGCAGAAGCATACTCTAAAGGTGCCACTGAGTCCATGCTCCCCCTTCTAGCAGTTGACGACGATATGAAGCAAGAGATTCGTGCAAAGGTCGACAGAATGGCAGGCGAGGGCCTTAGAGTTCTATGCATTGCACACAAGACTATACCCTCAGAGACCTTGGATAACCTCCCAGGCCGCAAAGAGCTGGAACAACACCTCGACTTCGTGGGGCTCGTCGGCCTCTATGATCCACCTCGCATGGAAACCGCCGGCGCGGTCCGTAAATGCCATATGGCTGGTATCACTGTTCACATGCTGACAGGAGACCACATCAAGACTGCGACGGCCATTGCATACGAAGTTGGCATCCTCGGGAACCTGATTCCATCTGCGCAAGCAAGCAAATTTGTTATGGGAGCAGATGAATTCGACAAAATGACGGACGATGAGATCGACGCCGTTGAAGCTCTACCGCTTGTTATTGCCAGATGCAGCCCATCTACGAAAGTCCGTATGGTAGAAGCTATGCACCGACGCGGTGCTTATTGTGTCATGACCGGTGATGGAGTAAACGATTCGCCAGCATTGAAACATGCTGACGTTGGAATTGCCATGGGCAAGAACGGCAGCGATGTAGCTAAAGCTGCAGCAGACATGGTCCTAACTGATGATGATTTTGCATCCGTCGTCAAAGCAGTTGAAGAAGGACGCCGTCTGTTTGACAACATTCAAAAGGTATGGGACATTTTTATACCTGGTCATAAATATAGATGGGAAGTTGCTAATCTGTACATTGCAGTTCTTGATGCACTTGTTGATATCCAATATCGCTCAGGTTATCCTTTTATTGATCGCACTAGCCTTCAAAGATAACGAAGGAAACTCTGTCTTCCCACTCTCACCCCTTGAAATCTTATGGGCAAACTTGATCACTTCTTCTTTCCTGGCCCTTGGTCTCGGCCTGGAGGAAGGCCAAGCAGATATCATGTACCGCCCGCCACATAGCTTACGTATCGGCGTTTTCACGAAGGAGCTCATCGTCGACAAGATGATATATGGTACCTTTATGGGTAGTTTATGTCTCGCATCCTTCGCCTCTGTTGCCTACGGTGCCGGAGGTGGTGCGCTTGGAGAAGACTGTAACGAGGGCTGGAATCCATCCTGCGACATTGTTTTCAGAGCTCGTGCTACCACCTTCGCTACGTTATCGTTCCTCCTACTAGTCACAGCGTGGGAAGTGAAGCACTTTTCACGCTCGCTCTTCAACCTCGACCCTGCTCGTTACCCAGGTGCATTCTCTATTTTCCCAACCCTCTGGCGAAACAGGTTTCTTTTCTGGGCTGTCGCTGCTGGTTTTGTGACCTCCTTTCCCGTCATCTACATACCAGTCGTGAATAAACTCGTCTTCAAACACATTGCCATATCATGGGAATGGGGCATCGTTGTCGGCTGTGTGGTCGTTTACATTGCTTTGATTGAAAGCTGGAAGGCAATTAAGCGAGCATTGAAGATTGGAAGCGCCGCCGCCTCGTCTCTCACTATGCATGACGCGGAAATGAGAGCTGGCTTGTTCTTATCCGACAGTCTTCTTACCGAGAGTGCTATTACTTCCCGGGAAGATACGCTAGAGAAGAAGGAGTGACACCAATCAGCGTTCGGGGACGGAAGGGAGGATTAATATTTCATTAAATTAATTCCCAGGGGCATTTATTATGCTAGCTATGATGGCTTATCAACTAAGTCTCCTCTTTTTACTTTTATTCCTCTCCCTCTTGAGTTGAGGTGGTCTTTCTATTTTCTCAATTTCCCGTGGCCCTGGTTTCAACATCCTTGCCTGTTCGACATGCACCGTCATGCTTAGCCATGCTGTTTGTGATGCTTCAATTTTTACACACATATTCAACATATTGTCAATAGTTCTATAGGCTTTTTACATATCGTTTACATTTTAAGTGTGAATTATTTGTTACCTTGAATCATCGATACAAGTTATATTACAAGCCGAACTTATCAACAATCTATATCCAGGAAGCTGGCGCATGCTTGGGTGGCCTCGACTGGTGTTATCATCACTCAGTTATTGGAGCAGCAGTAGCTGTTGAAGGGGGAGGGCTGATGAAATAAGGCTTCCTACACGCCTACCATGCAGATGGCAAACCTCTAAACATTACCTCTGACTCTCTGCTTAAATTCAAGCTAGGACGGCTTACTTCTTCCAGGTATCAGCCCCTATGCATAGAGAAATTGAAAATGGCCGTTGGCTGGCATCATTTGGGGGAGCCCTCCCTCGCGATGTAAGTATAGTTACGGATGGTCTAGCGAGAGCCAACTTCAAACGTACTTTCACGACAATCGTTGGTACTTCGTGCCTCCCTTAGTAGCTTGTCCTGTTAAATACAGGATGTTAATGCTGTTATGTGTCTTCCTCGGGGCGCGTATTATTTACTACTAGGATCCTGCAGTGTCGTGTACACTATGCAAGCCAACAACCGTAGTTGCAGAACTGTCATTTACAATCCTGCTAACTACTGCATTAGAAAAATCCCCCATCTCTGTCGCTTGTATATCAGCCATCCTTCAGCTATCCTTCTCTCAAACGCCTTTCTTAATAATTAACTAGGACTTTACTCCTCAAACCATCTCAAGAATCGTCCTATAACCCAGCTCATTTCGACAATACATTCCTATTTATTTCGCCCGTCAGCCTGACCCCGCTTCCCCTCGTAAGGATGTCCTTTCCCGGGAGATATGACAACGGTGTAAGGGTTGAAGGGAAAGGAGTATACCTGCTCCTCTGGACGACCTCTGCGGAGTTTCAATTCCACTGGGGGATATTCATTGCTATGAGCGAGAAGGTTGGAACTCTATTCCACCAGACCTACGATAGCCAGATATGGACTTTCAGACCGGAAATCAGGGACATTACACAGTCCAGAAGCCTCCTCTGCGCCCTGAAACTTGGTGTCGTTGAAGATAACAGGGGCACATGGATGAATGCTATCGAAGCCTGTGTTCGCGAAACGGAGGTGAAAGGGGAATTTACTTGTCGAACTTGGGCACTGGCAGCCGTTTTCGAACTAGCTGATGGAGGCTTTATTGGCATGATCCCTTCCTGGGATGTGATTTCCAATATCGAGACGGAGGCGAGGTTTTTGGCTGGTGATTCTTATACTACTGGGGGGACGGCAGTTGAGACTAGCGATTATAGTCTCGCCTGAGCGATAACGTACAGTTCAAGTGCGCTCGATCATTGCGGTTTGGTACTATTCTGTGGTAGAAATGAATATGGCTTGGTTTTGCGATCTTGACACGATAAAATATAGGTGTATTAGTACGAGGGAGAAGGAAATAAGAGAGAAACAAATCTGCTAGGTTTGGAAGGGAAAAACCTTTGTAGTCAATAGACAGGCTTTTTGTCCCAAATAAGCATCTCCGCTTCTAGCTCCTCCTTGTAATTCTTATCGAAGGCAAAACCTAGGTCCTGTTCCCGCTGCTTGTCACCCATATATGGCCACATCGCCCGGGTAAACTCCCAGTATTCTGGCTTAAAACATGCACTCTCCCAGTCGATAATACCTGACAATTTTCCCGAATGAACAAACAGATTGGAAAGATGCAGGTCAGAGTGAGTAAAGCATATGTTATGGTGGTTCTTGTATAAGGACAAAAGAGGATATTCATCCCTTAGCCCTTCAAGCCCCTCGGTGAGCATATTAGTAAATGCGTCTTTTGTCTTATAAGGGCCCCATATACTGCCTGTATCAGTCCGATGATCTGTAGTTGGGCCGCCCAAAGTGTTGCAAATGAGGTACGGAAGGTGGGTATTTTGGATTTGGCGATACTGCAAAATATATTCCTTGAGGTCTTTTGACAGCTGAATACGCTCCTTATACGTCATACGATAATAAACGGTGTCGACTGGAACACCTGGAACTCTTGACATGATAAGATATCCTACTTCGTGTTCATCCTTGACAAAGCCAATTAGCTGGGGAGCCGGCACTGTCGTTTGCTTCTCAATAAGGAGAAGGGCATTGGCCTCATTCTCCATCACTCTGTGTCCACGTTTCAAGCATAGGCCGAAGGGAAGACACTTAAAAGATTCATCACCCTGGGGATTCCAACGATTTACTGCTTGGATAATAAGCTTGGTGAGATTTAACCGGAGGAACTGTGGGAGCATATAAAATAGCCCCCGTAGAATGCGCCGGCTAAATACTCTAACCGGACCAGTATCTAAAATAGGAGTCAGCTCAGTCTTTTTAGACCACCAATAAAAGTATAAAGGCGTGACTGACACTCGCCATCTATATGCCACCCAGCCTGTATTTGATTCTCGATGTTCAAATAATATGTGAAAGTAGAAACTCGCTTATGGATCTCAAGTAGAAAACCCTCGGGTAGAGGAAGGCGAGTATGATCTGGAGTTGACGGCATAGTAGAGAATTTGCAGTTATTTTGGAGTCCAGGAATAACAAAACGGCTGGGTGTCGTTTTGCGTATGTTCCACTGCAAGCGAGGTATATAAGAATATGGTGTCGCTAAAACCTCAGTGGGTAGTGATTTCACTCACATGTAATCTTTTGGGTATGGTTTCGTTCTTGAACATTGAGATATATCCGTCTCGAAATGCCCCACGCACAGATGGGCGCATTAGCCAGAGGTTTTTCAGATTGTCTTCAGTACTGTTGCAGGACTTGAGGAAAGAGAAGAGCTTGTCAACCAGCTCTGGAGTTACTGACGCCTCTAGGATTTCAAGCAAGCTGCCCTATGTATTACCATGAGCTGAATTCTAGAGAATAAATATTCAGGGAGAAACATACACCAGGCTGGAGATCTTCATCCTCCAAAATTGAGGGGGAGACGATATAGATTGGCTCAAGATCCTCGGAGTCTCCTGAGACATAACAGATGTTATTCTGGCGCTCTCGCAAAGCGTCCTTGGTATCTGGGGAAATGGAGGCATCGCAGGAGACTTGTTAATATTGATATTAGTACATGAATATATCTAATAACAACCCGAGTCCTCGACCAGAGCGCATACATTTCCCAGCTAGAGAACGCAAATTATGTATCATAGAGCGTAACATATCCTCTAAAGAGCCGTCTGGGCCAATGTCTGAAGCTTTATTGAGAAGAAATTGGCCAGCCTGGTTGCGATCGACTGCATGGTTCAAGAAGAAAAACAACTGTAGATGTTCCCACGCGGAAAGCTGGGCAGAGTAAACAACGTCTCTCGCTGTCCGGAAGAGAGCATCTTCGCCCTCCCTCATGGTCACCATCGGACCAATATAGTTATAGCCACTGCGCTAGTGAGCACAGGGCATATAAGATAGAGCCTGCAGACTCCCCTCGTATCGTGATATGCGTCTAGAGTAGATGTGGTATTGTAGATGTGGTATCTGTAGATGTGATAGTAAGTGAAGGTTGCCCAGGGGAACTCAAATCCTTACTCAGCGTCCTTACTAAATCGGAACGGAAATATATTTTCCCGTTAGTCATCAATCTTAATTAGTCAGCAAACTCTATTTTATCGCCAGCCAAATTGATTTCGGCTTCTTGTTTTCTCATCTTTAATTAATTACTTTATAAAGGTGATACAGAGTAATCATATATATAAATTGTCTGGTTATATTATACGCGTAATATCGCAATTAATTAAAATTAATATAAGAGTCCATGTCCCTTAGAGCTGTAATAATAATATACCCCAGTGTTTATCACCGTCTATTCCCATTCACGCAACCAAGTCCACCAACCAAAACATAAATATCTACCGCCAAACCAAAAATAAGGAGGTATTAATTGAAAAATAGGAAGAAAACGGCAAACCAGAAGATGCTAACTCAGTATGGCTACCACTGGCGGGTGGGATGTGAGATATCCTAAAGGAAGAATTTGGAAGACAAAGGTCGTGGCAGAGTAACCAACAAATGATAGGAAAAGTAGAGTAAAATTGGTTGAGTGATAGGTAAAGTACATCTATGTATTGAAGGAGCCCTTTTTTGTTGAAGAATATAGAGAGTAGGGGCGAGTAGAGAGTGAGTCCGCTCAAGCCTTGATCAGGGGCAAGACCTGGGAAAGACAACGAAAACGGATCAATAAAAATTTAAAACCAAAGCCATTTTATCGTAATACATGGTAAACTGAATAAACCGAACGCCATCGCAATGGGTAATTGATATGTATGTGCAAAGACGCATGGAGGGAAAAGAAGAGATAAAAAAGGTTCAGGAGAAGCCTAGTCTCGTAGCGTTAGAATGAGTCTAGTCGGCGGGTATCTATTTTGCTGTGCAACAGGATGACAGTTTTGGGCCACAGGGGGTTTGTGTGGTCAACGGGGGTTTGTGTGGTCAACGGGGGTTTGTGTGGTCAACGGGGGTTTGTGCTCCTCCGAATCAATGCTGTCATATCCGGTATCGTTGCTGAATGTACTCTCTCTCCTACCCTGTGTCCCATGGCAGCCTCCACAGCCGCTGCTGTTGCCGCAGCTGTTGCTATTTCCACATTCATTATCAGGATTATCGGCGGGAGCCTCGGTGATATCAACGCTCGATTCTCGTTGATGGGTTTTGATACGCTGGATCTTTTTGATATCAATATCGATTCCGGCATTATGGCATGCATCGACGCAATCCTCCACAACCTTCTCCATAAGCTTGGCGTTAAGCCCGGAAGAGATCGGATTGTATGCGTTTCGTACCCAGAATATCAAGTCCGCCGCCATTCGGGCTAGGTCCGGGATAGGAACGTCGTGATAGTCGCCGTGGCCAGTTGTAGTTTCGGAGCCGTCACTTAGGTCTGTTGTCGACGAGTAGACGGAGGATGCAAGGGATGTACATGGCAGTAATCTTTCGTCTGTGGCGGTAATATGAAGAAGGTGGTAATGTGAAGCGAATCCAAGTAGTGTAAGTTCGACTTCATCAACAGGGGCGGCATTGAATTGCCTGATGGCACTAGAAAGAGAGAACGGAGAAGAGGCTGGTTCATCTTCACCTTTCCCTACTTGTCCGCGTAGAATGGCCGCAATCATCGCACAGCGCACGCCGATGAAAATTTCGTCCCGCGCTGATGGCGGAATGGAAGAATCGAGGAAATTCGTCAAACCACATGTTGAACAAGGGTTGTGTAACTTGCCGCTGGGGAGAGTGGCAAGTACCGCATTGATATTTCTAATTCTATCCTCTTCGAAAAACAGGGCTTTCACCACGGTTGCCCTGGTATATGCTGTTGAAGGGACCGGAGCGGAAGTCAGCGCCACATCTAAGCTTCTTTCAAAGGACTTGCGTTTCTCCATTGGGGATTCGACGGACACCAAGTCTAGGGATTTAAGTAAAGCCTCTTGTAATGCGCGGCTAGACCACCATGCAGCGAGGACATCGAGTGGAGAGCGAACCGCAGTGTCCTCGACAACAACGTCTAGCAATGCGTCTTCTCCATCGGTTGCTTCTTGAGTTGGTCGGTTCCAGATCATATTGGTGGCGCGTTGAGTGATCGTATCGGTGAATACCTCATCGCAGTCCATGGATAAGAGGAAAGCAAGATGGCTTGGGAGAGGATCCTCGCCCTTCTTCGGCCCCTTCCGATGCATGCCTTGAGCAAGTTCCCATTGATAGTTCGCCAACATTTTGGCAATGTAATCGGATATCTTGGCCGTCACGGAACCTGGGGAGCCGATCCTCCATAGTAATACCCTGCAATGGAATGCCTTGAGCATCATGCGGGCAGGGCTGCGAGGAAGTGTTCCCGCAGCGAATATGGTGAGCACTAATCTGCTTTTGCTAACCTCTGCATCCCCACCAGTGAGCTGGGCGTCGAGAGCGATATCCCAGGCCTTGACGCGGCCCTTTTCATCATCTGCATTGATTCCAGTAATCATGGAGTATAATTTCCATCCAAGGATACAGCGGACACAATACTCCAGGCAGCGAGAAGTAACAGCAAACCACTCTGGGAAGAAGTTATGGCGAGGCACGCCAACGGTCTGTATGCTCGTGAGCCATGCATCCTGGCGGAATTCTGTAGGTGATCCACCAGCACATGTCTGTTGTTGCTGCTGCTTTTTTTGTTGCTGCGTGCTTCGTACCTTGGGCGCTTTAAGGGGCACGCGGGACATCCTAGGCCTCGAGTTAAAAAGATACAAGAATACGAAAAAGGCACACCCGAATACCAAGGCAGACGTCATGGCAAACTGTGATAGGGCACGTATTTGCCATGAATTCGCCCTGACAAAGTAGAAATTTCGAAGAGCGAGGCGATAAAAGCTGGCTAGGTAATGGATTGGGAGTGCGAATAGCTCCTTTTTCTCCTCTGGGTCGGAGGTTCTATGGTTCTCGAAGCCACCGATCACCATGATACCAGCCAGTGTGCCGAGCATGAACTTGTTGGGTATACCCATGAATTGGCGTCGTCCACGGGTAGTTGTATGCCCATTGGAAACGGTATGAGAGCCGTTGGTGGTGCTGGTGGTTTCCACCGGTGACGACCCATAGTTCTGGGGCTGGTTGTAACTAAAGGAGTCGGCATAATGAGGTTGTGGTCCGGTGGGACGTAGTTGGTTGAATCCATCCGGTGGTCTAAGCAGGCCCTCAGGCGGAAATAGGGGGTTTGGGGGCGAATCGGGTGAAAAATCCCCCGCATGGGAGAAGATATCGGGCGACGAGGTGGCGGCGGAACCTGGAGATACAGTACAGGCGCCTGGAGAGGTCTCAGAACCGGCAACAGTAGGGTACGCAGTCAGATTCACCCCTTGGATTTTTTCTAGCTGACGAAATCTATTCTTCAAGGCAACATTCTCCTCCTCGAGCCGACTATTTCTAAGTTCCAGATGCTTGATATATTCCGTTGCCTTGGATAGGATTGATGCTTTGTTCAGCTTGTTCCCCGACGAAGCGTCCACGTCGTCATCCTCTTCCGTCCTTTTCGAGCTACCGCCATGACGTTGTCGATATGTCAAGCGTAGACTGGGGACGCTGTCTCGCAGCTCGGCAATCTTGTCGTTTAGATTGGCACGGTACCGCTTCTCGATGATATTATGTGATCGCTTCTTTGACGGAGCCGACTTGTCGACCGACGCAGAGGCAGTAGATGGGTTGCTTGGGGAGTCATCTTGGGAGGACTTGCGTTTCCGCCCAAGTGAAGAGGTAGGGGAAGGGGCCAAAGGTGAGGAGGCATCCGACAGTGGCGCCGACTGCTGCTGGTTTTCCTGTGTTGCCAGGGTTGACGGCTGTCCTGGGAACGTGGGGGAGGCAGGGAGCTGGTTAAGCGTGGATGGAGCAAGAACAGAGCTGTTGGATGAACCCGGAGCATGGGTGGATAGCATGGCATCATCCGATGGAAAAGAAAAGGCCGTATGCGGGATGGAAGCACCGGGCATGATAGGCATGTCGAAAGGTGACGCCTTGGTGTCGTCAATAATGTCGTCCCAGCGCATCCACTGGGCCCAGTCCGCGGTGAGGTCGTCAGATGCGGAGAACATCGCCTCTGTATCCTGTCGTTCTTCGCTTGGGTCTGTTGATGGCATGAGCGTAAAATCTATGTGCGGGTCAGCCATGTTTATACTCTCGTCAGCGATGTCCAGGTCTGGCGGTGCAGATTCCGTGTCGTCGAGACGGGGTTCTTTGCCAGTCTCCATCGTGACGAAGCCTTTTTTTCTTGCTATTTCAAAACTGCCGTATCCTGGGAAGCAAAAGAATCCGTGTTTCCAGTTGATGAGACGTGATGGATAATTGAATTAACCGGACTGGAGAAGGGATCTCTCGACGGGTCAAGGGTGTATGTATGCAATATGTGGGAAGATGGCAGCAACAACTAATGACGAGGACAGGAGCTAGGATGGTTCCGGGAGAGCTCTTGGTCTGTCCATAAAGCCAGAGTGAGAGTGTGTGAGAGAGAGAGCCGGAAGACGCCGAAACCAGGGTTGCAAGATAGACAACGGTCGGACGGAAACAATTCCAGCGGATATATCATATAAAAAGCGAACAGGCGAGGGCCTAGACCAGGGAGCCGCTATTCGCCAGGACCTTCCCAGGATGGATGGAGGGAAACAGTGCTCGTAAATAGCCGTTGAGACGCAGTATTAATCTTCCGGGATACTCTCATTATTGCTTCGAGATGTGCGTAGAATGTACGGTGTAAAGTCCCCCAGCCTGTGACGGGGCCAAGGACTGCAGCCCGTCAACCGGCCTGAAATTAGCGTTTCACTGCAATGCTAGTTCCCACGGGGCCGCTGCATGCAACAACCCCTAGTCTTCCATGGGTGAGAGAGAAGTAGCTCGTAAAACGCAGAAGCCGCGAGATCTCGTTCGCCGGAGGTTGAGGTTGAGGTTCGACGTTGTTTCGCGGACAAGTGATATCAGAGAGTCCGGCGGGCCGAGTTGGGAGGTACAGGTTCATGCTGAGGTAAGCACGCTAAACCTGTCCGGGTCATGTGGGTCTGCCTTCCGAAATCGTATGATTTATACTCCCACGCTAGCCTCTTTGGGTCATCTTGGCGCGGTAATTTCACGTGACCCGCCTCTCGCGTGGTCCGGGCGTTTGGCAAGGAAGTTTCCGGGCGCGCGGAAAGTTCCGGCCCTCTTCCGCCGTGACGTTCTTTTTATATCACAGACCAAGGTTACGGAGTACGGAGCATCAGAGAAGAGATCATGATCATTGTTACGTCGGGAGTTGGTAGTTACAGAGCGGCCTCTATGACGGCGACCTCGGCCATAAACTTCTTCACGTTCTCCTTTGCAGCTTCTGTCGGCGGTTCGTACGGTCGTCGGGGCCGCAGCCTCTCTTCCGCGTCTTTGATCCCAGCTGCCTTTGCACTGAATATCGCCGCCGCATACTTGGTCGAAGCGATCCCTGATTTGCATGGCGACTCGGCTAACGCCGCCGTCCGATGCAGCTGCAACGCTTCTTCAACCTTGCCAGCCTTATACAATTCGTATACCTTCGAGATGGTCTTGGGGAAGACGTTTGCAAACGCAGCAATGCACCCGGCCGAACCCACACTCAATCCTCCAATCAAGAAATCAGACTGCCCGCCAAACACAGAAAACGTCTCTGGGGAGAGTTCCGCCGCCAGCCTGGTTATCTTGCCGACGCTGGCGCAGGTAAGCTTCACCCCGACAATGTTCGGATTGCCCCGTGCGATGGCCTTTATCGACTCCGAATCGAGGTCAACTCCGTTACAGACTGCTGGGAAGTTATAAATAACCACCGGCAGTGGAGAACTACCTGAAATGTCGTTGAAAAATGACCTAACCGCGGTCGGCGTGGTAGCCTTGCCGAAATACGCTGGAGGAAGCACCAGGACGTAGTTGGCCCCCGCCGTCACTGCGTCTTGGATATACTGAAGCACCTGGCGGGTAGAATGACCACCACAGCCGGCCATGAGGGGGTAGTCGGGTCCTACGGCTTCACGGGCGGCGGCGATGAGCTCTGCCCGTTCTTCCCGCGTGAGAAGGAATGCCTCTGCATTGGTACCTAGGATGACCAGGCCAGCGAGTCCGGAGCGTGAGAGGTAGCTGTAGTACTTCTTTTGTGAAGGTAGGTCAAGCGTATCGGACGTAGGGTCGAAGAAGGTTACAGCAGGGCACCACACGCCCGCGGGCGGAACTCGGGGGGGCATTGTATGCAGTGAGCTTGCTATAATGCTTGAAGTCTGTTATAGTCAAACGTCTTATCTCTTCCGCAGATACCTGTTCCTCAAGTACTTCGGAATTTGCTGGCATCTCCGAACTCCAAGGACCAAACCATGGAGCAATTGCGGGGGTTCCCGAATATTATTGGCTTCCCCGGCTACTATTTACCGAGACGAACCATTCCTGCCTCTAAACCCTAGTAACAATCTCTCTACTTCCTCACAGTGCTGGTTTGCTGCTAGCAAACATAAAGGGAGGACAGGCAGCATGCAGTGCCACATTATTACATATCTGCTTGTCTACCAAATGGCCTGTGACGAGTCCATCTACGTGTACACTGGGTATAAATATGATACCTCTATACGGAGTAAGAAGCAAGGGACAGGGCCCTCCCTGGTCATGACAATCCCCATCTCTGCCTTCCCGTGTTTTAAATAATCTCTTGGAATTGCTCTCAGTTCATGCTTGCTTATTTGCATACATTCCCTGACGCAGGCTAAGTTGAACTGCAACGGGTCCACCAAACATGAATACCACGGCAATATTTCTGCTCCTGACGACCTTGGCTTTGGCCACAACCCTTCGTATGACTAGACACATCCTTCTACAACCGTAGGCAAGTTCTAACGACCAGTTACAGCAAAAAAACCTCAAACGGTTACAAAACCCTGTCAACCTCCAGGCGGTTGTCGCTGGCTCGGAAGCGCTCCTTTTTGCCGGGGAAGATGTGATCCTGGCCAAAACATCTGCAAGTATGATGATGCAGGATGTGGGTTCTCTTGCTGGAGTGGCCACAAAGCGCTTTGCTGCGATAGGCCCTGTAACTCGTTGGGAGAGATGCAGAATCGCCAGCTTTGATGCAAGTTAGGTCCTAGTTTAGTATGGATTGGAATGTGGTCTAGGGATAAATACTATAGCAGTCCATAATCATCAATCGTATATCTGGGAGATATGTCAAGACAAGGGGAAAAAGAAAACTGCTATGAAAATTTATCATGTCCCCATTCGGGAACAACTGTCCATACCTGATCTCATCTTCATCATAGGCTCGTCCCTTAGAACCACGATGATACAGGCGACCCACCTCCTTGCGGTATTCGACATATTCACGAACTTAACTTTGCGAACGCTGGCATATGAGGACGAAACGAAGCTGCAATCTTATTAGCAGGATGTGGTGGTTTGTCCGGATAGGCATTAACATGCGTTTGAAGCATATGAAACGGGCTGTAGGGTGATTATAGCAACCTCAGAAACCAGAATCCCCAGTTCCTGAAAGCGGGAGCGAGTGGTGATCTCTGATATGTTCTATTCAATATCTCGACATCCACCGACGATTGCGTGGTGAGGAGGAACTTTATATGACTCTTTAGACCTGTAGTTGCTTTTCGGGAAACTGCTAGTTATAGGAGCTCGAACAAATAATATATGGATGCATGTCAAAGTTCTTGCGTTGGCTAGCTTAATAAGGTACCTTGGTATCAATATTCCATACATGCAGCACCAAGCGCTGCATAAAAATGGACCAGAGGCTTGATATCAAGCTTTGCTTCGGGCACCATAGAGAGCTTATTATCTATGGAAAAAAGCTTTTGCTTTAGATCTTAATATAGTACTGATATGTTAAGTTCTCTGTGTTGGGTAGAACTCGGTCGTATAGCCAATGGTTCCCATCGAACACTACGCCTTTTTACCCCGTGCCCAATAGTATATTATTTAAATAAAGGGCCGGAAATATACTCCGTACTTGTATCTGAATATTTATCACGTTGCTATATTTATAATCGACGATCCTCGCCTAACGCTCGCGTAATTCTCGCTTAATATTGTTATTCTGAGGTTCTCTATAACTTCATTCGTAGTTCAAGCAAACTACTATTAGGCAGTGCTTTGATACTTAGTGAGGAGTAATAAGTGTATAAGTAGAAGAGCTTCCCCTATTAAGCCCATCGCGTTTGATACATCGTTTGATATATTATCACAATAATGGCCCAACCATTCCTTTGTAATAGCTGCGAGGCTATACTTCGATTCGACCGCCCTCGGCTCTGCTGCCAGGTTTGTACAGAATACAACTCATGCACTGACTGTCACGTACTTCAATCAGTAGTAGAACCTCATTCGGTAGCTCATAGCTATGCCATTTTCCGCAATGGGGAGGAGGTTAAGGTCGCCCCTAATTCTCCAGAAAGCTACTGGGGCTGCCTTCTAACACCTCTCAAACAACCATCACCAATGCTCTCCCGTCTAATCACTGCAATTTTTACCTACTTCGACCAAACAATCGTCCCATACTCCACGGGCTGGTTTGAGCCTGAAAAGTTCAGTGCTATGATGGCGGCTGCGGGCTATACGCCACAAGAGTTCCCTCCGGTCGCGCATACCCCTGAAGCGACTCAGCTAGAACACCAACAACTCGACGCCTGGCTCACGAATTGGTACCGGGACGTCTCGCTTGATCCTCGCATGGAGACACGCCAGTTCGAGGCTCCAGAACCGCCCTCACCGGTAGATGGTCGCATAAGAATGCGTGACAGCTTCTTCCACGCCCTTAAGTACCCGCAGGTAGAACCGGTGGTCAACGGTATGCCAAAGCTGGCAACGCATGGATTGGAGTATTATTTTGTTTCTACCATCCTATCGAACCCCAACGATGCGGCAATTCGTCTAAATAACATATTGGGGTCAACACCTGACCTTATTGACCCGCAGACTGCGCTGCCTTTCGAGCGAGACTTTATTCCTCGATCCTGTTTCCCACCGGGACCTGATAAAGAATTGATGGAAACGAATCTAAGGCTTCAGGAAGAAAGAATGGCAATACAGGCTCAGGAGGCGCATCTTAGGTTGGAAGCAGAGCATCAGGCAAATCTAATGATAAAACGGGCAATGGACAACGTTAGCGGCGGATGGAGAATTGACAGTAATGGACACAGGTACTACCAGCAGGGATTATAGGGGCTTTGGCCGGTATAGAATATAACTTTCTGTTTCAGAAACAATGTTCCCGAGCGGATAGTTCTTCTCCTATACACTCAACACCATCGATATTGCATTCTATAATATCACAATGGCTAAGCGTACAACAGGTTTCTCCATGGACGCGTTCGCTATACTCGTACAAACTCTTCGAATTCACACTCCGAACACGCGACCGCACACGTATAAAGTCCACTTTTTTGAAAGAGGGACGTATAGAGAGTCCTATATCTTAAGCAACGACTTGGAAGTAGTAAACATAAGCTTCGCTGTTCCTCTATACGACTCTTTAAAGTTGGCTATTTTAGAGGCCAAACCCTTGGCTACTGAGTTTACGTAACGGGGCCTTGCTTATGCGAGTCTACTTCCCAACATCAAGACCCCTGCTTCCATTGAACCCAATTGGACGTCTGAGTGCATGTATTTCATATAACTTGCATCTCACCGTGATAAACTGATCAGGATATGGGAGGCCCTTGACCGGAAAACAGGTGGCACTTGTGCGTCAGCATATACCCATTGTAAGATCGTTTGGCTTGCGCTGCCAGGCATTAGTACCGGCCTCTCCCGGGTGGGCAAAGGGTATAAATCTCGCTGGATATCCCTTTCCTGTGGAACGGAGTCGAGATGGACGCAAATGATCCCCTCAAACAGCCACTGATTTCTCAGGGGGGCGACATGGGTCACGGAGATTCAGCGTTGGCCGTCATCGGCGATAGGCGCATTCAGGTCACTGAGGAGGATGTACGTATTCAGGGCGTAGGGCTTTCTATAGCTCTACGATGCTTATCCCAAGGCACTGGTTCCGATATTGAAGACATCATACTGATACTTGACTGCAGAATAAGAAAATTCGAAGAAAGACTGATAAGGTCATTCTTGCTATCCTTGTTTGGGTATATTTTTTACAGGTATGAAATTCCATGGAGCGGAAATGGTCCATGCCATAAGGACATATGAACCAGAGGTCTTCCCTTAAGATGCAAATATATCATCTAACGGAACTACTTCGTCTTTAGATCCTCGACAAAACAGTTTTAGGCTATGGAGCAATCTTCGGACTTATCAAAGATACACACCTGACCGGAAACCAATATTCCCTAATTGGCTCTATTGGGCCCATAGCTCAGCTAGCATGGCAACCATTTTCGATGATACTTATCGTTAAAGTACCACACCGTATCCTCATGCCAGTTCTAATCCTAGGGTGGGGATTGGCTCAAACTGCGATGGGTGCCTGCCAAAATTATGGTGGCTTGCTTGCTACGCGATTCTTCTTGGGTTTATTCGAAGCTGGTTGTCTACCCCTCTTCAGTGTTATTACTAGTCAATGGTATCGCAGAGCTGAACAACCTATTCGAGTTGCAGCTTGGTACGGCACAAACGGCGCTGCTACCATTGTCGCGTCAGCCTTGTCATACGGACTAGGCCATATACAATCACCACATATTCAGTCATGGCGAATGTGCGTATCAATTCATACAGATTTCAATATACTCAGCTAATTATTGCAGAATATTCATTTTTGTCGGCCTAGTAACCATCATCTCTGCGCCATTTGTTTACTGGAAACTGGATAATGACATCCCATCCGCTCGTTTCCTAACAGAGCACGAACGTGAACAGGCCATCGAACGGCTACGTGCAAACCAGACTGGGACAAGGGCAACAGAATTTAAGTGGTCACAGGTCCTTGAAGCCTTGATGGAGCCCAAAACGTACCTCTGGATTGCAATGAGCCTCCTCCTCAATATTGGTGCATCAGTAACGAATATATTTGGGCCACTTATCCTTAAAGGCTTTGGGTTCGACAAATATCGAACGTCACTACTAAACATGCCATTCGGAGCTGTCCAGGTTGTCGTTATCCTCCTGGCGTCTTACTGTGCTCAAAGGTTCCGGAGCAAATCCATAATTTTGATCCTCTTGATACTACCAGTCATTACGGGATTGGCAATGCTACACTCCCTCCCATTAGAAGGCTGGCATGCTGTACTAGTATTTGCTTACTATCTACTTGCCTGTATATTCGGTGGAAACCCACTCATCGTCACCTGGATTGTTGGCAATACCGGGGGAACGACCAAACAATCAATCATAACGTCACTTTACAATGCTGGTTCCTCGGCTGGCAACATCATCGGTCCGCTCCTCTTTGTTAAAGAAGATGCCCCTCGCTACGTAAATGGATTACGCTCGGTCCTGGGATCCTTTGTTGCCCTCGCTGCTGTTATTGTAGCTCAGGTGATGAATCTAGTTATTCTAAACAAGCTACATCAACGGTCACGAGCTGCGGAGGGGAAAAAGGCGGTTATTAAGGACGTATCAATGAACGACCAATATGCCGATTTTGATGACGCAGAAGATGATCTTGAATTTATAGAACCGCAAGATGCTAGCTACCACCACCGTGACGAAGGGAATCTTGACTTTCCAGAAAGACCCGGGGAAATTAGACGGAGACGATTGGGCGCCAATGCCTTTCTTGATCTGACGGACAAAAAGAATAACGAGTTTATATATATCTATTGATTGAGTAGGATACTTATTGTTTTAGACATTAGTTGTCTTACGGCTTGTGTTCCCGTTGCTCTAATCTATCTAACCAGTTACCTTATGCACCGATACACCCTTTGGAGAATCTAGCTCACTAAGTAAACATAGATATATACATATGTGGGAGAAGAGAATTATTTACTTCAGATTGGCACAACTGCAATAATGCATATAGAAAAGCCCCGGTTATGCTCGCCCCTAGCCAGCAAGGCATGAATCAAAGAAGGGTGCTGAAAATCTATAAAATCCGGCATACTTTGATGTAAAGTATGGCCAGTTATATACCAGCAGAGCACGATCAATGTAAACACTGAGAGGCGCTTCAAGCATTTACACCAACTTCAGAGGAGCGCCCTATTAAAATAATGATCAGTTACCGTTCCCAGAGCACAAATGCACACTTTCAGAAATTTAATGCATAAATGCATTCACGTACCCTGTCGCGGAAGTGCAGTAGCAACAGCGTTGGCTTTGACCATAACCTCATCCCACTCTTTATCAGGTTCACTCAGCCAGGTGATAGCGCCTCCTGCACCGAGTTCGAGGTTATCATCATTTTTGATTACAGTCCGTATAACAACGGATTGATCAACTGTCCCACTGGCGCACATGTAACCTATACAGCCGGAATATATTCCACGTTCTGGTTCCTCTTCAAGAACGTCGATTATTTTGACGGATCGAAGTTTGGGCGCACCTGTCATGGATCCAGGTGGGAAACATCGTTCGATAACTTTGACGCCGCCAACGTTTTTGGCAATGTGCGATTGAATAGTGGTAACAAGCTGCGAAAAATGTTAGAGATGAGGGAACATTGGAAAATAGAACACGTATATGACGGTATCTTACTTGATGTACAGTCTCATAGCTTTCAACTTCAAGTAGCTTTGGAACCTGTATAGATTTAGAAGGGGATATGTTATGAAGGTCGGAACGAATAAGGTCAACAATCTAGCAGAAAAGCAAAGTGGTTAGAAACAGACAAGAAGTATTAGGAGTGGTGCATTTTACCATTAAATTTTCGGCCAGCTCCTTTACATCGGTTGCAAGCTGGACCTTTCTCCTTTCATCTTCCTCCTTATCAGGGCTAACAGCCAGAGTACCTTTAATGGGCTTCATTTCTGCAACACCTTCCCCATCAACAGATATAAACCGTTCAGGGGACGAGGAGAGTATAGCGGTATTGCTAACTGGAAAATTTATAAATGCAGAGTAAGGCGCAGGGTTGCGGCTTCGAAGTGATAGGTATAGAGAATAAGGGTCCACGTCAGTCATTTTGGCTCTGAATCTGGTTGTTAAGGTTACTTCGTATGTTTCACCTTCCTTTATGGCTTGTTGCGCGGCATGGATCTTCCGGCCATATGAATCTTCGTCGTCAATGGCTTCAAAGCTAGGTAATGGTGTTGGATGTGTATATGGTGGTGAAGGAGGCGAAGCGAATAGATCGCGTATATGCGAGAGGAACAACTCAAACTCGGCTTCAGTAAGACCAATGGGCGAATGCGCGTTGATAAATATTCCAACCGGATCCTCATCTCCGCGGCGAATCAAACCAAATGCCATCCACTCCCCTGTGTAGTTATCAAGCCTTAAAACAAGATTGGTAAAGATATGCTGGCAGTCCGGAATAGCACGTGAATCTTCTTCCTTAGCTAGCTTTGAGTATTTATAGCCAGGCAATGATTCACGCTTCATCTCGTAGCCGAAGTAGCCGATCAATCCAACCTGAAGTAGGGGTTGCCCGACTTCTGTTTCCTCCCTAAGCTGATTTGGCTGTACTGGTTCAACATTTTGCTGGATGGTGGACTGTTGGAACTGGTCGAGCCATGACCAGTAGGAGGTTGTAAGTTTCTCAGACTTGACTTGTTTCCCCTGCTGAGAAACAGATAGCCTTCCGGATTGTGACGAGTAGGATAGTGTGAATGCACCGACTCCCAAGTACGAGTTTCTTGAGTGCGCGTCACGGACCTAACAGAGGTGTCAATACAGGAGTAAAATGAAAAAATTACTTATATAACTTACCCTCGCGCTATCTAGCCAAGCCTCGCCGTCTAGGGAAGTGTTTCGTATAATGGTATCAAAAACAGTCTGTGGTGCAGCCCCCTTTCCGAGGCTGGTGTCCTGGATATAATAGGGACACTCCCTATCCTTTGAACTTGAATTCGAAAGTCCTTGATCTGGGTTGAAAATGCCTTGCGCCTCTCGGATGATTGCACTCTTACTCAGAATGGAATCGGGTAATAGACCGTCGCTGGATGCTTTATGCATGATCCCATCACCTAGGGAAGGATTGCCAGACCAAAACTCAAGTACTCTATCCCGGAAATTGTCGATGATTTGTTGACCATGTTTTGAACACACGCTTTCAGGGTGCCATTGAGTTCCATACATAGGGCGGCTAACGTGCTTAACGCCCATTACCACAGGCGTTGTAGGCTCTTCCTCGTCGAAAGTCCAGGCAGTTAGCTCCAGCTCCTTGGGTAATTCTACGAATCACATGGCACAATATTAGTATCTTTTCCTAACACGGTTATATAGGTGGGCTATTTCGCACCATTGAATGGAAGAACGAGACTGTTGTATCTCACGCCGTCGAATTGTTCTGGCAAGCCCCCGAAGACACCAGTGCCTGTATGACTAATTTTGCACACTTGGCCGTGTTTTATGTTGGGTGCATGTATAATCTTTGCACCAAAAGCTGTGCCAATCCCTTGGTGTCCGAGACAAATTCCCAGTATTGGTATATTAACCTCCCTAATTAATTTTGAGTTGAATCCAAAATCAGATTCTTTGTCAGGGCTTCCAGGGCCTGGGGAAAGGATTATAGCATCCAGATACGGAAGAATTGAATCTTTAAACGTGTTCCTATATGTTTTTGGTCAGCAACCACACACTTGGCCAGTACCCAATAACTCCGGATTTCCCGAGTTTCCGGTTAAACGCATGAATGAACCAACCATGTAAATTCATCGAAGCGAATGACTGCGACGCTCCACTCCGGGCAATCCGTCTCCTCTCCGCTGGAAGTTGTTTGCAGCAGTTGGATGATATTATTTGTATACGAGTCGTAGTGATCTATAATGACAACCCGCAAAGTTTTCGTCATCGTGTACTCAGTGCAAACGGCCAATACGCTCGCCTGGAAACGTTGGTGGTACAACTGCAGAATGGCCTGACAATGCGCGTTCTGACTGGATAAAAATCCCCGGGGGTAACAACTATGTAGAAAAATGCTCTCTCCTCCAGAATCCTGGAAGCGTGGTGTGATATAAACACCTAAATTAGGTCGTAAACCCCGGAGAGAAAAAAAAAATCGGAACAAATGTAAGATCGGAGAGGGCGAAGAGTATACGGGAAAAGTAGCAGATGACGGAGTATCTCTCTTTCACGGGAGCAACAGGGGGTCCTTCGGATGGTCTCAGGTATTCAAAGTGCACACGGACTGCTCACAAACCACCATGATGGTTTCCGGAGAGTTATTATAGGATATTAACCTCTGCGAACCGCCCAATTACTCCAAACACTCATCCGAAAACTCGTCTTCACTTTTATAGTCGCCAGAGACCAAAAACCCGGCGCAGACACGAAATTTTCTAGGACGCCACGTGACCAAACCTTCCGTCTCCAGCAACTTTTCGATGATGCAACGACCAACTTGGAACCATCAACATTACTTTTTAGCTATGCACGTACGGAGTACGAATGCACGCTGGGACCTTTACTAGACAAGGTTGCCTGGCCCCGTGGTGGAGTTTGGAGCTTCTTGCTACAGGCTCAAGAACTACCCGTGGAAGGTCACCCATGGTGGCAGTCAGACCGCTCCGAGGCTCACTACTGTGGAGGAAGATGCCTAACATTTTACTCGCAACTTTAGGCCACATGGACCCCGATATTCAGCTAGCCCTACTGCGAGAGCCTGGTTAGCAGCCGAGGGATGATTGGTGAAGATGGCTCCCGCGTTAAGGGGTCGAGCACCATCTCGGGTAGTGATATCATAACTACGGAAGGGATTCGCCCCATCGATTAAAGGGCGACATCAAGGACATAGCGGTCTAGATACACACCGCCTTGATGATACTACTGATGTTAGTAGGAACTAACCATGCCGTTTCAATCAATATTTTGCCGGCTACCAGGTACAGCATCAAGAAATAGATGTCACACTGACTCACACAACTTGACAGGGGCTTTGGGCCTTTGAGCTGCTCCCTCTTCTACCGAGTTGAACATGGCCTCATCTTCCCTACTAGGCTCGCAAATAGGAGGAGAGAAATTACAAGCAAATGATGATTGGTATGGAAAGATGATTTTCAAGTGACTCCGCGAGATGGCTGGAGATAGCGTCCCTGTGTGTCTATCACCAAGGTCTAGGTGTCGTTCATGATCACTGTATTATTGCCTCGTCAACTTTATCACGGAATACTTTCATTTAGCTACCTATCATATTAACGAGATATAGCCCCCAAGCATCACACGCGAAACATTCTCCTTCGCCAACCGTATGGTATCACGCTCCCCAGAACTTTTACGCAACTCCCTAGCTGCGGGATATGGCTGGCTTCCAAATTGCATGAAGCTAGCTGTTTGAACTTTATAGGTCTTCATCTACTAGGGGGAAACCTAGTCGGTCCCCTAACTTGCATATGGCAACGACTGACCGCGATAGCCGTGGTACAAAACATCGAGTCTGCCAACGGTAGATTCTTGAAGGCGACAGCGGGCACTACAAGCCAATGGGTAGAGCCAGAGAGCTTTACAGATCTTCGCAGATTATTATTTGCAGAAATACTAGGGCTAATATCAGGATTGAACTGCTCTTTATTTGGTTTGTTGAAGAAAGCTTCTAATACCTGTTTGAGTTCTGGAGAGCATCTACTAGTGAGGTTGACTCTTACGAAAGTCTACTACACGGTTCTCCAAGGAACTTTGAAAGAAGGAAGAGCAAAAATTCTCGGCAAATTCCTTGTTAGATCGTCAACCACGACATTTGGGAACATAGCTTTGAGTGTGCTGCAGACAAGCCTTGCTTTGGTTCTAGTAGACGCTTTGCTAGCTGTTGTGATCTACCCCTGCTTGCCTGAATGCACGTATCAGACCGCTAACTATACATACTATCGTGGATATCATTAGGTCTGCCAAGGGGCACCAGCAGTCTTCCCTTTTCCGTGTAGGGTGAGGGGAAAGGGGATGTTTATTCGATATGAGAGAATGATACCAAACCACTACTTCTGAGTTTTCCTTTTTCTGGGAGTTGGAGTTTCAGTGCTACTCATAGCATCCTATAGAAGGGAGGGAAAGGCACAACTGGGTCGATTCGACCGTCTTTAGGAACAACCGTTGAGAACGTTTTATTCTGAAAGCTAGAAAAAACAATAAGGCCCATGTCACTGCGTTGTGACTATGGACAGAGAGTACACCCTCCGCCTTCCTGTGTCCAATACCCCAATTACAGACATCCCAAATGCTCGCGGCGTCGATCCTACTTTCTAAACCAGCAGTTCTACAATTTCTAACTGATCAGAACTTGCAACCTGCAGTCAGTGCTAGGGGTGTGCGTCCTTGTTCCGTTGATTCAGGCGTACTCTAGCAAGCAGCATTTCTGGTGTTATTTTATGGTTCATCTCCGTTGCGATTGACGGTATACCCTGGGCATTTAAGTCACTTATACTGATGCCAACATCAGATCTTTCTGGGGGTAACTCAACCACCCAGAAGTCCAGCGGCATCCCAGAGCAGGCTAGCACGGTTCCACCGACACCCCGAGGATTCACACCAGCAGCCTTGTCGGAAAGGAGGTAGAACCGTACCAGCCACCTCAAATGCCGAAAGAGAGCGGTGTCATCCCTTGTATATCTCTAAAAGTGAGCTTGGCACCTCGTTGGATAAAAGTGGCCGCTAGGGAGGGATTGCTAGCCCGAGCCAATGTTAGCGGTGATTCCCCGTAGTTATTCTTAGAGTCAATATTGATTCCTGGCTTGCTGAGCAATAAGTCCACAATTTCACGATAATTCTCCCTTGTTGCTACGTGTAGCGGCGTATCATCATCATAGTCCTGGACGTTTATGTCAACCGCATCGTTGGATAGCAGCACCTGTGCCACATCCACATAGCCTTGATGAATAGCTAACAACAATGGGGTATTACCGCGACGGTCGCGACAGTTCGGGTCAATGTTGGGATTCCTAATCAACATTTCCACCATATCTGCGTTGCAGGTAATTGCGGCCACTGATAGGGCTGTCAGCCCTTCCCTATTTCTAGTGTTTGGGTCAACGCCGGCGACGAGGAGGATTTCTGCGGTAGTATAACGACGTCTAGCTGTAGCTAGCATAAGCGACGTGTTACCATCTGTGTCGGTATGGTTGATGTCGGCGCCATGTTCAATCAGCAATGCCACGATCGTGGGATAGGCATAGGCGGCAGCCCAAGACAGTGCTGTGTATCCTCTCTGGTCCTGAAGGTTTATGTCGACCTTATCCGAGGCTAACAATATCTCTACTAGGTCTTCATCAATTTTGCTGCTACTCGCTGCCAACATCAGTGCTGATTTCCCAGTAACATTGTTCAAAATGTTAGGATCGATGCGACTGTGCTCCAGCAATGTTCTCACAACCGCATGTTGAGCACGCCTCACGGCACAATGTACCACGGTGCCGCCATTCCTATGTTGAGTATCTGGAATTACGCGTGTATTATCGAGCATTAAGTTCACGGTAGTGCCATGATTCTCTGTCGCTGCCCAGATTAGAGCGGTATTGCCTTGTGCATCGCAACAGTTCGGATTGACACGAGAGTCCCCGAGGAGTAACTTCACCACCGAGTCGTGTCCGCCCTGTGCCGCCCAAATCAAGGCGGTGGGCGCTTTACCACTGGCATTCACGTCGATTCCCTCAGTTTCCAGTAGTAATTGCACTATATGGGCGTGGCCCATATGTGCCGCAGCTCTTAACGGCGACCTGCCATCAACGTCTTCCTCCGTGTTAACATTTGCACCTTGGTCGAGGAACTTCCGGACCGAACTCTCGCAGCCTTGTTCAGCGGCAGCCACCAATCCGTAGCTTTCAAAGTTCTTGATGTTGTTACGGTACAGAAAAATGTCTAGACAATCGTAGGTGCGGGATGATGTTTGAGCAAGGGAGTTGATATCCTTTTCCCGGATGAGATTCTCCGCGATTTCCAACAGTATTTCGTAGGGTAAAATAGACAACAGCATTTCTGCAGATAATATAAGGCGATCCAAGTTTGGTTTACCACAATTAGAAGGGTGAGATGTCAAGGAATGCTCCAATCGTCCGTGGAGACGAGTGTCGTTGTTTGTATATAAGTCTCAGCCTCGTCCAAAATTTCGCCTAGAGTCACGCAATATTCTTACAGGCGCTACGATGGAGTAGTTACTCAAGAGTATTTATGCAATACTACGGTTAGATGAACAAGGGGGAACAGAGAATCGGATCGAGCTTCATTATCCTAAAGCGGGAAATATCACATTGATCTATTGACATCCGACTACTGCCACCAGCCGCACCAACGTGGCAGCGTGTATGGATATGGACATCGATTACTACATGCCGTATCACCCCTAACTGGATGAGACATTTGGCTGCATGAATGACACCTCCATACTGCGTTGGGGATCAAGTGCCCATGTCACGGCTCCCACGCGTTCATTGCACTATGCACCACGGAAGACGACCGGATAGGTGACGAGGTATTAGACTGAACCGCGAGGAAGAAGAAAATAACGGCAAAAAATGGCCAGGAACGGTGAGATGCATGCAGGAGAGAGCCAGCGCATCAAGAGGGGGCAGAGATGCAATACCTTCCCCCGCATGCAAGGATCATGCATCCGGCGCCCTGCAAAGGACGGCTGAATTGTCAAGGATCATCTCGGGGGGCTTGGTCGAAACTTGCAACAACTGATATATTTAGATTCGTGAAAAGGTCAATTGGATGCTTCATTGGTAAGGCGTAAATTGCGGCTAGGTTACCACGAATTGACAGGATCCAAGTCGGTTTTGCTGTCATCGGCTTGGTATATATCACATCTGCAAAGGAAAGTTCTCTGGATCAGGGTTTTCCATGAATATATTTCACCCCTGAGGAAAATTTGGATACTGTGGTGATCTTTCCAGCTTTGATATCCATGTCGAGCCCAATGAGGCTATCCGGAGTGTTCGGGATGTCTAATAGATCAACGGACTCGGCAAAGGTAGCCTGTGGGAGCCTGTATAGTTTGACAGCCAGTTGCTTTTTATCCTCCGATATACGAACTGGCTGCAGCGCAAATAATCCGTTTGTATATTCTTGCCACGCATGGACATGGTCCCCAGCCCAGAACATTCTCAACGGGTGCCATATTAAGATAGTATTTCCTGAACATGGCTGAGGGGTTTGAAAGACACGGCCATCGATTATCGTAATACTTAATCATGATGTATCTGTTCAGCTCTTGAAGCGACACTGCAGGAATATTAGCAAAGGGCCATGATATGAACGAACAGGCTGTGTTGTAAACTTTTCTTCTGTAGGTATAGAAGCTTCAACGCTGACGGGGATGTTTCCATGAGTCTGACTTCCTGGTGATAGTCCTGCTTCCGTAGTCAGTCGCCATCGTGTTGGACTCTGATATAGGCCGTAACTAGGTCTTTCAACGCGGATTGACTGACGATGTCGCCGTGATCGATCGAGAGTAGACAGCGGGCTGGGAGTTATCTGGAGTAGACCCTTGACGGTTCTTTGATTCTTTGATTCTTGATTATTTGATTCTTGGATTATTTCGAGCTTCAACTTCACCAAGACACGCCCGGAGAATTGCCAGAAGTCGCATGTCTGAGTAAACTCGGCATCTTGGCCTTGAGTGTCTAGTGGTCTTCTTTGAGACTTGTGAGCTGTAGGATGTACTGATGCCGGAGAAGTCGATATATGTAAATACTCCGTAGAAGTGTTACCCCGAAGGCCGGCCATGTTGATGACCATCTCCAGCACCAGCACCAGGCCATGCTCATCTACCTCTTTGACCATCTGCCTCCGTATCCTCTGATACAGCATGGAGTCGTCGTTGTCGCTGTCGCTGAAAGAAAGGGAGAAAGGAAGAAAGGAAGATGGCCGCATGTATCGTATCTCGCTGCATGGGGGCGCGGCGTGCATGACGGCCAGGGATCCCACGATATAACATCCCTATCCTCTTCTTTTCTTCTCTTCTCTTCTTCTTCTTCTCTTCATCTTCTCTTCTCTTCATCATCTCGCCCATGAAGTCGCCGTCAGCCACCCACGTCAGGAGCCCCGTCCACCGCACTAGTCGATCTCCTGTCCCCTTAACCTAGTTACCCCGTCCCGTACCCGTCATCGCAGTTACTATAGCCGCCCTCCTGCACCCCCTCTCGACACAGCAGCAGCAGCAGCAACAGCAACAGCAACACATCAGACACAAGGAATATACAAGAATACAGACACACGATGCTCACCGACCGATCTCCAACCGTCCTGCGCGCTCCCACGTCTCTCCTCTCGCAGGCCATGGCCCAAGCCCAAGCCGAGTCCTCCTCTTCCTCCCCTGCCTCCTCTCGCTCCCGCCATGCTGCTTCGCTCAGCACTCCCTCGTTCCGTCTCGAGAACCTCCCTCGCTTCCATCCAGCAGTCTATCAGTCCGCCAACAGCAGCTCAGCCGCTGCTTCCGGCGCCTTCGACTTCGATGCGATGCATACATCCGCCCCGCCGCACCTCTACTCGCATACACAGGCATATCGTCCCTCCTCGGCCTCAGCAGTAGGCTCGTCATCTTCTTCCTCTGCTGCCTCCTCGTCCCGTGATGCCCTTCGTCAATACCGTGATCTGGTGGCTGGCATAACCCTCTCGGCGCGCGCATCTACTCAGTCCTCTGCATTCTCTAAACCCTCCAAGCCCAGGCTGGAACCCCTGGGCAGTCCGGGGCCCGTCACGCCTCTCGCCCTGGAGGAAGAAGGGGATGAATACCTCTCTGCCGGTGCGATGGAGATCCTGAGAACGAATGACCATGCGCACGCAGGCATGGAGAGGAACGAGCTGTTGGATCAGCTTATCATGCGAGAGAGAGACCGCATTGCATCCAGGATGGACTGATCTCTTAACCTTCCACTCCCCTTACTACTTTCCGGACTCTTTATCTCGTACTCTGCATCTGTTCGACTCGACTCGACCGCTCTAACGACCTTATGGCATCCTGCTTTATATCACTTTGCGTTTCTTACAGCCTGTCCTTTCATAGACCAGCACCAAGCCCAGATACGGCCTACATGCCACACTAGATTTCCATCTTTCATACACGAAACCACGAAAGAGGAGATCATCTTGACCCAGGAGTTTTGTTCTTTTTTCCTTTTCTTGTTTTTTTTTCCTTATTTATATATAGAAGGGAGGGGAAAGAAGGAACGGAGTCAGACCCAGATGGCTCCATTTATACCCAACGATACAACGATAAAAGAAAAAGAACCGACTCCCTTCTACATGGCTGGTCTGTGTGTGGTACATTATATCTTCTTGCATTTTTCTTTCCTACTTTTGGCACTATACATACCCGTCGATCTCTCGTGCCTTGTCTTGTACCATCTACTTAGCGTTATCCGTCGATGGCCGGATGTTTATACCCCGATACATCTGCCCTTAGCCACGGCATATTATTCTTTTAGTTACAACCCATATTTCCTTCCTTTTCTTTCGTATATATCCCTTGTTTCACACTTGATACATTTTCTAGACTTTATCTGCGATGGCCATAAGAGCGAGCGAATCGAGTAACTGCAATACACCTGACACACTTCCATGCACTGTAGCATCGTAGATATCAAATAGACTCCTCACAAATCTATATCTAACATCTAATATCTAACACCAACACCAACACCAACGTCAACACCCCTATCCGCTACCCGCCACCCGGGTAAGCTTAACTGGAATAAGCGTTCCCGCTCCCGCCCGACATCGGCCTCTCCTTTGCCGGGGTCCCAGCAGTTACAAGTTGGACATTCATTATCCCTTGACACTACAGTTAATACACGTAAAAGAGAGATTCTATCACTCCGTACAAAGGCGAGGAAGAGTTCGATGGCGGGCCGTTGAAGACGTCTAATTGGGCTGTCACAGAGCTTATCGCACTTTATCGCCAACCTAAATATTTTATTTCTTCGGCAAAGGTGAAAAAAAAATATATACACCAGCTCGCACATGTCAAACGACTCGTTACGGGCTGCATCTGCGACTGGCGGCGGTGTATTAATGTCCGGCTTGGGTCCGTCAAACCGCACACACCCGAGCAGTCCCAGCCTTGTCGATGGATCCGGTCAGCTAACGCATCACCACGGTAGCAGCGTTGTCAGTGGCAGCGTCAGTGGCAGCGTCAGTATGGATAATGGAGCTGGCGTCGCGCGGCAGGGTGTAGGCGCTGGGACGACGCAGATAAAGGCTCAGCATGACTACAAGGGCTTTGTGGCCGGGGTGTTTTCAGGCATCGCGAAGCTATCGGGTGAGTTGGACATGCTGAAGCCGGGCACCGAGTTGAACATCTACTGACGGTCTACTCCTATCCTCACAGTTGGCCATCCGTGCGTATCTCACCGAGAGCATATCAAATGCTAGTTGAAGGCTTTGGCTGCGACTGCGACTGACGACTGACGACTGACGACTTCACGGTGCCACAGATTCGATACTATCAAGGTCCGACTACAGACGACCAAGAGCACGCACTTCAAAGGCCCGCTAGACTGCCTGCTGCAGACGGTACGGAATGAGGGAGTCACCGCGTTGTATAAGGGGGCCACGCCGCCGTTGATGGGCTGGATGGTCATGGACTCGGTGTATGTTGAGTCTTTAACTGTAGAGGTGCGGGCGTGGTACTGACTAAATGTAGCATGCTGGGTTCTCTGACGCTGTATCGACGACTGATATTCGAGCATGTCTTTGCCAACGCCGAGCTACGGGCAGCTGTGCCGTTCGTCAGCCCCGAAGTCCCTGAGAAGCTGTCGACTTTCGGCCATGGGATCGCGGGCATCATGGCCGGTTCGACGGTCAGCTTCATTGCAGCGCCGGTAGAGCACGTCAAGGCCCGCCTGCAGATACAGTATGCTGCCGATAAGAAGCAGCGACTATACCAGGGCCCCATAGACTGCTCGCAGAAGATAGTAAGTCGGCTCTTCCACTTCCTCTGCTGGCGAGTATGCTAAGAGACAGCTCCGCGCCCACGGCCTTCCAGGACTCTACCACGGCCTCTGCTCAACCCTCATCTTCCGGTCCTTCTTCTTCTTCTGGTGGGGATCCTACGACATCTTCTCTCGCGCCTTTAAGAAATATACCGACCTGTCTGCTCCCGTCATCAACTTCTGGGCCGGCGGACTCTCCGCACAGGTCTTCTGGCTGACGTCCTACCCGTCCGACGTGGTGAAGCAGCGTATCATGACAGATCCGCTCGGGGGATCGCTGGGCGACGGCGAGCGCCAGTTCCGTCGCTGGAGAGACGCTGCGGTGGCTGTTGGCAGAGAGGGCGGGTGGAGAGCGTACTGGCGAGGGTTCCTGCCCTGTTTCCTGCGTGCGTTCCCGGCGAACGCGATGGCGCTGGTGGCCTTTGAGGGCGTGATGAGGGCGCTGCCGTGAGTCTTCGTCATCTCCATGGCCACTCTGTATAGCGCATATATATAGCCAGGTATACCCGTTGATCTGCATTCTTCGTATCCCGTCGCCTCACCTCAACCTCATCGAGCCATCCTCAGTAGCAGTCTATCTTGCAGTACTCGCTCTGTACTGATATAGTGTAGATATAGTGTAGATATCTTTTGCAGACATAGATGTGTAGAGTAGATGTAGAGTAGAGTAGAGTAGAGTAGAGTAGAGTAGAGTATTGTATATGTGAAGAAGATGAAGAAGATGAAGGTTCGGTTTAAGCCCGCGCCTTGCCCCTTTTGGAACTAAGCCGCGAGGCCCAAGAAGGAAATGCAACTTCAGCATCAAAAGACTCGCAACTTCAGCTTTCGCCCTCTCTGCGTCTTCCTCCTCTCCTCCCTCTCGTCCGCTCTCTTCTGCGTCCCAGCCTTGTCCTCGCCTCGACCGTCTGTCTTCCGCCTCTCTGCTGACGGCCAGGCTAGCCGGACAGGTGTTCCCCCGTCTGCGTCCGCTGCGTCCTGCTGTCTGTCCACAAGGAGTGTCTCTCGCTGTGAAACATGTTGCGGAGGATTAGATTTATGCCCGGATAACGAACTCAACTCTTCTGTGAATCCAATAGCCCGATAGGACTCAGAGCGTCGGGCTTCTTCCCCCTTCGTGGACTGATTCCTCGCCCCTTGGATCTCTCTCTCGCTCTCTACCAAAGTTGTCTGCCAAAGATGGCGCTTGCACGCTCCTTACGACGTACGAATCCCATCACTATCGTCCTAGCCAGTCTGCTGGCCATTGGTTTCCTCTTCTTTATCCTCTCGCCTACCTCTACCGCCGCTTTCACCTCGCAGGAACGACACGATGACGCTGCCCAGAACCCTCTCTCTCCGCCGACAAAACCATTCCGCAAGGCCCAGTCGGCGGCGGGTGGCAGGCGTGCTCCTCCGCCGGTCGTACACTATAACATGAACAATGTTACTACCTCCGGCACCGCGGCGAACAACCGCGAGCGTATCCTCGTCCTCACCCCCTTGTCGCGGTTCTACTCTGAGTACTGGGAAAACCTCTCCAAGTTCACCTACCCTCACCAATACATCTCCCTGGGCTTCATCATCCCCAAAACCCGCGAGGGAAACGCAGCCTACTCGGCTCTGCAATCGGCCATTACAAAGACCCAGTCCGGTCCCATCGATGACCGGTTCGCCAGCATCACCATCCTCCGACAGGACTTCCCTCCACCGATCCAGTCCCAGGATGAAAAGGAGCGCCACAAGCTGGAGAACCAAAAGATCCGCCGAGAGTCGATGAGCCGGGCTCGGAACAGCCTGCTCTTCACTACCTTGGGGCCCTCGACTTCCTGGGTCCTCTGGTTGGACGGTGACATCGTCGAGACGCCCCCAACCCTCATCGAGGACCTGACAGGCCACGATAAGCCTGTGCTGGTAGCAAACTGCTACCAACGTTTCCGCAACCCGGACACCAAGGAGATGGATATACGGCCGTACGACTATAACTCGTGGACCGACACCCAACGGTCTCTCGAGATTGCCAAAAATATGGGCCGTGACGAGATCATGCTGGAAGGATACGGCGAGCTGCCCACGTTCAGGAACCTGATGGCCCTTATTGCAGACAGGTCGCCGGAGAGGAATACCAGCGAAATAATGGAGCTGGACGGTGTCGGTGGAACTGCGTTGATGGTCAAGGCCGCCGTTCATCGAGACGGAGCTATGTTCCCTCCTTTCCCCTTCTACCACCTCGTCGAGTCCGAAGGGTTCGCCAAGATGGCGCGAAGACTTGGATGGAAGTGCTATGGATTGCCGAATTATTTTGTTCGTCTTACTCCCATATAACCCCCTTGTTCGAGACATAACCCGCTAACCACACCCCCTTTTTTTACTACAGGTATATCATTATAACGAGTGAGAAATTTGCTTCTCAGTTCCGACTCTCTTAACGTTCTCCTTCCCTTCCCAACCCCTTGCTTTTATCCTACTATTTTTTTTATTCAACCTACGGCCACGTATGATCGTGTGATCTCTAGATTTTCTGTACCAGATATCATTCTTTCTTTTCTTTTCTTTTTTTTTTCGTGTTCTCCTTTTTTTTAAACTTTCGCCCTTTCCTCTTTCTGGCGCCCCGAGTCTTTGCATATAATGCATTTTCCCTTCCGTCTAGCTCGTTCCTCGTTGCCTCGCTTTCATTCTCCGCTTTAGTGAGAACAAAATTTTAGATATGTCAAAGGGGGGGAGGTGTTAGTGGTTTTTTTAATGTAAGGTCAAGCCAGAAGTCAAGACAGACAATGAATCGGCATGAAAGGTATAGCTGTTGGAGTAATCGATTGGACTCCCTTATAGAGGAGGAAATTTAGGGCTGGCTGGCCCTTGAATGGATGTGATTCAAATATATTTTCCCGTTCCCTTTCTTTCTAGTTATATATTTTCTAGCCTATCCTCCCCCATTCCCTTCGTCTAGTCCCACGAAATCCTAGAAAGGAGCAACTTGGTTAGCAATGCTATATTTATAACGGATATATAGGGGGTGAACGTACCATAGCATTATTCCTGCTCCAGCAGCCATAGCAGCAAACTGCATCAGCGTCTTCCTAACCTCTACCCCCTTATCTTTACCAGTCTCTAGCAGCTCAGGGATAACCGCTACCGTGCCAACATACAAGAATGTCCCAGCGGTAAAGGGAAGCAACAAGTCGCCGACTGTAAGGCTGGTCCCCAGCAATCCAGGTGCCGATGCTCCAGCCCCAGCAGCAGCGGAGGAAGAACCCCCGCCAAACTCCTGAACCGCAATACCTATGAATGTTCCGATGAAAGCACCAACTGCAGTAACGAACTGAGCACCCATGGCTTTACGTTTGGAGAAACCAGATTGAATCAGGAGCGCAAAGTCGCCGACTTCATGGGGGATTTCATGGAAGAAGACAGCAACAGTGGTAGTTGCCCCGATGGTGGGGGAGGCATAGAAGGACGAAGACATCGCCAGTCCGTCGGTGATATTGTGCGTGAAATCTGCAATCAGGTTCAGGTACCCGCCTAGCTTGACGCTGGGGTTGTTGCTGGGACCTTCCTTCTCGCTTTCACCATTCACGGCCACGTTGGAGGAGGCTGCTGATTTCCGCTGCTTCAGCTCGCCGTTCTTATCGTCAGGCGATACACCGGTGGCTGTCACTAGCTCAGATTCATGGCTGTGGCCGTGGTCATGCGCATGGCCGTGCTGATGACCGTCTCCTCCAGTCGCGATTCTCAGTATCTTATCCATGGCCACAAACGTCACGAAGCCAACGAGAATAGCCAAGCCAAGTAGTAGGTTCTTGTTTGGCTCGACCATCACGAATCGAACGTGTTCCGGCGAGTCCTCTCCAAGGAATATCTCAGGTAATAGATGGAAGAGCGTGTCTCCTAGTAACCCGCCCACTGCAAAGGCAACCATTACGGAGAGGGAAGATGGGTCGATATTTGGAGGGCATAGTGCCAGTAGAAAATCTGTTGAAATAATGAGGCATCAGCACCTCTCTCTTCAGTAGATCACGTATGAGGACTACGTACTGGGAGGTCCAGAGATGTAGACCGTAGCGAGAATGGCATTCACTGCTGGGCTTCCAGGGAAAAGCACCGCAAAGACCCTCGAAGATAAACTGGCAGTCTCCGGGGCATTGGCGAGCTTCTGCGCGTTAAGAGACTGAACGAGCGGACACTCCTGATTGAAAAACTCGAATTAGACTATTCACGTCTAAAGGGGGTGTATAGTTATGTTTCATACCTGTAGTTTCTCCTCGATCTGGGGCACGGTCAGCTCCCCAGCTGAAGCCTTGTCCGATGTAGCTGCTACCAGGACAGCGAGGAGCGCAAAGACTGCCAGGGTGAGCCATAACCGGCTATGAAAAGGGGAGTATCTAATTGAGCGAGCCATGGTTACTCCCGTGAAGCCGATATACTATATCGTGTGCAATGATGTTATCGCAGCTTTTTGGTGTTGGGATGGCCTTCTTCCCCATCGCGGGAGGACCAAGCTACAACCGGCCTAGCTTGCGATTCTCCATACAAACCTGCACAACTACTTTATACAAGGACGAGGCATGCTAGAAAGAATTTATTCACGGAGATATAGCTATGTAAAAAGTTATTGACAAGCAGTCTACGGCTTGTTGAGTACTAGTGTCGAACTGCTGGTGATATGGCTTCTTGGTCAACAGGAGATGTCCATTTCCAGAATACATGCACATTGAGTTATCTCCAATATCTTGTTCTATCGTCCTATCGTCATCATTAACGTCTACAGCATTGTAGTTCATGATCCGTTGGAAGATGTGAGCGCAACCCCTGGAACATGCCTTTGAGAGCCGGAAGACTTGACCAGTCCCTCATGGCACGATAGGCGAAGAATGTGGCAGCTTATGGCTTGGATAGAATGATATCTAGGTCGAACACGACCACTAAGCAGTATTTATACGTATTTATACTCCTGATGAATCTGTAAAGCTCTTTAATGCTCCATCTTCCAATATAAAACAAAACTCCTGGCCAACTCTAGATAAGATAAAGTGATGACCACGTGACCAAGTTATGATGCAAACTTCAACATGTAAAAAAATTATTAGTTTCAAAGAAGCGAAAGAAAATACCCATCCCGTCAACAGTTTCAATTCAAGAACACCGTAAAGATGGGGAAAGTATTGCAGAAGAAGAAGAACCGATCTTCGAACCCAAAGGTCAAGCACAAAAGCAAGCAGGCCAAAAACGGGAATAAGAAGATAAACGTCTTCGGAAATGCAATTATCAAGAACAACTGGTAGATTCTCTCCTCGGCCTCATCCCCCGCTAAAAGAAATAAAAGTAACAGAGGCTGACCGTGATGAACAGGGACAAAAAGTTAACACTCACCCAGAATTACCGCCGTCTCGGGCTGACGCCTCGCTTAAACGCACCTGCGGGAGGAACGGAGAAGAAGATATCTGCAGCGGACAATGAAGCCTCGAAATCCACAAGATCGGATCTGAATGAACCATTTCACATTCCGCTTACTCACAAACGAAGCAAGAAACTGCAACCAAGCGAAGCCCGCGTTGAGCGTGATCCAGCAACCGGAAAGATCCTGCGCGTCATTAGTGGAGACAATGAAGACGACGACACAATTGAGGTCGCAGGACGGAAGCGACGAAGAGACAACCCGCTCAACGATCCACTTGAAGATCTACCGGAGGATACTGACATGGCGCTTGATGGTCTCCGTGGCACATCGTCATCCGTTGGTGTGATTGCAGAACTAGAAAAACAGGCTGCAATTCAGGAAGAGCAGCTGCAAAATAAGAAACCCAGACATCAGAGCAAGCGAGAAGAAGAATGGCTCGAGGCTTTGATAGAGAAATACGGCGATGATACCGCGCGAATGGCGAGGGACAAGAAACTCAACCGCATGCAGCAGACTGAGGCCGATATTGCAAGGAGGCTGAGGAAGATGAAGGAGAGAAAAGAGAAGAAATAAGAGAGTCGACCGATTGCTCTGGAAAAGAAAAGATGTATACGGACTGGTAGGCGGCGCTATCTTCGTTTGCAAGGCGTTTTTTGGACGGTTTTCTGGTGATCAAAAAAAATGGGTTCTAGAGTGTGGGTTTCGATTTCTGATTGTATTTTGTTTCTAAGGATCATAATTATACCAAGCATCTATACCTTCCCAGCAGCATTATGTTCTATTGTCTGTGTTCAGCCAGTACAGGGTGCAACTCTTCCTTTTTATATGGCCTGCTTCCTCGTTGAACAAGATATCCCATCCTATACTTCACTACAGCAACAGTGAATACTGATATTCAGCTCTGTTAGCTAAAGATACCTAAGAGTGTTATCTTTGTTGTGAATCTGTGTTCTAGCGGCAATTTCCCTGGTCTCTTCACTTCACCTCACTTGGTGAATGGTTTCCCGCGCCTTGAGTGAAGGTAAACAAACCTCATTCCCCTTTGCTCTCGCTAGTCTGTACTCCTATAAATACCCTCCTTCACGCGCACACAAATCACAACAATCTTTCCTTCTCTTCCTTCTTCCCCCTTACTGCGGATTAGATCTCAACCTCCTTTAAGCTGATACAGACTTAATAAGGACACAAACAACGCGTTAACCTACTCTATCTTGCTAGATCCAGTCAAGATGAAGTTTCTTCTTCTTGTCCTGGCGTTGTTCCAGCTTCTCCAGGCTACAAGCGCGCGTGTGAGCCCGTAAGTTGACTCCTTTCACGCTTTTACCTTGCAAAGACACACAGAAGTTACTATTTATCTTCTATATTAAGCTTAACCTGACTTCTCTTCTAGTTACTTTGCAAATATCACCTTTGCTCACTGCCCAGCTCCAGATGGATCTTTCTGTTTTGAAGGCCGTCGTGGTCCTATGGTGATCAAATGTATCAGGGGCTCCGTTGTGAATACTATCAACTGCAAGAAACAGTAAGACTTTATCCTATCTAAATTATTCCTTGATGTACCTCGCTTGTAGTCTATTATATCTTGCCCTGAACTAGCCTGGTATATCAGTAACTAATATTTAACTCCCTAGTGAAAATGACCGTACCGCAAAGTGTATGTATTCTCTGGAATATCCTATGTCTATCAATTATATATCCCACTGCACTGTTGATAGTATGGCTAGCTAACTATAACTAGGCTTTGAATCATCTGAAACTGCTGGAGATGCAGCTTGTCTTCATGGAGGTGTAGTCTCACTCACTATCAAGACTGAGCCATTTGCGTCCACTCTTGCTCCCGTCAACAAATTCGCTAGATCTCTTATTGGAACTGAACCTATCGCTTCTACTATGTTCACCCTGGATGACCCTATCAAGCCCTCTGGCACCCATCGAACTGAGCCAGTTGCTTCCACCTTTGCTTCTGGCACTATGGCTCCAATTATGACCCCTGATGACAAGGTTGTTATATCTTCTGATAACCTCCGAACTGAACCCTTTGCTTCAACCCTCGTTCCTATTCCACAAATTGGGATATCGGCTGGCACCACCATCATCTATACTGGCTTATCTGTCGACAGCACCACTACTATCTCTACTGTGTCAACTACCACAGATGTAGTGCTCACCAGCTTGTGGACTAGTTCTCCAACTCGCAAGATGCAATCTAGTGTGGCTACCCCTGAGCCTATTATTAGTGAACCAACCACCGAGACCACCAATGAAGCGAACGCATCTATGACTACGCACAAAGAAAACACAGTTTTTTCCACCCAATGCACCTCTTTGGCTCAGCCTACTTCGGAATCATCTGGCTCTTATGTCCCAGTTCCGTCTATTCCAACTGTTAGCCTTTCCTCGACGTCGGCTATGAGTACCACCGAGCCTACCACAACCAGCAAGACCACAACTTCAAGCACTACTACGTCTGCAAATACTCTGGTTATCACTATTACGCCAACTTCGACCACTATGAAGGAGACTAGCATGATCACTGAGTCAATTGTCACCAAGCAGCCTCAGACTTCTCTAACCACGGAGCTCAAGGGTACAACAGAGAATACTGATACTTTTTCTGCTAGCACCTTTGTTTCCACTGGTACCTCTAAGCGTCTATCCTCTGAAAACACTTTGGTGCTTTTGCTTCCAACTCAGACTAGTCTATCTACACACTCCGACATAGTCACAACTGTGTCATTCCCCTCATCTACAATGACTGTTTACAAAAATCACACTTCGACATACGCCACACCAACCTATAGCATTGTCACTTCCACACCCAACAATGCAGTCAATGAAAACGGGACTGACGCTAAGCTTGCTTATCTTTTTAGCATCATAGTTGCCTTCCTGGTTTTGGTGTGATCTGCTACTGTCACGATCATGGAACGGTCATTTAGTTGACTCCAAGAAACTCGAGCGTCGAAAAAGAAACGAAGCAGAAGATGTGTTTACAATGGTTGCTCTCAACTTGCCTTAATTTTTCCTATTTGATTTTCCTCTGACATCCTCTGTTCTGTTTTAATTTGAGGGGGTGGTGATATCGAGATGGAGTTAAGCTGGCAGGAGGTGGTGTGCCAATAGTTAGTTAAAAAAAATTAGTTAGTACGAGCAAGCATGAGGCAACGAATAAAAACTTTGTTAAGTAACTTCTTTTCTCCCTCGCCTTTTCTCTGCTAGAATTTAGGTAGTCAATGAGTACGGAGTACTGGGTGCTCACCCAGTATCTCCTATCTGCGAACTTTTGAGGGCTTTTTCTCACACAAGCCATAAAGCATGGTACATGAAACACACCCTTTTTAACCGTTTTCGTTTGAATATTGGATGCTTCTCTGGCAGCCAACCAATATTACAACTTGTAGAGCGAATGGCACCAATAATGTTATTATTGAATAGTTAGGAAATGACGATCTAGTTACCTCATTTTCGCGTTAAAAACAGGACGAAACCCCTCAGGGGGTAGGGTAGAGCAAACGTTCTAATCAAGGGTTTATATTTCATCATCCAACAATTCTGCAGCTAGCTTTAGCACAAGGACGTCTTCCTCGTTACTTGTCCAGTGCTGTACATGCTTGTGCTTCTTTCCGTTTAGGTCGTCGCTGTCAAAAGTTGTATGCATATAAAAGCTGACCGGAAGAGACACCCGACCTATCTCGGCCGCGAGCTTGACGAGCATGGACCTCCGCAAAAATGGACCACTTATTGGCCACTGTTTGTCTTCAGTATTTTGCACCTGAATTATACCAGATGCAGGCTCGAATCGTCTCCTGTAAAGTAAGTATGTTATCAAATACCGAAAATAGAGATATCTCGTCGATGGGCGGCGATCACATTGAAACCTAAGAGGTTGTCGATGCATATCCTGGGTTGTAATCATTAGCAAAGCCTGTTAAGTTCCTTTTTGTATAGGAGTCAATAGTCGGAGCATCATACCTTCCATAACAGACCTGGATAAATAAAATGATCATCCACGCCATGATTTACTACCACGACCGTCCATTCGTACTCCTTGTTAGAGGCTAAATACGGAACTATCGCAACAATACCCATATTCAATGCGCGTGCAAGGTGTACATCGAGTGTGATAACTAGAAAAATAAAAATCGAATATTCTCAGTCACAATGGAACGGAAGGGGAAAGGATAAGGGGTTGAAATGGAGGTGAACACACCATTTCGAGGATCATCAATGGGGAAATCTCCAACACCAAATGCATAAGCCAGTATGTCTTGAGAGAGAACCTTCGGTACCAATCGACATGCTACCACGAGTGCCGGTGGTGCCCAACCTAGGACGTGGCAATATGACTCTTCATTCCCCATGCTATTCATCCTCGTAGCTGAGTAGTATTGTCCAGCCAAGCGTGCATACGCTGCTTCACCATCGAGTGTTCCAGCTCTGCGAAGATACGGCGAGGACTTTAAAAGCTTGCCAGTAAGTACCTCCCTATACATGTTTGCGATATCGTCTCGGTGGTGTAATAACTCTCCCATTTCTTCTTCAATGATTTTGCGTTGGCGGTGGATAATAACTAGTTCACGATGGAAATGAGACCGCCATGTGAGTATTATATGAAAGAGCCCGATGGCTTGGGCGAAAGTCACATCATTATGGCTGGCTGAGTCTCTGACGAGTTCCTGTGCTTTTTCAAATCCACGTAGGCCGCAGGTAATTTGCGAGATCCTCTCATCAAGGAATTCTTGGGGGTTAACGGCCCGGATATGTATTGGGCTTGACTCAAATCCCTGGCCAGGTGGTATGGGTGATGGGATATCTTCAGATACCTCGGATCTTGATCTCGATTTCGCTAGCGAAATTGGCGATGGGGGCAAATTTGGCGTTGACTGTGACTGTGCATTTACCCCTATAGGATCTTGGGATGTCGCTGGTATTATTGCACGGGACTTCGCGAGAGGTCCCGTCAGTTCCCGTATGTCGGACCACGACCGCGGTGTTGGCGCTTGGCTAGATGAGCTTCGATGAGATGACACGGCTTCCAGGCAGTCTTCCTTCATGTCTTGGGGTGCGCTATCAGGCGAAAAGTTGGCTGGGCTCAAATATATCTTCTCCGCCTCTGCGGCTATTATTTGATTTAGAGGATGCTCTGGTGGAAGTGTCAGGGGTTGTGACGCTGTGTCTGTGTTTGATGGAAAAGAATCCATGATGCCAATTATGACGCTTGAGACCACCGTATAAGTAGAGGAGCGGGTATGGCAACCAACGAGACAACAATGAGATCGACTTCGGTTTCGATTATTCCCAATTGTTCTCGTAGCCGGGCTGGAAAGCTGGGAAGACTTCTTGGCTAGAGGACCAGGACTTGGAATGCAGGAACGACGCATATTCCCATATTTAGTCCTTCCATAGGGCAAGCGCAGCGTAGCTCCAGGAAGTCGCCTCCATGACGAAATACAATATTTCCGTTGCATCCAGCGGCCATACAAAGGGCCCCTTAAGTCCCATTTGTATTGTTCCTAGTTACGACAGAGCGTCTTTATTTTGAAAATCGTGTAGGTATACGCCGTGTTCTGGTAAACTGTGAATTGGTGGGTATCCGCTGTGAATAACATAAAGCTCGTAATGATTGTATCATGACGGTGAACCATAGCTGTACGCCTATATCAGGCGAGTAGAAGGTAAATTGGTTAGGCGGATAGCGAAGTCGCCCTCGACGTCTTCTCATCAACAGTCATTCTTCGCACGACCCTAACCCACCGCCTTCTTCTCCAGTCACCAGCCCTGTCAACTCGTCTAGTAGCCTCTTCCCACTCAGGCTTGTCTACATGGCTCGGGCGTTTATTCGTTTGTGGTGACTGTTGCGCCTTACTCCTTGGGCTCTCCCACGAGTCCGTGTATGTCAGGCTATCAGTGACATCAGGGTCCTCCTCAGGCGGGCTAAATGGCAGATCCCATACCCAGCCTCCAACCTCTTCACCCATGATTCCATCGTGGCTATCGGGGATTTCAAACTCGACTCCCGTCACCATACGTTCCATAACCCATTCTCTGCATTCAAGGTCCAATTCCCATTTCTTGCTTTTCCAGACCCATCCAGGTGGGGGTCGCACGTCTTCAAAAAATCTAGAGCCTCTTGGTCTATCTCCAGATATACGAGATGGGCAGAGCGGGTCATATGGAGTGGATGTAAATAGGAATGGCTCCCATTCAGGCGATGCTGAGTATAAGGAGTATGTTTTATGCTGCAGTTCAAAGATCTCGACCTCGCGCTCTTCTGGTTCTGCGGAAAGTGATATGGCAGTAATTGAGTCCAAAAGATCCATCAAGCCAACCGCAGTCAGAGGGATGGAGTACCCATAAAGGTTGAGCGAGGATTTCGGTCCTTCCTTCTCTTTGGACTGAGATGCGCTATGAGATTCAAATACCTCCTTCACCATCTCAAAAAAGGGCTTAGCGGTAGGATGTTTAGACAAAATCAAAGCGTCCCCTAGGAAGAGCATGATGAAACGCCAGGGGAGGAGATGTGATGTGAGGAAGACGGCACCTGCACATCCGGTGAATGCAATGAAGAGGGACGAAGACAAGGTTTCGTTGGAAAAGTTTGTGGCCGGAGCAATGAGTGATACGGCTGCATCATGGAGGACGGCAAAATCCGCCATTGAGTTTTGCAAATCTCGCATGTTATGGAAGAAGTCTTTAGATGTCTCAGGGGCGGGCTTTATAGTTGTAGCTGGGGCAAGTGCCGGGCCTTCGTACGAGTAGTACGGGGTTGTACTGGAGGTTGAAGCCGACGGGGGCGGTGGAGGGTGCCGCGTCAAGAAGGCAGGAATCATGAAAGAAAGAAGAATAATAACAAATGGAAGCACCGCCAATAGGTATGGGTCCAGACAGAGAAATGAATAGACACATATAAGAGACCAGGTTTGAGTTCTGCGCCTCCAGGATAGAAGCTTAATGACTCTATACTGGAATTTAAAGGCAATTCCGATTCTGCTCAGAGTTAGTTACGGGAACTACCACCACGGAAGTATCTGTACATCATACCTTGCATTAAAGCGTCGGAAGTTGTTTGTCATGGTAGGGAGGCTAAAAGGTGGCCGCTCTATCGACGCTGCTGCCTCAGTGGCGTCCTCATCATCGCTGTCGATATCAGACGGAACCAGCTGCTGAAGGAATCTTAAAGAAAGGTCAGTAGACATACTAGGGAACTATACAAAAGTAGAGACATGCCTGGCAAGCAGCCGGTCCTGCAACGAAGGGCCAGCGGTGGAATTTGTGTCTTCCTTTCTGCTATCCATCTTGACAGAGGACTGCTGCACTTCTTCCTTTGCAGAGTTTGAGGGAAGCCTGCTGCCATCGTGCCTGTCGTCATTGGTGACACCAGCGCCGCTGCCGTCGTCCTGGTCCGAGAACAGTTCAGCGGTATATTCATCCATCGTATCTCTCAAGTCTCGCACCAGGCAAGGAGTTCTATCTTATATCGTCCACCTCTTCCGTATGTTTCTCGAGATGGACTTCCTTCGACGTCGCCAACTTCCTAAAGCGGAACATGTCGTCACATGCCACACGTGACCTCTAGATCACGGGAGCGATCCGCCGCTAGTCCTGATATAGCCTAGTCTAGTTTACCTAAGCCGTATTATCTAAGCTATACTTACATAATCACAGGGGAAAGCCAAAAAAGGGAAAAAGCGACTTCTACTTTAACCTTGGTTCCAAACGACAATCAATTGAGACGTCGAATATCACAAAACAAGTTGGCATAGTTTGAACACTGGCCGGTTCAGTCCCTCGCCGCCGAGCCCAGAGACGGTTGTGAACTCCGCTGGTGGCAAGTGGCTTTCCCCTAGCAAAGCAACTAACGACCAACGCCGCTTGATCTCGTCAAGGGAGAGCTCCGCTAGCCACTAAGAGTTAGGAGCGCCTGTACCTACATGGGGGTACAGTACCTCACTGACCAGGTTGCTTTTTGATGCTTGCTCCACCGGGGGAGACGAACGACAAAAAAACCCTTCGACAAGAACAAGCATCACTCTCGTTTGCTCCCGACCAGCACGTCAATTTCTGAACTGGTGGGCGCCGTGACGAGATACTGTCCGCCTACAGACACTCACCTGGAACAGTCGTGCTTCGACGCCTGCGAACATCATGACGCGGTAGCAGAATTCCAGGAACGAGCAGCCGCTTCTGTTATCGGCCATTTCTTCGCGGCTGTTGACCGGAATATTCACCTGCGGTCGTTTCTGAGCGTACCGGTTGGCACACCTTCGCCCGTCAGCTGTCAGGTCACCTGTGTAGACGTTGGTTGTCAGGGCGCGCGGACTGCCATACTGACATACTAGTCGAACGTCGCGGTCACCCTTCGACACTATGCCTGCAGACATGACGTCCCAGAGGATGCCAGCCATGACGCAGCAGTCGATACAGCAGTCGAAGCCGTCTGAACCCTCCCGTCCTAGTGAGACCCGATTTTACGGTAAGAAGCCTCCAGCCTTTCCACGATTCGCCCGTTGAGGAAATTCTTCAAAAGGAGGTATCCTGATATCACATTCTTTTGATACAGCACAAACAAACCGCAAGCCTCTGCAGAGGAACTCGCCAATCGTTCCAGTCACCAACCAGACACCGTTCTCGTCCTTGCCTTCGCATATTGTTGATCAACAGATCGAGGGATCGACCTCGAAGAGGAGGAAGTCGATTCGGGAACAAAGTCCGACAATTGGTGGGCCTGTGTCGACACGACGGTATATCTTCTAGCTATTATTGACCACAAGTGATAATGATATAGATGTCTAATTTTTTTTTTCGTCTCCCGCAGCACGACGATTCACTCTCATTCCGGCTCCCAGAACCAATCTGAAACTCCGTTCCCCAAAGCGGTTCGTCTTCCGCCGCCAAGACATCCCCAATGTATATAAATGCTAATTTTGTCCAAGGTTGGCAATCATACACCCCCAGAAAGCAGTGAATTCCTTCCCGCGATCAACTTCGATGATTTCCATAATAGTATCTCGTCGAAAGAGCCGAGTTTAAGCCACTTCCCCATGCCGGGGCAACTTATACCTGGCTTTGGATCCGCTCCGTCGCCCTCGAAATCGACTCCACGCTGGTCAACTACTCCGTCTACTACGGGCCCGAAATCTGCCAGACCTACCACGCTCGCCAGAAGACAAAGCAACGCTGCTGCTCAAAGGCCGGATGGCGAAGGTGTAGCTGTAGGAGGGGCCTCTAACTCAATGGGGCAACCACCTGCTCCTGTAGCTGCGCGGGCAAGACGGCAAAGCCATGTTGCACCTCCAACTTCTTCTATTGCTGTTTCTAGGCCTCCCCGGAAATCTATCGGTCCTGGCGCACTGGTCACTTCTCATACAAACGGTGATGACGGTCTTCCACGGAGGCGTCAGAGTTTTGCAAAGAGAAATGCAGCTGGGGAAATACGGGTCAATACGGGTGCAAACCGCACGAGTCATCAGCCAACCGAGCAGTCCACCGGTCCATCTTTTCTCAACACGACCAGAAGCCAGAAGGCAAAATCATTACAGGCTGTCAGTCGCGGGAACAGGGACACTCAAATAACTCCTTCTGGCGGATCTGACCATTCTCGATCCTCGTCAAACACTGCCATTCGAACCCCTGGGAAAGGTACTACGGGCTCAAACACGAACCAATCATCGAAACGGTCGTCAATCATGCCTCACCACCCGACTGGCCTGGGTGCAAGGACCATTTCGCCAACCGACGCCAGGAGGATGAAACGGATGTCCCTTGTCCCCAATCCGCCACCAATACCTCAACGATCGCCTACTCAGCTAGAGCTAGGCTTCCCGCGCCCACGCTCCTCGGCTCAATCACCATCCATGATCCCGCGCAAGAGCGTAACTCCATCATCTGCCCGCACTACACCAGACCCACACCGGAAATCCTACAGCTCAGGGATATCTCTTTCGTCAAATACAACCTATAACTCTGCTCGAAATTCTAGCGGCTCTCTACAAGGGAGGCTTTCACAGACCGTGTCAACATCAAGACTTCCAACTCCTAAACCTCGGACTGAACACTCAAGTCAGGAGGAGGAGGAAGTGCCCCCAGTTCCAGCCATCCCAAAAGCGTACGAGTCACCGAAAAGCGAAGGCCCCATTCCTCCGACGTTTACCCCTCGACAAACAAGCATGCCCTTCGAGCTAGAAGCGCGAAAGCAGTCATTGAAGGATCCACCTCCGACTGCGGAAGTTGAAGCGCCATCTACACCATCTAATCAAACGTCTATGGGAGATGCGAGGATGCACCATGACAGCCGTGTCTTTAGTTCCGAATTTAAACCACGAGCCGCCGGTAACCACGGGAAGAGGAGCCTTCAACCACTTAAGTTACCGCCTCTGAACCTAATGCCTCTGAGCGGCCCTGTTGCGAGTAAAATAAATGCTCTACGGGATAGGGAAGTAAAGGAACCTGTTGTCAACCCATCCACTACGCCGCCTCCACCCCGTCAAATGGCTACAAAGACACCGACTACCCCTATGACTGCGTCTAAAACTACTTTCCCTTCACACATCACTCAAGAGCCTACACCGATACCTATCCTCGCGTCCAGAAGTAACAGTTCACAGTTCACACTCCCCTATCAAACTGGTTATCGCGCGCAAAACAGTTCAAGCGCACTAGACTTTATGGGCCTGTCTTCAAACAGAACCATGTCTCCTTATATATCTTCCTCTCTTCCTAGAGGCTCTGAGGAACTTAATTCTATCCGTGATAAGGTTGCGTCCAAACCATCCACCAGCAAACTAACTGGACCACGCCCGCAGACACAAATCTCGACCATATCCACCTCTGACACATTTAGCTTTAAATATGAGCCCGATTGCACGGATCCTGACCCAAGTCCGACCGTTGTACCACCATCCCCGCCAAGAAAGATCAGTCTTGACCAAGTTAGACATGTCGGCGGCAGCGACGTTGGATCAGGCGACACGGCCAAGTTTGATAACATGCCTCCTCCCAAGCTTCCTGCGTCAGCGATAGTAAATAATGTATCACGAACCAGCCCAGCTTCGAATACAAACTATGCGCCTGCAAAGAGGAAGCAGTCTATTTCCAATGTCGTTGCTAGCATCTCTTCGCGCCGGAACAAGAGTTTAAGCGGCGAACCGGGACCGACTGTTGTAACTCGTTCATCCATGGAAATGGCAGACGAAGCACAGCCAGTTCGAAACTCTTCCTCCATATTAAACCCCGTACAGCGGCTACTCGGAGGCCCACGACCATCGCCCGCCCCTGCCCCGAAACCACGAGTTGAGGAAGGGGAGCTTGATCGTGACGATCTAGCAGCTGAAGAGGAGATGCGAAAGCTTGGAAGCAAGCGCAAAGACTTCGAATCGGCAGCTAGAGAGCTAGATGAACTTCGGAGACGGGCCGGTCCTAAGGAACGAGCATCCCCAGCCCAGGCTCTTAAGATCGCAAGCCTTAATATCTTTGAACGCGGAGAAATCATCGACTACAAGGACATCTACTTTTGCGGCACGCACAAAGCCAAGAAGCATGTCGGTGATCTCAACACTCAGACTGCTAACTTTGGCTATGACGATGACCGTGGTGACTATAACATCGTTATGGGTGATCATATTGCATACCGATATGAGATTGTGGATCTTCTTGGAAAGGGCAGTTTTGGTCAAGTCGTGCGATGTGTGGATCATAAAACAGGTACGCTTGTTGCAGTCAAGATCATCCGCAATAAGAAACGGTTCCATCAACAGGCGTTGGTCGAGGTGAACATCCTTCAAAAACTTAAGGAATGGGTATGTTTCCCCTTTCCACACCGATATATTTACCCGTCTAACATAGAGTAGGATCCACAAAATCGGCATAGCGTTGTCAACTTTACTCAAAGCTTTTATTTCCGTGGCCACTTGTGCATATCTACGGAGTTGCTTGGTATAAACCTTTATGAATTCATCAAAGCCCATGATTTCCGAGGATTCTCCTTGAAGATTATCCGTCGCTTCACAAAACAGATGTTGATGTCATTGATACTCCTTCATAATCATAAGGTGGTGCATTGTGACATGAAACCGGAAAATGTCCTTCTTGTGCATCCTCTCCGTGGAGATATTAAAGTTATCGACTTTGGATCAAGTTGCTTTGAGAATGAGAAGGTATATACTTATATCCAGAGTCGTTTCTACCGCTCACCGGAGGTTATACTCGGTATGTCATACGGAATGCCCATTGATATGTGGTCCCTTGGCTGTATACTTGCAGAGCTGTATACCGGATATCCACTTTTCCCTGGTGAAAACGAGCAGGAGCAACTGGCCTGTATAATGGAAATATTCGGACCCCCTGAAAAGCACCTGATTGAGAAGAGTACCAGAAAGAAACTCTTCTTCGATTCTTCTGGGAAACCTCGCCTCACTGTCTCATCCAAGGGCCGCCGACGGAAACCAAGCTCCACCGACCTCCGCCAAGCACTGAAATGCGACAATTCCGTTTTCTTAGACTTTATTGCCCGTTGCTTAAGATGGGATCCAAATCGCAGACTGACCCCCCGTGATGCCATGCAACATGAATTCATTACTGGTATCAGAGCTCCCCCACGCCCAACTCGATCGCATATGGGGTCCCTGCACCACACCCATTCCCAGTCTCCCGTCAAGCGATTCGCATCGACTGGCAATGCACTAAATGGCCGCCCACTTCCAAACCCTCCCTCCAATGCCATGAATAGCGACGGGCCCCGACTCCGAGATTCGTCAACCAACTCCCCTGTCAAACCTGGTCTACCCAAACGCCACTCTACCTTTCATCATACCACCTCAACATCGGCAACCAACCCCGGGTTGACTCCCAAGCGCTCATCGAACGTCCCTCCGTCGGGTGGTTCCGCTTTACCTCGGGTAGCGCCAAGGAATGCCAGTGGGAAACCTGACCTTGCAGCTGCGGCGGCAACAACCAGCTTGGTAAGCTGATGCGAACAACGTTCCTCCCCTTCTGAGTTGAGTTGGGCAACATTATTTGCTATTTTTATATTTATTTTATGATGGTTTCTATTGGATATCTAACGTGACGTCATGGTACAGAGGACAGGGGTGTAGTTGAGATGATGCTGATATATGATGTGGTGGTTTATGGAGACTGCTTGCTTTCTTTCCTTCACTAGGCTCCATAGTGAAAACCGGGAAAGAAAAGAAGGACTGGACAAGATTCTTCATTTGGCTTAAGTATGACAAAGAATCTATGTTTTGAGTGATGTTTATGCTATTTCATGTTTATTAAACACTTTATTGTTAATTCTTTTTTTTCTTCTTATGCTATTTCTTCACAGCCCCATACCCATATATGCTTGTTGGCGAGCAAGTCCATTTATTTATTCATCTTGTTTTTCATTCATTGTTCAATTTTATGTTTGTTCTCCCATACTAAGCATTACATGCGTGTGTGTCATTTTAGTCCCCGCGATGCGCTATAAACCGTTTTGCCTTTTACGCTGTTTTTAATGCCTCATTTTCGTCTCATGGCCCTTGACTTTTGTTATTTTTGTTAAGCCTTTTGGACAAGATATGTGGCCGTCTGTCATTTGCATCAGTTCTCTGCTTCTTCCGCTTCCATGGCGCTGAATAGAACACAGTATATTAGCCTTCCCCATCATCAGTTTGAAAGACAAACCTTTCCTTACTGGCATGTTATATTACATACAATTTACTATCATGCATATTCACCATGTCCCAAAGATTATGATGTCTGCCTATACTTGGTGTTTGCTACCATTCTTTAATCCCAAGTGCTCTGTCTACATGGCTCAGGCCGTTTTCCACCTTCCGAATCCGTCGAAGTTGAAAAAGATATCACGTGATAGATACCGTTGTTCAAATAGGGTTAGTCAGAAGACGGGTAGACTAACCTAAAGACGTTAGTTCCAGGGCCATCTGGATACCTGGCCTTTTCGGATGCTGAGTCAGCAGGATAAGCTGCCCGGATTGACTGAAACATCGCGGCCGTTGGATTGGAGCTGGCGATATATGAAAGCGGACGACGGAGATAGACCCAACCCTGCGCAAGTAATTGGTCTCATTATCATAACTTCTCTTGAGCGAAACTGATGCCCGAGTTGAACGAGTTATATATATGCGCTCTCCTTGGCTGAGCTCCGATGAACGGGTTTGCGAAGGGTAGTCTGGATGAGGGCAGTTTCGGGGAGCCAGATGGCATTGCAGCGAAGCTGAGGACTTTTGATGCGTTTCGTGAGTTGCACCACGGTTTACAGCCCTATCGTCGTCTTTATAACCTACTGACACGTTCCTCTAGCGAAGACAAAGCCCACATATACGTCCACGACCGCCGGTGGTGGACAATGGACGATCTTCATAGCCATCCTCTGCACCATTCTCTCCTGCTCCGAGCTCATCACATGGCATCGCGGCCATGAAAACCATCACTTCAGTGTTGAAAGAGGCGTATCACAAGAGATGCAGCTCAACCTCGACGTAGTTGTCGCCATGCCCTGCGACGATGTGCGGATAAATGTTCAAGACGCAGTTGGTGATCATATTTTGGCTGGTGACCTGCTGGAAAAGCAACCTACCAGTTGGGCCGCATGGAACAGAGAAGTCACTCGACAACGAAGTGGAGGCAGCCCTGAGTACCAGATTTTAAGCAAAGAAGATACACTGAGATTGGAAGAGCAGGAGGAAGATCTTCATGTTGAGCACGTCTTAGGCGAAGTAAGAAGAAGCCGGAAGAAGAAATTCCCTAAAGCCCCAAAGCTGAAGAAATCCGATGCTGTGGATTCGTGTAGAGTGTTTGGGAGCCTGGAGGGCAATAAAGTCCATGGCAATATGCACATTACAGCTCGGGGTTTCGGATATTTCGAATGGGGACAGGCCGCTAATCCTCATAGTATGTTACCCTCCTCCCCGCGTCATTTCCATGGCGCCAGACTCTCGACGAGTTAGCTCACTGTGTTGATTTCAGGCTTTAATTTCACTCACCTTATCACTGAACTCTCATTCGGGCCCCATTACGCTCGTCTTCTCAACCCGCTAGATAAGACTGTCGCTACAACCTCCGTCAATTTCTACAAATATCAATACCATCTCTCGGTCGTCCCTACAGTCTATACGAAAGCTGGCCACATCGACCCCAACCGTCGGTCTCTCCCAGACCCAAGCAGTATAACTGCAAAGGATTCCAAGACTACAATATCCACCAACCAATACGCAGTCACCTCATACTCTCAAGTCATCCAACCACGCATCGACGCTGCTCCAGGGATCTTCTTTAAATATAATATCGAGCCAATTTTACTGATCGTAAGCCAGGAACGGGACAGCTTATTGGCCCTGCTAGTCAGGCTAGTAAATGTCATGTCAGGCGTGCTTGTCGCAGGCGGCTGGCTGTTTCAAATTGGGTCATGGGCGGTAGAGGCCGTGGGAAAGAGAAGACGGCTCATGTCAGAGGGCTTGCTAACAGGGAAACATGCAACGGAATAGTCTTGTCCGGTCCGTGTAGTTAGACGGCCACGTATGTAGGACTATTTTTTGTATCTACCCTCCTCCTGTTTCCTCTCCCCCCTCTCTCTTTCCTTTTCATCTTCTTCCTCTTCCTCTTCCTTTTTTTTTTTTTTTTTTTCTTTTTTGGAAATATAAGCCATATCTTGACTGGTAGATTACATATTGGAGACATCTTCTATCTCTCCATTTTGGATTCTCAATGCAGAAAACCCCAGGGTTTCAAGGGCGTCCATGAATTAGCGCAGAAGCCTTCATCTACCAAGCTATTTATCCAAGATCCCTGCACCTAATTCGACCATCGATGCACCACCAGAGCCCCGAGAGGATCAACTTCTTGGTAAAAGAGGCTTGCTGTCTACAGCCTGGACCGCGATTCGACCGGCGCCAACACACGAAGCTAAGAGAGATGCCATGCATTGCGCCGCAAACTGCTCCAAAACCCCAGCTCGGACGGCCCAGCGGACCCCTGTTCCGCGAGCACTCTTGTCCCATCGCACTAAAACCAAGGCACCAATTGCATGTGATGGCGAGACCAGTTCCCTCGCGCATGCTCGATGTCATCGCTTGCGGCCGACGTCGATGTGTGGGGGCTGCGAGATACAGTACATAAATGTAGATGTACTAGTCCTGTAATATCTAGGGGATGCAAGGGCGGACTTTCAAACAAACCTTCGAGCTTAAATGACGCATAATATCTTCCGCCTCGCTTTTTTTTTACGGATGTGCGGCCAATAATGGATCCCTGGTTCGTGGTTACATTCAAACTGCTTTAACGGAAGACATGGAGATTTTTGCCTTGGCCTATACAAGAACCCCCCACCCGTTCCGATGCTCAAGTCGCCCACCCAAGTCTGGTATTCCAATTAAGATACTGCTTGTCAGCCATTTTCTAGACTAGGAGTATGTGTCTACTCCTATCATTGCTCGCGATAGGCCCGATGATTTGACCCTTGTTGCGTGGCTATGACCATCTGAGCCGAATTGTATTACCTGGCCACAATTTTTTTTCCTTCCCTGCCATGAATACCTATATCCTAAGATGTTTAGCCCGTGGCCGTCGGTTTTCCGCCCTCCTTGGCTCTTGCATTTAGGGCCCCTGCCTCCGGCCGGGAGGACATGGGTTGAATCCCCCTGCCCGCTCGATTTCTTGCTTTCTTTCCCTTCTTCTTTCTGGGAGCTGGACTCGCTGAATCAAACCTACACTCGCTATTCCATCTCTCGTCTGTATAGCTGTCTGCACATAATATCCACTACTCTTTCTCTGGGGTTGCTTGTCGCAATGCTCTCTTATCTAGAATATCTAGGTAAAAAGGCCGCTAGGTGGCTTGGATGCGGTCTACCTCCCAAAACCATCTCCATAGGAACAAATACCCCAGTGGGAGAGGATGAAGATACAAACGGCTGTTGGGGGAATGGTAAGCCTGTCATTCTCATTATCCATGGCGCATGGCAGCACCCGGCATACTATCAGACATTCGTTCAAGTCCTACAATCACGAGGGTATGAAACCCACTGTCCTCGCCTTCCAAGTTGCGGTGGTCAAATCCCACCCACAAAATCACTAAAGGACGACGTTGAATTCATCCGCAACTTCACGGCAGAACTCGCGGACAGTGGCAGGCTGATCGACGTCATTATGCACTCTTACGGCGGGATAGTCGGTACTGATGCACTCTGCGGATTTGGCATCGAAGATAGAGTTAAAAGAGGCGTGGTTGGTGGGGTCAGGAACCTGATATATCTGACTAGTTTTGTGCCCCAGAAAGGACAAAGCTTGGTTGGAATATTTGAAGGTCAATCATTGCCAACCGTCGAGATCAATGTAGGTTAAAGAAAGGAACATTCGTCTCGTAAAACACATGATTTTCTTTATTGATCACTAATACATTCCATTAGGAAGAGACAAAACTCATATCGGCTACCAGTCCAATTCCCATGTTCTACAATGACCTCCCTGACGAGGAAGCAGAATACTGGGTGAAGCAGATGGTTGTCCACCCGCATTCGGCACAGTCAACTCCCGTCGGCAATGAAGCGTTCAGAGAACTACCAGTCACCTATATCATATGCGAGAACGATAAGGGCATACTACCCGAAGTGCAACAGATGATGGTCGATAAGATCAAGGCGGTTGGTGTTAATGTGCGGGTTGAGCGATGCACCGGAAGTCACAGCCCTTTCCTCAGCATGCCTCACGGTACGGCCGACATTATTGATAAAATTGCCAACTCTTAACTCCTGTTTCCCCTCGCCCCGTTCCTCAATTAGGAGGGGTATAATAGCGATATGATGTATTGATAGACGATCACGGCAGTCAGAAAAGTTGCGCGGTATATGAGATACGAAATCTTCTTACGTTTTTCCATTTCTAAATTCTTTTTCTGTTTCATACCACTTGATGTATTTATTGATCAACTTTCATCTATACCTTTGATGTGAAAAGAAGATTATCAACAAGCGAAATTTGGCTTAGTTAGGGACAAACTTTAAACAAACATTGAGTTTCTAGCGAGTCACGTGGAACCAACTCGGGACTTCACCTTCCAATATTTTATATAAATACAGAGACGAGCAAAGGAAAGCAAAACTATTACTCAACGTCGACAAGGACGCACTGCAACACTGAGACTCCTTCCAGTCCTCCCGTTTAAGCATAGCACGCAACAGCGGCCACTGCGGCCACAACGCCGGCAACACCAGGGAAAGAGGCGCGAATTTGGCCCGCAGCCCCTGTGAATACTGGTGGAGGGGTGCCCGTGAATACTGGAGGCGTAGTACCTGTTCCTCGTGGCCCATCGCAATGCCAGTGGTCTCCATGGGGCTCACACCTGGCAGACTCGGTTGGGCTAGGCTTGAGCGTTACGCTGGGTTTGGTTGTGGCGGTTGACGTGACGCGGGGTCCGTCACAATGCCAATGGTCACCGTGAGGTTCGCAGCCCACAGACTCTGTTGGACTTGGCTTGAGAGATCTGGTGGATGATTCGGTAGCAGAACCGGGTGCAGTCGAGGTGATGCGGGGCCCATCACAGTGCCAGTGGTCTCCATGAGGCTCACACCCAACAGACTCGGTTGGACTTGGCTTGAGAGATCTGGTGGATGTTCCGGTAGCAGAACCAGGTGCCTCAGTCGAGGTGATGCGCGGCCCATCACAGTGCCAGTGGTTTCCGTGAGGCTCACAGCCCACGGACTCGGTGGGACTAGGCTTAGTTGGGGTCACCGTTTCTTCGTGGTCATGGTCATGGTCATGGTCATGGTCATCGTGAGACGTGGGTGTTGGTGCGGCAGCTGAAGTTGAAGGGACAGCAGGGCCGTCACAGTGCCTAGCTATATGTGTTAGAGCCCAACGATCCTGCATTTGAAAAAAAGGCCTTGACTCAGCACATACCAATGGTCGCCATGTGGCTCGCATCCGACAGATGCCGTTGGAGAAGGCGGCAGCGTTCCTTGGGCAAAGACTACGCTAAGCGCAGACAAAGCAACGAGAAGAGACCCGGTAACCTTCATGGTAACAGAAAGATCGCGACCTGGTTTGAGTGGAATGCGTTTGATGTTCTTGTACACAAGGCAGAAAAACTCATTCGAGATGGACGGGAACCCATCCTTTATACGTCCATTCCTTCATACTAGCAAGCTCTTATTGCTACATGCAATTTTGTTGCCCACCGGGTCCTTGTCTTCTGATATCAAAGCCGGAGAATTTCGACTCCACTCTATCGTATTTTGATCCTAGCAAATCGACATGCACGCTTTGGCTCTCATCACCTTCCACCCAACAACGCCTACACTTTTGCCAATGCTAAATTTTCTTTTCCCCTCAGAATGTGATTTGATATAACTGGCGAGCCGGAAGCAGAGAAAATAGTGCTAGGCTGAAAATTTCCTTGGCATACAACAAGGTACTCATGATCCATATACACCAGATATGATCATTTTATCAGCAGTTCCTCTGTGAATGTGCGTTCAATATAGACTTATATCTATATGCTAGTGGTATAGGGCTGAATTTGTTGATACGCACATATCATACAAGCTTCAGTCGCTTCTATCCGCGGCGCCACTTTCTATAATATTCTATATTCAACACCAAAAGCTCGGTCTACCACAAGGTCCTTGGTTACCTTAAGGGATCCGATAGGCCAAGAACACCTTCTTAGCTACCTGTGGCGATGTGGATCTAGAAACAGCACAAAGGTGCCTCTGGTTTACTTCCGACACGCGATGCTTTTAGGGAGTACCTTGCCCGATGGCCTAATAATAACCACAATGGAAGAAGCATTTGGCGTGCTCGTTGCTACACTGATTTCCGCTTTCACCATACCTCGCCACGGAACGGAGTCTGCTAGAACCGTCTGTAAGGCAATCATTGCTTTGACAAAAATTAATTCTTCCGCAATTATTGATATCATTTTCTCTGAGGATATGCCTTAAGAGCCGCCATGACTCGATTCTACGCCCTCATCCCATTATCTCTGTCAGTACTTTTTGGTTTAGCTCTAGTTTCAGTCATTGAAGATGTTCTTAAACCAAATACTCCAGACGATGTCATAACGTCGAGAACAAATCTACCTGGACTTGTCGCTCTAACTTCTTTTATCAAACTATGTCTTTCTACACACCCCAAATTTTTACCATTACTTCGATCCAGCCTCCCTGAGTATCATCAAGCGGGAGGTATTAACGGTGCCACAGTCGTCAGCCCCACGAGCAAGGATGGAACAGAATCAGACGAACAAACAGAACATTGCCGACAACACGAAGAGAGAGCCCGTTTGCTGGGCCGAATGAGGAGGGACAATAATAGGAAATGGGATTCGTCACACCCTCGACATCGATTGTTAACCGCTATGCATGGGTTCGCTCGCTACAAGGAGAGAAATCTAGCCGAGCTTGAAAGATGGAGCAATCTATATTCGAACACTCCCAAACGACAACGCACAGTAAGCCTCCTTCTACGGCCTTTCATTTATAGATTCGCTAACTTACTTGTTCGGATGTTTATCTAGTTCATTGAATCGACCATAGGATATACCGCTAAGCTCGACAAGGTAAAAGGCTTATTCGAAGAGAATGACATTCTCGCTCAGGACATTTTAAACCATGCCTTGATATTTTATAAAATTGAAAGAGCTGAACTGGATCAATTCATTAAAGATACTGAAGCTAGTGGCACAATGGCTGATAAGACTGGCACATCTCAAGCCATGAAACACTTCGTGAGAGATTGGTCAGAAGAGGGCTTATTCGAAAGAAACGCAGCATTTTCTTGCGTAATTGAGGCATTGAACGCTTACACAGTCCGCTTGAATGAACGCCCCCTTCGTGTACTACTCCCTGGCTCTGGACTTGGGAGGTTAGCGCACGATATTTCAAATCTTGGAGGTAAACATCACCATCCTACCCGTATATTTCTCTATATGCTAACATAAAATAATTCGCTAAAAGGTTTCGAAGTTACCAGCAACGAATGGTCTTCGTTTATGAACATAGCATACCGTTACGTGGAAGCCCTGTCGAACAGAAATTCTGCAACATTCTTCCCCTTCATCGACTGGTGGTCTCACCAAGCATCCACTGCCGACCTTTTACGTCCTGTCCAATTCCCTGACGTCCTTCCCTCCAATGCGAACATGTCGTCTCACCCATCTGTCCTCCATATAGAAGGAGACTTCACTTCTATGCATCATGGCCTACCGCCATCGGAGACCAAATACGATATCGTTGTAACCCTGTTTTTCATCGATACTGCTAGAAATTTGATGTCCTATTTCGAGACTATACGCAAGTCGCTCAAAGATGGAGGAACGTGGATTAACCTCGGTCCATTACTTTATGGTAGCGCGCCGTTTTTGCAGCTTTCCTTGGACGAAATTATTGATGTCTGTGAAGGCTTAGGGTTTGAGTTCCTTGATACTGATCCGAAGTGCGGAGAACTCACACTAAACGGAAAGAAGGCTCGAGGCACGACGGTACCATATGGGCTAAGTGAGAGATCATTATCTAAAAATGCGTACAAGGCGCAATTTTGGGTTGCGAGGAAAACAAAGAATGGCGTTTGATCGTGTTATTTCCATGGACCTAGAATTAAGGTATTCGCATGAATTGTAACTTATTGTAAGATGTTAGCATTTGAGGTTGGAAGATAAAAATTCATAAGTAGAAGAAGTGGTATATAAGAGCCTGCCTTCCAAGTAAAACGTATTAGCCTATAATCCCAGCCAGCTGAGTAGAACAAAACGGGATACTGAGAAACCAAATGTCCATTGATTGTCTACGTTGGCCGTTATTTGTAAATCAATCATGCCTCAAAAATCTCCCCCAATCCTACTCCGGCCCCCTGGGCACCATACCTACACTCCACAAGATCTAACCTCCAACCCTTCCAATTCTTCAGCTTTCCTTTAATTTCCCTAGCCCATTCCACCCTTCTCTTCGCCTCCTCTTCCTCCTGCGCACGAGCAAATGCATCCTCATCAAACGCATCATCATCTAAAAGATCGTCATTCGGGTCTGCGTGGGAGCCATAATCGAAGCTTTTATAGCCTCTATCTTGATCATGCGTGCCAGTAAAGGCAGCAAGGCCACTGGAAAACACAGTTGCAAAAGACGAGTGTTGCTGCGGTCTCTGGGTGACGCTGCGGCGACCGGTATAGCTGTGACCACCTGGTGCACCTCCTGTGAGGTCGACATCATCAAATGTGCTAGTAACTGATTTGGTATCGGTCTGAGCACCATCGCCATCGTTATGGGTCGAGAGCTCGCGTTTTCGCTCCTTCCATATACCTCGACGAAGATCGAATACTTCTCCCTCCAAGTCTCGAACTTTACGCTCAAGATTGAGTCGCTCCTCGTCTTCGAGTTCGTCCAGACCCTCATCAGCTCCTGTGCCCGACGCTTCACGCTTCCGTAACCTATCCCGTTCCTCCTTAAGCCTTAAATTTTCATTTTCGGTCGTAGCCAGCTTCCTCGTTAACATTGCTACATCCTTTTCAAATTTATCCCTTTCCTTCATACGGACTTGATGCCGGCTTTCAGACTCTTTATGAAGGTTGCTTAGGGCTTGCAGCTTTTTCTCAAGTAGCTCTGCCTTTTTATCGGCCTCAAATTTGGCTTCCTCGGATTCCTTCAATTGACGTTCTAAACTCTTAACGAGAGTTTCTGTCGACGTCTTGTCTACACCTTCTTTAACTGCCTTTTCAGCTGCTCGAGTAACAGCTTGTTTGGTATCGGCAAGTTCGCGCTGTGATTTTTCTAATGCAGCTTCGCTGCGAGATAGCTTGTCCTCTAAAGCTGAAATCTGCTCTTCATGCGCTGAGGAGTGAGTAGATTGAGAGTTCAGTTGGGCTCGTAAATTAGAGATTTCCATCTCCATATTCTCAATCTTAGCAGATTTAGCGTCTAATTGGCTAAGGAGCTCAGAGGCTGGTGAATCTGAATTCCCAGACACCGCGATACTGGTTGATGGTCGATGTGATCGGGTTTGAAGATGGGAATTCTGTCGTTGTAATGCACTTATCTCCGCTTTCTACGAGGGTGACGTTAGCACTGTATGCATATAAAGGGAGGACATTTGCACTGACAAGCTTGTCAACTTCTTCCGCCTGCTTTGCGGCCTTCGCAAGCCTTTCCTTAAGCTCAACGGTTTCGGTACTGGCTTCTCGCAGATCATCAAGCTGTTCTTCTGATTTCTTCCACTTTGCACTTGTCACTTCGACTTCCTTTTCTAGCCGTTTGTTCTCCTTCTCCAGTTCCTCTAGCCTAATGGCTTGTTTCCTAAACATTTCCGGTGCTGTGCTTCCATCGGGACTTAAAGGTAATGGGGGCGATTTAACGCCAGACGCAGTCGGGTTAATTCCAGGTAGTTTTGAATCTTGACGAAAGGACGACGAGCGCAGCTTGGATTGGACAGATATCGATGGCTGTCGACCATGAGATCGGACTTTAGGCAGTGATTCCTCGCTGTTTTCCTCTTTCTTATCGCTTCCATCATCTCGTTCCTCTACAATCGCTTCTTCGGCATCCTCCTTTTCAACGGCCATGTCTTTTGGAGAACCTGCCTCTGGCTCTTGTTCTAACTCTGGCTCCGGCTCCTGCTCCTGTTTAGATTCGGGAGTGGGCGCTTTGTCGCCCGCCTCTGCTGATGCAGCGGCCTGTTTGCTAGATTCTCCCTTCTTCCCTTTCTTTCCCTTCTGTTTCTGCAGCTGTGCGACCTTATAGAACCCATAATAGTCAGTATAAAAGTACAGATGTGAATATAGGTAGCGCATCGCGTTGATTCTAGCCTAGATGTCCGATTATTGACGTACCCTTTTCTTCGCGGCCGCAAGCTTCTCAGCTCTAGCCTTTTCCTCTGCATCAGCCATTCTGCACTAAAGAGTATTCTGACCCTTCCACAGTAAATCACTCTGAAATCTAGCAGGCTAAGGGAGCTCTCGAGATGTTTATTGCTCTTATCCAAGATGATGTAGATGATGCTACAAGCTGTAAACTGATTGGTGGATGGTAGATTATGTAATTATCATCAACTTTACCACGTGATCATGAGGTAACATGTCATGTGATTCTTAGGTAATAGGTCAGGTGATTATCAGGTGATTATCACGTGGTTTTATTGAAGCTCCGGTTTCGGCCGCTCGGAACATTTAGGGTCAGGTTGGAGTTTATAGAGACGATCGAAATTCGAAATCATAACGACATTCTGATATTGTGATACTGAGCTATTGTCTACTTGCCCAAGGCATGGAATCCATGTAACTCCACGCCTAAAGCCAGCAAAGACATTAAAAAAAAGCAGGACATAAGCCAAAAGCAACACGATTACCATAACAATCGATGAAGCAAAGGCATATAATTAAAAAACGATAAACGTAACGGACGAGAGTGAAGAGTAGAATGAGGTTGGTAAGGGTGTTAAGCCGTGACTTCCTGGGGGAGGGGGGTCTTGAATTCGAAGCTCCGATGGCTAGCCATGGTGTAGAGGGTACAGATAACCTATCCGGTCATCATGAATTGTTGAAATAAAATTAACGTCGTGGTCGTTCATTATTGTAGAGATGGGGATAATAGTATTGTCAATTCAAAGAAAAAGGACCAAGGGGAAAAACGTAGAATTCCGATAAAGGTCAGTCAGTGCGTGGGTAGTTCTGAATCGAAGGAAGTGGTTGGTTGGTTACACCTCCATGGAATCGGCGATCTCTTCGCTCAAGGCACGAACAGTAGGTTTGCTACCTGACTGCGAACGCTGGTCGTCATCACTGAGAATGTAGTTATCAAACTCGTCCACTACCGGACGAGCGGGTTGCGATGGCTGTCTTTCTTCCTCGTCGGCGCTGAATTCGTCCATCTCATCATTCGCGCCGTCACCAAACCAATATCTGGCGCGTTTCCTGGCACCCGCGTTAGGAGCCACATATCCATCATCGTCAACGTTTCGCTTGCCCGGTATGGGCGTCGCTGTTCCATCAGCTGGAAGCTGGCTGAGGACACTGATGCCGCGCAAGTAGATATAACAAACTCGCTTTCTCGCTTTGTTGAAGAAGAAATAGTTTAGACTCCAGACGGTCCCTTCTTCACCGTCGTACGGATCTTCATCCGGGCTATAGCAGTATACACTGCACTCCTTGAGCGACATTTGGTTATCGATAATCTTCCACATCCTCGGCCCCCAGGAATGGGCTGTTGCCGACATGTGTGGCGAGGATGCGGTTGGAGTGGGCGGAGTGACATCGCGAGCTAATTGCGGGCGAAGATTAAACAAGGTTGTGTCGATGGTATCCATGACTCTTCTCAGGTTCTTCTCCCGCCGAAAGTCGGTGGGTCGCAGGACATGCGAGAAGTCATAGTCCGGATGACTCGCGTTAAGTGTCGCGATGAGATAAGCGTACGTCCTACGACTGGAGTGTTCGCTCAGGGGCCCAAATGGACTTGAGCGCGAGAGGTTGAGTGAAATGGCTGCCGAGGATGCGTTGGGTGGAGAGAGCGATGCGGAAAGCCGTAGGAGGGATTCATACTGCGATTCCAGCGAGCTCTCGATGTTCTTGTATAGCTTCTTGTCACCACTTGCGGCCTTTGTAGTATAGAGATCACATCCGCCGACCACCATACAGTCAGGTGTGTCAAAGTTCAACGCCCTTGTCACGTCATCGAATTCGCTCAAAGGTAGGAACTAGACGCCACGGCGTGTCAGCAAGTACGTTCTCGGGGAGGTGTGTGTGTATCGCCCTCGAGCGACAGATTATCATGCTTCAGACCTTCATGATGCCGGATATAGGTCAGGAAACTATTGCGAATTCTGAATTAGACTGGGTGAGAGATACGTGGCTGCGTTGTTGGTTGTTGCCAAGGTGACGTATGTTGATACTGTCGCAAGGGTGCAGCAGCGGTGATATCTCGAAAAAAAAGGGCGAGCTGAGATGTTGTTCCAGCGCTTTTCTAGCAAAATGCAGCCGCACAGGCTTGCGCTTTCGTGAATGAGGTCGTTCTTCTCTTTGTGTTGCTCCTGCCAAAGCAAGTCAAACAGCGGTACGAGTTATCCAGGCTGGCTGCAAGGACAACGCATACGGATCGACTACGCCAGACGACGAGGCGTCTAGCAAGAAAGGGAATCCACGGCGACGGTGACAAAACGTAGAAGTGAGAGGAGTGACGGGGAGCAGCAGAACTGACTGAGACGACAAGATGGAAGTGAGAGAGCGAGGGCAGGAATATGGAAGAGTTGAGGAGGGGAGCGCGCCGGATGGACCAAGTTGAATATGCGAGCAACGCCCCCGTGATCACGTGAGTATGTCTGACCAGTGACGTCGTGGGATTGTTTCACGAGTTATGGCAAGGAACAAGCGGATGGGAAGCCAGAATAACAGGCGAGAGAGGATGGGAACAGGCGAGAATCAGAGTAGAGGGCAGTAGGGATGGGGTGGGATGGGTGTATGGCTGCATGGTGTCGATGGCTAGGATGGCAGAGAAGTTGATGTATAGATGCGAGACCGGACAGTGGGAGCTCAGAGCCCAAGGGACTCCATCACCTTGACCCTGTCGTCCTCGTCCTGTTTCTCATAAAGATCCAATTAGTCATAATATAACGTATGTACACTGTCCGCGAAACACCGGGTATAGAACGTCGTCCCTAAACAAAAATACGCGGGGGGTTAAAAGACGATGCGAGGAAGTAGAACGCCATTTTAGCTCCGCTACATGATCTTCGTGATTATATCCTGTTCAACCTGGGGACAGAAAAGAAGCAGGGAATTAGCAACCAAAACTAAGACTCAGACTCAGACTCAGACACAGACACAGACTCAAAGACTTGACAGCTGCTCCCGAGTCCTCATTCAGGCGGTAGGAAAGCGGAGACGTGTAGTCGGTCCAAACTGCTTGACACCATAGGCCCACTTACCTCCATGTCTTCCAGGCTGTCCTGCTGGCTGATGCACCGTAGTACGTTCTTCTTGCTGCTCTCCTGCATTTCTCCTGCCAGCAGGAGCTCGTCGAGGATAAAGTAGGCCTTCTGGAAATTGAAGATGATGTCTAGCTCGCAGACGTTTCCGTAGTATTTATCCATCTGCTCGACGTATCGATGCACGATCTCGAGGGTGATCAGCTCGTTGTCGGTCGACGAGCAGCCGGCGATGAAAAATAGGGAGGCGTATCGGCGGTATACGACCTTGGAGTCTTCACGGAGAGCCAGCATTAGTCACACCGACAGACTCGCTGAAGACACGGAACATAAGACACACCCTTATATTCCAGGAAATTGCACATCCGCGTGCGTCTCGAGAGGACGAGCTGGGTGACATCTTTGATGATCTTGGCCTTGTCCTTGGGCGAGAGCGTCGTGAACCATTTTGCCAGACGCTACAGATACCACAGTCCGGTCAGAAACAAGACACAAAAGACAGCTTTCTTGAGTTTGTGCGTCAGGGAAACGAGACTTGGGGGGGAGAGATGGCTTTATGGTGGGTGACGAGCGGGTGGCTGGCTACTGACCACCTTGCCCTGACGAGAGAGCAGAATTAGATAGCTGCAGAGAGTCAGTGGTGCGGTTCATGCATTCCCCTAGCCGGTGGACAGCCTGCCTTACTTGATTGCCATTATGGTCGCGGGTTTCTCTGTGTGCGAGCGACGGGGAGGAGGATGTCGAAAAGGCGAGTTTGAGCTTTTGGTGGAAGTTTTGTTTTGTCCAGGAGGTAACTTTTATGCCAAGGCCGCGTCCTGCCCCTCGCCTTGAGCCGCGGACAGACACTTAAACCAGGTAAGGGTAAGGTGGTAAGTAGATATATGGTATGTTAAGGTATGTTAAGGTATGTATAAGGAGATGCATGGCTATTCTGGCTATGAGGCCAAGTCAGGAATACAAGTGCTATACAAGTTTCTACAGGAAGACCAGAATATATATTATTAGAAGTACTGCCATTCATTTCATCAACCTGGCTGGGCTCTACTGGTTATACAGAGGTGTTGTTAAACTGTTGTAATAGCGTACTCGTGGCATAGATAGTTAACGGCCAGAGCAGAAGCTATATAAGCTAAAGGCCCTTTAAATCATGTACTAAGATCGGATACAGTCTATAGATGGAATCAATGATATCTCAATCTCAGTATCTAACTATGTACTGAAGGCTCCTGGTGGACGCCGTGGTATACAGCCATCATCAGAGGCGATAGAAGACCTTAGGCCATCGATATCCTTACACAGTATCATCCAGTTCATCAAGTTACCATCTTCCACAGCATCTAGAGACGACCTGACTAAGCGTCTTGAAGCCGCAAAAACTTCCGAGGCCCCGCCAAAAACATCCGGCCCCAGCGATGCACGAGCATTACAAATGCAAAAGGAATCCATTTCCCCCTTCTACGATATTCGAGTCCTTCAGGCCGGGGTTGGCATATCCTTTCTCTAGTGTTCATCACCTACCCGCCTGCCTGCTAGTTAAATAGCGCCTCTTCTTCTTTGAACCCCGCTATTTAGATATATATCAAGCACGAAATCCGGCGGCGAGAAGGCGTCAGCAGTGAAGATGAAATTGGTACTATCTACCGGGTAAGTCCGCCGCGTTCTATACACTGCTATAGGTAGAGTGATATGCTAATTCTTTATTCCGCGGATAGAAACATTGTCAGCAGCGGTCCGTCGGTGGTCCGAGGGCTGGCATCCGAGAAATCCAATGTCGAATTTCTAAACTCGTTACGATATAATTTCGTCTCTGCGCAGGAGATCGAGCCGTCACATACCAACATTCCATGCGAAGATACCCATTCGCCGCCCCAGAAACTCTCGTATAGCGACTATACCACCTGGACGGCCAGGGAAGAAGACACTCTTTACATACCTTCGCTCGACTTCTCGTTGCCCGGCTTGTCCGAGGACCGTTCGCAGTATGATATAACAGTGAAGCTTTTCTATTTGCCCGGCGTTCCGGCGCAACGGAGGTGCCAGCATGCACGCGAAGCAATTAACCTGGTTCTGAAGGAGTTGCATATTAGCTCCATAGACCTGTTGATCGTCTCGTTTCCAGAGGTATCCTTTGATGCGGATGATGACGGGGAAGAGGAAATTTCAAACGGTGACGAGACGGAGTCGGACTTTGATAACATTGTCAAGACGTGGCGAGCCCTAGAGTTGATGCACGAGCAAGGGACGATCGCACAGCTTGGGATCGCAGAATTCGACAGTTCGCGGCTCACCAAGTTTCTGGCAGAAACCAAAGTCCGGCCGAGCGTTGATCAGATCAACGTCAAAGACTGTTGTGTCGTACCGAAATCGTTAATCATCTATGCAAAGCAGGAGAATATCGAGCTTCTGACACATAATGATTGCACCGATATCCTGCCACGGGGTACGACCCGAGACTTGCTCTCTCGTGGAGAAAACGGTGCCGGTATCCTGGCTGCAACGGCAGATGCCGATGACGGTGGTATAAAGGGTGATATTGAGCCACAGTGGGTTATTAAGTATACTGCCGTGGTGAAGGATAGAGGCGTGATTGAAAATAAGGGTTATTTCGCACTCGCCGAAGTAGGGCCTTGAGATTGGAAGGCTGTTATATCTTTTCCTTTGTCAGATCATGTTCTTTTCGATGTAAGCGTGAGCGTTATCTAGCGCGGGGGTAGCCTTTGGATGCACGCATATAGACGACAAATCCGCAGAATACCCAAGCGTATGATGCCAGTATATGTATACTTCTTTGCTTGATTTTAGATTCTGTGGGCGTTGAAATGCGTTGGATTTTCATGTTAAAATCGACTCTTATCCGATCATGCTTCTCTTCCTCCCCCTCATCCGGACTTCTTCCAGCTTCTTCAAGACCTGTTTGGCTCCCTTGAAGCTCTCTGCGTATCCATCAAGAACTTCTTTGAACAGGCCCTCAGTTCTGGGGTGCGAGCTGGCAAATGCTCGTTCGAGAACGTACAAGTCCACAGCCCTATCCTCATCTTGGACCGTCTGGCCAGCAAGCCCAAAATCAATGAGAATGATTTCTCCGCTCAAGCAAGGCGGCTCTGTCCCTGGTTGCCCTCTATTCGTATCTGCTTCCAAAGGCGCTGGCTCAGCCACCACGCTATTTTCTGGCCGTAACATGAGGTTACTCGTTGTCAAATCACCGTGTATGATTCCTGTCTTATGCAGCAATCCGACAGCGCCCCCTATTTTTTTAAGGAGCGCGCAAATCTTTTTTTCACTCTCTTTAACAGACTCCACGCTAGCGCTCTTGTCCGTATCGGCCGTCTCCCGCTCGTCTAACTTCTCTTGGGTTTTCACCCACCGCTCCCAATCATTAACGACTCGTCTGACCACTTCTCCCTCTATCCATTCCATAAGCAGCCAGCCTCCATTATTCGCATTACTCCCATCTTTCCCTTCAGTAGTCGAATCAGAGTTCTGTCCCCAGTCTGCTGCCAATATTCCAGGCACGGGGACACCCTCTCTGACTAACTTGGCCATGCATCTTGCTTCTTGTAAAATTCGCTGGCGAGTTAATCGGCGGTCGAGTATCGGATGACGGTATGGCTTTAACGGGCGTACTTTAAGCGCCGCGGGAATAGATGAGTCTATGAAATGTGTCTTGTAGAGACGGGCTTCCGCACCCTGGGCAAGCAGAACGGGTGTTTTGGCGGGGTCGCAGTATGTAAACGGCTGTGGAAGCGATGGTGGAGGTTGTATCTCTGTCATTGCGCCCTTGATATGTATATGGTGACTATGGTATATGTAGGGGATGTCTCCTTGACCGATGAGCAGAATTGCCTGACTATGGTGTGATTGCACTGCTTTGATGTCGCATGCTACGAGATTCGTGTTTAGTTACTCTTTCCATACTTTTTGCCCATGGAGGTTTACTTGGCTGACTAAGCGAGATATAAACATCGACGTCTCCGACCTCAACCTCCATAGATTGAAGTAACAGATCACAACGGTGAGAATTTACCCTAAGAAGTGATACGGTTGAAGATGACAAGGCGTTTTTTTGTTCAGACTGTGAAAACCTAGCTTCATGGCCCCCTTTTTATTTTATTTTTTCTTGGATGGCTGTCTATGAAGTACTAGCGACGATGACGAATCTCACCCGAGACAGACAATAGCGACCAACTCTACGCAACACTTTATCCTTTAAGGCGGGCAAACGCAGTAGCCTCCTATAATCAGTGTCGTCCCGCTATTACCCCCAGGGAGACACGAACCGCAAGCATGGATTGGCACCCGGGTTGAGGCCAGAGCTCTATCACAAGTCGAAGCATTCGTGACATCCCCGTACTACGGGCTGCGGTGCCTGTCTCCCCGGCACTGTGGTCAAGCAGCGGGTGGACTAAACTGTGCCACACGTCCGATATTACGGGGCTGTCCTCTGAGCTTAAGCATGTATCACTGCTTCTTCCTTACGGACATCGCCTTCCGCGCAGAGGCTTGCTGCCTGGCGAAAGTAAGGGTATCGCGAAGGGATCCTATTCGAGGGATCCTATTCGAGGGATCCTATTCGAGGGATCCTATTCGAGGACTCTATCCATAGCCTTCTTGCTTTCGATATGTATTCAAACAAACACCCTAAGACGGCGGGCGGCAGTGGCGGGCGTGGGAAGGGCTAGACAACCCCGGATATCTTCAAGTTACAGAGTTCTGGAAAGGTCCCACCTCCCGCCTAGCGCTTTGGCGTCCTTATTTCTTTTACTTTTGACGGGAACTTTGCTCAGTATGGAGAAACACAGCACTTCTACTCCGTACTCCGGACTGCTTTTTATATTGAGCTGCTCCATTGGCTGTATCACGTGAACGACTTCAACAGCAACATTCAGACAACATTTCGCCCATTTACTATTATCCTGATGGACTGCTATTCTTATACCTGTCCTCGTATCACAGATTTTCTTCACTTCTGCAGACTGCACCGTGATGGCCAGGTCCGCCCGCGCTATCGGGCGTTTGGTTCGGGGCCGAAGATCATGCAGCCTTGATATTGTTCTTTGCAGCAACACCCGCATGCTTCATATTGTTCCTGCAGGCTGGAACCCAAATGTGTACAAACGTCGCCCTCTTTCACGTATATCTACAAGTCAGCCTATTGTGACTCCAAACCTCACCATCTCTCCGCTGACTGGCTATTTTTTTCTCTTTATTTATTCCATTTTTCCGTTTGTCCTCCCCCCGCCTGCTTGGTGGGCGCCTGGGGGACCTGCAGAATTGTTCCCCGTTTCTGAATATGGACTATGTTGATATTCAGTCCGGCGTCAATGTCTCTACTGCCTTTGTCCGGATACGGCTGTCTATTCTTCCTAGACACCATCATGCAGGTTTCCTCCGGGGCTGTTGCAGTGACAAACAGCTGCAACGAGGAGAATCTTCTCGTTCTCAGGGCCGAGAGACGAGCTGCCTCTTCTTTCTTCTTCTTGATATCTCAGCTGTGCTCTTATTAAAAGGCACAACATCTTCTTCTCAAGGATCTTGCTCTCCCCCTTCAAATTGTACATACAATTCCATTCCTCAAGATCATACAAACCTACCCATCAAGGACTCCCTGAGAGCGTGATAAGATGGCGCCAAACTTCGACCCTTTTCAGCAGAGCGTGACCTTTCAGCGCGGCGATGGCAGCTCTTTCCCGGTTTCAATGGCGGACTTTGACAAATTCTTGCTCTACGTCGTGAGGACTGCTATTGCTGCTGCTTCTCAGCTTGGAGCCTCCGTTGTGATGGCTGTCCTTCTCGCTCTACTTACATCCCCGGAGAAGCGACGTTCCATCGTGTTCTATCTCAACATTACAACTCTACTAATGAACGTCTGTCGAACCCTGTCATCCGCCGTCTTTTTCACTAGTTCCTGGGTTGAAGTCTACGCCTACTTTTCCGGTGACTATTTTCGGGTTACCGCAGGCGCCTATGCGAATTCTGTGATGGGTACGATAGCCACTGGTCTCATGGTTATCTTGATTGAACTATCCCTCCTTGTCCAAACCCAAGTCTTGTGCTCTACCCTATGTGGCATTTATCGGGTTGTCCTCTTAGCATGGTCATGTGTGGTGGCCATGGTGCCCATTGCATTCCGAATTGTCCTGGTGGTTGAAAATATTAAGGCAGTAATGAGTCAGTCCTCACTTGGAACGAAGGTCTGGATACAAAGTTCGTCAAATATCACCATCTCAGTCAGCATCTGCTACTTCAGTTTGATCTTCATGGCCAAGCTTGGATATGCCATCTATACCCGGAGAGCTCTGGGAATGACAGGATTCGGAGTCATGCAAGTGATCTTCATCATGGCTTGCCAGACTATGATGCTTCCAGGTATACATCACCCTTTCTCCCAATGCTTTTAGACATCATTATTAACATGGATGAATTCTAGCCATAATGTCGATACTCCAGTACTTCATTCCTGAGTTCGAGATTAACACCAACATACTCACTCTTCTTGCCCTATCTCTACCACTCACGACTCTTTGGTCAGCTGCAGCCGTTCGCCATATCCACAACGACAACAACCATGGCCCTGGCCGTCATATCTGGGGCGGCAGCTCAGGAAAATACTTCTTTGACCAGAGTAAGAATTCAGGAGGCAGCTTCTCCCACCCGGCTTCGACACTAGTTGGAACAATGAACGGTTCAGAGAAAATCAAGTCCGCTGATCATTTCGATCGCCTGTACCCTGAGCTAAATGATGCAGGCCCCATCGCAGTGGATCGCAACTTCAGCGTTACCGGTGACAGAGTATAAAGAGGGAACATACTACTGCCATTGATAAGTACAGTGCAGGTACAGGCCAACGTATGCATATGCTTCGATCATGTATAGCCCTGCGCTTGCGATGCACTCTGCCGATTCATACTCGATACCAGTTTTCTTTTTACTCCCTGCCTTTCTTCTTTCTCTTCTCCCCTTTCACTTGGGGCATTTATTCTCTTCAATCCGATTTCCTTACCATCGAATTTGATGAGCTTTTCTTCTTTGAAATTATGATTCCCCACAAGTACTTCTTGTAACTAAAGCACTGGAGTTTAGACACGGCCACTCTAGATTAATTGAGAAACAATTGCATAAAAATACATTCTCCTGCGTAGCTAGTGGTTCATAGGCATGATGCATAGCAAGAAGGGCTTATGCTGCGTATTATCTGCAGTAGCTACTATGTACTGGTCGAGTAACATATATTTAGCGATAGGATACTGCTAGATTGGCTGGTGAGAAACGGGCGAAGAAGTCTGGGCGACGTCGTGATCAGGCATCACCAAAATATCCCACTTCAAGCCCCAAGCTCGCGGCACCATCACATCGGTTTATGATGCTTTCTTCAGTCCTACGGGCATATGATCATGGCAGCAGTGCCGCAGAAGACCCTCGAATGGCTTTACCGAGTTCTGACCAGCGTGAGAAGCATCCCCAACGCATTCCTTATAGCTAGCTAACACCCATCTCTGTCGGTAGAATGCACACGACCGGAACCAAGCCTATCACGATCCCAACCGAACATATAGCGATACAGCGCAGCTTTTGGCCCAGTTTCCTTCATTTTCTCCCCGGACAGATGTTTACAGTATGAATTGCGCGCCTCATTACACGCCCGTCATTGCTCAATGCGAGACCTGCTTTGTATGCGGTTGGATCTGATTGAACGATTTTGATAGCATATGAAAGTGGCGCATCAGCCCTGCTTCTACATTTAACAGGCACACTACCTGTGAATTTCAGGGGAGCTGTATACAGGTTTCCGATTGCGATATGGATTCCAAATGTGTATCCGAATGCGTGCCCGATGGTTTATGTGACCCCGACACCAGATATGTTGGTGAGGCCAGGCCAGCATGTCAGCAGTGATGGAAGGATATACCACCATTATCTAGCCCATTGGGCTGAGGCACGGGATGTACGTTATGACTATGAATGTGGGATCGGTGCCAGCTACTGATGACGGGTTATAGCGATCTACGCTCGTAGATTTCCTCATGATCTTAAAGGATGTGTTTGCCAAAGAACCACCTGTGATATCTAAAGAGGCTCCGAACAGGAGACCGCCACCGCCGACACAACAAACAAATACGCCGCCTGCAGTTCCTCCATTACCGGCTGAGCTAGCACGGCCTCCACCGAGCGCTACATCGACAACAGCAGCTCACCCGCCCGCCCCTCCAAAGTTGCCACCAAAGTTAGGCGGAGAAAGGCCGCAGTCCATGCAACAACCAGCTCAGAATACAACGCAAAATGTTCCACCACCTTTACCGCCTATTCCAACAGAGCTACAATCTGCCCCTCACCAGGCGGGTGGAAGGCTGCCAGATAGTCGAGGGAGCCAGTTCCCACCCCAAAGCTCAAGCAGTCTAAGAAGAGAGATCACACCCCTGTCCCAGCATCCACCTCAGACGCACCCAGGCCATCATCATCAGGGCTATACCCCGGGGTATCAGGATCGTGGAACATCAAACTTCCAGGAACCCCCTGTACCTCAATATCAGCATGTACACCGGATGTCTCATCAGCCTCAGCCTCCTCTTTCACAACATGGCCGTATCGCGCACCCCTCGCAGCAACAGGCAGCTTACCACCAGTATGGGCCCCCGCACGGCCCCCAGCCAGGGGTTCATCAAGCTCCGGCCATAAGGGGGCCTCCCCCAAAGAAATCTCCTACTCCTGATCTTCTTACTTCGCCATTTGATCTAGAGCTACCCTCTCAACTACCCTCATCCGCTCCGCCTCCAATTCCCCCAAATCCGGAGAAAGACGTGCTTCTACAAACCCTGTCACGGACTCTAACCCAAACCCTGCATGCCAACATCGAGCAGACGAATTCTCGCATAGATCCTTTAAATTCGCAGTCAAAGGCATTGCACGACGCAATTGCCACCCTGCGATCTGAAATTGCCGCCGTCAATGCATTCCACGCTAATATCCAGTCAAATACGCAAATCCTACAACAGTCTCTCTATCGCGCAGATGGGATTATTGCAGATGCAAAGACACGTATATCATCGTCTTCGGCATCTTCTTCTTCCCAACAGCCTTCTGGCCTACCTCCAATAGATGAGGTACTAGTTGCTCCAACGGTGGTAGGGAAACAGATTTACGATCTTGTGACGGATGAGCGCAGCATTCAACGAGCTATTTACGCTCTTCAGTCTGCACTTGTCAGGGGACGAGTGGGGGTCGATGTATGGGCCAAATCAACGAGAAGTTTAGCCAGAGAGGCCTTTTTGAAGAAAGCTTTGATTCGAAAAGCTGCAAAGGGAATGGGTTTGGTTGTTGAGTAAAGATATGAGTGAATACACCAGTAGCTCAATATAAAGATCTTTTTATAGACTTCCATTCGAGTCACTTGGAACGAAGGAGCGAGGAAGCATATACCTCAAGAGGTGGTTTTCATGTAACAACGCTGGGTACAGAGTTCCACGGTGTATACATTTGTAGTAAGAAGATGGATGATTGGATGAGTAGCTATAGTCTACTCTATAGGGTAACAGGCAATTTCTTTCCATCGCTTTCCAGTTTGCATCCTTGTGCATTTATGCGCTTGTGCACTTTACAGACAATGCCTTAACCCGTACAGAAGGTGATGTCCTGGTGAGGTGCCCGCTTGCTTGCCCTGAACAATCCGTGTTGCTAGACAGATTCCCCTGTTAGCTCCATCTTATCCGTTCGCCAGAAGGTACCTAGGTAGTTACTTACGGGTAAACATCACAGGAATCACCCTCGCCTAACCTAATAGATCTAATGGCGGCGCTGTTGTATGCCTGTTAGTAATGACAGTAGCCAGTACGCTTTATGGCATAAGGCGAGAAGAACTTACATCGGGTGGAGGGTGCGGCAGCTTCCATCAGAACGGACTACTTCAGGGCGGCCTCGATATCCGAAAACTGGATAGATGACCTAAGGTATAGACCTTGTTAGTGATAGCCCCTGGTTTATAGGAGCAGTAGACATACCGAAGTGGCAGTGGCCGTGGTGGCAAGGGCTAGGAGAAGGACACTGGAGAACTGCATGGCGCTGGACAAATGATATAGATAGAGTAGACTGTAGACTGTAGACGGAAGCAATTGTTGTTAGGTGCAGATAAATCAACAAGCGGTCGTGGGGGAAATTAGTCTGAATATATACCCATCCACACTTCATATTGGTCACCTCTCCGTGTAAAATGCGAATGAGTGAAGCGATCATCCACCACAGCTAGCACCCATTTTTCAGTCTCTCATGAGCCTAACCGAGGGCTGATCGAAGCATCTTATTTGGTCAACAGCTAGTTAACTAGTGAACTGGTGGCTTGCCAGGCGTTGAGTGCCGTACATAAGACACACAGACAGAAGCTAGAGAGGTCCGCGTCAGCGTAGACAGCAGGATTCAGATAGATGTTTGATACTACATAGCTCTGAGCAGTATCATGGGTTAGCTGCGAGACCAAGGTCCTCGAAGTCATTTATAATTAATCGAACTGCTAACCGATATGGCCCTAGAGACGATGAAGGAGTTGGATGCTACATACGTGTATGTATGTAAAAGGTACATGCATGTGTGCGTTGTCTGCGCCCTGCTAACGGTGATGTGATGACTGAGAAATGAGCGGCAGGATTCTATTTGATGAAATCTGGATACATAGCAAGTCGATGCGCCACAGTTAGAGGTTGCTTCTTTTTTCTAGCCGTGTTGCATCTTGTGTTGGCCCCTATTCTCAATGCACGGCTGGTATTGTTCGAGACGACGGACACATCTGAGGCATAGTATTGGCCAAGCAAGACCGCCAGCTATCAAGAATAAAAGCTCATATCAAGCAGGGAAGATCGGGGCTGGAGTAAGATAGAGGGTATAGCTCCGGCCTATCCTCGGTGCACCGAGCCAGAACTTGTCCCTGACATGCCGAGTAGCTAGATATACTATTGTATGTACTCCGTATAGAGCTCTGTCCTCACACTACGTAGGCGAACAGACTTGGTTAATTGGATAGGACTTCGACAGCTGCTTTCCCCCGACACTATGAATCGCTAAATAGATGATATGCCCCTGTTAACCCCATATCTCATGCCGTCGCCCAAGATTGCCATTAACTCAAAGGAGTTAACGGACGACCAGGGTCTATGCAGGCAGATTTTGACAGGCTTACATTGGCATTGCTAAACAGATGAGTGAAGGGTGGATGGTAAATTATATACAAGCCCGGCATTTGAGCCGGAAAGATCCCATCCTTCAACCTTTCATAGTTCTAATGATCGAACCCCGTCGCAACTTTGACATACTCTATTAAATGTTAATATCTGTTAATTATGTAGGGGCGGGAAAGCTTGGTTATAACCCTATATTATGATCAAACCTTCACACTCCCCGTAATCCACTATATATAAACTACTAGGCCTTGATATTTAACTTTAGACTTGGATGGAATATGAAAATTGTTCTATATATCCACTTCTGGTCTCGTTAAACGAGGTAGTTGAGATCGAGCATGTTGAATAAGACAGCATTATTAGGGGCGGGATCAAGTACAGAAGCGTCCCGGGAACAAAGCATAACAGAAACGTTGTAATAGTGTTATACATATCATTGGGCCGTAAGGGTCATCATTAAACCAAAAAGCAAACAAGATATTCACAAGAAAGAGTTGAGTGTGGCAACAGGGTATAAGAAGTTAAAAAGTATACAGATAATTACCAATGGCATAGGCCACCTTCGCCCTCGTCCACGGACCATGTACCAGCTAGTCCAACTACTTGCATCTGTCCGTCAGCATGTTCATCAAGCTTTGGCAGGGTCGCTACCTTGGGTGCTTGGACGCCCGCTTTATCCAGAAGCTTCTTTGCCCATGGCCCAATGGCCGCTTCACCCGTCTCATCACGGGCCTGTTTCAAGAACGGGATGAGTGCGGTGCCGCCTGTGCCGCGGAGCGGCGCTTTCTTGTTGTGCTTTGACGATGGACGGTTGGACATTAGCATTCCACCGGGGGTTGATTGGGGTTGTGACAGTGCTCGTGAGGGAGAGGACAGAGGTTGTATATCCCGCTGCTCTTCGCGCGACTTAACCACAATGTACCGTGATACCATTGTGATGTGCGTGGTTCGGATAGCTTTGACCATTGCAACTGCTGTGTTGAAGGCCATGACTAGATCTGTATCTGACTGATGTGACTGGACATATTCTTGTATGTTGGAAACGCTGGAAACATGTTCCAAGAACCGCCTGTGTGGGCCGGGCATATACGTCCGCATTTCCATGAGGAAGTTGTGCCATCGCTTCCTCGCCTCGCCATTCTCGTCACTTGATGACGAAGAGGTAGGGGAAGGAGTGTTTGGCTTTGGTCTAGTTTCACCTGTTGGACGATGTTCGACACCCAGTACAATATCGAAGAATTGTATCAGCGAGCTCTGCGCGTTACTTCCTCCCCTATAGTGTTTGTATTCGCGGTTCTCTGTCCCGTCATCGAAAAGTATGCCACGCGGAAGTTCGGCCATACCCTTGCTTCCTGCCAAGAACGGGCGGATACGGTGGTAGAAAACATGCGGGTCACAATGTTTGTACATTTTCTGTAGTACGAGGTTGACCTCGTCGACCACCTCAGCAAACTTGGTCAGGCATTCTGTAACCTCTTGCGTCTGGTTCTCACGAGCTGCAGATATGGCTCGGAGCATAAGAGGTATGGACCGTGCACCCCGGGCCTCAATGGCAATGGAAACAAGGTAGAACCATTGCTCATCCACGGAGCCGGTAAAAGTGAATAGTGTGGCAAGGTTTTCGAGAGAGTCTGTGGGTTCATCGGCGAATATTGGCTTGTAATTCCATAGACAGAGGCCAGCAAAGGTGGCTACTGGTGGAAGTTCCAGTTGAGCGGCAATTTTTAAAAGTGGGATGGCCAGGGGTTGCGGGATTTCCTGCAAGTATATGTCAGCGTTGTGACGCGGCGTAATTAATCCCTGACGGACAGCGGAAAATAAAATATATAAAAAGATAAAAACAAGAAAGCAAAAAAAAAATATTCAACGGTCACAGGACAAAGCTGAAGTAGGAGGGTAACTTACATCAGCGGGTTCATCGCCCCCCCAAATATAGCCATGCAGAAGGAAACCAAGGATGGAATATGCACGTCTCCATTCTGGTGTAGTAAGGAGCTGGCCGGTCGAGAGCACAGGCATCTGTGCAATTGTTTTCCGCAGCCTCCCGGCTAGTATCAGAGGCTGGAGGTTTCTGACAGCCGTCTCCCATGGAGAGTAGTATGCTGGGAGCTCTGTAGCTGGTGGCTCCTTGGGGAGGAAGCCATGCTCCGGAGTGATGCCATAGTCTGCAAGGTTGGGGACTGGACGCAACATGGCAACGGTTCAGCTCAATATGTGCGTGCCGAAGTTATAGATATAGAAAACTCCCAAGAGGCCAAAATCCGCTGTTGGTTGCGGGGTGGGACAGCAGAACTGTCGAGGGAGAGGGAAGGGAGAGGCCTTAAGTATAGACAATAGAAGAGGCCGTGGCCGATCAAGGTAAGTTGCAGGCGAGCTGAAGAAGCAAAACAAACAAAGGGAGCACAAGATAAATATAACAATCGGGAGAATTTAAATCTCGCAGGCGAAAAAAAAAAAGCGAGCAACTTATTCCCAACCGACTATCACGTGGATATGACGTCTATAGGTACCCCCTGCGCATAACTTGTATGGCGAGATACTTAGCCCGGGTTGGCGTGTTTCGAATGAACGGACGATTCAGGGACCACGGGAAGTCTTTTTTTCCCCAGATAAACCAGTAGTAACTCTCCGCAAAGCATCTAGAGGACTCCAAAAGCCAAGCTGAACAAGCCCAGTAAATGGGTTTGGAATCACCAAGGTCCGCAAGCAGCCGCACCATCATCCCTTGACATTTTGATATTGTCCCGGCCAGGATGGAGACCGATGGAGAGTTAAGTAGACGCCACCAACCGCGCCCACGGGGAGATGATCGCTGTTTCAGTCTGGCCTGGCCGTCCTCACCAGCACCTGTTATCATCACAACAAGGATTCTGGTCAAACAATTGGCATTCCTACCAAGTTTGGAGGATGGAAGCGCAGTGGCCAACAGTTTTAAGTCGCCGGCAACATCAAGCGACCTCCAGACACGTATTCCACCGTCGATGAAACCGAGTAGATTCCTCCGTTGTCTGTTCCTCAGAACGATTTTCCTTGGCCAGATGGTCTGACACGGTCACACTGTATTCGAGACGTTTGCGGGTTTGGTAGGCATGGCCAGAGCATTCTGTCGTCCTCTGCGACCTCGTCGAAACCGGACTAGCAGCTGGACCAGCGCTCTCAGCGGCTGGTTGTAGTAAACAATTAGAGAAGGGCTCATGATGCGCGGTTTTTTCCCTATATCGACGTGCAAAAATTGTCGCGCATGCGGGCGGAGAATTCCACTGCCCAGAAACAGCGGAAAATGCCTCCTGCTAGCGACGATGCTTGCTTTTTTGCTGTCTAGTTCTCGACCGCCGCTTGCGGCGTCCCGGCATATATCTCTGGAATCGTTGCTCATAGGGCGTTGATGTCGACATTTCGTCAGCGTAAATGTATGTATCGTCAGTGGTGGTGAAGGTGGAAGCGGGGACCGGACAGCTGCAACTTATTTTTGTTTTGGTGTAAGTATTTGGATTCGGGCTGCGCTGAAGACCTCCATGTGATGGTTATATAAAGCAGGAAAAGACGAGGGCCAGCGAAGACAGCTTCTATTCATTGGGCGCGGAAGGCTGAATACCATGGTTCAAGCTGAGTGGCCGGACGATCCGTGGCTTTCTCTCAGCTACATTAAATAGCATGTCCGACGAGAAAACTTAGGGCTGGCTGGGTTTGGACGTCATGAATTCGTCCTACATGACATCGCCATGATTCATGGTTAGAGAAGTAATACCATGATCTCGGCCTGTGTAGCAGATACTCGATTGGGCAGGGCATATATGGCCAGTTGCCGACGGCGGCAATTAGAACGACCTGGTTCTATATGCGCTGGCGAAGTTTGAGGATGTACGACATGACAAGAGAGTGCAAGATGCAAAAAATAGTAATTTGAGTAGTGTCATAATCAGCCCCGAACAAGCTATGGTACATATTTCCTGGGTCATTTTAATGAAATGTTCCCATAACAAAAAACAGGTGAAAAGGCCAAACCCTGACGCCTGGGTTATCCGAACCCTCCGTCATAGACCATCATGGAAAAAAGGTCACATATGGGCTGGGTGGCCGACTGGTTGTAGCTGAGCCATTTTATTGGATCTAGCACATATTAATAAAAATATACAGAGGGGGTATTAGAACAACATGGAATACGCATGCGTGGTGAGATAGCAACAAAAGGGCTAAAGTTAGTTGGTGGAGGATCATAAAAGATGAGCTCAATGCTGACTCCATTCAATGGTATTCAGATCAACACCTTCCTGAACGAGTTCCCATAGCGGACTGAGTTCACGAAGGAAGGTGACTCTCTCCTTGACAGCTTTGATCACATAGTCGATCTCGCTTTCGGTGGTAAAACGACCAATGCCGAATCGAATGCTACTGTGGGCGCTTTCGTCGCTATTTCCGAGCGCACGAAGGACGTAGCTAGGTTCAAGGGAGGCAGAGGTGCAAGCACTGCCAGAAGAGAGGGCAATGTCTTTGAGGGCCATGAGGAGGGATTCACCCTCGACATAGGCGAAGGATACATTTACGCAGCCTGGGTAGTGGCGGTCCGGGTCGCCGTTAAGGGTAGTGTGTTCGAGAGCAAGAAGACCAGTGAGGAGTCGCTGGGAGAGCGCTTCGATGCGTTTGGAGTCGTACTGGAGGGCTCGATGTTAGTTAAGCCAACCAATACAAGGAATATTCGGTGAATATATAAGATAGGGTCATAAAGACAGTGTAGTGTGTAGGGAAAAAGGGGAGAGTTATAAGCCATGATCATATAGGTGCTATATCAAACACAAGTCGTTGACTTTCAGAACCATGCATGTATAAGAATTGTAGAAGCATTTAATCATCTCAGGCAGAACTCGCAGGTCGGAGGGATAACGGCGGATAAACAGATAAATAAACGATTCAAACATACCTCCATCTCTTCCTTTGCGATACGGCAGGCTTCTCCAAATCCGACAACCAGGGGAGGTGCGAGAGTTCCACTGCGCAATCCACGCTCCTGACCGCCACCAGTGATAAGTGGGTCGATACGGACTCTGGGACGACGACGAACATAGCAAGCACCGATTCCTTTCGGACCATACAACTTGTGTCCAGAGATCGACATCAGGTCGACGTTCCACTCGTTGACATCGACGGGGATCTTGCCAACTGCCTGCGCAGCATCAGTGTGGAAGAAGATCTTCTTCGACCGACAAAGCGCCCCAATCTCTTTCATAGGTTGAATCACACCAATCTCGTTGTTGACAGTCATGATGCTCACCAACGCCGTTTCTGGTCGCATGGCAGCCTCAAGATCTTCGAGTTTGATCAACCCATTACTCTGAACCGGCAGATAGGTCACCTCGAAGCCCTCGTCCTGTAAATGTCGACAACTGTCAAGCACGCACTTGTGTTCGGTCTGGGTTGTGATGAGATGCTTCTTCTTTCCGGACCGACCAAAAAACCGAGCCACACCCTTGATGCTCATGTTGTTACTCTCAGTAGCCCCACTGGTGAAGATGACTTCTTTGGGATCGGCCCCGATGAGGGTGGCGATGTGTGACCGAGCCTGCTCGGTGGCCTTTTCGGTTTCCCATCCGTAGGCATGAGTTCTCGAGTGAGGGTTACCATAGAGACCGGTGAGGAAGGGTAGCATCGCATCGAGAACTCGGGGATCAGTGGGGGTGGTGGCTTGCATGTCCAGATAGATCGGTCGACTTCCTTCATCCATGATTGTGGCCTCTTTCAAGATACCAGCTGACGGACTCATCAGGGCATCTCCGGAAACAGCGGTGCCGGGGACCGACACCTTCTGCTCTGCTTTGACCGCAGTATCGACGGGGGACTGGGCTTGGGCGTTGTTCTTCTTCGAACCCGACACATAGCTCCTCCTACTTGAGCTGGAGGAACCAATTACGGTCCTCGCGCTGTATGCTGGTCTCGCCAGGCTTGCCGACAGCGACATACGCCGCGAGCAGGCCCAGGAGGCATGTCTGAGCACTTGCGGTGCTATATTCGACATGGTTGGCTGATGATTCTTCCACACAGAAGAGAGAAAAGAAAAAAAGAAGGGAGGAAGGTGAGAGAGAAGACAAGAAAATCTCAGCGCGAAGTTTTGTGGGCAGAAGCTTGGCTTATGTAAGAGGTGATGACAAATCGGGATTAACCTCGGCCGAGCCAAAGCTCCGAGTCACGTGGACCGGACCTCGTACTTGCGTTTTTCTTACTGGACAGATAAGAACAAAGATGGCATGGATGGCATAGGAGGATGAGATAGGAGGATGAGTAGAGAGAGAGAGAAGAGAGGAAGAGAGAAAGAAGAGAGAGAGAGAAAGAAGAGAAAGGGAGAAAGAAGACGAAAAAGGGTATGTATGGAAGTGGCTGTTAAGAAATTCGTACTATTATTTCATGACCTCTAGATATAAAGCTAAACAAACATCACAGCGCCATAAAACCGACAAAAAATTATACACAAGGAATTAAGAGCCTAAAGCAGACCAGCCCAGGCACCGCCCATGGCGACCAGAGCAGCAGCACCGCTAAAGGTCAGGCTGGAGGCAGCATTGGTGGTAGTAGCTGCAGGAGATCCAGAGCTGGTGGTGGGAGTACCACTTCCGCCGCTTCCATTGTTGACCTTGGCTGGTGCCTCGCCGTTTCCAGCGGACGAGGCCTTTTGGGTGTAGGCCTCGATGCTGTCTCCGCTAGATCTGTTCATTGAATATGGATTAGCATGGACAGTACAAAGTGCGAGGTGAAAAGCATGACTTACGGAGCGTTGATGACAGCAGTCATGCCCTTGGAGCAATGCTTGGAGACAGAGCAGTAGATCCAGACTGGGTTGGTGCTGGTGACGTTGACGGAGAATACATCGCCCTCATTGAGCTTTCCGGAGTAGAGTGAGTTGCTCTCTGGCTTGCATGGGTTGTTGAATGGGCCGGAAGAGACGTCGTGGCCACCCTTGGAGAATTTGAACACGACCTGGTCATGGAGGTCGGCCACAATCTTGTTTGGGGTGAATGTGAGGCCATTCTCGGCGACCTTGACTTCGACGGTCTTTGCGGCAGCGAGACCCGCGAGGGCGACAGTGGCGAGGATGTTCATGTTGACCATGGTTGCTGTTTAAATATGGAGGTATGCGAAATGCTGCTGAATAGTGGTATTGGTATTTTATGGTAGGATATTGGATTTTATTGCAAAGTCGAGAGTGTACGAGTTGTTAGTGAGCAAAGATACTCTGGGGAGAGCTCTTGCGGCCTTTATATAGAAGGCTCCAGCCGCCAGCAGAAGTAAGCATTCGCGCAAGGCTGTACTCTGCAAGCCACGGTGAACAATCTCAATCCCCCAGCTACCAGCCCTTCCAATTCGCTGTCTTACGGCCGGCAGCAGCAACGATACGTGCCGCGTGCGCGGGCTGAAACTCCAACGAGACAACGCCATGCGACAAAGGCCATACGTCGAAGAAATCGCCAAGCGAGGATACCAACAAAGAAGCCTCGAAGGCTGCTCCTTACAAGGCTATGGCGAAACTTTGCTCGAAAGCGCAAGGTATTAAGTCCGTAAGCCTGCGGAGGGATTAGAAACGGCGGAGAATCACAACTTTCGGCCAATCAGGCCATTCTAAGCGCTGTGTGTATTGGCTGAGTTCGCTGCCTAAGATCCCCTAGGGGATTGGCAACATGAACACATCCCGTACAGCCATAATTTGCCGTAAATTAGCTGCTAACTACTTGTTATCACATTCAGGATCATCTTGTCAGTGGTTGCTTGGGATAGATGTACTTGGCAGTGAGCTCCGCCCCCAACCGGGATTCCTGATCAGCATACGGAGGTAAGGAGTTGAGTATGATTAGCTACGTTTAGGGCCTGTTCCATGGCTGTCAATTGCCAACGTCTTGGGAGAGGCATGGTTGGAGCTACGTGACATAAAAATGCTAAATATGCACTCCGTAACTATCGTGGCTATGCCACGAGCGCTAGCATCCAAGCGCCAGGCACGAAGCTATTTCGCGTACAAAACCTCAAACAATATTCTGTCATCGAGCTTGGCCTTGGGGGCGATCACTAGCACTAGGGAAGCACATGCATTACCGACCTTTTTACTAACTGCAGATCACAGATAATGCGCCGGTTACGATGAGGCATTTGCCCATTTCGACGAGGCTCATGGAGTACGCCGGACCGGGACAGGTACGTGGCCGAGATATAAGATTTGGTGGTAACGCTACTATGTGGAATCATGACCAAGTGGCTGAATGTATATACGCCGGTTAGAAAGGTCAAAACAAGGCTCGAGCTTCGAGAGATGTGGAGAGAAGTTAGATATCAACCATGTTCAAATATAGCTATCCAAATAGGAATGATGCTTCCAACTATCTATGTACTGTTCTATTGCTCTATCGTTTAAATTTATTCATCACTGGCACCATCTATGTGTAATAGGGATATAAAACACTACCATGGTTTACCATACCTTGCTAGGGTTTCCATTGGGTTGCCGGTTTGCATCCATAGATCCAGAACTTCATCTGAAGGTATCCAGATCATACCAACCATTGCTGCAGCGTTCACAATCTTTATACCTTCCTGGTTCGCGCGAGAGCGGGGTATTATCATCATCCAATCCTTGACTAGAACAAGATTATGTGAATAGTCATTCTCATCCACGCCAGCGGCGGCCAAAAGGTCTGTATAAGTCGAGTACACTTCTTCTGCCGTTGCTGGCGTGGGCAGTCTTCGAATAGCATGCTTAAAGGGGATATTCGGAACCCGTCCTACGTGAAAAGTCAGCGTTTTAACGTAGAGTCAACAGTTGGTTGTTCAAACCACGAACCGTTTTTAATCCCATATATATCTGGGAACAGGTTATGGACATCCCGGGCCGGCCGCGGAAGCAGCTGCATATGTCGATGTGGCAACGACCAGCCGCCTTGCAGCCCTCCGTTATATATGAGGATATATTCGCTTTCCAGCCTGCTCAGTACGCTCCATCCGGCAGACAAATCTACCGCAGACAAGGGCTCGATCTGAGGCTTAAACTCGTTCGCATGCAGGATAAACTGTGTCCGGACGACGCAGAATTTATTCAAGCGTAGCGTATGCTCGGGCCCAACGTGCTCGATAACGAACTCTGGCGGGTCGTTGGCGAACGGACTTGATTTATTAACTGGCGGCTTCTTCTCGGCATCTTTAATAGGTATTTGTGGTTTCTTCGTCAGGCTTGATGCGATGCGGAACTGAAGCTGATCTCTTGGTGCGACCCCGCAACTGTTAGCTGGTGTTCTCGGGCTTCGTATAGTAGTGAATGGTCGAGTGGCATGTCCTTACATTGAATGGTTTAGCTGGAACATGAACTGGATCGCGATGGGAAAAGATCACATCGCCCTTCTCAACCAGTGCGTCAAATTGGCGTAGAGCCTTAGCCTCAAGCCCCTCCATCATCGTGGTCTGGTCGTAGTAAGTAAATAGTAATTGAATATGTCTTCATACGACGACTTCGGCTTACGAGGCCGGAGTTTTAATTAGCGGAAATTTCTTCGGGGCGAAAGTTGCCCCTCGGACCTAGGCCCGGCTCCTAAGTTTAAATATTTAGCTAAGGATGCGGCGATGTTTAAGTATACAGTTAAAGCTTGACTTCATCGAATTCATCAAAAGAACAAAAGGGATATATGGCTAGAAATACTCGAGATTAACGCTTCAAATAAAGCAATAGACAACGAAACAGCCTATAATCCACACTAACTAAGATTCTTCCACTACGAGGAAAGCCGTTTGATATCATAACACTCACTTCGCCCTTCATATCTCATCATTTTTCATATTCAACACCACTGACTTCCTGACATAGTCCAGCCAAAATGTCCCCAGGCCTAACATCCATCTCGTTTTCTCAGCATCTAGTCGATGAATGGTTTCGTCCAGAGTCGAAAGGATCACATCTTGTTCACCACCAGCCTTTAGCTGGACATCCGCAAGGCTATATTTGGCGACATCAACATAATAATGATCGCCCTTCCACTCCTTGACGGAAGATTGCCCATAGCTAATCGTCTCCATCCATCGAGATTGCGCCCTCTCCCAGTTCTGCTGCAGATGCGATATCTGCGCGAGGTATGCAAGGACGGAGAAATGGCGAATCTGATCATCATGCCATAGAGTTCCCGTGGTACTCATCTTTTCGAATCGCCCTTTCAGACCTAGCAACTTCCGTTCCGCTTCTGCATATCGCTCTGTGCGAATGCGGCCTTCGCAAAGGATGCTGACTGCTTCGTTGATTTCGAGAAACATCGTATCGTTCTCACGGACGTTCTCTCTGTCCTGCTGGCTTAAGCTACCTCGTGTGAACATGCGGCTCTCTATGGCCTGCGAGCATACATAAGAGACTATCTCGCACGGTCGCGCATTGGGCTGAAGAGTTGGCTGTTCGCCGCCGCAACGTATACCATTCGTCGTTAGGTCGAGTAGAGCATCGCACTTTTCTTCCGACCCTTCAAGTTCAAGGACAACTTGGACGAAGTCTCCGATTGCCCATCCCTCTTCACGGCTTCCGCGTTTGGCATAATCTTCAATAAACAGTTTCAAAGAGTAGTATGAATCTTTAAACTGCCCGAAATCCTTTGCGAGTTTACCCCGCATTCGTACACCCATCCCTTGGGCGTATCGCTCGAGGTCTGAAGGGTTATATCGATCTAGAGGTTTCCAGGCTTCGATATATTCTGCTCGTTTCTCCCACACTTCTCTATCGGACAGTTTCTCCTCGCGGACCAAGTATTCTATAGATAGATTTCGGAGGAAACCCACCTGCGCATTGTCGTTTTTTGTAATCTCGCTATGGGGGTCAGAGTCTATCTTTTGCAGGAATTCAGCAGCAGCTTCGCAGCCTTCGGTAAACTTGCCGTGACTATAAAACTCCAGTGGAAGCCGGGTACACCAGAGACGAGCTTGCAAACCAGGTCTTTTTGACGGCTCTAGAAGGGCCTTAAGCCAGTTCATGAGGGTACCATCTAATTCGCCAGAGCCTTCCCCGTACCCACGGATAGCTTCGAGGAACATTTCGGCCGTGGATTCCGCAAAACTCAGCTCGCTCTCGCCCTTAGCTTTCACTTCCCGAATAGCCTCAATGAAATTGATATCTTCATCGGCGAGGTATTCGCGGTTGAGACTACATTGGTAAACCTGAGGGAACATTTTTCGGGAAGAACTATCACAACTTGTCAGTTTTGAAATACGACTGTATTGAAAGGGTCCCCAGCTACTAACCTTCCACCTAACCCAGCTTGCACAACCGGATACGCGTGAACGACAAGGCTCAACGCATGAATTGCATTTTCTATCATCTCATCGGGTGTGAGAGCTTCTCGGATGTAAGAGTATGTTAGAGGATGCAAGACGATGGCATCCTTGCCGTTTGAGCTCTTGTCGTCCTCGAATATCTCGTCATTGGCAATTAGGGAATACGATTTCAACTCTTTCAATGCAAGATCGAAACCTGGCCCTTTTATTAAGTCAATTAGATCTGCAGAGACATAGCTGCTCCGTGGGCCCCGCATTTCGACTTGACCATCAGAACCCCAGCGAGGTTGGGGAGAAACTGCACGCTTCAGGAAGCTAGTTGTCGTTTTGGTCCTGTCGAGCCAAACCAGAAGCTTGAGCAACTTGTAAGCATCGGGGCTTTTCTTGACTTCGTCCAACGTGATTTGGAGGATGGATTCAACCGATGTCTGATACTTGGATGCCTTGGGACGATATGAAAGCAACCTCCGCGAAATTTTCCTGCCTTTCAGAGCGTTAAGATACTCGTCGATGGTAATGTTATTGCACAGGATATATGCGGCTGCTGAATCCACAGCAAGAGGCTGACAGCCCATAGATTTGATGACATTCTTTGCCTTAGCTTCCCATTTGAGGCGGTCTTTCACATCGATACCAGCCCTTGAGAAGAGCAGGTCCTTGGCATCCTTTTTCTGTAGCGCATTCATAGAAAGAGCTTTCGTGATTCTTGGGTCACTGATTTGTTCCCGCCCTCGGCAGGTTATGATGATATGGCCGTGACCAGTTTCCGGAAAGCCAAATTGATTCAAAGCTAACCAGTCATTGTCATTGTCAAGAATCATAAGCCACCACCGCTCTAGACGAAGGAATTGCTTGATATCCTCTACTGCGCGAGCGCTACCTGGAGGAAATCCCAATTTACCATGGAGGTCAATGAAATCACTTTCCAGAGACTGAATATTTGTTGAATTGACAAAAAAGACATGATCGTATCGATGTTCATTCTCTCGTGCATATTTCAATGCGACTTCCGTCTTGCCCATCCCTCCATTTCCATGGAGTACGATGATCTTGCGGCCTTCGGAGCCGGAGAAAGTCTCGTGGATCTGCTGAAGATAATCCCGCCGGCCGGTGAAATGTGGTGTTACATCCCACGGGAGAAAGACGTGGGCTTCACTCTGTATTGGGCCTAACTCGATTAGATGTCGTAGGCGGTTTACGACTCCGTGGAAGATTGGTTCATCTGCGGATTGATATCTACAGATTTCACGATGGTTGGCGTGTACTCCAAGAGCATACTCACTTGGTATGTTGAGGAGTGCCGATTCTTTATAGACGACCTTCATGACCCTTGATTAACTTTGAACAAACTGGGTGGGATGGGTTTGACTTACGACATCGCTGAAGCAGATCAGCCGACCCTTCACCGGAAGCAGTTCATAGAAGCTGCTAATTGGTAGGCTTCTCTGGTCAGCGATCTGCCTGAAGTCACTCGCGATACTCTCTCTATTATTATATCAGCATTTGATCCGGTACCCAGAGCGGATGGGAACCTCGGACTTACAGCTCTAATGAATTTTTCCTGAGCGTACTTATAAATTTCTGTGGTAAGCCGAGATTCAACTGGTTCACCAGCCTACTCGCAACATCGGCCAAGGCACTCCCCCGATGAGGTGCCGCTAGGAATACTATCCCAGACAGTGCAGCAAGGATATGCCTCAAGGACGGTTTATTGTTACACGTAATTAGCACCTGTTGGTCCTGTCAGCGGTGTGTGGTATATCGTGAGCAAGCAAGTATCGAAGACATGGTACCTTCTTGAGAACAATACCGCCGAGCGAGTATGCCACCACAATCAATGGCCGTGTTCTCTCCTACAACATCATATCAGTCAAAGTCACCGCCGTTACAGTCTGTCAGAAAAATGGTCACCTTCGCTGGCCTGACCCTTTCTAGCTCACTGATAAGCTGTAGGGCGGCGTCTTCGATATCGAGATTCGCATCTCCGTATCGTCCGGCGTCGTATCCGAAACTTAGGACTCGAGCTGACACCTTGAGGGCTTGCGGCAACAGGTCTCGCGGCCAGCAGATGTCACCGTGACTCCATGTATTGATTGGATGGCCCGTTAAGCCGTGGACCAGGAGAATGCTACAGCAATTCACCCATTAGCACTCGACTTGCTGAAGTTGTATCGTTAGTCCGTACTCAGCAGCAACATTCTCAGCCTCGTCAGGCTCGTGGAGGGGGAAAATCCCTAATAGGGGATTTTCTTTACCCGCTTTGGCAGCCGGTCCATAGGAGTTGGTTCTACTGCTCTCCATATCCGCGCTTTCTATCAACCTCGCCTTTTACATCCAGTACGCAGCCTTGGTGATATCTACTTTTTATATCCAGATCTAGCTTCGTTACGGGTCAGCATAGACTTCTCGGATAAACTATTACACGGGCCGCCCGCTTCCCGTTCCGGACAGGGGTACAGCTGGACTTCAATCGTTGATATCTTTGTATCTTTATCTTCTATATCATCCATATCACGGAGTACTGGCTGCGGAGAAGATGTCGTGACAAGAGAACGTCGGCTGTGATGGGCGCTGGTCGGTTCTCCTCCATATCTGGGGATGAAACAGAACCACCTTCCCCGTAGAAATGGCCTAGAAATGGCCTGGATGGAGCCTTCGGATAACTGCGAATCAAGTGCCTGCTGCTTATCCCTTCTCCACCGAACCATTTGATTGGTTTTATCTTGAAGGTAAACCCGAGATCCGTGCAGTGACGTGGGTGTCTTGCAGTTCCATCTCCTCCACAGGTTCCTTCAACCTCATCGTCTCCGTAAAAGGTAGAACTCCGTATTCTGATCTCTGCTCGTCGCGCAGGAAACCTCTCGCTATTTATCCTGATAGCTAAGGCAGCCGGCGCGATCTCAACAAAAAAAAGAAAATAGATGATCTGCACTCGCCGAGATAGGCTTGAAAATTGGACTTTTCCGGTCCGTGGAGAAGATACACCATCTCATTGACTGTGGCTACTGGGAGTTGGCGGGCTCATAGGAGATTTGCATCACTCATTGGCTCTACTCCTATGGTCCCCCCCAGAAGGTAATCTGCGCTGCCAGATTGCTTGCGTGCCATGGCGTGTCACCAAAAGCCAACGGCAAATCAATTGGGCGATTTGCACCAAAACCCCAGCCCGCACGATACTGATACTCTGCCATGAAGAGAAGAGTCTTCAGGGCTCGAGCAAGGGGGCGCTGTGTTACGCTTTTATTCTCCTCTGGATTCCACGCGCGTGTGGCCTGCTAGCTTGAGTCAGGCGAAGCCATTGGAATCTTGAAACGTTTCTTTTTGCCGTCTCTCGGCAGCTTTAGAGCACTTGCGCACGTAGCCGAGTAACTGTCCTCTTCGTCCATACCGAAAGCCTATAAATTGAGCGGTCAATGAGCGTCTTTTGGCGGGAGTGACTTGCGCAACTAAAGAAAAACTGACCCTTAGGTGGATCGCAGACAGTTGTGCAGAGAGCAAAACGCCTTAGTGACCAGCCACATAAGCTATAAAGCAGGTGTGTGCCCGCATTCTCAGTGCTCATGCCCTCTGCTCTCGCAGCATTCGTTGTTTGCTTACCTCCCTCGCCCGTCTCCAGGTTTGCCCGGGGCCTCTCCAGTCGCAATCGCAATTGCCAATGTCAGATATCACCATCACCAACAGCAGCGTCTGCGCGTCAGCCAGAAAGCGCCCGTTTACCATTCAGGGCGCCCTCGATGAACGATCCTCAGATAAAATAACAGTATGGGGGCGGAAAGGCACAACCTCGGCGCTCGGGGGCATAGCGTGTCTGGCGATGATGGTGGTATGCCCAATGGTTACCATTTTCTGGTGGACTTCGCTCAGTCGTTATGACGGATCCCTATCCCACGCCGGCATGTCCCTCGCGCAGACCGGGCTGATACCGTTCTTTGTACAAAACACGCCGGGTACGACTCTGTCGGTTGTGACCGTGTATGTCTGCTGGACCTTGTCGCACGTTATTCTATACTCTTTCCTGCCGGGAACGCGATGCAAGGGCCAGCTCACGCCAGCTGGGAACTTGCTGGAATACAGGATAAACGGCTTCCTTGCCTGTATAGTGTCCATCTTACTGGCTGCGGGCGTCCATTGGTACGGGCTCTTCGATCTTACCTTTGTGGCCCAGAACTGGGGAGGCTTTGTGTGCTTGTTCAATATTTACGGCTTGCTGTTGGCATTGGTGTTCTACATAAAAGCCCATGTTTCTCCTTCGCATCCAGAGGATAGAAAGTTCAGCGGTAAGGAATATACCCAAGTGATATCCTTGATTCAAGTTGCTAAACATGTTACCAGGATCCGTCTTTTATGATTTCTATATGGGCATTGAATTCAACCCTCGTCTAGGCTCTGACTGGGACATGAAGCTCTTTCACAACGGGCGGCCAGGCATGATCGGGTGGCTGATAGTGTATGACTCCTTTATTCAGTTTTGTGTCTCTGTATAACACTAATATGATAATTAGTGATATGTGCTTTGCTGCATGGCAATATAAGCAATATGGATACATCACAAACTCGATGATCATTACCAGCTTACTTCATACGATCTATGTTGTTGACTTCTTCTGCAACGAAGGCTGGTATGGAGGATCCCTCACTTTAATCTGAAAAGGCAGCAAGTCTAACTCTACCGTGAAGGTACCTCAAAACCCTTGACATGTGTCACGATCATTTCGGTTTCTACTTCTCTTGGGGCATTGCAGCCTGGCTCCCTGTGATGTACACTCTGCAGACGCAGTATCTAGCGACCCACCCAATCAATCTCCCCTACTGGGTTGCCGCCTTTATCTTGACAACGGGTGTGTCAGGTTACACTCTGTTCCGCGCAGCCAATCACCAGAAATACCTTGTCCGCGCTACGAACGGAAAATGTAAAATCTGGGGTAAATCTCCAGAATTCATTCGTGCTAAATATAAGACGGCAGAAGGATCTATCCATGAATCTCTCCTACTATGCTCAGGTATATACCCTTTTCAGTATTGTCGGTTTGATAAAGTCGTATGCTCTAATTACAAGACTAACGGACGTTTATACAGGCTGGTGGGGTCTCGTCCGTCATGCGAATTATCTCGGTGATTTAATTCTCTCTTACTCGATGTGTGCCACTTGCGGATTTACCAACTTGCTTCCTTGGACTTATGCTATATACATGACTATTCTACTCGTTCATCGATGCTATCGAGATGAGGTGAGATGCCACAACAAGTACGGCGAGTCATGGAAGGCGTACTGCGCAAAGGTTCCGTACCGAATCATTCCAGGGATTTTCTAGGACAATCACATAACGTTCCATTACACCAACATACTTGGTTTCTTTCATTGACATGGAATGACAATGGCTGTATCTTAATTGTTTTGTTAAGGTTGCTGACGATAAGTGGCATGGACGAATTTCGATCGCGGACGGGGAACTGAATTATGCATCTCATACTTATATTGACGATTAAATAGATTCCAATGGACGGGCAGTGGACTTTCTTCCTCTGTTTCATGATTTGTCGGTACTCATAGGACGAGATAGATGAATGGATAGATCTTAATTATGCTTTCAGATATTTACTACCTCCGGGTCCATCATCCATATAAAAGTTCAACTACCTTTCTCGATGGGTTAATTCATTACCCTGGGGGTGCACAGATTAAGCAGAACCCTTTACGCCGTCCTCCATGAGAGATTTCCACGTTGGCCGAGCGAGGATCTCTTTAGCCCATCTATACGAAGTCGGTCAGCTGCGAGTACTTAAATCTAGAATAATCCATAACAACGTACCTAGACACGGAAGGTCTTTCGTCAACGGCATTGCACCCAACTTGGGGGAGTAGGGTAAGGTAAGGGAGGTGGTAAAGATCGGCAAGCGTTAGCTCCTAAGTAAATATGTAAGCTTTATATCCAAAATGGACGTGTTTAAAGATAGGATCGACTTGACGCACGTTGCCCCCGATATACTTCTGCTTGCTCAGGATTTTCTCGTATCCATCCAGACATTGTAGAAGGTTTGACTCGAATAGCTTAACGGAGTGTTCATCCGGGGTCTTGCCTTGGTATCTATATATCTATTAGCCAACTGAATTACCTCAAAAGCGGAAGAAAAGGTTTGATGTATCATCCGTAGAATTTGAATTTAGACTTACGGCTTAAATAGCTTCTCATAAACAAGGGGAGCAGCAGCGGCATCGAAGCTGCCAACTTCAAGACTCAAGCCCTGTGCATAGAGAGCGTTCGCTTTAAGCTCCGATGGGACCAAAGGCGTGCCTTGACTGGCGTATTTAGTTACTATGTAGTGGCAAATAGCTCGACTCTCGTAGAGAACAAAACCATCATCGTCCTAAGAAGTAGTTTAATATGATACTTATGACTTGGCTAGGGAGCAATATACCTACAATGCAGGGAACACAGCCAAAGGGCTGAATCTTCATATAATCCTCATTCTTATGCTCACCCTTCGATAGGTCGACGCTGATATATTCAAACGGGACCTTCAACTCGTTAAGGACGAGGACAACACGCTGGGTGTTGGTCGAGTGGGAAAACCCGTACAATTTGAGGCCCATGGTTGAATTTTGAGAGCAGTAAAGAGGTTAAGCTGACTTAGATGGATAATGCGTAGATGTACGGAGTAGCTGGGCAAGGTAGGTACTCATCTCCCCTTGTAGTTCATAGTTACCACCGTCTATTTATATAAAGCACCGCCGGCCACTTTCCATGGCGGGGTCAAAACCTAGTTGACAGGCTGCCCATTACAGCTTATAGAGAAGTATGGACACGTTGACAGCACCAACATCGCAATACGAACTGGTACAGCTTAACTGCTTCGAGAGATAAGTACGGAGTAGCAGGCAGCTAAATTGTCCTTAGGACTTGTGCCAAGGAGGGCTCGACTTATTCCGCCCTGTACTTGTACTGGCTCAAGGAAAGCTCTACACGAGATATGTCAGCAGTAAACTCCGAATAAGTCAATTAAAGGAGAGGCTGAGGCAGTCCCTCGAAACCCCCACTACTGTCACTGCTCTTGTACCTTGTACGAGCTGACTATAACCTATAGGCCATAGCTAGATACGAGGATGGTGGGGTCCAAAGGCTTGAATTGCGTCGCTCTAGTTACGAAACACTAAAGTCAGTCATAGACAGGGAGGAGAGAATCAGTTGAGATTTGGCTAGTTGACCAAGCAGAGAGTGTAGTTGTCGCACTGTCAAGGGGTAAGGTATTTGATTTGTCATAAAGCCTCGAGACAGTACTGCATGAAAACCCTTGTGAGACTCCCGCCGCATTGCTTGGTCCATGTTCTACGCCTTTGCTATTCCTGTATTATGGGGTGAAAACGGCTTGAGAACAAACCGCTGTTGCCCCTAAATAGTGGTCGCCAGAAGAGGAACATTTGTGTCCATAATTGTTTAGGCGTGGCTCATATGGTCATCTAATAGCATGTTCACAGTAATCATGTAGAGTGCTGTTATAGAACATACGTTAGCCTCCCTACTCATTCTGTATTTAGAGACTCACATTTCCAACCTTATGATCAGCCAGGGAAGTGATAATATTGTGACCTTCGAGATGCCAACGAATATATTTTTCGATTTTAACTGCCTTTGCTTTCATTGTGAACATAAAGACGACTGCCATTTTAGGCCAGTACGGGCGGCGAGGAGGTATATACGCTGTGGATGGCCTGCCGTGGTGTTTACTCCCTTCCAACATCTGGAACGAGATGACGCTGGACCAACAACCTTCTGGGTTTATCCAACCATTGGCCTATCCTGCCGCTAGAGTTAATAATACAAATGTACTAGCAACCCAACGGAGGTGCTGAGGTATCCTGGCAATGTATATTTTATGTTCAAGCTCATACATAAAAATGTACGGGTGGTTGTTGTTTGTTCTGGTGTTTTACCAGCGGGATATTAACGGGGGACGGGGGTATATTAATCCGAGGTGGCTTATCATGTGACCTCGCATAAGTTTGATGGACCTCACTTTATGAACGAACAGTTGTAATGGATATTGTTTGATCGAAACTTCCTTGACTATGAGAAATGGGTTGTCTAATGACACTTAAGCCTATGCCTGAGGAGCAAATCCGATCTGTGGACCTTGAGTGTCCCACACCACAAACTGGCTCTTGAGGAATACGTCTCCGAAGATGTTTGGGACTCCGGCGCCACCGTTAGATTGAAGGCCTCCGAAACAGTTGGTTCCGTCGAGTGATTGGTAGTTCATGTATTCACCTGGAACAACAGCATTGTAGCCACTGATGCTAAGAGTGAAATCGGGAAGCTGGGCGCTGCAAGGGAATATCCAGCCACCTTGCTGTTGGCTGTTTTGTGCGCCCTGGACTTGTCCGTAGTAGTCGGAAACAACATCATCGCTCAGGAGCATGAGTGTGGTTCCAGTATCTAGAAGACGTAAGTTAGGGTGATGCTCTACTTGGAACTGACAATATTGAGATAGCCTTACCTGCGATGCCGCTAATAGAGCCTCCACTGGCCCTTCTGCGTGAAATTCCGTTGAAAGTTCCGTTGGACCCTCCAACCGAGTAGCTGTCGGCCGTGAATCCCCACCATCCGTTGCTGTTGTCGACCTGAGTATAGGCAATATCTCCGGTATGTTTGGCATCGTCAATATATCCAAAATCATATGACCCTGGCATGCCATGCTTGAGGGTACATGTGAACAGCGGCTTCTCAAGTTGGCTCAGAACAGTGTCAAGGAAGGTCGTCTGTGGTTTTGGTTGAACTGAGGGTATATCAGCGACTGGTCAACAGCAATAGGAAGGTCAAATGTGTGCTTACCGGTGTTGAGGACGCTGAAGGAAAGCCCCATCAAGCCGTCGGTGGCCTTATCCTTAGCAAACTGGTCGCTGACTTTCTGTGCGGACTCGACAGCCTGGGAACTGGCAGTTACATCACCGACGCTGACGGTGTCAAGGAAAACGTCTCCGCCGGCGGAGCTCATGTCGCCATAGCTAATTTCCCAGGAGTATCCATCGAGACGCTTCGCGCTTGAGCTGGGCTGGTAAAGGTTGTGCCCCTGACTCTGGCTTTGAGGCGTCTCAGTCGAGAAAACCCATCTATACCATGTTATTCACGACCCTCCAAATGACAACCTTGAAGGTCAAGGAGAATCCACTTACAGGTCGCCCGAGCCGGTGTCGAGGTCAAGGTTCAGTTTCCCCTGTCCAACAGTGACTTGGGTCACGTACTGCTCGTCACTTGGGGTTGGTGTAGTAGGAACACTTCCCCTTGCGGCATCCTCCACCGCCTTGGGGACCTTGATGCCGAACTTGTGCAGCGCACGGGCATAAGCAACAGCAGGATGGTGCACCTTGGTCATTGGGATAGCGACCTGGGGAACATTGAAACGAGCTTTCCCCTTGGTGGGTGCTGCTACCGTCAAGGTAGTGCACACTGCCAATGCGGCAGCAAGCTGGTTGACGAGGACCATAATGAACGAAGTATGTTCTCCTTAAAAGACCAAGAGAAGGGGAATTGGAATCAATAAGGCAGGCTTCGGAATCCAGGTGAGTGAGTTGCTTGCTGAGAGAGGTCTTAGAGGTAGGGAAATGGACATCTTTATACCCGCCTGGCAAACAGGATGGAGTCGACATCAACGAAATATCCAACTGCCGGCTCCATCTTTGGGGTTTGCTTGATACGTCTCTCTCCGCACATAACCTCCATATAATCTCCACACAGAGTGGTAAAGCTTGTCCGCGACAGCGACATGGAGCGGTATGGGACCGTCAAGTTGGTATAGACGACGTCTCGTCAAAGACCGAGTGTCCGAGTCCCCCCCAATACGAGATTGCAGGAAGTGTGGCGACGGAGCGCCTCTTGACTCAAGCTTAGCCAAGGCAACACAAGCCTTGCTAAGCATTCCCAAGCTTTGATTGCCGGGTACATATTCCACGGAGCATGGATACGGGGGTTCGAGAAGCAATGCAAATAATGCATGTGGGGTGCATCATCTGGCGGGAAGATAAGAAGGAGTGGTAACGCAGAGTTACATGAAACGGCTGGCCCACAAGGTTGGAAGGCAAGGTATACAATGGGATCTTCATCCAAGATTGCACGCGGAGGTGATGATTGTGGTAAACCGGTGGCTTGTGACCTTGATAGGAAGAATATGGAGGAGAACGTTCAACAATTACGAAGGAAATGGAGATAAAATTAGCAGGGGTGCAGATGACACACGAGCTGGAACTGGGGTTCACACCCGTCCTGTTCCCCTGTTTGTTAAAGTGTAAGTTGTTTGGCATGCCAGAGCTGAGGAACTAGTACGATCGATATATGGCACAAGCGAGATACAGGCTGGCTGACGTTCAAAACGTCAATAGTATTACTACGTACTCTAACTCGGTGCCTTCAACTTTGGCTATTGAGATGAAGGACGACCTTGACTGTAATCTACGGAGTATGTTTTCAATGATTGCCAAAAATAACTTCCTCACGCCCTTGAAACGTCAGGAAACAAGCTTTGTTCCAAGCGTAGCGAGCAGGGGCACCAACCCAAATTTATACATATGTCCCGACTAATTAATTCGCCTTCAGCAACTGAGGAGGGGACATACCTTCTGGTCGAGTTTCCGCGCTGTTATCCAAGTATTTTGTTGTTTCCCTTGGGTAGCCGACGACGGCTTCTCCTCGTTTACCATCGACAATCACGCCTTTTGATCCACGAACATCTCAACACGCGTACCCGACAGGGGCGAGAAGCAAGCGCTGCAACGTCGAACGGCTTTCCCCGCCCGGGAACATGGGAAGAACACCAATTCCCTCCAGTTCCGAGGCTGCGTGGATATCTAAGGCTGAGATCGTCAAATGTCCACACGATATCATATGACGATAATAGCTGCACTGATATGCAAATCGCGGAGGCGGGCCGGAAATATTCTCCCGATAGGATGCCGGTGAAGCAGATCAAAATGACTACGGAGTATATAGCTGCTGACATAGCTGTTTGGGCCACTGGCACATGAATCTATTAATAATAGTTCAGACTCAGGGGTAGTATACACTAGCAGAGTGTAGTACTCCGTAGACTGGTTGGTTGTTGTATTGTTCTCGGATATTCGACAATCCCTTATGAGGACACCCTCATCGACTGTTTTATTTTATGTTCACCAAGCGATGTATACTAAGAAGAGCCTGACGGGATGTAGAATCGCTAGTTAATGGGCGGCTTAGAAGGGCTAAGTGGTGGGTGGTCAGGGGGCCAGAAAGGAGCCTTTGATGAAATATCTTATCCCAAGTCATCCCAAATGCCATTTTGACCAGTTAGTAGAAGGAAGCTATTTATCGCTGATGGCTCTACCATATCCTCCATATAAAGAGATATTCGTTGCCAGGCTTGGAGAGTGTGAAGGATGTTAACATTGCTCGCTATCGCTCCACAGATAAATAGTCGTTCTTCCGAGTGGCTTGGCAGGTTTAATTATGCAATTGTGCAGTTAGTTTGTGATAGTGTAGCGTGTCAGAGGTCAATGCAACTAACTCTCCGTCCAAACCGGACCATTCACCTTGCACCAGCCTTGTTCATAGTTCAAGTGAGCACTCATACAGACATATATTCCTTCATCTTCGACTGTTTGTTATTTGTCGTTTGTTGATGTTGATGTTGGTGTTTGAGGAAGCCACGTGACAGAGGACAAGTGTGGCTGATCACTTCCCTTTGGGGCTCTGGTTAGGGCTAATGCTGACTAAGCTGATCCGCGCCACGATCTTCGCCACTTTCGGCGTAAGTGAAGAAGGAAGCAACTTATCGTGCTGCGCAAAAGGACGCTTTCTCCTGCCTCTCTCCTGGTTTTTGCTGCCGATATCTCTCTGTCTGCTGCTGTTCTGCTCGACGCTTCATCTAATCAACATAAATCTGGTTCTTCCTGACTACCCGACGCTGCCGAAACACCACCAGTCAGCCTACTTGGCGGGGTTGCGATGAGTCTAAAGGGGCTTCAGAAGGGCTTCGCCAGAGCTCCGCAGACTTTCAAACAGAAATTCAACCTAGGAGAGAATACAAAGGATCCGGTCTATCTCGATGCGGAAAGACGATTCCAGGAGCTCGAGAAGGAAACGAAGAAACTGCATGATGAATCCAAAAAATATTTTGATGCCATCAACGGTATGTGTCACCTCCGACTGTCCACCCCCCCCGGCGCGGAGAAATAATCTAACCATAGTTTTTTCCTCTAGGCATGCTGAACCACCAGATTGAGTTCTCAAAGGCAGTTGCAGAGCTATACAAACCTATATCTGGCCGAGTATCGGACCCTGACGCCGCAAAACCAGAAGGGAATCCAGAGGGCATCCAGGCATGCGAGGAATACGAATCGATTGTCAGAGACTTGCAGGAAACTCTGCAGCCGGAACTGGAGCTGATTGAGTCCCGTATCATCAGTCCGGCAGACCAGCTATTGGAGATTATCAAGGTGATCCAGAAAGTCGCCGTCAAGCGTGAACACAAGCAGCTGGATTACGACCGACATCGCGCGTCACTGAAGAAACTACAAGATAAGAAAGAAAAATCGCTGAAGGATGAAAAGGCGATGTATAAAGCAGAGAATGATGTGGAGGCGGCAACGCAAGAATTTAATTACTACAACGACCTGCTGAAGGATGAGCTGCCGAAACTCTTCAAGCTTGAAGCTGAATTTATTCAGCCGCTTTTCCAGTCCTTTTATTATATGCAACTAAATGTGTTTTATACGCTCCATGATAAAATGCAGGGGTTGAATATCGGATATTTTGATTTAACGTCGGACGTCGAAGAGGCATACGAGAGGAAACGCGGAGACGTCAAAGAGCGGACGGAGGAGCTGAGCATCGTCCACTTCAAAACAACCGCCGGCCGTCGTCCAGGCTCCAAGTTAACGCCAAAGGATAAACTTGCCGCTGAATCAAAATACCCCTCTCGACGCACGACTGATGCCTCATCCGAACATGCGCCCCCTCCCCCTTATTCCGCCCACAGCGCTTCAACCCTTATAGGCCGCGCTAATAGCACGAGTCCTGCCGCTCTCGCCGCAGCTGCCAAATCAAAACCAGCTCCACCGCCGCCGAAGCCGAAGCCAGCGAAGTTCAGCTCCGCCCCACTAATCGAGACTGCAACTGCGCTTTATGATTATGAGGCCCAAGCTGCCGGTGACCTGAGCTTTACTACGGGTGATGTAATCGAAATCACGCAGCGGACGACCAATACCAATGAGTGGTGGTCTGGGAAGGTAGACGGGAAATCTGGCCAGTTTCCAGGTAAGAAATGCCGAACTAATTAATGCCGATGATGGGATTTGATGCTAATATTTATCCACGAATAGCCAATTATGTCAAACTAAATGCTTGAATGCTCTAATAAAACTATAAGCTCCAAGGCTACGTGTGCGATGCCTACGATATCCCCTTCTCTCCCTCACGCCATTTATACTACCATGTCCTAATATCGATACCTGGTGCATACTTCATTACACGCTCTACCCCCTCCCCCTCAAGACCTTGGCAATGCAGATGTCTTCTCAGGCTATCTGTGGGCGCTCGAGCACTCAACTCGCATCCTTTTTACCCCTCGTTTTACATTTACATAGCTCCCTGATCGATATATCACCCCCCCGTTCAAGGATATCTCAACCCTTACTCCGTATATACTTTACCCTTGTTATCAGGCGTTCTATAACTAGATAGCGTGCGTCGTGAGATCCGTTTTGGTCTGCCAGTATACATATTACCCCCTAACTACGACTTCAACTCGCTCCTCAACTGCTTCTCCTTGTCTTCGTGATCGCCATATACCGTTCTGTTATCGCCAGAGATCAAAAGGTTTCGGCGTATCTTATCAGCACGTGACTGAAATAGTACAGCCTGAGTCACACCGGATAAGGAAATGGGTATATATTTCGCAGTTCAGCAAAATATTAGACAAGCTATTTTCCAATTGACCATCATCATCTATTACTCTTTTACCCATAGTATCTAGTCAATTGCACGCTTTATTGCCCCGTACGACATGGCTCCTACAGTTCTTCACCTCCGTGCGGAGGACAAGCCCCTCGAGCACAGGTACGCAAGCCCACCTCTCTCCTGTTTTCTATAGCTGTGCAGTCGGCACCTTATTTCCCACAATCGGACGAGTTTGCTTGATAAATACATATAAACAACTCAATTGACATTGCTATTGAATCGTATATCCTTCTAACGACCGCCTATAGATCTGCGCTTACCCCCACCACAACCCGGGCTCTTATCTCCGCCGGCTACAAGGTCAACGTCGAGCGCTCTCCCACATCAGCTATCCGCAAGCGAATTTTCGATGACTCGGAGTTCGAAAAGGCGGGTGCAACACTTGTCCCCGAGGGCAGCTGGGTTGATATCCCGAGCGACCACCTGGTCATTGGATTGAAGGAGCTGGACGAGACCAAGGACTTCCCACTGAAACATTCGCATGTCACCTTTGCGCATTGCTTCAAGAACCAAGGCGGATGGGAGAAGGCTCTTGGACGATGGAGCAGAGGTGGCGGTGTGTTGTATGATTTGGAGTTTTTACAGGTATTTTTACGTATCGCTTGGATAGCGGTGAGTAATGGGAGGCTGACTCGGAGAATTTAGGACGACAAAGGTCGAAGAGTTGCTGCATTCGGTAAGTACACTGCCACACAGTCTTTCATAGATTTACGTCTAACATATACTAGGTTACCATGCTGGATTTGCTGGAGCTGCTCTCGCTATTAAGACCTGGGCATGGCAACTAGAGCACCCTGATGGCACCCCACTTCCTGGCGTTGACGAGTTTACCGATGGAAAGGGATACTATGTCAGTGAGGATGAGATGCTGCAGCAGATCCGTGGCGATGTCGCTAGGGGTGAGAAGATCGCTGGTCGCCGCCCACGAGTCTTGATTATTGGAGCACTTGGTCGATGCGGAAGGTAAAACAATACCCTCTTCCGTTTATTTGACTATAACCGGGATGCTAAACTAGATTTTGTGGATTAGGGGTGCTGTCGACGCCTGTGTTAAGGCAGGATGCGAAGATATTCTCCGATGGGACATGGCTGAAACCGCAAAGGGTGGACCATTTACTGAGATTGTCGAATCTGATATGTGAGTCTCTACCCTCTACTCCCTCATTAGTGGTGAATTTTTCTGACCTATAAAGCTTCATCAACTGTATTTACCTGAGCGAGGAGATTGCACCATTTGTCAACATGGATAGTCTCAAGGGGTCAAACAGAAAGCTCTCTGTTGTCTGTGATGTCGTGAGTACTCCTTGGTATTCTGACATATATATGGGACAAACAAAGCTAAACTGCCTTCTTCATACAGAGCTGTGATACCTCCAACCCACATAACCCAATTGTAAGTGTCTCCTGTCCTTAGACTGTATTTAGAAGCATAATTCTAACACGCCCACTTTACAGCCAATCTACAATGCCAACAGCGTATGTTTTGACAACAATCCTTCTTTATCTATTATATATAGGCCAAAGGAGTTGCAACTAACACTGTCTCAGACTTTTGACAAGCCAACTATCCAGCTTAGCCTCTCCAACCCACCGCTTAGCGTGATTTGTAGGTGTTCTTTCCTTATTCACAGCGATACAATAAAGGGGCACTAGAATCTAGACTAACATTGAATATAGCGATTGATCACCTACCCAGTCTCCTCCCAGCCGAATCATCTGATGCATTCTCAAATGACCTTCTACCTTCCATGCTTGAAATCCAGAACCGCTCATCCCACCCGGTCTGGCAACGTGCTGAGGAACTTTTCAGGAAGAAGGTTGCGACTCTCCCTGCTGAGTTGCAGAAAGTCGAGCAGTAAAGCTGCAATTCCATAAGGTGGTGACTTATCTCTCATTGACTAAACATAATTTAGTGATGAGCATGTGTAGATCCCTATGTTAAAAGCATGAAATTTCATAAGAGACATGTTGTAATGTGGAAAGTATTCCGGTTTTTATTCTTTTTTTGGTTTATTTATTGTTTCTTTAAATGATTGGGAATAGTGGAAAAGATAACTAGTGCTGAGCTTGGAAGTATCCTGAGCCTTCTGTAGATATTCCCAAGGTGAATAAGAGCTAGGTAAGAGGCAGAGGGAGAATAAGGAGAAACTAGAGAAGAAGAACAAAATGCCGCCTAGACAAATACCTTGCCGGACCCGTTTTATGAAGTCTAATGCAGAGTTGAAATTCCTGTGTTTGAAATAGGGATAGTAAAAAGAGCCATTAACTCCTTCGCTAAGGGGGATAGCAATTGAAAAAGAAAAGAAAAAGTTGAAAGTATAGCGACGGATGGATGCGCAACTCCAGGTTGGGCCTATCTAAGCCAGAGGCCCTTGTCAAGACGCAAGTATTCTGCTGGCTCAACCCGGAACCAGGTGGGCTCAGGATGGGTATCGAACATACTCTGAGCTGTAGAGATATCCGCGTCGCTTCCGTATTCCTCTGAGTCTGGTTTGCGTCGTCCAAATGGTCTCTGGTTTAAGCGCTTCATATGTTTTAAACCAATGGATGGATCAAAGCTAATCATAATAATTGCCTTCGTCCCATCACCCAACCCAGAATCGGTTGAATAGACCATAAACCGCTCATCAGAAGTGCCGACAACCTTTCCTGCTTTCTTTGATGGGCATAAAAGCTCCAATAACTCCGCCGGGGCGTCGTTAGCAGGCCACATCTTGATGCCACGAGACTTAAAACATTCGTCACTTTGCGTGATAGGAGAGCTAATCATGCTAGTGGGAGTGGGAGGGTACGCCGCAGCACTCTCGCCTTCTTCGTCCATTTCGTACTGCTGGAATTGGCGTTTGCGGGATCCAATGCGCAGTCGGAGTCTGTCCGGCGGTGTGGTGAATGACTTGACTTGTTGCGGCGGGTCGTTCACGATGTCGATAAATGCAGAGGCCATGAGATTATAGGTGTGATATTTCGTATTAGAGAGAGTAAAGTCCCGGCGCTCAGGAGACTGAGCTTCCTCTGGAGTATATTCGAGATGATAAAACTTCTTAAGTCGTTTTCTAGGCGGCTCGTAGTTTGGCTTGCTGAATGGGTCAAGGGTCCTAGCTAGTGGTTCGTCGGGGAGGGAGCGAACTGGCAAATACTTGGGGAAACCGTGCTTAGCAGGTGAGGTAGAGAATGCCGCCTTAAGAAGACCTTCCAGAGTTTCCGCTGGGTCGAAACAGTCGAGAGGTTGGCTGTAGTTGATGCGAAAATTCTCACTTCCCCCATTCTGCCATTCATGTCTGCACTCCACGATATTCAATTGGCGTGTTGTATGATCCACACGGAGAGACAGTTTGGTCCAGTTATCATTGATCGGGCCCTCACGGTGTTGTCGTCTCCAAATACGCTGCCACTTGATGTCTGTCGGTTTGTTGAGTGGGAATCGTACACAGATATAGTACGAAGTCCAATCAATTTCCTCATCTTCGAAAGAAGTCTGGTTCGAAACTGCGTAGAGGTAACGATCCTTGATCTCAAAGCATACAGTCGATCCAATTTCTGACCCTGCAAAATTGTCCAGCTGAATGGGCTGGATGTTTATGTCAGAGGCCGTCACGAAGTCAAATCCATGCAAAACCCATTCACGATGCCCATGTCGTGCGCGACCAGAGTGAGTGCCATAATACATAACTGAGCGGTTATGACGCACGAAGAGGTTGCGAGTCGAAGCCATGGGGCGACAATATCTGATTCGATATCCCTTTCTGCTGGTCGCAAATTCTAGCTTCACGTCTATTGCTAGTAACCATGCCACGTCTCGGGACTGAGGCTCGCACAAACACGCAACGATTCCATCGTTGTAGTACAGTAACTTGTACTTGAGATCAGGATACCGGTGGCCCTTAGAGCGGGGGTGGTAAGGGTCAAACGCTTCATCCAAATCGACCACCTGTTCAAATTCGGCAGCCTGAAGGAGGTTCAAAGTCCGAATCTGCCCATTGCTGATGTAGCAAACAACTCCTTGGTTGAAAAGGAAATCCTGGCCAACGGCGAGTAAGCTTGTAGAGTATGGCTGAGCAGTGGCTATAGACTCGCGAATATCATAAACTCTCCCAAGAGCTTCACGGTACGTGATCTCCTTCACAGAAGCAAGGTCCCCTTCAACCGTGTGAGCGATATGTGCCTATAAAATTAGTTAGTATATGTAGAAAATGATATTCCTTGAGCCATATTGGGTTTCTTTTAAAGATCCCTACCTTTACAGCCTTGCGAGCAGTAATCTCATCCTTTAATAGGTTGTAGAGCTTGCTATTTGCGAGACTCAGGTTGATATAGTCGTTTGGATCCAGATAATGAACCACCTGATGCCATATGTCAAATGGAACCGCGTCAAAAGCTGACTGCATGGTAAAGGTGAGTGCACGCCAAAAAAAAAAAATGGCTGTCTTTTCTAAGCGTTCAACCTGGCTCTACAGAGCAGACAGCCTGGCTGGCGCGTGTATCTAGTACCAAGAGAAGTTTCTATGGCAGAGGCATTGAGAGGACGAGAGCAGCCGGGGGCTCAGAACATAGAGGTTTGAGGGAGAGTGAAGGTGAGTGAGCGCAGTGAAGGGTGAAGCCAGGAAGGAGGGCACGGTATAGATAGAGCCAAAATGAGGTCAACCTCAACCTCAACCAAAACCACAGCCACCACCACAACTATACACACAAACAGAACAACGGACGGGTATCTGGTTTATGCTAGATGATGAAAGTTCACTGCATGAAATAGAAGCGAATACACAGCCTTGACAGGGAGAGAACTAGGTCGGCTAGTTAAATGTTGTGAGCCTGCATCAACTCCATGCGGCTCTAACAGTCCAACTGGTAAGACAAAGCCAGCTCCACAATGGGAGATGTCTCTTAAAGTACTGACACGATGCAGAACTGTTGGTAGCTCAGCTAGCACTTAGTGGATCAATGAGGCTCTCTCAGTCTCATCCTACCAAGGGATGCCGTACTAATGGTGGGAATTCGTGTGGCGGGAAGCTCGGTGGAGAGACCCGGGGCCTACATTATGGGTTTATGGGGCTTGCCTCGATTGAAGTATGGCCAAAAATATCCAGGAATGGTTGGGAAACGGACAGGGACAAAAAGCAATGCAGGCAAAGCAATTAATTTGTGGAATGAGAAGGGATCGTGGCCAACCATCTTCCCCCTTTGAGCGAGGAATGAGGCTCAAACGAGAAAAGAGCCTCCATTGCGTGCGAGTCCCCTTCGAAACCGAGCTACCACACACACCCTGACGGAACCGACACTTATTCTGACTGCTATTAGATAGCGTCTTGGTCATCTCACAGGACCAGAGTGCTTCTTCCCCTGGTCAGCGCAAGGAATTGCCCCAAGCAGGCATAGGGCTTGGGAGACACGCCGGCCCCTTCCCCCCCTTCCCCCTTCACCCCCTTCGCCCCGACGCAGGAATGATGCTTGCATAGGACGATGAAGCTTAACTCTATGCCGGCCCATCCTTGATCCCACGGAGTGACACGCCGTTCGACGATTCAGAGTGCTTCGCAGCCTGGTCAATAGTGCTAAACTTATCACCTGATGTGGCGCAGTTTTAGCTGCAAAGACGGTCCAAGAGTCCAGTCATGGGCATGGAGGTTGGATGATTTACCGGCATGCATCATCTAGCTTCGGAGGAGAAGTGTTCCAGAGCAGGGGGGGTTTGTCTCAGGCACCCTTCAGGCACGCCCATGGGGGGGAGCTCTGAAATTGCAACAGAGCCGCAAACCACTAACTCTGGCTTACGATTGCTCCAAATATCGTACATGAGCCGCTCGGCGGCGCTAGAGAGTTGTTTGATTGGTCTGTATGGAGCCTGATACTTCATACCCTGTACTAGGCTGCAATATAAGTAGAGGCGTTTTGCCCTATGAGGCTCCGACGCTCCGTTTGTTCCAGTTGAGGAGCAAAACTCCACCATTAGCGATGACAGAACTCCTGGCCTGGACTTTCCACTTGTGGTAATCAGCTCGTACTCCCCAGCCAACGTTAATGGTCTTAATGTTCTGTTCCCGGCTCCCACTTCAGCTTTGGCCTATTATCGCTCCTACTTTACGTCCATAAAAATGGAAATTGGCCACCTCCACAAGAAAGGCTCCTATGCAAACTTGGCTCTTTCGCCATTGTAATGCAGTGGGTGCCCTGAGGCATCAGCTGCGTTCATGGGCTTGAGGCGCTGGTTCCCCAAAATGACGAGTTCGAATTACGTGGGAAGGAGGCTTGGAAAAATACAATCTTGAAATTCTCCGTATACGACGCTTCGCTTCGCCATTCGGATCTTCAACATGAGGTCAAATCACGATTCTTAATGTTTCTTGCATGAAATATCGCTCGGTTATACCTGGTATCAGTTGAAAGGTCATCGGCTCAGGCCTGGCCCGAACGATGGACCTTTTTATGAGACACTTGGCCTCGGTAGAGCTACGGGTTTACATATTTTTCTTCGGGATTCAGCTCTTTGATAGACGAGCTGAGGTCCACCAGCTGAGGACCCCGAGTCACCCGATAGTTATAACTAAAATTGACGACACAAACATAAGGTCTGCAGGCTGAAGAGGATCGAAGCATATCGGCAAAGGATTCTAGAAGGCGTTAAGAGACACCTCTTCCCATCACGCGGATTTGACTTCCCTTCGGTCACCGACTGTCAAGAGTCGGTGTAACCACTTTCCGCCTCCACACTCTTCCCTTGACGAGAGAGGGTACGCAGTAAGGCTAACACTGATGACTTGCATCAGTAGGGGCGTCTTTCCTGTCGTGCGCCGCACGGTGATGCTGTGGTAAATATATAACTATTCGCTACTTTGTGAAACCAATTCGCATCGCTTCTCTAGCCAAGGCACCTTGAGAGCGTAGTCTCAACCCTTTGGCAGTTGTTCGAGATAAGAACGCTGCACAGCTGGCTTGTAACATGGCCATTGCCTACAAGCAAATCTCGGCTTAATGCGCTCAATAGAGCACGCGGCTCTCAGTAACCATCCCGTACAACTACCGGTCCGCCCACTAAGGTAAATAGCTAATATTTCCCTTCCAACAGTACATCCATGGCTTCGCATCTGCCGCGTGAGAAAAAAAAAAAAAGAAATAACACGACGAAAAGGACGGAATGCATCTGCCGCCTACCATGCGAGACAACCCTGACGTGCTTTATCATTTAATCACAATACGATGCGGGCAGCCATATTATAGGTAGGAGGTTAGGAAATGCATAAACTTGGGGGCGAGATATTAATTAGGCACATTAAATATGCAAGATGAGCCCCGATATGTGGAGGTACATACAGGCTAAGATCCAAGCTTCCTTCGCTGGGCTACCTGGTTATTTACAGTCCAGGGCACATCCCTAGTCCTATACGAAGCGAGGCTTGCACAACATAGATAGCAACGAGAACACGTCGGCGCTGACCAGCATTCAACAGTGTGGGCGGAGAATGAGCGATATGCCCGTTATTTGAACATCGCCTGGCTAGATGGATGATGCCTCTCGGCTAACTAATACCCTGGATCGATCTGATCATTATTCTTAGATCATATCTTCTGCTCGTCCTATCCACCGCATAACGCATTGGTTAATGCTGGATGTCTGCCTGCATACTCGAGGTCGATTGACAGATTAGAAACGCCAGGTTTAGACTGTGCAAGTGGAACTCCCGAATATGCCTCCTATCTGCCCCCCTCAGTGTCTCTCGGTCCAGAGTAATATCTGGTCGTTGGCAGGTCTCGCCGACTTGTGCACGGATAGTATGTGTAACGAGTGAAGCCCTGGCAGCCGGTGGAGGCCTGAGGCTCGATATCTCCTTACTCTCATACTCGACGGGCTATGGATATCTTTGCAGGACTACTATCATGATAGTGCGCGTGTGACTTCACCCCCAAAACCAGCCGGGTGTCTTCGGCCAGGGAGAACGTCTTCCGATAAAAAATGAATACCTATCCAGGCTTCTAATATTAAACTCGGCGGCTCGAGTACTTCGTTGCACAACAGTACGAAGAACCAGATGATGGTTGCATCTCCAGTCACACCGTGAACTCTGACACTCGATCCAAGTCGCCAACCAAGTTTGCCAACCAAACTTCGCAAAAGGCCAATCGGGTGCGTGAGCTGGCTGTTTTTCACTCTATGCTATTCGCGCATTGTCAAGATTATGCAGTGACAGTTCCCTCGAAGCCAGTGCAAAGCTGCCAGGAAGGCGAACCATTATAAAATTCTAAATCACTTCTATATTTATATATTATATAACCCCGCCATTCCAATTCATACCCCATAACGATGGCTTTTCGCCACTCTCCTTTTGTTATCCTACATTCAATTTCTGCTCCGAGATGGAGAGTCATGCGGAATCGCCGGCGAGGGCGAAGCCGGACTCATCGAACATGCCATGGGCATACGAGCTTCGATCGTCTGAAGGATTCACTATCTTTGCTGTCGCTGTTGCAATGTTTGTGGTAAGTACAAAAGTTATATCTTGATTAATGTATCTATGCTAACATGACCCGCCTAGGACTCGTTTATATATTCTATGGTATGATCCGGCGATGCACACAGTTGCCTTACGCCAGGTTAATGAAGTCTCTAGATTATTCCCATTATTCCGAAGGTTCTTGGCGGCCTTGGAAATCTACCTGCTGACGATGGTAAGGATTATCATGTTCCATACGCTTTGGTCACTTTACTTGTCTACTAACCGTGTACGTAAAATATAGTCCAGACATGGGTTGCTATCTTACTTGCTGCATATGGTGCTACCTTGATTCTTGGATCACGTATGTATTCAAGTCCCGAAATTGCATTGTTATAGACAATAAGCTGTCTAGTGTTTGTGCTAACCTAGCATTAGTTGCTTTTGGATATATATCGGACCACTCAAATAAACGTAAGCCTGCGTTTTTCATCTGCCTGATATCCATGGCTGGTGCAGTGACTCTATTTATCCTTTCAATTTCACCTCCGGTACTGGTCATAGCTAGGCTTCTGCAAGGTCTTGCTGCAGGCGGTGTATGGGTAGCTGGACTAGCCCTTATTGCGAATAGAGTGAGCAAGGATCGAATTGGAGATGCCATGGGCCATACGACCTTAGGGATGAATTGGGGTGGTCTTCTTGGTCCATTTACTGGTATCATGTGAGTATATGGGTTTCTTCTCGCTTGTGGTCAATTTAGTCCAATATTAACGATTTAGTTATGATAAATTCGGATATTACGCATCATTCGCAATACCATTGTCACTTCTTGCATTAGATGTAGCTCTGAGATTTGCTATCATTGAAGGTCCTAGTTGGTTACCGAAGAATCTCACTAAACAAGAGAAGTTACTAACGTCTGTTTGCTAGATTGTTCGGAGGCCCGCCCGACAAATTGCTATAATACATTCTCGGGAGACTCATCCGAGACAACGCCTTGTCTCACGGACGACGATGAAAACGAGGATCGAGCCCTTCTTTCCATGACTTTCCCATACGTGGATTCAGAGTCCCAGCAGCTAAAACGCAAGGAATCAGAATGTCGGCTGTCACCAATGATACAACTCCTACAAAACCCAAGAATACTAGTTACGCTACTTGAGATAGCTCTAGCAGCTTCTATTCTCTCCGCCTTCGAGGCGGTATGTTTTTTGCATTCTCTTCCACCCTCGCAATAACATATACTAAACTATTTTTCTGCAGACACTTCCGCTGTTCGTGATAGAGCGATTCGGCTGGGGCTCGGCCGGGGCAGGGATGATATTCCTTTCTCTGACTGTCCCCAGTGCAGCGGGCCTTGTTGTTGGAAAGCTAGCCGATAAAATTGGCACCCGCTATTTTGCACCACTAGCCTTCCTCCTAGCAGGACCTGCGATCTTCCTCATGCGCTATGTGACTGGCCCCAGCACACTTAACGTCATTCTCCTGGTTGGCCTTCTAAGCTTAACGGGTCTCTCTGTCGTAGTTATTCAAATAATTACAATGACCGAAGTGTTTCATTCAGTCAACGATGCTGAAGCAAAGAGCCCCGAGGCATTTGGGCCATATGGCGCTATTGCTCAAGCTTACGCGATCTTGAATATATCATTTGCATGCGGTCAGTTTGCAGGACCCTTGATAGCGGGGATGCTGAAGGATGGAACTGGGTGGCAGGGTATGACACTTGTTCTATCCCTATGCTGCCCTCCTATGGGTTTGTTTGTAGGGATGTTTAATTGGTGGACACAGGTATCTACACCTGCTGAGGATTTAGATAAATAATATACAGGGGTTTGTCACGCTGGTAGGCTTTTTTAATGAGGTTACGATTATGCAGTCAATATATATATCGCTTGCCTGGCTAGAACGGCTATGAGGAACGAGAAGCGAGAAATGAGGAATGAGAAATGAACACGTATGTTTTCCGCGGAAAGGACCATGTACCCGGTCAACAGCGACAAGATCAATCACAAAATTTATTCCATACCCAGTACTAAAGCAGGCCGTCTCTAAGCAGTGAATATTTTTGCAAAATGGCTGCCCAAATCTTTGATAGCCTCACAACTCTCCCCCACCGTAATGCGAGTTTCAGGCCTAAACACCGATGGTCGTATCAAGCATCCATACACCACTAGCCTCAAAGAAGTCAACGGTGAGGTTCATCCTTTTGGCTGATTCGATACAGACTTTGACGGCATCACACGGGTCAAAAGACCGTCAAGGAGGTAGTGGCCCAAGGTTCGCCCATATAGCCGTAGTCGCGCGCAAAATGTATCCCCATCTTCCTGTTTAAGTGATCATTTGGTATCCAGGGAGCAGCGAGGACATCTTTACAGATGCAAACTTTTTGATATATACGCCTTTATGTTGTTAGGAGGCTAATCGAGTTCATAGCATTTCATTGCTTGAGGGGTCTAGGTAGAGCAAGTATATCAGCGGGATCGGATGGGCGTTGTCACACCTAGGGACCCCGATTGGTGTTTGGTGGGAGGATCTCCCGTCCGCCAGAAGTAGCTTAAGTGAAGTGACTCGCACCTGGAAAGTTATATTCGATGAAAACATGTAGTTAGGTGGTCAGACCAAGAAAAAAGCAATAAACAAAAGCTTCACCTAACTCTCCACATGTTTGGCCGATGCATTTAACGGCAGTGAATGTAAAATAGTGTTCATCTGGGTAGCCAATGATTGATGCCGCGTAAGACAAATGCCCATGCCGTGCGTTGGGGGCCACGGTGTAACTTCAATCCCGTTGATGATCAAATCCTGACTCAAACCCAATGATGAAAATGTATATAACTGCTGGGAAACATTGGAAAGGTGAAAGATATGAGTTAGAAAAAACAGTGAACAATGTGTACATGAGATGCTGATATATATATATATATATATGCTGTGAGTTCGACCCGCGATCTTTAAACTGTAAAAAGATAGGTATATGCCTTTTAGTCAAAGGAGATGTCCTCTAAGTCTCGCATCAGTATTCCCATCTGGGCACGCCGAGCTGCCTCCGCAACGAGATTGACGTTTTGTAGAAACTGAGCAGTAGCAGTCTTCCCGCATATGTCTTGCTGTTGGCCTTGAGTTTGAGAGTGTAGCTGCTGGTCTGCTGTCGACCGTGTTTGCATCTCTTGAGTCACCATCTTTTGTGACGCAGATGCAGATTGGTCGCTTAGTGATGATTGAGATAGAGTAGTGAAAGGTTGCTGGTGTTGCGTATGCGTAAAGTAAGCATGTTGGCCATTGTCCTGGTGAGTCTGGCCAGCCATTGCGAGAAGATGATACGTCCAAAAGGTCGAAGTTCGAATGTAAACCGAGTCCACGAGAGACGCCACCGGGATAGAAAATTTAAAATAGCGATTCGAACAAGATTGACGGCAGGAGGAGGAATAGATCTTCGAGAATTGTCTTCCCGAGACCAAGCTCTTCCGCTCTATACCAATTAATAAGTTATTTGAGGTGGTATTGGGCCTGTCAGTCTGAAATGGGTGTAGGATATGCTGGAAGAAGGCTATCGATGAGGATTGCTGATGAGGTAGAGCGGATGAAGAACTTGACAGAGAGAAACGACGATCAAACGCCGGTCGTGAAGTTCCCCACGAAGATGCAACGTCGCTATCCCGCGGACGATCGTACCTCGGCAGCACACGGTATCTGAAATACAAAACTCTTGGCAATGTTACAAGCCCTATTCCCGTTCTAAGCCAATAACAAGTGCAGAAAAAGTACCGGATACCATATCCGTGACAATACGGTATCCATGCAAGATTAAAGTCGAGTTATTACGTCATGTGGGGTAAATGTCACCTGATACATCTTATCTTATCAGACTTAGTCAGCGATATAAAAAAATTTGGATTTGAAGATCAGATATGCGGATTTCCCAAGAGGGATGATAATTTACCTGTCGACTTGATCAATTGACACAGTTGGGAATAAAATCCCGGTCGAAACAACGAAGAGAAGAGGAATAATGGGGCTACAATCCGAAGATGAGACCACATTTGATTTCGGGGATATTTTCAAGGAACCGGAGGGGTTCCTTCCCCCGCCAAAGCCACCAACATTCGCAGAGCATCGCCTGATTTCTGGTGATACCCTAAACATTCGACTTGTGGGAAGTCATCCGTTATATGTACGATCAATTCGGCCTAGCCTTTAGTCACTGAAGGTGCTGTTCTGCTTAAATTATCCCGACTGACAGCTGCTTGGATTTGGAGGGGTATCTACTCTGGAACGCAGCAAGAACTATATCAGATTTTCTAGAAGAAAATGCCCCACAATGGGTTGAAGGCAAAGATATTCTTGAACTAGGAGCTGGTGCAGGTCTGCCAAGCATCGTTTGCGCAATAAAGGGGGCCAAAACCGTCGTTGTGACTGATTATCCCGATTTTGAGCTTGTCGACAATATGCGACTAAATGCATCAGCCTGCGAAAAATTTATTCCAAAACGGCCATCACCCTTGCACGTCGAAGGCTATAAATGGGGTGCTCCTACCGATGACATATGCAACTTTTTACAATCGCCTTCAGAAGGGTTTGACGTCCTGATTCTCGCAGACGTTATATATAACCACCCACAACACCATAACTTGATAGACAGTGTCAAGAAGACCTTGAAGCGATCGAAGGATTCGGTTGCTTTTGTCGTATTTACCCCATACCAGCCCTGGTTACTAGAGAAGATCATTGCTTTCTTCTCCAAAGCGGAGGATAGTGGGTTTGAGGTCAAGGAAATATTTGAGAAGGTCATGGATAAGCTATTATTCGAGGATGACCCTGGGGTAAATTTATTTTTATTTGCTCTCACATTTACGTTTTTTTACTAATGATTTAATAATAATAACAGGATGAACAACTTAGACGGACTGTTTTCGGATATCAATTGAGATGGAAACAAGAAGAGCTAGGAAACCAATGAAAAACCCACCCATCAGAAGCTATTTAATAACAATACGAATTGCAATTTCTACCTCTCAGGGTTTGTTTCCCTCTAGCCGTCAGGTGGTGACTATTCTCTGGTTGCTGCATTATGAGCCAAAATGCAGCTTTCACTCAGTGCACTTCGTGATGTTACAACCTCCTATTTCTCGTTTTATGAGTCTACTGCTAGCTTGTAGGATTACAGTGAGCTGTACGACTTTCCAGGCTGCTCTCGCATAGTTACACCATATATCCATCCCTACTACCAGTGCCAGGAAATGTTCAAGTTACCCAGGTTGAGTATAGACAATATTTCTAGCTCTATGAAGGCGTGGAACTAAATAACATAAGCAGCTATGCTGCTTCCTTCCTCCTAAAGTATTTACGACGAATATACCCAACATTCTCATAAACCAGTTAGATCTGATGTAATTCACAGTGCTGGTAGGCTAAGGGGACACAGTCACAATCCAACCAGACACTCACGAGCCCCAAATTGAGGCTCTGTAACCGTAAGTTGTACCCGATTGTCCGCGATTAGACAAACGGTTCGCCTGAAATCCAGTGGTTCATCAGGTCAAATGCTACATCGGGTCGATCCTGAGGGACCTAGAGTGTACCAAATGCGTTAGCTTCACACGTTGGGACTCCAAGTTTCGTTAAAAGGATTACTCACCATATGCCCGGCGTTGTCCACAGTTACAAACGCATACCTGGTTTTCACATCCGTGCTATCAGTCACACGTATGTTGACTTCTTTCGTATTTCCAACAGTTTCGTTCGTTCCGGTCGCTGCAAGTACCGACTTCCACGGCACTAGAGGCTTGGATGTGAATTCGGTTTGGCCTTTCCATGGAAGGCTGTGCGCCCACTTTAGGTTTCCAGCTGTATTACACGCAAGGTCAAGATTACCTTGGTAGTTCATAACGTGTACTTCGTTTGCAAGCAGATATTCCACCTGGCCAGTTGAAGGCGTCATACCGTCCGAGGTCAGGCCAAAGGTATCCTCGACGAATTTGGACGCGTACTTGTATTTTTTAATTGCTTCTGGGGGAGCAAGAGCATCCCAAATGAGTTTTGTGTTTAGATAATTTTGAAGACGGTCAGCTTGAATATAACATATGTCGTCGACTTCGCAAGGGATCGTGACTTTGACTAGTTGTGAGTATGTTGTAAAAATTGGTAGATTATGGTTGCCTTACTATCAAATCTATTGCGACCTCCTTTAACATCGGACTCTTTCTTGTACATCCCTGTGACGCCGTCCACACAAACTGACTGGGCAGAAAGACAAATTGCTGGATCTGGGTTACGGCGACAGACCTCAGCAACCTTCATGCATCTCGGCATATTTTCAGCCATAATGTCACATCTGGTTTCATTGAATACTGGGCTCTTAACGCCAGGATTAGTCGTGCAAAGGGTTTCCCAGTAACCAAAGGCTGTATGCATATGAGACATACATCCATTACCTATTAGGCAGGACTTGAGGCGTATTTGTGGCTCGTCGGGATAGAGCTTATTCTGCTGCACGATTTGCGCTCCAAGATGTGGTATATAATGGCCCTACAAGCATTGGTGAATTAGGATGACCTATTTGATTGATCAGACAGAGACTTACGCCGTATGACTCTCCAGAAATGTGGAATGGCACATGCAGTTTGTTAGGGAAGACTTCGGATACAAACAGCTGTAGGAACCTCTGCATGTCCACAGCTGCTATATGCGAATCGTCGGGAGTCTTATGGCCCTCGTCGATGTAAGAAAAGCCTACACCAACGGGCTGGTCCACAAAGAGCAGCGAGGATTTCTTGCTCCAGCCCCACGGGTTGTAGTTTGTGCCGTTTCCATACTCATTTACCAAACACGGCCCAACCTCTTGCAACATCCCGATCATACTAGAATATCCCGGCCCACCAGTCATCCACAGCGTCAACGGATCATTCTCCGGGTCACTCTGGCTCTCAAAGTACCAGAAGAAGAGGTGTTTGGGCCCGAAGTCTAGCCATCCAGTATATTGGGCGGAGTGGGCATCACTGATCGAACTATTTTGTTTCTTGATGCGGATTGAGTGTTGCGGGGAATGTTTGCTCGTGAACACTTGGAAACCATCGTGGGTGCTCGCCGTATCATTAGGTAGGTCGACGTGCAATGGACTCTGCGACGTGGCCTGACCCAAGCCGAACAGCGTCGACCCGAGTAGAGATGCGAAACTCCAAGACAACAACATCTTTTTTAACGTGGAGAGCGAATTGACTTCCCTAAAGAAATTCAATATTGCGGGTAGGGAAAGAGTTTAATTTAAGGGCATAGTCACGTGACAACCAAGCTTTGCCAAGACCGGGCAGTAACCTTCGCCCGAAAAGGAAATTTTAATGGGAGAAAAGGAGAAGTTGAATAGCTATATATCGGGCAAAGACCTACCATTATCATCCACAGGATGCTGGTATATAAACCTTGGTCATATATTTGCATATTGGTCGAGTTAAGGAAGCGTTGCCATAAAGTTAAAGTTATAGCGGTTTCTTCGGGCCAGGCTATGGCGGGATCCAAGCAGCTTAACCAGCTAGTTATTTAAATAACTAGGGAACCGGAAGCATCCACGCCATGGAAATACCGCCGCTATAGGTGTCATACCCGGTTATTTCATTATGTTTGCAACCCGCGAAATTCCGGAGTGATACCATTATGCTGCTCACCTGGCAAACCAAAGCAACCGGCTCCTTCCATATTACGGGCTTCAGCCTGGGTGTTTGCCATAACCCATCAGAATCCTTTATCCATATGGACAACCATTCATCTATCTTGAATCTAGAGGGTTCTCCTTCAAGAATATACCAAGTTGGGCTTTGTGATTGAGTAAGCTGAGCACAATCCAAGGATCTGTAGGCCTTCATTCTTTGGTACTGATGACTATGCAATCCATAATATGAAGCGAAGTTCTCAAGGATAAATTCCAAGTTCTCCGTCATTCCCATTTTCTCTACTTAATTGTGCCCTTTTCGCCAACTCACATCTTTCTCGCATACAACTCTCTGCTCATTCCCGTTAGGCTACATAACTTCTATCCACCCAGAATAGCCCATATCTCCAGCTTTGCCAAGCTCTAGCACACCATGCCCATCCCCTTTAAGCAGCTAATCCGGTTTGAGCGGCGCAAAGCTGAATCCGCGCACATCCGGGCGAAATATTCTGATCATGTCCCTGTACGTCTAAGCCCCCTCTGCTCATCTTCCATTTTGTGATGGGAATGGTTATATGGATGAGTTGTCATGCTCGCCGTAACTTACACACTGGACAATATATCCAGATAGATTCAACATCTTACAGATAGTATGCGAGAAAGCCCCAGGGTCAGACGCCTCAGACATTGATAAGCCGAAATTCCTTGTTCCCCTGGATATCACCGCTGGCGAGTTTATGTATATTATTCGCAGGCGTATGAATATATGTCCAGAGAAGTCTATATTCCTCTTCATTGATGACGAAATACCTCAGAACAATGCCAAGATGAGTGTCATCTATGACGAACATAAGGACCCGGATGGATTCTTATACATCACGTATGTCAATCCTGTATTCTACCATACAAGTAAAGGAAATCTTCTCTGATTGATCTGTGACCGAATAGGTACACGGGTGAAAATACCTTTGGTGCCTGTCTCTAAAAATGAATTTATCATGTCATCAATGACCTGACCAACTTGGGTTTCGTTTATCCCGTCAGCTCAACCTGACATCTAGGATCAAACAACCAACTAGGACTCGTTGACCGCGGTTGTTTCTTTCATTTTATCTTTAGTTATCTCCTTGAATTATGTGTTAGTTATAGTGAGGATAGGAGGATATTCATGTCGCGGGGAAGATAGTTATGACTAAGCAACTCATTGCATGACGCCCAAAAATTTATATTTCTCTGCGAATTACTTCTTAGCATCTAATCAATTATCCGTGTTAAACAACGTTCTACCTCTGCCGCTTTCCATCCTACGCCTTCGCTGGTCCAGGATATTGTTTTATAGACAGGCAGTCAAACGCTGCTTTACGACGAATCCCCATTCAACCCGCCATGTGCAACGCGCCGTCCACGAATAATTAACACAGATCAACCATGCCAGTATGGAAGTCCCGCCTAGTTTCCACCCTCTCTAATTATATCTAACGTACCTACAGTTAATAATTTTAACCGGCTATCCATGTGCGGGACTGACCCACCGTGCGCGCCAGCTCTCTACGCTTTTCGAAGAGCTCCAGTCGTCTCTCCCCGCGGAATCGAAATCTCGATATAAGGTCCACATCGTCACATCACACGACGTAGCCCACCCGCGCACTGTATATGATGCCGCCAGGTCAGAGAAGCAGGCAAGAGCTGTGGTGTATGCGCGCGTGAAAAGACTGCTAGGGAGAGATAGTATCGTCATAGTGGATGGGATGAATTATATTAAAGGATGGCGGTATCAGCTGTGGTGCGAAAGCAAGGAGGCCATGACAACATGCTGTGTGGTATACCTTTCCCCACTCTCGACATTCTATATTCATACAACGGAGTAACTAACTTGGTGGTCTATCGGGCGACAAGGTACATGTGGGAACCCCAATAGACCAGTGCGTCTCCGTAAACGAGGCTCGATTAAAAAGGAAACGAGATGAGACGGAAAGCAACGAACAACAGTCGTCCGAGGCGAAAGTCTCTGGATCAACCGACTCTATATCTGAGGTTAAACGTTCGGTTGAACCCAGTAAAGAGGATGAACAAAATGGAACCGAAGATAACGAGGAGCCATACCCACCGGAGCTCCTTTCAAACCTCATATATCGCTACGAAGAGCCTTCAACTGCTAGTCGCTGGGATAAACCTCTCTTCACGGTACCTTGGGATGATACAGCTCCACCAGTAGACGATATATGGTTCGCTATAACAGGACAAAAGACAGCGAAAGAAGAGGACCAAGATAGCCCTGCTTCTGGTTTATTCTCCTCATCTGAGAAAGCGCAAGCTACTACTGGTGATACAAATACAGTAGCCGGCGCACACACTGCTACTACTGCTGCTAAGAAAACGGGCTTCCAACGGCCAACATCAAGTCGGCCAAAAATAGTCCCCCACCAAGCCACGGCCCAAGCACCAAAAACGGATCCCACAGCCCTATACGCAATTGAAAAGACAACGTCAGAAGTAATATCGACAATCCGGAAATTTTCCCTTGAGAACCGGACGCCACCTTCTTCTAGCTCTTTAACAAACCCACAAGCCCCTGGAATAACTATCCCCATTCCCTCGACCAAAACACCTATATTCATCCCCGCTTCAACACTTGCGTCTGCACCTACTGAAGATTTAGCAGGTGCGGGAGGCGTCCTGACCCTCCCACGCTTGCAGAGACTGAGGCGGCAATGGGTTGGCATGAATAGGGCATATGCCGGTCATGGCCAGGGAATGGGCCAAGGAACGCTTAACCAGGAGGAAGTTGGAGAAGCATTTGTGAGATTTTTAAATGCAGAATTTGAAGAAATGACTGAGTTTTAGGTACGTTTGATGATAAATGATGACATTTTTAACACTAAGGCATATATACACGAAAGAGACCTTTAATAGTGATATAACTCAGTTCATTCAGGGTCGTAAGATAAGAGTGGCCGTTGATCATAACCGCTGGGGTGGAAAGTCTTGCAAAAATAGATACAGGGAAATAAAGGAACTGAGTAGTAAAAATATAACAAATGAAATGAAAACATTGAAATCTTCATCGCAAAGTGGCTCCCTTTATTCCTTTAGGTTAGCTTTTTTTGGTTCTTTCTCTCCTTTTCCTTTCTTTTTTTGGTCTTTCCTAGGAGCGCCCTTTGCGAATCTCGATAATCAACCCCAAAATGGGAATGTCTTCGTCTAAGAAATGCAAAACAAAATAGTATAAAATAATAGAAAAACCTCTGTCCGCTGCGCGGTGTTCCACCAGGCACACCGGCCGGGAGCCGCTTCTGAGCATTCCAATACCACCAATGCAAGGGACCATAACCATAATAAACCGATAAATAAAACATGCGAACTCTGACTGCTAGATGGGTGGAAAAATAAGAATGTGAATATGACTGAAACAAGAAGGGGAAACACAAGATATGCCTGGTCTGGGTTTGCCATGCATGATATCCGAGAATTGTTTGGAAAGGAAGAAAAAACAAAACAAATGCTGTTGACATATCCTCTCTAGCAGGAATTCGAAGAAGAAAAAATAATAAGAGAAAAACCCAACCAAGAAGTCAAAAAGAAGACGGGAATCAAGAACCAATGACTTTTACACGATAAGCAAAATTGTATATGCAGAGGAATTGGAGGAAAAGGGAGACGGTCGAATTCAGGATGATTTGGATGCCCTTTCATTAGCAAGCTGTCCAGCGCGAATATAGCGGTAGTTAAGGCTCAGAGTGTGAAGTTCCTGTAGTCTGGCATTGGCTTTTTCATGCAGGGTGGGATCTTGAGGGTTGATATCCTTGAGCTCCTCTTGGAGATGAGCAAGACAGGCATAGTAGCTTCTCTCTGCGTTTTGTAGCTGCTGACCACTGTGCGCCTGGGCGAGCTTGAGGGCAGCCGCAGTTTGAGATTGAACTGGCCGAACTCGCTTCATGGTTTGGCTGTTTGGCGAGCCTCCCTTCCTTTTGCGGACTGCAGGTTCCTTCTTCTTTCCAATGTTTCCGGAAACTGGAGATCCTTCTGGAGAGCTGGCTTTATCAGATGAGGTGTAGTCATGGACACGCCTCATATGGTCATGTAGGTTCCAACGGCGTGGGAAGCCGTTTCCAGGGATTGATCGTTCACAGGCAGGAAAGTGGCAAAGATGAGGGTTTTCTCCGTGACCATGCATACCATGTGCTTCTCTTTCATGTCGGAATAGACAAGCATTGGAAGAAAAATGAGCATCAACACATTGTGGGACTTTACACCGGTAAGGCTTGAGATGGGAATCCAGATATTTACTAGAAGCTAGTTGTTAACACGAATGCATCCAACAGATAGAAACATCCATTTGGGGAAACCAAATACTTACTGGTAAGCGCATTTTTGGGTGGTAGGTGTGTGAGAGCATGGCTTGTCTCTGGATGCAAATGGGCAGTAGTACTTTCCATCTGTCTCTGGGGGAAGAGAGTAGAATGGATGATCCCTCGGGTTCCTTGTTTCTCCGCTATCCTTGGCCCTTGGGCTCAGGACTGATGGGGAGAACATATCGCCATCAGATACCTCGGACATATCACCAGTAGCTTCGGTAGATAAGCTGGATCTCTTGGTTGGCTTGGATGGTCTGATGGTTCTTACATTTGAGATCCGTTAGTTTTTGTCTTCCATTCAAACCGTGGCGTTAGAAACCAAAAAAATAAAAAAAAGTACCTGTTGTAGTCTCGAGCGCTAAGTGGAGGGCTGAGAGGATAGAAAGGGGCGCTTATGGCGAAATTTTGACCCGACATATAGGAAGAATCAACGAAAGGAGAGTCATCATGTCCGGTGTAAGGGGAAAAGTTTGATGGAGAACAGGCTGAAGTAACGGGTATGTCCTGATTGCCTTCCGTGAGGGGAGGAGTGGCTGGTATTTGGGTGTATAAGTTCGACATGTGGACTACATTTCCCGAAGAAACATCATCATTCATTCCAGACTGGCACCATGGGCTGGAGGCAGCCAGTGAGTCGGAGTTCTTCATTCCCTGGTGGCTTGGATCGAATTCCATTTGGTCTTTTTCATTCTCACATCCATTGCCATTGGAAATATGGCTTGTTTCATTCTTAACGGAAAATCCCATGACACTGGATACAGCCTGGAAACCATGGGAATTCCTGAATGCCATCTGCGGGCTTTCGCAGGTGGCCGTCACATCTTGAATTGGGTTGATCTCCGAAAAGGTGGAATGGTCTGCGGATCCTGCAAAGATGGGTTGTGAATATGGGGCGAATGTCAACATCTGGGATTCTTGCATGTCATAATCAGTCGTTGATAGTGACTGTGTGTCAAAGGATTCATCAGTAGCCTCGCTAGCGGTACTAAGATCAGCACAAGTCAACATGGCATCGCTGATGGCCCAGTGGCTTAGGCTATCAAAGTGACATGTTCCATTAATTCCGGGAGAGATGGAAAATTTGTCGTGTTGGGAGAAATCATCCTCCTGTGTCCTGGCTGGGATCTCCACAAACTCTTGGGCTGAAGAGCTGCTTTGGAAGGATTGTTGTAACCTTGACCCTTGGGAGTGTCTCTTAGGGATTGACAATTTTGAAACGCTGGCCTTTGTTTTGGAAGACATTGTGAAGTGTGTTGGGAAGATGTATCCTTGAGGGATCTAACAAAAATAGCACTGCAAGCTCGAATTAGTATTGACATGTTCGCAAGTCGTCAAGTTTTAAGGAAATAAAGTAAAGATGTGTGAAAATGATTGAAAAGAAACTCCAGGAAGAGAGGATCCTATAGCATCGTTAGTTTCTCATGTTTTCTCCTAGCATTCATATAGCTTGTAAACTAACCAGAAAGTTAATGGCTAGAGTTAATTAATGTCCGGCTGATTGAGAATCCATTGAGGCCACTGAAACATCATTTTGAAGTATCCGGGATAATCCATGGAGCGTGGCTGGCTCATAAAGCATTGATGTGGTACATTCATACTCAGCTGGGTCCGCTCCGAGGGAATTGGATAAAACTGCTGTAGACATTCTCCAAAGAAAAAACAATCGCACACTGCATCATCATCAATTTTTGGTGTAAACATTTCATGAATCCAGGATAATCAAGGCATTTTGTCGAAACAACGGACGCAGCATCATTTTTCATCCTTTGGTTAAAATCCGGGTTCAAAACTGGGGAAACATCACTTGGCTAGTGGCTCCTCGCTGGCAGTTTCAGCGTTTGGTTAGGATCATTCATCATTTCATTCTCTGGTCATCATTATTTGCGTCAAATGCAATATTATGCATATATGACTAACACGAGCCTTCCTTGACGGGTTCGCCAGGCTGTGCTGCTAAACAGCTGTGAGCATCCAGGTGAGCTATCCATGGCGGTGGCAGTGGCATTCTTCTGATATCCATCCGATGGCATAATAGGGTCGTCTTCTTGGGCTTCCATGGAAAATGTCGTGGGATAGTACATGATTTGAAGGTACAGGTCCGTAGAAAAATGAGAACGAGCAAATGAAAGGGGCACACTAGAAAAATAAAAACAGTATGTTGTAATAATAAAAATTAATGGGTACTACCTGGTGTTCTGGGTTGACACGCAACGCCGTTTGCTGGAATCAAAACTAGTATCCTCAAGCCCCGGAATTGGGCTAGCTGTCAAAACAATGCAATAAGAATCCAGTGGGCAGATATCCAGTAATTTGGGCCAATTTGGGTTGCAAAGGGATCCAATAGGCGATAGGAAAGTATAAAGTCGTCCACGTTCAATGGAATTGTACTGACAATCCACAGTGATAGGGCTAAAAGTGAAGAACTGAATATAAAAGTGGCCAAAGTGGGAAGGTTTGGAATTGGGTAAGAACGTCTGATGGTTGGGAGAAAAAAGTACAGAATCAAGAGGAGAATGGGGACATCGGGCTTTAACTACCCTTCGGAGCATCCGCCAGCGCATATCACAACGCGAGGCCGCCTCACCCTGCAAATCTAGATTAATGCAAGCAGCGCAAAGCGGGGCTTGTGCATTGCGACCGCAGAGAGCCCGTATACGCCAACACCGGGATTGGTGCACGTTGTTTGCTTCGCAGTATCATGCGGTGTTTGATTTGTGTTGGCTGCAGGGAGGTGTGATAGCGCTGGGGTTATTGCAGTAGGCCGCGAAGACAAGTCATCGGCTCTGCCTCGACGTGGCACTTGTCTGTCACCCAGGAGCCGGTCTCAGCCAGTCGATTCCTGCCAAGGGCCCCTGATAAAACAGCGGTGAGCGAGTGGCTTTTTGATCTTATATTTGCTTCTGAAACACTGCCGGTGGTTAGCCGAATTACGCAACCATGAGACGATGAACAGCGGCAAGAAAAACTACGTGGACAAAGGGCAGAGCAGCAACGCATCAGCAAAGATAGCAAGGACACGCTGGTTTACACCATGCAAAGAGATTAAGAGTACGACGATACGAAGCAGTCAGGGCAGGAACCGATGAAGCGGCTCACGGGAGAAACGAAGATGTTACAGGATGAGAGTGGGTTACCAGTCCATCCTGCTTGATAATATGGTGGATGTTGATGATTGGCTTGTGGTCATTGGTCATGGGAGGTTGGGCAGCAATGCATGAAGCCTGCCGGGATGATAAATTGGTGTTACGCTAAACGGATAAAAGGATGAGCCTGTAGTATTCCACCGAGTTAGCAAGCTGGATTTCAGAACATGCGGCACAGGGGAATATATTTTATCGGGTGTGTTGGCCATAATCAGACAGGATGAAAGATGGTGATGGGTTTATCGTTCAGCGATCCGAAGACCTTCAGTTGAACTATGCTTTGTACATGGAGATCATCATAGAAGCCAGGGTGATGAGAGGTAACAACGAGAGGAAAATACTATCGACATACCTTTCTAAAAATGCACCGTGAGCGGCATGATACTCCCCGTACCTCCATCCGTACACAAATTTCATCGAGTTGGTTGGTGCATTTCCTTGGTGAATGTCGGTAGCAAAGTAAACAGCGATGTTTACTTTGGACATCTCGCATTTAGCCACAGGTCCATTTCTTACTCGCCCGGGGAACGCAGGCTCCTACCTCGCCTACTCGAAGAAACAGACGAAAAGAAAGGTCGTCGTCTTTTTCGTGATAGAAAAAAGTTGAAGCTTTTTGTGTGAAGAGAAAACTAGCTGACTAACAAATTACCCCCCGTGACATGTTCCACCGGATTATCAATACTCCACTATCCGCAATCCTCCGAAATGCCCAGTTAGGAAATACATACTTCACACGGCTCAAAACATCCTCTTCCGACCACCCTACAGCGTCGCATTTCTCGTCCTGTTTATACCCGAAATAAACAATGACGATATAAGGTCAAAGTTCACATCTTGGGACTCGCGTTCTGGTGGTTGTTGAGCGAATCTATCAACGAATTCTTGTATGCTATGGGGTGACGCATAATCTCTTCCGTCATGTTGATTGCTCGGCTTGTCGCCCAGTCGTGCACCTTGTCGAAGTTAGTGCAAGCATGAGTCGCGCTGAAATCAGCCTCCACAGGCTCGAATGGGTCATTCGGCTTAAAGGTAATGAGCGTGGGATCTGCTGAACATGACAAGGCCTGGCGGATAATATCGATACAATGATCTAGGGGGGAACGAATGGTTAAAAATTGCACGACATACTAAACATACGCGAAAATAACAGGCATATTTTAACTTACCAGCATGCTCAAGCGCGGAAACGGTGGCGTGGCTATCGTCAACGTGGTAATACTCATTATGCACGTATCGACGTACATAGTCCTGTATCTCTCCGTTAGCCGTGGACTTCCTGGCCAGAATGGGATACATACCAAGCAATGGAGCTGATGGAACACCGCCAGCTTGGCTAGATACTTGCCCGGGCGTGATGGCACCTCGATGCTTTCCTTTCCGATTGCCTTTAACTCCGTTTTGTCGACTAAGATTGGTCCGGCTACCCAATTCGTATGGTCAGCCCTCGGTCTCTAATAATATTTTGTTCGCACCTAGCGGGAATTTGGCTTACCATCATATAGATGTTTCCATGCTTCATCTTGGGCCTTGCTTGGGGCTCCCTTGAATATATTAGTCGTTCTAACGTCGCCGTCGAAACGAACCGGCTGGAATTCGACTGCAGCCCGGGCAGGTGCTAGAATAAAATATCAGCAAATGCTCGATAAACGCCATAAATGCTATTCCAATGATTATACTCACAATATACAATTCCAGGGTAACTGCTCTTACACTCTTTACTGCCATTTGCGACAAGGGCCCCGCCCAATGTGAATGCTATAAGTAGCAATATGATCGTGAATACCGACGACGAAGGGCAATTATGGCCAACTGCCATCTTTTCGTTATTGCCTCCCCTTTCTGCGGTCTCTGCTGAGGTGGCATAACCTGCTCTTGCCTCTCTTTGACCCGGAACAGGGGGTTGTCCGATTTGGGGAGTGTAAGCTGTTGTCACAGCCCTACGAGGGGCCTCAGATGACTTGTCACCCTGGGACTCCCCGCTGTCTGAACAGGAATCACTATTTGTGAACATCCCTCGTGTTTCATCCCCTTGCGTCCCTGTGCAAATTGAAACAGAATAGCTATCAGGATAGCCGTCAGATGCTGTGTCGCTTGGAGACGCTTCGCCGTCTAGGAAAGCGTCGCCACCACCACACATAGTACGCTGGATATGCAGAGCGCCAGGGTCAGATTTGCTCGCGCTTCCATTTTGGCGTATAACTTCAGAGGAGGATACTGCCTCGAGAGAGGGCCGCTCCTCAAGGAGTGGCATACCCTCTGTTGAAAGTTCGCCTCTGAATGAATGAGATTCCGACATATCCTGCTGCTCAGATGTGAAGGATTCTTTTATTCAAGTTAGATGAAGATAAGATGGTAAGCAATGGATGGGTGCTATGCTAATTTCGATGATTTTTTCGACACAGATTTTATTCTGCGCAAGAAGAGAAGAATGGTGACTTGACAGAGTGAGATTTTACTCTGCCTATTCACGTGCGTTCCCCTACCTTGTGGGCTGATGTCACGATGATACCATGGTTATGTCAAGCATGAAGGTCAGTTATAATGGTCTATGACGTTGTTCCCGCTGAATTTCTTTCCTCGCAACCGTAGTTCAGGAACTGAACTATATCATTTCAGATACCAATACCATCGGCATTTCATATATTCAGATATACGATACCCATTCTCCCGCTCACCGCATCTATCTGCGATTGGTAGATGGATGGCTTGTTGGGGAAACTACACCTCTAGCCTCGCAAATCTTGGACGCTACCTTCGTTTCGTCGTAAATAGGTGAATTATTCCCTTGCCGAAATATTCGTTTCCTACCATGATATATGTAGCCGTACCACGGTACGAGCAAGCTAGCACACATATCGACACAGCTTCTAGTATTCTATGACGCTATAGAATATTTTGAGAAACTGGTTCAGTGGCTCCCTCGCCCCCCAGAATGACAAGGTACTGCTGTCATGTCTTCCCCGTCCCCCATGTTTAAAAATGGCGCCCACCGTCTCCTTTCATTCTTCTTTTCCTTTTTCTTCTTCTCATCACATTCTCGCAATAGCTACCTTCGTCCCCTTGCTAAGACAGCTTCGGAATATACTCATCTCAAACGTCCACATCTCTTCGCAATGTATGCTATCTCCCACCCTCCGTTAGCCCTATCCAAACTAACAATATCACCTTGTATGTAGCTTTCAAAATGCCAGCCTTCAGCAAATTTGCTATTGCTACAGCCGTGGGGCTCGCAGTCATGCAGCCCGCCCTTGCCATGCCAGTGGCGACCGGTACAAGCGGTAAGTGCGAACAAGATCTTCTTACCACCTTCTTCCGGCCATCCAGCTAATAGTATGAAAAGGAGGTTTTCCCCCTAAACATCTTCAAATCGAATGTGTTTCTGGTGAATGTTCTCCTGAGGACCTTGCCGCGCTCCGTTCGGCGGCCCAGATGGTCAAGGATGATCCTTCTGGAAAGGGCTGGAAAATCTCCTCCAAAATCGAGCCCCTCGCTCCTGGCCATAATCACCGTAGCCTCCACAAGGTCCGTCGTGACGACGGCATCTCTGAGGCGGAAGTCAACAACATTCTTAACGGAATCGAACATGCTGACCCCAACATGGTTGCCAGCTGTGCTGCTGGTACCTGCTCTGAGGCAGACATTAAACAGCTGGAGCAAGAACTCAACATTGCTACTATCCCGAACTGGCTCTGGCCCATCATTGGACGCATTAGAAGACTCAAGTTTACCTACGGAATCGAATTCGAGAACGGAGCGGCTCCGGCTCCCCCGGCTCCATCTCCCCCAGCACCACCACCAGCCCCAAAGCCTACGAAGGCGCCGGAACCAACCAAGAAGCCAGAGCCAACCAAGAAGCCTGAGCCAACCAAGAAGCAGGAGCACATGCCTTGGTAAACGGTTCCATGGTTTTGAAGACAATTAATCTGGTTCAATATGGAATGGGTTTGATTTACTGATACTCATTTATCATTCATTTGTTGTCTTCATGTACTTGCACCACCTACCCTGTTCAGTCTTATAAGGCCATGATATTGCCGATGGGGTAATGCCCTATCTTTGCTATTTATTCAACACGTCATCCCTTCTCTTCAAAAAAAAAAAAGGTTTAAAAGGAGGGAAAGAAAAAAAAGGGGTTGATAAAGGTATCTCGATAACAGTATGCAGTTAAATTAAATACATTCGTTTGCAATACACTCCATCGTAGCTTGACAGCTGTAGTCGTAGTGTCCGTCGCTAGAGCACCAAGCCAGAGGAAAGAGTGCTCAGCGAGGAAACATACTCAAACCAAGGCCACCACTCACACACGCATAACCACGAATTGACGTATGCTTTCTTACTCATATACCAATCTCTGGGCCTTTCTTCTGTACTGTTCTGCTTCTTAAAGGTCTTTAATTATTCGCCTTCTGGTGGATCTGGCATTTACGCACGATGAACTGGACGGGAGGTCGTTTACATCGATCCTCATACAAAACCAAGTCCTCATCCAGAGCTCTTGAAAGGCAACGCTTTGTCAAAGCCAAGCAACGAATCCTAAACGAAACACGTCCTACTTCCCAGTTTGAGATTTCTACTTGGGCGACAACCGAGCGAAAGGATGGTGAAAACGAACGCGCTGGTTCTACCGCGACGGCTACACAGTATAAGACAAACATTCCGAACCACAGTCCAACTGGAACGTCAAGCACTACAGATTCGTCAGAAAGGAAATCATATACTTGTGACAAGGCGATGAGGCTCCTTCCTTCAGATTCCTCTACAGTTGATGTCGACGAGATGAGAAAGAAATTACTTGAAAAGAAGGATTGGGCGAGACTTACTCTGGCACGACCATATAAGTCAGAGGTCGCGTGCCTTGAGAACAGGAAACATTTTGGAAAAAGACGTCCAATAACGGGGGAAGATCAACTCGAAAGCCCAGCACAGCGAAACGATACGTCTAACCTGCAACAAGCGACTCAGAATAAACGGCGGAGGATAACTGGGCCAATACGATGTGCCATGACACATCTTAGCTCTGATGATATCAGTATATGGGTAGAGCAACAAAGAGATCAGACTTTGGCTGGTACTCACCCTGCTGAAAGCCTTAAGTTAACCCAAGAATCTGTGGAATTAATGCTATTTGATAGAGTGGAAACTAGACGTGGAGGCATGCGGCCTTTGCGGTCCACTGACAGCCCTTCTATACAAACAGCTATATGTTTAAGGGATCCACGAAATATAATCCACAGCGGTCCTTCCACTGGTAGAGGCCAGCCTCAACTCGCCAACAAGGCTCCTTCGAGCCCTGAGATATCGGGTCATCCTGTCCTAGATCGACGGGGTTCGCTCGTTACGACTGGAAACCAGACACGATATGTCCCGCCAACAGTCGTTCGATCTGGAAGCTTAGGCCCACCGGAAGACACTGCATCTAATCGCGCAACGAATATGGAAGCAAAATGCTTTCAAGAAGATAGAGGTCTATCTCTTCGCGCAAAAGATAGGGCACGAGGGATAATTCCTGAAAATGACAGAGGCAGAGTAGGAAAGACGCCAGCCATAAATAGGTCACGAACTAAGGAAAATTGCGACAGCACTGTAATGCAACAAAGAGGGATTGTTTGTAACGATGGGCGTCACTCCGGACCAAGCTCCAAGCATACAGAACGCTACTCACTCGATGAAACCGTCATCAACCCCGCCAGCTTTAGCAAGAGTGGGTATTTCTGTCAATTTCCAGAAACCTCGCCAAGCTTAAATATGCAGAAACAATACTCTAGGAGTGGTGGTCATCAGGATCTCTATAATTTGAGCGGCCCAGCACAGCATATGTTCCGACGCGCTTGTAACCTGCCGCAAAATCCGAATAACGATAAAGGAGCAATGCCGAGCCACCTTCAGTTCCTGCCAAAGGCAGTATCTTACGACGATAGCTACTCGCAATTTCGGGCCTCTACCATGTTGAGCCGTAAGGTCGTAGTTTACGGCCAGGAGGTAGACATCTCGGAGGATAATGGGTCGCAGCAACGGAGTGTTGAACAATCTTCCCCGTGGCGCACACATACCATGAGGGGTAGAATGTTATACAACCAAGCGATGGAAGGATCGTCACCACTTGGGAGCAACAAATGCTCGTATACTTGGACCGGGTATCCAGGAATTGAGAAGGTGGGATATTCTCCAACGAGGCTAGAAGGGTCCATAACTTCAAGTTCGAATATGGGAGAGCTTAGGGAGTATTTCAGTTCCAGAACCTGTCCGAGAGAATCTGCCGCGCCGACATATATTTCCCAGTTTACCCCAGGGGGCGGGTATGTCAACGTTTCTGATGTCATCAGGCATCATTACCCTGAGAGAAGAGGAGGGGTTACTACTAATAGCGATGGCCTGACAAAACCCAGGTCTATGTATATATATGCAAATACAACGCGATTAGAATGAAATGGCCCATTTCTTGGAATTCAGTGGCATCTAAGGACCAGTTGCCATATAATTTTTCATACCCCTGAAGATAGCAAGCTCTTATCGATTGTGACATCGCCGCCAAGGCCGCTATATGATTACGTAATCAGGACCACTTCGAAGGCAGCATCGTTTCAGCAGGCAAGTTGACATCACACAGCTCGACAACGAAAGCTCACCAGGAGCAAAGGCTTCCTCTATACATGATTGCAAAGCAGTTATAAGGTCACAGTTGTACCAATGGGCAGAAAATTGATATATCTCTTCTTCCCCTTCCTCATCCTCTCCGCGCTCACACCCACGGCCCTCGCATCACCTATCCAGCCAGAGACCAATCCTCTACCTCTCGTGGTATGGCACGGCTTGGGAGACAGCTATGAAAATGAGGGGATGAAAAGTATTGCACAGCTTGCGGAAGAAGTTAACCCAGGCACATACGTATATTTGATCCGGTTCGGCGAATCCGGCACTCAGGATCGGGATGCCACTTTCTTCGGCAACGTCACGGCTCAAGTCGAAGATGCATGCCAGCAACTCGCATCAGACCCTATCATAAGCAGTGCTCCTGCTATAAATGCGCTTGGCTTCTCACAAGGCGGCCAGTTCCTGCGAGCATATGCCCAGCGATGTAACAATCCTCCGGTTCACAACCTGGTCACCTTTGGCAGCCAACACAATGGTATAGCAAGCTTTACGATGTGTAAAGATTCCGGTGACTGGCTATGCTGGAGCGTCAATGCCTTGCTACGGTTTGGAACCTGGTCTGGTATTGCGCAGTCCGGGCTGGTACCTGCGCAATATTTCCGTGACCCAGAGGAGATGGGCGATTATCTCGAATATAGCAATTTCCTTGCCGACATCAACAACGAGCGGGTAACGAAGAACGAGAAGTATAAGGAAAACCTAAAGAAGCTAAATAAGTTTGTGATGTATATGTTTAAGGAGGATACTACCGTTGTTCCAAAGGAGAGTGCTCACTTCATGGAGGTCAACGCTACATCGGGTGAACACACTAAACTCCAGGACCGGCCGATTTATAAGGAAGACTGGCTTGGGTTGAAGGTCTTAGACGAGCAAGCTCGACTGGAATTCCTGACTATACCAGGTCGCCACATGCAGCTCAGTGGCGCTCTTCTGAAAAATACCTTCCGCAGTTATTTTGGCCCTTTGCAGTCTGGAGAAACAGAAAAGACACCCGAGGCCAGTTTCCAAGTTCAGGAGTCGTAAATACTATTTTTTTTTCCATTTTCGCTATGAGTCGGCTTGTTCTTATTTATGTTCTCGACGTTCACTGCCAGCTCTAGCGCTATTTTAGCGATTCGGCACTACATTCCCGTCGTTTGTCACCCATGTGTATAGTAATTGATAGGTCTACTCATACTGCCGAATGACCTCGATACTTACCTTTCGAAGTTTTAAGACCTCGCATGAAGACAGCCCTACATACTTCATCGGCCGATATACCCCCATTGCACGAGGACCCAAGCTCTCCTTGTAGGGACCTCTCGTACCCCCTTGTTTTGTATAATTATTAAGATTGTGTTCCCTCTTAAGTATAATACTTTGATCTACATCTGTCCTGGTCAACAGGTGATGGGATAAATATATTGAATTATTTAGCCTCTATGTACAAGATAGGGAGATGAATAGTGAATCTATTGATTCGGCTATTATACACAGCTCCCTGGCCCCTTACGACCCAAAATGTATGCATTTCCAATCTCCCCCAACACTTTGACATCCATCAGCTTCTCATAATACCCAATTGTATTTTTGTCCCCGGTCATGATGAGTAGTCGCCGTAGGTGCTGCATCCCATCCACAACTTCTTTGATGCATCGAACCATAAACGTCCCGAGACCTGCACCTTGATATTCTGGCATAACGAATACATCCGCAAGATAGAAAAATGTCACATTATCTGTAATCAAGCGGGCGAATCCAATCTGTTCCACTTGTGAGGATGACCACGTTGTTGGTTGATTTCTACCGTCCGTTGGTACCTGGTCCTGGATACACTTGTATAGACCAAAACACAGGGATGAGTCAACGGCCGTTTTCAGCTCGGCCTCAGGCAGAGATTTGGCCCAGTATATATAGTCCTTCTCAAATTCCTCGTTGATCTTGGTAAGTGAAATAAGGGATTTATCCATCGAGACAAGGAACTGTGCATCTTCTCCGGCCTTGGGAGACCGGAGCCATTGCCTTGGTGCAGGAGGAAGGTTCGACATCGTGCGTAAAGTTCTTAGGTATATTCTGCTTCTTCGAATTTTTTAGAATATAAATGGATGATTATCCTTATTTCTAGTTTTGCATTCCCAAGAGTAAAATGTCATCGGTCCCTCAACACGAATATGAGTCAACATACGACCGAATCGACCCGAAACGCCGTTGGCGCTGTGGGTATCTAAATCATATGGCCTACCAGCCAATAAGATATAAGCGTATCGGCATAGTTACCCTTGAACGAGAGACTTGTGTATAAATTAATCTCTATTTAAAAAGACAGGTTTGCGAGAAACAGTCAATTCATGATATTTATGCGTAGATGCATGTTGTTGGTGGTTCCGTAGCGTATCATATTTGATTGTCTCGTAGGACTTGCATGCATCATTCTAAGATATCTATCAAAAACAGCTTCGCTTAACCTTATCACTACTCAGCTTATAGGTTTTCACCCAGGAAGCAGATACTACTTCAATGGTTTATGAAAAAAAAAAGGAAAAAAAAAAGAATGACAAGGGTGGGATTCGAACCCACGCCCTCAACGAGGACCAGAATATGATGTAGTGAGAGATCACCGGTGAATATTTCTAATTAAAGTTAGCCTTAATCTGGCGCCTTAGACCGCTCGGCCACCTTGCCTGTTTGGGTCTCTGTCCTGCCAACATGGACCATAGTTCTGCTTATGTAATCACCGGGGTTATTTTTCCCGAAGTTAATGGATGATAGTTATTCCGGTACGAACACGGATAAAACAACTTCATCCAACGAAACGACGACAGCATATACACCGGTTACTTGCATCTCACGGTCTCGGCTGCCTTCATCTGCTTCATATTTAGTTTGGGAGTTCTTTATATACCATCAGTCACTGGAGGAAGTCTGCAGTTAGTAGAAGTCACGATGTCTCTTGGCCACGATGAGGCTATTGGCAGCATGTCCATCAAAACTCCGAGCGGTGGACGGCCATTGGCAATTGTCCATATTACCTACCATATGGTCTGGTGATATTGAAAACCATGGAGCTTGTAGATATCAAGAGCACTGGGCTCGATAAAACGCCATGCACGATGCCGCTGGAATATTTATCCAAGAACCCACTGGCCATATATTCTTTGATATACGTGTGCATTAAACGCTGCAGCAAGTGAGGTGGGATTTTCCGCCTGGGTATCGCCTAGTCTAGTGGCTTCAGCTTTACTAAAGGCGCGTGATATGTTTTGTTTGTTTTCTGTACTCGTTCTACTTTCCCACAAAACATTTTTAGGCGACTTCGCGAGCTTCAGGGAAGCATTCCATTTTATCTAGCTGAAGAGCCCCCCATGCTCGTTTCTCAACCAAGCAGTCATGAAGAAGCCTCTTCCTCTTTCTGCTTCTCGCTCTAGGCTTGAGTACGTGTTTAACCACATTGTACTTCCGCCTCGCCTTCCTGGAAAAGCGGAAAGCTGCCCGGATGATATTCAATTCGACCTACTGTCATTCCTTCAGGGGGCATCGTGTACCCTAAATGATGACTTGGATGGAGGCTTGAGTGCTGTTGGGCTTTCTGTTCACAAGATACTGGAGATTTGCAAGTCTACCAACGCCGGTGGCAAATTGGACAAATCCACGCTACTGCGAGAATTTCAAAAAATTGAGCGAAAGGTCCCCATAATCCTTCATGTTAAGGAGCAGAACGCTGGGTTACTTATCTGGCGAGATGAACGGTGAATCTATCCCCTTTACAAGAGGGATGCGTATGAACACGATGACTAACTATTTTGATATAGGGACGATGAAGAGACAGTGACATTCGAAGCATTTGAAGCATCGGCAGTTTCTGAGAAAGTCCTTTCTGCGGAGGGCCCTCTACAATGGGATTTCCCAGGCGAGACTGTCGTCATTCCTTATACCGTATTTACCCAGCCGTCGTTCCAAGAGTCGCTTTCCACCTTCCTAGAGTGTGCAAGCACTGAATCGGTCAAGAAATTTGCAGCCTGTGTTCATAAGGCTGGGTCTGTCGCATTTGAAAATCGCGATACCACTGATCCGGCTTTAATCACCCAAATGCTGATGACTTTAATTGAGGCGAACGGATCTAGAATATTCCCTACACTCTTACGAAAGCGAGTTCGAGACGAAGTCTCCTGGGCTCCAGGGGGCGGAAAACCCTGGAGAAGACTACCTTTTTGGTTGGTTGTTCGAGTTGGGATTGAACGGCACCTGCGTTTGCAGTTTGGTACGACGAAAGGAAGGGCATGCTACAAGTTCTTACTTTGCCTCATGTTCTCTGACTTCCTAGAGTCTGCGACTGGCTCGCTCTCGCCGGATAAATTGGCCCTACTGAAAGCAAAGCTAGCACGACGTTTGTCTAAGTTAGAGGTGGAACGAGAGAAAGCTCCGCACAATGATAAATCGATCTATACCCGGTTATTTGACAAATTCAAACATCGCTTCCAAAGCTCCATCAGCAATTCAAGTGATCATATGGTCGATGAATGGAATGCCTATAAGGCGCGTATCAGACGCAGGATCCCTCGACTCCCCAAGCACGCTGATGCAGATTCACAGTATCTTTCGCTCACAAACAGCAAAGAATACATTACAAACGTGTTATCACAATACCAAAGAACAGGCTCATCTAAGCTCTCACACCATTATGCTTCCGCAGATTTCAACCCTAATTATTCAAATGCTTTCGGGGTGTTTGCTAAGCCATACAATACGCTTTCCGCATTAGAGGCGATGACGGATGAGGAATTTCTAAAGATGGGCTCTGACACGGAGGAAACTTGTCTGATGATTGCGAATATACTCACAAAGTATCTGTTAAAAGTTGGGCCAGAATATGATGATAACCCTGAACAAAAGAGCATCATGATTTTGCATTCCGTAAGACTTTGGGTGCTGATTGATAAGTGTGTCACTCAGTTATTCCCCTTGCTGTTGGATTATCACCCTGGGATCTCCTCGGATCTTCTTGACGTACTTCAATTGTCCAGCCTTCGGGATATGATTCGTCTGAACGCCATACAAGAGTATATCCATACTCGGTGCACACGGAGCCTTTCTCAACAACGTCGGACCATTTTTGATGACCCCGCGGAAGGATGCTTTGCAGAAAGATACTTCGATTCAGGCCACGAACCTGGATTACAAAAGCTTCATTCAAAGGTTCTATTGCAAGCAGAAAGGGCTTACGAAACGAAAGTGCGTGAATGGCAAGAGATGAGCGAAACTTTTGAAGCGTTACAGAAAAAGGTCATGAGTTCCTTCTGTAGCTATACTACCAACACATTTGGCGGAGTAAATCATGACGATAACTGCGAAAAATGCCACGACCAATACCGTGCAAACCGTATGACGATTAGGATTCATGAGCACCCACTACCAAGCAATACGGCCCATGCCAAAGCGGTGGTGTTTGAGCTTCGGTGTCCTGCAGCTTTCAGGGCCTATCGGGACTCGACCTGGGAGGTATTCGGCTTTATGACTTGTCCTCAATTCCAGCCCAGAATAGACCCTAAGTTGTTAATTGAGGATTACAGCGAACTCAAGAAATTTGTCACCGATGAATCGAGCAGGATCACACTGGCATCAACAACAAAATCCCTGCTATCGACCCATTACAGAGGAGTTTATTTCCCAGTAAGACTAGAGGATATCTGTTTCGAAAATAATCTAAAGCTTAGATACTACGATACCATCGCCGGGACATTCACATATCGGCAGAACCATGTTCCAGGTTTTTCTCACCACCTTCGAATGAGCCCACCCACCAACTCGCCGTTCGCGTCTATTATGCCTTTAGGTAGCTTGAGTGGCTCATCCTCTTATGAGATTATTGCCAGCCAAGCTTCGTGCTCCTCTGGATTGAATGTTCACGAGTCCATGGCTTATAAGTCTCTTTTCTCCGGCAAGATCAGGCGTTGGCCTATGATCCTTGTTGAGCTTGGGTCATCAAACTTGAATTTCAGTACCAAGGCTCCATCCTCGCTGATATGCCTGCTTGCGATACAGGCAGGGCCTAGAGATAAGAGTGACCCCTTTCGAGTAGTACATAAGATCTTCCGTGACGAATCTTTTTGTGCCCAATTAATTAGGTTAATTCGCGAGCGCCTAGAGGGGGTTGCATCAAATTGGCGGGAGACGGATTGCATGGAGATGCTGATCACCCTGATACTTCGATTATGCATTTTGGCCCCAATAACCATACTACCGCTAGCTCTCGACCTGTTGAGGATAGCCCAGGAAACCCTAGTCAACTGGGTCAGACAACTACGCCATGAAATTTGCACAGCTGAGGATCCAGGGATCATTGCGAACTGCTCGGAGTTTGCTTTTGTCGTTGCCCTACTACTTAGAAGGACCTTCGCAGTTTATGCCGAACATATCCCAGGGTACACGGGAAATATGACACCTACGGATACGCGCTGCTTTATTGAAGCATCTATTTCGCTTCAAGATAATGCTCCTGGTGACATGAAGTCCTTAGCCCCTTTTCCGAAACGTGCTCTTATTAGAGATTTGAAGATGGTATTCCGGATGCGCTCCACATTAACGCAGTCTTTAATACATTGTCCGGACAGCCTAGGTGCTGTGATCACGGGTATGTGGTCACGGGGCTCTATCTCAGCTGGGGAACTTTCCGACCCCAATCAGATGGGGTTAGAGAGCTCTATCCCGGCAAGAAGTTTTTCTAGCCTTAGGCAGACAGACAGTCGTGGATGGTTTCAAATAGAGATTTGTGCAACAAATCAGACAAGACCCCTAACGATTCATTACCATTCGCTAGAAGGACATCTACTGGTCGATGGTCAACCGTTAGGTAGACTTCCAGCAAATCACCAAAATTCTGTGGTGTTGGATAGGCTTTTTGGTAAGCAGAAGCTGCTTGTTTACCCTTCGCCACTCCAAGGAATGGCATTTATGCTTCCTTTCCAGATCAACAAGCACCAAGTTCATATAGGTTTTCGAGATGGGACAACTATTGTTCGAGCACAGACGGCCTACGAAACTTTTGAATTCATCCCGTGCGAAGTATTCGGCAATAAGAGGAATTTTGACCTTCCTGGATCTCTGGTCGAAGATTGCATTCACTGGCTTAATTTGTCAACGGGGGTGATCAAAGTTAGGCGGAAACCCGATATATGGCGTGACAAAGATAGCAACTGGGCGATCGATTTCTATAGCCGCAAAGCATACCGTCGAACAGTTACCTTGATAGACCCTCACAGCCAGCTATTTCGCCTTGTCACGGGCATATTTGAAGGATTTGAGTACCCTGGATACATAACAGTTTATCAACCCCCCACTAAGAGTCTCTCCGTGGAACTACGCCGTCTAAGGCTGGACTTCATTACCTCCGAGACCGGGCTATTAAGATGCAAACAGTTGAACGCTGTAATCGATACGAATCAAGATGCAGGTACATGGTATGGACTAAATAGCAAACTTGTCCTACATGATGTGACCAATTATGAGCAACGCAGTATTATTGTTCCTATGGGACCTCTCCGCAGTACCAAAAATGGCATCCATGTTACCGTCTTTGCTGAAAACCTAGGGGTATACTGCCGATTTTTCATCAACGATACCCTTGGGAGGCTGGACTGCCCAACTGAACCATGGACATTATATGCCAAAGCTCAGTTTCATGCTTATACTTCCTTTATTTTACCCGACCGCCTAACAGACCGTACAGGGACAGAAGAAGCTGTGCATTGCCTAAGATCAGGATATAGCCAGCCATGGACCACGTTGAATGCTGGCCCCCAAGAGACCCTTATGTCCATTATGCAACTCGCTCCAACAAGGGTATATTACCCTCCAGGCTCAAAAACCGTACAGCATACGACATGGAATGACAATTTAACTTCGGGGATTCAACACGAAATTTTCTGGGTTTTGGTAGAACGAATCTGCAATATGGAGAGAACCCTAGGGTTATTCAACCTTAGTCAGATTGACCAACCGGCCCACAAGTCCCTTAGTGACGATTTCCTGATGAAGCGAGCTTATAGGAGAAGAAATACTTACCAAAGGCCCAACGCGGGGTTCAGCGAGTTACCATATCTAGAAGACGTACCGTACGAGCCGCGAGATCGGTTTCAAGAACAACAGCGTCGTTTCAACGTTTTTGAGAGCAGCAGCCTACTGAAAAGATGGCCCTGCGAAACGGGATTTCACGTTGACTTGATCAAAAAGCTTGAGAACTGGCATACAATAGGGGGATATTGTGAAGTTTTTGACAAGGTTCTCTTAACAGACATGCTTGAAGTCCAGGTTGATACATCTTGGGGCTCGATTGTTAACTACTGTCGTGCATCAGAGGCAGAGAAGAAATATCATCTCATGATAATGATGGCCCTTATGTCATTTCATGACCGTGTTGATATGGAAATCATACGGGTCTTGATTCATTTCGCCACTGTCCCAGAGCTGAAATCTTTGAGCCCCCCGAAGTGGGTTCATTATAAGGATTTCCGTTATAACCAACAACCGACAATAACCTATCTCAAGAAACTGGTGAAGCTATGTTGCGTTCCATACGCTGAAGACGAACGGGGCATTTTGCCACTCAGTAATAAGACCAGAAAAAGGCTTGAGGCAGCCGAAAAGGAACATGAGAAGCGAGTTGAGAGTGATGCAAACGCATTTTCAGAGTTTATCCTTGCACAATGGCCATGTGTAGAACCAAATATGGAAGCCGTTCCTCAGACCCCATTGTTGGACGTTCCACGGGCCCTAAAGATCATTTTTCCTGATTGGACCCGACTGTTTCAGAATCTAGAGCTATCTAACTACCTTGCTAAGGTACAGACGATCTTAAGTTCTCATGGTTTTTGGAAACCTGAAAAGTTCAGCTGCTGCACGAAGAGTATGTCAAGAGACATTTTTTCTACCAGAGCTCGAGGAGAGGATATTCCAGCACTTGCAAACAATCTTTTGAGCAAGAGCTGCGTGCTACTTTTGTGTTCGCCCTATCCCGCAACGCTTCAAGCTAGTGATAAAACGTCAGTTGAGGGTAGTGGGAAACACAGTTTCTCTTCATACGGTAACCGAAAAGTGGGTAATAATGTGTCTTTACCCTGGAAAATGGTCCGCCCTGAGGTATTACAACTTGAGAATATTGTTGAGAAAATTAAAGATTCTTCTTCATTGGTTAGACAACAGTACGGACAGGATTTAATGACCAGCCTCATGTCTTTGAAGGATGATAAAACGACCGCCGAATCTACCAAGGACACATTCGACCCGGCTACCGTCTATACAAACATTGGTTGCGCGACACAGGAGGTACAACGCCACCTTGAACACATCAAGTCTGCGCTAAATAAAGATGACGTACGCTTCCACTGGTTACAGGCCGGAGGGCTGTGGCCTTGTATGACAACAGTCACCTTGCTTGAGCAGCTGCGTTCTACCCTCAGGGTTGTTTTCGGGGCCGGAATGAAAGAAAGTTTCATATCATTTGCCGTAGCAATCATTGCTAGACAACGTCTTTTAAGAATAAAAGATGCATACTTGCGAAATAAGGATCAGGCGCTTAATGACGAACAAAGCAACACACCACAATCTAATTGGGATCCTGCACATAATACAGACTGGCTACTACTACAAATAGACGCGAACATCTGTATCAGACCCAACCAGGTTGACGTTGCAAATGTGACTATCTCTCCGCCCTCAAAGGCGAACTCGGTCCTGCAAATGAATATGGGTCAAGGTAAGCTTCTGGACCTCGCATCATTTGAGAATATGGCACCTAGTTCCTCGTATGGTTACGTTTTAGCCTTTGCTTTCAGTCTATTTATGGTTAAAAAGTGACTGTACTCGATGAACTAGGCAGAGACTTTAGAGCCATGACTGACAACCGATATAGGGAAAACTTCGTGCATTATACCGATGGTTGCTGCGGTGTTAGCAAATACCACAAACCTTCTCCGAGTAATTGTACCAAAGGCGTTACTCGTTCAGACATCACAGGTACTCCAGGCAAGACTTGGAGGCTTAGTTGGGCGTGAGATACGGCATGTGCCCTTTTCTCGCAGAACGCCCACTAGTCTTGATATGGTCAAACATTATTTCGAAATCCACAAAGACATAATGTCATCTGCAGGTGTTATCGTTGGGCTTCCTGAACATATGATGTCGTTCAAACTCAGTGGCCTACAGAGATTGGTTGATGGCCAAATGCCAGAGGCCAAACAAATGATCAAAATCCATGATTGGATGCAGAAAGTTTGCCGCGATGTGTTGGACGAATGTGATTTTACTCTTGCTCCACGGACCCAGCTGATATACCCGAGTGGCACACAGAGCACCATTGATGGTCACCCACATCGATGGGAAACTGCTGAAAAATTGCTCGAGCTGGTGTCTGGTCATCTATGGGAGCTCCAGCAAGGATATCCTGGAAGCATTGAAGTGATTTCTAGGCCTCAGGGAGGGTTTCCAATTGTATACTTTCTACGCAAGGATGCGGAAGAGGCCTTAATAACGCTTATAGTCAAGGACATAATAGGCGGCCGAGCTTCAGTCATTCCTGTCCGAAGTTGTCTCCCTTCCGAGCTCGTTGACATTAAAGCCTTTATTTCTGAGGCTACGATACCACCAAAACTTGTTAAACGGGTATCTTCTATGTTCCCGGATAATCCTGCGGTGAAACAGAATATCTACCTACTACGCGGACTATTAGTCCATCGGATCTTGCTCCTCTCGCTTAAAAAACGTTGGAATGTGCAATACGGCCTCCACCCCTTGAGAGACCCCATAGCTGTCCCATTTACCGCCAAAGGAGTGCCTTCCGATCAAGCCGAATGGGGCCATCCTGATGTTGCAATACTCTTTACCTGTCTAGCATTTTATCTCGGCGGATTAGAGCTTCCTCAGGTGAAACAATGCCTTGAGAGCCTCATGAAATCAAGCGACCCATTGACTGTCTACGAACAATGGAGTCATAGCTCAGAAACATTGCCTGAGATTCTTCGTGATTGGAACACAATAAATACAGAAGATGAATCGCAAGTTCTTGAACTATGGAGTCACCTCCGCCATCAGATGCCTCTCATTAATTATTTCCTCAACCATTTTGTCTTCCCAAAACATGCAAAGCAATTCCGCGTGAAATTGCAAGCTTCAGGCTGGGATATCCCACTATTCTCTCCTTCTGTGGCCTCTGGGCTAGGAGATAGCTCAGGGGCTACCAACGGCCACGAGTTTAAGGGGTCCAGGGCTATGACGACAGGGTTTAGCGGGACAAATGACAATCGCACGGTACTTCCGCTAACAATTGAGCAACAGGATCTCAAGTCTTTGGTGCATACAAATGCAGAGGTGTTGACCTTCATGCTCCGTGCCCGCCAGTATGTGGTTGCCGAGAACAGGGAAGGCAAACGCTTGACAGAAACAGAGTTTCTCGTTCGTCTAAAATTGATGGACATACGCGTACTAATCGATGCCGGAGCCCAGATCCTCGAAATGGACAATTTAAGCCTCGTGAAGGAGTGGTTGGGTGTACAGCCCGATGCTCCAGCAGCAATGTATTTCAACGATGAAAACAAGCCGTATATCATCTATCGGAACGGTTATCGAGTTCCTCTTCTGGCGTCTCCTTACGCAGATAACCTGGCAGACTGCCTTGTGTATCTTGACGAGGCGCACACCCGTGGCACAGATTTGAAGATCCCGGTTGATGCTGTTGGAGCCCTTACCTTGGGGCTCGGGCAGACAAAGGACCACACAGTGCAAGGTAACTGATCTCCACTATTCAATATTGAGTATTTCTAACTGACTATATATAGCTGCTATGAGATTAAGGCAACTCGGTACTACACAATCGATTACGTTTTTTGCGCCCCCCGAAGTTCACCAGAGTATACTTGATTCCCGACAAAAACCTAGTTTTGTTCCAGTGGATTCCGTTGATGTTGTATACTGGCTTTTGATCCAAACTTGCATTGGTATAGAGCAGATCCAACCACTCTACTTCTCCCAGGGTATGGACTTCAGCCGCCGAACACAAGCCGCCCTGGAAAACCCTAAGTGTCTCATTGACCAAAACCAACGGCAGCAGTATTGTAGGACTTTGCGGCAGGAAGAAATGCAAACTCTAGAGGAGCTGTTCAAACCTGCGCTCAAGGCAAAATCGAAAACCGCTACAGGTGCATACGCCCCCGAGATTGCGAAATTTGTTAAAGCCCTTCAGCAAAGGCGAAAAGGATTCCAGGATTTTGGTGACGCTGTTCATAGCTCGGCGCTCCAGGAAGTAGAGCAAGAGAGGGAGGTTGCCTACGAAGTTGAAGCCATCCGAGAAGTCCAGAAACCCACCCGTTTCAAAGCACTGGCCTTCCCTGGCCTCCACGAGGATATTAAAAACTTCTGCCATACTGGGATGTTGACACCATATTCGTCTGGCTACCAGCAAGCATTCATTTCTCTAAGAAATACAGGGCTAGGACAAAGGCATGGAATCAACTCTAATGCAACCTCATCGAACCTACTTGTCTCCAAGGAGTTCTTGAGAACTGTGCGTTTGCCCGATGACCAGTACAACGATAACTATGTAGTAAGGATTTCTCTACAGTCCAGCTCTTAAACAGATTTGAACGTGTTAGATTTGAATGCTAATTCCCCCCTTATAGCGCCAAATAAATTGGATCATTTGGAGCCCCCTAGAAAAAGCAGCGCTTGTGATCATCCCTGAAGAAGCAGAGCTGTTGATTCCTCTCCACCAGCAACCCAAGCTCGTTCGTACACATCTACTAACTTATGCTGCACCTGTGACTCGTGGAATGTTGCGTTTCAACAACCTGGATTTCTATTCCGTCCCATCCCTGCCCAGAAGCTGGAAAGCTCCTATATGGTTAACCATTGAGCTTGGCATTCTATCAGGTCGAGTGTACTTTGACTTCGCGGAATATGAGCCCTTGTGCGAGTATCTTGGGGTTGCGAATACGATAGCCCAAAGGAGACCAGGTGGTACAGGAGGCGAGATATCGTCGACAAAAATACCCTGGGAGGATGTAGAGGACAACATGGGCGTTGACAAGCAGAGTTTTACTGCCAAACCACTATCCTTCCTCCAGGAGTGGTTAGCCATCAGGCGTAAGGGCCAAGATTTCAATAATACGCCGATGGGTTATGTATGTCAGGGCAAGATGTTGAATGAAAGCAATGCCTTCTTCTCCTCCAAGAGAGATATACGGTCCAATATACCCAAACTTAAGGCTGAAGACCATGGCTATGAAGATGATGTCGCCGAAGATCGTGGGGGTAGTGATGATGAGCCAGAGGAAGAAATTGGAGACCGATACGAGAGCCAGGGCGAGGATCGAGAATCGACAGAACAAGACGAGGAGAGCGAGGACGTAAGTGAGAGCGGTGATGAGGGTCTGGGGGGATCTGAGGCCTTAGAAACCAGCGAAGACGAAATCAGCGAAGATGGTGGAACTAGTGAAAACGAAAGTGATGATGACGAGTACTAATAATCATTTATGTTTAGATGTCGGCAAGGCGCAGTTATAAAATTGGTTTAAAAAGAAGAAGAAGAAGAAGAAGAAGACAAGAAAAGGGAAAGATTGGAATTCTTAGTTAAGGGATATTCATAGTCCATGTTTGGAATAGTAATATTACCATTCTCTACTTGAAGTTTTGTTGGTACCATATGTTGTAAAGTAAATGGCCATGTCTTCTACGGAGTACATCTAGTCTTATCAGGCCTCTCTTCGGCCGCTCTAATATATTTAATTTCTTAGGGATAAGCCTAAGAACACACTCAAGGACAAGCTTAGGGGTAAACCTAAGAGCGAGCTAAGTCTTCCAAAATATGGTGGATTAGACAGTCCTTAAGCACTTTTGTTAATCTGGCAAGCTCTGTTGTAGAAGGGTCAGGCCCATGATTAAACTATTGTTAGTGCTTCTCTGGTAGACTTCGTCCCATACTCGCGCCATATGAAGATACCACCCACTACAACAATCAGATATTATAAAACGAACAATGTTTACATGAGAATATAAATGGCTCAAGCAGGCACGGAGCTATTTGCAACGTCTTGGACTCTGCATCGGCTATCGCCTTTGTACCACGGCCAGGACTCTGCCAAACCGCTCCTCGACGCGCCAGAATGCATTCGCCAATATGCGGATCGACTTCGCGACACGCTTACAGGCAATGTACTGGGCGGTATTGTCCAGTCTGCGGTGCCATCTACTAGCGCTACGGCCCTTGATGATGTGCTATCTAAAGCTGGAGCATTGCAGGAGTGCAAATGGACAAACATTCCGACATGGAGCTACTGGAATGAAGAACATTCTATACTAGAAGACCCGGACCAGGAGTCTCCCCTAGTTCTTACTTCAGACCAATCTGCGGGGATTCTTATTACTCTACAATACGAGAATACCAATTATAAAGCTGTTCTGTTGGCCGGGCCAGATGGATATCGCCACGAGGACGTCCGCGGAGCAGAAGGCACTACATTTCTACCATTGCTGGTAACGCGAATGCCAAACGCGTTGAGGCAGGCGCTGATATCTTTCTTGTCTGAGACATTTGACACTCGAGTCTCCCTATTGCGTCTCCCTTCGAGCTTCTTATGCAGTGCTCTTGAGAAATATTTAGCGACGCTCAATCGCGGTAGCATCCGGGCGAATAGACGCGCAGGCCAGACATCGACATCAACAGTGGAATCCCGCGCGTTTATAGAGTCTGTTGTGAAAGAAGTGCAGTTAACACTCTCATTCCCACCACCTGTCTCTACGGACCTGAAATTGCTTGATGTACATCTTCCACGCGAATCTTTGAGTGCATTCTACGCTCATGGCCTTGGAGCTCTTGAGACAGATAACGACAACAACAATGATAGTGGGGAGATTGGGGTCCCAACAGCACCATTTTTAACTGCTTTTTCGAAATACTTTGACCATAATCTTGCTATGAAGCTGGACATGACGGATTTTGCGGGGAAATCTACCACCTCAACAGGAAGCAGTACGAAGGGAAAGCTTATCAGGTTGACAAAAGTCTCTTGTGGTGCGTTTGTACTTGGTTCAGAAGGTAGAATAAAATTGCTTGCCAACCCCGGTCGTGCTATCCTTTTGGATGATTCTGATATCGAAGGAGAGGGTGACGGGATTGATATCGATGAAAGACACAAGGGACTTGTGTGGAGGGCGAACGAGGATTTACTACGAGCTTTGATTGCAAGGGCCGTGGGAGAAGGCAGGATGGAAGTCAGGGTTTGATAGTCGTTCAGCTGGGTTGGATTGAATGGAGTGGCGTTTTCTGTGGTGTAACGTATAGGACGTAAAATCTTAATAAAGATAGGGTATAAATATGTTGCAGACAACCTAGATGCAACAGGATAAGAAATTATATTTTCATGTTTCTATACAGCGCTAATCACAGGATATATAAACCATTAATACTCCTCCACACATATAACAAATTATCAAAGAAAAACTTCCATAGAATCATCACTCATGATCTAGATATTCCATCTCCGTCAACTGGAGGGCGCTATCAACTGTGGGCACAAAGTGTGTTATGCCGCCACACGTCTCAATAATGCCACTCCTCTCCATCATCCTGAATACTTCACTTTCGGGGAGGGGAATGCGGCAGAAAAACACACGCACGCCATGCGAGACGTATTCTTCGATGATTTCACTCAGCACCTGAACGCCCGAACCGTCTATGCTAGTTACCCCGTGGATGTCGAAGATGATGTTCTTATTGTGCTCTGGAGACCGAACGCGTGGTAAGGCGGGATGGGCGGCATTTGTGCCATAGAACTCCAACCGACGCAATCTGTTCTTTAGATCGCCTGTGTTAGCGAAGGTGAGTGGTTCAGGAATCTTCACGATTAGCGAGCCGGCGATGAACTCGACACGCTCGGGATGGATTTCAGCGTTCTCGAATCGGTCGCGGGTTCCGTGCACCTTTCCAAGAATTTGGATGCGTGGTTTGGTTGCGTGGCGGATGATTTGAAGGAGAGAAAGGCCCATTCCAAGCGCTATGCCGAGGTAGAGGGAGTAGAAGACCGTGGAGAAAAAGATCAGGAGCATTAGGGTGAGCTCTGACCAGCCGCGAATTCGGATGAAGAAACGGATGTCCTCGGGGCATTCTTCTATCAGCGTGTATGAAACCACTGAGATCAATGCCGAGAGCACCGCCATCTTCAAGAGGAAAGTTAGCATCGGCTATCAGAAAAGGGAGGGGAGTATGGTTTTTACATACGGGGAGGTAATAGAAATATGGGAGCAGCCATATGACGCATGTGAGAGTGATCAAGGCTACGAATATTCCACTCATCGGGGTCTTGGAGCCGGTTGCAGCACTAAGCTTGCTGCGGCCATAACCACCGAATGCGGGAAGACCCATGAAACATCCGCCAACCATGTTTGCAACCCCTAGGGCAACGAGTTCACGATTTGGACTATATGTCATGCCTTCGATTCCGCCTTTGGTTGCAGACCTAATACCCTTTGCGGCGACCGAGGATTCAAAGAAGCCTAGGAGAGAGATGATGAAGGAGGTGCTCATGGCGCTGCGTATATGTTCTATTCGGTCTGCCTGGAAAGGCCACTCGAACTTGAATAGATTGCTGGGGCCTTTGACATTGCCGAGAATGGCGAGGCCCTTTTTATCCCACTCTAGATGCCAGGTCAAGACTGCGGACAGCACGACGACGAGGAACTGGTCTGGGATGAAGACTACACCCGGATACCGCGGTTCCATGTGTTTCTTCAGTACCCTAAGGACAAGTCAGTATTATAATGGGCCATGCCTTAGCCGGGAGTTACGAACCTGAAGACCATGATGATTGCAAACGTACTGAATGAGACAGCACAGGTAAGAACATGACTATATTGTACATTGCGGAACAAGAACATCAGCTTCTCCGCAGAGCTGCCGTGGGTACCCAACATGACGTCTTTGGCTCGTTCAGACAACCCCATCTCGGGAACAAATTGATCTACCATGATCATGAAACCAATGGCACTGATGAAGCCCCTGAGAAACGGGCGACTGAGGATGTTATCAACGAAACCTAAACGCGTGATTCCCCCTATAAGAGTCATTGCTCCAGCCATCCCCACGACAATTCCAGCAATTGCAGAGTTGCCGCGGGCATCGTCGTCGATACCCTTCCCGTCATCGACTGTGTTTCTAACGACGGTTCCTACCAGGAGGGATCCAGCGGCCTCGGGTCCCACGATTAACATTGAGCTACTGCCGAGGATAGAGTATATAAATGGATGGAAGATGAATGAGTATAGCCCGTTAATGGCAGGTAGATGAGCAACGTTAGATGCCAGTGACAGACACATGGGGATATAGATTGACGAAACGGTCAAGGCTGAGATGAAGTCACCGCGAAGGTACGACCACTTGTACTGTGTTATCCAAGTGAAGAACGGTACATAGTATGCGAGATACCTGGAAAAAAACGATGATATAGGAGGTTAGCCATGACAGTTTCACAACACCATTGCTGTGATACTCATATTTTTATCCTTTTTCCCCTTTCTTTGGTGAGGTATAACGTACATGGCTCTTTGGTTCTTTACACCGTGGGCGTCGGCCAGCTGCTTCGTTGCAGATTTCCCAACACCCGGCGCCGAAGAGATGCCATCTCTACTATGGTGGTATCCGCTGTCAGAGAGGTGGCTGCTTTCACCATAGCTCTGTATAGATGCCGGTGTGAATGTGCCATGAGCACGATTGCGGGTGTCACTGGCAGGATTCGACTCAAGGAGCCTAGAGTTGGCATTGACGCCATTGCTCTCGGAAGAATTGTCCATGGTGGCGGTCTGTTGAAGCTATCCCCAGCCCTCCACAGGCTAGAAAACTTATGGTAAATTAATGTAAATGCGCAGATGGGAGTTTAGCTAGGCTGCCGTCCAGGTTAGCATGCCGCAGAGACTATCAGGCGAACAGACATCCTCGCATATACGCATCTGTCCAGCGACGGGTTGCAGGGAATCCCGACGGGGGCGAGGAGCAGGCCGTTCTTATATACCAGTCAAAGCTATCACCAACTCCACAGTCTCGCCGGGATGAAGTCCAGTTGGTCCAGTTGGTCCAGAGCAGGCAGAGGATGGCGTTGAATTTCCTTGAATTCTCATTGGTGGCGGTCGGATATGTTGCTGAGTAAGATATTATGTAATCTACACGTGACTGTTTAAAGCGGCGACGTCTGATGCCGCATTAAGATATCTAAGATATAAAAAGATATAAGATATAAGATATAGTACTATTCTTGGAATATACAGAGTACGGAGGGAGGTTAGAGCGGTTAGATAGACTTGTACGGGTAATATCCAGTTACAATGAGACGATGTTTGATGTAAGTAGTACACTACGAGTACTATGGGTATGTCATTTTATGCTGCTCCAGCGTCATGTCTCCCCAGGTATACAGCCAGACGGTATATAGCTAAGAGCTATATAAAGATATAGCTAGATTTATATATAAGAATATAAGAAAGAATGTTTAATGCTTCCACGCCCGAAACTGCCCAACTGGTTGCTTATCTAATATCTACACGTGACTGTCCCACTATCCGCCAAACAAGCGGAAAATGTTTTGCGATTGCAAGGATGGAATATCTGCACAGAAACGACCGAACAAGTGAGCGTCAACTCGGCCACTCCTTGCTCTCGCAGACATACGCAATCTCTCACCAAAGGGCCTTCCCACTCCCGCAGCCACCCAAGCCGCCGACGTGAGCGAACCTCGAGCCCGCATACCGTTTCCCTGTCACGCATCAGTCAGACTTGCGCACCAGCGCCCCGCCCGCCACCATGTCGCTCACCAACTGTCGCTTCTACGAGGAGAAGTTTCCGGAGATTGATAGCTTTGTCATGGTCACCGTCAAGCAGGTAAATATTATAATTCCACGGATGCAAGCTGGCAGAGCGGGGAGGAAGGCTAACGGCTTATCATTGGGGATTAGATTGCGGAGATGGGTGCATATGTCAAATTGCTCGAATACGACAACATCGACGGCATGATTCTACTATCCGAGCTGTCCAGACGACGAATTAGGAGTATACAGAAGCTTATCAGAGTCGGACGTAACGAGGTCGTCGTCGTTTTGCGAGTGGACAAGGAGAAAGGTGTGCACCCGGACGGATATATTTCGAGATTGGCCTCCAGTTTGTGCTGACACTTGTCTTGTTTCTCACTTTCAGGTTACATTGATCTTTCAAAGCGTCGAGTATCGCCCGAGGATGTCGGAAAGTGCGAGGAGCGATATAACAAGAGCAAATCCGTTCACTCAATTATGCGTCACGTTGCCGAGAAGACAAAGACTCCCATCGAAGAACTCTACCAGCAAATCGGATGGCCACTGAATAAGAAATATGGACACGCCAACGATGCCTTCAAGCTCTCCATCACGTAAGGCTGCCTCCACGGTGAATCTTTGCGTGCTCTAACAATGAATATATATAGGAACCCCGCTGTATGGGACGACGTCACATTTCCCAGCGCCGTTGTCAAGGATGAACTTATCTCGCATATCAACAAGAGGCTTACCCCACCACCTACCAAGGTCCGTGCCGATATCGAAGTTACCTGCTTTGGATATGACGGCATCGATGCTGTCAAGGACGCCCTACGCGCCGCCGAGTCCGTCAGTTCGCAGGTCAAAGTCAAGCTCGTGGCACCCCCGCTATACGTCCTGACAAACCACTGCCTAGATAAAACTCAGGGAGTCAAGCTGTTGGAAGAGGCCATCGTGAAAGTCCAGGAGAATATAAAGGCCGGCGGAGGTTCATGTGTCGTCCAGATGGCGCCCAAGGCTGTTACAGAACAGGATGATGCAGACCTGCAAGCTCTTATGGAGAAGAGGGAGCGTGAGAACCAGGAAGTCAGCGGTGACGAGAGCTTCAGCGAGAGTGACGAGGGTGTTGTCGAATAAAATTACGGCCACGGGGGTTAATCGAACGTTCGCCTGCGCCTTTTTCTTTTTCTTCCCCTTGTTTCTTTTTTCTATCTGGCATTCCCCAATTTGTCGTCTTTTTCCTTTCTGCGGGATACCTACCTTCCTCTCCCTTCTTCCTTCATGCCGCTTTTTAGAATATGGACCTCGGGATAAAAAAAGCAACGACTTGGGCAGGCTTGATGCGCAATTTGATTATCGTCACGGAGCATGAACACTAAACGAGCGCAAATGCATGAATATAACATGAAGCCCGAGATGAGTGAATGAGTTTGAGATCATGGAGGCAAACCGTCTTGGCTGGCGACCGGCAGGGATCGTAGTCACTCCCACGCCAATCGTGTCCGTCCTAGCAAGCATCCAGCGAGACAAGAGTAAGCCGTCTCCGCGCGAAAGTCGCATATTGTAGAGTTCGGTGGCGATGTTTTGGCGTTGGCGCAAGTTCTGACCGGGCTAAAACTCCCAAGGCCCCCTCACGATCATCCCAGAGCTGTATTTAAGCTTGCCCGCGGAGTCCAACCTCCAACCTCGAACCTCGTCACCTCCAACCATTCTTTCGAGTGCAGGTTCTAGTTCAGTTGGCAGCTCAAGATGGTTCAATGGGGAAGGTTGTTTAATGACGAGCCCAGCCGGGCGCGTCACCACTATCTGCAGGAAACCCGACGCCGTACGTCTGTCCCAGCTAAATCATCCTCCGGAATGGCCAATTGAGCCCTGGTCTACAATTGCTAACTGCTCTGTCATGTTGTAGTGCTTCCGCATACTCGCGATCAGGCTATTACGCCCGCTCTGCCGGCCAAGGAGGTTACCAAGGTAGCTCTCCGGCTAAAGTACCAGGTCGAGCAAGTCGTCTGCTGCGAGCTCGAGGAATCCTTGATCACAAAGGCCAACAGCACGGTTATCACAAAGGAGGTCATTCAGACCGCCAGAGAGGCGGGCGGGGAGGAGTACCGTGCCTGTGTGGTCTACTGTCTGCTCGTTTGTGTACGATGGTTCAAGATTCAGGCTCTAATCGAGCTTTGGGATTCCGACCTCCATCAGCTACGTGCGGTTGCATGCGAGATCCTTGCGAAGCGCATGTATGTTATCATGCTTTGATTGTATAAGGATTGGCTGCTGACGATGTCCATAGAATCGAATCTGAGGAAGACCAGGACTATCTCATGCTGGAGGTACTCTTGAAGCGCTACTCCATTTTGCGAGATGGAGAAGCCACTTCCCCTGCAAACGTCATCGAACGTGCTGTCGATCTACACGCCTTGTCCGTGATTGGATCTGCGGGATACCAGAAGTGCATCAAATACCTCTGGCAAGGTTGGCTGTGTCAGGACGACCAAGATCCTACCAACTTTATCGAGTATAGGGAGAGGAACAATACTTCGTACTGGTCCCATTTCAATCCCGACAGACTCAGAGCACCGGTCTACCAGAATGCCGTCCAGGTGTTCTTTTCTCTCCTCTATCTCGTCCTCTTCACCATCGTGATCAACACCGTTAACCCAACGGGTGACCTTGATGTGGTCGAATGTATCCTGTATGGCATGACCCTGGGTTTCATCCTCGACGAAATCACCAAGTTCTGGAAAGTCGGTCGGTTCTACTTTGGATTCTGGAATGCCTTCAACTCAACCCTTTATGCCCTCCTGCTGGCCTCGTTCATCCTCCGAATTGTGGCCCTTACCCATTCAAGGGACATTGACAACGACCAACGTAACTACTTTAACCAGCTTAGCTACAACTTCCTCGCCTTTTCAGCACCGATGTTCTGGGGCAGACTCCTCTTGTATCTTGACACATATCGTTTCTTCGGTGCAATGCTCGTGGTCCTGAAGGTCATGATGAAGGAGAGTTTGATCTTCTTCGCCCTCTTGGCTGTTGTCATCATTGGTTTCTTGCAGGGCTTCGTCGGTATGGACCAGGCCGACCCTGATAATACCATGACTTCCATGATGCTCCTCCAGGGAATGGCCAACACCGTCTTGCAGAACCCATCATTCGACGAGTTCCAGAATTTCGCACCGCCATTCGGTATCCTGCTTTATTATCTATTCACTTTCGTAGTCATGGTTGGTGCGTATCTCTCTTCTCCTAGATGTCTATGGATAGTTACCGTATTAACCACCAACGACAGTGTTGCTCAACATCCTCATTGCTCTTTACAACAGCGCATATGAAGATATCACCGGTAACGCAATCAATGAGTATATGGGCCTCTTCGCACATCGTACCCTTCAATATGTCCGAGCCCCAGACGAGAACGTCTTCATTGCGCGTAAGTGCCTCTATTACGGAACCCCTTTCAATGCCCATTATTCACTGAGGCATTGACTAACCGATCCACTAGCCTTAAACCTGGTCGAAATATTCTTTCTCATCATTCCTTTCGAATGGTGGATGGATTCTGCCCGCTACGATCGACTCAACAACTACGTGATGGGTATCATATACTCTCCTCTCCTTCTAGTCACCGCCTTGCTTGAATCGACCAGCGCCCAACGCATCAGACTCAACCGTCGCCTAGGCGAACAAGACGATGACACCCAGGAAGAGTGGGAAGACGCTGCTGAATCCGCAGAGTTTGATTTCAAGAAAGTTGGAGATAATCCTGACACCAAGGACTGGGATCAGGCCGTCACTAAGTCTAGACCAAACGTCGAGGTCGATCAGTGCGTCTTGGAGGTGAGAGAGTTGAAGCAGCAAGTTGCGCAGCTGACTGCCCTGGTTACTACTTTAATGGAGAGGCAAGGTATTTCTGCCGAGCCATCCAACGGAGAAGGTCAAGCCAACGGAGAGGTGAACGGAAATACTCAGTAAAGACGACTTGTCTCGCCACATCAACACACCTTTGCTTTTGAATAACTTAGTTTACGCATCACATATGAGTCCAGAATGATTTTTTATATATATCCCATCATGTCACCTACTGTTATGTTTTCATCCTTTCTTACACAGATATGTACTGTAGAAGGCGGTATAGAGTGAGATGGATCCTTAATATATTCGCTTTCCGGTTGTTTCAATGTCATCCAACCCCAAATCTATCTGCATACTTTGTATTATTGAACATCTGATTTGTAATCGAGAGCAGCAGATTTCGATGTCGATTAACGGTGAACGATACGAAAACTAACTAGGCCCTAGGGTATGGAGAATGGAAACATCTTATGGCGGCTCTTGATCCCAGGCCATAAAGCTCTAACTAATAGACAAAGCAGACAGTAATGTGTAGACATGTAGAGATAAGATAGAAACATCGCTGGTAACTTGTATGTAAAAGATTTGGATCATCAGGGTCATGAATAATTCTGAGTCAAAAAAAAAAAAAACGCCTAGCACCGACCTTGAAATGAGGAACGCTCCAAGGAAGAAGAGTGAATACAAGATTCGTGGCAGTCGCACTGAAGGGAAACAAAGGGCAAGGAGATCGTAAAATATGCAACCATTATTAACTTGCATCGCCGGTAAAAAGGCCCTCAAAATCTAACTGGCTGATCATGCCGTTGACGTGATCAATTTCTTTATTCAAATCCGCAACATTTTGAGCAAGACTGCTAGCCTCGTCGAATTTGCGCCGCTTATTAGCATCGGCAATCATTTCTGAGACGAAGAACCGCTGTTCCTCGAGGACAATTAGCCGATCACGCAGTTCTTTCTCTTCGGCTTCAAGAGCCGAGATTGCACTACTATTGTTACTAGCCAAGCTAGTACTGCTGCCCCCTTGTTCGGGGTTGCCATACTTGATGGCGGCCAGGGAACGAGGCTGAGCGGAGCCGGCTCCTCCGTTAATGCGTCTGCCATCTGAAGATGACGAATCGAAACTATTGAAATGTCTCCCATGGGGGGTGGCATGTTTTAGGATTTTAGGGAGCGTTTTGAGCGGGAGCATGTGGAGGTGAAGAAAGCCTGTGGCTTGGCGATATATTGCTTGTTGGAGCTTGGTCTGTGTTGGGGATTGCGTCGGGTGGTCGCGAATACGCCTTGCGGCTACATCGTATTGGGCGAAGGAATCCATGAGTCGTTTGCGGACTTTGGACGCCTCGGTAAGTTGGGCTGGTTCCGGGGGATTTTCGGGGTCTCTAATAATATGGTTAGAAAACAGTTACGATGAAATTCTCAAGCGGACGGGACGAACTGTAGAGCTGCTAAAATTTTATGGAATCGAGGCAATAATAAGCGAATGCCTCGCTCGAATTGTACAAGGTTCTTGTAGGCGCGAACGTCTGGTGGTTCTTTTGAGGTATCTTCCACGAAGTCTCTTTTGCTAAATATTGTGGATTTGCAGTCCTTACATAGCCGCACATCGAGGTTAACTTTATCTGGGGTCGGTTTTTCTGACAATTGAGGATTGGCTTTGACGGTTAGCAAAAAATATAAGTAGGAGTAGGCCTGGATAGGTTGAGCATACATTTGGTCACGTCGAGGCTTATTAGAGAGGAGCATTCAGTTGTTGGGTCGCCACATACAACCCTCCCACACGTTCTGCAATGGTGTCTTCGAAAGATATACGCAGAGAACTCTTGCTGACAAAACGGACAGTTTGAAACCTCCGCGTCATCTTGCCAACTAACGACAGATTGCTCAAGCATTTTCTTTTGATCGTTCTGCCAACCGATAGACCATCTTTTAGACTGTACCTGCTCAGCAGGTAGCCCGGCAAGAAGTTGTGTGAGGCGTGTTAGTCTCTTTTCTAACCTCGAAATTTCAAGGAATGCCTTGTCGACTGTAGGTTTCCGAAGAGCTTTGAATGTCTCTGAGTGATCACGTTCCGCCCCTGGTCGAACATTAGTCCAAGAGAAGATCTATGTAGCAACAGGATAACACATATCCATACCGGTAAAATCGATATAACCCTCCCTCGATTTGTAGCAGGTTTCACAGACCCTGCACCAAAATCCACGGACCGGTTCATGTTGTGCAGACCTTGACAACTTCATCTGGTACATTGTGTGATCCTCGCAAAACAGACGGCCACATTTTCGGCAGTTGATGCATCCATTGGTCACCGTGAGCCGTTTCTCACACATAGGCTCTAAGCAAACGTCATGGCCCGACCGCTGTTGCCAGTGAGATTTTGTTATCAAATCATCAGCATCGATTGGCTTGGGAGATTCCGAAACGGAGCTTTCGGCGGTAGGTCGGGCTGATGGCGGTAGAGGTTGTGTATTGTAGTTGGATTCAAAAACCTCTAGGCCCTTAAGCTTCTGATTTAGCACGGCGAGAGGTTGAAATCGTTTAGCCTTGTCGACCTGCGTCTGAAACCAGTCCTTCACCTCCACTTGCTGTTCATCCTCGAGATTCCGGTGCACATCGTCTAGGTGTCTTTAGGGAGGATTGTAAGCATGACGGCTATTCGTATAGAAGGATATGTAAATTGTGAGTTATTACCTGTTCAGCTGCAAGAGCGTTACCTATAAAATCATTAGCATCTAGTCTACCCAAAGTATAAAGGTACGCAGGGCATCTCACCATTCCTTCATTGCAAATGGGGCAAACCAGCGTCCCGACGCTGCGGGTGGTTTTAGCTATAGACGAATCTCCATTTTTGAGAAATATCCTTGAGGATAAATCTTGCGTGTCTGACGAGACCTGCGAGTTTGACGCCTGTGAGGCTAGGGAGACGCTGCTGGCAGACGGGGATATAGCATTCGAGGAACAGCCCTTGGGCGGTGGCTTTGGCGGAACAGGATTTAGCGACCGTCCACTGCCTAACACTCTGCCTCCGCCTATAGATCTGTTAGGCATGGTCTGCGGAGGGCTCTGGGGGGCAACAGCTCGCCCTTACGCATGCTGCTGCGGCTGTATCAACGGCTTGACAGCAAGCAAGCCCTTGGATGCATCCTCTCTCTCGTTCTCTCCTGCGGCCAAGCCACTTGCCCCCATGGTTTCGACTTATGTAATCAGGATTATGAACCCACTTAAGTGAGTTTGATGAGATAAGCAGTTCCCCGGCTTTTGATTGGCTTCCACCAGCCCGACAGTCTAACCTTATTTTAACGCACCAGCCTCATTATGTAATCATTATCATTATGTAATCGTAGATGAAGCCACGAAAGGCCAAAGTCGTCCTCGTCGATGTTTAAAGGAGCATTTTTTTGGCCTCACCCCCTTCCATGAGCTCTGCACACGGCGTCCTCGCTCTTGATGTGGATATAGTTAGCCTGTTCTGACTTCTCTTTTTACCTTCTACTTCCTGGACGTTAATAGATATTTTAATGTAATATACTGGTTCCACAACGACACACACATGTCAGCTCGAACCCGTCTCCATGTGAGTCTCTCTACAGATTGGCCGATGATGGCATAGCAGAGCGCTAACCAACAGTCAATCTTGCAGGTCGAAACTCATAGATAACCCGCAGATCCAATCTGCGGCCCTTCGGAATCCCTTACCCGTTCAGTTCCGCGTTTACGTCTGGCCCTTCACGATACTATGGCCTGTTTTCCTTGCATTCTACCTTTCCCCTGAACGATATGAGACATATCTCCAGGCCCCCGAGTGGGCTGCCCTGTGGACCGGATTGATTGCTACCTCGCAGGCGCTATTATGGTTAATGACAAAATGGAACATTAACATCGACGCGCTCTTTACCACTGTCGCTGCTAAATCAGTTGCGGAGGCACAGCTCATCAAAGTCATTCCAGCGGCAAACGCCGGATCAGCAGAAATTTGCAAGCTGATAAAGGACCAAACCGGAGGAGTCGAGAATATCTCATTCCTATTTCAAAAGAGACGCTTCCTATACGATCCGGAGCAGGGGTGTTTTGCCCCCCTGCGGTATGTCCTTGATACTGAGCCAAAGCCAACTCTCCGATCATTCCAAGGATCCCGCGGCCTCACCTCAACCGCGCAAGTCAACGAAGTCCAACATCATTATGGAGATAACACCTTCGACATTCCAGTGCCTACATTCGTGGAACTCTTCAAGGAACACGCTGTTGCCCCGTTTTTCGTTTTCCAGATATTCTGTGTCGGTCTTTGGCTTCTGGATGAGTACTGGTACTATTCACTATTTACCTTAGTTATGCTGGTAATTTTCGAAAGTACTGTGGTATGGCAAAGACAGCGAACCCTAACAGAATTCCGAGGCATGAGCATCAAACCGTATGACGTGTGGGTCTTCCGAGACAACCAATGGGTGGAAGTCAGCAGCGAGAAGCTTCTTCCAGGCGATCTAGTCTCAGTGAACCGGACAAAAGATGACAGCGGGGTTCCATGCGATATACTACTGGTATGGGGTAGCGCCATCGTCAACGAAGCCATGCTTTCTGGAGAGAGTACTCCTCTACTGAAAGATTCTATCCAACTACGACCAGCAGAGGAGAAGATTGAGCCTGAGGGCCTTGATAAGAACTCATTCCTCTACGGCGGTACCAAGGTGTTGCAGATCACACACCCAAACTCGCAAGCTGGATCAGACAGTAGCTACAAACCATTGAATGGAGCTCCCACTCCCCCTGATAACGGTGCCCTCGGAATCGTCATTCGCACTGGCTTCGAAACCAGCCAAGGAAGTTTGGTTCGCACAATGATTTATTCCACCGAGCCCGTCTCTGCAAACAACGTCGAAGCATTCATGTTCATCCTGTTCCTCTTGATCTTTGCCATTGCTGCCTCTTGGTATGTTTGGGTAGAAGGTGTTGCTCAGGACCGAAAGCGATCAAAGCTACTCCTTGATTGTGTTTTGATCATAACCAGCGTCGTACCCCCCGAACTTCCCATGGAACTGAGTCTTGCAGTAAACACCAGTTTAGCAGCCCTCAGCAGATATGCTATTTTCTGTACCGAACCTTTCAGAATTCCATACGCGGGACGAGTTGATATTGCTTGCTTTGACAAGACCGGAACTTTGACAGGGGAGGATCTTGTCGTTGAGGGAATTGCGGGTCTAACCCTTGGCCAGACAGGGGCCCCAGCAGACAAGTACGGTGCACATACTACCGTCACGCGAGTTACAGACGTTCAGGATAATACCACTCTCGTTCTTGCTACTGCACATGCATTGGTTAAACTCGACGAAGGAGAAATTGTTGGCGACCCAATGGAGAAGGCAACCTTAACTTCACTCGGATGGACACTTGGCCAGAACGACACTTTGGCTAGCAAAGCAGGATCAGCGGGACGGTCAGGCGACAGGTTCCTTGAATCGGTTCACATTAAACGCCGCTTCCAATTCTCGTCTGCATTAAAACGTCAAAGTACAGTAGCAATCGTGAACGCGTTCGAAAAGCAGTCATCCAAACGGTCGAAGGCTACATTTGTCGGCGTGAAGGGAGCACCAGAAACCATCAGCACTATGCTTGTATCCACCCCTCCATACTACGAGGAAACATTCAAACATTTTACGCGCAACGGTGCTAGAGTTCTCGCCCTGGCTTACAAATTCCTCTCAGACGCTGAGCTTGGACAAGGTCGTATCAACAACTTGAAACGTGAAGACGTTGAGGCGGACTTGCACTTTGCTGGCTTCCTTGTCCTTCAATGCCCGTTGAAAGGAGATGCAATCAAGGCTGTGCAGATGCTTAATGAAAGTAGTCACCGAGTTGTCATGATTACTGGAGACAACCCTCTGACCGCCGTCCATGTAGCAAAGAAAGTGGAAATTGTCGATAGAGAGGTTCTCATCCTTGACGCCCCTGAACATGACACCAGTGGCACGAAGGTTGTATGGCGAAGCGTTGATGATAAATTCAGCGTTGAAGTTGACCCTACCAAGCCAATTGATCCTGCCATCCTTGCCGAGAAAGACCTCTGTGTTACTGGATACGCATTAGGGAAATTCAGAGACCAACCAGGCCTTCGTGATTTGATCCGATATACTTGGGTGTATTCTCGAGTTTCCCCAAAACAAAAAGAGGAAATTTTACTTGCTATGAACGAAGCTGGATACACGACCCTAATGTGTGGTGACGGAACCAATGACGTCGGAGCCCTTAAGCAGGCCCATATTGGTGTGGCCCTACTCAATGGCACTCAGGAAGATCTCAACAAGATTTCTGAGCACTTCAGAAATACAAAGATGAAGGAAATTTATGAGAAACAGGTTTCACTGATGCAAAGGTTTAATCAACCCGCACCTCCTATCCCTATTCATATCGCCCATATGTACCCTCCTGGGCCAAATAACCCCCACTACGAGGCGGCCATGCTGCGCGAAGCACAAAAGAAGATCGCCGCAGGAATGCCGCCGCCAGAAGAAAATGGTGTGCCAACCGTCGTTTCCCCCGGTGCTCAAGCATTGCAACAAGCAGATGACAGTAATCTGACCCCCCAGGAACGCAAACAAAAGCAAGCAACCCTCGCAGCATCTTCACTGGCCGACAGATTAAGCGCATCAATGATGGAAGGAATGGATGAAGACGAGCCCCCGACTTTGAAACTTGGTGATGCCTCTGTTGCCGCACCTTTCACAAGTAAACTTGCCAACGTCATTGCTATCCCGAACATCATTCGACAAGGGCGCTGCACTCTGGTTGCTACCATCCAGATGTACAAGATTCTCGCCTTGAATTGCTTGATCAGTGCCTATAGTTTGAGTGTGATCTATCTTGACGGCATCAAATTCGGGGATGGACAGGTCACCATCAGTGGAATGTTGATGAGCGTGTGTTTCTTCTCCATCTCTCGTGCGAAGGTAAGATCCACAGATACCCTCCCCCCCTTCTTCTCTCACCCTCTCCTTCCCCGCTACATGCATGGCAACCCCGCTTACAGTACATTAGGCCGTTGATGGGCTATCAAAGGAGCGACCACAGCCAAACATTTTCAATATCTACATCATGGGTTCTATCCTGGGCCAGTTCGCGATTCATATTGCTACCCTGATCTATATCTCGCAATATGTCTACTCTATTGTACCGTAAGTGTTCCACCATAGTCCCTCCTAAAGCTATAATATATTCGACGATTCTAACCCAAACAATTCAGACGCAAGGATAAGATTGATCTAGAACGCGAGTTTGAGCCATCTCTTCTTAACAGCGCCGTCTATCTGCTACAGCTTATCCAGCAGATCTCTACATTTTCCATCAACTATCAGGGCCGGCCATTTAGAGAGTCCATCCGCGAGAACCGTGCTATGTACTGGGGCCTTGTGTTAACTTCTGGTGTAGCCCTGTCTTGCGCGACTGAATTCATCCCAGAACTCAACAATAAGCTCAGGCTGGTCCCATTCGAGGCCGGATTCAGAGTCAGACTTACATTGACCATGATCATTGATTATGTCGGCTGTTGGCTGGTGGAGAATATCTTGAAGAGCAATTTCAGCGATTATAAACCCAAAGCCATTGCTGTGAGGAGGCCTGATCAGCTTGCCGCTGAGGAGAAAAGGAAAAAGTTGGAAGAAGAGAAGGAAAGAAAGAAGGAAGCTGAAAAGAGTACCTAGTTGCGACAGGGATATTTTGGCTTCTTCATTTCTCACCCACTTTGATTCCGATTATCGTTACATCACCTCTGCGCATCATACCAACACATAAATGAAAATAAAGGTTCGTGTTATCATCGAAGGAAACGGAAAAATATGACGAGTATGTTTTTTAATAAATGATTTTTATTTTGCATGTTTATAACTGGGTCATTCTCACATGTTTCATCTTTAAGAAGTTGGCTTCTTTGTGTCTCTCGTTCCCAAGGAGTGTGGGTCTTATACTTATGATAAAGGAAGTAAACAAGGAGAGGAGCAATGGAGTTATTTTATACTACACCGTTTTTCATATTCTAACTCAACAAAGGCTCAACGATTACAGTATTTATTGCCTCTACAGGTGACTGGTTTCGGCTATTCTTAACCGTAGTTCTTCAGCCCTGCATCGGTAACTAACATTAATATATCAGCGCAGCTTTTGTGTAACTTGTTGACCAGTCAAACTGTTTTGTTTCTACCGGAACGGCGAAAAGCAATTAACAGGCCTCGTGTATATCAGTGCTCGGGGATAGCATTCACGCCACGCGTCGTCTTAAGGCAAATATATTGTCCACCAGGTTCTTCAATCACACGCGTACCTGACAGATAAATAGGACAAGATTGAAATCCAAATTGAAATGTGATAGACTGAATAACAGAAAGTGATATATTGAACAAATCTAACGTTCAAAGCGTTGCACCGCTTAGGGGGGAGGTTGCACTAGCCGGGTGAAGCTCCAGATACCATTGGCGGTAATACTCCTTCTATATGGCGGAGATATGGAATGAAGGCGCCTGAGAAAATAAGAGTCCCGTGCTCTTTCTTCACTATGTACACAAGGAATTAGATGTAGTACTGACATCGACAAATAGAAAAATCAAACCCTTATGTGACCCTGAAACTGACCAGAAGACCTTGAATCCAACCGGCCGGCCGGTCTAAACACCGAGTTGGGTTTATAATGAGACGTTTTGCCTCCAATCGTCGGTGAGCCTGCGATGGTAGGCTTCTGTGCACCGATGCTTTGTTTTGTTGGGTTGATACCTCCGAAGAATCCGGTTGTGCAATAGAGACATGGTCGTCACGAATTCTGCTCCGTAGCTGATATGCTCCTGAACACATGTGTGGCATTTTCACCCCCTTGTCAAGGTGTCAAAACTTGAACTGCGTTCTGTCATTTTTCCGGGAGTGATACTGTCTGGCTGCTCACTCCGTTCCCAAAGAAGCTCCTGTAATTTGGACATCGGGCTCCTGCAACCGGCTACCTTGGACTCGGCAATGTTCCCGTTATCGTAATGTTCCGTTTTCCCCACGTTGTATATCCTAAAGGCCGCACCAGGGTGTAGATGGTGTGTAGCTCGGAACTGTCTTGTACACGAAGACATGGTGGGTGTCCCAGGCTCGCTGGCCCCGGACGTCGAAGGCCGCGGTGTGCCAACTCCGTAGTTCTCTTTCGAATAAGACGTTTTTCCGGAACGCGGTTGAGATCCCGCCACCACGGCTTTACTCTCTCCTCCAGACACCGACAGCTCATAGAACTGAGTAACAGTACCTGCCATCAACCCAGTTCGGAGAATAGCGAGTAGCCGTTTTAGATTTGGAATGCAGGTAGCCACAATTGATATGCAAAGAATAGCTTGCATCCAGATTGTTGGCATAACAGCTAACCACGGCCTCTCTTGTGCTGGGGAATTAAAGTAGGATTTCGATGTAACGGTCATCACAACGGTAATGGAAGGCACACTATGTGTAGTCCAACAGTGTCAGCCCGATAAACTATTTCTCCACATTCCATGATATACCGAGAATTGGCGGGAAGCACCCCCTCATGTTCAGTCCACTTACATTGTTCTCATACCGAAAAGGGCAGCAATTGCCAGTCGTTTAATCCGCGGAATTTGGACCTGAGACACAAAGATAAATGGCAGAATAACGAGGGCCAGATCTGTCACAATGCTTCCTACATTAAGGCCCGCATGCAAGGCATACTGATCGAGCCAGCATTTCTCGCCCGAACTCCATGGTCGAGGGAACCCGCATTGCAGCGAAAGGGAAATGACTCCAGCCATTCCCCAAATGCTTAGAACTCCGAGGAGAATGCGGCACATCAACAGGATGTTTTTCAAGGGCTTAATTGAAATAAGAAGTAGAGTTATCGAGGCCTTTGAACATGCTAAGGACGCAATAGCAAGTATCTGACTGGTGTATATAAGCTATTTGAACATCGAAACATGGTTAGCTGATGCCGATGGATGCGAAACAGTGAAAATGGAAGAGAAGCATGTATAATTTCTCACAATTTCAAAGTCTCTAATCGGCATATCCCTCACGGCACTGGGACTCCGCCCCAGCCCGCGCAAACATGCAAAGTTTATGCATATTCCCTCCGCTGTCGATAAACACTATGCCCGTAAGCATGTTAGAAAAAGAACAGCAAAGAAGCATGGGAGCGTAACTAAATTCAAAGAGGAAGAAATCCAGTCAGTGGCGAGGGGCCCCGTACAGCAGCAAACAACAGCAGCCAGTCGCTCAATGCAAGCGTCCTAAGAACCCTGAACCGCGCTATGAGTGTTGTAGTGACCACGGAGAAGGTGATTATCATGAATAGACAGGTTGATACGATGACCCACGGGCTATGGTTCTCGGGTGTAGGCTGTATAAAAGGCTGATAAAGCGGGTCTATGGTTCGTTTGGACATCACGATCCAGGAACCGAAACAAAATCTCATATACCCCGTATATGGTGCGAAGGAACAGAGCTGCTGGCTTTTCATACAGCTCTAGATGCCCTATAGCGGTGATATAAAGCTGGATATATATCCCTATGAGAGCATCCCCCCAATAGCGAATGAGCCATTATACCGCAGCGTCGGGTCGCTTTCATTGAAGCACATAAAATAGAGATAACCAAGCGGCGTAGATCCTCGGTTACGTCGATCAGATCATACATTCCAGCAATCATAGAGTTGCATTGTGCCTGAGCCGCGCTGCCGATATTTTAGCAGCGACTAGGAAAGGTAGGGATACAGCATATCGACTGGTCATTTGTGGATTTATCCTGTGGAAGGTGATTCCAAAAACGGGCAGTCATGTCGAGCACTTCTCTCCTCTGCTTTTTCTTTGTTTCCTTTTTCCTCTTGGGCGATGCCGCCTGTTGCTGCTGCGCAGACGATGCAAAGAGCTACACAGCATCACACGCTAGAAGCTTTCAACGGCGCCACTCCGCGAGCATCCTCCTCCTGCTGGATGCGTCGGCGCGGGCGTGTGTAGCATCTCCAGCTTGGAGTTGGATGGCGATCCATCTGATATGCCCACTTCGCAAGCCAACATTGAAGCAAAGTCGCAGACTGGACCAGTTGCCCTTGGCATGGCGTTTCCAACAAGTTTAGAGCTCGAGTTTCTCTTGGACCCTGATATTCATTCCGACTTGTTGCCCCTGAGCTCGAACAGGAGGCAAGAAGTCTGTGGTGTCGAACAGAGGCGATGGGGGGAGCCAGGATTGTACGACTATTCATTCTCATATAGACCAGGGCCCTGAGGTCGGGGAAAATACCAGTGGGAAAAGCAAATAATTATGCAAGGCGCGTCTCGCCGTGCGGGAGGAGATGTTACCAGTCGATTTGCGAGACAATGAATCTTTCCATGTTAAACATCCTAACTTGGTGATATTCTTGTGCTGTGAAGAAGATGGATCACACAACGCTAGGTCAAAAGTCTGCCCCCTTTCTCCATTTCTCTCCGTTTTTCTCCCTTTTCTTTCTCCTTTTCAGCTCTCACTCTAGCCTTCTGCTTCTTCTGCTGCATTAGATATTCCGGGGGGGGAGCTAGTACCTATCTTCAGCACCGATATCCCTTATCTCGGCCGCTTATTCGGCCTTAAAGAAACCGTTCTAACACGCCGTTGATAGTTCTATGTCTGAGGATGGACGGGAGTAGTCTCACCTCCTTAGACGGCAAGGTGGGCTATCCTCTTGGGCCGTATGGAGACGACTCAGAGAAATATATGAGAAAGAAAACGATGGCAGAGCCGAGAGCTCCAGCTGCTGCTGGCGACCAAGCCTCCGCTGACCAGTCGAAGGTCAAGGTATTTTGCTCCTCGCTTCCCTTTTATAGAGGAGGGCAACTATATACCCTCTACTTCATTGGATTATTACTTTTTTAGCTAATGCAGTGGCCCGCTAGCAACTATTCAACTTCACCCAGATTTTCTTCTTCTCCCTGACATTCATGTCTAGCTGGGAGTCAATGGGCTTGTATGCCTCCAAATCTTACACTGTTGCTCAATATCCTATATTCCATGCATGGTTATCTGCATAACTGACCCATTACTATGATTGCTTTTCTGCAGAAACTTGGCCGCAGTCTTTACCAATGGCGGACCTCGGGCTCTTGCTTGGGGGATTATTGTCGTCGTTGCCGGTGGGTTGGCCCAATCTGCCTCGATGGCGGAGATGGCTTCTATGCAGCCGATTGCTGGTGCCCAATACCACTGGACTCATTACCTCGCCCCCCAAAGGCATAAGAAATTTATTACCTGGATGCAAGGTATGCCTCATCAACGCTGAAGCTCATATTCTTTGACATATATCAAAGCGATGCTGATCAGCTTCTAACCCCTAGGCTGGATTACCTGGTTTGCGTGGGTGTCTCTTTTAGCCGGTGTTGCCAACACTACGGCAAATATGATTCAGGGCCTGGTTGTCGTGAACTATCCCAGTTATGAACCCGAAAGGTGGCACCTTACACTTATAATTTTTGCTATGTTGATAGCCGAAGGGCTCATGAACATGTACACCTTCTGGTTGATCCCGTGGGTTGAGCTACTGGCTGGTATCCTCCACGTAGTCCTGTTTATCGTCTTTGTTGTTGTCCTAGTCTCGATGGCCCCCCGTCATACCCCTGGATGGGTGTTTTGGGACCACACCTCATCGTCGGGATGGAACAATGAATTCATTTCATGGAACTTAGGTTTACTCACGCCCACTTGGGGGTTCGTAGGTAAGTTAACCCCCTAACACTTATCGAAAGATTTAGACTAACGTATAGTTAAGGATTCGACGGAGCTGTTCACATGAGCGAGGAAGTCCGTCGTGCAAAGCATGCAGTACCCAGATCAATGGTTTGGACCGTTGCGACAAATGGGGTACTTGCGTACGCAATAGTCATTACTATCCTTTTTACTATGGGTCCTATAGACGAGGCTCTAAAGTCGAGCTTCCCTATAATTGAAGTTTGTCGACAGGCTACTGGATCCGTGACGGCGGCAACTGCCATGGTATGTGGACTGCTCATCATTTCACTCGCCGTCAATCTCGCTAGTATTGCATCAACATCGCGTCTCACTTGGGCATGGTCGCGTGATGGAGGTCTTCCAACCTGGTTTTCAGTGGTAAGTATTCATTCTGGGCAACCGTGTATCTTTATCATTAATCTTACCCTCGCTAGATTGACCAAAGGCACTGTGTTCCCGTTCGTGCAGTCTGGCTATCTATTGGTATTGTCATGATACTAGCCTGCCTCAACATAGCCAGCACTACCGCCTTCGGTGCATTTATTGCTCTTTCATCTATCGGATTGTTCAGTTCCTATTTTATTGCCATAGGCTGTATGGTGTTTGCTCGGTTCTCTCGAGATCGTCCCCTAGAGCTCGGAGAATGGAACATGGGAAACTACGGTCTTGCCGTCAACATATTCGCCATGATTTACACGGCATATGTAACGATTTGGTTGCCTTTCCCCTCACTACTTCCGGTTACCCCACAAAATATGAACTACTCCTTGCCAATTTTCGCATTTACTACGCTATCCGCCATGTTATATTGGTTCTTGAGAGGTAAGAAACATTGGGGAGGTTTGAATAAGGAGGTTATCCGATTAGTAGTCGAGCGAGGCGAGTTGAACTTGATAAGCTAAGTCTTTATTGTTCCCATACCTTCCATTCCTGTTAATTTCCGCCTCCTTTGGCTTTGATGGCTGTATACTTTATTTATTTTGCGTGGAGTTTGAATAGCCTTCGAACTGAGTTTCAGGGTTTTACTTTGCTCGGTCTCTCCTCTCTCTCTCTCACCCTGTCTCTCTCTCTTTTTTTTCTTTTTTTTGATATGGCTCTTGTCAAGTAAATATTATTCTGTGAACTAAACGAGGTATCATTCCGGAATCGAGCCGTTTAGTCCACGGATACATGTATGGGATAAACTAACTCGGGTCACATCAAACAAAATCTCCACAGTATATTTGAGGTTAAAGCCTACAAGATTAGTTTGGTCGTCAAGAAGGGACGGCAAGAAGTACGGAGCGTTCAATTTTCTTGCTTAAAAATTGACCGAGGTTCTTAGTTTATATACGATATATCCAATAAGATGCCCCCATTGCCTTTAGTATTATCATCCCTTTTTATCCTTTCGGAAAACATAGGTAAGATTCGGTCAAGATGAGTGGATATCTTTACCATTGAGCTTCCTTTCTCTTCAAGAACTTGTTCAGGATATCCACTGCTTTCTCTAGAGCTGCTATTTCTGCCGTCATTGCAGCACGAGTTTGGCTCTCGTCTTTCCCCAACTTCGCATAAAAGTCCTTCCTGTACGGAGTTGCTGACATTGCAGCACTGAATATGGGCTTCACCACGAAGCTATGGTGTGGTTTAAGGGTGTTTGTATATGCATCTCGGAAGGAGGCCGCCAGCTCCTCGTTGGTTTCTGAAGCAAGGTTCTTGCTGAAAGCCTGGGCGGTGAAGTCAAGACCACTATGATAAAATTCCTTGTAAGTAATTTTATATTATTATGCCTCCGTTTCAAGCATTGGATAAGGTTACCGGATAAGCCAGACCAAACCCTCGGTAGCTTTGTGTTGCTTTGTTTTCAGCTCATTGAGAACAAGAGCCTGGAGGGTTTCGGATTCCGCTGGGGCAGCCAGTTGACGATCTCGGATTTTCTACATCCAATATAAGTTTTATATTGTAGAAGTATTGTAGGAGAGATTTCCTTCTGGGTGAGAACGCACCTTGATGTTTCCAGTCAAGTCATTCTTAACTGGGGTGAAAGCGACGGAGCCAAGGATATCTGGAGTCAGAAGATGATACAGTTAGTATATCTCTATGTAATTAGACGCAGTGACAGCCGGGCAATACCGAATAGTTTAACCAGAGACTCGGCAGCTTCAAGGAACTCAGTAGTTGAGATAGCATTGTCGTTGGCTTCGTCGATGGGCACGTCCTTGAAGGACCTCCTCATCGTATCAAGCCACGTGCCGCCCTCGGGGATAGCAACGGTGGAAGCCATGGTCAGTGAGTTTATTTCTGGTAGATTGCAACGATTCAATACAGCCTCGCAAGTACCGGGAAGTAAAGAAGTATGTAAACAAGATGCCCCTTTGGCGGGGGGTTTAAATCCAAGACATGTTCTGAATTACGTCAGCAAGGGAAGATCTGCAAACGCTGCAAACTAAAAGCTCGGACCATACTTTTTTTTGTTGATACTTACGTCATATGGAAAACCTAAAAAAAGGGTCTATTTCCATGTCTTGGTTTCTTGTTCTCGACCTCACGGCATTCCTGTGAGCGAGCCGTTGCGTCAACCTTAGCTACCAATGCTTTGCGGAAACCATCCTAAAACCATCCTCTCTGGACGTTAAGGCCGCCGGCCAGGCATGAGGAAATGGATTCCAGTGGCCCACCCGGTGAAAGGCCCATTCCAACAACCAGCTCCCTCTCTGGACCACAAGAGGACCATGAAACCCTGGAATGCAGTTCATTCACAGTTCAGAAATTGGTATGCTCCCTTTTGTACGGAGTACTAATAATTAATTGTTTCTAATTCTCCTGGCCAACAGCAACATGCATCTCCAGCACACCTACACATCACAAATCGACGTTTCTTCATAGGGCCGCTGCCCAAGGGCTGGGTGCAAAATCGCCGGAGACACTGGTATAAGGCATGTCTAGGGATCAGCGATTATTCATCTCGCAATCAAACATTTTCAGCCGATACTTCTGTTGGTTACCAGCGCCAATCAACCCGGTTCATGGGTAAATTTGCTGCCACAAGGTTCAAACCGAGCTTCCCACAACCGGACGACATCCAAGAAGAAGATGAAAATGAGATAGCACCCGAAGATTCTACAGGTAACGATAGAACCCGCGGAGAATCGGCAGAAGAACATCGTGTGGGTCCCAGGATAATCAAATCCATTGATGCTGCTCGAGATGTCCAACGTCAGGAAGAAGATATAGCCCAGTTTGGGTTTTCTCACCCAAGTGTAAAGCGCATACAGAATCAAACACGACCACGGAATAGTCCTATAGCCACGGGCTCTAGTCCAGTTGTACGAATGTCATCGGATGACAACGTCCCCGAAGCCTACTTCACGGCTCCCGACGTCGAGCCCCAACAAACTACTCCTCCTGCTAGGGCTCTATCAAAAGGCAAGAATAAATCCCAACACCCAAGGGTTCCAGAAAGTGGCGGGATTGCAAGTTCCTCTTCGTTGCCGTATAGAAATAGCTATGCTACTACCGATACATCAGTGTTGGCGACAGAAACCGGGTCGCAGTCGTCCCTAATACCCCACAATAAGCAGCCGTCCTCTATCTCCAAGAGTAGCAGGAAGTTAAGTGAAACCCAGCCAGAGGAGCTACAACCTCAGGAGCCCTGCGGCGAAACCGATCGGACCGAGGCTGAATTAGCAGAATCTCAACGCAACCACGGTTCTATCGGTCGTGTTATCTCAGACCGGGTCCGCTTTGGGGTGGAAGAGGGTTTGGAAAGTGGCCAAGGTCGCATACAGAAACATTTGGGTTTATCGAACGAGGCTAGATCGACTAGAAGACAGAAGCGGCAAGTTCGTCGGAATGGAGAGGTCTTGAGAGCAGAGAAGATGTTAGTTCGTATTGAAGTAACAGCTCAAACGGTACCCGACCTTTATAACGACAATGCTAGTCTCAAGATAGAGACACGTCCAGTGGAAAACTGGAGAGAATATCTTGTTGTTTGTCGGCAAGGCTATGACGAGCAGGTGCCATATATTCTTCAGTTCTACAAAACGCGTGTGATACCACAAGTCCAAGGTGCAAAGGTGAAGAGGAAATATGCACACGAAGTGAGGCTTGGTCAAGGACAGGCCAATGTGAACCTTTTTTCCTCCTTGGATAAGACGATTGTTCTGTGGCATCCAACTAAGGCAAACAATACCCATATTTTCATTATGCGGGCCCGGTCGGCTGCGCATTCAGTAGAATGGTATACATTCATTCGAAAAGCCTTGGGCTGGAAACAACCTTCAACTCTATTCGTTCACGTTCCCGACCTTGATGTCTCTCTTGTGCTACAAAACCCTTTTGCACATCTTGCAAAAACCCAACAGGACGAGAATGAAGGCGCCCTACTAAGTACAATGAGTGAAGAACAAGCCGTATCTTCAGGGATAATACGTACCTGTATGGAGACGCTTTCGGAATGTGTTGAGTGGTCCCAAATTCTTGACATTTGGACAAAGTCTGAAAAAATGGGGTTGGCATGGCGACGATATGACCGATTAGAATGGATTCAGGGAGGGAATGAGGAGAGAATGTACGGGACAATGGCAATGAGGACCTCGCATGACTTAGAGCTACGACCGAAACGGCACTACCCAACGTCTACTGTCTTAGAGTCATGCAAGACACAGATGAAGGAGCCCTCTCCCATTGAGGGGTTCTTAATTCTTCTCACTTCCCAACAAGGCACTCACAGGCGTTGGGGCAGAAATTTCTCTAAACGCCTTTACTTTTATAGCGAGGACCAGTATCTTTGCTTCTGCAAGCCAACTAAGGCATCTACACCGCCGGCGCCAAAACTTCCTACTATTCGCAATAGTCATGCGTTAACATCACCCGAAACAATCAAAGGCTCTCCGGTGATGTACCCGGTTGACCCGTATCCGGTTGAGGATGGTGAAATATCATGGCTACGTAGCGGAAGCAACAAACCGTATATCAAACACCGGGATCAGGCCGCGTTTGCAGAGACTCAACGAAACAAAAAAAACCTTAGCCAAGCGGAAGGGTATATCAACTTATGTCGGGTGTCTGAAATTCGAGCCTTGTCAGCGGTAGCGGGAGCGGAAGGTCAACAAAATGGCAATGGTGGAGGTGAATCTCAGAACCACGCCAGGCACAGCAGTTTTAGCGGTAGCTTCTCCAGCGCTACCGGCAACGATTCCAAGCAAGCTAAAATGGATCGGATCTTTGAGCTTGTTCTTGACGACGGTTTGGTGGTTAGGTTACAAGCGTATAGCAAGCAAACTCGAGACGCATGGGTCGGGCGAATGAATCAATTATCCACTTACTGGAAAGCTCGAACGAAGGCGGACATTACAACCCTAAAAACCGTGAGACAGCGTAACTTGGAAAAGTTAGATATCGATGAGGAGCAAGAGTCCATTATTGGACAGTTCGCCCAAAAGTGGGAGGTTGCACGGGCAGAGACATCACCCGAGCTTTTCAATGTGTGCGGCCCTTCAGGGTGTCGAGCAATCAAGGTATGCATCGAGCCATTTACCCCGTTCTCTCCCCTTAAAAGTGTGAACCGTAATTAATAGCTTGTGTAGAGATCGGGTCACTTGTACCGGAAACCTCGTAGACGCGGCGCATTTTCAAAATGCAGCGTCCTCCTTGTCGAGGGTCAACTGCTCATCTTCCAAGGCTCTCTTCGGACATTTTTTGGGGAGCAAGTACCACATACACATCAGACTAGGCAAACAGTTCTCGATTTACGCGATTGCTACCTATATAGCGGTGTCATTACCAACTCCGACTTACTATATCACAGCCAAACATTTGACAATAACCATCCAAGTCATAATTCGACACCACGTATATACCTTTCTGACGGTTGGACGTCTGCTGATGAAGACACAGCTACAACTTTCGTTATTTGGAATAATACCCGCAAAGAATTTTTTCATGGCGAGGAAGAAAGCGAAGGAAAGGGAAAGAAGCGGAAATGGAGACATGTTTCTCGCCTAGGCACCTCAGGGAGATCTATTGTGTTTAAGGCTCGAAGCAGAGCAGAGAAAAATTTATGGGTTTTAGCTATCGAGACGGAGATCGACCGGCTGCAGCAGCAGGAGGATATGAGAATCGTTTCGGACAAGTAACTTTTACCTTATCCAGGTTGCTCTACCCTATTTTTATCAAAACGGATTTCATAAAGAGCAATTCGAATTTTTGGTCTAGCGCAGGTTGTTATAATGCATTGTCGTTACATTGAGCGAGCATTTGATAGACTTCAGGAAAAAATAGCGTTCAATTGAAATTGTATATAGTATACATCATTGTCCTCCATTTACTGGATAAATACTACATCTAGTAAAAATACATGCTGAAACAATAATTAATAGGTATCCGGGTCATAAATTGTAACCGCGTTTTTATTAACTCTCATTCTTTGGCTCTTCCCATAATCGCCACCACTCTCAATAGGATCATCCTCATTCTCCCACTCCCACCACTTTAAAGTCCTTGACTTTGGCCGTATCACACACATGACCTGACCCTTTATCATGCTCATGGATATCGGCCCATAGGTATTACTATCAAAGGACAGGTCAGGATCACTAGCGTCACCTTCAACCCAAACGTGATTCCAAGGTACGAGTTGGGTTCGCTGTTCCTCCTCGCCAGACTTCGATGGCCGTGTAGTGACAACATCCCCTGGTAGGGCTATGATACGTTTCACTGAGAGTTTGCTTGGTTCGGCTGTGGAACTAGACCCACGCAATGATCTAAACACAATATCATTTAGCATCAGTTACATAGAAAAAGCAGCGATAGAAGAAACTACTAACGGGAAGACCACCACCATTCCTCTCTGCAAATGCAACTTTGTAGCATAGGTGACGTCCACCAACACCATCTCGCTATCAATATTGTCGATATTATAACCCTTGTTTAGATATGGTGACATAGATGCACCACTAATCCATTTTATGTCCAAAACATGTTCCCGGAATACGATGAAGAGCGCTAATCCCTGGATTGTGAAAAGGAGGGTGTCGAGTGCAGCGCTTCTGCGATACGAATATCTGGGGTGGCCCTTTGGTTCTCTGGTGTTATGCTTGTCGCTATGGCCATCGTTTTCCGTATTGGCGCCATTACGGTCAGATTTATATGCGGAGCTCTGATTGCGTTCGTAATTGGACTTGTATGTTTGCGGTTTAGGGATGAAATGCGAGGTCTCTGAATGCGACGCTGGTGAAGGATGGATGCTGCGGATGCTTAGCCTCTTGAAGGTGGGTCTGGAAAGACGGGAGGTTGGTATAAAGAATCCATTCAATAAAGAGAACATGAGTAGAGGAATCTCCCCTATCCTGTGGGTTGTCGCTATTGTATTGTCATGCTTTGATGCAGATGTTGGAAACTGATCCGTTGGATTATAGCATGAATGAAGTTACAGATCTGATAAGATAAGGAAAGTCTTGGCGTTTGTGATCCAAATTTTTATCCAAACGACCGACCGTTGTCTTGATATTCAACAACAGCTATAAACAGCTCTCTAAGCCAGAGCAACCACAAGGATAAAGGTACAAGACAAAGGAGACGCATAGGGCCTCAACTAAGGCCCTATGTATTGAAAATTAAGGGGCCTTATAGGCAAGGGCACTCCTAGATACCCTCTGGGTTTATTGCTAATAGACTATCAATAAACTGATATTAAACGCATCTTACATTCCCTATATTGCCTAAGATATATAAACTACAAAGTAGTATATATATATTATACCCAATTTTCACCAGGATGCCTTCTTTATAAATGAATTCTGGCGTGGTTGACCTGGTGAAGTGGTGAACCAGAAAACACTCCCCAATATATATCCCTAGTTAATACAGCCCTTATTCACATAGCATTATCATGTAATCAGTATGACTATGTGCTGTTTAGACAGACGCGACTTTATTCCCTTTTCTTGTCCTGCCCTCCTCCTTCTTCCCCTCTTTTCAGTCTCAGACATCTCCTTGACACTGGCCTACAGAAATAGTCCCTCAGTCCTAGCAAATACCGCTCTCAATCTCATCTCTCTAGTCCTTTCTACACTCCCTAAATCCTAGCAGTATATACTCTCGGCCCTGGTTCTTACACGGACGCGACGAGATGTAAGTACTACATGTCTTGTGCTTCAAACCCATTCTATTCTATATATGCTTTTCTTATATTGATATAGATATTATGATACACTACTAACAAAGTATATAGATATAATAGCACAATTATCAATGTCTAGCTCTCATATGCAAGCTGTCATCGTTAGGAGGAGCACTCTTATGAGCCTCTCTAACGAGATTCTTTGCATGATTGCAGAAGAGCTCAACACAATTGACCTTGCCCGGATTGTTCGCTGCAACAAACGTCTCAATACAGTAATAACTCGGTTTCTATATCGCTACAGGGTCAAGCCGTACCTTTGGCTGAGGCTCACCTACATCAAGCCTGGTCACTACGCATACAATACTCCAGTCTCATCTTGGCCTACCGCGCGTTTGACTCGCACATACCTTACCCAAACACCACTCGAGTGGGCTGCTTTGACCAACCAAGTCAACACCATCAAGCGCATGATTGGGTATAACCCAGACCCGCGCGTCTTTAAGGAACTGCAGGCCGGAAGCGCTATGGAACTGGCAGCTATGGTTGGCAATGCTCCTGCACTTAAGGCTATCCTAGATACTCGCACTGGAACGTGGCCCAGACGCAAATGGGGTTGCTATCCTATGCATCAGGCGGCGTTCAACGGTTATATCGATGCTATCCAGGTTTTGATCGATGCTCGCTGTCCCATTGATAAGAGAGATGACAGCAAAATGACAGCTCTTGCTGTTGCTACAGTGTGTCAGAAAGTTGCTGCGGCAGAATTTCTTTTGGCAAATGGCGCCCGCCGAAGTAAACTTAGCCAGGACAACCAAATTTGTTTGCATGTTCTGCTTGGGGAGCCAATACCCAGTGGATATAGCAGCAACAACAACAACAACAGTGATTAAGCAAAGACAGGTACGTGTGGCACTATCAATTCCCATTTTCATAGACATTTCTAGGATTGGTAACTAACTCAGTCAATCTAGTATCCTCTGCAATATTTACCATAAAGTGATGATCAGTTCTACAGTAGCTCATCACCGGTCTACATCTATATGTTCTTTTTCTAATCTTTTCGCTCTGGACTTCCCACTCTGCCTGATACTAGTTGTTTCTATATTCATATGGGTGGAAGATCGGAGTTGAGGTTTTGCTTCTGATGGTTCTTTTTTTTCCTGTCATGAGGACTGGCATGAGGGGAGTCTCACGCAATCCAATGAGGTCCAGTTACGCAGGTCGAGCCGTCTCCCTTTTATTGTGCATTTCTGCTTTTCTGTAACCTAAAAACAAATCAACTGTCAATTAAACATGTACCGCGTGCATTTATTGTTGCGGAACGGCGACACCGTTCTTCATCAGCCTGACTGCAATACGCCTCATTCGATAATAAATTGCACAATGTATGTAGTCTAGGAAGAAGCAAGGACTCAATCGGCTTCTCGCATGAAGGCCCAATAAATTCGATTCCATATACTTCTTCACAGTGTAGATCGTCGAGTCGATCCAACCTCGGGCTGCACCCCCCGCCTTTTTCGTTTCTTTTTCTTTTATTGAAAAGAAATTAAATGTTCTTCAGCCCGAAGGATGATGTACGACTTCAACTTAGTCTGGTTTAAAATATATATACTACAATTAAGAGGTTTGGTTCATGGTAGGCCGTTCGCCAACGCACTGCAAACTTTAGAGCACTTTGTATAGTAATCAAATATTTGGATTGAGCGCGTTCTGTTTTTAGACATGTGCTCACTTCATATGAATAATGAGTTAATACCGTGGTTTTGACTTTTGAGTACTCAGTCCCGTCACATATCTAACACGGCTTAGGAAAATTATCGTGACATGGGATAGGTCTTTTTTATTAATATCCGGGTGAGGACGATCGCTAAGGTCGCGTATTTGATGCGATGCTTGATGCTGACTTCAGAAGAGTGCAAACCAGCGCGTTTTAGGTTGTTCCTCGGTGTAATTGAGCCACATTCGATAATTCCATCTGTGAATAAAAAGAAAAGATATTTTATCGTAAGCGAGAGCAAGCAAGATGCATGTAACCACGCCGCCGTGTAACTACACATGTAGTGAATATGTACTCCGTGTTCCCGTTGCATCGCATAAAATACTCCTTTCCGCAAGGAGCCTCATTATATACTCCGTGTGGAATACGAAACATCCTTCACGCTTGGATCGTTCGGATTTGATAGTGCAAAAGCAGATCCAAAACTCTCTTCACCGCCCACGAGTCTGTGCAAACGGTTTCCCCGGATTCTTTAGCGACCTGGATAGGTGTACTCCGTACGGAGTACTCCGTAGAACCGTAGCTGGTGATGCGTTGGTAGAGCAAACAAGGCACAAGGTCAGTCGAGGATGCGATACAGCATACGACTGGAGAAAAGGATTTCGGCCTCCCTGTTGCCTCCTTATGTATCATAACCGCCATAGATTTGGTTGGTATCTGTACTCCGTACTCTGCCGCTGTGGTGGCTGCAGAGGCGCGCTTTTTCAGCTGAACGCGATCCACGACTGAGCAGGCGATGCTACGACGCAGCAGATCGGGAGCGCCTTACAATGAATTCAGGGATCCTGGTTCAAAGGCATGAAAGGTTATGAAGGCTATTGGACGACGTCTAGTAAATCGGATAACTAAACTTCCGACTTGCATCTTCGATATTCCTGTCTGGACAAGCCTAGTATTGGTTTTAAAGTAGATACTACACACAGTTGCCAGGAGGCCCCTAGTCGAGTCAAGTGAAAAAGGCTCGAGGACAGATTCCGGTACTGTATGCAGGTGCCACCATCCAGGGTTTTTCGCTTCGCGTAGAACTTTTCAGCTCTGGAAGACAAAACATGGCTGTGCTATGCCGTGTTGTCCCCCTTGAAAACGTAAAGAGGCGGTAGGATAGGCCTCGGTTAGTCACCAACGAACATCAGACATGGACAATCAACGGAAATGGCCGTTGGTCGACGAATGGATGCACACCTGCCTTGAGAAGTCTAGCTGCAAATCCTGAAGCAGGCGAGGACCGGCAACTTAACTGGTTGAAGCATGTCTGAAATAAAGCTGTGACTCCAGTGACTCCGCTGACGACGACCAGATTTGCCTTAAAAGAGAGCTTCTCATTAGACAACCAATGGTGAAACTAGAACTCTACCAGAATGATCTGAGCTGCCGTGTATACGGATTGACATGGTCCCTCAAAAACTCCACCAGCTGAGGAGCTTAACCCAGGCCCTTGATTCCTCGGGAGCAGAGCAAAATGCCTCGAGCATGTGTTAAGAAGCATATCATGTAAGAAGAAGGGGGAGGGAGGGTAAAAAAAAAAAGGGGGTCGTCGAACTCGTCTGATTCGAGGAGACGAGTCGGACATCGTGGAAGCGGATAATATAGTCCGCGATATTATTAACGCCTCCATTGGGAAAGTATTGCCAGGCGAGTCAGGTAAGTACTCGCTTGGGGCCCGGCTGCAGTGGACGCATACCACGCTGGCAGGGCAGGTTTGGTCGAGCAGCGTCCCGAAAGAGGGCAGCAGGGAGGGAATCCTCACCCGCATGCGTCGATGGCCTGAACGAAATCGTTAGTCTGGCGAGCGTGCAGGTCAAGTCCAGCCGGGGGAGTAACCTGTATTAGAGAGCCGTCTTATTATCAGGGAAGCCGGCTCCACTTGGTTGGATGTCCGCTCCGGAGGCGTCTTAGTATCTGCACTTATATACGCCCTGTCACCTCACCCTTGCGCACTCTTTCTCCAGACGAAGCGCCAGACCTCATCCAGCCTGGTGCCAACGGTTGGTTCTAACTTTCGGGTGAACGACCACAGCCACGCATCACGATCCACAGCAGGCGGTGGATCGCCGTGTGGGGGAAACTAGTAGGACTGTATACTACTCCATAGGCCTCTCCGTATCTACGTCAGAAAAGGGGCCGATGCCTACCCATATCACTTAGCCGTTTGATATAGCGTTGGGAGGCAGGGTTTCAACTGAAAATAAAAGCTTCTTCCCTGATGTTTGCCTTTGAGATCCATCAGATCTACCCTAGGCCTGGGAACCAGTCTCTCCGTACTAGATAGGGATTCAAACTCCGATCCTGAGTCCAGCTGGATAAGTCAAGTCAACATAGATAAGTCAACATAGATAAGTCAGCATAGATAAGTCAGCATAGATAAGTCAGCATAGATAAGTCAGCATATAAGTCAACACAGATAAGTCAACAGACAAGTCCAGCAGCTAGATAATAGAGACAGTGATATGTTAGGAGTAGCTGGGTGTTGTATGTATATTTTGTATCGGTGATATAAAAGTCCGTTCCGATATAAAGTAGTCACGTGCATATATCCCCACCAGAGCTTGAGCAGCTTCAAGTGAACAAAAAACTGAGCTTCACAAGAAGAAGAAGAACAGGACAAGAGACGCAGGCAGCAAGATACAACTGGTTGATGGTGCAAGCCAGGACATGCATGGATGACAGCCAGAGCTGCTGATTAGTCCCTGGAGACTTACCTTCTGCTCTCAAACGTCATATCTCAAACCCTAAACAATTATTCTGCCTACACTGCTACAGCTAATAAACGCCCTGCCAGCTCTCAGAGTTAGACGTGCAAGAATAAAAGGAGGGAAAAGAAGAAGAGGAAGAATAGAGATGGCGTCTGCTATCCTCCCGCTAGGAGAAATCCCGACCTTGTCTCTCCTATATCGACTCAGACATCTGGCACCTCCAGCTACCCCGCGTGTCTCCACGGCCTCACAGCAATTCAACGATACCATCAGCCATGTAACCCACGATATCACCAGATTAGAAGTCGACTGCATCGTGAATGCCGCGAACGAATCCCTTCTCGGTGGCGGCGGGGTCGACGGTGCGATCCATCGAGCTGCGGGCCCAAACTTGCTCCGTGAATGTCGTACGCTTGACGGCTGCCAGACCGGCGATGCAAAGATCACCGATGCGTATCGATTGCCTTGCAAAAAGGTCATTCATGCTGTGGGACCGGTATATGTGATGGAAAGGTTTCGTGGAGGGTCTGGTCGGGGCGATGTGCGTAGGCCAGAGATGCTGCTGAGAGGCTGCTATCAACGCAGCTTGGAGCTGGCAGTCGCCAATGAGGCGAAGAGCATCGCGTTCTCGTCGATCAGCACGGGAGTTTATGGATATCCAAGCGTCGAGGCTGCAGCTGTGGCGATCAAGACGGTGAGAGAGTTCTTGGAATCGCATCCAGACTCGCTGCAGAGGGTGGTCTTTTGCACCTTTGAGAGAAAGGACGTCAAGGCATATGATACGCTCCTCCCGTACGTATACACACACATACATACCTTGTCCTTTTACTTTCTCCATTTCGGAGTATTCCATCATTGATTGGTATATGCTCCAAAAGCTAATGTCATGGATTACCTATAGCCAATATTTCCCTCCCACTGAGCCAGATCTTCCCCCTTCCTCGACATCTAAGACAACGACAGGGACAAAACCAGAAGAAGTAGGAGGTCCACACGCCCCCGAGATCCTCGCGGCCAGCCTTCCTGATGCGCCAACTTCTGAGCCGGTGACTCAGGACGGCGGTGGTTCCACGGCTAAGAAGGCTAAGCTGTCTCCCGACAATAGCACAATCACAGCCCGAGATCTGGAAGATGACGATGATTGGGAAAAGGTGGACCAACCAGTGAACACCAAGGAGAACCTCGAGGACGATCCTGTAGAAGTTGACAACGGTCCAACAGCAGCAGACGTTCAAAGTGTTTCTAGTGCCGCCGATCTCGAGTCTTCCCACGAAGGAAAATTCAGATAAATCCATTCCTGACATGAACAAGCTGGGGGTTACTTTTTCATTATTCGATCCAGTCACCAACCCTTGTACCATCCATCCTTCCCCATCACGTCCTTCCCTCTTTCTATTTTTCTTTTTCGTTTCTTTTCTTCTCTCACAATGTGATATGATACAACGAGGTGAACGTACTCCGGAACGCGGATTTGGCTTGGGGATTCTGGTTTGATTGGGCCGTTTTTGCTATCAGATAACATACATGCGTGTTTCCCCAAATAATACACAGAGAAACGGGCTTTAAATTGACATGTTTCTTTTCGGTTTCTTTATCGGGCCAATCCACTCATGCATGCTAGTCAGGGGCAAGCATAGCCTAAATCCCCCCCCTCAAAGATCGTCAAGCAATGAAACGGCCGGACCATCCTGCACCCTTACATATATGTATGCATTATCTGTTATTTATTGAGGTCCGAAGGTCCGGGCGGAAGGTTGTAGCGGTGCAGGAGTGAGTGGCTAGGCGTTCTCCGTTATCTACATTATTGCTCTATAGCGTGTGCTACTACTGCACTACATCGATCGCCTCACACCCATGGAACGGGGTTTTACCAGCACCATGACAATAACAGCGCTACTTTCCGCCGATTCCGATTTATCGATTCCATAAGGTATATGCCCGATTACTCAGGTATATGGTACAATTTGAGTCCGACCCATCCAGAGCCAGGCTGAAACAGGAAGCTCGAAACAAAAAACAAAGAAGGGAGAGAAAGGGAAAAAAAATCATGCTCCGGAGATTTTTCTCTTTTAAGACGCTTAAACGGGGTAAGTCTATATCGGGGGTGTTAATCAATGAGATACAGTTCTTAGCTAATAACAATAATAATGTGCGCAGCAAAGAGAGAAGAAACACAGGAAGTTTTTTACGGTTTTATGGATATTAGTTATGGTTTCGTTTTCGTTTTGAAGATGAGATGAGATACGATTCACAAGGATTGCAAGTGCAAATCCCGATCATCGGATGGTGCTACCGAGACAAGCCAGGAGCCTAGCAAATGATAGCACTGGAATGACCAGTGTCTCTATTCCCTGCTTCATAAAAATTTTTTATGATGATATGCCTCGGGGACTGCTTCGGCTCGGATTTCGCTGGCGAAAAGTGAAAGCGGGCGGGAAAGGCAAAAGAAAAAAAAAAGGGCACAGAAAGGGGACAATGGTCTGGCAAATCCCGAGAGTAGCGGGTGTATAAAGCGTCCAGCGTGATCGAACTGAGAACGGTTCTGCAGAGTCCTCTTCCCCGTCCCCTGCTTGCGCGGTAGGCGCTCTAATTTAGGGGGTTTACTTGGTTGTGCATGTGGCTTCCCCATGTCTAGCTTCGCTGTTGGAGAACCAGGGAACACGAGACGGGATGGTATTTTGCAGCAACCTAATCTAGGTACGCGATGGTATTGGTGGTACGTCGAGGGACGAAATGCGATGCACCCGAAGCAGGAGACGCAATATATATGCGAAAATGCACATTGGTCAAAGCTGCTGTTTCGGGCTATATGTGCAGGATTGACGAGTTATGCTTCATGCGAGAGGGAGCTCTAGACTTTCGATGCAGCCAGATAAGCAACGGGCGGGCTGGTGGTAGTACATCAGCTCTCGAGAAGAAAAGCTTGGAGCTAACATCTTGCATGAAATCTGACTGTTCCATCACACCAGCAGGGATGATGGCCATGTCGGAAACATGTGGGAAGGGGGAAGGGGAGATTGCATCCATCGCGTATGTATAAGAAATCGTTGGAGGGGAGGCTATTTGTAAATCAAGATTTCCTGCTCGTGGCTATGACGATAACGTAAGTAACGTACCGGTGTATATGCGAGGATCATTCGGCTATTGGCAGGGTTCGTCTCTTCGTCGACCAAGTGGAAAAGCCGCTTGATGTTTATAATATGTGTATACATATATGGCCGGCTAATCCCTAAGCAGTATGCCCTCCGCCAATAGTAGGGCCGATATAGGCAGATTTTTCGACGAAGCAGAATAGGGGAAAGAGCAGATTATAGCCCAAACCCCTGCCGTTAACACAAAGAGCCGGCGAGCTTTCTTACGCTCTTCCTCCTCGCCTCGCCCGTTAGGCAAAAGAGGTTGAAACCAAAACGGGCGGCAGCGCAAGATGACCGTTGGGATGGACATGTCACTTTTTTTTTTCTTTTCTGGCTCTTCCCATTCTCCACCGGTCTTTGTGTCCTTTTGACGCATGACGACATCGTCGCATGCCCTTTCATGCGGCAATAGGGATGGGGATCATGGATTGGGGAGGCGGGAATGATCCCTAGAAGCCCTTGGCAGGCTCCAGCCGTTGACGTCGAATGCAGGCAGGGCCTCTGCATCTCTGCATCCTGGGACCCGAAGCAAGAGAGTTACTCCGTGCATACGTAAAGAAATGTGCATGGCGAAAGCAGGTTTGAGGTGTAAGATTACATTACTTCTGGAACCACGTCGAGCCCGCTGGTTCCTTGTTCGAAGTTCTCTCGTTCTCGTGTCCTGGCGATGCGTTCGTCCTCCGATCCGATGGTGGGTATACAAGGCCATCTCGCTCAGATTCCCCCTTGCTCACCTGCCAGATTGGTGAGGCGGCCTGTTGATCAGGTTTAGTGGTATGGAGTAGAAACGCCGGGTGGATGTTTTTGCTGCTGTAGCCCGATCGATCGTATGTTCCGATCTAAGACAGTAAAGTTAGTCCGCAGTAGCGCATTTTATCCTCTTTGCCATCCTTTCCCTCTCCATAAAATTAACAGCAAACCCTGTTATATATAGAGTGGTTTGGCCTCCCTATGACAAAGTCCGAATCGGAACAGACGCATGGAGGGAGGGAAGGTTGTGTATATGTGACAATAGCAATCTCAGATCTGGCCTGTTGTCTGCACCTTCAATCTGCCTCCCGTCGGGTACCACCTCGATCTCGGTGTAACCTCGTCCATCTCGCGTATGTGTCCGTACGATGTACGATGGAAGTACTCCGTACTAACGGCGTATAAATTGTCGACTGGCCTGGGGGGCAGCCATGGTTCAAGAAAATCCCGAGTGCCTGGATTTTCATTCCACTTGGGCGATGGCTTAGCTGTATTTTAGCCCGGCATTACAACATTGCAATATGTAATCTGTCTCACCCGAGGGGGCTGTTGTGGCATGCTGTTGTTTGTTGTTTGTTTGGGTCCATCTTGCTATTGGCATCCCGGCTGGCAACTTGGATCCAGATATTCGGCTTCACCTCTTATTGTTACACTTCCATTCTACTAGTTTAGTTCGGCTCGGTTTTGGTGGATGGGGTGGAAGGGGGCGAGCAGGGGAGAATCTTCCGAGTGAAGATTTCAGGCCTGTCGTATATGCGAGTGTTCGACTTCGTCCTGGCCTGCTTGCTGATCGCTGGAAGGCATCAGTCAGAGAAATGTGTCCTTTCGTGACAGCTTCTTGATCAGCGGCTCAATCCACCCGTGTCCCTTTTCCCACCCCTTCGATGCCCCTTTTCCCACGGAGTCGAGCCGTATCCGTGTCTCAGAGGTTCTCTCTGCACAGGTTTGCGTTGATCGAGCGGCTCAACCGGTGTTCATAACAGCGAAGAGAGCATCTCTTGTCGTAGACGCTATGCCCGCGCATCCACGCCACATCCGCCTTCCATCTGGCCGGATTGCTATCGTGCATGGACAATCAGCTAGTGCTGTATTTCACCGTGTATCTGTATAGACGCCGTATATTAGGCAGGCCCCTTCGATCGTGCTCCCGCTGAAGGGTGCAAGGCCCTGCTTCGAGGGCCTCGTATTCGATCCCTGCTAGGGGCAGAGGGACCCTAATCTCGATGGTTCGCGGGCCGGATTCCCGATCTGTCTTTGCATCCATCTGCCTCCATATCATCACCGTTTCTCCCTGCCCCGTCCCAAGCATGGCCAGGAACCTTCGTCCCGTTGCCCAAAGCAGGCGGTGCTAAGGTCAGGGGGCCACCACGCCATCTGCTGCTTTGCTTTTTCCTGCGTGCTTGCAGCTTGCCTTGTCCCACTGAAGCATGAGCGTGAGCGTGAGCGCGAGATCTGATCTATCTGCTCGTCCACGCCACCGCATCGTCATGTGCGGCCGTCGTAGCATCGTAGCATCGCCGGCTTCATCTTCTCTCTCTCTTCACAACCAGGATCGTAAATCCCCGACGCTAGGCCCTGTGAGCTGGCCGTCCAGGTCGCAAAAAACGTGTCTCTGACTGCTAAAAACGACCGCTCTCCACTGCGACTCTTAAAAAAAGATCCTATGCATATATCAAGTCTGTATACACATGTGCCAAACCTTCCAGGATGTAGCCCCGTACTGTAAGGGCAGACGAAACGGTGTAATATCCGGTCATATTAGTTAAGCATTCTTCTCTATCACTACTTCTCTATCACTTTACTTCTACCTCCTTCTACCACTTTACTCTCTTCTACTTCTACCGCTTCTTCTCTACTACTTCTTCTCTCCTCCTCCTCGTCTATACCTCCTCCTGCATAGAAAAACAAAGCTGCAAACCCCGAAGCCCGACAGCTCAAGCAGTTTGCCTTGCATAAGTTTAGCCGGCACAGAGCAGACAGAAAAAGAATGGTTTCCGTGTGTGCGAATCTGATATCCGATCTGATCTGAACCCAGCCCGCATCAACCCTCGCACGCGAAGAGATCCGTTCGTACATACGATAGAGCGATCTTGTGCGCCCGTCGCCCCCTCATTCATCGTCCTGGCTGCTGGATTGGCTCTCTGCGTCCCTGGATCTGGCCAAGATCCAGCCCGTCGGCCAAATATTTGGCTACCCTGCTACGCTTTGGCCGTGGACTTGCGACACCCCGTCGAAGCTTATCCGGAAGTACGGTGTATTGCTTCTATACATACATATATCTCGATACGCCCGTCATCCATCTCATCTCGTGCGCTGGGGGCTAGGAAACCTTCCGCGTCTTCCACCTTTCTTCACCTCGAGGCTCTAGGTCTGAAGTCTCAGGTTGGACTGCCGGAGCAGTCTCGTATCCGGGACAGGACAGCTGATATCGTTTCAAACACTCGCTCCCACGACCACCGAAATATGAGCTCTTCCTCCCTTTGACCGAATAAGGTTGACCGATTACGTTATTTCCCGTCTCTATTCAAGAGCATATTTTAAGTGGAATCTTAGCGCGGGAGCAGAGGGAAAGGGAAAAATAAATTATAGGGAACCTTGCCGCCATCCAGATCCATTATCCAGGAAATCTGAGATCCCTATAGCAAACCGCTGGGCTCGCACGCACCGCACGCGTGCTACGGAATGAGCACGGCGGACTCTGACGACAGAAGCGGACGCTGGTCTGGAGCTGCTCCTCTTCCTCTTACCGTTACTTCTTCTGCCTCTGCTTCAGCTTCTGACCCACGGGACGCCTGCTGCACGGCCACCCAAAACCGACACTCTACCCCTGGATCAGGGCTGCATCCATTCCTCCCTGCCACAACCCCAGCTTCGACGACGACCTCGACTCCACGATTTGCCATCCAAAACAAACATACATTGCCTCCCATGGCGACAGGAATCACTGCTTCTTCGACTTCCCATATCTTTCATCGACAGTCGGCCGGCATGTATCACAGCAATCAGCCGCAATACAACAACTACTCTCCTCCCACCCTCCATCAGCCAGCACCGCCGCCGCCGTCGTCGTCCAGGTCGTCCGCCGATGTCTCTCCTTCGACTCGCCCGCATCGACAGCTCGATGTTCCAACCACTCACTCTACCAGCGTAAAGTCGCTTCCCTCCATCCACGAAGCCCTCGGCAAGAGCAATCCGCTACCGTACCCTCACCCTCCCCAGTCGTCCGTATGCGGTCCCTCGCAATCGTCCGGACTGCCTGCGTCTTCGTCCAGTCTCATTCCCGGTCCAAGTGCAGAAGGTCCCAGTGGACCGTCTAACCCGTTCTCCTCTACCAATTCATCGGCCGCCCCGTCGTTACGGGACACCCTTCTCAACTCGCAACACCCACACCATCAGTCCGCTCCATCCCAATCCGAAGGCTCGATAAGGTCCCAGGATTCACAAAACCGCTCCATACACTCGATCGGGTCCGAGAAATCGGTTTCCAGAGGTTCAGTGCCCGAGAGGACGTCCATATGTACTTCCCATGCGCCTGGGTTTGATATGTTATCTACAACTACCACCGCCATGTCTTCGCCAACCAGCTATGTATCGCCGGTGAGCTACAACCAGCCACAGTACCCATCGCACCGAGCTGTCCCTCCTTCGCAGACGTTTCCCCCTCCTTCGTTTGAGAACAGATCGTCGCATTCTACGTGGAATTTTGGCGCTTCTGATCACACGCCAATGGACGGGGTCAAGTCAATGCAGAGGAGCAATGGGATTTCCCCGTACAGCGATGCTGTCAAACGACACCTCGACGATTACGATGTCCGCGCATCGCTAAACGAGGTATTTTAATTTCCTCCCCTGTCACTAGGGAATAGACCGGTTCCAAACGCTAACCTTATCATCCACAGGTCCGAGACACCAGCTCCCGTACCCTAGATTTACTTCGACCACATTCCCAACGCCCGCCATCGACTAGGCCAGAGTCAATCGACTCGTTACCCTCGCTAGCTGAAATCGACGAATTGCTCCACCTACATCGCCACGCGGCAGAGATTCTAGAAAGAGTCCGCTCGGCCGCAATCTCCCATGAGCACTCTCTAAGCGAACAGCGGAGTCAACAGCAACTCTTCAAAACGGAACCCACCCGTGATAAAGAGCGGATGACCATGTATGGTGACGAATACAAGAACGGAACCAGCGTGAACGGCAGCAACACCCACACTATGAACAGCAGCATCAGCCTCGAAAAGAAGCGCAGGGTACGTTTCCCCCCTTCATGCTTGGCCCATGACTTCATTAGTTTTCCCTCTACTAACATCTCATTATAGAAAGCTGCCCCACCTGGACGCTGTCATAGCTGCAATCGCGCTGAAACACCAGAATGGCGGAGGGGACCCGATGGTGCCCGAACACTCTGCAACGCATGTGGTCTACACTATGCCAAACTCACCCGCAAGGCGGGACTGAACAAAACAACCTCCTCCTCATCTTCAGCACCAACATCTCAAATGGCCATGGCCGCAAACAATATCAGGCCCAGAGGTGGCGTCGGTCCACGATCGCCCCCTATTCAGTCCTGACCCCCATCAATCACCGGACGATGACATTCCTTGTCCCATCCACATATATACACAATGTATCACTATACATTTCCTGCCTGTCATTCTGTCTTGTTTCTTTTCTTTTCTTAAAAACCGGGGGGAATCGGAAGGAGTAAAAATAAACTACAAGATTTATTTCATATCTGGGGGCGTTTTTTCTTTTCTTTTCTTTTTTTCTTCTCCCTCTCTGTTTCCTTGTTACATTGTTACACTCTTGTCATTTGGTTTTCCATCCCAATTTTACCGTTGCATGTTTATTTCCCCGGACTATCTGGAATACAGGGCTGTATGTATGCTGGGACTTGTTTTTGGAAACTGGAGTTACCCATCAAACTATACTTGCATGTGCGTTTTTCGTTTTTGGTCTCTGCTCATCCACTGTGAATCTTTTCTCTTTTCCATTTGCTTTTTTGGATCTCATAATCTACTGTCACATATACCCATTTACTATTAGCAGTTATGTCAAATATCGGAGATTTTACTACTGTTATATCGATTGTGTTTAAGTCTTATAAGACAAGTTCACATTTAACTATATACACGTCTATTCAATCATAGACATCACTAGGAAAACATTACCCTCAGTTACACCATTTAGTACGGTCTCCTTGGAGGGTTTCTAAAAGAGTTAGTGCTAAAAATACAAGACCAAAGCCACGATTCAGAAGATAACAATTACCGTGAGCAGTGATTTATCTTACAATATCGTTCGTTGTCCCTTCTAGTTTGTTCAGTACCACAATATTAGGTTTGATCCTGCTGTCAGCAGAAGGGAGGAGAATATTCGCGTGGGATCTTTCGCTTGGCTGCAACCTGAGATGTAGAATATAATTATTAATCGAGAGGGAGACATGGATCAAGAGAGCACCCATACCACTAAACAACATCTCTCAATGTGAGTTAACATTAGACCTATTAATTTCTACACTGGACATTCTGCCATACTTAGTGACCATAGAGTAACTTCTTAGTGGTGGTAGAACCATGGTAGCGCAACCAAATAAGGTACGGTACGGGTAGATAGCCGATAAACCTTATTTGGTCCGTTAGTTACCCTTTTTTCCAGGGACGGTTCCTCATTCTTGTTAACAATGACCATAGTCGCGTACTCCAGCCCGGGCGACCAGCTGCTGCCACAATGGACTTTGACCATACCCTTGATGCCGAACGCAACCGGCTGATGGCGGAGTGGGCCAATACCTTTGACAATTCTTTGCTTGACATCGGCGTCGTGGCAGCGAGGTATAGGAAGAACCCTCGGTGTACGTTGGTGTCGAAACACTGTGGCTCTTTCAACTTTTCATTGCGGTTGCACTGGGATGATGACGGTCCCGATTGGCTTATTCGGTTCCCAGTTCTGGGAAAAGCCATATTTGCAGAAGAGAAATACCAGAATGAAGTTGCCGTGATGCGTTTCATACGTCAAAATACAAAAATTCCTATTCCGGAGATTATTGCCCACGGAGCTGCTGCGGAGAATCCCACCGGACTTGGGCCATTCATGATAATGACCTGGCTTGAAGGGACGACGATGAAGGACCTGTTGGAGGTGCGGGTTCCGACGCCGGATGGCAACTCCGAAGGGGTCCTGAATCCGGATATTGCTAACGTGACCCTCAACCCCCTTTATGACGGAATTGCCAGAATTTTGCTCGATCTCTGGGCGCTAAATTTTGATAAAATCGGCTCTCTGGGGTACGATGACGTTTCAAATTCGTGGAAAGTCAATCGCCGGCCGCTTACCCTTGGGATGAACGAGTTTGTAAGGCTTGGTGGAATACCCGAAGATGATCTAAAGTCCGGCACTTTTACCTCCTCGCTCGACTACTTCTTCCATTCTTCCGAATTGCATAAACTACACCTTGAAAAGCAGCTGAACAGCATTTTCGATTCTCGGGACTGTCGCGAGAAATACACTTGCCGTCATCTTTTTAGATCCATGATCCCTTCCTTCGTCTCAAGCAAGGATATCAATGGGCCTTTCAAACTTTTCTGTGACGACTTTGGGCCCGGGAATATTCTCGTCAACCCATCTACCCTCGAAATAACTGGGGTTATCGACTGGGAATTCTGCTACGCAGCGCCTGCTCAATTTTCAGCATCTCCACCTTCGTGGCTGCTGTTGAAGCGTCCCGATCACTGGGTGCAAGATGACGGGTTACAGCATTTCCTAAAACACTATACCCCTAAATTTGATATGTTACTTTCATCGTTGGAAACCCACGAGGCAGAAAGAGGCTTATCGGGTGCTGATGAGATCCTTTCTATTCGTATGCGGAGATCGATGGAAGACAGAACGATATGGTTCAATCTTGCTGTCCGCAATGGTTGGAGCATAGATTTCGTTTATTGGAACTTGCTTGATAACTATATATACGGCTCTGCCTCGATGACCGAGAGGGTAGCCGGACAACAGGCGGCAGCGAGCTATACCGTGACCGAGAGGGGTTTGTGCATACCAAGATCAAGCAGCTTCAACAGTATAAAGCTAAAATAGGATCCAAGGCAAACATCGAGTATCAGGAGGAGGAGGATATTGAAAAGCGAGAGTACTGGCTGCCACCGACGGGTAAATTCTGTATTCCAGCCCGGCGTCGTTATATACATCTTATGAGGTCCACGACCGCTAACCAAACGTATATATCAACCAGGAGCAAAGAACAACGCATCATAAGCAGCCTTATGAGTCTATGAATAGGGTGTATAGTGTATGGGCAAAAGAAAGTGACGCTACACGTGATCGTACAAAACAGCATTGGTGGTTTAGTGGTAAAATCCGTCGTTGCCATCGACGGGCCCCGGGTTCGATTCCCGGTCGATGCACTTTCTTTTTTGCACTTTTTACTCTCTATCACTCTCTCAAAAAGAGAATCAGAGATATCATTCCATTCTCCTGTTTTGCCACATCAATATCTCCGCGCCCACAGGGTATGCCGTCACCATTCTTGCGTATGTCCCCGATAATCGGAGCTGTGCCAACATGGCAGGCGACATCCCATTCTTGTCCGCGATATGTAAATCCGCTCCATGTGTCAGCAACGCCTTCACAGCTTCACCTCTGCTTAACCGCTGCCCATAAGGCTCGTGCCTGATAGCAATGAGTAGCGGCGTGCCGAAGTCGCTTATTTTGTTGATATCTACCCCGGCCGAAGCTGGTCGGTGCTTGAGGAGGCGGTCGATATGGTAGGCCATGCCGAGACGACAGTAGTAGTGGAGGAGTGACTGTCCTGCGTCGTCTATGAGAGTGAGATCTATACCTGTTTGATCCATGAGGGTGTGGCTGGGCTGGTAGTTTGCATGGAGTGCTGCCTTCTCGAGGTTGGCCATCAAGGCCGTACGCCCTCCTTCACCACCTTGGAGGTTTGCGCAAGCGCCAAGCTGGATAAGGATATCAAGGCGTTCTTCTGACTGGGAACCCTCTACGGCAGCTCTAAAGGGTGTGTGCCATCGTCCGCCGGTTTGGTTGACATTTGCTCCATGGGAAATGAGCCAGGGAATATGTCCATAATAGTTGCAAAGTGCAGCAGCAGCATAGAGAGCGTTACCAAACAATTCACTCTGGCAATTGATATCCAAGCTATTATTGGCCAATAGCAAGCGATCTATTCCTGATTTCATCGGAAATCTATTATTACCTATGACCAGGAGTGGAAGCAGCTCTGAAAGATTGATGTTCATGGGAGAGACTTGCCCCGGAGGCGGTCGTCCAAGTCGGAATGGGCATGGCGTTGAACTGAGAGTGGGAAGTAAGTCCTTGGGGCTGATATTGATCGCGACGGCAAAGCATGCCCAGTCGACGAGCACCCTCCACTGGTATGCCCTAATGCCATAATCCACTTCACAAAGCAAATGTTCTAAAGCATCTGCTGCGGTGCGGATTAAGGTGAATATGGTAGCATTATTTAAGCTGATACTCTCATCCCTGGGGTGGATATGCATTAGGACAATGGTTCTCAGAAGCCATGCAGTTGGCTCGATATCCCACTGAAACCAGCCTGGTGAATCTATACCTCCGTGGAATGCTTTCTCGTCATTCATAATACGCCTCGCAAGGAAATATGATATTCGGTCGTCAAAAACACCTACTCTTCATGTTAGTATGGGCTCGCTTAACCAGAGGCCTAAGACGTACGGCATACGAGCCGCAACTCGGCAAAAAGAGCTTGACCTCGCCTCTCTTTGAAGTCGACGCAGGATGATAGAATAAGGTCTATGATCTCAACTGGGAGCAAAGCTAATGTCATCCTTTCCTTCGACATTGTATCAACACAATGCAGCTATGGACACGATGTGAACGTCTTCAAACACTCTTTTTAGAGAAGCATAAGCTGTTACCTTGAAACGTTTGTAGGCAGAAAATCAAGGGTGGTGTTGTTGTGTTGGGAAGGGTTTGAGTGCGGGAAGGAACCTTGGACCATATCATTAACAAAACAAACGAAGCCACCACCCAGTCAGTAAGATTACATTATACGCTAATAATTCATTATATTTATGGTGTTGAGAAAGAATGGTAAATGTAAAGTATGTTTTAGAAGACTAGACAGGCTATATGCAGTTTTGTCTCTTGTGTCTAATAAAAATGCAATTGAAGTAGCTATATGAATTACAATAAGGTCTCTGGCGCTTAGGCAATAAATGCAACAAATGAGAATTAAAAGGAGAGGACGACAGGCAATAAACGTGCTCAAATGTAAGGCAACAAAAGAAGAAGAATAGGAAGAAGTAGTAGTATATTGAAGAAAGGAGGGAAAATGGAGAGGGAAAAATCCCTAGAAATCCAACGCCTTCAGCTATTGTTTCAGTTCCGAGCTGGCGAGGATTCCTAGTAAGTCTATTTTGTTTCGTCGAGGCGGATATCCGAGGCTGGTTCTGGGATTAATGACGGGCCCGGTCCCCCGATTCTGCGGTTCGCGTCTTCTATTTCCTGGGTAGTTACGCATTTACCAGGCTTGCGTATGTCGGGGGTATGTTGGGAGACATTCGGGCTGTGGCCGATGGACATTCCCACGCGGATCTAAAAAACTTGTTAGGCGGAACACATTTCACAGATTTGAAGAAAAAGGAGAGGAGATTACATACCAAGGTCTCCAAGGCACCCTTCGAGTTATCGACCAAGTCGCTGTCGAAATTCATTCGTCCTGGCTCGAAAAGAACTAATAGGGTACTTCCTCCAAACTTAAAGTATCCGAGCTCATCCGTCCTAGACACTTTTGCGCCAGCTTCCTGTGTGATGACGGTACTTCCGACCATCATCGCACCGACGCAAATGACCATCACGCGGCCATGGGCAACAGAGTCGATGGGGACAATAACTCGTACGTTCTCGCCATAGACGTCTAACGCAGAGCGAATGGCCATTGGGTTCACAGTGTAGTATTCTCCCTCTATGGTCTTGGGTGTACCCATGACACCATCAACAGGGATGTGGAAACGGTGATAATCTTGTGGGGCGAGACGGAAGATTCCAAGTGCGCCGTTCTTGAAACGCTCGACATCCTCGGGGTATGCCTTACCGAGGAGTCGCTCGATGGAAAATTCGCGACCCTTGACCCAGATTTGAGTGGCTTCGGTGATGCGGTCGAAGACCACGGAGCGGCAGTCAGCGGGAGAGACAATAATGTCGGGGTTTTCGGGGGCTGAGCAAGGTCGAGCATCAGGCTTCAGGGCGCGGTAGAAGAATTCGTTGAATGTCTTGAATTGGTCAAGGGGGAGGAGGACTTCGCTCATGTCGAGTTGATGGAATGCGATGAACGCGTCAATTTGGCTGGAAGAGGCTGGGTCATCGTATTTGCGACCTTGTTTGATACTCAGAGATTTAAGCATTTTCCGAACTGCATGCGGTTGTTAGTCAAGGCAATGATATAATGAACGCTGTAGATGTGTTGACGAACTCCTCTTCTTTTCCATATCCCTGCTCTTCAGCCCCTTATATAGTAACCGAATACCCAATCGAACGTATACGCTCATTTTCTCTTCGTTAATTTGGCCTGTCAAGCGGTCCTGGACCAAGATATTTGCCGAGTTGGCGCCAATCTTGTATCCACCGTACGATAGTTTGGTAATGACTTTGCTGTACCATTTCCTCTGCGCCTGACTGGATGTTACAAAGCCGCCCATGACCAAGTTGTCGACTTGTCTCCAATCCTGGCTGGCGCATGTAGCCAGGTGGGTGATGATGTCGGCATCGGAGCGTTTACCCAGGCGAGGCTGATGGCATAGAGGACACTCTCGAATCTCGATAACGTGTTCTTCACCTCTTTCATCAGTGAGATCAGTGAGGTCACCTTGAGGAGAGCTCGTACCCTCATCGCTACCAGAGACTGATTCATCGCGGTTAGGTGTGGCTGAAACTGCTCCAGTAAGGTTAGTATACGAAGGGTTTAAAGTAAGGCTAATACCGCCAGCAGGGGTGAGGTCATCATCGTCCTCCTCCTCATTATCGGGTAGGATCTCACTTTCTAACGGCCCTGAAGAGGACGATGGGAACTGCACCAGTTGAGACATCGTGGCGCCTACGGTCTTCTTTTGCAACTCCTGCAGCTTCTCTTCAAGACAGATCACGGCTTGATCGAAAGTGAGATCCATCGTGTCGCCGGTCGTTTCGTTTTCAGCAGCAAATCTGTGGAAAAATCCATTGATTGTCGAATCCTTCAATGTCGATCCTAGAGTGTCAAGCATGGTGGTCAATTCGATTTTGCTGATACGCCCGCTCTCATCAGCATCGTATTGACGTAGCATGACGCGCCAGAACTGTTGTCTTAAGGCTTGGTATGGCATATACTTTGCTTTTATATGCAGCTCCGGGTTATGCTTGTCTTCCCACCTATCTTTATTTTTTAAAGATAGAGGTATAACGTAATGTTTGAATACTTCTGTGTCAGGGTTAGTGGGAGGGAGGCCGCACTTCTCTGTGTAAACTGGACTGGCAGTTCCGGGGACGTTCAGTAGCCCGGTAGGATCATTCTGAGGCACGGGGTTGGAGGTCGGCGCCTGTTGTTGATCCTGCTGAAACTGGCTAGCCAACGACGCCGCTGAAGATTTAGATTTCAAAGATGATTTTGGCATTTTGGTAAGATTCGACGCCGAGGACGAACGTGATAGTGCGAGTCGGAATCTTGAGGATTTGGTGGCAGATTGAGGAACAGACTCGACTGGGTCGGAGGGTAGGTCGAGGAGTTTGTATAACCCGGTCTCTGGGTCGGCAACGGGGCCGGCTTGAATGAGGGATTGCAGGGGGAAGTTTGTGGATGCAACGAAATCATTTCCGGACAGCTTATCTCTGTCGATGACTGTGAAGCTGATCGAGTAAGACTGCTCATGCTTCATGACTTGAAAGACCATCTTTTCGTCAAAGACTGGGTTCAAATTATGACGAATAACGCGGGTTCTCATGGTCTTTCTGCCGAGAGAGGTGACGACGAAAGGGTCCATATCGAATGATGTGCGGGTCACTTTTGCAGCGGTTAGCACCCCACACTTAAAGCAGAAATTCGAGTCCAGGGTTGACCTACTGTTCTTTTCTGGAGGCAGGTCCAGAACCTTGTTTATTTCAATAAAAACTATCCCGACCACTCCATCCTTCGCTCCGCAGAATTCATACGCACGCACCGCGATCGACCTCCGCTTTAGACGCGCAACTTTAGACTTTTGCCGTTGCTTCGCAATATCATCTGGCTTGGACAGGTCCTCCCTCGAGCTTTCTCCAATTTCATCATTGTCTCCAGACGTCGTAGGCGTGGCATCTTCGTCCTCGTCGTCGCTGTTGCGGATGAGGTTTTTGAACCTCGAAAGGATCTGTTCTGGGGAGGCGGAAGGGTTTGTAGGATCGACGAGAGAGAATTGCAGCTGGATCTGGCCGGAAACGTCGTTGTTCTTCTTACTAGTTGTCTTCCATTTTGACTGAAGATCGTACCATTGGGGCTGATATGACATCGTTAGTCTGGGGTCCCTTTTTGTTCTGTGATGGCTTTGAAAAATGACAATCAACTAGGTTTGCGTACATCCTGCTGAACCTGACCGTTTGAAAAGATATCTTCTAGAGGGATATCAAATTCACCCATGTAATCCTTCCCAAACCTATCTTTATCCCAGCACACGCACTCGAGCAGCGGGACGCCAACAATGGGTAAGTCGAAGCAGACATTCCATTCTGGGTTTAGAGTCTTGCTAATTGTGGGCGTGGACTGTCTGGCATGGCCTAATGTGACTACCAGATACTGTACTGCGGGTTAGTTGGGGTATTTTCCGGGGAAAACGGATTTGGACAGGGGGGTAGAGGTATCGTACAGGATCACTCATGCCATTCCTGTCCTTTGCAGCTAAATTGCGGCCCTAAACGGTAAATTCAACGGCATCAGCTTCCATACAAGTGTATTTATTTGGGGAGGGTATGTCCACGCGTCGTACGTAGGGGGAAACATACACTAATAACCTGGGTCTTCAGGATCAACGGATGTTTTGTCTCTGTGATGCCAGACGAGGAGACAGAGAGGTCATCCTGGGAAGGAGGAGTCCCAATCTTCGGGGACTTGTTCCCACTGCGTCGATGAGGGAGTGGTAGGCGGACCATCGTGGGCGTGACGAGGCTGAGAGGGAGAGAGAGAGAGAGAGCTGTTTTGATATGGGTTTTCGGAGGTCAGAGGATCGATACAATCAAACAGAGGCCCCTGTTGACTATGATTGCAAGGTCATAGAGGCCGGTGAGCGTCCATTCATCGAGTATAACCGTGTCAAGAGCGTTGTGGCCTGTTAAGAGTCGTTGTAAACCGGGTTGGGGCTGAAGACGGGCGATATATAGGAAACGAGCGAACGGGGACGACTCGACAGGCTTTCGGTGTCAATTAACGCAGGCGAGACGTAGCAACGAAACTCTAGCCGGGAGGACAGCAGAGCGAAAGGACGACGGAAAAACCTGGTGGGCAAAAGTTGGCTGCTATCGTATGCTGTTTAGCGGATGTTTGTTGGAGGAACGCTAAGGCGGGTTGCAGGGGAAAAAAAAGAGAGATATGATGAAGTCACTGAGCTATTCTATATATAGGCTCTCTCGCTCAACAGGGAGACCCCCAACAGATATGCAGGGGAACACGCGGGTTACATCGCAGAAAAGAGACGAGAAAGGGACAGAAATAGAGAGCAAAGATATACGAAGTGCGCCGTGGATTATCGATAACAAGCTGCCTCTGCGTCCCTAGCCCTGGTCGGCGCCCAGTTACAGCGGAGATGAAGCGTGCGGCTGACCAGCGACAGGGCCTAACCTGCTAACTCTTAGCTAACTCTTAGCTAAGGACGAAGCCCCCGGACCAGCCACGGAAGCTTCTTCCGGGCCCTGGCTAGGGGCTAGTCCCCTAAGCAACGCTAAGCTCCAGTTAAAGCCTGCCCCTAACTGCCCCTAAACTGCCCCTAAACTGCCCCTAAACTGCCCCTAACCTCGCCTTAAGCTGCCGGTGGAGGCCTCTTCTCCAGTTAAAGCGCCCACCGCCACACCCACCCCGACTGAACCCTCCCCCCCCCTCCCAGGACGCCAGAAGCCTGTCAGATTCCCAGCATCGAGCATCAACCCGGTGTCAATCATCTGCAGAAGGCCTACCGTGGCCTCGGACGCAGCCCGCAGCCACACCTCTGTCACCACGGAGTACCAGATACAACAGCAAACAGGCTTGATATTAGGAGAAATATGGGCTCAAACCCGCCTTGTTCCGATGCGACATGGCCCACTCCCCTTATGCAAGACACCAGTCAGCGTCCGTTTGATCTTCCCGATGACTTCACCCATGTCACATAACCGCATCATAGCCTACGCGGAGGCAGCGTAAGCCCGCTTCAACTTGCGTGCACAGCATCCGTCTCTGAAAGTGAATAGACGGCAGCCAGTGGAGGGGTAAAAGCTTCTCCGCAAGGCCGCTCGCCCATGAAGCCGTCCGTGGTGGAAGGGAAAAAGGAAGGAGAATCGATCTAGGACTCCCGTTCGTGGATAAAAGAGACGAAAAGCGACCAGTCCGGTGAAGGGGACAGCCACAAGGACCCTCCACCCTTTATGCAGCCTGCTGCCGTGGAGGACGGTGTACGGCCATGGATGCTGTGTATACCAATGGGGTACCTACGGCGTCTGCAAGCCATGCAGCCAGAGCATGTCCAAGCGTGTGTATACAGCTGCAGCTGCTGTGTGATACGATGTATCCCGGGTGGTTATTTTATTGGCAGCGATCCAACCGACGGGTTCACCACTCGCAAGCCACATCGGAGACCTCTCCCGCAGGCACGGAGGACCGGGGGCCTAAGATAGCCAACGTTGTTACTTTCTTAGACCAGTTCCAGAGGTCATCGGGCCACCGGGTTGCCCTGTCTCATGGATTTGATAGGAGAGATATATCTCGGAGGCAGATCGCAGGACACGATTTAACTATCGGGAAGAGGGGAAGCAGGATACGTTTTAACTATCCGGGAAGAAGGGGAAGGCTTTCAGGAATATTTGTCATATTAAGCAGATTGGCATGGACACCGTGAAGCATCGACAGGTTATAAAACAACCACAAGCAATCAATCCGCCCAGCAGCCAATATCACCAATATCAATTATCATCCAATTAACCTAACCATCCATAACAGAACAAAAAGGCTTACATGACTGGAGCCAACGATATTAGCACCTGTCGATACAGCAGCTATAATATGGCAAAATGTACCTGAGTTCAATGCTTTCATGAGGGGAACCTCGCGGTCATCCTCTATTTCTTCTCCTCAACTGGCTTGTCCTTGTTGCCCAAGAAGGACTTCTGAGCAAAGTCGATACCTATATTCGACGGATTAGCCATATAGCTGACATCGCAGACTCGCATATCCAACTAACCCTTGTTGATGTTGTCGTTGTTGCCCTGGCCGCTCTTGATGAACTGGCCCTGAGCGAAGTCGATGCCTGCAGTGAGTCTCCATGTCAGCATCCATCATCATGCTTCCTCGGTCTGAAGATGAGTTAGCTACCCTTGTTGATGTTCTCGTTGTTCTTGTCACCACCAGCACCAGAGCTTCCACTGCTGCCACCAGTGGCCTTGCTTGCGAGCTTGTTGACGAAGTCCATTTTGCTTAAGATTAACGACTATTCGTTACTGATTGAGTGATGAGGATGATGGTTTCTGGAAGAATAGAATCACCCCGTTAGTTTTCCTGACAGAAAAGGAGGGGGAATCGCTGCCACGGAGTCTTCCCGCGGAATATACATAGATTCTACCCCTGACAGCGGGGTCAGGTCAGGTCAGGGCACAAAACTCACCAGGTTGATTCGAGGTCGGTGATTCTTACAAAGAGAAGAGCTACGGCCAGAGAAGGAGGGAAATACGACAGGATAAATACTCCAGCGGACAGCACCAAGATGGAACCAGAGCGAACCTTTCCGATCTCCCAGTTTACGTATTATATACTTTGCATCTCGATCGGGGGCCATCCGTGGAGGGGCATTTATCCACCAGCATCGCATCAGCGAGCGAGGCCCCGGTTCAATTCGCCATACGGATGCTGCTAGTACGGTACGGAGGGACCGCCACCGGCAGCAGAGCCTCGATTCGATCGTATGCGTGCTGTATCGTATCTCAGTTCCGTGCAGCCTCGTACTTAGCATGCAACATCTAGGGGTTGAAGTCGTCTTCTTCCCCCCTCCCCCCGGTTGCTGGCCGTCATTGGCTTGCCTCCGTCCGGCGCATGATGTTAGCGTGGAGACCGAGTGGCTAAGCAATTGCGATAATCCTCCTCACTGGCTGGGCGGATGCCACGGAGGCTTTCTTTCGCTGCACCTCGACCTGGGTCAGGAGGGGTCGTTGGAGGGGGATATTAAATTGGACATAGCCAGTCGACTTGGGATCGACCTGGTGATGTAATTGTGTGTCAATTGAGGTGGATTTAAACTTCCAAAGTGGCTTGATGCGGGTTGGAGATCGTCGGCGATGTTAGCAGTATATAACTTCAAAATGACGATATGTATATTACTATTAAGCTATCTACTATATGTGCGAATGGCTATATATATAAGGAGCGAAAAGCAGAAATCAAAAGCTAAACAATTCGCTTCTCCTCTTTCCCTCGGGATAAATAATCAACGCTGCAAGGAATAGCCCCACTGTCGTAGAAATGCTAACTTGGACCATCGCATATGCCAGATCGAATACTATGTTGCCGTACACTTTGCTCGCTCCAATTTGTGCTGCTAGGTCTTGAAGACCTCCATCGCCAGCGCCAGCTATCACCGTGCTGGCGGCACCCACTGTCCCATTCAGAGATAGATGGCTCGAGGAATTCCCCGTTGCCTGGTTTGCGAACGCGAGGCCTGAAACGAGAGACCCGCTCGCTGCTAGGCCGGAAGGGACTTGTACTAGGATGCCGGGTAACATGGCGGCGGCAGCTAAACCATGGCCAAGCCGACTGTAGAGATTGCCCATGATACCGATAGCGAAGGCACCCAGGCAGTTGGCTATCTGCAGATTGTGCGGAAACACTTTGCTTGTAAAGAAGTTCACCAGATACCCGATGAACGAGAAGAGCGTCATGACGGGCATCTGTTTGAACTTCGCCTGGTTGATAGCCGTGAGGCAGATGGTGAATGCGATCACCGCTGGGAAATTATATACGTATTCGTTTCGACCATGTCCGATGGGACAGGTATATGCCGAGCTGGCGTTGTGGTCGATTTTGCCGTAGAAGGTAGTACCAAGCATCATCCCAAACCCTAGAACGAGGGAGTATATAATTGCGTAGACGAGGCGGACTGAGCCTGCGAGGATGTTCTGTGATTGCAGCTCGAGACTGCTGCAGAGGACCATGAAGCCCGGTAGGATGAGGGCGATGGAAGACTGGGCAAGCGCTGGAAAACAGAAGAGACGCTCATTATTCGGGCCAGAGACGATGCTGCCGAACACACGAGAGAGGAAGGAGAGGAGCAGAGCGGCAGTGAGTTCGAAGATGTTGGCATATAGACGAGAGCGTGGGACAGCGATATATTTGAGTATGCCGAGCAGACAGCCTAAGCCAAATGATATAGGGAGATCGATCACACGGCCGGTAAACGCGAAGGGGCCCACGGCAGCACTGGCAAGTCCAAATAGAAGTATCAATGTCGGGACGTTGTATCGCGGTTTCTCAGCTTTGACTTCTTCGAGGAGCTGCATTGCCTCCTCGACGCCAATCATATCGTGTACCACATCCTTGTATATCTGATGAACGTCCTGCAGCTTCCCTAGATCCACGCCTTGCTCGCAACGTTGCAGTTTCAAGCTGGTAGTATGCGTTGACGAATCGTTAAATGATACGAACATGCAGCCCGGAAGATATAGGAACTGGGCGTCAAGCTCCAACACACGAGAGGTCATTCGTAGCGCCTCCTCCAGCCGATGTGTTGGTGCACCATAGGCCATCAGGGCATCGCATAGCTTCTCAAGGTACCGTTGCCGAGAGATCGTTTCCGCAATGTGAACTGTAAGGCGAATTTCATCTTCTAGGCGTGGCCTGTTACGGATTTTCTTCACTGCATTAAGCATTAGACCACTGCTTCGGGATCGTTTGAGCTCTGGCCGTCCGGCGGTTCCAGACCCTCCACCTTCTCCAGTCAATGTAGCTTCTGAGCCGAGAGTGTGCAGTGATAGCATAGAAGGATTCTTGTTCTTCTCATACCACTTCGGGCGAGGCGTGGTTCGTCCTGGCGTTGTCTTTCCTGAACCAGGGCCACTAGGGGGTGTCAACAAAGGAGGAGTGGCTCCTTGAGGTGTAGGCATTTGCTGCTGGGGTGCGCGATTCCCAGAAGGGTCTTGGAGCTGACCAAGCCTAAGAATATCCGTCAGGATGCTCCGCCCAGATGGTCCATGAGGGGACTCGGCACCGCCTGACGATTGAGTATCAATAGAATAAGGCCTCCTGCTCTTGTTTTCTGTTCTGGCACGAATGTTATTCACGATGTCATTCGCTTCTTCCGCACGTAACGTGAACCGTCGCGACCGGTCGTTTTCATGATCAATTGCGGCCTTGGGTTCTGACCTAGATCGTCCGATGGACATTGATGTGTGCCGTCGTTCATGATGGGGTAGGCCTAGATCGTGCGACAACGACTCCTCGTCCGATCTCCGGCGGCGATGAAAGTATGACGCCCTTCGAACCTGCGAAGCTAGATTTTGCGCCTTCTCATATGCTGATTGAATGGCTCTGTTTTTAGTCTTGGACGATTCATCATCCGTCGACTGAGTGAGTGGCTGGGATGTTAATATCGGGGCTGGAGTTCTCTGGGGCCCACTGAGGGGAGAATCAGGAGGTGTTGCTGCTGGGGAGGATTGTGCTGAATATTGACCTGGATTGGAGTATAGGGGAATGAAGTCGGAAGATTTAAAGGTAGGGAGGGAAGGCCGGTGGACGAAGGCAGGGATCTGAGGTTCGGAAGCATAATAGTTCTCTGAATCATCCCTAAGAGGAATATCTTCTACACTCGAGTCGGATCCCTCTGGGCCAAGAGTGAATTGGACCCTGTTGGAAGGACGTCCTCTGGTGTCACTGACATCACTTGTATTGCTCATGTCTCTGACATGGATTGCCGGACCGAGTCGAGGGGAGTTAATCGGCGTCTGGCCTTGTGATGGCGGCTGCGAATTAGGGGTAACATGATTTCTCGAGGTAAAAGGGCTGTTGCGGGAGCGTGACGACTGGCGAGGCCAGTCCGCCATAATCAAATCAACCGCGACTAATATGAAAATGTGGCACAATTGAGGGATTATAAAAATCTCAACGAACAAACTGAATGTTAACAATAAGCAACAAAAATGCAAAGGTCAAACAAAGAGATTAGGGTATATAAAACGAATTGTGTGATGAAGAAATAATATAAAGGGGAGAAAGAAGAAAAAGCTGATCAGTATATATCCTCTCCTATCATCTAGTCACCGCCATCATCGTTCTAGACGGTGTTCTACGTACCCGTTCGCCACACCCGTAGTAGGAGCTCTGCATCAGCTGGACAAACGGGCTTGCAGCTCAGGGTTAAAAAAAGAAAGAAAGGCCGTGGTATCAGTGGGGCCGCGCAGGGAAAAACGCAGCCGAAAAGTGGACTGCCAGGAGTACCAAGCAGCACTGCGTTAGATAAAGATTGTTCTGTATGCCCAAGCAGATAAGGTCAAACGCGGTCGAGCCGGTCCAGTCATGCGGCCGATAAAGGCCAAGCTTGGGATGTTTGTATCAGAGCCTGCGTATAGTCCACGTGTATTGGTCTGCATTCGATGGAACTAGATGAAGCTCCGCCCCTGTGGTCTCAGGATCTGAGATCATAATATGATTATTAACAGTGCCTGAGGAGCAAATGCCGGGAAGATGGTATGATGGTGGCCTGGGTCGAGGGGCATGAAAACTCGTTCATTCCAGATGGCAAATTCCTGCGACGCCTGTTCCAGGGCGAATGATGCAAGGTAGAAAATGGAACTCCGTTCGGAGAAAGAACGAAAACAAGCCAGGAGCAAGAAAAAAAAACCATATAGCTATCGGTTCCACCGAGGCAGAAACCTGATCCACCATTGCTAGTGTTGATGCCCAAGCTCTTCCCGGCTCTAGATCGGTGTTATCTCTCGCGCTGCGCTGATAGAGCAGGCCCAGCATATACAGAATATAGCTGAAGCATATCTATGTGCGGTGGCAAGGCGGCCAGAGGGTCTGACTTTCGGCAGTTCAGGCGAAGATTAGCCTGCATCTACGGATCCACGGGTTCCATTGTGTAGATCTGGACCTGGGCTGCTGGGATCGTAGTTTGTCAGGACATCCCTATTGCAGTTCCGTCTCCCTATATGCGTCCAATGGTAATCACCCCTTTATCAACGGCGTGCATTGGCAGGGGTGGAGAGGTGAGATCAGGAGCTAGCGGTGGATGAAGGTGAAGATGAAGATGGAAGTTGGAGTCGCGAAGTTGAAGTTCCAAACAAGCGACGCATGGAAGAACTTACTTAAGCGCGCAGTTCTAGAAAGCTTGGCAGGGCTATGACGTAAGCACGACAAACGGCGTTCCCTTCTTCTGGTCAAGCATATATGTATCTCGCCTGTAGCTCGCCTGTATACGACGACACCAGGGCCATGGATGGCGGGATGGTACATAGATGAGTAGTATGCACATGCAGCCCGCCTATGCTCGTATACTGCAACGCTTCCCCCAGGACCAAGGGACCGGAAGCAGAACACAACATCCGTCGACCACATGGATTCAACTCTGTACAACGCAACGACGGCGAGGACGGATACACGCTGCCACTTAGATGATGTTGACGTCTTAACGGCTGGTCGAGATCTGAACTGATATACGCAATTCAACATATTGCCATTTGATTTTCTTTTCTTTAATTCATTAGAAACAAATTTCATCTCATCCAAGCTGCTCCTGCCATACCATACCATCAGACCATCCTGCCTGCTTAGCTTTTGGTCAACTCTCTGCCGACAAAAGAAAGCAATTCACTCGGTAAACTGAGCTTAAAGGAATGTACGAGCAAGACATCAACTCGCTCAAAGTCGCACACGGATACACAAGATACACACACACACACACACACAAAAAAGGCAGGGGGTATGGGAACAGGTAGGTAGGCGTACAGGAGCATAAAAGCATAAAGAATGCACGAAACGAAGATAGTAAGACGGAAAAATCCCATTTAAAAGCAAGAGCAGATATCAAGTACCAGTAGTGGTAGAAGTAACGAAACCATAACGGCTAAGGAACCACGGGCCCTAAAAAAAAGAACAAACGAACGAACAATCACATCCATCATCATGCTGCCTGTATGTATCAGTCTCAACACCATCTTCCAGGGCTCAGAGAACTACATGACAGGGCTCTTCCTCTTCTCCGCGTTCGACAGAATCATCATCGGCATCTTCCTACGTCCAGCGTCAAGTTCTCCCATTCCATTGCCGTTACCGCTAGCGCTTTGCTTTCTCTCAGACCCGATTGCTCCATTGGCAGCGGCACGCAAGCTTCCTAGGCTCCGTCTGCCGGATAGAGAGGAACTACTATCCGCGTCACCGTCGGATGGAGAAAAGGTGAAGTCACCATCACCATCGTGCTCGTTACCATGCTCACTAGAGGGAGTCACGCTACCACCTGTGCTAGCTTGCGAGTTACCGTTAGAGGTAGAGGTGGAGGTGTTCCGCTCTAGCCTAGCACGGACAAGACTGTGGACTGCCCTCCGGCGCTGGCGGGTAGCGAAGTTCTTGCTTCCCTCGTGCTTGGTCGTGGGCTTGGCAACGAGCTCCTCGAGTGGTGGAGGTCCACGGGGCTGGCGGATTGCGTGTTCACCAGCGCGGGCTTGGCCGGGGCCAAAAGTGCCAGGTCCAGCGGAAGCAGGAGTTTGTGGGAACATCGCTGACTTTGGCGTGGATGAGCCCGTGCCGCTAGAGCGGGTAGTCTCATTGATCAGCTTGACGGCCAATGAAAGGGATTTCTTGTGGTCACGTTTGAGGCCAGGGGCAGGAGATTGAAGAGGGGGTGATTGACGGGCGGAGTGCTGGGCTTGGAATTGAGATTGGGCCTCGCGTGGAGGCGTGGGATTCCGGGTTGACGGGGTTGACGAGAGATGACGGATGGGAGACTGGCGGGACTCCGTTGGGGGAGGTGAAACACGAGCGGAAGAACGGAACATCGAATGCGTGTTTCCGTTAGCGTTGCCGTTCGAGTTGCCATTGGTGTGTCCGTGGAAATTATTGTTACTGTTCGTGTGGGACTCAACAGGGGAGCGAAGCTGGTCTTCGTAGCCTGTGGCAGTTGGTGCCGCAGACAACGGCACATCATCGTATACACTGTTATCGACGACGAAGCTCTGCTGTCCCGTCATTGGATTGTACACTGAAAACACGCCAGGTTTTCCTGGTACGGGCTGAACGACGGGCTGCATCCCGTGTTGGGCCTGTTGCTGGTAGAATCCCATGTTAGGCAACGGGGAGAATATTTGCTGTTGCTGTTGCTGCTGCTGTTGTTGCTGCTGCTGCTGGTGCTGATGGAGCGCTTGTGCATGTGAGGAATGCATTGGGTTGCCAAGGTGGAGTGCTTGGAACTGCTGTGCGGCAGCCGTCACGCTGGCAAGCTGTTGCTGTAGGCGCTGCTGCTGGGCGGCAAGATACAAGTTCGTAGAGACTAGCTCTGCGTACAGGGACTCGTCCATGGGCTCGCCAGTTTCCTCGAGGATGTGGTCGAGGGTAGGTGGGGCAAGGACATGCTCAGGCAAAGAGTACATCTGCCCATAAGTCTGGGCGGTGCTTCCACTGCTGTACGACTTTGCATGATTGAAGGAAACGCCCGTGGCCGTCTGAGGGACACCACCCATGTACGCATTAGAGTGACCACCGTAATTCTGCATCCCGCCGAACCCATTCTGGTGATGGTGCTCCTGCATTAATGGGGCAGTGGAGGGGGTGGTAGGCTGCTTGGGTGCAGTCCTCAGCCCAGCAAGAAGGTGAGAGCGGCTGGTGCGCGGGGTCGAGATGGAACCATGAAGGTCATCCCACTGGTCAAGTTTGGAAGGATGCGGAACGCTGAGACGCTTGATGTGCGAGCCTTTGCCGCGAGAAGCAAATCCAGATCCCGGAACGCCGAGGGAAGGAGTGTTAAGCGACATGTTGTTGTTGTAAGTCATTTGAGCAAGACCTCCAGTGTCCATGCTCGTAGTCATCAAAGTATGAGGGAAAAGATCAGATCCAGTATTTTTTAAGTCGTATATGCACCAGGTCCTTGCTAGAGATCGATCAAGCGATAGGTGGTGGTATGAAGAAATTAGACCGAGAATTAAGTAACGAAAGGTGTCGGATATTAGATCCGACGGGTCGAAGAGTCGAAGGTAGTGATCAGAATTAGACGATTAAGGTGTATGTAGTGAAGGTCCGTTACGAGTGATCGGCTAGGACTCGTCAGTGAGTGTGAAGATGGGCAGGATAGGAAGGAAAGCGCCTACCAAAGCCAAGAAAGAAAAGGAATAGACGAGAGCAATGGGCCAAATTAGAAAATGTACAGATGAAGTAACGCAGTCGTGATACGGGGAAGTTAATGTGTGTCACAAGAGGACGAATATTTGAAATCGTGAAGGCGAGGATGCTCTGCAAGCTCGCGGTGAGTTTTGAATGAAGGCTGAAGCTGAAGATATGGACGTGCACTGAGGAGGCACGGAGGAAGGCCAAATAAACGCAGGTACAAAGATGCAATGCAAAAACGGAGCAAGGAAGACGAAGTTCCAGACGCGTGAGTTTCGACCGACGGACGATCAAGATGGAAATAGTCGAGTGGAGGAGGGGGAGGTGACTTTCGATATAACGATGGAATATGTGGGATATACGGTGGTTGGTGGAGAGCTAACGTTTGATGGATGGCGATGTTGGCGAGGTTCGAGAATAAACGGCGGACGAAAAAGAAATATCAACCAAAACCAAGGCTAACGTAGCGATTTCTAGGGTCTTCGAAAACGGTTCAACGGTGCGCGATATCTGCCGGGTCCAAGAAAGGCCCGGGGAGAGGCCTGTTTGACGGGTGGTGGGCGAGTCGGCACGCACACGGCAGCGGTTGTAGTCGCGGGCGTGGCGGTCGTTATAGCGTGGTCGTCCGGCTAGCAGAGCAGCGATAATGAACGAAGAGAAGTCGAGGAACGCAGAGATAGAGAGATAGAGAGAGAGCGAGAGAGCGAGAGAGGAAGAGAGAGAAGAGAAAAGAACAAGAAGCGAGGATGGGGATGGAGATGTGAGGATGGGATGGGATGGCGAGCTGTGGAGGAAGAGGAAGAGGAAGAAGGAGAAGGAGAAGAAAGACGGAAGAAGGACGAGAGAGAGGTCGGCTCGAAAGGGGAAAAGGAAAGAGACGCGCGCTAAGCTGCTTTGGGACTAGCGAGCGCCAGCGATCGCGGCTTAGCGCCGAGGTTAGGACCAATCAGGGTGGCTTATGTAAGACCCGAGGATATACCTAGGATATATATAGCATAGGATGAAGATGGAAGAGAGATGAAGATGGAAGATACATGATAGATAGAAGAGATAGATGATAGGTGATAGATGATAGATGATAGATATGGAGGTAGGATAGATGGTGGTAGAGATGAGAGAGAAGAGGATGTGACGAGAGATGTGATGAGAGGATGAGAGGCAGCTACAACTAGGCGCCGAGGTGCACGCTTATACAGATTGCATGACACGATGTTTATAGATGTTTACATGGATAGATGTTTACATGGCTGAGTCTATCCTTGGATGACAGTACTTGTAGGTGTTCATTCTTGCATAGTATACACCATACATACTCGATATACAGGACAATAGCAGAAGATAGTAGAACGAAGAACAGGGTATGCAGCCACCATGACTCCCACCGTAAGCGCCAGGCCAAATAAATAAGAAGAAAACAAGATTAAACGCGTACTCCAAGGCAGATAAACAGCCATATGCAAGGTGGCGTCGATATCAGACAGCCACATGACCAGCTTCACCAACAGCATGGTCTATCCCAGTCGCGGACTCCAGCCTGTTTCCATTTCCATTTCCATTCCCACCCCCATTGTCGTTGCCGTTGCCGTTGTCGTTGCCGCTGCCATTACGACTAGCACTGCGACTGCCAGTGCCATTTCCCGACGTCTCTGCTTCCGTCTCGCCTCCAGCCATCAGCTGTCTGACAGCACCTGGCCCGGGCCCGGATCTTTTCTCGTTAGCCCTATCAAATTCCAGCGCGTCCGCTAGTTCGCTGCTCATCGGATCTAGCTCGTCCTCTGCCAGACCGGTGGCCAGCGAGACCAGTTTCCTATGCACGTCTAGCTTGGTGCTGACGCCTGCGTCCGCTCGTTGACGGATCAGTTGGGCCACGGCGTCGGAGCGGTCTAGCTGTGCTTGAGCCAGTTCGTTTGCAAGCGTATATAGTTCTACCATCTGTTCGGGGGCGAGTTCGCGGTCAGGGTCCGAGTTACCCGCGTCATCATTCAGGCCATTCGATTCATATAAAGCGGTAAGTTCCAGGTCGTGTTTCTGGTTAAGTAACGACTCGTACTTTGATTTTATCTCATTGAACCGTACGAGTTGGGCGTCGAGATCTTCGCTTTCGGCTTCCTTGGCCAGCAATGCTTCCGTTTGGGCGCGGATATTCGCCCTATCGGATTCTAATTGCTCATATAGGCCCTTGGGGTTGGTCATGTCTTCTGCACTGCCACTGCTGCTATGCGGAGGTGTTTTAGCCTCTCCGTACGCGCGAGCAAGTCGTCTGTTGGCTTCGGCCATTATGGACCCGATTCGGACAAGTAGCGCGTTAGTAGCTTCAGTTGCGACTGCAGATCCGGTGTAGTTGGCTGTGGGCGTTGTAACAGCATACTCGCCCTCGCCATCGATGTCTTGAGCATATGTCACGGACGATGGGGGAGGAGGGTTCTCCTTACGCCGCCTATACAGGGCCATCAACACCTCGTTGGCTGTCTCGTGGTGTCTGTTTTGTAGATCGCCAGCCTCGGGACACTGGGCTAGCAGTGTAGTCGCTAGCCTATAGCATCCGTTCTTTGCTGCAGTCAGTGCTGCCGTATCACCGTTTGCATCCTGCGATGATAAAAGTAACGATATCTCATGTCTCGGAAAGACTTGGGCTAGCTTATCCATCAGCGTTTGGCAGTAGTACCGAGAACTCTTCCATTTCCCTTTACTCCGTGTCGTAGCAGCAAGATGGTTGAAGACCGTTGCGCCAAACCAGTCGCGGAATGTAAGTGTGCTCTGTAATAGGTCTGCCAGCTCTGCCATCGTACGTTTCTCATAGTTATTCGTGAACAAGACCGCTCGGACAAGCGGTGTTTCGTCATGGTTGGACCGCACGCGCACATCTGCACCACGATTGATCAGATCCTTGACGATGTCGAGGTCCCCCATCGCGCAGGCCCAGTGAAGGGCGGTGTTGCCCTGGTCATCGATCGGCCGGTCGACTTGGAAGTGCGCGGGCGGCATCGGCGGGAGGACTCGAGATGCACTCGGATCATCGCCAACGGTCATGAAGTAGTCTAGTAGCTGGTCACCATAGAGGATGTGATTTTGCTCGATAATGCCCATGGAGACATCGTTGACCCCACGCTTGCGTTTGCGAGACTGTGTTGATTCGGGAGACATGTGAGCCAGGTCATCGTCCGCCATGATGGAAGAAGTCTCGGGGCTTCCCTGCATTATGGACGAATTTTCATTGAACGACTGGTTGATATTGTACTGTTCCTGGCTGAAGCTGCCTCCAACAGCTGCCGGCGCAACCGGTGCAGCAGGCTGTACGGGCGTCATGCGCTGGTTGACCGTGGTAAACGAGCCGCGGGCAGACCCGGCGGGTGCTCTACGGCCTGCACCAGCACCCTTTTGCGCGCGTGGCTTGGATGCAGCGGTGGTGTGTTTCGGCGCTGGCGGAGGGCTGGCATCGCCGGTCATGAAGTCGAAGAGCGGCCGTAGCTTGTCGAGGACGTTGTTCTTGTCCGCCAGCGCTCGAGCTTCTGCAAGAGGTATCCATGTTCCTGGTAATGTCAGTAGAGACCTTGAGTCGAATGGTGTCTCGATGATGTAGGCCGGTACCTTGATATTTGCCGTATCCTCCCTGGATCTTCTCGTGTACACCACGCTGGACCTCGCGCTCCAGGATCCGAGTCCTCGACGGCTTGTCCAGTCCGGCAATCTTCAAGATATGGGTCGCATTAACCCAATCATCGACCCGCCGCCGCATCACATTCTCGGCACCCAGCTTGTATTCGTAGACCGGGACCTATAACCGCGGTGTTAGTTTATACCGAAATGGAAAGGAGGACGGAAAGGAAGAACTGACATTGCTATATGTCGCCGAGTAGATGCGTCCTTCATCAGGTGCCGTAGCAGCCATCTTAGCCGTCCCTACCTCTGTATCAGACGAAAAAAAACAAGTCTAGATAGAAAGGTGAGATGTATCAGACGGCGCAAGCTGCTTCACGTCACAGACCCCAGCAGGAGGCGTAGATTTAGTGCTGGCAGTCTTCGGTCCGCCTGTCTGTGTACTAATAATGATAGACAGTACCTCTTGTCCTTAGCATGCTGCAAGTACGCGAAGAGCTCCCAGTAGATCGCTGCACCATTCCTCTCAGCTCGTTTATTAAATTTAATTTAAATGCCGGCGCGTGAGTTGAAGCCTTCGAGCAAAAAGACGCGACCCTGCGAGAAGTTCCAGAAGTGTGGCCGGAACAACCTTTGGCCGCGTTGAACAACCAAAGGACGAAGACGAAGACGAAGAGAGAAGAGAGAAGAGACACCACGGCATGATCCATTCGCCCTCCCGCCTCGAGGAAGACACACAGTACAGCAGAGAACCATGACGGCCGCAGAGTCAGCCAAGTGTGAGTTTTTACGGCCCAATTGGGTGGGAGAGGAAGGACGACGACGACGACGACGGTGATGATGATTGACTGACGAGGACGCAGTGGCTACGCGGGAGGAGATGTCCAACGCCCGTCTACCGATCCCTTACAGAGACAGCTGCGCGCATCTGTTGATACCGTTGAACCGATGTAGATACGAGGAGTACTATCTCCCATGGAAGTGCGAGGTACTACTTTTCTCTCTCCCCCAATTGACCAGTAGAACTGTCGAACAGACTAATGATAATGACTGTCCAGAACGAACGACACACCTACGAGAAATGCCAGTACGTGGAGTTTAAGAAGCGAGTCGCAAAGATGGACGAGCTGCGGGCGGCCAGGGATGGTGCACGCAGCAACTAGAGCAGTCGGATACGCCTTGAGTTGAGCCAGCTCTGTACGATCATATAGAACAGACAGACGGAACGATGGAGGAGCAATGGGAGGTGGCACACGAATGAATACCTATCATACTCGGGCAGAGCAGGCTGGACAGACGACGCAGACAGAAGCTACTGTATATAGACGAAGGGAGCCATACCATCAATATCAGCCATCCGTCAGACCAACATGAAGAAGTCATCATTCCTGTCTCCTACCCAGATAGCCTCACACCATGCCGCTCCATGGCCTGAAGTTAACTCTTCCCTGCGTAACGCTATGCAAGCTATGCTAATTAAAGCAGGGCTGAAGATGCTGATAAATCAGGCCAATCTCCGGGCTTACGGCTCATACGCAAGACGACAACGGCCTCACGGTTCCTAGAGGCCGAAACTTCTGCAGCAGCTGGAATCAATCGACCTATTTGTAATCATATATGGCCATCCTTGCTTCGTGTGCTAGCGGGACTGGGAGCGGATAATTCGATTGCGTGGAGAGAGAAACAGCTGAGGAAGACCTGGCCAGTCGATGCTGCTCACCCCGGATCGTGTTCTATGCATACGATGCATGGAGGGTGTTCGCAGCCCTTGTCGAGTCCCTGTATAGACGTAGCACGCAATCTCTGATATACACACTTGATGCTCAGATATCAGACATATCAGAGGCAGAAGATGGTGAAGATGGTGAATATGATGAAGACGGTACGAAAGCATCTTACCATCACTGATATCCGTATGTATAGGTCTCTCTCTGTACTTTGACATCCAGGAGTTCAGCCCGGCGAAGGTTCGTCCGCGCCGACTGGGATGAAGAGGTCAAAATATTCATCCCACCATCCCTCTATCAAGGCCTGCAGGCAGGAGTCGAGATATAAAAGCGCCCGACGTCTCTCTGGCCGCTCCATCTCCTCCTCGTATCCCATCCTTCCTCTGCTCGTCTCTTCCTTTTCTTCCCCCCGCGATCTTGCTCCGAGCAAATAACCCCGCTTATTAATCCATTCGGCAAAAAAGAAAGATTTCGAGCGCGGAGGAAGTATAAGTTCGGCCGCCGGAGCAACAGAGATACTTTATATATAAATTTATGATACGCCCTATGTCAGACTGAATTCCTTGTTATACGTCCCGCACTCGCGCCGCCGTGTATCCTCTCTAAGCGTCGTGGTTGAGTTATATCGCTTGCTTCTGACGCCATGGGCTTACTGTACGATCACCCTCCGTCCATCTTCCGTCTGCAACTCAGGATGATCTGCTAATTGAGAATCGGACTGGCAGGGCGCTTGGCACACCGCTGGCATGGCCAGAAGCAAAGAAAAGTGCTAATCAAGTGAGGGAATGGGGAATCGAGGTACACACAGTCTATCTCTGCCACGGCTCTGCGTTGCACTTTTACTAGTCAACTGGAGGCCGGTTCCTGGCCTGCAGCCTCGGTCTGATGTTTACCTGTTCTCGAATAGCAATTGCTCGCCATATGGAAGAAAGCGCGGGGAAAGGAGCGGGATGCGTTGCTGTGGGGTGACGAGGTAGGATAGCCATGAAAACATGGTATGGCATATGCTAATACATATGGTTTACAAAGGTCGAGTACCTCGTTGTTGCAGTCGATGATAAAGACGAAAAAGTGCGCCTCTCTCTATGCCAGGCTGAAATCCTGAAAGCTCTTGCACAGGATGTGGAGTTCTCGAAGCAAGCAGCCACCAACGGCAATGGATCGGAGGAGTAGGACTCTCTCTCACCCACTCTCTCTCTTGAAGGATACTTGGCTGATATTCCGACTTGTAACAGAAAGGAACCTCTTCCAACGTTTCATCCCGAATTCGGTCGGTTCATGCTCGAAGCCACGCCTGGGAAACCATGGGGAATCGGCTTCAAGGACCTCCTCAAAGTAGAGTCCAACATGAGATGGAGGTACGACGATAGATCTCGTTTATTATTTTCGTTATCTATGGCTAACTTAATTCTACTAGACGAGTTACAGCCAAAAACCACATGGCAGCAAACGAATATCCCATCACCCTCACGACATTCCCCCGTCTAGGCTGTAGTGACGACTTTACCACGCCCACATACCCGCTATCAGGCCCTGCCCTGCGGTCACAGTTCGTCCCTGACGAGATAGCAAACCCGCACATCCGATTCCCAACTCTAGCTGCGAACATCCGCTCGCGCAGAGGGAGGAAGGTAGAGCTGAACGTGCCGGTATTTAGGGATACCAACACTCCATGGCCGTTCAAGGACCCCACTGTCAACTATGATATGCACAATTGGCCAGAGGACGATGATGTACGGAACGGCGCTGCGAAAGAGGGTCATGTATACATGGACGCCATGGCTTTCGGCATGGGAAGCTGTTGTCTACAGATTACTTTCCAGAGCAAGAATATTACTGAAGGAAGGAAGTTATATGACCAGCTAAGCCCGCTGGGACCAATAATGCTGGCGTTGACCGGGTCAACCCCGATATATAAGGGATTTCTAGTCGACACGGATGTCAGATGGAATCAGATTGGCAATGCAGTTGATTGCAGGACACGAGAAGAGCTGGGAGAAGTGGTGAGTTCATCTAACCCCTAATATTTCTTGAGTAAAAGGCCTAACATATATAAAATAGCCTCTGAAGAATGATCGATGGCGCATTCCAAAGTCGAGATATGCTTCAAACTCAACATATATATCCCAGGACCCTCACCTACGACCGGAATACATGGACCCTGATCTTGTCATCGATGAGGATATCAAGAAAAAACTGATGGATGGCGGCATGGATGACCTACTGGCAACTCACTTCGCCCATCTATTCATCCGTGACCCCATCGTTATCTTTAATGAAGACCTCCAGGAACTCGATCTCACCAAGACAGATCACTTCGAGAATCTCCAGTCCACAAACTGGCAACATATCCGTTTCAAGCCCCCGCCTGCAGATAACGATATAGGCTGGCGTGTCGAGTTCCGCCCCATGGAGATCCAAATCACTGACTTGGAAAACGCCGCATTCAGCGTCTTCATGGTCCTCATCACCCGCGCTATTCTCAGCTTTGATCTAAACTTCTACATCCCCATTCCCAGAACAACAGAAAACATGGAAACAGCACACGCACGGAACGCCGTGTTGGACGAAAAGTTCTATTTCCGCAAGGATCCTTTCCCCCATCGCCTTCCTCGATCTCAGCGCCATCAGCAATCCCGTCCTTCCTCTCCACCTAGCTCTAACCCGCCTTCTCCGCCACCTTCCACTACCCCTTCTTCCCCTCTCCTTCTCCCCATTGAGTCCGAATATACCCTTATGAGCATCAATGACATCATCAATGGATCTCCTAACGGGTTCCCCGGCCTCATTCCTCTCGTGGAGTCATATCTCGACAGCTTAAATGTCGATGTCGAGACGCGTTGTGCGCTAGCGAAATACCTCGACCTCATTCGTCGTCGTGCAGATGGCTCTCTGTGGACAAATGCAAAATGGATTAGAGAGTTCGTCGCTAATCACCCGGATTATAAACATGATAGCGTTGTGTCGGCGAAGATTAACTATGATCTTGTCAAAGCTGTGGAAGAGATTACATGCAAGGAGGGGAAAGATGGAAGTATTGGTTGGGAAATGTTTAGTGCGAAGAAGCCTTGACCCTCTTGATATTTTTGATTTAATGTTTGGTGAGAGAGAGGGTGTTGGATTTTAGTCCGGCCAGTTTAACATGGCTGCGTTCAGTATAACCCTCCCTCTCCAATTTAAAATAGATAGTTACGACCACGTCAGTGTATATAGAATAATTTACATGTTTATGTTCCTTAACTGCCTGCTGTTATAGCCCTTGTCATTGGAAGTAGTATTCGATGTACAGATACCGGTTTCCTACCAATCATGCCGGATATGTACGTAGCTACATTTTTGACTATGCAATTAGTTACTAGGCGGCAAGATAGTAAAAGGCTATATAGACCTTTGAGAGACTAGAAGTGAATTTCCCGCAATCATATAAGTATCCGAAGAGATCAAAAAGAAACTGATAAGCAATTGCAGTAAATAAACTAAAGGTGAAAATTTGGTCATATCTCATAACTGGCTCCTTATTTTGTGACTTTTTTTTGGCTTTTGGCCGCCGCGATTGTTCCGTAGTTCTCAGTCAGGTTTCGAATCGTTGCCTCGACTAAGTTGTGTAGGGTTGTGACGCCGGATCGGGGAGAAAAAAGTAGAGTAGAGAGGAGTGAAGGGATGGAAAACGCGAAGCTAAGGAGTAGAGAAACAAATAATTGAGCACTTTCGGTTAGCAAAGCTGCCAGAAAGTTGGTGCGAAAGCTCAAAGTTTAGTTCACATTCACGGACGGTTCCAGATCTCCCTCGCGAGCTCTCCACTTCTCCTAAAGCCAAGACTCGAGCTGCTACTACGGCGTCGTCGTGTGCGATTAGCATTTGGGTCGGTGGGATACAAACCGCTGGCTCTTGCATAGAGGTTAAGTATGTCAGTCAAGCTTACCACCCCGACAAGGCGGCCAGATAAACTAGCCCCCGGAAGTGCCGAGGCCGGAATTGACGTAGATATGGATGCAGTGAATGTGGGAGGGGAAGAACTGAAGGAGTAAGACGCCGAAGATGCTGTTTTTGGGTGTTGGAAGGGCGAAATGGGATTGGTGGTTAGACGAGTATTCCCGTTTTGATGCGTGTTATTGCCATGGATGCCAGGGGCAAAGTTGGCAGATGAGGGTGAAGGTAGCTGAGCGCCTGTACTACCAACGGCCGGTCCGGCTATGCTGCTAGACTGATTGGATGATCCAAGCTGGACATTGGCTGATGAATGTGACGGGGTAGAGGGCGCAGATGATGCAGGTGAGTGAGGATCAGTAACCCACATTCTAAACATTAGGAGTTAATTCTGCAATATCCATGCTATTCTCAATAGAAATTACATACCTGTGAGACCGAGTTGCAACAAGCTTAGCAACAGTATGGGCTAGGGTAGATTGTGGGTTGATATGGAAGACTGGGAATGAATCTTGCCCCTCAATTATGCCCCGGGTTGATAGGATAACGGAGATGAAGTGGATGCATGTATTATGAAGCAGTGGAAGTGATGTGGATTTCGTCAATAACTAGATTTGGTAACGTTATTAATTTTGACCTGTATCAGGATGCAAGTATGAAGCACTAACCTTAACATCAACCACAGATATATTGCCAACAACATTCCACTGATTATCAACCACGGCAAGGGAGGAGACGCCCTCGTTATTCATCAGTTCTAATGCATGGCAGAGTGGCCGGTCCCCACTAGATTCGATTGGTTAGCTCATCGGTTCATTCCCGAAGATGAGGTTTGCTCTGCAAATGGAGGAGAGGGATATACTAACTTAATTGATATCACGCAGTGAGATCCCAGCCGTAGCTCTCGTAGATGCTGAGGATAGAGTTGTTCAATAACTGGAAAGCTGCGCCCGTTCTCCCACAGGAACTTGACCAGTTTCCATTGAGTGAATACTCCAATTATCTCGGTAGTGCCCTCTTTCACAACAATAATGCGATGGACACCCCCTCCAAACGTTTCCACAGCCGTCATCAAATTGGTCGACTCTGGCAGGGTGGTGAGGGGTTCTTGCATTCCAAGGCCTTTCACATCCTTGAGGGGGATCTTCTCTCCTTCTCTGGCTCTCCTGGCCAACTCACGTAGAGATGCAACTTGTTCTTCTTCGCTTGGCTGTATCAAGCCCACCACAAGGAGGAGGTATGCATTGAGATCGGCATAACCAAATGTGCCAACAGCAGTTGAAGAACCCGGTGACTCCCGAATCAGTAGGGAATGAGCACTGGAATCGATGAGAAGCTACATATATCAGACAAATTAGTTCAGCCGGATTTCTAATGATGGGGCGGGCATGACTATACATTTGTAGCATCTTCGATTGCTGTATCTGCGTCCACGAATTTTAGATCCACCGGTTGTACCAATTCACCAATTGAAATCTGAGTCCAATCTCGGCCGGAGAACGCCGGATCAGCAGCCGCATGCGACGGCGGATTATCTATCAGGCTCTGAACTGCGGCTTGTGTGAATGAGGGCTGCCGGCGGGCTCGTGGCGAGGATGGAACGCCTCGAAGAGATTCACCGAGACTCTGGCGATGGGATAATTTGGCAGGCGTCGCGTTAGATGGCGGGTCCCGACGCAGAGACGAGCTTCGAGAGGACGATGACCGTGAATCTGAGCTCAATCGAGGCGAGCCCAGAGGTTCTTGACCTGCTTCCCCCGTCGCCGGTTGGGTGTTCTTGTCGCTCATTTTGAGCTCATCCGGGTGTTTGAGAGCGGCGCCAGGAGGAGTAGTTTTGACAGGGAATACTCGGGTAAACGGCAGAAACTCCTATGAGCGTTGGATATTGCAGATAATCCCAATCTAGACAATGCCAGACGCCTTCGACAAGGAATTAATTCGGTGGGCAGGTTGGAAATCAACAAGGGAGTTCGCTAGGTTTATGGGGGTTGATAGGTGGTGGGGCGCGGATGTAGTCATATCCCTCGCACTAGATGCGCATCAGGCTGTATTCCCAAGCGATGGTACGGGCAAACAGAGTGTCTCGACAGTATAGATCTGATATGGCCACCGTGAGAACTACATTCAGCAGCCAGACACGGATAGAATGTTATCTACTAAGTTAACAATTCACCGAGTAAACCTTAGGGGCAAGGAGGCAAAACGGTCGAACAGTTGAGTCACGTGATTATTATATAGAGGAGGTTGAGGCTATAGAAGAAAATAATATAGAACGTGTTTAGTTCAATGACATACGACGAGTACGGAGTATAGGGAATCAAAATGGAATGGTGTATCAGGGTATACGCTACTGTCAACTTCTTACCTGTCGATCTGTTAGTCAGAAGCGGGAGTAGCAAAATGGGGAAACATACGTAAACTGTGCAAGGAGGCCATGCATATCCTCCCTACGGTTCTCTCTCAGGACAGGTTTAACTCGTTTGTCCGTTTTAGCTGCCTCTATAGCCACGTTGGAGTAATTCTTCCGCTTCCCTGGACCTGGACGACCCTGGCGTGTGGCTTTCCTCTTGAAAATGATTTCCTCTTGCTCGTCTAGAGGCTTTAGGTTCCGCCGGAAGAGAGAAAATTCCACCACGGGCGAGGCGTTGATCATCAAGGTATTATCTTGTGATTTTGGCTCTAACTCGCTACCCAGTTTCATTATAATCCTATAAAGACTACAGTCTGAAAAGTGGACTGTGTAAGACTCCCAGCCATGCTTCGCCGCCAGCTCTCTCGCTTCTTTGCGATAAAGCTTCGAGCAGCCTTGCATAATGAACGTGGTGAGTGATCTAAATGCATCAAGATAGGCAAAAATGTGCTCTGAGATCCCAGGCTGAAGCCGGAGAACTAAAATGCGAAGCTGTCCAAAGGCGCTACCTGCGAGTGCCATCTCACTCCAACCCCTGATGACGCGGTCCGATATCGTAGTGATAGGTTCATACTCAAACTCGGTCCGTCTTGGTTGTGATCGGATTTCTAGGGCAGTTAAATTGGTAACATTGGCGATATCAAGCAACTCATTAGGCTCAAAAAACTCGGCAGATACGCTCAAGACAGCCGCCCAGTCCAGGTTCTTAGAAGATATAAGTTTTAAGTAATCGCTAATTGGCATCTCCTTAGAACTTGGTTTCAATGAATAGCGATGAGCTACCTTGTTGAATTCCTTAGTGTAAGCTGCCGCAAAGATTTTCCACAAGTATAGACTTGTGCGTTTGCTAAATGAACGTATTAATGATGACCTTGAGATATAGGCTGATAAAAGTCATCTTACCTTCGACTCACACATTCCCAAAGATACTTCGCGGTCGACCAAGGGACATCTTCAAAGTGCAAAGGGGTCAGAGTGCGTTGGTCAGCCAAAACGGCCCTCATGGCCATATGTTTCAGGGAATGGGCGCCAGTCTGGCTATGTGCCTCCCATCCTTTGGGGAGTAAGGGAGATTCGTGAACCCATGAAGATCCTCTCAGTTTGGAGGCTGAAGGCGCGACTCGAATCACCTGCTCGGTATACACCTGGCCACTCTCTCTGTCATATTGCATGGTGGCTGGCTAGCTGATCGCGAATTATAACAAGCTGCGTCACATTCTTGATGTCCCTAGTTATAACCCATGATAACTTTTATCCTAAATAAACGCAGCAGCCGAGTACTAGACGGAGAGTTCAGGGTGAAGCCACTCTCATGTTTCTCTCAGCGTCGCATAATGGATATTTCGTAGTCGATAGGAGTTATCCAGAATATCAGAGTCACAGAGGTATGGCCATATAAAATACACGGTAATAGTGGTTTTAGTGAGGCTGGACAAAAGCAATTGGTATTTCAGCAGGCTGGTTGTCACTCAAAATGTACAAAACAAAAGATGCGAGGGGTGAAAACGACTTCGGATAAATAGAATATCCGCGTTTCCTTCTGTCCCTCTTAACTATTCTTGAAAGTCCAATTGAGAAAGGACGGCATCGACGAGATCAAAATTGGCATATACAGCTCTCTGTCGGAATGGAGAATGACACATATTTTGTATTCCAGTGGGAGTATTATTTTATCGGCTATGCCTCGTACTCTGTACTGCCATGGCTATCATTTGACTTTTGCGAATGTGCCCCAAATGGGATTTTTCGACTCTCAAGGTGCCATCACGTCATGAAGGCCCAAGATGACTCTCGCAGGAGATACGAAGGGGGCTTCTTCTCCGTATTATTAGTTTTGTGGCGCGGAAGATTTTGACCGTGTTTTTTTTGATAGTGCCCCTGAAATAATCACGTGATGTTATCCCCGCCTCCGTATCCGATCGCTATCAACTCCATCTCATCGCTGGGATAAAGAGAGGAGATGGAATGTTGATAGAAGGCGCCTGCCAAAAGCCCTTAAGCTCCCTATATTATACCCCTTTTCCTACAGAGGAGTTCATGAATAAGCTTAAAGACGAGCTTATCTGCAAGGTTAAAGGATGGGCTTGAGGGTAAGACTAAGGGCAAGCCTCAAGGCAAGCCTCAGGACAAGCCAAATGACAAACCTAAGGATAAAACCTTCGGGTTCCCAAGGGCTTTTGGTAGACACCTCGATACCAAAAAATCCTCCATTTCTATTTATGTCGACTCTGCCTTACAGCTAAACCCTGCGCGGGATCAACCTTAAGCCTGGAGAGGTATAATTGAGCCTCACATTCACCAATCAATAGGCAAAATCTATGCACGATCTTATCTGACAACTAGCAGACACGAGGAGAAAAGGTATGATTCGTGGAAAGGCGCATCGAGATTTACCCCTGATATTTATAGTTAGTTAACCATGCATGTCAAAAGCCGTGTGTTGCGCTCCGTTTCTCCATCTTGGCCATCTCTGTCAGCTCCTTCTCCTACGCCGATCTCGTCAAGGCATGGCCGTCTTCCACTTCTGCTGGTGGCTTCTACTGGCCTGTAGCAGCAGTACCATGGCCGCGGACATCACCTTCCCGCAGACTATAGAAGTGGACTTGATATTCCCCCACAACGACACCTACGCACCTGTCCCGTTCATGCCCTTTGTTATTGCAATCCAGAACTTCCGCTCCACCGGAATGATCTTACTAAACCTCGCCTATAATTTTTCTGCGGCCGCTAACCCTGGGAACCCTATATTTTCTAATTCCAAACAATTTCAATCTGATGACCCCGACTACTTTGATAAAGACGACACCGGATTCGTACTTAGCTATGCCAGTGAAACCAACAACGTCGAGAAAGCCTGGCTGTTTAGCTGGGAATTAGAAATAGCGAATTGCACGAGGTCTATGGAACATCCGGAATTGAATCTTGTGCACGTCAGTCGAACATCCCAGCGTAGGCAGGTTTACTTCACCACTAAGCACGGGGCCCAGCAACCGAATCTCATGGCTGCGACACAAGAGGGCACCTGCGGCAACAGGTCGAGTAGCGGCTATGCTATAAATATTACGGAAATGATATATAATATTCCCGAAGGGCAATATCCTAATGATGGAAGCGAATGTCCCGTCATTTCAGACACACCACCGACTCCAAACCCCTGTGGGGTTAGGATGAACAACGACACCGCATCACAACTTTTATATTCGATTGACACCGAGGCATGTTTTTGGTCCAATGATGTATCCCACTGTCCGCTAGGTACTGGCGGGATGAGTCAGGAGAGCGTATCACGGCGAACAGTGCAGCTTTCGGCGAGCGGGCTGATGTGGGCAGTTACTATGGGTTGGCTCATCTACATGAGTACTATATAATAGTTACTATCTCTTAATTGAGATAATGTTTTTATAATGATGTATATAGTAATGGAATAGAGAATAGATGTTACTTCACTTTCTCCATAACATTCTGTAGGTAGGTAAATTCTAGCATTGTACTCCTTTAGCAAACGCCTATATGACACTCACAGTTCACACAGGGAAGAGGAGGCCACTGGTCTCGGCGGTTCGTTGTTGGCCGCACTAACAGCATTTCTATTCCCCCAATCCTTTACTTCATTCTCTAGAGCCTGTAAGTTACGGCACTTAAGAATCGTCTGTTCATCGATTGATTCCTGTAAGAGTGCAAGCACCCAAAGCACCCAAATACGACAAGTACATACAACCCCAGGAACGTTGAGCCTATCATCATAAGCCTTCATGGTATGGTCTAGATGCTGCTCGAGGCCTGACGGGACATTCGCAATTTTGAACAGACCCACGAGGAGGAAGGCTTTGAGAACCCCAGCTGTTGCACCATGGTCTGCCATCCATCCGCTATTCCCTTGTTGTCTAACGTGATACTTCATGCCGTTGTCAGGGCCACGATGGAAGTAGAATGCCCAGTGGAAGTCATTCAGAATCGGTGGATGATTTCTGAGAAACAGCATAAGATAGAGGCTGTCTATCTCTAATTCAACTCCAGCCATGACTGATTTTGTGGGAAAATATTGAGAATAAACGTAGTATACTCAAAGGAAGGTATGACGGGTAGTTCCTTTGCTATCGAACACCTTTGACGTGCTGTACTCGATTTGATAAAACAAGATGAGCTCTACTGCGCCGCAACCAGTCACTTGGCCTGCATCGATAACTAGAATGCTTTGTCGGGAAGAAAAAGTGCTTAGTTATTCTTCAGACTCTTTTTTCCTGTAAAGAGTTCGCCATATTAGGAGAGTGGAAAGGCTGAGAAGACGCAGTCTCATCAGCGCCAGTAAGAGTAAGGAACCAGCAAAAGAATGAGATATATGAAACGCAGGCGTTTTAACAGTGGCATGACAGGCGCTTAACTACATAACTATCGGGCCGCCTACCCCAATGTTCCCGTTATCATGTCTGGGAACGAGGAATAGAGATCAAGAAACCAATGGATAACAACCACGCTTCAGCGTCTGCATTAGTGGGCCTGACAGATGAATAAGACCGCATACCTTGCCGCTGAGGAGATACATTCAAGACCAAGGTAAGAGGATTCGTTGGTCGTGGATGTTCGAAATGTCAAGGTGGCCTGGGGGCCGGCGCCAAAAAGGGGCTTTACCATAATACGGTCTAGAGTACCATGCACTTCCCAGAACCTCATGCAGGAAGGCTACGGATGACCATTCTCAGTCTATGATGATACCCTTGGGAGGATATCTCGCTCGTTCTCCGTGGCTTTGGAGAACAACCTGCCTCGTATCCCCTAGCGGTTTCGGTTATGATGGATTTTGGCTTGATCGGGTCCAGAGGATTGCTAGCCCTGTGGTTCATCATCGGCTCTTCCTAGCGAATCGTTAGTTTGTTGAGTTCACAGGCGTTTTTGGCTGTTGTTTCTACTCCTCACTTGCAATTCTGCTTTGCGGCTGTGTAGACATGGGCTAATAAGTCGCCTTGTGCTCGACAGATCGCTACTCTTTGATCTTGATATACGTTCTATCTATTGTATATCAAAGCGGATTGAGTCTCTGGTAGACCGTCCATTTTCCTTTCGTCCTCTCGTTTATACATTTATGCTATATTATATTGATCTTGATTGTCCGAAAAACCTGTATCCATTTCCTCGCTCATGTCTTCGTTTTTTTCTTCAAAGCCCAAGTCGCAGGTCCGAATTGGCTCACAATCCAACAAAAGCGTCAGTGATGGCTTTGGCGGCTTTGAGAATAGGCTGTCATTCTCTAAGATGCGGAAGAAGAGGCCGCCTCCTATCAATATCTCTGTGGCCGGGAACGTTATCATCACCAATGCCACTCCGACCTCTTCCCAAGTTATCTATACAGATATGCCATGGTCAACTTCGAATCCGCCGACCCCTCGAACATTTACATGCTCGAATCCGGGGTGCATGGTGCGGGAGACGGCGCCTATGACCTCGCCCGTGGAATCACAATTTAAATTGCCCAGCTCATGCACTACCTGCACCTGTCAACCGTGCAGTAAATCGATGCCAACAAACACAGCTTACTGTTCCCCTCGTCATCCATATTTTTCAGCAGCAGAGCTTCCAGGGTCAATAACGTCGCCGATGAGCGTTGAATTAGATGCACCCACGACGCCAACGAGGCTCACATTCGATCATTCAGACGAGCATCTACTAGACTCTCCGCCAAACCTGTCGCTAAGCCCAAGGGCTGAGCCAGTCACAGGACGACGAGATGGCGACCCATATGGATATCCTCAGGAAACAGGGCCTATTCGTAATGGAAAGCCATTAGGACGGATGGATTATGACGAGCTCATGGAGATTCTCCCTGATCTTACTCCAGAGCAGGTTAAGTTGCACTGGCATCCGGCCATCTGCCAACAGCTTGAAGCAGCAAAGCAAAAACAGAATAGCCCTATTTCGGTGGCTCGTTCCAGTACATGGAATGGACGAGTGAGTATCATTCGTTATCCCGGATTATACAGAGATGGCTAATGGCAGGAAATCAGGGATCATATAGTAAGGAAGACCCTGAGCAGGTCAGAGCCGAGTGCGAGATCCGGTTAAACTCCAAGGAGAACGAAATCACCGGACTTCTACGACTCCACGACTCGCGGATTGCCTCTCTCTGCAAATTCATCACAGACCACCTCGAGAACGAACTTGAAAGCTCCGATGATGCGAGTCATCAGGAAGTAAGAGAAATCGTTTCAGCCCAGCAACGCCGGGGTAAAGATCACTTCGACGCAGACCTCCAACACATGTATCAAGCTCGCCAGATTCAGGAGTTGCAAGACCATATATCTAAGCTCGAACCCGTTGCTATACGCAACGAGAAGCGGGCGAGGGCATATAAACTCAAGCTCAAGACGCTGAGGGAGGATATTATGAAGTCAAAAGAGGACGAGCAGCGGTTAAAGATAGAGCTCGCTGAGAAAGATGCGTATATCGACACGCTAAACAACAAGGTCACCCAGCTCCTGACCATGCGCCCTGATCCGTTTCCCCCGTCTGATATACGAGGGACTAGAAAACATCTGCCTTCGCCTGCGCCATGTGACTGGAAAAGAGCAGAAGAACTCCAGCACCAGGTCGCAGTGTAAATGTCGCCCATGAATTATGACAAGAAATTATGACAAGAGCAGTTTTATGACGGGGGGGGGGGGGGTGGTGTCTATATCGTACTCACGGTGTCTTTCTTTTTAATCTGGTTTCGTATGACGGCGTTTTGGCTCGAAGGGTTCATTAGTGTTTATCACTGTTGAGGTCTCAGGTACTCGGTGACCCATAATATCCTATATAGAGACTTGGAAAAGACATGAAGGAATCAAATGCTATAAATCATCCTCTCTGTCGCCGTCTGTCGCATCTGATGATGGCGGCGCTAAGGGGCTCAGCCTGAAATGACGACAAGGTCAGGGTTCGTTTTCCAACTCGCTACATCACATCCAGGACGCCATTTCTGCATGAAAGAATGCTGCAGACGGTGCCTGAACTCGTGCATGTCAAGCGCCTGTAGCATGGCCGGCGTATACTCCTATAACTACGAGATACATGTCTATTATTAGGCGTCGCTTATACCTGACCGCCGAGGCCGCCGAGAAGATCATCAGCAAGTGACTCTGGTCACCATGCCGCCATGTCGAACAAGTAATTATAAGAAGAGCGAGCTCTGTTCATGATCAGGTCACGACGACGCCTGATGACTCCTTTCACCTGGTCTGCGTTTGCTCTCTCTCTCTCTCTCGTCCTATATCCCTTTATCATCTCGAGATCAGCGCTTCATAGCTAACCGCATGCGACTCTAGATACCCTAGACCAGACGAACCGCTACTTAGCAACCTCGATTCTACTGCTCTCGTGTCTATACCGAGAGATACCACATCTATCCCGCAAGAATACAACCGGCGTCGTTGTAAAACTATGACACCCTTACCAGGCTCCGGCGAGACGCCCGGAGAGCGAGAGGATCGTGAATCTGGAGGCTTCCCCCAGGTCGAGAACAAGCTCTCGCTAGATCCTACCTCCGTCCTGAGAGTTGCATCATGGATCACCTATTTCTCATCTTCCCTCACCATGAAGCTCACCCCGGGAAGCCAGCTTGTCGACCCAAAGAAACACATCGTTTGGCTCTTCGACAATACCGCATATCAACCTGCACATGGCCCAGTGTACGGCCCTATCGGATGGCACGCTCATGTAGTTGGGTGCATGTTTGAGAAACACGGACGACAGGATATCGGTAGATGGGTTGCCATCATCGCTGACCTGGTCGGTCTAGACGGCAATCCAGGCCTCGACAAGGAAGCTGTCCGCAAACGAATTGCCATGCGTATACAACCTTTCCTTAACGCCGTTGTGCCCAATCGGTTTATCAAGCTGGAGGTCCCGATTTCCAGCGGAGAGGTGCATAGATTTAAACTAGGCAGCTCCAACAAGGACGGGATTTCCGAGGACGATATTCGGATTTTTCCCGCAGCCGGCGTCCATGATGGAACAGTGGTGCAATCTCAGGCGAGAAATTGGGGACCAAAGCCTTTGACCATGATGACAACTTTTGCAGCGCAGGAAAGCTGGGCAGTCATCTCAGACGTCGACGACACGATCAAATATACCCAGACGCCAGACGCCATCGGCATTCTACGAACAACTTTCGTCGATGACCCGAAAGCGATCGCAGGCATGCCAGAGGTATATACTCATATCCAACAGCAACTCAACCCGACCTGGTTCTACCTCTCAGCTTCTCCGTATAATTTATACGAATTTTTGCACGGATTCCTCCGCTCAACCTTCCCACGAGGCACACTCCTACTCCGTGAGGGCTCGTGGATGGACCTGGCTGGTCTACTGAGGTCATTCTCTCAGGGTACACAAGAGTACAAAGTTAGCCAGCTGGACAAAGTGTTTGGTTGGTTCCCGATGCGCAAGGTCTTGTGCATTGGAGACTCGACACAGAGTGATCCAGAGGCTTATGCGGAAGCGTATAAAAAGCACGATGGCTGGATCAAGGCCATCTATATCAGGAAAGTGACCGATGTGGGGAATATGGGGGATAGGAATGACCCCGAAAGATTTGAAAAGGCATTCGAGGGCATTCCTCGATCCGTTTGGAGGGTATTTGAGCATGCAGATGAGCTGTCGGCGCTTGTTGATGAGCTCAAGAGTCAACCATCTTAGAGATGTGGCGTGTGGTGGTGGTGCTATGACGATGATGATGTCGATGATGAGCGTCAACCATGTCGCTGTTTAACGTGTACGGTTTGTGTGTTATGGTTCTTATATGGTGTATTCCATCGGCGTCTGTCCTTCTATCCTTCTGTATTCTGATCCTTATGTTCAGTTTCCTTTTGCACAGGTTGTATACCTTATGGCGGTTAATTGTAATGACTCGGACATGATCTGTATAAATGCGGTTTCGTTTAATTTGCACACTGATTCTTTGAACATTCGGTCTGAACGTTCACTCTGCCTTTTGCTAATAATGAATTTTCGTTCTGATAGCCTTGTACGGAGTATGCTTACACAGTCGGGAACGGTTTATAGTATCTCAAGCTTTAATAGCCTAAGCGGATGAACTTTACAAATTTTCTGACGTCATATATTCAGCTCCAACGGTCAAAAGAGTCTCTCGAACGACAAACTGAAGTGCTAACTCATTTACTTATTTATCCGTATATCACTTAACTATTCCTCCGTGCAACACAATCCGGGCTATCCGCACGGGTCTTGTAGTCCCGTACTCAGGTCATGTTTGCATATGGGAGAATATAGTCCTATATAATGGGCAACACCCATCGCTGGCATATAGCTGGGACTAGCATAATTATCATCCTGGCTCCTATTCCATATATACATTCGGCAGCTACATAATCAACAATGGCAGATCAAGAACATATCCCTCCCTTTATGCCTGCGGTCCATCTACCCCCTGGGCCATACGATACATCATCCCCTCCTCTCCCTTCCTCACTAATATACGATCCCAAATTCCCAACGCCCAAACCAAACCCATCTCAATACCTAATAAAAGTCCTCAGCACTGCCTTGTGCCGTGACGAGCTCACCTGGCCCGAAGTTATCTCTAATTCCCGTGTCATCCAACCCCCCGTTCCCGGCTACGATGTATGTGGCACCATCCTCTCTACACCATCAAATGACGAGCGATCCTACGATGGCCCCAAGTTTAAAGTAGGCGACGAAGTCTTTGGATGGCTAAGTGTCCATCGAGGTGGTGGTGCTGCAGACTGCGCACTGGCGGAGGAGAATGAATTGGCATTCAAGCCGAAGAATATATCCTCCATTGAGGCTGCGAGTATTCCGCTCTCCGCAATGACCGCATGGCAGGCATTTTTTGCTCACGGGAACCTAAAGCATATTGCCGATAAGTGTGGCCATTTGGACAGTGAGGTAGTGCGTGATGATTGCATCGATGAGGATAACAAAGAAGGGGTCAAGCAAATGCAACCGCATCCAGGACCCATTCGAGTTCTAATCACGAATGCATCCGGCGGAGTAGGCACGCAAGCCATTCAACTCTTACGATCAAAGACACTGTTCGGAGCCCAGAAATTCTGGATATGCGGCACTTGTTCGAGCCGCAATGCTGCTTTCTTGAAGGACACGCTACACATTAATGAAGTCATCGACTACACTGTCCAGCCAGATTTGAGCGAAGCCTTCAAGGCGAATGGCTGGAAGCCTGTCGATTTTGTGTTTGACTGTATTGGAGGATCGTCTCTGAAGCAAGCCCATTCCCCGTCTGTCGTTTGTGATAGCGGATCGATAGTCAGCGTTGCTCACCCTGTCATGGAGGAATGGGGTGACCTGGGGATTGAAAAGAGGGGGCTCAACAGTCGGTTTTTCATTATCGCGCTGAATGGGAAGCAGCTGGAGAAGATTGGTATATTGGTGGAAAGGGGGGAAGTGAGAGGCTTCGTTGATAAGGTCTTCGAACTTTACGAAGCCAGGGAGGCGATGGAACTGGTTGAATCGAAGAGAGTTCGGGGGAAAGTTGTCTTGAGGGTCAACTAGATATGTGATCTTACCAAGACTGAGCTTCAGGCAATCCGTATCAATGATGTATGGAAATAAAATGGAAGTAGTAGATTCGGATAATATAGTATGTATATCAGCCTTCCTGTTGGTAATCATCGCCTATAAGAGATGTTTTAAACGGCCCCTGATTGAAAACACCTAGATAAGGCCTTCATCTATGAAAACCGTTACTCCCATGTTTCAGAAGGGCAAGGAATGTTCTTAAACATGGTATCATGGATGAAGTTCACTATTCACTGTAGTTTGCCCATAGAGTTTGCGAATAGAATGACCCAGGCTCTTTTCCTTACAAAATCGCTGTAATGTCCATCCCATTTTGTCTACAATATCAACATGGTATCAACCATGCAGGATTTATACAATCTCAGCAAGCACCGTGTTACGAGGCAGGCACTTGGCCAATATATATTCATGTAACACTCGAAGCACCAACTACCAAAGTTTTGTGACTCAAGTGCTAAAGGGTTTTCAGCTTTGCCTACGGTAAACTTGTTTTATACTCAGTTAATCAGGCCACGAAACCTCCGTGAGATGCAAGAATCAAGATTGAATCTCTGGACAAAACAAATAGCTACCTTTTGGTTGTGTTCCTATCATTATTTCGCTTCTGTTCTACCTGCTTAAACCGCTCGGGCAATGAAACTATTCAGACAGAATAACAATAAAGAGAAGTAAAAAAATAATAAGATTATAAGCATGAGCATGAATAGAAAGAACAGGATCATGCCGGAAACCCTTCAACAATGCAATCATTTTGACATCTCTCTCCTATCCTTTTGAGGGTCCAGTAGGGGGTGAAGGTGAAGGGAAAAGCTAAGAACACACTTGAGCATGAGCCAAGAGAAGAGAATAGGCGACCGGATGATGATGAAAAGTGAAATAGTAAATGGGATGAAATGAGGATATAGGGCATTATTAGACATCGAACGGGGCTCTATTAAGGGCTGGTAAGAGAAACCGCTCATAGCAAAGAATCAAGGCGGGTAAATACGCCTAAGCATGCGGCCACGACCTGTATTTGAGAAAGGGAACGTTAGTTATAAGCAATATCAGAAAGTAAGGAGTTGTATAACTGACCTCCAGCTGAAGCTCCTTATCCTTTGCCTTCTCAACCTCGTCGCCAACAGCTTGCGGTAAATTCGCGCCAATAACATGTGCGCCCGCGCCCCTGTTCGACGCAAATGGCCACTGTGAATATTCCGCCAGCAGCTCATCAACCTGTGCGAATGCCCGTTCCCTAGCTTCATGGCCCATCGTTACCAAGGCGTTTTCAAGTACGTTTGCAGCATACGCGGCGCACACCAATGCAATAGTCCGCAGATATCTAAATTCAATATCTTCGGGGAGGAATTGGTTCGGCGGTAGCATGACAGTACGGCTGCTGCAGATATTGCGAACTCTCTTGTGGAGTTCTTCCTTTGCGCCGCCGTCGGCAACCGGATGTGTGGCCATGTCGAAGAGTAGGAAGTTGCGCTTTTCAGTGCGGAGGACACCTTTGTCGACTAGGCCCTTTGCGAGTCGCTCTCGTACTTGCTTTAGCTGGTAGCCGATCTTCATCAAATTCCAGGTTTCACCTATACCAGTCGAATGTATTAGTTATATTGATATGCTCGACAAGTAGCTGTTAAATAGCCCTAGGAACGGTAAAAGGAAAGGTGATTTACCGCTCATAAGATCGATCCATGAGCTCACGCTCATCTTCTCGCTAGCTTTCATCATCTTCAATGCCTCGTCCAGCAAGACTTCTCCAGTCAAGGTATCATCGATAACCTCAATTATTCGGTCTGCAAGAGGAAACCGTCGCCTCGACGAGTCCTTCTGCATGCTGATGCGACCTCGAAACGCCAGTTCAATGACAATACAGCCCCGTAGAGCATACGAAATGTTTTCGTTCCAAAATGATAGATATCCCTATAGATATAAGAGGAAAAGGGACAATTAGAATGGTTTTACTGGGAATTAAGGCTGTCCTCTGGGGCCAAATTACCTGCTTATCCTTTAAACCCAAGAGCAGCACCTCCTCCATGAGTGTGAGCTTGGGCTGTTTATTCCGCTCTTCATTCTCACTGATATCTCTCGGGTCGAATGCGATCTTGTGGCCGTTCTCGCCAGTGAACGAGGACTCACCACGGCCATCCGGAGACGCTCCATTTAGCGATGATGGTGAGGCCACTCTGCTACTCTCGGTGCCGCCATCTCCCCGACCACCACCTCGCCGACGAGTTAAGCCGCTGGTAGACGCCATCAAGATGTAAGGAAAAGGACGTAGGAGCTCGTCAGTGGTCGATAAGGAGCCGTAACGAGCTCAGGCAATAGCTGCCTAGAGCATAGAACTGCGCGTTGGGCGTATTGAATCAGGGGGGGCAGGCAACTTTGAAACGGCGCCGACTGTTGTATGGCTGAGGCGGGCTATGCGGTATCAACTAGAAATCGTGGAAGATGATGCTCAAGTGAATAGAGACAATTGCCGGGTCTGTATATGTGTTGCAGGAGTGTGAAATTAAGCGCAGTAGAGGAGATCTGTATAACTTTTTTCGCAGGCGGAGGACATAAAAATCGCTTTATTTCCCCCAAGGGAGCCGCGGTGGCTTGGCGGACGACGGATTTCACGAACTGCTTGTACACGTAGAGAGGAAGACTCGCATTTACTCTCGGTTATATGATGGCTAGTTGGTAGTATGTCATTTAGTGATTATCTCTATCTGTCTGTGGCCGCTGGTGGTGGCTTTTTGAGGCTGCTCTCTGTGTTGATATTCAGGCCCTCCGGCGTCACGAGAGCATCCTCTGCTCTATATTACTGGACTGTTTGCACGATATACTCTTCGCTGTTCGGCTGTTTGTAAAGGAATATGAGAGTAGGATGGCTATACAGACTCTGGAGGCTTGGGTGGACCGGCGTATATACCTCCCGCAGTAGACCATGAGACAGGAAACACGGCTGGAAAAGAGTAGTAAGATTCACACGAGATATTCTCTAATTATATCAAAATGTGATGTTCTGCTGATGTACACGATATAACAAAGTTGGGAACAATTATCACATAAAACCGGCGCCCGACAGCATCCAACCCTGGGGGATTTTCACGCTCGTCTAGAATAGCTAGGAAATCTTTTGGGGCGCAATCCAGTTACCGGGATTCGACGAAACTGCTTAGTGAGCTAGTTACTGTTAGCAGAGAACTTGACAGGACGGGAAGAGGGTAGGTAGATACATACCATCAGGCTGGGAGAGGATATAGGTAACGGCTTGGTCAACTGTGATTTGGTCAGTAATTGCACTTATTACGCATATCTTCGGATATTCATCTTCATCTTGTTATGTTTGGATGAATGGACGTGTCGCTAGGGCTGTACGTACTGCTGTGGATGGCGTCTGCGTCCTTGTCAGGAATCTCGATGCTGAATTCCTATTTCCAAAGTTAACACAATGCTGCCTCGAGTTTGTCAGAAATGGGTAAATTACCTCCTCAATTGCCATGACAACCTCGACGGTGTCCAAGCTGTCCAATCCGAGGTCGTTTGTGAAGTGGGAGTTGGGGGTGATCTTGATCGATAATGGTGAGAAGCTGTGTTAAACCGAATCATCCTATACGTGAACATACCTTGGAAGCGTCGGAAACCTATAATAGAATACAGTCAGTAACAAGCAAATGATAAAGAGAAGAAGTGGTGTTGGCTATATTGGCATTGATGCGTGGCTGACTGCGTGTGTGGTCGTACCTTGTCAAAGTTCTTCAACAGATCGACTATTCGGCCCTGGACTTCGGTCTGGTTAAGGCCAGCCGGTGCAGAGTATGATCTTATGGCCTGGTAGGAGAAGCTTGGGGCGAATTGAGCTTGTCTGGCGATGCAGGAGAATTTTGGGACTTGACGGGCGACGGGCGAAGCGGCTCTGGCAACGCGAGGTATGGACGACCGCAGCGATCGGGCGACGGCGGAGCGGAACATGGTGATCTGGCGATGTGAAAGCGTCCTGGGAGACCTGGAAGAGCGATGTGGCGGCGCGGTTGAGTCAGGCTGCTGGTGCTATCGAGTTTTTTTTATATAGGAAGCTCGCAGTTTTTCAGCGTTGAAGTTGTCCGAAAGTTGCTTGTTTTGGCGTTCCGCGGGCCAATCAGCGACCACGTGAACAATATGACCTTTTCGAACATCAAAAACCAACCTCCAGCATCACGACCGGACACCGGAAAACAGATCAATTGCACCACCGCGCACCATGGTTTCGTCAAGGCCTGCCGCCAGGCTGCTGGCCTACAGAGCGCCGTTTCCGCTGGGCCCTTCTTACGCTCTCACCAGCCCGTCAGCGGTCCTGCGCGCCGCACCAACGTCGGCCCTCGCCTTCTCGACATCCGCATTGAGAGCTGCCACACCCGCCGGGCCCCCGCCAGCGGGCTTCCGTCTTCCTCCTCCAAAGCGATGGGACCAGCAGGACGAGACCTCGCTGGATAGAGCTACCAAGTACTTTTTGATGGCGGAGCTTTTCCGGGGGATGTACGTCGTGCTGGAGCAGTTCTTCAGACCTCCGTATGTACCACGTTTCCTACGGGTTATATCGCATATAAAACAATGAAATGCTGCTCGAATAGCAACTTGGTGTGCGTGTAATGGGGCCAGGCTGACCATTGAATAGATACACAATCTACTATCCCTTCGAGAAAGGTCCCATCTCCCCCCGCTTCCGTGGCGAGCACGCTCTCCGTCGATATCCCTCCGGAGAAGAACGATGCATCGCCTGTAAACTCTGCGAAGCCATCTGTCCCGCCCAGGCCATCACAATCGAAGCTGAAGAACGTGTGGATGGAAGTCGACGAACGACCAGATACGATATTGACATGACCAAGTGTATCTACTGTGGGTTCTGCCAGGAGAGTTGTCCTGTAGATGCGATTGTTGAATGTAAGTCGTTTCTCCTCGAGATGGTTCATATTCCGCAGGAGGGGGTTATAACTAACGTCCAATATAGCGCCGAACGCCGAATATGCCACTGAAACCAGAGAAGAGCTATTGTACAACAAGGAGAAACTATTGGCGAACGGTGATAAGTGGGAGCCGGAACTCGCGGCCGCTGCCAGAGCAGATGCTCCATATAGATAAAAACACCCCCTCGGAAGCGCTTCCTACTCCTTTCCTTTCTTGATATCTCTCTTTAGTATTTATTTCCCTTTTCTTTTTTTTGTTCCTGTAGAATGGACTCCTCAGACTTGCTCGTTCTTATGTCAAGAGTGGTCTAAATCAATCCAACTGAGCGTTGTGTATATCATTGATAAAATAAATGGCTTGTGGAAATACAGGTGGGAGATTTGCATGAATTCTGTCCTTGTATACAACATTGTTATCTACGTATATAAATACCTCGAGCATACTTCTTCTCCTTTACCAGACTAATGGAGATATAAATCATGTACAGACTGCATGTAGGCTAAGCTCAGCTAACTAGACAGGTAAAATAAATCGCCATAGACCAATAGATCAATTATGTTTCCCTCCCAAGTGGATATATCCCACTTGTAAAACTCCATAGTACAAAAGAAGGCATGACCGAATATAAAAAGAACACGGAGGGAATAGAGCAATGCAAAAGGGTTAACATCATCTACTTCTTCTTGGACTTGAAGCTCCCTTCAAACCCAGGCCTGGCTTTGCCTTTGCTCTTCGTCACCTTCTTCCCACCCTTGGCACCCTTGCCCTCCTTTCGTTTCCGTAGATTTTCCTCTCGCTTGGATTGTCTGATTTCCTTACCCTTGGCAACACCTTCTATCCTCTCCTTCCACTGTTTCTCGCTTCGCTTCTTGATCCCTTCTTTTCTGCTCAATGCCTTTTTCAGCAATGATACGTCGTCTTTGACGCGTTCTCCATGTGCTCTCTTCTTCGCATTGAGCCACATATCCTTCTCCTCGATGTCGGCGCGTTTCTCCTCGTCGAGGGCGGCAAGTCGGGCCTTCTTGGATTCTGCTGCTTTGAGTGCAGTTGTTGCATCCTGGGGACCACGCTTCTTGGCTGTATCTCGGAGTCCAGTCATGCTGGCGTCCACTTGCTGACCATCGGCGAAGACTATTCGTCCAAAGGAGAAGTTGTTTGGTATAGATGTTATCGAGTCGGCTGGTGAACCGGGCGAGGAGAGGAGGGATCCTGGGCCCTTGGATGAGAATCGTTTGGAGATAGCTTCATCTCGAAGTCGCTGTTCCTCTTCTCTATCCTTTTGTCGTTGTTCCTTCTTTTGTGTGCGGCGGGCTTCTTCACGCTGCCTTCGGCCTTCAATGAGTTCTTGTCTGTTCTTGGCTGGCTTTCCATTGACGCCGTCAGCGTGGCGGGCAGCACGAAGTTCATCAAGTCGCTTCTGCAGTCTCTCTTTTAGTTGCTCGGGTGTACATTGAGGCTTTTTGGATTGCGGGGATTGTTTTTCAGTGCCGTTGGTGGTTGACTTGGATTTAGATGATTCAGTAGGCGGGACGATGGAGGAGACGGAGGAGCTGCCAGAGGGGGCGTTGGACGGGTCTGATGCGTTGTTGGGAGATGTTGGAGCTGTTGATTCATGGTCTGCATGGACTTGTAGGGCTTCAGCAGAGAATCCTTCTATAGCTATATCCTCCACTTCATCATCGCTTTCTGAAGATTTTTTGGCGGCTTTGGCAGCAGGTTGTTTCTTAGACTTTGTAGGTTTCTGCACTGACGATGGCTTTTCGGCCGCTTCGTCTGGATTTGGCTCTGATATCTTAGCGGAGGCTTCTACACTGGCTTGCTGTTCTCTCTTCGCAGCCTTAAGCGCCATCACTTTCTCCTTCCGCTTCTCCCGCTTTTCGGCTGCTTTTTGTTTGAGCATCTCCTGCTTTGCTGCCTTTTTATCTCTTTTCTCCTGCTGTCTGGCATCATCTGCCTTGGCTTCTTGGTCTGCTGCATCTGCTGAACCAGTGGCTTTCTTTTGTTTCTTCGGTTTAGAGTCCCCCCGCTTCAGGCCTTCCCTCGGCTTTTCTGAGCCCAGCGGCTCTTCCTCTGAGGGAGACCCGTCGAGATCCTGCACCTCATCCTTATCCTTTCCTCGTTTCCTCTTTCGAGCATTGTCATCCATTACGTCCTTTGCTGATTTTGAAGACTCAGGGTCTAGCTTGGCCCTCTTTGCGTCCCTTGCCTGCTCCTTGGTCTGCTTCTTTCGCTGCCATTGTTCCTGCATTCCCAACCAAGACGTCAGCACTCGTTTCCTGAAGACCAATATCTCGAACGTATAAATCTCTGCCTCAAGTATGAACGTACGCTGTTGTCGTCTCCATAATAATACTTTGCCGGAATGAGCGATAGCAACCCGTCAAACGCGCTCGCATGGCCTCGTAGGCGGTCCTAAACACATAGAAAATTAGCAGGCGACCTTGACAAAGGATGGAGCTATCTTACCTCTAAACTATCTGCCATAATTACAATAACTGAAACAGAAAACGCTCACGATAAAAGTCGCTAACAGCTTGGATGCAGAATTGGAGAAAATATTTCGAAATCCGAACGGTGGGAAGAAATCTTGGCGCTGACCTTTTGCTTGCAGTGGGGCTCACCGCCCTAGCCCAATGAAAGCGCAGCCGAAGATAAAGGAAGCTGTTTACAGAGTACAGACTCAAGATTTGATTATTTAATTATATTTGGACACTGATGTTAAATGCTGCTCGAGGACGTTGATAGTGTCTAATTGACGGCAGCTGCGGCTACAACGAAGTGATCCGTGGTTCTCCCAACTCTGCTCCCGTCTACAGCTACGACTGTCTCTACAACTGAGGCCAGTGAGCTCTCTGTTACTCCATGCACCTCTCTATCACACCGTACGCGTTTGACGTGGAATCTTGACGCTGGGGACTAAGTACGCGCAAAATCTAATATCTCCCTCCAACGGTTCGTATCAAACAACGGGCTTTCGGAATAACGGCCATGGAGCCTGGCTTCCCAAGCGTGTCTTCTCTACCGAGAAATTTGTCCCGTAACTGACCAGCGTTAGAGACTTAGATCCCAATGCGCATGCAGGGAGCTAAAAGAATGGCTAAATCGACTGGTTGAGACGAACGCGAGAGGCGAAACAGCCCCCAAATCTGTCATAAGTTAACGAGATGCCGCCCATGCAGTTTCAAAGAGGATAGGACGGGAGCACCCCAGACTATCTGATCACTGCGAATGTACAGAACAGCGGCCAATTCTATATTAGTGCCCGGTTGACTTGTCCTAGCCTGTTGCTGATATACAGACAGAATAGTCAAATCACATGACCAAGGAACAGTTCGGCCACAGTTGGAGCTTTCTCTTCAGCAGACTTAACTCCATAACGGCGCTATGTTTGCCCTGAAGCGATCTAGAAGCTTGTTCTATCCGCATCATGAGACTCCGCACCTTGAACACAGTCGAATATGCGATCCAATAGCTAAGCATCATCGTGGCGCTGCCGCGGCTGTGCATGCAGTTAAGCGTAACCAGCCACCATCGAGGCTTGGACAGGGATAGGAGGCTGAGGGGGATCAAAACTTCATCCTCAACAGCAACAAAGAAACCCTGCACCGCGCGTATGCTAAACTCGGTACGGCATCATGGTGCGCCAGGCGGGAGTATTCGGATGGAATATGCCTTCATCTTGCCAACTACGGGTGTGACTTTGGTTGAATTCCAGTACATACGCCTCCACGGCACACGATAAACTCAGCTGATAGAGTCATCGAGTGGCTTGACTGATTAAGCAGTGTTCCTTCACACCATTTGGTAGCATGAGCCTTAAAATTTTTTTTCTGGAGGGGTGGAAACGGACAAGTGGTATCTTGCTCCCTAATCCTCCTTGCTCCCGGTTACAGTGAGAGGGGCAGGGTATAGAGGGGCATGCAGAATACCTTACCTAACGCACCTGAAGCTCCAAGGCTTTTCTATATTCGACTAATATTCAGGGAATATTCAGCCAATGCAGCATGTTGTAACGAGCGGCACAGTCAAAGGGATACCGGCACAAACGAGGTACAGCATTGCACGGAATATCCGGTGTTAAACTACCGCCCAAACACAGCTTGGCGAGGCTTTGCTCATCGTATCCAGCTGAGTATCGCCAGAGTGGATATGCTGTTGACGAATGGGAATGGGCTTAGACGGGCGATTACGGTGCGTGTGGCTGCAATCTGGAGTATGGCATCACCATATGGAGTCCTCGGCGAGCAACGTTCGTCTATACTGGGATGGCACCGCAACACCTGCATGCTGGACTGGGAGCCAGGGATTTGCTGCGCATAAAAACCCCAGAGGATCAAATTGCTGTGACTCTAATAATAGGCCTACGTAATAGGACATCATGGGCTATTCTACACCTGAGCTGACTAGCGGGGCAAGGTCATCCGATTTTATACTTAAGGCGGGGTCCCTTCCCTCCTCCATCTATTTCCATCCTATCCTTCCATCATCATTACAACTACATCTCATCCTAGACACATCGTCGCTTATAGAACGTCCTTGAACACCAGTATCTACAGTTTCAGACTCCACATCCATCAAAATGTCCGGCTACAACGACTACAACAACCAGCAGGGCTACCAGCAACAAGGCTACGGCCAACAACAAGGCTACGGCCAGCAGCAGGGCGGTTACAACCAGCAGCAAGGTTACGACCAGCAGCAGCAAGGTTATAACCAAGGCCACAACGACCAGTACAACCAAGGTTACAACCAGGGACAACCTCAGCAGGGCTACGGCCAGCAGCAGCATGGCGGCTATGACCAGAGCGGCTACAACCAACAGTCACACCAGCAACAGCAGGGCTATGACTCCAACTGGCAAGGTCAGCAGCAGGGCCACGGCCAACCAGGGTAAGCACAGAGTCCCGTCGTCCTTCTCGCCACATCTCCTATCCTTACATGAAACACACTTCTAACGTTGCTCTTTGCGAACACAGAGACCAAGGTGCTCCAGGCGGTGCCCAAGAAGGCGAGCGTGGAATCGGAGGTGCCCTAGCCGGTGGTGTTTCCGGTGGATTCCTCGGCAGCAAAGCCAACCACGGTATCCTCGGAGCCATCGGAGGAGCCATCGCTGGCCACTTTGCTGAGGAGAAACTCAAGAAACACGGAAGCGGCCACGGCAGCCAGGGCGGCTCCATGTTTGGCGGAAAGCATTAAGCGGTGCCGTTAACCAGATATTTGAAGAATGGAGATAATCGCGGGGGTGGATGCGGAGGGGCAAAACCACGCGAGCCGATGACATGCCTGTATGATTCTCTTTTGTGCTGATACTGATATAACTTGCCTTGCTTTCGATAATATGGATATTATTTCCTATGTATGCTTTTTACAATTTTCTGCGTTAAACTTAACGACCTATGAATATTGTCCCCAGTACCAGTTTCCTCTCATGATATATATTGTATTGATTAATTGTTATCTATCTCTTTAAAGAAATTGAAGTCATCAATCGCCACGACAGCTGCCCTGACTAAACCGTTCCCCTGGAACCTGTATCTCGCCTCATCCTTGGCCGTAGGGCTGACGGCTGTCGGCTACCAATGGGGATATATATATTCCATGGTCCGAGGGGGGTTTTCCTCGCATCAAATAGAATATTCCCGTACCAGTGGATTGCGGTGAAGATTTCGCCAACCACAGTCCAGAAGACGAACATTCTCCGTTCATTCTAGCGCAACCACGTCTGGCTCCGATAGATCAACCGGAGATCAAAAATATCTAATAATCTGCAGCCACGCAGGATTTCTCTTGCCTTTTATTTTTCAATTGAGGACCGCTCATCGGACTTTCGGCGGTCCACTTGAAAAGACAGACACCGGAGATCATGAAGATGATGGCTGAAACTATCAAAATTCCTTCAGCAAAGAGCTAGACGGTGGAGTCTTCAACGTTCCCCGATGATAGGTATCCAGAACCTGGACTATCTTGCATATTTACCGCTTCGATGTACGAAAAACGACAAGTCGATCGGCGGCTGGATGGCTTGAAGAAATTTTTTGTACGGGAGCGGGAATGGGGCATTTCGCCGATCCAGGGGTCAATAATTAATGTTAGCCTTTTCGATCTTCTATTTCCCGTCTCAAGGATAAGCATTTGTTCGTATCAGCTAGAGGGATCGAGATCGTGAGATCACGCCACATCAGTTAGGATAAGGGATTTATACAGACGTCTTGACTTGGGGAGAGGGGGGTTCATGGGTTCCTTTCCTGCGCCTGCAGTGGAACAAACTGTCATACGGAGTACGATTCCCAAGGTGACGCTGTGGAATAGCCGGCGGCTGAATATATGGGCTCCGTGCTCTGTATGACGGGAAATCATTTTGTCCTGTTTTTTCGGGTCTCGCATGGGCGCAGCCGTGCTCTGGTGGTGCAACTGGCGATTGGGAGATAGGAAATGCACGGTACTGTGTTTAATAATAAACCTGGATATTGTTTACATATATTATCGTAGCCTATAACACAGGATCTAAGATGAACACCGGCGATGAAACGTCAAATTGGTATCAAGTAACTCCGGCCTAATCTATGTATGCTGGCCCCAGCCCGAACCTGGCAGACACCTCGTATCATGCAATAGAACAGAGACCCAAGCCCTGCAGGAGATCACTGGCTAGAACATCAATCCCGGCCGTGGTCTCGTCCTCGATTCCGAAAGAAATAAATAACACGTCATCGCTGTAGCCGTGATACTTTTGGCCATGGGTTTTCCAGCTTATGGAGGTGATGTAGAACATCTCTGTTTGGTTCCACGTCTGCACTTCCTCTGGGGTAAGACCAGGCGGCTTTTTACCTTGGCCTTCCTTGCCACGGCCGTGTATCCAGATCGGTTTTGATGAGATGCCGTATACCTCAAAGGGAGCGCTCTGTCGGAAGAGCATGGCGTACGGCTCGTACACGCTGTGGAAGGCGTGAAAGCTCTTGTGTTGGAAGATGGTGAGTACGAAAGTGTTGTTTTCGTCAGGTTTGCACTTGGGGTCCGATCGGTTACAGAGCGTGACGGCCAGGGAGTTTGTAGCCTGGTGGATAGATTCCAGCTTTGGGCCGACAGAGGGCATATATTTCTGCATGCATTTGCTATCCTGAGCAGCAGCCAAGGGAGCCAGGTCCTGTCCGACAGAGCCATTGTACTCCAGCTTTGCGAAGACACGCTTGGGCGCAACGTCGTAGTGAGCGTACATCTGGCCGTTCAGATCCCAGAACATGAACCAGTTCTTCTCGATGGCGCCGTACGCCGACGGCCGCTGAATCTCCGTCGGCGTCCTGAACTCGTTCTGGAAGAAATGCTCGTATCCCCAGTCCATCAGCATCCTGAAATCAAGCACCCACTGTCCGAAGCAGGTGAACATCGAGTTCGAACCGTAGATGGTAAGCGGAAACCTGGGCCCGTAGAACACTCGGGCATCGTGAGGACCGATATTGAGAGCGAAGAAGGCCAGCTCGCCCGTACACTTCGTGCGATCTCCGATAGTCGCGGCGATGGGCATATTCATCGGCGGACTGAGGCACTCGAGCTGGCCATTCTTGTTGAAGGCCGCGTTACACACCAGTTCAGCGAACCAGACGGTGTCCTTCACGGCACCGCGACTCATATGCTGTGCGGTAATGATCCATGTGTCGTTCAATGATGGATGAGGGATGATGCTGGGATTTGTCGCCTCCAGCTCCCCGAACTTGATCGTGAAGAATTTCTTGTCCGCCCTCGACACCGAGAAGACCTCATGGTGAGTCTGCGAGACGTCTCTCCCGCTCGAAGAGTCGCGATCGAACGGCAGCGAGCCCAGCCCGCCGCGGAGAGACCATCCGGCACCTCTCGAGCTCCCAAAATAGGTGGCGACCACGAAGGTGAGCAGCAAGAAGGACGCTACCGGGAGGAAAAGTCGCTTGAGCCCGCGAACCAACATTGCCTTTGAGCAGGTCGCGAAGATGGCTTCACATCGCTGGATAGATCGAAGGGAGAAGAGAGTAGTTTCTGGTCCAGCTGTTTGAGATTACGGGGTTTATCACCGTCTTGCACGAAACCGCCGTCACAGGCAAAAACCGTCTGATGTCCCCTCGAAACACTCAAAACCAGAAACTTTTCCTCCAGACTTAAAATCCAAGGCATATTACGTGCGCTTCTTTGGTCCGAGGTGTGGTTCGCAGATGGAGTCAGTTCCACGAGGCCAATTGGAGCCTCCAAGTGTTGGATACGAGCTAGGGGTTCCGCAAGCCTGCCAACCTTCTGCGATGTAGCAGCGGGTTGATGGCCTGAGCTAGCAACGATGGACTTGATCGCCAGTGGATAAGGCGGGAAAAAAAGCAATTTATCCCAGACAGCCTCTCGGACTTGTTACTGAATCGATATATAATTTGCACGAAGGCGCGGCGCCTGCAGACCCAAAGTTCATTTCGGTTCGGGGCACCTGGAAGATCTCTATATACAACATTATGATCCTGGATTCGTAACCAACGCTATGAACATGTGAAACTGAAATCTAATAGACGCGGGAGGGATGCAATAGAATATGGGAACACCAAATAGAAAAAATAGAAAAAAGCAAAGGAGAACGGGAAAAACATTTCACATCGCTTTGGCTGATGGAGGGAGGGTCCTGGCGTACGCCCACTGGGCAAATTTCACACTGGGACCATCGAAAAGCTTGGTTACAATCTCCGCTAGCCAGAGTGTGAGCGGCAGGAGAATAAGCTGTGGAGCAAGGAAGCCAACTTCAAGGCCTAGGGGTCCCTTCGTGGTGGGCAAAGGGAAACGGTTGATCCAGCCCGGGATGGTTTTGTGGTGTGAATCCTTCACCCAGCCCACTGCGGTGTAGAGTCGGTCGCCCAGGATCCAGAGAACGGGTCCGTGAACGAGGTAGAGGGCGAACGAGACGCGGCCAAGATACTGGTTGAATCTGAGCTCGAAGAAGCTCTGGAGAGGGCGTATGCGTGAAATGGATGAGACGAGGCATATGGCTGCCCAGAATAGATAGAACCATTTAAAATCAAAAACAGCCTGTGGCTTTAGGTAGGAGAGCCAGTTCCAGCCGGGTGAATGCCGTAGAAGCTCGACATCGAAGCTGTGGGAAGGGCAGCCGCCAAGATACATGCTGATGACGAAAAGGCTGTAAAAGATCGTTTCCTTGTACGGTTGTAGGCGGTAGAAAAATTTCGGGAGGTTGTTGCTTTCCGCAAGCAAATCGAGGTCGCAAAGATGCATGCCGGCGACGAACATGGCGCACAACGCACCGTCTGCAATGTACATGAAGTAGACGAACAGGCCAATCTCGCATAGCAGGCGGGCGTTCCTGGAGGCCTTTGAGAAGGCTAGAAGGGCGGTGTAGATAACAATTGAGCCTTTGAATTCGACTGGAATCGACCATGCGTGAAAGTTGTAATGGAACCAGGGCTCCCCTCCGGTTCTGAAGATGAAGCTGAAGTTCTTCATCTCGCAGTACCACTTCCACAGCTCATCCTTGTAGCTCCCCTGGGCGTCCGGAACTGCCGTTATTCCAAACAGATGCCATATGGTCATGTATATGAATGTCGTGCCCATAACGGGGAGGTAGAGTCGTAGCCATCGTCGAAATAGTGCGGAGGATAGGGTATCTGACAGCTTGATATAATCGCCCGCGTGTATCAAACTCAGAGCTTTCACGGACAGCACATAGCCCGACAGAACGAAGAAGACGCTCACGGCAAAGTGACCACCAGAGAAAAATGTCCGGATTCCAGGCAGCGCAACGAAGTAGTGTTTTTTGTCGTATCCGAAAGCATTCTCGAATATCGGGTTCTGGGATTTCGCATCGTGTGCCCAGAGCTCATGGTGGCCGATATAAACCAGCAGGGCCGCAAATCCTCTGAGCCCGTCGAGATAGCTTGTCCGTCCCATCTGCTTCCGCCGGCCTTTTACCGTCAGAACGGACGGCCGCACGATGTCAAGAAACCATCTTATGCCACGAGCAAGCCGCGATTGCTTCGACTCCGTCGTCGGCTCCTGCCAGTACTGCTTCTCCAATATGTTTCCAGGTAAGGCAGACATCTTTTCCCACAGCCGTTTTGTCCTCCGTCGAAATGTTGAAGTAATTTCCCTAGCGGTCGACCGGGCTCGCAGCTGGGGCGTGGAGAGGGGGAGATATCTTGATCAAGATTAAAAGAGAATGCGGAGGCGTCAAATGGGTTTCCCGCGCAAACCCTTGCTCGATCGATGTCCAGGAGTGGAGAACGGTTGAAAAAGTTGTAGTGACGTATAGATTGAGTAGCAGTTTCAGCGCCAAAAAAAAAAAGCAACGAAAAGTAAAAAGAAAATAATCACAGGCTGCTCGGAAAATGCCGAGGAGTGCCAGATCGACTGACTTAGTGTAAGGGGTTCACATGCCGGGATGTAGTTTTGTACAGTCTCGGACCCCCTTGCCCTGGCCGAGAGGCGACAAGGTATCCCCGGAGCTGCCAGGGAGGGCGTGGTATCCATCCCTGCTATGTGGAGATTGACTTCCCTTGGTACATGGTTTGACTTTTGGCTCCACTCGGTTTTCGCTTTTTGCCTTCCAAACTTTTCAGTTAGTCTAATTGAGCTTATCCCTCGCCATACAAGCGGAAGAATATCAACAGCTTCTCGGCCATAAATCCAAAAAACGGCACTTTTTTGTGGTCGGAATTCGACCGTGGATACGCTGACGGAGTCCGCTTACTTGATTCTTGGACCCCCAGGTATTCATCTTTAACTTGTGAACTCCCCCCTCCCCCCGCACATGGGATAGCCGCTAGTTCTTAAAAAATCACCATGAAGCCTCTCTCTCCTTCTCTGTATCGCACTCCCTCGAGTTTTCGTGCAACGATAGACCACACAATGGGGGCCATCAAGTCCATAGCACCGAAATTCGGAGGGTTCCTGCCGCGGCAGATGAGGAGAGCCCTCCTGGGATGCATCTCCTGCACGATCATTCTTATCTACCTCTCAGTTGCTGGTGCTTTCACCGATTCGAAGAGCGAGCGCCCACAGAGCATCGCTTCCACAATGGAGCGGTTCCCACGAAAAATATGGCAGACATGGAAGGTCGATCCCCTAGATTTCGAGAAACGAGACCTCGACACTGCAAAGAGCTGGGTGTCGAAGAACCCAGAGTACCGATATGAAGTCTTGACGGACCAGAACGACATGTATTATGTCGAAACACATTTTGGCCCGGAAGGGTTCAACCGACCAGACATCGTGGACACATACCGAGCACTCACCGCAAAGATTATCAAAGCCGACCTGCTTAGGTATCTTGTCATGTATGTCGACGGCGGAGTCTACACCGACATCGACGTTGAAGCAATTAGACCAATCAAGCGATTCATCCCAGAACGATATAACGAGAGGGACATCAACATGGTCGTCAGCGTTGAGATTGACGAGCCCAGTTTCAGCGATCATGCAATCTTGGGCCAGAAGTCGAAGTCTTTCTGTCAATGGACATTCATGTGCAAACCCAGACTTCCAGTCATGATGAGACTTGTCGACAACATCCTCAAGTGGCTCAATGGAGTTGCAAAGAAACAAGGAAAGCCTATCTCGGAGATCGTGCTCGACTTTGACGAAGTGATAAGCGGGACTGGTCCCTCAGCTTTCACCTCCGCGATCTTGCAAGAAATGAGCGAGTCTGCCGGCGAGCCTGTGACCTGGGATAGATTCCACGATATGCATGAATCTAAGCTTGTCGGTGGTTTCCTTGTTCTGACCGTTGAGGCATTCGCTGCCGGACAGGGCCACTCAGACTCTGGGAACCATAATGCGCGTGCCGCGCTTGTCAAGCATCACTACCACGCGTCCGAATGGCCTAAGAACCATCCCCGTTTCAACCATCCTGTATATGGCGAGGTAGAGAAATGTAACTGGGACCGTGGTTGCGTTGAAGAGTGGGACAAAAATACGGCTGCCTTCAAGGAGCTGACGCCAGAAGAGCAGGCTAAGAAAATCGCTCTGGCAAAGCTTGAAGTCGACAACCCGCCGCCTAAGATACCTGAAGTGCCAAAATGGAATCAGCCTGGACTGCCTGAGGTACCTGCCGAGCAACCCAAGGACCAGCCGCCGCTCCCTGAAGTGCCACAGCAACCACCGACTCAGGATACGCCCCAGCAGCCACAGACCCAGGAGCAGCCCATATCTCCTAATACTCCCCAGCAGCAGCCACCACCACAGCAGCAGCAGCAACCACCACCACAGCAGCAGCAGCAACCACCACCACAACAGCAGCAGCAACCACCACAGCAACAGCAGCAACCACAGCAACAGCAGCAACCACAGCAACAGCAGCCGCAGCAACCGCTACAGCCACAGCAACCCCGCCAACAGCAGCAACCCAGGCAACAGCAAAAGCCTAATATCCCAGTGCCCAACACCGTTGAGAACCAGAAGGTACCCGCTGGGCAGAAGGGACAGCAAAGGGTGGCCAACGAACAACAGGAGCCTCAACTGCCTAATGTTCCTACATCGGCAGATGAGCCGGAAAAGCTCGAAGATAGCGATCTCAAGGAAATTGCTGATCTTGATAACGAGATTAACAGCCTTGAAGGCTCTGAAACGCAAAAACCCGCGGCTCCCAAGCCTGCTCTTCCTTGAGGTGTGGAGAATAGATTCGGACAATACCCTAGGGCTGGAAAAGGTTGGAGTGCCATTGGCTGTCCTCATATTCTCTTTAAAGGTTGGCTTCCTGTTGTCCTCGGAGGTAGCTTGAAGCTAGTGATGGTGGGATAATATCGGAGGAAATATATATATATATATATATATCCCCGCTCTATGAAGAGTGGACGTGTGGTGTGCAGGCGCTGGCATATTCGCTAGCATGGGATGGCGCGAGACACACTCTTTATCAGCCCGACATACCGACATGGCCGAGTATATTCGAGAAGGACGGTGTTATAGCGGCGTTTATGGGTCATATTGAAGGGAAGCGCGTGACGAATCTGGATACCTAAGACTTTTGTGATTCCTTTCCTTTCCTTTTTTTGGACATTAATAGCGGTTGGTTATGTTTTATGCCGGGGTTTATTAGCACGTTATAGACTATCATTGTCAGTTATCACGGCCCTCAATCAGAAAAATGTTTTATCTTGACGTATATATACTGTGAACCTGTAGCATTGAATATCGAGGTGAAGGGTGCACACCGCATCTTCACAACTTCATCTCCTAGCAGAGTAGGCCGTTTAAAGCCTGTAATTCTGGATAGTCATTGTATCCCAGGGCTCTAGACACACCTGTCCGCTTGAAAATTATCCACTTGCGCCGTAGAGTCTCTGATCCTCGCCGTGGATTAGCTTGTTGTCGTTCATCAGCCCCTTCTATTCTCCAAAAAATGTCGTTGAGCCTGATGGTTTGGTAAGGCTGCTTATGTAATCGGAAATCTCAGGTTCTCATCGAGCCCTTCACTCCCCCGGTTTCTCTCCCTGCAAGGACAGACAAACCGATAACGACAAAGATGATATTACGACGTCTGGCCGTAAGGCAGGGTAAGTTTTTATCAGCTTCCTAGCTGCTCTGTTTTAATTGAGAGACTAACCGCCCATTTGCATGCAGGGCGAGCCTTCCTTCAATGCCCCCGACAACCTTTCGTTCAGTCCAGATTTTTATCCAGCCAAGTTCCAACCCAAACCGCCTCAGCAGATGAATTAAAAACCAGTGAAATAGCACAATTGGAAGAGGAAGTTCCAGAAGATCATGTTCCACCAGGATGGGACGAATACCAAACCAGTGTAGCTGCAAGTACGTACGAGGATAGCCAATTTTTTTTTTTCTGTGGAATCCACGTTAGAAGAGGAGAATATCCGTTCGGGAATGTTCGCTAATCTTACTTTCATTTGGATAGAGAGACAAATGAAGCGACTCGGTTCTGAGGTTCGAGCCGCTTACAGACCCGACAACCTGATAGCTCATCCTCCCCGAGCCTCTGATATCACACTTGAACTCCTTCTCGCATCACAGGCACATATTGGACACTCGACCTCGCTCTGGAATCCCGGAAATTCAGGATATATACATGGTATTCGTGAGGGTGTCCACATAATCTCGCTTGATGCAACTGCAGCCTATTTACGACGCGCAGCCAAGGTCGTCGAGGAAGTCGCTCGAGTAGGGGGTCTTATCTTATTTGTCGGAACGAGGAAGGGCCATAAACGAGCCGTCGTGCGTGCGGCAGAGCTAGCACAGGCTTGCCACGTGTTTGACCGCTGGATCCCAGGAGCTCTCACCAACTCTCTGCAAATCTTGCGTAGATGCGAAGTGAAACTCGTTGATGCAATAGATAGAAACGTTCGGCACGGAGAATTCCAAAAACGAGACCCTAATAGGGCACCGTTAAAACCAGACTTGGTCGTATGCTTTAATCCACTCGAGAACGAGCCTCTGCTCCAAGAATGTGCCGGTATGAACATTCCTACCATCGGAGTTATCGATACCGACGCGGATGCTACTCGTGTTACCTACCCAATTCCTGCCAATGATGATAGTCCCCGATGCATAAGCGTCATCGCAGGTGTATTGGGGAGAGCTGGAGAAGACGGACAGAGGAAGCGCTTGGAACAGTCGGCCAGAGGAGAAATACCTTATAGACTTGTCGACCTAAAAACGCGAGCGGATGGACGGCATTAGGGCCAGACGGTTTCTTGCTTTCCGAGCTAGCAATGTACAATAGCATTCCCTTTTTTTAATATGTTATTATCTTTGATTCTATTTACTACTGGATATACAACTACGGCTTATTTCCCTCCTGGACGCTTACTTTTCCGAGCCGAATCCAAAGGCCCAATTTGGTTGCGTCCCCTGGCAGCGCGTCTCGACAGCCCTCAGTTCGACAAAACAGTTGGATAATGGTTCGAGGGCCTCGCCATCCATCGAACCATAAATCGCACGCAGGGGACCAGGCCTGTACCCCCAAACTCACAAGCATTGCATCCGCGGAGAACCCATTGACTTCCTTTCTAAACTGACTTCCTTTTCTAAACACGTCATAAAGTGCAGGTTTTCTAATATAGCTTATAAGTAGCAGGAGTGACCCAGGATTTCATGCTGGAAACGACACACGGCCCCCTACACATTCAATTGATACTAGTTCAAGCGTTTCTTTTTTTTTCTTGTCTACCGGCCTTCCTAGATCGGATCATACGTGAGAACTATATGATGGAGCTAGGCTACGGTGATCAGGATCTTATCTACGAGGCGGAGGCTAAGAGGCTTGCCGAATCGGCTCCGGTACCCCGACCTATGTGTCTAACGTGCAGCAAACGTCTAGCAGAGGCTTCCATGCTACAATGCCCACTGGCCGACCCTTTGTCAAAGTGTTCTCAGTGTGCAGAAGACAACAAGCCCTGCCACGTCGTTCCCTCGCAATTCCGGGGCGACCTAGAGCGTATCCAAGCTCTGGCACGCGAGTCTCATGTCAGGCCATCCAAACCAGTCTCCAAATTGCTCCAGGAAGCTGTGAAGAAATACGTCACAGAAGTTGAAACATATGAGCGTAAAAAGCCCACGTCAGAAAGATATCAGCCTTACCAGGTGCCCAGACCTACACCTCCGCCGCCTGTGCCGATTCCTTCTCCCGGATGTGCTACCCCTACCGCCACTCCCATGAATTCTCCAGCTTACGCAGAAGGGACCGTAATCGCAAGCGCTCAAGACGTTCAAAATATTAATCGGATGTTGAATAATATCGCGGAATTATTGGCTGAGAGGGTGGACTTACCCCCAGAAGAAGAGGACAGCGTTGGAAAGGATTTTGTCGCAGCCTGGCTAACTGGTAACGGAAATACTACAAACGAGGGACGCATTAACGAAGCTGTGAAACAAAAACGTTGAGGTGTTCTCGTAGTTCCACACACTACATGTGCGATCTACAGGTATGTATACCTGATGATTTTTTATTCTAATACATTGGTATTTTTGAAAATATGGTGCCGCTCGAGTTCATGGGCTGATGCTAGTGTTTAGGGCAATCGCGAAACTTTTTTTTTTTTTAAACCCAGGCCTGTCCCCGATGGTTTTTATCGTACATTCGTTTGCTAGAATTTGCTCCTGCGGACTGCCCGTTCCTCTCGCATATGGTGGACAAGCCTAGTCGTCACGATATGTTTTACTTGCTTTTATTCGAAGATTCACTCACTTGAAAGGCCCCTATTATTACTCTGGTTGTACTCCGTATTTCATCCTTAATTACCCGTTTTTCAGTGTACATCTGATCGCGGGCCGGCCAGCTTTGACCTTTGACCTTTAATAAACTCCTCCCATGATACGAGTAGCGTTTATATTCTATGATCTGCATTTTATACGGCTGTCGTACTGCAGCGTCTCCAGCTTAACGTCGTTTATGTCATAAGTGCATACAATCATCAGTGAAACGCCAGAGCAGATAATGGTTTAATCACGCTCGTATTCAGCCAAATACCATGTAACCCCCTTCCCAGTTACTCAAATATCATGTAGCGGTTTCCCTGACTATCCGTGCCATGTACAAAACAAGGCGCGAAAGAGAAGAAGAGTCGATGTCGCCGTCCCGTAAACAAGTTCGTCGTCCTTATGGTGGAGCAACAATTTAAAGTTGACTTTCCACCTGCGCACAACCTTATTTTAACTCTTTTGGCCACGAGTTTTGTGCCAAGACTTATGCATGAATGCTTTTTGACGCCATGAAAACGCCATTTTTGGCCCAGTCGATGATAATTGCAAGCCTAGTGTTTATTAGCACAGTATGGAGCAGGGGTAACTGATATGGGGCCCTGGGATATCTCTTGATCGTCTTCTGCTCTTTCCGCCGGAGCCTTTGGATACGACCGCCACTTCCACAAAGGTCCGAGTCCATGTGATCACAGTTCACCTCTGGCCCACCCTCAGCCCGTCTTGTTCTTCTTTTGAATTCCCATTCATACGAATTATTACTTACTGACATCATTATATCTCTCACCATGCATCCGATAAAATTCATATCAATGGTCAATATCCAAATTGACAGGTATTCTTCAACACTGAGCTCTATTTTAAATTTGTAAGCTCTCCCTTGAGACGCGCTCGTTCAATCAAAATGTTAACCGTCTAGACAGCCTGCTTTTATCGGCAATCCCTCTTGCATACGTCCCACAATATATTAAGATCAGAAAACGTCAGAACGCCGATGGAATTTCGTTTTTCTTTCTTGTTATACGGGCTATCACCACAAGCGCGAACGCTGCTAACCTGCTCCTGCTAGTGCCAGTATGGCAGGTAGTTTACCTCTGTGAAACGCAGTACTCTGATGGTCGATGCTTCATGGAGATGGTATGGCACTGGCAGTCTATGGCAGATTGGGCTTGTGCGCAAATGATGTAAGTGGCCTCTAGTTTAATACGAAATTCAATATAATTAGCTAAGAATTTTTAATTTAGATTCTTCTTTTCCCTGCCTTACTATCAGCATCGAATCACTATAGCTTCAACTAGTGACTCTCTAAATGGTCAAAGGGGTAGCCCAAAGCGCTATTCAAATAAGTTGACGAGGGCCGCTATTATTTTTGTTATATTTTCCAACTTTATGTTACTAACCTCAACTCTCCTTTACAAGATTCCTCTGACGACGTCATTATTAGGATACCGATTCCTTCTGATATGGCCACTTATTACCAAAGTTATTGCTGCGGTACTTAATCCTATTGCCTTCATACCTCAAATTTATCATACAGTGGCTCTAAAGAAGGTTGGAAGTCTAAGTATCCTCTCTCTAGCCATACAAAGTATTATATACTTCTTTCTAGCGTTATCCTTTGCTATTCGATTTCAGTCTGGGTGGGAAGATTTATCAAGTCGCTATATATATGCTGCCAGTGGCTGGATCAATTATTTTATCACAGGTAGTGGGGAACACATACTTCTAATGTTGTGTGGCTTCTATGCTTACGCAAAACGAGGGATTATCGACGATCCGATAGAAAGGCATGAGCAAGATGGTGACACAGATTCAGACCCAACGGGAAATGTGCCTTTACTACGATAGAGGCGTTAAAGTGCTGCTTGGCAGCACCGACATTGTGGAAGAGGCAAGAAGGAAGGGTTCTATAGCTCGTTACAAATACTATGACTTTATTCGAAATGCACCGAATATAAAATGGACAGCGCCCCATTAAGTAAGTATTCTATGGCTAATTTAACTGCATACTAATATGATCTTAACACTGTTGATCTACACTGTAGCTCTGTAGTCTTCAATCTATTAATAACTTTTTTGGCGCAAGAATGACGCGAACATATATCGAGTGAAATGACAGTAAGTATTGGGTCATACCAGTGCAGCCGCTCCAAGATAGTTCCCAAAAGGAAAACGTCTATCTATCATATATGTAGAGATACACAAACAAATCTAGTAGGGTATCTGGAAGGCAACAAGCATATATAATCGCACAGTGATTGTTGAAACTGTAAAAGCAATATCTCAAGCCCAGTAAACCCAAGGTGCCACAGGGTGTAAACAAACATTGAGTGAAATGCATGCTCTATCCGAGAGCTCTCTTGGTAAGTTCGAAACTAAATAGCCCTGTTAGCAAAATGCTTTTTCAAAAGGAGTTTGTGAACTGTTGTAACACTCACGCCGCGAAAGTGCCCGCTGAAACTGGCCCCGCCCTTAGGAGGGTTGGAGCAATGCCCTTCACGAATCCTCGCATACCCTCCTGTGCAAGAATCTGCCTGAAACAATCTCGCATGCTCTTGTACCTCTGTTGCTCTCCAAATCCGTCGCTCTGCATTTTACTCTTGACGACGTCAAATGGATAACTAGACAGCCAAAGCACCTCGCCGGCCAAGCCACCGTATCCTGCAATTTTCAGGGCCGAAATATCTTCGCGTTTGGTGTTGGTTCGCTTAGCTTCCCAGTCCATCATGTACTCAAAGGAAAGGAACCACATTCCATAAGCTTGCGCTTCACGAAGAATTGTGACCGCTTCTCCTCTATACAGGCCATTGAACACTCCTCCCTGCGACGAGAGCTTCTTTATACAATCCAACGGGCCATTGTATAGCCTTCCTTCGCCGTGAGGCTGTGTTTGAAGTCTGATTCGAACATGTTCGATTGGACCTGAGATTGAAGAGTTGACAATTCCCGCAAAGGCACCGGACATATAATATTGTGGGTAGGATAGGCTGGTATCCTGTTTCCCTTTCTGAGCATTCAGCTTTTCGAATTGTCGGCGTGCTTCATGGAATGCACCGAATTGGACGCTGACCTGTGTAGATATGCTATTAGCGTTGGATCCAGATACGTACGACAAGGGAAAGATGAGCGTACACAAGCACCGATACCTAGTAATGGGGTCAGAGTTCCTTTGTAAAACGCAAATGGACCCTCCTTCGCAAAGATCTTTGTGGCACAATCCAATGCATTGGAGTATTGTGTCGTCGTCTGTAATCGAACCTTGACAATGTCTAGAATATTATAACTTAGCCGATGATTTTATCGCTATGTTTCTCGCCAGGGGTGCAGTCTCATACCGAACGGCTGGCCTATGAAGTAATTTGTCAGTATATGGGCAATCCCAGCGGCAGAACAAGGAACCAACCGAGAAGAACCTGTGCTATGCCTCCTACAGCTCCAGATGCTAAATTCTTGACGGTTTGCATGGAATCCTCCACTTCTACCTGGTGTTCGGCGGCCATTGTGCTGTATTTCTCCGACGGCCGATTAAACCGGGGTAAAGCTACAGCTGCAAGCGGGGAAGAGAGAGTGAGTCAAAGAGTCAACGATTATCTGTCTGCTAACAAATATCAACACAAAGATTGAATGAAAAACACTGCCCTCGCCCAATTGAACAAGCCCGCACCGTCGTGAGTCGAGAAAACGCCGACAGAACCTGAAAAGGCAAAAGGCGGAGGGAAATCCGATGGCGGGAGGAATTATGTAAGCACGGGTTATCTATGGCGCGATAAGCAGATCTTAAGTAAGCAGATCTTAAGTAAGCAGATCTTAAGTAAGCAGATCTTAAGTAAGCGAACTTTATATCTCGGAGTTACCTCGGGCCGGAATAAAGTCTTGGCACCAAAAAGTTCCCTGACCAAAAGTTAACAGCCTTCTGTAGATTATTTGATACCGCGTTGGATAAATAGCACGAAGCTGACAGCATCGCAAACGAGATGCTAGAGTGAAAGGATGCGCCGGCAGTCAATATTGAAGGTGAGACACTGGCTGGATTTGCCCATCTGGCACAATTGTGAGTTGCTGACGGATCCATGCTTAGGGCCTTCGGTGTCGATACTGCTGCTCTCCGGGCAGGCTGTCTTTAGAGCGTATCGGCAACCATGAGCTACTCAGGCGGCAGAGGCGACAGCTAAGTTCGAGTTCTAAAGGCACAGGCGCACCGGACAACAATGACTCCAAGGATAAGCCTCAACCTGCAGGACAAGGGTTTGGGCGTGGATGGGGCGCGCCTTCGTTCGGTGCATCAGTGACTATTACGGCAGCTGAATTGAAGCAGCGAGAAGCCCTTTTAGCAAAGCAGGGCCAGCAACAGTCACCGCATCCCTCGCGAGAGACACGTGGAGTGAGCACTCTGAACTCCTATACATTTCGGGCTGAGGTCACAGACAATAGTTCCTTTAGCTAATAATATATGAAGGATGGTATACAGGACAGAATCACGGCCGCACAGACACAGACATGGAAGTGTACCAACTGCCAAAAAATTAATGCGATGAAATCTATTCTTTGTGTGAACTGTGAAATGAGGCAAATAGTGAGATACCTGGAACCGTCAGTACCTCCTCAACTGGCCGGACAACACGGAACACCGTCAGAAATAAACACTACTTCCAAGCCCGGACGCCGCTCACCTTTTCGTATAACGAGATTTCTGACCGGTGCACCGTCACCCGCTACCTCGATACCGTTGCCTAGAGATCAGTCGAAGGATTGGAAGACTGAGAATGCAAGAGACCAAACCGACCAGCCCTGGTCTAGGCAACAACGCTCCCCCGGACAGGCTGCGGGCAGGCACCACCCATTAAACTCTAGCTCCAACGATGGACCCCACGCAGATTCACAGGAATCGTGGAAAGGTCCCAGGTCGTCTCGATCTTTCAAAATACGGCGGCCAGAATTCGTCTTCGGCGCGCCTCCGGTGAATGATTATAGACCAGCCACTAGCAAGTTGACCCCCTTTATGAATCCCAAAGGGCCATGGGGCCCATCCCAATTTCAAAGCCCCCCAAAGCAGCAGCCAGGTCATAGCTGGGGCTTTCAAAAGGAGACCTTTGGCGCCGATGATACATGGGGATTGTCTGGATTTAGGTCTCTCCCTCAGCAGCCAGGTCATAGCTGGGGCTCTCAAAAGGAAACCTTTGGCGCCGATGATACATGGGGATTGTCTGGATTTAGGTCGCTCCCTCAGCAGCCAGACAGGTCTCTCTCTCAGCAGCCAGACAAGTCTCCCCCTCAGCAGCCAGGCGTAGTACAGCCGGCTGGGAGGCGTTCTGTCGTATCTAAACCCATATGGGACGACATGGGTCTAGATATTCCTACCAACAAGAGTTCATCGACCCCTCAGTCCTTTTCCCAGCGCAATCGTGGGAAAAATGAGGAAACAAAGGATCCAATGCAGTACCAAGATGAGGACGATGATGCCTTATTTAAACCCCGAAAACGGAAGGGTAGACGTGCGGCTTTGGAGGATGACTTCGCCGAATTCAAAAGCAAGCCAAACCGGCGAAACGCGAAATATGAGGATGATTTAGAGCTAGACGAAGAATATGGCACTAATCGACGTAAGCGGAAGCAAGAGAAAAAGAGAGGCGCACAGCGTGTTCAGGAAAATGATGCCTTAACCCCTATTGTGCTTCCGGATTTCATTGCCATTGGGAGCCTGGCAGACGCCATGAATGTCCGCCGTCCCAAGTTTCTCCAACGTCTACGGCAGCTTGGATTTGATGACGTGACGGATGACCATGTCCTCGATTCTGAAACTGCCGGGTTGATTGCTACTGAGTTTAATTTCGAACCTGTTATCGAATCTAACGATATAGATCTGGTTGCAGCCCCGGCTCCTGAGGACACATCTAGCCTACCTCCAAGGCCGCCAGTTGTTACTATAATGGGCCACGTCGACCATGGAAAGACCACTCTTTTGGATTACCTTCGAGAAACGTCTATCGTGGCAACTGAACATGGAGGAATCACTCAACATATTGGCGCATTTTCTGTCTCTATGCCTTCTGGGAAACAAATCACGTTCTTAGACACTCCTGGCCATGCCGCTTTCCTTGAAATGCGAAAACGAGGAGCTGATGTCACTGATATTGTTATTTTGGTTGTTGCAGCTGATGACAGCGTCAAGCCTCAAACAATTGAAGCTATAAAACATGCAAAGGGCGCAGGTGTCCCCATCATCGTTGCAATCAACAAGATTGATAAAGAAGGCGCTGATATCGAAAGAGTCAAACAAGATTTGGCCCGTCATAACATTAGCGTTGAGGATTATGGCGGCGACGTTCAAGCAATTGGGGTTAGTGGGAAAACCGGACAAGGCATGTTGAAATTGGAAGAGGCGGTGATTACACAGGCCGAGATGTTAGACCTTCGAGCTGAGCAGGAATGTAACTTTGAGGGCTGGATTATTGAAGCAGCAACCAAGAAGGGTGGCCGGGCCGCAACGGTACTCGTACGCCAAGGAACACTCCGACCAGGCGACGTTATTGTCGCTGGGACTTCATGGGCTAAGATCCGAACTCTGCGCAATGAAGCCGGTGTACAGGTTACAGAGGCTCTGCCAGGAACACCTGTGGAAGTTGATGGTTGGAAAGATCAGCCAGTAGCCGGATCTGAAGCGTTACAAGCTCCGGATGAGCAACGTGCAAAAGATGTTGTTGAGCTAAGGCTTAACAAAGAAGAAATACAGCGTTTAGGCGGTGATATCGAAGCAATCAATCAATCCCGCCGGCAGGTGCGTGAACAACGGCAACTACAAGCAGCACAAGAAGAGAATAGCGATATAGCAGATAAAACCGCCGACAAGAGCGGCCCCGAACCTATCCCATTCATCGTTAAGGCTGACGTTTCTGGTTCCGCGGAAGCGATTGTCAACTCTGTCTCGGCTATTGGAAATAACGAAGTATATGCCAAAATTCTCCGATTTGGGGTTGGCAAAATTGGAGATTCAGATATCCGACTTGCCTCCGCTGCAAACGCGGACGTTATATCTTTCAACCAGCCTGTTGATTTAGATATCATGAAACTTGCCGTTGCCGAGGGAGTCAATATCTTGAACCATAACATTATCTATGAGCTGATTGATGACGTGAAAATGAAATTGAGCGAACATTTACCCCCTACTGTCATACAGCGCGTGTCTGGAGAAGCAGAGATCGGTGAAATATTCGAAATTAAACTCAAAGGCAAACGAACCACCCCGGTCGCCGGATGCAAAGTCCGAAATGGCGTCATTCATCGCCCTCACAAAGTGAGAGTGTTGAGAGGAAAGAAGGTCATCTATGATGGTAGGGTTCTTCTTCTTTTTTTTTTTTTGCATCTATACCCCTAATCGCAGCTTACTAACTGATATACTTTTTAGGCACTCTATCTTCTCTAAAGAACGTGAAAAAGGACGTGACGGAGATGCGAAAGGGTTCAGAGTGCGGTATGGCATTCGAGGGTTGGACTGACTTCGCCGTTGGCGATGAGATCCAAACATACGAAGTGATTCATGAGAAACGTATTCTTGAATAACTAGAGACATTTTAATGGTGTTGGATGGGCTAAAGTATCCGTTTCCTTTTATCCGCTGTATAACAACTTTGTATAGACCGATCTTGGTAACTGACATGCTACAAGTGGGAGTTTCCTAGAATTGCCCATTTTATAGATATTTTCCCTTCGAGATCTTGTATTATATTATCATCTATGTCATACCCCATCTTAACTCCTGTTTTTATAGCACATTGTACCACCTTTTTCCTTTTTAATGTTCTTACACCGCCTCCTTGAAGTTATCTCATGTCAACTACGGGGTACAAGGCAAACGTATCCCTATCGCCGTATTTAGTAAATCCAAGAAGCTCCAACGTTGATCAGGGTGGCCACATATAATACCCGTTTTTGTTTTAAAATTGCAAATAAGCTATGCATAAAATCCCCAATAACTAAACATCATGTAATCTCCAAGGGAATAACTAGGTACAAAAAAAAAAAGGATGCATGTACGGAGTAGAGCGACAACACAACCTGCATCAGACACAATTCAAAAAACCATGTCCGCCCCGGCTAGGCTAACTTCCTATATTAAATCGTTTCCCCTCTCCCTTTCCCACCAGTCCCTTTTCCTTTTCCTTTACCCATACCAGAGCCCGTTCCCGATCCTGTGCCCCCAGCTTTCTTTCCTCCCGTTTTGGCCTTGGCTGTACGAGCAGGACGTGTCGGTGCCTGAAAGCGACTTAGCAATCTCGTCTCTAGTACGGTTTTTCGTGGCCATGTACATCATAGATAGGCTTCCCACCTTTTTAAATAAAGGCAAAGGTTTTTTTAATTCGGAAGAGCTGCGAAACGTACCTGTTTTTTAGAGCCAGCGCCACGTTTTCCCTTCGCAGGTGCTTTTGGTTTCAAACCCCCAGGCCCTGGGACAGGAGAGCTGGGTAGTGTTGCGGCTGGGGTGCTAATTTGAGTGGGATCGTTTGCCGATGTGATCAATGGTGAATTCATGAATAAATCCGTCGGGGTGGTAATGAGAGATGGATCGATAAAGTTGTTTTTCAGCATGTCTTCATTCTGTGCGTTGAATCGTGCAGCCTCTTCTTCTGTTCCGTTCGCGTGGCTGGTAGGGACAGCATTATTTTCATAGACAGGTGTCCCATTTGGGGTTGGGTAACGTGGGTGTGGAGATTTACTATTAGAACGGCGTGGGTTGGGCCCTTCACGATCAGGGAACTCGACGTTGCGTGGCCCAATTCTAACGTATTTCCCGTTGATAAGTGAATAGGCTGGATCAGTAGCTGGATCAAATGGAGTAGGGGCTTTTGCTATATTTAGACCATCGCCTTGTATAGAGCTTTCTTCAACCTCTTCAGTGTCTGAGTTGCCTGAGCCATCGCAGGATACAGACGAGGGTGCGTCGAATATGTCCATAGCATTGAGGTTACGAAGTAAGGACATGTCAGGCTTCAACCGGGTGATTGCTGAATTAGACAAACCATGTAAGTCTTGCCGGCCAAACCAGTAAACATCAAATTCGTTGGTATGTAGAACTTACCCACGTGTTAGCTCTGCAAAACGAGTTTCTCTTTATCCTTCACTATTGATAACAGAAAGGGTATGGGTATAAAGCGCGGGACTTTACCATAGAATAGAATATGATACGGAAGGACGTAGGAAATTCCGACTTGTCGATTCCTTCTAAAATCTGTAGTTCTATCTTCTTCCTCGATATCTTGTGGGGTTTGCCATCGCTGATTAGTTTGGTGATCGTCCTATTCGCGTGGCCCAGGTATATCTGTGTAAACATATCGGGCTGTATCAAAATAAAGGCATGTTAGCACTATAGGGAGAGCTTAAAGGGATTTGAACAGTCCACTTAGTATAACAAATACCTTTCCAGAAGCAGGACTCATGTTTCCCTGTTAAAGCGAGAGGCTCCCTATAAGGGCAACCGAGCGAAAGACAAGTTTCAAATCCTTAATTAGAGAACGGTGGTCCAGTCTGTATAAATATTGCGTATGGTTTGTTGACGGTAGATCAAACTAGCCGTGGATGTAGAGGACTGATAGCAGGCTGGTAGGTTGAGAAAGTGTCAACCCACAAGATATAAACCTCCACGGTTGATTCCGGCAATCTTGAAGCGGAAACGAAGTAGGTGTAATAAACACACACCGGCCTAGTTAAAAAAAAGAGAGAGGAAGAGGAAAACCATTAGGCACGTGAGAGCAAGATAACACTGTGCTAGTTCCCCTGTGTTATTGTTTGAATAAACACAGAATGTCGCCCAAGTAACCGAGGACGTATGTGTATCCTTTCTTGAGCCTCCTCAGCTGAGTTCCTGTAATAGAGCTTATGGCTCTATAATATAAAATGTCATCGCGTACGCCGTGTATTGAGAGCGGATATCTCCAAAATACTCAGATAAAGGTAAACCAAAGAAACCAATATAAGAAATCAAGCAGGCAGAAAACTGCCTAACTTTCAATAAATTGATGTTAACTCCAAACAAGCTAACGGGCCAAAGTTTGATATAAATGCCAGGTACAGATCAAGGTGTTCGGAAATCTCCCTCTACCGTGACTTCCAACGCAGCCTGCCGGCCCATTTTGCCCATTCCTGCGTATCATCCCTCTCTAATATTGCCTCAACCGTGTGCCAATCCCTAGCCAGTTCCTCATTAGAGGCCATCCTATGCACATAACTATGGCAAGCACGGCACAGCCAGGCAACTCGGTTTAAATCGCACTCTTCATGCCACCCACGTTTCAAGGCTTTGGCGTGAACTGCCCTGGGTATAAGGTGGTGATATGTCAGGGGAATCCAATCTCGTTCACATATCTCACAGGCGGTTGTGCGGGTGGCACTAAAGGGCAGCGGTTTGGCAGTAACAGTAGATGAATACTCTGCAAAGATAGAGGAGAGAATATTTGTAAGGTCGGACGTCTCAGACATCATGCCATAGGTGACTAGAGACTCGGGGACCGATGGGTCGACCAGTGAAGTTAAGAATTCGATAGTGGTCCCTGGCACATTCTCCGCATATTTTTCTGCAAGAACAGGGGAGGCTTGTGTGGCATTGAAAGAGAGCGTTTGCACATCCCTTGGGAATGAGCTGAATATCTCTTGGGCGATGAACTAACAGCCTCATTTAGTACCCAAGATGGTCAAAGAAATCCTCAAGCGAGGACAGATTTGGGACATACGTCAATAAATTCTGCTAGTTCAGCAGGGTCATTGTCTTCAGGGAATGAAGGTTTGCTATGGCGGGTATTGTTGTTGCGTTTTGCATTTCTCCTTCGTCTAGTCAGGCTAGATTTCTCTATTGACCTGTTCAGGATCGACTTCGACACGCACTCCCGAAAGATCTCATAGTTCTCTCTGGTGTCGTCTCCGATGTTCATGATGGCGGATTGATATGGTCACCTCGACTGTTGCTAGGCTTCTGAAATTGTTACTCGAAAGCATCTCAATTTCTTCCCCAGAACACAACCCGAATGAGCGGTATATATAATGATAAAGCCAGGCATTACCTGGGAGTCGCTACCGAAAGCATGGCCTCAGACATTCCCTTTGTGCTATCGATGAAGCCGATATCCAACCTCATTTAGGTGCCCGACGCTGATTCTTAAAGTCGGAGGTGTTTGATAGACGAAATACGAGCTTAGTCATACAGCCACTTTCCTCTTAGGCTGCAGTTTTGGCCAATATGCAATGATATTTGCATCGATTCTCGCCTAGAAAGAATGCGTAGTTTCTGCTATTTCAGTGAGTCAGAGTTATCTTCCTTATCTTCCCAAATGCTACGTGGCTTTAGTCCTCCTCCATGATGTGAAATATGGCAAGAATTTGGGAGAAAGAGAGTAATTTCGGGTTCTATTCAGTCGAGCAACGCAACGATGGACGAACAGAGTGATATGTACGTGAATGCAATGTATATTTTCGGCGTTCAAGGTCGGCTTTACGTCTTCAGATTCAATATACATGGGCACATATCTAAGTCGGTATACGAATGGTGGATGTACCGCTGTTAAATATTTCCGATAATTTCCATATGGTAGAAAGTTCCGGGGTAAGTCAGCGAATAAGTATTCTATCCTCCATTTTCCCCTCCAAAGCAATCCATGGAATGGGACGTCAGAGTGAATATGAAGGAAACAGTTTTATGTATGAGGAAGAAAAAGAGAAAGGAGCAAGTTCGACAGCGAAAATTCAGCTTTTATATGATGTGGTCATGTGACATCGCTCTCCACCCGCCAAACATCGATAAACAACAAGCAGGCAGCGATGATGTAGATATGAGAAGACTACATCCACCAGGGAATAGCAAGACAGTTGATAAAGTGAGCTGGACACAGCTTCAGGATGGCCAGGCTACTCAACTTTCACAGTGCGACCTGGCTGTACCCGATACAGGTGAGTTTACGAATTATCCAGGCTACATCCTATGCTTGCAACTACACAATTACTAACAACCCCGGCAACAGGGGATAGTGTATCTCATCTTTCATCCATTCCTATGGCCTCTCTTTCGGTCTCGTCTGCTGCCTGTAACGCTACTCTCGATATTCATCTACACTATCCTCTTTGTCTTCACATATCTCCCCCAAGTCGCTTTCTTGGCGATCTTCCATGGACCTGGCGCATGGGTTAACGGGGCCATTATCGTCCTAGGAGAAGGAGCTGCGATAGTAGCATTGCTATTTGAAGCCTTCTTCGTCGATGAAGTACAAGTCGACGTCTTCGATGCGGTCTTGCTTTACGAAGCAATGAAAAGGCCTCTTGAAGATCCCACATCAGTGTCGGATCCAACTTCAACCACCGAACCCGCCTCCTCCTTCCGAGATCATATAATTTCAATGATTTCGGAATCTAGAACGTTAGACCTAGCAAACTATTCCAACCCTGTTACTCACAGAATTGAAGACCCCGCAAGATGGCTTGGAAAACCAATACATAGCGCTATATACGCTCCTTTCTCCCTCAGACAAATAGTGGAATTTGTATTCTTCTTGCCGTTAAACTTGATTCCCGTCATAGGAATTCCATTATTCCTGGTTTTGACAGGCTACAGGGCTGGGCCGTTCCATCACTGGAGATACTTCCAACTACGGGATTTTAACAAAAAGGAGAGGAACGAGTATATTCACAGGAGAATGATGAGATATACCTTGTGAGTTCTCCTACATAGATGATTTGCTCGCAAATGAAAACACTATTAACCTAACTAACATTCCATAGGTTCGGTACAATGGCGCTTGTGCTACAGCTTGTCCCTGGGCTATCAATGGTTTTCCTTCTAACCACTGCCGCTGGCTCGGCGCTGTGGGCAAAAGATATGGAACAACGGAGATGGCTTATATCTCTAGGTACCATGGACAACGATGGCCATAACAACGATAGGCCAGATAATCAATACCACGATAACCCGGTATAGAGGCTTGTATAGAGGCTTCATCATTTTGGTATAATGTAGATTGGATTCCTGGAATGTTGAATATATATGACGATACTATTGGGTTTAGTTTTACTTTTGTCTGGCGCTTTATGAATGATACCAATCTTAGCAATACTCCTGAGTCCTCCCTGCTCTCCTCCCTGTTTTTCCCTACCCTTCCCTGCCCTTCCCTGCCCTCCTGCTCTGCTTTGCTCTTCCTTGTCCTCGCCGGCGCTTACAGTTAGATATATCACGTGATATTGAACTTGTTTCATCCGCTGACCAATCATCACGCATGCTGGGGAAACCTCCATCCATGTTTGAAGCAAGCAAGCAAAAGATATCGAGACCGGACATCCAACCGTTTACCGCCGAACATTTCAACTTAAAGCACTTCAGACGGGTTAGAGACTGAACTATATATACCAACCAGTACGCTGATGGCATTCCCCTGGAACCCAGACACAACATGCTCAAAGGGCCGACTACTCCTGGTTTTAACTCCCAAACCAGGAGTATGGAAATGACTCCAAGCAATGCTGTTTACCAGCGCGCTTCGCCGTGGAGCGGGATTTCTTTTTCTCGTTTGCTGAAGCCAGGCAGAATGTATACTTAAGCTTCAGCAAATCCGTCTCTTCTCTATTCTTTCATCTGTATTTTCGCCACTTTTCTGCTTCATTCGCATCCCAAGGTCTTTGTCTGTGACAAACTTCCTGCTTTTATTTCTTGTTATGCTCTTTTGACCCGAATAATAATCCATTTAAAAATCATATTCTCCCACCGTCACTTTTTAAGGCCTTATTTTATTTTACCTTTCGATTCCTTTTGGATCTTTGACACCAAAAAAATATACACGGACAAGATGCGCAGCCTACAGTTTATTACAGGCATAATATCCCTTGCCCTGTCGTCCCACGTCTCCTCTAGTCCAATTTATCATGTTCGACGAGATGAGCTTCTCAATCGGGGCTTATACTCTTCCTCTGCTCAAGATGCAGCCGTCGTGACGCTCACTGTCACTCCCACAGTCGCTGGCTCGACTGTTCCTGTGACAATGTGTGTCGAGCTACAGGGGACGGTGAATACCGATGCCCCTTCAGTAGTCTCTTGCCCGACAACGACTTCTAGTGTGATTCCGGATTCCACGTCCACTACCATCCCAACTACTTCGTTATCCTCGCCGCCAAAAAATGGGACTGGGAATGTTCCTGCAATTGGAATTGGAACTGGAAATCCTCCACTTTCTCTTCTATACTCATCATCTTGGTACAATTATCCTACTCCAACTTCCAGCTCAAGTTCAAGCAGCAATCACGCTTCGGCTTCAACTCCTACTACGCTACCTTCTACGTCCTTGGTCTCCAGCTCGACAACGTCAGGCCTTGCCTCAAGCATCATCTCAAGCCATTCCACATCTACCGCTAGTTTACCGGGTACTACAACCTTGCAGTACTCTACAATGCTCAGTAGCGAACCTGTTCAAGTGACCAAGGACCCCAACAGCAGCACCGTGTCTACCCCGGCGCAACCTCAACCCACTACGATCTTTGATACAACTACCAGGACAGTTTATGTACCATTCCCTAGCACAGAAGGCACCACGCCAGAGCCTACTACTATTCAAACCACTGAACCCTCCACCACGTACTCTAATTGGAATTCCACCCTTCCATCCTTCACCACGATTACGAAATCGTCTTTTACTACTATCACAACATCAGCTACACAGTCATCGTTACCTCCTGTTTATTCGTACTCCACCCTCCCGTCCTTTACTACGATTCCAAAGTCGACTACACAGTCTTCAGCTCCAGCTTCAACCGCATCTTTAACCGCATCTTCAACCGCATCTTCAACTTCATCTTCAACTTCATCTTCAACTTCCTCAACTACATCCTTGACTTCATCTTCAACTTCATCCTTAACTTCCTCAACTGCATCCTTCACTTCATCCCCAACTTCGCCCATTTATTCGCCTACCAGCTTAACACCATTACCCCCATCAACTACCCTGCCCCCAGTCATTTTAACAACCTCAACTAGTAGCATTTCTTCATCTACCTCTGTTCCTGCCACCCAACTACCAACAATGACGTATCCGTCACCCAGCATCAGCTTGCCATCATTTACTACAATTTCGCCTCCGTCAACTACTTCTCAGGTTTCCTCTTCAACCTATGCCCCAGCTCCTCCACCAGCTGAAACTCTAACAACTTCCAACACTGACCCCATCCTCGTAATCCCTGTGACGGATCCAACGCCAATCCCTACGGGCATCGAGCTCATACCACTAGGTTCGGGACACGGAAATACCTATATACCTCCCGTCTAAAACACTATCTACTTTTCCAACAACACGCATATATACGCTCCTTTCATGCAGTTTATCTTGTTGGCTTGTATTTCTCAACTTTTATATACCTTATATCATCTATATACTGTTATTTAACCTATGCATCTCCTTAATAGACCACTCCAGGAATCAGACCATGTACATACAAAAGGAACACTCCTTAGCAATAAGATTTTTACAAAATTTAATTTTCATTTCATCACAAAAGCAAAGAAAGTAACTAAAACTAGGCTTCAAGACTATCATCCACCGTTAACTCTTGGCTTGTTTTGGACATTTTACCCTCCGATTGGGGGATACAGTATAAATATAGACCATGTAGCTCTAAGACGGATAATATACTCTATTAGGCTAAAAGCGTCAAGAGCGAGTAGTAACCCGAAGAATCAGACGAAAGGAGGAGAACTGAAACACCAAGCAGAGAGAGCGCGGGCATAAGGACAGGAAGATAGGTAAAGAACATTCATTCACGCTCAAAATGTGACATTAGATTATATCAAATTACTCTTGGACATATGCAATATATACCATGCAACCCATCTCCGCCTCACTGGGTCAAAAAAAAATTTGAGAAATTGACATGATAACCCAAAATAAATATATATAAAATAGTAAGTAACCAAGTAAAAAGGTCCCTAAACTGCAACCTTAAATGAGGGCCCAATACCTTCAAAGGCAGAAATTTTCCCAGTAACAGGTGCCTTCGAGTCTCCATAATAATGAAGACGGTATGTTCCGCTCTCGAGCTTCTTCTTGTTTCCGATAGAGTAGTAATCGTCTTCGATTTGCCATTCGAGAGTAACCTCGCTAGTTCCGATGATGGCGCCAATGCGTTTCCAGCGGTATACCAAGTTCCAGTCAGCGTCGGTACGGACAACTTCCCAATTGTTGGTGTTGGGAACTTGACGCTCTACGGCGGTGAAGGTCTTTTCCAGCCTGAAGTTGTTACGTGGGTTGGCGCCGACGAATGTGGTGCTGACTGTCTCGCCGGGGTGGAAGGTTTTGCCCTTTTCTGGCCCGTTGACGACGTCGCCGAATTTCTTGCCGACGCCGGGGTTGTCCAGGACCACACCGGTGATGAAGCTAAGGGACTTTTCAGTGTTGATTGGTGGAGATGGACCTGGAGCAGGGCGCTCGTTGGAGCTCGAGGATAGGTATGGTAGGTAGGTGAGGGTGAGGTTGACGTGGGCGGCGAGGGTGTTTGGGCCGTGTAGTGTAGAGCCACCCTCGTAACGCTGGATGCCGTACTCTTCCTCAGTGGTGACGTAGTGGCAGTAGGTGTTTGATGGTGCACCTAGGACGACGAGCGGGTTGCTAATGCCCAGGACATCCTTTGCGGCAGTTGCAATTGCTTGTTTCCATCTTCGGCCGGCCATGGTGGTAACTTCAGGGGAGGCAACGATGATGAGCAATGGCCCGGCTCGGAGCACCTGGATGTCAATGATGTTGGCAGTCCAGGCATAAGGGAAGGTCAAATCGCCGACATCGAGGAGAATCTTCTTAGGCTTTTGGCAGGCCTGCTGTTCCTTGGTGGGGGCGTGGAGGAAGTCTCGCGCAATGTACCAGATCGGATTCATTGTGCCAGGCGAATCAGTGCCGTTCTGGGTGAAGTCGAATTTTCCTGGGCCGTCAGTCGTGCCGCCAGCAAAGGAGAAGCCCAAGGCTGCCGAGCAGGTAGACAAAGTCTTGCGGGGGTTGAATGGCGACGGGAAGGTGTATCCGTCGAAGTTTTGGAAAACGTGGAATGCCTTGACTGCGGAGTTGTCCGTGAGCTTCTTCGCGGAGGTATCCATTTTGTCATAAACGCTCTTCGCGGCATTATATTGTCGACGTCCAATTTCGAAGCAACTCTTGGTTCCCTGGTCCAGCTCGCGGTAATAGGGACCACGTCCATGGCACTTTGCAGTCTTTCCATCACAGGTACTATCTTCCTATTCGAGAGTGTTAGCTATCAGGCTCAGCTCGATGGGGAAATGCGGAAACCATTACAAATTTGCAATCCAAACCGGTATCTTCACAGAAGGGTCCCATCGTGTTGGGAGACGTATCTCCAACAGAGGACTGAGAAAATCCAGCAACAAAGCCGTCTGCAAACCGGTCGTCGCCTCGAGCACTTCTTTCAAACAGGTAAGCTGCAACACCCTTGTTGTCACCTGCGACGAGAGTGTTATTTCCGAACAGAGAGGTTCCGTGGACGGAATAGAAGGTCAGCACGCCTGTAGTCTTGCCATCCGATTTACGGTCAAACCGCAAAAGACTCATCGTCTTGTCGGTGTCATATTGGTATCGTTTCCTCTCATCTTCAGGGTTGGCCATGTATGAATATGGACTCCTGTTGATGTTGCCGTCTACAAGCTCGGTGGAATCGAAGCTCAAACGACCAGGGGCTCTGGCTTCATGAGCCCTCTTGATGGAAAGAAGAACGCCGTCAACAATGGCTTGGTAGCTCGCCTTGTCGAAACCCGAGCTGGGGATCTGTGGCAGCAGGTAGTTGAGCCAGGCACCAGGTCCAGCATGCGAATGGGTTCCAGACAGAGCAATATTGTGTGCTCCGTAGCGAGCGTACTCGGGTCCCATGGAAGCAAGTCCCTTGATGACGCCATCTCGCACGGCGGTATCACCAGCAGCGAGATCAGTAACGATATAAGCGAAGGTATCTTCAGGCTTATTGGGGTTTTCAATGATAAATGTGCGAGAGTAAAGACGCTGACGGAGGCCAGTTCCCTTTTGCTCAGAGTCCGCAAACCCCATAAACGTAATCTCTACGACAGGTCTGTAATAATGATATCAGTACTGAAAGTTAAGATATCTAAGGGTAACCGAGTTTCCCGTACCCTGTAACATCGGCCTTTCCAACGCCAAGGTTGAATATATCGCCATCCTGGGCCGTTGCCCTGCTGGCAGGGGCTTGCTCGACCGGCACTGAACGTCCAAACTGAAGTGGCTGACGGGAGCCCTGGAAGTTGAAGGCAAGCTGGAGGGCCAAGATGACGCCCAAGAGGACGCCAAAGACCCCGATCACCGTGCCAGCGCGTGGCATCTTTGCAGCAGCGAGCCCAGAAGCAGTATCCGGGAGGAAAAAGAAAAGGGGACGAGGCTCAACGTTTAAACGTTTCAAGAAGCGCGGGTGTCCTTGCTGCCGGAGAAGCAAGAATCGTCGTCACCTGAACGCCTGTCTTCGAAACAACAGCAGGTATATATATCAATTTCCCAGTCTCGGGGGAGGGAGACTGGACGAAACCGAAGGCCCTTTATACGGGGTATCCTAAGATACCCCTGACGAGAGGGTCTATACGTGCGGAAACTTATGCGGGGGAGATCACAATCAACAGGTGGGCCAAAGCCACCCCACGGCTCTTCAGGAAACGAGAACGACCTGCAGGTATTTTAGCTTCTAGCTAGCAGCGATCTTTGTGTGCGCTGGCCGGCGTGATTGTCCCAGCTCGACCTCGAGCTCCGATGCCTGTCGTCTTGTCCGGGCATCTGATCTCGAGAATGACGCCGGGGCGAACTCTGCAATGCAAGATTTCAGGGTTCGTCGAAAGTTGGCGTGGAGGTTGGAAAAGAAGTCGCCGGGCGGTCAAACGGACGGAGCACGTGAAAGCTCGGCAGAAAAGAAGAAAATCAAGACCCCGTGACTTGATCGCCGTGACATGTTTCCTTTTTGGGTAAGACGAGCGGGTGTTAGTCAGTTGTTAGTCATCTGTCTTCTTTGGGTTAGCATGACACGTGATATATGCCAAGATATAGAGAAGAGGAAATCGCGATAGAAGAAGACAAGAAGAGACAACAAAGAAGAGAAGAAGAAGAAGAAGAAGAAGAAGAAGAAGAAAAGAAAAGAAGGGAAGAAGAGAACATGTCACTCAATGAGACGCATGACTCGCTGCCATGTATGTATAACCCCCCCTGATACAGACATTTGCTTACGTTCTAGACATCGACGAGGACGTCACGCCGCAAGTCCGCGCAGAGCTCAGCAGACTCGTCGAAGCTGAGCTCCCCCAGAACTACCAGTCGACCCTTCACCCGTCGCTGCCAGAGCTGCCACAGTCTAGATTCTCCCCGCTGATAGAGCAGGAACTAGAGAGAAAGGCCAGGAATGAGCCCATCTCCGGCGGGATCGATCTTTCGCGCTACGAGGCGCCAGAGATACCTGCTTCCTCGACAGACCCAAACGCAGACCCGGCCACCGTGTTAGACGACTGGCGACAGACCCTGCGACGCGCATACGCCGCCCATCTACACCTCTCCACCCGGCAGGAGAATCTCGCTCTGCTAGAGGCCCACGGCAAAAATGCTTGGTTGATCGGCAACTCGCAGCTTGAAGATATCTTGCGGCGCGCAGAGAAGGAGCTACATGACACCACCGAGGCCACCGAGGCCGTCAACAGGGAGAGGAAGCTGAAGCAAGAGAGCGTCAAGGGTGAACTGATGGCGTTGGACGAGACGTGGAGACGCGGAGTGAGCGGAACGTTGGATGTTGAGATTGCAGCCGAGAATCTCAGGCGGGAAATACTGGATATGAGGCGCCAGCAGGCACAGTCTTAAGAGCAACGAAGGAACGAGCACAGAGAACAGTACGATATCCCCAAAGACCGCATAACTGAAGGTCAGGGCAGGAACTACGTTAGGGCGCTCCCTAAAAATACACACCTGCAACCCAAAAGAGGCCTGTTGGCCAAGGCCTACATTCACCGGCGAAACTACTCCGTACAGCAATGAACGTATCCGGTTCATCCGAAGGATCACACGTCCACTAGCTCATCGTTGCCGGTCAGGGCTATATGAAACAGGACGTTGGAAGCCCTGAGCAATATAACTATGCACAACATCATGAATAAACCGAGTTGGCCACCGAATGTATAATGAAGCATAATATCATGGTTCTTACTAATAACCCTATTTTTATCTTTACAATCATAGTCTACTTGTATTTACGACGCGCACTGGGAAATATTCCGCGTCTGAAGAGATCAACCATCAGAGTGAGACCAGGCTGAAGCTCGTCCAGCCAATCCGCTGCTCTGGCCTGTTGGTCCAGGGATAACGCGCGTTAAATAAGCACCGGCACCCGTGCCTATTGGCGCCGAGCTGAAGGGGCTAAGATAGCGGCCGCTATGATGCAGCCTGTGGCCGTTCATGGAGCCATTCCTGCGTTGGTGTTGGATGTCCATACTCGTCACCAGCAGGGATTCCGGCGGGCTTCCGTACGCCGTCGTCTCTTGCGATGATACTCTCCACGATGTGCTCATGATATGTTCATGGTGTGTCCATGAAAAGTTGCCAGAAGAGGTGTATCTCCCTGTTGTAGTTACGAGATATTCACTCCACCCCGGCCGCGAAGGAACAACAGCCAATACTGCGACCTGAACGGTTTCGGATTTTTATCCAAGTGATTCGTAGTCCCACCATGTGGCGGTTGATGCATGCACGATGTATGCACTTATGTATACACAGCCGGGTGTCTAACTGAGACATCACTTGCCATCGATCTTTTCCCCTCAACTCATGGAAAAATGATTGATCCTGCTTTCCATTTCTCTTTCGCCGGTTACTGAGCGGTGGTCTATCCCATCATACCTCCTTGTATCTTCTTTCACGCCCTATTACGTTGCTCAAAGGACGTCTTTGTTGAGAGTGTTTCACCGAGAAACCTGGAACTCTCCCAAAGTCTGCCCTCCGGTTTTTTGGACTCTCTACTGCGAAAATATTCTACAATCTCAAACTCACTCTGGCCATGCTGGTTTGTGGTTACTGTTGGTAGAGAATAAGATGTCGGCGTCGATGGCTATCGATCGAATATTCAAGTCGGCGTCCATGACATATATTCTACTCATATTACTAGTTGGATTACAACCGAATATACATGCTCATGCAAGAGCATTATCAAGGCGGGACAATAGCCCAACAGACGTCTGTAAAAGATGGTCTCAGCAGACAGCCATCGTTAATGGAACACTATACATATATGGCGGCCGGTCGACGACAGATGCCAGCCAGAACGATAAAACTTGGAGTAGGATATTTCTTCCCTTATCACCATTCTTTCGATACTAACATTTTACCCCTTAGATGACAACTTTCTCACTCTTGACCTAAAGTCAAGCTGGGGAATCTCGGCGCCAAAGTTGACCGGGCTTCCTCGCCCAGACAACGGTCCTCCACCCGTCTCGAACGGATATCTGTGGAACTCCTATAGCTCACTCTTCCTATATGGAGGAGAGTTTTCAGATAACCCTCCGACAGACCCGGTTGACTTTAGCCTATGGGAATATAACATCCCTTCGTCGTCGTGGATAGAACATAAGAGTCCGAAGACTTCGTCCGGGGATAATTCCGACGCGAGTAATATACCAGTGCAACGGTCGGCCGAGGGAGCCGGTATAAACGTCCCAGATCTAGGGAGAGGGTGGTACTTTGGCGGCCATCTCGATGGATATACTACCAAGGGCTGGTCGCAGTCGGTTCCAAGGGTATATCTCAAGTCGATGATCGAGTATACCTTCCCAGGGTTCGCCAATAGCGGAGTCAAAATCGACACAGCTGATAAACGGGCCGGTCCTGAAGGCGCCTGGCGGAATATAACCGAAGGAGGGCTACAGGACTCTGCGGGGTTCACTGAACGCGCTGACGGAGTGTTGGTGTATATACCGGGTTTTGGTAAAGAGGGCATCATTCTCGGTCTGGCTGGTGGTACAAACGCTAAATTTGTAAGAACCCCATGATAATCTTCCTCGCACCCTTTATTTTTTCTCCAGCTGACCCGATGGCTAATAATTTGTTTTTTGTCTGGATTTTCTAGACCCAGATGAATGTTATCGACGTGTTTGATATTGCAAGTTCAAAATGGTACAAGCAAGCAACAAACGGGGAAACACCCAGTATCAGAGTAAACCCGTGCGCTGTTGCTGCATCAGCAGCTGATGGAAGTAGCACACAGGTTTACCTGTTTGGCGGGCAAAACCTGATCCCCTACGGAAGTCAAGTTCAGTATGATGACATGTGGATTTTGTCGATTCCTAGTTTCACCTGGATAAAGGCCGATACGGGCGGTCAATCGGTTCCTCCCGCCAGAGCCGGACATACGTGTAATATATGGAACTCCCAGATTATTGTGACCGGAGGCTATGTGGGACAAGATCTGAGCTGTGATAGTCCTGGTATATACGTATTCGATGCGTCGGAGTTGAAATGGAACAACGAATATACAGCTCTCAAGGGTGGGAATGACTTGAACCAACAGGCGTCCCAGACACGCGATGGCAGTGGCCTAGGGGGTAGTTATGGCTATCGGGTCCCGAAAGTGGTTCAATCAGTAATAGGAGGAGACGACACCGGGAAAGCTACTCAGACTGTCCCTGCCATGGCACCAACTGATGGACCTCTAGCCACTGGCCAACCTCTCACGTACACCATCCTCCCAACTGCAACCGGGGGACCGTACCCAGGGGGTTCGAACGGACGCGGCAACGATGGTCCTAACGTCGCTGCCATCGTTGCTGGGGTTATCGCTGGCTGCCTCGCGATACTGGCGATATACCTTGGTTTCGTCACCTGGCTCTATCGCAGACGACTAGCAATCTATAAAAGCCACATTGCCGCGACTCAGCGCTCCTCAATGGGGAGCGGATATGGTGACAAAATATCTTCCTTCCCGCCTCGATATTCAGACCACATGAGCAGCACTGGACTAGGGGCCAGCGGATCAAGTGGTAACTTAACTGCTACCACAGCCGCAACGGCTGCTGCGCGTTCATCGTGGGTGGGCAGCGATTATCACCATCACAAGCATACCAGAAGCAGCAGCGGTGGTAACCTCGAACCCCTACAACAACCAGGCCCATCGGCTAGTAGCAGTGTAGAAGATCTACTCGCTGGGCAAGAACCGACATTCCTAGGCGTCATGTTGAACCCCCGGCAAACTTTGAGAGTTATCAACCAGTGATTTACCCAAGTGCCTCTTCGATATGCCTATTTATGGTGTTCATACGGCTCTATTTCAGCAACCCCATCCTTCTAGGAGAAGACTGTACGATTGCCAGGTCTAAATGATAATGCACGAGAGTTGCAAGCATGCTCTGTTTCATTGACTTATTGATACCCATAATTTACTCTGTACTTTTTGCTATTTGCAGCCACAGTTTTTTTCCCTGTTACACTCCAGCCTATTTAATTGTAAATGCTCCTGGTGACGTGGGGGGTAGATGGGTTTCTATTTCCTTGTTTACAGTATAATATCTGCATTGATGACCTGACTAACTATAAATAACATCCATTCGATTATACGTGTTTGTAGCAATATGCGCCGTGTAAGGTTAACATCATGCGACAGACGTCTTATCTCATTACACAGCATAGTGTCAACGGGCCCCTATATCATCCCTTCTGATATAATCCCGAGGGTTAGTGAAGAGGAGTGAGGCTGACGTATTCACACCCATAACTATTTGAGATATTGGAGCGTACAAAAGTAGGAACCTCCTGTGTCTGCATCGGAAAAACCTCCCACGGCCTTAACTCTAGAAAATATGTGTATGTTTGCTTGTTGTGCGTTGTCCGCCAATGGAGCTGGTATAGGTAGTATTATTCTGGTTTCTTGCGTTCTTGGAGATTAACCGCCATTAACCCTCATATCAACTTGTTGCATATCATGCAGGATCCTCTCATACTCTCCGATTCGAACTGGTCCAGCTGGTAAAACCATCATAGCCTGAATGTATACAGGTCGGTCTATTTTATTCTGTCCTCCCTCGCCATTTCTGCTACTGGCATGCTCATTTTTTTTCTTCTTCCTGGTATCGCCGTAAGAGGTGCCCTCACGTATATATCCAAAGATGTTGAGCCATGACCCGATTTGAACACTAGTATGGTTGATATCTCCAAGTAGTAGGTTTATATCAACCTCTACACTGGTAGATTTCTGGCTTTGAGCATTTCGCCCGTCGACATTGTAATTGTGATCAAGAGTCAGGCGACCAGTGGCGGAATTATATCTCGAGACACTATGCGTGTGTTATTACTAGCTTCCTATCAATTACCACGCATGGGATCACACACCAGCCTAAGAATCGGATCTTGTAATCGACGGGGTAGTTTGGAATCTGTGAGAGAAATACCAGCTTCGTCGGGAGAGGGCCCGGGATATCTTGGTTCATCCCAAACGTCGTTCTAATACCACTGCAAGAATATTCTCATCATCTGTCCTGTTCTTCAAGCGTTGGTGAAGTGGAAGTAGTAGACGTCCCAAAACGGCTATCGATAATGATGACTAAGGCGGAATCCATGTGACTAACCACGTGATATCGTCTTTTGGCCATGTTCGATGTCGTAAGTCGAAGAGAACAAAAACGAAGCAACGATAATATCACTGCCTAACGACGTCTGCAAGCCGCCTGCAGGGTACCAGCAAGCGTATATACGCCTTATCGCCTCTCTATACTTGACCTGTCCGTCCCTTGGATTCTTGACCGCCTACCGCCTTCTCCACGAGCTTAATTTACGACGCTGACGGCCACCCCGCATCCCCGTTCTACGGCTGTGCTATCTCCTGCTGGTCGTTGAACAGGCATCAATATCTGCTTGGGGTAGCTCTTTGGCGGAAAGAGACGCATATATCTCGATTTCGAAGCTGCCCGTTGCCTCATAGCTCTGTTGCCGTTCCAACCAGCTAGGCACCTATAATACTCAGTCTCGTCATATTTCACCCTCTTCGATTTTAAGCGGTGCTATACATCCCATCGAGTAACCATGTGGTCGTGGTTTGGTGGTGCGGCGGCGCAGAAGAGGAAAGATGTTCCTAAAAATGCCATCCTCTCCCTACGGGAGCAGCTTGACATGCTGCAAAAGCGGGAGAAGCATCTACAAAACCAGATGGACGAACAGGAAGCTATAGCGAGGAAGAATGTAACGCTCAACAAAAATGGTATGCCTTTTCATTTTCAAGGTTTAGATCCACTGTTCCCCGCCAGAGAGATCCCCCGGTTATTCAATGATATATCATCGATATAATATCTAACTGTGAAGGATAGCCGCCAAGACTGCCTTACGGCGGAAGAAAGTCCACGAACGATCCCTTGACCAGACGAGTGCTCAGATTCTACAGCTCGAGCAGCAGATATACTCCATCGAATCTGCCAATATCAACCACGAAACATTCAACGCCATGAAGAATGCTAAGACTGCCATGGAACAGATACACAAGGGCCTCACCATAGAAGCAGTCGACCAAACAATGTTGGTACCAATCTTTATCATCGTCATTCTATGTTACAAGGTACTGACGCCATTTTTCTACTCAACAGGGGCGAACTGCAAGATCAGCACGCTCTCAGCGAAGAGATTGTCAACGCAATTACAAACGCTCCTATCGGCGAGCCGATCGATGAGACTGATCTAGAGACCGAACTGGATGCTCTAGAACAAGAACAGATTGACAATAGAATGATAGGCACTGGTACAGTACCTGTTGGAGATAGGATTGATAGACTACCTTCCGTCGCAAATGGAGCGAGTAAGTCCACCAACCGCCAAATCCATATACCTGAAATGAAAGTTATGTCTAATCACTGTTTTCCGATATAGTCAAAGAAAGGCCCAAGGTTCAGACCGAGGAAGAAGACGAAGAGGCCGAATTAGAGAAATTAAGAGCCGAAATGGCCATGTGAGCAATTATCATCAACATCGACTGAAAGTGATATGAGAGAAACGAAGGATGAAAGAAACTAGGAAAGCGAGCATCTACTTCACTTATTATGGGAACTGGCGTCCGGAGGGAAGGGAATAGCTTTCTTTGTTCTTTTATATCTTATTTGTTTTTTTGTTGAATACCTATAACAGTCTCCTCGTTTCACTCTCGTCTTATCGGCACCTGGATAGCCCTTGCTCTGCTGCATACATACATACTGTCTCTCATTGTACTACTCCATTGTAATTTTCTCGCCACCCTGATTTTGCATGCTGTATTTTTTATCCCTTAGCTAACTAGTTAACCATATTACAAGACTTGCTTAATGAACAGGGTCACAGTCATTGACTTGGATCTGAAAATGATTTATATTCACTATTTAAAACCAGGCATGGCAGCAAGTAAGCAGGAGGTAGCAGGGTTCGAACAATAACCCGGATACCCTTTATTAAGTAACGAGAGACCTAGCAGGAAATATATATTTTCCGTCACAGATGCGCTGGGGGATCGATATATCAGACGAAAACGAGATAAAGACGTCTAGAATGCACGACCCGCGGCGCCACGACACGGTCACTTAGTACCGGCCAAAAACCAGGTGTCCAGGGAAAATCAAAACGCCCATGATGGAAATAAGAAAGATCTTTTTTGATAGTAGGAAAGCGTTTCGCATCATTCGTATACTTTTGCACATTGTGCATGCATGGTTATGGGCGTGGGTATGTATATGTTGGTAGGTAGGTAGGTAGGTAAAGAGGTACGGTAGATATGATGTGTGTGTATAGGTTGGATAATTCAATCATAAAACATATTCCCCAATAATCTATCTAGTTCCAAGCCTGGCCACTAGCTATATAGCTAGTCTATTAATCCTGGCCATTAAGACTACCAATGATACCCCTTAGAGCGTCAATAATTACCGATTCATCCTTTGTTTCGCCGCCTGGGAACGAGCTTTCCTTTGCGCCGTGGAGGACCCTATCTCGCGCACTGCGGAGGACTTTGCGGATGTAGTCTTTATCCTCGTAATCGTCTATGAGGACTGCCTCGAAGTTGTCGATTGCTTGGTTAGCGCGGGCGAGGAAGGCGGGGTCCATGCCTGATTTTTGAGGTGCGGGAGTAGTGGGTGGAGCTGAAGCTGGGGCGGGTGACGGAGTTGTTGTTGAGACTGGATGATTGGGTTGGGGTATAGGTGCGGATGAGACGGGGGGAGGATGTGATGGTTGCGCCTGGGTTTGGGCTGGCGGGGGGTGTTGTGGTGGTGGTTGTGGAGGGCGATGAGGCTGATTATGGTTTGGCGGGAGTATTTGATTGTGGAACCTATATTGGTTTGGAGGATGGGGTTGTACTTGGTGTTGCGGTTGTGGAGGCGGTTGAGGATGATGTGGTTGCTGAGATTGCTGTGGCTGTTGCAACCTTGCCTGCTGTTGATGTGCTGGTGGATGAGTGGGAGGAGGCGGGTGCGGTTGTATTGGTTGTTGATGGGATGGCCGTTGCTGTGGCGGAGCAATGATATATGGAGAGCGGTATGGAGCGAAGTTCAATGCAGAAAGAGCTGGGGGAAGACTTTTCAACAACTGTGGCGGCAGCATAGGGGCCGATGGAGCTGGCGGTGCAGCTACGGCAGCTGGAGGAGGAGGGAGAGGGGGAGGTTTGGCTGCTGCTACGGGTTGAGATGGCGGTGCAGCTGGAGGCGGAGGTAGAGGAGTCTGTTGCTGCTGAGGAGGAGGTGGATATTGAGTGTTTGCCGGAGGTGGATAAGGAGGGTATTGACGACGATTGAACTGAGCTGGAGGAGCAATGTAGGGAGCTCCAGGCCCAGTATTGGGCGGTAGAAACCGTTGCTGGCTGTTGTTGGATACATCTTGGACTGGTGGAGGCGATGGACGACGCTTCTTCTCCTTATCCACAGATGCGCCTGGTAGGAGTTTCCACGACCATCCTTTCCCATCTCGCTCAGCGTGCATGAACAGATGCGTGTTTCCGTTCAGGTTATGCCGTACACTGGACGTCCAGCCCTCGGTCTCGCATTTGAAGCGGAAGTATGGGTATTTGAGCTTTAGAGCACGGTATATCTGTTTCAGCGTCATGGGTGTAGGAGATTCCGATAGAGCGTCGTAGATGAGCACTGCATAGTTGTATGGTGGCTTTGCAAGCTCCTTGGGAGTATAGAAGCTTTCAGGGGGGTAGTCAGGGGACGGTGATTTGGAAGGCTTGCGCTTCTTCACTGTTGGAAGACGAATGGGTTCGCTTTGCTGTATATCCGCATTGCCTCCTGCACCTGCACCTCCTTCTATGGATTGCATTACAGTCTCGCCTGGTGTCGAATCTGGCTTCTTCCTCTTTGTATATTTCCGTTTCTCTACCTTGACGGTTGTCGTTGATTGGTCCTCTGGTACGCCCGCGCCGGTACCCGCAGGAGTAGCAGCAACAGACGTAGCAGCTGGTTCTTTGGCGGCTTTGGCAGGCTTGACTTTAGCAGTAGTGGTGGGCGGAGGAGACGCCGCAACAGCAGCACCTCCATTAGCTTCACGTTTAGCAGCCAGCTTCTGTTCCCGTGCAATTTCTGCCCTCTCGCGTTTAGACATGATCCCGTCCTTGGGCGGTCTTCCAGGTCCGCGCCGTTTATTAGTACCCTGACCAGGCTCCGCAGAGGCTTTCTGATCAACCCGGGGCCCCTTATCCTTTGACTTGGCCGTATCGTCGCCACCACTCTGGTCTGATTCATCCTCCGCATTAGCTTGTTCCGGTTCTTCAGATTCTTCCACTTCAGGTTGGTCCGGCATCCCCTGGCCTATTTCAGGAGGAGAGGAAGGTGTGATTTCAGCTCCGGTGTCTCCGATGGGCACGTCTGGAAGAAGGAAGCGTACTCTGACGCCTCCTATCTGTATAAAGTCGCCACTGTGAAGAGGTCTGACCTGACCGGGAGCAAGCCAATCGGCACCCATAAAGGCACCGTTCCTACCAATGACTTCCATCTCAAAGACGTTTTTGTGAAAGTTATATGCGATCTTGACGTGTTTTCTCGATATTGCCCTATGTGACGATCCACCGTTGACGGGCACAGGCGGGTGAATTGGGATAGTCGGACATGCTTCCGGGGAAGGGAGTAAAGAGAGGGTGTCTACTCTCTTGGGTTCATGGTGGCCTCTCTGTAGCGATTGCATGGCCAGGGCGTTGTAATCAGTCATCTCTCGCTGTTCGGCATTCGTCTGTGACTCTCCATGGGATATATGTAGCAGTGGCCGGGCAACCTGATCGGCAGAGGAGTTGGAGGACTTCCAGCTCATCTGCGGCGGGCCGTGCTGAGGGATATCCGGATCGAAGCCCATGATGCCGCCCCTGTCACTGATAACGCTGCCCATGTACGCGCTTCCTTCCCGCTTGACCCTGCTTGGAGTGCGAGCCTTGTGTCCGCTATGCGAACTATGAGCCTTGCTCTGTTTTGCCTGGTAGTCTCTCTGGAACGCAGCGCGGGCGGCGCGCACATCACGGCCCAGGATGAAGGAATACGTATTAACGTAGAAATGGCCGTCGTCGAATTCAAGTTTTGCAAATGCTTGGATTCTCGGCTCTGATCCGGCTACAGACTCAGACCCTTCCCGTCGTTTCGCGTCCACGCCCGTAGAGAAATCCGGATAGCCGACTATTCGCGGCGTCGGTCCTGCTCCGTTCAGAGTCGGCGAGTCGTAGTATCCAGCAGCACCGGCAAGCAGGCCATTCTGTTCCATTGTCTCTCGCGGATTGACCGGCGTGGTGGCCAGGGCGGTGAAGTCTGAAAAATTCTGGGTGTTCAAATCGCCGACTTTGAGATCGACGTTCTCCAGCGATCCCAGCATCGAGGCATCGGTCTGCATGTCCAGAGCCGGCAGCGCATCCGAGGCCGGCAAATCTCCCATCCTAGGCAGTCCGTGGAAGTTCTCCTCTGCACTGGCCGTGCCGGACTCGACGGGAGCAGCACTCTGATGTTTCGATTTCGGCATTGGTGGCCATGCGTGAGCGCCAGCATCGACGGCAGAGATGGAGACGGGGGGATCAGACAGGGCCTGCAACGAGCTACCCTGGCCGTTCTGGTCGGCGTTGGCAGCAGGCTGGCTGGATAATAGTTGAGCTAGCAACGTACTCGCCGCGGCCTGCTGCTGGGAGTCTGGCTGCGCCGTCTGCCGGTCTATACGGGTCAGCTCGACGAACGATGAACTTGGACGGACGCGGACATACCTATATCACCGTCGCCTGAGGGCTGGGAGTCGCACTGAAGGGGTGTTGTCGCGGCGTGTATAGCAAAGTGCTCCTTGGCAGGACTGCGTTGGGCGTTCTCATCTGGCTGGCGGTCGAGCCGGTCGAAGTGAGACCTCTCTGGCACGGCGTCGGGAGGCGGAGGCCCCATGAGCGACGCCGCCACGGCCTGGGAGGAGGACATTGCATGGGAGTTGGCTTCACCGTCGAGCGCGCATCTTCGTCTTGTTCTTCGTCTTCGTCTTGTTCAGGGAGAAGTTGAACCTCCAAATGCCGGCGGATTTTGCATGCGCTTTGCCTGTTTGGGTTAGCTCACCTTCTACTTTATCTACTTACTTTATATCTACTTATACTTATACTTATATATATATATATCTATATACTTATATGTTAGAGGATACGATGCCAAAGAAGATACCCATAGAGAAGAAAGTGACTAAGAAGAAAGAGATAGACTGGCCGGCGCTGCGCCCTGTCCCCCCCACGGAAGACCTGTCTCTGTCTCCCATCCTAGACGGGCAGATATACATCATCCGCAACCTGCTCTCCTCAAGCCTATGCAAGACCTACATCTCCTTCCTCTCCTCTCTCCCCCTCGTCACCACTCCCAACAAGCCCAAGAAAGACGAAGCACTGCGCGTCAACGACCGGTTCCAGGTCGACGACGCCCTCTTCGCCGAGAGACTGTGGTCTGACACCGCGCTGAAGCAGCTTGTCTCTGACGCCAGCGTAGACTGGGACGGCGATGTGGTGGGTCTGAATCCGAATATTCGCGTATACAGATATACCAAGGGCCAGTTCTTTGGACAGCACTGTACGTTTCATCATTACGACTAGGTGTATGGTCAAGCTAATTGGTAGACGACGAGTCTGTGGTGACGGTAAAGGGGAAGACGACGTGGACGCTGCTGGTCTATCTGAGTCGGTGTTCGGGTGGAGAGACGGCGTTTTACCCTGAGGGTGAGAAGGGAAAGAGGCAGCCAGAGCCGATAGTGGTGGGCATGGAGGTCGGTATGGCGCTGCTGCATCGGCATGGTGATGGATGTCTACTTCACGAAGGCAGGGAGGTGACTGGGGGAGAGAAGTGGGTGGTTCGAAGTGATCTGGTAGTTAAACGATAGTGTATTACTCTGCTTATTCTTTTCTGTTTTCGACGACTAAACATAATTCATCAAAGCACCTTGACCGTGCCATCATAGTAGATCGGACATCAAGTATCATAGATATAGATGTGATAGATATAGATCAAGTATCATCCTTTTGCTCCCTGCCGGCGTCCGACTCCGCGGCGCTGCCGGTCCCGTAGTCCTCTCTCCGCATAATCTCCTCTACCGGCCCGAGCAGACGCTTGAAGCCGTCTCTGCCCAGCTTGGCCACCTTGACCTCCGTCTTGGACACCACCGTCGCCTGTCTGGGCTTATCGTCCAGCAAGGCAAGTTCACCAAAGTAGTCGCCACGTCTATACTCCTTGACCGGCCCCTCGATGCCAGACTTGTAGGCCACCGCCTCGCCGGACTCGAGCAAGTAGAAGGACTCACCCGGCTCACCTTCAGCGATGATAGTGGCGCCACTAGGATGTTTGATGGTATCTAGCGCATCCGCAATCTTGGAGCGTTCGTACGGCTTCAGAGACGAGAGCAAGGGCACTTCTTCCAGGAAGGCCTCGTACATGCGTCGACGCTGAAAGGCGCTGTCCATGAGTATGCGGCGGAAGGTGATGCGGTCCAGGGCCCAGAGGGTCGACGGCTCCGTGGAGATGACCGTCGCTGCGCGGGGGGCGTTGTACATCAGCGCCAGCTCGCCGAACGCGCCTCCGGGCCCGATGGAAGCGACCTTTGCGCCCAGTCCGGCGGGCCCGCCTGGCTGAGCGGTGCCGGAGGGGTGGATGTGGATGTCGAAGTGGCCTGACTCGACTATATAGAAGAAGTCGCCGGCGTCTCCCTGGGTGATGACCTTGATGTCTCGTGCAGGCACGGGCTTCTCGACCAGGGCGTCCAGCACGGTCTTGAACTGGTCGTCGTCCAGGTGGGCGAAGAGGAAGTTGGAGGAGACGGACGATTGGAGGCGGGCGAGCTGCGCGGGCGACTTGGGGTGATGGGGGGGCGTCCAGCTGTCGGTGCCGGAGGAGGTTGGGTTGAGAGATTCAGCGGAGACGGAGGTGCGGCGGCCCAGGGAGTAGTTGTTCGGGAAGGCCGTAGTACTACTCTCCTGGCTGCCAAACGGGCTGCCAGAGCCAAACATGCCGCCGCCTGTACTCGAGGGATAGCTTCTGGGGGGCTGCCTGGTGCTGTTGGTATGGCTGGGGCGAACTGGATCTGTGGGCGAGGTGACGTTCTCTTCCTCCTCCTCGATGCAGTTCACGCTGGCGCTGAACGGGTTGGCGACGAAGTGCGATTGAGACATCGCCGTGACCAGCGTCTGTTAGACGTAGTGATCTAAATGTGTCAACACCGGTGAAGAGAGAAGAGAAGAGAGAAGTAGAGAGAGAGATGTGGGAGGGGTTGGGCGAGGGGAGGGCGACCACTTACCGGTGACTATCTACGGGCAGTCTGATGCTGTGTCGACACTGGATGTCTGTCGATGGGAGGCGAGGGACGAGGACGAAGGGCGAAGGGCAAGCGAGTCTTCCGTCTTCTTTCTTCTTTCTAGAACGTCACCAACCTTGTTACTATGTATCTATGTACTCCACGTGAGTACTGGGAGTAACAGTAGAGTATAGTATAGATAGAGGAGTATAGAGTGTATAGAGAGTATAGAGTAAGTATAAGAGAAGAGTATGTATAGGTAGACCCCTGCTCCGATAGCACCTGCGTCTTATCAGCCAACTTAAAGGGTCTTTTCTTTTCTCACCGTCTATCACCGTCTGTCTTCAAGCTGTCACCGTCTATCTTCAAGCTGCCACTGTTAAGCTATCCTGTCACATTAACTGCCATGGGCTTCTACACATTCCGATGGTAGGTCAGAGTTCAGCCAGAGTTCAAGACCAAGTCAAGACCAAGTTCAGTCAAGCTGAGTCTAGCTCCGGAACTCTCCTGTCCTACTCTCTCTCTCTATGCTGTTGAGATCCTAACTCTTGCAGGCCACATCAGGCACGCGAAGTCCTCGTTACGGGCTCCTTTGACGGCTGGTCGAAGAGCGTTCAGCTGGAGAGGACAGACGCCGGCTTCGAGAAAGAAGTCCTCCTCCCCGACGACCGCATCCTATACAAGGTCTGTCTCTCTTCTCTTCTCTTCTTCTCTTCTCTGGTGGCTGGGGCTGGGGCTGGGCTGGACTGGGACCATATATACGCTGGTACCTCCCTGTACCTCCCGTCCACCGTCTTTGTGCGCGTGGCCAGGGTACACCCAGGTATCCTCCCATACGTCATACTCTTCGGGCGCTGTCCACCACTCGTTTAGAACCTGCTCCTTGCTCCATCGCGATAGCGTCGGCCTCTCGTCTCCTTTGCAAGAAACCCCCGCCATCCCCCTTTCGCATATATAAACCGCTTTTCGCCTCCCTGGTCCCTTTGCTGACTGCCGCAGTTCATCGTCGACGGTTCCTGGCTCACCGACCCTGCTGCGTCGCAACAAGAGACAGACCACCACAACAACACCAACAGCGTCCTCCTCCCGGCTCAGTTATCGCCCACCCCTACCACCACTACTACAACGTCAATGTCTGGAGTCACGCCCGAGTCGACGACCGCTGGCCTCGCTGCCGCCGTCGCAAAGGAGCCGTCGGCCCACGAAGCTACCATCTCGTCGGCCGCTCCCGAATCCACCACCGCCCAGCTCGCCAAAGACGTGCCCCTGGAGAAGAAGATGCAGACCCCAGGCACCTTTCCCGAGACACCGCTAGACGAGCAGGAGGTCTCTGTTAACCCTCTACCTGCGACTGGCACTGTTGGGAACCCCGTCAAGCTCGCTCCAGGCGAACAGGTGCCGGAGTCGAGCACTGTGACAGACCACACGCTAGGCTCCAACGTAACCACCGATAAAGCAGGCTACGAGAAGGATGCCAGCGACCCTGCCATGGCCGCAATGGCGGCAGGCGAGCAGCCCGTCTCTGTCAGTCCACTACCTGCGACCGGCACTGTGGGAAACCCGATCAAGCTCGCTCCAGGCGAACAGGTGCCAGAGTCCAGCACTGTGACCGACAACACGCTCGGCTCCAACGTAACCACCGACAAGGAGAGCTACGAGAAGGATGCCAGTGATCCTGCCATGGCCGCAATGGCCGCACAGCAGCACCAGCATGACCAGAAAAACACTTACTCTGCCCTGCCCATCGACACCGAACCCAAGTCCAAGCCTACCGGCCCCAACGACAACCCTACCATCCAGTCAGTCGCTCCCCAGTCGACCACCGCAGCTCTCGCGGGTGCCGTCCCGCTAGAAAAGACGCGCAACGCTGCAGACACCCAGTACGACCCCGAGGTCCCCGCCAAGCAGGTTCCGGACCTCGTCAAGGACTCCATGAACGAAGCACACTCCCGTCCCGAGGCTGCCGGCGTCCCCGAGATGGTCAAGGAGAAGAAGGAGCTCGAACAGGAACTGCTCCACGAGATTCCACGCTCCACGGAGAGCGGCCTGCCTGCTCCCACCACCTCAGCGGCTGTAGCATCCTCTATGCCAGCACCAACTACCACCGAGCCCATCAAGCAGGACCAGCAGAAGCAAACCCATCAGCCAGAGACGCGGGACCTATCTCCCAAGTCGCGTGAGCCAGACGTTCCAGGAGTAGGCAGCGAACCCATCGCCGGCGGCACCGCTGCCTCCCAGGTCTCCTCTGCGCCCAAGGAGACCGCGCCACAGGTAACCACCGGTCCCACCACGACAACCATCCCCAAGACCTCTGGCGTGCCGGAACGCAAGGCCGTCGAGCCCAAGACCACCTCTACCGCCGCTCCAGCCGGTGCCTCAGCCCAGAACGGCACAACCGCCAACAACACCACCGAGACCATGGACAGGAAGAAGAAGCACCGTATCAGCGGCTTCTTCAACAAGCTAAAGGAGAAGTTCGCGTAAGCCTTAACCTTTTTACTCTTTTCTACCGGTTGTCGAGTCAAGTAATATAATGAACGTGTGTCGTAATGGTATATTTCCCTGTTCCTGCTCCTGCTCTTGCTCTTGCTCTTGCTCCAGCTCGGTTGGCTATTGTTTATGAAGTTGATATCCTCCTCTGCCTGTTATTCCTGTCGCTTCTCTATCCGTCTATCTTTCTATCAGTCGAGCGTCACTCAGTCGAGCAGTCCGTGACCTCGGATATAAAAATATATCTCTAATCTGTCTAAAACACCTACGTCCGTTATGACCGTCCGGCTATGATAACGTCCTGCGTTCTATATCTATGCTATGCTCATTGCGAGAGCGTTCTCTGTTCTCTTGTTGTCCGGTATCAATAAGCTGGTAGAGGATAGTTGCCGGCTTGGATAATGAAGCTATACGTTTGTCCTGATTAATTAGATGCAATAATCCTTCTCTACTATCGCATCGTATGTGTTATATCGGCATATACATCGTACATTAAGGCAACCTCTACTCCGTATTATCGTATGTGTGAAGATGTCGCTTATTAATCTCCCCCGAGACAGCAATGTTACTGCTATACGTGATATATTATCGAGCAAGCATCTCTGCAAGGAGAGATGTATCCCTGGACGATCTCCTGCCTCTGATTGGGATGGCAGTTTCAGGAGCAACCTCGCCGTGTCGACCTCAGCTGAAGTCCTCCGCGGGACGAATCAGCACTTCTCCAGGCTGAGCTTGCGTTCGTATCCCCGTCGCCCGTCGCCGCAAGGAACAGCCACAGCCGGTCTGCCCCTTGCCCTTGCTTGCGTTGTGGCGGGCCGGCCTTCCACTACGACAGTTACAGTTACAGTCCACGTCGTCTTATCGGTAATAAGCCACAGACCCCTCGCGGCTCTTCTTCCATATATCTAACCGTTACTCGCCTCAAGCTGGTCCTCTCAACAACCCGTTCTTCCACTCCGTATACTCCGTATATAGGGATAGGATATACCTCGCGCCCAAGCGAAGCGTGGTGAATTGCGCACGTCTACTCGAACGAAACGACATCCGCCGAAATGAGTACCTTAACTCGCCTGTTACCGGTCATACTCGTGGTACTGCTTGTCATCGCCCTCGCCGCCGTTGGAATAGTGATATACAGCGTCGCCATGGACGTGAAGAGCAACACGAAGAAGAAGATGGAGAAGAAGAACGTCGCTTTCTCTCGGGACGGCGCAACGGTCGGCGTCAAGGAATTACATGCCGAAGACTATCAGGATAAAACTCAGAGGTGCGCCCTTTCGACTTCACCGGCTCCCTTTCGGGCTGTGCTGACCTCTGTCTATAGTGTCCTTGTCAACATTTGGGAAACCTCCGGCGGAACGAAGGGTAGAAAGAAGAAGGCGTAGATATGGAATATTGATTTGGATCAAGTCTAGAGGTGGAATATAGAACGACCGATATGACCTTCATCTCGAATCGCATGCATCCCATCCCGTCCTAGATAGTAGATGTTTCATTATTCGATACACTGTACTTATGAAAGAATGTACTCATATTATCGCCGACTTTGCGATTCATCGGAGTATACTATATGAAAGGGTTGGGTGTGATCGGCCGTTCAACGCTCCATATTAAGTTATTTTTATGCATGAAATAAAGCACTCGTCAATCTATCTGATATTACTTTTGATCATTATTTCTATTCGACAACCAGCTGCTGATCGCATAAGCATCCTCTATGATAGATGAGCTAGCCAAGCCAGAATATATTGATAGACGCATTGATCGGCTTCTAGATGAGAAACCAAGGATCGTGTCCTTCAGCTTCGGCTTCGGCTTCAGCTCCAGATTCTTTGATGGTCGTCTTATTCGTTTTTCTCGCGTCTGCATATATGGCTCGTGAGACCACAGATGAACAACCGGAAGGGATCAACCCCCTACTACGCTGAGTCCATTTGGCGATTGGCTGATAGGACAGCTCTGGATGCCGGAAACCAAGGAATGCAAGCTGGAGGAGTATACAGCAGCGCTCTCATCCTTGATCTACACTCATTCCTGCACTGGTTGGCATCCGCTCCGTCGCACCGCTGCTCAAATCCTTCAACTCTCCACATTGATGCAATATGAGGGGTTATCATCCAGCTCTTGCAAGGGATCCCGAATCCTTCAGCTTCATCTTGTGGGCTTCAACAATATATAAAGGGTCATGTTCTCTCGTTCCACCTTTGTTCTCTATAGATCTTCAAGAGAGAAATACAATTCGTTCTAAACCTCAAGCAAATATCCCACGAACATTCGCCATGAAGGGCCTTATGATGATCTTCCTTGCAGTGACCTCTGCCGCAGCACTTGCAGCTCCCCAGCCTAAGAATGACTTGACTCAAGGAGCACAGGGTGTATGTTGATCCTCGGATGACTGTGTTGCCTAAATACTTATATTATGTAGGCCCTCATTTGCGCTTCTTTCCCGTGCAAAAACGATGCTGAATGCAAGAATGTCGGATGTTTCAGATGCAGTAATGGCGTAAGTATTGAACGTTGAAGTGGGAGAAATTGTGCTAACTATGTTCCGCTTCAGAGATGCGCATAATTGATAACTGGGAGAGAACAAGGATTTGAGTCAGTCGTTTAGTCTAGGCAGCAAGTCAGAAAGCATGTCCGTCATAATCCCAATGTGAAACATCTCCTTCTGTCACAGCTGTCGTATATAGCTTTTATGAATGAACTTACGAAACAACCTTCTATGCCATCTCAATAACACACGTTATATAGATAGCCCTCGCTAAATAGAACAACGTAGCCTCCAAGCGAGAAGACTCATAACTATATTCTACTTGACGTGTTAATTTGATATAAATAGGCGGATACGGGCTGAGCCTCTAGGCTAAAACAAGCCACCCGCTGACTCACATCAAGACGCTGCCTATTTAAACGTCAACTTCTCCCTCTCGTCAAGGGTCAGACTTGATAATCTTCATACTCTTCGTGCCTATCAACATTGCCCTGAAGATGTCGTCTGAACCCATCTTTTTCTGGAAGCCAGAGCAGGAGCATGGGTATCTAGGACAATGGTGGAAGTCAGAGTTCACCGTACCACGACCAGAAGGCGGCGAGGATCTACGATATGAGAACTGTGAACAGTAAGACTACCCTCCGTTCGTGTCTGTTGCTCACACAAGGAGGGAAAGGAGCGGGAGGTATTAGTTGGGTATAAGTCATGATATATTCCGAAGGATACAGACCCATCTATGGACTTATCCGTTATATATCATGATCTAAAAAAACAGCTATATAGTTACATGATGCATCAAAAGGGCGTCCTCTTCGCCCCCGATGATCCAGTCACCGAAGAGATTCTCGCTCCTTCGGGTCCCGTCCCTGATCCCAGAACGATAAAAGCTCTAGGCCGTCAAGTGCCCAACTTTGACGACGAGGTGTGGAAAAAGGAACGATTCAAAATTGTCGTACAGGGGAATTATTACAAGTTCACGCAGCATCCTGACTTGAAAGCCCAGTTGTTGGGGACTGGGGATAGGGAGCTCGTGGAAGCTAGTCCGCGCGATAGGATCTGGGGAGTTGGGTTTGGAGCGAAGAATGCGCCAGCCCGAAGAGCGAATTGGGGATTGAACTTGTTAGGCAAGGCGTTGATGGAGGTCAGAGAGACGATTAGGAAGGAAGAAGCTGAGAAGACGAAAGAATGATATCTTGATCGTTTATTTCTATTTTCTTTTAGAGATGTACTAACTTTGGCTTGCGAACCATGAATAGCACGAATGTTAATATTCATCATAACTTTCGGTCAAATTGCCTTCTAGACTCTACTTCGTTTGTTTTGCCTTCACCTTGGAAACATCGGAAGCTGCAACGTCAACGTCATTTCCAAGAAGTTTCCTTGGTCCTGCTATATATCAGTATATCCATGGAGGTTGGCTCAGTTCTGGTATATACTATATGAATCCAGCATACCATATCATATACTCGCTATAGTAGCCTGTTCAGTATAAACATCCTGTGTACCATCACAATGTTCTTCTTCCCCTTCCCACTCGTATGCTTTCAGTGCGGCACCGACCAAAACCCATGTCGCTGCAAAGTGGTCGGACCAACTCTAGGTAAATATATGGCATATCTTCCTCCATTTTTCCTCTCGTGTATCAAAAAGGGTTGTAACTAACATGGAATATCCCTAGGCTTCGCGGTTGGAATTGTTACAGCAGTATGTACCGTATGCTAGTCGCACATAGATCGAAGCTAACCGTCCGTCGAAGATCGTATGTTATCCGGCATCAATATTCTGCGGATGCTGGGGAACGGAGACTGGAAAGCGGTAAGTGTACTTGATACCCCTTTGCTCAATTGGTAGAATTAACCATATATGCAGTGTCCTCGCAATGCCTGTGGAATGGAACAGCGAAGTCAGCCGGGTGATTCCATTTTGAAGAGATAATAGTTCGTTATGTGGTTTTGCTGTTTATTCGATGAGATGTGTCATTAGGTTAACACACGCAGCTCTATGATATTTTCCATATGCCGCTCCTTTTTATATGTACCTATTGACTAGGACTTACTTTGGTTAAGCGGAAGGTTGCTGTCCAAGGTGCTACTAATCAAGGTGCTTTACAAGCTCTATATGATAAATAAGTAAGAAGGGCACTCTCCGTAAAGACAAGTACGAGTGCCATATGAAAAGCTTCATATAAGTGCTGACAATCACATAAACACCAAGGACCTAACACACTAGGTGCAGGGTATTCTAAGTCAAGTACTCCGTATGAATATCAAAGTGCTCGGATTTCAGACATTAAAGATACGGTCCTTGTGTCAAGCTGAGCGGTCCTTTGTGGCATGTCATCTAGAGGACCACTGGAAGCCGGTGTCGGCCAGCGCCATAATTGGACTTTGGATATGTTCTCATTCGCGATTGTGGCACAGCTGTCGGCCTTCTGTGAAGCTAACTTTTTTCAACTTTCCCAACATTACCCGCTGGTCTTATGTTATGGCGGATAAAATGGTTCTCCAAGTCGATATAGCCCATCTAGAGGCTGAACGCTCGTGACACTACGGCCACGGACAGAGAGACACTGCACCATCGGTTCAGCCAGACTGATTGATAACTTGGACATTCTGTCTGTATTGTGACGTCCTGATAGACGGCTGCCACCCCAGCCCAAGACTGATTGTATCATTAGACAGACGGTACGACACAACGGTTGTCTCCAAAGTCGGTACGGTAGAATGGGCGGTTGAACCATAAGATTACTCCAGGCGAAAAGACAATCTCGTTCCGCCCCGTTGCGTGCGAGTCAAGTAGCTTTACAGCGAAGTAGCATCTCTCCCGCCGTGGAGCAGGTATCCGTCTCTGCTATCCGCATGTCTTGGGGGTTCCCGTTCCCCATGCCGGAGCTGTCTCCGAAACCAGGACTTATCCCCATGTGGTGGAAGGCGACAGTATCGATGCAGGGATGGTCCTATTTGATATCACGGCAAAGGTGACGGTGACGGCGACTCCGTACTGGATGATAACCGGGATACACTGCACGATGCACAGCGGCCAACTGCTTCATCGCAGGTAGGACAGTCGCCTATAGCACACGTAACTCTACCTTGCCTCCAACTCCCCATACGTAGATGTGTCCTTGATAGCCTTCCAAGAGTCTCAGCCGTCCGAGCAAGCTCGTATGCCGTCGAGCTAAGGCCGGATAAGCATTAACCTCGGGCTTGGCTCATCCAGCTCTAACATCGCGATGGCAGGGGGACAGATGTAGCGAAGAAGTATCTCTCTATACCTCTGCTGTCTCCTGTGTCTGGTCGAGGTCGACGGTCCGTAGAGGGATGTGACCAACATGGCTGGCTGGCGGGTTCCTGTTTTAGTGGAACTAGCATTCGATAGTCTAAGCCGACGTCCCCGTTGAGCACCAGCTGCATTGTCCTTGTACATGCAGAGTACGTCCAAGGTGGTAGTGTATATGCAGTGCAACCGCAGAGAAGAGAGACGGCCCCGGCCGCAAAGAAGGACATGGAGGGGATAGCGAGCGTATGTCCATGACTTCATCCGCTTCTCTACCACGGCTGAAGAACTCTAGGACAGGGGTCGATCCAACACACCAAGTGCTGCCGTCATTGACTCTGCTCTATATAAGTGACTTCTCCCTCGCTCCTCCTCTTTTGCCCTGCACACTTCATCTGGGCTACTCACTACTCACTACTCGCTACAACTACAACTACAACTCGCTACAACTCACTACATCAGCTACATCAGCTACAACTGTCCTGCTGTAACTAGCGAGACTAGGAGAGCCAGGATGTCCGACCCCTCGTCCCCGGCTACTGGGAGGGACGAGAGAGTCAGCGTCGAGAACAGCAACAAACACCTCCGACAATCACCTAGAGAATGCTTCGCCGACCTGTTCAACTGGAAAGTGCGAGTAGAAGAGACCGACCCCGTCACAGGCGTCACTCGTGTCGAATATCGTGATCCAGGACCACTCAAGAATCCCATCTCGCTGGCCGCTCAGCTCTCGCTGCGTGACTGGCTCTTCTTCCTCGTCGGGCTGTTCGCGTGGATCTGTGATGCATACGACTTCCACGCGCTCTCAATCCAAACAGTCAAGCTATCAAAATACTTCAAGCAGACGAAGACTTCCATCTCGACAGCCATCACGCTCACTCTCCTGCTGCGGTCTGTGGGAGCAGCCGCGTTTGGCCTGGCGGGAGACAAATGGGGACGTAAATGGCCCATGGTGGCTAACATGATCGTGCTGGGCGCCCTTCAGATCGCGACTATATACTGTGCTACCTTCTCACAGTTCTTGGCCGTGCGGAGTCTCTTTGGCCTGTTCATGGGCGGCGTGTATGGGAATGCGATTGCCATGGCGCTCGAGAACTGTCCCACCAACGCGCGAGGGCTGATGTCTGGTGTCCTGCAGCAGGGCTATTCCATGGGCTATGTCTTTGCAGCTTGTGCAAACCTGGGAGTTGGCGGGTCCACGGAATCGTGGAAGACGGTCTTCTGGATCGGAGCAGGCATCTCCTTCCTGTCTGGTATTATTCGCGTGTTTCTGCCAGAGTCTAAGCAGTTCCTTGAAGCACGCAAAGCACGCAAGGAAGGGTTGAAGAAGGGAGCTAGTGCCAGCGAGTTCTGGAGGGATACCAGAAAGATGTTGGCGCAGGACTGGAAGCTCGTCATATACTGTATCTTCCTGATGGCGTGGTTCAACTTCTACAGCCACACGTCACAGGACAGCTATACGACGTTCATGCTGACGCAGAAGTCGCTGAATAACTCTGCAGCCTCACGGACATCTATCCTGATGAAGGTTGGTGCCTGTGTTGGTGGGACTATCATCGGATACATCTCCCAGTGGTTTGGCCGTCGCCGAGCCATCGTCTTGTCCGCGCTGCTATCCGCCATCCTTATCCCCGCCTGGATCCTGCCACACGGCGAACAATCGCTATCGGCCTCTGGTTTCATGATGCAGTTCTTCGTCCAGGGCGCGTGGGGTGTTATCCCAATCCACCTGAACGAGCTGTCCCCGCCGGCGTATCGATCCAGTTTCCCCGGCCTGACGTACCAGCTAGGCAACATGATCTCATCCCCGTCCGCACAAATCGTAAATGCGATTGCCGAGTCGATGAATGTCCGCGGAGATAACGGGAAGCCGGCGCCTGCCTACGGGGTGACGATGGGAGTTGCAACTGCGATCATCGCGGTAGGAATCATGGTGACGACCTCGTTTGGGCCCGAGATGAGGGGAAGGAAGTTTGAGCTCGCCAAGGTTGCTGGGCAGGTCGGGGGAGATGAAGGAAGGGTCAAGAAGGGTGACATTGAGGCCGGGGGCGAGAAGACGGGTGAGAAGACGAGCGAGAAGACAAGCGACGAGCTGGGGAGCGTGTATCAGACAAGGCGATCGAGGCCGAGAAGTGAGGGGTGAGACGGGAGAGATGAAGCCATCGTGGGAGAAGAGAAGAGAGAACGGAACAGGAGGGTTCATACTGTACTATCTTCTACATCGTGCATGCCTCTTAATGAAACGAAACGATCTTATCTATACATCTTGTTCTTATCGTAGCGCTAAAGATGACATAAGCGCCGAGGTAAGCGTGCTAAACGCCAGCCGAGGTCCGCCGAAAAGCATGACTTCTTACATAATCAACTTATGCCTCGGGTTACCGTATGCGGGTTTATGCGGCCGTAATGCAAGCGTAATGCACATCCTCACGCGAGCAAACAGAAAACATAAAACATAAAAAAGAAACAAAACAACTTTCCTTCACGATCTCAACGTCACTCGAAGCTTTGCGCAGGGTAGAGTTCTACATCCTATAGCGTCTGTTCCAAGTATATGCAGCTGCCAGGCTGATCGACACTGCACCCGGCTCCTCTGGCAGGATCACGCGAGCGAGCATTCTATCCGGCCCTCCGCCCCTCGACGGAGCCACGTACCATCCAGCCTCTCGAGTTCGTCCGTCTCGTCTGACCTCATCTCGGGCTCGGGCTCGCACCGCGGAGGGACCAGCCCTGCAAGCTGTCGCCGTTGGGCCCTCTGAGGCGGAAGATCTGGCGCCCGAAGGTCCGTCTCTGCGCTCGCCAAGCGGGTAGAGTTTTCAACCAAGAACCTTTTTTCGCTAGCTTTGCTGGGATTGCTGGGATGGAGCAGGGCTAGCAGAACAATGTACGGCTTTGCGCTTCCACTATGGTAATTTTGACCACATAGACGGAGTTACCAAGCAGGCTGTGACGCACTATCAGTGCAGTCCGTACGCAGACGGCCACATAGGGATACTCGTGTTTGAAGATACGTTTAAGATATGTTTGAGATATGCGTTTGGAGATACGTTTGAGGATACATTTGAGGATACAGGTCAGTGTTGAGCGAGATGAGATGGGGATGAGATGAGGCGGATAAGCGGGAGATGGGCAGGGATGGAGAGATACCTCGATGCTAACTATATCTGCTAGGAAAACGAGGTATCTCTGCATCGTCCGCCATCCGAAGCATCCGTGTACGGTATCGTATCACGCTCCATGCGAGCCTTGGCCGCCGTTACAGCCCCGTTACGCGTTCTTCGTTACAAGCCACCTGTTTTACGTAAGCAGTCCTTCCTTCACTCTTGCTTCCTTTTTAACTCTTTCTCGGGCTTCTTCTACTTCTTTGCTTTTCCTGCCCTGGTTAATTAGAAGCAGACAGTCTCCTCTTCCTCTTCCTCTCTCCCTCTGTCTCTGCCTCTCATTCACCCTTCGCCGTCCTCCTCTCTGCCGCGATCTCGTCGACTCGCTCTGCTGCTGGCCCACGCTCCCTTCGCCATCCGCTCTAGCTATACACACGACCGGCATCAGATAGGGGCCTCGAGGGTCAATTGACGGCAGATAAGGCAGAAACCAGGACAGTGCAAGGAGGAGGTAGATATAGATAGAAAAGATGGCATCCTGGAAAGACCACCCGTTTGCGAGGCCACCGCTCCTTATACCATGGCGCTCGCTCCAGCTGCTGCTTCCGCTCTCTTCACGCCTACGCCGCCGCATCCGCTCCAAGCTGCGCTCACGAACCTCTCCTTCATCTTCCATCACTCGTCTCTCCACGTCGTTCTCGCCCCTGGATACTCTCAAGGCTCTGCAGGCTCACCGATGGACCATATATGATGGCCAGTACCTCTTGCTTATCGTGTTGGGGATCTTCTCCCTATGCATTATCGAGTCTCCGGGTCCGTTGGCGAAGACCATCGTTGCGATGGGGTTGATCAGCTCGCTGCTCATGCCGATAACGTGCCAGTTCTTCCTTCCTTTCTTACCGCCAATCTGCTGGCTGATCTTCTTCTATGCTTGCCAGTGAGTGCTCCTTTTGCGGTGGTAAAGGCCTTTTCCTTTCTGCCTGATTTGCTGACCAGCTATAGATTCATTCCTAGTGATTGGCGACCACCGATCTGGGTCCGCGTCCTTCCTGCTCTGGAAAACATAATCTACGGCGCAAATCTCTCCAACATCCTCTCTGCTCACCAATCCACCGCCTTGGACCTTCTGGCCTGGCTTCCATACGGCATTATGCACTACGGCGCCCCTGTCGTCTGCGCCATCTTCCTCTTCATCTTCGGTCCACCGGGAATAACTCCAATCTTCGCCCGTAGCTTCGGATACATGAATATTGCTGGCGTAATCATCCAGTTCCTCTTCCCTTGTTCGCCACCATGGTATGAGAACCTCTACGGCCTTGCGCCGGCTCACTACGGTATGCCGGGCGATCCCGGTGGTCTAGCACGTATCGATACCTTGTTCGGCATAGATCTATACACTTCCGGTTTCTCAGCTGCACCTGTGCCCTTTGGCGCATTTCCATCTCTGCACGCAGGCCATGCTACCTTCGAAGCTCTTTTCATGAGCCATGCTTTCCCCAAACTCAAGCCAGTATTTATCACCTATGTCGTCTGGCTATGGTGGTCGACCATGTACCTGTCTCACCACTACGCCGTCGATCTCATCGGCGGAGGTCTCCTCGCCGCCGTGACATTCTATTATGTCAAATCTCGCTTCCTTCCACGCATTCAATCCGACAAGTTCACACGCTGGGACTACGACTATGTTGAAGTTGGTAGTTCCGACATGACAATGCCTGGCTCGTACGGATATGGTGTCGCCGACGGGCTACAGATGGATAGCGACGAATGGACAGTCGGATCCAGCTCATCGATTTCTTCTGGCTCCTTGAGTCCTGTTGATGAGCAATCATTGTGGGGTGGGGATGCGGAGGTCGTACCAAAGCGCTCGGCAGACCTGGAAACAGGCCTGGGTATCGCGAGGTGATCATTCACCACGAGAGATAGAGAAAAATAAAACAACACAATAAACTAACAAACAAACGATACGATAATGTCTTAATATCGACGACTAGGCGGCGTGGGGACGGGGCGGGAAGGCCGAGAGAATGGATTTGATTTATAACATCTACCATTCTTGGTTCGTTGATTGAATATACCGCACCACACCATACACCCTCACCGTTGCTCGCGCACATGGGTTGGCTTGAGTTGAACATGTACAATTTTTTTTTTTTGGGAAAAGGGGCTTGCTTACCGGAGTGTTTGGATGGATTGGGCAACGGTTAATGGGCAACTGGTGTTTATTGGAGTGATATGATACCCCTTTACGTTCGTTTGGTGGTTCTCGGATATACACCGGTTGAAAGAGTCATTCGCTACAGATGTCAATTGGGGAGGACGGTTGGATGGTACCTGATTATCATCCTGGGTTATGAACGGCTCCGCGGCATTTGGATGCGAGAGACGACGAATGGAGGCGAGAAGAGCACACAGCAACTTTTACGAACGAGCAAGCGAGCAGCAAGCGTGTTGGCAGGGATGCCCATCTAATATCCGTACATATCTTCTTGGACCTTCACATTTGCTTCATTGGTTACAGCATTGTTGCTGCTATGCGAGCGAGCAACATATCTCTCCGTGGTTAGAGCAATTCTCCCGCACCAGCTTGCTACTTGCTTCGTGTAATTATCTACCTATACCCACCGGCTACTTACTTGCTTGGGCATGCTTAGTAGCGTGTATTGTATTAGCATAATAGTTAATTAATTGATTTATGATACATCAGTATCCCAAAAGAAAACTGTTTCATTAAATTGCCTATTGTGCGTTCGTTCTGTTCGTCTATATAGTATATACCAACCTACCTCCCAGCTAATATTAACTCCATCTAACCAACTATCTTACTGTTGCCAGGCTGCTACTACTCTTCATCATAGATCTTCACGCGGCTCGCTATCTCCTTGATCCGCGACACGTAGTTCTCCTCTATCGAATCGCCTTTACCACCTGCGATGCGCAGAATCAGATCGTTAAGGGATGACCGACCCAGGATATCGACGTGGTCGGCTATCAACATAAGTTAGCATCACACAAGTAGCAAACAAAGTACATAGGGCGGAAAAGATACTATAGATCTGCTGTCTACTTACCTGTGTTGGGACCTCCCCTGGGTGAAAACCTCTCTGGCTCATGAGGCATCTCATACACCTTAATCGGTATCCTGGCCGGGTTGAATCTCTTAATCCTCCATCCGCGAGTGCCCATATATCCCAAACTAAGCAAGTTAACGGTCCCATCGCCCTCATTCATTACCACTCCGTGATCCACGGCCCCTGGGCCCTCGCCTTCCATCACAGATGTATCCATAGTGACGTTTAGCTTGGATAACGGATCCATGTCTTCACGGTAGAAATAGCTTCGTTCCGTTGGCTTACCGACGCCGTAGAATGAGTATATCTTCAGATTAGGCGCTAAAGGAAGGCGGATTTCCAGCGGGTTCAGCCATTTGCGTGGATCATTCTCGTTGGCTTCTACTTCGGCAGCTGTATGTGCAACGCCATGAGAATAGTTCTCTTCCAGCTGGTTGCGATACCATGGCTCGGAGGTATTGTATAGATATGCCAGTCCATCTTCTACAGTGAAGTTATATTGCGCTGCCGGTTGGAGGGTAGTGTTAGACCGGAAGTTGAGCAGGTTGCCGTTTGTGAATGGTTGGTTAGGGAAGTCATCCGGAGCCCAGGTGTGGTTCCCCCAGACCTCATTGCCGCCCTTGGGCAGCATGCTGGAGATGCCGGGCATGGCACGGAAAATTTCAACTCGTTCTTCCTTGGACAAGAACTTCTCGAGTCCATACACGGCAAAGGCGTTCAGTTGTGCCGTATCTCTCATCTCGCCTGATAGTACTGCCGTCAGGCCCTTGGAAGTACCCAACATGCAGCCGCTGACGTTGATCCAGGATGCGATATGACGGTCCACCCAGTCAGGCCCTCCGTTGCCATAACCCTTGTGCTCGGCCCATTTGAAGAAGAAAAGCGCTACCTGTGATCCCATGCTGTGCGAGACGAGAACAATCTTCTTGTCGTTGAGCTTCACTGCGGTCTCGATGTGGTCCTTTAGCCGGCTAAAGTAATGGTCCCGGTGCTCTAGGTTGAGATATGACAGTCTCCAGTCATACGCTGCTGAGTACGCGTTTGTCGGATCATACCCTATCGTTGCTAGGTTTTCCAATATCTTGTTCCAAATCCAGTAGCCCGTGATGAAGAAGTCTGTCGCATCGAAGCCCTGCGCAGCCCGTAGCTTGACGCCCGGCGGGTCAAGGCCGGTCTCTTTGTCTAGCATGATATTGGTTTTCCAGCCTGCCGTGTCCAGAACCAGTGCGCGCATCATACTCCAACTGCCCCAGAGGCGTTTTCTGAAGTACGGCCTTGATTTCTCATCGGTGCCCCAGCTCTCTAGGCCGGTGGATATCACTCCGGGTATCATGATGACAGGGTGCAGTGCCTTAACCCCCTGTGATTGTAGGTGCAGGCCCACTGAGAACGAATCATAGCTGACTGTATCGCGCTCGCTTTGCTATCCAGTGTAAGTAGGAGGTCTGAGGGTCTAGAGGTCATATGCCTTACTGAGAATTCCTTTGCGTCCCGTACGATGCCCGCGGGTATAACATCGATCAGCGAGTCGATATTCAAGTCCATCAGCGCATCCAAACTGATCACTTCATTGTGGTTTGCAAAGAACAGGGCCACAAAGATCCCAAAGATCCCTCCAAGCCCGAATATCAACCCATTCCGACGCTTGCTTCGTCTCTTCGTCGGCGCGGCGTCTTCGGATGTCGAGGGAGCTTTCACGTATACGATCTCCTTCTTGCTGGAGTTATAGCAGTTGTCTTCGTCCTTTGTCTCCTTTGTCTCTTTGCCTATGACGGTGCCTTCGGAGGGGTCGTTCGAGGGGCTGTTCCCGTCAGATGTAGATACGAGGTCTGCGCCAAACCGACGTCGGAGTTCGGCCATGGTAAATATAGTACAAACACGCGCGCGCAAAGTAAATAGAAGCTTATAGATTGTTCATGTCTCCCCGGAAGCGAGTATAGAGGCAAATATCAACTGATAGATTATTGCGAGAAAGGGTGTCGCCTCTGGATAAATAAAATAGCTAGTGGGCCAACTTTTAGTGTCAATCACATGGATAAAAGTCAGCAAGCTGCAAGACGAGCTCGACGATATGAGAAGGGAAGAATCTCTCTATACAGCCTATGAAGAGAGGAAGAGGAAGAGGAAGAGGAAGAGGAAGAGGAAGAAGGGAGAAGATAGATTTCTTTCCCTGCGAAACCTCGAGCTCCACCGCGATGATGTAAGACGCGGAATAAGCCAAAGCGACAAAAAGCCACGATAAACCAGCATCTTTCTCTCCCTTTATTCTGTCCGCTGTCTGATCTCTCGCGGGCCACGGATATCTCCAGCCTGCTCGACCTGCGATGGCGGACGCTCCGTCGCAGTTCCGCTACATCCAGTATGAGGCCGCGAAGGAGAACGAATACGTTGCGGCCATGCGCCAGCTGATATCCCACGACTTGTCGGAGCCATACAGCATCTACGTCTACCGCTACTTTCTCTACGAATGGGGGGACCTCTGCTACATGGCGATGGACGAGAAGGATAACCTGGTAGGCGTCGTGGTTTCGAAACTCGAGCCTCATCGTGGCGGGCCGTTGAGGGGATACATCGCCATGCTCGCGGTGAAGGAAGAACACAGGGGGAAAGGGATAGCCACCAAGCTGGTTCGTCGGGCCATGGATGCCATGATAGAGAGGGATGCAGACGAAGTACAGCATTTTCACCCTGCATAGCTTTGATATTGGCGGAAGGGAGATACTGACTCTCGTTTCTAGATCGTTTTGGAGACGGAAATAACGAACTCGCCGGCAATGAAGCTATATGAGCGTCTAGGCTTCCTCAGGAGTAAGCAGCTACATCGGTACTATCTTAATGGAAACTCTGCCTTCCGGTTCGTGTTATATCTGAAGGAAGATGTGGGCATGATTCCGACGGCGGATCCTTACCATGGGCCCCCTGATGGCCTGCCGCTTCATGAGAATGGAGAGCATCCAGGTCACCATGTCTGTTGATTGAGTTATGGATACGGCATGCATGATTGCATAGCCATAGTATCTACAGCGTTATACAAGTATGTTACGATGAGAAACTACGGTCTAGCACCCACGGCCAGGATAGCGGACGTTTGAATATACAGATTCACATACTGTAAGCGGCTGCAACAGTGCTAGGAATATAGCACACCATCGTGGTTTTCTACGGGCGAACGTATATGGTTAAGCATTCGTACAAATGCGCGGTCATGGAGTTCTAGGTAACAAACTAAGGGTGCAAAAATGGCCATTCAATTTATGGGAAACACATTGGTCAACTCTAGGAAACAATATAGATTTACATCTAAAATAATGATACATTATTATACAACGGAGGAAGCTCGCTATATATGCAACACAGGGTATAAATTTTGAGACGGAAATAAATGCTCAGCCATCCAGTGAGATGGGTTCGGGCTTGGTGGGTTTGGTAGAGTTGGATTTAGGGGGGGCGGGCTTTATACACCTGGCGCTATTGACTTGGACACTGTTCTCCCGTAGCCATTTGACCGGTTTGTCGTGGCAGGGACCCCATTCCTTGTCCAAAGCGTATGCTCTTGCTAAGGCCTTGTCCAGGGGCTCTTTATGGGCGTACGCATTCTCCAAGGCAGTAATATCACTGTGCACCAAACGCTTTGCTAGCTCTGATCGCTGTGTTGAAGGATCAGGCATGTCGTCGTCGGAAATTGGGATGTGTTCCCCGTGTACAAGTTTTGTAAAGTCTTCTCTGATTCCCTTCTTCAGTCTGTTGAACGGAATGACGCCAGCCACAACCTTGCCGATGTTTTGGAGCCAGAGCTCACGTTCCGGCACAGAACTGTTTGTCTCGCGACGGAGTGATGAATATATGCTAGCCTGCATTTTCTGGGTGACCCAACCGTCGAGGCAGCCATATCGCCAGAGAACTCGACAGATATTATATGATCTGGCTCTCCAGGCAAGGTGCCAGAGTATATCCATGGTGCGATCATCGCCCTTACTTTGGAAAGTTTCTGTAAACTTCAAGTATAGCTCTATGAACGAAGTATCGGCGGTGTCTGATTGATGGAGGAAGTAAAAAAGGGCATTGTTTAAGCTCATGGTACCCAACTTGAAAGAGTTTTGTTTGCAAAATAGGAGAATATCGGTGATAGCCTCTGGCTTACTGCTCAAAGACCCTTCTAGGAGCAACCTATCGATAGCCCGAACGGACAACCAGCCATTACCGAGTTTTTGGTCCATCGCCTCGATGAAGCCAGGTACACTTCCGCCGCCCTTTAGCCATTGCCCAAAGACTGGCTGGATGGCAGTAGAGACCGCAACTTGGAACACATGTTGGTCGTCGAGAACTCCGGATTCCTTGGCCCGCACCAGCACGTCAAACCGGAGGGTATGTGGGGTTATTGCGGAGAGTATCGATACCCAAATCCAGTTGCGAGGATGGATCCTCTGGCGTTTCATAGCAGATATACACCAGTTCAAAACCACAAAATCCCGACGAAGGACAGCGGCACGTACTAGTGAATTTGCTGTCCGCGACGTCATTAGGCCCTCGAAGGCTGGAAGCAGAGATTGAAGTGATGCGCGACCGTGGCTCCTCGCAAAGTAGGAGACAGAAAGAGATATGGACCGAGATGAAAAGAAATTTCTGTTCTCAGGGTCAAGTAAGAGGCGGCGGATCATATCCCCGATCACATCTCTATGGGACATATCGAGCGCATGCTTGAGTCGTCCATGGACCAATCTCGAAACAGGTGTGTTAACCAAATCTTCGATATAGTCCGCAAAGGACTTAACAGTCCAGGTTTCCGGAGTGCTTATCTCATTTTTCTGGGGTTGAAGTGGCTCTGGTGGTAGCGATACCCATACTGACCGTATCACGGGTTTCTGGCGCGGGTTCTCAAGAGGCGGAGCAAAAGGAGGGAGGTTACTCTTTGGTAATTTTTGTATGAGCTCCCGGATATGTTTCTCTGCGGCTTCCACGGCTGGCTGTGTACCACTTAACACCAAGCTGCGAGGCTCAAACGAATTGGACTTTTGAGGAAGGACATGCGCACGGCATCCGCTCAGCAACGGTATAACCCACATATTTTCGCGCTCATCACCCAGTAACCCAACCACCTCTTGTTCATTCAAAAAAATCGTCTTCTGATACTCATCTGTTGGAAGCTCCTGTTTAGTAGCGAAAATGTCCTGTATGCTTTCTATAAGTATCTGGCAGATGCCAATCCGACTCTGGACATTCCATCGATGCGCCTCTGGTGTTTTTGGCGGATGTAGGCGGTGACTGATAGGATCGTTATAGCCATGGCGAATATATCGCAATGGAGGGTATGTTGGCGCCGAGTAAGGGTTAGCGGTACCCGGTTGCCTGTCGAGTTCAGCCATACGTTTTGTATATCTTAGCGGTGTCCCCTTTGCTGATTTCTTTATCCATCCAGTAGGATTTCCCCTCTTCGCCGGTACGATTCTGTCTATAGGTCGACCCTCCGTTTTATAGTTTCCGCTCGTCGATTGAACATTCTCTTGCGCCACTATATCATTAACTTCAGAATGAAGCCCGGGGGTTTGAAGTCTGGGGGGTGGTGGATATGGAGTTCGATGAGGTATAGAAGATGCACTCTGCTTGCGGTTGGATTGCAATTTACTGTCGTCCTGAACATGTTCCACAACAGGCGGAGGTTGAATATTATCATGGGGTGTATGTTCCAAGACAGGTTGATGCTTCACAGTGTCGTGAGGGACGGCATGTTCGGGGCTGCTCTGTTGAGGTTGAATCGACTCGTTACGAGGTTGTTCGGAGCTTTGTTGAGGTGAAATCGTCCATTGCGGGCGGCTGGGAGGCGTGTCCTCCGCTTCCCGACTTATTCGAGCTTTTGACTGTCTCTTATTATAGGGAGGTGATCGTACTGTCGTGAGCTGAATTGAGCTCTCCACCGCCGAAGCAAAGGCTGGGGGATAGAGGAAGAGGAGAGGTTCATTTTTCAAGACTGCGCTGATATTCTCGGCAACGGGTGTGCTTGCTTTTCTTGACAAGCAGTAACGGCTGCCTGAGAACATTGATAGCTGCCGCAGAGCATTGAGCTGCCCCAGAAGTTGTCAGGACATCGACGGTGTTTGATATTGGCCTGTTGACGCCGAAAAAGCCTTTTTGATCTTTTTTCTCTTCAACTTCCGCGGTTCGAGCTAAACTACTTGGGTTGCTTAGTAAGCCTACACCATACGGGTAAACAGTGTACAAACAGATGGATAGAACATACAGAATGATAAATAGAGATAATAAATAGAGATAAGAGTAAAGACAAGTCTAGTATGAATGATATTAATTGACTGTTTATGACGGAGTTGGTACAGACTGTAAATGGTGTCCTCATGCACCGTTCCAACCCAGCGACTCCCTCATGAGCTGTTCGCCAGCTCTATAGGCCTTGTGAAGGTTCTCCCTCCTGCTCTTTTCTGATTCATCGGTAGAGTCCTGCGGTATTTCATCCACTGATTGTTTCAATATCTTAATTAGTTGTCGACGGGAGGAGTGGAAGAGAAGCATCGACATGATATCCGGCATCTAAATAACATGTTAGCAGGGGAATCAAACGCCAATGGTAGATTTGTTCTCACCTTATCCTCCAAAAGGACAAGCTCGTCTCTGCCCCTGTGTATGAATTCTTTAACGGCATCGATCCTCTCGCGATCAAGTGTGGCGATCCTAATAGCTTTAGATAGAACCGCGACATTCGTAATATCCTCCGGGGCAATCCTTTCTTCCCAGTCTTCGTGGGACATGCCCGAGTGATGGCCTGTATAGGTCGTCCCAGCTCCGCCGGCACTGGTAATGCTGTGCTCACGGCTCCCTATCGAGCCAAGACCGACAATGCCCTTTTCGGGTCTATGTTTCGACTTTCGCACTCTCCTCCTTAGCCATCGTCTCCGTCGAACGAACGAGTGGCACCATGGATGCGTTCCATGCCAGGCGAACTTCGAGGCAAAGGAGAAAGAGTACTGCCAGCCCTCCTCGTCTACGTCGTATGACATGTCGACGTACCATGTCTTCCAGTCCCATTCCCAGCTTGGATCAGGCACCTGCGCATTGGCGATCGTTACGGGACTCTGCTCAAGGCTGCCCGTCATCCAGGCCGGTGGATCTAAATTCAGAAGCGAGTTTTTCGAAAATATCGGCTTGCCAAAGCAAAACCATCCTCGTTGGTTTTCGTATAGAACATCTATTTCGCTTTGTGCTTGTGGCTGCGATTCTTCCGTCGTCAGCTGTTCGTGTAGACCTGTGTCAGCTTCGGTAGGTATCTCCGACTCAACTCGTCGGAGAGATGATGCTGGTGCAATTGATGAGCTCCGTGACGGTGAGGCTTCCAAGGTAGTGGCCGACTCCTCCCTGCTAAGCCTACTGTCGTCTCCATTCGCACCGTTCACGCCATTGTAACGTCCCTTCTGCCATTTCGCGTACTTTCGTCGTGCAAGGTTTTCTCGAACTGAAATCCCAGTTAACTTCTTGGCTAGTGATTTATGGCCGGTGCTGGTCCGAGTTGCTCGTAATTCGATCTCTGCTTCGTCCGGTTGAGGTGGTGGGCAGGTATTGTCTACCAGAAGAATTCCACCACCGCTCGTCATGTTGACTGCTATACGACGGCTGAGTTAGGGGATGAAGTCTCCAGCTTCAGGGGTAAGCCGTAGCGGTGCCGTCTCCGTCGCCATAAGGAGGGAGATCCCTTAGATTCAAGGTTAACATCAACGATAAAAGGAGGGAGAGCCTGTCTGCGTCGTCTTTTCTATATCCGCGTTATCCAAGTAATTAACATCAAAAATAAGCAAGAAAAAGCTGCTGACTAACCATGACATCACTGGTGCCACGCTAAGCCCGAACAGGATGTCAACACTGGCATCGCGATCAGATAACAAAAGCGACGATATACGACTTGATATCACTTCAAACAGTGAAGATACAGACATCTCGACGGTATAGAACAGCACTAGGACGACAGCTACGATGCAGGAACCTCACCACCGCAAGGTCGAACTCCAGTCGACCGCGGACCTTTCCTATCTCTACACAAACACACTTACCGTCGCCCGCGAAAAGATCGATCTCCATTTCCCTCCATCCGCCAACGATGACTCGGACCCTATGAAAGAGCGCGTGCGCAGTTTGGTAGACGGAGTATATATTATCCATTCAGCGCCGTTCAGTCGGAACTCGGGAAAATGACACAAATGCTAATCATGCAGCGCAGTTTATAAATAAGACATTCACTTCAGCCATCCCCTCGATAAGCATAAATGGAATCGACACCACGGCATCTTCCTCGACAAAACGAGGCGCTGCCAATGATGACGAACACACAATTAACCTTGAATCGCTACTGACAACCCGCGAATCAATCGAGTACGAACCATTTGACACCGATCTCGCAGCGAGACTTACATCTCTCTATGCGCAGCTAGAATCACTCACGACAACAGTTGCGCAGATGAGACGAGATGCACCGCTCAAAGCAGCAAAGGCATATGAAGACGCGCTAAATAATGCATTAAACGATGACGAGGATGATGAGGATTTTGAGATGCAAGACTATGAAGGTTACGACGGTAATGGAGATAATGTTAAACACGATTTATCCGAAGATACGGCGCATTTGGATGCGGATCAACTTCAAAGACGGAACGATGAAAGAAAGAAAGATATCGACCGAATACGCAATATACTCCGAAAACACCCGGAGTGGCTTCTTCAAGCCCCCGCTGGAACACCACAGGAACAAGAGCGATGGCGGGATGGAGAAATGAGCGAAGTCTATGCTAGGTCATTGGAGACTCTGTTTAGATTACAAGGGGAAGGGAGCGGGATTGGTTATGAAGATGGAGATGAGGAAGGCAGTAGTCATAGTGGGAGTGTTGCTCCTCTTGCCACGACCGTGGGCAAAGCTGAGAGAGCGCGGCTGGCTACTGGGGTTGTTGAGAAGATGTAATTAGCCGTTGACAAAAAAGGGGTTAACTTATGATTAATGGACATTTTTTGCTGTTAATTTTTTTGGACACGGGTCCCGTTGCACAATAAGACAATTTGATATTAACAAGGCCTGTCGGTAGATGCCAGGGTAGGGGTAGCTAGAGCTACTCTCTATATTAAGAAGTATTAAAGGCCAAGTCCAGGGAATAATCTAACGGTCCACAAGGGTTAGGGTTAAAAAGACGCATCTCTATTCCAAATAAGTCGACTTTTTGATATTCCATTGGCAAAAGGAATATAGAAGGATGTATGCCTGTAGGATCGATAACAAACTGTCAAGAAGTATCATGTAGTATGTATATATGAACTTGAACGATGAACCCCTTGTTCCAATGTATCAGAAACCCTCTACCCTCTGTCTTTTTGGCAGAACAATTAAGAGCTAGCCGTGTATGTTAAAAAAAAGGCCTATATCATCTAAGCTGTAGGTGCTGCAGGTGCAGGTGCAGCAGCAGCGGCTGTAGCAGTGGTGTCTTCAGCAGTGACCTTCTCTTCCTTCTTTTCCTCCGTTGGAGCTGGAGGAGCTGGCACAGCTGTCTCCTCCGTCTTGGTAGCAGCAGCCTCCTTGGGAGCAGCTGAAGCCCACTTGGGGTCATGCCATGGTCCCATATCACTGAACCCGCAACCACCCTCGCAATCACACTTGCCACCAAACTGAACGGGCAGGTTCTCAGCGGGGATCTGAGAGAGGAGCTCTGATTCATATCCGGAGCTAAAGACATGGATCTTCTTGACGGTCACGGGGTCCAAGAAACCCTTGACCATGCCGAAGACCGTACTGAATCCCCATGGGGCGTTGATAATGTAGAGCTTTCCAAGACGCTCGGGGTAGTAGTTTTGAGAAATGGCAGAGGCCTGTCGGACGTATCCGATGACGGAAGAGGCGTTTGAGATGCCCACGCCCTTCATGTCCATTATTGTGCAGCAGGTTTCGAGCAGGTGGCCGGATTTTCGGGCGCAGGAGGGGAGACGGTTGTCTGCGAGCTTCTCGTACTCGCATACTAGATGTTTGAGCATTCGCTCACTGGATGTGATTTTGTACATGGCTGTAAGGTCGATCTTGCCGAACTGTTCGATGTACACGGGTCGTCCATCCTGATGAGGGTCAGAATACTGCTGGATATTGAATAGACGACGGAAACAAACATACCTTGTCGGTCTTGTGGTAATACTGAGGATAATACTCAAACACTGCTGCCTTCTCCGAATAATCAAAATCCGCAACCAAAGTATCTGTGCCAAACTCCGCTCTCCATTTCTCGCAAGCCAAAAACCTATACACAGTGTTAGCCATATTTCACAGCTGTAATATTGTAATGCTCCAACGTACATGGTCTTCGCCGCCTCGACATTGAACTTCCTAGCTCTCAGGAACCGCAACAAGGTCAGCGTGTCTAGTCTCTCCTTGCAGCCAGCCTCCTCCAACAGAGACCGTAGCTGGAAGACCTGAGCATCCTGCTCGGTGGTGGTATAGCCCGGGTGACCAGCTTGAGGCGTAGGAGCCGACGTGGGGAAGCTGTAGTGGTCGTATTTAGGGTCGACGGGGAGGTCTTTTGGCTGTGGTGCAGTTGCCATCGTGTCCGACTTGTATATGTGTCGAGTTTATCAAAGGTACAGACAGCTGAACGACGGCGTGCTGTTAAAGATATGGAGGGAGAGGGTCGAAAGGGGCGATTTGCCTCTGGCGTTCGGAGGTGATGCGTATGTAGTAGCTTCCGCGGCGTCTTGCGTGGGGTTGATGGCGGAGCAAGGAGTCTTTCCAGCGGCGCGGGAGGACGGCAGCGAGTCTACAGAGCGCAGATGAGACGAGACGAGAGGGTGAGACGGTCTCGGGTTCCTTCGTGGCTGGTGTTCGATGTTGGTGTATGGTTTCTGGTGGGGGAAGAAACCAGGATGGACGAAAAAGGGACGAAAATCCGCTGAATGGGCAAAAGTGCGTGCTGGGGATAGCGTTAAAATTAGTGTGCCTACTATGAGATGTTGTTTAAGACTAATAAACGGTTGAGACCCGCACTGAAGATGCTGATTTGATTGAACAGTAGTTCGAGAGATACTTTCCATTCCTTTTCCTTTTCCTTTTTCCTCTTTGTATATAGGCGGTGTCAAGGAGAGAGAGATAGATGAATAAAAATATATAGATACCAAGGAGAGAAAGAAAGCAGGGTTGATAACAAGTCCTTTTCCTTCCCTTCTTCCTGAGATTGATATTGAGATACAGGTAACATGAAGCAGACATGAGCATGAGATGAGCATAAGAGAGTACGTAAAGGTAGATAAAAAAGATAAAAGGTAATAATAGACATAACTCAGCAGAAACCAGGGGTATGTAAGTAAACCAAAGCACAAAAGATGAGAAGGGGAATTGTAAGTAACATAGTAGATATAGAAAAGAGAACAGGAGAAAGTAAAGGAACAGAGTATCCACTGGATGATCGCCATATAGAATATAACATAACATGGAATAGAAATATCAATATACCTCCAAGCACAATCGTGTATGGCCTCCGAGTCTCCATATTAAGATACCAACGATAGCGATAGCTCGAGGGGGAAAGATAAAACGAGAGAGGAGGGAAGGGGGGGAAATAGCAAAACACAACACGCCGGGTTGATCGTAAACGCACCGGCAAAGATTCTTCCGCCTCTTTCTGCGCGCAAGGAAGCTGATATAGATGAAACGGAAAAAGTAATTAGTGGATAGATAAGACTACCATCCCTTCTTCCTCGCGAACCGCTTGTTGAGCAGCGCGAGGACTCGAGAGACGTTGAACTGGACATACTCCAAGTCTAGATCTTCTTGGTTGTCTTTCTGCATCTCTAGCAAATCGTCAAGTTTTAGATCCAGTTCAAGAAGGCCGCGGGCACGTCCTAGACACATACAGTTAGTTATTCAATTGCAGCAAAGGTAAATGAAAAGACGACGGGGAAATACCTTTATAGTGCAGACTGATGACAAAAGTACCGGGCAGAGGACTCTTGAACATGAAATAGATATTCGCTCTCCTGTTTTCTGGGACATTACTGCGTCTAATGACACCCTCCTTCTCCAGCTGCTGATGAGTAAATTTATACGGGCCTAGTTCTTGGTGTTTTTGCGTCTTGCGCTGCTTCCCTTCGCTCTGACTGCGGACATTATGCAGGTACGATTTATAAGTTTCTAGCTGATTGACGAGATAAGCGTTGTGGTCGCGGATGGTACGGTAGACTTCCTCAAGTTTACGTTGTTCCTCGAGAACCTTTTCACGTAATGAGCCGAGATGGACGAGTTCCTGCTCGACCTCATCGCGGAGGAGGGAGAAGTCATCTGATCTATCGATGACGCCGAGCTCCTGAAGCTGACTCAAGAGTTCCATTGTGCGGATACCCTTGCGAACCATGACGGCGTCGTTTTTGAGAGTTGCTGCTGCCTCGGCGATGCGGTCGAGGCGGAGAGGGCGGCGGGTGACGGAGGTGTTGTGGGGGAGGGAACGCATGATTTGGACAAAGGTGGATTTGGCTTCCATGAAGAAGATCTCTTCCTGGGTGATGTCGAGGGCGGAGGTGAGGTCGTCAATGGGGGCTTCCCATTTGCTGAATAGGGGCAGGTGGATGGCGCGGTTTTCCTTGCGAGGCATCTGGGGCGGTGCGGGCCCCAGTTCCTGCAGAAGAACCTGGAGGTGAGAGTTTTGGTCGGATGCGAGGGTGTTGCAGTGTTTTTCGATCAGGGCGTGGGTAGCGTATATTTCGTTGAGGGTGATTTGCAGCTCCAGGTCGCGCTTGGAGAGTGCGACGTAGTTGTCCATTTCCAGGCTTTCGTAAAAGTCTTGCACCTCACAGAGGTCGAGGAGGAACCTGTTCACTCGCTCTTTGTTCTGCTGGATGAATGGCTGCAGCTTGGCCATGTAGGGCTCTTTGGCGTAGGAGGGCTTGTTAGCCAGGTTCTGCAACATCTTTGCGATCAAGGTCAGTGTGCGGCGTGGTTTCTCGGCGGGGGTTCCATCGATCAGCATGTACGATCGCGGAGTGACGATGGCAGGGTTGATGAAGCGTAGGAAGAAGAATCCACCGATCAAGGTACAGATGACATGGTCCTGGGCATCAGGGTACTTTCGTTTAGACAAGCTGCGAATCTGTTTACATATCCATCTAATGCCGTAGGGCGTCTCTTCGAGGCCGTCGATGATGGTCTTGAGGAAGCTATTGGCGAGATCGGTCAACATCTTGAGCCTGGGCGCAATAATATTCTGGACCTGCTCGTTCTCGGCAGCCACTTCAGCCGTGACGGCTCTTTCCAGGTACGGTGGCAAGGATCCGGTGCTTGCTTCGATCTGTCTTACCATGGCCTCGTAGACCTTGAGCGGGTTAATCTCCAGGTCGATGTCGTGCAGCTCGATGAGCGAGTTGATCTGGCCTGCCAGGATATGTTTCAGGTATGCCTGTCCCGGTCCACGACGGGTATACGTGGTCATCATACGAGAGACGGGAGTGTTCTGCCGTAGCAGAGATGAGTATTCAGGAGTGTTGTCGAATTGGTAGGTGAGAACGGACTGAAACATGGTGAGGAGCAAGTGTTCTTCGCGGCTTTCGTACTGGTTTCCGTAGATGGTGAACATGACGGTCTGGAGGAGGGAGTCGATCTCGGCCATAGAGACGAGACGGCAGAGGTGGGCGATGTGACGGGGCTCGGACTGGAGGAGGAAGAGGAGATTGCCGTATTTCTGCGTCTTGTCATCGTTGGGGAAGGCCCCTTCCTGGATATCCGAGGCGTCGTCGAGATGGCTTGCGACCTCGTTTTGCTGTTCCTGTTAGTGTATCCGAGTGTATGTAAGAGTAAAGATAAAAACTCACCTCTTCAAGGGCCATGCGATTCTGGATAAGCAGGGCAATTCTCGAGTCCAGGTACCGCACATCCTTTTCGAGGACGAAGTTCTTCTTCGACTGGGTAGATATCTTCGACTTGAGTTCCCGCAGGCTCTTTTGCGCTGTATGCAGTCAGTATCGTCAACCCATCACGGACATTAGTGTTCAACGCACCCCTTGCCAGTTCGTCTGATATTTCGAGGTCCTTCTCCTTTGCGGACATGGACAGGTAGAGCGCCGTGACGGACATGCGCTTCGACTGGCGCATGGAGCGGGCGTCGTGGGACGACATGGTGTTCTGTCTGGTCATGGGCTGGAAGGATGAGGATGAGGATGTTGATGCGCGAGAGACGCGGGATGCTGGCTGCAGCATGGTTGCGACTGACATAGTACTCTGCTAACTTGGATGGAGAGATGAAGATGATCGAGCAGGTGTGCTGCATTCACATTAGCCGTCTATACGTCTTCAAGCAGGCAGTCTTCCTTACGAGGTCACGACTGCATCGAAGCGGTCATCGAGCTGGAGCAGTCCTCTATCCTGAGCGTCGGTATCTGGTGGCGAGGGCGTCCAACGTCAATGGGTCGAGTGCAGTGCGTCCAATGGTCCAACGGCGCCGGCAGCAGACGAGACGAGACGAGATCGAGATCGATAACGGCGTTGACTGCGAGGTTGAAGTCGAGGGCGAGAGAGATGAAGATGGCGCTGGTCGCGGGGAGAAGTTGACGAGGGCGAAAGGGGCTAGTGATCTACTTTAAGGATGGTGTGCATGGGTGGGGCCGGCAGTTGCAGTATCAGTACAGTTAAGAGTTAGCAGTCAACAGTTAAGAGTTAACAGTCAACAGTTAAGGGTTAAGAGTTAAACAGTTAAAGAGCTAAAGAGCTAAAGGTTAAGGGTTAAGAGTTAGGATAGTTAAGGTACAGTTAAGAGCAGAGAGCTGAGAGAGAAGAGTAGAGGCAGAGGAAGCAGGTACAGAGGCCTCGTCGCATGACCTCATGTAGCGCCTACGAGCGAGGGGGCAAGCCAAAGGACAGGCCGAGAGAGAGCCTAAGGAAGCCTAAGCAAGCCTAAGCAAGCGTGAGGACGCCCGGAGACAGGCCCAGGGGGGTGCCTAGAGCGGCGCTAGGGGCGCAAGCCGGAGTTAAACAGGGGCTAAGCAGGCTAGCCAGGGCTAAACAGAGGCTAAGGGCCTTGGCGTGCGCTACACAGTTAAGGCTTGCTGTTAAGGCCTCGTTAGGGCAGTCGATTAGTTAAAGCAGGCACAAACTTGGTTAATGCCCAGTTAAAGCCTTAGTTAAAGATTTTAAGCAGCTCGCCAATCTTGCGAGGCTCGGGTATGCAAAGTTAGCTGTGTGAACTGCGACACGCCCTGTTTCAGCTTCTCCGATCCCTCGAGCTTGTTATCGGAACAACTCTTCACGTCTGAGCTATGGATACATATATGGATATGGGTACTTCAGGTGAGCATGGCGAGTGGACTGCCTAGGCGACGGTGGGTGGATGGCAGCAAATCATGGCCCTGCAACTCCGGCAGCTCCGGGATATACAGTCAACAGGTTTGCATTTTTATATGTAACATCTATCTAAAGGTATGCGATCGACCAGCTGTCTCCTTGCGCACTTTCTTCACTCCAGACGGCGCGTTGGACAGCTTGACGTACGGGTCAAACCTCCTGCCTTTCCCTTTCCCGCCCTGCTTCCCCTGGTCCTGCCCGTCGTCTGCCTTTGCGTGTATCAGTGACTCGGCATTCGCGTAGTCAAACGGCATTGCATCTTCCTCGTTGCCATCTTCTCGTCGCCGTTTGCCCAGCGACGACCTCTGTTTCTGCTTCTGACGCCGTCCCTTCTTCTGTTTCCGATCTGCACTAGTGTCATCAAGCAAGATCTCAGACGCAGCCATATCGAAGCCCCTACCAGGATCCGCAGGGGCAGTTTCATCGTCATCAGACCTTAGTTGCGCCCCGCCCTGCCGTTTCTGCGGTACTCCAAACTGTTTCACAGTAAAGATCTCGTTGCTTTTTACCGTCTTGGGCCTTGCTTCTTCTTCTTCCTCGTTTTCCATGTCGTCATCGTCATCGTCATCATCCTCGTCCTCGTCCTCGTCGATATCAAGACCAGAGCTGGCACTGGGCATGTTATCCTCAACAACCCGGACCGGCATCGACGGCAGCGGGAGGGAGAGCTGTAGGGCCTGCGCGGATGCTGGGATCGCATAGTTGGAGTACTGGGGGTGTTCTGTATCCTCGACCTGGCCCCAGAACTGCGACACGGAGGTACGGACACCCACGCCTGCATCTACACCTGCATCGTTCACGTCAAGGTCCATCCCATCCTCAACGGCGACAACCTTGGCAGCAGGAGAAGCAGGAGAAGCTGCTGCTGCTGCTGCTGCTCGAGCAGCTTGAGCGGCCGGAGATCGTCGCCGGATCATCTCATGCATTTCCGGGCCCGTAGCACCGTTCTTCTTCGCCTCTCCGATCAGCGCGGCAACTTCTTCCGCCCGGCTCCTCAGAGATGCAGAAACAGGCGACGCAAATCGGAGGACCGCGAATTTATCCTCGGGCATCTCCTGCGCAATCCTGAACAGCGACCTCTTCGATAGTACCGTCTGCGTGCTCTCGTCGTCCGCTCGGGATGTCCTGTCTCGCCATTCGTGCAGAGCACGGAAGACGGCGAACTGCTCGCGTGTGAACAGTACGGGACTGTTGGAGAGCATGTCGTGCCATCCGCCGCTGCCTCGACCGCGTACGGAGTCGTAGGTCGGCCGTTCGTAGCGCTGTAGTGCACACTCCTTGGACCGGGAAAGCACATATTCAATCCCGTCCTCCGCTGTTCCTCCAGCCGCCTCCTCCGACGCAGCTATCAAATCATTCCTCAGCCTGTCGAAGATGTATAGAAGGAAATGCGTATCCGACCTCGCATAGTCTAACATGCCAGGCAGAAGCGGCCGTATCCTCCAATCCGCAGTCTGATACTTCTTATCAGCGTCAAATCCTACATATTCCCGTAGCAGGAACTTGAGACTCTTCTTTTGCAGCTGCAGCGCACACGACGCGTGGTACGTATCGAACAGTCCAACCAGGTATAGTCCCAGGTCTCGCTGTAGCCAGATAACATCCATACTCGAGCCGTGCAGCACCTTGACGATAGACGGATCTGCAAACACCTCGTTGAGAACCTGCAGCTCTGCTCGCCATGGTTTAAGCGTGTCTACAATCCAGTCCTGTTCGCGCGTGCTTATCTGCATCAGACATACGATGCCGTGGTAGACGTGGCTATCGTGATGCTCGAGATCGACTGCGATTTCCTTTGCCTTTTTCAACTCTGCTAGCATCGCGTGTACGCCTTCAAGGGTGTCCACGAACGTTGCCTTTGTAGTTTCCACGGGTTGGTACATCATCGGTTCTGCAGACTTGTAGACCGATTCCGGATACGTGAACTCTGCAATCTCCTGGCTATACGGATGGTTGTATCTAGATAAAGTTAGTATATACACCTACACATGGATGATAAACGGAGGACATACGGCTTGGTAGGATCTGATAGGCTGCCTCCCAGACTCTTCTCAAAAGGAACAATGGCATGCGGCTTCGTCTTAAGCAACGGCTTAAACGCAGTGCCATCATCAGCATTATTCAACGGCACGTCAAATAATAGCTGTGGCTTCGGTATCTTCGACGGCCCATAGCTATACATGCTAGGAAACCCCTGTTTCCCCTCATCCTTCTCCTTCTCTTTCTCTCGCTGTCTCTCCTGCTGCGACGGACTGAGTTTCTTAATTATACCCGTAAACTCATCCAGACACGCGTCGGCCTTCTCCAACAGCTCATCGATAACATCCACGACAGATTTCCAGTTCTCGTCTATCGACTCTTCGTCGCGCAAGACCGGACGACGCGCAGATTTCGTTCTGGAGTTGCTGGAAAATGGCGAGTCTGGGTTATTCGAGGATGCGATTCGGAGGAGCGAATTAGTTAGATTGAGTAGTCGGTTGCCCTGCTCGTCGAGGGATTTGGTGACATTGGAGTCAAGGGAGCGGTGGAAGGCGAGATCTTCAGCTATTATCTGGCCGGTGGTTTTGGTAGAGCTGATCAGGGCAGCTTGCACCTGCTCCTGGAAGGGAGTGAAGTCTGCTGCGCCCTCCATGGTAGGATGGTTAACGGCGTGAGTAGATAAAGGGAGAGACTACTGGAGGAAGGTAAATTGCTTGTATTTGCTGATTAGAAGCGCGAGATATTCTCAAGTTATCAAGAAGAAGGACATTTTGTCCGTAGCAAATCGAATATCACAGCTTTTTTGCAAGTAAATCAAAAAAAGTTCAAGATGCACAAAATGTTTAAGGTTCGGCTGGCAGAAGTCGGAGAAATTATTTGCCGCGGAACCTTTACAAGAAGAGAGAAAGACAAAGACAAGAAAGAAACAGAAGAACGGAAAAACAGAAGACAGAACAGAAGACGCTATCCTTGCCTCCGAGAAACACCGTTAACAAATTGTCAAGAAGAGAAGAGAATTTTGAGTGGAGATTTTGTAGCAGCATATGCTGAAGAGTGGTTGAGAGCTGTTTTTGTCGAGAACTGCTAAACTCGTTTGAAAGAGGTGACTTCGCGTGTCGTCGCTTGCCGGAAGGATACTCGAAGAAGTTTCAGCTGGAGAGAGGTCGAAGCGAGATAGGAGACGAAGAAGTCGAGCAGTCGCAGCTTGAAGATTGAAGATTGAAGATTGCAGATTGAGCTTGGAGCTGAGCTAGAGATTGTCTGACGCGAGATTAAAGACTTGACACCGACATGTCTGCGTCATTGGCACCCGAGTGCAACGAGATCAAAGAGTAAGATTGCCAACTCTGTTGCGGGCGAGAGAATCAAAGAAGCTGTGCTGACGATGCTGATAGGAGGTACGACTCGTGCTTTCTCAAGTGGTATAGCGAGAGTAAGTTCCGTCGAGAAACATGATGACCACGAGACACGAGAAGAAGAAGCTGAAAGAACGGATTGGGTAGAGTTCCTTCGCGGAAACACGTCGACGAATGAGTGTGAAGATGTCTTTCGGCAGTACAAGAAGTGTTTGTTTGTGAGTTGACCCCAGGAGCAGTCAGGACTCGACACTTGTTTGAAACTAGACAGCTGACTCGCCCCGAAGAAGACGTTGAAGGAGAGGGGGATCGACGTGATGCTGGAGGAGGCGCGGAATTCGAACAGAGAACAGGACGCAGAGTTTTTGTCGAAGAAGAAATGAAATGAGTATTGGCTGTATTCCATTTGCTGTCTTCACTGATATCCGTAGAGCCGGGGGTCGATATTGGGATCGAACGGTCCCTGCTCTAGTTGCGACTGCTGCTGCGGCTGCGGCTCAGCTGGCTGGGTTGGCTGGGCTGGCTGCTGCTGCTGCTGCGAGTACGGCGGATATGCCTGCGTGGGAGGTTGCTGGTAGTCTCCCTGCTCGAAAAACGCGCTCTCGAGTTGTTGGCTTGTCGGGTCGCTCACACCAAGGAGGTCGTAGCCCTCGACACTCCCATACCCATGCTGTCCTTGCTGCTCGGGCTCTCCCTGGCCCCAGGTCGCTGCGACACCCGCTGGAGCCCAGCCCTCAAGGTAGAGCTGGGACGGCGATGGTGCCGGCTGCGGTATCTGGGGTGGACTTGGCTGCCGGGGAGGCGCAACGGACTGGGTGCTCTCTGAGCTTGGTGGAGCGACCGCTGGCTGGAGTCCTTGATCTCCAGACTCGAGTTCTAACCAGTTAGCTACCTCTCAAAGAAAGAGAAGAGAGAAGAAAAGACATACCTGGGTGCGGTGGAACAACCCTGTCGTTGGGATGTTGCTCCAACACTCGCAGAACCTCGAGCACCAGTCTCCTCTCCCTGCCATCGGCGATGTGGCTCGGTCTGTAATGCCTGTAGTCATCAAAGACATCGGCAATACTTCTGCTCGCACCTGGGGGCATTGTCGGCCTGAGTGACTTGTTCCAGCGAGACTCGAGGTCTTTGGCGCTGGCTTGAGGGAAGACGGCATCGAACTTGACTTTGATGCCTTCCCAACTCAGGTTTGTCCCCAGGCGGAAGGCCACGATGGCGACGTCCTCGGCCTCAGTCCACTTTCCGTGCATCTTGTCGTCTTCGACGACGGCCTGGCAGTGATGCGAGCTGGCGTCTGTCGGACACGAAAAGCGCGGGTCGGGCGTGCGAAGGGAGGTCAAGGTCTTGAATGGCTTGTCGTGGCTGCTTTGGAAGTTGGCTGGCAAAGAGCGACGAGAAGAGGGTAAATCAAATCAAGACCTTGAGCTGGCTGTTGTTGTTGTGAACAAGAAGAAGCCTCTGCTGGGGGGAGAAGCTCCTGTTATATATAAGACCTGCCGCTCTGGTGTCTGCGGGTTGCAGTTCAGAGCGGCGGGTGAGAAAAGAAAGAGAGAGAAACAACGCCGAGGGGGAAGATGAGGACGTTATATAGAAAACGATGCGATGGTCACAGCTAGTAACAGGCTAGTGAAGGGAGAGTAGCGCGAGACAGGCAGCGAGAGGACAGCAGAGACAGTGAGAGGAGAGTGAGGCTTTCTCTTTGTCATATTCACGCTGTAGGATGTTCTAGTTACAGGACAGTATGGAGGAAGATAGTAGTTATAGTGAATGATACACTATAGATGGTAGTTATATGATAGATGGACAGTGTAGGTGACTGGCATTGTCAGGGATATCAGCTTCACTTGCTGGAATGTAGCTGTCAAAGGCAGCACAGTTGAGTCTACGTGAATATACATCTAGAGACAATGATGAACGTTATGTAGTGAAGAAGAGTATTACTATGTACGTCACCCTCGACGCCGTCTATCATGCATGTGAGGAAAAGACGGAGCTCGATACAAGACTCCAACGCCTCCCATTCCTCCTCCGCCGCCGCTGCTGTGGGTGCCACTGCTGGTCGATGTGCTCTTCGCCGTCAAGCGTGACCATACGTCGATTATGCCTACTCGCTGGGCCGGGAGCATGCTATACTGTAGGCTGTACAGGTTGCGTCGATGGATAGGGGGAACAAACTGGCCAGTGGCAAGACAGAGGATCACTCGGGGTGAGAGATAGTGCTGGCGGATACGGTGGCCGAGGCGGAAGTACTGGTCGAACATCTCCCTGAGAGAAAGGGGTATTGACTGCATGGTCTTAGTAAAGAGGTGAAATCTCGATATCTTCAAAGGAGGCATACCTTGAGGTGGATGTAGGACGTCTCCGTATATTCGAGCTTATCATTTGGCGGCTTGGGAAGGGTTGGTTTCCGGAGCTCAAACCGCGTCCCTCCTGCATATGGTTAACATGAAAGCACCGGCTAGGATAAAGACACGGAAAGGGGAACGTACCAGGGAGTCGCCGCGAGTCCTTTAGCCGCAGCATCAATGCAAATAATGGGAAATGGTTGAGAAAGGCCAAACACGTATCAAGCGCCGCCTTTAGAGAAATAATAGCCATCCGGGCAGATGCAAAAGTAATATAAAACACAAGAACGGTAGGCAACAGGAAGAAAAGAAGCGTAAACAGGATCGTGCCGAGGAGTAGCTGGTCAAGATCGTAATCACAGGAATCTATCCGGTTTCGAAGGATGTTTCTCTTTCGGCCGCGGAAGAGGTGGAAAAGGGATATTATAATCGTCAGCTGCCAGTTAAAGATACGTGCAGACGCAATGTAGAAGGAATATATGTGGACGGTGAAGATGGTAAGGAGGTCGGAGAACATGGCAATCGACATGCTGGCCCCGGCGAAGCTCGCACATCCGATTATGTAGACTACGTGTGAAAGGAACGGCCGGAGACTCGCCAGTGCACCTAAAATTGTTGTCAGTATCAAGAACCTTTTTGACTTGTTTAAAGGGAGAGGGAACCACGTACTGGCCCAATGGGCGATGACCCATAGGAACAGGTCTCCCAAAAACACAGCCAGTTCATTGTTGAGTTTCAGGCCGGCCGGCCAGCCCATAAGCCATGATATAGTCTGCTGAAGCCCGTCGACAGTCCAGCCGCTTAGCACTGCGTTGATTTGTGAGGCCACAGTATCGGCGTTGTCGACGATATATGAACCCAGGGCAATGCCGATGATGACATCGTTGGCCACGAGCCAGAGACTATTGTAGAATCTGATATAGTCCGGATGACTGTTCGTCACACTCTCCCAGTCGTCCTTCCTCTTGCGTAGTGTCATATATTGTATAGGCCAATAGCAGAACTGCTGAAGTCTGATATCAATCTGTTGAGCCGTGGCGGATATATCCTTCAATGCAGCCGCATCAGGTGCTGCACGCCATTCCAGTATCTTTAGAACCACCTCAGCTACTATCCGATGTCCGATAAGCAGTGCAATGAAACCCTTGGTGATGACGGGGTATATCCAAACCATCACAACATACGATATCCCCCAGAGAAGGATACCCCATGCTGTCGTTGCCGATTCAACAACCCGCTGGCTAACACTTAGGGCCCGTTTCGGTCTCGTTCCAATCAGCCCTATATTGTTCTGGAGCAGCCTGTCCATTTCAAAGGAGCAGTTGATTTGGTTGATAAGCACAGGGAGAGCCTGCTCTTTCGACGAAGGCACATGCTTGACCACCGTCACCAGTCTTCGCTTAGCTATAAGCCTTGAGGATTGAGCTCTTGCTTCCCTTTCCGCGACCTCGACCTCATCCAGTATCTCACCACCCTTATCGAACGTCGTATGTTTGTCTCCCAGGGCTAGAGGGATCGGTCGTAGCGACATATATTGCATTTTCGTCGGATGGGGCCGGTTAAACATTATCACTTGCAATGGCAGCTTCACATTTGGAGGACAATATATGCGCGGCACTCCCGTAGACGGACTTGTCGTTACATGGATATGAGATGTTGTAAACGCCGTTGGCACCTCCGCCGCATTAGTAGAACCGAGTACATGCATCACAGGTTTCCCGCAGAGTCCAAATATTCGAGATATTGGATATGGACTATTCCGATATAATATACCCGTCCGAAGGGCATTGTCAACATTTCGTGCCTATCTCCATAACCACACCTTTAGCGACTTGCGGCCTCCTTATGTATATCAATCGCAGCGCAGTATCTCACCTCGACATGCTCCAATACTGATACCACAAAGAGGTCGAATTCCGAGTTCCTCCATCCCACAATCACCCCCGGAGCGTCAGACAGCTCAACTTCATATGGCCAAAAAACCCGCAGCAGGCCATCATTCATAACCATGCTGACATTCTCTCTCCTCCGCTCAGAAAGATCCGCGGCGTCTCAGTTGCTCGCGCGCCGATATACCGTGGTGCACGGAGCGAGGATGCTAGAAAGATAGCACAAAAAAATAGATATTAGCCGCCCCCCGCGCTTTGCGATTTCATCTTCTACCGCCTGTAGGAATGTATTTACCACTTTAAACTCTCTTGTCACGATGTGATTTAGGGGTACGAGCAGGGCGGCGAAAAATATTGAGAGAACGAGGAATCCTTTGGCTGCGCGAGTCTATGGTAGAGGAAGTCCGCATGTCAGCTATGATTGTATTTATACATCCAGCGCGCAATGGTCGGGAGACAGAACACAGCAGAATCCATACCACAACGCCGTGATCCCAGGCGAATATAGCTAGCTCGTATAGCCTGGTAACCAAGTCCCACCGTGCGGTGATGTAGCCAGCGACGAAGATGCTGAACGCGAAGACGGAGAAAGGGTGCATGAATCAAAGCCCGCTAGCTGCGCATGCCCGAGCAAGTTGCGATTGAGGATTATAAAAGGCCGTAGGCTCATGGATAGGTCGTGGTCCCGTAGTCCGGATGGACTTGAGCTGTTGATATGTGCGTTTGGTGGGAGAAAGGGTGACATGCGCCCGCCGTTTGGCAACCGTGGAATTTTTGTCGATATTCTCGATGCGCTCAGCCACCAGGGACAGTTCAACGGTCCACACAACTTGCCACGGCGAATGCTCGAGGATAGGAGTCGATATACGGTTATCCAATATTAATTACTCTGTACTAGATCTTAGTATATGCTTAGGATAGAGAAAAAGAGTATAATTTTGGTAAACCGGCCTATATATCATCGCTAAACGCCATTATCCTTAGACCTGGACTAAATAACGTCTAAATTACCGCTCATTATAAAGCCTTGATATCCAAAAACACCTTATTAGCCTGCAGCTTGTCATCTGCAGCAACAAGATCTCGCAGTCGCTGTTTCTTCTCCTCCACGCTCATGTTCTCGTTGCCAGGGGCTTCGACCTCGGCCTTCCATTTGACCAGCATGGCTTTGAGCAGAGCATTACCCTCCGCAACTTCTTCCGTAGTGAACTTGTCGACGGTTGCGGCCTGCTTTGCATCAGCTGAAGACGTGGTGAAGTCTTCAAGTTCTTCTGCCTTCTGACGGGCCATGTTTACGACCTTGTCGGGGAATCGGACCAGCTCGGCGACGTGGATTCCAAAGGATTGATCACAGACACCCGGCTCAACACGGTAAAGCAGAGTGACTTCTTGCTTCTTGCCTTTCTCCGGCTTCTTTCCTTCTGATGCAGGACCGTCTCCGATAAAGGCGACGACATGTAGATTGCTCACTGATTTGGGATAGCGCTCCTCGAGTGCTGTCAACTCATGGAAATGCGTAGCGAATAAGCTGAAGCATTTGATTTCAGTAACGATATGTTCTGAAATTGCCCATGCAAGACCAAACCCGTCATATGTGCTCGTTCCGCGGCCTAGCTCGTCGATTATGATCAAAGACTCGGACGTTGCCGATTTCAGGATATTCGCGGTCTCAAGCATCTCGGCCATGAACGTCGATACGCCCTTGAGCTGAGAATCACTGGCGCCCACTCGAGCCAGGATACAGTCAAATATCGTAAGCTCTGCCTCTGAACAAGGGACAAAGCACCCTGTCTGAGCCATGAGAGCTATAACCCCTATTTGTCTGATATAAGTAGATTTACCGCCCATATTGGGACCTGTGATGATTAGAAAGGAGGATTCGTCTCTAATCAAAGAGACATCATTGGTGATGAAGGAAATGTCATCTTGCATTTCCATGCATGGATGGCGAGCTTCCTTGAGGATAGTGTTACCCGTCCCTCGTGGGTGTATTTTTGGTCTCACATAGGCAGTCGGGGCATGAGCGGATACATGTGCGAAGCTCACTATCACATCAAGATGTGCTAGGATGCCGGCAAGTTGTTCAAGTAGTGGGCAATATGAAGCTGCAACGTTGACAACCTCACTAACGAGGCCAGTCTGCGTTCGATTGTAGTTCATTGAGAGTTGGTCGTGCTCCCTTCGTAGCGATTGCATCGTTGAGGTTGTGAAGTATACACCGTTTTTCTGTGTCGAACATTCCTGGTACTCTCGTTTGTTGCGAATACAGCCAGCTTCCTGTGAAGATACGTTAGTAAAGGGACGACTGAATGGGTTATAAGGTCAAGCTTACATTTCGCGTTAACCTGAAGCACCAACCGTGCACTCGGTGGTTCTCTAGGAAAAGCTTCTTCTCAATGTCCTGACCAAGTTCTCTGCCGACTTTCTTATGTTCAGAGTCCATATCATATTTTAACTTGTCGAGTTTCTTTCTGATTATCCTCAAACTATCGTCAAACTCCGGTTTGATAATGAATTCATGGTTGTCCAGAGCGTCTAGGTCAACTGTTGTCTCAACCATTTCCGCAAGTTTCCCCAGGTCATTGGAAAGTTTGCGTAGCTTGGTTGTATATTCTGCATCTAAAGGTGTTTGGTATTTCTCGTCCATGACTCCTTCGAAAGAGTTGATAAAGCCGGGAATGCGAATTACCACCTGGTATACACGAACGACATCTTCCAAGTTGGCCATTCCTCGCTGGAAACGTTTGGCCAGTCTGTAGAGATCTGGTATGGATCGTAAATGGTCCTCTTGCATAGTCTGCCTTAATTCGGTATCTGTCACAAATGCTTCAACCAACTGCTGGCGCTTCTCGATATCCACATGGTTCATCAGTGGTTGCTTTAGCCATTGAGCCAATAGACGACCTCCAACGGGCGTCTTGCAATGATTTAGTAGACCGTAAAGACTCATGTGTTTCATGCCATCTCGCGGTCCAGGCATGAGATTCAACGCTCTGAGTGCAGATGCGTCTAGTTTCATGTATTGTGCCAAGTCATGCTTGTAAAGTTGATATTGGCCGAAATTCGAAGAATCAGACATTGCGTTGAGGTAGCCGATCAAAGCGGCCGCAGAGCCCATTGCTAATTTAAGGTCTGTCTGTGGTAACATTGCTGGGCCCCTCTCGTCTTTCAGTAACCTAGATAGGTCCTGCTCGATATCCTTGGTTCCGAAATCGCTGGCGGGTCGTTGTGTAATAGCAACTCCACAGCTATCTGCAATTTGCCTCAGCTTCGATAGCTCGACGTCCTTTTTTTGTCCCTCGGCGGTAATCAAACACTCTTTAACTCCAAGCTGAATGAGTAACGATTCAAAATTGGAGTACAGGTCATTATCCACGAATTCGCTGACTCCAAGTTCCCGGACACTTGCATCTGCAAAGCATACGCCAACGTGCCTCGTCTCTGCAGCCTTAGCAGATACTTTAACAGCGAGAATGATAGGGGAGGTGTCCATAGCATTCCCTCCAGAAGCTCCACCTAACTCCTCCTCCACATCTTGTAAATTTCCCGGGCTGGCCTGCTTTGAGAGCTTCCAACCCTTCCCAGAAGCACCGCCTTGCGATGACCATATCTGAATGCGTTTGTTCAAGCGGAAAAGGGCTTCACGTAAAAACGATCGAAATACGGTGACGGATAGGGTCACTGAGGGGAGGCCGCTGTCGCTTCGTCCCAGTGTTCGTATGACTGACGTGGTCTTGTAGACTGTGCGGGCGATGTACTCTGCATCTCTGCCGTGGGCGGTATACCAGTCACCACGATCGAACACGCGAATTGTAGACTCATCTTCAGAATCTAGTGAGCGGAAAAATCGAATAAACCCGACTTCATCGTCAACCTATCCAAATGTTAGAACACCAGGCTATTTAAACACGGAAACAGCAATCTCACCTTCAGCTCTGGTCGTGATGCCATAGTTCAATTGTAAATATCCCTCCTGTTCACTGCTTAAAAACGAGAGAATAAGACAGTTCTTAGCTATCTCAACGTTTTATATTTAAACTGTTGCTTCAGCGCGTGAACGAGCTTAATGGATTTCGGGTCACGTGCTCACGCGTTTCGCGCTCCATGACATCATAAAAAGTTGTATAGAAAGTTGTATAAATATTTGAAAGTCTGATGCAAAGGATAAAGAAATAAGAGACAGTTCTAGGTAATCCCCCGTTGATATTCCATACAGAAAGAGAACTCCGGAAAAATACACATATAAAATATAAGCAGTGAGAAGAGGGAATTACAGCTGCTCATTTCCCTTTCTTTGATGTACCCCCTTTGCCAGGTTTACTGACTTTAGTTGCAGCTTTCCTCTTCGGCTGAGGCCTGGGCTTTGGAGCCGGCTTACTCACGGGCGCTTTCTTTGACTTGGTCTTAGCTGGAGCTTTGTTTGGAGCTCTACTCCTACCTTTGCCTTTCCCACTTTGCGCTGGCTGGTTGCTGCTCTCGCCAGCGTCCTCAGCATCTTCATCTTCTGCATCATCATCCTCAGCATCCTCGTGGATTGTATCAGGGACCGCTACTCTTCCATCATCATTCGCTGTAGAGGCTTGCGGCCCGCGGGAAGATGCAACGCTTGCCTTTCTTGCCCCCAGTCCGCGAGTTTGGCGTTTTGCGGGCGGTGCAGTACGGTCTAGCATCTTTTGTCTACCCGCGATGGCAGCTTGTCTTCTAGCTCTCTTAGGCGGCTCCTCATTCGGAGCTTCAGCCGGAGCTTCAACCTTGGGTTCAGCCTGAGAATTGTGAGAAGTCTCACGGGAAGAACCTTCCACTCTCTCATATTTCAAGGGATCTTCTTCAATTGACGGAAGAGGAATCTGTCTTGGGTCAACCTCTGATGGCGAATCTTCTAGCTTCACAACCGGCGTCTGTTCATGACGAATGAGAGCGACTCTTCTACCGGGCCTAGTCAGTTGCGGATAAGGTGGCAAGGCTGCAGCCAATGTCCTGCCAAATTCGCCTAAAATACTGATCCTCGACGCGCTCCAAGTCCGGATTCGTCTAGTTGGTAGTTTCTGTGGAGGAAAGGCAAGGAGCAACCGCCTCCGGCCCATGCGTTTGAACTCTGAACGCAGTTGTCTAATGCGTCTTTTACGATACCATGAGGCGTAGGGGCCTTTGGAAGTATATACCCCGTCTATGCCTGGTGAGGGTGTGAATTGCGGTGATGATGGAGGTTCTGCGCGGTCCTTGATTCGTGATCCATTTCTAGTGAACTGCGTCTTATGGCTATCATCATCAGAAATAGTAATTCGTTGGCCTGTGCAATTGTTAGCATTGCCGTTCAAACTTCACCTGGTTCTTCACCTCTACACAACTGGGGTAGGCTTGCTTGTGGACTCACCAAAATCAGGGCCGATGGGCCTTGTTTCCCGCTCTCTAGTAGCCCGCGGGAAGCGCCGTTCTCTCACGTCAACAATAACTGGATCTGAGCTAGTCTCCCCTACAGCTTTCCCGCCATGCTCCCGCGCTTCGACAGACTTGTTGTGGCTGTCATCCCCTGATCCCGAACCCTCTTCAGGTCTTGACCTTTTCTTCGGGATGGCAGGGAGCTCGTCAGCATCACTTGACGTTCCTGTAACCGAAATAACCGTTTCAGTTGCCTCCCCTGCTCTCCTACCTCCTTCAGGGACCGGGGTATCACCTGCAGCAAGGGCAGTTCGTTCCTGTGGCGTATATCGAACCACGATGCCAGCTCCTGGCCCGATATATGCCCCTGACTCCCCATCCCTCTGTACCCGCTCATACAGTTCCGGGTTATGCAATGGCAGGCCACCCCAGGGCTCAGTCTGCTCGGTTTGGAGTTCGAGATGAATCCTATCAACCGTTCCTGAATCTGACTCAGACATAGGTCCAGACCCAAGTCCGCTGCTAGCATCATTACTTCGCCTCTGTCTCTTATCCCTGTGTCCGCCTGCGTCGTTGTCATCATGCATATCTTTCCCTTCTTCTGCCGGTGCTTCTACTCCCCTGCCCTGAGGTCGGCTTCCTTCAACTCCTTCATCATGTATGGGCTGAGAAGGATGAGGCCCCGCGCTGCCTCGTGATACCCCTGGGTCACCCCGTCGTTGCTCCGGGTTCATCTTTGGATGTCGGCTTCTTGGTCCGGTTTCTGTTGGGCTCAGGCCCCTGTCCTGGATAGTCAAATTGTTCTATCTATATTGAGTACCCCGCGAGTCGATGGCATAGGAAGGTATCTTTGGTTCACGCTAACATGCAAAACAATCACGAGGGTGTCATTAATTAAACACGAAGGGGATGGAGAAGTAAGGAAAGCAAAAGATGGGGAGCGCGAGGATCAATTGGTGAATCTATATAATAAAAATAATGGAATAAAGAGAAAGCCATTGAGTTAGGGACAAGACATTTGAAAGGAGCAGGTAATTGTTCGATAGAAGGGAAGTATACAATGGGATATAAAGAAGCAAAGGAGTCTTCCATCGGCATAAAGAGAGGAAGTAACTTGTTTCCTACATATTCACTATATCTTAAGCTATAATGGGATACACCAGCTTACAATCACTGTAAAGGCCCTCAACCATACTTAAAGCCATTTCACTCATTCAGTATTAAATAATATTATAGAAAACCGCTAGATACACGAATCAAGTAACCATCATAAACCCACAAACCAATTCCCATCATCATCGTTATCATCAGAGGCGAGCAGAGCATAGACGACGATACGCTGGAAAGAAATTCCAGTATTGTTGGAAATAGAAGAATCCCTTCCATCTATCAATCATATCAGACGTCTGTGCCTGTGCCTGCTCTCCATGCTTCTCTCTGAATCATGCATATCATTATTCATGCCCTCGTTATCCACACCGTATCAGAAAAGTAGAGAGATCAGGTAAGTAAGTTGAATAGCTTGTCTTGATAAGAGTTATACTCTGTATGTAGGATCGAGATAGAGTAAGTAGGTAAGTAAGTAGGTAATCGAGACAGGTCGAACAATAACAATATGCCATGAATGCAGAAGTTGAAGGCAAAGCAAAGCAACCTGCCCTTCAAAAGATATTCATAAAACAGACCAAGAAGCGAAAAAAGTAGACAAAGCGTAAGTAACGAAAGAAACACACAAACACAGCGAGAGGGAGGGAGGGGATAAAAGAAAGTCATTAATTCGTTTCGTTTCATTTCATTTCAGCATCTTCGTTCCGTTTCATCTCATCTCGTCTTTTCTTTTGTTCTCGACTCGGCCGGCTGATGGAAAGGGTCCAGCAAGTAAAGTAAATGATTCATACCGCACCACACATCGCGATTCCGCCATAGGTAAAAGCCGGAATATAAAGCGAGGTAAGTATATATAAACAAGACAAAAAAGGATAAAAGGACAAATACCACATCCACATCCATAGATAATGACGAGGATAATGACGATGATGATGATGGTAGAGACAATCCATCGTCCATCGTGCCAGACGGAACTGACAAAGGAAAGAAACATGGGAAGGAAAAGGGAAAGCCTAGAGAGATATGAGAGTACGGCGTGGCGTGTGTTTATATATGGGGTATGAATGTATGTATAGTCGGAGAGTCCAAGAGAGGTAATGAAAGGAAACAAAAGCAGAGCAGAGCAAGGAAGGGAGGGGGAAAGAGAGAAAATAAATAATGGCCATAAGTAGCATGCCCAAATGCTCCTAATCCAATTCATCCAATTCCTCCGTATCAATAACTAGATCCGTATCGCGGCCGTGGCGAGCAAAGTAGTCTGTTGCCGTCATTCGCCCGACCCTCTAAGTCATTACATCGTAAAAACCCATATCTCAGCCGATGGAATATATATACCATTCCAGACAAACTTTTTTGTTAGCGTTTGCGATTTTTGTGAAAGTTCAGTGCAGTAACGCTAGAATTTTGTCTTTTTATTTTCACTCGTAGCAACGGCGACGAGTGCTTCGAGGCGGCCGAGTCCATCGCCGCTGCTTCCGCCACCGCCGGCCATCCGCTGTCGCTGTTCTGTAGAACTCGTCTCGAACTGGGTTGGCTGCTGCTGCTGCGTGGGCATCTCGGTAGGAACGCTTGGTCCTGGTCCATCGTCTTCCTTCATCTCTTCTTCGTGCTCGACCTCTTCTCTCAGGGGACCTGTGCCTGCTCCCGTTGACGGTCGAGATCCGATACTCTGCAACTCACCGAGTGTCGCCTGGCTCCAGCTGGCCGCATCCTTGGCACTGCCATTGGAGCTGCCGTTGCCGTGTAGATCTAGCCTGGTCAGTGTTCGCTGCAGCGTTGTGTCGAGGGATAGCTGCCCGCGTCTGTGTTCTGCACCGGAGTAAGGCGGGGCAGGCCGGGGCGTGGCGTTGAAGGTGGGCGCGAACGAGGAGCTACCTATTATATGGGATGGCGGCGGTGGTTGGGAGTAAGGCTGGTGTTGGAAATGGCGACGGTCGATGGACATGGGGCTGCTGTCTCGGTCACGATCTCGGCGTGGGGGGACATGATCGAACGATTCAATTCCCGGTAGACGGGTTGTCTGTTGCGAGGAAGAAGAGAGTGGAGGTACATTGACGTTTACACCTACGCTCACACCTGGCGGTTCGGCGGATTGCTGGAACCATAATCCGCTGGTAGCTGGAGCGGGACGTGCAAATCCCGTGTACGAGGAAGGATGCCATGTTCTCCGTCGAGGATCAGCCTCAAAGCCGGAATCGACGGCGCTACCCGGCGTTACAGATGCATACTGCGGTGTTTCTGCCGGAGCTGGCGCCAACACGGGTGCCGGAGCCGGTGCTATTGACGGACCTGGGTATGATGGGTGTGTCATGCGTGAGAATGGCGACTGGCTGGGATAGTTTGAATGCGGCGACTCAAAGGGCCTTGTACCTGTGGGCACCGACAGACGACGACCAAAAGTGCGATCAGGCCAGAACGAGCCGTATGCCGAGTTTGGAGAAGCGTAGTAAGGGCTTCCGTGGTCGTATGTGGCCGAGGACGGGGTGAAGATGGGCCCGGGAGCAGATTGGTTCGGGGGAGTCTTGGGCGGCTCACCCATGGTCTCGAGGGAGAGAGACAGCCGGCCACGCGCGGGATCGGGCCCTGACCCAGCCATCATCAGCGGCGGTGGTCTGCGCCGTAGTTCCTGGTGTGTCGGGCTGAAGGTGGACATGTTGGACGAGATGCTGGAGGTAGATAGATTGCGGCTGTGGCTGTGAGAATGGCTGCCTCCGGTCCCCGCGCGGGCACGGCCGGTGGGACGCACACGATCGGTGCGTATCTGGCGCTGGAAGCGAGTTCCGGTGGCAGCGAGGGAGTCGCCCGGTATGTTTTCATTGACGTGGACGGTCTGGGCATGCTGGCGGAGGTTGTCCAGACGGGAGAAGCGGCGAGAGCAGTGGCACTGAAACGGACGCTCCCCGGTGTGTTTTCTACATCCGTTAGCATTCACTTCTTATGTCTTTAGTTCTGTCTATAGTTACATACCTGATGTGCCTGGCTAGATGTTCACTGCGGGTAAAGTTGAGATTGCAGGGCGGAAAGTCGGTGCAGTAGAAACGCTGGCCCTTTTTCTTCTTCGACGGCGGACCTGCCGATCCAGTTGAGCTTCCGGCACCTCCGCCCGAAGTGCCTGCAGCAGTTCCTGACTGTCCGGCGTCTCCGGTGCCGCCCATCTCGACCTCGTTGTCGGAGGGATAGTGCTCTCCGTCCGAGTCTGGGTGCTGGAGCTCGTCGAAGGCGGAGGAGTGCGTGGAGGAGCCCTCGCGACTGACGACGGTGGCGCGACTGGGCGTGGAAGCCATCTGCTGCTGTGACTGCGATGATGTATAGGCCTGGGTATGTGGTTGCTGTGGCTCGGTAACGGTTACATTGTTCGATCCACGGTTCGAGCTGGCGTCGGCCTTTGAGATGCCGTTTGCTGTGACGGAGGAGAGCGTCTGGCCGTTCGACTGTCTCTTGAGCCCGGGAGCTGGCGCTGACGCCGGCGTCGGTGTTGCTGGCGAGCGCTCTTTCTTCTGGCTTGGGCTCTGGCTCTGATGCTGGTCGGACAGCTGCATCGGCAGTGTATTGTTCACCGGTAGAAACGAGGGCATCGCTGTCGACACCATCTTCTCTCTTCTTTCTTTCTTTTGCTTCTCTCTTCTTCTTTTCTTCTTTTTCACTTCTTCTTCACTTCTCTCTTCACTTCTCTCTTCTCTTCTTCTTCTTCTTCTCTCTCTGCCGACGACCGACAGCTGGAGACACAGCCAGGGAAGGAGGCTAGGGTGTCATCTATGCCTCTGTCGCAGTCTGCCGCAGACTTGCCTGTCTAGCGTTACCTCGACGACGTCTCTCGAACGGCGGCAAGTGGGTCGTCTAGTACGGATCAACGCAGAAAGGACCGAAACATGAACCTGGCGAGTGGATGATGGATGTTGGTGCTGGTGGATGTTCTGTTGGTGTTCTGTTGGTGTTCTGGCGATGGAGATGATGTTGGAGTTATGTGATATGTGATATGCGTGCAGTCAGGTACAGACCCCTGTGACACAGCCTGGTGTCGTCTTAGTAGATATGTACGGGAGGAAGAGTAGACAGGGTAGAGTAGACAGGAGTAAATAGTAGACAGGGGAAGGGTAAAGAAGAGAGGAAGAGAGAGGAAGAGAGAGAAAGGAAGAAAAGAAGCGAGGCTACGTCAGAGATGCAAGTCATGGAGAGGGGAAGGGCTGGCGGCTGAGCGAGAGGGCGTAGGGGCGTAAGGGGGAGAGAGTGCTGGTTAAAGGCGTGCCCTACCAGTTAAAGCCTTAACTAAGACCCCGGCCAGGCCTTTAACTGGGAGGGACCCGGCAAGGCCCCCGACGCCCTGGCCTGGGTGGCGCTAACCAGGTACCTGCCTGCACTAAGTGGGCGCGGAGGTACCTCCCTCGTGCCTTGCCTTAGCCCGTCCCAGGTACCTGCATATCTCTCTCTCTCTCTACACACTCTCTACCCTCTACCCTCTGTCTACTCTGTCTCTCTCTATGTCTCTCTCTATGTCTCTGTCTACTCTTCTCTGTCTCTCTCTACGTCTGTCTACTCTCCCCTGTATGGATGACATGTGAAACATACAGAGTTACGGCGATCGATCGATCCAGGCACCTTCATCCGCCACCGCACACTTGTATACTTGTATACTTGTATACTTGCACTGTATGCTGCACACTGGACCGGGACGATGCTGCAGGGAGTACAGGTACTGCCAACAAAGAGAGACGAAAAGCAGGTAAGCGGAAAGTCAGGAGGCAGAGAAAGTATGTGAGTAAGGGCCTGTACCTGCATGTAGTTGCACCCAGTCCAGTCTGTCTGTACCATGAAAGCAGGCAGGTCGCCTCCCTGTCGGGGCCTGGATGTTTGTCTTCTTCCCCTTCTCCTGAGGTCGCACGGCGCGGAGCGAGACAGGATGAGACGTCATATTCAGGATCCGGCCAGGTCGGACCAGGCTGCTGGGGATGTACGTACACGGCAGATATGACAGGGCTTGCATACGCCACATATAGATGATATAGATATATATAGACGATAGATATATAAATACGATGATAGATGATAGATGTGAGATACGATGTAGATAGATACGATACGATGGATGATGGTAGATAGATGAGATTATCGACTGACGGCCCCGACCATGACGGCGGCCTCGCGCTCCCAGTTGCCCACGACCAGCCCGCCGCCGTCGTCCCTGCTGCTGCTCCCACGTAGCACACACTGCCGGATCTCGTCGCGCACCCTCTCCCGGTTCCCCCGCAAGGCCCTCGCGGCCGCCCCGCCACGGTTCAGCAGCTCCCCGACCCGCGGCGACAGGGCGGACGCCAGACACCGCCAGAAGTAGCTCGGCAGCGACGACGTGTCCAGGTACTGCAGCAGCGGATACAGCAGGTTGTTCCTGTCCTTCTCCTTGTTGCTGTTGCTGCTGGTGGCGTCGGCGGTGGCGTGGTAGAAGGGATGCACTGGCTGTCTGGCGCCCTGCAGTATCCGTTCTAGCAGCACGATGGTCTGGCAGCGACTCGATACCTCGAACAGCGCGCGCTCGAGGGATGGGAGCTGGGAGAGGCCCCGTATCAGGGCCTGGAGGGAGGTGGAGAGGGAGGAGTGGATGAAGGACTTTAGCGTCACGAGGAGCAGCTCTGGTTGGAAATTAGCCGTGGCCGACACTGGGACGGGCGTTTGTGTTTGTGCTTGTGCTTGTGCTTGTGTATGGATATAGGGGTGGGGGGTAGGGGATAGCAGATAGAGGGCCGTCATGGCCGAGATCAGTCGCGCCCTGGCCTCTTCCTGCTGTGCATATGTTGTAGACGACGTTGACGCAGTGCTCGACTGCCGCCCTTGCTCGTCAACAGGCAGTGAAAACCGACTGATGATCTGCTGCGCGCGAGTCTTGACACTGTTCTCTGCCGGATTCACCAGATCCGCCTTCAACGTCCTCACAACCCTCACCCGATCTAGACCGACCCCGTACCCTTCTCCTTCTCCGTCTTCGCTACCAGCAAACATCCGCCGTAGCATCAACAGCGTCTGTGACGCCCTTACCAGCGCCCTGTGGTCCTCTCGCTCTCCACCACTGATCTCCACCAGCTGTCCCTCCAGCTGCCGGCCCAGCACCAAACACCTCGACACGGCCCGCGCGAGCTTCACAGTCGCCCACGACCGTTCTGCTGCCCCGCGCACTTCCTCTGCCCCTTCCCATCGACGCACCACATCTTTCTCAAGCCGCTGATACCCTTCCGTCAGCGCGAGTACCTGTGCCTCAATGGCCAACAGTACCCGCTGGCCCGACGCAGTGGTATCGGTCGTGTATCGCAGCAACGGCAGAGCAGACTTGGTAGTGAGCGTGTGCACATGGCTATCGACTTCTTGGATATCGAAGAGCACCCGGGAGAGAGGCGTGGACAGGTCAAGGGGAGTATCAGAGGGGTTGTTAGTGGTTGCCACTAGCGTTTGGGCGAACGAGGTCGGTGAGAAGGACGGATCGAGGAAGGTCTCATAGTCGATATACGACGGAGAAGAGGTCATGGTGGACAACGAACGTCGTGGTCTTTTGCTTTCGTGTGTAGTATCTGCCAGATGCGTTAGCATGCCTTGTATAACGGGTATCGTTGTAGCGGTGGTCCCTTTTTACTTGCGCTGTATCTCTGTATGACGACAACGGGTCACGTTAGCAGCGAGATGAAGCCGAGATGGCAGAGCCGGGCGGGCAGCATCAGCATGCTTTATGTGAACGCTTGGTTTGCCTGAGTGCCGTCTTCTAACCAGCTTGAATTGGACGTTTGTTCAGCGTGCCGTGTCCCGTCTGAATGCTGGAAGTCGAAGGTGAAGCTGGAGTTGCGCATCTCCTGGTCTCGTGGGGACGTCACATGATGCCTTGCCCGCGCGGGGAGAACATTTCTACAACATACAACATATCTACAACATATCTACAACACTAGACGACATGTCGACGACATCTCAACGAGGTACTGAGTATGCTAGCTGTCAAGGAAGCTAATTCTCAACGTGATGGCTCCGAAGGCCGCCTCAGATACGAGCAACGACCTCAAACGCCGGCGAAGACGAATCCCTGATCGAGCTCCATTACATCTGTGACATCAACGAGTCCAAAGTGTCCGACGTTGCAGATATCGCGACAAAGGTGCCCATACGCAATGATATCCCGAGCTGGAACTGTCGGGATTTCGTCTTTGACGTGGTACATGCCCTACGGGGACTGGTTGAGATGGACGATGGATATAAAGAGCGTCTAGAGACGTTGAGGTTAAAGCAGGATGGGCTCATACGACCAGAGTAGGCTAACAAGGCCAGTCTATGGATTATACGCAAACTTCAACTGTTCATACATTTCATGAGGATTATTAAAAAGGAGATAATATAATAACGAACGTCCAACACCATGCAGTCTCCAAAAAACTCCACCCGAGAAGGAAAGGGTATATGCAACAATAACCAGAGCCATGAACCCGTACCAACCTATACCCTGTCTACTCGTTAGGTTCGACTTCCTTGCTGGCAACCGCAGCATAGTCTCCGCCCCCGTCTCGATCTCGACCTCTTCCTCTCCCCCTCGATAGGTTTTCCAGATCGATTCCGTTCTCGATATCGGCATCCGTAGCTTGGGTTTGCCTGGAGCTGGCGTTAGGCTGGCCGCCAAAAGCAATAGGCCGTAGTTCCCTCCACTGACAAGCCCACATGCCCAGAAACGTCATCAGAGTTGCGCTGGCCGTCTGGAGACCCCACCAGAGCATATTCGTAGGGATAGAATGTGTATAAAAGGAGGTGATCGTAAGATGAATGAAATGGACCGTGAAGGCGAAGTCGGGAATAAGTTTTGACCGCGAAACGAATAACAGGAGGAATATAGCTCTGTAAACAGTCAGTTTGTTCCTTTTTTGACATCTTACACCGAGTCGTGGTAAAGTGCATACCCCAAGGAGCTGTTCAGCAGCCAAACGAATCCAAGAGTCCATCCGACAGTTGTATCCCCCCGGACCGTCCGCCAGCTGAGTATAAGATCTGGAGAGAACGCAGTGCCAGCCACCAGGGCCGTGAATAAGATAAGGATCGAAGCGCAGACATAGTAAGCTAGTTGGATGGCGAGAATCTTCCGTATAATCTTCGACGGAGGGAGGTCTGCCAGAGCACCAGCCCGCGGGAGTCGACGGCGTCGCATGTGTAGGACTTGAACGGCGCAGGTATTATGGTATAAAATTAGGCGGCTGCATTTCCTTATAGCAGAAAACAACAGTTCATCTGTCAAGATGAAAGTGCATCGTCGTGACGGGACTTCCCTTGAGCTTGGGAAATTGTTTCTTCCTTCAGGCGCCGACGAAACGAGAAAGGGATATGGTCACGTGATATTCAATATTTTGAGTACGGGCAAGCAATGGAATGGATGGACTTTCTACGCCACGCAAGCATCGCATTCTACAAACAGTTACTCGGCTTCTCGGTTATTTACTCTGTCTCTACATCGCTCGAAATGGGGTGGTTTTCGTCATCCCCCGAATCTGCGCCCAAGAAGTCCACGGACGGCGGCTCAATCGCTCCCGACCGATCATCCCGCCAACAGTGCTGGATAGGAAGAGACCGCTTCTTCGCCTGCTTAGATGCGAATAACATTGTCGATGCTATCAAGGAAGACGGCCCGGCACGATCGAAGTGCTCCAAGGAACTGCTGGAGTTTGAGAGTGCCTGCTCGGCAACTTGGGTATGTCTTGCCTTGCCATGAACTGTATTGGTTGTCAGTCTACTAACCGGTGTTTATAGGTGAAATACTTTAAAGAAAAGCGAGTAATGGAACACAGGAGGGACCAGACTATCGAGAGAATAAAACGGGAAAACCTCGACTCTGCCGCGGCACAGAAAGCGGCCAAATAGAGCTACGATTGGATATTGGAGGGAGATCTTGCTACGATAGACTATGGGAAGTTTGAGGCATCACTGGCTTCGTTTTGTCTCCGGGCGCCTTATGAAAGGCTTGACTCGACTGTGCCGAAATCCCCACTCCACGGAGGTTATAGATATGGTAGCTATCCCATATCTTCTACAACATTGCGGTCAAGGCAACTATGGGTAGGGGTACGAGTGTAAGATATGATTGTAACATTAGCCTGACTTCTCTAGAGAGAAAGGAATTAGACGTATATTATAACGCAATATAGCATGTGAAATAGCATTACATATCCCCCAAATTCAACCATTCTCCATCACCTTGTGCTATAAATGCAAAAAAGTGAGATTCAGATATCGCTAATGTGCAATGGGGGTGGGATGCCCGGACCAAACAATTGGGTAGTGATGAATTAAATATATCAATGGGCTCATTATTGTTTCCATTTCATTAACTGCTCCATGATCTGCTGTACCTGTGTATTTGCTTGTGGTTGTTGATATGGCACGTCATTCCCCGGCCCCTTTGCGAGGAGTGATGCTAGGTTCGCATTGGGATGCGTGTTTGGATTTGGCGGGGGTGCAAACTGTGTAGTTTGAGCTATCGCTGGAACGGATGGCGAGTTGGCGTTACTCTGACGCGTCAAGTTACCCAAGAGTGTAGCTATATTAGTTGAATTTAACTGTGGTGCAGTGGTTGCCACCGGTTGGGATCGAAACTGATGGGTCTGTTGTTGCTGCTGCTGATGCTGTTGTTGCTGCTGCTGCTGATGTGCTTGTAGCTGTTGCTGTTGGTTTAAGGAATTAAGCAGCGAGTGTAGCGTGGAGCTATCGAGATTCGATAGGAGGTTGGCGATTGTTGCAGTCTGCTCAGATTGCTGAGTGGGTAGTTGCTGTTGGATAGGTAGAGAGGGTAAGGCTACAGATAACAATGGTGGTTGCAGCTGTATCAGACTTGGTTTCTGAGAGTTACGAGCCTGCACAACAATTTCGGCCGCGATGCTGAGATCAAGCTCAGTGTACTCTATATTATCATTAGCACTAGGGACCGTGAGAAGTATAGACGATAAGAATAACCCACCATTGAATCGGACGTTTCCCATCCCACCAGTTCTGTCAAATATCTGTAATGGTATTTTTCCAGAATACTGGTTTGCACGCGAGATGCGAACAATGGCAAGGACACCCTCGATTATCTGACGGCGAACAACGGCAGAGAGCCGTATTCGTGGACTTAAAATTAATACATCACATCGGAGGCCGCGGTCCCGGAAAGCGTTCTCAACGCGATAAACGAATTCACTAAATCAGGTCAGTACTCCCATGGTTCAATATGGACAGGGGCTAAACTTACTTATCTGCATTTTCCAGAACAATGACCTGGACCTCAGGGACGTTACGCGGATCCCTTCTTGGGATTGGTAGGTCAGATTCGCTGTCATACCCTTTGTCCCTTGGGCTAGGACTACGGTGGCGCGCATTCCGTGGACGGGGCGACCTCGACCGTCGCCTATCACGGCGGTCATATCGGTCAAAGCTTCGTTCCCGGGCGTGATACGAATCTCGACGTGGGCCACGGGGAGAGGGGGATCGAGAGGCTCTGTCACGGTACCGATGCTGGTCTTTTTCTCTGAAATCACTGATTGCCAGTCTACTCTGGCCCTGGCTCGGAAACCTATCGTACCGGTCGGCTGCAGAGCGACCGCCACGAGCTGGTTCTCTGTTTCTCTCATATTCCGGTGACCTTGACCTTCGCAGATTACGTCCTCCAGGTTCGGCTGGGCCAGAGTTGCGAGCGCTTCGTTGTGGCTTCGATATTTCAAGATCTAACAAGACGTTAGGATATATAACGAGAATAACGGGTCGTGAATACTCACGGATCTTTCGTCCCCTCACAGTAGCTCCCTGCTGAGCTTGTAGTGCTTTGCGGCACGAGTCAAGCTCCAGAAATTGAATAAAGCCATAGGCTTGTTTGATCGATATTTGAGCTAGTTTGCCATGCATATGGAAGAGATGGAATAAATCCCGTTTCGTCACCCTTTCGGTGGGAAGGTTACCTATGCGTTGTTAGTATGGATTCTCTGCTACATTGAGAGTATTGCTTATTTACCGATGAATAGTCGCGATCCGACGGGGAATCGATCCCAATGCGCCTCGGTAACGTACACTCGTTCATCACGGAGAAAGTCGTCATACTTTTTCTGAATTTCCGGGCCCCAGGGGGTATCATCCTGTTGGTCACCTCTTTTGGACTCGATATTCTCATCATAGCTATCACGCTTCCGTGAACTGCCAGATACCTTTCTAGAATGAGACTTTGATGGCGCCTGTTGAGATGCTGCAGTAGCTGGGGGAGCTGCTGACATGGTTGTATTCATGACCGGCGGATAGCCACTCTGGGGGTGACTATTACTTTGACCATCTTGTGAGGTCTCTTTAGAGGACGGGTTATATGATGATTCAAATAGATGACCACTACCTGTGTCTGTCTGGCTGGGTGGAATGGCTTCGTAGTTATGGACTGGTGGGCGAGGAGGGAGTGTAGATGGGTAAGGCAGGGACAGGTCAGGGATGGAAGGGATATCACCAAGGTTATGAGTGGGCACCTGGTTTATGGGCTCTGCGGGATGGGCTGCAGTGGTGGTGGTGGTAAAAGATGAGGGCGCATTGCTTTCAAGCAAGCTCCGATAGGTGACAGCAGTATTGAGAGGAGAAGTCTGAGAGATATCAGGATTTATATCACCTGAATTGTGTGCTGTAGTAGCAGCCCCTACTCCCAGGGAATAACCAATAGCTTCAGGTTCTGTGCACAACTGGGGCTGTTGATAGTCATACGAAGGAAGGGCAGGACCAGAAGCGGCTTGATACAAATCGAGAGCATCGGAACGACCTATAACATGGTTAGAGCCAAGTTGGGCGGCTGCTGAAGAATCCTCCTCTGCTGGGGCGGCGGTATTGATATTGATATGGGAAGCGGGATCAGGATTAGGGTCAGGCACTGGAGATGAAAGTGAACTAGTCAAAATCTCGTCACGAGTAGTAGAAGTGAAGATCGATTCATTCTCTGATATTATGCCCTCCGCTTTAGTATTAGATCCAGGGAAACTACCTGTGATAGCACTTGGTCCAGCAGCGCCACTCGACGTCTTCATCTGCTCCAGCCCGCTCTGCAGCAGCGAGTATGCCTGCGTCGAGAACTCATCTACCGGCTGTAGTCCCTGCACAACCAGCGCCGGGTTCAACGTGTGCTCCTTGACGTCTGGGATGCTCTCAAAGGCCGACGTATCATGGTACGCTGCGTCCATCTGGTTCTGGAGGAGGGGTATATTCGACGGCTCTGCGATGTGCAGCGGACGCGGGCTCTCTGGCGTCAGCGTCTTGCCGCGGAAGTGCAACGCCTCCTCTGGCGGATCTGAGGCCATTTCAGGGAGTCTGCGAGCTTCATCTAACCAGGGCCGCCGTGCCCTTTTTCAGCGTGTGTCTCGCTTGACGCACCCAGGGTCGGGTAATTTATGTAGCTCTCGAGAGGGAGGCGGGCGGCCATCCAGCGCGCGAGAGACAGCACCCTATAAACCGTCGAGAATATAAGTCCGGACGAGAGGAACGGATAGAGCCCCGAGTATGCAGCCTCCGGCAGGCATGGTGATGTGGTGGGTTGTGCGAAGTGCAGATGGATGTTTCCCTTTGAGCTCTTCTCAGCAACCAATTAAGGGTTCGAGATAGCGGACGGAGCTTGGAAAGCTAAGGAACTGACTAAGCAGTCTGGCCATCACGAAGTTAAGTTGAGAGTTGAGATGTCGAGTTTAGATGTCAAGTTGAGAGTTGAGAGTCGAAGTCACCAAGAGGTAGGATAGGTGAAGGCAGGATGAAGGTGGTCTGGAGAGTTCTTCGTCTTCCTACAAGTCTGCGTCGCAGTGCGCATACGGCCAGCGACGACGAGCTCAGAGCAGCGAGGACATGGCTTGCTCGCCTCTCTCCAGAGACAATTCCCAAGAACATATGCGATGTCTCCTTTAGCCGGTCAAGCGGGCCGGGAGGACAGAATGTGAACAAGTAAGATGCTCTTTTGACCAGAAGACAGGACGATTGTTAATGGAAATAGGGTCAACTCGAAGGCGACGATAAAGGTGCCGATGAGCTCCCTGCTACCGCTTATACCGTCGATACTACATACTTCCATTCGGGCGTCACGATACTTCGCAGAGAACTCTCAGGCCTTGGTCATACAGTCGGACGACAGTCGAAAGCAGTCACAGAACCTCCAGCTTTGTTTCGACAAGCTTACCAACATGATAGCGGAGGCCGGAAAGGGAGCTATACCAGGAGAAACCTCGCCGGAGCAGAGGAAGAAAGTGCAGAAACTGTAAGGTGGACGGTTGCATACTTGTGACGGGCATTGCTGACTTGCTACGACAGACAGAAATCTGCAAATGAAGCTCGGTTGCGGATGAAAAAGGCACACAGCAGTAAGAAGAGCAGTCGAAGAGGAAGATCCGACGAGTGATGGGGCATGGCATGAAAGTGGTATCTTTGATTACGAAGAACTAGATCTAGAGAAGCTGGTGGTTGTGGTTTTACGTCCTGCAACCCTCCACCCGCCGATTCGCACTTTTCAACGTCGCCTGTATCACCTTTTGCAGCGCTGGATCGAGGTTCTCAGTCTCCATCAGACCCTGCAGCCAACCGATAACCCGTGGTGCGAGTTGTACTAGAACGGGGTTCTCCTCAGTCACGTACTCCTTCACTCGACTAAGAGATGTATAGAACGCCCGAGGGAACTCCGGCGAGGAGGGACTCAAGTCCGCAACCGGGTATTTGATATAACACTCCTGTGCTTTGGCGTCTGCCGGGTGATTTGTGATTAGAGAATCGACGACATGGCTCAGCACACGCTGCAGACACGGGCACCCTTCAAACTCGACGAGCATATGATAGAAGTCGTAGGCGAGACTCGGGTCGTTTTCGAACTGGTTCATCGCCGCGTCATAGACGGCAATGGGGATAGCACCGGACAACGCGGGCGTCGCATTGAGCGTTTCCAACGATGCTTTATCCGGCGCATCGCCATCAAGTGTCGGATTTATATCCTCTTCCGTCAACCGCGGCAGCATCATCACATCTGCGTCGGGCTCATCCTTGCTCTCGTCGATAGCCGGCTGTTGCTGCTGCTGCTCTTCTGCCTTGTCCAATCCAAGAATCCGTTGTCGTGCAGATATCCGCGCTATATATATCATTTCCAACTTTGCATATTGAAGCCACAATGCCTGCGAATTCTTGCAGAACCGTAAGCCGCGCTGCATATAGCCTCGGGCCTGCGTTATATCTCCATGATCCTGTAGAACATGCTGAGCAGCGTATATCCACAAATCGACCTCTCTCGGGTGTAGGCGCAGGGCGTTTGTAAAAATTTGAGCCAGCTTCTTGTGGGCCTTTTGCTTGCGTGCGTATTCGATGTATTGCTGCCATAGACTGACATCTCCATGAAACTTCCTCGTAGCACGGTCGAGGATGAAGAATACTCGCCGTTGGCCAGCGTGCATAGGTGCTTTGATACCGAGTCTCTTGATCCTCTTCTTGCGCAGCGTATCCAGGTTCATTTCGTACTCGGCATACCGGGCATAGTCTGACGGCGACGGCCCGCGTGAATTTATCCTATGCTCAAAGTCGGATCGCTTCTTCGTTATAGAGCTTATCTCGCTCTGTAGAGACCGTTAGACGCCATATCGATAGAATATTGGTGGGCGAGATTTACCTTGGAGAATATTTTCTTCTTCTCATACTCGCGCAGTTCGGGGACCAGCTGCTCCAGATAGAAGCGAGCCTTGTCACTTGCAGCCGCCATCTCTATCTCCTTTATTCAGACAAGAGACTGTCCTATAGTTGGAGTGAACGAATTGCGCATCTACTCTTCCTCGAGCTCGATATATATTTTTTGGGCGGAGCGGATCAAAGAAAGGGCCGAGGAAGGATTTATCCCCAGGCGCGCTTTTTGCGAACTCCGTCAGGGGCCAAACGTCGAGTCTTCGCTTCTTTCCCTTCCTTTGAAATTCTCTTTTTAATACTTCTTCGTTGATGTTTTACTATTCCCTCCCGCGTCGCTCGTTTATAGCTTTCTAACCATGGCCCCCAAGTTCAAGGACGGGGACACGGTCTTTACTGTTTGTGCCCTCTACTCCCTCCCCCCATGCTGATCTACCTCGGGCTAATGTTTCGGACTCCAGTTTAATGGGAAATGGATTTCATGGACGCATACGGCTGTTGCTTATGCTGCGTTTCTAGGCGCTCTGATTGTTGGCGTACAGCTGCATTACCATAAGATTGTCCAGAACGAGCATTATGGCTATCCCGACGAGTGGTTCCCGTCCGTTTCCGCGACTATTGGCGACAGATACCCTGAGCGTTCGGTCTTCCAGGTCTTTATCGCGATCACTTCCGGTCCTCGATTCGCCCTTGTCTTCCTCTGGTATATCCTCACTGCGAGACCCAACTCGGTTCTGCCCAAGTTTGTCCTCGGAGTTGGCCTGTTCAGGACCTTGACGTGCGGAGGATGGACATACGTGACCTCGACGGACGACCACAGCTGGCACGATATCTCTATGATCGCATACCTGGTGGCTACTATTCCGTGGACTGTCGGATGTCTCGCATTGAGTCCCAATAACCCTCGGGCTCTCAAGTACCGAAAGACCTTCGCTGGTTTATTCTTTGCTACAATTGTTCCGCTAGTATACTTTTTTATCCAACACAAAGTCCACAAGGTTGCTGGAGGTGAGTTAGAAAATGATTAATATCCGTTACAATCTTCCGCTTGCTAACTCGGTTCTGCTAGCCTACACGACTTATGCCTTTTTCGAATGGGCCCTGATTCTGTTCGACGTGGGTTTTGATGCCGTGACTGCTCTTGATTTTGAAGGTTTTGAGATTACGGTGAAAGACATTAAGGGGATTAGCAGAGGGTACGTCAGGCGGCTTCCGAAGTAGATTTTAAATTGTACAGTCGTTATGTCCAGTCATGGATGTTTGGTACTCTTTTCTAAAACAAAAAGAATGAACAGAACGAGTAAATCAGCCCGAGATGCCGCTATCGAAAAAGAGTACGATTGAGCCATTATCTTGTCCTGCTTCCTCTACCCTACTTCAGTTGACGCTAATATCTCCTATAGCGGACAGCACGTCGCCCTTGGTGAACGCTTCTTCCTTATCGAGGCATTCGATGCCGCGGCTGACGTCTACAATGGAGTAAGAATCCCTCACGACTCAATTGTCTTTATACTCTAACATAGCATAGTTCGTCTTCTGGTCCACCCTGACTTCTCTTGGGGTTGTGGTTTGGTGTAAGTGTGACCCATGAAGCCGCAACTGCGTTTACGTCTACTCACGAATCATCTCTAGATTTCCCCCTATGGAGCATGGGACTTTCTGGTTACGAGGCTATCGTCATGGCTAGTGTTTCGCCTGTGCTCCTATGCATGCCTGGATTCCGCTCCTTTGCTGTCCGTAATGTCCGACTATTCCACCTACTATCCCTCTCCGGCCTCCTCGCCTACCTCGTCCGATACCCCCCATATCGACTGTTCATGGTTGGTTTCTCCGTTGCCATGGGCTGCTTAACATGGGCTGCTACATGGTATGGAGAGCGTAGCCAGCCTGCACGCCTTGAGACGAGAGTGATTGCCTGGAGCATCGGACTTCTCGCCTCTAGTGTTATGAAATATGCGTTTTACACAAACAACCCAGTGTGGCCCATTCTCAACCCAAACAATGGTGGATGGAACAAGACAGCGCTTGCCCTCGCCCTACTCTCCGTGCTTCGTTCGACCCGCAGAAATTATGTGTCTGGAGATTATATGGCCTCCAACGGCCGCAAGGGTTCCTCGATTCTCTCCGCTCTCGGGTTCGGTGGACTTATGTTTGCTATGCACTCCCTTCTTTCGGATTCTAGCACGATGATTCTATGGGTGTGGGAAGGTTTCCCTATCCGTGGTCCAATTGCGGTGCCTCATGGATCTCTCACCATCCTCGCCATGGGTGTCGGTGTGTTTTTAGGCATAACCTATCCTCGTTTAGCTGGAAGCTGGACTGCCTTTGGCCTGGGATCTGTTGGCGCCGCGCTATTGACAGGAAACAGCCATTGGATAGGATTCTACGGCGGCCTCATGCTTGCAGTCTATATTATGGCCATTGCCCCTATTCTCATCGGCTCCGCTGTACGACACTCCCCTGCGACCGTCTTCGGATTGGGCTTCTTCGTCTACAATATCATGGTTCTTTTCAGTATTTGGGTTGTCGCCTACGCTTTTGTGCCTGGCGGACCACTTGTCCGTGAACGCACCGACTGGGTCATGATCGCGATGATGATCTTGATTGGAGCCGGTGTCTTTTCATCATCGGTCTCGCAAACCTCGCCATCCGCCAAATACAGAAAGCCGGTCGTAAACGCTCGCAAGCAGAAAACCTTTTACCTCTACGTCCTTGGTGCTCTCCAGATCGTCTCGTTCGCTGTTGGATTCCTGCGATTCCCCACCAATGATTATACTCCATACCATAAAGACGAGAAGGTGTTGACTGCTGGTATCTGGACTGTGCATTTCTCGCTGGACAACGACATGTGGTCCTCTGAGAGGCGTATGCGTGACGCGATCAAGGAACTGGAACTTGATGTCGTAGGATTGCTTGAATCCGACCTTCAAAGAATTATCATGGGTAACCGAGACACCACTCAGTTCCTCGCTGAAGATCTCGGTATGTACGTCGACTATGGCCCTGGTCCAAACAAACACACCTGGGGATGCGCTCTACTCTCCAAATTCCCAATTCTCAACTCGACACACCATCTCCTTCCCTCGCCCGTTGGTGAACTCGCCCCTGCAATTCATGCGACGATTGACATGTACGGTGAACATGTCGATGTGGTTGTATTCCACTCTGGCCAGGAAGAAGACCCCGAGGACAGAAGACTTCAGTCGGAATACCTGTCCAAGCTGATGGGATCATCGGACAAACCCATGATCTTGCTCAGCTACCTCGTCACCAAGCCGCTTGAAGGCAACTATAACACCTACGTTAGCGAGCAGAGTGGAATGAAAGACATTGACCCTACCGACTGGGATCGCTGGTGTGAATATATTCTTTACAAGAATATCCGCAAGATTGGATATGCTCGTGTGAGCAGAGGAACGATTACAGACACCGAACTACAGGTAAGAAGGAGAAAAATTCCTCCCCTCAGGCTAGACACGGCCCCGTTTCGTTGCATACTAAGATACTAATGATGTCACTCTAGGTCGGTAAATTCGCTGTCGGTCAGCCAGAAGGCACGGGAGAACGCATAACGGAAGACCAAGTACCTGCAGGCATGAGATTCCCTGCCATGTTCCGAGGGGAAGGCGTTCGCGGCCACAGATATCATGTGTTTGACGAGCCTCGATACTACAACTAAAAAAAAGAGGGAGAAAAGCCTCGCCAGCCTCCTGTTTGTCCAATAAAACCTTGTCTGCTAGTTGTTAGGGGCATGATCCTTGTACTCCATACGCAGATACGTAATAAGCTAATTAATTCCTACTTTTTTTCTTCCCTCTCTTCGTGATTTTCCAGATCAGGGGCAGCGACCACATTACCATAAGGGGTACCTATCACCAATTGGAGAGAACACTCCACGACGATCAAGATACGTCCACCCTCGACCTCTCCCCATGTTTGAAACACGAGCACTGGACCACGGCCAGGCTTCTCCTTCTCGCAGAATGGTCCTGGTCCATCTGTAGCTTTGCAATAAACTTGGTTCTTGTGGCTACAACCCATGCCAGAGTCCCACCACGTGACTCGAGCTTCAGGCAAATTTACGTCATACTGCTTGAGCTCGCCGTCTGGGATATAAGCAGCCAACCCTGGACTATAAGACCCCTCACTCCGATGCTGAGGAGTATTTAAACAGTACGGAAGAAGCCTGTGGTTCTTGTGAAACTGTCTGTATTTCACTGTCTGTTGATTCTTCGATTCAAGCTTCAATTCGAGCTCCAATCCCTACCAAGCACTACCGCACCCAGCAATCATGGATCGGCCGCCAAATGTCCCTAGCGTCCCCAAGTCTCGTCTCCCACTGTGGCTCGGTTTGGCCGCTCTAGGTGCCGGTGGTTACTACCTATATTCTGCCGGAGGTGACCCAAAGAGGGCGACCCAAAAGTTCGAGAGTAAGCTTCTATCATCCGAGACAGGCATTGGCCTTCCCGCTTGCATCCAGGCTAATTGCGTTCATAGGCGATGCTTCTCGAGCACTCCATGGAGGCAAGCCAACAAGTTCCACGGCTGCTGAGAAGACCGGTGCACAGGCTGGTGCTAAGCTAGACGATGCTGTGAGTTCCACTCGTCCATGGGCTTATAGATTAGCCTGCATACTCCCGTACTTAGGCAGTTATTAACATGAATATACCATTAGTATGACAGTGTACGAGACACAGCAAGGAAGTTCGACGAAGGAGCTGTGGAGCGGGCGAAGCAGGGTATGGACAAGCTTGACAAGGCCTCTCATGAGACCGCAAAGGACCTCTCCGGCAAGCTAGAGAGCTTCGATAAGGCCGTCGAGCAGAAGGCAGCAGAGGCGAAGAGTGGCCTCTCATCATGGCTCGGTGGCAGCAAGAAATAAAGTAGGGTCGTCGTCCAATGTGTTAACTCAAGCCTCATTCGAGCATAGTAACTGATTCGAAATAATGGAGGCTACCTGGACTTGTTATCACCAGGTGTATGGAAAACAGGACGTTTTTATCTTGCTGTATCCGAATGTCATATTCATCCATAATATTCCCACTTGACAGCCTTCAGCTTCTTGCATATGCCTTGTACCCGAGTAACGGTCTTGCTTCCCATTCCAGATTTTGGTGGCCCGGAACAGCCGGGTAAAATTGACAGTACTTTAAAATAGCATGTATAATGCTCAGGCAGCTACTTCACCTATCGTACATAAGTAGCAAGGTGTTAAATGACAATCATGAAAGTTGCCCAAATGTGTTTTCTGTTTGCTCGGAAAGACACGAGATTACGTAAGATTTACGAACGACGCGTTTGTTTTTGTCGCGTTAATTGAATTTCGCGCTTTGCAGAAGTTCGCGATGAACAAGGAGCAACTTTTCTGTTAAAAGGGCCTTTGCCGCATAATTTGCGAACAGGGCCACATACCACACATTTCCACATATACTTCAAGTATACTTACCTTCTATCATAAAAACAGACTAATATAAACAGAAGGCAACATGGCGGTAAAGACTCGAAGGGCGGCGACGACTCGCTCTTCCACAGCTCGCCTTCCTGCAAAACAGCCTGGCATTGCAGCCTTCACGCGGGTAGGCAAAGCCGGGGCACGAACGGTTTCCACGAAGGACACACTTTCTTTAAAGCGAAAGCTCGAGGAGTCGGACGAGAGAGACAGCGACCCAGTACAGGTTTGCCCTTCCGTCGAGGACGAAAAGCCTGCAAAAAGGAGCAAGACCGAAGATACGTCGACGCTGCAGCAGGAAAATATTATTACAGCATCTCCATCCAATGATACTTCCAAGCAGATTGCCGCGGAATCGTCTGCCTCATCTGACTCCGGCGATTCCTCTTCCCAAAGACCTACCGAATTCTCCGACCTAATCGATCTCAATTCTGCTTTCCTAGGCGCCCTGTCTCTGCATTTTGCTCACAACGGGGCTCTCGCTCCCGCAAACCTTCGAGAACTCATTCAGAGCACAGAGCGAATATGGAAGAAGCGAAAAGTTGCTCCTCAGGACGTTCGAAGGATACTGCATGTCCAAGGAATTCGTCGACCGTCATCGTCCACAAAATCTGCTCCATCGCGACCACTCACCGAATTCAAGCTCACCAGCTATGGAACGAATACGTTTTTGGAGAAGCTGGAACATTCAACTTCAGGCGCACCAACCAGCACGTCACCCTTGAAGGACACCGAGCTGAAAGCAGAGTTTTTGGCGAATCTGGAATACTACTGGGATTCGAACGTCAAAAAGGAGGGCGACGAGGAATCAAGCCGAAACCTACTTGAAAACATCCCTCTCGCACCAATACACCCATCCAAAGGATCCATTAAACCGGTTGGGAGTGGAGGCCAAAGGACCATCGACCAGCTTTTCGGGGTTATCAAATCGAAGCCAATTTTAACCCGTGAGCCATATGCGAAGAAACCAGCCCTGTTGAAAGATTCGGTCTCAACGAGTAACCGTCGAAACGGCCTTTTAGAGCGCATGAAGGTGAAGGCGCTGCACCAATCAAAACTTCCTCCGCCTCCTTCAAAGGAGGTTATGCTCAAAAGGACTGCCGTCAGTCGAATGCCGGAAGTCATCAGTGTTCTCCTTTTGCTGTCACTCCCAGGCTCCAAGGTCGATGACATAACGGGTACTTCTGCGTCACTGCGGAAGTCATATACCATGGATCTAATCACCCAGAAGATCGAAGATTCAATGCGAACTCCTGCATCAAGGCAAGAGATTGAGACATGCATAGACATCCTCGGTCAATCCAGCGTGGCAAAGGAGTGGGTTACGATAGTCACGACGAGCCAGATGAAGTCCGTTGTCCTAAGGTCCGATCGACGTCCTTCACCAGCCGAAATAAAAAACGAGTCCATGAACCTGAAGTTTTAGTTGTTGCGCATTGCTGGAGTTTGTATACCTGTACATCTGCGATTGGCCTTTTAGCGTCCTGTTTTCATTCTTTTTTGCTGGATATGCATCTTGAGCATTGGATACCCTGTAGAATTAACTGTTATATATATATATATATCATGAATCCAATATTAACTGTATCATACTCTCTATGTTAATATGAGCGAAGTAAACCCAGCTGTAAATGCAAACAGGACAAACAAGGCCCAACTTTTGGCTTTCACGGATATAGCTTTGTTATCAAAAACATAAAGTGAAGAAAGCGAGTTACAGCGGAGAATATCAACGGCCAGGTCCAAGGCATTGACCCGAAGCACGAGATACGCTGGCTACGTCGGGGCTCTATGCTTCCAATCAGCATGCTGAAAGCAACTCTTCTCCCACTCCTCCTGTCGTTGTCCTTGGTCTAGTCGTTGACGAACGCGCGACGGTATCTCGCAGCTAGCTGAGCCCTCAGGTCGCCCATATTTTGATCATACAACTCGCACTGCTTCTCAGCTAGTTATCTCGTTGGTTGCCTTGCCATGTTTACCTTCACGCCTTTGCTTGGGGCGCAATCCTCGAGCTCCAAAGCTTCTCAGTCCATTCTTGAACTAGACGGTGGTGTGAAGATATTAGTCGACGTTGGATGGGATGAGACGTTTGACACATCTGCGCTCAAGGAGCTGGAGAGGTTTGTCTCTATATTCTCGGCTGATGGGTATTCTTAATGCTGACCTCGTTGTCTCTTAAAACTAGACATATTCCGACCCTTTCCCTCATTCTCCTAACTCATGCAACGCCATCTCATCTTGGAGCCTTTGCGCACTGTTGCAGGACATATCCTCTGTTTACGCAAATACCTATATACGCTACCAGCCCAGTTATAGCATTTGGCAGGACGTTTCTACAAAATCTCTATGCCTCAGCTCCGTTAGCTGCCACCTTTTTGCCCAGCACTTCCGTTACAGCATCTGAATCAAGCTCTGGCCTTGCGATCCCTTCGTCAAGTGCTACTTCCCAAGACCATCCGGAACACGAAAATACTGGATCATGCCGCATTCTCCTACCATCTCCCTCGAACGAAGACATCGCACGATACTTTTCCCTCATACATCCTTTAAAATACTCCCAACCTCTTCAGCCATTGCCGTCTCCCTTCTCTCCGCCACTAAATGGCCTTACTATAACCGCCTACAATGCTGGCCACACTGTGGGTGGAACGATATGGCACATTCAACATGGAATGGAATCAATCGTCTACGCCGTCGACTGGAGTCAAGCAAGAGAAAACGTCATCGCCGGTGCGGCCTGGTTTGGAAGTTCTGGCGGAAGCGGGACAGAAGTTATTGAACAGCTTCGGAAACCAACAGCGCTTATCTGCAGTGCGAGTGGAGGAGACAAACTCACTCTTGCTGGAGGAAGGAAGAAACGAGACGGACTACTTCTTGACATGATTCGGAGTTGTGTTGCGAAAGGAGGCACTGTGCTTCTGCCTACTGATAGTAGTGCACGAGTTCTGGAAATTGCATATGTGCTAGAACATGCATGGCGAGAGGCCTCTGATACCGGGAATTCAGACGAGCCCCTTAAGAATACACCTCTATATTTGGCCGGGAAAAAGGCGCATGGCACCATGAGACTGGCACGAAGTATGCTGGAATGGATGGACGAGAACATTGTCAGGGAGTTTGAGGGTGGTGACGGTGTCGAAGTTGGTGCCACTGGTAAAGCGGGAGGAACCGCAAATCAACAGTCAAAAAATACACAGAGTCAGAAATCTGCAGCTGGCCAGAAAAGCCTTGGGCCGTTTACGTTTAAACATCTGAATCTCGTGGAGCATAAAGCTAAGCTTGACAGCATTCTTGAATCCAAGGGGCCCAAAGTAATTCTTTCGCCTGATACTTCGCTAGAATGGGGCCTTTCGAAGCATGTCCTTAAGCACATTGCTGAAAGTTCTGATAATTTAATCATCATGACGGAGCCGCTAAATTTCTCTACTGAAGAGCAAGGTGGTTCTAGCAACAGCTATGGAAATATCCTAGGCTGTAAGATTTGGAAACTCTACGAGGAACGAAAAGACGGCGTTGCTCTTGAAAAATCCGCAAGTGGAGAGCTCCTGGAGCAGGTTCACAGCGGCGGAAAGGCGTTAACTCTCACCGAAGTGCAGAGGTCGTCGCTAGACTCTGACGAGCTTCTCATTTACCAGCAATACTTAGCAACACAGAATCAGCTGCAAAACACTGCCCAAGTCAGGGGTAATACCACGTTAGAGAATGCCGCCGACGCTATGGACGATGCCTCCAGCTCATCTGAATCCGAAGATTCCGAATCCGAGCAACAAGGGAAAGTACTTAACTTTTCCGTCTCACTTCCCCATTCCAACAAGCGCAAAATGGGCCTCAGCGATGCCGACCTAGGTGTGAATATTCTTCTACGCAAAAGAGGAGTGCATGATTATGATGTCCGTGGGAAGAAGGGCCGGGAAAGAATGTTCCCCTATGTGGCATCTAAGAAAAGAGGCGACCAATATGGAGAGTTCATCCGACCAGAGGAATATCTAAGGGCAGAAGAGCGCGAAGAAGCGCAAGTCCAAGACCCGCGTGGGCCTTCCGGGAATATCCAATCGACACCTGGCCAAAAGCGACGCTGGGACAAGGCTGGCTCTGGCGGGAACCAGGGGTCCAACAAACGACGCCAGCTATCGCAACCTTCCGACGACAACATACCTAGCAATGAGCTATCTCCACCTAATGGACTCGTCAACAGCGATGCTGAGAATGCCGAAGCCTCAGAGGAAGATGCCGAAAGCCAGACTCTTACTGAGGGACCCTCAAAGGCAACCATTGTACACTCTTCGCTCGCATTGAATGCACGACTAGCATTTGTGGATTTCGCCGGTTTGCATGATAAACGAAGTTTGGAGATGTTAATTCCCCTTATCCAGCCCCGCAACTTGATTTTGATAAGGGGAACAAAGGAAGAAACCCTGGCACTTGCCGCGGAGTGCAGGAACCTACTTTCTGCTACACGGGGAGCCAGCACTACGTCGACGACGAAACGTGGCGTCGATGTATTCACCCCTTCAATAGGAGACACGGTCGATGCTAGTGTTGACACGAATGCTTGGATGGTTAGACTAAGCCGGCCATTAGTTCGACGATTAATGTGGCAGAATGTCAGTAACCTAGGCGTTGTTGCACTCGTGGGAAACCTACAGTCGTCGCAAGCCATATCATTACAAGAAGAGGTGCTAGAACAGTCTAAAAACAAGGGCAAAGGAGAAGCATGGAAGGCAACTGGGCCTGTGGAGAGTCAAGCTAATCAGTCTCTTATCAAAAATGAAAAGATTCCAGTCCTCGACATACTACCTGCTAGCCTTGTTGCAGCGACGAGATCAGTGACAAAGCCGCTGCATGTTGGCGACCTCCGGCTATCTGATCTTCGCAAACTTATGCAGTCCTCTGGGCATTCCGCAGAGTTCAGGGGTGAAGGCACATTGCTTGTTGATGGCTTTATTGCCGTGAGGAAAGCGGGTGCTGGCAAGATAGAAGTTGAAGGCGCAGCCCGACCATCACCGAACAACCCAACCACTATGAGACACGGCACCGGAAGCTTCCTCGCGGTGAAGCAAAAGATATATGAGAGCCTCGCCGTTGTTTCTGGGCATAGCAGTTGAACTCAATGAAATCCATAATTTCTTACTTCTTTTTAAGCCACGTTACAAGAGAGCGGCAGTCCAAGTTTGGTCTCTTTCGTTTCCATATCTTGGTTGCTGTGATAATGTGGAATGTCCACCAGTTTAGCACCCTTCACTACCATCGAGCTTCTCGCCAGTTATTTATTTATTTTGCTTTTCAGCATTTTCCCCAGTTATGTGGAGTTTGTCACACATTCTGTGGGATGGCTTTGTAGTGACATGTTTGATATGCCTTACCGTCTCAAGGTTCTATTCACCAGGCAATCTCCATGGTTACTGTGTATGATATGTGAAGCATAGCCGATGGGAATTCTTCAAAGAAGGAAGAGGGGAGGGATATAAATCCAAGCATCTATTCCCGTCACCCCTCGAATGTTTTTCTTTGCTATTCCCTTCTTGCATATTTTTTTTTTTAACCAAATACAATTCCCTTGCTGTATAAATTGTACTTTTTTGGAGCTACCATTTCTCCCTTTGATACTGGCAACTATACATCTACCCAAACATCTTCAAGAAAATTCCAAACATACCCCTTTCACACCATGGCGGAGATGAGATATATCAGCCTTGATGGTCCACCTCTTGGAGGTATTCCTCCCCAGGATTTCGCATACCTACAAGCCTTCCCCATATATCCCTACACAGGATTCTCCGTCTCTCCCCAGGACCAGCCCGCCCCTCCGGCTCCAAATCCAGCTACGCATAGCCCCGTGGGACAGGTTGGTGCTTTCGAAAATGGACAGCAGCCCCCATGGCCAGGTTACTATCAACAACTAACGAATCAGGTCATCGTGCAGCAAACCTTCACAGCGCATATCCCCCAGCCAACGGCTCCGGCTATGGCTCCAGCGCCAGGCCCTCCCCCAGCTCAGCCTCCATCTCGGCCATCGGATCAACCACCAACTGAACGACATCAGGGCCGTCATCTACCTGCTGGTGCGTTCCCCCCCAGTAGTAACCGACCCTTGGTCCTTCCAAATGGACAGGGATATATTTTCCCTCAAAAGCATACGACAATACACATAATCGAAGCGTTTGCGGCCCCTTGGAATAATCCCGGGGGCACATTTCAATGGAGATCCTACCGTGTGCCCCCAACGATGACTGTTTCAGAGCTAATAGACCAGCTCTGTCCTACACATGGGCCTGATGGCCGCAAGGCCACAGCTCAGGGAATTACTGAGTGTCTTGAGGTTGGCGACGGTTCATGGCTAAAGGGTTCAGAATTCTGGGTCGGAGGCGCCCGTGGCGGTGATGAGAATATGAAGCGCCGTGTCTCCCAGACCCTTGCTGCTGTTGGTTGGACAGATCAGCGCGGAACTGCCGCGCCACCTGTCTGGATAACCATCAGCATCACCCTTGGGTAATTCGAGGACCGGCGGTATACATTCGAGGGGTCGTACTTGTTGAGGGAAGGGTATATAGCGGATCTAGCATGCACAGCCGATAGATACGCTTGGTGCATCGAAGAAGCTAGACTAGTTACATGGAATTTCATCTCTCCATCACCTAAATTGCCACTTTTTTGCAATGCTGCTTCCGTTCCACAATGACCATTAGGTGGCGCATGATCTACTATTTCCATCTTTAGTTTTTGATCATACCTTATTTTTTAGAATTTTCCCATTTAACTATTTGTTTTACGTTTCTTTGTTTGCGTTAGCGGTCAGATTGGAAATTTCTAGTTAAACAGGTCTTTGGCAGGTGCTTATTTACTATAATATAATCTTTTTGGAAGTAAGAAGAAGTATCGATGTTTTAATTTATCTCCAAATCTACTAAACGTACCTCTGCCGCACTCAACCCCCCCTATCTAGTATTAAGTTAACCCTTGGTGGCCGAGTCAGAACCCGTATCAACAGGGAAACTGCCTTTATATAAGCTTGTTATGCAAACATCGACGATATATATAAATTTCAAGATTCTTAGGCCTTGGTATCATTTGTTCGATTTTGCCTCTTATATTACTTTTTTCCTGTCAAATAATGAAAGCTTGCAGTGAAAACCCATCATGCAATCATAGGCGGATTGCCTCGTCTCCCCAAAAAACCTGTTCCCGTTTTACCTCAAAATCCCACTGGGGCCTTGGGAAAGAGTTGTATCTTTCTGGTTCACTGGGTATTAATCCCTGCTTTAGCCAGACCTGTTCTTGGATCCTCGTACGCTAGAGGACGCCCCATCCACCTCAATTAGGTACGGTTTAGACGCCAGGTATAATTCCATGTAGTCATCCTCGGCCCGTTTCAAAAATTCCTTGAGCCGCTCTACAAAATAGTCCCGTATGCAAAGAAACTCCTCTAGTTCCCAGTCTCTTAAACGTGCAAAAAAGAGGTATGATTGTTCGTCCTCGGTAAATTCGACATCGAACTCGTCAGTGTCTATGGTATAGAAAATATGACCGTGGAGTTCGAGAAGATAATGCTCTTGCAAGGCGAGCATACTCTGTTTGTGAGATATCGGGAATGCGGTTAGCCTTGGAGGCAGCGCCGCCGAGGGATGTGCCATCTGAAGTACGGGAATTATTGCACTTATCTCCCGTTGGGACATGTTCCTCGAGGATATTAAGCCGGCTGCGAGCAAAGTCATAGATGAAATATTCAACGGTATCGTGAAATTCAAGAAGCTCTTTCCAGGCGGATGGTGAAATGACAGTTCTCTCTGGGGTAGGTCCATTACGAAATGATTTCGCAAATTTGACGGTTGGACCTCGATATTTCTCCATGTCACCAAGGGGACTATCATCCGCAAAGTCAAACTCAGCACTACCTTCATCAGTCCTGCGTATACGTTGCTCGTAAGCATCCATCGCAAGGTCGAGAAAAGGGCTGATTCGATTCCATTTGACACGGGAAAGGATCCTGGCTCTGTCGTCTTGGAATACGTGAAGAAAGCCAGGGGAAGCACGAATTAAGGAATAAAGAGACCTGAGATCCGGGATCTCCGTTAATATCAAGCGTCCTATTTCATAAGGCAAACGTTCAATAGGGCAAGACATTGGGAAGTCGGAGTATGCGCTTTGATATTCGATTCAGTCCGTTGTTCGTGGTATCAAGGTATCTAGGTATCTAGGTAGTTAAGGTATGGTTACCCATATCGGTAAACCGGGGAAGCCAAAGACTGTGATGGATGTCGGCCTCCTGGCTCCTAACAAATCCGCCCGGGTGGTCTAGTTGGCTATGATTCTCGCTTAGGGCCTTAACCCTAAGTACTTGTATGCGAGAGGTCCCGCGTTCGAATCGCGGCTCGGGCCCATTTCTTTTTTTATTTTTATATTTTTAATATACAGCATTAACAACAACTAGCTATCCATAAAGTATCGTCTAGGCGTCGTCTTTTCTCTTTTTCTACAGTCTGTCTCTGCTCAAAATAACTAAGGGTGCTAGAAGTGAAGGCGTGTCATGTGACTGGATGATATCCGTGACTGCCAAGATTTGATGCTCTTCACGTATCTTTCTTTCTTCGTCGAGCTCTCGAGCTCCCCTGTTAGGATATAGAAACCAATGGGCCCGATTTCTGGCAGGATACGACCCGTCCGGGTGGTATCAGTGGGCAAGCAGGCCACTGGTCTGTACCGAAGATACCTCTTTACGTCCCCTGCGCGACTCAATGGCCAGCAAGCGAGCCCTATAACCCTCCGATGCGCGCAGATATTTGAGCAATCGAAGACAACCGCGGGACCAGGCCCGCTAGATAACAAAAAAGTGCGTGTGCAGGGCCATGTCAGGTTCCTAAGGAAGCAGAAACGCTTTGCATTCGCCCATATATCCGACGGGTCGTCTCTGCAGTCGATCCAAGTAGTCTTGACACCAGAGCAAGCAACCAAGTACGTCTCGAGTCTCAATATATGAAATACCTATCAGCTATTATCCTGCTATGGCAGCTTAGAATGGATTGGTGGAAATGATTGACGGTTAGGACTTTTGGCTATCTAGCTTAACTCAGGGCGCTGCAGTTGAAATTTCGGGGATATGGCAACCATGCCCCCCAGGTAAACAGCAGTCTCACGAGCTTCAGGCGACGGAAATTAACATAGTGGGAGAAGCTGATCCTGCAGTTAGTTCTACTCTGTTCAAAAATGGCTGTGACCTCTAACTGACCTCCACTTTTCAAAATACAGACATATCCTATACAGAAAAAATTCCATACCCCAGATTTTCTTCGACAGCTACCACACCTACGCCTACGCACGCCTTTCAACTCCCTTCTATCGCGCCTAAGGTCTGAGTTTATATACCAAGCGACCCAAGAGTTCCGTTCGCATCATAACCGTAACTTCGTTCAAGTTCAGCCACCGCTAGTAACATCATCAGACTGTGAAGGAGCAGGAGAGGTGTTCACACTTAAGCCGCGTGACGCTGTTACCGAAGCCGGAGAGACGGTTGACTTTTTTAGGTCGCCTAAGTACCTTACCGTTTCTTCGCAATTACATCTCGAAGCCTATGCGGCAGAGTTAGGCAATGTATGGACACTCTCTCCTACCTTCAGGGCGGAGAAGAGCGATACGCCACGTCATTTGAGCGAGTTCTATATGCTTGAAGTGGAAATGAGCTATCTGGACTCCCTGGAATCGCTCACTGGCTTTGTGGAAACCCTTATCAGGAATATGACGCAGAGGGTTTATAACACCCCGGTAGCCCAGGAACTCTTTGGCTTTCGAGAAACCGATGATCCTACAAAGGATACTATCCATGCGGACCTTGAAAAAAGGTGGAAGGCTTTGATGGAAGGTCCCAGTTGGCCTCGCATTACCTACTCCAAAGCTATTGACCATCTCCAGGATGCCGTCGCTGCCGGTCAAGCAAAATTTGAATTCTCTCCGTCCTGGACTGGTGGCCTTCAGTTAGAACATGAAAAGTTTCTTGTGGACACAATTGGAAAAGGCTTCCCTGTCTTTGTCACAGATTATCCCAAGGCTGTCAAACCATTCTATATGGCGCCTTCTAACACCCCGTCCAGCGAAAACAAAGAGACAGTCGCATGCTTTGACCTCCTTTTACCCGAGATATGTGAAGTTGTTGGCGGATCACTACGTGAGCATAGACTTTCACCGCTCATCCAAAACATGCGCGACCACGGGTTGCTAAAACTGCGAGATCCGACGCCTGATTCATCTCTTCGCGTTGATGCCAAGGTGACCTATCCGCATCTCCTCGCTAACGAGGAGTTGGGCTCTACTCAGTGGTACGCGGACCTACGAAGGTGGGGGACCGTACCACATGGCGGATTTGGACTTGGCTTTGATCGCTTCATCGGATATTTGGCTGGCGTATCCAGTCTAAGAGACCTTGTGCCATTCCCTAGGCATTTTGGAAGAGCGGATTGCTAAACGATTGCACGTCTTGGTATTCCCCACATAACCTGTACGATATATCCTGTACGATATATATAGATGGCGAGCTGTACACAATAGATTCATGTTTTTTTGGCTGACCCGCAATTGTCTATTCGTGTTTTATCTCGTTGGACTCTGTCTCTGGACATCCTTGATGCCTACTAACCTGTCGTAGTCTGCACGTCATCTTGCCCCTCTGTCTCGTTCGGGGTGAGACAAAACATCGGTTCTTCCGCCTCCATCCCTTGCATCTCGTGTCTATTATATGATAGGTCGGAATTAAGCTTAAGTGCATCCTTGGATTGCTTACACTGTACGAAGTGTGGTTGCAAAACGGAGACCAAAAAGCAAAGGGCGTGTTTCCTTAAAAAATCCCAGGCAAAGTACCTCACCCACACACATCTCACGGCTTTTGCTTTTTTAACAATGAACAAGAAAACGACAAGATCTTGGATTCTTGGCGCCATATCGCAGGACAAAATGAAACGAAGGGGAGGATTGCTTTCTGTCCCAAGTATTCCCACCTATGGCACCCATCGATTTGATGTACGCATCCCTTGCGATCCAAACGTCAGCCCCCCCACGGCCATGTTCCTATTCCAACCACCTAGGGAACCTTCTTTTACACATATCTCCAGAAGCGGAATGAAGAACAGCCAGCCCGTCCATTCTCTGCCGTCTGCATGCAACCCGAGGCGAAAATTATAAATTATCCTGCGAAAGCCGGGCGTACGAAAGCACCACTTGGTTTTTTGGCGTGCGATGAAAGGTTTTCCTGCTACTCCGTACCATCCGTCCGGCCATGGCACCTACTCGATACTCCACGACCGGGTAGATGACAGCTGCCCATCACCATGGCCAGGGCGACGCTAGAGAGAAAGAGTTACCCCGCAAAACGTTCAGCGAACGATCAGAAAATAACAATCGCAGCTCGTATCCGATATTTTGCTCCTGCACTGTGAGGCAAGGATACTGGGTCAATGGCATTGCCTGACTCCTCCGCGTGGCTATTCTAGGGACAAGAAAAGAAGCAAACTACGGCATCCCCGTTTGCATCGTATAACCATATATTTATTATTAGCATCCTCTCTCTTCGCAGTCAAGTCATGCGAGCAAGATATATTCCCCTCCACCCCGCGATAACTACATACACGTGTCGGCGTCGTCGTCGTCGTCGTCGTCGGTTACGTAGTAGCTGGCTCGCCTCTTAAGGAAACACGCTTTCCTAATTGCATACGGTTTATGCGAGATTATCGCAAACATGCTTTTCCTCGCGATGCGATGCAAGGTTCAACGTAACGTACCTTTCTGCCATCGTTTTCGCACAGCAGCGGGATGTCAATCAAGCTCAGCGGGTATGCGGTCGACCACTCCAGCGGTACCTTACGAGGTGGGAGCTGAACCAGCCAGAGAATTGGCTCAGCCAACGACACCACCCATGACACCCGCGATGCTGAGAGTCGGGTGGCATCTCACGGCCCGTCCTTTTAGCTTCCGCTGACCTGATTAAAATTCGCCCATGGAAATGCATACACCCAGGCGCGCCCGGAGTATTGTGAAATGCGGAAGGAAGCAGTAATTACTAACGACAGATGCGACTTACCTACAGATAACATATACTCCGTATACGTTGGTGGTCTCATTGGCGGCTCCCTACTCCATCCATTTAGCGAAAACGAAACCACCCTGCATCGGACCATTGGAAAGGGGAGGCGTTTGTCGTTATGGCATTTCTGGAAGGTCACATTAGTTCAAACGGGCTCTTGGCCCAGTTTTCACGACCCGACCATATGGAGTGGCTCTCCGGAAGCCAGGGATTGCTCTCTATTTTGAATCGGGATTTCACGCTAACCCATATCCACACGAGCGTCGGGATTTGGGTAGATACCGAAAAGTCGCGTACTATATTACCGCCCATGCAAGCATTTATTAGAGTAGTGCCACCTTGGTTAGCAAGGTGGCGTATTCGAGAACATGCCTGAGCCCTGTCGGCCTGTGCTCTCTCTGGAGGATTGGCAGGCCGGGTGTCCTGTTTTGAAGCCTGCTCAGTTGATCTCAGCGAATCCCGACGTCGATCTGCCAGGTACTTATCCTTGACGAGTAATTATGTGAGTAACCAGCAGCAGATAGTGTCATGCTTCTAGTCAATATGTGATAGGGGAAGTGGGGGCGGGAGCGCATCATACAGCTTGTGTGATGTATTATTACTCGAAGAAAAATGTCCGAACACGAGGAAAAAGCCATCATGGTTTCTTTTCATGGGGGTGAATTTTTAATTAAGCCTTATTGCGTCGCTGGGTGACGTTAACATATCGATTTAATATGTATGGAGTGCTCCATGCATCAAGCCACTTGCTTTTATTGTTGTTCTTCTATCCGGATGCTGGTTGGGTTGTACTCGTTTGATGACATGAGCGCAATGTACTAACCCACAGTCGACCTCGCTGAAGCTTGCTAATTGGGCGATTAACCTTACGATAACAAGTAACGAGGAGATATCGTAATATCAAGCAAATGAACCCCGTGTCATGCGGGCGCAGTTATATTAGGCATGCGAAAATTACACGTTTTTAAAGTTGTGGGTTGCCAAGGTGGATGTGGTAAGAAAAGATAGGCAAACTTGGTGATCGGAGATAACATCCGGCGCGATGCAAAATTAACCATCGACTCTCTTGTCTCTCTGCAAGGAGCACGGGTAGGGAAAGACGTATGCGGTAATAGGTTTTGGTTTTTATGTTTTAGCTACAGGCTGACGGCGTGCATGGATCGAAGCGATGGTATTGCTTTGACCCGATCACAGAGCAGCAAGGCCGCTAGGTTCTCTCCCAACGCCAGGCTGGTGTTTTCTCGTTGGCGAGTGCGAAGTATATATATTGAAGTGTATATTTCCTTTTTTCTGGTTCGTGTGGATACCGCATGAAATATGCATAACTAAACCTAATAATAACCTTAATTTATCAATATATTCTCCACACTTGCCAATAATCGCCAAGAAAAATAACCGCTAGTAATCAGCGCATGTGCCTCCTGTGGTTTGTACCCTTTTTATAATCCACGGCGTTTGGAGATTTTAAAGATGGCCTTTGTCCCTTCGTCCACAAACAACTTAAATAGCGTTTGTTTTATTTAGGCCGCGGGCGCTCCTCGGAGCGTGGAGTAAGTTGTAACTGGGCTCAGCGCCGTTCGGCCGAGTTCTCCGGATGATGCGGTCGTATTCTTGCTACTCGTCAAAAAGAGTAACTTCTCTATCCGTGCTCACCCTCTTGCGTGTGTACATACCCTTTTCGCACTCTTAGAACTTACCCCTGCATGATACCTGTAATTCACAATTATCCTCCACAAGCATCAATTCCAGTTAATCACCAACTGCTTCGTTCGTACTATTGAACTTAGGCCTGGCCATGGAAGTCGACAAGAACATCTGCATGGCATATTCTCGACGAGAATGGGCAATGTCAGCTTCTTATTTCGGCATAATGCAGCCGGAGCTTTAACAGGTGCGGTATCCGGGCATAATAACGAACGCCATGCACCACTCTACAAACAGCAATGGATATATGCATGGCGTGGATAAGCTCTCCCTCGGCTTCCACCGATCATCATGGGTTCGTCGTACATATATCACCGCCCATCACAAACAATAAGGCGACATTATGGGGGTTTATCCCTGAGCCCTCCCCAGCACCGTCTCGAGGACCAAGCACCAATGTAGCTGCAGACCACAATATTTCGGCGTACGGCGATTAACTCATGCAACTCGCTTTGCTTTGTCGCCGAAGAGAGTATAACGAGAACAACGGAAGCTGAGGAGGAAGATCGCAAGACAGCCTATGATATGTGCTGTGGGAGCTGGGCGTGAAGGCAGGTCACTCCAGCCTAGGTTTTGGCTACATAAAGCTTGTTGTAGAGATCATCCACAGATGATGTGCTCTACCTCGGTTGCGGTTAATAGAGTGAGGGAATGGGTTGTACAGGGTACGGAATATACGCCGCTCTTGCTCTTGAATTCCAAGAGGCCCATAGGAGAGAAGGGGCTTGCTTATATGTGTCGGGGTCTGCCAGCCACACTCCCAACTAGTCGGGCTCCAGGTTCCAGAACCCTTCTCGCTAGATAGCGATAGTTCAAATTGTAAATGGCGTGTTGTAATCCGTAAATGAGCTATTTATTGCCAAATTCTTAAAATACCCTTTCTTACTCCGCATGTTTCCCCAAGGGCCGTTATGAAGTGTGGCAGATTCTCGGCTAATATTTCTCCTCGCTTGTTATTCAGCCAGCACTCCAGCCAAAATAAGAATCGAGTCGTCGCTGGTGTGCCAGAATAAATAGATAACGAATCAACACGCCGTAACGCCACAACAACCCCACAGGGAAAAGCATTCCCGCTTGGCAGGCTTGGCTCCTTGGATATCGCGGTTTCTACTTGCTGCTCAAGTCTATATGCACAGGTACATGATAATGTACGACGGAGTACGGAGTAACATGTATTCCTGGAGGATCACTTAAAAATCGTTCCTTGCCAATGTGGCTGGTTGGACCACGCTATACCCCCGTATCTTCCTTCGGCCGTTACCCGTTCAGCGAGATGGAGCAGTTATGAATCATTTGTGTAAAAATAGCCATGGCGCTGACTCAGGAGCGCCCACATTTATGTAGACACTAACGAACGAAAAACATGACAATTTAGGAAGTTCCCAAGCAAATTGGCGCCGCATCCTCCGGCCACCGTACTCCATACCAGCGGCCGCCATAACGTGGACATCAATTCTTAGCACAAAATACCGCCCCTGCTAGTAAATATAAGATGGTTAATCAGATAAAAGACGACTAATAACATGTTCGAACTGGACATCCCGCTCCATATGGCGCATAGCGGAACCAACCCCACAGAAGCGATTCAGTTCGATGAAAATTAACCTTCGTAAGCATAATTAAGGTTCCGCCAATGGACCCACGGATTCGCTTATAACCTTGGCGGTTTATATTATTGTTGTATCCATACGTAAAAGTACGCCAAGTAGCCAGCTAATCGCCCAACCGCCCGGGTTTATGGCCATACCGTTCCTTTTCCTGCACTGGGCTTTTTATTTCGCAAAAACTGCCTTTTATGGCAACAGACAGCGGAGATTATCGCCGGTGGCTCATGCATTGATCCACATGTCGACGACGTAAAACGGGAAAATACATCCACGCCCAGGGTCAGGAGAGGCACTAAGAGACTTGGCTGTGGTCCGTGGACATGCTTAGTATTCTTAAATCCTTAATTGCTGGACCGAGAGGTGCACCAATGGGCCTTTCTGGACCCGAAGTGGTACTCTTCCATCCAAGGGTAACCCAACCAGGGTATCATTGCGGCGATCTTGCTCTTGATATTCCGATTTTACCGTTTGCCCTCTCAGCGCCGACCCACGCAAATGACGTTAGCGACCGAGCCATCCGACAGCAACTGCACGGAGTAACGAGCGTCACAAGCAAATCCCACGCTCCCCGCCGAGACATCCAACGCAGCGCTCACACTTGACGCAGGAAGCGTACCCCTGATCCGTCCGACCCATCCCAAGGGCCGATTATTATTGTCCCTCCATCCCTGGGACTGGGCGCCAAAGAAAGGATCAAGGATTGGAGTGTAACTTCATTACATAACAAGCTCGATGCCAAGTCAATTTTAGGTTTTTAGGTTTTTCCGTCTTTTTTTGACTTTGCGGCATAAGTTTTATTTTCAGGCATTATTTATACATAACTTATGTACATACGTACTTTTCCGTCTCATCGAGAAACAGGCGAAGGAAGGGGATCAAAAGGGGCGAGGGGAGCAACAGGATACAGGATACACGGCACAATCGCCGATTCCCTGCTGCGCGCGACTCCTCGGGACGCCTCTGGAGCTTAAGCTTAATCCAACATTCCGTCTCCATTCCATCAGCCATTCCGCTTAGCCGCATGACAGAGGAGGGGGTAAGGGGACCGCCACAAACCTTGGGCGTAACCTTTTGCCTTTTATCCCAGACATTCTAAAGCACAACGTGGCTTTTGCATCCTCCTTGGGAGGGAGGCCTGGCCCTGGCCAATGACGACAGGTGCTTAGCCTGCCGACTGAGCAGTTCTTAGCATTTTCCAAGCTTGCAACGGGCGATTTCTTATACTATGCCGTATATGTATAACATGATAGCTCTTGGTGTCATCAGGCGAGACGGCCTCGCCACGATGGCATATTGCTTTGCTCGTTCTCTTGTTTATCTCTCCACTGACGGGACTGGTGGCGTCCTCCCAACGTTCCTGTGCCATGCCCATGTCCTAGTCCCAGTGTGCTAGGCCTGTGTAGCGTCTACCCGCCGTGAAAGCTCTCTTCTTCTTCCCCCTTATCCCTCCCTCTAGGGTGTCGGTCGCACGAACCAGGAAGAAGCAAAAGCGTCCAGTTACACCTGTGTGGGAGAGCGAGAAGGGGCAAGGGCTGGGTATGGCGACGGAGAGATAGATCTGCTGCTGTAAATACGAAACCCGCGCTGGGCAGTGGAGCCTGGGAAGACGAGCGCTCGTCTAGGTTCCAACCTGCGGCCATCTTCAGCCTTGAATAACGCAACTCCGTACGGAGTAACTGATATCAAACCCCCCTTCCCCCCTATAGCTGTGCCTCCGTATCTCGATTACAGTACGACCCACCATGGGCCTTTTTCCTCTCTGCATCTCACGTGGCATCGCTGCCGTCCAATCTCTCGTCCTTCTTTCGCTGCAGCTTTTTTTTTTATATTTTTTATTTTATTTTATTCTTTTTCCTTCCCTTAACTCTGCTTTTTGCAAAGTCAATAAGTTAAACAAAATTAGAGAACCGCAAGAAATCCACCGAGCAAAAAGCCTCTCAGGGCTGGTGCTTTTCTCACTTATACTCTTAGCCTACCCGATTTTATTCTTAGTTCTACCACCATCCTGTCCTTTATTTTTTCAGACCGGATTTCCTCACTTCGTCCCCCTTCCCCCCTTGCATCGCGAACTTTGCAGCCTGCTAGAAAACAACAAACCGCCCAACGCTGACCGAGACGGAGGAACAAAGGAAACAGGGAAATCCAAGGTGAGTCGGCTTGCATCGTGTGACTTGGACATTCCATCTCCCTTGTGGCGCCGTTGCTGCTCGTCGTCGGCTTGCTTGATCTAGTTCATGCTTGCTCGACCGTGCCAGGCGTCAATTTTCAGATTCTCAATTTTTTGGCGCCGGCCATGCATACATCGCTGCCCACACAACTGTAACAGCTGGATCTTTGTCTTGTCTCTGCTTTAACCGTCGAGGTCTTTATCTTCCTCTTTGTTGTCGTTGTCGTGTTTTTCATCTCACTTCATTGCTCTCTCTCACTTGCGGCCTACCCCTCTCTTTCACTGGTATATTTTTTTTCCCTTCTTCACCCAACCCTCGCGCTTTACAGCCATCATAAACAGAGAAGACTGAAGCTGCTGCTGAGTCTTATATATCTCTGGAGACTTGTATTGTTGCTATACTCTCGCTCTGCCTGGTATTATTTGCATCACGCTTCCGTATCTACCGTGGTTGAGACCTCGGAACCACAGCCCAACCGCCAAAGAATACCATCGCTAACTACATCGCCAACTCGATAGTTCATAGAATTCAGAAGAGAACTCTGGATATCGGCGTGCACGTATCCGTGATCTTGCCCGGATCAGCAGCGCCTTCACCACTCGTTCGCGCGTACAGCTAACAGGCGCCAATGGAGACATATCATGGTCACGTCCGCACCCCTGCGGATGCGATTATCCTCTTTGAAGCATGCCGTATTGGACTATTGCCCAGAGTTCAGCGAAGATTATCAGAAAAGGAGAGACAGTCGATAAAGTCGGGCTCCGTGTTCGTCTGGGATGAGCGAGAAGCCGGCATGAGAAGATGGACGGACGGCAAATCATGGAGCGCCAGCAGGGTATCAGGCAGTTTCTTGACATATCGAGAGATGGAAGGCAAACGGGGAGGCAGCCATGCTGCCCAGGCGTCCTCGAGAGCCGGAAAGACGCCCGATAGCAACAGGGGAAGCGACGAGGACGGAGGCGAAGGAGGCGAAGAAGGACCTGATGGCTACCGATATAAACCCGACGGCCTGATGAAACAGTCGTTCAGTATCACAACTTCCGCTGGCCAGCATCTTCACTTGATCAGCTATTATGCCAGGTCTCACCCGACCGTCCCTGGTCTTAACCAGCCTTCAACGGATCCATCATTACGACATATCCAGCCCCAGAAGGGTTTGTACCCAGAGTCCAGCGTCAACGACCAACAGAACCTTCCAGTCGTGACCCGCGGCCCTATGGCAGGAACCGCCTTCTCAGTACCGCCGCCCTTACCGCACTATGGCCGTCCAGCGGCTGCTCATCCCCATGGCTACTCTCCGGCACCGTATAATTGGCCGTCAACCCCGATGAACGGACCGCCAACGCATGCGCAGCCCCCATACACCGGTAGCTATCTACCGCCACTGTCAGGAGCCAGTGGACACGCGCAGTACCAGTACGCTCAACATCCTCACTTACCACCTTCCCAGCCAGCTTATCCCCATCAATACGACCGTCCTCATCCTGCCGAGGCTCCGACTCCCCCAGCCTCTCATGGAAGTAGTGGCCATAACGTTAGCCCACGCGGCTACCCTTATTATACTGCAACTAGATCACCCGGGCATCCGCCAGCCGGCCATATGGGGCCAGGAGAAAATATATATCAACCCGGCGGTAAAATGGACCCACGTCTCAGCGTGTCTTCGTCCGACTCTCGCTCTCCCAGACAAGCCATGAGCTCGCTACAACATACACCTGTCAAATCACCAGGCCTATCACATATCGGTCGCTCACCTCAATCCTCTAGCATGCAGAACGGCCATGCTCATGATGGGCCATCAGGCTCCTCTGCAACCTCGGTTCCAAGTATCAACGCCCTAATGAACGGCCCACCACTGAACGATAGCCCGAATATGCAGGGCTATCGTCAAGGAGGAGCTCCAGCACCAGGCGTCGGCGGAGAAGGACCAAAAGATATTCCAAGCGAAAAGATAGGATTTGGTGAAGACATGAGAGCCCTTAGACAGCTTGATAGGGTGTTTACTGCCTAAGTTCAACACTTTACTAGCATCATGGCTCGACAGCCCTATGGACTTTACTTTCTTTTCTCGCTTAACCCGTTACTCTCTCAACCTTCTCTCTTCCTTCCCATACATTTGTCTTTGTCCTGAGTCCGAGTCTATCCGATCGAGTGTCAATCCGTACCTCTTTGCGTGTGCTCCCCCTCCCTTTGATCGAATCTGTTTCTTATCCTTTCCTTCTTTCTATTCGGCATATCTGTTGCGGTTTCAAGGGTTGAATTTAGCATTTGAAGTAAGGCGGTGGGTCATTAAATGGGTCATTTGGTTTTTTTTTTTTTTTTTTCATTCACATTTTTATCTTATTCGATTGTCGCCTTCAAACATGGGTTATCACGGCCACAAAAAGTTATCGGACTAAATTTGGACGGGCAAACGGAGTTGACCGCTGTTTCTATGATCTCTTTTTTCTTTTCCTCCCTTTTCTTTTTATGCCCCTCGTGTTCTGTGTATTCCCCCCCGTTCTATACCATAGTGATATTCATTCCAACTCGGTTCAGCCCGCCACTTGCAACCCCCTTTAACGAGTTGCTTTGATTTTTAATATCTATTATTTGTCAGGTAGTGTGGTCTGTCGGTCAATTGTCAACGACGAACAAGTCAAGTCAACCTTGTGCTAAGGAAACGGCTGGCTTGTTTGATAAGCATCCCGCTCCTCCACCTACCGTGTCTTCCAAAGCATAAATATACCTAAAATCAAACAAGCGTAAAATAACATTTTCTTAGCCATCTTGGCCAGCTTGGCAGGTGGGCGGGAAACATGCACAGGTTGCAGATTTTCTTCTCACTTCACTCCACGATAATCATTCATTTATCCACTCGCTCCCCGGCCATACGCTGTGTAACTCGCCAAAGTAGCCTGCAAGCCCTCGTCAACTCGGCGACTATATTAATGGGTCAGCTCCTTAGCCGGCGGTACCATGTAATATGTGAAGGGATAGTCCCCTGAACACGCCCTCATCGTTACGGGCGCAACTTGAAGGTCATTTACTCCGTATATGCCGGCGGAAAATTGGTATGTTGGGACTTTCCAGCGATCTTCAAGGACCCTGAACATCTCTGCCTATCAAAATACAAAGAGCAAGAAATCAGCAGCTAGCAGCGAACGAGCAACCAAGGGTGGCGGGAGACAGGGGATCGAAGGACGGCAAGGTAGGGAACAGGGGACTTGTATTAACCATCTCACGCTATGCTAGGTCGTGCAGGATGCAGAGTGAATCCTGCCCATATCATGTTGTCGGTATTTTTATGGGCATAATCTTCCTCTGCCTCCACCGGACTCGCACCGCAGGCAGGCTCACTCTTCCCTCGGCTATTCATTCAGCAGTTGGCAATCTATTGGTCGTTTGACGGACAGTCTTTTTCCTTTTCGATAATTCCAAACGCAAGCCTGGTCTTTAAGACCATGTCGTTGGTCGATGTTTATTAACGTTTGCTAGCTAATGACGGAACGAAATGCTTCTTTTTGAGAACACCTCAGCTGGGATCCGTTAGTTAACCATACTAGTCGGTCTCTCATTAGATATTTTACCGTTTTTTCTTTTCAAGAACTGGCGCCCTGTCGACATCTTAGGTACATGATACATGGCCCGTGGGGGTCGGATATGTCGTTGAGCAATGGCTCTACGGATCCATATTGGTGGCTACCCCCTATCAGCGGTCTTGCTCGGCCACCGAGATATTCTAGTTTCATCTCTCATCGATGTCACATAACAAACGAAATCAAAGCAGTTGTCCGTGTCGATGACCAATCATGCTATTAGAATCCCTCTACAAGGCGAGCCTACAAGGAACATGGCGCAAGTATCCCAAAACAGATATCAACGCTGCTACGTTTGATCTAGTAGGTTATACGCCTACGTTCACAGAGTCCATTCAGGAACCAGGTACAGGATACGTACCGTGGCCTAACTGAATAGTTATGGCTGGTACATGTTGTATAACCATCCTTATCCGGGGTTAGGCTTGATAACAATGTCAACAACAACATTCGGGCATTAAATAACGCCAAAAGGCTCTCGATATCCCTCGCGTAACATCATGTCTGCTTCGTCCAACATGGAGGGCCAATTGAAGAGGTTTATCCCTTTCACCAATAACTGGCTGATGTCAGATTCATCGACGTTCTTAATTCGCATAAAAGTCGAAGAAAGTTCACGCGTTATTCAAGGGAACATGACTGACAGTTTATTCCTGAGGACAAATTGATAAACTACCTCCTCTTAGGAAACTTTCCTGCCATCGACCTTGAACTATTCGACTGCGCCACCAATTTTGGCGTCATCAATGCAAACGCTACTGGAGACGGAATCCCAGATGTGCTATTTCGGTTTAGGTCAAAAGTGTTATAAAGCGCACTGGAAGAGAAAGGGAACAATGTTGTGGTAGTATAGACACCAACAACATGATAGAGATGAAGGAAAGCTGATAAGTGGTATTTGGATTCCGAAAAGAGTACGGACGGTGGGTTTATATCCTGACTTGACGTCCTGTTTAGTGCTCTCTTTACTGACTCTCGAAGTCCTTACGTTCGTATTCTGAATCCATAGATAGGATAGGATTGACCTGACCACCTTATCTCTCACGTTGGTTTCAACGAATGTTGCCATATTGTCTCTTGAGGTAGGATGTGGATGTTAATGGTAGGAAGATGGCACTGGGATGCCGTTGTAGTTAACGTTGTAAACGAGGACTTCCTATAATGTAGGGGTCTGATAATATAAGTTACTATGAACTTATGAATGGGTCAGTTAGCGAATGGTGTGGTTTTTATCATTATCTCTATGAAGAAGGTTATAAGCAGATTCCGAGGCTAACTATCCACTTGGTTCCCTTTTTACAAGAGATAAATATGGGAGTTAAATGGTTCATAAATCATTCATATAGCTGAAAAGCATCGCATAAGGTATCACATAGCTCCAATTATATATACTGTGCAGCCAAGGTATATAGCCCAAAAACAGGCCTTATAATATAGTACATAAATATACAGCCAAACCTATACGTCCAACATACTTCTCACATGTTGATGCCTGGTTTGAGACACGAGTGTTTCGCCCGATGATTGAGTAAAATTGCTTTCCGCGCTGCTCTGCAAGCGATCTGTCCTGGGGCGATGTTCGAAACCCGGTTCTGTAGAGCCACCAACGTTACCATGGCTAATAGGTTGGGAGTCTCTGTCGGATGGGCGCTGGTGATTGTCCGTGAATGGGTCTGCGTTCCTCTGCGTTCCTGAATTACCGGAATCCCTATAGCGGCTTGTGTCGATAACACCCATCTCTACCCTCTGCTCTATATTCCGTTGCGTTGGCCTACCCCCGCCAACTTCTGTCGTGAGAGCTCGAAGCCTAGACTCGTAATCGTTCCCAACATCACCCTTGAAATCAGGCCTTAACCTCCTCCACCAGGCTGGCTTTCTTTTACCAGCTTCTATGCCGAGCTCAACATCAGTGGCACGCCCTCTCTGAATTCGTTGTTTTATCAATTCTCTATCCTCGTTTGAATCAAGGTAGCCGAAGATATTGAAAACGATAATAATCAGGAGATGCGGTGCGTAGCCTAGACCGTAAATATATGCAGCTTGGCCATCATATTTCAAGGGGGAAATTTGCCAAATGAATGAAGATGCAATATTGTAGGCTATGGCGACGCTTGAGAGGATAATCGTAATGATAAACTTGAGCGGGAGTGCCAAAGCCACGAACGGAAACGAGGTTTGACCCTGTTGTTGACGCTTATATCTATACAAACTATGTCCAAGGCTGTAGCAAATTATGAAGATGCACACAGCCGCCAAAATGTTTCCTGCTTTGAAACGGCCATCAGTTGCAGCTGGTTTGGCCACGGCTTCTTGTTGATCAAAAGTTCGTTGTTTCTCTATTGCAGACCACGACCGAGGGACATATAGAAAGAATGCCAAAAACGCAAAGAGGTAAAATACCAGCGGTAGATATAGCTCTTGTCGTTCTCTCGTAGTTGCAGCAGGAAATGCAAAATTATCGCGGTCTACTATCTGACGTTCTTGCCATGATCCCCTGCAGAAGTGAGATAGTTTAGCAAAATGATGATAAAAAATAAGGACGGTTATATGAAGGATCAGAACTTACCAATGCCTCACACCCTCCCAAACTGTTGCAAGCATTATGGGGATCATTAGATAGTAGAAAAAGCTCTGCAACACGATCGCCGAGTGTGGTAAATAGTCGCGGTCGACATCAATGCTCATAAAGCAACTGACTACTCCACAAATCGCCAGGAATATCATCCAATACCACTGCCATCGTCTCCCGACAATAGTCCACTTCTTTTCAAGGGGCAATAGTCGCTCGCCGTGTTTTCGAAGATTTATGACTGTGAAGAGTATGGTGGCCGCAAAGAGAGCTGCAAATGCAACTCCAACGCCCCCCCGAGTTCTCAACCCCTTTATCGGAACATAGCAAGATGTGCCGTTTATAAACGTTCCGTTCGATAATAAAAGGCGTGGTGTGTAGGCGTCAAAAGTGAGCCAGCAGCTAGAGCCGTTCGAGAGCGTCCCGTTCGAGTAAAGAGTATAGTTGAAATGGTTTAGGGTTGTCGTATTGAAGTGAATGCCATTTATCAAGGAATCTGTTTCGTTATCGCCGGTAGGGAACCGGAGAAGCTCCCGCATGGAAAGGATGGTCATGGCGACTGAGCGGCTTGGGGGCTTTTCCAAAACGATGGAATCGAGCGCTCAAGGCGGCAAGGCGGTGATGCGGCCAAACACTTATGGACCCATTTGGCAAAAGCGATGGAAATCCGAGCAAAGGATCGCATCGTGAAGGACGAATCTTCGAAAAAAAGGACGGCATCTTCGGAAAGAATGAACCGACGTCATTGGAAGAGCTTATATAATCAATCACGTGTGCCCCACTCTGAGCATTGGCTTTGTAGCATAACCTTAATTTCATCTACTTGTATAAAAAAAAACACTTTTTTGATTGTTTTCGAGTTACATCTCAAAGCAGGACATTAACTGTTTAATCTAACCCGCAGTGATGGGGAAATGTCGAGGATGAGAGCTAGCAATTTTAGCAGACATAATAAAAGATATAAAACATGACATCCCCTCTTTAGTCTCCCCGTAAATCTGGCGAAAGAGCCATGGAAGTGCTTAAGGTCGTGGAGTGATCAGAAACGCGAACGCTGGCGCTTGATTCCGGCGGCGCAGGTATCATCATGCCATCTCAGCTTCACGTCATCAATATACCACATGACAGCTTTACCAGCCACCCGCGCTTCGATCTCCATGCCTGACAATCCGCTGAACCCATCCCCGAATATGATCTGGGTTAAGTTACAGCGGTTGAGCCCAACACAAGGAGGAATCACAAATTTAGATGTCCCAGAAGGGATCTCCGTGTCGGACTCTGTCGAGTATTTTAGCCCCTTCACAGTTAACTCGCAAGATTTCGTGCTATTCCCGTTATCGCAACCGGCGTGGGTTGTAAATGCATCGAACCAAAACAATTCATTGGCAGCACGGGGTCCGGCACCAAATTCCCCCTTAGGCCGTGCTTCGGCCCCCTTCTTTTCTGTTGGAACATATATCCCGATATGAGGATTTGATACTGGCGCAAACGGCTCGGTTGGAGGAGGGCCATATGACCAACCGCTGGAGAAGAAAAAGTGGTGGTAAGGACCGAAGATGGGCGGGTACGCAGCTTTTTGATTTTTGCCAGGCGAGTATGCTGGGAGGTCATCGAACTGAATATATTGTTAGACGTGATGCAATCTCTAGATACTAGCCCCACTTACGTTTATCGTAAAGTAACCGGTTTCTCCACAAGAAGTGGGTGCAGTATCGACCACACCTGTGCGAGATTGAACTGTTTGGCTTGTTTCTAAACGGGTATTAGTATTTTAACAAAGCAATTCCCATGGTCAGGGTTTAGATCATCAGTCCTCACTTGTTGCTTCCTGGGAATGTTTATCTGATGTCAGCATCGTCGACCTAGTTGTCATAGATGATGTTTCTGAGGATATCTGTTCCCCACTCCAGTCATTCCTCCATGATATTACCTGACCGGCGATAGTTGCCGTAATCGTTTCTCCAAAATGGCGTTCATATACCCGTGGGCGTATAGGATGAGTAGGAACTGCGGTTGCCGCATGCTTCACCTCATATCCAGGTGACTCGGTTTGGTGGACATCGCTTGTCGATACTGTGAAAAATGTGGAAGCGTTCCACCCGCCTGGACCAGGGCCGATGAAATGAGGTCCTGCTGCAGCCTGTGTTGCCTGAGCTTTAAGGAATTTGGGGATACGTATGATGGACCCGGCCGTGGGGCTTGGTTCGCTCACGGCGGGAGTTGACAAGGTTGGTCGCCCACTAGTGGTGATGATGGGTTTCGTAGCCACTTCCGTAACAGTAATTGTAACGGTCTCCAGGTTAGAGCAATATTTCTCTTTCTCCACAATAGTTATAGAGACCAAGTCTGTGGCGCCCGAGTTACCTGCGGCGGTCGCCTTTTTTTCCCCATGAGCAGTATTTTCAACCAAAGAGAGTGTTTTGGTGTAGGAAATATAACTCGTCGAGTAAACGGGTTCATCGATGGTGCTGGTGATATCGAAGTGGCTACTCGTCGCAGTTTGGGTAGGGACAGTGACATTCTGAAAGGGAACGAATGCCTCCTTTGTAGCATGCTTCATATGCAGAGTGATATGGCGGGCATCAGTCGTTGCTACCGTCTCATACCCAATGCTACGTTCGCCAGACGGCAAGCTATGCGGAATATTAGTACTGTTTAGCTCCAAGCACGCAGAGAAAGACCAAAGGAATGAATCCAAGGACTTATGAATTGGGATTTCGATTTCTTCACTTTGAATGGCTTCATCACATTGCAGATAGTTTGACGGAACGAGACACCACTTGAAGCAAAGGCACGAGTAATTTGACTCACTTCCGAGGCAAGAGGGCTGAAGTCACTTCTCCAACAAGTCCACCAGCAGCCAGATAGGCCATCCAGGGGACACGCATCGTAGCAGCGATGGTTGAAATGAGTGTGGTATAGCTATCAGGAGCCTTGCAAGAATGCCAAAGGTAAAGAAACGAGCGTGCAGTGATAAAAAGTGAATGATTGAATGATTTATTCGACGCGTGAGAGTCGATGAGGGAGAGGTTGAACGCGTAGACGTGAAGATTTTGTTGACGTTGATGTTGACGTTGTCTTGTTCTCGCCGTTTGTTATAGAAGCCGGCGGCACTTCCCATGTGACCTGGGAACCCCCAGGACCATAACTTTTTAAAGGGTATATCTCGGTGCTCGTATGGATATCTGAATTTCCTGCCGCCAAAGAGATAGAAACGAGCCAATTGAATTTAATTCAAGACATCTAATGGTGGATACCGGACGGAGGACTATGTCACTTGAAGGGTACTACCATGACGGACCAGCCGCTACCTAGAATAAAGTAGCAAAACATCCTTGGAACTTATGAGGATAGCCATTACTTGCTCTTTTCATTTCATAAAATGCCGTAGCATACCAGCAAAGAGAAGGGAAACATATAGACACAGATATATACGGACAGGTTTGGAAGTCCTAAGAAAGAAGGGCATCTATATTTTAGAGACTAAAGTCACAAATAACGGCTGTGGTATAGGGTATAATCCAAGCCAAAGAGTCCTTATTCCTTATCTTAGGCTTAGTTACTCCGTATTGGAAGTGACTAGGGTTAGGACAGTCAGACTGGAGGCATAGTGCCCAAGGCCAAACTGGCATCCCATAGCCGATTGAGCCAAGTCTAAAACAGCCCACTAGATGCATAACATCTAAGACCACCGGGTATAACTAGATATCAGCAAGTAAAGCATCACTAAATGGACGGGTATCACTTCGTAGAATAAGCCAGTTTGCTTGTCAAGAAGAAAAGACGAGAAAGGAAGAAAGGGAGAAAAGGAGAAAGGAGAAGCCGCTCGGGTGTCACGTGGGAGACTGCATTTTATCCTGACAGCAAACATCAAAACGGCAACAGTTCACACTCGCCGACTCCTCTGCAGCGATGTACGAAGGGATATCCCGGTGAATCAACGTATGGCTGACGGCTGCCGCATCCGGAGACCTGGAATATCTGTCATTCTCGAATCCAGGCAGAGCTTGCCACTTTGGCTCTGTTTTGTGCCTTCAAACCTAGGCGCCGAGGATGCCCATTATGGCCTGACGCACCCCGATTGGAAGATTTCATAGATACCTGATCTACGGGCCCCTATTTCAAGGAGAGCATTCTCTGTCTGGCACTCTGCTTTCTTCTCAGAGGACGCGTGTATCTGTTGGTGGCATTGGTGTAGTTTTGCTGCCCAAAATCATTAATTGCCACCTCCAAAAAGCAGACACAGAGGAGCGGCCTTAAGAAAAGCCCCCCGGAATATCAGATAATGTCATCATTGCAATTCGGCTGCATAATATCGTTCATCGGGGCGCTCTGGGGTCGCATTTCGGATGCAATTGCCCTCTGCAGCACAGGCGAGGTAGCACAATGCACTCTGCGATGCACTTTAGCGTGTACTCCACTCCTTAGTATTAGAGCAAGCCATTCGCTGTATCTGGATCTCTTGGATAGCGAGCAGGAGAATGACAAGATCTACAATGCAGACAATGCAGGACATGATGTATGGATCCCTCGTCCATGTTGGCAGCAAATTTTTTTCCCGTCGCGCACCGCGGTTGCCTGAGCTAAATGAGTCCAAAGAACGACAGAAAGAGGGCTGCTATTGATTGTGATATGAATTCGCTAAGGCGGTGCCGGAATTTTTGCAGGTACCACGAAAATTGCGGCTGCAGCTGGCTCAGCTCTCTCGGCTGCGGGATCCCGGTAGCAGTCTCCTATTTAGGAAATGCGAGGTGAGATAACTTGCGATATTTGATATATAGCTCAGCATGGGGATGATGCACGTAACCCCTCATCCCCCCTTTGTGGCTCGTTGGCATTGCATGGTATATTGTCCTCCATGCCGAGCTGCCGCACGCATATTTCCATAGATTAAACTACGGCGTACTCTGTCGAGGAAGTATACTCCGTACTCCGTACCTAGAGGGGGATGACCTGGAGAGTAACTCCATCCTTCATCGTCATTAAAGCCGGCTGTACATTTGCGGCCTAGGCCATTCCTTCCCTCGCTCTGGATCTGAGCGAAAATCGACCGGCTGGTGAAAGTGGCGTAGTGGAAATTTCGAAAGCGCTCCATATTTGATGCTTGATGCCAGTAACTCCTCGGGACGCATCAGCTCCTTGGGGGCTAATGTGTGTGCTCACCCCTTTTTGCCTCAAAAGCAAGTTATATTTGAAACCCGATTGACTGGGGGATCCGCAAAGAGGGGGCGTTTATTGCATCACCGCTAGATTCCTTCGCAAGAAGTCGGAATATCGAAAGGGCCCCTCCAGCTAAATTTTGAAATTTCTTTTCCAATGTGGTTTTGCCATGTCATTACAGATCGATTACCTTGCAGTGCAGCGAGCGAGGATGCGGCTGACGAGGGATCCGGGCGACATTTTTTAGGAGGAAGCTGAATTTTCGGCATCGCCTCTTGCTCTGTAAGCGTTTTCCCGTACGGAGTACCTGGGAGCAAACTGAATATTAGCACTCCGTCTGTATGTAACATAAGGCTCACGGAGCACTGCCAGCCACAGCCTCACAATCCAGGTTTAGGAACCGAGGCCAGGGTGATTATTGCTTGCTGGAGGTGTCATGCGACACATTTCCTCCTCTGTAAGGACATCCACTAAACCGGTCCAGAGGGTTCGAGACGTTGAGGAACTCTCCTCGGTTACCCTGCTTATACGAGTAATGATACACCATCTAGCATGGAGTACGGGTCGCGGAATACGTGGACTTGGATTTGCGGTTCAAAATGCGCAGGGCCACCCGCGCTCCCACTGGACGAGAGAAACGGCACCGCGTTTTCGTTAACTTAATACTCCTCCGCCATGGGTATTTATTATTGTGAAAACTCTTTGTCATTTATTTGACGCATTGACTGGAACTAGACAAGAAGTAAAAAAATGCTTTTTTCTGAAGGCCTAGTTTGAGCTGATACCAAGTTCCATGTTGACTTACATATGTGGTCTCTGGTGGCTGCTAGGTTCTAGGTCTTTATAAGCGGCCGAACTATGTTTCTGAGGCTGTCAAAGGTTTGTCGCCCATAACCTGGTTCGGGGACTGCGGCCCGTCAGTAGAAAAGCGGAGTAGTTCCACCAAACGCCTCCTCTTGTGTATCTGAGGTGTTGCTATCCAAGGCAAGGCGGAGTATTTCCGTGGTATGACTGGGTGGTATATGTTATGTTCTCTGTAGAACTCTTCGAAGTCCAGAACAGGTGAAAGGGAATGCAACATGCACGCTACGGGAGTCTAGCAAGTAAATCATCAGTCAGGAGAAGGAATCAAACAATGTAACGTTTTAGGCAATACGAGACGTATACGTAGCCTGTACTGTACTTCGTACAGAGTACTATGGGCTGCATAATATGCATACGTGCACTGGGCAGCTGCTAGGCGTTCCCCAGACACCGCGACACGAGGGAATGTATGTCTTGTGTCTCACTGAAACCGGAATTCCCTACTGAATATGAGTATGGAGGGAATGATGGTATTGGTCCCTGTTTGATGGAGATGAATTTTCGATCGACGATCGCCCTCGGGCTCACCCTTTCCCATCGGTGGAGCCTTAACCATGTTCTTAACTGGTCCACAGATACGACCAGGATTTAGCCCGGAGGTCCAAACGCTGGATTTATTCCATTTTTGGGCAAGCCGGAGTACCTTGTCTGCCACGCCAACAGCAACTCTTCAGGGTAAGCGTACGTACTTTTTAGTCTATATACGGAGCATATATCCATATAGGCCAGCGTACTTACAAGGCTACCCTCTCAAGTACTGGCACCCTGCCTCTCCAAGGAGCTAATTCTGACGAGATAGGTTAATAAACCCATCATGAGTACTCCATAAATAATGCATTTGGCCGTGTAAACATGAGGCACAAGAGGAGTATTTTTATATGTGCTCCCCTGTGCTCCGTACACACATCGCGCAGTCACATGAGCAGGTTTCTTTTGCTATGCAAAGTCCAAATTGTCCCGCCTGGGAAAATCTTGTCGCCTCCCATGACCTTGGGCGTTAAGAAGGCTTGCGGCCTGCTTTCGACTGGGTAGGTATCTTGCTCAGTTGGGAGGGGCTGTCGCAAAGCCTTCGTGACGCACTGCCAGCCAGCATCCACCAAACATTAATGGTGCTGTTTATCGTCGGGTACCCATATATTGACTCCATAATGCTTTAATGCTTATATGCATTATGGAGTACCGCTTGAACATGGTTGCGTAGCCTACTCGAAGCCGAGGGCCGTCCCCAGCGGTTCAAGTACCAATTTCTCCAGTGTGGCATCAAAGTGCCATCCTCGGCCTCAAGGAAGCCTTGCCAGAGCCCACTAGGGTGTGATTGGGTCCCCGGTCTTTAGGTTCAAGCAGCATTGAACAATCCAGGAAAAGTCAGCACCAATGACTCGGTAAATAAAATCTTGAGGAAATTCCGTGCGCCTAGCCAATGATGTTGCGCCAGTGAGTCACCAAAGCAGCAACTAGGCGAAAAGGCAAATGAACCTGATGCTTCCTTTTTCAAGGTGGTATGAAGGTTGAAACATAACCGGTAGATCGAGAGTACCGTTGCGATAGGAAAGGGCTTGATATGAAGGTGTTAAATATTAGTAAGATGGATCTGAATAATATACTGCCTGATTTGTATGTCGGACTAGGGGCTCGTCAGATGGCGTCAGGGGAATGGAACAACGGGAACGCCCTGGACCGGGGTTTGCGGGATGCTTGGAGAGGCTGGATTGTATGCAGGAGGAAGGGGGAACAACCGGCGATGTAGACATCTGTACGAAGTTCTCCGTGCTGAGTAAAGAAGGCCGTGTGGAGTTAGAATTAAAATTCTAGTGATCATCGAGCAGTGGAAACGAACGACGAGCTTGGCCATTTCTCGATCAATATACCCCGTAGGGATACACTCGTGGAGCCAAGAGCAGAGACACAGAGTACGAAGGTATCGCGCACGAAATTGATGTAAGACGGCCGGTTAACTCCTCAATGTTCTGGATGCTTCCTCGTCGTGGGATTGTGCTATGTTTAGATGTTCGTATACATCGCCTAATTGTGGTCGGTGGAGGGACGGGACTGGGGAATGCATTGGCGACGTGGATCTCGAGCGGGAGCCTTGCGGCCTACCATCCAGCCAAGGGACAGAATCTACTGCGCATGGTATTGTATCGCCTGACATTCATTCACCTTCGATCTGGGGGCTGACTTCTCTAGTTTGGCTCACGCGTCCTCATGCCGTGCGCGATTCTCCGGTGGCACGCAGGAGAAAAACTCCGAGACAGCTTCTGTGAAGTGACCTATCCCGACGCTGGAGGGTACGTATGTACCGGCCAAAGGAGGAAGCCCCCAAACGTACGCTAAAACTAGGTGTTCACGAGGCAGCATGTATCATGTATCTATCGAGAAGCGAAACCCTGCGGCCTCTTTCTCCGTGCGGCCGCTGGGATCATGGCTGGCCGTTTTGATATTGAAAGCTCTGGGCATATCTTTTCGTGCCAGCCGGTTCTGCATCCACTGGCGCCCTTGCAACTAACCGCAGGTACTCCGTACTTGGACAACAGAGGATGCATCGTGTATATGCAGGCTTCATGGCGTAACAGCCAACCCAGTCCGTCCCCGCACTGGCCGCGATCGCTCTAACCGGAATCGTGATAATTAATACGACAAGGACCGACGAGGCCTGGGTATTTTGTTTGCTGCGTATTCATTATACACGCTGTGGACACCGCAATCCGCATACGCCATGTATGGTGCTGCTTTGCTTCTTTTCGGCCAGTTCTTTTTTTTGCTCTCCGTCTGTTCCTTTTGCCTCCTGCAATTTCTATCTCGTCCAAGGACCTGGCGTCGGGAGATTCGGCCGGTGTCAGAAGGTTGCGGACGTCTGCCCCTGGCCACCTCTTTCGGGATAGAAAGTTTGATAGCATCCCTCATTATATTCAACCAGTGCGTTAGAGTTGCGGGACTAATAATCATTTGATTTGATTCTGGCTCAGGCTCCCTTTTCCTTTCTTTTTCTTGCTAGAAAAAAATTAGATAAATAAAACCTTCTCCTCCACCATTCGTCTCTCCCTCGTGTGTCCACTTGATGCCCTAGTTCGCGTCGACTTTTGGATGTTGGAAACCGTCGATGTTGTTCACTCAAAGGACGCCGGCATTCGACGTTTGCCGCCAATCTCTAAACCTCAGCCTCGGCCGCCACGTTTCTAATGCTCGCTGCGAGCCGAGCAAGGATAATAATACCAGCGAGAACGGCGGCGGTTTTGGGAGCAATGGTTACTGCGAGATAACGGATGCGGGAAGCAACAAGAGCAGCAGTGCAACCAGCGACACCTCGACACCCTCGCCGACGAACTCCACGACCAACGAGACTTTCTCCCGGCTCTCCCTCGAAGCTCCCGATGACATTCCGGGGGGGTCGCCCGGTCCGTGGACGTATACTTCGACAGCCGAGCAGATCTTTTCGACGCGGGTGTTTTCCTCAGATAGTGGTGCAACGGAGATGGGTTCGCCCATGCGGATGTCTCGGTCGCTCAGCTTCACGGTGATCTCGTCTCCAGGGTCGACCATGCACGAAGACGATGTCGCGCCCAAGATTGAGGAAATCGACGAAGATGATGGAACGATATCACTAAGTATCCACCACGACGAGCCACTGGATGGCAAAAGTGACGTTCCGCCGTCGCCGACTGCCTGTGTTCCTAGAAAACGCGGCAGACCGCGCAAACACCCCCCACCAGCGCCAGGCCAGGCCAAAATCACAAAGGGCCGATCGAAGACTGGATGTATAACATGTCGCCGGCGGAAGAAGAAATGCGACGAGACGAAGCCGGCGTGTCTGAACTGCCAGAAAAACGCCGTTGTTTGCGAGGGTTACCCGGTGAAGGAAGTCTGGAAGAGCGGAAAGCAGAAGATAGAAGAAGGTAACGAGATTATTACCCTTTTGGGACATCCTCAACCTCAATATTCTTTAACATAAGAATTCTTCCATCTTTACTGACACAAGACGTCTGTCTGTGTATATAGCAGCTCGAAGACAGTCCTTTGCCATCCTCGCCCGCGGACTGCCCATCCTCATCGACGGCATCGAGACAGACATCGACAGACGCTTCCTTGACCACTTTGTAAACGACTTTAGCAGAGTACTCACCTTGATAAACGATGACTCCAATCCGTTCAAGGAGATACTGCTACCAATGGCGACCCAGCATAAAGGCCTGATGCACTCGTTGATGTGTCTGGCCGGATCACATCTCTCGGCTCGAGACCCTGAGCCTTCACTGAAGGAGCGAAAGCATTATCACTTCCATCGCGCAATTACGAATCTGAGAACTACCATCGCCGCTCAATCATCGACTTGCTCACCATCATCGCCTCCTTCTCCTCCTTCTTCCTCCTCTCCTTCACCGACAACGACCACAAACACAAAAACAAAAGCCAAAGAACACCCAGAAAGTCTCCCCGTCGAAGATCCTATGATTGCATCGACTATTGCGCTATGTCTTCATACGATTTGCGAGGGGGAAACTAAGGGAGAATACAGGTCGCACATGGATGCTGCGAGATATCTTTTGATCACACAGCGGCCAAGGAACGAAAAGTTTCGACAGTTTATCGTCGAGTTCTTCCAGTACCATGATGTGTCCAACTCGGTGACCACACTCGATAGACGGCCTGTCTGTTTCGCCGGTGACCTTCGCCTACCCGACTTCGTTCCCCATGCTCAGGCCGGTGCTCTGCTAGGCATTTTCGACGGGCTCTTCCATTACATATCCGAGATCACTGTCCTTCGTGATAGGATACGGCGACGGATAAACCAGGGCATTGAGCCGGCAATTGATTATCAGACACTGAGTGAAGCTGTAGGAATAGACTCGCAAATCCGCGCGTGGGAGCCATCATATCCCGCAGACAACCCTAACTGGTTAGCATCTCAGTTATATAGACAGTCTACTTGGGTGTACCTGTATAGAACCATTCGTCCATCACGGCCAGACGAGAAAATATCACAGGTGGTAGATGACGGCCTCCTCTATCTCAGCCAGCTACCCTTAGATGCTGGCGCATATAGCATCCTATTAATGCCCCTCTTTCTGCTTGGATGTTCTGCTTTCGAACCCTACCAACGAGAGCGTGTTAAGACCGGATTCGACAGCTTACAGTCATATTCGAGCCTGCGAAATATCGTTCCCGCACTTCGAGTGGTAGAGAAGGTCTGGGACGTCATGGATACAAGCCCAAACCTTAGTTGGGATTGGGAGAAGATCATTGACGATATGAACATGGACTTCTTGATAACATGATGCGGACAGACCATATTGATATCAGTCACCCAAGGGGTATCGGTACTAATTTTGAAGCGGCACAGCAACATTTGCGTCCTTACCATCCCGATGGCCCATTACGGCTCACCCTCGACATACCTACACTTTTATACCGTCATACCTACGGCGTTGATGCGTTGCAATTCCATTGGAGTTATGGGCGGAGCATGGTCAAAGAGTAACGACTTACATCAACATGTCTCGCATGCTGGCGTCCGGTCGTTGTATTTCGTCCTTTTGAAAAAAATTCTACATCCTATTTTACCCCACGGGTCCGATAATTACTCTCCCCTGCGGCATTCCTCTCGACCCATCACTCTGTCTCTCATCTACGGATGATCCAGGGAACGTGAAGCCACGGCTTACACCAATCCGATCCCTTCCTCCACTGCCGCCGGCACCGCCTTCACCATATTACCTTCCCCCGTATTCATATTCGGGGCCTACCAACCGAATATTTGATGGATATTGAACCAAATTTTCGGATAGGATCCTAATTTCCTAATGGGCAGTTCCCAACTTTGGGGGTAATTCTAAAAACGGCGCTTTTAAGTCAAGGGTTGCCCGTGTAGCGAGCAACCACCATTTTTGTTGTTAATTTTTTGTCTAAGCCTATCATTGTAAGGTGTTTGGATTAACTATTACTAGCATATTATATCTATCTACGCATTGATATACCTTTTCTCCCTTGCTTGGCTTATACATATCCTTTTGTGGCAAGTATGACGAGTAAATTTGGTGACTCTAGCTATTGGATCGATACTATGATTTTGCCCTATTTTATATCGTTATTTCTAATTGGACAAAGCCTGGCCATCTACAGGCAAGCACTTACATATATACAAGCGACTTCACATGGTAACATTAACCCAACTAATATAGTTGTGTTTCGCCTGGATGATGGGATCATGTTACATTGACCGCCTCCAACACATCCATGTTTCGCTAGCAAGGGCCACCCTCTCCTCGACCGTTGCAATTGATACACTCGACTGCTTACGGAAAGGGAACTCGCTGTGCTCTCGCGGATTGCTCCGTACAGTCGTCATGGATGGCCAGCAACTCGAAGTTCGCCTGGTGAGCCCAACAGCCAATGCAGCATGGGTAACTTGTTATGGTTTATAACGACCGGGAGACCCAGCGATTACAGTGAAACCTCAGCGGTCCCCGAGCGGGGTGCCGAGGGTCTTACACCAATTGAGTTTCTTAGGGTGCCCTGTTCGTCTCCTCTCGACAAAGTCACCCTGTGCCGGGCCCAGTTTGTTCATCCGAATATACCTGGAACTCGCTTCTGTGGAGACCTTCTTCCGTCGCTCCATAGCCATGACGCGGGAGAATCCTTTGGCGGAAGAGCATGGGCGGAAGATACACGCTTGGCCTGGCTAGAGTATCGCGTTCCGCTGGGCCGTCTAGGGATGCTGATGGCTATGCTCTTGATTAGTTGAGGGGTTGAGTGCTCATTTGAATATTCGGTAACGGGCTGCTTTACATGGTTGTCAAATGCTTGATTGACGACAAGGCCATTTTGATGCCCCAGCCAGTCCGCTCATCGACAAGATCGTCATGCCCATCAACGCAAGCCACTGATTAATTGATTGACTAGCCAGTGTGCTCTTCTCCCCGAATGGATGAGACTGGTCTGGTATCTCGATAAGGCGCCAGCCAAACTTTCAACTAATTCACACGTCAAAATAGAAGAGATATTAATATCACATCCATTATTGAGCCTTTGTCCAGCCAATGAAACGACCTTGACCTGGCCCGTAATTACGGATATTTGAACCTACCTGGCCCCACCCTTCTGGATGTATGAAAATAGTTCCGCCCATCTCCGTTCAGCAATCCAACTGATAACTATATATAGGAGACGTACCCTGGCCAGGTCTAGCGAATGTTGAAAATATGGACCTTTTATCCAGTCGCTCGCCCATTACCAAAGGGTGCCCAAATAACATGCAGATGCGCCTGCTTTGGTTCGGCATGCATCAAGAATTGCCAGCACTAGAATTACTTCCACATATCCGTCCGCTTGTACTGCATACCCTCAGTGGCTAAAATAAGGACAGTCAGTTGCGCTGAGAATGACGTTTTCACGGCAGGACACGACGAGTTCTTCTCTGGAAAAGAAATCCTCTGACATGTCGCTTAAGACTAATGCCGCCAAGTCTGCAACAGGAGTAAGAGAGCAAGACTTATCAAAAGTGCCGAGTGGATCGCACTTGTCCCTTCGCGCCGTCCAGCCTATCGACGTTGAAGTATGCGATTTTTCCCTCCACGTAGATACCACGCCATCGATACTGCAGAACCCTTCGGCTGCATTATGGAAACACTTCTCTCTATCGAGGCGCCGGGCCCCGTTCAAGACAGTCCTCGATGGCGTGACTGCCAGCATGCCCCATGGCACTCTTACGGCGATTATAGGGGGCAGCGGGTCTGGAAAGACAAGCTTATTAAACGTCATGGCTGGTCGCATGGGAACTAGCCGCATGAAAGTGACTGGGACTGCCAAATTCAATTCCTCGGGGGGCATAAATGGCAGTCGAAGCGCATATTTGATGCAACAGGACGTTCTAATACCCACCCTGACTGTACGAGAGACACTCCAATACTCAGCCGACCTTAGACTTCCTCCACCTACAACGGCGGAAGAACGTCGAGCTGTGGTTGAAAAAGTAATTCTTGAGCTAGGCTTGAAAGAATGCGCAGATACCAGGATTGGAAACAACTTGCACAAAGGCTGCAGTGGTGGTGAGAAGAGGCGTACGAGCATTGGTGTTCAAATGCTAGGAAACCCATCGGTATTATTCTGTGACGAGCCAACAACAGGGCTCGATGCAACGAGTGCTTACCAGGTTGTCCGAAGCCTAAAAAGGTTAGCTTTGGATGGAAGGACAATTATAATCTCTATTCATTCTCCTCGTTCAGAGATTTGGGGGTTATTCGATAAAGTTGTCCTACTCTCTCGCGGGTCTGTACTTTATAGCGGAGCAGCGGAGCGTTCTCTTGCCCATTTCGAAACGCTTGGACACTCCATCCCTCCCTTTGTTAATCCTGCCGAGTTCTTAATAGACCTAGCGGCATACGATAATCGAACTGCTGAAGCTGAATTGGCCTCGCAAACCCGTATCGAGACCCTCAAGGTGGCGTGGAGAGCGGCCTCGAGCAAAATTTCGGACCAAAACAATATATCTCCGGCAGGGAAAGAGTTTCTTCCTCAAGTTGATAAACAAGAGAGTGTTGGTTTTACACGGCAGTTTCAGGTACTGACAGCCCGAACCATAAAAATGACCATCCGCGATCCCATGGGGATGACAAGCTGCCTATTCGAGGCAATCGGCATGGCTGCTCTCAATGGGTGGATATACCTGAGACTTGATGGGTCCCTTACAGGTATTAGGTCACGGCAGGGCAGTTTATACACTGCAAGCAGCCTCAACGGATATATAATCCTGCTTTATGAAATTTTCCGCTTGACGACTGATATACAACTCTTTGATCGCGAGAGAAGTGAAGGTGTGGTTGGCGTCCCTGCATTCCTCTTGAGTCGACGAGCCGCCAGACTCTTCTTAGAGGACTTACCGGTCCCTATGCTATTTTCAACTATATTTTACTTCATGGTTGGATATCGGCTGGCCGCAGCTGAGTTCTTCATCTTCTTAGTGCTAAATATACTTACGCAATATACGGCTGTCACCTTCGCTGCTGTTTGCATTAGTATCTGCAGACACTTTCCTGGAGCGAGTCTTGCAGGAAATCTTTCTTATACCCTCCAGACAGTTGCCTGTGGATATTTTGTTCAAGTTAATCAGATTCCAGTATATGTACGATGGGTCAAATGGGGCGCGTACACTTTTTATGCCTTTAGTGCACTTTGTGCCAATGAATTTATCGGACCTAATGGCCCTGAATATGGACAATTCTACGACTGCCCATACTCGAAGGATCCCACGAACCCGCAATGCAAAGAATACACTGGCCAATTTGTCATAGACAGCCTTGGAATACCACGAAATTGGATATGGCGGTCAATTATAGCACTCGCGTCGTTTACCCTATTCTTCTATATACTTGCTGGTCTGATCTTGCAATTCAACAAGATAGATATCAACGTTGCTCAGCCACGCAAAGCGGAGAAGGACCTTTCGGTAGGCAAGGAGAAATTTGTTGCCAATACGCCAGGAGATAACCGCCAGGTGTCTATCAAGCTTGAAAAATACTCGTTAGACATACAAAAGCGATCCTTGACTCGTCGCGGGCTGCAGTCGCAGACACTGAACATTATAAAACCTATCACTACGGAGTTCGAGCCTGGGAAGCTAAACGTTATTATGGGGCCTTCTGGGAGTGGGAAAACATCTCTCTTGTGCTCAATCTCAAATAGGCTGCAAGGTTCAATTGGGACACGATATTGTGTAGGAGGGAACATGTTATACAACGATGCTGTCCCTTCGAAAGATGTGGTTAGATCTGTCACCTCCTTTGTCACACAAGATGATGATGCCTTAATGCCATCATTAACTGTCCGGGAATCACTGGAATTTGCCGCCGGATTAAGGCTGCCTTCGTGGATGTCGAAAGAGGAAAAGAACCAACGCGCAGAGGCCATTCTATTAAAGATGGGTCTTAAGGACTGTGCGAATAACCTAATTGGCAGTGATCTAATAAAGGGGATTAGTGGCGGGGAGAAGAGGAGAGTTTCGATTGCTATCCAAATACTTACGGACCCGAAAATCCTTCTCCTTGATGAACCTACATCAGGTTTGGATGTCTTCACGGCCACATCTATTATTGAGGTCCTGAATGGGTTGGCTGCAGAAGGTAGGACACTCATTTTAACGATACACCAATCGAGATCCGACATCTTCCAATATTTCTCCAACGTACTCTTGATTGCAAGGGGCGGGTATCCGGTCTATGCTGGCAGCGGAGCAGATATGCTCCCTCACTTCGAATCGCTTGGATACGAATGCCCTCAAACTACGAACCCAACCGATTTTGCGCTTGACTTGATTACTGTGGATTTGCAGGCTAAAACGAGGGAGGCGGCCACTCGTACCAAAGTACAAAGCTTGATTGACAACTGGGAGGTCAAACCTCACGAAAAGGATGTAGCGGCGCCTGTAATTGCGGCGCCTGCAGAGTTGGGCAGTTTGAAAAGAAAAGCCGCCGCGTTCCGTTCCATGTTTGCGTTGGTGCTTCGAAGATCAACCATCAACCTGAGGAGACAGCCATACCTTCTTCTTGCGCGTACGATGCAAGTGATTGGTGTTGCTATAATTATGACTCTATTCTTTGCGCCGTTGAAACATGACTATGCAGCAGTACAGTCGACAATGGGAGCGGTACAACAGATCACAGCGTTATACTTTGTTGGTATGAACCCACCTACCCAGAGATCTATCTTATAACACTACTTATATGATTATAGGAATGCTTCAAAACATAGCTATCTACCCGTATGAGCGAGATGTGTTCTATCGCGAGGAGAGCGATGACTGCTATTCCACCGAAGCATTCATCTTACAATACACCACGCTAGAGGTTCCGTTCGAAATCATGTCGTCTCTCATATACGGCGTCGCTTCCGCCTACGCTATCGGTCTTAGACGATCAGTGAAAATGCTATTTGTCTCATCATTTAACGCTTTCTGTATAACTAGTTGCGGCGAATCACTCGGTATAATGTTCTGCACTCTATTTTCCCACATTGGATTTTCGGTGAACATAACCTCAATTGTTCTATCGATAGCAACAGTTTTGGGTGGAGTTATGAGTCTCAATATACCTTCCGTCCTACAAGCGATAAACCATCTGTCTCCGGTTAAATACTCAATCTCCAATCTGGCACCTTACGCCATGCGTGGTCGCATGTTTACTTGCACGGATGATCAACGTCTTCCGAACGGACATTGCCCAATTGAAACAGGCGAACAGGTCCTATTACTCTACAATCTAGACAAAGACCCAAAAATCAATATTATGGCTCTTGGAATCTGTGTGATTGGATATCGGTTGGTTGCGTATGCCCTAATAAAGGTCGTTCGGAGCCGCAGCATTCGGGAGAATCTACTGGGCAAGTTTTTGAAGAGGCCAAATAGCGTCAAAGACTCTGGAATTAAATGAGGTGGCTTAATTTACATTGTTACTGAATAAATTTTTTCCCTTGCATGTATATACTGTTTGGCTACATACTGAAATGTGTTGAAGCTAATGTATGATGCCTCTAGCTCAAACGTCTTAAAGTGCGCGCCTCTATAGCCACCGCCCTCGCGCCTCTTTACATCATATGCTGGGGAAGTTCGAGGCAGTACACCTGGCTCATCTCCTTAACTTTTCCCTATGATACATCGTAGTAGACCCTTTTCCCAGCTGGTTACCTAGGTACATACCAAGCGGAAGCTTTGACTTGCGCAATGATGCCAAGACTATAATTTAAGCTCTGAGCCATGTGGGAACATGTCGTACGTTCTCCACGTGGAAAACGCTTAACTTTAATTTAAAGCGGGTGGGGGCGAGAGACTACGTTTGCGTTCAAGGGAGGGTGAGATCCAGGAAAATGGAGGTCATAGTGGTTGTGGGACGTCCGCAGACGATTTGATTGTGTTTCTATATACATCTTCGCTTCTAGCCAAAAACTCCTGTTTATCTCAATTTCTGTTCGTATAGCTGATCCGGCCGGAATCAGGAAACACAAAAACCAAAACCAAATATTGCTTCAAACTCGCGGTGTGTCGGAGGGGTATATATGCGTTTTAATGTGGAACGTATCAGGAATTCCATCTTGAAAATCAAAACACCAAAGCTTTTTTGTGGTCATGTTCATCGTCCAATTTTTTAAATGTGTGGTGGTGAAGTTGTTCATTTACTCTGGGCGAGCATGGGGGTGGCGAGGGCGGTTGGCAGCCTTCTCCACTGGCTTGAACATCTTCTTTGGGCCGGCAGAGCCACCACCAGCACAGAGCACAACGTTGAGGTCAGATTCCTGAGGGCAACCATGAGTGGCATGGTCATCCTTTGGCTGGTTATAGGCCTCCTTGCACTGCTTGATGCCACCCTCGCAAATGACTGCGGGACAGCTGGAGTCGGTTGGGTGGACACTGATGCCACCCTCCGCGAATGGGTAACCGTCAATGTTGGATAGATCGTAGAAGATTTGAGGCTCCTTCAGAGTGTACTCAAACTGCGAAATATCCTTGTGGTTTTGATCGGTGCTCATCTTGATGGAGATGCCACCACCGTTGCTGTTGGGACGGTAGGTCTCGGTGTGGGTCTCGCCGTCCTTAAGGGTGATCATCTTCTCTCCAGCCGAGTCGGCGACTGACCAGACGTAGACGTCTTTCCCACAGGCATTCTGGATGTTGGCTGCACCAACTTTTTCACCTGCAAGGGCAGATGGGACGAGAGCAGCGAGGGCGGAAAGGGCGATGAAAGCAGTGTTGGAATGCATCTTGATTTTCAAAGACGAAGTTCGTTCAAAAAATAAAGAAATAATATAGTGAATGTATATAAGAGCTCTTAAAAGATAGTGTATAAGGGCAATAAAGAATGACCCTTAAAAATAATAAATGTATATATAAGTTAAGATCAAAAGAATGTGATGAGGAGAAAAAAGAAAGAAAGAAGGCCAGGGAGGGGTCGGGGGGTTATTTATAGGTAAGCCGTTCACTTACAAATGGTTAAAACATGACGAACATTTCCTGGGAAAGGTCTAGAAACCCCCCGAACTCCGATCTCACCCACCAATATAATCATATACCCAAAGTTGAAGCTGAGTAAGAGCTGTTATTGCCACAAGGAGTATCTGGTCCGGAGTTGATGGGGGTGGGGAAGGTTCAGGAACCAGGGGTGCGAATTTCAGGTATTGGTGGGCGAGAAAGTTTAGAAGAGTAAAAAGAAACCAAAAAGAAGCAAGACTGGCCGTTTGATAAAGTTGTTTTCTAGGCTACCACGGTTCCGGCGGGTAGGGGGGGAGGGAAAATGACGACAATGGTGGTGGCGGGGGAAAAGTGAAAGAAGAGAATTCGTTACCACAAACCAGCCCTCGGTACTCTTCATTATAATCTCATACTGCGTATAGTCGAGATTCCTCTGCGCATTAACCGCGGCATCTACCCTCGAAACAGATGGGGGTCATACAACACTTTCGTGCCTGAGATATTAGAAAAACCCCCATAACTTAGGGTCACCCATGCATGCGGGCCGCAGATATAGTCATAGCGGTGGTGGCCTAGGCCACACCATCAAAGAACCCTGATCTTATATATTCAATATCGATTGTGTGAACTGATAAGAAACATGAAGGTGAAAAGCCATAAGGTTTGGCCCTTTTGTTCAGACGTTGAATGAACAAAAAAAAATCTTCCCTTTGTATAGGATTTTATTGTCGCTATGAGCCCATTGACGGAGGTATAAAGAAAGGAGCAGAATGGGTCATGCTCCATATGCCGCATCTCGCGGCTGTCGGTGCGTGGCGGGTTTTCTGGCCCCTCTGTGAAAGAAATGGCAATCCCGTTGATGCTGTTCAGCCCACTTTGACCCATAGGCCAGGCAGAGGCGACCATCTAGGCCCCGGATGCAGGTATCATGACTGTTGAAGCTGGTTTTATCGCATGGGGGGGTGGAGTCCCAGCGGCGGAGACCACATAGGAAAAAGCCTGCAAACAGTATAACACGAAGTCGTTGCAACGCAAGGCCTCCAAGATAGCTGACATACGTATGCGTATATCCACCTGCTTTTGCCTTGTCGTCCGAGAGCTTCAGTTCTGCTGTCCAGGATGTGGCAGAGTTTTATCTCGCATTGGAGGTTAACTGGCTGAAAGAATATGGTCACGTGCCACGAAGCTCCAGCAAGTTTGTAGATATCAAGCAGAATATCAATGAAGTATACCCATTTTGTAGCATTTCTACTGAAGATATTTACGGAGCACAATAACCTTAAGCATGCTTATGACTGCGTTTCCCCCACACTAGCCAAACGTGGACTACCGGGTAATGGAGAATGCTGGCGGACCAGCGAGAGAGCCACTATTGCTGAAATCATGATAGAAGACTTGCAAGATGGAGTTGAAAGAGATACCCTTGACGTCCTGATTTTCTTGCTGTAGCCGGAAAGGTGTTGCTGTCCTTGCGTTACTAACATGGGGGATTGTTGTCACAGGAGTTTATCAATGGCTACAGATGTTTTCTATCGCCACCTTACACATGCTTTCCCCCCCAAAGGACTCGAGATGTTTAATAAGGTGCTGGATAGATGGTCGGGCCGTATCAAAGTCGAAAAAAGTTCTTCTTTTTGAAATTTGGACGTTGCGAGCATTTTAAAACCATAGCAATCAAGCTAAATATCTATACAATAGCGAGGAGCACCCCTTAGGAACCGCCAGGGGAATGCAAAAGTGGCTACTCAAGAAGCATGGGAACTTGGATATAAGATGAACCCATACATTGCCCTAGTATTGCATGATATATATATAATGAGTGTTGATAACACCTCTCCGGTTATCTGTATGCCTCTCTGGTTAACCTTATATACCCCTTAGTTATCTATTAAAGTATAGCATTAAAGAAAACTTATCTAGTCAAAAGTAACCCCTGGCTACCTTTAAGTAAATATTTTTCGTAACACTATACTTCAATAAACAACCAAGGGATGTGCGGTTAACCGGAGAGGTATATGGACAGCCAGAAAGGCGTGACTGCACCACTGCCCTTCCGTTATGTTACTATTCTCCCTGAACTGGCAGAAAACCGAGTATAAAAGCCGAGGTGGAGGCTTCCAGCGCCACCTCGGCACAAAGATAAGATTTCTCGCCTCCCGCTACTGTAGAATAGGACAGATAAGTTCAAGGGCTGGAATGGTGTGCTTAGTAATGCTTCATTCAAGTCATATATGGATTTCTACCGGGAAATGTCGTTACGCAAGGAAACGTCGGGATAGGATTAGAAAGAAGGGTGGGGTTGGAAGGGAGGGTAACTCGACTGGGCGAAAGCAATACGAATCACGAATTTGAGGTATGTAAATAGCTAAGAGGGCACATTCAATGAACGGTTTTGAAAAACGGGGAACGAAATGCGGCTACCAGTATGGAGGCCGTAATCCTGCCAATCCGGACAAAGTGCTTTCTACTCCGGCACCAACAGCACCAGTGACGGTGCTACCATCATCTTTCTTCCGATGGCCACCTAGTTCAATGTTAATCTGTCGATGTAGGTGCACCAGCCAGTCGACATAGCTCTGTGCCTCGTTATTTCTATCCTCCAGTAAAAGTCGTGCAAATTCGTACTCGGAGCCATCAATACCCTGTCTGGCCAGTTGGATGGTCATGGCCTTCGAGCCACGGATACAACTTAGATACTGGAGGATATTGCGCACCTGGGCGTTGAGTTGTGTCTCTAGAACCGGAATGGATGACGTATTTGGGTCAAGAGATCTAAGAGTTGTGTGACCTGGGCCAAAGAGGTCTTCGAGGAGGTTGGGCGAAACTAGTGCATGAATCCAGAGGATACATATCTGGCCGTTTTCCACAATGTAGACTCCTCCCTCCTCAATTCGCGAGAACGATGCGCGTTGAGTTGGGGGCACCTGTAGCTGGCCATGCTCGTTGGAAAACCCGTCTTTGGGATCTAAATTGTGAATTGGGATGATCCTTGGGTATAGATAGAGTAAAAGCTCCCGGCATCCGAAAGAGCGAAGCATCCGGACGTCGTGAATACGACGATCCGATGGCTCGTGGCCTCCTGTTAGGAAGAAAATATAAATTTAGCCAACGCCCAACGCAACACGGTAGGGAAAATAACGGCCTACAATGACACTACATACCTTTGAATGCGCGAGATTTCAACAAGCTTAGCACATACATTGAAAGCTCTTGTATACACTGGGGCAAGACTAATTGGCCAGGGGGTTGTGACAACGTGAAGTTCTTTCGGTAGCTTGCCAAAATATCGATGCTCTTTTCTGTGAGCGCAGCACGAATTTCCGTGAGAGATTTGTCGGGCAACTTGGAAGCCGCTAAAAAACCGAAAGCTCGTATTAATAACCATGTAGTTTACCAAAATTCCAGACAAAAGTGTAGAGGGAAAGGGGTGGATGGATTTACCTTCTTTTGCAATAATAGCTACAATGGCGTCCTGGTCAAGAGACCTCATGGTTTCTATTCCTCCATCGTTGACAGCAGCAACGATATTTATACACCTAACACGCCGTTGCCCATTGCCTGCGGTATACAGGAGAGCAGCCTGGAAATGGGCATCTAGCTTAGCGTCAAGCTTACCATCGTAGGAAAACATGATACCAAATGCTTTATCAGCATCGATACTTCCCATTTCAAGATCTGACGCAAAGGTGTGTTGGAGAAAGTTGCCATGGTAGGAGGAGATTTGAAGTCCGTTCGAGCATCGAACCTTAAGAAGGGCCTGATAACCGGTTTCTCGGGTGATGGAGTGTGATATTTCGCTAGAGAGCTTCTGGACATCCCGAGGGGCATGGAAATTAGGATAATAAAATGTCTCTCCTCCAGAAACAGCAGATACATGTCCTAATATCACAACCTTGTGTAAATAAAACCAAACTCAACCATCGTTAGAAATATAAGGACGACTTACCGATTGTTGCAATGTCCATATAAGTTCCGCCTCCAGCTGCGATAAAGAAATCGATACCTATTCCCGCCTCCGCCGACTTTGTGGCGGTTTTCTTCCACTCGGCATGCTCGGTAGTAAAGAGCTTTCGTTCGGCATCGGTTCCTTGACCCTTGCCTTGATCTCTCATAAAAAGACGCCCTGGGCCCCAAGTGGGAAGACTGCTTAAAGAGCATACAATCTTACCCCCAGTTGCTTCTAGGGCACATAGCGCTGAATTTAAAGTAGGAAGAAGAGCTGGTTCCGGATTTTTGATGAAGGAAAATAGAGTAGGTATTTGCGTCAAAAGCGATGAAATAACGTGTCTATGATCAAAATTAGTGTTGGATCAAAGAATAACGACAAATGGTCAAGACAAGGGCTCTGACGTACTTCGATTCGTAAGGGTCGGCGAAAAGCCCCTCGCTCAGAGGAACAAATGGATCTTCCAAATCTGGCATTACTATCATCTGCGCCTGTTCTAACTGGGGCTATAAAGATGAATGTTAGTCTCTGAAACTCTTGCTCGCTGAAGTGGTGGGTAAAAGATACAGATTTCTCACATACACTTAGATTATAAAAATGGACCTCCTTATCAAAAGTGATTATCCCAATCTTCGAGCCCTCAGGTAGCCTTCTATGCGATTTGGCTGCATCATGCTCTGTGGTCTCAGCTCCTTCTTCTTCCTCGCTATCACTGTCTGACCCATACAAAGCAGATAGTAATCCATCGCAGCAAGCTTCTAAAAACCCGCGAGACACAGCTTCCTGTGAGACATCGAGGAGGAAGAGCCATCGCAACCCTACTGGCTCCTTGCTCCAGTATTCCTTGGGGACTAAGAATTCGACAGTTCCCTGCATTAGTTCGGGGCGCTGCATACGGTCCACACGTACACCTGTGGGGTCAAGCGGTGCGTAGTATTCAGGCGAAACCTCATTGGGGAATGTGCACATGTTGCAGATGAACTTGTTTCCGCCTGATCGGAAGGTCATGAACGGATTTATGTACGCTCTGCACCTTCGACATCGTGGGGGTCCAGAATCTCCAAAATCTAGAACTGGGACCGGCTGCTCGGCCTCGTCGAGTGGGGCGAGAGGCTGTAATATGAGGCCCAGCGGGAGCGAGGTTAACGCGAGGGACTCCGATGTGGAGGGGATGTTGTTTATGGTGAGTCGAGCAAACTTTGGGGAAGAATTGCCTTGATCATGGACCACGAACGGAACGGTTGATGGAGGGGGTACATGTCGCTCCATAGTTGGGTATGTATGGTCAAGATAATATTGAGCTGGGATATCGCGAGACCGTGGCACGCTGGGTAGCTGTTCCGGGTTAACATTGCCTTGCGCTGGCACAGAGCCATCGCCAACAGACCCAGTGGCCCCTGGTTGGGGTTGGGGTTGGGATGAGGTAAATCCGCCATAAGGGGAAGAAACCTGCGGACTCTGCTGGTTCAAGAATTGCGAGGGCTGCTGGGTGGCCCCCGGAGGCATGCCGTTGAATGCCTGTGACGACCCTGCTGGAGCCCCAATCTCATGGTATGCATGTCTATCTTTCTTCTTAGGTGCCCTGACACTCCCACCGGCGGGGTGTGCCGGTCCTCCAGCAGCAATCCCCAGTCCACCCATCTGAGCTGTTAAGCCCTGCATCCCGGGATGCATATCGGCTGGCGATTGAGGGTATCCCTGTGGTGACGGGTAGCCCGCTGAAGGCGAGGGGTAAGGCGGGGAGGATTGGGCGAAGCCATGCTGCTGCTGCTGGTATGCCTGCTGCTGAGGCGATAGAACAGCACCTCCGCTCTGCACGTAGCCTGCCGGCGGTTGAGCAACTGGCGGGACAAACTGAGGAGCTGCGGGCTGGGTTGGGATTTGCGATTTCAATCTCTCGTCCTCTGGCACAGCACCTTCGCCTAGGTTGTGGTACATTGAAAAGTCGGCCATTTCGTTAGCTTCATCCACGCGTTCGTCTGGCGATCGAGAGGGCGGCAGTCAGGGAAGGGAAGGCGTAACAATAATTTGCTGCGGTGTCTCCGCGGTCAAGATCGCACTATATCATCACAGCTCATTTCTCAATTGATTCATGACAGGGGCAGCACTCGGCTTTCTATACCGACTCCTTGATAAAACTGACCACATCGTCCAGTCTTCAGGCGCGGCGCGGACTTATATTTCGCCGGATACGGTCACGTGGTATCACTAGGGGAAACATATAGGGGAAACACGGAGAAGGGACAATCATGATGGAAGGAGACCATAGTCTTCAGATGATAGAGATTACTTCCTGGTTTACGTTTGGGTCAAAGGTATCTGCCGTGTGTCCACGTTAAACCCTGGGCTTCAATTAATTATATACTGTTGACAGTCTATTCCAAACGCCGAATAACAACCATGTAGGATGGAAAGAGAAAGGTTTGATTTCACACGCCAAAGCTGCCATAGGTGCCTGGCTCAAAATCCTCTGACGGGACTTCCTCGAGAAGATCCTTGGTCCGTGGGCCAGTGTATCGCCTAGTTGGACATTAGCAAACGTGCTCCAAAGGATATCCATATTTAACAAAGAGAACATACCCCTTAGCTGAAAGCCACCACCACGAGAGCGCAAATAGGGCGATAAAGGCAGCTACAACAATTGCATAATTCCTGTCTCATCTGTCAGCTCTTCAGATCATATCTAAGTGGAGGTGGAGAGGTGAGGTTGTATACATATTCTGTAGCGTCACCGGTTGGACAGGTGGGAAAAATAGGACGACGCTGATGAAGAGCACCCAAGTGATGGAAATCCAGTTGATGGCTGCGCCCCATTTACCTAGGGTAAAAGGTCCCTCGATAAACCTAACCTTGTCCTTATACAACCTGTGCGCCAGAATAACACCAATATAGGACAGGTCGAGTGCAGGCGCGGTGATGCTGAAAATGGAGGCTGCGGTTTCGGTGGAACCGATGGCAATACAGTTGAGACATATTGAAAAGAAGACGACAAACCACACTGCGTTAACCGGGGTAAGCGTGTATGGGTTTATTTTGGCCAAAACCCTATCATATTCGACTCGTTGGTCAACTCTGGCTTGAATAACGGCCATACTCAGCCCCGCAGTGCAAGGGGGTGGTTTCTTACCTTGAAAAGGGCAAAGCATCATCACGGGCAAAAGCGTATGCCATGCGGGTATCTGCTAACATGGCAGAGCAGCCGGTGAAGAATTGCACAAGGACAGCAAACGACCACATGATCGTTCCGCCGGTTCTTCCCCCGGCATTGAGGAAGATCTGCGCAGCTGGGAGGCCGGTGGGTGAATGTAGAATAGCTTCAAGTTCTGTAATACAAAAGCACATAGTGACGGTTAACATCCAGCCAAATATACCGGATACCACAACCGCTGTTTGGATAGCAACAGGTCCTCGGACGGCAGCGTCATGGGTTTCCTCTGACATACTATACCAAAGAATGTTTTAGTAAGAGGTCTCAATTAGGCATTGTTTCTTGAAAAGGATATCTTACTGAGTAGTTCCGTCGTAGTCTGTCATCGTCCAAGCCACGGCGATGAAGCCAAGGAGGAAAGAGAAAGCTTTAGAGTGCCAGCCCGATCCATCAGTGACATGGGTGAATACCCATGATGCAGGCTGTTTGTTTGGAGTGAGAACGAGAAGAGCAATGCATATGCCAATGGATGCGAGAACTGTTGGGCAAGTATTAGCTTCATATTTAGGAATGCAAAAGGTACGTGGCTTCAGCATCACATACTATTAATTGGCGCAAACCAAAGAATAATCCGATGCAGGCTCCTTGTGGTCAGGGAGCAAATAACACCCATTATGCAGAGCAGTGCAATCGACAGTAAAACCGTCTGAAGAGCCGTCCTATTATACCCTTCTTTTAGCGCTTTCTTTTTTTGCCCAAGCAGTGGTTGATATATGCAAACTTACGGCGTATAAGAATAGCTTTCTCCATCGTCCAGAGTCGAATTCATGCTCGCGGTGGCTAGTAACATCTGGCTCACTGTATAGGCCACACTGGAAACGCCAGCAGTTTGGCCTAACAAGTTACACCAGCCTTGGACCCAGGAAAATATGGGGACTTGGTCCTTTGGGACCACATGTTTGGTCACAAAGTACATTCCTCCAGCTGTCGGATAAGCAGAAACCAGCTCTGCCACTGAGGAGCCAATGCACATTGCCATGACAGATCCAATTAACCAGCACCACACAGCCGTTGCAGGGCCTCCTGCACTTAGCGGCTGGCCGAACGTTGCTGGCACGGAGCCTAGGACACCTAATATCGAAATGGCATAAGATATTGTTGACCATTTGGAGAATTCACGTCTCATTTCCTGAAATAGCCATGTTAGACCGTAAGGTGCTACCATTAGGGGGTGACTCCAGCCCGTCTTCGCGGTCTTCACCACCACTTTATTCGGATACCTAAAGAAAAGACGTTTCGTACTTGTTTGTATCCTATTCTGGCTAGAAGCCGTTCATCGTCATCCTTGATTGTCGCCATTTGAGAAGATTTGACGGCGTTTTTGTCTTCGCTGGTAGCGACCTTTTTGTCACTAGGTCCGCCACGACCTTGCCCTACCGATCCCTGGGAAGAGGATATTAGATTTGAGTCCAGTGCCATGATAGCTGCTCCTTTGTTTCCTTGGGACTTGTGGTTTATGTGTGGTTTATAGATTCATTTCACTGGATATATTGTTACACCTCTAGCGATATACCTCACTGGTACGACTGATAGAGACGAACGGATAGCAAAACTAGGCCCTTCTAGAGCGAAAATCGAATTTTGTATGCAGGACGTAGCAGGAAAGACGTCCTTCTTTTCACGTCTGTGGGTAACAATGTATAGAGGTGTTCATAAATGAAGAACCAACACGAAAAAGAGAGGACGAAGCAGGCCGGGAAATTCGGGAGTGATAAGAGAGCGAGGAAGCACAAAGCCTGGGTTCAATCTCAAGGACTATATAAAATCCTACGTACCTTATAGGTGGGAGTAGGGCTCGCAGTCTCTTCCGGGCCTGATCCTTGTTTGTTCCCGCTCCCTCCTTGATGGTGATACCCCCCACAAGGGCGGAACGAGCCAGTTCTGCCCGCGAGAAAGGCAAAAGAAGTCCGAACGAACAGGTGAACAATCGGGGACGGGGAAAGCCCTGGGGAGCGAAAACTCGCTTGCCAGTTCCTTAGCTTTATGGTGGAGCAGAATGTTTTTTAACCGTGTCTCTGGAACGTAGCCAGCATGAGATCTGACATATAATAATTCCTTTTCTCCCTGCCAACAGTTAGAACGCTGGATCGATGACTTATTCGTTCATGGGGACACGGCAGTCGAGTGTATACATCGAGCGGAAACGGCTGCCAGAAGATCGTGGTATCTGATCCCCTGCAAGCCGACCAGGTTGAGGTTGCAGGATGCAGCGAGTTTAAAAAAGGAACGCCCGCATTCCTGGATATGTGTCGGGGGTGGCCTTCCGCTTCCTTTCTTGAGATGTGAGATGCGGAGGGGCGGGTATTTGCAGAGGTGAGTTGGTCGAGATGGCGCCCTGCGGTGCCATCGCCCAGAAACCGGGTGGACGACCAACTGCATATCCGACCAGAAGTTGCATTTCCGCTGTGTTTGAAACGGGCGAGAAGAGCAGTCGATATCCCACACGTGGGCCAGGGAAGCCGTTTCAGATCGACAATCGCATTTTCGTGGCTTGATATCAAATGCGCCATCCCTGCTAGTCTTCCACACAGAACCCAGCCAAGAGAAGTTATATCAGCTTCACCAAGTCGAGTCCACCAACAGTTGAAGCTCGTACAGAGTACACCTTCTAACACAATTAAGGACAAGTTGAGGACAGTTAAGGTCAGTTAAGGACAGTTAAGGCCTATAAGGATGGCTAAGTTGAAGCTCTTTACTTGATCCTGCGATAAAAACATCTTGCTTAAAGACACTCGAAGTTCTCATACAGAGGAGAGAAGAGAAGGCCAAAGAATCCGCCATGGACTGAATCGATCTAGTCTTCGGCATCAGCATCAACCACGCCGCTGCCATCCCCTGGGAGTGCCCTGGCCAGTCCGGACGCCCAGTTATTCCTGTCAAAGTACATTGCAATAATAAAGTACGCAAAGCTGTCAGCATTATTCAGTGCCTTCTCCCCCGTGAGCTTTACAAGATTCTTCCAGCGATAAGCATGGTCCCTCGTCCCATCGCCAGGACCCATCAAAGCCGAGTGGGAGATCTCATGAAGTAGCAGAGTGGCAACATTCCACGTCAAAACGTCCAGTGGAGGGCGTTTGACCAAGGTTGCAGTGCGAAGATTCTGCAGCGAGCCACTGATGCCGATTGGGTTTGTATTCCAGTGCTCAAACATATCCGCGCAGATAACAATCAGCTCGATGGGCCCCGTCGGGGTGGTTATATCTTCTGTGAAGGCGAATAGGTTTTCCTCCGTTCCATCTGGTAAAAAAGTTGTACCGCAGGTAGAGAGCGGCCTTACAGCCGTTTGACCACCTCTCTCGGCAGGGCGGCTGTCGAAGAATAGCTTGGGGTCATTTTTGTCTTTTTCAGGTGTGCCTTCGGGATAGTCTTTGGTAAGAAAGCTGTGGCCACACCATATATCAACCTCAACTTTCCCACCCTCCAAGCGCGAAGATATTGTCGAAACCAGGTGAAGATAGTCCCTTAGAGTCTTTATTCCACGTTCGCTCTCCTCTTTTTTCTCCTCTGCCCAGTATACCTGCATGAAGATATTCTCAAAGGTCCACAAAGTGACTCTATCTATTTCCTTAATCACATCGTCTGGGCCAGGCATTTTCTCGAGCGTCGTTATAAGCGAATTCAATCGTAAGATTGCAGCTCGAAGAGCTAGGCGAGCATCATCTATACCAGTACTTATCCAGCCTGCCTGATTAGTATCACAATCATGCAGCGTCTTTATTATTCTCGAGTGTGGAAATGGAATTCCACCTGCATTGGTGCCGGATCGGAGGAGTAGGATAAGAAGCCAGAGAAGGCTAACAAGGTTAACGAACATTATTGCTAGGTATACTTCGTGATCCTCGTTTTCGAACAGCATAGAAGAAATAAAACAGGACAAGGGTAGAAATATAACCTAGACAAGTCCGTAGTCTTGTCTATCTGCTTATTAAACCGTGCGACCATAGCCATATCTCATCAATTTAATCAGGCATTGATGGCTGTTTTCAGTCGCAAGTCGGTCGATGTTGTAACTACTAATGACGTGCCACGCCTGCCTCAGTATGCGATGGATCAAGCAGGGACTTCATATGCGTCAGTCGGTGCTCTCGGGTTAGAGGTTAGGCACAATGAGGGTCAGAGGCAAGCATAAAAATAAGCGAAGTTCCCACCGCAGGTATTATCTTGGGAAGCCGAAGTCGCGGTAGCATCATGCCAGACCACTGTTGGCTAAGCTGTGACTGCTGCCTATTCATTGCATTCCTACTCCGGAGAGCTCGTCATGCGGGACTTGAATCACTGGGTGGAAGGGAGATGCCATCCGCTGGAGACCCGGCACCCCGGAAAATATCCACCTGTCTGCGGTGTGTAGCACAAAGTGACGTCCTGTCCGCGAGTTTCTTTGTGACCAGCATGCAAAGCGAGGTCTGTTCGCTGTTTAGGAGAGGGGCCAGATAGTAATCTGTGATATCTGGACGGGAACGAGAAAACTGCGGAATTGAGGTGAGATGAATAAAGTTTTAGAGTTTGCCGTGCCCGATTGGAGGAACCACGGTCTGGCGGGCTGGTAGAGCATACATCAACTATCCCTCTCTCTCTCTCCAGGGCAGAGCGGAGCGACGAGACGATATCGTTAGGGTCTTCTCGACTCTACTGCAGAACGGAGTACCCGCGTTATAGTGTAAGCCCTCGCGCCAAGAAAGTACGGGGCGAAGAATGCGGCAAGGTTTTAACTTCCGGAGGTTTGTTGACTCTGTTTTTAGCCTGCAGATGACGCAATAGGAGCGGTCGAGGATTCTAACTATCCCAAATTTCATCCCCTTGATCAACATCTCGTATGCTTGCGGGTAGGGAGTTTCATGTTGTTGAAGGACATGCGTGGGGCTATGCGGAAAGCTCTATAGAGCGCCCCGGACTCAACCAATATCAGAGTAAAATTGCCGTGAACTATCCCCAGCGACCACCAAGTAAAGATACATACGCACAAAGAAAAAGGGCTGTTTGCCAGGGTGTCTCCCAAAAGTAAAAGAAATAAGAAAATAAAACCAAGTGGGGTTACATGGGTCCGAACGCCGTTGCTCGATACGTGTCCTGGTGCCAATTTCAAAAAAGTACAGGTCCCTGTTCATATGCTTTCCTCTCTTCTTCAATCATCTCAATTGCCTCTTCAAGATTTCCGTCAGCGGCTTGCGCAAAAATTCGGAGTCTGTTAGTATCCTGAGATCTGTCGTCTCCAAAACCAAGAGCTCTCAGATGGGACAGGCAGAGTTCAATTCTGTCGTCTAACGGCGTTTCGGTTATGCCAGGGGTTTGAATTTCATGGGGGAAGGTTCCAGGGAGATTTGAAAGGTGTTCGCGATTAGTGCTCATGTCTGCTAGTTCGTGGTTGCTAAACCTTCGCTGTGGGTATGGGTAGAATTCGGATGTCCTTGGAGACGCTCTGCGGACACGCTCTGTTGCACTTCGACGAAGGGGGGACGTGGTTGTTGTGGGGAGTGGAGGGAAACGGGGAGGGAATGGCGTGAATGGGCTAGAGAGGTCTGACCGTATTGGCTGGTTGGGGTAGCTTTGGGTATTTGAGATGCTGGGTCCAGATAGGTTTTCGCCCCGGATACCTCGAGGGTTACCTTGCTGGGTGTCCTGGTCCCATGGCCATGACCCAGGAATTCGGTCCGGAACTGGAGGGCCCGACGATTCTTCTTGCCTAAAAGGGTTGATATTCTGCTCTGGAGCCCGAAAATCCCTGACCGAAGATCCACGGTTGACGTGAGGCCGCGGGGCCTGCCAATCCCAAACTGGCTGTGGTTCATGCATGAAAAGGGGCTGCATTTCAAGTTGTCGCATCGAAGGATATCGATCCATCCCAGAGCTATATTCATTAGATGTGGATGGGGAGATAGCATGCGCATCATGTTGCAGATTTGGCTCAACGTTGTCGGTGCCTCGGGACGCGAAGAGAGATGGATAACGTTCGGCGAGATTGGCTTCGGATTCGTCAAGAAGTGCTGTATTAGGCCGGGGTTGGACATTGCCTTGTTCTGGTACCGGAATGTCCACCGGTTCGACTTGAGATGTTGTTTCTGGGCGTTGATGTGCGCGTGAGGTGCTGCTAGTGTCGTTGTCTAGCTCACTAACCGGAAGGTTGAACGAAATATGGGGTCGCTCAGGCTCCGAGGCCATGCAGGAAAGCTCAGAAGTCAAGTGCACAATAGGATCCTCAGATAAATCGGTAGTAGTGCTAGGCTCTTGGTTCAGAGGCTCACTACTAGGCTCAACATTAATAATGCACCCCCCGATTAATGTTCCCCGCAAGGCCGGTAATGCTGCAGCCGCTGCATAAGTTGAAGGGAAATGGACATAGCAAAAGCCAGCATGATCCCCAGTTAGGCTATCTTTCGGAAGTGTGACCTTTCCAACAAAACCTTGGTTTGCTAAAGCAGTGATGACAGATTCCTCTGTTGCATCTGGTGGTAGATTGCCAATAAAGATGTTGGTTATCGCAGGATTAACAGCTTCAGGAGCCGATGCCGGGTCAGGTGCGTTTGTATTTGCATTAACCTCAGGATCGTTACAGTCTTCTTGTGACTTAGACCCTTTTTCAAAGCTTGAAAGAAGCGAACTGCCTACTTCTCGAATCTCGGATGCCAGGTTTCGCAGATTAGTCATCTGAGCAGTCACCACTCTCTCTGCTTCGCTCGTTGCGATGGAGGATGACCGTGCAGAAGCGGCAGCCTCCTGCATGATTCCTGCCAAATTTTGTATGTGGCAACCCATAGCATGTAGAGTTTCGTGAATGGCATTTTGCATTTGATCTGGGACTTGATGTTGTAGATTTGTCACTCTCTGCTCAACTTCGGGAAGCCGAGCAGTCAACTCAGTATTGAGCTCGGTTACGTGAGATAAGAGAGACTGGAAAGACTTTCCAAACACCGTAACGATATGGGGGATAGTCTCAGCAGGGCATGGCGCTTCCTCTGAGGCCGAGTAAGAGGCAGGTTCTTGTGCAGGTTCTGTTCTTGGTCCTTGCGCTTCTGTCGAAGCCCAATTAGGGGTAGGCTCTTGAGATGTCACCACTTTTGGCTCTACAGTAGTAGTAGTAGTGGTAGCAGGCGCGGACTCCCATTGGGTATTTTCTGCCATGAGTCGGGATAGCTCAGCTTCAAATTGAGATAACAGTGGCTTAGAAGGTGTTTCAAGGGGAGATTCGGGACTATCAGGTTCCCTTTCTCTCGTAGTAAGAGGATATTCACAGAACTGCTGGGTCGGCTCATATGTGCGCCAGAAATTTCCGCGGTCATCGGCAGGTAAAGCTCCAGGCAGCTTTGGCCAATATGCTCTATGGGCGTCCCGAAGGAGTCTTCCAGCAGCATGTGCCTTAACCGTAAGTGTTAGCTAGTCCGTTATTGGGACAGGGAATTTTTGTTAAATGAGTGACATACCTGCTTCTTCCCTTCTTCAGTAATATATTTACTTCCAGACGAGGAGCCTTCAGCAGAAGATTCGAGATGTTTGTCAGTATTCGTCTCTGTGGTCACATCATTAGGGTCTTTAGTATCTGAAGCGTAATGTTCCTTGTTGTCCATGTTTGCCATGGTTTGCAAATAACCGTCGTGCCAACTCAACGGAGCCTCACTAGAACCATCTCCTTTCTGGGCAACGGGTAGATCTTTTGTATCATATGAAGAGTTTGGGCGAGTATTTATTAAGCGGCGACTGGCTTCCAAAGGGCGACTGCGGCTTAGGGGTATCGGTTGGCCGGAAGGTAGTCCGGAGATACTATTCCTCACGGTCCTCAAACGAAAATCCCGCCAGATATTGACCACCGGGATGGTTTGTTGAATCTCGAATGTGTGCATGGCTGGACTTTGCTCCGCGTTGAGTGTGCTAAGCGGTAGGCAGTAGCTACTAGGCAAGATTTCACCAATAAGCTGTGAAAGCTCTAGTGACGAACCGACCTATTGTACCCCATGATGTTAGTAAAGAGATCACGAACCGGTGGTGGGGTAAAGATGTATATACTTACGACCACGATCTCGCCATCATCTTCATCTTGATATCGAAGCTTCGCTGCTGGGAGATTTGATATAGTACTGTCATACTCACTGGCCGAGACTTGGACTACTCCATCTCCTTGGACCTCAAACTCGGCACTTTGTTGGTTTTCTGGAGTCTCGGTCGCAGAGCTCTCAGATCCATGCTCAGCGTCATTCTTAGAAGATCTTCTCCGATGTAAGGGATGTCCAACGATGCCCTTGATGCGAAACGGGGGTAACATCTTCGATATCAAAAACTAGGTATCCTCTGAGGACTAGATGGGAATGGAGGCAGCGTTTCGTCGGGAGTGTTAACAAAATAAATGCTCCTGATAAACTGCAGCCTGGAGGAGGGAATACGGGTGTACTCCAACTCTAATGAAGGATGGTGCAGGGGGTGATACCAACGGCCGCGGGACCAGTCAGCGAGTAACCTGACTGCCTGTCTGCGCGTCTGGGGCAAATTCACGCCACCGCAGACGAACTGTGTCTCGTTCAAGCAGAGCGACTTCTCGGCAGCTTACGTATCTACACGCAGCGGTACGAAAAACGGAGCTCGTGGCGGCCTATGGGTGCAAGAATAGATGCGATGTCGACGTTGCGCCCCAGGCAACAGCAATATAAGATGTATGAGAGTTCCAGCTTCCTGAGCTCGAGGCGGAGCAACGTCACGTTCGTCATGCCTGCTTAGTAAGACTGATACTGCACACATGACCTGCGGCTCTCGGGTCATGGAATAACTTAATTCCGGATATAGCGCCTCTTTTGAGAAGTTACATGGCATATCTCAACTTCTTCCACCAAGGAGGCTGCGGGGCACATATATTGCGTTGGTAAATACGGAATATATGGGAAGCTTTGTTGACGCCGACCTAACTTGACGTTCTGTCCTTTATCTGTCGCGCCCTCATGCCTGATTACATAGATCTTCCGTCCTAGAGGGCACCATCTATAAAGGATCTGACGACAATTTGAGAATTGAAATCGACCCACGAAGATCAAGTTTATCAGAGAGCTAAAAGAATCAAAGGCATCGTCCATATTCTGTGTGAACTACAACGGCAAAGTTGTATGTGCCTTGCAATTGCTGCTTCCCAAACTGACCAGATTCTAACCATATCCAGTTCAACAACGATGAAGACCCAGGGTATGTCGATGATGGGGTTCGTGACTTGAATTGTGCTCGCTGCGAAATTCGGGCTTATTATAGCCATAGCCTCAACCGATTTGACATATGCGATACGTGATTTGTTCCATACTTTTTGGGGACACCTTGGGTTTGGAGACAAAGGCCTTTGCTCCTCATCTGGATGCCTTCTTGCAAGACCGTCATCCTCCAAGCTCAATCCTGATGGAATACCGTCCGGACCCTTCCCTAATGAATTGCAGTACCTACAGCAGAGAGCGAATGACCAAGGCGATTGATGGCATTCAAAGGGTTCATTTCGCTCTAGTTGAACACAAATGACCCTTATCTTAAGAACATCATGATCATCCTTGACAACTTAGAAAGAGTTGTATGGATAGATTTTGATGTTCCAATCGCATACCCTGACAGCACTTACATCAGAGATAGGGCGTGACTGGCTTGATATGGAAACTAATCGCGTGAGAGACTCTGGAGTAATGCTTGCTTGTGCCTTGAAGATCTCTCAGTTAACTAATGTATAGGCTAGTGATCAGAACAGGGTCTTTCACCAAACCCATGATATTACTAGAATGTCAATACTCGATACTGACAGCGAAGCAAACAAAGAGACATTGTGAGCCAATTGTTTCGCGCAATGTCTGTTGGTTGCTTCAGCTCAGCACTTCCACAATATCTGTGCATTACCCTGAGCGAATCAACATGGCTGTCATCCCTGTACCAACAAGAAATATGACTACTTTCCCTGGCCAAGAAAATATTGAGGATGCATGGATTGATATATGTGAATAGTGGCCCATGCAGAATGTCAGAGTTCGATATTAGGCTCGATCTTAGGCCCGTTTGATGTTCGATATTAGAATTTAGGCTTCATATTAGGGCGATTTGATGCTCGGTCTGGTGCATAAATATCAGACCATATCTAGCATCAATCTGCCCTGGCATCGAGTCGGATATCGAACATAAAACAGGCTTAATATAGAGCACCGAGCCAAGCATTGATGGCCTGATATCGAGCATCAGATGGCCTGATCTCAAGCATCAAATGGCCTGATCTGAGCATCAAACCAACAAACCCGCTGGTCAGTAGTCACGTGCTTACCCGGATAATAGATAATCCACCACTACACTGCGTTTATAGCCAATCATAATGCGTGAATATGTTACTAGCATGGTCACCTGACTAGTCTTGGCCGTTTCCCAAGCGCCAAGACATATGCATGTCAATATGGAGGCTACATTGAAACGGCAGCTCGGGCACTGCAATTTCGCAGAAATACGAGTTTTGTGCCCATTGCAACCTGGCAATAGTCCGGTGTACTATAGTCTGTCGGATTTCGGATCCCTGACCCCCGTCGCTATCGAAAATCCCCTGTATACATACATAATTGCGACGATATAAATACTCGACTCGAGATACATAGGGCACTCGATCGACAAAACGTGGCTACGGAGCATCGCCATGAAGTGCAAGCGAAATATATAAGGCTACCTGATCTGCGCAGAAAGGCTAAGCAGCCTGGTGGCGAAGCTAAGCCCGCCGGATCTTGGATGTTTTACTCTGGACAGTACATCGGGCGATTCCCTTTCCGCCAAGATAGCAATCACTCTGTTCGTTAACAGTTCTGTCAATCAAACACCCTCGTCCCGTTCTCATGATTCCCCCCCGGCTTTCTTCGGGACCTGAAATCGCATGCTGGTTACTCCGTTTACGCTAACTACGGGGTACTACGTTTACCCGTTATCAGAAGAGAAGTGGAGTCCATGTCCTATATCTGTGATATGCGACGACACACCTTTAGATTGGATACTGCTCGAAAACATCACGATGTTCGATGGTAATGATAGAACGTAAAGCGATAATCTCGCAAGCTTGCTGACTCCAGGAAGCCCATTCTTGTTCAGCAAACCAATATAACTAGTTAACATGGCGGACGAGTTACCCCTTGCAAATGCACAAGCAGCAGCGACCCCATCGCCCGGTCCCGGGACTCTCCCTGCAAAGTACTTACTAGGTAACCGAAGCTAACTCCCGGTTACTGCTTCCTTTCTCTGGCATTGCTGAACATCACTGCTTGGCCTCGTATAAATAAGGGACCAGCCCTAGGCTCCGTGTTGGGTCGGGCCAGTTACATACTTCAAAACTTCAAAACTCGTTCCAGAAGTTCTCTGCACCGCGGAGATAGCCCACGAAGCTCGGTAGGCTTGGGCTGCGACGCATATAATCATCATGCCACTATCAGGATTGGCATCCATCCATGGCTTTAAGTAGCGTGCTATGAATAGCAGCCCCGCCAGCCATGCGGATCAGCCGTTCAGGCACGATGTGAAACCGAGTTTGTACAACTTGGATTGAGGGACCAGGGTGAAAAACTCGGCTGGCCCGAGTAGCTCCACTCTACTTTGGCCGAATTTACCCCCCGGTATCTCCGTCCATGCTCTGAACCTCAACCCCTTTTGACTTCTTTATTGGGATTAATATACCTACGACTCCGTAGATGCCGTACCCGGCCCCTTGCTCGCGAACCTGTTCTCCCGAAATTCTTAACGGTTCTTGGTTGGTTACACTTAGTTCTCGGTCTCCCTCGGTCGCTCTGGATACGCAACCGCAAGCCGACGTCTTAGCATGGCCACCAAGAGCGTAGGATGCAGGAACGTTATTGGTATAGCAGCCGGTGGAGACAGTGGCTAAATATATATACATATACGGAGTCTCTATGTCGCTGTCATCGGGTTCTACGGAGTACATATCCGAGCACCCATCCAGCCTTTCGACTCCAATTTTGTGCACATCTTCGCACCCATTTTTCCTTTCAGGATAATAAGTATCCGATCTTTCCCCAGTATACAAACAGGCTGGCAAACGGGTTAAAGAGGATCATTGGATAGAAGAAAAGTCGGGAGGTTCACACAACATCAAAATGAAGTTCGGCTCAACACTCATAGCCGTGGTCGCTGCCGTAGCAGGGACCGCTGCAAAAGACTATGGCGGCGTGCCAGGTCAACCTATCCAAAAGAGCGGAAAGGGAGCTGTCTTCTCTGGTATGTACACCGCATTATCTGATGCAAAGGCGTCGTCAATAACATGAATTTATTAGGTGCCACCAACCCTAATCTCGATCTCCAAAATCCAAGCAACATTAACGGCCAGCCCGCTACTGACAATGGCCTCATCCCAAACCTCAAATGGAGCTTCTCTCTTTCTAAAACCCGTATGTTCTATGGCGGCTGGATTCGTGAGCAGGTTATCCAGGATCTGCCTACCAGTCACGATATTGCGGGCGCCCAAGTTCACTTAACTAAAGGCGGAATCCGACAAATGCATTGGCACAGAGTTGTATGTTTATATGTCTTCTAACATCAAGGTGAACCATTTATTGATTGTGGCTATAGGCTGAATGGGGTTACGTCTATACTGGCGCCATCTTGGTGTCTGCTGTCTCTGAGGATGGCAAATTCCAGATCGACAAGCTTACCCCTGGTGATATCTACTACTTCCCCAAAGGAGCTGCCCACTCCTTCCAAGGTCAGCTTGCTTGATTCTGATTTTCTTGATCAATGGCCCATGCTTACCATCTCAATAGGTCTTGAGGACGAGAATGAGGTTCTTGTCGCTTTCGATGACGGCGACTTCGACCGTCGTGGGTATGTATTACCCTATTGCTTAAATGTATCTTCGAAGCTATCTAACACCTATATAGAACTACTTTCCAGATTGCCGACTGGATCTCCCACAACCCAAGGGAAATACTGGCTAAAAATTTTGATATCCCAATTGGCTCCTTCGATAAGACTTCTCGCCATGATTACGAGATTATCAACTCTACCACAACTAGTACCCGCAACGTCACTGGCCCAAATGGCACTCTTATGGGTAACAGCTCTTATACCTTCCATATTCGAGATGCTCAAGAACTTCAAATCCCTGGTGGCGGCGGTACTATCCAGATTATCGACTCCAAGAACTTTCCTATCTCTAAGACGGTCGCCTGTGCTATTGTCCGTCTAAAGCCTGGCGCCTTGCGTGAGCTTCACTGGCATCCAACTGTATGCACCCAACCTATCTATCTTGATTGATCGTATCTAACTCTACTTCCTTCTAGGCTGAGGAATGGCTCTACTTCCATAGCGGAAACGCCCGTGCTACTGTCTATGTCGGAGGTGGTCAAGCCCGTACCTTTGACTTCACCGCTGGGGATACTGGTGTTTTCCCAACTAACACCGGTCACTATGTTGAGAATACCTCCAAGGACGAAGAACTCGTTTATCTTGAACTCTATAAGGCTGATCGTGTTGCCGATGTGTCCCTCAGTCAATGGCTCGCGCTTACACCACACGATATTGCTGCCGCCGCAATTAACGTTCCAATCGAAGTCATTGATATGCTAAAGAAGGAGAAACAATATATTATCGAGTAAAGATAGGGGTATACCATAGTGCAGGCACTTTAGTTAGTTATTATTGAGCCACTTAATTATTTTCTTTTAATACAGATATAAGCTGTTCGGTTGATTTTAAGATAATTGCTGGGGATGGTTAGATTGGTTGCGTATGCCAGCTGGCCGTTTCGAGCGCCGTCTATAAGTAGCCAGAGATAAGCGTAAAGCAAAATAAACTCTCCTCTTTGACCCGCACTAATCCAGGCCTGGTACCAATAGAAGATTTTGGCACAATCCATATGTCCCATCAATTATTATACATAGTTGCGTTGTTGCGGTGTTGCTCGAGGGAAGTCGCTGCCGTTTATCACGTGATATCCATAACTAACGGCCTCCGAGACCTCGGAGAGAAAGATGGAAGATAAAGAGAGAGCAACGGCCAACTGTGATATGAGAGGGCTTCTATCATCCTCACGGCAGTGACAAGCTTCACCACGTCATCTAATGCGCACATTGCCGATATAGGGAAACTTACGCACGTAGAGTGCTTGCGATGCCGAATAGCAAACCGTCGCAGAGTTTGAAGGACCATGTCAACCAGAACGTGAAGCAGGTGGTGCTCGGAAACCTCCAATTCAAGGCATGGTTTGATTCGCGTTACCCAGAGGAGCTGGTGCGGCCAGGCGATGGGACGCTGTACGTCTGCCGTTGGTGTTTCCGATACACATGCGACAAGCAAGCATACCTAGGCCACACACACGCCTGCGAAAGCAAGGATACGCCGCTCGGCACTCAAATTTACGATCACGACGGTTATTCGGTATGGGAGGTGGACGGCGAAGATCAGAAACTATTTGCGCAGAATCTCTCCCTCTTCGCAAAACTGTTTCTAGATCATAAATCGGTCTTTTTTGACGTGTCTTCGTTCCTATACTATCTCCTCGTCTACACGAATCCTACGAACCCGAACGACTATTACATTCTTGGATTCTTCTCGAAGGAGAAGATGTCATGGGATGCCAATAACCTAGCGTGTATCCTCATCTTCCCGCCATACCAACACAAGCAACTGGGGAAGCTCTTGATGGGCATTAGCTATAAGTTGAGCGCATGGGAATGGGGGGACGGCGTCATTGGTGGACCTGAGAAACCTCTCAGTGAAATGGGGCACAGGAGCTATGTGAGGTTCTGGGAGGAGAGAATTGCTCGGTTTCTACTTCATGTGAACCCTAGCGGCGCGAAGGAAGAGCAAACCAATGCAAAACCACAAACCGGAAAGAAATATAAAAAGAAGCCGCCTCGGGAACAAATGACAATCCAGGATATCGGGCAAGCAACCGGGATGCTAGTCGAAGATGTCCTTACTGCCCTGAATTCCATGGGAGTGGTCCAGGCGGAGAAGAAGCCGGCGAAACGGAAGAGGGCCTCACAGCCAGATGATGAAGAGGACTTGGCTACTGCAGTCGTCAAAAGATCTAGTGTTCTTGAATGGTCCAAAACGCACAATATCAACTTACGAGACCCGGTTCGTGAAGAGGGATTCCTAGGGGAATGGGCCATGGGCAGTGAGAAGGAAGACTCGGATTGAAAATGTCACCGAGAGACTCATACCATCCGTGCTCAAAGACTGGGCCAAGTGATAAGCTCCAATTTATCCAATCACCTTAATACCAAGTAGAGTTCGTTCGTCTACAATTGGCGCGTGAGTACCATTCCATTATAACGGCTAATATAGCTCTTACTGACATGGAAAGCTTAGAATCCCCAAAAACATCATAAGTATGATTACAGGTTGCAGGCCCTAAATTTTCTCGCATGTGTCTTAAACATGCAGTGATATTACGGCGTTGGGATTCATATATTAGCATCCCTATTATTTCTATTTCTCGACGCTTAAATTGTGCCATTGGGCCATTCCTTGCTGCTGTCAAATAGTCTTCCTTAATGAGGATTGCTAGGGCTACCCTTGCCGCAACGGATCCGCGGGAAGCCGAATATCAGATGTTAAAACAAGCATTGCGAGCGCGAGCAGAAGCTTGATATAGGCGAGAATGCTCCTAATGCATCGCCGGAACCCAATACTGAAAGCGAAAAAAGCGACACACGCTGTTGTTACCTTTTGTACACCCTCATCGACCCCGAAAGACTTAGTCGCAGATATGATGACGACGAGGAAGCCAGGATTCAAACCGGCTTCGACTAGTCGATGTACAAAGTTATTTTTGACCGCTTTCACAGAGAAGCATCTGAGATGTGATTCATTTCCCCGTCCTTGGGGAAATTGCGGCCACCACCTCGCGCGCTGATGTCTTCGCAACAATCCATCGCTGTCGTTTGAATTTAGATGGAGGTATTGTCGTTACGATGGATAGCGTATAGAAAATGTTCCCAATGTCATTTCGTCTGGGACAAAATCATCGTCGACCGTAACACCACCGGCCAGGCCAGTATTTCATGGGGAAAGCGGGCTAATGGGGGCGGATGGTTTATCAATGCATGCGCGGCCTACCCCGAGGCCAACGTCACCAATGCCGTTACCTATTATAGAATCTTAGGTCTTAGGGGTTATTGCATGAAATCTTTCTAAGATATGGTTCTGGTCGCTTCCCTTATCGCTCTATCCCTGGACCTCGTGCCTCCATTTTCCTGGGAGTAAGCCAATCAGTCCCGAGTGCATCTTTGGCTTTAGATAAATGGCAAAGAAGCAATCTAAACAAACATATTTTTAGTGGTGTTGATGCATGCAATCACTAGGATGTTTTAGCCCTCACCATATACATACCTGGTGGATTCTTCCACCAGCAGAGGAATATTCCTAAGCTCTTCGCTAGTTATGGTGTTAAATTGCTTGGTCGATTATCACCACCGTCCTCACCGAGGAATCCCAAGCGTGGATACGTAGGTGTGGGAAGGCCTGTAGTTGGCCATTTCTGTAAATATGAACATCCATCTCATAAGCGAATATATTTTGAAGGTCATCTATTTTGGGCATTATCCTAGAGCATAATGGTGGATATCTAAGAACAAATCTTCCCCCTATTCAGCCTCTGGGAATCATATTTACTCTTCCATCCCCTGTGGACCACCTTGTTTGCCCATCTGTCTCGCCTTCAGCAATTCATCGCAAAGAAGCAAGTTGGAGGCAATACCAGCACTGGATGCAATGCAGTTTCGCAACACTCTGAATGAATCGAAAACACCTTCCTGGACGGGGTCCATTGGGTTTCCAGTAATAAGATCTAGACCGGCAACATTTCCTTCGGAGTGCTCATCCTGGAGAAGGGCGATGGATTCTTGAATGTCGTGGCCGGAGTTGGCGGCTAAGGTCTTGGGGATGATGAGTAGTGCCTCCATAAAGGCGTCAACTCCAAACTTGGCCTTGCCCTTTACGGTCTTGCGGAACGCCGCTGACTTAAGGTGGGCTTCACACGCGATCTGGAAAGAGCCTGCGCCTGGAACGACGGCTCCATCAACGATAGTGTTGTAGACGGACCGGAGACCGTCACGGGTTGCCTCGGTGATCTGAGCGATCGTGTGCTGGTTGGGGCCCTTGATAAGGAGCGTCACAGACTTGGGGTCCTTAACCTCCTCGACGAATGTATACTTTTCCTCACCGAGCTCGTGTTCGTAAACGAGGCCAGCCCAACCAAGGACATCAGGGGTGAGGTCGTCAACGCTGTTCTGGGCAGTACCACCACATACTAGCTGTAGTCGTTCCATGTTTCTCCTCTTTGCTCTTCGTAGGGCGAGTATGCCGTTCTTCACGAGGACGTCCAAACTCAGGGGGTCGATACCCTTCTGATTAATAACGACAAATGACTTCTTGGGGTCATTTCCGCAAACCTCTTTCTTCAACTCCACAATCTTCTTCAGTTTAGAATCAACGAATTTGCGTTCGCTCTCCACGAGTTTATCTCTCTGTTCTGCGGTTGAATAGAAGAATCCGGAGTTGATCTCGGACTTTTCATATTCAAGACTTACGTTGAGAGTAAGAATAAAGGCGTTCTCCACGCGCTTGGGCATATCGGGATGGCGGGCACCGTGGTCTAAAGCGAGACCTCGAATAAGCTTGGTGTCAGAGGCAGTACGATGCTGCATCTTCATAATCTCAATCATGTGCAAATCGGGTTTGGCGGGGGCTTTGTAGATTGCAAGAACGGCATCGACAATGGCAGGTGTTAATTTCTCTGCGAGAGTGCGGTTCAGTTTTGTTGCAAGAGACGTCCGGGCTACGGATAGGAGGAGCTCTCTGTCGATATCTCGCTTAAGCTTAAACGTCTCGAGGAACTGCGGTATCGTGGGTGGTCAGCACATATTTTCTGCGAATAATATCTAGCATGCAATATTGCATACCTTGAGTGCTTCGTCCTTGGCAATTTCATAACCGTCGGTGATAACTCTGGGATGTAGTCCCTCGGATATATGTCGATTGGCCTGTTTAAGCAATTCTCCAACAAGGAGGACCACGGAGGTCGTTCCATCGCCAGTGATGTCATCCTGTGCCGTTGCTGCCCTCGCAATCATCACCTGGACCATAATGTATCAGTAAACGCGGCATCGGGGAGGGAGCACTAGGTAGTATTACCGCAGTAGGGTTTTGAATTTGCTAACATCAGAACCAGAATTAGTAGCCATAGCCGTAAGCGAGGGGGAAGAGATATTACGAACCATTTCTCGCAACAAGACATTTCCATCTTTTGTAAGTTTGATCTGTACATCCGTTGTATAAGAGTGAGGAACAGGATGAATAGCGAAGAATAATGTGTGATCTCATACCGATCCAGCACCGTCAACAAGCCTATATCACACCGTCAGTCAACAGTATAAATATTGCGTGTAGAACACCCCACATACATCTTAATCGTGCCAGAGGGCCCTAGATTGGACTTGAGGACATCTTGAAGCCCTTCACCGGCACTGATATTAACCTTTAATGCTTCTCCCCTCCGCTGTATAATTTGTTACCATGGTGTTCCCTGAGATGGTGGGATAGGAGAGGGGGGTAACGGTGTAGGTGCGTACCCTGGACTCCGCCTTCGGGTTTAGCAACTGGGTTGCGGACATGGCGACTGATAGAGAATCTTCAAATAACAAATCCCCGTCGGCCTGGGAGAATCGACAATGCTGGTGAAATGGTGATGTTCAGCGTTGTTTGTTCGGGTTTCTTCGTCTTGAAAGTAAAGTTCGAGCTTGAAGCTCTTCGCACATTTCCCTTTCCGCACTAGCGCATCCACAGAGAAAAAAAAATGGATGCAAACTTCAACTTGCTTCTTGCGACTTTTTCGCTTTCCACCACCGGCGACAGCTTCAACAACTGCACGAAGCTCTGCGACCACCGCCAATTGACGAGAATTAACCACGCAGGTCTATTTAATTCTCTCCTCTAGCAATGGCGGACTTTCTCCTCTTCGAGGGCCCGGTTGGCTACTCGCTTTTCAAGGTCGTGCACAAGCCCGACTCTGTTGGAAACCGACTGAAGGAGGTTCAGGCTGCTAACCAGGACCTCGCGAAATTCGGTAAGATGGTCGAGGTTGTCAGCTTCTTACCATTCGAGTAAGCCTTGCCCTTTCCGCACATTTTACCTCTTTCCGCATGCTGATTTTGTCTTCTAGGAACAACAAGCAGGCGCTCAGCGAAATCAATGATGTATCCGAAGGTGTCGCCTCTGAGACCCTAATCTCGTTCCTTGAGCTCAATCTGCCAAAGTCTAACAAGAAGAAGAGCTTGATTATGGGTGTCTCTGACAAAGGTCTTGCCGGTAGCATCAAGGCTGCGTTCCCATTCGTCGAGTGTGAAACTGGCGATACCAGCGAGGTTGTGCAGGATATGCTGCGTGGAATCAGAATGCACTCCGGGAAGCTCCTCAAGCAGCTTCGTGAGGGTGACATCAACACTGCGCAACTCGGTCTCGGTCACGCTTATTCCCGTGCCAAAGTCAAGTTCTCCGTCCAGCGTGATGACAACCACATCATCCAGGCAATTGCTATTCTCGACCAATTGGACAAGGCCATCAACACCTTCTCGATGAGAGTGAGAGAATGGTACTCGTGGCATTTCCCAGAGTTGATCAAGATTGTATCTGACAACCATCGCTACGCCAAGTGTGCGCTATTCATCCAGAATAAGAAAGATCTTTCGGAAGAGAAACTCCATGACTTGGCCGCACTCGTGGATGACGATGAAGGTGTCGCTACCAGTATCCTCGATGCCGCCAAACACAGTATGGGTCAGGATATCACTGGCACAGATATGGAGAACGTTATCGCCTTCGCTGAGCGCGTCGTCAGCCTCGGAACGTACCGCAAGAACCTTCACGCATACTTGGTTAACAAAATGAGCGTCGTTGCACCTAACTTGGCTACTCTCATTGGAGAAGTTGTCGGTGCACGTTTGATCTCGCATGCTGGAAGCTTGACCAACCTTTCCAAATACCCTGCGTCGACCGTGCAGATCCTTGGTGCCGAGAAGGCTCTCTTCAGAGCGCTCAAGACCAAGGGTAACACCCCAAAATACGGTCTACTCTACCACTCTTCCTTCATTGGCCGCGCCGGCACCAAGAACAAGGGCCGTATCTCGCGATTCCTGGCCAACAAGTGCTCTATTGCATCAAGAATAGACAACTTCTCCGAGACACCCTCTACAGCATTCGGAAATGCTCTCCGGCAACAGGTCGAGGAAAGACTAGAGTTCTATTCCTCTGGAGCCGCCCCTACTAAGAATGAAGTAGCAATGGTATGCCTAATTCTGCTTAGCATTATTTTATTTTTTATCTTTTTTTTTGCCGTTACTAATTTTTCATGTTTAGAAAACCGCGATGGACTCCATCCTCGCAGACATTGACGTTGATGCTGGCGCCGATGATGTTGAAATGGAAGACGTAGAAAAGGCTGAGAAGTCCGAGAAGAAAGAGAAGAAAGAGAAGAAGGAAAAGAAGGACAAGAAGGAGAAGAAGAAGGACAAGAAAGAAAAGAAGAAGGAGAAATCGGCCGATGAATCAGATGCCGAAGCTGATTCCACACCAAAGAAGAAGCGAAAACGCGATAGCGAGATTGGTTCTGGAAAGAAGAAGCAAAAGAAGTGAAATATGTTATTTGGAGTCTTTGATATGGCGTTTTAGGAAAGGATTTCTTCTTATCCCTGTGTTTGTCTGAACTGGAAGGATTGTCTGATTTCATTTTATTTCTTGTACACTTACGACATCTCGTTTTTGAATCGATATCAGTGAGCATTACAATTATTCCATTCCCAGACCCCCTTGGACCTGAACCCTTGAAGCCTTCGGCCGGACTTGAGGGTGCTTTTGGAGCTATGGTAGAGCCGTCCGAACACTTTTTATACTACTTGAACATTTCGATTTACGCCAGGACGGCCGAATGAGGCTCGATCTGTGGGCCAGATCCGCCCTCTAAGTCTAGATCCAATATAGAGTTAAGAGGACCTGGACGACAATACCGACGACGACCTGTCGTCTAATGACGGTGACGGCTATACAGACCCTACCCTTGAATAGTTTAGACAAGTAAAGGATATATAGAAGTAGTGAATAGGTTAGAGATACCCCTGTGAACACTATTAATAAGCCTATATGGTGAATCGGCTAAAGCACTGCGGCTAATAGGCTATAACCTTCTTTTCCTTTACTTTAAATGATCCGTGAAGCTTAAACTGGAAATACTATGGCTATCTGTGTTTGCTCTGCCAGATCTATTAGAGTACCCGCCGTCGAGGTGCTCTGCCCTCTAGCTTTGCACATACTGAGCTCCAGCAATACTTCCCCCAGACTTATATACGCACTGATTAGCTAGTAATGATACATATTAAATGCCAATAATATGCCCTTACTCACAACTCCGGGTCAACTGAAAACAAGCCGCATGTCCACTAGAAAGCAATCGTGGTCGCTCCAGAACCCCGCAGCGCAAGTACGCAGGCTCCTGTAGGCTAAATAATCTGTTTATTATTTGTAGGAGTGCAAATCTTCAGCCAGTCACGGAGGAAAAGGTGGAGATCTTCTCTCTACCCATAGGTTGTATAGTACGGAGTTGAGCTTGAGAGTTCATAAGCCAGATCTGCTGCGATGATAGCCTTCTCTTCAGCTAATTGGGAAATTTGAAAACAGACTAGAAGGCCGCATAGCCCTCAATGTAACCTTAGAACTCATGGGAATAGCTACTTAACCTGCGTTGTTACTCCTCTTCATAGATATCCAAACCCATGATCTATCAGTACACAATAGCATCATACTATCCCACTCTTCAAAAGCCTTCTCAACGACCACCAAGCTCTTTCAAAAACACATAATGGGTGTCACTGCCTTAAGCGGGTATGGACATCTTTTATGACTTGCCTATTATTTGTACACTTACTAAATAAGTCCTAGAATGAATGATTTCACCGCGGTGATAAATTCCAGGAACGTTGTCGTTATCCACTTTTCGGCAGTGTGGTCCGGGCCTTGCAGAATCGTCTCAGTAACTCTTGAAAATTTGTCGGAATCAGCCCCAAGCTTGGGTTTCTATAACGTGGACGTGGATGCGGAGCCAGAAATTACCCAGGAGATGGATATCAAAACCATGCCGACTATCAGGGTATTCCAAAACGGAAATAAACTTGACGAATTAGTCAATTGTGATGTTCCAAGAATCGAGGCTATGATTCAAAAGCATGTAGTTATCTTAAATGGATAAATATCCATATAACTGTGATGAAGTTGTATGAGGCCAGAAAAGAACGAGAATGTTAATTATCTCAACCACTAAGAGTGATAACTAGTTACTGTGCTACTTTCTTGTCTTAGCTAGTAACTCTTCCAATTTGTTTAGGCTATTCTTTGGAAAGGTGGCCGCAAGATACTTATTCTGGACGACGCAACCAGTAATGTTGACAGTGGGAGTCATTGACCAAGGGAAGTTGGTGGAATTCGGCCGCCCCCAGGCCATTTTAGGAGCAAACGGTAGCCCCTCGGGACTTTGTATAAGGAAAAGAAAGAAGTCAAATCATCTTGTGGCTATTGACCGTGGATCTCAACAGACTGAATATTGAGAGTCGACGCTGAATTATATTGGCATTATATTAATCTCAAGGTTAAATGTAACTACCTAGGTGAGTGAACCTTGTGCATTGTAATGTTATGGCTATCTGGATATTTAGTAGACAACGCCAGTCCATAGTTGTCTATTCGGCCCCCGAATTCCCCTATGATCTCGTAGTATGACAGGTGACACATCAAAAGCATCTAACGGTTATCGGTCATGGAAGCTTACACTATCCCAACAGGAGGTTGCCTAGACGAAATTGATTGGCGAAGTCGAGTTAGTTAGTTGGGATAAATCTCCGGCCAGCGCTTCATCCAAGGGCAATGCACAGTCAACATCACATCTCAGGAACCGCCACCACCACCACTTTCCAATGTGAAAGCCACGGCAGACAAATCGTCGAGCTCTCTTAGAATATACCCTGAGAGATGGAGCAGAAAGTTTTAGCAATTCACCACAAGTCTCTAAAGCGCAAGCGCAATGAAGCTGAGCATAGCGATGAGGCCCTCTCACTGCCATCACATGGAACCCAGCATGATGCAGAAAACATGCCAGAGAGCCATGATCAGGGAGCCATGAAAGCCTCTGGAACTTGCCCACAGGGAACGGTGGCTAGCCGGCTGCAGGATCTCGATATTCAATCTCCCGCCGCCATGCATGAAGAGACCTCTGAGGTACATGCTACGGAAGAGAAAGCCCAACCCGGGAGAATAGAGAGCATCAAAGAACAGCATACTTCGGATCATGCTACGAAACCACTCGCCACAAGTACGGAGACGCCAGCACTCGAAGGAAATGAAAATATAGGCGACAAAGCAGACATTGCTACGAAACCTTCACCATCTACCAGCAAAGCTCGTTCAGATATGGCCGAGTCCTCGCACCCAAGCTCGCCTCCTCCATGCCATGAAACCGCCAGCATTGATCCGGATGAAGAATCATTGACCTGGGACGACTCGGAAATAACAGGCCACCATGCCACAGACCCAAACGATGATGGGTATGGTTTGAACGGAATTGGGTTCAAACCATCAGCAGAAGTAGCATGGGACAGATCACAGCGACGAAAGGAACAGGTAGCCGAATGGGAGAGGCGTGAGGCTCGTGAGGCGCGAGAGGCACGGAGTAGACGAAGACGGACGCGTGACGGCATTGATCCGGATATGATAATAGCAGCAGATAATCCCAAACAGAAGAGGGTCAAATTCGATGATTGATGCTCATATAAAAATACAGACTGGTCCATATTAGAGGGGGAGGTTCTTGGAAACAGAAACTATTCTTACAGAGACGAATAATGCTCATACAAACGTCAAAGATTATGCCATGCCACCGTCGGGAGCGCCCATCGACCGGGTATGCCCGCAATCCAGACTCCGAGACTCCCAAATATACATATGTCCAAAAAAATCTCTACCAAAATTTATAGTTCGACAAGTTGGTCCAGCTCTTCCGGCGTGCCTCTTCCGCCTTTCGAGCGAGCTCCTCCTCATGCAGCTTTCTGGCGGCGTCTCTCTCTTTCTGCTTCCTAAATTTGAGCTCTCTCATGAGTTCGGCAGCTTCCTTCATCCCTTCGCGCTCAATTGCCCTCTGTCTCTGACAATATTCGTGTGCAGCCAACGATACAATGGCGAAGGACCCAACAGCCCAGTTACTAGCAGTCCATAACGAACCAAGACCTAATGATGTAAATTAATCAAATGTGCCTCCCATCAAGGAACTAATTCAAAGCCATTCCATACCTCCAAGAATCGCCCTTATCCCTCCAACACCGAACCCGGTACCGATTCCCACCAGGAGCGAGTCTCGCGCGCAAGGGGCTTTGTAGACCGAGGCAAAGTTGTCGAACGATAGCGACTTCAACGAGTCCATAAACGTAACCTCCTTGGGTTTACCGCCCGCTGAATTATAAGTCCCCCCGGGCATCAAGTTGACCGGCTCGTTGGGGTTTCCGAGCTCCTCCCAGAGCTTGCCCACTTGCGACTTGGAGAGCTCATATCTCGTCTTCCCGTCCGCCGTCCTTGGTTCTATCTTCGAGGCTGCGTCTGCCTGTGTGGCCTGGTCCCGCGCATCCGCCGCCATCTCTCTGCAGTGTGTATTGTGAGTTGCTTGTTCGTCAATTGTCCTGTCAGGGAATTTATCGTGCTCTTCTTGGTCGATTTCGACTTGCACTTTTGAACGAGGCTTGGCGCCACGGCCCGGAAGGTTTACCCGAAGCTTTCAATTAAAGGGAAAACGCGAGAAACGCGAAATCGCGAAGTCAAGGGAGTTTCTGGCATCTTGAGCTCGACTTTTTTCTCAGCTGTTGTCGCAAACTCGGAGTTTGCTGTTTCTTTGAATGCGGGCATTTCTAATACTGCTATTTAGCCTAATGGATTTATTTTAACCACGATTCCTTTTGTTTATACGTTTATATCGGTTGTTGGCCAGAAGTCAACATGACCCGCCGACCTAGCAAGTATGGCAACAATTTCAGATCACACTCGTCCTCGTTCGTACCGAAGAGAGCGAAGACCATCGGCGTTTCGTCATTACGATCGAGTGAGGCTACCTCTCAAGATGAGAAATTCCAGGCGTTGCGTATCGCGAACGAGATCGACGAGACCATGGGATTTGCGCGATATGAGGCAGGGAAGAAACGGATTGGATGGCTATGCAACATGCATAGTACAACAATAGAGGATCCAAAGGTCCCCGGAGGCCGAGCAGCGGTGGAATTTTACTTTCTTGAGGAGGATGGCGGCAGTTTTAAGGTATCTCTCGAATACGATCCCTATTTCCTAATAGCTACGAAACGAGGACGTGAAGCAGAGGTGGAAGAATGGTGCAAGCGATCATTTGAAGGCTTGGTGAAGGGCATAAAGCAGGTGGAAAAGGAGGATCTACAGATGCCAAATCACTTGCTTGGGTATAAAAGGCAGTTCCTCCAGCTCAGCTTTGCCAACGTCTCAGACCTCCTTGCAGTACGGAAAACTATATCCCCCATTGCTACAAAGAATAAGAAGAATGTCAATGCTATGGATACATACGCAGAACTTGCAAGGTTGTTATCCCATCTCAGGTGAATACCCCGTCCGAGTACTGGGCTAATTTATGTTTTGCAGCGCGAACGCCGGATTCGATCTATATGACGATGAAGTTAATAGCCGTGGGCAAAATGCTTTACAGGATGCTACAGATTATATCGTGGATATTAGGGAATATGACGTTCCCTATCATGTGCGCGTCTCAATTGATAAAGGTATTGTTCTACATCATATACTATCCTTCGGACATAAGTAACAAAGGTGTAGATATCCGCATTGGAAAATGGTACACGGTGCAATCGGTTCATGGTGTCATATCATTGACCTGCCTCGAAGAGAGACTGCAACGAGCCGATCCTGTCGTGCTTGCATACGACATTGAAACCACAAAGCTACCCTTGAAATTTCCAGATGCTGCGATTGATCAGGTAATGATGATATCGTATATGATTGATGGCCGGGGATACCTGATAACAAACAGGGAGATCGTCTCCGAAGACATCAGCGATTTTGAATATACCCCTAAACCTGAATACTATGGACCTTTTACGATTTTTAATGAACCGGATGAAAAGGCTGTCCTTGAGCGTTTCTTTAACCACGTCAAGGAAGTCAAACCTAGCGTCATGGTCACTTATAACGGTGATTTCTTCGATTGGCCATTTGTCGAGGCAAGAGCGAGCGTCCAGGGGATCGATATGTATACGGAGATTGGCTTCCGAAAAAATAGCGAAGACATCTACCAGAGTGATTACTGTGTTCACATGGATGCCTTTTCGTGGGTGAATCGAGACAGTTATCTCCCACAGGGAAGTCGTGGCTTAAAGGCTGTCACAGTTGCGAAGTTGGGGTACGATCCTGATGAGCTCGATCCCGAATTAATGACCAAATATGCGAGTGAGCGGCCTCAAACCTTGGCTGAATACTCGGTTTCCGACGCTGTGGCCACCTATTATCTATATATGAAATATGTCCATCCTTTTATCTTTTCACTCTGCACCATTATTCCACTGAGCCCGGACGAGGTTCTCCGCAAGGGTACTGGAACCCTTTGTGAAATGTTGTTGATGGTCCAGGCATATCAACATAACATCATATTGCCCAACAAGCATATGGACCCGAATGAAGCATTCTATGAAGGCCATCTTCTCGACTCCGAGACTTATGTGGGAGGACATGTGGAGAGTATAGAAGCCGGTGTTTTCCGCAGCGATATTCCCGTTAATTTCACCGTTGATACGACGGCGATTGACGAGCTTCTCCGTGATCTCGATGCAGCACTCGAGTTCAGTATTACCGTCGAAGAAAAGAAATCCCTTGAAGATGTGGTCAATTACTCTGAGGTCAAAGCACAGATCACAGAGAGGCTGCTGAAATTGAAAAATTCGCCGAATCGGAACGAGAGGCCATCCATCTACCATTTAGATGTCGCATCTATGTATCCAAACATCATGACTACAAACCGACTACAACCAGATTCAATGATTAAGGAGTCGGATTGCGCTGCGTGTGATTTCAACAGACCTGGTAAAACTTGCGACAGACGCCTCCCATGGTCATGGAGAGGTGAATTTTTACCGGCGAAGCGTGACGAATATAACATGATACGGCGTGCAATCGCGAACGAAAAGTTTCCAGGCAGGACCAAACACCATGCGCCGAGGAGTTTTGAGAGCCTTGATGAGAGCGAGCAAGCAGCCATCGTGAAGAAACGATTACAGGAATACAGCAAGAAGATATACCACAAAATCCGCGAAACCAAAACCATCGAGCGCGAGGCCATCATCTGCCAGAGAGAGAATCCATTTTATGTTGATACCGTCCGCAATTTCAGGGATCGAAGATACGATTTTAAAGGCAAACAGAAGGTTTGGAAGGGCAAAGTGGAATCCCTGAAATCCTCAGGCGCTGCCAACTCAGAGGTTGAGGAAGCAAAAAAGATGGTCATTCTGTTTGATTCCCTACAGCTTGCCCACAAAGTTATTTTAAACAGTTTCTACGGATACGTTATGAGAAAAGGTTCTAGGTGGTATTCCATGGAGATGGCCGGAGTTACTTGTCTAACGGGTGCCCATATCATCCAAATGGCGAGGGAGCTAGTGGAGCGGATTGGGCGGCCACTTGAACTTGATACAGATGGTATTTGGTGCATGCTACCGGCTACCTTTCCGGAGAATTTTGTATTCAAACTGGTGAACGGTAAAAAGCTTACCATTTCATACCCTTGCGTCATGCTCAATCACCTAGTTCATGGGAAGTTTACCAACGACCAATATCAAACTCTCACCGATCCCGCTACATTCAAATACAAGACTCACAGCGACAATTCCATCTTTTTCGAAGTCGATGGGCCATATAGAGCCATGATTCTTCCAACTTCCAAGGAGGAGGACAAGAATTTGAAGAAGCGTTATGCTGTTTTCAACCACGACGGATCACTTGCTGAACTGAAAGGGTTCGAAGTGAAGCGAAGGGGTGAGCTTAAACTCATCAAGGTATTCCAGACCCAGATCTTCAAATTTTTCCTTGAAGGCACTACTCTCGAAGAGACGTATGGTGCCGTTGCCGAAGTTGCGAATCGGTGGTTGGATGTCCTGCACATGCACGGTTCGACACTAGCGGACGAAGAGCTCATAGATATGATCTGTGAAAATAGGAGTATGTCTAAAACAATCGAGGAATACGGAGCCCAAAAATCGACGTCAATTACGACCGCAAAACGGCTTGCTGAATTCTTGGGAGAGCAGATGATTAAAGACAAGGGACTAAACTGCAAATATATCATTTCTTCTTCACCGAGGAATTCGCCTGTTACTGAAAGAGCTGTCCCTGTTGCAATCTTTTCGGCAGAAGAGAGTATTAAAAGATTCTTCCTGCGCAAGTGGATGAAGGAGGACCCCGGAGATATGGATCCACGTACAATTATTGATTGGGATTATTACCTTGAGCGATTAGGATCCGTGATACAGAAGCTGATAACTATACCCGCTGCTTTGCAAAAGATCTCCAACCCCGTCCCTCGAGTAGCCCATCCAGATTGGCTCCAGCGAAGGATCAATACCAAGGAAGACAGGTTTAAACAGAAGAAAATGACGGATCTGTTTGCGAAGAATCCATTGGCCAGCCTGTCAACAAACATCATGGACCATCGCATCCCTTCAGCTGGAGATATCGAGGACCTCATGCAACGCGGAAGCCAGAAGCCAGGTACACAGCCAGGAAATAAACTCACTCAGAAACGAAAGGCACCTGGAGGAGAGACCAATACATCCCAAGACCCATTTGCGACTCTTCCACCAATAATGCCATCAATGACTGAAAATTATGAAGACTGGTTGCAGTACCAGAAACAAAAATGGAAAATTCAGAAACAGGCACGACTCCGTCGTCGCAAACTCTTTGGTGCTAAGAAAACTGCGGCTTCCGACTCTATTGGTGGTTTCTTCCGAAATCAGGCTGAACTCACATATGTCAATACATGGCAGATATTACAGCTTCGGGAAACCGATAGCCCCGGTGAAGTAAGGGCGTTTGTGCTAATAGATCGCAAGGTGCACACAATTACCATCAAGGTCCCACGACATATTTTTATTAATTTCAAGGATGTGGACTTACCTGACGTTGATATCACCAACTGTTCGGTTCAGAAAGTAAACCACACATTGCCAAACGGACATCCATCCGTCCATCTGTTCCAGCTGAGTATGCCAGAGGAGATATATCTGAGAGAGACATCAAAAATATCTTTACTACTCAGTCACCCTAGCGTTGAAGGGGTATATGAGAAAAAAGTCCCGTTCAATATTCGAGCTGTCCTTAAGCTTGGAAATCACTGTACTTTTGATGAAGAGCAGCGCGGTGTCCTCGGCAAGGGTCTAGAACATGGCTTTGACTTGTCTACGCTTCTTCCTGCGCCTGAACCAGGTGTCTATCTCGAAGGAGCGCAGTTTCAATATGTCCTCCTCTATCATATTGTCGCGGGCGAACGTGAGATATTTTCGATCTTCTCAACGCAATCGAAAGAAGCACATATTGTTACCTACACAAAGCAGAGAGATATTCAAGGATTCCCCAATGTCGATAAAATCTTCGCTGAAGCACTTCAGCGGAAAGCAAGCGAACAAAACAGCGAAACGTGGCAGCAAATATTCGAGTATCAAGAAAAGCTTCATTTCAAGACAAAGCAAGTCACAACAAAGCGGAAAGCCCATCTTGAAGTCGGAGACATTCTTAAAAAGTTCCGCAATGAGAACACGCTACCAATGCTAGTTGTGGTCCAGTCGCCCAAGAGTCGCCAACTTCCACGTCTTATCTCGAGTTTGAAGGACTATCCAATGATATCATTGAGATCCAATGCAGCCGATAACGAACTGCCACCACTTGGCTGGCAAGCTTATGCTGCAAGGCAAATCGTGATGCACTACCTGGCGTTGGATTCGTGGATTAACCATCTCCTTGGATTTGCTCGATATGGCAATATCCCAATTGGTAACCTCGAGAAAGATGACCCTAAGCACTTGATCGATATCCTATATGCTCGACGGCTTGAGCAGAGTAATGTCGTCTTATGGTGGTCCTCCAGTCCCCTTCCAGACCATGGTGGCTATGAGAAGGACGATATCCTTGGTCCATTGAATTCAGTCGAAATGACTTCTGTCAATACCCCTGGCGCCTACTCCACCGTGTGCATCGAACTTGAAGTTCGAAATCTTGCGATCAATACCGTTCTCACTTCTTCACTAATCAATGACCTCGAAAGCAATGAGCCAGCGTTGCTCAACCCAGTTGCCCCCGGAGACCAGCAAAGTGTTTCTGACGGAAGTGGTGTGTTGTATTCTGATACCGCATTTTCCGCCGTGGGTATACTTGTTCTGCGAGATATGGTAAAATCGTGGTGGAACGAAGCCTGTAAGGGTAATGGGATGGCCGACGTGATGGTTCAACATCTCATTCGATGGGTGGAGAGTGCGGATTGTTGTTTATATGACCATGCACTCCACCAATACGTGCAGATGCTCCTGAAAAAAGCCCTGCAACAACTTATCACTGCCTTCAAACGAGTTGGGTCTAATGTTATCTATGCAAATCCGAACCGACTAATTCTTCAGACAACCAAAACAGAGGTCGGAAACGCTTATGCATACAGCAAATATATCCTGAAGACTATCAAGGAAAAGCCTCTATTTCACTTCCTCGACCTTGACATTAAGGAATATTGGGATTATTTGATCTGGTATGACGAATTCAATTACGGCGGCAAGGCATGTCAGGAGGTGGTCGAAGCGGAAAAGCAGGAACTGGAGGCAATTATGAACTGGCAAATTAGCAGGTTCTTACCGACTCCGCTGCAGTCCGTCTTCGTAGACTGGATTGTAGAATACGTCGAGATAATGCATGCGCACAAGAAGCCAGTGGCCGCACAAACCGAAGCCGATGCAACCCCTCGACAGACACAACTTCCATCCCGGCCTGAGGACGAAAGCGAGAGTGTTGAAATAACTTCAGTGTTGAGCCAATCCTTCTCCAAAGCACTGAAGAAGCAGATAGCAGGCTTGATTCGCCGACAGCGTGACGAAATGCTGCATCCTGAGCTGGCCTCTGATTATGAGTTCCCAGTGCTCCCTGGCGCAGTTATACCCAAACATGAACGAAACCCAACATTGGAACTTGTTAAATATCTCATGCAAATCCTGGGACTTGCTAAATATACTGCGTTGGAAGTGAGGCTCCTTCGTCGAGATCTCCTAACCCTCTTCGATATCCGCGAGTTCAGCGATGAAGGGAAGTTTGAGAGCCCAAGCTCGAGCCTGGTCCTGACACAGGTGATATGCCACAACTGTACCATGGCCCGAGATTTAGACCTATGTCGCGATCCTGAATTCCTCCCTGATAGCGGGACTGAAAATAATGCAACGACGACTCTCCCCCCGTGGATATGTCCGTACTGCTCCACCGAGTACGATCGGTTATTCCTTGAGGAGAGGGTGATTGGTGACGTCCAAGGGCTTGTTATGGAGTGGCAAGCGCAAGATCTCAAGTGCGCAAAGTGCGCTGGTATAATGATAAACCCGTTCATGGAGCACTGCTCGTGTAGCGGCGAATGGGTAGGGACCATAGACAGGCTTGCAGTCGAGAAGAAGTTGGGGGTGTACCAAAGCATTGCTGATTTTTATGGGTTCAAAATGTTGTCTATGGTTACGAAAGGCGTTCTGGAAAGCATCTGAGGGGGCTCTTCATGATATTCATGATATCCATATATTTGATTATGTTAATTAGATAGAGTGCTGCTCTATTATGATCTGTTGCATGTATTTATTGGAGTTTAAGGAGGCCATGAGATGGAAATGGATATATTCTTCGCTGTACCTTTCACTTTTCCACATATCACTGCATTAAAACAAATAATTCATCGTAATAATAAATTTGTCTATATGATGCCTACAGCTACGTACTTTGGGAGTCGATGGATGTTTCAACGCCCAACCAAAACCCGCGGGGGCAAACTCCGCCCAAAAGCAACTTCAAACATGCAGCACCGTTTGTTATACGCGCAAGGAACGCACCCAACCTGGATTCTCGACTCTCATCCCGCCGTTCGTGGTTTCACGGAGTTTCTGACTGACGTTTTATAGCTGTCGATTTGGCCGCAGGGAGCGAGAATCAATCAGGCTGCTCGTTAACTACCCCGCCACCATCGAGATCCCGGGATCGCATCGCTTCGCCCCCTATAACCTACAGATCGAGACTTCACGATCGAAATCTGGGAAGATATACACCCCTTATCCATACCTGGGGATCTGTCTACAGTCCCCATTTATCCTTACGCCTTACCTCCCGACGTGAAACTCGATTGATAGGCTAGCTTAATGGCAGCTCAAGCTCATCCAGAGGCCAGCAAGCCAAAGACAGAAGTCCAACCATGCCGGTATAAAACAGGGAAGACGCTGGGAGCTGGGTCTTACTCTGTCGTGAAGGAGTGTGTGCACATCGATACGGGCCGGTATTATGCTGCGAAAGTTATCAACAAGCGGTTGATGACCGGGCGGGAGCATATGGTACGCCTGTCATCCACCCATAGCGTAGCCAGTTGCGTTCCTAATAGAAACTAACTGGCTAAATCTTTCGCAGGTTCGAAATGAGATTGCCGTACTTAAGAGGGTGTCCATGGGTCACCAGAATATCCTTACCCTGGTGGACTATTTTGAGACCATGAACAACTGTACGACCCAAAATCGGTCCTCATACCTGAGAGCCTTCATTAATTAGCCGTTTATAGTGTACCTTGTCACCGATCTTGCCTTGGGCGGTGAATTGTTCGATCGAATTTGCCGCAAAGGAAGCTACTACGAGTCTGATGCCGCTGACCTTATTCGAGCTACATTGTCTGCTGTTGCATACCTCCACGATCATGGAATCGTCCATCGGGACTTGAAGCCAGAGAATCTCCTGTTTCGCACTCCAGAAGATAATGCTGATCTTCTGATTGCCGATTTTGGGCTCTCTAGGATAATGGACGAGGAGCAGTTCCACGTCTTGACAACCACATGTGGCACCCCAGGTTATATGGCACCGGAGATTTTTAAGAAGAGTGGACATGGAAAGCCTGTGTAAGAATGGATCTATTTCTCCTAATATTGCATTCTTGAACGTATAAGAGCGTGAGGCTAATCCTGTGGGTTCTTTACAGTGATATCTGGGCTATCGGCGTGATCACTTACTTCCTTCTCTGTGGTTATATGCCATTTGATCGCGACTCCAACCTCGAAGAGATGCAGGCCATCCTCGTAGCAGATTACTCCTTCACCCCCGAGGACTACTGGCGCAATGTATCCCCCATCGCCTGCGAGTTCATTAAACGATGTCTTACCACTGACCCTCTTACCCGTATAACCTCCCATGAGGCCCTACAGCACCCCTGGATTAACCCTCCAGCAGACCCAATGAACCCAGAATCCACCGCAAAATCTGGTACAGGTGAAGATCTCCTGCCTGTTGTCAAGAAGAACTTCAACGCTCGCCGAACACTGCACAAAGCCATTGATACTGTGCGTGCTATCAACAAGCTGAGAGAAGGAGGTGGGTTAATGATGGACGGTGCTATGAGCATCGACCCCAGGCCAGAAAGGGTCAATGGAGATCAAGTTATTTCAGAAGGTGTAGATCACGATGGCCACATGGAAATTGATAGCCGGGGAAATGCTAGGGGCCAGACCGAAGAGCAAATCAAGGAACAGGAGAAGAGGGTTAAAAACCTGGTTACAGGGCTGTGGAACCAGTCTGCCGCTGGACGGCGGTGAAGTATTGATGGCATAGGCTCTTGAAGGTTGTCTTTAATGATTAGGTTTAATGCATTTTTTAAATGCAAGCGCTACTTTTGGATGGTGATGCCGTTTGATGAAATGCTCCATAGTTACTGGGTTATGCTACGAAGTGTGAGCATAATAGGGAAGTTCTAGGATGAATAAATTCGATCGGAACAGTATGCCCTTTTCATTGCTCTCTTACGTATATCCGAAATATATGCAACACCTTTTGTAGTTTAACCACTTCATCTGACCCTACTGGGATATAGAATTCGATAAGGCTCCAGGATTTAGATAATATCAGTAGGCCTAGGAAGAAAGATGCCCTTGGTTTCGCTTTACAGGGAATGCATCAATGCCCTAAGTCCTCTATGGCTAGTTCATACATAGTTTTCATGTTGCTGGGCCTTGACTGCCCTGTCTATACCAACCTTAGGTACTCCCAAATAGTGGCACATTGATTGAAATATGAGGTGTTTGATAGCTAGCAAGAGTAAGGCAGTAGGGATGTGTTCATTTTTCCACCCAAGTTCAAGTGCAGACTACTCAGCTAAATACAGTGTATATCTAGAAATTGAATGCCACAAGATCAAGGCCTGTTCAGATAAGATATCCAAAGCTTATCTCCATGTATTCATCCCTTAGCAGCTAAGCTTGCCGCATTTACGGCAAGAATCCCTGCGGCCGTAATCACAGGCCTTGCCAGTTCCTCTAGCACATTCGTAAACGCGCCCATTCTTGCAGGCGGAGTTGATGCTCTCGTCACCACAGAACTGTCCCTGGATTCCGTTGCACAGGCAGGAGCTGGGAGTGCAGGACTTCTTTTCGAGCTATTAATGCATTAAATGTTAGCAAAAGTCCACACTATTATAAATTATATGGGATATCTCTTACAACGTTGTCGGAGGCGCTGACGACACCAGCAATGCAGGCGACAAGGGCGAAGACGGTAGTGAACTAAGAGCTCTCAGTCAGTATTCTAAGCTCATCATTCGCTAAGAGATGAATTACCTTCATGTTTGCTGAGCAAAGGCTGCAAGAGATTTGGATTAAGATCAAGTATTGTCAAAGGTGTTTGTGTTGTGTGATGGAAACTGGAGATGAAGAGGATGAGCATCTCCTTTTTATATGTACCTCCCTTCGTAAATTGATTTCTATCCTGGCTGTCATTTCTTCGACCAGCCTTGCGTGGATTGCAGATCACCATGCCGTCCCTTGTTGGCCGTGATGTTGAGAATCTCACGAGCTGACATTTTGCCATATACAGCATTGTTTCCCCATATTTCGGTGTTTAGGCAGCTGAATCTTCGTGACTGCCTGGCCGATCTCTACATTGTGTTCTTCCATTGGATGCCCGGTGTACATCTCTCTTGGACCTTGCGAAGGGTTTCCATTGACTAACTGCCAACCCACCCGCAAACACGAGTACAAATGCGAGGTATTCCCTCGTTTGGACCATCTTGCGCCCTGCAGATGGTATATCACCTCCACCGCTTCGAGAGAAGTTGTGAAGTACCTATCCGTAGTGCGTTACACCATGGGGAACCTCGTATATCTCCTGGCCTTGTTTATGGGTATATGGGACTTGGACGGCAGCACGGAGTAACGCGGTCGATGTTTGAATTGATCAACCGGTACTAAGTACCTAGGGAATTTCTAAGATTAGAAACGGCCGTGCTACTCTCTCCAGGCTCGAAAGTTCCACCTCTTCGTGTTCAGCTTTCTCTGTCTGCCGCTCCTGGAGGGTAAAGGGGCCGCATTCCCTGTTGGCAATCTTCCAACGCGTCATCGACGGGTGTGATATTGGCCCTATACGTGGCGGGTATGGACAATTGCCTGTATACGGAGATGTTTCACCGTGAATTCACAATGCAGGCTGAAAAAAGCACAAAGACTCAAGATACTGAGGAGTGTCGATCAGTATTTGCGGCTTATTTTGCATTCAGCTATAAATATAGTACAACGGGTATCAGTGATGATCGCTCGTATATTGTGGCCAACCACGCTTGCTGAACGCACAGGGGCTCCATGAGTTACCTACGGACGCTGCGATAGATGCCTCTTTGGTGACTTGGTGGTGGCTGAGGTTGATGTGATAGAAGCTGGGTCCCTGGATGTCTTCGTGACCATGCTCGTTTGTGGTTGATCTGCTCTTCTCTTGTTGCCCAGGAGTTATGATGGGATGAAAACAAGGGAATGTCTTCATAAGGGACAAAAGGCCTAACTAGTAGTTATCCAATGGGAGCAGCACAGAATCTGGCACTATATCTGTTTTTACGAAAAGAATACCAAGACCTTGAGTTCGTGTGAGCATACAGTTATTATAACTTGTTAAAGAGGATTTACTAACTATTTTACTTCTATAGTTAGCCTTATGAGAACTTTTCATGGACAGCTATGTGCGAGGATAGAACCAGGCGATTCTGAACCGCAAGCCGTCCCCAACTCTACAGCTCTCAAGGACTCTATTCAACCGTAAGCCGATGTGGGATCACCTCCAAAATTGCTATAGCCCTTCTTTTAGTTGTATTTGACAGATATTTTGTTAGAGCGGGTTATAGCTAGGCTAACCCACGCCTCTGATAATTACCTATCCAACCGTGAGCCAGGGTCAACTATTCTGTGCTGGATGGGGATCTAGCAGTTTATCTAGCACCCTTTTATTTTAATGGCGGCTAGTCATATGGCTTTATGACCCTTTGGATATAATTTACGGTTCTTAGAGCCTTGAGCGAGCGTCCCAAAGTCGGATGATAGTTTATTGTGATTTAAAAGCAAAGAGAAGCCATGAACAAAGCTGGCAGTTGGAATGAAAGGAGTACAGTAGAAAAATTCCCAGTAAAACGCCCCTTCTCACAACAACAGACACGAAAGGCCGAAGACATCTAATGGGAAGCTTCTAATGTAGCTAAATGAGTGGGGGACGATTCCACCCATTTCCTCCACTCCTGCCACTCGGAATACGATGCACTTGATTTAAGACCCTGGTATCTGACGGTTTTGAACTCAGACATGTCCTCCCAAGGCCTGTCTGGGTTGCCGCCGCCAGAGCTTCCTGACCGGAGGAATCGACGAGCAACTCCACCAGAACTCGAGGACCCTTCCCAGCCAGCTTTTCTCATAAGACTCTCCACGGTCTCTTCCTTTGTCCAGCCTTGATCGACAGCCACATCTGGAAGATAGGTAGCTCCATATCTTCTTCCCCTATAGATAAACGATATGCGAATTCCGTGCATGCCTAACTCCCAGTCTAACGCGTGGGCACAGGTCTCGAACGTCGACAGGAGGGTGAGGGAGCATGAAAGAGAAGGCAGGAGTTGCGACGGTATAGGGGCGAACCTAGTGTCACCGAAAGCCCTGAATGAAGTTAGTATATAGATCCCCCAGCGAGAAGGGCTTAGGTGTGGAGCCATACGATGTCAGTGCGTAAGACCTCAAGCCAGAGCTCAGCTCTTGGGCTTCAAAGGTGCCGATACAGCCCCGAAGGGACTTGTGGCCGCTCCTAGAAACTGTATTCCACGTAACAAAGAGTGGATATGAAGCGTTTGGAGGTGACCTGCGGAGCCCCTCACTATAGCTCTTGGGCGGGGAGAAGAACGAAGAAGTCTTAGGGCTAGGACTGGAAGATATGGAAGTATTGCTCGTCAGTGCAGAACGAGAAGAACTGGCAGATAATGCTGGAGGCGTTGAAGCTGTTGCACTGGATGAGCCAGAGGAAGCCGCACTCTGAAGGCGACGAATACTAGGCAGCTGCAGGGTGTTCGAGCCTGCTTGTCCTCTATCTTCAGAGGAGACATCTTCCATATCACCTTGGTGCTCTTCATCATCTGCGTCTACATGAGGCTCAACTGAATTTCCTCCCGCGTCCCCGCCTTCTGCGGCCTGCAAAGCAAGGGCCGTGGAAGCTTCAAACTCCTCCCATAATTCTTCAACTACTGAGAGCTTCGGAGGTTTACCTCCTTCAAAAGAAGCAACTAGTGTTTCGAAGCAGAAGTAACATTGTGCGGGGGTAGCCATCGAGAACAAAGAGCGGCTTTGAATGACCCCTTTGCTGATAATAAAATCTTTGCTTTCAAGGAGTTGAAGAAACCTGAGCCTTGTAAGGAGAAGTAGTATGCTGTAATGGACAGGCAAGGGGGGAGAACCTGGCCGCCAGCTTATTGCGGACTGAGCATGGGCTGTGGAGGGGAAGCACCTTGCTGGATTTCAGCCTGTTGGAAGCTGCTTCAAAGTCGATGTGAAAGCCGTAAAAGAGCTCTGTTCGTGCTGGCCCTCCAAAACAGAATAGCCCGCGCCGCAGCCTATGCAATTATCTAGCAGGACGAAGACGAGTGAAGGCGAGGATGTTGAGGTCAGAGCCTGGAAGGACGCTGAGAAACGTCATGAGCGCCATTTGAGGCACGTGAGGCCAGTGCAAAAAAGCGCCGTCGGGTCCGGATCAACTATTTCCCACTGAACTTGTATATCATATCGGAACCAGACGGATATCAAGGAGCATCTTTCTCAGCTTTTATATCGTAGTTCTTAGGTGAATGGGGAAAGTTGAACCTTCTGAGTGGTGATACGGGTATGGAGGTATGGCGATTGTCCGATCCAGTCACTTTTCAACGAAACCGTACACCAGCCTTAACAGTTTCAGGCTTCTTTGGTGAACGGTGCACAGCTTATAGTTCTGGTCCTTCGGCGTGGAAGACAGTACTGGTATATTCGATTCTCTCATCGTAATAGCATTGTACATTCACTTCCGGTCATCCTTTGGCATTCTCATCCCCATCATGCCAAGCATGTTGCTCCCGGGTCCGGAGGCGCCGCCTTGACTGTCAAAACTCTCTAGGAGATTTTTCGCTAGATTGATGTCGATCTCAGTGTCGTCAAGTTCTTGAACTTCACCTTCCTCTTCATTATCCCCATCAGTATCATCACCCCTTATCGGAGCTTTCCCTTTGACAGCCCTTTTTTTGCCATCTGATCCGGTTCGGGAGGCATTGAGTTGGTCAAAAAACCCGGCTTCTCTCAACTCTGCCTCCATCTGCTTGGACAAGTCTTTGATCTCGTCTTCGTCGTCCTCTCCGTCACTTGATTTTTCATCGAGATCCTGGATGCGTTTTGGCCTATATGAAGATCCATGATTCGAGACGGATGGCATGCCCATCATCTCCTTCATCATCCTTGAAAACTCCTCCTCGTTAAAGGATGCCTCCTTATCTTCTCCGTCACTACTAAACTCGTCATCATCGTCGTAGTTATCTCCATCGCTGTCGTCCGAGCCAAACTCATCAATAAGACCCGCCCCATCATATCCGGCTGAATCATCGTTTAGGAATTCTTCGAACTTCGAGACTATTCTTTGCAGGTTCTCTTGCGCGGCTTTATCACCAAAGTCTCCTCCTTTTTTGGCCTTCTCACCACCACCGCGTCCTTTCAGCTCGCCTTCAAGGTCTTCGAAACTAATATCAAGCCATGATTCATCGTCATCTCGCGTACCCCAACTGCTCTTGATCTCTTCGTCTGTCGGGAGCCTCTCCTCGCCAATCTCAATATCATCAAGGATAAGTTTCATTTCTCGTACAGACGGTTTATCGCGGTTTTGCGGATCTGACAGCAACATTTCAAAGCCACAAGACAACTTCATTCCGATTTCCGCACGCTCGGAATCCTTGGGTGTTTTTGCTTCAGGTAACCGGCCCTCCCACTTGGTTGGCGCCGGAAAGTCCTGGCTTTTTAATTGTGCAAACCCAACTTTTGTGAATTTTACACTAACTGTAACGAAATTCTCAGGCTCAAATACCAATTTATTTGAATCCTTGGCTTGTAGAGGCCGCAACGCAATGGGATCCCGTAGGTAAAATGCCTCAATGGCTGGAGATATATAACCCGGTTTAGTGTGTAGTAGGTGGGCAATTTTCCGTGGTATGGTAATCAGAGACGAGTGCAAATTTTTTTCAATCTGGCCTGGGTAATTTCGGAGTCTGTAAAATGCTTCCTCCCCGATCGTAGGCGACCGCATTAGCCTTTTAGGCTCGGTAAGGATTATGTCCCTTGCATCTCGAAAGGTCAGTTTACCAGATGCGGCTTTCTTCTTGGTACCAGGTGAGGGTCCAGGTTTGATAATGACTAGCTCTCCCTTGTTGATCCAAACCTAGAGTGCGAGTTAGCGGTCATGGTGGGTAGCTTCGTTCCGAGAGCAAGGGCATCCAACATACTCGATTATCAGCAACATCGGGTTCCAACCAAGCTGGCAATGCTGCTGCCGCTTCGACAAGCAAGAATTCCCCATCGCTATCTGTCACTTTTACCCACAAATTCTCAAATTTACGTGAGAGCTCGCGCAACAGGTATACAATAACCCATTCATCTTCAATTGAATCTCCGTATTCAGCTCGTCCACGCAGTAAATTTAAACCTGAATATACAAAAGCATTGATAAAAGCCTTTGATTAGCACTCCGATTTAGAAGTTTGAGCACAAGTACCAGCGATGCAAGAATACGATCTGAGAAATCCACGAACTTACCATCTTCCTTCGTGAGTTCCAGTTTGAAATTGTCACGCTGCCAGACATAGCCCTTCAAATATTGTTTTAACAGCGCCGATGAATATTTCTGTACTTCAGTCAAGGACGTGCGAATCGAGTCCGACTTGCCCACATCGTCAGGTGAGCTGCCATCTAGCGGGATCCAGTAAAGCGAATATTCAACACAGTCATCCGGGAGTTGGGGTTTAGGAATTGGCCGAAACGTAGACCTAAACCATGCGATGTCTTCTTCAGTCGGGCCGGCCATATCTCATCACTCTTCTCTGTGTTTTCTGGCCTGTACAAGCGCGAGATGTCCTATATTATTTTATTTTATTTTATTTTTGGCGATGACTTCATCGGCGACCACGGGCCGACAAAAACTCCGGCGTCCTTACCGCGCTAAACCGAAAACAGCTATATGTAAACAACGTCACATCCAAACACGCCAAAATTCAATGATTTCAATGCTGCCCGCGCCCTTTTTTTCCTATTCCCTCCATGCCGCGTTGAATAGGAATTTTTATTTTTATTTTAGGGTGAGCGGTACATACTGGGACGACTAATGGTATAGGTATACCCGACGTTAAATATTCCGAGCCGTCGACATGGCCTTTCCCTACATCGATACTCCGCGCACCGAGGTGGACGCAAACGCGACGTTCATGAGCCACGGCCAGCGAAGTGCAACGCGCCATAATCTCTCAGCACTGGACTCGGTTGAAAACTCCTTTGTGTCACCAACTAAGGAAAATGATATACTGAAGGAAACATCCGGCTCGCGAAACCGTCAGCGCAAGGTGTCGCTCCGGACTCCGCGAGCCAGCCAGGGACTTAAGTCAGCACGACACGATAAACGCACTCTACCCAACTCTGCCTTGCCCAAGGGAGAATTTACCCCTCTTATGAACAGCGTGACGAAAAACAATTTCCTGCGAACTGGTGGCGATCGCGCTCGAGGTGTGCCGGCCACGCCCGCCCTGTCCAAAATAGACGAAAGCAATTTGTACGAAGGGACTTCCGTGAACAGCTTCGCGTACGATGCGACCCCTGTACCCCAAGCTGCACCTAGCAGTGGTCAAAGCACACCGTTACCTGCACTCCCCCAAAGAGATGGTACTGGAGGGGTAATTCGCGATGGACAGAATATGACTTTAAGAGAGCAGGAAAACGTACGGCCTACCTTTCTTTTCCCCTGCAATTAATCGACCGTTATACAATGAGCTTGACTGACATATGTGAGGTCATTGCAGATCATCAACAAGTTTGACAAAGAGAATTTCGGCCTGAAGTTGAAAATACACTATTTGGAGGAACAGCTGAAGAAGGCTGGGCCGGAATTGAACCAGGCAGCACTCAAAGAAAACACGGAGTTGAAGGTGTCAAAAGTTACAATGCACAGGGACCTACATCGCTGCAAGAAAAGCCTCCTCCACGCAGAACGTGATCTGGAATCCTGCCAGCTTCAGCTCCAAGAACTTCGAGAAAAGTTGGCTTCTAAACAATCCGATAACACGAAGCAGGAGGCCATAAAATGGATGCGCGAAGAGATGGAGACCAAGGAAGCAGAAATGGCAGAGCTACGGGAGCAGCTAAGGTCACGAGAATCGAAGCAGGCAGAGGAGGCTGCGAATTTACGGGAAGAAATAAATGAGCTAGAGTATGCCATCCGTGAAAAGGACAGGCGCCTTGAGGAAAAAGAGGAGGAAATTGAGAACTTGCAATCCAAAGGAGCGGACGAAAATGCCAATATTGCTGATCTTGAGACGGAGCTTGAAGATGCTAGAGGCAAAATCGAAGATCTTCAAGATAGCCTAGAGCGAGCAAGGACCGAAACAGAGGAAGCCGAGGCATCCTGTGAGCAAGCTCTCCAGGAGAAAGATCAAGCCATTGATGACCTGAGAGAATTACAGGATGAAATGGCTAATAAATCAATGTCTGCCTCCGGCTTAACTCGTCAACTGGAGGAAAGGGCAAGTAAGCTGGAAGGAGAACTTACGGCTGTTCGACAACAGTATGCCAGCCTTCACGAAAAGTTCGAGGATAAGGCGCAGTTTGAGCGACGTTTACAAGAGCAAATCAAGGACCTTCGGCAAGAGCACTCGTCGACAGAGAGAGAGCTTATCCTCATTCGAAAAGAGCACGCTGGATGCGAAGGAAAACTTGAGGACAAAATGCATTCTGAGCATCGGTTACAAGAGCGAATTGAAGATCTTCGGCAGGAGCTCTCATCTACAAAGTCTGAGCTACAGCATGAGCTCGAACAGGCACACCACGAGAAATCAATTGCAATCCGAGATCACAAATCTGCGCTGTCTCGTCTTAATGCCCTTGAAGATGAGGTGCAGCAGAGAGGTGAAACTAAGAGCCTTTTGCAAAACCGACATGATGCTTTGACAAACGAATCCAAAGCTCTTCAGAGTGATCTTGAACGGGCAAAGAGAGCAATCGCGGAGCTAGAAGAGGACGCGGCTACTGAACGACAGGAGTCATTGAACACGCTTGAAGACCTGCGACAGCATCATAAGGATGAAGTCGACCGACTAAACGTCGAGATAGGGCAGCTTCGCCGTGAGGTAGATGGCAAAGACTCGTTATACAGCTCAGATCTAGACAAATGGGAAAACATAAAACGATCGCTCGAGCTCGAACGGGATCAGGCAGCACAACAAGCCCAAGCGTACAAGCGGACAATCGACAGCCTTCAACAAATGGAAACGACAAAATCTGGACGAGAGAAAAGGATGCAGGATATCATCGAGAGTGAAAAGGAACGCCGTCTACAGCTGGAGGAATTGTACACGCGTCAAATAAAGGAGCTCAATGATGATATTTCCTCCAGAAGGGAGGCGTCCGAAACTCAGAGATCAGAGTTGCTTGCCCTGAAGGAACAACTTAGGGTCAGCCGACGGGAAGAACTGAACCTCAAAGAGAAAACGCAGGGCCTGGAAGACGAAATTATAGTCTTACAAGCTAGCCTAGAGGAAGAACAACAGCATGCATTGAATCAGAGAAAGTCAGGCACTTTGGAATCCGGCAATCACCTACAGAGCATTACACAAGAGAAACACGCCCTCAGAGAGCAGTTAGCCAATGCAACCTCCGAGTTGAATGACCTTCGAGTTGCCCTTGCAGAAGTTGAGGCAGAACGAGACGGCCTCCAAGACCAACTTGCTCAATATGAAAACAATGTTGACAGTGCCTATCGAGTAGACCAGGAAAAACTTGAGCTGAAGAAACTGAAGCTGCGTTTAGAACGAGAGGTTATTCGTCTAAATGCCGAAAAAGGATCTTTACAGGAAGCCAAAGACGTCCTTCAGAATGATATTGATAATGAACTCGCTCGTGCTGCAGCGGAAGAAGATCGTCTAGCGGCAGAGATCAATCGGTTACAAGACAAGCTATTCATGGTCGATGATAAGAAGGATCGTGAGCTTCTATCATCCAAGAGCAAAATCACTCGTCTAGAGAACCGCCTTAAGGAACTCGAAGCCCATCTCCACCACCCTATACCATCAGAACCCGTCTCCCCCCCAGGAAACGCCGATGCTTCACTCTTCCACCATTGCCTAGCCGAGACACGGGAGCGAGAAAAGGTCATCCTTCAACGAGAATCAGACCTCAAATCTTCCATTCGACATCTCAAATCCCGTATTGCTGACTTAGAGAAAGAGAACCACGACCTCCAGGTCGAGAGATACGAGGATAATTCACCCAAGCCTTCGCCCTCCTCGCGACTTCAAGAGGAATTACGAAACCTCCGTACACAAAATTTGGAGGCTCACAAGGCTCTAAAGGAACTGAAAGCCAAGAACCGCGAACTCGAGCGGCAAAGATACTTCGCCAAAGATGAGGAGAGTCAGAACTTCAGTGAGGTCCTCGACCTATCTACGTATGAGGCCGAATCAATTGCAGCCAAATTGGCAAAACGCGAGGCTCGAATTAACGAACTCGAGGTCGATCTTTATCGAATCCGCGGAGAGCGCTCTACTGCGCTTAAAAATCTCAATGCTGCAGACCGAAGGATTCGAATACTGCAAGACCGCCATCCAAAAGCAATTCATGATATGTCAAGGCAACTAGAGAAACAGAAATCTCGCCATGACAAGGAATTGGAGGTTTTACGTATGGAACTCCTCTGGAATCAAGCACGGTTGATCCGAACCGAGCAATTCCGTAGGGATCTTGCATGGTATAAGGAAGTTTCGCAGTACAGAGAACAAGAACGAATTAGAACTACATGGTATGTTCCCCTAGTCAACGCGAGTCTTATACTAAACTAACATCGTTTAATATAGTGCTCAAATAGAGCGACAGATGATAGCTAATATGGGCATTGTAGTATCTGAGACAGTAGAACAGCTTACCCCTCTACAAAAATTTAAAGCTGCCATTTCAGTTGCGCTATTCATTGCTCGCGCAAGAAGAGTGACAGTTGAGTGGAAGAAGAACTCACAAATAGGGGATCTGGTGAAGAGGGCAAAAAAAGACCAGTTTAAGAAGCTTGGAAGAATGGGACAGAAATGAGGCGCATTTCCGAAGATATTTATTCCTCCGACGCTTAATGAAACGTTTTACCTGTCTTTCCTAGCTGTGTTGGTCAAATACTTATTGTTAACTAGTTAATAGCGTTTCTTTTTTTTACGGACGGAGTAAGGGCTCTAGGGTGTTGTTGGTGTTTGGGATATGGGGGATCTGACTAAATGAGAGGATACTTTCGCGGTTTGGCAACTTGTATATCACAGTTGGTTATGAGTTATTCTCTTGTGGTTAAAATCGAGAACTATTTCATTACTCCATTCGCTAAAATGACAACCGACTCGATATTATCCAAGTCTTTCAACGTGATATCCCAGAGACAGGGAGAAAACATGTATGCTAAAGGGGGAAGGCCACACTCCAAAAGTGCAACAGCTATATAAGCCTGGGAAAGTAGTATGGGAGCTAGAGACCAGGTTACAACCACCATGGGTGAACTAAGCGCCTTCACTACCAAACATGGCGGTCCATTCAGCGCTTTTGGCAAGGTCGTCAGGGCTAACAGTCGGCCGCGATCCTTTGACAGCCTTGACAAAATCCTTAAGAACGAGAGGAGGTTCCAGAAGTTCGTCTGGGTTCACATCCGCCCAGGTCATTTCAATGGCCCCCTGGTCACCTGGTGAGCATGGAGTTACTTTTTGTACTCCATCCACCATTACCTAGTTAAGATATCAGTAACTGACCGAAACTAGTAGAAAACATTCATATAAACGTAAGAAGACAGTACTACATACCTTTTTATAGTGTGTTGCAGATTGAATTTTGCGTACAGGCTGCATGAGCGCATCTTGAACAGCAATATTGATATCGCTCCCCGAGTAACCGTCGGTCAGTTCGGCAAGTGTTCGATAATCAGGCACCGTTAGCTGACAGGGCGTGCTGCCTATACTTATTTTGAACATTTTCATCCGGGCGGCAATATCTGGTAGACTTATGTAAACTCTTCGCTGGAACCGCCGTCGAATAGCTGAATCTAGTTGCCAGGGAATATTCGTTGCTCCAAGAATCAGTACGCCGCTAGAATCCTTGCCAACACCATCCATCTGCACGAGCAGCTCTGTTTTGATACGGCGAGACGCATCTGGCTCTCCTTCACCACGGGTGCCACAAAGGGCGTCTATTTCGTCGATGAAAACAATGGCTGGTTTGTTTTCTCGGGCCATATTAAAAAGTTGCTTAACGAGCCTGATAATTGACACATTAACCCCAATGCACCCGAATATCATATGGGGTATTATGGAAACTTTAGAAATGTTGACTCACCTCTCACTCTCTCCCATCCACTTTGAAACCAGGTCACTACTGCTCACGCTGAAAAATGTGCTGTTCGCCTCTGTAGCCACGGCCTTAGCTAGGTAGGATTTACCCGTTCCAGGTGGCCCGTAGAGCAATATACCCTTCCAGGGTTGACGGTTCCCTGTGAACAGGGAAGGGAACTTAATGGGTAATATGACGGCTTCCTGAAGTGCCTCTTTCGCGCCCTGTAAACCAGCCACATCTTCCCATCTCACATTTGGCTTATCCGTTAATATAGCTCCCGCTAGAGCTCCTCGTAGCTTCTTGGATTCGGCATCTTCATCGTCCTCGTCCTTGCTAGATATTGAAAGAATCATATTAGACCCAGCGTCACTTGGAACATGATGTAGAATCACTAATCAATTCAAAAACTCACCCTCCTTTCCCACTTCCTTGTGCGATCTTCCCATTCGTTCCAACTGCGCTTGGTTTCTTCCGATTGTCCAGCCCAGCCAGGTGATTTTTTAGCTTCTCTGCCCTCTCCATATATTCCCCGGTCTTCGCTCGGATCATCTCCTTCGATTTGGGGTTTTTCTCCCATTTTAAAGCAAGCATAAAAAGCTCGAGAGCCGAGTAGTATGTTTGGTATGCTTTCTCATATTCGCCCGCATTATCATGTTCAATCGCGCTCTTCACAGTGTCGATCGCCCGGCCAAGGAAATCGGTATTGCTCATCGTGATTTAATTAACCGAGGTAAGCTGCAGTAGAGGTAGCAGAAGATTCGCCAAAGACCTATCCAGGCAACAGGCAAATCCGTCAAAGGAGTTTTGAAGGAGGGAGGGGGCGATATGTGCTTCAACGTCGGCTCAAAACGGCGGTATTGCGCGAGAGCTATGGCACGGATGTAGTGGTCTTAGAATATTGCCAGAATCACCTGCATATCGTAGTCCTGCAAGAAAGAATCCGTAATATATAAGTTAACTGAAATATGGCGGGCCTAACTCCAATATCAGTGTTGCCTGCGTGTTTGGAGGGACTGATGGTTTTCCCCAGCTTTGGCTTTTTAGCGCTCTGTTGCTGGGCGACAAATATTCCCGATTAGATAAGAACAACCACCAGCAAAGACCCCGAGTTCACACTTCATCAAACAATAAAAAATCAATCCAGCCATGGCGGACGACCAAAAGCAGATTCAGGCGCTCAGCGATGAGTATCAGCAACTTCAAGCTGGTCAGTAGTATCTCAATTCCCTCCACGAAGCGCCAGTTTCGCCGTTTATATGTGACCCCCCACTAACGCTGCCCCTCGATATAGAGCTCGAAGAAGCTATCGGAGCGCGAGAGAAACTTGAAGCTCAGCAGCAGGAAAACACCAGCGTGCAAAAGGTAAGGGATGATGACCCTCTAGTTGGTATAGGCAGCTACTAATGGGTGATTAATGACTAGGAATTCAAAACGCTAGACGACGATGCGAATATATATAAACTCATCGGTCCGATACTGTTGAAACAAGACAAGTCAGAGGCTGTCATGGCCGTCGATGGCCGTCTTGACTTTATTGAGAAGGAAATGTACGAGCGGAATTTAGCACGAAGAATCTGGAATATCAGTCCATGTCCAAGCAACTAACGCATGTTCCCCTGCAGAAATCGGATCGAGAAGCAAATCGCCGAGGTACAGGAGAAGAGTGAGATGAAAAAAGGAGAGGTGCGTTAGATCCAGTTCTCTTGAGATTTGATAGCGCCTGTTTACCACAGCTAACATACGTTCTTAAACAGATCATCCAATTGCAAGCACAGATGCAACAACAACCACAGGCTGGTGGAGCTCCTGTAGCCGCCTAGGCATTATAAACACGCACGCTTTAACTTCAATGATGGAAGAAATATACCAATTCTATCGCTATTACTATCCATAGCCTGGATAATTGAAGCCTGGACACAGGATACTCTTTTGGCCCAACTGACTGGCAAACAGGCACCTTATAAGCCGGTATTTAAGGGCCTTCTTCCAGGTATATACCAGGCGATTAATTATATTGGTAGTGCTGATACGACGCTAGACACAACCTATTCCTCGCGAGGGAGGTAGATACCCTTGGTTCGGCTGGTCAGGGTTGGTGTTATCGGGTCAATAATGGAGCGGCGACATCATACAACCAAAATATTAATCTTTTTTTTTTTTTCATCAAAAATCGGAAACTATGCACTCTAATCCGTCAATCTATGAATGCATCAACCTGTCTTCCCATATTTACAATCCTACCCATGCTACCTCCTAGGCTATCCCAACTCTAAGGCAAGATACTTACCTCATTTTCAAGTCCAATAGATATTTAGTGACCTGATCTATGCTTTGACAAGCAAGCTAGAGCCCTCCATTTCCTTGGGCTTCTCAATACCCATAACATCCAGGATGGTGGGAGCAACATCACCAAGAACACCGCCAGATTTCTTCAAACTCCATCCTTCTGGAGCGTTTGCCATGACAAATGGAACGAAGTTGGTGGTGTGGGAAGTCTTCGGGCTTCCATCTGCGTTCTTCATTTCTTCGGCGTTTCTGGGGGGAATAGTCAGAACATTGTATAGAAACGTGTGAAGGTTTGACATCGTACTTACCCATGGTCAGCAGTGACAAACAGGACGTATCCGTGTTTCTTGCAAGCTTCATACACACAGCCAATAGCGGCATCTGTGGCAGCTACGCCCTTGATAGCAGCTTCGTAGACACCGGTATGGCCAACCATGTCCGGAGGAGCGAAGTTGTTCATCAGGAATTCGTACTTGTTATCCGCAATTCTCTCGGCGAGCTTCTCACCAACTGGCTGTGCGCTCATCTTAGGGTCAAGGTCATAGGTTGCGACTTTTGGAGATGGAATCATTTCTCGGTCTTCACCTTCGAATTGTTTCTCGACACCTCCGTTGAAAAAGAAGGTGACATGGGCATACTTTTCAGTCTCGGCAATGTGGCACTGCTTGAGTTGTTTTTTACTCAACCACTCAGCTAAAACGTTACCCATGTGTTGAGGAGCAAAGGCAATGGGGAAAGGGTAGTCAGTTTTATATCTGGTCATGGTGGTGAGAGAGATGTTCTTAGGATAGGGGAAGTCCGGTTTTGGGGATCGGTCAACATCTCCCAAGAGCTGGGTTATTTCCCTAACACGGTCGGAGCGGTAGTTGAAGAAGAAAAGAGTGTCGTTGTCTGTTTAACAGGAGCGTTAACGGTCCACTTGGCCATCAAGATATGGACTACGATTGGAGTCGCCCTTACCTTTAACTCTGCGTTCGTCTCCGCCAACAATGATGGGCTTCAAGAATTCATCATTCTCGCCCTTTTCATATCTCTCCTTGATTGTCTTGACAGGGTCGGTGGACTCCTCGCCCTCTCCAGTAACGATACCCTTCATGCCAATCTCAATACGATCCCATCGCTTATCGCGGTCCATGGCATAGTATCGGCCCACTACCGTGGCCAGCTCGCCAACTCCGAGCTCCTTGGTCTTCTCCAACAGCTGTTCCATGTAGCTCACTGCACTCTTTGGGTCTGTGTCTCTTCCATCACCAAAGAAATGGATGAACACCTTTGGTACTCCGATTTCCTTTGCTACCTGAAGCAGGCCGAACAAGTGTTTAATATGAGAATGAACACCACCATCGGAGATGAGGCCAAGAAGGTGCAGTCGGCCGTTTCCATCCTTTGCGTTCTTGAATGACTTCACGATATTCTCTACTTGGTTCAGCTTTCCGCTCTTCAAGGTCTGGTCGATGCGGACCACATCCTGCCACACCACTCTCCCGGCGCCGATGTTCAAATGGCCGACCTCACTGTTTCCCATAAGACCCTCAGGAAGGCCTACAGCGATAGAAGAGGCGTCGATCTCGGTGTATCCTTGGGCAGTCTTCGATCCTTCTTCTGCAAAGCCGGACATCACTGGAGTCTCGGCGGCGGCAATAGCATCGCCATTGGCAGGGGAATCAGGGCACGGAATACCCCAGCCATCGATAACGACTAAGAATTAAGTATGCAGGTTAGCTTGGACATCTTTTAGAGGACCTTTAGAGCGCACTCCCTGTATCCGGAGCGTCAACAGCGGAGTAAATAAATAAAACGTACTCAGAACCGCCTTATTCTCGACTTTGGCCATATTTAAGAATGTGAACAGTCACAATTGAAATGATAATATACTAGAATAACCAAACTGCCAGCCTGTACAGGAGTAAAGGATGAAAAATCTCTAGAGCGAGTCCTTAATGGCGGGGGAGGAGGGGCTCTGTTGGCCGGAACATCTTTTCTGCTCTATCAAAAACATCGCAACGACGTCATCTGCCGCAGCCACAAGTCGCGCAGAAAACACCAAAGCCCATAGCAAGCCATTGCACTATCAACGCCTAACAATTACAATAGCCAACGACCCCTTTACTCAACCTGCCATGATAATGTCTGTCCAACCGTCGCCGCCGCATGCCTCTCCGACGCGCAAAACTCCTGGCGTCTCATCCACACATCCCAACACTCCGAACATCCAACTACCACAATCGCAACAAGACGAACGCGTAGCCTCGCCTGATCCAACCGTTGCACCTCGCTTTCCTACACCACAGACATTTGACATCCTCCCGCCTCTTCACGCACTCTTGGCTAGGCTCTTATCAAACCAATCGTCTAACTTTGCTACCGGTCAGCCGGGAGAATCGGGCCTATCCCAATCTACGGAACCAACACCCGGTGGAGGGATCGGGTCATTAGACGGCCTTGATCCGAAGTCATTGCTTACGGGAGCCAGTGCTGTTAAGATACGGATTCAGAAAGCGAGGAATGCCGTTGAGGAGTTGCCAGATATCGATCGAACTATCGCCGAGCAGGAAGAAGAGATTGAGCAACTGGAGAAGAAAATAGAGAAGCTAAAGGGAGTTATTAGCGATTTTAAAGTGAGAAGCTCGGAGCTTGCCAATGGATTATGAGACGAGGGATGGCCCGTTTCTTGTTTCTCTTCCTCTTCCTATATCAAAAAAGACGGGTGGTGTATTGATAGATGTTTACAGTTGTCAAGCTGTTCGTTATGATACCAATTTTATTTAATACGCATTAGAAGGTGATGGATGGATGAAGCGTTCTTTGATCAAAAAGAGAAATGACAATTATGCCATGTATCATTGTTGAATTTGCTTTTTGAACAAGGTCAGCCAGTGATGAAACCTAGCTGCCGTCGAAAGAACTAGTTGAATATACAAATGAAATATAGGCAAACCTGCCAGAAGAAACAGGGAATATTAATGAAACAAGAGTTGATATCGTCCCACCAAAAAACACCATGGATTGCTTGTTGAAGATCCATAACACACAGTTTCACCGGTCATCGCTCCCAAAAAAAAATCGTGTTTGCACATAAAGGTTGAAAATTCATCGCTTTTTTTACCCATTTTTCCTTCTTTTTCATACGAAGCAATGCACCGGCTCATGACATCAAAAGAAATAAGGGAAAAGAAGTTGCAAGGGAAACCGAAAGGTAAAATTGTTCGAGCTGCTTAAACTGGGAGAGGGAAGGTGTTGGCCCATTCGGCGATCTCCTTTCTAAGTTCAACAATTTCCTTGACGGAGTCATCGGCGACCTTGGCCTTGAAGTCCTTGAGCTTGTTGGCTTCCTTGGGAAGCTTGCTCTGTACATCCTTGCAGATGTTGATGGCAGTGTCGATGTAGCGGGTGATGCGCTTGAAGTCTTCCTCGCCCATACCACGAGAGGTCATGGCTGGGGCACCAATTCTGAGACCGCAGGGGGTCAGAGCAGATTTGTCACCGGGGATAGAGTTCTTGTTGCAAGTAATGTTGATTTGCTCAAGAACAGCCTCGACACGGGCACCATCAAGACCCTTTGGCCTTAGGTCAAGGAGGACCATGTGGCTGTCGGTTCCGTCAGCAACGAGCTTGTGTCCAAGTTTCTTCAGCTCTTCCTCGACGGCCTTGGCGTTCTTGATGACGAGCTGCTGATATTGCTTGAACTCGGGGGTATCAACTTGCTTGAGGGCAACGGCCAATGCAGTGATGGTGTGGTTGTGAGGACCACCCTGATGTCCAGGGAAGACGGAGAAGTTGATTGGATTCTCAAGGTCATACATGATCTCCTTGCCGTTCTTATCGGTGCTTCTAACGCCCTTGCGGAAGAAGATCATGGCTCCTCGTGGACCACGGAGAGACTTGTGAGTGGTGGTAGTGACGACATCAGCATGTTCAAATGGAGATGGAATGACACCAGAGGCGACGAGGCCAGAAATGTGAGCCATGTCGACAATGAGATAAGCGCCAACGGAGTCGGCAATCTTTCTCATCCTAGCGTAGTCAATGAGTCTGCAGTAGGCAGAGGTACCGGCAACAAGGCACTTTGGCCTGTAGAGCTTAGCATTGGACTCGAGGAGGTCATAGTCAATTATGCCAGTCTCCAGGTTGACCTGGTATGGGAAAGTTTCAAAATAGGTAGAAACAGCAGAGATCCTATCAAACATACGGTGTTAGCATGTATACTCGCCAATTGTTATACACAGTGAAGTAATATTCGCGTTTTGGTTATACGTACTTCTTAGTAGGAGTCTGATATCCGTGACTCAAATGTCCACCGTGGGGCAAGTCCAAACCCATGAGTCTGTCATGAGGTCTCATCAAGGCCTGGTAGACCTGGAGGTTGGCAGGGCTTCCACTGAGACACTGGACGTTGACTCCCCATTTCTCCGAGTCCAGGTTGAAAGCCTTGAGGGCTCTGCGCTGGCAGGTGAGCTCGAGGGTGTCGATGTGCTGGTTTCCGCCGTAGTAACGAGCTCCGGGGTAACCCTCAGAGTACTTATTCGACATGGGAGAGCCCAGAGCATCGAAGACAGCGCGCGAAGTGACATTCTCAGAGGCGATGAGGAGGATAGATTCCCGTTGACGCTTGATCTCTTTTTCCTATTTGACCATGTCAGTACTTTACGCTTCACGCAAAGGAATCTCTGAATGTAGAGGTAAATAATTAAGACGTACCATGATCTCAGCAATCTCTGGGTCGGAGTCCACAAGGGATTTCTCCATTTGCTGTTTACATTGTTAGATTCGCAGCTCTTGACCAGCAATGGAGGGGTAGCTCTGACTTACCTCGCGATGAGCCTGGGATAGGGCGTATGTGGCCATGATGAACTGTTCAGTAACTTCTTTGGTGGCTTCTTTCTGTACGATAGGAGTCTCTTGATCAATTCCTGCACGAGAGGAAGGTCTGTATGTTCAGTTGTTTGTGATGGGAGGAAGAGATTTCATCGGAAGGTTTTTTTCCTGCGAAAAAGTTCGGTGGGGTGGCTTTTTGGCCTTTTTTCGCCGGAGTCGGAGCTTGCTGCAAGTTGTTCTCGCGCCCTTGGCGATTTAGCGAATACATCATGGGTTAATTAATTAAATAAACAGTTTAACTAATGAATAGTTAATTAATAACTGCCGGGTGAATAGAAGATAGTCTATGGCTTGTATCGGCCCCGGAGTATGGGTGCATCGCATAGTTTTTGGTATTCAGCATTTTCCCCATTTAGGCTGTATTTACATAGCTTCCGGCTGTTTCTTCCGCTTCTTCTCTTCCCGGCGTGCTTTTCGCTCTTCATCAATCTCATTACTGTGTTTTTTGCTGCTCTTCTTGCGGGAGTCAGGGCTGTCGGTCTTTTGTTTCTCGTCGGCCCCTTTCTTTGAAGATTTCTTCTGCTTCTTCTGCGCGTCTTCTCGTATCGGAAGTGACTGTTTCTTCTTTGGGCTCTCGCGTAGTGAACTATCCGGCTCCTCGTCGCTGTCTGACGGCACATTGATGATTTCTGTTTTCCTCTTCTTGTGTTTTCGATCTACATCGGCTCCCTTGGGTATTTTGAACTGTTTCTCCTCTAGATCTAACTCGTCGTCACTCGATCCAATCGTCTCTTGGAGTTGATCCGCCGAACCAAACGGCTTGTAGCGCATCCGTAGATGTTGAGGCTGCTTCGGTGGTTTCCTTGCTAACGCCGATACGTCGGTAGATCCATTGGCATGGAAACTATCGCCATGCAGGATTTTTACGACCTGCTCTAGGTGGTATGTTTTGGAGACCGGATGTCTTTGTCGGCGGTAGACATTCCCGTTCTTATCCGGCACGAGTAGCGATTTCTGCTTTTCCGCTCCAAGCTGGTTCTCGTGTAGTCGGTAGGCGGCCCCCTTGTGTGTCAAGACTGGTTCTCCGTTCTTGATAGCATTCATAGCAAGGGTCTCTATTGACGAGACCGGGACCCCGACTGGAGCGGTTATATGCCATAACTGTTTGCCATCGAGATTGGAGAGAAGCTGTGATATATCGCTAGACTGGGAGGAAGACTTCTGCATAAATTGGAACCCTGGCGGGGGCTTAAATGCCTTGGAGGGTAGAGGAACGATCGCATTCCTATTCGAGTAGTTAGCCACCAATATTCAATTAGAGTCAATATTTTAACGGCTGCGCACTCTTCTTGTATAGTTACTCTCTTTTTGCTAGAGGGCGTCGGTAAAGGTTCTGGTTCACGCGCAGGAGATTCGGATTCTTCCTCTTCTGAACTAGAGGCGCTCGAGGCTTCACTTGAGCTTGAGGGGCTCGGTTCTTTTGCAGTTTTGAGAGCAGTTTTGCTCTTTTTTAGTGTCTTCTGTTTTGTAGGCTGCGATTCCCTTTCGCTCTCAGAGGAACTGGAACTGTCCGAGACAGTTTCTCTGCTCAATGATTGTTTCATACTGATACTGTATCTGTGAAATTCGACAAATCTGGGAGCCCAGGACTAAAGAAGAAGAATAGTTATGAACTCATGAATGGGAATTGAATATAACCCGTCTGGAAAAAGGAGCGTCTAAAGTCGTTATTTCGTCCAAGGAAAGTGGTTTTGATATCTTTGATATCTCGGTGAAATTGAAGCTCTAAAAACTTTTTTCTTCTGCGCAGAGCACGGGCCACATCCAGACTTCCGATAAGATTTCTGATAGAAGGAATAAATAAAATTGAACATTTAAACCACCTCAATTTAACCCTTATCCCCAATGGAATAGAGGGTTCGTCCGAGGCATGAAACGAAAGGCGACGGTGCAATCGCAGCCGGGTAACTATATTCTCTCAGTCCTCTGGCCAGGCCGCCTGCTAACAACTCCTCCATAGCACCGATCAGCGCGATTGCAGCTCGAAGAGCCCGACAAGCTAAGATTGCGGCTGGAAAGACACCTACTGCCACTACCGAGTCAGAATCGACGGAAGACTCTCCGTTAAAACGGACAAAAGTGTTCTCGACTCCAATCCCCCGGAAGCAGGCTCGCGGTGGAAAAACTTCACCGAAAGCTCCTCCACCCACAGTCCGCCATGAGATAAACCCTGAGGTTGAAGCTCTAAGCTTAGACCAAGACAACAATGGATACCCTATAGAGGATGACGATAGAACTCAGTTCTCTGAAGATCATGAAGAGAGGTAATTTTCCCACAGCGAGACATAGATAGCGGGATGTTGATATCATGTGCAGATATGTGCCTCGACCTACAGCCTGCGAGTCGCATGAGAACTTTTTACTATCCAAGGGTCGCATCACCAAGGAGAGCATTGTATACACCAGGGAAAATGCCGTCTGTCTACGGTTAAAACTAAAGACGGTAAGAACTATACCCATAACCCTCGGGGAACACAGCTTATTGATTGACCTGTTAGACATTGGCAATCGTTGGCCAGTATGATATCTGGGTAAAGCGAGGGGTAGTGAGTATAATGGGAGCGAAGCTATACCCGTGTCCTACGATATACAGGGTTTACGCGCCTTCAACGCACTCTTTGCCAGTTATAAAATCCGTGTCAGGACCAGATGGATACGCCGAAGTGGAAATTATTTCCTACAATGACGGCCTGTCACAGCTCAGTCGAATATCCAACCTATATTATCGGATATGGAACGGTCAAGGGAAATCCGCCGTTAGAAACCCTCTGGCCCCTGAAAAGGCAACATTTTCCATAGTAAGTTGCTAGCAATCCGCATGGTCGATTGTGAGCACGCTGCTAATCCATATACCCAGCTACATTCATCCTCTGACGATCCATACAAACGGCATCTCCGCCCTCTTCATCTCGATAAAAAATGGAGCATGATGATAAAGCAGCTCTCCCGGCGCGCTGGAGCACTAAAAGTGCTTACATGCGGACCGGGGGGTTCTGGGAAGTCGACGTTCAACAGATACCTACTCAACCATCTCCTCAGTCCGTCGCCTGATGCTAGCAAGTCGGTGAATGATGGCGTTGCATTCCTTGATTTGGATCCTGGACAGGCCGAATTCTCCCCCATGGGCCAAGTATATCTGGCCCATTTACGTGCTCCAGCCCTGGGACCGCCCTTGTCCCATCCTTCGCTTAATGCGGAGGATGGATCAATAATTCGATCACATCTTATCGGAGGCAATTCCCCCAAGGATGATTCCGACCACTACGTCCAATGTGCCATGAACCTACTGAGTCATTATCAAAGGCTTCTTGAAAGTTACCCGCAATGTCCGCTAATCATCAATTACCCCGGCTGGATATTTGGACAGGGCCTGGAGATCTTAACTTGGTTTGTAGAAACGCTCGGTCTCTCTGATGTAGTATATATGAGCGAAACAGGGCCAGAAGAAGTGGTCGGGCCGCTCCAGTCTGTGGCGAATGCGGTCGGTATACCGTTCACAACCTTACCATCCCAGCCGACTGAGTATGCATCCCGATCAAGTGGTCAACTCAGAACGATGCAGATGGTTTCATACTTTCACATGCAACAAGCTCAAAACCCATATTGGTCTGCCGCTCCCGTCTCTCAGACTCGTCCTATCAAAGTCAGCTACTCGGGGCCTAGCCAAGGCATACTCGGTGTAATGATAACAGGATATCCTCACGATAAGGACCATATACTTGATCTATTGGACGGGTCAATAGTGGGAGTTGTGGCAATTGAGAATGCCGATGCCATTCAATCCGCCTCTTCCTCAAGTCAAGCTGATGCAAATGGGGATAATAGACCCGACGAGGCTGAGGATGAAGGTGATACAGACACATCGACACCAAACACCGAACAGAAACGTCATCCCTGTTTACATCGCACGGAGAGAGAGAATCTTCCTTATCTATTCAGCGGAGATGGAACATGCGCACCACCCAGGCCCGAACTATCCTACTCCCTCGGCCTAGCTCTTATCCGATCTATTAACACCGACTCTCAATCCCTCGACCTGATCACCCCCGTCAGCTCTAGAGCTCTCCGCGATGCGTTGGAACGAGGACATCAAATCGTCCTTGTGCGAGGAAATCTAGACAACCCCGACTGGGCTATCAGCGAAGGATATTTCGCCGCCAGATGGGCGCACAAGCAACAACCACGATTACAGCAAAAGTTAAAGTCACAACCACGAGCAGATGAAGCCAGTCAAAGTAACAGAAAGTTACCAGAGTCCAGCAGCCGCATGGAACACGAAGCGCATCTAGATAAATTACGAGAACGCATACATCGTGCTGGGAATGTGCCGTGGATGCGGGTATCGGGCGCACATAGGGCAGAATCTACGAAACCGAGCATGAAGAGCAATGGAATGTGGAAGTTGAGAAAGGCTGCATATTCCGCTGACTCGGGCAGCGGGAGTGAACAGGAGTGGTGACTGTTTGTTCAACATATAACAAGTTGAATATCAACCATCCACACCCGCTCATTTAGATATATGGGGGAGATATATATGGGGTGCTTACATACATACAGGTTAAAATACTTTCTTTTATGCATAACAAGGCCGCTGTCCAACCTGATTTTAACAATTCTTGGCTAGCATGAGAATGGATTTTCAAAAAAATAGTTATCTCCCCCTCATCGACTGGAATATATCATATGTGAATGTTCACCGTATGATCGGACGACCAACGGGAGATGACCATGTCATCGAGGCTGAACGACTGCCGAGACGGCCACCCATAAAGCTCAGACGGCGAGTGACAAGACCACTGCACATGCATATAAATGTATATCGTGCATAACTGAGGGCAAATCGAGACGCATCCAGCCAGGCCCATGGTTAATCCGCGACGAACGGTTCGTCGACAGCTTGATTTGGGCCAGGACTGGGTGAAACGCATGTCTTCCTCCGTATACGACGTTATAATCCTGCCAACATATGATATAGGGATCTTCCACTAAACTTGATCCCTTTCTCCCTTGTTCTCAATAGCCGAAAACGAAACCTAGATCGAGTAAGACTCCTGTTATTTAAAGTAGAACATGAACGAGGGTGGAAGAAACGGTCCGTATTTAGGGGGGAAATAGAGAGAGAGAAAAGGCAAAAAAGGGGCAAGGCGACGCCAGGCGCGTATCCGGGGACGCATCACAAAACCCGCGAGCCTCTCTTTCATCGAGATCTTGTTAGTACCACTCGTAAAATCCGTAAAAGAAATCGAGCCGTTTGAATCATGATCAATCGGCCGTTCGTATGATAGCTCACATCGCATCTCGTTCGGATGCTTCCCGCTGCTCCCGAGTTCCACCCGTACGCGCTACTTGATTATTGCTTCTTGCCCTGGATACATAGTCCATCCAGGCGATTGGGACATCACATTTCCCTTTCCCCATGGGGCACAAAAAAACAATATATTCCTTCACGTTTTTCCCGGACTATGACTCAAGGCGAGACAGGGGTCAAGGGTTCGGCTCTTTTCTTTTTCTCCCCTTCGTCGGCGTCTTTCTTCTTTTTTTTTTTTTTTTGTTTTTTGCAGTTTCTTGTATTACACGGAAGTATGTACATCCTTCTGTATATACGGAGTACGGAGTACATAGATGGGGAATATGCAGATGCAAATAACCGCGTCTGCAATGCAATGTCCGAAGTACCACCAGCATCAAACCCAGCGACGGGCACCAATAATCGGCGATACATGCCGGCGCCATGCATGGTCTAGATATACCCGATGTCATCATCAGATTTTGTGTGGTGATAGAGCAGGGCCATGCAATACAGGGAGGTGAACGGCACGCCGCTAATGCGCGTTACCTGGTCAACCTGAACTCAGTACGGGCCAGAGAACACCACAGGGCGAGCCCGATCTCATTGGAACACGACGAAAGAGCGGTGAACGGCAGGTCCATGGACGAATGGGATCACCGTCTTCTAGGGGAATTAATATTGATATTATGGACTGATGGGGATGGGTTGTATGCATAAACGAGGAGCGAGGATAGAAGGCATCTGAGATGGAAGGACTGCCGAAGAGCATCATCTTCTGCTTCTGCCTCTGCCTCTCCCTGAGCCGCAAAGAAGGGATATAGATACAGAGATACTCTGTATACGCTGCAAGATGCGTACCACAGCGCCATGCGACTCACCGTGCAACCCCAGCGCCCCTGCTGGCCTGCTTCTCTGGGACCCAACGGCGATTGTCCGTCCATATATAAACTATTATGGAGCAGGCCTGAGTCGGGTACTGCATGTAAATTATGCATGTGCGAATACGACATGGCATCGCAAAACCATGACCATGATGTCTTCAGCTACTGCATGCATCGCATTTTCTTCCCTGTGCCGCGATGTATATATATCTTGATCTGCGTGCTTCCTTAGTGTGCAGATCTATCGATCCTTTGTGCATGCTATATGTACATAGATGCCGCAGTCGCCACATCCATCTTCCTTGTTTTTCATATTTAGTCGTTTATTTCCTACATAAAACAAGTATAACAGCATAATATACCAGGAAGTAGTAAACTAACTAAAGAGGGAAAGAAAATCCTAAAGGCGATTCTCCTTCCTTTCCCAGACGTGTAAACGGGAGATAGAAGAATGTACATCTATAAGACTTCTGATATACCGAGGAGGCGACATGCAGAGGCCGGCCGTGGAACAGAGACAGTCGAGGCGAGATGGATAGCTGCTCGCGTGTCCCGCACCACATGCGGTTCGAAGAGCGAACGAATATGAGTGCAAAGATCAAGACTTTCCCTCCCTGTGGATCGAAGAGTCCATCGAAGAAGACTCTATCCCGGTGGATCGAGATGAATGGAGCTCCGGGAGGACCAACGGAAGCTGTACCTGAGCAATTCCTTTACTCCATGCTCCATGCTCCATCCGCCATGCTCCATTCCCCGGCACAGTTAGTTTAAGTATTAGTAAAGTAGCCTGCGCGTCCACCGGAGGAACGTCCCTTGAGGGGAGGTGGGATTACGTACTGGGGAGTTACAGGTTCAAGGGCCCCGGAAGCCCCGAGTTTCAACTTTTTCAAAACACGACACGACACATGGGAGGCCGATCTCCGCAGGCCGGGGGGCAGCACTGCATAATTACGTACATGTCGTCGCACGGCCACATAGCCAGCGTAGAAGCGTACTCCGTAGAAGCGTAAGAAGCGAAGAAGAAGGGAGACAAGCGAGGCCGGCGGGAGTTCATGCTAGGAGGTATAAAGGGGCGAGATGAAACGCTGGTTCGGGGCTGGCGAGGTCGCAGCGAGAGTGGCTCCTTGGGCAGCGAAGACAAGGCCAGAGAAGACTAGACGACGCCCTAGAAGCCGTCTCGAAGTCTGTCGAAGGCTAGCCAGATATCGTACGTACTAAGATAGACATGGGCAGACAGACTAGACAGACATCGACGGAAGGTATAGAGATATAGACGAGACATACATAGATAGTTATAGATGATATAGATACAGAGAAGACATAGACATAGAAATAGATATATAGGTATAGAGATAGATACTATAGGTAGGTATAGAAGAGTGTTACCGTACCAGGATACGATGTTACGTGGCTTACATAATGAGATCGGATGGCTTGGCGGTAAGGCTTGGCAGTGAACCATGGATCTGGGTGCAAAAAGTCACGCGTTTACAATACGATACACAGAAGATGAAGAGATGAACAAGAAGATGAAGAAGACAACAAGAGAAGAAGAACAAGAACACGAAGAGAAGAAGAGGCGCAGAGAGAAAAAATGAAGGCGAGCGTGACCGGTAAGGATGCCCCATGCTCCTATTATAACGCATCTGCTAATGTCCTGATATCGGTCCTGTCCCGCCGCACCGAGGACGCCATCCCTGCCTAGCCTCGACCCCCGGGAGAAACAGGAGTCTGATGCTTATCCGCGACTTCACCTTAGTAGAGCCCAACCGATAGGCTGTCACGAGCATTAGACGAGGATGGAAGAAGGGAGAAGGGAAGAAGAGAAAGGACGGTTGCAGCGCGCGATTTACTAAACGGCGCAACGCCAGAGAATAAAGAGCCTTGCCCGTTGAAGGCAACAGGGATCAGGCCTGCGAGAAACGAGACAAGACGGTGGAGAGACACGACGTTGACATGTCTAACGGCGCTGCAGAAGGGCGTCGGAGCATCACAGAATTGCCGTGCGTGGCCAGTTGCCTTTCTGTATCCTTTGTATCCTTTTTGTGGCCGGCGCGTATTTGCAAAAATAAGAGTATACTTCGTACATGGAGCTCGATGCTACCCTTTTGCCCTCTGCCCTTCTGGAGGTAACGGAGTAGCGTCGCACGAGGAATGAGGAAATAAAAAGGGTAAAATTCCCGAGGGATTTGCACAGAGCAGAAAAGCAAAAGGGAAGAAAAAAGAAAAGAAAAGAAGAAGAAGAAAAGGGTATGGGAAAAAGCAAGGGTTTTTCTCAGGCTTTAATCTTAATTCCATTTCAAGGTATATAGGGAAATCGGGCTCTCTCCCCTACATAACAACTGGCTATCGTCATCACCACTCTCTGCGTCTCGACTTCACCACGCTCGTCGGTGGAAATGTCTCTGCGCGCCGGCTGGATGAATTCGAGTCTTGCTTCCTCATCTCTCCTCTCCTGACCTGCTCGCCTCGTCTGCTCCGTCGGAATGGATTTCATTGTAAGTACTGTCTTTACCCCGGAGTCGTGACCTGACCGCGGCCGCCTCACCTGATATCTACATCTCGATACATCTACATGTCCGTCGTGTATCAAGCTAACAGACGTAGCTCTCCCTGACGCACTTCTGTGAAGTGCATGGCCCAACCTCCATCCTCTGCTCCCAGATACTCCCTACGCAGTGTCAACAGTGCAACCCAGACTCGCCCGGTTCGTCGCCAAACGACTCGCCCTCCTCTCCTCACCGCGGCTCCTCGCCCTCTTCCTCTCTCAATGTCAGAGACGCCCAGCACTCATCTGTCTCGGCCTCTGCGGCGCCAGATCTCAGCTCTTCTCCCTCTTCTGTCCGTTACGTGACCACTTCCGCCATCGAGCCACTCGCCACTCCGCCTGCGTCAGCGCCCGTCACCGCACCGCGCATCGAAGACCACCCTTGGTTTGCGAGTGATAAGCGTGGTAGAGGATCAACGACGGCGGCAGACAGTAAAAAACTGTCTCGCTTTGCTGGTGCAGATGGAGATACCTGTGCGAGCTGTCGACTCAAGCTGCCCGAAGATGTGAGCAGACAGCTTCCCGGAGACGCCGCCAATGGCGCACTCGGAGACCACGATCACAAGCAGCGCCATTCCAGTCCTGTCCTGCGCTCGAGGGAGGTGGTTTACGCCTGTCGAGGCAATCATGCCGACTACGACGATGATGAAGACGAGGGACACTATTCCACCTCCGCCTCGGCATCGCAGCAGCACATTCACTACTCCTCGCCCGCCTCGGTACACTCGTCTTACTCCTCGGATTCGTCCTGTCACACTCACGTAGTCACCTATCTCTCCATGCGCGGGCCCGCGAACCCAGACGACTACGCTCTCCTACGGCGTGCCTCCATCCGTACCTTGTCCTGCGAACTCCTGCCGCGAGGGCTCTCGTCCGGACCTCTCTCCTTTGGTGACCAGTCGGCTGGATACACGGTCGCCTACGTCTTCCGTCTACCGGACCCCATGGCCCGCGGCAAACGTCGAAGCTACGCCCTCGTTGCCCTGGCAGGTAAAGACGCAGGCCGCACTTTCAAGGCCAGTCCAGTCATCTGGCGGACCTTCAGCCGCATCGCAAACAACATCGTCAGTGCTGCTGAGAAGTTCCAGGAAAGCGAGAAGATTCGTGAACAGTCCGCCGTCCACGGCCATGCTGCTGCGAATTCCGGCAATGTCAACGGGGGCGGACGGAATTACACGCCCATATCATCCTTCTTGACCGGCCGAGCCCTCGATCCAGACGGCCAGCCACGAAGAGCTGGTCAAGTCCGGGCCCGCAACCTGATCGAGATTGTAGGCAACGAGTACATCTTCGCCGAACTCCACGCCCAATTCGTCGCATTACTACAGCAGCTCAGTGCCATGTTTTCCTCTCCATCCGACCACTCCGAACTGTTCGATGATTCTGGCAAGGAGTTCGCCTCTTCCTCTCATCGGTCTTCGTCCGATCGACTGCGAGGAAGCGGCCGCAGCAGCATCGACCACGACCGTGCCGGAGACCGTTCCGGCAGCAGCATCGGCTCAGCGACACTAGCCAAACAGTTCTCGCAGCTACAGATGTCGACGTCCGTGCCGAAGCCAATTCCAATCTCCCAGCGCAGGAAAATGGTGGCGTAGGGTTCGCTGCACTCGATCGTCGGCCGACTCTACTGCCTCCCATGTTTCATCCCTGGCCGACTTGACTTGCTCTGCCTGACTCGCCGTTTCTTTTACCCATGTACGACCTGTCACCGCTGCCACCCGGTCGGGCTCTGCCATACCCTTGCCCTTGCTTTCGTTCATGTACGATGTACCCTCTGAAACCAACCACCGCTACCTAACCTACCTACCTTCACCTATGGTCTCGACCCTTCCCACGTCTATCAAACCAACCCGCCATTATCGGTACAGTACGACCGACGTACTCCCTTTCAACCCTCTTACGATGTAATGACCCCGATCGATACCAGACATACCCAACCCATAGATACCACCCCTCCCTCTGCAACTTCGCTTTTTTGCACGAGGCGCCTTTTTCCTTCACTTACCTGCTTTACGACCATCGACTTGCATACATCCATACATGCATTCCGTCCTGAAAAGTATCAAAATTCCAGCATGGTGTTGAAAAAAGTCGATTTCTTTTTTCCCCCTCACCCTCTCCTCTTCCATCTGTGAGGTGAGGTGAGGTGAGGTCCCGATTATTCCTTTTTCCGCTTTACTCCGCCTCCGCCTCTATCATTTCTTCACTCCCCCGCCCTCTCTCTCCAAAGCTGTGCGCAACGCAATGCAACGAGTTTAACGGCTTTCTTTTTCTTTTTCCTTTTTATCGACTTTTTTTCTTTTCTTTTGCAACAATAGGTATTAGACGGGGCAATATCGGCAAGGGCAATGCCGCACGGGTTTCGATACCCTCTGGCTTTCTTTTTCTTTTTTCCTTTCCTTTGCTTTCTTTTCAGGGTGTTTACGGACATGGTCGGTCAGCGATCTTGTGATCCTTCTTGTTCCCTTACTACTTTCTCCTTTTCTTTCCTCTTTCCTTGCTGTTTTTTCTTTCCTCTCTCTCTTACCGACCAACCTGATAGATTTCACTTGTTTGCTGCTTTTTGTTTTGCTCTGTTTCTTTTTGCGGTTTACTTCACGGCTTTACGGACCGGCATTTCCTCGGCTCGATACCTTTTCTTTCCCTTTCTTTTCTCCATTTTTCACTTCTTCAGGGCGGGGACCCCAATTAGCTTCGCTTCAGTCTGTTCTTGTTTCTGACTTCGTGTCCTTCTCCACCGTTGCGACGTGTGTTGAGTCGCTTACCTTTTTTTTACTACTTTACTTAATTACGCCGTACTCCCTTTGAGACATAATTTTATTTAATTACTTTTGATACTTTTAATACCTTTGCTACTTGTCCTGCTTTCACTGTCGTAGATGTGCGGAGTAGTGGGACAGGCCAGATAGTGATATATTGACGGACTTTTTGGTAGCCGAACAAAATATTCAGCGTGTCATGTGATTATCACGAACACAGCAATATTGGCTTGTATTTCGCTATTTTGCTAGAGTAACATGGATAGCAATACGGTAGTATCATCCTTCTTACCAATTGTCTAGAGAACTTGCTGAGAATAGCTTCCTCTCTGCCTCAATTCCTCGTCTTTCTCGTCGTTCTCGTCGTGTCCTCGTCTACTTCCACGAAAACCACTGCTTACTCAGCACAGGAACCGGAAAAACTTGCCAAGAGGGGAAAAAATCCACAACTTCACAAAACCACAAAAATCAAACAGTTACAACATCAATTCAACTTCATTTTCACTCAACCACAACCCAACCACTCATAACCATTCACATCACACATCCTACATCTCAACCTCGAGAACTACCTACTAATATTGTTCTCTATCCTTTCTCGAGGTTCATTACACAGTTTTCCAAGCAGCGAGTTATTACTCCCAACGCTTGGAAGAGGGAAGACAACCCCCTCTTGGGATTAAAATAATACACATATTCCACGATGGCGACGTCGTTTGATAAATGCAAGACGCGTCCGGCGCATATGGATGCCATTTTAAACGGACTCGACAGATATAACCCGGAGACAACGACCGTCTTCCAAGATTATATTGTACAACAGTGTGAGGATAGGACGTTTGATTGCTACGCCAATCTAGCGTTATTGAAACTGTAAGCTCTCCCCTTCTTTCTGAAATGCAGTCTTGCTTTTCTTTCGCACCATCGAGCTCGCATGCCCGTTTTTTTTTTTTCCTTGCAATGATTATTACCCATAAACGTTTCCTATTAACACGACTATGCCTTTATGGTATACATGGGGAGAACTTTTAATATGAGACAAGCTATCGGAAATGCAATTTACCAATATTTATACCTCATTTAACATTTCATGGACATGTTTGGCTAACCACCGAGATGTGATAATGGTATCTAGTTATCAATTTAACCCACACCTACTCAATGTTGAGACAACCACCAACATACTGGTCAAGGCCCTGACCGTCTTCCCCTCACCTGCCTTCTCTCTTTCCCTCGCGCTCCTTCCAGCCTACACACAACCTTTCCACTCAACCCCCACCCAAGGGCCATCCGCCACCCTCCCCATCCAAACATCCGACTTCGTCGAGTCAGTGCAGAAGCTTGCCCGTCTCTCCACACTACTAGAGTCAGCTCAATACGCTCTCTTCTGGTCCACATTAAACTCAGACGACCTATACGCTGATTTAACTGCCGATGTTGCTGGCTTCGAAGAGTTAATTCGCGTCCGCATTGCGGTGGAGGTCGGAAAGGCTTTCCGTGAAATTAGCGCTGAGATGTTAATGAACTGGCTGGATGTTAAGGGATTGGACACCCTTGAGAAATTCGCCGTTGATGTTTGCGGTTGGGAAGTTGATAAGACCGGTGCTTCTGGCGCTAATGATGCAAAGAACGTTATCGTCAGAGTACCAAGGAATAAGGAGAACGAGGCCCGCGGAGAAGTAAAGGGCGAGAAGGTCGGGATTGAAATGTTTGGAAGAGTTATTAGAAGAGGCTTCGAACAGCCTGCTTAAATTTTCTCTTGCCATGTCTTCTTTTCCTTCTCTACAATAGATACCTACCTGGCAGAGGGTTTACCTGTTTTACGTCTTTTAATGGCTTGATATATTTTAACGGCTGACAAGAAAAAAAAATTCAACGACCATCATGTGTTTTAAGTCTATCATGAACAAAAATAAGGATCTACTTTTTAATATCCAATTCTTTCTATTTGGCCAGTAACCTTTCTTCCCACTGTACACCAGCCCATTCTTCTCGCCAGCCAGCCTCTCCTATATTTTCAGGTGCACAATCGGCCGCACAAACGCCCAATATGATTGTTCCCCACTCCATACCTGGATCATCTTTAGGGCCGAGGCCAATTCCTTCCATGCCTTCCTCAAGCATAGCAATTGCATGCGGAACAAGCTGTAGCTCAAATACACGATCCCCTCCACATGATTCACAGCGTGGAATCTTGCTCTTGCTCCCGCCACTAGACTGCACTTTAACGTGCGACTGTGCCTGGTTTGAGCTCTCAGAAGCAAATATTTTCCCCACCTCGTCATTCGTCGAATATAGTAATGGCGTTCCTCGGAATTCATATCTAAGGACTTGCTCCGGGTTATGTTCTAGACGGGTAGAAAAGCGAATAAACGACTTGTCCATAGATGATTCGAAGAGATCTTTTTCTGTCTCCTTTTTAGAGGAAGAGGGTTCGTCTTCTGTCTCGAGGGTATCAATTTTAACATTGGACGGTACTGTGGTTTCTTCAGTTTTGGACAAGGCTTCATATTCGGCATCAAAGTAATAGTGTGGATATGGTGGAGGGAAAGCGGATTGTTCTGGCCAGGGAGCTTGTGGTCCTGCCATGGCTTTGGGTTGTTGTTGTGAAGGGGATGAGATGCGTGCTTTCTGTGCAAATGTTTCAGGGAGATCCTTTTCTGTTGTAGGCGACGGTGTGTCTGGCTTTTGTGGTATAACTGCGGCAAGTGATGATGTAGGCAACGCAGCAAATGGATTACTGCTTCCGCCGATCGTAGATGTTGAGAATGGATTCGAGTTTCCAGACATGTTAGAAGAAGGCTTCACGCCGAATAGGTCCGCCCCGATATCCCGTTTCGGTTTGTTTTGCGCCTCTTCCTTTTGCTTCTCGGATACTTTCTCTCTCTCCTCTACACTTTTATGTCTCTTCACACCCCGCAATGCGCGTATGCTCCCCTGCTTGCGATTGCAGGTACGCCTAACACAGCCAAATATATATAGCCACCTCTCATCATTCGCAAAGTGTTCGGGGAGGTCGGCATTTAGTTGTAGGATAAGTGGCATTGGGTCATTGCAAATCTTGCATTTCGAGAAATCTCCTGGTGGAGGGGTCGCGGGGTCAAGCCATGTCTAGGAGGGAAAATAGTGTTAGCAATGAAACAATTTTATATATATCTTTTGATGGATAAATATCGTTGAGCCCAAATACTCATATACAAGGGATAAATAGTAGGTTGCGACCCAAAGCAATGAAGTTTGATATACTCACTGGCCATCCACCTAGGTGGCTGATTGCATCGCTGATTTCTTCCTTGGACGCGTATCCAAGGAGAACCCCTGTTTCTGTATAGTCTCCAAGTTCCTCGTCTATGCCAGACGAGTCACTATCGTAGGGATCCATCTTTCTTCCTGTGGTGAGATATTGCTTGTCTCTATACAACTTTTCTATCTATCTCTGCAATCAGAAAAATGTTTATCGATGAGTCACGTGATGATCGCGATAAGAGGTGGTGACTAATCATGCCTAAATTTTGTTTCTTTGTCACGTCTCGAGATTGCAGTACGGAGTAGAAAAGAATAATATCTAGTTAGTTACTAGACTTTGCTTGGGTATTCACATTTGGTCCTTTATCTATATTTTTAATTACGGAGAGAGATGGCTAGGTGACTATGTTTTCGAGCAGGAGGAATTTATCAAGATTCGTGGTTGCTTGTCAAATATCTAACACAGCGATTTCAATACTACAAACGCCAGGGTTATTTATTGTCAAAATCATTTCATGTTTACAGCCTAAATGACTCGACTCCGTCCTTGGAATCTAACCCCTCTTTGGCCATCTAGTGTCTAATTTTCCAAGTTTGAACTGAAGGTCTTTCTGTTATCAGGTACCAATGTATTATGCCGTTGCATATGGAGTAGTAATAATTTGATGATTCTTTCTGTCTAGTAGATGCCAGTACTACGTATACCTCTCGCTAGGAACAATGCATTTATATTAGAATCTGAAAATTTTCGATACCATTATCAAGTTGAAAACAAGACGATGCTGTGACCCAAAACACCGGAAATGCCGACAGCCGGGGTGGAGCCGTGTTTGTTTAGCCTCACGTTAACTCGACATCCAACTTCCATCTTCAGCTTCAGCTTTATTTTCAACTTCTTGGGGTGATGTCAGGCATCTGCATGCAATGTCTTGAACATATCCCGCTTCCTCGAAGTATCCTTTTCATTGTTACTGCGACAGGGGCTGTTTCTGAGGCTGTGTTGTTTCCAATACAGCCGTGGTATCGCGATTAGCCAACAATAAGGCCAATGATCAGCCTAGAGGCACGGGCTACGGCATTAGTACGTGTATAACTAGCGAATATATATGCAGCCGTCCGTCCTTATCTTTGGCCGTGTCGATCCAAGTACGGGCCCGTTGGCACTCGCTATTAATAACCCACCTGCTTTGTTCTGTGCAATCTTATCCACGCAATCAACTGCATGATACTCCCGACGCTTGAGTGCATTGCATCAATGAGAGATAAATAGGTCCTTGTGCACTGCAGACTGTTTAAGGGCGATCCGGAAGACCGTGGAACAGGACTGGTACTTCGTTGTACTTGCTGCCTTCCCTGCTGTTGTGACTTCCCCCTTACGCGTAACTGAGACCTTTGCTGCTGTGCTTGCGACAAGACAAATTCTACGGCTTGCTGCAGCTGTCTCTGATAAAGGGACATACGATATGCGTTAAACCGCCTTATCCCTAACATTCATTGGCATATTGATCGTACGACCGCCGTTACAAAAGTCCGGTGTGACGAGGACTCGAACTTGCAGAAGCATCCATCCATTCTTACCCTGATATCCTAGAATCGGTTTAACTAGGCGCAGCTGCAACCAAGTCATCATGCATATCATCCGATCTACCCTCGTTTTCTATGTTCTACTGTTGTCGGGCTTCGTGGTGTCCCAGGACGCCCAACGGCCATTGGGAACAGAGCTGCCTGCGTCTCCGAAGGCCCCGAAAAGAGTTGCAGTAATAGGTACGTTTTCAATTATGCTGCAGATACGAGTAATGGAAAACTGTCAAAGCAACCCGCAAGCTAAGTATCTCTAGGTGCTGGGTCCGGTGGTTCGTCTGCTGCTTACTATCTCCGAACTTACGCCGATTACTTTTCCGTTCCTATAAACATTACAATATTCGAGCGATCGCCCCATGTCGGCGGACGATCAACTACAGTTAATGTTTTCGATGACCCATCCCTGCCCATCGAGCTGGGGGCATCGATATTCGTCGAGGCCAATAAAAACCTCATGAAAGCTGCAAAGACTTTCGGCCTTACTATCCAGGGCGCTGGAGATGGTCGACCCAAAGAAGCAACAGACAGCGTGGGTGTATGGGATGGAACTAAATTCGTCTTCCAGCAGAGAGAAGGAAACTACAGATGGTGGAATATCTTGCAGCTGCTCTGGCGGTATGGATGGGCTCCAATGCGAACGCAGGATTTGATGAAGTCCACGATCGACAAGTTCCTGAAATTATACCAATACCCGCTCTTCCCATGGAAGTCGCTATCTGAAGCTGCACGGAGTAGCGGGCTGATCGAGTCAACCTGGGCTACCGGGGCAGAGTTTTTGAAAGCAAACCACATCTCGGAAGCATTTTCGAGAGAGATTATTCAAGCAAGCACTCGTGTGAACTATGGCCAAAACCTTCCGCTCATACACGGACTGGAGACCATGGTGTGCATGGCCGCGCAGGGAGCAGTTTCAATCCGGGGAGGGAACTGGCAAATATTTCGCGGTATGGCTGCAGCATCTAAAGCAGTTTTGAACCTTGAAACCGAGGTTACAAACGTGAAGAGACGAGAGGACAACGCCTATGCCGTTTCTTATGTTACGAAAACTAACACGACGGAGCAAGAAGCGTTCGACCACGTCGTCCTTGCAGCACCGCTTCAGTTCTCAGGCATTAAGCTTGGGCCTACTATCAATAACCGCCCAGATGAGATCCCCTACGTCAAGTTATACGTGACCCTATTCTCCTCGCCTCACAAACTGTCCCCGAAATACTTCAACCTCCCACCCAACGCCCTGGTACCCGAGACCGTTCTCACCACCTTACCCAAGGGACTTGACTTGGGACATCGCCGTGATGGGGTTGGCCCTACCGGATTCTGGAGTATAAGCACTCTGCAAAAGGTACGGCCACCGGTGAAACAACGGGTCAACGTTCCAGATCACTATGTGTACAAAGTTTTTTCGCCTGAGCCACTGAGCACAGCATTCCTATCGGGTATCCTAGGAATCAAAGGGCCGGCAAAGGGATCCATATCCGATTTTTTGCAATCCGATATCAGCTGGAGCCATGAAAAATTGTGGCATTCATATCCCGTGCTATACCCGCGTGTGACGTTTGAAGAAATCCAGCTAGCTCCAAACCTATGGTACACGAGTGGGATAGAGAGTTTGATTTCAACCATGGAGACGAGCTCTCTTTCTGGGATGAACGTTGCTGCGCTGATGGTTTCCCAGGAGACAGAGGATTTTAAGCCGAAGATGAATATGTTTGATTACGGCTTACTGTAGATCCGTGGGTCGATTCTACTGGTATGTGAATACGGTTTCTGGATACCGAGACAGTGAAATGTCGCTTTTTGAGGTGTAATATTGTTAGTCACAGTTCCGTTCGCTTATCCGTATGAGTAACAAGTGTATCTGTAGACGAATATGACCTGTTAACCCAGTAATCCATGCTCCGTATGTTCCGTCCAGCAGATAAAGAGCAAGGGTAAATTAGGCACCAGAGCCCAACCGGAAGCCGCCATGAATTCCCCGTGTCGGGTTTTCCTGTCAGTTGTTTGCTCGCTCTGTTTCTCTTTATTGGCACTGGGAATACTTCCGCGTAAGCGCCAGGCTATCGTACAGGGGGACCATGTTCTTCATGCCAAAGTTGATTCGAAAAATTCCTTTATCCGGATGGAAATCCAAGATTTAACCGGCTCCATGCTAGCCATGACCAACCCAATTTGGATATGGTAAGGTATCAAATAATTTAGGTATCAACGAACATTTAAACGGGAAAGAGATATGGAGAGAAACGTACGGCTAGAATGTAAAAGTCTGTAGAAAGTAGTAAAATGTAAATGTAAAACTACTGGAGCTAGAATAATTCATACTTTGATAAGAGCTAGTCATTACCACTACCTGTTTCACATCATGCAGTTATCGTCTTCATCAAAACCAGACCTCACTTCATTCTTCATCCGAATCACCCATATCTTCTTCACTCTCTCCATCATCGATATCGAAGAAATCATCGTCGTCGCTATCGCTGTCATTGTCTTCCTCATCGCTTCTCAGGTCTAATCCTTGGGCGGCCTCGCAGATCTCGTCAACTTCCGCCTCAGAGTCGAATGATCCACGAAAACATTGGCTGCGCATATTTTCTTGTAGTTCTGCGGGAAGTTCGTGACCGACCTTTTCAATGAAACCATGGATAACGTCGTCAGTGAGGTAGCTCCCCTCGCTACCCCAAGCTCTAGTCAGAGATGGTATCATGGAGTCTGGGAGCTCGTCTTTGATAACACCGGCCGACTTCTGGGTACGATAGTGAGATATCATAGCTAGAATAAAGTGGAAATAGAGGTAACGAGCTCGGGGTCTGGCGTCAGTGGCAAAGATCAATTTTTTCTGGTGTAGCTCCCCAAAAGTCATACCCGAAACACGAATATCTTTCAAGCCAGAGTGGTCAAGAAGAATAACCTGCCACTCTCGTGGCTGGCTCGTGGGCGATCCATGAGGGACAATAACAACTTGATATGCGTTGAATGCCTTTTCGAATTCAGTGGGAAGAAAAAGACCGTTCCGCGCAGTATTAATTTCGCCATGAGCATCTTTTCCGAATATATGATTCATAGCTGGCTGTCCAAAGGACAACGGAAAAATGTGCGCTGTAATGAAGAACTGTCGCATGTGCCACTCCCCAGTCAGGATATTGCAATAAGTGGTCACTCTACCTTCTTGTCTTGATCCGTATGCTGCCGTGAGGGACTTGATGAAATCTCTCTGTTTGTCTCTAAAGGTCTCTCCCCTTATGCTGAGAAACAGATCAGTGTAAATGGCTCTTAATGTTGTTCTGTTTCCCGTCTTGGGGAAGGTCAACACCTTCTCCCGCTTCTGGTAACGTTCTTCCCTTCTCATTGCTGACCGTCTCCGTTCGTCTCTGGCGGCTTTCTGCCTGAGGTATTCTTCCTTGGCCGCTTCGAAGGCATCATCATCCGTGGGCCATGTCTCGCTTCGGCGCTGCCAAATCAAATCCTTGATAGCATCCTCTAAATCTAGTACAGTTTGTGTTGTTCTCCAAAACTGGGGCGTATCATATAGTTCTTCCCTCGATTGCTGTCGAGCGCGTTTGTAGGCCTTCCGGGCAGATTTTATGAGCTCTCTGTGTCGCGCGGCACGCTCTTCTGAGTCCATATTGTGTTGGCCGACTAAAAGGGGTAAGCATAGCATTCATGGAGGTTCAGAAAGTAACTTACCAGACAATTACAAGCTGATGCACTGGTGAGTGGAAACAAAGATGACAGTCTTAAATCATGGGTTAAACAACTGATTTCCCGAGTGGCTGCAGCCGACAAGGGGAGGGAAAAGTAGTAAAAGGTGGGAAATAGCCATGTTTATATTGCTACCTAGGTAAGAGGAACACACCAAATAGTCAATAACATCATAACTTCCTATCTAGGTAACTTCCATATTGTCATTTATATTCACGTGACTCGTGGTCTACATCTGACTAAGCACTTAGGTAATATTTAACCTGGAGGCTGTCTCCATCGATTAGGGCTGGGTGGAGCGTAACGGCGACATGGTCCGGATCGCCAACGCCTACCATGTCATACCCTGGATCATGTCCTAGATCATGTCTGGATCATGCCTGGATATTTGGATCATGCCATAGATCGTGTCTCTTGGAGCGTGATATGACTTTGCTGACTCGCCAAAACATGTGACTGCAAACATGTGACGCCCGCGAGTTTCCGCTTCGGGATAGCTAAAAGAAGCAACGTCAAAGAGCCGCAACTTTCGTCCCATCAACTTTCCATCGTCACCACCATCACTTTCAACCATCACCTTCACTCGCCTTCTTGTATCTCTGCATCCCTACCTATTCCGCTTGGCTATTCTTACTATTCCACTGCAGCTATGTCAAGCGTTCTGCTATGTAGCCCGTAATAGCGTTAGGCCCTTAAGCGCTTTCCGGTCTCGTGCTTTCTACTGAGTATATCCACCCCTCCTCCTCCCGTTCCATCCTTCCATGGACAACATCCTCTACCGCGTCCTCCAGTCGTTTATATTACCTGAAAACGACATGTCAAAGGCCTTTTGGAGACTGTGCGAACTCCTGGCTCGCCAGGGCCAGCAGGAGCTTCCGGATACTTTCCCACCAGAAACTGACGAACAGCTCCAGCATCTATTAGAACAAATGAACAATAGGCACAGGAGCCAAAGCCGGAGTGGTGAGAGTGAAACCGCCACAACGGAAACCACAAGCAATAGCGATCCGACACCTCTGGATGCTGCCTCTGGCAGTAGTAACGATTTCGACGTCCAAACCCTCAAATCCTCCATTTCGAACCTCTCTCAGGACAACGGCCCCATGCTCTTCGACGATAACTCTGCATCCATCATAAACTTCAAGCCATCAGAACCACTACGAATAACCTGTCTTACCATCGGCTCCCGTGGCGATGTTCAGCCCTACATCTCTCTCTGCAAGGGTCTTTTGGAAGAGGGGCACAGACCCCGCATAGCGACTCACAAGGAGTTCGAGCCTTGGATAAGAGGCCATGGAATCGACTTTGCTCCGATCGATGGTGACCCGGCAGAACTCATGCGAATCTGCGTTGAGAACGGCATGTTTACATATGCTTTCTTGAAGGAAGCATCTTCCAAGTTCCGTGGGTGGATAGATGATCTCCTTTCCTCTTCCTGGAAGGGCTGCCAGGACTCCGATGTCCTGATCGAATCTCCAAGTGCCATGGCCGGTATTCACGTTGCGGAAGCCATGGGAATCCCATATTTCCGTGCTTTTACTATGCCCTGGTCAAAAACAGCCGTCTACCCTCATGCTTTTGCTGTCCCAGATCGCAATCTAGGAGGCACATACAATACCCTGACCTATATTATGTTTGACACCTTATTTTGGAAAGCTATTTCCGGCCAGGTCAACCGATGGAGAAAGAAGGAACTTGGTCTCCAAAACACAAGTCTCGACAAGATGCAACCCGATAAGGTGCCTTTTCTCTACAACTTTTCACCCTCTGTCGTGCCTCCGCCACAAGATTATCCAGAATGGGTACGCGTGACCGGCTATTGGTTTCTGAACGAAGGATCCGAGTGGGCTCCACCAAGTGAACTCGTAGCGTTCATTGACAAGGCTAGAGCCGACAAGAAGAAACTGGTATACATTGGTTTTGGATCGATAGTCGTCTCTGACCCTGTTGCCATGACAAAAACTGTGGTCGAATCTGTAATGAAAGTTGGTGTACGATGCATCTTGTCCAAAGGCTGGTCAGATAGGCTAGGTGATGCAAAGAGCACAAAGGCAGAAATCGCACTACCTCCAGAGATTCACCAAATCACCGCCGCACCCCATGACTGGCTATTCTCCCAAGTTGACGCGGTAGTGCATCATGGCGGAGCGGGAACGACGGGGGCAAGTCTTCGAGCTGGTGTGCCTACTATTATCAAACCCTTCTTTGGAGATCAGTTCTTCTTTGGCTCTCGCGTACACGACCTAGGAGTCGGAATGTGTATGAAGAAACTAAACGTTGCTGCCTTCACGAGAGCACTATGGGAAGCAACCAATAGCCAGCGCATGATCATAAAGGCAAAGCTAATTGGAGAACGAATCCGCCAGGTAAATCTCCCATTCTACTGTATTTAAATTGTCAGAATATAACTAACCCGTAATATAGGAAGACGGTGTTGGCAAAGCTATCCAGTCCATCTACCGTGACCTAGAATATGCCAAAACTCTCACTCTCTTACGCCGAACTGCTTCTGGCCATCCTTCAACTGACGCCGAGGATGAAAACCTCGAGGATTTCTTAGACGGTATCGAAGAATCCTGGACATTCGTCGGTGACGAGATATTTCCCAAAACCCAGGATCCCAAGAGCGAATTGAAAGCGCTGATTGATGGGGCCGCTGCCGGGACGTTACCGCCACTAGATGATGACGGAGAGGAAGATGTGGCTTGTTAATACCCGAGCCCTCCGTTGCAATACGCTATGGCCCACCTATGCTTTGATGCAACTATTATGAATGACTTATGATGCCCTGATGAAAGGTGGGTAGGATGGGATAGGTCAAGGCGCCATGGTGCTTCTGTTCGTTTTTTCTTTCCTTTTTATTTGTTTCCTTTCTATCCTTATGCATAGTCAAGCATTCTCAGATATTTGCTATTTACCCTGCATACCGTCATTTTAAACAGTCTTTTCCTTTATTCTTTGAATTGTCATTTGGTCACCCATCTTCCCCTTTGCCATTATGCCATTTGTTTGGCATCCCCTCCGGTTTTAATCTTCTTGTATTTGATACTCTATCTTCATTTCTTACTCTCTGGGAGCAGGTTTAGATTGGGATTTGGTCAGATTGGATTGCATTATTACTGCAGAATTAACTACTTGCTTTCGTCCATTTGTTTGCTTGCTGCCTGTTATTGATCTCGCCTTGCGCTTGCATAGTATTTGACGCGTTTGCTCGTTTCTTATTCTTCGATGCCACACTTCCTCTTAATTTCATTTAGAGGTGCACTTGAGATCTCACTTATTAGAGACGGTTAGAATGCTACATGGCTTTGACTATCTCATTTGTTCTAGGTGTTACAGCAATTTCTGTTATTTCTGTTCTCCATGTACCATTCACTCTTTGCTATGTTACCTGGTCTTCAAATAGTGAATAATATGAATGTCTAATATCTGAAATCTCAGCATTTGTGCCACTTTTATCCTTCGAGCAAGTGTTTCCAGAGCATTTATACCTACTGCCATCCCAGCCCACACAACATTGAATACCAACGGAATGACGGCCACCAAGTATCGACTCGGTGTTGAACTGAAAATATAAACAGATGCCTTTTTTATATCCCTTCTAGGGTTAACCATCTGTTCATATCCGCCTCTTTTCACCTTTACTCTCCTCATCTTTGCCTTCCGCTTTCTCCTTTCGTCTCTGCACCACGTCCCAGTTATATACACGGGCCGTTGCAACTTCAAGGGTCTAAACGGGGAGCATGAGAGCATAAGTTGGTTAGTAATTAATAACGATGCTTTGAACCAATGTTGTAAGCCATGGTGGACTAACCGTAACCTGCTCCCTTAGGAACTCCATGTCCTCTTCGCAGTTCTTAAAACTCACTTCCGCAGCTCGTAATTTCTCTTCTAGCAGTTCCTCTGCCTCGTCGATGGGGTATGCGAGCATAACGTTCGCTCCAAGCCAGAGGAACACCTCATCCGTATCTTCGGGTAATACCGTCGCATGCGCATATAGTGTGTCGTTCATGTCAAATGTAGTTTGGATGGGTTCGTTGGTGCCGGCCTAACAAATATATCCCATCAGCATCGCAAACAGCTAATAGCGGAGTATGTTGAGCCTGTCACTCCGTACCGCTCTCCTGACCTTCAGAAACCTGACGGTCTCTAAGGTTTTCCTTATATCTGGGATCTTCTCTTGTAGGCCCTGTGCACGTCGTTGCGTATTGACTTCCATAAACTGATATTTGGACACCATCTCCTGGAATGATCGGAGGGTGGGTTCGACATCTGTTCTCGAAGAGACGTAGTCGGCCACATTGTCGACGAAAGGAGCGGCGGGGATGCCGCGAGGGTTAGAGCCCGTCGCCGGGAGGCTACGCTTTCTATATAATTCGGGTTGTCAGTCATTTTCGGCCGGGACTAATTGCGAGCGCTTTGGTGAAGGGGGGTGGTAGAGCGAATGTGGGGGAGAGCCAGTATACTTGTCTGCTTGTTTCTCTGCCATCGCAGTGGATGCCACAGGTTCCTAGTAGTGAATTTGATCGCTCTTGGATATATGTGAGTATTATCTACTCATAGCTCGCCGATAATAGCGGAGCGTGTGAAAGGAAACCAATTTGTTGACCGCAGCGGAAGTTGTAACTAATTATTTTGGTGGTGGGAAAACGCCAGGAGTGACGTCGTTTTCGACCTCCCCCAAACACCAAGCTCCATCGACAACTCCGGACTGAAGACCTTGTCGCTCAATACTCGTGCGTACTGCAGTTAAGGCAGACTCAATTATTGTCTATACGCTATAATAAATGAACTGCACCCTCGTTTAATCCGCAATGGTGCTATTAAAAGCTACTCCGTGCATTATCTCCGCCATTGAAGCTCTCCCTCTAGCAACACGCGAGGCGCTCTCGCTTTCGGAAACCCCTGACTTACAGGCTCCTATATCTCATAGCCAGCTTATATCCCTTGCCCGAAGCTTCTCCCGTCGGCAATCCAGGTCAGGAGGCGCGGATGGAGAAGATGAAGCTCAGGCAACGGCTGATGCGCTGGTGGAAGGCAGCAAGTATACATTGAACAACCTCCTCCGTGGAACAGAGCTCTACATCCCTCCTCCACCACCGAAGCCTGCGCCGGTAAGTGGTTATATCTATTAATTATACCCTTATCTTTAGCTTAGTATAATATCAGTACTAACCTACCCGTCTAGAGCCCAGAATACCTTGCCCTCAAAGCCAAGTTACAGGCAGAAGCAGAACAAAACAAATATAATAGTCTCCTCCATCCTCTTTCTTTATCCGAATCCAAACGCCAAGCGTCTCCCATATTTGCATCGCCTTCAGACAGAGTACACGGCGGTGCCAAACAGTCCGTTTTTATGGACGGGCAAGAATCCGATCCAATCACTCCTTCCCTGGTCCTAAACATCCTCGTCTCTATACTCTTCACCGGATTCGCAACATACTGGGGTCTGTCAAATTTCCGAATACCAAAAGTGTCTACTTTGTTACCTTGGTCCACGTTGCCTAGCTATGTAGCTAGTGATCCCCATACCCATTACTACTATCCCCACGCGCCCTCTTCGCAACCATTCCGAGTGTTTGTTTCTCTCTTCGCTGGAATCTTGGTTGGGGTTGCGGAAGTGGTTGTTTATGCCTCTTATTTGCGAAAGGTGGAGAACGCAAAGAGTAAAGAAAAGGCGAAGGTAGAGAAGAAGGTGCTTATTGGGTTGGTTGAGGACCTCCCAGGTGATAAGAAACATGAGCCCGCAAAGGTACCGGTGTCATTCAAAGATAGTGAGAGGGAAGAGATCTGGGGCAAAGGTATCAATGGCGGAGCTCGAAGGCGAATCCGCGAAAAATGGGCTGAGAAGGAAAATGAACTGGGAAATGAATAAGGGAAGATGGTGTAAGTAACCCCTTCAATGGATATTGGATTTTATATACCCCAGTAGGTTGTTTCTCAATGTTTGCAATACGTATAGATCAAAATATACATATCAAGGTTTTATGGCAGGGCTTCGTGCAATGCAAAATCTCATATATAGCGCAAATTCTAGGATCTATGTAGCCTCCCTGTATAGCATGTGGATGTTGACTCGATCAGCAGCGGACGCCGCTACACTCTTTTGCGAAACCCTCAGTTCGGGAGAATATCATCCGACCTCTAAGCCAAGTTTCTCTTACCATACCTCTCATGGTCTTGCCCTGGTAAGGGGAGCATTTATTCCTAAATAGCATAGTGCTTGGCTCAACAACCCATTCCGCCTCATCATCAAAAACACATACGTCGCCGTCGTAGCCAACGGCTAATTTCCCCTTCGTCGTATCACACGACACCTGTGCTGCGGTATTGCTGCAGCACCATTGAGCAATTTCCTCCAGAAACGGCTTTCCCGCGGGGGTTAGACCACCTTTATATCGGCGGTTTATTTCCGTCCAAAGTATGGGTAGCCCAAGTCCCACCGACGATATTCCTCCCCATGCTTCGAGGAAGTCTCCCTTCTCTCCAGGTCTCTCACCACCTGCGCTTCCGGGAATGTGGTTTGGAAGCAGCTTCAAGTTTGGAGTGCAAGGCGAATGGTCAGAAACTATTGTCTTTATGACTCCATCCGAGGAATGGCGAAGTAGTTCATCCCAAAGCTGATCTTGGTTGGCCTTTCCTCGAATCGGGGGACAACACTTGTACCTCGTATCCCCGTCTTGGATATCTTCAGCGGCTAGGGAGAGGTAATGAAAGCAGGTTTCTGCAGTTATCTTGGCGCCTTTACCACGGGCCTCGCGGAGCAGAGGGATCGACTCAACCGCCGAAAGGTGCACAATATGTAAAGGAAGGTTTGGTGCAACATGAGAGAGTGATAGGATCTCCTGTACTGCCGTAGTTTCAAATTTGGGGGGCCGGGATGATAGAAAAGTTGAATATGACGTAGGAGGCACATTGGACGCGGCGCACCCTCCATGTTTCTGGCCCGATGATCCTTCTGGCTGGGCCATTTCAGCATGGAACATGAGAACGGTTTTTTCATCTGCCAATTCTTCCATTGCGGATTTAATGTCTCCACCAGAAACGGCCGGGAACTCATCAACCTATCATGATTTTAGCAATTGCTTTCACTCTTCAATATGGGAATGGTACGATAAAGAATGCATACACCGCTGTCAATCAAAAACCCTTTGAACCCTTTCACGTTATTCTTCACCAATGGCTTCAGCTCAGAGGCATTATTTGGAACCAATCCACCATAGAACCCGTAGTCTACCCAACACTGGCCCTTCGCTGCCTCAACCTTCTCTTGCAGCCATGGAACCGTCGTAGTTGGTGGAATAGAGTTCAACGGCATATCAATTACTGTCGTGACACCACCAAAGGCGGCTGCTTGAGTGCCTGTGTAGAAGCCCTCCCATTCTGTACGGCCAGGCTCATTCAGATGGACATGCGCATCAACGAGGCCCGGCATAAGGACCCACGGAGAATAATCCTTATATGAAGTTTTAGGACCTGAGAATTCGGATGCAGGAAGCACGGTTTTGGAAATTGAAGTTATTTTGCCCGTTGTAGCTGAAATGACAATAGTAGCTGGCGTCAGGACTCCTGAAATGATAGCCCTAGATGAGGCCATAACAACTACTTCGACCCCTTCTGGCCTCTGCGGCATAACCCTGGTATCCATGATATAAAATGACAGGTCCACTGGTTCTAAAAACTTGCTAGTTGTCTTAAGAGACTCTTGTAGATGTGCTAGAAACTGGCTTGTATATATACTTGTTCAGGCGTGGGGGTCAAAATGGAGGGAAATGCACGTGATAAAACCCGGACAACGGAGGTCGCCGCCACAGGAAAGAGATAAATGATAAACAATCTTTCTGTTGCTAATATTGACTGGTAAATTCTAAGTCGATGGCGTAGTACTTCGTAGATTTGACTGTAAAAAATTGGGTACTTCACAATTCGTCCTTACCCGTAGCCTCTGGTTCTATACTTTCATTTTTATTGCGGCCTGTATGATCCGCATCAGAGGCTTGCGCACCAACCGTCCTTGCAAGCTGCGCAATCTCCTCATCGTAAACTGTCCATTCGGGCACCTGTCTTCTGGCCCTGTCGAGTTTCGGCTCCTTGGTTTGCGGGTTATTACACAAGTCGATCGTTTTCGCAGTCTTTAGCGATTCATCCGAACACCAAGTCTCGCACCAAAGCCAGTCCTGCGGAAGACTCTTGATAGGAATAGAGTGCTGCATGTGGTTAGGTAGATCTTGGTCAAGGTTAGATAGACTGGCTGGATCAGCGGATAAGGACTGATATTGCCCTCGAAGTCTGTCACCGGCGGCAATGGCACGGAATCGCTTGAGGTCAACGACGTAGAGGGCAGAAATGTGGTATGGCCGGCCACGTAAGAACCGTTTCCAGTACCCCTGATTCCAGAACCGGAATCCCTCAATCTCTGTACGTGAGTCGCACATGGGTGTAAAGCCGTAAGGCGCTCCCTCGAGATCGAGTGAGACAAGGTCATACATATCGGTGCGGACGATTTGGTCGGCATCCACGAAAATCACCTTGTCTAGTGACAAAGGGAAAAGAACGTCGAGGAAGAGGATCTTATAACCCCAGATTTCTCGCTGCTTTTCACGCTGTGGGCGGAGCCAGTGTGGCCACTTGTATGTAACCATTTCGTAGGAAAATCCGTATTTCTCGGCAAGGTGCGGCACGAATGCCTTGAACGAGGGTGATAGGAACTGCTCGATAAACCAGAACTTGACTGAATGTTTTGTGTGCTTGGTGACGGACAGCATCATGATGTTCAGCATTCGCTCATACAAGTGGCCACTCGCGACAGAGAAGATATTAATATCAGCATGCTTCTCCTTCTTCGTCCTAGCTACACCGGAGAACATCTCGGACGCATAATTCAACCCTTGGGAGAGGAAATTAGTTGCTGAACCTGGTTTTTTAACTCCATCTTCAAGAACGTCATCCGACTCGTGGCCTGGCTTGCGAGACAAACGAGGGAACAGTGTCTTTCCTTGGAACGAGAGTAGAGAAACCTCGTTGTTCTCGTCTCCTGGCGTTGGAGTGTATCCCATACCACCAACACTGTCAAGATTGAATATATTTTCGCTCCTGCCTGGTTTCAACGTTATTTGCCAATGGCCAGGCTGTGCCTTAAACTGGAAGTACCCGAGATTGGCCATGACGATGGTATCAGTGAAATGGGGGTCTTTCTCAGTCCCCAATAGAAGCTGGACTCCCCTTGGAGGTTTCTTATTCGACAGATCCCGAGAATGGCCTTCAATCAGGATATGCTCAAGATCATAGATAGCATCAACATTGGTACCTTCCTTTAAAGAGCTGAGTTTTATGTTATCCAAATCATGAACCGAGTCCTTGGGGGCCACGAGCCAAGATGGGGGAACATCCATTCCGAGATTCAACAATGCTTCCACTGGGATTCCACGGAAGGATGCACCTGGTTGTCTTAGTGAACCATCATCGTGGAAAGATGGCGCGGCCTCAAGAACGTGTCTATAAAACCTTTTTACTGGCAGCTCCTTTATGCTCTCCAGAGGAGTTAAGAATAACTTCAAAGAAACGCCGCTGAGGTTGGACAAAACCTTCAAGATAGGAATCCACCGCTGAGCAACCTCTGTTGCCGGATCCACGGTCGCAACAATTTGAATCAATGGCTTTTCCGTGTTTGATATAGTAATAGCAGAGTTCTCGCTTGCCCATCTGGTGAAAATATCAGTACGAACCATGGGGCCAGATTGAAATGTTCCTTGTGGGATATCCGAAACCGTTGAAAGCGCCACGAGGGACGTCAGTCTTGCGAAGGCCGAGTGGTCACGAATTTTATCAGTCGCTTGGAGTGCCTCGAGAGCCTTCACCACAGGAGTAATACGCTTAGAGCGTTCATACTGCAGTGCTAACTCCAGATCTTGACCATCTAGGATTGTTGTTTGATTGAGTGGTCCTATCAGCCTTCCGTTCAGGAAAACATGTATGCTACCTCCTGTGACCCCTAGCTCTGAAAGCAATGGTTGAATGGATGAGTAATAGCTTTCAATGCTAGACGAGGTGTCTGGGTCCCGTTGACTCTCGTCTCTTGTTTCTTTCTTGAGTAAAGCAATCAGAGCATCGACATTAATCTCGCGTCCACCACCAAGGAGGCTATGGATCTTGGCAGAAAGTCCATTGCTGCCTTGTTCAGCTGGCGAAACAGGGTTATGCAATAGAAGAATTTCAACTTCAGGGTTCGCTTTGTAAAATTCGACCGCGTTAGCCAATTGTTTCGCACTGTGTTCATCATCTAGATCGATTGCAAGAGCGAGTTGCGCCCATTTATCAATAGAGGAGTCACTCTTCCCAGGTATCCGGGGGATTAATTCAAACGCGTCCTTATGTTTAATATAAGCGTCGTTTATATTTTTCACAGTCACGTCGCTCGCATCCTCGGGGACAATTAACGGGTTGCACTTTGGCGATGCGTCCTCCAAGTAAAAATTAGGAAGCCACACATCGTCCTTGTAGACACCCTCGTAGATACGTCGTTGCATACCCTGCACATCCTTGAAAAGTCTGTCGATCAGGAAATGCATCCAATTTTCACCCCGTTCAAGAGGTGCGGCGTTTGCAAAGATGGGGGGATTCTCTCCATCTGCAGCTAGTCGTTTAAGGTACTGTTTTGATTTCAAAACGGCAGCATCGAGCTCAGGCGACTTCAAAACGTCTTCCAATGAGGTAGCAGATCGATCCTCCTTTAGTTCTCTGTCTTTGACAGCGGCCTCAAAGCTAGTTTTACTTGGAACCTTGAAATTTTGTGTCGAGTATATCTATTATCAACGGATTAGCATTTGTTCAAGTATGAATACCAGCTTAGAAGGGATACGCGAAACTTTTTAACTAGAACGTACCTCTGTAAAATAGCTGAAAAGCGATTCCAGCCCATAAGCATCTTGCAAATAATACGCAATTTTCGCTTGATCCCCCGAAAGTTCGCTGATGTGCATGGGAACCAGTCCAAATCTAATAGGTACCTTATTCAGGACAAACGCTTGCATTTCCTCAACAAACATCGTGATATCTGCTTTATCGGCCAAGTCTAATGGTATAATGACGTTGTGGACGTCACGGCGGAGCTCATGGAACTGGCCAGGATACATCGGTTGCAAGAGCTATATCTCATCAGCATTGACGGGATTTCAAAAAGTTTTGGGGTAGTTAATTGGACTTACAGTAGTGATCTCGTTTGACCAATCTTCATAGCGAGGATCCTTCTCCAGATCATTCAGCCAGATAATGACATTTCCTCCCTCAATATCGTCTCGATAGTCATATCGCTGGATTCCTTGCACAGTCTGAGCTTTTGAAATGGCGGAATTAGATAGAAGCTTAACTGCGTCTTGTGCAGGCAAACCAAGCTCATTAAGAGAGTTCAAGAGTTTCCGTTCTTGTCTTAAATGGGCGAGAAGTGAAAAAGCATCAACATTCCGAGGTGCCATCTGCACTCCATTGATCCACATAGTGTTTATACCGGGCTGCAACCCTTCCTCCCTGTTTTCTCTATACTCAGCGAGAAATTCAGGGGTAGCATTGAAGCTGGCGGTTGTCTTTGAGTGTCTAGGGAAATCATCCGATAGTTTTGTCAGGGTGTCGAATGGATCATCACTATTCATAACAAAGCTAGCTGCATTTAATCCCAGGCTTGACACTTCGGATGAAGAGAGAGGTTCCAGGTCTGCAGTCGAGCTTTCTGCTAGACCATTGACAGCCAACGTCGGTTTCGTGTCTGTCACTGTGTCTTTATGGTCTCCTTTTTCTTCACTGCGGTCATCGATCATAATATAATCGGTACGCTTTAGAGAAAGCTCAACACCATATCCACTAACGTAAAGCGGTTTTGCCGGTCCAGTCGTAGCTGTTGAAGGTCGATAACGAACCCTATAAGAGATCTCGCCATCTCTGGCTCTCTTGCTGACTGCCTTGTGGAATTCGCTGAAAAGAGGTGAAGTAATATCCGCGTATAAAACTAATGATTGCTGGCTTTCATCGTCGTCACCGTTTGGAACAGCAAGTATACGATCAAAAGGAAGCATTTTCTCAAGTGACCTGGAAATAAAAGCAATAGAGCAAATTAGCTTGTCAGCAGTCTTTCAACCATTTGTTTCATTCATCATTCATATCTCGTCTTTTTCAATCTTTAACAAATCACGACTCACGCACTCGTCCCTTCCAGCAATTAAAGGCTGCTGAGCATGCTCTAAAGTAGGCGAACAATATTGGGCTCCATCGTAGTGAGCCCAGACCTGACACACCGCGTCCTGTGCCGCCATCAATGAATTCTCAACGGAGGTATTATAGTACTGGTAATGAGCCTGGATTCGGGGCGCGGTAGATCGAATCGAGAGGGCAAACTTGAATGACGACAAAGTAGCTGCGTTCGTAATATGTCCTTCATCGCTAAGCACCTGGACGAATTGTTCGTATAGGTCTTTCTCCGTGGTGGCATCCGCGAATCTACCGTCGGCGATGCGGTCGAGGAGGGGGAAGTAGGACGTCGCATTCTCTTCAGCTGCTGTTTCCCTAATATTATCAGTCAGCCAGAGCCAGTGTGGACTATATTACTGTAACCGAATCAGCTTACAAGAGTTCCATCAGATATGGAGCTGAATTGAATGATGCGCTCAAGGCCACGTTGACCGACGGGCTTGCTTGAGCCACATTTGGGAAAAGCGCAATGGCAGCTAGAAATAGCTTCAATGGCCGTAGAGGCCATGGCTTTATGAACGACATTAGGACTGTGTCGTTGTAATTCCAGCTCTGAGCATAAGGGAATCAATAAATCAATCGTGTTCAGAGGTTATTATAACGGCGGAGATAGGCCTCGGGGCAGCTTCAAATTAATTATTTCTTCTGCAAATGCATATCTAGAAAGAATACCGAGTCGCCATGAGATCTGGCACGGTTTGCCAAACGGATTGGTGCGATGTATGCTATATAGTCCAGGCTGACGTTGTTGTTTGATCCCACTCCGCGGGCCGATGGAGCTTGCGGCCTCCTTCTGGCCACATTTCGGGTTTTCTTTACATCATCAACCCTGGACAGACAGGTTCAAAATGACATCAGTTTCACTACGACAGAGAAAATGAATGGTATTAAATAATTATATTTATTATAATACGCAGCATACACTCCATATCTGCATTAACTATTATGAAGCGGCTTTTAGCGATTAATAATTAATAGGAACACTTTTCAATCGCTGGGTACAGGGTACAGTCGGTCAGGCTTTCAAGCATCAAAGCGTACATCAAAAGTAGAGAGAAACAAAGGGGGCCAACATCCAGCTCAAGAAAGAGACAAAATATCGGAGGCATTAGAAGCCATAGCTAGAACAGATACAAGAATCGAATCCTCCAATGGGGCTATTCCCTGCAAAAGAAATCGCTATTGTCGGGTATGAAAATCGAGCGTTTGGTTAACCTGAGGGTGGTGAAGAGGGTATTTGTTCGTTTGTTGGATGGGAAAAGTTAACTTAATCCGCTCGCGAGAGACATAGAAAGACCTTTAATCTCCGTGCGCCATTTGCAAGAAACAAAAACAATAAAATCAGAAAAATTCTCTTTTATTTCCGGCCTGATAAAGAGAATCGTGTTGCGTCGTCCGTGGTAAGAGATCTGGTGTAAGGAAAATCTGGTGCCAGTCCAGTGGTTTGGGGACAGTGGTAGTAGTAGTAAACGTTTGGCTGTTGAAAGTTCGCCAAATAAGAAAAGAAACGAAAGTGGATGGTAGCACGGAAAATATTTATGCGAATCGGGGTATCGTCGAGGTTATCCGGAGGAAAAAATGGGTGGGTGTGCTGGTTGTGGCGGAGGTATGACACGTAGAGAAATTCGTGAAATTCATTCAAGGCAAATGCATGCGCTCATTCGGCTGTTTGTTTGAGCTTGTGAGCATTCTTTGCCTCCCACTGTTTTCTCTGTTGTTTGAATTTGTCTGGGTCAAAGGATGGCTCGTCGCTCATGGACAAGCTTCGCATGGTATCCCTTAGGAGGCTGGAAGACTTCATCTTCTTAACGGTGCTTGGTCGCTTGGGCTCCTTTACCGCCTCCCTAAGGTCGCCGCGCGATTTTAGTTTCTTGATTTCCCGTGCGATCCTCTCTAGAGTCGACCCATTCGAAGCCTTGGGCTGGGAGATTTGCGATTGTGGCGTGGATGGTTTTGTCGAGTTTTTGTCGCTGCTGCTAGAACTGCCGCTTGTAGATGGGCGTTCGGACGATGTGAAGCTGATGCCTGAGTCGACCTTTCTTCCCTTTCGTTGTCCAGCGTCGGCGGCATCTTCAAAGTGCTGGCAACCGGTGACTTCGGAACATTGGTTGATAATGCTATTCGCCAGGTTGAGGTAACTGTCGATCATGTCTCTTGCGACGGGCCAACCAGTCTTCTCACCAGGCCGTCTATCTTGTTCGATGACATGTTTCAGCACCTGTACGCCCTTTTTCTCAAAGGAGGAGATGTAGTCATAGAAACGCATGCGATGATCCAGTAGTAGTTTCCCATTAAGATGTGGAGTGGGTGGCCTGGAATCCAATGGAGGGAAAAGAGTGTTTAATAATGCGATACAGTTGTACCTATTAAATGGAGTGAGAAGCATTTCGTTGACGAGAGCCTAGAACATATTAGCAAATTAGAGAAATGTTAAGGGTAGGAGATTATATCGAACATACCCAACATCTGATGCGGAGATAGACCTGGGTATAAAGGGCGATCACGCGTCTCTCGTTATCTTCAATCGCCTTGACCCAAGCGAGCACTCCTGGATACCGTTTTGAGAGTTCATATCTCTCATTGTCGGTTCCGGTAAGACCGAGTCTGTCGAATGCGTTGACGACTTCTCTCTTGCGGCGGTTTTCCAGGTCTCTGAGGTAATCCAGTGCCGTGAGAGCCTGGGGGAAATCGACATCCTCCAAGACAGGAGGGAAAGACCGCCGAACAAAAGAAGTGATGAAGCTCGGTGGTAGAGAAGCTGGCTGTGAAGGTAGCTGCGCAATCTGGGCCATCATCTGGGCCTTGAATCTGGCAGCAGTGTCTGACATGCCCGAGTCACTTGATCCCTGTTTCTCGTGGCGAGGTTGTTTCTCATGGCGAGATGAAGGCGCGGTACTGGCGGGAGATGGAGTAGCTGCCGGTCGAGAGAATGCAGAGCCAGCCAAGCTGGATGATAGACTGGCCAGGTCCGTTGTTCGAGGAGACGAGTTGAGAGTGTACATGGTGCGCAGGGGGATCTCATAGCTGCCGGGATAGGCCAGCAGATGCTCCAGGATCCATGGCAAAGCAGCACCCTCGCTGCTGTTGGAGGAGAAGCTCGAGTTCTGGCTGCTCATGATGGACATCAGATGCCAGAGACTCGCGTTGTTGATATGTAGTAGAAGTGCACCAGAGATATGTGGTGATGATGTGGTGAAGGTGAAGAAGAAGAGAAGAAGAAAGGAGCCCACGCGAGGAAGACAGTGTTAAAGAGCGTGAGCTAGCTGATCTCCCTATGCAGTGAAAGAGATGGCTTGTTTCTGGCGTTGCAAAGACAGGCGCGCGATGCTGACAGGAAGTTGTTTATTTGTTTACTTGGTTCGCTTGTGTTCTCCCCAAACCAGTCATCGTCCTCATGATCCAACACTGCTTTCTCTGATGGCTGCACCACAAAACCGCGAACCGGGAAGACTAGCTGACCGAAGCTTGGAAGAAGGAGAAGATGGTGGTGGTAGGAGGAATATTGGTGGTCAGCGGTAGGTCTCTCTTCTCTAGACTGCCGGCTGATATCTGTGCTAAACAAACAAGGAAGACGAAGAATGAGAAAATCCGGCTGCTCGATCAATAGTCGATGTCAGTAGCCTGCGTTCCTGGTCAACAACAACAGCAGCAATTAAGAGACCGGACACGAGCGAGCACAGAAGAGAAACGAGAAACGAGGAACAGGAGAAGGAAAACGGAAGACGAAGAGGAGGGAAAAGGCGAGATAAAGTGAGTTGATGGGATCGAGTCGTCACATTCAGGCTGTCCCACCCCCCGAGACATCTAGATCCACAGCTAATAACAAGCGCTGTAAGATGTATATTATTTTTCTTTTACCTGCAGGACGAAGAGTACGTGGAGACTACGAAACCAAGCGCGCCACATTCTACTCCGTACTTATAGATCGGATCCTCCTTAGGTTTACCAACGGGCTGGCTCGTTAGTCGAAACATCCTGGGGGAACATCAGTTAGATACGGGCCCTGAACGCAGTATCCATGCCTGTCACCAAGAGGTGCGATGCGCATATCGTATGCTCGTCTGGAGGGTTACGGAGTGCATGCGAGGAAAAATGGGTGCTGCAGGAACTCTCCCTCTCTCTCTTCTTTTTCGCCTCGACTTGTCTTTTTGCACTTATGTAGGACGCGAGACCTGTTGGAAAAGGTTACTTTGCTTTATGCAGTCACCATGCATCTATCCCAGCCCTTCACCGGCCGCCCAGTTAGACTTGCAGCTTGGGTTTTTTCAACGATCCTGCGGGCGACTCGACAGACCCTGAATCCTAGGAAGGGCATATTATATTATGTACCCTAAATAATACCGATACGATATCAGATAAGTATATGTTGGCTATTCCTTGGAAATTTCAGGAGCCACGCCCATACTCAAATTCACCACCCACCACCACCCCCCCGTCCCCCCATATCCGACGGGCAATTAATATTTTTTTGCCCTCCCCCGTTTGAACGGATTAAGAATCGCAGATATGGAGATTTGAGTTGAGAAAAATAATAATTTTCGCGATATGATTTGATGGAGACGCTTCCCTATGAGCGACTTACCCCTGGGAAGGTTCCCTTGTGCCTTTTACTTAGTGTCTGCAGGTTGACCGCCGCGTCTCTGCTGTACTCTGTACAACAGAGGTTCGTCCAAGGGAAGGGTATTTTCCCCCTCCTCTACCTCTCGTTCGTCAGAATCGCCAAAAATCCGACGTCTGTGGCTTTTCTTTTTTTTTTCGGGAAGTAAAAAACAAAATAAACACCTGCCGGAGTGCCGCGTCAATGAACAAACATTTTCTTTTTTGTGCCTCTTGAGTTGCCCTCCCGCCAGTAAGAACCTCGCGCGGCCATGGTGTCAGCCAGGGCCAGAAGCCGCCGGTGGGCACACACGCTCGATCCTGTTGTCCGTCTTGGCGAAAGAGTTGCGTCCTGCGAGCAGTTCGGTATGGAAAGGAAAGGAAACGGCTCCCCATATCAGATGTGTGTACATACGGAGGTGCGCATATCCTGTTATGTCCAGTCACATTGACCCCGACTCGTTCGCTGTTTGGCTGGGGGGCCGCCTAGTTGCAGGTAGACAGGTAGCTCCTCCACTAGGACACAGCTGATTTTCAAAATACGAACGGCGCCATTGTTATACTTTCCGCTCACGTCCCGCGTCCAAAAGTTGAGCTCTCAGTTTTCTTCTTTTTTTTTTTGCCATGGGATGAAAGAATAATGTTCCGCGCCCAATGATATGGTACAAACGGTCGGCCCCAAGGAAGATGAGCAAAATCTGGATGTACGAATCAGATCGGGAGGAGAAAGGCAGAAAAGCGTGGGTTCGAACCTTAGCGAAAAGGATAGGCGGATGGACCGAAAATGTGCCAGATCAGATTTGTTACCTCCGTACAGCAATATTCATTTTCTCTATCCCCACACACTCCGTGGCGTATTGATTCGACATTAGCGTTAACCGAAGCCTCACACGCTCCCCCATGCTCATAAGCAGCCTGATATCGCTGGCATCGTGGCATATTTATAGCATTCGACAGATCGTTTATGTATTATGCGTCGTGGGTTGCTCGGCAATTATGCTTATATTTACTCCCTCGAGAAGGAGAGGCGCAAGACGCCTCCGGGGCTTCCTTTTTTTTTCTTCGTCTTCTTCAGCTTTTCTCGCCTTCCCACGATTTAGCCTCTTTCGCCAACGGCTTCTCGGAATTGCATCCTTGCCATGAGTAGCGAGGGCTTTGGGTTTAACGCACAGAGCTCGATGTAGTATTTGATCAAACGGCTAATCGATATTGGGCAAGTTCACGTCTCGGCTTTACGCTAGAACATACCCACGACACGCCGTAGAAAAAGCATCCCCGCCTGATCAACCCGAAGAAGGCGATCGGTGAACCAACGGGCGAATTATGGAGCGGCATACCCAGACGGAGATTCCCAAATGGACTTCATGCTCCGAACATCAAACGTCAAATTGACTGATCGGGGAGATCAAGGGTGGGAAACGTGTTTTTCTCGGGAACTGTTTCTCTACCCATGTCCGATAACCACGCCTGCCAGCGGATCCAGAACATCCACACAGGGAGGAGGCTGGCGAAACTGACGCCGTAAGAACTCAAGTTCACCCTACAGCGTACTCCGTACTCCGTATGGGGGGAGGTCTCTCCCTGTCCAGATTCCTGCACCCCGACTTGAAAGCATATAAAAGCCAGCTGCTATATTGTTCAACCCCCCCCTAGCGGTGATCACTATCGCTATTCACGGCTTTCAATAGCGTCTTCCCTCAGGCCAGGAGGTGTTCAGATAAAATGAACGGAGAAAGGCTCCCTGTCGATTCACACACGCTGGCACGTTTAGAGGCACACTAAGGAGGCAACCGACTGGAGTCTAAAGATAAATTGCATACGCGAAGGATGGTGCTAGATTCGCACTTGATCGCCCATATGGCTTCAACGCTCTCGACGCCGGTGCGAGTCTAGCTGACGCAGCGTAGCTCCTGCTGCACACCATGACTAGTTGCTGTGTAGACGCGCCACCTCCGCACTCGAAGTCCGCTTCCAGAGGACGCAGAGAACCGTCATCCCACGGCGATTGCCAACCATCGTATTGTCGTCACGGTTCATGCGAGTCTACTCCTGCATGTAGCTCCTGTCTGTGTGTACCTGTACGGAGTATGCTCGTGTTTGTTCGTGTTGCTGTTGGTGCTTGTGTTTGATGTGTTCGCATGGTCAAACATGGACGCAGCTATCTCCGGTCACGTGTATATCCACATCGGGTTTCCCCGTGACCTGCCGCTTTGTGCATCTTTGACGTCGTGGAAATCCGAAGGGTGAAAGAGACCACGATCTTCACCCCCGGCAGAGCAGAAACACCGAGCAGACTCGGGCATAGACATCCTATTTCAGGCAGAGAGAGCGCCAGAGGACCTGCATCGGAAAGGTGCCGCTCGTGGAAATGGAGGCTGGACCTCTTAGTTTCGGTAGGTCGCAGCCAGTCGCCGCCGGTCAGCGAAGTTCGGCTTCGCTGGCAACACGGGATTTTTCTTTTCTTTTTTTTTACCCTATTCGCGCCTTTTTACGGAGTATGGTTGGCCAAATATTCTAATGCAGCACATCACTGACATTTCCGATCTTAGTTACGCTTGATGTGTTTTCATCTGAAAGGTTGATACCACCTTGTCCGTTTTGATAGCTTTCGCTTTTTTTTTCTTTGGCCTGAAAGCATGCTAGCAGCAGAGCTAGACCAGAGCTAGACCCAGGGGGATAGTCTCTGAATGATGCTTTCCAAGCCAAGTCAATCAAACCAATCTTTAAACCCAAGGTCATCGTTTTGTTACTTTCTCTAGATGTCTAACATTTTCGATCTCTTGTTTATGGCAGGTATGAGGGAAGCCCACTTGCAGTGGTGCTGGTGAAGAATGGTAGTTCTCTCTCCTTGGAAAAGAAGACGAACATCGCCATAGAATTTGGTTATAATGACACCGCTTTCTTACATGAGCCATTCTACGAAGAGAAGATTGGCAAGAATGTTCGGAAATTGGAACTCTTCGGCGCCACAAAGGCACACAAGCCTTTGGCTTTCGATGCCATTCTCGGCGTCGCGTTATACATATTTCAGAAGAACCCTCTGAACTCGGCAACGCCGGTACCTGGCCCGCGTGGGGGAACGGAAACAGATAAATCGGCGTCGGCTGCCTTCCTGGAGTGTTTTATCCAGTATAAGGATCTGATATTTCGCGCCGAATATGACCCCGCGCGTCAGGTTGGCGTTCTTCTGATGCCGCACAACGTCCACGTCCACGGTCGGGAAACGAAGAAGGATGAGATACTCGCCGTCCAGCCCGGGCTGTCCAAGGACGAGGAAGTGAAGAAGATGAACGCGTCGTATCCGATAATGTCGATCGCCACAGGAGTGACTTACACCTTGGTAGACTTCACCAACAGTCCCAATCTCGTAAACCTTCTCGAAGCAGGCGAACCGCCGACCCCCGAACTCGATACAAGCTGGAAGGAGAGAGCTGTGGACGAATCGATCATCCATCGCCACTATGGGGCAGTTTACTTCGTTCAAGACGAAGCCGATTTCACCGAGGAACCCTATATCACGAGTCTGCATGTACGGGTGATCCAGGACGGCGTTGAACAGACTGCGACTGCCGGTGCCTGTTCCATTCTTGCCGCATACTTGGCACTGCAGAAAGGGGGGAATAACTCTAGCCATGCATTTGCTATTAAGCAAACCACTACAACGGGTCGATCGAGCCAGCTGTGCCTACAGATTGGTCTCGATGAGAATGGAACAAGCGTTAAACGCATCGTTCTCTCCGGGCGTTGTACCTTCATCAGTCAAGGTACATTGCTATGAGAAATCAACCCTGCCCCATCCATGTATATACTACTTACCTAAGTTACCCCATTTTTCATGTACCTGTGCGCTGCTTCTCTGACGGGTCGCTTGTCAGATTTGGAGCCCTTGTTCTCCATGGGTCAGTGTTGGCAATGTCACTTTTCCTCGATCTGTACTTACATGCATACTGTAACCGTTCCAACCCAGCATCGTGATTACTTTATGTGTATTTTTCATGGATCAACCGATTTGCAAAAGTTAAATACTCCTGCACATACGAGGTTGATCAACTCGCAGCCTCTTGTCTATCACTACCTTGCTCCGGGCAGAAGGCTGATACTCACAACAGATCCCCCTCATCCCTTACCAGGGAACAAGAGGATCACTGCTCGGAGCACTATACGCATACTTTCTAAGAAGTTGCCTCTACAATCTATCTCACACCAAACTTAGCCTGTAGGGGTTACTCGCACCGACGATGGCTCCTAACACGCATTGCGACAATAATGCATATCTTATCGCCCGCTTGACAGGGTTATTAAGGATCTATTGCATACAAAACAATAGAACCTATATAGAACCTATATAACTCCTAGTTCTGATGTATCTGAAACTTACCTTGCAAGAACTATGCAACTTTTAAACGAAGATGAAACGCGCAACCATCATAAAACATACCATATCACGTGTTATTAGGTTATCGATAAGAGGGTTTATGTTTGAAGCTTCAAAGAGAGAAAAAAGCAAGCGACTTTTCAACGGCGGCCGAACATAACTCGACTTTAACAGCACTTACCACCCTTTATTTCGATCAAACAGTCCGTGTCGCAAATCTAATCGTCTTTTCATAAATAAGTTAATCTTTATTCAACTGCCCTTGCCAAGACACTCGGTCTTCGCGCCGAGGCTTCATCTAGATAATGGCATCTCCCACCATCATCCTCCCTGGCGATACCCTCCAGCTATCCCAGCCCAATGCTCCCAAGTTAGGACCGAACCTTCACCTGCTATCATCACAGAGCGAGTCTCAAGAACCCCAGCAGGCTTCGACACAAATCATTGCAGCCTCGCAAGCGGGGCTTCTGACGTCCGAAACGAAGCGGAACACAACAACTTCAGTTCTCCCTTTTCCTAAAACACGCTACACGCCGTGTCAGAATGACTTGGTGATTGCGCAAATACATCACTCGAGTCAGGATTTCTTTCACTGCATAATAACACCAAACTCACCACATGCATTTCTTGGCCAACTCTCCTTTGAGGGAGCAACGAAGAAGACAAGGCCGCAACTTAAAGCTGGTGAAATAGTTTATGCGCGCGTTTTATCTGTAGGGGTCGGCGCAGGCGGAGAGATTGAATTGGCTTGTGTTAACACTGCGACTGGGAAGGCAGAGCCTGATGGTCTCGGGCCCCTAACAGGTGGCATGGTGTTTGATGTTTCCACCCTCTTTGCATCCAGATTAATGATGACTGGGGCAGAGAGGAAAGATGGCTCCGGACCTGGTGGTGTTGTTGTTTTGGAGGAGTTGGGCAGGAAGTTTGAAGGCCATGGTGGTTTTGAGGTCGCTGTTGGAAGGAATGGGAAGGTTTGGGTTGATAGTTCTGCTGAGGGGGATGTTGGAGTTAGGATGGTTGTTGCTATCGGACGGTGTTTAAAAGAGACGGATGATAAGAGACTGGATGTTTTGGGCCAGAAGAAGTTAGTTTTGAGAGTGCTGAAGGAGATGGGATTAGGTAAATGAGTAAAAGCTAGATCCATTGAAATTGATGTTTGCATTGCTACATGGCGTTGGACTTATGAGGTTGTATGTATCTATTTGATAGACTGGGTATATTTAGCGATTTCAGGTTACTAAAAACGATTGTTTATATTCAAATAGCTTCCCCTCTTCAAAAATCGGAATCAGAACACAAGAAGAAGATATAATACTCCAATAGCCCTCCTTAAACAACACCTCGTCGCTTTGGTCGTATAACTCCAAATGTCAGTCTCCGCCTTAATGCCCTTGAGCAAAGGCAAGTTATCAACTGAGATTGGAACCCGATAATCAACGGTATATAATCGTGCTCAACCAATCAATACGTTTTCAAGCCGCTGTTGAGCTAAAGTGTTCAAGTAAGAAAATGCAACGTATTTCCATCAGACTGGTTAACCCGAGGAGCAGGTATTATGATACATACCCAGATCTATACTTATCTGTTTCTTATTTTCTGCTGCAAACTGTTCTCCCATCCATATCTTTGCACACCATGCAGCCACGAGCGCATCGACCAGTGTATCATCCAAATCACGTATAATGTGTAGTACAGGCCGTATATTCGAGCCCCCGGGTATACATACAGACTCTATGGCAACAAGGGACCGGTTGGCATCTTCCCACTGCAGAAGTTCCTGTTTTTCCATATTATATCTGGGCCTGATGCGAAATATGAGATCGTCTGTCTGCCCGTTCAGACGGAGTCGAAAGAGCGCCCACCCCCTTTTTAGGATGCCCCGAGACATGCGCAAAGATAAAACAGCAGAGAGACAGTTCCGCCTTTTCCCTACTATTTCCGCGCAAGATGAAAATACAGGTCGCGAGAAATCATATAAGTGTTTGCTTTGTATGTTGCCATACTGGGCGCCATTTCTGTTCGGACAGAGCCGTGAAATTCCAATCTTGCTATATCTAGCATCTAACTTGTGAGATAGTTCGTAGAGAGCTGTTGACGGAGGAACAACTGGGTAAATGAGGTTGCCGTCGAGGGTCAGAGGTGATAGCTCTGGTCGGCTCAGCGAAGGAGGGGCGGGGGCTTGTGCTGATTCTCTGTAGGAAGGGGGCGGAGTAGCAACGTTTGACATGGTAACCGATTTAAGATACCCTAGTATATCATAAATTCGAAGGCCTTAGGGAGTATCCTAACTTCAAAGCGGCATCTTGAAGCCCTAAGTCGGCAAACTGAGCGGGGGTCCGTGATAATCGCCACTTATACTCCGGAGCATGTCCTTGGTACCTAGAGAGGCTGGAAGGTAGGGTAAAGGCGATATTATAAACAGCGCTCGTTATATACAATGATAATAACTCAGATGATATGCTGGTTCTTTTGTTCAACTGATGCTGTCGACGTTGAGAGCGGCCAAAAGTTGTGACATCATCAGTAAAGTCCATGCCAAGAACGGTAACATGATGCAAAGCTAGAGCAAAGCATTCTCAGATAATATCCATCCGATGGAGAGGGAGGCAGTGAAAAGCATAGTGCTGGCTCTCCAGAGGTACTCCATCGTTCTTCGCATATTATCCACGAGCAACAATGGAAAGGGCATGTTGCCTCAATGTAGCTTAACTTCTAGCCAAGTCCTGTTGGCAAGGAATGCTCTGGGCGACTCCGCCATAATGTTAAACGTCAGCGGTAGAGATAATTCACATCCGATAAGTGTAAATTCTCAATCCAACCACGGCGTAAACATATGGGCCCATCGCTCGATATCTGTAATGTACTCTCGGCTCTCTGATACAGCCAAAGGATAGCTGGTAAGGCGTTCAATCACAAACAAGACGTGAGGATATTCGTCAAGATTCATCCTTCCGTTATTCGTATAGGTCATTATTCCATGGTAACTGCGATTTCTACCATGTTTACCCAACGAGTCCTTGAATCTGGTAAATCCGATTCATCTTTATCAGTAGGATTCAGGGCGTTATTCCGCCTCTGTCCTGCAGGTTCTGCCTTTTCATTCGGCTTAGAAGCAGCCCCCCCTGTGCCCTTTTCTTTACCGTCATTCGTCTGAGTATCACCTTCTGCCCTTCCTGCCTTGTCCTGTAATCTGTCTTCAGCCTCCTCGTTCTGGACAATGTTGTCAACGACCAAGACTGTTCCGGTCTTTACTTTGGTAGTAAATCCGTCCGTTTCATCAAACCACTTCCCCACATCCATAGCCTTCGCAATGGCACGCCCAGTAGCCTTGATGAAGACTGGCTCCTTGCGCAATGCCTCAGAAGCGTCTTTAAGCTCTGTGAGCTTGTCTTTGCCAGTTTTTCTCTTATCTCCCAAACGAACACTCTGTGTGGCACGCTTTTCCGCTTCTCTCAGCAGTTTCTGCACGCGTTTGGCAACGCTCATGAAAGGTGTCTTGGTCGATACATAGACAACCTTTGGTACCTTGGCTCCAGCATAAGGAGACGCGGTTGGAGGGTGAGGAATTGGGCGTCTCTCAATTCGCGCATCTATATAGCAAGATCATGTTAGTTATAACTGGAAAGCTGGCTCTCGACGGTGCTGTGTAGTGATTGTACTTTTAGGGATCTTGAGCAGGTCCTTGTTCTTCCTCTCGAACACCAGCTCGGGCTCAGGTTTAGTTTTAGCCATGGCGAGCCACGATCAAGCCAACACCCGGTCCAAAATCTTCCGGAGAGCTTCAATTAACGCCGTACTCGGTCATGATGTGTTGAATAACTGTCTCGTTGTTGTAGTAAGAAAACGGTCGAGGTGGAGCTTTTGCTAGGTTCAAATTATCCAACTATCGATAAGCTTTTTACCACACCTTCCAAGCCCAAAGAGGGCAACTTTTTTTTTTCCTTGACGAATTTTGTTCCGCCGTGTTGTTGCAAGCCACTTTGTTAACCACGGACTCCGTTTTCCACCGTTCAATTCTCTGTTAACGAGATACTCTTCTGGAGGCCGACATAACCTCCACGTCCACGAGATAAAAATGAGCGACCAAGCTGCTGGCGTCGCCTCTGATGCGGCCGAGCGGTGTGCTATTGGTATCTCCTTCGGAAACTCCAACAGCTCTATCGCCTACACCTCGCCCGTACGCTACCATTGAATTGAGTCGTCGTTTTCTTTTTCTTTTTAAAATTTATTATCTGACACTTGCGCGTTGGATAGGATGGAAAAGCAGAGGTTATTGCAAACGAGGATGGAGGTTAGTGGGATTCCCCCTCATCCAGTATATACGGGCCAACGGACTGATCGTCAAAAATTTAGATCGCCATATCCCTTCCATCATCTCATATGTTGATGGCGATGAATACCATGGAACACAAGCCAAATCCCAGGTAGTCAGGCATCCAACCAACACCATCGCGTATTTCAGAGACTTCCTTGGAAAAGAGTAATACCACACTACCCAAGACGATATAAATCGAGAGACCGTTGGCTAACCAAGTCTCTAGGTTCAAATCGATAGACCCTACACCATGCCACCAGTCCGCTCATCCTAAGCAGCACGAATCTACTATCGCTTTCACAGTGCAAGAGACTAGCGGCGAAGAGTCAAGCACGCTTACCGTGTCCGAAGTTACCACTCGCCATCTCCGACGCCTGAAGAATTCCGCTTCTGAGTATGTCGGCAAAGAGGTGAATGCAGCAGTCATCACCGTTCCTACGAACTTTGCGGATTCTCAGCGATCTGCTTTGATGGAAGCTGCGAAGAACGCTGGTATCGAAGTTCTTCAGTTCATTCACGAGCCCGTTGCTGCGGTCGTCGCATATGATGCTAGACCAGAGTCTGTTGTGACCGATAAGCTCGTTGTCGTTGCTGACTTGGGCGGCACAAGATCCGATGTTACTGTCATTGCATCCAGAGGTGGAATGTATACCATCTTGGCCACCGCCCACGACTACGAACTAGGAGGTGCCCAGTTGGACCAGGTGCTCATTGATCACTTTGCGAAGGAGTTCATCAAGAAACACAAGATAGACCCTAGAGAGGAAGCTCGAAGCTTAGCTAAACTAAAGCTTGAGGCAGAGGCTACCAAAAAGTCTCTTAGTATCGGTACTAATGCCTCTTTGAGCGTCGAGAGTCTTGCAAACGGTATCGACTTTACTTCAACCGTGAACCGACTAAGATATGAAATTCTCTCCGCCAAGGTCTTCGCAAACTTCACCGAGCTTATCCAACAGGCTGTACAGAAGGCTGAGCTTGATTTACTTGATATTGACGAGGTTTGTTAATCCTACCCCTAAATCTAAGTAATTTACCAACCAATCACTTACCGAATTTTAGGTCATTCTCTGCGGTGGAACGTCTCATACCCCAAAGATCGCTCGCCTTGTCCAGGGCCTATTCTCTGAATCCACCACTGTTCTCGCGCCAGCTACTTCCCCTGCTGCCATTCACCCATCCGATGTGGCTGTCAGAGGTGCCGCAATCCAGGCTTCTTTGATAGAAGAGTTCGAAATGGCCGACATCGAGCAATCCACTCACCCGATGGTCACGGTTACCCCTCACCTTAGCCACGCCATTGGAGTCCAACTTATTTCTGCTACCGAGTCAAAGGGTATCTTCAAGCCGCTCTTGAACACCGAGACTGCTCTCCCAGCCCGTCGATCAGCCCAGTACCCCGCGCCAAAGGACGGTGGTGATGTTCTCATCCGTGTTTGTGAGGGCACACGTGAGATTAAGGTCATAAAAGCAGAACCTAAGCCAAAGGCTGATGATGATGACGAAGACGACGACTCTGATGATGAGGAAGATGAAGAAGAGGAAATCCGCGAGGTTTCATGGAACGTTGCCAAGCCACTCGCCGAGTTTGCCATCCGCGACGTCAAGCCTAATGGTAAAGTCGAGGTTATGGTTAGTGTTAATGAGCAGCTTGCTGTCCAAATAACCGCCCGCGAGATTGGTGGAAAGGGAGGTGTCCGTGGCGCTGTGGAAGCTCCACAGGTGGTTGAGAACGGTGCATAGATCTTTGATAAACGGAGGACATACAAAAAGCACACATAAAAGGCTTCATTAGACGGAGAGGGATATTGGATGTTAATGTTTTTATCCTTTTTCGATGAATTTAATATGCTTCGTTGATAAAAAAAGAAGTAGTTTGAAGACAATCGTACATTTTCCGTAGCAAAGGGCAGTAAGCAGGCATGCCCTATCTCGATCCAGACTTATTACTTCTATCAATACTAGATAATTCGTTATTCCCTTACTCGCGAGTATCTACTTGAGTTCCGTCTTATCTTCGAGGTCGTGATGATGTCTTGGCAGTCACCAGATACAGATGACGTTCGAAGTCGCAACCAACGAACGATAAACAACATCTTCAGTATCTTTTAACCCACGACTCACACACAGCTCATCTCAACAATAAAAAAGCTCAGCTAGAATATGGCTGCCTGGGCGTATCCTTCTCTAGCGCCTGATCAGCTAAAGGAGAAGGAGGAGGAGTCGTTGGTATGTGTCCAACCCTATTCTGAACCCCGATCAAACGATCAACTTTCTACACATATAGCTGACCCTGGTGGATTAGTCTCGAGAGCTGCAATGGCTGCTAAACTCCTTACAAGGGACTCTAGCCTCCTTGAGAGAAGGCCTACAGGAATGCTATACTCTACTCACGCCGAATGAGAACGGGTCTACACTCGTCCTTTCGTCAATGCGGTCAGAATGCGTGAAGGGGTTTGTGACGAGGGCGGGCTCAAAGATTGTTAAAGGGGTACGGCTCTTCGTGATGAAGCTATATATATAGCTGGAATAAATATTCCTTGATCAGTGATGTCAAATTCACCAGATTATTAGACCTTTACTAATAACCAGTTGTTACTAGGATGTCCAACTCCGTTTAAATTCACTACCTCCCCCACGCGGCTCCCCTTCAACTCGACTGAGTATTTCAACCGACCCGGCAGCCCCAGAACTAGTTCTCAACCAGCTTTCATCTGTTCGCCGCCTAATAAATGATAGCCTTGATATCGTTGATATTAGCACATATACGGGGGATTCAAAGAATGCGAATTTTATATCTGGCCAATTAAGGCTTCTAGGCGATAATTTGGCTGAAGCAAGGCAAACTTTGAAAGGAGATGGAGAAGGCATTAAGCAACCTTGGTTTGAGGACAGTGCCCATGAGAATGTATGCCCCCCGCTCCGGTTAAACGGAATTATGATCAATACTGACTCCATATCTAGAGCTTCGACCCACCACTCCCGCCTCACCTCTCATTCCATCTCTCAATTTCAGATGCAGCTCTCGTATTGTATCTTCGCACGCTTGAACCCACCTCGGCAGATAGTGCTCCGGCCGCAACGTTCACCCCTGACCTTTCTTTAGGCGGATTTTCTTTACGAGATCGGCTGTTTGGCTCGAAGCAACCGACCCATGATGAAACTGGAGATGTATTTCAGTGGCATGGCGAAGAAGTAAGGGTCCAAGAGAAAGTCAGGGTTGAAAGCCAGGATCCCAGTCTTTTATCTGCCATGGCTAAAATCGCCGCCCTTGAACATGAGGTTGCAAGGTGGAGAGAAGCCCTGTCGATCCTTATGGGAGACGAGAGCGACTGAATTATACTTCGTTTTATCATCCTTGGCTACTGAGCACACATACGAAGGTCCCTGCCAACAGTCCTTGAGTAGCCCTATATGTTATCCCTTTCCTAACGGGCAAGTCTGAGGATAATCACGATGATGAGCCTAAGGGTAAATCTGACGACGAACCTAGAGCAAGTCTCAGGGCAAATCTAGGAACATGCCAATGGATTATAAAATGGGTGACATGAAAGGTCTCTACGGAGTTTTGTTAGGGACTCCATACATAAGCAGTAAGCCGAATATCTTTCCGCATCAGGACCGCATTCATCGTATTCGGATTTTCCGGGACGGGTGCACTGTGGCTTTCCCTGCTGCTATTTCATTTATATACATTGTAGTGTACCCTTCCCCACAGTATGAGCCTCGGAGTCGGTGCAATCGGAACCCGGGCTTGATCACTTTATCCAGCTTCGATGATTGTTCTATTTATAGAGGCATTTTGACTACTTACTCTATACGAGGAGCATCATATCAACCTCGGATGAACCGGACGGGCGTGGAAGAGTGCTCAAATTCGAAATTGTTCTGATGTCTTAATATGGCATTCTGCTATACTATTAATGCTTTGATATCGGAAAGTATTATTTCTTTATTTCTTTACTTCATGTAAGTCGACCCCAGAATCTCGTTGTTTCTAATTTTAGATTCACATGCTGGGATTCTTGAGCCCCACGCTGACTTTAAATTGTAGATCGAGGACGGGTAAACATAACGTTTCAGTGCTTAAACGAAATGAACCATAACGAGGACCAATCGCGATGGAAAGCAACATGCACATGGGCAGATTTGGGATATTCGCCGCGTGAGGTACAATGTACAATATTCCAATCGACACCGAGTATCCCTACGACGTTCCATTGAGATGAAGCTTACTCGATACGACGACGGACGACGGGAGTAGGCAGCTATGGTATAAAAGGGACGATGCTCTCGGCGACCTGATACTGGCTTGCCTTCAACCCCAGCCTCTCTAGAGCCTGTATATCGGGCTCATATCTAGACTTCAAGCCTTCTTGTTAAAGCACGTCTTCTGAATCTCCCATCATAATCCCCCCCAAACTCCCGAGTCGATATTTGAGGATACTTACTTGCCAACATGGGAGTCAAGCAATGGCTAGCTTCCCTGGCGGTAGTCGCCCTTTCAGCTACCATTACTCAGGCGAAAGTTGATGACCCAGCAGGGAAAGCAGCCCAGTACCACAAGGAATACGCCTTATTCAAAAGCGAAAACATGCTCTCTCCAGACAAACTGTCTAACGGGGTTGGCTTCCACTCATTCCGAATTCCTGCTGTCGTCCGTACCAACTCCGGACGTATCCTTGCCTTTGCGGAAGGCCGCCGCCATAACAACCGAGATTACGGCGATATAAACTTGGTCTACAAGCGCACTAAGACTCCAACCAATAATGGTGAAAACCCAAGCGACTGGGAATCATTGCGTGAAGTTGTCGGCACCGGCCCTCACACTTGGGGTAACCCTACTCCTGTTGTCGATGGCAACACCATCTATCTTTTCCTCTCCATGAACGACGGTGCTTATAGTCAGGGCGGAAACAACAAGCTTCCAAATGGGCAGATAACGAAAAAGATCGATTCTACTTGGACAGGACGTCGCCATCTCTACCTGACCAAAAGCACCGATGACGGTGACACATGGTCTACTCCTGTGGATATGACCAAAACTTTGACTCCAGAGGGACAGGCATGGGATGCTGTGGGTCCAGGCAATGGTATCAAATTGACATCAGGAGAACTAGTCATCCCAGCACAAGGCCGCAACATCATCGGCCGTGGGCCATCAGGGAACCGCGCCTGGTCGATGCAAATTCTGAAAGGCGCTGGCTCAGAGGGCACCATCTGCCAAACGCCTGACGGCAACCTCGTCCGAAACGATCGTCCACGGGACAAGGGCCATCGCTCAGTAGCTCGCGGCACTCTCTCTGGCTTTGGTTCCTTCGCAACCGATAACGGCCTCCCCGACCCTGCCTGTCAGGGCTCAATATTGAGCTACAACAGTGACTCACCAGCCAGGACTATCTTCATGAACTCCGCATCTCTGGATCGTCGCACCGCTATGCGTGTACGCATTAGCTACGACAAGGACGCTGCTAAGTTTGATTTTGGTCGCGAACTGAGTGACGCTGCTCTTAAAAACGTTGGAAACGAAGGCGGTTACTCAAGCATGACGAAGACGAGCGATTACAAAATCGGTGCACTAGTCGAGAGTGACTGGTATGAGGATAAGGGCGGAGAAAAGTCGCATCGTGCCATCATCTGGCGCCGCTTCAACCTGTCCTGGATCATTAATGGCCCTCATAACTAGGCTTGAATTGTATATTAGCCATCTATACTGGTGTCTGTCATCATCAGTGCTACAGTACGATATGTTGGGGGTAATCTACGGAGTTCAATAAAATAATCGAACGTTAATATATATATATATCTACGCCATTTATGTTTACTCCTTCTATTCCACCCATTTCTTCCTTGTTTTTACTCTTCCTAGAGGACGAAAGGGATATATATTCTGTACTGGTAAGGTTCGGGAGGTTTAAGTTTAAGCATAACTAGAATTTAGGTTTACTGGAAAAGACAAAATCTAAAAGCGGCTCAACACTAGTCCCAATATAGTTTGAATCTTGGCGGCCCCTGGAAGCTTGAATCTTTGGGGAATTTTTTTTTGTCGCTGAACAACGCCGCAAAGCACTTTTCTGTCTTCGCCAAACAAGAATCATGATATCCAGGCGAACTCCAGCAAAAGTGCGCGCGGCGTACACCCAAGGCTCCCTTCGAACTCCTAGCCATGGGTTCTTGAAATCCTCACCGTTACAGAGCTGCAGATTTCAAAACCGAAGAGCTCTCTCGACAGCATCATCTCACAAGACACCAGGCCTTCTATTAGCCAACCACCCACAAGCATCGGGCGACCTCGCACATTCATCACGCGGCAATAGTAAACGATGCAACTCCTCGGTGGTCGATCCCCCACCTCCGTCTCAAAAAGAAGAATTATACCGACTCCTCGATAAGATATACACCCAGCATGAAGAATTGGTTCAGCAACTTGACGAACTCGAACTTGAGGATTTACCTCAATCGGCAACAGCAGAAGACCTAGACCTGCTAAAATCTATCGGTTCGATTGTTGGATACCGGAGTCAGGAGGCATTGGACGCTAGTGTTAGAGCAGCATGGGAGCAATATGGCGTGTACTTACCACCTGATGAGCTACACGAAGACGGACTCAAGCTATACAGACGTTTATACGGAGAGCCGGTATTCACAAAACCGGGAGACCAGAGAGAGGATGACCAGATATTTCGAGAAGGCAAGGATGGCGAATGGATAGAAGTGGAGATGGGACGGGATCATCAACGTGCTGAGGCGCAAGTTCCAAAAAGTGAGCATTTGGTGCTTGAACCTGAGGAAGATGATGGTGAGCTAGCTATCCAAGGAGCGGATAAGTCTCGCCAAGTAGCAGCAAATCGTGCGGCAGAGTTATTCACCGAAACCCCGACATTCGACAGCGAAGACCCCTACGTTCGATCACATTTCCTCGCAGACGAGGGTAAATTTGGAACTACCCCGAGTAGCGTTACACTTCCTGTATCCACTATGGCGAGGCCCATCACTCAAATGAACGCCGCATTTCCAAATAAACACATATCCGAAACCGCCCATAGAATATTCGGAGGAAGCGAACTGCCGGACGCCATTAGTGTACAAAAAGGTGTACCAAGAAATCCAATTCCTTTTGCCGCTTCACATAAGAACATGGGTCAAATAGAGAGCGCTCTGTTCATGTCCGTCCTATATCCTGGAATTTACGCGTCGGTTCTAAGTGCCCTGGTGGAGGCTCGGAAAAGGCTTGGGACAAAATGGATCCGTAACCTTATGTGCAAAGAAGGGGGACCAAGCATCCTTGACGCAGGCGGTGCTGGTGCCGGCGTATTTGCATGGAGAGAAATTTTGGCATCGGAATGGTCACTGATGTACCCGAATCACCCAGAGGGCACCTTGCCAATGGGCAAATCCACCGTCTTAGTGGGGTCTGATGCGTTGCGCCATCGCATCAGCAGCATTCTAGAAAACACCACATTCCTCCCACGGTTACCTGACTATCTACGTCTCAAAGGAGAATCGTCTCTGGGTCCTAACAAACCTGGAAATCGAAAAAATTTCGATATAATAGTTGCCCCTCATGCGTTGTTGCATTTCCAAGAGGATTACCAACGGAGAGATTACGTTCAAAATCTCTGGGCAATGTTAAACCCCGAAGGTGGTATTCTTATACTTCTTGAAAAGGGCCATAAGGACGGTTTTGCGGCTATTGCGGGGGCCAGAGCGATGATACTCGAGCGACTAGTAACTTCTCCCGAGACGGCAGACTCTGTTGATGCGAACGAAGAGGCACTGGAGGGCTTGGTTGAGAAAAGCAAAGGCATGATAATTGCACCATGCACTACGCATTCCAAGTGCCCTATGTACATCGACGCTGGAAGAGAGAAACGGCCGAGAGAGATTTGCCGATTTGCACAACGTTATGTTCGGCCGCATGTCTTGCAGCGTATCTTGGGAAACCCATCTCATAACCATGAAGATGCAGAGTTCAGCTACCTTGCTGTTCAGCGTGGTGTTGATTTGAGAGAAACTAAAGGCGTGGCCCAAGGTGAAATCGCGACAAATGCCGCATTCGCTGGCCATGAAAATGCCGTCGACATGGGAGAAACCAACCAGGAGGCCACCCACTCTCTCTCATGGCCACGACTCATTCTACCTCCTATTAAACGAAAAGGCCACGTCTCGATGGATGTGTGTACCCCTGAGGGCAAAATAGAGCGCTGGACTGTCCCCCGTTCGTTTAGCAAGCAAGCATATCGAGATGCTCGCAAATCCGCATGGGGAGATCTATGGGCACTAGGCGCCAAAACCCGTATTCATCGTCCAGCCCGCAGCCGTTATGCAGACGAAGCTGCTCCTACAAAAACCAAACAGATCAAACCACGCACAGAGCGAAGGCGGAAACGTGGCAAGCTTGATGAAGACGAGGAGGAACCTGTTTTGGATGAGGAAGAAGAGACGGATAAACTCGCCGAGAGGGTATTGGATTACCAAGACCGTCGAATAGACCCGAAATCGAAGAAAGCGAACAAGGTGCCGAGGTGGGCTAGGCAGATGAAGGTTAAGCGCGACCGCAAAATCGGCAAACAAGCTGGCAATGTGTAGAAACCTGGATTAGGGCTTCCTCGTTGACATCTAGTTTTGTCTTCTACTTATTTACGCACATACGAGCGATCAGGCGTCTTGCTGGTGAAATAAGGAAAGGGAACTCAACTTATTTTTTTATGATTGACGGAGTATCTGTATAACATCAGGGGTTCTGCATAATAAGGTCAAACTGTATACTAGAAAGATTCTGTACAAAAATGTATTTTTATTTCACTTCTCTCTGGGCTATAACTTAGGAAAATGAGCATTCATGTCTTCTCTTTTCCACATCGATCAACCCTTAATAATCTTCACTAGGACAAAGTGCTGAACCCCTATGGTTTGCCCAATTGCGCTGCCCCCTATTCCTATTCTCACAATTCAGGGCTTCCTCATCTCGAACATTGTCTGATGGAAGGAGGTTGAGCCAACGGGGGATTTCTACTATGATAGCACTCGTAAGTTGGTAAGAATGGACAGGATAAACTTGACATTCCTTGGCTTCGGTAGCCGTGCCTGTTCTGGGATGCAGGAGAGCCCAATTCCCGATTCCCCATTAAAACAGCTCAGATAGCCATATCACTTCTACCGTGATTATGCTATCATCAAGTTCCAGTTGATCCTCGGCACTGTAGGCAATGCGGCCCAAAAGTGTATATCCAATGTCAATCAGCCATTATCAAGGAGCTGCCATGCTCTTCCTTAACTGACGTTCGCGCTGTTTCGATTGTAGCTCCAGTCGATCAACAGCATACTGTAGGCGCTCTTTCTTCTGGGTCAGCTTGCGCAGTTCGGCAGCTTTGCTTCCCAGAACCCCACCGGCCATAGAAGTAGAATAGGCAGCTTTTCTATCTTGATGTAAGTTACTCCTGGAAGAAGGGCGTGGTTCATGATATAGGCGCCCCTCCTGCAGTTCAGCCTTGGCCTTCAATGCTTCCTGTCGACGTGCAAGTTTGTCGGTGTGGTTTGATGCCAATGTAAGGAGATGTGATATGCTAGGTGTGATTTCGTCCAGAATAGCCTGCTGTGCTTCTTTTAAAGTGGGTTCTGGAAGCAGTTCAAAGTGCTAATAGACGTATGTCAGTTACCACTGGCATATGCAATTTTCAAGTAAATTATGACAGACTCACTCGTGTAGATTGAAGTACTTTGCAAAGGCGTGGGAAGTCGTTTACACCCTCATCTAGGATGTCGATTGACGATTCGAGTAGCTGTAGCGATGCGCGTAGAGAGGAAACAGAGGCTGATAGGGCCGCTGCCATGGCTAACGATGGTGTTTTCTCCGTTTAATTATGAGCGCAGTATCCTTCGTCCTATCTCTATCATGTACGATGTCCATCGTCCTTTGTTTTGGTGCAGTAGAGGTTAGTCACGTGATTCGCGATCACGAAAAGATCCGAAACTCCAACTTCAACGTCAAGCACTCAGTCTCAAGAAGCCTGGATACCACTCATCGCCTTCTCCCTCGCACAACTCCGGACAGAATCCTATCCGCCTCCGCTCTCTCCATCAAAATGCCAATCCTACCAAAGAAGTTCCCGGCCCTCGTTGGTTCGTACCCTCCTGCCTAAGCTCCCTATTTCGACATTTTGAGACGTTGCTAATGATTCAACCAGCCAAACCAATTGCCCCATTCTTCATCGCGGGTACGTTCTAAAGCTATCCAATTCTTTAAGCTATAGTTTCAGTCAATCGTGCCCAGCTCGATCAGATCGAATCCGGCCGCGTCCCTTGCTTGTTGCTATATCTCACCCCGCCCGGATCTTAACTAACGGCTTTCTAGCATTGGTCGTCGGATACGGAATCAACTCTCTCCAGAACGCCATGATGAACTGTGAGTCGTCCTTTCTTTTCGTTTCCATTTTCGCAATGTTGTTTTTAAAGCGACCGGGTATTGCCGAGCTCCTGGTGCATTCGCCAGGAGCCCCAAATTCATCCGAGAATCTGGCCTATAGCATGAATACCAAAACTAATGATTCATATCTATAGCCGAGGAATTCAGAAATGACCCCCGAAACCCCAACGCCGCCGCCGCAAAGCCAAGCGAGAAGCACTAGAGTGGTGGGAAGGAACCTCATGAAAACAACTGTACTGTTATATCGTGGCCGGGTGGAATGCGTGCTATCATAGGCCGACCGTTTTGATACACAGAAGAACCTTGTACATTGAATATAGAGAGATTCTGTTAACAGTTCTCAATTGACGCATTATTCCTTACTTTGACCAGACTAATCGATGTCAATATAACTGGGGCTGGGGTTTGACAGCTCTCAAACGGGGGTGACACACTCACCTACTCTCAATAACATCATATCGCTGAATGTTATGTTTCGGCTGTCTCAAACAAAGCAGCATCATCAACCTGGCTTTAAAATGGTATTTCAACGTATATCGCAAGACGTACCTCTAGGCCGATTGTCCGGCAGTGAGTTGACCTAGAGCCACGAGATCATGCTACATATATATTTAATAATATATTTATACATTTCCTGGTAGAGTAGAAACTCGAAACCCTTCACCATATTCAACTTCTCTTCAATTGATTTTTGGGCGGCCATGTCTTGGCGCTAACCAGTTTGGGTAATATACCATTTTCCACCAAGCTGGGCCAAATTTCACCGTCTCCTACTATCACCACCGACGACAGAGGAAAAACAATCCAATTCTTTAGAGCATCATGTCTCAATTCCGTGCGAAGACGCTGGAAATAACCGGGTGTGTCAACACCCGAGTTCTACGTGATCACACGAAGCGAATGGTCTTCGAGAAAAATGAACCAGAGAGGTAAGCGCTTGAACATCACTACTTTTAGCCATCTGATTCGCGTTATGCGGTTCAGCACGGCTCAATAGGACGTTTACGTTCGGGTTTTAAGTCTTCCCAAGCATATGCTGATTTCTTGACTATTATCTAGACAAGCACTCCGATATATATCTCACAACACCAGCCTCCCCATGCGTGTACGTGCCCAGGCGCAACTCAAGCTGGCTCAGATGCACGCCTATACTAGGCCATCCCAAATAAAGAACAGGTGTATTGCTGGAGGAATAGCGAGGGGCGTGTTTAGGGACTTTAAACTGGGAAGAGTGAGTCTACGCTCCCTATTTTACCTTGATTCCCCTAGCACCCTTGCGAAGCGTTATAGACACAGTTTACTGATTTGCTCTTTTCTCCTTCTAGTTTCAATTCCGAATGCTCGCTCTAGCTGGAGAACTCCCCGGTGTTAGGAAAGCAAGTTGGTAAAACCCCCAATGTGCACATGTACCGCTCCGGGCGACTCGACCAACGCTCCAACGGCCTTGCAGCTTTTTCTTGCCCTTTGTATATGTTTAAACAAACCAGGAGTTATAATGGCGGTATATGGGGATATGTATATTACAGATTTAGAAATTCAGTGCTTGTCCGAAACATCGCATTTCAAGCTTTCATCGGGTGAAGTATAGCTCAATATCACAAGGCATCAGCTATAAATCGAGGCGTCCAAGCACTTGTTCCCGCAGGAGGTACCTGGAGATACGAACAAGTCATACGCTAGGTTTGAGATATCCCCGATGCAGGAGACCATCATCTAGTCTACCAGTAAATATTTATGGTGGTGCCTAGCTTAAAAGATCACCAAGTCAGGCGGCTCGTCAGGCCGTTTTGCGGCTGCTTTCTCCTCCCATCTTGCTAACTATTAATAACCGGGACATCTGAAACATCGACCAGTTGGATCCTATAGGAGGATATTCCTGAATACCAGAGCCTAGCCATGCATATGAGTATGAAATAGTACTCATACCAAGAGGAGCTAGGTGCGATAAAGCCTTTGGACTGGGAAATTTTGCGTCCTGTAAATATTTATATGATATGGGCTATCTGCATCCCAGAATTCAACGGAAAGCTGCTGCTTGCCACATTTACTGAAGCTCCATTACATTCGTTTGCTTGTGCAGTCTATTGCATATCTTGTATTACATCTTATTGGTTCCTCTCTCGTTTTACTCACTAATTATCGCATTCACAGGAGTTGGGTGACGCCTGTTTCTTTCACTTGGTGCTGCCCTGCATATAAAGATACCCTCTCAGCTCACTTTCTTCTTTCAACCCGATGCTGAACCTCCAGAGAGTTTGTTCCTCTGTCCTCAGACTTCCCAGAGCATTTCACTACCGTCTACTTCGACCTATAGCACGGGTTGCTAGAGAAGTAATACGGCGAAGCATCATGTTCGTCTTTCAAAAGGACGCTCTTCCCAAGGATCCAGTATTTCCGCAAAATTTGAAGGAGCTTGGGTGAGACCTTACATCTCATTTGTATTCTTTTCTCGTTACCTCGCTTCTTTGTTAGCCCTTTTCCTCTCCTTGAATTTCACTTCAGTTTATAACGTGAATTATATGATCTTGAAGCTAAAAATATTCATATTAGATATTTCGTCAACGATGATGATCAGATACGCATGATAGGAGATCCGGAAGCGGGTTTCTTGTACAAGATCAATGCCAACGAGCGGTATAATGAGCAGCAAAGGGAGGCGATGAACGGTAAGTCCTCAGCAGGCTCTATATCTATTCACTCTATGATACTTGTTTTCTTAGCCTGTTGTTTGGCGTTTTGGCCTAGATGCTGATATATTGACCGGAGAATAGGATGCATCCGTGACATTGTCGTTTCCCGTCTGCACGACCAAGGTCTCGAGACTCTGCGATTACCTATTGGTGCTGAACCCAATGAACAACATGTGCCCATTCTAGTTTCCCCATCATTCAAGACAGACAAACGCATTATCGTCGTATTTGGCGAACCTGTTCAAGATCTCGGCATATGGGCGTATCGAACTATAGGCGGTGACAAAATCAACACTGGGTCTGCAGTTGACTTTACGGCGGCTGTCCTGGGAAGTAAATGCACCATCATTCCAGTGGCCGAACAAAAGTCCAAGCCAAGTGAACAAACATCTTCAGCAGTCCTGAGTGATACGAATGAGAGTAACGACGAGGCGAACAAGCCTCCCCCTCCAGGCCTTATCCTGACCAACCCAGGACAACTGGTGTGGCACTGTGCCGGTGAGCGTGCCATCTCACTTCCCACATGGCTTGCCCTACCCAGAAAATACGCTGTTGACCCACCTATGAAAATGACCGTTCGAAATAAGATACCCGGCAACGAAACCTGGCAGGATCATGTCACTTATGTCTTTGACGAAGTGTTGGGTAAACTTACGTCAAGCGATGCGAAAATCGACGTTATTGGGCTTGCAGAGGGAAGCCTTGCTACTGTTAGGTATCTAGCGGAGCATTGTAAGTTACTATGTCTATCCTTTACCAAATCCTTGCCAGAATTGATTTCGCTAACGTGAATAGGGTCGACATGGAAATCTCGCATCTCGTCAATCACTCTCGGGAACCCATTGCACGACGTTAACCATCTCCACCCACCCGAATTCGCGGAATTCATATCGACTCGCTGCCGTGCTTACCTGATCTCGGAGGCGGAGTTGGATCAGCCTGTTGCTGGTCGATATGAGTATGGTTGCAATTGCTATTCCTCCGGAGAGTCGAAGAATGTCGAATGCATCATCCCCCGAGCTTATGGGAGTATGTTGAAATGGCTCGATCATATGTCTGAGAACCCGGGGTTGAAGGAGGTTGAGGTATTCATTAGCAATGAGGTTGGGATAGCTCAAGCTGGCGATGGTACTAAAGCTTGGGGTGAGAGCGGAGATGCTGTTGAAGAGCTCAACTAAGTTGCTATTCCGTTGGTCTAAGTGGCCTGGGGAAGAAGGATATACAAATTTGCCCCATTAATTCTCTCTTATGTTCCATTAGCAAGCGAGTTATGAACAATCAACCCAATATATGACCTCTACTTCTCAAAAGGATGAGCCTAAGAGCTTTATGGTAATTAGGGGAAACCGTACTGATATAACTATAGGCCCCCTAAAGACTCTGACAGAGACCTGTACCCTTTATACCATGTACAAATTATGTTCACCGACCCAGAAAGAGTAACAAAACAATTATCCAACAACAAACTGGAGACGTCTAGGCCACGTCAGCAGGAATACTGGGTGCGCAAGCCCAGCTACAACCCCTTCTTATAAATGGTAAAGGATATAAACTCTGTCCCGGTTTCCTTCCATACTCCGTCCCATGGCTTTCAGCCGGTTTGCAATCCCACCACTCAATCCACCTCACTTTATCCATCACATACGACCTGCTGCATACGGAGCAGACCTTTTCGCCCGTTTGTCTGACCTCGTTTGCGAAGGTGAGTAGTCGAACTATTGGGTCCTGATAATGGGCGTTGGCACTAGTTGATGGTAATGACGAGGAGATCCCGGATGCTGGGGAGTGGGTATTTTGCTCGTCTTCTTCCAGGAACCGTGAGAGATTCGGAGAGCGAGAGCATGCTTTCAAAGCCAAATCACGAAGAGACGGGGTATTTGTTGGTGTTGTTCGCCGTCTACCCATGGGACGACCTTCCATATCGAGATATTCAGCGGCGCTAGTAGCGACGTGAATCGGTTTCCATTCCTCTATCATGTCATCTTTAGAGCTGGGTATGGCTGGGGTGTTGTAATCCGCTTCGCCTTCGCGAGTATTAGGATCCAGAGCCACGATCCCGCCCACTGCGGTGTTGACATGCCATTGAACAATTTCCGACTCATCCATGCGAAGGAATCGATTCGGATACAGGGTGAGGTTTTTCAACGCTCCACGTCCTTGCATCAACCCTATAATCTCCCACGGCAGATACCGCAGTTTGTTCCCTCCTACATTCAGCTCTTGAAGGAGGATAAGCTTGCGAATTGCGCCGGGTATTTCTGTCAGCTTGTTCTGTCGAAGACTCAGAAACCGTATGTTCCACAGGTCGAATACCTCCTTCGGAACATAGGTAAGTGAGTTGCGTGTAAGGTATAGTTGGAGAGACGGCTCTAGCGGACTAAATATCTGGATTGAATTCCCGTGTTCCAGCACCGTTGGCTGCTTGGTTAACTGTGTTAGAGGGGGCAGAATATGGGATGGAACTGTCTTCATGTCCAGGTATCTTTAATCAAACGAGTTAGGTTATTGGTCAAGCCGGAGAGCTAGGTTAGGGAGGAGACTTACGAGAGATCAACTCTGTCATTCCCATCATCCAGACATGTGTTGATGATCTGCCTAGCCTTGGTATGGGCCTCAGATTCAATCGTTCGATTCCCCTTGGCTACTGAACTCTTGTCACTCCCATCTCTAGGCTTGTGTGCTGGTCCGGGCAAGGGAAATGATCGAGACGCACTGGCACGGCCGGTGGTAGCAGCAGCAGCATCACGACGACCAGTGGGCAGCCCAACTCCTTCACAAAACACAGAATCATCCGAGCCGCAGGTAAACAGGGCGGCAGACTCGTCACCATCTTCGACGGTATCAGCACTCCCCAGCCAGACACCACTGTCTATGTTCCTCTTATTCTTGAACCCGGTCCTCTTCGTCCTCTTATTCTTCTTAGGCTGCAATTCACTTCCCAGCTTCTGTCCCCACCACGTCCCCCTGTACCGACGTTTTCTGCCAGTTGCTTCCTCGGACGAGTTAGCTTGAGCGTCTGCCGTCGTGTTGGTATCATAATTCTCCAACGCCGACGATTGGAAGTCGTCGCTTGAGAAGAGCGGCGGGTCACTCGATAGCGTCCCACTGCTGCCTAGAAACCTGTCCAGATTCGATTTCGAAGCGGCGGACGATATATATGGGAAAGGAGAACGGGTTCCCGTCGATTCCCTGGCCACTTTTATCTTGCGGCTGTACCGTGGTGGAGAAGGAAGCGGCGGATCGGAGTCCATCGCTGCAGTCTTTCTCGTCTCAATTCAGTTGGGATTTTTTTAGTTAATTACATTTGAAGGAAACAAGCAGTATATATAGACAAGAAACACAAGGAACGGCCACCGGTATATGTCCAGAAGAGCGCGCGGACGGACGCCTGGGAGGGCGCGAGGGAGTGTTTTTATACTCGCCTGAAATGCGCGATGACGCGCCTTGATCTCCGCCAAAAGTCGCGTGGCACGTGACGATCTCCCTTCCACGCAGGAAAAAGCCGTTGAGATCGTATATGCATATACTGCTTGAGTACGCTCTTGGGTTAGACTATGCTATAACAGTTATCCATACGCGATCAGAGCCGGAGTAAGTGTGTAAGCTGATGTTAAGATGAACATTGTTTCAGTTCGATCACAAAGCGTTGAGCATCAGTATAAGCATTGGTCATGATGCGGCGAGAAAGACGAGGGTAACCTTGCATCGATGTTGCAGTAGTTTGGAGTAGAGTACGGGGTAGGGAGCGACCTTATGCAGCATGGATAAGCCTACCATCCGATATCTTTACATCAATCGTGTTGCTCATCCCAGCTATATCTTTTACATCGTGCTACTGAATGGGTGAAAGAAGAACAAAGGATTCTACTTTCATTTTTTATTTTTAAGTATATTTTCTGTTCAAAAAGGGGTATAATTCTCCCAAACACTCGTAAACACCATATTTGCCCAGAATACACATCACTTCAATGATAATGCACGAGGAAGTGTGGTCAAATAGAATAAAAGGATACCAGGACTATACAGACAAGCTGGGGTCAAGGTAGAAGAATATAGCCCTTCCTCTGAAGAAGGATAAAGGATAAATAAAGAGGAAGGGTGTAAATAAGTGCGAATGTTCAAATTCTCATGGCGGTAAATGCGTATAGTTGACTTGAGCCAGAGCCAGCATGTTCACTTGCATCTCACGAAAAGAATAAAAAGATAAAAGGGGTATGTTGAAGAATAGAATGTCGTTGAAAAAAGGGTTAGAAAAAATGGCTGGGGCTAAGCGACTATCCATATAACGTAACAAGGGTCGGAAATCGGAAAATCGTCATAAAATAAAGGAGTATTCTCCTGGGCTTTAAAAGGGGGGATAGAGAAGAAGAATAGTGCATGAAGGGGTAAGAAGTGTCCATAAACAGCCCAGGAGAGGAAGAATGAGGCTGTTGCCGAAGTAGATATCGAGACGTTGGTCTGTGACGTGTGGCGCTAGTATTTAAGGACGCAGTAGCGTGACGTGGGATGATAGATAGATATCAACGCCCCTCGTTGCGCCTTTCACCATCGCAAGCCTGATATCGGATCTATGGCAACGAAAGGTCAAAGAGTCGAGTCTATAGCGCAGCTCCGAGAAGGAGAGCGACGGACCCGGCCATGAGGGCGGTCGAGAAGCTGACTGGCAGGCCGGCGGCGCCGTTGATGGTAGGCTGAGGAGCAGGGTTGCCGGTGTGAGTTGGCATGCCGCCGGTGCCGGTTCCCCAGGTCTTGGTCATCATGGAGGACGGGTAGGGCGCGGTGCTGTTTGAGCCGTAGGTTGGCATGGCGGTGGCCGTGGGCGAGGAGACAGAGTGGATGATGGTCATGGTGACGGTCTGGGTAGATGTGCTGGTCGAGTAGACGGTCTCCTCGGCGGCGAAAACGTTGAGGGGTGCGAAGAGCACAAGCAGAGCAGAGAGGAAGGTGATGAAGAAGCGCATTTTGACGGTGGTAGATGTTTTAAGACGAGGTAGATAACGAGGTAAAACGAGGAAGAATCGAGTCTATATAGACGAACAGAAGAGAGGATCGAGATTGATATTGAGCAAGGCGCGTGCTGTTACAGTGGCTGTCGCAAGACGAGAGTATGGGCGGGTAGCGATTGGGCGGGAAAGTCGCAAAGCGGAGTGCAAAGAGTGAAGCTGAAGAGCGAGTGATAGCGTGTAGCTAAAAGAGTGTATGCTGAAGAGCGTAGCTGAAAGAGCGTAAGGTCCAAAAGAATGACTGAACTGTGGAAGAGGAAGAAGAGGAGAGAGAGAGAGGAAATGAAGCGGGAGGCTATACTAAATATCAACAGCGGCCCCTGTTACTAAGCCCGCTTCTTCTATATCAGCGTACCTGGCTAGTGGCGTTTGGGTTCAATCTATACGAACCAAGGCCTCTTTTTCTCCCTTTCACCCTCGTCTTTTTCACTTTTCCTGCTCTTTGTCAGTAAAGTTAACGCTCGTTAGTGCCCAACCAGGAGCTTCAGCTACGTGGGAAGCTCTGGAGGCTCCCCTTGCGATGCGGTCTAAATTTTCCCGCCATCGAGGGATAGCTCTGCGCAGCGACGAGAAGAGACCGGAAAAAAAGCACATTATTGGATTCTCGTGCCCCGTCAACTGCCAGCTAGACGTCTTCTGGCAGTTGCGCATGCTGATCGTGGTGTCCCCCTGCTTGGATCGTGTGCGAGTTTGCCCTGCGGTGGATCAGAGCCGAGAGCGCAATCTCGGTGCGGCCTCCAATCAACAACCCGGTTCCCTCCTTTTGTTAGGTTGAGATGGAAATATGAGAGAGGGAGAGAGGTCCTCGTTCAGCCTCTCCTGTGCGTGATGGCTGCGTTGGCAATCCAGGGCTTGTCAGTCGCAGTCGTGGCGGCGCACGTCTACTCGTACTCTCCGTGCACTTCTCCGTGGCATGGAACGGAGGACATGGATAGACTGGGGACTTGACTGAGACTGCACTGAGACTACACTGAGACCAGAGACATGGGATGGATAGACGGGGAATAGGGGATGGGCAGCTCGTTGTAGAGACGGGGAAAGGGGCATCACTCTTACGGCTGTCTCTTCCGTCCTGTCCGTCCTGCTTCCGTGTCCAACAGCCCCATGCTTGACATTTCACACCGCCAGCGCCCTTCAAGCCATGCCTTGTTTGCTTTTCAGACAGCTTGTGTCTCTGGCCAGCGCTTACGGAGTACACGGTGCGTCCCTCATTCGCCGTGGCCCGGCGGCGCTGATATCAACTTCTCCGTACTGGGGTCTGAGAATAGTGTCGTCTCATCTGTCGCATTGAGCATGTCGCATTGAACTTCGTCGAGCTCGTCTTTAGCGCATCGCCTGCGTGGATGTTGATCACGGCCTAGTTTTCTCGCTTGGAAGCCGGTGAGCGAAGCCGGCAGCGTCCATCAATCGACCTGCAGCGGACGGAGGAGATCACCGCGCGTTGGGCCCTCTTCTTACTTACTTAACTGTGACGATCGCGATCCTTCAACCTGTTGTCGTGTTGTCGTGTCTGTACTTGTACGGGATAGTGCTTCGTATACATTTATAGACGGCTTTTACTATGTATAGCTCGTATCTCTGACCATTTCCCCGTTGCGGCGCACGAGAACGCCTTTGCTGTTAGAGCCGCAAGCATGTCTCAGCCTTACCAGCTAACAGTCTACGGGGTAGAGAGAACAGTCCATGATCTCGACATCCTACGATAGATACAGAGTGCACTCTATATTGTACTCCGTATACTGGCTGTGTAACTGTCGCCGTGGTAACGACTCTTAGACAGGGATATCCTACCAGTTGCTTTACCTGTTACCAGAGCCATGTTCAACCACATCCAGCCCTGCATCTATCCCAGGCTACTCCATCTCAACAGGTAGCTAAGTGACAGTTTGGTTTCAGTTAAATGAGACCAAATACTCCGTACCTCCCGGGCTATTCTTATTATATGATAACTATGAGGTTACGCGTAAGATGCTGCTTCATTAAAGATCATGGTACATTTGTCGCTATTCAAACTAGAAATCTCCCCTGTCGCCGCTGTTGTACAAGTGTAACGCAAATATGATATCAGGTGGCCTATTCTCTCCGGGCGTGTGGACGGTACTGGCTTGGGATGAGCATCGGTCGTCGGTGGGCGGCGGACCAGGTCTGGTAGGAGCCCGAGGGGCCTTCTGTTCGGATGACGCTGCCAATCGACATGAAGAACCTGGGATAACATAACGTATATTAGTAGGTGTCTTGTATGTTTATTCTTGTATTTTTGGAGATAGCTATGCTCACCCGAATGTAGCTCCAGAACCAGCCATGTATTTGCCCAGCGTGCGCATTATACCGTTAGGACCGGCGCCATATTGGAAGATCGAGACGGTTCCTGGCAGTTATCGTTAGCTTAGAAGAGGTAGACGTGGTAGTATCTCTTACCAATGATGAAGCCCATGATCAGGCCGACAGCTGTAGGATGTTAGCTTCATACAGAGTAACTGGTATAATTAGAATGCGTAGACGTACATCCTCCCATCATGGCACCCATTTTCACTAGACAGTCAGACGTTAGCTTCTTCTCTTCTCCTCTCTCGTCTCCTCTCTCTTCTCTCTCATCTCATGTCGATGGTGAGCATACTCTTATCAAATGTTGACGGAGCCTTCTGCATCTGGCCTCCCCCGGACGGCATGACTGGCGGCATTGTTGCTCTTAGGTGGGTGACGGTATCTCAAGCTCTTCGTATCTCTTCTGTCCTCTTCTCTTCTCAACTTTCTTCCCTTCGTATCTCTCTTCTCTGCTTCTTATTCTCAACTTCTCTTCTGCTCAACTTCTTCTTCTCTTCGCTGTTCCTATTGACTGACTAAGCAACATCCTATTGGCCCATATACATCACATGACTTCCAACCTGGGCCATCGAGCCAACTTCACTTTTTGCCCAGCGAGAAAAACACCCAGAAGATCGAGATAGTTCGAGGCAAGTTCACAACGATAGCGAAGGCGATCCGCTGCTGCAACCTCTGCTTTACACAGCCAGACACCCGGCGTTTGTTCCCAGTGTCTGAGATCGCTGGTGATGCGCGTGTGGACATCGCTGCTCGCCTCCCAGATCCAGAGAACACGCGACTCCTAAATGCTGAATAGACTTCACCTCTCTTAGACTTTTGGTTCTGGTATGTCTTGTGCAAACCCGCCCGATATCAGCAGTATCTCGACCCTAATACGGCTGTATAACCGTCGGTTGAGGCTGTTCTACAATTGATATCGCCGTATCTGCCGTCTGGACGCCGAGTTATTCACATATCGTCTCTATATAGTCACCGAATGCGGCCGTCTCCGGCAAGCAATTTCCCTTATGTTACCATCGAATACCTTCACCGCATACCTGCAACCCACCATCTAGGTCGCAGTGGTCGATCCTGATCCTATCCCCAGTGCAGAGATAGACTCGCCGGCGCCATACTCTCTCTCCTCCTCCATGACTGCTGTTGCGTCGCCACCAAGTGTGCAATCTGCGCCTCGTTTAGGATGGTACCCGACTGGTGACGGTGGACAAGGTGCCCTTACCTCAATGAGTGCAGACGAGGTCTCGCGAATGTTGATGCCTCGCAAAAGCATCCAGCGGTCCAACTCCTCTTCTTCCATATCTTCTACTTCCTCGACCTCCACTGTTGTCACCGCCCAGCAGCAGCCACAGAGTAATGCTGCTCCTGCTGCCCAGGGCCCGAGCACCGAGTCCTCCAACGCAACAACGAGAAAGAAACCTTCACGATACACCTGGTCCAGCTCAAAGTCGGACCCGGTCTCTGGGGTGACGAACACTCGACCACAGACCGTCTCCGTGCCGCCATCGGGAGTCTCAGCATCTTCGGCTATGTCAGCCCTCCACCAGACTCCTCCCATGGTACCATTGCAACATATGATGCAGCCCCAGCAGCAGCAGAACGGAGTACGCCCGGGGAATAGGCCTCCTCACGATCCTGCAGCAGTACTCTCGTTACTTCCGATAAACGGCACTTTTGAACGAAAACAGATAAACGTACCTTATTTTCCCGAGGTACTGCGTATTGGCCGCCAGACTAATGCCAAAACACTTCCAACTCCTGCCAATGGTTATTTTGACTCCAAGGTGCTGTCACGACAACATGCCGAGGTTTGGTCTGACAGGGCGGGGAAGATTTGGATCCGAGATGTCAAGTCATCTAATGGAACCTTTGTCAACGGCCAAAGGTTGTCCCCAGAGAATAGAGACTCAGAGCCCCATGAACTTAGAGAACATGATGTGTTGGAGCTTGGCATCGATATCATCAGTGAAGACCAAAAGTCAATTGTCCATCACAAGGTTTCAGCAAAGGTCGAACATGCAGGCGTATATGGGCCTAATATGAATATCTTGGATTTAAACTTTGGTGATATAGATCCAACAACAGGCGGTGGTTTACTGCCCCATCACCTGAGCCAGCCTTTGTCTCATATGCGAGGCCGAGCGGGAAGTTCATCCTCTACAGCAAGTGCACGATCTGGACAAAGCATGCAGGGAAGCCACCTAAGCATCCTTCACCAACAACGACAGATGAATTACTGGTCCTCTCCAATCTCAATTGAACAGGTTGTGAAAAAACTCACTGTATGTCTACCATTTGATCAATGGAGTTATTGTTATGTCTGCTAACCCATTGTCTAGTGTGAGATGAAACAAGCAAAGCAACAGAACCTCGACCTCGGCCAGACCACTGGGTTTCTCAGCAATATATCAAACCCTGAGACAACAAACAAGGAACGAGCGAGTCTACTTAATAATGTAGCTGAGAGCCCAGTTAGCACAAAGCCCCCGGCACGCCCCAAATTAAACAAAACAGACTCCATGTCGAGATTTTCAGATCCTCCCGCACCACCCCCACAACAACCTCTACCCGAGAAGCCGGATGCGCCACCACGGACATTCTCTATGGACTCCATCCCGAAAGTGTCGCTGAGAAGAAGTGACACAGAAAAAGCAAAAGCTGCAACCGATATCCCACCAGGCCAGTCTAGCCAGATATTGTCTTTGATTGAAGCTCTGACGACCACGAAGAAAGAACTAGATCTGCAGGCCAGCAAGGTTAAAGAACTGGAAAATCTTCTACGTCGTGAACAGAGTGCCCGTGAGAGCGCCGAAGAACGCGCAAGAAAGCTCGAAAGCCAACCGCCAAACCATGTGTTACTTCCAAATGGAAGTCATCCTGGTCCAAACGGGGTTGTTGATGAAGACGATGATAAACCTTTGGACAAGGCTGCTCCTGAGCCTCCAGCTGGTAAAGATGTGAAATCATCTGCGAGCCCCGTGGAGACACCTCCTTCTCCTATAATACTTGAACCCTCTTCCGATGAGCTGAAGCGCCGCATCGACTCCCTACTCGCTGAAATGGAGAGCGCAAAGAAGCAAATAAATACGTATAAGGAGACTGCTGAGCGAGCAGAGAAGGACGCTGCTGAGAGCCGACAAACCCTCGCCGAGATGATCGAGAAGATCCGACACGAAAAATCTCAAGCAAAAGCAGCCTCGAGAACGTACCAGTCGTCGAGAGATGGATCGAAGGAAGATGATGCACTTCCCTCTACTTCGGCGGATGATGAATCCACAGCCAACCAATCTAGCTTGGACGAGATAATTGAGAATTGTCATCCGATTAACCATGAGAGAATAAAAGAACTCGAAATTGCATCGACGGCTTTCGCGAAGCAGCAAAGACAGCATTCGGCGTTATTTGAACAGTCTGCACCATATGCATCCATGCTTGGTGTTGTTTTGATTGGAGTGGGCATAATGGCGTACCTAAATGGCTGGCATAAAGTCGAACGATAACCGATTCGTTATGTTACTTGCTTTCGAATGATCATGATACCCTTCCATTTGTCCCATCGTCATGTTATCAATATTCTACGACTTTTTACTCCCTTTCCAGCGACGCAGCTTGTTGAGCCGAGCATTGCGAATATTATTCGGAGATCCGTGAAACAGGTACCCACCCTTTCCATGGATGGTTTCTTTAATTACTCCCGCCTCGTTGATTTTTTTTCCTTTTTGTTGCTTAATTCCCTTTGTTTTGTCGCCTAATCTTGAGTGTACCCTTACTGGTTCATACCAAGTGCTATTGGACCTCCCCCATTCGTCCAGTGCCAACGATACCATTCGTATGACCAGACGTATTAACGACTTTTTCCTCACTTCCTCGATATCCCGGACTCTCCTTATCAAGCCTATAATTTTATTCACCACCAATGAGTTTTAAAGCTTTTTATATTCCAAGTTCGACAACCTCTTATATCTGTCCATTACCCAACTACATTCCTTCCTTGCTTGTCTACTCATTTCCTTTTGATGTCATTTTCTTTTTGTCTAACGTTATGCCTTCTTCTCCTATTGGCACTTTTGCTGGAAACCCATCATTTAGCCTTTATTTGATATGCCTTTTGCCTTCTACCGCACTTTGGTCCTTTTTGCTACGCTTGATTATTCGAGATAGCCATTGGGTACACTGTCTATCTACCCACCCCTGAAGCTTGGTCATGCTTGAGGGCTCAAGGCATTTTTCGTTGCCATGTAATTATTGACACACGTCTAAGCGTCTCCTGTGAATATTACTTACTATACCTGTATTCTTTATTACGATTCTCCTTTCCCTTAGCATATACTTGGTCATATTGAATCAAGCTGTTCTCTGTTTCCTAGCTGCGTTTGAGTGATAAAAAGTAGTATCGTTCGTTATTTGTCTATCGTGCCCTGTTGATGCTTGTAAATTCGGCGTAAAATAATGACAGACGGTTGTACATTTGAGAATAGCGTGCTAGATTACATGTTGAAGTAGAATTCCATTCACAGAAGAGGTTGATAGTGCTTCTTAAGAGCCTTTTAGCATTGCGTTCTGCATTCTTTGCAACTCTGGCAGGCCCCATCTTACCATCCACTCACATCTCGCCACTTCCTCAATCGTGACCCTTTTGCCTGGCTCCAGGACCAACATCGATTTCATCATGTCACGGAACGCATTCTCCTCCTCTGACGAAAAGGTATCAAACTTCTTCCTCTTCCGTGGATGTTGTATATACTCAGCAAACCGCTGGTTCCAGTCCCTGGGATTGTTGCTATACCACTGACGAAGGGATTCTTTCACGTTCTTGTGTCCATATTCGTCGAACCAATTACTTCTGTTCTCCCACTTCCTCCACCACCGATCGGGAAGTTTACCAAGCATCTCAACATGCTCAGTTACAACGTCATCCAATGTGGCAGGAAAGGCCTCGAAAGGCGGGCTGGATCCAAAGACATCCCAAATTGTACACGCGAGGGTCCATATATCTCCTGGGAAAGAAAGAGGATCATCTAAGTTTCCAGGCTCTGCGAAGAGGGATTCTGGTGGCGCAAGCAAGAGTGGTGTATGTGCAATGAACTGCTGAGTCGTCTGGGGATCAAATGCTTCTCCAAAATCTGCAATCATAACGGCGGAATGCGCTGGGGAAATCTCATCACTACCACGCCCTAGCCAGACAGGGACAATGGCTTCTGGAGGAACTCCTGGGTCAAGGGGAGCGCCATCTTCACGGGTCACTCGCTCTCTTGCTGGTTCACCCGTTCTATCATACAGCTGTTCCGGAGTCAAGTCTTTCATGTCAAGTGGCAAGCGAAGAAGAATATTTGCGAGATGTAGATCTGTGGCCATGTTAAGAGGATGATTTATGCTTCATAAGCCAAGTGATGAAAGGTACCGAACGTACCACCATGGACAATGCCTTCAGAATGGATGAATTGTACACCAAGGATAAGTTGTGAAGCAATAATTCGAGCGGCAGGGAGATGTAGAAGTCGATGATATGAAGCTTCCTTTGCTTCATGGATATTGACCCTAGCAGCATCCATGACTAGACAACGATGAGTGCCATTGGGCCCAGATAATGTGAAAGAATCAAGCAGATTCTGTACAACAGCCTTCCCAGGGAGACTTGATCTAGCCCTAGCTAGCCGCGAAAGAATATGCATCTCGTGAGTTCGCTCAGCTGATTCTGCAGTCGAGATCTTCAGGGCAACAAGTCGGCGTTGCCTTTTATCCTCTGCCAGCCAGGTTGTAGCAGACCGACCAAAACCAAGTTTATGAGCAATGACATATCGACCATCACCGAGTTCATCACCTATCATGACAGGATGGTAGCCACCTGGAACATAATAGTCTAAGCGTTCAACTTCTTCCACAAAGTTGTATTTGACTCTGCCGGGTTCCATGAGCGTTGCCATATGTCTGTGTGTGGTTGACACAAAGAGCCGTGTCCGTGGTCTGATTCTGTGAAATCGCAAAAAGCCATTGCTGGATCGACAGGCCATGATGCGTGTATTACAGTATAATTAAGAGAAGGGTTGTTGAATGGGGGTATCATGGCCGGGATGAGTTGCATACTCCGTAGATTCTGGCCTAGTGAGGTTTGAGGTTGAATATTTCATAGTATAGCTGTCCCTCGTCTGATTGGACCAGGGGTTGGATAGACAAAGCGAGTGAACAGAATCTTCATCTAAGCAAGCCGAGAGAACTTGTTTCTGGCGTGATAAGTAACTAGCGGAATATACAAATGCGCGATCTAGCATTGTCCTAAGTTGCCACTGCCGACTACCACGTCGGAGCCGAGATATCAATCCGAGTTCATCAGGGCCAGATAGTTAGGTAGAAGAAATGGGCAGCGTACTTTTATTCCTCGAAGATCCCTATGCTTAGAGATTAGAGGATACATGGACAAGTGCTTAAAAGGCGTTGAAATAGGCCTAGGTTACACATATAAAGTAGTAGTGTCTAAGCAATGAGGCAAATGATATACTATCGCCTTGTCGGGTAACAGTGTGCATTTTAGTGATATTTGAGTTTTATAGCCTTCTTACCACCTTCTAGAAGGTTGTTAGTGAGGGAGGGGGAGGCGATATCCTGGCGTGGCTTTCGGTCAATCATCTAAAATTCATACCATCCCAGGCAAATTTTAAATGCCACTAAAATGCACATAGACGAGGAGATAAGGGCCTCTAATTTTCACTCTGCCGAGCTCACATTCTGAAATGAAGGCAAAACACGCACTCCATATCGCCAACTTATTATGTAAAAACGATCTTTAGCGTTCCTATCGCTAGAGAAGCCGAAGAATAGCCTAGTTTATCATCTAACATCATCGGTTTAGGTTCCGTAGAAACACGAATCAACCCTCCGTGACCATCACGACTGACAGCTCTGGAACCTTGTTTGGTGATGTATAGAAACACCCTTGCCACTTGAATATTGCTTCACAATCGCAATGTTTCAGAGCGTATCCGTGACCAACCGGGAGAGCAAGTCTATACATCTCCGTATGTTCCGAGCGGAGGGCGGATGTCGGAGGACTCCATACAGAGTTCTTCGCTGCAGTACTTCTGGCGCACGTTCCCCTTATCACCCTTATTGCCCTGTTAAGATCATGGATATCTATATGCATATGGGTTGGGAGTATACTCTTCGTTCTCGCGTTTCTCGGCAGGATTTTCAACATTAACAGGAGCCACGGATCGCGCAGACAGGCTGGTGGATGCAATTCTGATGTCATGCCCTAAAATGAAAACAGCCCCGTATTGGCGGAGAGCCATCCAGTAGAATTTCGCTAAAAATGCGACTACTGAAAGTATGAGAGCCGGGGAAGCTAGGGCTGATGGGCCTCGCTGGGATGCGAACCGTGAACCGAGAGATTAGGAGACGATATTTCGGGGATCTGACGAGTTGCATACGAGGTGACGTAGAGATATATCTCTCAGCCCGGAGCCTCGGAGGACGATATCGGCAGACTCAGGGCTGAAATTGAACGAACGGCGCCAAGGGCGAGCTGTTCCTGCGACAAGTCGTATCCGTCCCATTCCCAACACACCTGGGATGCATCCATGTTGTCTGCTGTTTTAGTGTCCAGTCTATCCTTTAGATCTGGTCTATACACTCCGTATTTTCGCATGTCCATAGCATGATCCTGGCTGGTGTTGAAGGAAATCTCTGCATTTTGGATGCTGAAACTGTTCGACCCTAAAAGTTCATACAAGCCAATGAACCCCACAACTCCGCCAAGTCGGAAGAGAAAACACCAGAAGAGATGGAGAGAAGAGGCGAATTGACATGGATGGCCCAACGGCCCGACCAGTGCCATTGCCCCAAAGCAGCGGTGATGGACGATCCTTTGCCTAAATTCCGAGTAAATAAACGAATTGAATCTGTATCTTCAACCCGTCAAAGAGGAAAAAGTAAACATCAAAGAAGCTTCCGGCTGGTTGATCCACTGTCAACTCCCCTTGGCATCGAAGGGGATTTTTCTGGGATCCTTGTCGACTGGAGTCTGAGTATTTAGTAGTTGTTATATATCTCCTCCATGACCCTGACACAAGGGAGAGGAAAGAAGCCAGACCGTAACGTCTTTCATCTTTCTGTTGTTGAACTTCGCCTTCAATGATACCGCCGTGCGATATCCTCGTCCTGGGTGGCGGCATCGCTGGTATTGCTGCTGCGCTTGCGATATCAAAGGAGCTCTCCCCCAAAGTCCCCGGCCTCAAGATAACTATATTCGAGCTGCACAATGTCCCGTCCACGTCTGGAGGGGCGATCAACCTCAACCCGGCGGCCCAGAGACACCTTCACCACCTTGGAGTGTTGGACGAACTCGACAAGATGGGCGCCGATGGCGGGGCAGAGGTAGACCAAGTCGAGATGTTCTCTATACATTCTGGACGTCGGCTCGGGCGTGTGGACTTCTCAGGCAAGGATGGGAAGGGATATGGTGGATACAAGGCCAGGAGAGTCATGAGAATATCCCTTCACCTTGCCCTGCTCGCCACGGCTGAAAAGGCCAGTAACATAGATGTGAAGTTTGGAAAAAAGGTCGTTGACGGCGTCGAGTCGGAGGAGAAAGTGACGATTTTCTTTGAAGATGGCACCAATGCTGTCGGCGACCTGGCGTTGGGCTGCGATGGAGTGCATTCGCCCACGAGAATGAAGCTGGTTGACCCTTCGACGCCGTCAGAATACACTGGTATCTGCTTCATCCAGACGACCATCAAGGCGAACAGGATCAACGCTCCGGTACATTTCAAGACAACGGCCATGAATCGATCACGGCATGGCGGCTTGTTAACCACGTATTGTCATAAAAACAAAGAAGACATCTTCGTCGCTGCGCTGGCCGAAGTAGATGCCGCAGATATCTCGCACGAGACGTTTTGCCCCCGGAATAGAGATTCAATACGACACAGACGAACGACGTCGGAACGACTGAGAGACGAAGTCTGTGAACGATTTAACGACTGCGGAATACCCTGCGTGCAAGAGATGTTGGAGAAATCCTTGAATTGGGCCCTATACCCGGTCTACCAGCTACCTCCTGATAGGAAATGGCATACAGAGAGGACTCTGCTACTCGGAGATGCTGCCCATGCTGTATGTTCATTACCCATAACCCTTGATTCTGTTTGTGTCCCTTTACTGATACAGAGCCCTTCTAGATGCCTCCTAGAGATGAATCTGCAGCATTTGCATTAGATGATGCAATCCTGTTCTCCCGTATACTTTCACTTTACATCCACCAACCTATCAGTGATGCATTCGCGGTGTATGAGTATATACGTCGAAGCCCTGTTACCAAAGCATACAACTCGTCGAATGTTACGTGGATGAGCAACAAAGGCACAGGGCGATGGACCAACCGACTTGAAGAATGGATGACCCCGTGGCAGCTCTACAAGGACAAGAAAGCGAGGATTGGGGCATGGGAATTCGATGCCAGCACTCTATATATCCCACCACCGCCGAAGGAACCGAGCCTCAGCTCCCTTGAGGACAAATGACGACTTACGAACCACCTAATGCGGGTTATGCAAATTGTTTAACTAACTGTACGATGTATTAATGGCCTTTTCTTTTCTTCTATTCCCATTTGTTTGGCTTTGATACTATACCCGACTATCCATGACGCTTCCCTTCTTCCTCTTCCTCTTATTCTTCTTCCTCCTTCTTCCTCCTCTTCTTCTTCTTATTCCTCCTCTTCTTCCTCTCCCCCCTCTCCTGCCGGATTTTCAAGAAAAGTCTCGTCCCTGGCGCCTGCGTTTATTACGATACTCTGACCATGTTCTTTCTATACACTTGACCTAGACGGAGGCACTTTCCTTCAATTTTTCTCCTCATACCTATTTGTTTGTTTTCTTTGTACAATTTTATATATCCCCCTTCTCCTTGCTCTCCTCATACCCGCATACGATAGTGTCCATTGATAAATTGTATACTCGTTTACTTTTACCATAAATATCCTCTTACTGGAGTCCTTTACCCTGGTATAGCTTCACTCCGTACTCTACCCCATCTCGGAATGGGGAAGTTGAAGTTCCTTGGAGCCGCCTTAGGCCTGGCTTTGGTCTCACCTACCATCGCGGCGTTTAATGTATACGCTCTGCATGACCGTGAGGCGGTTATCTCATCGCTCGGCGTATCTTCCGAGTGCCTTTCGGCTTTGTATTGTCCCCTATATTCATAATCCCCCTTACCAATTATCCCCTTCTACTGAAAGCGCCGCTAACTGATGGCAAGGAACTATACCGTCCAGTGTGATGGCCCAAATGCTGCCAGGGCTGTAAAAACCCCTGAGAGTGATTGTAGGTCCCCTTTCTCCGTACATTGGCGTCTCTTGCTCACTATGCATGCATTACTTAGTAAACTGGACTATGGACAACTTGACATCCCTATGCACCGAGGATTGCTCCAAGTCGTTATTCACATGGCTGGAAACTGTGGAAGAGAAGTGTGAGGGCGAAGAAGTGGCGGCTAATGGTCTCGTCGTGGACCCAAAGGCGTTCCCTTTGAAGTATATCGCTGGTTATGAGTTGGCTTGTTTGCAGGATAGGTAATCTCTCTTTGGTTCCTGGGTCCCCAAGCCTGCTAACAACGACGTTCAGCAACGACAACTGGTGTTTTTTTGAGGCACAGAGCTGGGACAGCAGCGTATATACTAGGCACGTACATATTTCGGTTGTCTATATGTTGCTCAAACTGACCTTTATTGTAGTTGGGATAAAACCCCGGATGCTTGTAATGGTGACAACTGTGAAAAAAAGGGTTCTGGGGACGTAGGCGACACCCTATACGTGACAAATGCATACGATAAAGAATTGGTAGGTTTTACCTTGTTATCAGTTTCCTTCCTGTTTACTGACCTCAACAAATAGTACTGCAGCGAGTGCTTCCTGCTTATTTGGAGACAGCGGATCGAGTCCCCCGTTTTCCCTCAAGGGAATCTCATGGACCACTTTACCAAACAGCTTAATAAGTTGGAGACAGCTTGTTCTACAAAACTGCCATTGACAACACCAGCTCCAACCCTTGTACTCAGGGCTAAAGATTTTGCAGCAACAACTAATGGCCATGTGTTGGGTGCACCGACGATATACAGGTCTACTCAACCTCCAGCAGCGACAATCACCGAAGACGTTGTTGCTCGACGCAGTTTTGCACCGAGGGCATTGAAGACGTTCTATACACCAGGTAGCTAGGCCCTTGCGTCCTTAGTCGATACTGTTAGCCATCGCTAATATGCATGCTTTAAGCAATCCCTGATACAACGACTCAACTAGGGGCAACTGAGGCCTGTGGTAAATACTATAACGTGGTTTCAGGAGACACGGTATGTTTCTATGCCTATTACATCTCCAAGTTACCCGCTAATTAGATATATTGCATATAGTGTAATTCCATCTCCGAACAGTTGTAAGCACTGGCTCCCTTAAAAGTATCTAACTCGATGCTAATTAACTAGTGATGTTACGCTTGATGAGTTATTGGAATACAATCCCAGGGTAAGCCCGAGGCTTTTCAATACTTTGACGGCCACATCGACCTGAAATCAATTTTAGTTCTAGTGCTAATTATTTCGCAGCTTGCTCGGAACTGCGATAACTTATGGGCAAACTTTGCTATCTGTGTTGCCCCTATTTCCCCAAGCCCAATGGCCATGGACGGAAACTGTGGGGAGAATAATCCAGATGCCACCTGCAATGGATCCCCCTTTGGCTCGTAAGTGCTTCTGGCCAATTCACAAACATGCTCCTATCCAAATACTGACTGAATTATTGGTAGATGTGTAAGGTCACCCTGTTACATCGCTCAATTGTTGCTATCTACTAAATATGAATTACACAGTGCAATAACGAGGGGAGATGTGAACCCTGTGAACCAAAAGCCACCACCCCTCCAGCGCCTCAGACAGCACCAAGTGAAGATCCCTCAGACGAGGAACCACCAAAAGAGGAGTTGCCCAGAGAAGAGCCTCATATGGAAGACCCGAAAACCGAGGATCAAGAGAAAGAAACGCCAACTTTGCCGTCTCACAAAGAGGCACACCCTCTCCCATCGCAGGGCGGAAATTCTACTATGATTAGCAAGGATGGATCTTGCAATAAATATATTGTTTGTGGAGGCACACCGTATGGAAAATGCTGCAGCACTAGTGGTTTCTGCGGGACAGGGCCAGCATGGTGTGGTACGAATTACCGAACCCCCTAAGCCTTCGATGACATATACTGATGCTCAATCGACATAGGTATTGGTAACTGTGTTTCAGGGGATTGTGACACCAAGGATGGTGGTGTTACAACTGATGGCAAGTGTGGACCACTATTCCCAGGAAACAAAATTTGTGCTGGGACGTCTTTTGGAAGATGGTATGAATATTCCCTTTTTATATACCTTTGTCTAAATATAACTCTTTTATTTCTTGAAAGATCATTTGCTAATTCACATTTGGAACAGCTGTTCGAAGCAAGGATACTGCGGCTCGACAGAGCTTCATTGTGGCAAAAACTGCCACTCTGAGTGTGATGGGAAAAAGCAATAGAGCCGAGAGGTAGTTCGGAGACTAGAACACCAAGGCTGCGTTGGTCGGGCATTGTGGGAAGATTGTAGATTAGCGGTGGTAGCGGGTTATGAGACGTGTTGCTGTATCATTATCACATGGAACGACGAGTAAGAATCAACTTTATGGATATCCTTTTATCACCATGTTCACTATTAGAACAGTGCACGAGTAGGAATGAAATTTATAATCCGGGTATCACATCGATTTCATCTCGGTGGCGTCGCGTAGAGAGGGGTTTGCTGCAAAGGTCTTCTCGAGTCTGGAAGCCCAGAGAGCAGCACCAACGGTATTTGTGTATGCAAAGATTAGGGATGCAAAAGGAACCATCTCCAGAACAAAAGCAGCCGCTCCAAAACTACTCACAGGTCAGTTAAACGTCATCTCTTCTCAGGGCTAATACAATTGGCAGGGAGCTTACCTCGCATATGCGCCTCTGTTCTTCTGAAGCCACTCATCTCTTTCTTTTGAACCCCATCCCTTCAAGTAAAAGTACCTTGCATGCATTAGAGGCCCAACCCTCGTCCCTTGTGCTCCAATATACATAAATGTCCCCACCACTGGAATAAAATTCAGAGGCAGATACAAAAGTGACCGAAAAAAGTTCGACAAACTCATCTTGTTCATCAATGAACTGCCTCCTTTCTTAAAGAAATGCCCAAGTCGAGCCATTGGATCAGACGCGGGCTTTATTTTGCGGTCCTTGGCTACCAGCTGTTCATTCCCACAGGCAAGCAACGTGCCGTCAAACAAATTGAGTATGGTCTCCTGGTCGAAGCCATAACCCGATTTCGCAAGATAGGAGATTATCGTTGAACTCTCACTCAGAACTAGTAGGGCTGCCGAGAACGGCGCTATAAGAGGGCCAGAGGTAAGGGCCAGTATGGCTGCTTGGGGTATATAGGTGAAAAAGAACATGGCGCCGGTGACGACGAGACTCAAGGTTACTGTAGGCGCGAGCTTCGAGAGCATTGGTTTGTATAGAGATGGGTGGGATAGGAAGTATACAATGCCCTAAATTCGAGGTTAGGTCAATCAATGAAAAGAAATTATTTCATTTTAGGTATACCTTGAACGGGTAGATGTATGCGCCAGATCGCAACCCATCTTTGGCGAGCGCTAAGAAATTGCGCAATTCCTCCTGAATCATGCGATTGACTCGATCCATCTTGTTAGAAATTAAAAAAAATATGTAGCGAATTGCTAGATTGTAGAGGACTTCAAAGGGATGGCGGCGTCAACACTGGTGGTGGAATATTTGAAGGTGGTGGTGCTGATCCCGTTTCTGGTTTTCTGGAGTTATGACGACATTTCTGTGAAGATCGCGGGAAGTACCGAATGTCACGTGATATGACATCTATCAGGAGGTCCATGGATCTGTAGGAGAGTGAACATATTGCAAGAGCTGGGAAGGTTACAGGAGTACCGTTCATGATGTAGGTACAAAGTAGACATTCATATACTAATTATCTGGGGTAGGACGCTGGGGCTTGTCCTCGCTCCGGCTTTCGTGGTTCCTCCACTTCCATCTCTTCTCCCCATTAATATCTTCAGGAGTGTCCTTTCAAAGGAATGCAGTCCTGCTGTTTTGTTTCAATTTTGCACTCAAAACACCCAAAGTTCTCGTAATCCTCCAAGGGCTCGTTAAAACCAAGCGATGCAGTAAGGGGTAGGAAGAAGCGGAATAAAACAAAAAAAGAGAAAAAGGAAAAAGTGGAGGGGGAATCATAGGATGAAAGACAATTGTAGCACGAGGGGGTATAAGTAGAGACATATGATATACAAAGGAAAGCGTAAAATTAAGGAGGTTGAGGCGAGAAGAAACTGGTTATCCTAAAGTGGTGAAGGGGTAAGGTGAGATGTGGTTGCTTTAGTTAGTCTAGCGGTTCCTATGGGTTCGCGTATGCCGGACCTGGTGCCACATTGAATCCCCACTTAAAGCAGATAGACTCAAGGACGTAAGGCCTCTCCACGTAGACCGGTGGGATGCGTTAAGGGCGTCACCAAGTAAGGCACCACGCTCCAATTCAGAGTCGGTATTTTCATGATCTGGAATAGGGATGGCGGATGAGGAAAACCCATCGTGTCCCTCGACGGCTGGCGCTTGGTCAAAACTGGATGAAGGATCTAGGCTTCCCGAGCCATATTCGTTAGGTCCTTGGTTTCCAAATGACCTAACAACATCGCCTTTGCATATTGGACATGTGCGTCGACGGGTTGTAAGCCATGGTGTTCTTATAAGCTCGTTAGCAGGTTATTCTTTCCATATTATGATGGATTGATAGCGGAGGCTTGATTTAAAAGACTTACATGCACTCAGCGTGAAATTCGTGACCGCAGGGCAAACTCATAACCCTGCTTTCACCGTCGACATACTCTTCAAGACACACAACACATTCTACCTGGCGACCAGTATATTTCCGTCGCCATAGTGTTGATCCAGAATTGGATTTCTCAGTACCGGCTGAGAAAGCCGTGATATTAGGTAATGAATTTGACGCTGTAGCACCCCCATGGGCGGGGAGATGAGATCTACTATCAGAGCGTGCAAGGAGAGGAGATGTAGGGGTGGCAGATTCCGCTACTGCTGTACGGGGAGGCGTACTTGAGTTGGAGTTGCTTGTAATTGTATGGTATGTTCGGACGGGAAGTTGATCAACGATGGCTTTGGGCGCCCTCCATCGTCGTCGGCGTATCCTGGAACGAAGTAGGAGGAGTGCATAGACAACGGTGAGGGTTATCAAGGGGCTAACCACCAAAACTAAAAGGGTGTCGAAGAATGGACTGGTAGACATGCTCGTCGGAGCTAGGGTAACCCATAAGCCTTCGTGTTCAGGCTTATCCGCCGACTTCTTGCCGCCGTGATTATTGTGGGCGGTCCGGCTTCCTCGGCTGCTTTGTGTATCTTTATTCCCATTTGATGGTGCATGATTCTTGTTGTCGCTCTCTTCTCCCCAGCCAAAGTGACCGTTCCACCAATGCCGATCATTTTCAGGGTTACCAGATCCAGACTTCGATGTGGATGGCTGTTTGCTGGAGCTGCTGGGTTTGCCTTTGCCTTGGGTCGACTTGTCTTGATGGGCGTATTCACCACTGCCTGGGGTAATGCTTCCACCCTTGAAGCCATTAGAATCAGGGCTAGAGCTAGAGCCATCCCGGTTGTTTGATTTGCTGTCTTGACCTTTGGGACCTGTGGGCTGCGGTTTACCGGCAGCCGTTGAAGTGGGTTTGAAAACGAGGTCAGGATCGCGCCAGTCTTGAATTCCAATAAGGAAGTCGTCCTCACTGTTCTGGTGAGGATCTGACTTGGAGGGTGCCGGGACAGTGTTTTTGTCTTTTTCCTGATGGGCAGAGCCTTGCCCTGGTTTTGAAGGCGTTTCGGTATCCAACTTTCCACCTGGTGAAGTCCAATCGATATTGCCACTGCTAGGCGGTCGCCTGCTGTCCTCATGGACCGCCTTATCTTTCCAAAAGCTGAAAAGGGATGAAAGGAACCCTTTGTCTGAAGATGGCGTGCTCTTCGGTTTGGACGGTTTTGTCTTTATAGACTTTGAGTAAGAAGCACTGGAGATTCCGGCTTTACTAGAACCGCTGCTTGGCTTCGTCTTTTGTTTCCCTGCATTGCCTGGCCCTTTCAATTTAGACCCTGGAGACCCGCCTTCATGACCCTTATCCGCAGGAATCAGTGACGATAGAAGGTGTGCTGTGGTGTGAGAAGTAAAAACAGCAGGAATAGTCACATTTGATGTATCCCCATGAGCGTACATCGTAACCAAACCTCCACCACTCACATTATCTCCAACTATCACGGCTATCCCTCCTCTTCGTTGTACCCATTTTGTCTTTTCTAAAAAACCACAGCCACCACGGCTTAGTAGAACCACCTTGCCTGAAATCTCTGCACTCTCTTGCAGCGATTGTATATCGGCATGGGTTGGCGGCTTGGTCTTCTCACCACCGTGGTTTCCAGCATTATTTCGGTCAGGCAACACAGAGTCGCCTAGTGAATGGTGAAGGTGGTCATCCGTCCCGTCATTTTCTGTTGGCAAGCCACTATTCTTCCCATCACTTCGTGCTAAAACTGTAGCAGCTCGTTTCTGATTGCTTCTTTTCCCATCTTCTTCGAGTCCTCCAGGAGTTGGTTGGTCTTGTAACTTGGACTTATCTGTGCCGTGACGACCGCCAGCTCCCGTCTGTGCACTCCTATCTCCTTCCTCCCACCCCGGAACATCGGAACAGCCTAGTTCTCCTTCAGCTTTCGTTGTAACCCCTCCCTTGTGGCCGACATCGTCTCCAAACCCACTCCCAATCCACAACTGTCCGTCAAGACCACGCGAGGGTAGGAGGGGGCCAAATGCAGCAGGTCGGGCGAGGAAAAACGTCGAGTTATCGTCCGTCAGGCTTATTAATGCAGAGGGCGGGAATAACGATGAAGGCGCGTGAAAGAACAGGTCTCGTATCCGTCCTACTTTGCTTCTGTAATTTCTATAATCGGACCCGGCAGCGTGCCCTGGGTCCGCAGATCGGCGAGTTAAGGTCGTAAGCAGGAGGGGGAGGAATACAAGGCAAAGTAGGAGGAGGATGAGCTGTGGTGGTCTCATTATTCCGTGTTTGCCAGATTGCGTATGCTTTTTTTTGTCGTTCGTAGTCGTGTGCAGACGCACCCTGAAATCAACTGGCGTGTGTGCAGTTGGGTATGAAAGGCAAAAACAGCTGACTCGACTTCACCCTGGGGGCCAAGTGGCCGCTCGTTGAATGGCTGGGCAATCCAAGACGAGATACCAGGCTGTTCAAGGTCGTCCTGGCTGCGAGGAATGGTGGGCAGCAAAAGCGAACTTCGATCTTGTGAAGCCCATCGTCATGCTGGCTTGGCGTTACGGTGTGTCACATGATCATTCCCTTTTTAGCTTTTGCCATGAAGGGGGAAAAGTAGAAGGAAAAACCACCACAGTCCAGCGTTTATGCGGCCAGATATCAAATATTCAGGCAGCCACAGGCGGCGAAAGTCGTGTCTCGGTCTGGCATGCGGCCTGGAATCTGAGACGGCGTTCGGCGGTGAGATTACGTTTATATTTGGATCCCGCAGACCTACTGAATACAGAGGTCTCTACGGCGTACTAACAGTCCTTTAGAGCCCCTATATTTTGTCCATTTTCCTAGGGACAAGTCTAAGTCTAAGGCAAATATAAGGTGAATAAGATAAGGCGAATTAAAGCCTTCATGACTGTTGGAAGGGACCCGGTGTTGTGAATTTCTCGTCTGATATCAGCTGCCGTTATCACGATCAGGGCAGGCAATGTTGCGAGCCTTGGTGGCTTGCACTCAGTCTCCATAACTCCGCATTATCAATGGCTTTCAACATCCAAATGCCTTCCCGTATGGCAGCCCACGTTACAGAGCCCGAAGCCCCACAGACCTTCTCCGTGATATCTCGTCAGACGTTGCTAGATATATGAGAAACCTTTACTTTCGCGAATCATAGCATACGTAAACCGCAAAAACAAAATAAGCTGAAGAGTGATTGGCGCTCGCTCTCTGCCGACGGGCTAATGCAATACCAATCCCTGTTTAGCGTCTGGGACCTTCCGTCTCCCCTTCTTTCGTCAGATATCGAAACGCGGACTAGGATTGTTCGCTCCCCTGATCAATATTCCGGTGGCCCTGACCATAATTACACGCTTGATGACACAGCCGTAGCGAAGATACCGAGCTAGTGCCTAACAGAGGTTTGGACGAAAGCAAGTCCACCAGGACAGCCGTGGAGATGTCTGTCAAAGGAATGATTATCGTTCCTTGTATATACCCCGTAGCACGCGGCTATTCCCCCCATCTGTGCCATCTCAGGATGAAAGAGAACAACTTCCGTCTTTCCATATCAAACCACCTCCATTTTCCATTCGTCACGTGACGGTGATAATACCCGATGGATCGGGATGTTTATTTCAACCTCATCCAACCATTTCTATATAAACCTGCTCCTTTTAGGGTCGAAAGGGATAATTTTGCCGGGAAAAGAGGTTAGACTATGTTTAATCCTCATGGCTCATTTTATTTTCTGCTATAGCCTTCGATTTATCCCTAGGTAGTGACAGAAAATGAAGTTTATCCTGCTTGAAGGGCTAGTGCATCATTTGCGATAGTCTATAGATACTATCCTGGCTGATGTATCAATGTGCTCTATCATTTTATCAAGGAGAAGAATATTTGTTTATAGACGTTGCCTTTCTAGATGGCCTATAGCGAGATTCTTAGCCTCGCCTTTAGGAGGATCATACCTTCCTAGAGCCTGGTTGTTGCTGAAATGTCTATAAAGGCGGAATTTGCCTATTAAATACAATAGTTAGCTTGCTTATCTCTTATATCAGGAATGCCATACACCATGTGTTGGCAGATGCAGGAACATACCCATCTTTGCTTTCTAAGAAGTCTATGTGATATCCTGTTTATACTATCAGGTTGCATGAACTTCTCTTCTCTTCTCTCCCTTCGCTTCTCTCACTTCCTGCACAGAAAACCACGTGATGGAACATGCCCTCTTTCTGTTTTAGGAAGAAGGAGAAAGAGATAAGTGGTCTGTGCGCTCTATCTTTTTTGATGTCCTGCTTCCTCCTTTCTTCACTCTCTTTCACCACCCCCAGCTTCACTCTCCAGCTTCACTCTCAGTCGCCCTCTTTTAACTGCACGACATTCACGTCGGGCTCCCTGAGCTGTCAAGGATTTAAAGACGCCAAAGTAAGTACCGTCAGACCCTATGCTCTATCCTGCTTTATCATCTTGCCAGCACCTTGTTGCTATTGTTTTTACTGGTGCTGTTGCTAGTATTAGTGCTGACAGTAAATATTCAGGGTTAGAAAGTGACAAGTGAGACACAAGATAGATCTGAACGCGTTGTCTGCCCCAGCTACTAGTTGCAGAGCTGAAAGAGCGCAGAGATGAATCCATACAGATATGATCGACCTCTTGGGGCTAGGGAGCAGGAGGGCATGAACACGATCCCGTTTCCCCCATTTCCATATGATCCAGCAGATGAGATGGATAGAAATAGCTTCACGCCTCCGCCGCTTAGGTTGCAAGGTCCACCACCTCAATATCTTGGAGCACAAGGGAGACTGCTTGGATATCCAGGAGAACCTGCAAAATATCCTACTGCTGCTAGGGGGAAGATGGATGCAGACACAGTTACTCACACTCATACGCACCATCACTCTTATATGGAGAACAACTTTAGACCACAGCAGCCCATTTCTTATGATGCAGCACCCCGCCACGCACTTATTCCTCCTCCACCAGACCTGAGAGGCCCCCCTAACCCCTATATTTCATCTTCAGGGCACCCAGGGAATTTTGCTGCAGCTGCAGCTACGCCTGAAGGTCCACCCCATTCACAGGAACGTCCTCGGCCTTTCTACCGAGGTGTTCCCTCATTCGGGCAGCATGCACAAGTACCAGAACTGACCGGGCCTGCTCTGGCAAGATCAAGACACACTAGCCAGGAGCTTCAAGATACAGACCACTTGCCTTCCTCCCGTCCTATCTCCCTGGCCTCGCTTGCTACTATCACGGCCAAGGGCAAGGGGCCAAGGGCTGGAACACCACAGGGAGTCGACTTGGGTGACGAGAATCCAGGTGATTTGGATATGTTTTATAACAACCACCGAACCACGGGTACAAGATCAAACCCTAGGATGCTAGCGGGTCCCAGTGCATCCTTGATGGCTCACCAACTGCAAAATGTGCCTAGAGTTGATGTTAGAGGACACCATGGACAGGCAGGAGAACTTATATCTCAATATCACCATCATCAGAGCCCACAACGCGCACTTAACTCTGGACAGCATATGTTTTCAGTCGACCCAGGGGCGCCTCAATATCAAAACCCAAACATCGCTCCACCGATTCCGTGTCAGCCTCCCCATATTAATTATGCAAAGCATGCAACTGTGTCAGCACCCGCAACATCAGCGCCCACTCCAGCGCCGCCGAAGACCAGACCGGCAACTCCAACTGGCCCTTATGTTATGGGACCCGATGATCTTAGCCCTACTAAACAAGAGGAGAAGTTCATGGCTCAGAAGATGATGCTGGAAAGGCTTGAAGATAATTCGATCAACGACACTCTTGAAATTGACTTCTCGAAACTTGGTGTTAATCAAACCGATCACTACCTGGATCTCATTGGCGCTCCACCTAGACCTAGGCCCGAAGTGGAAAATACCGGAAACGAAGAAGGTCGACAAAATGGAATGCGTACAAACATAGATGAAAAACAGCATGGGCCTAAGCTGACATCCCCTCAGGGGGTAGTTCCAGGGAAATCTACAATGGCAACCCGGACCTCCCCTGCCGTAACTGGCCACGATATGTCAAGTGCTAGTGACACTCGAGTTTCAGGGACTCGTCGTCAGGAACATAAAGATGTCGCGGCTCAAACGAAGACATCCCAGTTCTTATCAGCTGCATCCCATACGCAGTTAATTAAATCTATCAGCCGCGATGCGGACGATGACTTCGATAGCCCAGCATGGGAAGTTAGCAATCTACGACGTGCAGGGCTCATTCCGCCAATCTCCTCTGGAGCAAATGATAAAAAGGATAGCGTTTCCCATCCATTAGAAACCCACCAGGAGGTTCCGCCCACTGATTATACCGGGCCTATATTTGGCCGTTATATCGGTGGACATGTGAGCATGCAACCAGATTTTGTCTACCGCCCAGTTCCCTGGTCTATTTCCACGGCAGAAGAAACTAAAAAGGCCAAAGAAGCCGAAGAGGCCTCGAAACCGTCGTCTCCTAGAGCTTCCAAGTTCCCACCTCCAGGTTTACCACCTCCACCCACCTTACTGGAAAGCCCAATCGGCAAGAATCGTGCCACAATTAAGTCTGCCAGCGACAAAAAAGCCCGTATAAACGAAACTCTCAAGTGGTACCGCGCCGATCGTCGTTGGAATGAGGGGCTCCGCGAACGTTTAGGGGATATTGTGCAAGACTACAAGGAATGCAATGGTGATATAAATGCAGCAACCAGTGCTAGCGTGAGCCGTGATATGGCCGAACGAACCACTGGTTTACTGGCTCAGGCCATTGCAAACCTCCAATCCTATCTTGATGGAAACGCGAAGGACCAGGCTGGGAATTTTGCCAATTATGGCCCAGTCCCGGACGAATGCTGTGACTCGTGCAAGGATGGTAGCTTTAGCCTCTTCGATGTCCAGCCTGGTCCATTCAGAGGCTCCGAGACGAGGAACTAGGGGGGAAATCAGCAGTGGAAAACGCAGGAATAAAAAATGGTGGTGCTTTGCTTATTCAATTTGATATAAAATTCTGAAAAGCCGCAGCAAGGAGTGAGTAGTACGGGATATATCTCGCATTTCGCTTCCCTTCTACACACGCCTTGGGAACAAAAAAAGAAGAAAAAAGGCGATAATTGTTTTTAAATCTGCGCTTATTAGGAATTCCCTGATTTAGAGCTTAGTGGTTGAATGATAAATTTAACTTGCGTTTGAAAAAGAAATAAGTCTTTATTGTCAAATGAATTCACAAGAACGTTAAAGTAAGAAAGTAACCTCCATTCCTCCTAAAAACCTAGACTCGTGGGCTCGTGATAGCGAGAAACAGAAAACGAAGGCAGAATGGGAAATGAATCCGCGCAGACTCCGAGGAATAGGTGCAAGAAAATAAAGCAAACGCAGAGAGAAAGAGAGCTTAGGAATAAAAGAAGATTCGACCTCTTATCCTATGCAGATAAGATAATTTCTGACCTGTTTGCACCCGGAGACTCTAGGAGGATGCTAATGAAACATCAGATTAAAAGCTAGGTAAAAAAAATGGAAATGTGAAGGGAAATAGATAAGTGAGAAGTCCCTTGCCCGAAGAAATTCGGAAATGGGATTAAGCGGGTGAAAGGTGGTAAATAGGTGTTAAGAGAAATTTCTCAGCAGGAAACAAGGTTGATATGGTTATCGTTGAGGGTCGAGCAAGCTAGAAGCATTTTATGCGGGTGGAATACAGTGCTGACGACTGGGGAGGAACGGCTGTGATGTAAAAAGCTGCTGTGGGGTTCAAAGGTGGAAAGGTGGGTGCCGTCAACATTGAAGGTCTTCACCTCGCGGCGATTAGTTCCACTAAGAAAATGTTAGTTAAAAGGCAAGCCAATGGTAAGATAGGGGAGAACGAACATTGTGAAAACAGGAGCATGTTCATGGACGCCCAAGGTTCGGAGTGTATCCTTGGTCGCCTGAGTGGAGTCAATGGAGTGATCCATTCTTAGATCCCATAGTCGAACTTCGCCGTTGCGACTTCCGGATACCAATTCTCTGACGCCACCTCGTTGCATGTGGACATTGGTGATCCATTGTTTATGTTCTCTCCAAACCTTTACCATTGCAGTCGTGGATTTTAAGCGCTGGTCGAAAACACGAACTGCCCCATCGCCAAATCCTGCAACGAAAATGTTACCGGCTACCTGGTCGGATGTCAAAGAAGTGATGCAAGAACCAGAGCGGGCAGATATATCCTGCGTTTGATTGTTAGATTTGAAGATATGCCTTGTGATAGCAGGGTATAGATAGAAACTTACCGTTGTGCAGACTTCAGTTGCAGCATTCCATACCCGGATAACTTTCACGTCTCCCGCCACTAGAGCTTTCCCTTGCCCTTGCTGCCAGTCAAGAACGAGCCCGGCATTTTTGTTACTGGGTATTAGCTCAGGCAGGGCACGGAATGCCGTAAGAACTTTAACGTTCTTATTCGACTCATAGCTGCGGAATAATTTTAATACACCATCGGAAGAACCAGTCATCAAAAGAGCTTGGTCGTCTTCGTTAATGAAGCGAACTTCATTAATCTTAGAACCGAGCGGATTGCCATTGGAAAATCGATTGAGATAGGTGTTTGATTGCCAATCCCAGATGCTGTACTAGGTTAGCGACCACTGGAGAAAGTTTAGGGAGGCTAAACCAGGAAACTAACCATATTGTGTCCCGGTCATCGGCTACAGCAAGATGGTCCTCAAATTGATGGAAACACATCTTCATTGGCTGGGTAGAGTTGTTTATCAGGGAAACAGAATTATCCCAGCGAGTACTTCCCGCTTTATCTTTCATTGGTTGCGTTTCAACAATGATCTTTTCGTTCCTACTCCGGCGCCACAAGCGTTCATTATAGTCTGAACTACCGGGTTCATCTGGTTCGTTGGGCTTCATTTGGGGCTCTCGGAAGTACTAAAATTACACTGTTAGTGGTGCTTAACGTGTTTGAGGGGGTTTCACTGTACGCACTTCTGTAGACCAGTCTAAGAATCTACTAACTAATGGGATAGTAGGCTCTTGTTTCATGTCTCTTGATTTAAACCCTCTCGAAGATGGTGTGGGCGCTTGGTGGTATGACCTTGCAGAAGCACGCTGGTCATTCACCTCTGGAGGTCTCGTCCATTCAACAGGTGCTCGGCCTCTTGGCGTGACTGGGACACGGCCTTTGGGTGGCTGAGGCCTAGCAAATGTCGCTGAGCTTGGAGAGCCCGGAGCCTGAAGACTAGTTGATGAAGATCCAAAAGCCATGTTTTTCAAGGATGCTGCAACGCTGGCAGTCCTTCGTAAGCTCAAGGAGAGGTATCCTTCAGTCTTAGGAACTTGTTGGCTTGGAGGAGTCTTGGGTCTGGCGTTATCAACAGCCTCTTGCTGCTGTGTTTTCTTCGACTGAGCACGGCTATATAAATCAAGAATGTCATCCCTCGCTTTACGAGCCAAGTTGCCCATGGGTGATTCTAGAAGCATTTTGTGTACATAATCAACGATGATACCGCCATCTTGAGCAACATCTGGGTGAGGGTCAACGGAGAGGATAAGGACCAGTTTCCAGATCGAACCGATAATGGTACTATAAGATACACCACCATCATATGGCTGAGGAGGCTGCATCAGCGGAGAACCCACGGGCTGGGTTTTTAAGACGTGCTTTTCCTCGAGCAGCTGTTCGTATGCGGCCACGATGAATTTGTTTTGGTATCTCTTGACGAATGTTGATACGAAAACTAAGAACTCCTTTCGCACAAGGACGCTACCGTCAGAGCCCATTGGGAGAACAGCCACAGCGAGGTATTCTTCAATTTGAGCTACTTGATCAGTGAGATCCGGGATACCGATAAAGCTAGTGAGAGCATGTAACATTGCTGCTCTGACCTCTGGGACTGGATCAGTCGACAGCTCGCAAAGCCTCGGTGGAGCGGAAGCGCGAATACCCATCCACTTGGCTTCCGGGAAGTCGTTCCATAGCATACTTAGGCATAGACAGGACCATTGGCGTAATAATGGGTTTTCGGTATCCAGCAAATGAGTCAGACATGCGTCAATAAGATCTGGAGACAAACAGACATGTTGCCCTTGAGGGTATTGTTTGCAGAAAACAGCAACAATGAATGCACACATGGCTCGATGGTCACTAACATTCGCAACAGGGATGGGGGCGCCGGGGTTAAGGATGGTGATAAAGTAATGGATACCATTATCTTTCAACAGATCATTTTGTACTGTATGGTCAACGGCCATTATCCTCGCCCAGATGAAGACCATAACGGGTTTAAGCTCTTGTGCGGCACTCTGGAGTAATTTGACGACATATGGGAAGATGCCGATGCTGAGAGCAAGGTGGACAGCCCAAGGACCCAGGTCGAGGAATCCACTCAATAGAATCAATGCACGTAATCGGTGTGCTTGGCTAAGAAGGACTTGCAGGACGATGGGGAGCTGATCTGGAGGGTTCTTTTCGGTCGGCCCTGAGGACAAGTAGACCTCAAATGCTGTAAGTTGCTCAGCGAAGAATGAAGAATGCTGGTATTCGTAATGTCTAGTGCCTTCCTCTTGTTCGATAAGAGCTGGAAGCTGGGCGAGAACCATTTCAACAGCCAAGTCCCAACTCTGCCAGAGAGGGTGGGTGTGAGTGATGGGTAATTTGGGCGAAGAGATTGGATGACATTCATGTGTTCTCATGATTCGCTCACTCAGGAGGAAGTTTCGGAATAATGCAGCAACCATGAGGTCTTGCCGGAATAGTTTTTTGAATAAGGGGCGTGGAAGCGTGTTCCAAGCAATGGTATCGGTAATTGCTGTGAATATCCAGTTGAGTTCACCCAACGGGCTTCGTCTATCCTGTAAACGGCCCGGAACTCTAAATTCATCCACGGAAAGACTTGTCTGCAAGGGATTCTGCAGCACAAAATACCTCAAAGCTATTTCAATAGGAGTGGTGAGACAGCATGTGAAAAGATCGGCAGGTAGGTCGGGGTTTGTGGGAAGAGTCTCATTCTTCTCGCAAGCAGCAAGTAAAATGCAATCGCCATAATTCTGTAGTGATGCAATGGGATCTCTCTTTCGAGCCTCGGCGTTTTCCTTTTCATGCTTTTCAAGGAAGGCGTGGAAATTCTGCACAATATTGCCTGCATGCGACACATCGAAAACGAACAAGCTGGGCCCAGCGAGCCAAGTCTGTAAATCGTATAGGGAAACCGGAATATATTGCGTATAATTCTTGTTGAATACCCAAATTTCACCGGAAGGCGTGGGAAGAGGGACACCATGACCATTGTAATGGAATAATACTCTTTCATCCTTTGCATTTCGCCGTAAAGATATGCAAAACTTCTTCGTTTCCTCCACGGAGGGATCCAGGTATTGTTTATATCGGGTCCGCAAACTGAGGGTTTCGTACTGCTCCTGTAGCTTCTTTCCAATTTGTTCCATAACCTTATTCTGAGCGCCAGTCGTGGAAGTCGGGTCGACCCAGCATTCAAGCTTAGCTGCCGGGTTCGTCTTTACTACGTCCGGAGGGTCTACCCCGATATTAAGACAGATAGCAAGTGCTGCCGAGACAGTCTTCAGCCTGTCTCTCATACGCCAGTCCTGGCTTCTCCAGGTTTCATCTGGTTGTTTCGGGATCCCGTTGCTGTCATGGCGTTTTTCGGTGAAGTACATGTAGAAGTTCTAGAAAGGCATCACGATTAGCAGACTGGTAGACTGAGTTACATATAAGTCATGCCCAGTGCGTTCAACTCACGGAGTTCAAAATCTTCAAGTATTCACTTGATGTGTATTCATCCTGCCAGCCATGACGGAGCTGGAAGTCTTCCTCTTCGTTTCCGAGCGCCCGACTCTCCGAACCCAGGTCATGCCAATGCTCACTCTTTGCGCGAATCAAAGCAGGCTTCCGTCGGCCGTTTATGTTCGGCCTCGACCGCGATACCGGCCTAGACTCGTTTGTAGAGGAATACGAGTCTTCTCTCGCATAGTCGGTTGATTTGGGCCCATTGTGGAGCTGGACGCCGCTGCTGGTGGCTGATCTATGGTGACCACCGCTGCCCGAAGTAGTCGGCTGTATAACCGGGCTGGAGGCTTGAGTGTCGGCAGTAGACTCGAACGAGACCCGGACCGTCCTATTCTGGCTCGGCCCAGGGGCCCTCTCTACCTCCTGCGTCATACTGTAGCGGGGAAGCGAAGGCGCATTTCTGCTCATGTCAAAGTTGGACGTCTAGTCGTGCCCTGTGTGACCAAGAAAGGCGCCCGTCAGTATTCACAAAAGGCGTTAAACTTCAATGCCGGCTGGTCTTTATTGAATTACAAAGATGTATGACATGGATATCAAGTAGTGGTTCTCAGGGCGCCCAACATGATAGGCAGGGGAGTGTGTAGCTTACTAGTAAGAGCCCAAAGACTTGTTGTATGTATCCAGTGTGCCCAGGTTGAGAGATGTGATGCAATGTGGGGGTAGACGGAGCTATCGAGACAAGTCAAAGAAAGCATTCACCAGCATCCGCCACTTGTAGCTCATCTCAGGCCTTGTTATAGGAGCAGCCCGCCTCATGTCCTGCTGGCTGCGCGTTGGTGATATTCGAGGTCGAGGTCGTCGGAAGCTCCCCATAAGTCCGCGCGGATCATCGATGTTCCGATAAGCCACATGACCTGTGCCCGTATTAGGTAAGGCGGTACCCGTAAGTCCCTTGCAAACTACAGAGAGACACAGCTATATAGGACTATCTAGGACTGTCGAGGATTGTCGAGGATTATCTAGGGCTATCCAAGGGGGCTGATGATATGTCGATGCATATTTGATAGCAGGTGGTGGAGTTTGAAGCATCAGGCCGCGGAATCCATCTATACGAGTAGGATGCAGCTGAAACAATTTTCATATCACATAATTATTTACCGATAGCTCTAGTATTAACAAGCTGGAGTGATCGAGGAGAGGCTCACTCAGGCCGATAGCATATATTCATTCAAGTAAACACACCAATATCAGTCGTCTAGACTTATCAAGTCCTTTCTACGCCGCTTATAAAAGCTCCCTCCTAACATACCATCTTGCCAACCGTCTCCATTTAATTCGTGTCTCCTGAGACCATCACTAGTAGATGATGGAACTAGTGTCTATATCAGGGCACTTAGTAGCAAAGATCACTTCGTAGAGCAGTGGGCGTGTTGTATCAATGTGATCTAGATATTTTTATAGCCTGACTCCACCTTGGCGCATTTCTACAGGGGAGCATCAAAACTTACCTAATCGTATAGCAGTCCAGCAGAAACCACGCAGACAAGGGCGCATCTTTTCCGATATAAGGGACCAGGGTATTTCGTATCCGTCGGCCAGGTTGGTGGTTTGGCCATGTCTTGTTGTGAAAAGACACCCTCTACCAGCGAGAGCAAGGAGCCTGCCAGGGACAAAAGCAACTCTGCGCCTCAAGGTATCCTAGCAAGCCTGTCTCCTGTCTTCCTTGCGCTGCTTCATAGCTCCTGCTGCTGGCTTCCAGTGAGTTTTTCATGATTAAACTCTGATCCATGGCATTGCTCTTCGTTGGATTTAGCTCACATGTCTTCCTTGGTTATCTAGGCCGTCCTTGACTTCCTATCAATCGGGACCGCGTCGGTCAGCGTCTTCGAGCAGTTTCGACCATTTTTCCTACTCTTTACCCTTCTTACGCTTGGGTGGAGTGTGTATCGCAACGGGTTCGACCGCCGCAACCTCCGCCGAATAGCTGTATCCGGTCTCTTTCTTGCCTGGCCGCATATCTCGAGATTGCTTAAACAGCCGCAGCCTCACGCCGAGGGACACAAGAGCTGTCATTAAGGGGGCCATATATCCGAGGAACATAAAAGTACTTTACTGCTGGGAGCTAGCTATGATTATGGCTTCGTTTGGGCTCCGGCCATCAAAGCTGAGCTTATCACCCCTCCGCCAGCTACCGAGAGCTACCTACTCTCGCAGCTGCCTTTATGCGGTACCTGCCGCCACCACAAAGCTGCGATCTGCACACCATTGTGCAAAGTCTCAGGGGTTAAGGTCGCAGGAGTCGTTACTGTCTTTGGGTTTCTGGAGCTCTAAGCCGGTATGGAGACGGGCAGGCGTCAACACATTCCGATGTCTGATCGGTTGTAGCCTAGGGGACTTTTCCGCCATGTGGTTCCTACAGTCGTGTTACCCAGGCATTGGAACAGGCCTTATCATGGGGATAGCAAGTATGTTCCTCATGTCCTTCCTTATATCTATATACTAACTGTGTATGTCGTAGTGGTCTCGGGGCTGTCTACATCCATGCTGCTGGAGACCGTGCTACTTCGAATGGGCCGTGACCAGCTGCCCTGGAAAGCGGCTGCGAAAACGGCAGCCGGAATGAGCCTGGTCTCGATGCTTGGAATGGAGACGGTGCAGAACCTCGTGGACTACCACTTGACCAGCGGCGTGGTTGCGTTTGACGACCCGTCGTTCTGGATGGCAGCTGCTGCCTCTGCCGCTGCCGGGTACCTTGCACCACTCCCGTATAATTACACCCGCCTGCGGAAGTACGGGAAGGCATGCCATTAATACGTACCTGGATCGGCTATAGACCGTATTACTCTATTAAGCTTTATCCCTTCCATCCATCTACCATCTCCTCCGCACTGTATATCATCATTATCATCTATCGTCTATCATCATCTATCATCTTATATCATCATCTTATACTCTATATCATCATCTTAGTACCCTTGTATCATATCGTCATTGTAGGAAAACCTTTCTGCGCTTAATCAGATCGCGCCCTGACTAAGCGCTGGCCGACTAACCCGATTCGACGCAAAAGAGAGCCCCCTAACTAGCTTGTTCACTCCAGGCCTGAGAAGCCAGCGGCCACCAACTTCACTCGATTTTTTCCCCTTCTCCTCCGCCAGTTTCACGATCGAAGGTGCTGCGAAGAGCGTCGTCAAGAGTCTCTCCTCCCTGCCCGGCACCGCTTCTCCCTCCCTCTCCGCCTCTCCGGCCCTCTGACCTCGCCGACTGCGCCGCTCCCAATGCTTGTTTCGTCTAGTACTACGATTCTGCAGCCGATCGCGCGCGCTCTATGAATGTTTGGGTCAGGAACACCACAGGACTCCTTGGAACGATAACGTTTAGCCACTCCTTCAGCAAAGGGATAGCCGGCTGTCTGACACGAACGCATATTCGATCGCTTCTTTATTTGCTTTATTCGCCGGTTCTCGCTCGTCGTGCTGGCTCTTTGATAGCCTCAGCCTGGCATATCCTTGATTCGACCAACCGACAACCTCCTACTCGCCAGGAGAACAAAAAGAACTAACGTATTACGGCCGCTTTCCATTGTTGCTTGGATGTCTAGACTTTGCTTTCTCTATATTTGACGAAACTTCCTTCGTTCTCGAGCCCGTCTTTTTGTGACAACCTTTTTGTTCTACTGGACCGGTTGCCTTTTGGTATATTCAATCGTTGAAGATGTCCTTCCTTTTCAAATCCAAAAAGAGCCAGCAGCAAAACCAAAACCAAAGCCAAAACCAACCTCATAATCAGAATCAGAATCAGAATCACATCCAGCCTCCGCCACAATCCCAGCCTCCGCCTCCGCCTCCTGCAGCGGCAACCAGGAATATCCATACATCTGAAAGCGCTGCTTCCATTCCGCCATCGAACGCAGTTAATACACTTAATGGCATTAGAGAGAAGGAACGGGATGGCGAGCCAACACAACCCTTTGGGGGACCTAATGGCAGCACCAACGCTGCACCTAATCAAGTAAATCCTTCGCCGACGAGCCCGATTCAATCGAATAATGCACGCAGAGATCGAGCGGACTCGGAGCCACAGGTTCGTTGACACCCTATTTCTACCTTTTCATTACACGAACCCAAGGGCAATCGTGATGCAATGGGAGTTCCCGACTACTGGAATGTGTTGCAAGTAGAAGGAGACTGATTTATTCGTATTTATAGGCACCACGAAGCCAGCCTGTTAACGGCACGCAACCGCCTTCGGGCCCTAATCACACCCTCTACCCTTGGTCGCAACGCCGCATGAACTTCCCTTCACCACAACTCACACCCTTCCCACGATATGGTGCTGCTATCAATGCCATTGCATCCACAGAGGGCGATATATATTTGATGGGCGGCCTGGTCGATGGCTCTACCGTGAAAGGTGATTTATGGATGATTGAAAACAACGGCAACAATTCGACATGTTTCCCAATATCCCCAGTCACCGAAGGGCCAGGTCCAAGAGTTGGCCATGCCAGTTTGCTTGTTGGGAACGCTTTAATTGTTTATGGAGGTGATACGAAGATTCATGATAATGATACCCTTGATGACACGTTGTACTTCCTCAACACCTGTGAGTATAACTGTTCCGTTCTGCTTTCTGCACCCTCCAGCATTACAGTCGCTGATAACTCGTGCCATTAGCTTCCCGACAATGGTCCTGCGCCGCCTCCCCAGGGCCTCGACCCCCTGGAAGATACGGACATTCGTTGAACCTGCTTGGATCAAAGATTTATGTCTTTGGTGGTCAAGTGGAAGGGTTTTTCTTTAATGATTTGCTCGCGTTCGATCTCAATGCGATGAACAACCCAGGGAATAAATGGGAATTCCTTCTTAGAAATAGCCACGATGATGGACCCCCTGTTGGACAAGTGCCTCCAGCCCGAACTAACCACACAATGGTTACGTTTAATGACAAACTTTACCTGTAGGTTCACTATCACCCCTTATATATCGAATTCCTGCAATGCTAACTTGGGGGAAAAATATAGCTTCGGAGGTACGAACGGAGTCCAGTGGTTCCACGACGTTTGGTCCTATGATCCGAGAACCAACAGTTGGACGCAGATTGATTACGTCGGTTTTACTCCGACCCCAAGAGAGGGCCACGCGGCTACTTTGGTTGGCGACGTCATGTATGTCTTTGGCGGCCGAACAGAAGAAGGCGTTGACCTTGGGGACTTGATTGCATTTCGCATTTCAATCCGACGATGGTACTCCTTCCACAACATGGGCCCTGCACCATCACCACGCTCAGGGCACAGCATGACGACTCTTGGTAAAAACATTATAGTTCTCGCTGGAGAGCCGAGCTCAGCCCCCCGAGACCCAATGGAACTTGGACTTGTTTACGTTTTGGACACTAATAAAATTCGATACCCTAATGACCAACCTACGTCTCCAACTGGGGAACGACCTCCTCGAAGAATTGGACCAAATGAGAGACCGGGCGGCCAATCCGGGCGTACCTCTCGTGAGGCCCAGCATGTCATTCCTGACCCACAGCGCCGCGGACCACCTGGCCCTGCTCGAGACCCTGTCGGAAGCCCATCGCCTGGTCCAGGTGGCTCCAGGTTACCAAGGGCATCAATTGCTCAAACCCCTGCAGGACCACCTCCATCCGGGCAAGCTCCACATCCAAGGGCAAATGCTGTTCCGCCTCAACAAGCTAAAAAGCAGCAGCAGCAGCAACAACAGCAACAGCAGCAGCAGCAGCAACAGCCACAGCAATCCGGAAAGCCTGACAGGAGCGTTTCTTCCTCATCCGATAACAATAGGCCAACCGATAAAGAACGACAAAATCACACCGGCAGAGATGCATCAGCTCATGGCAGCAATAGAGCACCTCGTGAATCCAGCCCAATGACCGCTGCTCGCCAACAACACTCGTCCTCACGACTTTCGGCACGCGCCATGGAAGCGGGCGAAGCTGCTCCAATGGTAACGCCCGCACGACAACGGTCACTCAGACAGCAAAGGCAGCAAAACTCAGTCGACAGCGTGGATGACTCGATACTTGGTTCTGAATCACGAAGCTATAGAAATTCCAGGAACCTTGCAGATGAGCCACGTTCGCCGCGTCTTACGGCCCACCAGGAAGCCTTGATAAAAGAACTGGAGACCGTAAAAACGAAAAATGCATGGTATGTGTCTGAACTTGCGTTGGCTCGTAAGGCAGGCTACACCCCAACGTCCAACACCGGTAGCTTTGACGAGCGGTCAGTGGACTCTTTCAATGAAGGTGATCGTCCTCTAGTTGAAATGTTGCTTGCCATGAAGGCGGAGCTCGCTAAGATGCAAGCCAACGTTGATCGTCAAGCGGGCATTGCATCAAAGCGAGTTGCGGAAGTTGAGCACCAGCGAGATATTGCTTTGAACGAAGCTGCGTATGCTCGTGCGAGATTCGCTGCACATGGCGGCGGCGGTAGCCAAGGTGGGACTCCAATGTCAGAGATTAGCGGCCGTGAACTTGATGACAATAACTCTCAACGTGCCACTGAAATCAGTCGTCGTCTAGCCCTCTCCCTTACTGTCCAGAATGAATTGAAGGCAAAGGCCGAATCCTTAACGCTGGAGCTTCAAGAAGAGAGACGAGCGAAGGAACTGGCTGAAGAACTCCATGAGATGACGAATAAGAGGCTGACCGAGTTGGAACTCCAAAGCAACCCCCTCGAACTGGAGAGTATGCGGGTAGAACTACACCAGCTACAATCCTCGCACCGAGAGGAGACTGCTGCACGTTCTGAGGCTGAGGCGTCTCTTAAGATGCTTCAAGTTGATTATGCAGAGTTGGCTGATAAGCATGAAGATGCTACTAGTCGTATAGAAAACCATGGATTGAATGTCTCTTCTCTCCGAGACGCTGTGCAAGCCTCCGTTGCCAAAGCTGATCTTATGGAACGAAAACTCGAAGAGGAGCGCCAGCATCGTGAAACTTTTGAGAGGAAATTGCTACAGCTGAGAGCAGAGCACGAGGAACGAACTGCAGAGCTAGATAATACCGCAAGACGTCTCAAGGAAATGGAGGAGCTAGCCGATTCTCACGCTAGGGAGGCTGAAAGCCATAAGATTGCGCTCTTGTCTGGATTCGATCGTGTGACTTCACGCGATGCCGAGAGAAGTAACTCCCTGACAGACCAGCGAGTCAATGTTCTTCAATCCCAAGTTGAACGGGCCAACGAGCTGGTCAAGACAAGTCAACAAGCCGCCGATTCCGCAGCCGAAAAGCTACGTCGTGCCGAGGAGCGGATTGCTGGACTAGAAGCCTACCAGGAACAGAGCAGCAGGGAAGGACTACAACTTCGAAGACAGTTGCAGGCAGCCCTAAAGGAAAGCCAAACGCTCAACTCCGAGAATAGAGAGATGAAGGCTCAACTTGAGAACCAACAACGTGATACCAACGCGCTGGCTATCCAGCATGGAGCCCTTAAGGATCTTCTCGGCGAGCGTGGTGTGAACATGTCTGATAGCCGACGCTCCCCTCTTTTGGATTCACCAGGGTCACGATATGGCACTCCCGAACAAAACCGACTACGCGAGCTTGAACAGCAACTACAGTCGAGTTTGAAGGCGCACGAGGAGACCAAGTCTAGTTTTGAATTCCGAGAACAAGAAGTTGGCCGCGCCTATAATGAGAAGCTAGAGCAGCTCGAGAACGATTACCAGTCTGCAGTCCATTACGTCAAGGGAACAGAGAAGATGCTGAAACGCATGAAAGACGAGCTGTCCAAATATAAATCTCAAACGGCTAAACTACAGGCTGAGCTAGATGAGGTGTCCAGCAACGCCAACGACATGTCGCGAGAGGCACCGGCAGAGTGGACGGCGGAACGCGACACATTACACCAGTCCATCTCAGAACTACAGTCATCTACTGCCGCATCTATTTCGTCATTGGAGAACAAACTCCTGACCGTCCAAGGCGAACTCTCTTCTGTCCAAAAGAGATACGACGAATCACGCTCTGACCATGAAGCGCTACAGGCAGAACTCTCAAGCACCACGGAGAGGAGCTACCGTGACCTCGAACAGCTCAAGAAGGAAAACGCCCTCCTTGAGGCCCGAGCCATGGACGCAGAGAAGAAGGTCTCCATGCTTCTCGACCAGGTTGAATCCTCCGTCACCAACTACCGTCGACAATCCCAACAAGTCCCCGGCGGAATGCATTCCAACGGCATCGACCTCAGCCGTACACATAGCAATGCATCCAGTGCGGCAGCTAATTCCACCGCCAACCACGCCAACCGGCCGCGAGGAGATAGCAACGTCTCGCAGGACGATACGCTGTTGAATCATCGCGGCTCCATGGCCTTGGATTCCCTTGCAAACGAACTCGATGCTCTACGTAGCCACTGGGAGACTACGAACCGCAGCTATAGATCAAGCACGCAGTTCGACTTTGACCAGACGCCTACCAAGGAGACATATGGTGAAGGACTGAGTGATAGTCTCGCGAACTGGCGCCGTCGTCTAGATGAGGAAGAAGCTCGTGCCGATGATCCAGTTTCAGGTCAACAAACGTCGACCATGCCTTCGTCTAGCACTGCTCAGCCTGTCGCGGCGGCGGCTGGAAATATGATATAAAGCGGTACCTTATTCCGTATATCAAATTTCTATTCCCATATTTCTTGTACCAATATAACCTTTGACCTGCGTCTCTAGCTGTTATTTGTCACATATCCCTTCCAACCCGTTTTCTCTTCTTTCCTGCCTTTTTGTTTTCTTTCTTATCTATCTCTATGTATTCCCACCAATCTCGTTTTATGGTTTCATTTATTGCGTTCCCTTGTTGTTCCCTCCCCCCCTGTCCTTCTTCATTCCATTCGCGGGCTCGGCTGGATTCGACGTGGCTCAATGTATCAAATCAACGTATTTTATCTTTGTCCTTGCAACTTTTTTCTCCCCCCTTTTGTTCTTTTTTGATCCTTTTTCTTTTCTTTTTCTTTCCTGTTCGTTTTGCTTCTTACACCGCTGTCATTTCACATAATGCTCTTCACGCCTCTGTCCTGTTCTATCATGCTGTTTGTTTGTTTTTGATTCCTTTCGGTGGACTGGGTTTTTTTTTCCTTGTTTATGATATGAACGTTGCCATAATATCTCTCTCCCTGGATAGGCGGGCAGGATGTAAGCGGCAAAGGTGAAATGGCAGTCCCTTTTGTTTCCCTTGTTTTTTTTTTTCTTTTATATATCAATCTTACCTGATGCTGTCTAATCTTATTACTTCTTTGACTCCTTGCTAAAACTTACAAAAAAAAAAGTAATACCTTTCTCCTACTGATTACTGTCTTTATTCCTTGTCTTTGCCTTTGTGCTGTCTCTTGCGATGTTTTCAGATCTCCCTGCTCTTTTTCTTTTTCCCTTTTAAACAGCGTTTTACAATGGGACGTCCCATCCGGGTATATACACGTTTAAACAAAGTAGCCTTATCTTCTCTATCATCGTTTCATCGTTTGGACAGTTGGGTGTAGCCAAGCAACGGACATGCAGGAATCCATCCTGTCACCTGTACCCCCGAGCCATAATCCCGGAACTTGGCAGCTGCAGAGAACTCGTACCTGTCGAATCCCTATCGCGACTTCGATTAATCTACCCTCATCTACGGAGCTCGCGTTAATATAAGTAAGTTTGCCGGCAGTATATAACTATATTACTAGCCGTCCAATGGCCTGATCAGATCAGACGATGGCGAGAAAATGGACGGCGATTGCCAGGGGGGGCCAACGGAGACAGTGATCCCGCATGAACTCCGCTCCAGCTTCGGCTTGACAGTGACATGTTATTTTTAGACCTGACAGGGAACATTTGAAGAATTGATCTGTACAGAGTGCTTCTCTGATGATGGAAGGGTAAGCAGGTATCGTCCATGGAGGTCTAGAAGTGGATGTATAGGCATTGGACGCGGAGTAACTGCAGGAAGGAAAAACCATGTTCCCGCAGCATCCTACTGGCAGCATCTTACTGGCGCAGAACCGTCGGAAGCAGCCGCTGAGGGGTTGGAGAAAAGGGGTTGGTATATCGAGGATGAGACATGGGCGATCAGGCTGGCCGGGGCTGACTATAGATAGTAACGTGGAAGGCAAACGGAGTGTGATGCAAGATCTACGAGAGGCTTGTTGCCACAGTGTGATCTCTATCAGAACAGCAGGTATAGCGATAGAAGAGAGAGGCAAAGAGCAGCAAGCAAAGAGTAGAGAGTAGAGAGTAAACGGAGTGAAAGAAGAAGTGTGATGCTGGTCAGGAGGGAAGTTCATGCCCAACCACGTGACTGCTCACCCAAGGGCGTTTCTTCCTGCCTGGCCTCACCGACTTCCACCTTCGCCGCCATCGCCGACTTCCTCCTCTCTCCTCCTCTTCTTCTCTTCTTCTCTTCTTCTTCTTCCTCTTCTCCTCCTCGTTACCTCACCATCAACACCCTCTATCTGCTGGTTCATCCCTCTAAGAGGGAGCAATTCTCACCTCCCGCAGGTCTTCTTCTCCCGAGCCAGGTAAGGCCTCGATCTTGGCACCTCTGGATGATGTTGTGCTGCTCCTTAGCCGCCGCCCCAAGCCAGCCTCATCACTCCAACTTCAACCACCTCACCACTCCCACCCACTTCACCTCAGCTGGCCTCGCCTGCAGACTTCAAGTGGCCTCTTCTTCCCTCGCCTCTTCTTCTTCTTCTCTCTTCCTCATCTTCCTCGTCTGCATTCTCCATCATTTACGACTGCATATCTTCGGCTGTGGCTGTGGTGGAAAATCCTTTACTGATCTGGCTTTTCTAGTTAAATCTCGGCCCGTTGCACCAGCTGGACCATCTCCCACTATCTGACCTGCAGATAGAACATATTACACCACCGTAACGTTTTCACCTGTCGAACTGTGCTCACACAATTCGACCTTCTCAGCAGCTGAGTATTTACCACTTCAGACACCTTCACAATGACTACCATGGTCAGTACACAACGTCAGCATAAACACATGTGTGAGGAGCGTTGTGCTGACCCTATTATAGGATCTCCGTGTTGGCAACAAGTACCGTATTGGCCGAAAGATCGGAAGCGGCAGTTTCGGTGATATCTACCTTGGTATGTCCCTTCCACTGCTACCCAAGTAACATCGTAGGCTAACCACGGGTTGTCTTCTCAGGAACCAACATCATTTCTGGCGAGGAAATTGCCATCAAGCTAGAGTCTGTCAAGGCCAAGCACCCCCAACTCGAATATGAAGCCCGTGTCTACAAGTCTCTTGCCGGTGGTGTTGGCATCCCCTTCGTCCGTTGGTTCGGAACCGAGTGTGACTACAATGCCATGGTTATCGATCTCCTCGGACCCAGCTTAGAGGACTTGTTCAACTTCTGCAACCGCAAGTTCTCTTTGAAGACTGTTCTCTTGCTCGCCGACCAGCTTATCTCTCGTATCGAATACATCCACGCAAAGTCGTTCATCCACCGTGATATCAAGCCAGACAACTTCCTCATGGGCATCGGAAAGCGTGGCAACCAGGTCAACGTTATCGATTTCGGTCTTGCCAAGAAATACCGTGACCCAAAGACTCACTTCCACATCCCATACCGTGAGAACAAGAACTTGACTGGTACTGCCCGTTATGCCAGTATCAACACTCATCTGGGTGTAGAGCAATCCCGCCGTGATGACATGGAATCCCTTGGATACGTCATGCTCTACTTCTGCCGTGGATCTTTGCCCTGGCAGGGACTCAAGGCTGCTACCAAGAAGCAGAAATACGACCGTATCATGGAGAAGAAGATGACCACCCCCACTGAGGTCCTCTGCCGTGGATTCCCCAACGAATTTGCTGTTTACCTGAACTACACCCGTTCGCTCCGCTTCGACGACAAGCCTGACTACTCCTACCTCCGCAAGATCTTCCGTGATCTCTTTGTCCGCGAGTCCTTCCAGTACGACTACGTCTTCGACTGGACTGTCTACAAGTACCAGAAGAACGCCCAGGCTATTGCTCAGGCCACTGGCAATGCTGGCAACGCCCAGGACGAGGATGAACGCCCACGCCGCCTTGCAAACGTTGGAGTCACTCCTGGCAACCCAGCCGTTCAGACCAAGCCCACGGCCATGGCACCTCGCCGCAAAGTGATGGAACGCGGAGCTTTCGACACCCCAGACACGAATCGTGCAATTGGCGGAAGCGATAGGATGTGAGTATCTGCAACTGTTGGTTCCGAGTAAGGAACACTCCCCTCTTCCTGTGTGCTCGTGCTTTGAAGTGGTCCTTATATGACGCTGGCTGGCCATGTGGGGAGGGACAAAACCTTTCTTTTTCCATCGAAAATCTGACTAATGTTATAGTTTTCGGCGTTAGGCTTCGTTCCGCTTCTAAAGGTGGTGCTAATGTGGTCCCTGGTTACAACACGGCGGCTCCTTATCACCGTTCATCGAAGCGGGATGATGGTAACAGTGGTGTTAAATGGTAGTCATCCGACAAACACACGGTTTAATGATTAGAGTTGATTCTGGGGCGTGAGAACGTTCCACTGACCCCACGTCTCTCTTATCTCTTTTTCATATATGAACTTTGGGCAAAGATCATTTCTACCCCGAAGTCCATCCTGTCTGTTCTGCAAATCATCTCCTCGCTGTGACTGTTTACGCTCCACCACCGGTTTTATCTCCCATCTGCTTCTTGGACTGCATCTCAACCCACCCTTCGACCAACGGAAACATTACCTCCAACTTTTTCTTACACTATTCTTTCGTGGAACAATATTTCCCTGGGGTTTCGAGATGCATCAAGTAGTCGTCCATCTTTTTTTTTTGTCGAGCAGCAGTATCATCATCATCGAGGGGTTTCCAGACAGACATTCATTTGGCAGGATATCGTTTTAACAGTTTCATTGGGCATGGCTGTTGACGATCTTGTCTTCCCATAATGACTAAGGAAAGAGTCACTTGAGGCGGAACCGGCATTTCATATTTCAACATCGTCAACACATGCAAGGCAGCGTCAACCATCGACATCAGCGTCGTCAGACTGCTATATTGTGTTGTTATCCGGCTTCATTCGTCCTCGATCATCCTGGCATTTCTTCCTTTTCCCCTTTTTATCACCATTCCCTCTCCCCATGCTTTACATTTTACACTAAATTGAATGTCCCTTTCTCTATTTTTGCCCTCATGTTCTGTTGTTATTTTTGTTTTGTTGTGTTTTATTTCATTTCATTTCTCACGAAGACGCAAGGACATCTGGGCAGCGAAGAACACTGCATACTGTCGTTGAGAGGAATCAGGTATGGTGGTTGGATCGAGAATCAACAACGCACCGACGCTCTCCTTACCATCACGTTCGACATCGTTATTTAAGCATCATACAACGGCCAGCCTTTACCATCTTCCCCGGTATTGGCTTATGTTGTGTATCAGCAATCCTCGAACTCAACTCTACCTTCTCTTCTCTCAACAAGTGGTATATGGCGACGGAATCTGGCTAGGGTCGCTTCCGGGGTGGTTTAGTTATGTTGTTGCCTTGCGTTCTTATCTCGTACCCCCTTTTTCTTTTTCATTATCTGCACATGCACGTACCCTTCCCCAGCATCCATCTTTTGAAACCGCGGAGATAAGTTGAGATCGTTTCACATCAATCGGTTAGGGTAAGAGTGAGTCGTGGCGGGAGACGGTAGCATTGGCTGAGAGTGGCAAGGAGAGGACGCGTGAGGATGAAATATTTATTTGACCGGGGACGAGGAGAAGACGACAACCTACCGATTGGAGACGATTTTTTAACTTTCTTTCCTTGTTTTTTTCTCTCTTTTTTTGCTTCTGTCTCTTTCACCTTTATTTTTCTTCCCTCCCCATTAATATTTCCATAATAACTGCTCAATCCCCAATACAAACGAACGCTATCAAACCAACATGCATGAAATAGTTACACAATCACAGAGCTTATCCTCCCCTGATGTGGTTCGTGGCCAAAAAGTGTAAACAACCGAGGCTCTCTTAGCGCTCTTAGCACCTGTTTAGCAGCAAAGACAAGATCGCAGCGAGAGACGATCGTGAAACAATAGAGAGTTACAGCGAGTAGCGAGCGGACACCCGTCTCGAAAGGAGCAATGTAATCCGTGGATGTGCGGCCGGTCGGTGCTTGCTGGCCCCATAACCATAACCATAACCGTAAAAGGCCCTCCTCGCCACGACAAACACTCACGGACAAGAACTATTATACCTATTCAGTTCTAGAACGCAGCCTCGACAGGTTGAGAAAAGCAAGCAAGCGAGCGAAGTCGACACCCCTGATCATACTAGTCGCCTATCCGTCCATCTTATCTGCCCGTCAGTCGCTCTCCTGCGTCTCGGTTTCGTCGAAGCGAAAATAGGCTTTCGCGGAGACTGATCCCTAGTATGCGAATGTGTGCGATGTGATGTGCCTTTGCTCGATTTGATTTACCCGATGTGCACGAGCGGAAGAATACGAGCTTTTAGAGCCCCAGAGCAGAGGGCTAGAAGGCCGTCACCGTCTCGTCCTGCTGCTCCTGCTCGCGTACTATGTATATCTTCCTCCTGTGGCCCTGTATATAGATAGCCAGCTTCCCGACAGAGTATGGGCAGATGGATCACCTTGGAGAAGTATAAACCGTATATCCTGGGTGGTTTGCTCGCCGAACGGGGTATCCGCAGGTGCGTGACAAAAGCAAATAATACGGACAAGAGAGGAAAAGGAAAAAAAAATAAAAAAATAAAATAAAAAACAAGAGAACCGACAGAGTAGCATTTCTGCACAGGAAATTGAGCAGGACAGAAGCAGGAGGGAGCCGGAATGGCGTTTCTGTCATCGTGTCGAAACGGGCGCCCTTGGCGATGCAAGGATATGTGGCGGCTGCAGCGATGGAGTGCGCTGCAGGCCAGCCCATGGATGGTGGAATGGCCGTTAAATCCGTCGCATGCTCCCTCGTCCGCAGTCCTTCTGGATGCATTTCCGCGAGCAGGGGGGGGGGACTGACGGCCCATCGTTCGTTCAATTCGTTTGTTTGTTCATCCGACGTTCCCTCGACCTGCAGCGTAGCTCGTAGCTCGTAATCCGTACGCAGCTCGCCGTTAGCAAGGACGGGAGGATGGAGGAACGGGGCGACGGGGGCCCGTTGGCTGGTAGCTGGTGTGGGCTGGTGGTCTCTGGAGGGCCGCTGAGGGTCGCTGAGGCCGGCCTGGGAAAAGCTGCCAGGATAGGGTAGTGAAATTGAAGACCAGACAAGACTGCCGGCATGAAGGTTGACTCTATCGGGGACTATCTCGCACTAGCTACGGATTGTCGTCACCATAAGCGGCAAAGGTGGCTTGTTCGGACACGAGATTCATCTTTCTCCTGGCCCTGCCCAACGCTCGTACGAACGAACGGCGAGGGAGGGAGAAAGCCAGAAGCCAGAAAAAAGCAAAGAGGCGAGAAGAGAAGCAAAGAGATAGACAGACAGACGGACAGAGAAGAAGGAAAAAGAAAAGAGAACAGGTCGATATCAAAAACCAAACGATCGTCCCATCATCCTTGACGCTCTTGGAATCCTTGAAATTCCCCCGTTGTATTTGTTCCCCACACCCTTTTTAATCCACCTCCGGCCGAGCCTTTGCATATCAGAAAGATCCAGATGTATTAAATACTCGATCGTTCGCCGGGCTGCCTCTTCTTCGTCTTTGTCTGCTCTTCTTTTGCCGTCTTTCTCTTCGTTGCTCCCCTATTAACATAGCTCGCTCGTCGTCTGCCAGTTCAACTTATCAACCATGGAGTACCCGTACTTTTCGTCTGCTCCCCAGCAAGCGTATCCATATTATAGCCAGCAAGCACCTCAGGATGCCTCGCCAGACCAGTTTCGAGCCATGGTGCCAGGGCCTGTATGAGTCCATTCCTTATTCTTCTTCTTCTCTTCTTCTTGCTTTTTCTTATCATTATCGTTCGGTGTCGTTATTGTGCGACCTGTATCATCCGCAGACTGACATAGATGCATATTCAGGAGCAGCAGCAGTTTGACCCGGCATTCCAGCAATTTGAGCCATATCAATTCAGCCATGCTCCTCCTCCCCATGGCCCAGTCAACAATGTACCGTCGGCTCACTATCCAAGGCAATCCATCGAGCCGGTGACTTCCGGACAAGTATCGATATCTCCCCCTCATGCAGCCGAGATCAAACATGATACCTCCATCGACTCGAATGCCTTCTCGCATAGTATGAACATCGATAACGGCGAAGATGGCCACCTCGAACAGGACCCTCGTAGCAGCAGTGAGGAAAAGGACTCCAACATGACCCCTGCACAGAGCCGTAGAAAGGCCCAGAATCGAGCTGCGTACGTTCGACCCTTCTAAGCATCGTTTCATGAAGAAAAACGCGCAATTACTCACATTGTCTGTCCATCTAGCCAACGAGCGTTCCGTGAACGCAAGGAGAGACGAGTTCGCGACCTCGAACAAGAATTGACAGAATACAAGCAAAACTTCTCCAGCTTGCTCGAAGACAACGAAGTTCTAAAGCGCCAGATGGCAAAGGTAGCCACGGAAAACGAGATCCTTCGCGCAACTTCAAAGGCTGCACACTGTCACGGCTCTCCAGCTCGCGAACCAGAACCCACAACTACCGGTCCGCTAATATACTCTCCCAAGGACTATAGCAGTACCGCCAGCACCACCAGCGGCGGCAGCGGTTTGTCAACAGAGAAAGAGAAGCATCAAAAGCCCATCCACGCGGTCAAGGTGTGTGAAGTTACCGGTGAGAAGCTGCTGGATGCATCGGCCACCTGGGATCTGATAGTCAGCCATCTATCGGATTCGGGCGTCAAGCTGGACGTACAAGATATATATGATCGGTTAAAGGGACACGCACAGTGCGATGGCACAGGTCCTGTCATTGGCGAGTCACAGGTTATCAAGGCAATACAGGAAAGCATTGCGGCTGGCAGTGACGAGTTGATTTAGATCTATGAAGTTGAGCGTCTTCTTTTCTTCCTCTTCTTCTTCTTATGCTTTGTTTATTGGTTGGTTGGATTTATGGGTGTTGCGGGACATGGACATAACATAACATAACTTCTTAGATATCCCTTTTTTATCTTCCTTTTCCTTTGTCCACTTCCTTGCACTTGACTTCATGGCAGGTAAAATATGTCTCTCTCCATTATGTATGTATTGATTTTCTTTCCTTATATTCCAAATCCTCTAGGCCTACTTGTTCATCTGTTTTCTCCTTTCTCCGTTCTCCGTTCTCCTAGAACTATGTTATGATCGCCTCCGAGTTACGCATTGCGCTGGAGAATAATTTTTCCCCAATTCCCCTCAAGCTACTCCGCATCACCCCTGAATATCTACCCTGCAGCTCTCGCAGGATGTCACCATTGCATCCGCGCAACCCCCCAGCCACGATGTCGACATCTTAAAGTCTTGGTATAATTCGTTGGGTTAAACGGTCAATTTCCAGCAGTTGAAACAAGGATGAGACGAACTGCAGACTTCCATGTGACGCGATCGGGTGTACGCTATGACTGTCAATGACAAGGAACAGTATGTACAATAGCGTGGTCATTCTCCCACCAACCCATGCCTGCACACTACCTACATGGCATGCATGATCGATTCCCTTTAACCATAAATCATCGATTCCAGGGACCATACCCTGTCTGTTCCCCAGGATATTACCTAACCAAAATCGTATATTACACATACACAAGAGGTAAGAGTAAGAGGAAGGCAAAAAGTTGAGAAAACAAAAAAGAAGCCTTTTCTAAGCTCAATCCCAGTCGTCGTAATCTTCATCATTCTCTGCCGGCTTCGGCGTACTAGACGGCTTCTTTAGCCGGCTATCATGCTCATCCAGCGCGCCCATGTCAACAAGCATCTTCTCCACATCCTCAGCCCTGGTCCGTGCCCCGTTCAGTTCCCTCAGGGTGATGATCTGTTTTTTAATATCGCCGTCCTTGTAGGCTAGTATCGTTGGTGTGTTCTTTTCAGGATACCCCTCAATACACAGGTCAGCGCGTATCTCGCAGAATTTTATATCGCCGTACTTGGCAGCCAGCTGACGCCATATGTCGGTGAGTATGCGGGATTCTATGTTGTTTCCTAGCGAGGAGGTAAGGTGCACTATCACGTAGTATTTGGACGATGCCTCGGTGACATCCCGAGAGTAATCTGGTTTTTGGAGGGGGTAGACTTGGTTGTGGATGCTGGTCTGTTGTATTCGCGAGAGTTCTTCGAAGCGCTTCTGTCTAGCATGAATGTCAGTCGCCTGCCTTTGAAATCTAACAGAGAAAAGAGGTCGTCCTGGTAGTACCGGTATTTTTCTAGGAATTCTTCGTCTTCTTCATCTTCAAGGGCATCTAGTTCATCCAACGTCTTATCTTCTAGTCGGTTCTCATGCTCTAACTGGCGAGCTTTTTCAATCGCTTCTTGTATAATCGGTGTAGGGGATGGAGGCTTTTCGGGTATAACTCCATGTTTCCGGAGGATATCGTTCCTGGATCGCCGTTAGCACTCGTCATAATTTCTAGATGCGGTGCGGGACAAAATAGGATCGTTCTATAGAAGATCAAGCGTACCATTCTGTGTCTGCGTTTGGGTCATCAACGGGTACATTCACAGGCATGTCCATTTTGAAGTATAGCAAGTGAATAAACCGCTTCTCAAAGTCGTCCCGTCTCTATCCCCTTTCAATCGAATTTGTTGCTGCTTATCGAAAGTCGAGATAGTGAGGTCATCAGAATGCTGGTGCCTCTAAATATTACCTAAGACGGACTGTTTGTCTTGTTTGACTCGGTTACCCCCCCATATATACAAAACGTCCTTTACCCTATAAATATATAGATAGATAGCCCAGCAAGCCACAGTAGAGCCATTGAGGAGATATCTTGGGATAATATCAAAGGAGAGAAGCGTAGCAGCCATTGAATTGACGTGAATTAATCATCGTCACGGCTAGGTATCTTTAATTTGCCTTCCTTTTTGCAAGTACACGACTGTTTATGTGATAGAGTATGTAGTAGTTATTGTGCCCTGGCACACAGGAGGTGCCCCGATGCCCTGATGCACCTTTAACTACCGTTCACTGTAGATGCACCTAAAAGTTCCCTATATCAAAGGGAGATAGATATCAAGATGCTCTCGCCTCCTTTATCGAGTCGCGCATCACGTGGAAGAAAGTATCCACGGGACTACGATATATTTGACAACAGAGGAATAGATTTCACCCTATTACATAAGCCAAGTAAATGATGCCAAGAGGATTACGGTTGAGATAACAGTCACTTTAATGTGGTCACGCATTAAAAGCTGAGTCAGCGAGTGAACATCAACGCGGCAATCGATCAAGAAGGGAAATTGTTAGTGCTGTGGACACCTTGGTCTTGAGTATATCGTCCGCCCACGAAGACGCTCGTCGACCGTTCACTCGACTTCCACGCCCTCTGCGATCGATAGACTGGCAATATGAGCTACATAAAGAAGGACGAGGACGCAGACCAGACGATGATGAAGTTGGATAGGACGTCGGTTTTTCAGGATGGTGCGTCAGTCTGGTTTACCATATTACCCTTTTGGGGGTGGTATAAACCCCCCGTCCATGTCATTTGGCGATGGGCCTGCTAATTCCTCTTCTTACCTGCGCCTAAATAGCCCGGTTATTCAATTCATCCCCGATATCACCGCGAAGATGCCGGACGCTGTTAACGAAGCTCGCTGTTTTAATGTTCACCGGTGAGAGATTCCCCACAGATGAAGCTACTACGCTCTTCTTCGGGATCTCGAAGCTCTTTCAGAATAAGGACCCTTCCCTGCGACAGATGGTATACCTTATCTTGAAGGAGCTCTCCAATACCGCCCAAGATGTCATCATGTCTACATCTATAATTATGAAGGACACGTCCGTTGGCAGCGATGTCCTCTACCGAGCAAACGCCATCAGAGCCCTGTGCCGCATAATAGACGTATGTAGTTCGCAGATCTGACTCTATTTCATTCTCCGACTAATATGCTTATTTTCTTTGTGTTTATCTTAGGCCACGACAGTCCAAGGTATCGAACGACTGATTAAAACTGCCATTGTGGACAAAACACCCTCGGTTTCCTCCGCCGCTTTGGTATCTGCATATCACCTTCTCCCAATCGCGAAGGATATTGTTCGGAGATGGCAGAGCGAAACCCAGGAAGCTGCTTCGTCCGGGAAACAATCTGGTGGTCTCCTTGGCTTCACTTCCTCGGGACAGCGCCATTCCATGTCACAAACCAATTACATGACCCAATATCATGCAATTGGCCTTCTTTGCCAGATTCGAGCCCATGACCGGATGGCAATGGTGAAGATGGTTCAGCAATACGGCGCCGGTGCCGTCAAGAGCCCCCCTGCAATCGTTCTCCTGGTGAGGCTTGCGGCAAAATTGGCCGATGAGGACATTAGTCTACGGAAACCTATGATGCAGATGCTCGAAAGCTGGCTGAGAGGAAAGCATGAAATGGTTATATTCGAAGCAGCCAAGGCGATTAGTGAGATGAAAGATGTCACTGATGCTGAAGCCGCTCAAGCCATCAACGTCTTACAATTGTACTTGTCCTCTCCACGGACTACCAGCAAATTCGCCGCCATCCGACTACTACATACCTTTGCATCATTCAAGCCACATGTTGTCAACTCTTGCAACCAAGATATCGAGGCCTTGATCTCCAACTCTAATAGGTCCATTGCTACATTCGCCATCACCACCCTCCTTAAGACCGGAAATGAAGCCAGTGTTGATCGCCTCATGAGCCAAATCTCTGGTTTTATGTCAGATATTACAGATGAATTCAAGATTACAATTGTGGAAGCAATCCGGACACTGTGCCTCAAGTTCCCAAGCAAACAGGCTGGTATGCTTTCATTTATCAGTGGAATCCTCAGGGATGAAGGTGGTTACGAATTTAAGAGAAGTGTCGTTGAGAGCATGTTTGATCTCATCAAATTTGTTCCAGGGAGTAAAGAAGAGGGTAAGCATACAATTGCCTTGTGTTGCCAACGTATTTTTCTGCAATCATTTCGCTAACGGCGCATACAGCCCTTTCCCACCTCTGCGAATTTATTGAAGACTGTGAATTTACCAAGTTGGCAGTCAGGATACTGCATCATCTTGGTGTAGAAGGCCCAAAGACCACTAACCCTACCAAATATATCCGTTATATTTACAACCGGGTTGTTCTTGAGAATTCAACCGTGAGAGCAGCTGCAGTCACCGCCTTGGCCAAGTTTGGCGTCGGTCAGAAAGACCCAGAGTTACGACGAAGCGTTGTCGTGCTCCTCAAACGATGCCTCGATGATACCGATGATGAAGTTCGCGATCGTGCCGCCCTTAACCTCAGGTTAATTGATGATAGTGAAATCGCAGAACGATTCATCGCCAATGGTATGGCATACTCGTCATGGTCCCCCTTTGCTATCTTATTGTGTAATACTAATTTAATCTCAATAGACTCAATGTACTCCCTATCCACATTCGAACACCAGCTTGTTATGTACGTTACTGCAACGGACAAACAAACCTTCGCGACCGCATTTGATATGTCCAAGATTCCAGTCGTCTCGCAAGAGCAAGCCCTGGCCGAAGAGAGAACCAAGAAACTTACATCTGCCACACCTACCCTCAAAGCTCCTACTGCTGGTCCTTCAAAAGCGAAACAAAATGGGGCCGTCGATGGTGCAGCCGCAGCCCAAGCAACAACTCAGAAATTTGCCGAGGAGCTTTCACAAATACCCGAACTCAAAGAATATGGAACCCTCCTCAAATCGTCTTCGCCTGTTGAGCTTACCGAGCGTGAGACCGAATATGTTGTTACCGCTATAAAACATATCTTTAAGGATCATATCGTTGTACAGTATGATATTAAAAACACACTCCCAGATACTGTGCTTGAGGATGTATCTGTCGTAGCGACCCCCTCAGAGGATGACGAGTCACTGGAAGAGGATTTCATCGTCCCTGCCCCGAAACTGGTACCAAACGAGCCTGGATTGGTGTACGTTGCATTCAAGAAAGCTGGCGGCGAACACAACTACCCTGTCACATCATTCACAAATATTTTGAAATTTACCAGCAAGGAGGTCGACCCGACAACTGGTGAACCTGAAGAGACCGGCTATGATGACGAATACCAAGTGGAGGACCTTGAGCTCACCGGTAGCGATTATGTTGTCCCTGCCTTTGCGGGTAACTTCGACCATCTTTGGGAACAGACTGGCGCCAACGGTGAGGAGGCTAGTGAGACCCTACAGCTATCTAATATGAAGGGCATATCAGGTAAGATATTCTTTTTAAATTTTTACAATCCACTTCTATCTACAATTGCTAACCGGTATAAACCTATAGATGCTACTGAGCAACTCATTGCTACTCTCTCCTTGCAGCCTTTGGAAGGTACCGATGTCGTCCTTAACAATTCCACACATTCACTCAAGCTATACGGCAAGACCGTGTCCGGAGGCAGAGTCACAGGTCTTGTACGGTTGGCATATTCAGCAAAATCTGGCGTCACTACCAAGATAACCATCCGGGCAGAAGAAGAGGGTGTCGCTGCCACGCTTATAACATCTGTGGCGTGAGCTACCAGGAAATGAACCTGACAGCCTCTTTTTCCATGTTCTTGTCTCATTCACGTTGGTGCTTAGATGGGTAATGACCTGTTTGGAATCTCCTTTCTCTTCCTCTTCTGTTTGTCAAAAAGATGACCTGAGCGGTTTTCGATTCTTGTCGCTTATAATATAACCAACCATCACCTCGTCATCAATAACGTTCTCCTTTTTCAATTCAACGAATATAATTTTCCAAAGAAGTTCTGGGTTTCAGTTATCAAAAGTCCCTCCGCAGGGCGCCATTGTTGACTTCCTGTAGCCATGGTGGTGTATTGCATGGTTCATCATCCTATCTAGTGGGCGGGAGATTTTGTCCTCAACTCAAGCACCATTTCAGAAGCATTGGTCGCCAGGCGATCGTTCTTGTGCCACTAGAAATAGTATACACCAGTTTGGATTCCGCCACTCTCAAGTTTATCCTTATCATAGTATCCCGAGTTCAAGGCATTTTCCATCAGAACCTTATCCATCTCGAGTTCAAACCACTCAGGGACGTAATCTATAGTAGATGCAGGGATCCCTAATAGCCGAACGCGCTGGAACGTAATAGAAAATACCATCTGTAGATCCTTTACCAACTGTACACGTAGTTTGTGCTCGAGCGGCAAGGGACTTATTTCTAGGATTTCCAAGGTCGCTGGCGTGAGAGACATTGAAATAACCCTCTTATAGAAAACTGGATCACAGCCACAGCCTCGTAGGCTTAGAAACTTGAGCCTTTCCATCTGCGAACATAGCGGGGAGAGGAATGCTATGTCGTCAGTTTGGCGTTCACTTATTATTCTAACGCGCTGCAGCCTATGGGAAGCGCCTCCGGTAATGAGTGTTTGTACTATATTGTTGTAGGAATAATGGGCGGATTCTATCATTGTCACAGCGGTGACGGTTTCTGGCCAAATGAAATATGCGAGGATAATGGAGTGATGCACCTTCCATAGCTGCAGCCGTTTCAATTTCGGCGGCCACTGGTACACGGGAGCCTTTCGGTCCTGGCCATCGTTTCTTTGTGGTAAACCCTCGGTAGAAATTTCTGGCGGGAATCGCAGGGTTTCCAAATTCTGAAGGTTGCGTACAGCATGTGGTATACTCAGAAAAGGAATCACCGTCATTAGAACGGATAAATCAACTATCCTCAGGTTTAAGCATTTGCTCATGGGAGTTAAACTAATGGTCCTACTTCGATTATAAGTAGTTGCATTTTTAGAATGGTTTGTGAATAAGAAATATCTCATAACCCCAAAGTATGAGATCGATTGCTCAACAATGGGTAAAAACTGCTGAGCTTCCGGAACGGTACAATTCTTTGGGTGAACTCACGAAAATGTAGACGCGGGTGCAACGAAGACCTCAAGCTCCTCCTTACATGCTCGCAATAGCCTTGCGGTGACACTCTTGCTGCCACTATGTGCAAGGGCCCCTAGATCGAGATGTTTGACAAAGTTCCCCAGAGGCTCCTGTATATGTCTGGCTTTGCCACGGACATCTAATGTTCCAGCAAAGGAGTCGTAGTTTCTCGCAGAGATGACTGGCTTTGAGTAGAGGAACGGAATGGCGGCGGCATACCATTGCTGGCAGACCAAGCAGCAGGAAAAGAGCGTAGATTGCCAGTTTTCGTTCACCGTATCCTCGTCAGTTGCGTAAGAAAGGATGGTGACGACGAGTTCTGTAGGGAGAAACGCCCCTCTGGCCCGGAGATCCTGGGCCACCATTGTGGGTAGACTTCCACAGGTATGGCCGGGCACAAACCGTGGGTTTACTCCTTGCTTCCTCCCATCGGTGGAGTTTAGACCCTTGTATATTTTTTTTATATAGGTTCGGGCATAGTTAAGGCCGCGAGGAGAGGTTTGCCTCACGTGATTGTATAACTATATCCCGATCCCCGATGTACAAACACCTTGATGGTTACTGTAGAGTACAATATCGAACTAACTGCTTGGTGATATTGCCTTTTTGACCTAATAGTGTCTACCATAAGATTCGCTCTTCCTTTAAGTAGGCCTCAGGTACGTTCATTTCTATCGTTTTTTGGCTTACATTTGGGCTGAAAATCGATCGTCAGTGAGAGTTTCAGGGCCTGCCGAGGTTAAGATCACGGGGTATTTTAGACCTCCAGTTCTCGGTGACATCTACATTTCAAGGTTGCACTTTGATAGCTATGTTGCGGCTGTATACCGGTGGTTGAGGGAGTTGTACATATATGTGCAATCCGTTTTCCTAGGCTTACGATGCAGCTGAGACGCATTCCTTTCCCGGTTGGGATTTCTGGGCTCCCGAAGCCGCAGACTGTCACTCGTTCAGCAGCAACACCATGCTACCGACGGGGGTTCAAAACGTCGACCATAGTTCCTTCAGCGGTTCCTAATTTTGCTTTTGCTTTTGAGTGAGACCTGCTCCCTTATTCATTATGCTCCTCGTGAAATCCAAACCCTAATATAAGCTGTTAGCATAGATGGCGTCCTACTCCGAGCCTCCAGGCCCCTCCCGGGTGCTTCACAATCGCTATCTCTGCTACAAAAACAACGGATTCCTTTTATCCTGCTTACCAACGGCGGCGGCATGTCCGAAAATGAAAGAATAGCTCAGTTGAGTGATAGCTTAGGCGTACCGCTTGACCCTGAATTGATCATTCAAAGCCACACACCCTACACAGAACTTGTCGGAGGTAAAGAGGATCAGGAGCCATTAGAAAATAAGACTGTCTTGGTGGTCGGTGGATCGGGCGACAAATGCCGGGAAGTTGCGAGACAGTATGACTAGTCCGTTGCCCATCTCGCGGTGTTACCTTTTTGCTAATTACATGGGCAGATATGGATTTAAATCTGTGTTGACTCCTGGTGACATTTTCATGGCCCACCCATCCATTTGGCCCTTTTCCAAAACCTTTACGAACTATTATGAAGGAATTACACAACCCCTTGCTAGGTCTATAGATCCAGTAGACCCTTCTCAAGGCCTCAAAGTTGATGCAATCTTGGTATTCAATGATCCGAGAGACTGGGCCCTTGATATCCAGATTATTATTGACCTTCTACTCTCACGAGATGGTATCGTTGGGACGCTCTCTAATAAAAATGACAGAGACAATCTTCCGAATAGGGGCTACCAACAGGACGGTCAACCAGTACTCTACTTCTCTAATCCAGATCTCCTCTGGGCGGCCGGCTATCACCAACCTCGGCTTGGACAAGGAGGATTTTGCGCGGCCCTTGAAGGTGTTTGGGCCGCGATGACAGGAGGTTCAGCGTCGGGTGTGGAGTTACTGAAGACCGTGATTGGGAAACCGCACCAGCTAACTTACGATTTTGCCGAGAAGAGACTGGTGCAGCTAAGGAGGAAGAATTTCCAGGCTGATAACCTCGCTTCTCTTAAGACGGTTTATATGATTGGCGACAATCCCGAATCCGATATCAGAGGTGCTGGTTCGTATAGCAGTGCTGTTGGTATAAATTGGGTCCCGGTGCTTGTGAAGAGTGGGGTTTATAGTGGTGGAACACCTACATATACCCCGAAAGTTATAGTAGATGGAGTTGAGCAAGCTGTCAATTGGTCTTTAGACCAATCGGGCTGGGACCAAAGTCTACCAGCTAAGTAAGGCCATGGGAGTCATGGATTTCGCCTTTTTTTTGATTTGTATACTAAAGTCTAGAATGCAGGAAGACCAAGATACCCAATAATACATATAACGTATTAAACTTTCGATAATTATATACTCCGCAGCTCATGTCAAACTAATCACTAGATCTCAGATTCTCCAGCTCGCATTTGGAATTCTTTTTCCAGCCAGCCTATCTATGTACCAATTCCCTTGCTCTTCAGCTATTATACCTTTCACCACTGCTTCCTTTTTTTGATTTGAGGCAGATATAAAGCCACTGCAGGGGTCACAGTCTCCTAGTGATCTAGCCAACTGCCTGGCAAGATTATGTATCTCAATATGAGATGAGCGATGGAGATCTTTGCTGAATGAACGTCGCTTTACATATCTGACATCTCCTGGAAGCTGATTGGCCATGACTAATTTCTGGATTTTGCAGATTATATCTGAGCCCCGTGATATTTATCTAATTACTAAGCGGATTATTTCCTAACGTAATCCACATGCGAGCCGGCCACCTAAGCGAGCCGGCCACCAAATTGATTATATATAGATTAGTCAACTTTTTATATGATAATTAATACTAAAAAAAAAGTATTAAATTAAAAATTAAATAATACTAGGATTAGAATATCTTATTCTTCTATATCTAAGAATATTATAATTACTATATTGTGGTTAAGCTTGTAATTATAGTTATAAGGCTAGTGGTTTAGCTTTAGTAGGCTAATTAATTATATATTTAGTAGATAAATTAGAGGGGGTAATAAGGCTTTAAGCTTCTTCTTTTATAATACCCTCTAGTTATTGAATTCTATAATTAGATCTTATATATTTTTACTTCTCTTTTTTATTTATAGTAAATATATCCTAATATTGCTTCTTTATTATTATTATAGTAACTATCCTATACTTATAGGCCTTAATAATTTAATTAAAGCCTTCCTTAAATTGCTTAGAGGGTTCTATATAGTCTTATCTAAAAAGGTTCTTAACCTTATTTATTTATCTATATAACTAGTAAGGGTTACTAGGTATTTATAGACTCTAAGATAATTAAGAGTTACTTAATTAGCTTCCTAGAGGGATAGGTATATAAAGTTGAATATTAAGCTTTTAGACTACTTTATCTAGATTAAATAGACTAATTCTAGTTATAGTAAAGCTATTTTAAATATTCTTAGGCTTAAAAGCCTCTATCCTTACTATAGAATATATATTTAAAAAATTAAGCTTCTTAATAGTATTGAATCTAAGTTATATTTATTATTTAACTAAACCTCTATATGCTCGCTTTATGTCACAAGCTGACGGCGCTCCTTGATTACCTAAAGGTAATCAGAGGTTCACACCTGCCGTAAGACAGAAGGTACGAAGGTCTTAGAGAAAGCTTGGGTTAGAAGTGAGTCATTATAGGAGACAGCTTAGTACTAGGGCGAGATAGAATACTATAGTAAGACTATCCCTTAGTTCTAAGTGTGGCTTTAGTCAGTGCCTGGGTCGGATAAAGGCTAAAGGTCCTTATGAGTAGTAAAGACAAAGTTGACCTGCGTTAATAGGCAAAGGGGTATTTAGTGAATATAGTATAAGACAACTAGAATGGTGCTTTGTATTAAGCAGTATAGTAAAACTGTAGCTGATTTGATCGCGAGTATAAGACTCTTGATCCTAAGGTAATAAGTATCTTTATATACATGGTATATATCTAGTAATAGGTATGATAGTTCTCCACCAAGGGGTTCCTATCACTCCTATTGGTTATTGTGATAGTATTAATAAGAAGCTGCCAAGCCCATCCTATTGGTCCTATCGCTATTGGTCACGTGACTGGTGCCCTCAAGGTCTGGCTCATGATCCTCCCATCCAATGAGTGTATATCCTGGGGCTGCGCCGCAGGTGGTCTGTAACATCATCCCCTCCTTTCTCAACAAGTCATCCCAACGCGCATATATAAACCTGGTTGGTTTCCCTCTCCCTGGTTCATTATTGTGTTTTTCTTGAGTATGCCTCGCCATGGCTCGTTCTAAGGGTGTTGCTGATGTTCCAAAGTCTTCCAAAGATTCTTCCTCCATCCATGCTTATGTGCTAAAAGAAAATGTTGCGAAAACTGGTGTCGCGATGCCTTCCTATTGTGTTCATTGTTTAGAGAATGGCAACCTCTGTGTCATGTCATCTCATTCCACAAAGTGTTTGAAGTGTATCCGTGCGGGTTGTCCTTATGTTCATAATTGTGTACCTTCTTCATCTGACTGGGCCAAAGTTTGGTGTGAAAAGGAAAAGTTGGAGTTAAAAGAGTGTGAGGCTTGCGAGGAATCTCAGCAAATTCACAAAGCCTTTCAAAAAGCATTAAATGATTCTGATGCCTGTCTCAATCGTCTTGCTTGTCAGTGCGAGTTCCTTCAGAATCATATCAGCAAGTTTGTTGAATCGTCTGTCAAGACCGTGGAGGAGTTAGAAAAGCTAGAGGAAGAGGAGAGTCATCTGGCCAAGCTCCAAGAGCATGACTTCTAACGGCTCCTGAGTGAACTAAGTTCTTCATCCAACCTTACTTCATTCCTAGATCCTGCTCCACTGGTCTCTTTTCCTAACGCTGAGTCCACTAGTGAAACTCCTTTACTAGGCGCGGTGAATCCTTTAGGTATCTAGCTGGCTTATAAGTGTTTTCTAAGAAGTCGTATCCTTTCTATTTAATCAAGTAGTGAGTTTGTCTACTAATCACTTTCTTGTCTAGGATCTTTTCAACTTTATATTCTTTTTCTTGATTTTCTGGTTGTATTTCTGGTTCGTATGGTTTGGCGTTCTAGGGTGCTTTTTTAATTAGTGAGACGTGAAATGTTGGGTGTATTTGCATATGTTCTGGGAGTTGGAGTTTGTAATTAAGTTGTCCAATTTTTTCCAAAATCTTGAATGGTTCTAGTTTCTTGTGATCTAATTTGTTGCTTAGTCTTAATGTCTTGATATTTTATCGAAGTAGGAATACTTTTTCCCCCTTCTTAAAGTCTGGCGCTTCTATATGCCGTTAGTTGTAGTAGTGTTTCATTCTGTAGTTCAAGAATTCAAGATCTAACTATAGGTGTCTATAGAGTTCGCGCATTTGTTCTGCTGAAACCTCTG